TAGTTTCGTGGTTCTAATCGAATTTTTCCGTCCGGCGAAAAAAAACCGAAAAAAACTTTATCAGAATGTTTCAAGTTTGATAAGACGCCTAGAAGTTATTTTTTTTGGTAAGCAAAAACGTACTATACTATTAATTTGAACAGTTTTGGTTTTCCGGTAGAGTTTTTGGGGAGTACTGTAGTAGGTATACGGTAGGAATGGGGAAGTACTGTAAGCTTTGAGATTTTATGAAGTTCATAGGGAGGGGATTGGGGTTACTGTAGGTTTTCGAGTTTTCCATAGATTTTTGCCTGACATAGACATAGACTAAGAGTCAGAAATTCGAGATTCTGAATATTCTATAAAAAATCCACGTGGCAAATTTTCAAACTCTCCCGCCAAAAATAATAATTTTCGCCATAAAACCTTCATCTCTGTCTGTCACAGAGTCTTTAAAAAATCCCGCTCGTAAAAATGTAGAGAGCCAATAAAATCACCATAAAATGTGTCCAAAATCGGGGAACGGCGGCACCGTCTCTGATCTGATTTTTCACCCATTTTCACCTTTCGCCCAAAAAAAGATAGGCTAATTAAAATGTGGTGGTTGTGTGGTGTGTTACCAGATGGCAGGTGACGATAAAAAACACAAGCATCAAAATAAATAGTTTCAACTTTTTCTGATGTTTTTTCATTTATCTCAGATAACATCACCGCCAACATCATCAGACCGCCAGCAAAGCGAAAAAGAAGAGAAGAGAAACTTCAGCTAACTTCCTCAAGGCACACAACAATTCCAGGTGAGAGAAGAGACCTTGTAACAAAAGTTGTATCTTTTTTCTCTTGTAATTGGCACGCGCCAAAAACTGCCACTACATATTTTATTTTCAATCAAAAATCCACGCATCAAAGTTTAGTTTTCTAACATTAGAAATATATTTGTCTGTGTTAAAAACATTGCTCATGTTATAGAGCTAGACTCTTTTCTGAGCCCTGAAATTCCAAATTCGAAATTTTGATGGCATGAAATTTACGAGCTGAAAATCCACGTGGCATGTAAATTTTCAACTGTTCTTGCTAATCAAAAAAGTCCTCTTCCCGCTTCTTGAGAGAGGTCACTTTTTTTTATCTAGAAAAGTGGGCGGAGCCTATTTTCGCGGCACGCGCCACCCTAGTTGCATTAAGTGGAGGACTACGGTGGATGTGGCTCCGCCCCTCTCCTCTCTCTACATACTCGCAAATATTTCATGTTGCGCCAGTTTTTTTGACTTGGGTGGGATTTTTGGTTTTTTTGGAGTTTTCTATTTGTTCTGAAATTGAATTTTGAACGCCAGTTTGATAATTTGGATCATGTTTTTCCTAGTTATCAAAGTAGCCACGTGGATTTCATTTCCAAAAATTGAGAATTCATAAATTTCGTTGATCTAACACTCCATGTGGCATTTTCAGAGCACTCAAATTTTACACCAAAAAAATTTGCAAAGCCTGGAAAGATTGTGTTTTGGAAAAAATTTCCAAAGCCAAAATTTCATTTCATCCAAGGTCGTACCACTTTCACCAGAACAACAATAACAAAAACTGGCGCAGAAAAATTGACACCATTTTTGTTGTGATTGGGAATTTCGGAACTTTTCTTTAATCTTTTTATGTTGATGATTGACAGCTTTTTCTTTGTTGGTCCCGAAAAATTTGATCCGAATTCAAAATTTTGAATTATCATAATTTTTCGATTTTTGGGTTCCGAATGAAATTGACCTAAAATTGAATTTTAAAATTTGAAAGTCCCGAAAAAACCTGGAATAAAATTTTAAAAACTTTCTATCACATTTCAAAAAGTATCAATTATTATTATACTTTTTCGATTTGTTATTTATTTATTTATTATACTTATGTTGTAAACATGTATGTTAGTAGAAGTCACTTTTTTTGTAGGTATTTTATTTTATTTTACACTATTTTCTACTCTCGAGGTTTTTTTGGCAGGGCAAAAGCCCCGCCTTTTTTATGTATGTATGTAAAATAAAACAAAATAAGTAAGAAAAAAGTAGTGTATGTTACACTTGTAGGCTTTTGGACCAGTTTCAGTTTATTATTTTGTTTTGTGTTTGCTTGATTTTGGGAAGTTGGGCTAACTTTTTTCTGGCTTTGAGATTTTATGAATTCTAATTTTTTTATATCTCACTGGGCTACCGTGGGCCAACTTTTCAATTTAACATTTGAAATTTTGTGAGTCTTAAAAATGAGAGAATTTAAAACTTCTTCCCGTAGAGTCCTAAAAGTACAAAAATTCTGAACTTCAGAATCTGAAACTCTTTCAAAGTTTTTAGGTTAAAAATCCCGAAAGGTTCAGGTTACTGTTGTCCTGAATCCAAAAATTTAGAAGATTTCTTGTAATTTTTTAGCCGCCAAAATATCAAAATTTAAATTTTTGGAATCTCTTTGAAAACTTTCACTCGGAAAAATAATACTGTAGTTATCTGAACTTTTGTCGTTTTTCTAATTTGCAGCCCTACCTTCAATTTTCTCCCGCGCAAAAAATCCCAGTTCCACCTCGAATCTCGAGGTCAAGGGTTCAAACCCCGCCCGCTGCTTCTCCCCGCCGAATAGGTCATATCTTTCTCTGATTCTCTCATTCTTTCTCGCACTCTCTTCAGTTGAATTTTTCCGCGATTTCTCTTTCAGCTTCTCCTTTCCTTCCTTCCTTACGCGCACCCCACTTTCACCTATTCTCGAACAGGTTTCAATAATATTCGATGCGTAGTAGTGTATTTTTCTCGAGAGAAAGAGACAGTGAGCGAGAAATGGCAATGTATTTTATTATGTTTTTTTTGCTGCTTCTTCTTCTTCTTGTTTTTGTTATTTACTTTTACTCACTACTTACTGTATCTAGATTGAATAATTTAATTTGAATTTTTCGAATTTATTTATTTTAGTCATACATAGGTAAATAGGGTTATGACGATAAAATTCAGAGTACCCGCTGAAAATGAAAGCTTCTCCTGAAAGACACGGCTCTTTGACAGGAGAGCCAACAAGGCGTCGCTCCGTGAGAGAAGTATCCACAAGACGCGGCTCCTTCCCAGGTAATATCACAAGGTAAGGTTCCTTGGTATTCATTAACATGCCAAGAAGTCGCGCCTTGTGAGTCCTTCTGTCAAGGAGCCGGGCCTTATAAGACTCCACTTCAAGTTACTAACTACTAAATTTACTAAATTTTTCAAAATTCCCATCGGTTTTCGATTTTCCCATGTCAAATTTCCGGAATGATTGCGGTCGCATGGTCACACCTGGGTGTGATAATGGCGGCGGGTTTTTATCCGCCATGGGAAACGGCGACTGATTTTTGTGTGCCGGCCGATTTTGAAAAGGTGCGAGAAATTGTGATTTTTTGCCGAAAAGGGTGGGAAGAGTACTTGGAAATTGTTTTATAGTTTTTGAATTTAGTTTGTTTTTAGAAATTTCGAATCTCAACTATACTAAAAATTAGTTCCATCAACTTCAGTCGTTCAGAACCTCTTATACCTTTCAAGAATTCATAAAATCTGAGCTAGAATTCCTTAAATAAACTTTCACCTTTTCAAAAGAATTTTCATAAAAATAAGTATTTTCCAAATTTTTAAAATTATTCTTTGAACCTTAATTTCTAGAATTTGAATTGATTCTGGTAAAGTTATCTATGTTTTGAAAGTCTTCCAGAAATCAAATGATTTTGATTCAAAAATCCAGAATTTCCAAAGTTCCTAACTTATCAGAATCCCTAAAAAATATTTTCAGTATCTCGAGTTTCAAGAATTTTTTTAATGGTTTTTAGGAATTTTTAGAAAATTTTAACGAACTTTTGACTAGCCCTCTATATTCCAGCTTCTAGAGTCTAAATTCAAAATACTGATCTGAATTTAAAAATTCCGAAGATATCTCCGAAATGCCAAGTTAGTCTTTTGACCATATCTGATATTCTAGATTTCCAACACTAACTAAATTTTTTCACAGAAAAATATGAGACTCTGAAAATCTAAGAATTAAAGAAACTTTGATTGGTAAAACTCAGAGAATCTGACTAGCTTCAGTGAACAATCTGAGAATTCTTGACGTGAAAAAATTCCAGGAAAAACCCTCAACGCTTCTAAAATTCAAATTTATCTTGAGATCTGATAATTTCAGAGTTTCGCACTCTTCTTGAAATATTGCAGAAGGGTTTTTGGACGAATTTCAGTTGAAAATCCGGACCATTTTCAGCCTATTTTAATCTCTGAAATCTTCCATATTTTCCCAGCAATTACCAGTTTCCCATGATATCAAAGGAGCGGAAGCGCTTTCACACCATAGTGCCACCCCACCCCCAAAGTCCCGCCCATAATCCACCAAAGCTCCGCCTCTTTTCTTGAGCAACACTTTCTTGATTTATTATATCATTCATGATTTTTTTCGACTTCGTCAAACACTTTTTCTTTTTATTTCTGATTTTTCTACCTCTTCTAACTAATTGTAATATTGTAATGAATAATAATTCTCGAAGTACACAGGGTCATAAGACATTGTGTCAGCTTCATCTGCTTGCTATCTCGAAACCAGTTTCGTCGCAAAAGGCGCACGGTCTTCGAGAGAGCGAGAGAGAGGTTACGCAAGTCTCCCCCATTTTCTCGCGCAACTATCTACTTATTTATGTCTGTTTTTTTGCGCTTCCTCTTCTTGTATACCTCATGTATTTATGTAGTAAATAGAATTACATCGTTTTCACTTTCAATCTGCCATTTCTCATTCTCGTTTTCACCTATGTCAGCTTCGTGTCTCGAGAAAGTTACTGAAGAAGCCCTAGTGAGGGTCAGATTGTTATCAGTGGGTGAGAAGGAGAGAAATCCCGATGAAAGTGAAGATTTTCACTTTCACCTTCCCCCTTTTTCGATATGAGATTTTGTTTCTTTCGCTTTTTTTTGACTTTTGAATTTTTGAAAAAAAACTAATCAATGTTCATTTTGCAGATGAACTTTATGGTTGATTGTGCGTCAATGTGGAATCCACAATTCATGCCGCCAGTTCCACAACAACAAGTTCAAGCACACCAATTTGGTGGTGGTGGAAAATTTGCACCAATCGCTCCACCAAAACCATCAATCACACCATACTCAGATGCGACAAACTGCAAAAAGAGCTCAAATCACATCAAAAGACCAATGAATGCATTTATGGTTTGGAGTCAAATGGAACGACGAAAGATTTGTGAACATCAACCTGATATGCACAATGCTGAAATCAGTAAGCAACTTGGGTCGAGATGGCGACATTTGACAGAGGAGGAAAAGGCACCATTTGTAGCAGAAGCGGAGAGATTAAGAGTTATGCATATGCAGGTAAGATTTGAAAAAAATTGGGGAAACTGATAAAAATAAGAATTTTGAGAAATAAGAATTTCCATGAAAAATCGTTTTTTTTTACTAGAAACTTTTCCAAAAACTTTGAAATTTCTCAAAACTCTGAGCGATAGAGCGAACTTGTGCCTAGAACCCGACAGTTTCTCCATGGACACAGATCGAAAAATGTTAATTTTCCCATTTCTAGGAATACCCTGACTATAAATACAAGCCACGCAAGAAGCCAAAGAAGAATCCAGATGGTTCATTGCAACAACCATCTTCATCAGCAGCAGGATCAGGAGCCTCCGCATCTTCGCAACAACCACAACCAACACCCTCAACATCGAAAAACTCGAATCCAGGAGGAAGTTCAGCAGGATCATCAAGAAAACGAACTTACACTGAAGATTTCTCGAATCAAAGCAATATGGCGAAGGCGATTAAAATGGAACCAAAATATGGTTATCCAAGTCCACCGGAATTCAATCACAATCCATTGACACCGGAATCTGGATTTTATGATGATTTCTATCATTATCAACAACAACAAGCACAGCAAGCTGCTCAACAACATCAACAACATCATCATAATATGTTTGCACCAAATAATAGTAACCCATTTTATGTGCAAACTAGTCCGCCATCATCGCATGAGGTAACTTTTCCTATTTATAATATTATGAAAAATATTAACCATTTGTTTTTGCAGGATGATATGCGATCTCTTAGTTCAAGTTCATCTGGTTATGGAAGTATTCCACCATCCACAGATTGCCAAATTCATGAAAACTTTGCCACACAAATTGCACCAATCGAAAATGTGCCAGCTCCACAAAATTCCCAACAAAATACGGCACAAGGAAATGCCGACGATTTTTCGGGAATCTGCCCAACAATCACTGATTTGCCATTTTATGGAACCTATTTGTGGGACGAGGTGTACAAGACAATTTTGTAATTTGACTTTTGTTTAGTCTCATTTGTTAATCAATTTTTTTCCTTTTTCCCGTTTTCCACCCAAATTATTATTCTCCCAGTATTTTTCACTTCCGTAATTTCCGGATAGTATTATTTCACCGCCCGAACAACAAAAAACCCAAAAAGTATTGCGCACAAAAATCTGTATTCGCTATTTTTTCCCAACTTTCCTTTCATTTCCACTGAGAAAACATTTCCAAGCTTTATTTTTCTATCTTTCCCATTGACTAGTTGTTTTTTGTCTCCTTCCTTCAAAAATTGAAAAAAAATGTTTTCCCAAAAAATTCATTGAAAATAGTCCCAAATTTTGTGTATATTTTGGAACCTACACCTATTTATATTTACCCCCAAATTTCCCTCTATTCAAAAAAAAAGAAAAATAACAAAAATTTATATTGTGAATCATCTCTGAATAGTCCACCGCCCCATTTTTTTGAAACCGTCTATTGAAAAATAAATAAATACATATGTTGAAATCGTTTGTTTTCTTGTCTTGTAAAGTTTCAGAAAATGAATTTGAAAAAAGTATTATCTTGACAGTCGAAAAAAAACTCATAAATTTCAAAACGGCGGGCGAACATTAAAAAAAAGTACACATTTTTTGGAACAGCCTTCAAAACTTTGTCGATTATCATCAAAAAAGACCTACCGGTGGGCAAAAAAGCGACTTTTTGAGGCGAGATAAAAATCTCGAACACACGACCCAAACAGAAAAAAGAAATGAATTTGATTTGAAAAATATGAGGGAAAGTTTCGAATTTATTCTAAATGAGATTTTTACAGTTTGTATCAACAGATATCCAAAGAATGGAAAAAATTACAATTTTTGAGTAATTTATGGATCAAAAGTCAACATTTGGAAGTTCTCAATACAAATTTATACAGTTAAAAATTCATCTCAAAATTACCAGAAAAATCATTCATTATTTTTTGGCTCAAAAATATATGACCATGTCAAATATTTTCTAATGAAAAACAAAACCATGTTCAGTTTTTCATTCCAAAAAAAAATGAATTTCAAAATTCTGATAAATTTCAAGAAAATTTATTCCCAATTAACCCTAATTAAAAATTCATCTCAAAATTACTAGAAATATCATTCATTATTTTTTGGCTCAAAAATAGATGACCATGTCCAGACCTGTCGTTTTGCGGCTATTTGCGGCCCCCGGGCCAGCCATTTGAAGGGCCGGCCTAGCCAGCCCAAATATGGAAAATGGGCTGGCTCAGCCCGGCCTTTCAAACAAATTTTATTGTGTAAATCCACTATTTTTCAATGGTGTTTCTTTCGAATTTTTGCATTTTGGCGGAAGAAAATTGCCGTATTTCGTGTTTCTGATGGTGGATTGATAATAAAAGTAAAATTTATTGAAATTCATGTGTTTCACCATTACGATCCTGCACCAAAACAGTTCTTCGAAGAAATGTTGGTGCACTAACACCAATTTAAGTTATTCTGATTTACGAAATTCGCCCAAATGCAGAAAATTTGAGCAAAATCATCCATTTGTAAAAATACCGAATTGTCATCAAAAATTTATGAAGGGCCGAAAAAAGGGCTGAAACAGCCTCTCATAAAAAAGAAGGGCCGGAGGGCCGAAATAGCCCGCATTTTTTGAATTTTGAAGGGCTGGCCCGGCCCGGCCGCCCAAAAACGACAGGTCTGACCATGTCAAATATTTTCCAATGAAAAAAAAAACCATGTTCAGTTTTCCATTCCAAAAAATGAATTTCAAATTTCTGATAAATTTCAAGAAAATTTATTCCAAATTAACCCTAATCAAATTAACCCTAATAATTAATTTCGAGTATTTCAGAACTAATTGGTAGCCATCTAACCAAAATCCCCAATATCACAATTTTTCTTTTTCAAATTGATTTTTGTCTGTCCAAATCCCCCTCTAACTGTGTTTATTTAGACTAATTCTATTTCATTGTTCGGTTCAATGTAATTTTTTCCAAAAATTAAAAAAAATAGAAATAAAAATCGCCGCGCATTTCTTCATTTCAAACAAGCTCAAGATTTCATAAAAATGAAATCGAACATAGCTTAAAAAATAAAAAATCTTTAAAATATCCACCTTTGCTCAAGGTTTCCGAAAAAACCGAGTTGGTTTCAATTAAAAATCAGCGTATTTCTGTGAAAACGAAAAAAAAAGAGAAAAAGGCTCAATAAAAACAACAAGACACTGAATGGCGTCTTTTTTTGCAAAAAAATCGATTACAAACACTTTTGGATTGAAAATTTCGCGCGTAGATCAAATCAAAAATCAACAAGAAAACTTTTTGTTCGGTGATTAAATTTAAAAAAAAAAGACAAAGTGAATTGAACTGTAGTGATTTTTCATTAGTTTTTTGAAACTTGAGATGAAATATGGTTTTCAATCGATCGAATAAATTGCTAAATATTTCAAAATTTCTAATATTTTTAAATAACAGGGATTATTAGGAAGTGAAGTTTAAAATTTAGAGAAACTTGCAAACAAAAAAATTACAAATATTTTTGGCAGCAAGTGGCACAGCATTGCCCGTGGTAACATCTTACGGGCTGTGCCAAACATCACTCTCTAATTTTTTGTTGAACATTTTCAAACACTTACTTATTTTGATTTAGTAGCAAAGATTGAGAAGTAGACAGAAACATAATTTTCATCAAAAACCAGGCGAATAAAAATAACAATTTCAAATTTTTCGAATATTTTTGGGGTTTGGTCCTCTTGTGACTGGAAGTCCGGTGTCTATATCGTATTTCTGAAAAAAAATCAGCTCAAAATTTCAAAGTTTTTATCAAAAAATTACCCGCTTAGTGAATTCGCAAGGCTTCAATGCTTTACAATTTGTTATGTCAACCGTAGCTTGCGGCAAAAATTGGGATTCATCTGGATTTTCAGTCGAAACTTCTTCGATTGCAGAATACGGTGGAACGGTCTGAAAAATGGTTTTGGAGATGAACAAATTTTTAAATTCAAAATTTTCGCGCCAAAAAACATACCGTAATCTCGGCTTTTTCAATCTCAATCTCATATTCATCCAAATTACTGCGATTTTTCAATATTTTATTGTGAATATTTCGAACTTCATATAATTGAATATAATGTCGACGATCATCTGGTTGACTGTTTTCTGTGCAAAAAAATCAATAAATTTTGGTGCCAAAATCCACGTGGGTTTAAGAGTGAAAATTCACTGTACCTCTCAACAAATCGACAATTTCTTGTTCCGACAAATCTTCCAACAAATAAGTTGCAATTTCTTTTCTAATTTCATTGGATATCGGGATTTTTCGAATATCTTGATCATGACCGACGTGTTGAAGACAACCGCGCAACAAGACTTTACTGCAGAATAAATTCATAAATTAGTATACTTACCTGCGTGGCTGGGTATTCAATTAATGAATTCTTCATTTAAAAACTCGCTCACCCATTTTCCTTCTGTTTTGTGTGAAAAAATGCTGTGCAAGTCCGACCCATTTTTGTGCTCAATCTTTTCCGTTTCTCATTTAATTTTATTGGACATGAAGTGCCAGAAAAATTACATCGATAATAGCTGAAATTTTTAATTTTTGATTTCTCACAATCAGTCAACAAATCAATAAACCCACGTGGATTTGCTGAAAACATTTTTCTTCGACGAAGTTCTGATATATTTCGATATTGTCAATCGTTCCATTTCTGATTTCCATTTCTAGAAAAAAATCTATCAAATTTTTGACGCCAAATTAAAAAAGTTCAAATGCCCACCGTAAATTGCTCGAAATTTTGGAATTCTATAGATTCGAAACACAAATTTGGTCGATCATGCGAAATTCTGACGTGTTCAACTAGAGTCGCCATACCATCTGCACCAACTTCACAATTTTCAATTGGGCACAAAGTGCGAGTTCGAGGTCTGCAAAAAATCGATCGATAAATTGGCTGCGTACTATTCGAGGCTGAGTATCTAATGTGGACAATTCTCGCTATTAATTAGATACTACGCCAAGTGTACGCAGCCAAAATGCTCACAATAATTTAAGCGGATCTTCTGTAATTTCATGCAATTCGCAATGTTTCTTGAAATCATTCTTGGTGCCAAAACAAAACGAGCATTTTTCGCAGAAAATCGCCATTGCAACAAATCCGACACTTTCGGCGTTGCCAGTTCCGCGACTTGCGAAATATTTGTTGGGAAGTGGAGTTAGCTGCAATTTTTCGCGAGCTTTTTATGAAAAATAATACAGAATTCCTACATTTTCATCATCTTGCTTATCCGAATTTCCATCTACATTTGAATTCTCCAATGTTGCCGTTTCATTATCAATTTCTATGTGATTATTCTCAAAATTCGCCAATTTCACAGTTTTCTCAACATCAAAACTCAAATCCAAAATATTATCGATTTTTGCACTTTGCCTAACAATTTGATTTTTCCCGGATTTTCGAAAAGTTTTCAATTTTCGTTGATGTGGATATATTGTAAGTCGTAAATCGCTATTCATCTCTGGAAAAATAAAACTATCAATTTCCTTGATTTTTTTCCGAACACAACTACCTTCAGAAAAATCAATTTCTTCACCGACTACTTCATCTTCATAATAAACATCGTCATCGACAACGAATTCGTATATGACGACCTGGCCAGCCATCTGAAACGCGCTTCAAAAAACAACAAATAAAAAACAATGTTACCGTAGTAAATCTTTAAAGGAACATGTGAAAATTTGCGACGCATAAGTTCACAAATTCTGCAAACACCACAAAATACCGTATTATTTCCTTGTTTTTTATTTTTCGCACTCCCCGCCAAATATCAGGTTTACAGGCCTGAATTCAGGTTTAAAAATGATGATTTTAAAACTTTGCAAATCATTTTTTCATGAGAAGAGCTTCACAGATTTTTAACCGATTGCTCGGTAGAAGTTTGCCACATGCGAACTTCGCAGAACATCAGAAGGAATTGAAAGTGATCGCAAAGACGAATAATGGTATGATAGAGACGATTTCGGTGAATCACGGGCTCTCGCCAGATGTAAGTTGAATTTCTAATTCTAACCCGAAAAATTATCGATTTTTGCAGGGCAACTTCTATCATTTCGTGCTAATCCCAAAATCCTCGGGAATTGATCCAATCATGCGATTCACCGTCAAAATTCAACAGGATTTAACACGCCCGGGTTTCGCGAAAATTTTGCGAACTGTTGAAAAATCAGGAAACAATACAAATCCGGCGGAAGTTATTGAGTTGGAAGTGCTTTTCGACGATTTCAACTATCACTATGTTTGTTCGAGATGGTTGATGAGTTTCTTGTATGAGTATCGTTTTATTGTGAGGAGTTTGGATGTGATGTTGGTAAGGGTTTTGAAGATTTCGAAACTTTTGGGGAAGCTTGGTGGGAAAAACTGATCCATTTCAATTAAGCAAAACTGATCCATTCCCTCTCAAAATAAGCTCCCGCTAAACCTCTCAAAAAACCCCCAAACCTTGCAGCCACCCCGAATTCCATGTACCAGCGAAGTTCGCGAACACATGTTGGAAAGATTCGAAGTCATTGTAGATAGTGCTGAAACTGACGAATATGTTGTGGATTTTTGGTTGGATCGTATCAGAAGTCTTGTCGCTCATCTCATAATTCGATCCGACGGAATAACTGTCAAAGTGAAGGATAACGAATTTTTGCGTGATGTTCATGCCGTGGAAATTTACGGAAAAACGGATTTGGATTGGGAGTGGATTTATACGTCGACTGTTTATCGATTTCATCACCACGGGATTGAACGATTGGTTTTGACTGATCATGAGATTAAGGAGGCTTGCGAGGTGAGTCTTGGAAAATTTAGAAATTTAAAAAAATATCGAAAATAAGATTTTCGAAACCCTCGAATTTCTCTCAATTTTTCAGCACTTCAACGATCCACAAAGCAATATAAAAATAATGATTTTCGATCAAGGAACTGTTGAAAGAGGAGAAGAATTGAAGAAATGGTTGAGAGAAAAACATCCAGATCATAAAAAAGACGTCGATTATTTTTATCGAAAAGTCGGCAAGGATCAAATGTTTTATTTTGAAATGAAACATCGATATTTGAAGTTTGGAAAATATATTGATACTCCAAAATTGAATGATCCATCATATGAGGCAATATTTCCAGAATATAAACTGGCTTTAAATTTTACATAAGTACTCACTTGATTTTCTTATCTATCTTGTATCTATTTATATTCTATGTTTTTTTATTATTGAATAAACCTTTTAAGCTTTAACTCTTCCATTTTACTCGTTCTCTTTCTCTGTGTTTCCTCTCGAAAGAAAAACTCAAAAGTGACCTTTTCCTATTTTTCGATGTTTTTTCGCTCTGAAAGCAAACTCTTTGTAATTTTTTGGAAATTTTTGAGCTTGAAAAATTCCCCGAGATTGACTGATTCCAAAAATATCCAAATTTCTGAAAATTTTCAATTTTGAAATACCAAAAAACCCTCCAAAATTATTTTATGTTAAAGTGGGCGGAGTCAATTCTCCAACTCCGCCCCTTTTTTACAAACTCCGCCCACTTTCAGTTTTTTAGATGTTCAAGTTTCCCAAGTTTTGTAGATGTCGAAAATATCACACATTTTGAAAAATTCTAAATTTGAAATGTAGAAATTTTCGGTTTTCTGATTGTGAGCAAAACATAAGTAGAAAGTAGAATCGAGAGACGCAGAGAAAATGAGCGAGATTTTTTTGCGCGCTCTCAACAAAAGCTCTCGGCAGGATTTTATTTATCTGGATTTCACTCAACATTTTATTATCGAATAATTACTAATAATATAATATATTTAATATAATCAAATTTATCACATTCCCCCGTAAGACAATTGAGAAGTAAACACATAAAGGCAAGAGAAAGAGAAAAATAAAGGGAAAAGCCTATTTAAAAGTCTATTCATTTTGTTGTTTAACATAAATTCCTTCAGCCGCTTTCCAACTACTTCCAGTTGTAATTGATGAAGTTCCAACAACTTCTCTTTGTCCATGAATTGGTCGCCCGAATTGTTGTCCAGAAAGCGATAAATATGAGCCGGTTACTACGTGGCGCAATTTGATTTGCTCACTTTCGATCCAATCATCGGTGTTGCAAACAACGACCCAATCATCGCCGGAATCGCTTTCGGATTCTGAACCGAACGCCGAGACTTCCTAGAAAAATTGGAATTTTTCAACAATTTGTCTGTATAGATTTTTTTTTGTTTTTCAACATTTCGAAAGATTTTTCAAAATATAAAATCATGATATCGAAACTTTCTAAAATTTTGAAGTCAAAGTTTTTTCACAAAAATAAAGATTTTCCATTTTTAACCTATTCTCCTCCCAAAACTCCAACCTGATGTTGTTTCGAAAGCGGCGCAGTAAAATGATGTGAATGCAAAAATGTTCCAGTTGTCAAATGTTTCAGACGAAGTTTGCTATCGCATTTTATAGCTTCACCTCTTTTGTGTTGTTCATTTAAGGCTGGGAATAATTGCCAGTGAGAATTTATATCATCGGAAGTTTTGACTGCGGTTACTGATTGTTGACCACTTCCACTTCCATATTTTACATCGTGTGAATGAAGTCTGCAAAAATAAGTGTTTTTGGGGTGACAAAGGTTTTTTGAAGGTTTTTTTATTCTGGGATTTTTATCTGATTCCAAACTATATTTTCTAAAATTTGATTAAAAAATCATTGCTCATATTAATAAAAATTTAATATTTTTATGATACAGTTTTAAGGTATGGAAATCGATATTTTGAACATTGCTCAGTTATAAAACTTTACGAGTATGAGTTTTCAAATTTATCTTTTCAAAATTAAATTTTGGTCATCTGGAGATTTTTCTAGGGATTTTTTTCATATACTAGTTTTTGAAAGGTTTTAAAGTCATTTTTAAAAATTTCTGAAATTTTCCATGTCACCAAAATAATGGTATTAAGATTTCTAGATAAATTGGATATCAAAAAAAATTTCTTTCCCGAAAAAACCACACCAACCTTGATCCATCATTCGGGTTCATCAATTTAATAGTGCTATACCAAGTAACAACATCATCATCCGCCAAAACGACACCAAAAATCGCCAAAAAAAATATTGCGAGTAAATTCCGATTCATCGCACAGTGTTTTAGTGAATAAAGTGAGCCAAAATGTACAATTATAATAATAAGCCGACGTCAGCTACAAAAAACACGCCAGCAACGCACACCTTACAAATTGCGCGTCATGCTTGAGCAAGATGACGCGCGTTTGACTTCAAAAAATCTTTTTATTTTTTCTCGTGGTTTTTTTCAGAGCACGTGATAGTTATCGATTTTTACCCATTATTTTTTATGCGGATTGTTGAAAGATGAGGAATTTGATATTTCTGTAAGTTTTCAAATTATTTTTCTATGAAGAAATAAGGTTTTTGCAGGTTAATACTATTATTTGGTATAAAACCGTCATTTCAAAGCACAGTGCAAAATTGGCGGGAAGTTTTATTGTTTCAATGTGCATTGAGTCAAAATGAGATCTGTCCGAAGAATATAAGTTATAATGAGACTGCGAAAAAAGAGGAGGAATTGAAAACAATCGATAATTTTGATGAGTGGACAAAAAAGCGGAGAGCAGTGAATAATCAACAACAACAACAACAACAACAACAGCAAAACCAAGGGCAAGCAACAATAGTTCAAAACTACGAGAAGAAGCCTGAGGAGGTTTTAACACCAACTAGACCCACGAGAAATTTTGCTAGTAAAGAATGTGGCGCCAAAATCATCGCCGCCAATCCGGAAGCAGAAAATGCGAAAGCAGTGGTAAATGAGAAAGATATTGATGACTATATGAGAAATCCATGCGAATCAGCGAAAGAGAAATTTATTGTGATTGAGTTATGCGAGACAATTCAGGTCAAAAAGTTAGCAATCGGCAATTTCGAGCTTTTCGCGTCGAGACCCAAGCAGATTTCAGTTCAAATTTCTGAACGATATCCACCGCTTAAAGAATGGGTATCTTTGGGAACTTTTCACCTTCAAGATCATCATAAGAAATTGCAAACTTTCGATGTTCCACAAACCAATGTTTATGCGAAATTTGTGCGGATTAATTTGGAGGATCATTATGGAAAAGAGCATTATTGTATTGTTTCGGTGGTTAATGTTATGGGAAGTACGTTGGCTGATGAATATGAAAAAGAGGTATGTATTTTTGAAGGAGTTTTCAAATGATTAACTCAATAAATTGCTTAATATGAGCAATTTTCAAGATTTTGATTAATCGAAAAAGTTCTAAAATTTGTAATATGAGCAATATTATTTTCGCCTCAAAATTCTTAGTTTTCTATTGAAAAAAACAAACTTGATGTGGCCTAGAAACCCAAAAAATTATCTTCTAGGAAGCTGCTGTGCACCTTCTCAATGTGATTTCTGAATCAACAACAACCGGCACATCTACCATCCAAAAAATCGAGGAAATTCCGAAAGTCACCCCACCACCTGCTGAAATTCCACCCACGCAACTCCCGCTCCCACCAAAAGTGTCATCAACAACAACAGCAACAGCGAAAAAACAAAATGCTTTGACAATTCGTCAAAAATATGAGAGTTGCTTGAAATGTTGGCCGGATTATCAAAAACAGAATCAATCGCATTATATTTGTTGGATTTGGCCGCAAAAACAACAAGAAGAGCATCAGAAATTGGCGAAAAAACAGCCGAGTTTTGCAGCGAAACGGCGAAGGAATTTGGCGCGAGTACAGAGATTTTTGAGGCGATTTTCGACGAAAGCCACGTCAAAAACTGTGGTGGCACCTAAATTGGAGCCGATTTTGGAGGAAAAAATTGTGGAAGAGGCGAAAGAGGAGGTAGTGCAGATTAAGAAAGGTATGTAGTTTTTGGGAAACGATTTAGCCGACAAAAATATTCGAATTAAAAGAAAAATCCACGTGGAAAATTTTCCGGAATTTTCAAATTTAGAAAGAAAATGAAATCTTGAATTTGGGTCTGAAAAAATTCAAGAAAATGTTGTTAATTTTATCTTTAAAAATTTCATAAAAATTGAACTCACAAAAAAGCACTGAATCGATTTTTTAAAAAGAAAATTATTGGTTTCACTGAAAAAAGCCACGTCATAAATAATTTTTCGATTTTTCTCCAGAACCATCTCCACAATCTCCTTCGTCTTCTTCATATCGTCAAGAATTGGATACAATTCTGCCAGCTGGTGGTTCAATTGGACAACGTGAAACTGTGCTGATTAAATTGACCAAAAGAATTGCGGCGGTTGAGCTGAATTTGACACTATCTACAGAATATTTGAGCGAATTGAGCAAACAGTTCGTTGGCCTTTTTTAACCTAAAATTGTCGAAGACCCTCTGAATAATTATATTTTTCCAGATATGTTTCCCAAATGTCTGGCTATCAAGAAGAGCTCAAAACCACACGAAAAGTCGCGTTGGAATCTGTGAAAATTGCCGAAGCAGGCTGGCGACTCAAAATCAACAATATTCGCAGAGAAATGCGCGAAATTCGCGCCGCAATTCGCAATTTGGCAAAACAACAAGAGATTCAGGCGAAACGCGATCATGGAATGTTGTCGTATTCGACGTTTTTTGGTGCACCGCCAGCTTGTCATATGACTAGTCAACCTGGTTAGTTTTTAGATTTGGAGGGTTTTAGGGGCGAAATTTGGATTTTAAATCGATTCTTGAGCATTTTGAGGTGAAAAATCACTATTTTTGATCTAGAAAACATATTTTCAGCCAAAAAAATACCTGAAATTAATTTTCAACCCTTTTCAGCATCTCCACTTCCCCGAATCGGTCAAATTGATACGGTATCAAGTGTTCGACAACAATTTGAAGAAAGTTGGAGAATTCTGATGGAAAGAGCACAAAGTGTGATATTTGGAAGTGTTTCGTGGAATGTGAGTTTGAAAAATTTAAAACTTTGATCTGAATGTCGAAAAAATTCGGATTTTCATGATTTTTGCCTAACAAGGAAACCTTTTTTACTCAACACTTCAAACCTTGATGAAATTTGGTACATGGACAGCTTTTGGGACCATAAGAACACCCTAAAAATTTTAGTCTCCCAATAAAATTTTTAGGGTGTTCTTAGCCAGAACTTGGCTCAGACTCTCTGAGCCAAGTCTGGGCTCTCAAAAGTTCAAAAAATGCCAAAATTGGCTCATAAAACACATCATAACTCAATTTTCGATCATTTTTATGAAAAACTGAGTAGCAGATGATGATCAGCGTGGTCGATTTACCCAAAAAACATCAATAAATCAAATTTTCAGAAAAAATTCTGATTTTGGAAAAAAGAATGAGCAGGGGCACATATGAATTTTCATGAATTTTCAGCCCAAAAATAAAAAACTTCGAAATTTTTCGAAATAAAGTTTTTTATTTATGTACTTTTAGGTAATCGACTATGCTGATCAATATCTGAAACTTCATTTCTCCCAAAAAATTTTTTGAAATGGAGCTATGATGCCTTTTATGACCATTTTTAGGCCTTTTTTGAGTTTTTGAGAGCCCAGAACTTGGCTCAGAGGTCGATTGGGAGACTGAAATTTTTAGGGTGTTCTTATGGCCCCAAAAGCTGTCCATGGACCAAATTTCATCATGATTTGAAGTGTTGAGTAAAAAAGGTTCCCTTGTAAAAAATCCCCAATTTTTTGCAGACAGACCACATGATAATTGCTCTAATCGCCACAAATATCATCGCATTTTCCCTACTTTTTGCCGCATTTATTGCGGCAAATCGAAAAAATGCGCAAAATTGTGATTTGATTGCTGAAGAAATGCGAAATGAGATGCGAAAAAGATTGGCGAAATATGGAAATTTGAATCGGAAAATGATTGCGAAAGGATTGAGAAGAGCCGAATTGGCTGTGACTGCTGCTGTTACAATGACAATGAAAGAGAAGAAAATGATGGCGGGGAATTTGGGAAATGGAAGAAAAGAGGATGTGGTGAGGGCGGATTTTGGGGAGTTGGAGATGGGAAATTGTGGAATATGAGTGATTTTAGACTTTGAAAGTTGAAAAATCTGAAAATTTCATTTCAACTTTGTGGTTTTTGATGCCGAATCAATTTTCTTTGCACTATTTTTGCCACAAGAATTTCCCACTGAAAGTTCTCATTTTTAAGGGGACGTTGTTTTTTTGTTTCACAATGATCACTCCGCGAAAATACGTTTCAAAATTTTGATATGAAATTTTGTCGAGATAATTCCGGTGATCCTGCATAATGAAAATCAATTTTCAGTGATATATGAAAAATTGAAATCTGACTTGGAAATTGAGATTTTTTATGGAAAAATAAAACATTTATCAAATATTTTTTCATTTTTTATTCATTCAAAAAAAAAATACAGCCAACACCCCAATATTTTCCAGGAAATCGAAACAACATTGGCCAATTTATTCGCAGCCCAACAAACAAAAATCGATGAACAATTTGCGGAAAATAAAAAACTGCTGGAAAATGTGCTAAAACCTGCTGGCACCGGCTCATTTTCATTAAATGACACAATGAGCCAAGCGGAAGATAGCGAAAGCTCGTCGGAAACTGAACATTTGACAATTTCCGGCTGAAAATTGAAAATTTCACCCATTTTTTTGAGTATTTTTAGCTTTTTCTTGTAGATTTACGGGTTCCAATTTTTGTTTGTGATTTTTTATTTTTAGTTTTTTTTTCAAAAAAAAAATGTTTATTTTTCTTGCCATGAATTTTTTCTGTGATGTTTGATTTTGAAATAATGTTGCTCGAAAGGTTTTCAGCCAAGTTTTATCTGAAATTATTTTGGAATTTTTAAATTTTCAGCCAAAAAACTGGGGTTCAGATCGCAGATGCCCAGGCCGTCGACGTCGCAGGAAAATGGGAACTTTTATAAGGTAGGAGGAGTTTTGAAAAACATGGAAAAGCTCCAAAAATTTCAGAAAACCATTTTTGATGGAGTATCTTTGAAGAAAGCTCTAGACACAGAAAATAATTGAAAAAAAACAAATTCATTAGTCAATCCAAAAATAATTAAAAATACCCCAAATTAATTATCAAAATTAATCAAATCATGAAATCGGAAAGAGTTGTGTCAAAAATAGCAAAATAAAAAAATTGATTATTTATGCTAATCAATATTGGGGAAATGTCATTTCATTGGCATCTGTGATAATCAAATAAGTACATTTTCCAAACTTCAAATATCCATTTTTCATTTGAAAATAGAACATGTCATTTTTTCCGACTCTCAGCTGAAAATAGTCGACTCCCAATCTATGTTCCGAATATGTTTCTCTCAACCATTTCTTCAATTCTTCGCCTCTTTCAACGGTTCCTTGGTCGAAAATTAGGATTGTTCCTTTGTTTTTTGGATCAATATAGTGCTGAAAAATGCATATTTGCATATTATTTCTGACCTGACTTCAAGCCTATATTTAATAGGTCTCCATATCTAAACCAACCTCACAAATCTTCTTAATTTCATCATCTGTCAACACGAAATCATCACTTCCGCTATGAATAAATTTTATCGTGTTTGTACTGTAAATCCACTCCCAATCGATATCGCTTTTCCCACAAATTTCGACAGTATGCACGGTTTTAAGCTGCAAGATTTTCAGTCAAATTTTTTCACATTCACAAAAACTCACATATTTGCTCATCTTCACTTCAATTCGAACACTTTCCGATGTTATTTTCACCAAATTGACAAGGCGCTCTTTGAAATTCGCAAGCCATCCAATAATTAGTTGTCGATCCTGTTCTTCCCTGTCTACTGTGATTTCGAGGCGCCGCACAGCGTTTTTCCATTTGACACGTTGCAATTGTGCCGAACGTGGCGGCTGAAAATTGCCACGTCTTAGTTCGTTTAGACCTCCTGAAGCAGCCCGATTGCTTCTTCCTGATCACCTCTCCCCTCCGCGCAAATGTCACGTCATAACTACATTTTTTCCCGCTTCCTATAACTCACCAACATCACATCCAAAAAATCGATATCAAATTCGTGTTCATACAAAATGCTATACAACCATCTGGCACAATTATGTTGATAATTAAAATTATCACTAATCATTGGTTGGTCTATCACATCTTGGCCACTTTCCAATTTTTCGACCCGTCGGAAAACGAACGATTTTTGCGGATTTCTTAAATCTTTCTGGATTTTTGCCGTGAATTGCCAACTACGTCTGTTTTCTTTCACTTTCGGTATCATCGCGATCAAATAGTAGTTGCCCTGCAACAAAATCGGCATTTTTAATGGAACTTCAAGTTTTTCGAGAAAAATTGTCCTCGATGTATTTTTTGAAGAATCATTTTCTTAAAAAATCGATACTTTTTTGGCCAAAAATCATTTTCTACCTCAAGATCTTATGAAAAATCAAAATTTTCATTTTAAAATTCGATATTTTCTTCTGAAAAGCTCTCAACTCACCTCGGGCGAATTGACGTGTTTCAAAACCACTTTTTCAACATGATACAAATTGTCCTTCATCAGTTCGATGAATTTCTGATGGATTCCGTCTCCAAAATCGGCGATTTTTTTGGTTCTTGGCATTTTGGCAGGATTTTTGGAGGAAAACAATTTCCTGGATAATGAATTTTTTTCGAATAAAAATATATCCAATAGAAAATTGAAATTTCTCGCGGGTAGATCAAATTTGTGTAGAAAAGTGTGTTTCTCAACTAAACTCTATTTGGAAATCAACAAAAACAAGTTCAAATGTTTGCAGAGTCCACATTTCGGTCAAGCTCTTCTATCACATCTCAACGATTTGCGAACTCGTCAAGTTCTATGCGATGTGATTTTGAAATGCGGTGAAAATCGAAAAATACATGCGCATCGGTTGGTTTTGTCAGCGTGTTCGGGATATTTTTTGGGAATGTTTACGTCGCATATGTCAGAGTGCTTTTTGAGTGAGTTCTTAGGGAAAATTTGAAAATACAAGTTTACTAGAAATTCTTCTGTTTTTCTCCAGAAATCCTCTCAAAAAATCAATTTTCTTCGATTTTTCCCAAATTTCCCTTTTATTTTCAGAGGAAATTGCGATGGAAACAATCGATTTCGAAATTCTCGACCAACTCGTCGAATTCTGCTATTCGGGTCAAATTGAAATCAATGATTCGAATGTTCAAGAACTTCTTCCTGCGGCTTGTTTAATTCAAATTAATGAGGTTCAAAATGCGTGTTGTGAATATTTGAAAAAACAATTGGATCCGTCGAATTGTCTAGGTGAGAGTTTTTAGCGAATTTTTTTGGCTGAAAATTAGGAAATTTTGTTGGATTGCTCATGTTAAAAAAGTTTTTAAAATATTTGGATGTTTTTGGATATTTGGATGTTTTTGGATAGTAAATGGGACAATTTATATCCAAAACATTTTGCTTTACATTGCTCGTGTTGATGATCAAAAGTCTCATTTCCATCTTTCTCTCCAAAATCAACCTATTTTTCTTTCCAGGAATCCGTGCTTTTGCCGACACTCATTCTTGCCGTGAACTAATGACATCAGCCGATGAATTCACATTGAAGAATTTCTCGAGTGTCGTCGGAAAAGAAGAATATTTACAATTGCCAATTGAAATATTGAAAGATATAATTGAAAGTGATCGACTAAATGCAACAAGTGAAGAAATTGTTTATAATGCTGTTATTCAATGGGTTCGACATGATATTCCGCAAAGAAAAAGGTTTTTATCGATGGTAAGAGCATTTTACGAGGAAATTCATATAAAACCGACTATTTTTTCTTAAAAATTGACTTCGAACTTATAAGAATCGATGAAAAATGAACTAATATTCAGACAAATGTTCTAGACTGTTAACTTTGATACGTGTCTGAGTTGAGGCCAAAAATTACAATTTTTACAAATTTCTGAACCAAGTTCGAGTTCACAAAAATCGATTTTCCTTGATTTTTCATTGATATTTTTAACCCTGAAAATATACGTTTCAGAAAAAATTTGATTAATTTGGAATAATGAGGGATTTTGATTAATCTTCTTGTTTGATTTTTTAGTTGAAATTTTGGAAAACATCAATTGTTGACCTGGCCAACTGGAAAATCTGAAAATTAAAATTAAACTTTTTCATACATTTCAAAATAGCAATCAAAACTTAATTTTCCAGCTTCTCTCCCATGTTCGCCTTCCTCTTTGCTCTCCAAAATTCCTCGTCTCAACAGTCAGTGAAGACATTCTCATAAAAAGTGATCCAGCAAGTCGAGATCTTGTAGATGAAGCTAAAAACTATTTGTTGCTTCCTGTTGAAAGAGCAAATATGCAAGGACCAAGAACACGACCGAGGAAACCACTCAAATTACGCGAAGTTCTTTTTGCAGTTGGTGGATGGTGTAGTGGGGATGCGATTGCGTCGATTGAGAGAATGGATGTTTGTAGTGGAAGTGGAGGAAGTGGAAATTGGGATAGATTGAGTAGTGGAGGTGCTGGAGGTTCAGGTAAGATTTTGGAGCATTTTCAAGGAATCTACGTGAAATTCTGATCGTTTTGAATATAATTTTTTTGGTTTGAAACGAAATGGAATATTGCTCATGTTAAAGAAGCTGAAACTTTCAAATATATTGCTCATGTTAGAAAAATTATAAATGTTTCCTTCAAAGTTTCAACTTAAAACACAATTTTCTATGCCTTTTGTAACTTGAGCAATGCCAAGTTGAGACTACAAAAAAAACAAAGAATTTTGAAAATAAAATCTGTAAATTCTCAGAAAGTTCTTCAATTTTTTAATTCACGTAGAATTCTGAAGTTCAGAAAATTTCGAAGCGTTGAAAATCCACGTGAATATCTGATAATCATTAGAAAATCGAGACTTGCCGAATTTTTTCAGCCAAATTTCAAATTTATAGGGTCCTCGTCATCCAAAACATGGCAATGCGTAGCTCCAATGTCAAAACGTCGTTGCGGTGTCGGTGTTGCAGTTCTGAACAATCTTCTCTACGCAATCGGCGGTCACGATGGACAATCCTATCTAAACAGCATCGAAAGATATGACGCGGTAACAAATCAATGGAGTTGCGATGTTGCACCAACTGCAACCTGTCGAACATCAGTCGGAGTTGCTGCTTTTAATGGATATCTTTATGCGATTGGTGGACAAGATGGTGATAGTTGTTTAGATGTTGTTGAAAGATATGATCCGATTCGAAATGAATGGACAAAAGTGGCGAGAATGGGAACGAGACGACTTGGTGTATCTGTTTCGGTTTTAAATGGTTGTATTTATGCAGTTGGTGGTTCAAATGGTCCTGCACCTTTGAATACTGTAGAACGATATGATCCGCGTGTTGGAAAATGGGAAGAAGTTAGATCGATGTTAACGAGGCGGAAACATTTGGGAACTGCGGTTTATGATGGATGTATTTATGCGGTTGGAGGAAGAGATACCACGACTGAGTTGAATACTGTAGAAAGGTAAGTGGGAGGGAGGGGGAAGAATTGTGCCACGTGGCAATATAGGATTTTTTGATAAAACATTCCATATGAATTTCAACAGTATCTTGACTTTGATATGTTACGCTAAAAATCGGACTTTTCATAATTATTTTTCAAAAGTGTGGTTTGTCTGCTTCAAAAGTTGTTAGCTCTTCAAAACCCTCATATTTTCAGATATAACGCTGAAATGAACGAATGGACCGCTGTTGTTTCAATGAATAATCGTCGTAGTGGTGTTGGTGTAGCAGTTGTAAATGATGAATTATTCGCAGTTGGTGGATTTGACGGGCAAACATATTTGAAAACGGTCGAAGTTTTTGATTGCGATTCAATGCGTTGGCGACATCATTCACAAATGTTTTATCGACGACTTGGTGGTGGAGTTGGAGTAATTCGAATGGCTAATGATGCAATTCAATTATTACCAGATATTGCAAAGACTGATATTGATTGTGATTCAAAAAATGTATAAAGTGTTTTGATTTGTGAAAAATAAGGTAACATAATTAATCATTTCATAAAAAATACCCCAAACGTATCGGAAATATGTGCGTATACCAAACAATACGCTTCAAAAATCTACAGTACTTCTCGAAAAATGTGATAAAATTTGTTCACGTTTTCACAAATTTCACGTGACCCCAAAAATATTTCTGTTTTTTTTTCACGCTCTTCTTTTTTCCCCATTCATTATTTCTAGATAATTCTTCGAAATGAAAATGACAAATATCGCTATAGTATTAGTAGTATTTCTAATCTTAATTTCCTCTACAAATTCTTCAAAATTGGACAAATTCTCGAAATATTCTAATTTGACAAATGTAAGCAGCAGCGAAATTAAATTATATCTTTCTGATTCATTAAAAATGATAAAGGAACTAAGGTTTGTTTTTGATTTGTTTTCTAAAGACAAACATCTGGTAAAAAATGACGATGTTTCAGACGTTTTGCGATTTCCGAAAGAGTTCAGATCAATTTCATGTTATATAACTACCATAAAAAAGCAGAACATAAAAATTATGCGATGTTGGCTCAATTAAAATTATATGAAGAACATATAATTCGAATGTGCTGTGTACTTGCAGCTATTTGTGTTTGCCTAATATTTGATTCTTATAAGATTCATAATTTATTAAATGAGTTGAGAGCTGCTCGAAATTTATGAAATGAATTATTTGATGCTAAATGTGTGTATTTTATATGGAATATTATATTTCTAGTAGTTTTCAACGCGCTTATAACGATTCAGGTATCATTAACAAAACACATTTCTCATGACCAAAACATACAGATAAATTGTACTTTTCCAACTCCAAGAATTCTCTTTTTTTTTCTGATTATACGTTTTTAATTATAAGTTAAGCTTCTCCAGAAAAGGTTATCTCTTTTTTTCATTTTTTTTCTCTATCAATAACTATGCTTGTTACGAACTACACGGTTACAGCAATTGGAATATTATCTTCTGGTTTACAAGTTGCTCTAAACATTCATATTGTGTACAAATATTTGATGTTAGTTGATTCCTCTGAAGAATATGTGTAGTAACATAAAAGTTTTAGACCATCTCCAGCTTGGAAAAAACACGATTTTCGATTCATCATTTTCCGAACATTTATAGATATTCTGCAAGGATTTGCTGGTGCTCTAATTTTTGCTCTAATTTTTTCAAAATTTCTTTTTCTAGGTGTTGCATATTTCAGTAGTATTATTCCTTATGTTCTTCGTCCGGATCTTTTTTCATTCAATTATTTATTTGTATCAGGATTGATACTCACTAATATAACAATAGTTCGATCTTTTTTGGCTGCTGGAATTGCGATTGAAAGATGTTTTGTATGTCTTTTGTTCTAATTAATTTTAAATCCCATAGGTTTGTATAATAGTTTAGGCATCCATCTTCCCAATCCAATTTTTTAAACATCGTCAAAAAATGCCGAACACTCCATTATTCCTTTTTTTCATATCTACTGCATTATTCGATGATTTGATGCTTTTCCATTTTATTAATTTTCCTTTAGATCCCAAAAATTGTACAACATATTTATGTGCTGTTCCAGAGTATTGGAGATATGGTTTGATATATTCAGCATTCTATGCTTTTATCAATTATTTTTTCTCTTTTATTCTCTGTTTCAAATTGCTTTTGATGTATTTTCGAAAGCATAGTTATTCAGATGATTTAAAGAAGGTCAGAGTTATTCTTTTGATCAATGTTTTATAGATTACATATTTTATAGATTAATATATTGTGTTTAACTGATGGTCTTTCTTCTATTATATTCGATTTAATTCCCGCAATAATAATACAAATATATGCTATTAAATTTGAGGTTAGGGAAAGAAGCAGATTGAAAAAAAGTATTTAATTTTAGAATTATGGCCCAGTTACTGGTGTTCTTCGAACAGTTGGCCGATTATTTGAAGCGTTAGTTATGTACAAACTGATGAAACCAAAAATAACATCACCTAAATCAAATTCAATGCATCTAAAAATACCACAACAAGAAAGAACGAGTATGCGGTTTTAATTAATTTAAATCTTCTGAGTTCACAATAATTATTTTGGTAATATTCATAAATAATATTTTTTTGGATCTTTTTTGAATGTGTTTTTCACAATACATAGTTATTTTCCCGGTGAAACTATTTCTCTCAACATCGGCAACGAAGAAGAATCAAATTTCAAGATTTGTCACGAAGGTGGCACCGACATTCAAAAAATACCTATACCCACTAATTTCCAGTATGGAAGTTTTATTTGCTAGGCAACCGAACGTAATGATGATGGCATTTATAGTTAATGTTGATTTTCACAGAACATAGACATGTACTATGCAAAGGTCTTTGCCAACTCATATGAACGAAGTAATTGTCTACATAGGGATTGAGATCAGCTGGTTCAAATCTACTTAATTTAATCTTGAAATATTGTCGAAACTTCGATCAAAGTTTAGTTTTCTATGACGGAAAAGCTTGTTTCTCACAGACAATTGTTGTCCCGTCTTCAAAACAAGCATTCTCTCTTCACTTTCAAATCAAAATGATCAAAATTCTCTCCCCAATTTTGATAATTCTCGTCGTTTTCTCGATTTCCACTAACTCTCTTTTACGTCGAAACTATTGCGATTTGTGTAAACAAATCTTGGAAACTCCCGAAAAAACGCAAGAAGTTCGGGACAAGCTCGTTAAATTTTGCATTGATCGCTCGAAAAATAGGGAAATTTGTGCGAAAGACATGGATTTGCGAATTTCGAGATTGAACGAAGAATTTGAGAAGGGAACTGGCGTTGATTCGACGTGTTTGATACAAAATTGGTGTTCTAAAACAGATTAATAAAACAATTTTATGCGTTAGTTAGGATGTGGCAATTAGATAGAAGCGCTGCAAAAAACGAACATGTGCATTTTTGCGGCATTTCGTGTGTTTCTTGCAAACCGTACGTGCAGCGGGTTTTTAAACATTTTTTAATATATTCGAACTTCAGAATTTTGGGTGCAAATCCACGTGGCACTTTCTATTTTTGAATTCATCTACAAAAATCTTGGGCAGAGAACGCACGTGGCAATATTTTGATCTGAAAATGAAATCCACGTGGATAGTTTTTTCTCTGTCAAGTGGTTTTTACGCACCCCCAAATCCCAAAGTTTCTTGCAAATTTTCACGACATCAAAAATCACGAGAAAAAACTTTGTTTGTTTCAAATTTCTTTCTGGTCACAAGAAACATAATAGATAAGAGCGTTCCTGATCTGCCCATCATATCAAGAAATACCAGAAAAATGTTGCCAAATACATGTTATCAGCTCGAAAATGAGCAATATAAAAGAGAAGTGAAGAACCAAAAAAAAAATCAAATCATCGAAAAACATTTCAAAAAATGCTCTCATATTTGGTTTTCCTTGCTCTTCTTCTTCCAATCCAAGCAGCTGTAAATTCAACAATTTGTCAAGAATACATTGATGTGAATAATCAATTCAATTGCGGTGAAAATGGTTATCCACTTCATTATGGTTATAAAAATTGTATGGCATTCACAAATCCCGAAAATCGCGATAGATTTGATGAAGCCGGAAAAGCTTGGATTGATTGTACAGCTCCGTGTTTGGTGGCAGCTTTTGCGAATATTGCTCAGGTTAGTGATTGAATTCATATTCACCTGGTATGAGGTTCGAGATCTGAAATCTGTATACTTTATTTTCAAGTTGATTTTTTAACACCCAAAAAAATATTTTCAGACTAGCACAACTTGCTCCGAACTTCAAACCAAAGCTTTTGCTTCGCATGTCGATTGCTATTTAAATTGTGGATTTTGTTCAGTTTGTCAAGCAAACAAGCTAGCATTTGCTGAAACTTTTGACTGGGCTGATTTTTTGAATCTCAATTCTGTAATTCAAGTTTGGCAAATTTCCAGAAAATGTCCGAATATTTTTAGTTGTTTGGCTTAGAATAAGAAATAAATTGATTTTTTTTAAATAATTTGCTACAAGATGAGACCTTTGTTCTCTACCGTATTCATTTTCCGAGCTGATAACAAGAATTTGGCAACACTTTTCGTGAGATCGGGAACGTTCTTATCTATTCTTTTCTTGTGACCAAAAAATTTGAAACAAACAAAGTTTTTTTTCGCGTGGTTTTTGATGTTGTGGAAATCTGCAAAAATAACTGGGGTATTTGAGAGCGAAAACGTCACGAAAAAATTTACGATTTCTTTTGCTATCTCATTTCTTTCATGAATTAAAAAAAAACTAGTTTATACAAACTTTGAATTATCGATCGGATGATATTCCGGATTATAAAAAGACGAAGCAGTCAACCAATCAGGATGTGTCAACTCCAAAACACCTTTTCCATTTTTCATCTCAACAGTTGGCATTTCTGCATAGCTTTTTGCATCGAAAAGTTGATTTTGTGGGTCGGTAGTGCGCTTACGGATTTCCTGAAAGTTGCAAAAGTGGAACAATTTATTCTCTTCGGAAAACATTAATTATCAAACATGTCACTCACCTTCAATAAGCATAAATACGCCGCCGGTTGTACACTCAAATAAAACTTATGTGCCACCAATTCCGGTCTTGTCACAATTTCCTCAATATCCCCAACACCATAAACACAACTTTCCGACGTCAAAATACCGTGACAATTTCGATGATATTGCCATAATTGATATCTTCCAATATAAGAAGTTCCGATGAATTCCGTTGTTTTTTCATCGGATTCTGGAATTCGGAAATTCTTTCGAAACCATATTATATCCTTTGCTCGAAATGAGCCAGGAACTGGTAGAATTGCTGGCGAACCGCTGATTGATGTCCAAAAACTCTCATCGGGAATCCAGGTTTTACTCAAATATCGTAGTAATTTTGCCACTTTTTTGCTTTTTATTATATAATTTGCAGCTTCTCGAGGGATGGCTACAGACATACTTGATTTATACAAAGGGATTGGGGGCTCTTGTTGCCATCGACGTTTTTTTCGGTCCATTTCGTAGTTATCGACATCCGCGTTTATGGAGCCGTTAAGGGCCTGCAACAATTCCAATTTTGAATTTTGGCTTATTGACCTGGTTTTCATTGTTTTAAAGAAGTTTGATATGGAGAAAGAATGCAAAATGTTTACCTCACCTTAAAAATCCTAACCATTTCCAAATTAGTTTTCATTGGCAAGTCTGTGCCACTAACATATTGATAATATTTCCACTCATGTTTTTGACGCGACAAAAATAGAAAACACGTATAAACATTCTCCAAAATCCCAAAACTTCCCCAATCCGAACTTGCCCCAATAAAAACATGAACATTTGGAAAACATTTGGGCAATTCCAGCAAAACTCTTCTATATTCTTTCAGTGCAGTTTTGTCGACAGTTAGACAAAATAAGTGTTGTGGTTGGTATAAAATGCTCATTTGCAGCAAAATTTGTACAAAATCCTTGTAAACAACCCAACCATAGGAAAGTGGGAAATCGAGTTCTTCTTGGGTGTTGGATTTGTTGGTGAAGTGGAAATATTGGTGAATTGTGGAACATCTGAAAATTAAAAAAGATTTTTTGAAGGAAAATGGGAAAAACAACAACACTCCGCGATTTGCATGTTGTTTAGTGATTTATTTTTGAAAATATTTTTTTCGGTTTTTCTGCATCACAGGGGTTTTTTCACTACCGAGAATTAATCACGTACAAAACATTTTATCTGACGACAAAAAACCTCCGCAAACAGCACGCTACGTGGCCGACAAAAAAAAACAATAGCGTGTGGCCGGCCTCGCGAGATGTCGGTCGCTGCAAACACATATAGCCCGACTTTTTTCTTTTTATTTGTGTGTCTTTTGAGCCAAAGGGTTTTCAATTTTCTTTTTGAAAATCTGAAAACCTAAGCTCCGCCCACATATCTGTGCGGAAAAAGATGGGCGGAGCCTATTTGCTCGATTACAATTTTGCATTGACTCGGTAGTGAAAAAACCCCTGTGTGCATTTTTTTTGACTGGTATCGCAGCGCGAAAAACTTGCAGTTTTTTTTTCTGTTGTTCTCTGTGTCTCTTTGCTATTTTCCTTGTTCCGCGGTTTGCATGTGATTTTGTTTTTTTTTCACGTTTACTTGATCTTTGTCAAAAAATATGTATTTGTTTTTCTTTTTTTTAATTTCTAAACTACACTATAGTTTGATTCAATGACAATATTAACCTGTTTTGATACATTCACCTAGTCGGGCTTAGGCTTAGTCATTTTGAACCTTCACTATTTTCCCTCCCCCAAAACCCACAAATCTTCAGCCTCCATCAATTTGTCCTCATAAAAATCAAAATGATGTGTCCATTGTTTCAATCGATCCATAATTTTCGGATTTTCTGAGCCATTTATAACTGGCTCACAATTTAAAGGTACATTCTCGATTTTTCGAAGTTCTTGAATAATTTTGGGATCATAATCAGTCGTCTCAAAAATAATGTATAATCCGAATAAAATCAATAATTTTTGTGGGCTAGATTTCATTTTTTGAATTAGTGAAAAAAAACTTTTTCCACACACAAACTTTCATTATTCTTGAGATAAGAATCAACAGATTTAATTTTTATTTATTAAAAGAAAACAATATTATAAATACATATGTAATTGGAGATCAGAACCGTTTTTTTAAATCAAATATTATCACACATTCCAAAACCACTAGCCGGTTCCCATTGTCCACCTTGACATTGCAACGTGGCAGTGCCGGTTACCGCAAAATTCTCCTCGCAGTATAATAAAGCGGTTGTTCCGTCCTCAAAATCCAATGAGGAACCGGTTTGAATGTAGACTATCTGGAATGAAGTTGAATAGAAATTTTGGGTTAGACTATTTCACATCGCTCTCCCGAATCTTTACTTACCCTTGAATTTTTTGGTGGCGACAATGGCACACAAATTCCACTATGATGGCTATCCTCTCCACCATCGTGTCTGCATTTTCCCAAAATGGGTCGGAATGATCCTCGGTGACAAGTGGAAAATGAGGCACCGCTAGGTTTGTAGGCGAGATTACACTTGAGAGCCGCCGTGGTTCCCTCGGCAAATGTATGGTTCACAGATTGATCGGAGAATGTGATTTCACCATAGGCTGGTGCGATTGGTGGCGGACACACATCTCCCGAAATTTGCTCGAGGGTAGTTATAAGCTTCTTCGGATCATCGTCCTCTTGGATGTTATTGTTATCCGCTGGTTTGCGAAGTAAAGCAGATATACAAACTCCGGGCAATGATGACCAGACACCATTTGTACACGTTGAAACAGAGTTACCACTCACTCTTGTTCCAAGATTACATATCAATGTTGCGGTGGTTCCAGAGGCATATGGTCCATCCCCAAGAGCACTGTATAAAAGAGTTCCGGATAATGGATTCCCCATTTTGGCACAGGTTAGCGTAGATGTTGAAGTTGAGCCAGAGGTGGAGAGAGTGCAGGTTCCTAGAGAGGTTGGAGACCATGCCCCATTTACACATGTGCTTGACATAGTTCCGGAAGCGATAAAGCCGGTATTACACGTGGCAGTAGCCACGGTGAGTTGAGGATACGGACCAAGTGGGCTATTCTGAAAATTGGTTTTGTTTGGAGAGAAAGGCAATAAACTCTTGGAATTCCTAACTCACATTGGAATACACCAAATTTCCATTCAAAACACCGCCAATTCCCAGGGCACAACTTGTTGTAGTAGAAGTTCCAGTTCCAATCACCGCTGAAAATCGAATTTCAAAAATTTTGATTTGCGCCCAATTAGACACAGTGTTAAAGCCTGCGTTTAAATATTTCCTTCCCCTGATCCTCTTTTTAACCTGCAGAAGTCCTTTGGCAAGTGGCTAGATTTGTTGGTGTCCAAGCACCATTCTGACAAATTGCATAGGTTGATCCGCCGGTAGCTGTGTAACTTGTTTCACAAGTTAGTGTAACTGTGGTGCCCTAAAGAGATTTTGTGAGATTCTAAGATAAAGTGCTTCACATACACTAATATATGAAAGGGTTCCGCTGGTATTGCTGTATGTGAGAGTTCCATAGGTTGGTGTTGACATTGCAAAGCAGCTAAGTGAAGCTTTAAAAATTTAGCTTATCTAATATACTTCCCAAACACAACACTTACAAGAAATACAACTTCCTACAGAATTCGGCGACCATCCGGAAGATGTGCATGTTGAATAAGAAGTTCCTTGGATTGTATAACCAGTATTGCAAGTTACACTAACTGCAGTTCCTATTGGGACGAGTGAAGTGAGACTAGGCGAATAGGTCATATGACCATTGGTGACGGTGCCAGACAAAACATTGAGAGGGGTACAACCTAAGAAACTAGTTTTTATTTATTAAAGAAATTTATTAACACGTTTATCATAACAGAAAACATATCAGACAACACAAAGTGCGGAAATTGTTGTGAATGATCCATTTATGCAAGTGGAATTGGTTATCAGCCCACTGATGGTATAGCCAGTATTGCATTTTGTGGAAACTATTGTGCCATTGGTGTAGGGGGCAGTTGAGTTAGACGAAACGATCAATTGGGAATTCAAAGGTGCAGTTGGTAAAGTGTAACATACTGCTGGAAGGGGGATGTTTCATGCGGGAATACTTTAGGTCATGCGGTGATTATTTTATTTTTCAAGTTTGAAATCTTTTTGATCTGTCTCTTAGTTTTAACTCATCCATTCATTACCCAAAGGTGGGTAACACAAAATACATTCTTCATTTCTGAATTCTCACCCCACACTCACCGGAAGTCGATGAACTTGTTCCAGAGCAAGTTCCCAATGTTGGTGTCCATATTCCACTCATACAATAAGATATAGTTGTGCCGCTAGCGGTTTGACCCACAGGACATGTCATTGTTGCTGTTGTACCACTTGCAAATGGTGCAAAGTATCCAGAAGAATATGTGATTGTTGCGCCGGTTGGATATGTTGGAGCGCTCGAGCAACTAACAGAAGTTCCAGAGCATGTTGTTGTAATTGTTGGACTCCAAGTTCCACTTGAACATGTTGTTGTGGCAAGTTGTGTTCCGTTTGAGCAGATGATTCTGGCGACGGTTCCCGAGGTGTGAGTAGAAGCGAGACTGATGGCATTATTGTAATACACTGTCTCTCCAGTGGGTCGAGTTAGACTTGAGCATTCGCCTGAGCAACTTGCTGTAATACTATTCGACCATACTCCATTTGTGCAAGTTGATGTTCCTAACGATGCCCCGGTTGATGTACATGTTACTGTCGCAACAGTTCCAGATGCAAAACTCGTTGTGCTTAAACTCAATGGAAGATAGGTTGCTTGTGCTCCGCTAGGAACTGTCAACGCGCTGCAATTTGTTGTGGTAGAACTGCTCACTAATGAGCATGTTCCAAAGAAACTCGGCGACCACATTCCATTTGTGCATGTTGCGGTGCTTGTTCCACTAACTGCTCCACCATTTGTACAAGTTGCCGTTGCAACAGTTCCACTTGCGAACGGTCCGATAGTACTTCCAGTTGAATAAGTGACACTTCCATAAAGTGGGGCAAACATCATTGTGCATTGAAGAGTTGAGCTAACTGTACTTCCTGTTGAGGATACACAAGTTCCCAAAGTTGGCGACCAAATTCCACTTTCACAACTCGTTTGTGAATTTCCACTCAAAGTATATCCGAGATTACATGTGACAGTTGCTGTTGTTCCTGATGGTCTTGTTGTCTCCCAGAAGTTGCCTTGATTAAAAGTGATGACACCATTAGTGACTGTGGGAACTGTGCAAGTTGCGGAAGAAGATGAGGAAGAGCACGTTCCAAGTGAGGGATACCACGTTCCACTCAGACATGTCGATGAAACAGTCCCACTTGAAGTATATCCCGAGTTACAAGTCAGTGAAGCAATTGTTCCACTTGCCTTTGTTGATTCGGCAGAAGTTCCAGAAGTATATGTGACAATTCCATTCGTAACTGTTGGATTTGTACAAGTTCCCGTTGTTGAAGATGATCCCAAATTACAAGTTCCGATTGTTGGAGACCATGTGCCAGAAGTGCAGATAGTTTGAGAATTTCCAGAGAGACTATAACCAAGATTGCAAGTGACAGTAGCAGTAGTTCCAGAGATTTTCGTGGTCTGAAAAATTTGATTTTGAATGTTATATCATCTAAAAGCTAACCTCAAGAGCTGATCCTTGATTATAAGTTACCACTCCATTGGTAACTGTTGGATTTGTGCAATTTGTTCCAGTTGAGCTTCCCAAATTACAAGTTCCTAAGGTTGGATACCACGAACCACTAGTACACGTCGAACTAGTAGTACCACTTGTTGTAAAACCGCTAGGACATGTCAAGGTAGCAACAGTTCCACTGGACTTTGTGGCTTCTAATGCACTTCCAGAACTGTAGATAATAGTTCCATAGAGAACTGTTGGATTTATGCAAGTTCCAGTTGTTGATGAGGAAGAGGTTAAACAAGTTCCAAGAGCAGGGAACCATGATCCACTCAAACATGTAGAAGTTGTTGTTCCACTTGAGGTATAACCTGAATTGCAGGTTAGAGTAGCTGTCGTTCCACTAGTTTTTGTAGCTTGAAGTGAAGTTCCTGAACTGTATGTGATGACTCCGTTGAGAACTGTTGGATCTGTACAATTTGTTGTTGTTGAAATTGATCCCAAATTACAAGTTCCTAGAGAAGGTGACCAAGTCCCACTTGAGCATGTTGAGCTAGTAGTTCCACTAACTGTGAATCCTGCATCGCAAGTCAATGTTGCAATAGTTCCACTAGATTTTGTAGTTTCCAATGCTGTTCCTGAGCTATATGTTATAACTCCATAAAGGACTGTTGGGTTTGTGCAAGTTCCAGTTGTTCCTGAAGATGATGTGCATGTGCCAAGAGCTGGAAACCAAGTTCCACTAACACAAGTTGAGCTAGCAGTTCCACTTGAAGTATAGCCCGAACTACAGGTCAGCGTGGCAACTGTTCCGCTAGATTTTGTTGATTCAATAGTTGAACCGGAGGAGTAGCTGATTACACCATTTGTGACAGTTGGGTTTGTGCATGTCCCTGTGGAAGATGTTGTAGAAAGTGAGCAGGTTCCAAGGGTTGGAAACCATGTTCCACTCAAACAGGTTGCACTTGTTGTTCCACTCACGGTATATCCTGAATTACAAGTGAGAGTTGCGAGGGTGCCACTAGATTTTGTTGATTCTAGTGAAGATCCAGAATTATAGCTCACAACACCATTTGTAACAGTTGGATTTGTGCAAGATCCAGTTGTCGATGAAGATGTTGAAGATACACAAGCTCCGAGGGAAGGAGACCAGGATCCACTTGAACATGTTGAACTAGTCGTTCCACTTGCAGTATATCCAACATTACACGTCAATGTAGCTACTGTTCCAGTTGATCTAGTGGCATCAAAAATTGTGCCAGTGCTATAGGTTATGGCGCCATTCAGAACTGTTGGATTAGTACAAGTTATTCCTGTTGAACTAGTCACACCAGTTGTTGAGGTACAAGTTCCAATCGTTGGCGACCATACTCCATTTGTGCAAAGGGTTGAAATTGAACCGGATAGGGAGTATCCCAGGTTACACATCAGATAAGCGGTGGTTCCCGAGCTATACAAAGAGATCAAATTTGCTTGCATGTAGAGCAAATTTCCATTTGTACTTGTTGTAAGAGCAGAACAGGAGGTACCATTTGTAGTCTGAAAGAATTCGAGGTAGATTGAATTTTGGTGAAATTGCTAAAGGAAATGAAAAAGTTAGTGTTGAATAGATAGAGATAGTGAAAGAAAAAGCTAACTGAATAAGCAAATGACAAACCTGTCGACGAACTCTGATATTCTAAAATGAAATCATTATTTTTGGTATAGAAAATCTCTAGACTTTCGTATTGAAAGATGAACAGTCACAATACACATATCAAACAAAGCAAACAAAAAGTTAACTGGCCCTGTATCCGACCGGCTCGCATTTTCCCAATTTTCGATCCCATCCACCAGTAATACATTCTGCAGTAACATTTCCCACCCCAAAATAATGTCGGTTGCAAACCAGATTTATAGTGGAGCCAAGTGCATATGGGTCCGAAGTGCTATTCGAGAATACAAGTTCACCATTTCTCGGTGAGCTCAAGATCGGACATTTGATGTTGAAAATCGATAAACAGGAGGGTAGTGCAGGTTGCCACGTGGATTCTATGCATTTCGAAGAAGTGACAGAGGTGGAGGGGACAAATCCGATGTTGCAAAGGACACTTGCTCGGGTTGCTGTTGGGACGAGATTCATTGAAATTGATATATTTGCCACGTTGGCGGAGTAAACGATATTTCCATTTGGAACAGAGCTGGGAATAAGGCAGGCGTCTTGAGTTACACTATCACTTTGAGGATTGCTGCTAGCACCAAGAACCATCAAAGTCTGTTTGACACATTGACCCAATCCCACCTTCGGATACCATCCATTTTTTGTGCAAACAATATTACTTGGCCCGGTTCCAATATATCCTTGCGGACAATTCAGAGCAGCTGTTGTGCCAATTGGATAAAATAATTGGGTGGAGGTTTGGGTGTTGTATGTGATATGTGAATTGTTATTATTTGGTGTGATTGTGAGACAGAGTTGATCGTCTGTGGAATTGAAAAGGACCACCGAAGCGGTTTGACGCCATGCATAGCAAATTGGGAAGAATTCCTTCTCGTAGCCAGGGAGGGGATTGGGTCCGGTGGTATCGAATGAGTAGGCGTAGTCTGAAAGATGATAGAAGAGGCGAAATAATAAATTCTATTAAAATCGAAACTTTTCATGCTTTTTCCCAAAAAAAACACTAACGAGGTCCATTCAGTGAATGTCTAACCAATCGATAAATTGGCACATCGGCTCCACAACTTCCATTCGATTTTGCGCAATAGAATTCATCTTCTAAATTGTCCATAATACCCTCATCTTGGTCCCGAAATTGTGTGCCTTTTTTGAGCAACATCGAATTATCCGTATGCAAAATTGCTCCATTTTTCTGAATCATTGCAGTTAGCCGAACTGCGCAGCTTGGAACTATACAATTTTCGGGATGCCTGGCTAACATTACTGTTGAGCTGGCTTTATCGCTGTTTGATCTGGAAAAATTAGAATGAAGCTATCTTAAAGTTAGGCTAGAGTTTTAGGGGCATAAGTAAAGCTAATTCAAATGAGTCGAAATTCGGCTACCTTTCATATCCTCTCACACTCAAATCCTCATCTGAAATCCGATATTGAGATGTTGAATTTGAATCGAATTTTCGGGTCCAAACTCCGACTACCGCTGAAAAGTTATTGATTTTTAGTGGATTTTTTTAACGCCAATGTTTGATTTTCAAAATGTTTTTTCTACGTTTATTTTTGGCACCAGAATTCAAAAAAAAAATTGAACGCCAAACTATGATCTACCCACCCAATTTCCTCGGTTTCAAATCTGCATCACATATATTTTCTTGAGTTAGCGAAAATCGAAAAAGTATACAAAATAATAGTAAAATCATGGTTTCATAGGGCTTGAGCTGAAAAAAGTAATAATATTATATTTTCATTTTTTCGAAAAAAAAACCGGAAACTTTTTACTTTTTGAGTTGAGCAAAGAAAAAGAGCACGAGAAATGTTGAAAAGTGGACAATGGCTACTTTTTGGACACGGGTAATTATAGGACAAATTTGGTAATTTTTTAGGGAGATTCAAGGTTTGTTTTTCAATGAATATTTAAATTAGAAAAACATTCCCCAAACTTAGTGGCTAAATAACTTCTCAATCTTAAAAAAAAACGCTTTAAATAGTCCTGAAAATCCAATTAAAATTCTGAATGAGCCTACAACTTTTATTCAATATTGAATAGTACAAATACACTTTTTTGTAAACATAATCTAAAGCTTTTCATTTCGAATATTATTTTTTTGTGTAGAAAAAAAGGAGGTGAAGTGGGAACACGAATTAATATAATAATACCAGTTAGTTCCTTTTTTTTGTATAAAAAATAATTTTCGGCGGGAAAAAATTTGAATAAAAATGTATAGGAAAGGTCAATGAGGAATCAGAATTCATAGTTTTACAATGAGTAATAAATATTTCACTAAACCCAACGAAAAAATAAAATAGAAAAAAAAATAAAACCTCGGGTGACCCGAAAACAACCGGAATATTTTTTCGAAAAATCTCCAAGTAATCCGCATATAATCCCATATCCACTGAAAAAATGATCACAAAAATTTTGTTTTTTTCTGTATTGTCAGTGAAAATAATAACACATACGGTTGATTGAACTTTTTATTTTATTTTTTTCAAGCAGGGATAGGGAAAGTGAACTCTCGAAAAGAAAGGAAAAAATATGCAATTATTATGGATCAGTGGATAAAAAACTTGAAAAGTATACATATTTTTGTGTGGAACACTTTTTTTGCACTATGGAAATGTGGATAAACAGGATTATTGTGTGAAAAATTTGAAAAAAAAAACAAAGGAACATTCAAAAAATTGTTTGCGTCGCGAGACCCAAACACAAACCAGCATGTTCCTTTAAACCGTATAGGATTGTCGAAGTTTGAAATTTTTTATTTCCTTTCGTTTTTTTTGTTTTTCCTCGAGTTTTCGCCGAATTTCAAGAAAAATGGAGCCGCCAACTAAAAAATCGCGTCAAGAAAATGGAGAAGAACAAGAAGAAGTAAGATTTTTATTGAAAAATCACAATACAATCCAAAAACTTCCAGGAAACCTGTGGTTGGCCAAATCTCCCATTCGAAATGCGAATCTTGGTGCTCAACGAGATGCCTTTGGACACTCTAGCAAATTTCGAAGTTTGCTCTAAACTCTGTTACGATGAAGTCGAAAAATCAGAAAATTATTGCGATCGAATTGAAATCGCTGAAAATGGCGCGAATTTCGAGATTTTCCTCAAAAAAACGTGGAGTCGCAAGTTGAAAACCTTAATTTTCGACCAAAAAGAAATCGTTTGTTTGAATGAGGAAAAAGTCGAGATTTGGAGAAAACAAAAAACTGGCGATTTGGTGGATTGTGTTATCAAATACGTTAATCGATATTTGGTGCATTTTCGACGAAATTTGAAGAGTTTTACGATGAATGTCACGGTATGTAGGGTTTTAGAGAAATTGAGAGACATTTTCAATCAAAAAAGCATTTTTTTTTCTAGCGCAACACTTCCGCTAAATCTAAACTCATCAAAGGAATTCGTATCAAAAATATGCCAAAACTCGAAAATCTTCAAGTTTACGCAAGTCGCAAGCAAATTTGTTTGATCAAAAATGGGTTCGTCGATTTTGAGCAGGTAGCTGGAAAAAAAAACGAAGCTGAAAATAAAATAACAATTTTCAGCTGAAAACTATCACTGGAACTCTTGTTTTGCCCTACACTAAATTGAGTTTCGAACAATTGTTGGAGTTAAAAGCGCGTGAAATTGAGATTTATTTGATGAGTTTGAAATCGATGGATTTCAACAAATTCATTCGGCTTTGGGTTGATGGAAAAATCAATCCAAATTTTCGAAAATTGGGAGTTGACGCGGAGTTCAATGAGACATTGGCAAAGAATAAAAGAATGTGTCATGAGAGAATGGGGCTTGATTATTATGATATTGACCACTTGTGAGGAATTTTTGGGGTGAAAAGGGAAAGAGAACTCGAAAAAATTTTCCTTAAAAATTGAATTTTTTTAGTACAATTTGTACTGTACAAATAGATTTTGAAATTAATTTTACAAAAAAAATGAACTGTTTCAAAATTTTTTTCAAATTTTAGGCCTAAAAGCCTATAGGCAATCGTGAATATTCGAAATTCACTGTTTCAAATAATTTCAAAATAAAAAATGTGAGAGAATTGTTTTCCAGATTCGAAGGAATCAGCTTGACAATTTTCGGAGCTTGCGAGCAAACCGAAGATTATTATTTGGAATATGCGCTCGAAAATAATGGAATGCGCACAACAATTACTGTTGATATAAGAGGATAGAAAATGTTTGTTTTTAATTTTTGTTTTATTTAAAAATTTGGTAGTTTTTATAGTTTTCTCTGTAATCTTTCAGTTTTTCTAATAAATTTGATTTTAAAAAACTACAGCCACGCCCACAAAATCATTTTGGGGTGAGGGTAATATTATCAGCCAAAATAGGTAAAATAATATTCATTTCCCGTCAAAACACGAAACAAACAAGAAAAAATTACAGAAAACATTTGGGGCAAGAAAATAATCCAATATTTTTGATGAAAGAGCTGCTCGGGACCTTATAGAGAAAATGCAGATTCCTGACAAAATATGAAAAAGTGAAACAAAAGTGTGTGGAGATAATAAGAAAAATGAGCTTTTAGATGGGATAAGTAATGATAAATATGTTAGTTCTCTTTTTCCTAGAAAAAAACATGAAAAACCCGCAGTGCAAAAATTAGCAAATATATAAAAATATAAATAAATATAAGAAATTGTGGCATAAAAATGTTTCGAGAGAGAGAAAATTGAACCGGTTGAGGAGTATCGCAGGAAAATAAATGGAAAAAGAAAATATACAGCATTTGGAATTGTGCCAAAACTTATTGAGCACTTTCAATTGATTCCAAAGTGACAACTGATATATTATCTCGTTCATCGTCGTAAATTCGAAGTTCGTCATAAGGTGCGGCATTCTGATCTGATTCTAGATCTTTAATTTTCGAGTTCAATTCATCGTCATTTTGTGGTTTCATCATTCCACGTGGCGGATATAATGGTGGTGCACCACCTGTTACACCGCCTAATCCAGTATCGAGTGGCATAACTGGTTTTCGAAGACCAGCGATTGAATACTGAAAAAAAAGAAAATTAGATTTTTATGGTTTCCATGTGGCACATTTTTTTTAGAAAATGGAGTGAAATTTTAATTTTTTCAAACCCACGTCGAAAAATCATTTGTTCAACAGCAAAAAAGGTACTAACCTGATCATTATCAGCTTCACCGCCTCCTTCAACCGCATACGGTCTCAAGTTATCGCGATTCAATTCTTCTGGTCGAATATTTTCAAATGGTGCCGGTGTTCGTCGCGTGTAAACAACCATCATCAAAACAAGAACTGAAAATTGAAAAATTAATTTTTGATTCCAAAAAACACCAAAACTCACTCATTAACAATGCCAACGAAACTAAAATCAAAATAATCGCCGGATTACTAATTCCCAATTTCGAAACAGCCAACGTGGCTCCACATCCAACAACTTGTCCATCTTCTCCAAGAATCGCGTTAGCTCCATCAGGACAAGTGCAGAATGGTCCTTTCCAGAAATCGACACACACAAAAGAACCGCCACAGTAACCCAAAGGAAGGTGGGCACAAGTGATTCGTAGATCACAACCATCTTGAACACCTCCAGAATTCGAGATTGAAACCATCGATTCTTCATTTTCATCCAAACTTCCACCGCGTTTCAATGGCATATTTTGTTTCGACCAACGATATGTTCCAATACAACCCTGTAAAAATATGAAGGTTTTGAAGAGATTCCTCAGAATCGGGACTGTTTTAAAAATCCCCAAATGTTTCCCCAACAAACCTGGAATCCTTTTCCTTGTCCTTGTGTTCCAAGCATAATTTGATTGACTTGCAAAGAATACGGTTGTCCTTTAGGAATCAATTCCTCAACTGAATATGCTCCATCAATTGTCAATGATGCTTTTGTCGGATTTCTTCTAAATTGCATCCAATAACTAGCATTCTCCTTCAGCAAAACTTCGGCGACTCGAAGTTCGTGTTGACTTCTTTGACCACCGGCGCCAATATCGAATTTGGCAGCTGGACTAATTCCATTCGAGCTAGATTCTAGATTTGTAGATACATAAGATTGCTGACTATCTGTTCCGTATGAAAGTTCAGCAGTTCCTCCAACTTTTCCAGAAATAAAGAGCAAATCAATCTCGTTATTTTGTTCATTGAATGCAACTTTGGGTGAATATTCAATGAATCCACCTGATGAGAACTGAATCCATTCGATCTTTTTCTCACATCGACTTCCACCCCATCCTGGATCACAAATACATTTCGCAACCATCGCAGTGCTTCCTTGAATATCCGCAAAACAATCTCCATGTACACAGTGATTCAAAGAATCAATCGAATTCGAATCGCACGCGCTTCCCCACAATCTACATCCTTTTTCACTATTTTGTTCATAAGCCGGTGTTGCCAAATCATATTGATCTCCATTTACATAAAGATTTCTGACACATCCATTCAATCCAGTTCTTGGTACAGAATTTGGATAATCTTGTCCAGAAAGTGGTGCAAGCCCTCCAATTTGTACAGGTGTCACAATATTCAATCTTTCATCATCATCTGGTGTATATATTTCAGCTCTACAGGATGATTCATCAGTTCCCATTCCAAGGAATCGACAAGAATCGATAACTAGTTCAACTCGTTTTCCTTCTTGATTTACTGATATTTCATGCCAAGTTCCATCATTCAAAGCTGAAGATTGAACTTCGAGATTTGATCGACTTTGTCCATTCATTGAAACTTCAAGTGAAACTCGTCCACCTCGAAGTTGAATGAAAATATAATCGGAATATTCAATGTGTGTTCCAGCTGTGTCTGTATCCATTGGTCCATTGTAAAAGAGAAGAGCATCAGATTGGCTGCAAAAATAAAGGTTTTGAGAGTTTTAGAGGATCTTGGTATTTCTGATATATTTTTGAAAAATACAAAAAATAGTTTCCGAGTCAAGAAACGACCAAAAACTGTAAAATTCCAGAATTCAAATTTTCAGGGCCGAAAAACAGTTTTCGGGCTAATAATTTCTCATAACATTTTCAGTTCTCTAAAACTCACGTTGTCATAAAGCTAAATGAGATATTCAAGCTGGTACACGCTGGCATCGGTTTATACCAGGCAAATCCATTTCCACCGAAAGATCTAGTAGTTCCTTGACATCTTGATCCCTTCAATCCATCATTTCTGCATTCACAGAAGAATCCGGGACTTGTGTTGTGACAAACTCCATCATTATGACAAATCGAGTGTTGGCAACTGGGTGGAGCTCGCCAAATCGGGCAAGTACAATCATCACGGGAAGTTGTGTTAACTCCAACAACAACCGTACTATTTGCAGCGACAACAACACCATCGAAATCAGCCGAGTTCAGTGTTTGACATCCAGCATCGCAAGTTGTGAATTTGCACATATCAATTCCGACACCAACAATATCGACACCCAATTTTTGCTGAAGTTGTTCTCTGTGCGCTGAGACTAATCCGTTGAGTTGAGCTGAATCGCGATAATTTGCTCCGCGAGCATTGAAACGAACATTGAGAACTGGAACATCGCGAGTTTGAAGAGTGGCGAGTCCGACCTGAAATTTATTATTGGTGAGATGTTTTGGGTGGAAGAATTGGTGGGGGAATAAATTCACAACCATCTAAAAGAAATCCCAGAATTTTTGAAATGCAATTTTTGAAATGTGTGCGCAAAATCAATTTGAAAAATTCAGAATTGTATAAATTCAATTATTAAAACGTAATTTTTCCATGCCTTTTCAAAAAAAATCCAAAAAAAAACTATTGTCATTCCGAAAAAATAAGAACGTTGGAAGAGAACCGAAATGGCCTAGGAAACCAAGACCACAGTAGACTTCGCAAAATTTTGGAGTCTATTTGAAAAATAAAATGCGAAATTTACACGTTGGCTATTTGCCAACCAGTTTGATGTGCATGTGTCACGTCATTTTTAGTCTACTGTACGTGAGCGCCAATTCAAACGGGGGTTCTTTTATTTTCGGAATGACAATATTAGGTTTAAAATATAAATTATAAATAAAAAGTGCTAGAAAAACTTCGGTGCAAAAAAATAAATCAACAACAGCTAGAATTTTTACCAATTTTCCAAGACTTGTCGCCCAATCAACCTTGAATTTTTTGAATTTTGGAATAAGAGTCCAACTTGATATCAAAATTACAAATTTTGAGAAAAACACATGAACATTTTTTGAAACAGTGAAGTTTTTTGATTTTCAGAGACAGGCTTGGGGTCTGAGTACAAAATCAGTAATTTTCAGTTGAAAAATGAAATTTGAAGCTGATTTCAAATATAAAACGGGTAAAGGCAGTTTTCAGCCAATCATAATTTTCAAGTGAAAAATTGGTAGAAAATCGTAATTCTGAATGAAATTCTGATTATTAATAGAATCGTGAGCTCAAAAATCATCAAAACATAGTGCAAAAAAATAATTTTTGAAGTGAAAAATTGTCAAAAAATCGGGTTTTTCATGAATTTTGAAGCGTAAAACCCGCTAAAATCAAAATTTCACCCAAACTTTCCCCATAACACCGTTCCCGCAAAATCTGCATACCTGAATCGAGAAAACATCAATCTCCACATCTCCTCCCATATAATTATTCATCTCCTGTTTAAAACTATCCAACAACGACACTCCATTCGAATCCGATCTTATAAAATCATCGGGCAATTGCAGTGGTGAATCTTCTGATATCAATAATTGTACCGATCCTTGATTATCAAATGCGACTTGTGGTACAGTATTCACAATTACAGTAACATAACCAACAGCATCTTCATCTCTCATATTATCGTGACAATTTGCAGACATTGTATAAGTTCCAGCTGGCATATTTGCATCCATTGTAATTTCTCCTTTATCAGATAATTCGAATCCGGATTTCGATTCTTTCCATGAGAATGTTTTATCAGCCAAATCCCAATCATCTGCATCATCCACATAAACTCTTCCAATTGTTGTTTGTTTTAATCTTCCCAAATACGAATTTACGTGGATTGTCATTTTTCCATCGTGCATTGGGTTGTCATTCTGCAAAAAATTGAATAAAATTGAAATTTTATGGGATTTTTCTCTATATCTTCTAGAATTATTCAGAATGTTTTGAGATAGTTTCATAGCACCTCTCCATTTTTGACCCCTTTCACCTAATCCCTTACTCTCAAAATGTTCTACTAAAACATGCAAATTAGTAGGCACTTGACATATTATAATATTAGAGAATGAACACATTAATGGGTTCAAAAACAGGAAGAAAATAATGGGAGAAAGGCCTAATTAAGAGATCAGATGAACAGGAGGAGAAGGATTAGAGCACAAAAACACACACTGAATTTTGAATTGAATTAACAAAATCTGCCCAAGACCCTAGATGAGTACTGTAGGTGGATTTTTGAACTACTTTTGGGACTGTAGACCGAAAACTTTTGATGAATTTTCAGCTCTTCATTTTCATTCAAAATCAAGAAAATTGTATCATGGATCCACGAATTATACGACCTCGAGTGTTTGCACATTTCTCCGGCTACAGTACATTTGTGCGCGGCAAATTCAAACGCATGAGAATTTTTTTGAAAATTTTTTCGTTTTTTCTGTTTTTTTCATTTCGTGCATGAAATATGAACGTAAACGAAAAAATGGAGAAAATGACCAGTTAGTATATGAAAGAACATGAAAAGTTCTACAAATCGATATCTGTAAAAGTGAGCAAAACGTGAAAATGGCCGAGGCACAAGCGATAAAAGGAAAAACACACACAAACAAGGCGACACACAAGTTTGAAATCAAGATGTGAAATTAGGTTTTCACTCATAGAGGGTCGATTGAGATGTCCAATATAGCATTCGAAAGCAAATTTTATGGCGGAAAATATGTGATGAGTGTTGATTGTCGTTGCGGATTTTAATAATCATTAATGTATGGCCACCTCGAAAAACCACGTATTTTGTCATGGATATGTTTCTTGTCAATAAAAATTCGATAAATCCTGGATAAATATTGCTGAAAATGTTGAAAAAAGTTTTCTCTTTCTATTTCAAGGTGTTCATGATTGAAATAACTGAAGAAATTGCTCTGAAAATGTCAAATATAGAATTTGAGGCTTTTTGTAGTAGGCAACTTTTTAAATCATCAATTTATTTTTTTTTTTCATATACTAACTGGTCATTTTCTCCATTTTTTCGTTTACGTTCATATTTCATGCACGAAATGAAAAAAACAGAAAAAAAGAAAAAATTTTCAAAAAAATTCTCATGCGTTTGAATTTGCCGCGCACAAATGTACTGTAGCCGGAGAAATGTGCAAACACTCGAGGTCGTATAATTCGTGGATCCATGATACTCGGATACTGTAGCCTACTTTCAAAGTTTCTAGGCTCAAAAATCCCCAGTTTTCACAATTACAATCCAGAAAATCTAAAAATGAATGAAGTTTCAAAGCTCCTAAAGATTCTAGGCTCAGAATCCCCAATTCTCCCCAATTTTTCACTCCAAAATCCATCAATTCCCCGCCACCCTTCCGATTCAAATTTCCTTTTCGCTTCCCTTATTTTCTTCCCTCATCCCATTCATTTCGTGTTTCCAAATTAGGTTATATGTATATCCAAAATAGAGTAGAGAGTATTCTCTCCAAATTGCTTATTATAGTAATTGGGCCCCTCTTTTTCTTGTACACTTCAAAATATAGAAAAGTCCCTCAAAAATAGAAAAAACCCTCAAAATCATCAAAAAAGAGGTGCCGACGCTCTTCAAAAAATATGACCATATTAGCCAAAAAAGATTGGCAAACAAATTAGAAATAGTATTCTTTTTTTGGGGTGAGTACAAAAAAGGTGCCGACAGATTATGACACAATCGAAAAAAAAAGAAGAGGGTGGAAAAAGGGAAAGTGGCTGGCTACTGTAGATTTTGTGGTCGTGGTGATTCTTTAGCACCAAAAAACATTGGGAAAAATTAAAAATCTGACGTGAAAACTAATATTTTCAGCCAAAAATTTCAGATTAAAAATCAAATTTTCAGGGCTCAAGATCTAGATTTCCACCCAATTTTCAGCCTAGAAATCCCTCAAATTTTCCCGCAAAATTGCCCAATTTGTTTCCTCTTCCAAAAATGTCTTCTCAATAACATAATCATCATTTTATGACACATCGTTAACCCAAATATGGTGGCCATTTCTTGTGGCGCGAAAAGTCATAAAAAAAGTGAAAAGTCGACTTACCACATCTCCAATAATCACATGAACCGATGCATAATTCGTTTTATCAGCTTGATCAGTCAATTTAAGTGGGATTTCGAGAATTTTTCCGGGAACTGGCGATTCTCGGTCAAATTCTTGAAGTGGAGTGATTGTCATTGATCCATTTCCATTGTCGCCCATTTGATTGAAAACCACATTTAAATATTGGCTATATTTGAAGTTTGGTGCAACTTCCATTCGGAATGGTGGACCAAATTCGCTGAAAATAAGGAATTTAGCGGTGATAAAGGGGAATCGGATAAAATTTGAAGCATTTTGAGTCGAAATATGACTATTTTATGGCCAAAATCAAGACATTTTTTGAAATTAGTGAGAATTTTCAAATTCAGATTATTATGAGCTCAAAAAACTCACGCAGTATCTCTATCGGTGGCTCGAATCTCACAGGTTCCCAATTGATTTACTGGCGTATTTTCGCGGAAAATACATGGACGTGGTACGGTATACGGTTCAGGACCATTATCATTGACATCTTGCAAGTAGACGGCAACCATTTGACGACCAATATTGTTGGCTGGAAAAATTGAGAGAGTTGGGATTTTGTGGCGGAAATTTGGTTTCAAAATGCTCCAAAATTTACAGTAACTCCAAAAAAAACTCACAATTATCATAGGCTTCAATGATCAAATTATAAACAGCAATGTCTTCGCGGTCCAATTTATGAGCAACTCGAAGTGTTCCATCTTGATCAATGGTGAATTGTCGTTTCGGATCGGATTGTCGATTGATTCGGAATCTGAAGAAAAATATGAGGTTATTTGGGATGTTTTTGGTCATTTTTACACGCAGGAAACCCTGTGTTTTGCTCATTTTGCACTCCCGCCGCGTTCAAAAAGAGCACACATAGTTCAAGTTTCACACTCACAAACAATTATATAATTGGTCTGTGTCTTTTTGTTATTTGATATTTCGCACCGGTCATTTTTGAGGCGAACATATATATTATTATTACTATTATTTGTCTTTTTCTGGGGCGGGAAAAATATGAATAAAACATTGAAAAAGCGTGTTTGTTTGCTTAAACTAACGCCTAACCATTGGAAAAGAGAGGTTTTTGAACCGGAAATGGGAAATTTTTTGGGTGAAAACTGGAATTTTTCAAATTGAAACTGTGATTTTCCATGTTTCATACGAAGTTCATAGATTTCCGAAAGAAAATTTGTGGATTTTCAGTTAGAAATTTAAACAGAATTTTTAGATGAATTTATACACAAAAATCCGAATGTTCAAGTTACACAATACTAGTTTTCATGATTCAAAATTAGAAAATTGTGATTTTCTTATAAAATTTGGAGCAAGAAATTCCAGTTATTGGACTGAATTTTGGTTTTAAAATTCATAATTTTTCACAATTTCTGGCTTAAAATTCAGGGGTTTCAGCTCAAAATCTTCCTAATTTTCAGCCCCTCTTCCTAAAAGTCTTCTTTACACCTGCCATTCCTATTCAAAAAGTCATCGACCTCCTTCAAAACAAACATTCCTCTCGCCCCTTTTTCCCCATCTATTCCTATTTATAAATAATATTATACATAAATATAATATTAATCTATAAGGCACGTATCATCATGCAAAAATAATAAGTCAACATTGTAATTTTCATGTCAAAAAGGAACATTTTTGAGAGAATCTTGATAATTACACCATATGGTGTGAAATTCTCCACCTGTTCCTTTAAATTTTCCTTCTTCTTTTCAAAACAAGAAAATCCCTTGTTTTGTTGGTGTGAAATGAAGAAAACAAGACAAAAAAGAACAAAAGCACAGCTTTTTGTCTCTGACACCTGTCCAAGTTTTGTTTGCATTTCTTCTCAAGATTTGATCAAAAAATCGTGGCGAGAAAAAAATTTGGCGCCAACAAATTGGTGAAAACGTTGCGTCATAGCATTGGACATATGTCGAACAACCACTTAAAAATGGAAATGCACTTAACAGGTGTCAAATTTGAGAGTTACGCAATTTTTAGAAGAGGAAATTGCGTAATTTTTGTAGCGGTAAAAATTGAGATTTTCAAAGTGCTTGAAAAAAAATAATATTTTTTGGTGGTTGATAACGCTTCAGGCTTCGAAGATTAAATTTTGAAACTTATGTAATTTTCAGCTGGTTTTTATTCTCATTTTCCAAAATTTCTAGCTCAAAAAATCCAACATTCCCCCAAAAATCTCCCATTTTCCTCCAAAACGAACACCTTGTTAGTCACAATGAACAAAACATGCCGCAGCCGATTCTCATCTCAAAAATCAATCAAAAAATCGGGGTCAACAGCGCCTAATTTTGCCTCGTTTTCTTGTCTATTCTTCTTCTTCTGGTATTCGAGAAGACGAAGAAAAATTTGGGCAAGTGTTAAGGTAATTAGGAATTATTGGGTAACTTTGAGCGAAAAATTACGCAATAGGAAATGGATTTTTTGTTACACTCATAATAAATAATGGAATGGTACATTAACATCTACTAAATATTTGTTTTAGATTTGGGAAAATCGGAATTTTTATGAATTTTTTGGAAACTTTTACAAAGGCTGGAATTTAGATATTTTTGACAAATATTTTAAAACCCTAATTTCAAGCCTCTAACTTTGGAGCTGAAAAGGCTTATGCGAAAAACTATTTTTCACCTTTTTGACTGTCAAATTATCGTTTCTAATCAATATTCTCTCCAAAAGCTCAAATCTCCCCTGTTTAAACGACCTTGCCTTTTACCTGTCTATTCCATATTCTACCTACCAACCTACCTACCTACCACTTATAAAACAAACAATACATTTCTATCTAAAGGTCACCATACCATTACTAGTCATCCCCCCCCTTCATATAATAATAAATATATGATTTTATTTGTTCTTCTTCCTTCTTTCTTTTTGCGCGAACAGAAAAATGGGAAAAGATTGAGATTTGAGATATCTTCTCAACTGTGGGCCAATTTTTTGACGATAACTCATTGTGACAATTAAAGAGAGGAGACTACATGAGAATTATGATGTGTGGGTTTGTAAATATGATTATGATGGATTGGGTGGCAAGGAAAAGTTTGGGGGTTTTTGAGCTAGAAACATCGTGGAAATGTTGACGTTGGAGTTAGAAAATAACAGAGAACGTGGATTTTTCATGAATTTTATATCAAAAACCTATTTTTAAGCTCCGAAACCTTAGAAAATTAGAAAAAGACATGTTTAACTTGGTCAAATTTTTTGAAAATTTAAACCAGCTATTTTTTATTCTCAAAATGTTGGATTATTTAAATTTTTAAAGCTTAAAAGCCACGTGGAAAATCTGTTCTTTAATTATTTTTCCCTATTTTTTTAAACATAAAAACCCCGAACTTCAAAAAAAAACTCACGAGAAATTATACATCGGATTACTCGAATCGTGTGCTCGAAAAGTCTCAAGCACCGTTCCAACCGGCGTATCTTCACTAATATTTTTCATCACAAACACGTGAATATCACGTTGTTTGGGACCGCCGGAAAGCGACGAGAATCGCGATTTGACAACACTGTGCTCAAGCCCAAAAGGCAGCGATAAATCGCCAAAAGCCTGAGCTGTTGGAAGTGTGCAAATCATGCTCACTAATATGAGCAATCCCATTCCTATTCCTTTATTCCATCCCCCTTTACCTTGCCGTATCATTTTCATCTGCGTCACTTGTAGTGTATTTTCCAATGATTTCTCCGACTTCCTTCGATTCTTCAATTCGTAATTGTTGTGGTCCGGTGATTTTTGGCGCGTGATCGTTGCGATCAACGAGTTTGACGTGCACTGCGGCTGTCGCATCGTGTCGCCCATCATTTACACGCACTTTTAGCGAAAAACCGTCGCGTTGTGCCGGATTTTCGTAGTCGAGCGCCTTAATTTAAGGTAAGCTACGGTCTCTTTAAAGGCCTCTCTTTAGGCTTTTTCTGATACGGTAAGGGGGATGGATTGGAATATATATATAATCGAGTTGTTCTTGTATGCTCCTTTAAAAGGATTCAAAGGCTCCTAACGCCTTTTTTGGTCTTTTGAGACTACTGCAAAAAAATTGAATTTGAGAAAAAAAAGAGAATGCGAAGAAAAATAGAGAAAAAAAAGAAAACAATAGGAATTTCCAATTATAAATTGGATTTTTGGTGTATTTTTTCTAGGAAGAGCTAGGAGAAAATAATGTAGTTTAGAAAAATCTGGATTTTGAGCGAATAGTTTCAGAAATTTTTTTAGCAATCAGTTCCGTAAGAACAAAAAAGAAATAAAAGTAATCAAGATTCTTAAAAATCCAGGAAATAATAAAATCCAAAATTTCTAGAAAATTCTAGATAAATCTGTCGAAAATTAGACTGAAAACTAAACAAAACCTGAGCTTAAAAACTCAACTAACAAAAAAAACTTTCCAGAAAAATTACAAAACATCTACAAAAAAGATGCGTTCGTCCTCTAGTAACATCAAACAAAAATCAATGAATGACTCACAAAAAATGAATATTGCCTTATTTGCATAAGATAAGAAAAAATGTACACTTCAAACGCCTATGACTCATCATCATCAACAAAAAACAACTATTTTCGTACTTTTTGAGGGCCAAAAAAAGGAGATATAGTAGATTTTATGAAGATTAATGTGTGAAACGGCGATGGATTATTTATTTATTCAAAAAATATACACTTTTCTATTTAGAGTTTTCTATATAGAAAAAAAGGATATTTGGGAAAAAACTAGAGAAATGAGGAGGGAAAAAAGTTTGAAGAAAAAGCTTGGAGGTGATTCATAAAGTGTATTATTCATTTCGTTTTCGAATGGGAAAAAACCGAGAGAGAAGGACAAAAAAGTGGACAATAGGCAAGAAAAGGGTGACTGAACACCACAACAAGTCCGGCTTGTTAGAGATTTGAATATTAGGGCAACAACTTTTGGGTTAGATAACTGAAGCTCTGAGAAAATCGACAAAGCCTAGGATTTTCAGATGTTATTGCGTAGATTTTGGAGCTATTAACCCAGGCTATAGCTTCTAGGAGCCTGTAAAATGCTTCTAGAAACCTATAACTAACAAATTAACATCAAGTCTAACTATCGAGCCTATAGTTATAACAATAGTTATCTCACCCAGAAAATTCTAGAAAAAATTCCCACATCAAAAAAAAACTCGTGGCCAAGCCAAACAACTACAAAACGAAAATCATATCTCTTGATAAAAATGTCATATATTTCTTATATTTTATTTCAATTCAAAAATCTGAGAAAGTGGAGATACAAAACAAAACATATGACAAAGCTTTTCACTTCCACTTTCTCTTTTTTTTTCGGAAAATTGGAAAATGGGATGGAAACGAAATTCCGAACGATGACTAATAAATAAATGGCCGATTTTGAATCGCCGAAAATCGATTCGCAAAAAGCTGGAGGAAGGAGAAAAGTCAAGGTGAAACTGGCCACAATTTTCAAGGTAAAACCTTGAAAATCACTGTTTGCTTCAAGGAAATGTGGTGTTTTTGGTGGGAATAAAATGGTGAGAAAATTATACACATATAAACATACGGACCACCATGGCAACCGCCAAAAATATGTATACATTTTATTTTTGCTAAGCTTCTTCCTAATGAGCCCTAAGCTTTGAGAAAAATGGAAAAAGATTCGGGAAAATAGGAGGAACAGGTGCTTTTTATTGGTGTAACGATTAAGGGTGTTGATAAGGGTGGAAGAAAAAAAAAGAAGGCGAAGATGAAGAAGATGGATTAGGTGGCAAAAAATTACACTGCACGGGATTTTGAGCAAGAAATCTAGATTGTTGGGTGTTGTTAGGAGATTCAGATTTCACGTGGATTTTAAGATCGAATTTCGACGTGAAAAGGAAACTTTCAGCAGAATCAAAATCCACGTGGATTGGATGGACAATCAAAAATAAGCAAGTTTGGGTTCGAAAAATTTCAGAAATTTTCGGGAATTCAACATTCGCTAGAACCAAAAATGCTCGAATCTAGGCTCATGGAAATCTAAAATTTCAAGACACCCAAGTCTGTGTTCATATGAGAAGCTAGTAGAAAACCAAGAAAATCAACAGAAGTCGCTTGTAAAAAATCCAAATTTCCCGGAAGAATCCCAAAATTTTCGAATAACATAAACTTTCGAAAACCTTGCTCTTCTTCTCCAGGACGAAAAAAAAACGCAATAAAAGCTCTTCACTTTATACTAGATATATAAAATAAAAACTTATTGGTGCACAACTAATAATAAAAAACTATAAAGGCGTATAAAAAACGCGTCCATCTCTATCCCAAAAACTAAAAAGATGCATAAAAGTGATGATGGGGGAAGAAGAAAGAGAAGAGAAAAAGAGTATGTAGAGAATGTCCGTTCCGAAGAGACAGAAAAAGAGAGACCAAACAAAACAAAAGAAAGGCACGCCCTATTTTTGAAGGTGGACAAAAGGTGATGAAGGTAGGGTTTTGTGGTGAAGGACATGTACACCAACCAAATAAATACAAATAGTCGGCTGGAGCAAAAACCGCCATAATTACACCAATTATTTGTTTTTTATCGTTTTTTCTTCATGTTTTTTTTTTCGTCCGCCCAACCAAAAAAATGTTGGTTTTTGTGCGAAATGACCTACTTTTAACGAGATTTTCGAGTAGATGAAAGTTTTGCTGTTGGAATTGATTAAAATAAATAAATAAATAGACTAAATGAAGATTGAAAAATAGAAAAGAAAATAAAAGGGTGGGAACATTTTTGCACGAAAGCCTATAATTTCGAGCAATTAGTTGCTTGGTGAAAACATTTTACGTCAAGCTTGCAGAAAATTTGAATTTTCCTACGAAATTAGAGGTCCGAAGTTAGCATAGAAATCTGGCCAGAAATATCTGTTTTTACTAACATAAAATCTAAATCCCAATGTTTTCTAGGCAAAACATATTTTTTCCAGGTTTTTTTTGTTCTAGAGAAAAAAACTGAAAATTTCGAGAAAAATCCAGTTTTTCTTCTAATCAAGATTAGATTTTGTCTGGAAATTGAAAAACTTGAATTTTGTCTCGGGAAAAATGGAAAATTGAGTTTCAGGACTTGAAAACTGACAAAATCACGATTTGCAGAAAATCAAGCTGAAAATTACGGGAAGTCTTGAAATCCATATGAAGACCAAAAAACTAAAATTTTCAGCTGAAAAAATCCTAGGAAAATCAAAACTTCACTGTCTGGAGAACGACTCAGCCACCTTTTACTAGATTCAAAGCAGAAAAACTCGGATAACCCAACAAAAAACTTGATTTTTCTACCGAAAAAAAAAGTAAGATTCGAAATAAAATTGCACGGCCTAGGCGCCGATACGTCGGATCCTAGTCCATCAATAAATTTTCTTTTTTTCGGCCGGCCGAATCACAACATGTCAAACAGCAATCGGTGAGAGTGAAAGAGACGAAAAGATATTGAAATCGCGCGTGATCTACAGCGATTTACATTTGCGGGTCTAGGATTTGTGAAATTTAGAAATAGGCTTCAGCTTAATTTTTGAGAATTCATTTTTGAACTTTCAGTGTGCCAAGCGACTAAAAGTCATCCTCAATTTTTTTCGAAACAAAATATGGTTAGCAACCGCAATTTCAAAAATTATGGATTTTCAGACCCACAAATTTTTAATGTACCTTTGATCTATTTTTCTCTAAGTCTTCTTCACTCTCACCGATTGCCAATTTTCATTGGGCTGACATGATGTGGAATATTCGGGAAAACTTTTTTCCAAAGAAAAAACAAAAGTTCTCCAATTTTCTGGAAAAGCCTAAATAGTCTAATTAATTCAGTCGAACTCATTCAACTCTACTTTACTTTACTTTTTTGTTGCAAAAGGACCTCCCAAACGTTTCAAGCGTGTGAAAAACGTCGCACGAGCCGCTAGTCTTCGGACAAAAACGCGAAAAAGCAAGAAAAGAGGAAAAATAAACAGCGAGTGAGGCCCAAAAAAAGTGTATATATAAAATAAATGAAAATACAATCCGATTTCGATGCGATTGAGTGGACAACGAGGGCAAACACGGTTTATTATTATACTTAATATATATATAAGAAAATGATGACGCGAAAAAGGTGTGGATAGGCTATTTGGCAAAAAAAAACCGTTAGGCAAAGAAAAAACAGATGTTTCTGAAGACACACAAAAAAAGATGAGGAAAAATGTATAGATTGACAAATTGCCCGAAAAAAAGTAGAAGAAGGAGAAATGGCGCAAAAATCTTGTTAGCAAGAGTTTCTTTTGGTCTGGTAGTAAGTACCTTTTTTTGGGGTGGGAATTTGGAGAACATTTTTGATGAGAAAATTGCAATTGCATTCGTTGTATTGAAAAATTTGGGTGTTTGAAGAAATTTGATGTTTCAAAAATTTCTCGAAATTTTCCACAGAAGAACTTGTATTTCTCAAGGAACATCTGATTTACGATGCAAAAAGTTGGTTGGTACGGAAAATTGAATAGTCCTTGAGAACTACAAATTTTTATGATGTGAAGAAATTCGACATTTTTCAGAAGCCTCCGATTTCTCAGTGTTGCGGATTTTAAAAATTTCCCATAGATCGCATTTGCGCATCTCAATCAAAAATTTACCAAAATTCAAAACCTCTTCACCCAGAAATCCATAAAACTCGCATTTTCCAATAAAAAATGCATAAATCACCGTGCTCTTCTGCTCTTCTCAATAATTTATAACTAAATCTCTGAATATATGCAAATTACATATAACTTTTCCTCCAATTTCACTCTATTTATTTAAATAAAAAGTATTTCGCAACATCAACAGAAAATTGACACACGGAAGGAAGAAAGAAGCGACAAAAAAGTGCTGTGGTCAAATAGAAAAGCGCACGAGTAATCAAGTGGTCAAATGAGAAGAAGAAGAAGAACAAAATTAGACAACTACTTAAATACGTAACTTATTTTGGATAAATCTATGAGTTATTATAACTAAATATGTGTATATATTATTTGTTGATGTTTGTTGTTGTTTCGCGCTTCAAAAGTGTGTTCTTCTGGCACTTGAGAAAAGACGGAAAAACTAAACAACAATAACATTTCACTCCGTCATTCAGCCACAGGCAGGCAGGCAGGAATTGCCTTTTGAAACAGAAACAACACACTTGATGATCTCCCCCACCCAGACCTAATCTAATATTTCAGCAGCGCGAAAAAAAACGCTTGTCGTTTCGTTTTTCTCACTTTTTTTGCTTTCCTCTCGTAAAAAAAGGTGCAAAAAGCGAAAAAAAGAAGAAGAGTACTAGTTGATACGAATGAGCACCGCCAATAAAAATAGCCGTGTGTGAGTGCGCGAGAAAAAAACAGCTAGGCCCCCATCAAAGTTATTAATTTTATGTTATTCTATTTTATGCATGACTACAGAACAAAAATAACAGTGTTTTTTTCTGACCCTAAACGAATATTTGCATATGATAAGAAATGACCAAAAGGAAAAAGGGACCGACGGGTCACACAGCGGGAGATAACTTTGTGAAGAAAAGATAATAATGGGATGGTGTGAATGAATCAGGAGGGTGCCAGAAATTGAAAAGACAATAGGGAATAATGCAGATTTTTTTGAAAGTAAATTATGTATAATTAGAAAATTTTGAGATTTCTTGGATAGTTTTAAGGCAAACATGGGATTTTCAGGCGGAGAAGACGTTGAAAGCCAGAATTTTTGAAAATTTTCGAGAAGAAAATGCATAGTTCTCGAGGAGAATCAGGTTTTCAACACTAAAAATACTCAAAAATTATTGAAAACCCCGAAGTTATCAACCGTCTTGCTAAAAAAATGTAGTCCTCGAGAAGAATCAGATCCTTCTCAAGAACTACAATTTTCACGAAAATTGATTATGTTCACTGGAGCGGAAATGCTGATCAAAATACAAACATTTTCTTGTTTTCAAAGCACTTCAAAAATGTATCGTATCCTATTCAGTATTCATTTTCGATTCTCAAAAAATTCGAAACAAAGCCGACGACAAAATAAAACTTTGGTGTACTTTCCACTCAAATACATCAAAAAAAAAATGTTGGCCGACATGCTCACAAACAAAAAAAACCACTGCTTCTTCAGAGCTCTCCCTCTCAAATGTTTATGTACATGCTTGTTGCTCAACAGCAAAAAATTGGCGAGAGAAGAGCACAGGAAGTGACCACACTCTTTGCCTCCTTTCAATTGCTCCGACAATATTTTGTATATAAATTGAAAATATACAACTTGTTTTAGGAAAACTTGGAAAAGGAGATGAAGAAGATGGAGGAGGAGGGCTTTAGAACCTAATTGATTTACCTAATTAGTGTAGCGGTTATTATTTTTACCTAAAATACGAAAGTCGGCCGGTTTTCTGATTGATTTGTTCAAGGAAGAAAATTAGGAAAACGAGAAAAAACTTTTTCGAAAATGCGAAAAATAAAAGTAAAACAACGATGTTCCGCATACCGCATGTTTAGCCGACTTCAAAAATTAGTTTTTTTTTTCTTTTCTTTTTTTTCACAGAATAGAAAACTAGGCTACATCTGGAGAGATGAATAAAAGAGTCATAAATATAAATCAAAAAAGCAAAGGTGAGCGCCAGCCGAAAAAGAAGAAAAGAAAAAATGATGACAGATTTAATGGGGTGACTGAAAGGTCGTTTCGAACTGATTTACTGACTTCAGCAACAAAAACTATTGCCTGGCTAGGAGAGATGATTTTTATGAGAAATAAGAGGGGAGATACGGTAACTGAGTAATTCATTTCAATTTCTCACAATAATCCTCTTTTTTCTTCGATTAGCCCCAACAAAAAGAAAAAAGACGAGTTTTTCAATGTCGCCGGATTATTTGGCAAAAAATAAAGAAATTCGATCGTTTTTTGTTTGAAACAACGTTTCGAGAGGGGATATTCGATATGGAAATCACGAAGCGATCTCAAAATGAAACTTTTTATGTTGAAAAAAGCCACTAAAGAAATTTCCTTTTTGAGAATTGCGACGATTTTTAAATTAAAAAAAAATCAAAAAATTTCTTGAAAACTCACAGGGGCATATTTGATGATTCAAAGTTTTCTCAAAACCTCTCTAATTTCCGTAGAGCGCATTTGAACAAAAACTCGAAGCGATCTCAAAAATCCACCAGAAAAAGAAACTTTTTGTCGAAAAAAGCTAACTAAAACAACTTTTTTACGAGATTTTCATGACAAATGAGAAGAGTTCCCTTGGGGAATTTTTTAAAGTTTTTGGTGGAAAAAACCGCCAATGACCTTTGGGTGTATAAAGTGTATGTATAGCATGAAAAACAGAAGAAGATGAAATGAAAAATTGGTTTTTTATGAGGAGAAGAAGAAAAAGTAGCTTGAAGAGACAATTGGGTTTGTTTCTTTCGGTGGTCATTATTATTTTTGTTGAGGGGAAAAAAGAAAGTACTTGACTTTTGGAAAAACTCGAACTTTTTTTGCTTTTTAAAAGCGGGTGGCTTTTTGGAGATCAAGTGATTTTTATGGAACAAGTGAAAGATCATATGAGAGTTGAATCTTGGAAATTATGGAGCCCAAAATTGGGTAGTTTTTAGGGGAAATTAGTTCAGGATTTTTAAAATCCAAGATTCAAGATTCAAGATTCTGGATTTTTTAATTTTCAAATCAGGATTTCGAATTCTTCAAAACCGAACTTTCATAGTTCTGTAAAAAGCTCAATTTTCACAAAAGTTCCTGAAAATCTGAATTTTCAGAAAAAATCGAAAATTCCAGAAACAACTTTTAAAAAAAAACTCCAGAAAACATCAAAATTCAGAAGAATTCAAATTTCTCAAAACAGTTCCTACAAACCCAAAGTTCCCCAAAAAAACTTCCAAAAAATAAATTTCTAATGGTCCAAAGCTCATCAAGAAAATCCAAAAATCCCAGAAAAACATACACATTTTTTTTGAAACAGTTGTCTCATTCTCTAGTGGTTTACAAATAAACCCAATAAAACTATCACAAATTGATCCTTCTCTTTTTTTTTCATCAAAAAAAAGAGAGGAAAAGTTTTTTCTGATTCGAAAAAAGGGAAACTTTTGATCTATCTATAATTACAGAGAATAATAACACTCGAAAGTAGAAATTAAAGGAAAAAGGGAATGGCTTTCGATTTCCATATATGGTAATTTACTGGTACAAATACAAATAATAAAATAAATATACGGCAAATTATATTGACATACTTTTTTATGGTTAGAAAAGAGAAAGATGATTTATTAGACATCTGTTGAAAAACAGAAAGGAGCATACAATTTACAACTCGATAACTCGATATTCCAATTCATCCCCTATTTTTTCAAAGGGACATTCCCCAAATATTTAAAGGAACATACCTGTTTTACTCGCAAAACTCCAACTGTAGATTGAGTTGAATCCTTGTCTGTGCTCACATAAAAATAATCAGATTCTTCAGCCAATTGATAGGTGAACACATTGTCCCTGCAAAATTAATTTAATTTCAGGTTTTTCCTGAATCTCATCTCAACTCACAATTTCCAAAATTTTGTTCGGGAAAAAATGAGTTGGAAAAAACAAAATATTGTGTGGGATTTTTTGGGGTCACGTCACGTTTTATTTTATTTTTTCCAAAAAAAAAACATATTTTTTGAAATGAGGTTTTTAGAAATGAGAAAAGTAAGTTATGAAATCACAAAATTCAAATAAGATAATGAGTTCACGTGTGGTGTAGCTGGTAAGTTATTTGATTTTGGATCGAAATGTCCGGAGATCACCTGTCCTTGATCTCCGGACCGTCCGGAGATCAAGGACAGGTGAGAAGTTCTCCCTGAGAACAGAGGAAGTTAGAGAAACTAGAGACCTCAATAGTTCTAGAAACATCTAGAGATTTAGAAAAGTTAGAGAATAAAAGGCAGTTAGAGATCTAGAGGAAGCTAGAGAATTAGAGAAATCTAGGAAGCTAGAGAATTGTAATTTCAAAGCCCAAGTATTCTCAAAAAGCCTTTAAAAAACTAACTTAGCCTCAACATCAGCATCAAAAGCCGAAAAACTCATAACCGCAGCTCCAATTGGCGCCGTCTCATCAACAATTCCCTCATATTTGGTCTTCTCGAAAAACGGTGCATTATCATTTTTGTCCATCACTTTGATCGTCACATTTGCAAAACCTTCTCTTGATGGAACACCTCGATCATTCGCACGAACTTCGATCACAAATTCGCGTTCCGATGCCATTTCTCGATCCAAACTTCGCATTGCAAAGATTTTTCCGGTCGCTTTATCGATTCGGAAAACAGGCTCATTGTGAATTAATTTGTTGCGAACTATGGCGTATTCGATGTTTGCGTTTTCTGTGGTTGGATCGTCGAAGTCTTTGGCTTGGACATCCATGAAATAGACACCATCAGAATCTGGAAATTTGCATGTTTTGTATAGGAATATGCACTTTCATTGTTTAGAGAAAACGAATACGAAAAATTGAAAGAACAAAAAACTCACGAATCGGTTCTCGATTCTCTTCAATAAACCCATACAATTTCTCCGGAAACACTGGCGAGTTATCATTAATATCCCGAACATTCACTTGAACATCCGCATATCCAACCAATCCATTTCCATCATCATCAATCGCCTGAACCACAAAATTCCACGACGGAATTCCAGTTGGCGGATCTCGATCCAATGCTTTGATCAGTTCAATAACCCCCGTATATTTTCCAATTCGAAATACTTCATCAGCACCTTGACCTTCCAATTTATATACAATTTTCTTGGATTTCTCATCCTTGTCTGCATCAAATGCTTTAACATTGAACAATATTTTTGGAATACTAGCAAGATCTTCTTCGATGACAGTTGTAGCATATTTAGCTTGCTCGAAGATCGGAGCATTATCATTCACATCATCAATGTGAATGTATACATTAGTCGATGCATTGTGTCTACCATCTGATGCTATCAAAATCAAATGATATTGTTTTACCGCTTCATAATCTAGAGGTTCATTTACAAAAATGGTTCCTGAGTCTGTACGAACTCCGAATGGAATTCTACCGCCTTTTGAGCCAACTAGATGATACCGAAGATTTGAGTCTGGAAAATATAAATAAGTTTGGAAGCAGAAGATACGTTCGGGGAGATTGCTTTTTCTTCTTCTTCAAAAAGGCTCTTCAGCCCCTAGTCTCCTTCAGGCTAATCACTCACGTTTATCCAAATCATGCGCCTTGATAGTTATCACATCGTGTCCTTCTCCTTCCGATTCTTTTACTCTTCCAACATATTTCGATTCCTCAAAATACGGTGCATTATCATTCACATCATTGATTATGATTTGAACTTTCACGTTATCTGAAAATCGTTTATATTTACTAATATTTGAAACCGTAGCCTAAACACACCTTTATTAGGTCCCTTAGTTCCTGGAAGTGCACTTTGTGAGTTATCCCTGACTTCCACTGTCAGAACATACATATCTTGCGATTCTCTGTCAAATTTCTCATTGGGCCAGATTTTTCCAGTGAGTTCTTCGATTCGGAAAAGTTTTGAGGTATCGGAATCGACGATTCGGAAGTGAAGCTAGAAAAATTAGGGGTTAATAAAGATCAGGGAAAATTTGGCACGTGGAGTTCGGAACAATAATTTACCTCACTCTGTGGTCCAGCAGAATCATTATCAGTTGCATTAATCGTCACAATTGGTTCCCCTTTTTTTGCCTCAATAAATTCATTCGGTGTCAATTCTTCATCAATATTCCCATTAAAATGATCAATTGTAAACTGAGGAACAACATCATTTACATCTTGAACTTCCACCACAAATGTTTTCCGCGAAGCCACCTGACTACTAACATCAGTTGCCGTCAAAGTCAAAGTGTAATTCTTTGTTGTCTCATAATCCAATGTTTCCATGATCGCAACTTCCACCCATTCATTCCCATCTTCATATCGATTAAACATTCGGAACTTGCTTTCCGCGTTAGATCCTGGACCACCGGAAGCTTTGAGAGTGTAATAGAAGTTAGCCTTTTTCGAACCATCTCCTGGAATCGCACGACATTTCAAGATAACTTTATTCATCCCTTCATTCTCCGCCACTTCAATTACACTTTTACAATCTGGACTACTTTGCCATTTGGGAGCTTTGTGTTGTTTATCTAACACATTCAATACCACCTGAGCTGTAGATGTTTGTGATTCAGGTATTCCATTATCATTTGCAACCACGTTGAATACAAATTTTGATTTATCAATAGGAATCTGCCTAGTTAATGTGATCTCACCGCTTCTGCGATTAACCAAATCGAAAAATTCAATATCATTCATATATTCTTCTCCAGCTAAATGATCAATTTCTAGTGAATATGAGATTTCAGCATTGTGTGAAGCATCATTATCATATGCAAAAACAGTTAGAACAGATGTTCCAATTGATTCAAATCTTGAAATACTTGTCTCATATGATGGTCTTTCAAATTGTGGTGCATTATCATTTACATCAATGACTTCTACAGAGAATTGACAGAATCCAATCAATGGTCGATCTCCTCGATCAGTTGCTTTGACTGTGACATCTTCTCGTGGTCTAGTTTCTCTGTCAAATACAACATGTGGTGATGGAGTCAAGATTCCGGTGTGACGATCAATTACAAATGCTTTTCTACTTTCTGATTGTGTATAATAAAGGGAATATACAATATCTCCATTTGCTGATGAATCATCATCAATTGCTTTCACTTGAATAATTGTAGGAGGTGTTCCAGTTTTATAAGTGCCTTCCTGGATTTTTGCCATTTCACTGTATTTTGCACATTCGGGGAATTCTGGTTTATTATTGTTCACATCTTCAATCCCGATTAGAAGAGTGGCATATGAAATATGAGTCTCACTTGGGTGAACACAACAACTTCCATCATCTTGTGCCATAACTGTTAGATTAATGGGATTCTGAGCTTCTGCAAGATCCACAGGAGTTACGCCATGTCTAAGTTTGACCAATCCAGTATGTTGATCTATTGTGAATAGATTCATAGTTTGAGTTGGCCCACGACCATTTCTATCGAGGAAAGAATAAGTGACCTCATCCCGATCTGCATCTCTTGCCTGAATTTGAATTACAGGAGTTCCTCCTTGCGCATCTTCTGCAACAAATGCAGTGTATTGACTTGTTGGGAGGAAGACAGCACTCTCATCATTTGTATTCTCTGTTCGAATATGAACCATCGCTGAACTGCTAAGAACTGGATCTCCTCGATCTTTTGCCGTCACATTGAATCGATAAACAAAGTGCCGCTCATTGAATTGATCTGCGTCTAGTCGAACTCTTGCGGATATCTCACCATTCTCGTTGATACTGAAATTCTTGTTATCAAGACTGTATACAATCTCGGAGTTCATCCCAGAATCTTTATCGATGGCAGTGACTTTTAGAATTGTCTCATTGATTTGAATATCTTCTCGAACTTGCGCGGTATAAAGAGGTCGAGTGAAAGTTGGTGGATTATCATTTACATCAACTATCCTGATGTTTAAGTCAACTCTAGATTTTTTGGAATCTTCCAAAGCTTCTACTTCCAAATGATGGGATTTTGGTAGTACTGGATCGTCATAATCCAGGTTTTTTGTGAGATGAACAATTCCCGAAACAGGATCAATTCTAAACCATTTTGAATCATCTGCATCAACAAAACTATAACTAATTTCCCCTTTCGATCTTCCATCTTCAATACTTCTAAAACTCTGTGCTTTCATATCCACAACTGAATAATCAATCTGATTATCTTCAGATATTTCAACATCATATGATTGTTTTGCAAATTGCGGTGGCCGATCTTCTGCTAGAATTTCGAGAATCGCAACTTCGGACACTTGAGATGTTGAATTATCTTTTGGTGTGATATCAATTGCTTGAACTGTCACTCGATATGTTTCGCCTCTTTCATATTTACTCCAAGCCGTTCGAACAACACCGGATTTTGTGTCGACGAGGAAACTACCAGATGCTGGAAGATTTGGTTTTTTCTTGACTGGTAGTTTTTCAAAGTTGTTTTTGATTGTTAACTTCCAATTATCTCTTCAAAATTCAGAAAAAAACTTACGAACAACATCGATAGTCTTATAAATGACATCGGAATTTCCATCACCAGCCTCATCTCTCGCAACAAATTGATAAACAATTCGACCAATTGTTGGAGTTAGCGGAACTACGGCCAACATTGGAAGAGGCGAATTGACAAAAGCTGGAGGCTCATCGACATCCAACACATTTATTCGAATGGTTTGAGCTCGGCCTGAAAAAAAAGAAAAAATTAGATTTTTTTGGGCTGATGATTTTTCATGATGAATATAGCCTAACTTGTTCTTGTTCTATTCAACTTGCGCAACATTTTTCTATTCCCAAAAAAAACTGGATAATCTTATCAGATCACTCTGAAGCATATATTTTTCTGCCAAAAATAAAAACAAACTTGGTTTTATTTTTTTCCTCACAACAACAAAAAATTATGAAAAATTTTCTGATCTGCCTAATTTTTTTCACCACAATTTTGGTGACCAAAATGGTGAATTCGGTGGACACTTTGGTGATTGAAGTGCATTCGCCGACTGGCGAATTCCAGCATAGAAAAGTGAGTTTCAGACAGACGGGGAATTTTAGAGGGTAATGTAGATCAAAATTCAGGCTCAGAGTACTGTAGATAAATCCCAGGGAAAAATATGTTTCAAAAAACTATCTCTGAATTTTTGTTTTGAAATTTTTCCCGGTATCGTAGACTTATTGTTATAATTTTGAATTTCGAGAAACTGTATTTTTTCATAATTATTAGATTAAAAAATCTTTGAGAGTCTAAAAATTATAGTTACAGTAATCAGGTAGGTTTCAAAAAAAAGTATCTACAGTAATCAATCCTAGCATGCATTTTAAAAATTCAAATCGTTTTTTTCTGAAGAATATTGTGATTCTGAAAAATGTAATTTTTAAAATCAAAATTTTGAAACGTAAATTTCCCAAGATATTTCGCGCCAAATTCTAAAGACTCATTCGGTCTCAAAAACCTGTATTTTCCAGGATTCGCTTTCCAAAGCTTTTGGTGCCAAAATTGAAAACGGCGCAAAAACCAAACCCTCAATTGGCGACGACGTTTTGGTGCCATACGATGATCCAGAATATTCAAGAAGAAAGTGAAAATTTTGAATTTTTGAAATTTATGGAAAAAATTTCATTTTTTGTGAACATTTGTTTGAAAAATCCCCTTTTTACGTGTATATTTATTTTTTTTGAATATATAAATATAAATAAATAAAATTAATGAATATTTACACATTTTGTTAGAGGAGGGCCCTATTCGCGCACCGCTCTAACCATATGCCTATCTCAAATAAAAAGAGCAGTAATAGTATTGTTTAATAAGAGAGTGCAGACATTTATCCATCTGGAATTAAGTGGGGAAAGAGAGCTGCAGAAAAATGACAGATTGTTGAGAAACACAAAAAGATATTGTAACATGTTATAAACAAATAATAAACCACGTATTATGACACCTTATAAATATGTGTTAAAATTGAGGATTGAAGATGAATTTTGGAATTTTTAGAAGAAGCTTTGATGAGTTTGATTAGAAAATTTGAATTATTTGGAAAATTTTGAAATTTTTGATACTAAATTAAACTATTTTTGGGTACTCTAGATTTTAGCACCAAATTTAATTGTTTTTAGAGAACTGTAAAAGAAAAGTTTTTAGAGAACTAAATAGCCACTTATTTCTACCTTTAAAATATTTTGGGTTACTGTAGATTCAGATTATTATTATAGATGAACAATTATTTATTATGGTTCAAAAACAATCATTATGGTTCAAAAAATTTTTGTTCTAAATCCAATTTTGAAACGTAAATTTTCAAGATTGTTTTGGTGTTTAATATTCACAGTAATCGCGTGCTTTTTGGAAGAAAAATCTTGAATTTCTACAGTACCCTTCGATCTATCAACAAACGTTAGAATTCTTCAAAATTTCTCAAGTTGTTATACTTCGTAACCTGAAATCACCCCTAAAAATTCTTCAAATTCAATCCTAAGTTATCCTAAACGATCCAAAATCCAGATTTTTCTCTGACAATACCCTAATCCCTCTAAATTCCACCCTAACATTTCAAGTGTTTATCTGTTCCTTTTCCCAATTTTGTTGGTCCTCCAAAAATGATCCCCTTCTTTTCTTTTTTCCGGTCAATAATACCCTACAATTATGTAATTGTTATTCACTTTTTCGAGCCAGATGTTCCAAAAAATTCTGGTTTTTTTTTCTGTGATGGAGGCTACCCAAATCTTCAAAAGGATTAAATTAGAATTTATTTATTTATTTTGCATCACATACTGTGAAATGAGAAAACGAAGATAAATTGGACTTTGTCGGCGAAAATGATTATTTTGGAGAGAATGCCACGTGGCTCCGGTAATGTAAAAAAAATTTGATTTCTCAGAATAAATTACAGTGGGATCAAATATTGCAAAAAAAAAAAAAATTATTAACTTTTTTACATTAAAAAATTTGCTGTTTCGAAGAATGTTCATCAAAAAATAAGCGAGACAGAAAATTGTTTGTAATGGGCATGGATATTTCAAATTTAAAATTGACATCAAAAAAATTATTTTTTTTTATTGATATTGTCAAATTTTTTTGAAACACAAAATTATTTTTTATATGTGAGAAAATCACTGTTTCAAAAATTATTCAAATAATTTTTGTTTACGAACATTTTTTAGGAGAGATTTTTACTACAAAAAAATTTAAATCTGAATCCTAGTCAGCTTAAGCCTGAACCTTAAGCTTATATCCAATTCTAGAAATCGAGCCTTGAGCTTCAACTTGAGCTAAAGCCTAAATCCTAAGCCTAACACTTAAGCCTAAAGCTCAAATCTTAACACAAGCCTTAATGTCAAGGTTATATCAGAGACTTAACTACTACTAAAACATAAAAATCCCCAAAAAGTCCCGCCATCTTTTTTCCTCCTCTTTTTTTCCGGTAATTGTGTTAGGTTCATTTTGAGCACACAAAAAGGAGCACAAATCATCTCCCAAGAGAGACCTCCTTCTCAAAATGACCCTTGAATTTGATTAGCTCAATTTCTGGAGCTCATCAAATAAATGTGTGCAGAGCTTAGAAATCTTTTGAGATGAAATGAAAATATATTTTCTCAGATTAGATTAAATTAAATATGAGTGAGTTGAATGTGTCAAGATTTGAACTAATGAAAAATTGAAAATTTCCGGATCACTCTCTCAAAAAAAAGTATGAGCCTTTGAAAATCGATCAATCAAAAATTTTCAATTTAATTATGATTGATTTAGTGGTGACAATTATTGAAAAGCCCCTTCCGGTTGGTGGATTTTTGATGGATTTTTATTATTTTAGCACACATCACCAAAAATTGACTGTTTCAAACATTTCATATAATTTTCTTTTAAAAATTATTAGATTTTGATTAGATATGTGGATATTTGGGGCCAATTTCCAGCAAAATTTGTTAAATTTCTGTTGCGATGAAAATTACTGATCCAGAAAATTTATTTTTGATTTTTATGAACTTTTCTCAAAGACAAATGTTTCATTACTTCAGAAAAAAAATCAAAATTTCTATAAATTGTGCTTCAAAATCCCTTTCTTAAAAAACTCACTGTTAACCAATCCATTAATTGCGACAGTTGCAATAATCGAACTAGTTTTCTCAAAATTCAGCGGTTTTTCCAGATTTATAACTCCATTTTCATCAATTTTCAGCAAATCTTTTCTCGCATTCACTTCTCCAATATTTTCACCAGGAAATAGTTCGATTTTCATAGTTGGCAAGTTTTCAAGCTCATTTTCTGGGATATCAAAAACAAGGTCGGATAAATGTCTTCTGAGTCTCGGCTTTTTTGAGTTAGCCTTGGGAATAGGCTTAGACACCACTTCGATTTCCAGTCTTGCCACAGATGTTTCAGATTTGTTTCGGATTATGACAAATATCGTGTAGATTCCCGGTCCGATGGTTTTTCGAGCTCTAACTTTCCCAGTAAATCTTTCGATCTCAAAAAATCTAGATTCCCTGTCCAATTTAAACTGGTTCGAACTGTTTGAATTTGAACTCGGAACTTGGAAAATCTCCTGATTCTCCTCAAGTGGTCCGAATATTGAGAGGACTAATTTGGTTGGTCGAGAGGAATTGAGATTTTTGAATTGAATTTGGATCTTGGTTTGCGCTTGGATTTCGTCGGTGAGAAGATCGATAGCGGCGAGGTAGATTGTGAAGTTTTGAGTGGGAAGATGGTCGAGGGGAGAGGCGATTAGCAGCTGGAAATAAATGTTTTAAGACTAAGGCTATTTTTAGGCTACAATTTCATAATACAAAAGTTTTTCATCAAGTTATAGAGCAGCTCGTTTGTTTTTCTACAGAAACATCACTTCAATTCAGTAAATTATACAGTAACATCCAAAACATAAACCAATTTTTTGAAACGGTGAATTTTTTTGAAATTTCTATGTTTGACCTAAATTTAAATTTGCCTTTCACAAAGAAAAAGTACTGTTCAATAAAAAAAAATTAAACTTTTGTAACGACATTTTTTAAACAAAAATGTAGATGTTTGAAATTTCAGTGTAAAATTAATTTCAGAAAAATATTCATGGTTCTGATTCTGAAATGACTGTTGGATAAAAACATTCAAAAAATTAGCAGATTTTTGATTTTGAAACAGTGTATGTTTGAAAAAAAAACGTGAAAAATTTTGAAAGCAAAATGCTCACCTCAACACTGCCTTTTCCACTATCCAAAACCATAATCGGTACATTTTCCATATAACTTATCGATTTTATTCGTAAATTCTGGACACTTCCAAGATTCTTGACAAAAATCAATGTTGAAAAAAGGAGCCTTGATCCTACAGGACTTGTAGAATATACCAGAGTACTGTAGATGTCTTCAGAAAATGTCAGAAAACTTTTCGAGTTCTCTGGCTCAATATATAAATTCAGACTAACAATCCGATTCAGGTCATCATTTTTTGCTCGCAGAAAAAGCTCGATCAATTCTCCTCGCAAATTTTTGAGTGATTTCCCGTGCGCCAAAATGATTCTGGTCCCATCTTCCACTTCAAAAAACTCGGAAAACAGTGAATTTTGCATCTCAACTTGCTCCAAATCGCTAATCAATTTTTGAAATCGCAAATCTGCCACCAAACTTCCTTCGGGCGAATTTTCCCCAATTTTCGACAATGTTCGTGACTGCAAAAATATATATTCGGTTTTTTTTTTCGCTTTTTGGAGCTGGCTCCTAGCGCGGCACAAATTTATGTGCTCTTTTAATGGACTATTTCCCCCATTTTTGTGAGGAGAGCTTAGAGAGTGGCTTTTGATGTGAAATTGAAATTTTTTTGGTGGAATACTAATTTTTGAGGATAAATTTTGAGAGAATCGGATTAGGCTTGGAAAAATGTATATTTATATGGAAATTTGATAGTTTTTTCGAATTTTTGAAAACTATATAAAGTTTTCCTGAGAGAATATTTCGATTTTCAGCGGGTCTTGCGCGAATTTACAGAATTTAAATTATGTATTAAAGGCGCAAAGGTTTTAATAGGAAAAGTGTTCAAAAAAAATTATGGCGGTACACACCTGTTTAAAACAAGAAAAATAGAAAATAAGAAGAGATACAGAGAAAAACAGAAAAGTACTGCGAAACTTTTTCGCGCTACGATACCAGTCAAAAATATTTTTTCATTTTTTTATTATTTTTCTGTTAGGTTTTCTTGACAAAAACCATAAGAAAAAGGAAAAATGGGAAATGAATATGTTATTTTTCTTTTTTTCTCTGTGTTTCTTCAAATCTACTCAAAAAAAAGTGTGGTTACTGTACACGAAAAATCAGGATTAAGTACTGTAATTTTTAAAGGTACGTTTTATTTTTGAATATTATATGAAGGTTTAAAGGTACTTTTCTGCTCCAATTTTGGCTCTCCAAATTTTTTTAATTAAATTTCTGTTCTAAATTTTTCCATGTTCTTTCTTTTTTTCTGCCCTTTTTGCCTCATATAAATAATAATTCATATGTCAGGCAAAAATGCCATGCTATTTGATATATTATTTTAATTCATATATATTTGTTGACACCAATACCCAGTGCACCAATTTATAAAGGAACATGGTGAAAGAGAAGAAAAAGTGGACTTGAGGAGGAAAAAAGAAGAAGGAGAACATGAAAATTGGAATTGAAATAAATATGAGCAATGTTTTGAGCAGAAAAAGAATATCTGATTTCATTGGAGAATATTTTGGAAATTCAATTTTGTGAAGAAAATTTGTGATTTTTAACAGGAAGATTTTTGGTTTAAGAATTTTCAGCTCGAATCGGATTTTCTAGAGTTTTTGAGAAAAATGAAATTTTTTTTTTTGGTAGATGGCAGTTTTCATTTTTTACAATTAAAAAAAATATTCGAATTGAATTTTTCAACAATTTTATTGTTGCTGCTTTCTCATAGAAGTTCCTCAAATCTCAATAAATCCTGGAATTTTCATCAAAAACACACTGTTTCAAAAAATTCATATATTTTTCAAATAAAATTTTTTGAACAATTTATCTATCTTGATGGAATTAATTTCTCAAAAAGTTGAGTTCAGAATCTAAAACTTTGCTTGTTAGAAAAACACACTGTTTCAAAAAATCTCAAATTCCCACATTTTTCCCAGTTTGTTTCCCAAGCCAAAATCTCATTCTCTTTTCAATGCGAAGAACACAAATGATGCGTGAATTTTTAATAAAAATCCTCTCTCACAAATTTATTTTGTGTTCATGTTAGGAGAATGGTTGTCAAGGTGTTCCAACAAAGAATGAAAAGAGGTGGATTAAGCCCCGAGCCTAGAATCTAACCTGCTAACCCCTCATTTTTGGCTCAATGCGCGAAAATGTTAAATGTGGCAGGTGTTTTGGGGAGAACAAATCTTGAAATATTTTCGTGAGAGAAAAAAATGAGCTTGGGAATTTGGATTGCCACGCGTAGCCACGTGGCAGAAAATGTGAATTTTTGGAAGAAAAATCTTAATTTTTCAGAAAATGTTTGAAATCAATTGTAAAAAATATTGAAATTCGAAAGCTGATAATTTTGCAACGTGGCAAATTTTCGAAATAATTTTTTTATTCCGAAACTTTGCCACGTGGATTTTTGATCCCCCAAAACTTATATTTTTTCCCGTTTTCAATATCCTGCACTTCAAAAACATTTTTTTTTGTGCTCCGCTCATTTTTTTTTTGTGCACAAAAAATGTATGAAAATTTGATGGGCCCATACATTTTTATTTTTTGACAAATTGTTTTTTTTTTTGACAAACCTGACATTTCAGAATACATAGTGTTGTAATAATTAATAATTTTAGGAGCATTTTGAAAAAAAACGTTAAAATAGTTGCATAATAGAAATTCTGAAAAAAGGACTAGAATTAAATTTCGAAAAATTGAAATAACAAAAAAAAGAGAAGAGAAGTTTCCAAAATTCAAAAGATGAGAAATAGAAAAATTCTTAATGATGTGTATTTTTGAAGCTAACATAAGCCTAGTCCGGAGAGTACTACATAGTATTAAATAGAAAAAAAAGTGGGAAAGGGGAGAGCCAAGAAAAAAAAATGGGCGGAGTTTGGGAGGGGAAATGGGAAAAAATGAGAAGGGAATGAATGTATGAATGACCAAAAGGTTGAGAAAAAATGAAATGAGAAAGCATGGAATCAAGAATGAAACCCTGTTTTTTGGCGCCAAAATAAATCGGAATTTTTAAAAGTTCACTGTTTCAAAAATACCATAACTAGAAAATTGCTTTTTTCTTTCATTACTTTAGCCATTTGGAGGTTTGAAAATAATCAGTCATGAAAATTTCCATTCAAAAATTAAAAATATTTTGTGCTGAAATTTCAGCTTCAAATTTAACTTTGAAAAAAGTGTGGAATTTTTCATACTAATATTTGACCTTGAAATTCTACTTTTTTTTGAAAAAAAAATTTTTTTTTTTGATTTTGATAAAATTCACTGTTTCAAATTTTGCTCCATATTTTTTGAAAAATTATGAGTTCCCAATCAAAAAAAGAAATTCAAAAATGGCGCCAAAATATTTCATCACCCTTTTTCATCCATTAATTTTCGCCTCATTTTCTCATTTCCTTTCTCATTTTCTTCCCGAAAAAATTCAATTATTTTCAAGCATCTTCAAAAATTTCGAAATTTTACTGACTCATTCAGTTTTTTTTTCAAAAAAAAAAGAATCCCCAGAGAATCCTAAAAAAAATGTTCGGAAAAAATGGGCTACTCGTAGTAATATTTCAAAAAAAGGATTAGTTTCGACTTTTTTTTGTAAATTTCCGAAAAAAAAAGAGAAAAGTGAAAGTTTTATTCAAATTTTTTGTGCTCATTCAAAAAAATGAAATAAAATAAAAGCAGGTGTTTTCTTGTGAGCCCAGAAAAAAGAGCAAAACAATAGAAGTTCAAGACTGTCAGGAACGCAGAACACAAAACTAATTAAATATCTTGGGAGAGCAACTAATTATTTATTTTTTTGGTGCCTGGCAGAAAGTGTTTTTTGGTGTGAAAATTGATGAGGACCCAAATTTGCTTTTTTTAAAATAAGATATGATCGTATCATCGAAAAATCTTGGAATCTCAACAATTTTACAAATTTTCGAAACAGTGATTTTTTGAATACGAAAAAATTATTTATTCGAAAATTCTGGATGAAATTGTTGCCACGTCATAGCTAATTGTTTTTTGAATGAAAAAATTGAATTTTCAGATGTTCTACAAGGCTGGAAAAGTCAAAAATGATTTTAAATGTGAGGAAAACGATTATTGGTTGAAAAACATCGGATTTCATGAAAACTGTTGAAGTATTACTGGATTTATTACTCAAAAATCGATGGAAAATGGGTTCGAGTAAGATTTTGCTGTGAACCTCTGAAAAATAACTGGAAATTTGTTGTAAGACCCAGAAAGCCATCAGAAATCAGAAATGGAGTTATCTAGCAGAAATATATGAAAAAAATTATTGAAAATAGAAAAAAGTTAGGCTAATTCATCAAATCACAATTTTAAACGAGAAAACAGTGAAAAAACAAAGAAAATGAAAAATAAAATAAAAACCGCGCCATCACTAAATTAGGAACAAGTGCAAAAAGCGGAGTGTTGTTTGCAACCTGAACACCGGTTTTTTTTACTTGTTGAATGAAAACAAAAAACAACAGAGAAATCAAATAATTTTTGAAACAGTGGATTATTTAAAGTTTGAAAAAAATAATTTTGTGAAATTTTCATGAAAATTTACTTGATTTTTAAAAATGTTAATGCTCAAAAATTTACAATTAGTTTGAAACAGTGAATTTTTTATCGAATTAAAATTGAGAAAACCCTGTTTCACATCAAATTTTCGCGCAAAATCCACAATTCTCAAAAGAAAATTCATTTTTTCGACTTCGGCTTTCAAAAATAGTAGTGGCTACTCATTTTCAACTAATAACACCTCATACTATCTATTTTCTAGTAAACAACAACAAAAGGAGAACAAAAATAATAAAACAAGCTTTCATGGAAATTGAGTCGAAAAAAATGTGGAAAAAAGTGCGCGGCGGCAGACGGAAAAGGTTGATAAAAATTATTTATAATTGAAATGTATACTAGTTTTTAATGGATTTTTTCAATGAAAAAATGAAATAAATTGTTTTTTTGTTAAAAGCATTTTGGATCAAAAATGCCTAGTCATAAAAATACTCATTTTTTCCTTCTTTGCACCGAGCAAAAATAAATGAATGTCCTCTCAATTTCTTCGTCTTCTTCTCGTCTTTTTTTACTCCTTCTTATTTAGCCTAAATTGAATTTAGCCACACACGACGCCTTTTTCCTTTTCGCGTATTTAGTAGAAAAAAACATAAATGTATATTGGAAGGGGAAGATCAGAAATTTAAAGCACACTTTTTAATTTTTCGATTTATTAAAAGAAAATAACAAAAACAAAGAATAACATTTAAAATACAAAACAATAAAACAGGAATAACAACAAACCGATGAAAATATTAACACGTTTGTGTCGTTCTTCAGAAAAAATTAAATTTAGGAGCGACCTCCTCGATAACCGCCACGTGCGCTACCAAAACCTTGTCTATCGCCACTTCCATATCCTCCTTGTCTTTGTCCACCGAAATTTTGATATCCGCCTCTTTGATTTTGTTGTGGTGGAGCTTGACCAAATGATCCTCTGGATTGTGGATTATCGAATCCACCAGATAGGAATTTCGTGGTTGGCTTTGGCGGTTCTCCGTGATCTCCAGAGCCAAAAGTTTGAGATGAAGCTGAAGCTGTTGGTTCAGGTGGAGCCGGCGAGGTTTCGACGAAAAGTTTTTGCTCAACTTTTGCTGGTTCCGGGGTTGATGGAATGAACGCTGGTGTCTCGTTGATTGAAACTTCTTGGATTCGTTGAGCGGCGAGATCGACTTCGTCCTATAACAAATTTATTGATTTTGAACCGAAAAACGTAAAAATTTAGATTTTTATCGAAAAAAAAACGTGACCTTCATTTTAATTTTAAAAATACTCAGAATTTCATTTTTTTTATTCTGGAAGAAATTTTCATGCGAAAATCGAGGGTGTTTCAAAAACAAAATCTATCAAAATTCCAACAAACCTTTCCAACGTTTGCATTCTCGCTACTCTTAAATCCTGCAAGATCTCCTTTTCCTCCATTATCAATGACCAATTGCGGTTCTTGAATTCCGTTCAAAATAACGCTTGTCGAAACGCTCTTTTCTGCATGGATTTTTTCAATTTCATCACGTGTATAATTCAAAGATGATGGAGTTGGGTCGCATGGATGATGTGGCTTTTTCTCAAGAGCTGTGATGATTTTTGACAAATTGTCTTTGGCTGAAACAGTTGAAGCGGTTTCTCCTGAAAAAAAAACTTGATTTATTGAACAGTGTTTTAAATAAATACCTTTCAATGTTTTAATAATCGTTGATTTGATATTGAAATCCATCCAAAGGAAATCAAGCTCGCCACCATAATTTTGAACGACTTCAATAATAAAATCGAATGCCAACAAAATTTGGCTTCTCTCGGATCCAAAATCAACTGCAAAGCCAAAAACATCTCTTGAAACTGCAGCCTTGTAATCGAAGAGAATCTTCAGCAACGCATCTCTTTTCCATGGTTCATCGAGGATTTTGTATAAACCTGCGTGTTCCATTTCAGAAAACCGGAGAGCATTTCCAGGGATCGGAACGAAAAGTTGGACAAAATAGCTGACAAATGTGATGGATGTCTGAAAGTGATGTTTTTAGCGGAAATTTATTAGAAAATAATTTACCTTGACAATTGTGCGAACCAATCCAGGAAACATTACTCTTCTGATAGCTTCAGGAATCTTCGAGTGAATATCCTTGACCAAATCTCGTTCGCCAGCAAGAATTGCGCGAACAATAATATAGAACAACTGGCTGGAGAGTGGTGCCAATTCATTCAGTGCCACATCATCTTCTCTGGCAACCAGTGGAAGAATTTGTTCGACAATGACCGGCAGGACTTTTTCAATAATCTCCGGGATCGATTTCGTCAAATTTCTTGCGAGTTCAACTTTCGGATCAACACTTCTTCCATTCAACCACAAATTAACCAAGCCACCATGCTTTCCCTCGAATTTCGCTATAATGTTATCGCGAACCAATTTGATCTCCTCGTCTTTGTCAGCAGTTCCACTTGAGAATAACTTGAGGAAGACGTAGGCGTCCCAATCAAAATCAGCAACGCAAAGATCGCTAAACGCGCTGAATCTATCGGAAGCGGATTCTGCCATTATAATCGATTGAAGAAATTTCAAGAGTTGGCTTCCTTTCACTTTGCCGATGACCGTTTTTCTGACAATATTCGCCAAATCTGCTGCAAAACCGGCGCCATCTTGTGCATTGAGTCGACAAGTGTATACATCATGATTTCCACCATTTGCAACCAATCTATCACCAAGAATCCGAGCGGTTCCCAGATAATCATTTCCAAATGACCAGAATGTATCGATGGCGGCAATTAGCTCATCGTTACTCGGATTTTCGGGGATGAGAATTGATTGAAAGTCATTTGCCTGTGGGAAGTTGTTCGTCAATCCCAAAATGAATGCGGCAAATTGGTTGACATCTTCACTTTCAATCAATTTTTGCTCATTTTCCAAGATATACTTGAGAAGTGGGGCAAAGTAATAGGTTTTGACACCTTCGATTTCTTTGTGTACCCTGACCGTATCCATTCTGAAAAAAAATATTTTGATCAATTTCCCGAAATCCCCCGTTTACACGCCTAAACCCGGAAGAAAAAACACGAAGAATGAAAAAAATCCTAAAAATTGTGTGTTGTACACCGCCGGAGATTACTGTACTTGCGGCACCCATCGAGACCCACACAAACAAATGAACGTCCCTTTGAACAAACTACCGTATTTGTAAACATTTTGATGCGAAATTCGCAAAATTTTGCGAATTTTTTTAATTGCAAAGTTTTTTCAAAAGCCACTTTAAAGTACTTTCAGTCGTGAAAACGGGACGTAAAGTGAGTGAGGAAGAGAAACATATGTTAAAAATACTGTTTAGAACAAAACTTTGCTTCGGGAGATATCAAAAAACTATTTTTTTTTAATTTCATAATCATTTAGATGGCAAATCACACACGTTTGAAAAAGAAGAAAGTTGTGCAATTTTCATCGCGCAGCCGACAAAAACGGTGCAACGCCTAGCGGTTTAATTACCCCCACTTCATCAAAAACAAAAAACATAGCGAAAATCAGCGTATCGAGATCTGTGCGAATGATTTTATTTGGAATTTTTAGGGGTCCTGGGAAGAAAGTTAGCCTCCGCTGCGAGACCAATCGAAATTAAAAACACACGCGCCTTTGATACCGTACCTCTTTTTTTTCAAAATAAAAAATAGAGAGCGCGGCAAACGAGAGAGTGCGAGAGATGTGTGAGAACGAAATGTGTGCAAACACATGTCCGCAAACACCGTTGTCACTGCTTACCATGACTCTTCATTGCATGGGAAAAACGTGTGTGAAATAAAACCAAAATTTTAATAGTTTGACCAGAAGCCTCCTTAGCTCAGTTGGTAGAGCGTGAGACTTTTAATCTTAAGGTCAGGGGTTCGAGTCCCCTAGGTGGCTTGATTTTTTTCAATTTTTAAAGAAAAATTGAATTTCAGCGATTTGTTCAGGATTACGGAGCACAGGGTGTAATTTACTACCTCAAATCGTTAGACCTCAAATTTTTCATTAATTTTTGGGTAGATCAAAAATCATTTTTCTCTAAATCTCTCATTTTTGCGTTGAATTTCGTCGATTTTAGTCCCGCCCCTAAGATCGTGTCAGGTCTCAAAAAATGCGCGAAATTTTTCGGGTAGAAAATTACACTCTGTGCGGAGTATTACTGTAACACGATTTGACATTTAAAAAATTCATGTTTTCGAATTCTCAGTCGATTTTACAGCCGCTTGTCTCATTTTCAATGTTTTCTTAACTCGTTCCATTTTCTCTTTTTGAATATAAACAACAAATCGAATGAGACCAATGAAAAATATAAGAATAGCAATTGACCAATAAAAAACAGTCCAATAAATATTCTCAACACTTGTTCGATGATTTCGATCTCTAAAGCTTATTCGAATTTTCGTTTTTCGATTTGTTATCATATCGATTTTTCTGAAAATTAAGGTATAAATTTAACTTCAATGAAAAAATTCGAAAAATCTCACGTTTTAAAATTCTTGATACCAATCACCAAAATCTCATTTCTTCTCATAACAATTCCTTGAATTTGACAATTCACATCTGGTCGAAACTTTTTCGGTTCTCTCAAATTAATTCTCCATTCAATTGCAGTTTTATCCATATCATAAATTTCGGGATCAATTCGAATTCGAAAATTCTCATTCAAAATTGCCGGAATTTGAACATCTTGATTTCCAATCAAAATATCGCTGAAATCCAGGGTTTGACACGTGTCAATTTCATTTTCCAGGTCAGAATCGACAACACCATCCTGGAAAAAATTAGGGATTTTTTGAGTGAAAAAAATACTGTTTCAAAATATTTTGATAACTTTTTTTTTGAAAATTTAAAAACAATAGAGCTAATTGTTTATATATTTTTATATTTTATGTTTAATAAACAAATAATTCACTGTTTCAAAATTTTTTGTTTTTTTTTGCCAAAGTTAACTAGTTTTATAGTGTTCCCTAACTCACGAGTTCAATTCCTTGACATTTTGCCCACTCAACACAATTGAATTTCTGTTTATCATCCTTGCAACTTTTTGACTCCAAAATCACTCCACTATTCATTCCTCTTCGCAACCCGTTTTTGATGTAAAATTTCGACAACATTGATGCCGCAACACCTTCATGTCTTTCTCCATGATAAACAGTGGACCACGCTGGAATTCCTCGTGTTGAATATGGTGCAATATTCAAATATTCATCGAAACCTGACTTTTTGTTGAGATCGATTTTTCGAATACTTAATAAGCCACGACGAGATTTCGAAGAATACACATTTTCACTGAAAAAACAAAAACACATTTCTCGGGTTTTTTATTCGAAAAATAAAATGACACACAGAATCGAATTTTTGAGCCACAGTAGTTTGGAAAAATCTGACAACCTACCACAAAAACAGGCGCGAAAATTCTCTCAGAAGCCCTTTGAGACGATTTTTTCACCAGGATAAAAACCAACCCTTTAATTCTAATTCTGAAAAGCTAAATAGCAAGACAATAAATTTTTATCTACAGTAATCCTGAAAAATGAGTGCAAAAGTTCAACTCACCAATCCGTAGCTGTCTGTCTCTCATAACCACATAAACTTGAAGGACAACAACATGCTGAACAACACGACCATTCTTCCCAATTTATAAATATCTCAAGATTATCTTTTATTGATTGAACCACCGGATATTTAAATTGTCCATTTTTATTAACATCATAATCCATATATCTAAACGGATTGTTATGAAAACCACTTCTGTCTTCCGCTTTAGTTGGAAGAGCTTTGAGAAAATCGATATTGACGAAAACATTGCTTGCAATCATATTATTTCCAGTTTCTAATTCCATTGCACATTGCAAAGTTATTCCTTCTTGAAATCCTAATTTATCAGGTCTACTAATAAACATTTCGCCATCTTGTTCGCCTTGCAAAAATCGATAATTATTATTTGTAGTTTGCTCATTACTCCATCTTCCAATATATTGAGTTGCTATTGTGTAGTTTTCTTTTGCAAGTTTCATCGATTTATTCATTATCCATGCTTGAAGAGGCGCAATTCTTGGTGATTTTTCACAATCCGTTTTGGTGCAATAATCTGGATCCAGTGATATTTTTCTGCTGGAAATTGGTAATTTGTGCATTTCAATATTGAAATCTCTTTCCGGATATAGATAGAAAAATGTTGGTAATCCTTGAACAATCGGTTGACATGCTGTGCATTTTGCTTGAATTGGTAAACCAAGTTCGACATATTTTTGAAAATTTCGAAAACCGATTTTGTAAATCATATCCGGATTTTTACACATTTCAGTCGGTGTCGAGACTTTTCGCAAAGATGGATTCGACACAAAATAGGGCAATTTATGATAAATTGTTTGATCGGGACCATTTAATAATTCAGGAACACTGAAATCTTCGACCATTCCGGCTGGAATTCCAGAACTATCGCGTTTTGTCATAAATTCGGTGGAAAAATATTGAGTTGAACCATTTGAGAGGGGTAGAAAATGATAGAGAGTGTAGAGGAGAAGTTGATTGCCCAACCAAGAAGTTGTTTCGGATAACTCATCTGGAAAAGTAAATAGGGTTTTAGGGCGAAATTCGGCTTCTTCGGACATCATAAACTCACAATCCGGATATTTGCCAAAATGAAATGATTCATTAACATTGCTAGGTTTTTTGAAATACATTATAACAAGAAATAACTAGATTTTTTGGATTTCCTAATTTTCACGCGAAAAAGAGTTCACGGGGAATTTTATTTTTTTTTTCCAAAAAATTTAAAAAAAAAAAGCAAAAAGTCAAGCCACCTAGGGGACTCGAACCCCTGACCTTAAGATTAAAAGTCTCACGCTCTACCAACTGAGCTAAGGAGGCTTCTGTGGACAACATTTTGAAATGTTCATCTTATTTTCACTGCTGCTGTCATCTCAATTTTGCAAATTGTGTTAGGAATTGCAAAGAATTACATAATAAATCTTATCTTTTCGCCTCGATTGACCTCACTTTTTTTGTGTTTTTGATCATATTTCCTCCTATTTTTTTTTGCAATTGTCCTCATAAAATAAAAAAGAAAATAACTTCTCGCGCATGCTTCTTTTTTCTTTTTATTTTTTTCTCGTCCAATTCATTTTGCAAGTGTATTTCGTATGAAAATAAAAACAAATAAATAAAATAATGATCCTAGTCTCGCCACCACCGGTCATTGTTTTATTTGTTTCTTTTTTTCCTGCCTGCCCAGACCAATTGCCCAAAAACCTCTCCAAAAAACTTTAGAAGATTATCCCGCGCGACTTTTTCGCATTTTATTGATTTTCAGTGGCATTTTCAGATTTTTTGTAGATTTTTACACTCAGAATTATTTAGGAAAATTGGGATTTCTGAAAAAATAGCCTAGAAAACCAATTTTGAATTTTTCCAAATTTATTTAAAAAATTGAATATGAAGTCCGAAATTTGGAAAAAAATCAGTTTCCAAAAACCACGTGGCAAATTCCATTACTTCAAAAATCCTATTCATATATTCCGTTGAAAAAAATCCGCAAAAATCCTCCAATTATTTGTGTGCTCGTGAGCAAGCACAAAAGCGAGAGCCAGCCAAAAAGATAAATAAAAAATAGTACACACATACAAAATTTTCATATTATGCAAATCGCAATTTGTTTATTTTTAGGAGCGCGGATTTTGCTCCCAGCAAAATTTTTGTATCTCCCCAGGTCAGCACAATTTTTGTTTACTTACCCACCAAAAACTTTTTTTTTGACTCCTATTTTCTATTATACTTTTATATATGTTTACTTGTACCGTTTACACCTTTATGGTGTCAAATTACAAATTTCATCAAGATTTTGAGATTTTCAGAATTTCTAACCGGGATTTTTGAGTTCTGCTTGAAATTTCAATTTCTTTCGATTTCTAGGACAGCTCTTCAAAAATTCCAAATTTTATTTAAAAACTTATAGAATCTGAAAATTTCATTAATTCGGAAAATTAAAAAAAAATTGGATTTCTAGACCACAACTTCAAAACCGTGTTCTAGGCTCAAAAATCCACGTGGACCACAATTTTGGCCGAAAAATGAGCATTCTTCCAACGTCATTATGTGTTTTTTTTGTTTTTCGCCGACTAATCCTCGAGAACAGTTCGTTTTCCGGTTTATTTAGATCTAATTGGCAAATAAACAAAAAATTATCGACTTTTTCACATTTTTTTGGTGTGGTGTGGTTTTTCAAGTGTTTTAGGCTTTTTCGAACTTTTTTTTTGTAGCAAAAAAAGTGCAAAAAGAACGTTTTTTTCTATTTGAGTGAGTGAGTAAAAAAAGCCACTTGAAAATGTGGGTTTTTTGAGAGCTTCCTGGTTGCTGCTCTTTTTTTTGGACTAGAAAAATTATTTTAAGGTTAAGAAAGTTTTAAGTTTTTGCCACGTCATCGAACAATTTTTCAACGGAAAAGTTTACTGTTTCAAAATTTTCAAATAATTTTTTTTTGAACTTTTAACAACATTAATAACACATCTTACAAGAAAAATAGTTCTCATCTCATAAAATAGTCCTCATAAAAATTTCCGAATTTTTTATCTGCCAATTTTTTAAATAAGAATAAACTTTTAAATCTGATCCAAATCAAAAATTTAAACAATTAAACAATCCTGAAAATCTACTGTTTCAAAAATTTCATATAATTTTTCGAAAAAAATTTATTTCAATCATCCTAAAGTATCTCTCTGAAATAATTTTGGCGCTATAAATAAACTTCTGAAAGTATTTTGGGCCACGCTTTAATAATCTAGGAGTACTGAAAAATTTTATCTCCAGAAACTATACATAAATGTTGAAGCATTAAAAATTTTTACAGTCAAATTTCCTTTTACTATCTTAGTTTTCATTTTCAGCCTATGTTTAATTGTAAGTATTTAATATTTATCGCAAGTTTTTTTTGAGTCAAAATTTCAGCGCTGAAAGTTAAAATTAAAAGAAACGAGAGAATCAAGCTCATTGAAAAAATTTAGAACTTCAAAAATCATACAGAAATGTTGAAACAGTAGATTTTCTGAAGTGATAAATTTTTTTTAGAACATTTTTTTTTACATGAAGTCCAGCTAACTTAACAGCGCCAAAAAACATCATTTTTTTTACAGATTTTCTTTATTTTCAGTCAATTTTAAGCCTAAATGTTCCCCATATATTTTTTTTCAAATAAAAATTCTAAAACTAATTAATCATTTTGCCCATCATCAATTAATCATCATTTTTTCACAGTTTTTTATTCTCAATTTTTTCTTCAATTTTCTGCTTATCAGTTCCGGTTCCAGTTTTTCTTTTCAGACAAAAAATTCTTAACAATTTCTTTCAGATTCTTCTTAGTTAGCACAAATGTTATGCAATCGTCGATTATTTTTTGGAAAAATAATTAATTAATTTTTGAACAACAACAAAAACACATCAAATGGACTACTCATATGGGGCAGGTACAGTTAAGGTAAGTCAAAGAAATGACTCTGAAAATTCTGAGCACTGAAATTTGATTGTGAAACTTTTATTTTTGATAAATTTTGTGCTGAAAACTGAGAAAATGGTGAAAATCTCTAAGTCTCAAAATTTCCAGATATTTTTGTAGCACAAAATTTTGAAACTTTTCAAAGCCAACGTTTTTAGATCAAAAATTTACACTGAAAATCGTAAAAATTCTTAAAACTTCTTAAATTCCATTTTTTTCAGATAATACCTGCCTCTGCGTTTCGCGATGTTTCACTATATCATCAAAATTTTGGCTATGATTATCAGGTATTTTTTTTTGTTGAAAAAAATTGAAAATTTTTTCGAAAATAAAATAATCCTCTTGATCCGCAATCAACCGTATCAAAAATAGTTTTTTTTTTCGAAAGTTTTTTTCCAAAAACTTTTCTCTATTGTTTGACTTATCCTAAATACACCATTTATTTATGTACTTTGATTTTATTTACTCTGTTTTTACCCAAGTTGTATATTTTTCACCTAAATATGTATAATTATTTATTTACTCAGATTTTACACGAACTTTTTCTTCTTTCCCAAATTTTTCTAGGAAAATTTGATTTTTCGACTTTTTTGAGCACTTGAAAAAACTTGAAAACCACTTTTGTTAACATTTTTTGAGTGATAAGAGCTTGGAACAAGTTTTTTTTTCGAACAAATGCTCTTTTTTATATTGTTCCAAAGGTTTTTGTAATTTTTGGAACAGTGAAAAATTATAACAATAAAATTTCACATGAAAGTTTTTGAATGAAATTTTTTACTTTTTCAAAAAAATTCATTCAAACAGAATTTTTGTCAAAAACTGAATCATTTTTAGGCCACGTAGAGAATTTCTTCTTTTTTGTAATTCTTTAACATGAACAGTATTATCTATCAAAATTATAAAAATTATAAAATTGAATTATTCTCATGCGTACTTTTTGAAACGTATTTTTTTCATTAATTTTCAGAAAAATTTGAATGAGTAATTTTTTAAAACAAGATGTGGTTTTATCAAAATCGCAGAACACCTGATTCTTATGAAGGAAATATTGAAACGTAAATTTTTCTGGAAACCAAATTTTTTTTCGCGAATTTTTGGGAATAAAAAGTGTGAGGCGTACCTGCAAATTTCAATTTTTGACTCAAAAATTGCTTTAGCTCCAAAAAATCCTAGGAAAACATATGTAGATTCTATACATAGTTCAGAGTTTAGGCGATAAAATTATTTCCAAAAAACTTGGGTACTTTAATTTGTAGTTTTTCATTAACGCCAAAATTAATCCTGAAAAACGCTACTGTAGATTTATATTTTGGAACTAAAATATGATTTTAGAATACCGTAACTGTCAGATTTTCATTGAAAATGCTCAAAACTTCCACTTTTTTCCATAAAAAGCTAATTTCTCCCCAATTTCTTTCCGAATTTCTCAAATTACCCATCTTTTGTTCTCTTTTTTCTTCTATGCTCTTTCTAGCCTCTTTTTTTGCTCCAAGCTTTTGCTCGTTAAAATAATCTAGTTATGCACAATAATAATACAAGGCAAATTTGTGTGTATATTTACAATGCGCCTACCTGCGCGCGAGTCTTGCGCGAGCACCCATGTTTAATGTATGTTTATCATTCAAAACTCAAGTATTATTAGTGGAGGGGGTCCAAGGAATTTTGCAAATATATTTTATTTGCTATTTGTTTATGCACACTTGCCTAAGAGGCGCACCACTTGCTTTTCTTTTGTCTTTTTGTGCTCCAAAATGTTGTTCTTATCAATTCTAAATGTAGTTAGACTAACTTTTATTTTAGGTATTACCCTCTAAATACTATATTTTTAATTTTTTTGTTAGTTAGGCTAACGTTGACTCAACCTTATATTAAATTTTTGAATTGTTGTTAAACCTTTCTTTCTATGTTTTTGTGCTCCATTTTCTTTTAAAAATTTTTAAATCATTTTCTTTTAAATTTTGGTTAACTTTATTATTTTAGTTCTCATCCTAAATTGTTTCTCAACCTGAAATAAAATTCTCAAATTTACAGTAACTCGCTTCCAATGTTAATTTTGCCGCCAAAACTTAATTTATCTCAAAAATTTTTTTTATCTCAAATCAAATATTCTTTAAATCAACAGAACTCCCTCAATCGTTCAAAAATTGAACCTAACATTAATTTCAGGAACCGTTGGGGCACCCCATCAACGGTGCCTACTACATGGGCGGCGTCTACAATCCGGCGTATTTACACGAACCCTATGGACAGAATGGTTATATAGGTTGGTTGTTATTTTTTCAAATTTTATTTTAATATGAGCAATATGTTTTCCTGTGTTTAAATTGTTGGAAGCACCAGGGTAATTTGAACGTTTTTTTTTCTATTTTGGGCGACAAGATTTCTAGACGAGATTAAGACATTAGATTAATGTTAACGATCAAAGTTAAGGGGATTTTTGAAAATGAACCTGGGGGTTTCTAGTAACATTTGTAATATGAGCACGAAAAAATTCCTCGGAATTTTTTATCACAAATTTTAAAGTATTCCATAAGTTGAGCAATGAAATGAAATGAAAATAAGCAAAGAAATGAAATCTTGTCAAAGATCGCCCTTTTATCACACTACTATGAGCAATCAAATGACTTTGAAATTGCTTTTGATATTTAAAAATGATAGGCTTCATAAGATGAGCAATGTAGCTTCAACAATTTCTCAGAATGGCTATAACAAAATTAATGTTTACCTTCCAGATCCGACTTATGGCGATCCACATCAACACGCTTACTACGGCGGCGGTGGTGGCTACAACTATTCTCCTTACAACTATCATCCACATGCTTCTATTTACCCTGGAGCTTATGGTCCATACCCAGGTGCTTCTGGCGCCTATCGCCCTTATCCTCAACCACAACCCGAAACTTCACCTCCGCGACGTTCACGTACTGCACCACCCCGACCTCCACGCGGCACAGGAACTCTAGGCGCAGAATCGCGAAGAGGTGGAGCAACGAGTCGCGGAATATCAGTAGATGCGATGGATCGAGCCGCTCGACCTATGTATCGCCAACATACGATGATGATGAAACCAATGTATCGAAAGCGAAGGGAACCGACAACCGGAAGAAGTATGTATCATGAAACAGATTTTGGTGGTGGGGGAGGACCTAGCGAGTTTGCTGTTCCGCCGGTGAGAAGTTATTATATGGGTCCGGGAGCTGAACAACAACCACAACAACAACAACAACAGCAGACCTTGCGAAGGCTTCGACCATTCTATGCGCCATCTTACACTACATATCCACCATCCACAATGCATCACAAGAATAATATCAATAATCGAAGATATCCCACTTATGCGAGAATGGCATTGAAAGCTGCGCAATTGGTAAGGTTTTTGAAAATATTGAGGGACGGGGAAGTTCATCGCTGGGACGATGTTGTATCTGAACAACTAAGCTAAGATCCTAGGAACACTGTGCGAGTTTCCATTTATAATTAGTTATAAAATTTTTCAAATTGTCTGCAGATCTAAGTCGAAGTCAATGTCTACCTTATCTCAAATCCAACATAATTTGTTTTCAGATTCTTGGCGCCGCAATTATTGGTCTCGTGCTGGGACCAATGAAAGGCAACACATTTCACGATTTCGTCATTCGAACCAACACAGAATGGCAGGGTGAGTTTGGCAAGCTTTTTAGCACCAAAAAGCAAATATCGTTGCAGGTATGGTGCTGGGCATCGCTGTAATTTTCTCAATTTTCTCCGGCATACTTTTGCTAACTTCCTATCTGGCAAATGATGTGCACATTTGGCGAAAAGTTGATGGTTTGATTACGGCAAGTGGTTGTTTTTTCTGGCTGCTTGCCGCATTTGTTGAATCGTATTATGCGGCTTGTTATCCGCCGAATGGTCCGCGAATTAATTTGGTGTGTCATCGAGCAGAGTGGATTATTGCGTGTGTAAGTTTTTGGAATGAAATGTTTGGGGATTCTAGATTTTGGTATAGGCTTGATTTCTTAGCTCTTAGGTTTTGGTTTAAGACCAATTTATATTGGTCCCATTCTTCTGAGATTTCCAGATTTTCAGATTTTTCATTTTGAATAGGATTAGTCATTGAGCTTTGAAAAAACCAAAAAAATTAATATTATTTATACACTTTTTTTCATGGATGATGCGATTTTTGATGTCTGATTTGTTTTTTTGAACTAGAGGATATTTTTTGACGTCACAAGGAACTTAATAAATTTATTTTTGGATAAAAAGTTCAAGATTTTTTTATAAATTATTACGTGAGCTAAGCCATGACCTCAAAAAATACTGTTTGGTCAATCCTAAACTTATTAAAATGCCTTAGCCTAAAATGTTTCTTAAGATTCTCTGTTTCATCAACATGGTGATCTACGTGGCCGATTTCGTGCTTTCTTGGATGGCCGGTGTTTCGATGCTCTAGTCCAATTTGTCATCAAAAAATTGGCACCATTTCAAATTTTGTATGTAAAAATTGTTTCTTCCCCCGGTCTCTCGATTTCTAGTTTTCAAATTTTTTTGTCTTTCTTTTTCTTTTTTGGTTTGAAAAAATCGCGCGCGACTCGTCAGGTTTTTTGTTTTTCACCCGTTCGTTTTTCATTTCTAAATGTCAAGAATTGTTTTGTTTTCATTTTTTGTCAAAATTTTTCATATTTTTCGAAATGCTCCATTGTCACCCCCAATTTGCTCAAAGTTTCTATAGCTACGTTTTTTTCGATTTTTATTTTATATTATTTTTCATTGAAACAGCAAAAAAATCTGAATAAATAAATAAATATATTTTTATTTTATTTTATTCAAACTTTTTATTTTTCAGGAAAAATGGTGAGTTTCAGCTGAAAAATTCCAGAAAAATCAATGAATATAATCCGATGAGCTAGCAAAAAAAGAGAAAAAAGATTTTTTAGTTTATTTTACATAAATTTGTATATTAGCTCGATTTATTTTTTTTTGAAGAGAGCACGGCACTTTGAATAATTTTTTTCGTGCGCGCGTTTTTTTGAAGATCTAGTTAGTCATTTTTTGCCACGTGGATCGTGAAACTTTTTTTTTTCAAAAATCCGAGTTTCCAATTTTTATTGGATTCTCTCTTTCGGTGAAACAAAAATGTTGAAAAATGGAAAAATGGAGAAATGTGTCAAAAGTTTGAAACGTATTTTTTCCGTTTTTTGCATATAATTCTAAATAAATTTAATTTTCAAAAAAAAAGTTCATGAAAATGTTTGAAACAGTGAAAATAATTTATCCAAACGTGAAAGGCAAAAACTGAATGGGGTTATTTTTTTTTGAGAAAAAAATTCACTGTTTCAAAAATTTCCTAAATTATTTGCAAAACTTTTTGACACCAAAAAACCATATAAGAGTTTTCATCCAAAATTTTGAGCCTTTTTCCGATCAAAAATCTTCCTAATTCGACTCTAACTAACTCACTAACTATATAAATTATACATCTACTCTAAACAACTCTTTTTTGTCACATTTTCCCATTTTCTGCCCAACAAACTTCCTTTTTTGGCGTGTCAAGATGGACAGCAATTATATAGGCGCAAAAAAGACAAAATTTCGAAAAAAAAAACGTTTTTTTCTGCCTTCAGTGTTTTCTAGTCCTAGTTTGACTAACTAACCACTTCTTCTTCTTCTTTTTTCCATGTTTTTTTCTCGATTTCCGGCACAGACACATCCGGGGACGATTTTTCATTTTTTCTTTTCAAAAAACTGATGCTAATTCGTTTTCACTGCGTACTTTCGCTGAGTATCTAATGTTCGGAAATCTCGGATATTATTTTTAATTTTTTTGAAACAGTGAAAATTTTTTTCTTTGAAGTTTGGCTGAGTATCGTAAAAATAATGTTTAAAAAAATCTGTGATTTTGTTAAAATCTAGAGTTAGGGTTTTCCAAGGCTGAATCAGGTCCATAGGCTTAGGCTCACTCATTTCATGATTCTGAATCTACATTACCACGTGGATTTTCTTTTTCTGAAACTTCTGACTAATTTTTGCAAAAAAAACTTTGAACTAATCTCATTCATTTTTTGTAGAGTTTCTCTGAAAATGCAATCATAAGTGTTCCGTTTTTTCTCCGCAAACAGAAATCGGATTAGATTTTTTGTTCCCAACTTTTTATTTTTATTTTTTCACACAAACACAGAAAAAATGTGTGTTTTTGTTTTTTTTTTCTGCCGAGCTGAGCTGACATTTTTCTGACTTAAATTTTTCGCCAAAAAATTTTTCTGTGTTTTTTTTTGTTTGGGAGAAAATTGGTGGCGAAAATTGAAAAATTGCGTGACACTTGAAATTTTTTCCGGGAAGCTTGGGAAAAATTTCAATTCTTTCATTCTGTCCAAAAAATTCACTGTTTCAGAAAATTTGCCACGTCATAGCTTATTTTTTTGCAATTTTCTGTTCTATGAAAAAATTCCAATTTATCTCAATTTTATGCTCATCAAAGTTTTTTTTAAATAAAAACCAATTATTGCTGTTGAAAAAAATTATTATAGATATTTTTTATGAATCCACGTGGAACTTGAATCCGAAAATAGATTTTTTTGAAACAGTGAAGTTTTGTGTTGCTCTAAGCATCCACGTGGCTCTCAAAATACATATTATATTAATTTTTGAAACAGTAAAATTTATATGAGAAAAAGTTTTGAATTTTTGCCCCAAAATCCACGTGGAAATTAAGATTCAGAATTTATGTTTAGACTCTCGCAAACATAATTATCAAATTTCCGAAATTTCAGAAAAAATTAATGAACTTTTTTGAAACAGTGAAAAATGTTATTCACAAAAAAATTATATTGGAGAATATTTTAAAGATAATTTTTGTAGTTCTCGAGGATAAGTGAAATCACTTATCCTCGATTTAGTCAGAAAAAATTAGAATGTTTCAAAATTTAATTCGGGATTCAGAGAATTCAGAGGTTTTAGATAAAATACCGGTATTCGATTGTGATTAATAATTTTTCAAAACTAAAAAATGTATAAATTTTTTGAAACAGTGAAGTTTATTTTCGAAAAGAATCGTAATTTTGGTATAGAAAATTTAGAAATTTTGTAAATTCAATACTTGTTATGAGAATCCACGTGGCACTTTTTTCAAATTCACCCCACAATTAATACATTTTTCTCCCTAGAAAAAAGTCATATAACAAAAAAAGGGCCCATAAAAAACCGCTTAGCTCAGTCATCCACAAAAAACAATTTTTCTTAATTTCCCCCCTCCCGTCTATTTTTATTCTCAATTTTTTGTGCTCTTTTTTGAGCTCTACAAAAAATGCTCAGTGATGAATTGTAAGTTAGGCCTAAAAACTATAGAAAAAAACTAATTAGTTAGAGAAAAATCTCAAATTTCACGGGAAAAAAGCGGGGCACATCTGTCTATTTTTATTCTGAAAAATCCGCAACTTTTTCTATTATTTGTTTGACTCGGAAAAATTTTATTCAGAAAATTCATTCTTTGAAAAAAATGTTTCATGGGCAGGTTTGTGCACTTTTCTTGATTAATTTTTAGCTAAAAATTTTTGAAAATTTTATTTGCCACGTGGAAATTTCGAGATCAGAAGAAATTCACTGTTTCAAAAATCAAAAAATTATTTTTAGGAAAATTAATTTTGTTTTACTTTCAAAATGCGATAGAAAAATTCTACTAGATTTAAACTAACTCAAAACCTAGGTCTGTGAATCCAAATAAAAAACTATGGATCAAACTTTCAGCTACACATCCAAATAAAATCTGAAATTTGGAGCCCAGCAAAATATTTTCTTACAGATGTTCTACGCTTGTCTCGCAATTATGATACTTTTTGTTATTATGTGCTCGTGTATTACAATGGCAATTATTGATTTGGAAGTTTATAATTTTGGATTGTATATTGTTTTGCTGTGTATTGTAGGTGAGTGCATTTTGAACAAAATATCTAGGTTTTGGTGTCAAAAATACGTAAATATGAAAAAAACAAACCACAAGAGGTCACTAATTGGAATATTGTTCAAAAATTTCATGGATTTTTGAAACAGTGAATTCTAATTATAAGTTAAAATCACAAAAATCATACAATTTTTGAAACAGTGATTTTTTACTCAACAATTTTCTGCGAATTTTCTGCAGCAAAAAATCTACGTCGCGATGCTAGAAAATCACCGTCAAACATTTTCGTTTCATTCCAATATCCAAGAAGTTTTTATTAATTCCAAAGCATTATTCAAACAATTATGAATTCTTTGAAACAGTGAATTATTTCAGTCAAGAATATTTTTCGAAATTACTCAGAAAACGTCTCGTCAGCCGTCCGCGAGGTTGCGAGCTGTTGAAAGCTAGCAGAGGCATTTCGACAGCTCGCCGCGAGGTTGCCGAGACGTTTTCTGAGTACAAAATTTGGCGCAAGCGTAAAAAAATGAGCAGAACACAAACCCTTTAAACATTAGAAAAATGAATTTCAGGAACAATGTTGGCGTGTGCTCTTTGTATAGCAAACCCAGGAGCTTGTGCAAATCCCGTTTGGTATACCAATTTTTGTTTTCTGATGCATGTGAGTTAGCCTAATTTTTTCTCTAAAATGCGAGATTTTGGCTGAAATGTGATCAAAATCAAACTCGTAATTCTTGCAGGATTATATGCAAGAAATGTATCCGGTACATCCGGATGGCACATCAAGTCCAAAAATGACTGGTCTACGGGCTCAAATGCAAAGGCATGCTGCTCAGTCAATGGCAACTTCAGATGATGGAACAAGGGTGGCTGTAAGAGCTGAATCGAGAGCTACGGTAGCCATGTTGGCACCAGCTGTGCATATTATGCATCAGGTACGGTGGTTTTCAGTACGGTGAAGAAAATCCACGTGGTAACAAAAATTTCAATTTTTGTTCCCGAATCGTACAGCGAATTTAAATTTTTTTTTTTGAAAAAATACACTGTTTTTGAAACAGTGCTTTTTTGAGAACAAAAAATGTTTAAATTTAAAATTGTCACGTGGCAAAAAAACCGTTTTTTTCTAGGTGTGGAAAGGTATGGCTTGGGTAACAGATGGAATCGAAGAAGAAGACGAAGATACCCGATTATCATTGTATGACAAAATGGAACAAGGAACATCGGATGAAACAAGATCGGGAAGTGATCATGCAATGAAAAGACTATCAACAATTGCTGAAACCAGTTCATATATTCTCAGGGAAATTGTGAGTTTTTGAGTCGATTTCGGTCAAAAAATTCGTCTAATGTCAACCTATTTTTATCATAAAATCATGCATTACAGGAAGATCAGAGCAGCGACTACAATTCGAAAAATGATGTGAATCTTTAAATTTCTAAAGTAGATTTCCAGCTTTTCCTCCTACGGGTATTTTAATTTATGTATGTATAATTTTTCGTTTTGCAATTCATGAATAAATACGGTTTCTGATATTTTTTCAAATTTTCAATTTTTTTTTTGATTTTTATATTTAATATTTGCCATTTTTCAATTTTCAATTTTCCCAAAAATCCACCCAAAATCTCACCAAAAATGTCATTTCCAGCTTTGTTCGAATTGTTTCCAGCTCCGAAATCTGAAATTCAAAAATCCAATTTTCAAAAATCCCGAAATTAAGCTGACCCACCTTTTCCATGATTTTTCTGATTTTTCAACAGTAGATGTTGAAGGTTCTTTCAAATGTTTCACCTCTTTTTCCTCTCTTTGTTTCTCAATCTTCTCCTTTTCTTTCTCATGTTCAGCATTATCTATGAAAAAGAAATGTTCACTACCTCATATAAAAACTTACTCAAACGTTTGGCATCTCTTTCATATTCTTTCACACAAATTTCTTGAACTAACTTTGATATGAGCTAACTTTGCTGGATATCCATCCAATAGCCAATTTCACAAATAAACTATTTGTATTATCATCTCTGGCTTCAATTTTCCATATAAACCTTTACTTCTTATATCGATGATTTTGATACATGTCCCTTTTTTATCTCGATCACTTCTTCTTTCTTATTATCACAGACGTTTTGTATTCCGTTTGCTGGAGGGTTTTTGGGAGTTGCTTCGAGTCCTAATCCAGGTGACCTTTGGTAACCTCAATGCAATTTTTGAGAATTTTTCCCTATTCCATCACCATCTTTCCAATTAAATCTTCGAAGAATTGAAAGTCCGAATTTTTCACTTGGAATTGCTGAATAATCGCATCCTCTGCATTTTTTTACTGATGTCCCCATTACTGATTGTGATATTTTCAACTCCATTCTTGTTCGAAGTGTCGTTGTCTTCTTCATTCGAAGTTCCTACTAACAAATCGAGTTTTGCTTTTTCCTCATCTGTCAGAGTTCCTTATCATGCTCAGTCACGATTGGAATTACAGCAACTTGCTTTTGTTCATCTTCATCGACGCTGAAATGAACTATTTTGAAAATGGCGCTTACAATTAGGTTGGTCTAAAAGATGATTGCACGTCAAGTCTGGTATTTACACATTTTTCACACAAACGCACAATTTGACGTGCAACTTTCAGTGATTTCGTGTTTTATAAGGGAAGGATGATCATATGATTTCTATTTTTCAGCTAAAAACTTTTTATTTATCTTACACCCCACCTCCACAAAATATTAAAAAAAAAGCCCAAATAAAATCTCACCTTTTTATCGCAATTTCCACATCTTCCATTGAAAATATTGCATGATTATTAGTTATTAAACACGCGATCGGGAAATTGGAACAAACATGAGCGCGCGCTCCCTTTTAAAAAACGAAATCACTGAAAATCAATAATGTGCAAACACCGCTTCTTTTTTTTTTTTTGAAAAATCAACGCGCGTTGCGAGACACGAGAGAAAAGTTGTGTGCGCCTTTGATGAGAGGTACGGTAGAAGTATTCTTGAAATTTTATTTTTATCTTTTTTTTGAGGGTTTGAGCGCTGCAATTTTTAGAACATCTAAGTAACACGCTTATTGTTATTGTAACTTCAGGCGTTTTTTTTCAAAATGGAACCCCCCCCCCCCTTTTCTGACTTTGAGAATACGTTACATCAAAAGTATAACAGTTGGGAACCCTGAGATTCTCTCCATACACTTCACGGAGAGAATACTAGTTAAATAAAAAGCGACAACAAAAAATATGCCAGTCTTTTAACCACTTTGACGCAAAAACAATTTTATTGCAAGTTTTTGCAGGCAAAAATATTTTTGATCTGATTTGGTAATGGGCGGCGGCGGGAAGTTTTGAATTTGCTAGACTATAGTCTAGTTTGGGGTATAAAAGGTGAGCGTTTTGCGGTGGTTGACATTTTCTCTACTTTTGGGGGACCTGCTATCATTGCTCCCTGTGCTCTCCTGCTGCTTGTTGCTGCCTGTTGCTGCCTGTTGCTGCCTGTTGCTGCCTGTTGCTGCCGCTCCGCCGTCTTTCGCCTTCAGTCCCGTCTTCATTGCCTGCTGCCCTGTTGCTGTGTTCAGATAAGATGCGTTGTCTACAGCTGCTGATCCTGGTGACTTTTAAGCTGTCATTCAAGATGTCGCATCCATCGTCAAAACAGCTCCAACGCATTATGCCAAAGATGTTCGATTTTTGGTTGACGCAAGGATTTGCCACAACTTTGGGACGATGTTTTATTGGAGCGGCTAATCCAGAGACATGCTCCGCTTGCCATGATTTTTGGCTAAATTTCCAGCAGGCTGGAAATTTGCCAATTTTGTGGTTCATATCGAGCCGTTTCTGGGTTTTGCTGCAAGCGCATCCTGCGCTTATCTATGAAATAATAAAACATTTTTTCTGATGCGTTGTTTGATTTTCCCTCTCATCGACAAACTTTCCCAAAATTCTGATTATAACCATTATTATTTTGCAGAACTGCCATTGCCAAGTTGTCACTTCAGCAGTCTGCTCCGACCATCTCCAACAATCTACGCAAGCTGGCTACGCCAAGCCGATCCATCAATTGTTTTCGTATTATTTTCGAAAGGAAATTCATCAGGTCGGTTTTTTTTCTTTTTTGAAGTTATAATTTCACTTCTAGTTTCGTGAAAGATTCCCCATCTTCCAGATCTTCTTTCCACAACGTTGTTTGTTCAACTCCTACAATGCCGAGCAGATTCACATCCTTCGACGTCTTCAGAAACCGCCAAGCCGTAACACCTTCGATAGCAATTGCTCCGTGAAAGCTGTTCCGCTGTTGCTCGTCTTCGTAATATGCTTTCAACTGGAATTCGAATAACCAGGTCGTATTTTTCCAATTTTCATTTAGTTTTTTTGAGATTGTAGTTTTGTAGAGATCTTAAAAAATTTGTTTTTTTTTGGAATGAAAAACAAGATAGATTTGAAATCTTGAAAATTATAGATTGAGATCCCTCTCACTTTATTGAATTTTCAAGATTTGCATTAATCAGTCTTTTTTTAATTCAAATAGAAAACCAATTTTTTTTGACTGAATTTATTTTTTGATGCTAAATAATTTGCAATCATCATCAGTATCATTTTTGGGGTGTAGGATTTACTCCGATAGCTAAAAATGTACAATTTTGCTGAAAATCTTTGAGTATAGGATTTACTCCGACATCAAAGATTTAGATGATTGAAGATTATTTAGCTTAGAAAATTACGTTTACAATTAGGTTTAAATTGAGTTTTCTTCTAAAAAATTTTTTTGTATTATTTTTAAGCTCGAATCGATGTGATGTTTCAACTGGGCGAAATCAACTTCTTCATGGTGTCAACTATGTACACCTTCAACAATCAATTCTTCTGCCAACATTTGGCAAAACAGTTCCGACTCCGAATGCTGTGACTACCTCAGATGCTATCACAAGACTGGATCGCCCGATGCAAGGAATCTACTCAACGCATGGAGTATTTTCGACGCAAGGAATCAACTGTAAGGATCAAATTATAAAGTTTTTTATTTAATTTCTTATTTTTTCTCCCGACATTCTACTGATTTACCCATTTTTAGTTACGAATGTTTTTATTCCAGATATGTCGGTTCATCTACAACAAGCCAATCGGTTTTGCCGCCTTCGCAAGGAGCTGCCAACAAGACAAGCCGCAATCATTCCAAGATGCGATGCTGGACAATCTACTCAACCAATGGCGACAACACAAGTCAACAACTAGGAGGACAACTGGAATTCAGTTAGTTGATTTATTTTTGGGGTTTAAGATTAAAACATTTTTTTAAAATAATTTCAAGATTTTAAACTTTTAAAAGTTAGTTTCATAATTTTCATCAAATTTCAAATTGAAACTAATTTTTTGAAACACAACTTTCGAGTTTTGAGAACTAGAACATCTGATAATTCTTTCATGAGTGAAATTTTGAATAATTAATTTTGATGATTTCAAAAAAGTGGTCCGATTCACAATGTTTCAAAAAGTATCAGAACAAATTAGAATTAGAAGAAAATCTAGTTTTTTCAATTCTGTATAATATGATTAATAGTTTTACTTAAAATTTAGTTTTTTTTGGTTTTAAGTTTGAAAGTTCAATTTTTAACCATAATTAGATTTCATAGATAAATCTAGTGAGAAAAAAAATCAAAATATGGCCGAGGGATTTACACGGTTCCTCGACCCAATAGTTTCTAGGCCACATTTTTATACTATTCTTTCATTTTCTTTTTTTTTTCACCTTTTTTGTTGCTTTTTTCTCATATATAAAATCGATGGATTTTGTTTGAGATCTCTTTTTGATAAAAATTCGATAAAATTTCAAAGTTTTCATTAAAAATTCACAAAAATATCATTATTTTCATCAAATGTTAGCTTGTGGAAGTTCGGTGTCGTTTTCGAACGAATCATTTGGTCCTTTTCTTTGTCCCTTCTTTTTTTGTGGTTTTCCATCTGAAAATGATTTTTAAAATGTTGAGAACAATTTCTTGAAAAAACTCACGTCCTGCTCTTATGGGCTCATTGGAATTTTGTCTTCTCCTTGATTTTCGGTCGACGTGATGCGGAACTTTGATGAATTGCTCATCTTAAAACAGGAGATTTTTAGACACCAAAAATATTGGGTGTAAAAATATGTTTCTTTTCTCTAGATTCTGAAAATCTCACCATCTTTAACTTTTTTCTTGGGTTCTTCCAGATTTTCTTGTTTTTCCTGTTGCCCTCTTCCATTTTCACCTAGTTTCCTTCTTGGTTTTCCACCTGAAAATTCAAAATTAATTCTGAAATCAGTCAATTTTCAGCCTTACTTCTAGCAATGACATTTCTTCGTCTTCCACCCAAATTTTTATCATTTTCATTTTCTGGTTCGAAATTTTCAGTTTCCACTAGTCTCTCGACTCCATTTTCATCGGTTTCATATCGTCTCCGAGTTCGATTGATTTTTCGACGCGGTGAAGATTTTTGGCCTAAAAAATCTTTTTTTGTTGGATCTAAATAAAAACTTTGAAAAAAAAACCCACCATCTTCATCGCCACCCAATCCGAAAACACGTGGACGATTTCGGCGAACTGGACCGCCCTCTTGAACCTCTTGTGCTGAAACAATTCCAGCTGAAAATCTAGCATAAAATAATTCCTACCTGGATCAAATTTCCGGGTTCGAACTAGTCTTTTCTTTCCATCCGGCCCAATTTCATATTCTCGTTTGATTCCGGATTTGTGGGTTTTTGAGATTTGAGGAGAATCTGCAAGAAATTTCATGAATATTTTCAGTCTTAAATTCCCAAATAGTGTCGTACCTCCTTGTAAATCTCCTCTAGATCCTCTATTATTGAAACTCATCGGTCTATGTTGTTCCTTCACATCTTCATTTTCCAAATTTTGCTCTTCAGCTCTGCCACGTGTCAAAAAGTGTTTCTTGGCGCCAAATACAGTATGACCTTCTTGATCTTCTTCGTCCAAATTTTGAATATTCTCTGTTTCACTAACCAATTCTCTCTTTCCATTTACAACTCGATAAGTTCGTTTCTTAGTTTTCTTCAAAATTTGCCATTCCTCACCCTGTTCTTCTTGACTTGGCCTAACTTTTTTAATCCTTCGTATCACTCGAACCACTCCAGTCTTTCGGACTTTTCTCAACATTTCAATAATCTCCTCATATTCCGTTTCCTCAATGACTTTTTGCTCGACTAGAACCTTCTGTTCTCGATGTTGTGGGTCGACTCGGAAACGTTTTCGAAGTTTTCCGATGATTTCCTCTTCATATTCTTCTTCAGTCCATTCAGTTTCGATTTTTTCGATTAGTCGGCGAGATCCATCTTTTTCGTCGATCATATAGACATTGATGAATCGACGAGGTTTTCGAGATTCGAGTTCTTCAGGTTGGGAATTCTTATCTTGATCTTCAACTGGTCTAGACTTCCTGTATCTTTTTCCATCTGGTCCAATTTCATATTCTTCATCTGGTCTATTTCTTCTCGGTCGTCTCACTCCATTTTCATCAATTTCGAACTCCTCTTCGATTCTGAATTTTCTGGGGCGTCGGATTCCATCAGGACCAACTTCGAACTCCTCTTCAGGTCTAAATCGTCTCGGTCTTCGAATTCCATTTTCATCAATCTCAAATTCTTCCTCCTCGATTCGTGAAGTTCTCGGTTTCTTATCCTGATCTTCAACTGGTCTAGATTTACGATGTCTTTTTCCATCTGGTCCAATTTCATATTCTTCATCAGGTCGGGATCTTCTTGGTCGTCTAACTCCATTTTCATCGATTTCAAATTCTTCCTCCTCAACTCGTGAAGTTCTAGGCTTCTTATCCTGATCTTCCACTGGTCTCGACTTTCTGTGTCTCTTGCCATCCGGTCCAATTTCGTACTCATCTTCATCTTCAGATTCAAGTCTCTTGATTCGTAAAAGTCCATCTGAGATTGAAAATCCTTGGTCAGGTTTTGATTTTCTTGGTCGTCGAATTCCATCTGGTCCAATTTCGAACTCTTCCTCTAGTCTATTTTTTCTGGGCCGTCTAACTCCATTTTCATCGATTTCGAATTCTTCTTCAAATCTAGGCTTCTTTATTCTTCGAATTCCATTCTCATCAATTTCATATTCCACTTCAAATCTGGGTTTTCTGATTCTTCGTTTTCCATCTGGTCCAATCTCATACTCCTCTTCGGTTCTATGTTTTTTGTCTTGATCTTCAACTGGTCTAGACTTCCTATATCTTTTTCCATCTGGTCCAATAACATATTCATCATCTGGTCTATTTCTTCTTGGCCTTCTTACACCATTCTCATCTATTTCATATTCCACTTCAAATCTCGGCTTTCTGGGTCGTCTAACTCCATTCTCATCAATCTCGAATTCTTCTTCCTCAATTCTAGAAGTTCTGGGTTTTTTGTCCTGATCCTCAACTGGTCTCGATTTTCTGAATCGTTTAACTCCATCCGGTCCCATCTCATCGATTTCAGGTTTCTCTTGTTCGTCTTGAGGTTTTGATCTTCTAGGTCTTCTCTGTCCATCAGGCCCGACTTCAAATTCTTCATCTGGTCGGAATCTTCTTGGTCTTCGAACTCCATTCTCATCAATCTCATACTCGATTTCGGTTCTCGGCTTCTTGAGTATTCGTTTTCCATCTGGTCCAATCTCGTATTCTTCATCTGGTCTAGATTTTCTCGGCCTTCTGACACCATTTTCATCAATTTCGTATTCCTCTTCAGCATCGGGTCTAGATCTTCGTGGTCTTCGAATTCCATTCTCGTCGATTTCGTATTCAACCTCTGTTCTTGGCTTCTTAGGCCTTCGTTTTCCATCTGGTCCAATCTCATATTCCTCATCTGGTCTAGATCTTCTTGGCCTCCTGATTCCATTCTCATCAATTTCAAACTCTTCCTCAATTCTCGATCTTCTTATCTCATTTCCATTTTCATCTACAATTCGAGCAATTCTCTCGCTTTCTCCATCCAATCTACGATCTATATCTTCATCTTGTGGATGTCGACTCTTTCTATCCAAATCCGGTCCTCCATCTGGTCCCAACACTTCAATACTCGCCCTTTTCTTGATAACTCCAATCAAAGTTCCATCCTTCTTTCTGATATTTATATCATTAGTCACCCGGGTTACATTATTCTCCCTCTTGATTTCAACAGGTATCTCATTTCCATTCTCATCAGTTTCAAAGTATCTAGATTTCCTCGTTGGAGATTCTTTATCCACCAAGTTTTCTAAATCTTCAATAGTCCATCGGGTTGGTTGAATCTTTCTTCGATTCTTTCTCAAAATAATCTTTCTCCAATCCTCTCGTTCTTTCTCTTGATCTCTCTGATCTCCTTCTTCTTCCTGATCTTTTTCAAACTTTCGAACATCAATTGGATATGTAGATATCAGAATATATCCATCATATCGAATCTCTTCCGGAACATATCCCTCATCAATATTTTCCTCAATTCTTCCTTCATCTCTTGGAATATACCGTTTTCTGAATATACGTTTTCCTGGCTTATTTTTGATAATCTGAGCAATATATGGGACATCAACTTCTTCATAATAATACTCAGGTATTGGTGCAACTGTGGTTGTTGTTGTTGTGGGTCTCATTTTTCTGACACGCATTTTTCGAGTTCTCGGAACTTCTCTGAAATCTTCAAAGTTCTCCTCTTCCTCAGAATCCACTGGTAATTCATGATGTCGTTTTTTATGCGTCAATCTGATACGTTTCACAACTTTTCCGCCATCTCTCTTGATTTTGTGCAATTTCACAATTTCAGTCGGCTCTTTTGGATGTTTCGGTGGATTTTGAGAGTTTTCAGGTGAGGTTCTCTTGATTTCTCGGACTATAATTTTCTTTAATTTATCCCGAATGATTTCTTCCTTCTCATTTTCTTCTTCATCTTCGTCGGTTTTTGGATGATTGTGATGTTTTTCGGGTTGAATTTTGATTGATTTTCGATCGGGTTTCGAGCCACAATTATTGAGCAATTGGATCAGCTAGAAAAATTGATTTTTGGTGAAAACCTCACGTGTTTGAGGTCGAAAATAAGAATTTTTGAGCTCAAACTGCTCCAAAATCCAGAATTCTTTTCACTGATCTCACCTGTTCATCAGTCAATCCTCTTCTATCCATATCACATCTCAATTTCACTTCCTTTTCCAAATTAATCTTCTTCTTTTCAACTTCAACACAATCTCTTACAAATACCTCATATTCTTCTCTGTTTAAATTCTCGAAATCTTCTCCAATTTCCTCGCAACTTTCACTAACTCCTCGATTTTTCTTCAAACAAATTCTCAAATATTCCAAATATTCCGATTTTGTCATAAATTCAACATCTCTATCATAACAACTTCTCTTTTTCGGCATTTTTTCGATGTCCAATGTTTCATTTCCCCAAATCTTTTTCGGTCCATTATCGATATCAATTTTCAGACATTTTCTCTGATAAATTCGAATTTCTCGGGGCGACATTTCGTGGAAATTTCGATCGAAGCAACGAATTTGACAGCGCGAGCGGTAGAGATTTCGCAGATTTTGTGGAAGCTGTTGAGTGTTTTTGAGAGCTTGACAAATGTTGAAAGATTGCCGATTGGGTGAGGATTTTTTGGGCAGTTCGCAGAGTTCTTCGTAGCGGAGACGCTGAAAATAAAAGAGGTTTTCTAGGAAATTTTTTTTCAAAATAAACATTCTTGGATCAATTTTTGTAATTTTCCATCCAAAACCCACCATTCTTGGTGTCAAATCCTCTTTTCTTCTATTCTTACACAATTCTCCATCTTCCACATCTCTCCTTTTTGTTTCTGGTCTTTCTTCACACAATTGCTCAAATACATCCAGTTCTTTCTCAGTTTTCAATTCCGATTTTTGCACATTTTCACAGCTGAATTTCTCATTTTTCTGCACACATTCCTCATTGTAAATCTCTCTCAAATCTTTCGAATCAATCGATAATGGATCCATATCACAAGTTAGATTAAATCGATGACTCAATTCAATATTCCTCTTTTTATTTTCAACACAATCCGAAACATATCTCTCAAAATCTTCTTCACTCAATCTTGTATAATCCACATTTTCACAACTCAATCTTTCAGATCTTCTCAAACAATTCCTCTTATAATTCTCGAATTCTCTATCCGATAATTGTTCCAAATCCACGTCATAACACATTTTCTTTCCCGTGGGAGTTTTGATAACTTGAATGGTGTCATTTTTCTTTACCCAATTATCTTCCACCTCAAGGCAGTGTTTTTGGAGGATTTGAAGATTCATAGGTTCATCGATTTGGGATCTTCGGGAGATACAAGCGGGGTAGTCGATGCATTTTTTGTTGTAGAGGCGGAGCTGGAAATATGGAGAAAAGTTTAGGGGGAACTTCACAATTTTCAGATGATTCGGAAGATTCAAACATTTTCCGAAAATTCCACTGTTTCAAAAATCATTAAAACTCTTTTTCAAAAGAAAAAATATTCAAAAATACACTGTTTCAAATATGTAATAAATATACTCATGTTTGGTCTAAAAATGTTCGCAACCCCTGGTTTCTTCAAAAATCCTTACCTCATATTGATTCAACTCCTCCACATCCACTTTTTCACAACTCAAACATTTTCTGGATTTCGGGAATTTTACACATCTCGGAACACATTCATCAATATATTTCTGGCGTTGTTCAATACTTAATTTACTTGGATCTGTTGAGCAATCTGGTTCCCATGATGATGGATTTGGTGTGGCTGATTTTTGAGGTCCACATTTTTTGGTTAGAACATTTATCTGAAAATTTGACACATTTCGAGTCCAAATTTGGATATTTTTGCAAAAAAATTAAGCTAAAAATTCATCTCAAAAAAGTAGGAAGCTTCTAAAAATCCTAAATTTTAGTCTGGGTTTCTGAGAATTCTTCTCAAAATGCTCACCTCTTTTTTGGTCAATCCATCGATTTCCTGATAGTTTTGACAATTCACACAGTATTTCACAAATCGTTTTTTGTCGCGCAAATTCAAATTTTCGGCATCTTTTTCACAATCGAAGGTTACTGGTTTCTTTGGATTTGGTCGAATAATGCAAGCTTTTCGGAATTCGAAAAGTTCCGAATCTTTTCGACAATCTATTGATTGAACATCACAAACTTCTTTGTATTGATTGATTTGCTGTAATTTGATTAATTAGATTTTTGTGAAAAAACATTGGGCGAAAAATCATAATTTTTGCTAATAAAACTGTGAATACTGTAGCTGAGAATCCCACAATTTGAAACCGAAAAATTCAGAACTAATGACTCTCAAAAACTTTCAAATTTCGCGCCAAAAACCTAGGATTACTGAAACTTAAAGCCCCCCTTTTCGCCCCAAAAATACAGAATTAGTGTACCTGATCTCTTGTCAAATGTTGAGGTATTACATCACCACAATTCACTGAAATCAAACAATTTTTGCGATAATTTTTGAATTCTCTTGGTGTGAAATTATCGATTATCTCTGGCTTTTCTTGGCACTCATCCAAATACACTTTTCTTCGCGGATTCACCGGACCCAAAATACATTGATTTTCAAATCGGATATATTCTTCGAGACTCATCGAATCGACCCGTTTCGAAGCCTTATAACAATTAAGAGTTAGACGAAGTTGTGTTTTTGGATCCACACAATTTTCACGGTATTTTTTGGCTCCCTGGATATCTGTTGGCTCCACATCTTTTGTGCATTTTTTATGTAAGCATTTCAAATATTTTGGCCATAATTCATCATTCAAACTATTTTTGATAGCCTTCAGACTTTTACAATCATGATCTCCTGATGTTGGAAGTTCTTCAGTGCCATTTGTTGGTTTTTGCGTTGGAGAGACTTGACATTTTCTATCGTAATTTCGTTGATCTTTTGGATTCAATGATTTTCTCTGGCGATTGCTCAGATTACACTTTTTCAGATTATTTTCAAGGCAGACTTCTTCAAGAATTCGATTCTGTTTTTCTGAGAGATTTGAGAGATCTGAATTCTCACAACAATATTCGATGTCTTCATCAGAAAGATTATTGATATCAATGTCGGCACAAGAGAAATCAAGGATTCCTGAAAAATGGGTTGAGTTTATTCAATTTTGGTTTATAACTATAAAAGGTAAGCCAAATTTTCAGCCAAAAAAATTTCAAAACTCACTAGGTTCCCTCGGTTTCACTTTATCCTCCAATTGTCTCAATAATTTAAATCTATCCTCATCTCCCAAATTAAATCGACATTCTTCATAATATTTCAGCAACTGATATTTATTGAAATTGCTGAAATTTTTCGAGCAATCCGGACAAATTGGTAGATCATTTTGAAGCGTTTCTTCGGGTTGACCAAAATCGAAATCTGGCATCGAATCACCTTGTAGAGCAATTTCAATTGGTTTGTGAATTTGGTCGGCGGAGAGAAGAGTATTTGGGCGAAGACTGCAAACATTTGGGAGATTTTTGAGTATAGAGCAATTTTTGATGAAAAATTATTCATTCCTCCAGAAGAAAGAACTGATAAATTTTTGAAGCGTATTTTTTACTGTTTCAAAAAATCCAAAAAATTCTGACTTTGTTTTCTAACATAAGAAAACAATTAAAATACCACTAATTTTAAAATTTTTTCACTGTTTAAGAATTAAAATTAATTTTCAAAAAACATTTCACAATAATAATTCTGATTTGTGTGTTGACAAAGAATAACATTTTGGGCTGTTTTCGGTGTCCAAAGATGTTTCCCCAATTATCTCTTCTCTTCCAAACTCACGGTCCATTCCTATTCCTTGGTGTTCCATCGCCATCCTTCGAACTATGATCAAATCCTGGATCACGATTCAAATCATTCAAATTCGCCACACTTTTTCTCTGATATTTTCGATACGGCATTTCAGGTTGCTCATTATTCCCAACCCTTGAAATAATCTCTTTTTTTCTCAAACTATCCACCAAGAATCCCGGCTCATTTTCATCCGGATTCACCGATTTTCTATCCAAAAATCCACGTTTTCGACATTTTGGCGGCCCTTTTGAGAGTTTTGGATCCTCTTCTTCAACTAATTGACATTTCCATTGAAGTTTGGCCAGTGTGGCGGGAAATACCACTAAAAATAGTAGTATTCCACCCCTCATTTGACCTGAAAAAAAACTTTGGCTGGTCTAGAAACTGAAAAAATTCACTGAAAACACGAAAAATCATCCAAGATACCGTAATTTATAGGCAAAATGTATTTTCTCACTGAAAAATTAAAAACAATTAGCAAATCTTGGGAAACTGCTAATCGAATCAACGGAAAAAATATGGTAGGAGTGAGAAATTGGCAAATTTACCTCAAAAGTAAAACCAACATTTTTGCAGGCGTTTCACAGAAGCCTCCTTAGCTCAGTTGGTAGAGCGTGAGACTTTTAATCTTAAGGTCAGGGGTTCGAGTCCCCTAGGTGGCTTGACTTTTTGCTTTTTTTTTGAAGAAGTGATTTTTGAAACAGTAAACATTTTAGCCTAAAAATTTAAGATTTTCGAACTCTCTTTTCGAGCAAAAAATTCACGTGAAAATTTTAATTTACAATTCTCGATTTTTGTTCGAAAAACTCTAAAATTTTAGCTGAAAAATCCCTTCAGAAATCAATAAATTCTTCATATCATTTACAAAAAGAAAATATCATTTACAAAAAGAAGCTTAAAATTTTGCATGGCCGAAAAAAAGGAAAAAATCAATCACAGAAGTCAAGTTCAAATAAATTATGTTTGTTTTTTTCAAAAAATAATTTTTGCACAAATTTTTACAGACATTTCTGAAAAAAATTAATTTCAGAATTGTTGTGGTTGCCAATTTTGTTGTTGTTGTTGTTGATAATATTGTTGTTGTGGATTAGAATTTTGAACTTGAGGAGAAGCTGCATAAGCCAAATTCTGAGCACCTGGGGCTGCTGGATAATTTTGAGGAGCTGCCGCATAATTTTGAGCTCCTGGAGCAGCATAATGTTGCTGTGGTGGATAATTTGGTGGATATTGGGGAACTTGTTGTGGTGGTGGATAATATCCGCCACCTTTTTGAATTGCATCATCGTAGAGAGCCAAGACGTCACGAATTGCAATATCAACCTGAAAAGAATGAGAGATTCAAGTCGATATTATTTCATATTAAATTTCACTGTTTCAAAATTTGAAGAAAAATTCCTCCTCCCAAAACTCGCTAACCTGCGCCAACGAATTAGTCTGTCGATCAATACTAGCCAATTGTGCGTCAATCAATGGTCCTTGCGCATACGAAGCCGCTTCCAATTGTGCCAATTCCACTGGATCTGCTCTTTCTCCAGTCGGATCACATTCATGCAAAACATTCAAACATTTTACGAGAATCGCCTCATTTATTTGAGCGTCAATTTCGCCGGCATTTTTCGATGATGCATCTCCCGATGTTTTGTTGGCAATCTTATTTTCATCGAGATCGGCGGTGACGAAACTTGAGGGGAAAAGGCCTTGTTGGGTACCAATTCGACCAGTCCACCAATGGGGATTGCTGGAAACAAAATTTGAGGGTGGGAAGATGTAATTTGGGAACATAATTAAAGTATTTTCATGAAGCAAAACACTGTGTATTTTTTGAAAATAACAACAACAATCATAATTTTTTTTAAAAATTAAATTCTTTTGCATTATTTTTGAAACAGTGAATTTTTCAACAGAAAATATGGATTTTTGTGTCAATTTTTTTTGCTTCCAGAATTTTCAGAAAATTTTTAGAACGTGGCACATTTACTGAAAACATAATTGTTTTGAATAAAAATTTTACTGTTTCAAAAAATGTTCAAATGAAAATTTATATGATACCAGAAACTCTACAGAACACTTTTTTAACCAAAAAAATCATAATGAATTTTTGAAACAGTGGATTTTTGAATAAAATTTTAAATTTGTTTGTTATTTTGGGATCCATTTACGAATCGAAATATTTTCCCGATCAAAATTTTACTGTTTCAAGAAATTGTGAATATTTGAAGTTTTCATTTTCTATTGATACCATCCCACTGACTTACAAAACCAACAAAAATTTAGCAAATGATTTTGCCACGTGGCAAGTTTTATCCGAAATATTCATGGGAAAATTAGTAGGGATGTATTCATTTATATTTATAAGAAAAACATGGCATAACGGCTCAGCTTTTCCATTAAAAATTTTTCGAAACACTAGATTTTTGGGTTTTTCCCACTAAAAAATCTCGCCATGAAAATTTTTTTATTTCAAAAATTTCGAAACAGTGAATTTTTGAAGCAATTTTGAAGCTTTTAAAACAAAAATCAATTTTTTTGAAAACTGAATTTTAATCAGATGGATGCTCTGGTATTATTTTAAAATTTCTCGATTTTTTATTGAAAATATTTTGAAACAGTGAATTTTTTCGAGATATCCCCCTCCCCAAAAAATCCTCACCTCTCATCAGTAATCACAATCAAATCTCCGGCCACAAATGAAAGCTCATTGCTCTCCGCCGCCTCAAAATCATACAAAGCTCGAACTTTTCTCTCCACAGAAGAATTTTGAGCATTTTGAGTCGGTCCCAAATTTGTTGCCGAGTTCGAATTCGATGGTCCACCAGCGCTTGGATACAAACTCTGCGTATTTTTCTTCAATTTTTCCTGTTTTTCCGCATCTGCCAAACTTGCGGCAATTGCTTTTGCTATTTCGTCTTCTTCTTGTGCCGTCGCAACATAATTTGGATCATTGGCGTATTTTGAATCGATCGGTTTTTTCTTGCCAGGTTCATTGATTTCGAAAGAATAACCGTCTTCTTTGAGATTTCGATAAAGTGAAATGATTAGTGAAAGACTTGGCTCATTTTTGCATTCATTATCGACCCATTTTTGAATTGAGACACGTGTTTTTTCGGCGACTAGACGTTGGCTCTAAAAAATTAAAAATTTCGGGGAGTTTTAGAGTCGAAATCGGATTTTTAAAAGTAATGCATCTATTCATTTGCAAAAAAACACGAAAAAAATGTATTTTTGTACAACATTTTTCTATTCACCAAAATCACAAATTGTCGCGAAATACATGCAATCGTGACGAGACCCACACTCATTTCAAGGCAACGAGTGTGAAAAATGCATGCTTTCGAAAATTTCATTTCTTGTTTTTTTTCTCGCATGTTTTTCTCTTTGAAATGTGTGTGGGTCTCGTCACGATTGACATTTATTTCGTGCATTTTGGTGAATAGAAAAATATTGTAAAAAAATACATTTTTTTTCGGTTTTTTTCGCAAATGAATAGATGCATAAGTTTTGACCTGAAAATAACCTAAATTGCTTTTTACATTATTTTCAACTCGAAACTGTCAGTTTTAGATGTTTTTGTTATAGAAATCATGAAAATTAACCTACAATTACTGCTTTTCAAAAGATTCCAGATTCTCAAATCATACATCGGTTTCTCCCGGTCAGGGTCTCAAAATTAGCCACCCCCCGAATGTGAAAATACAAAAATTAGCCAGACCCCCTCAAAAAAAAAGAGAAAAAACTTGGTTTTTGGGGGGTATATTGTTATTTTTTCAAAAAGTTAGCCGGTCCCCACCCCTTTTTTCCAAAGTTAGCCAGACCCCCTTCGGACGAAAATCCGGGGATACTGATGTATGTCTCAAATTTCAAAATATTTTACAACTCTATTCCCAAGCTATATGAAAATTCTTGAAACGTTTTAGATATAATATGAAATGTGTGAAACGTATGATTTCCACTTTCGCAACAAAAAATATGTTTCATGTTTTTCAGTGAAAAGTTGATCAAAACGTTCTACTTTCAGAGAATTTTATTGGATTTTCATTTTTTTTTTGTAAAAAAATCAGATTTTTAAGGTTTTTGAATTTCCCACTACCACTCCCCAAACCCCAAAAATCAATCAATAAAAACCCACATTAGTTGCCAAAGCCTTCAACTCATTAATAAACTGCGAAGAAGAGACCTCCTTCCTAAATCGATCACCACAATTCGACCAACATGAATCCAACACAGAAATCGCCATCAAAACAACATGAGGATCGCGATTATTCAGCCGTTTTTTGAGCGATTTCAGGCCCGTTTTAGCTCCCTCCAAATCTCCATTTATCTGAAAAATATTGAGATTTTGTTATGGGTGTAACAAACAAAATTGTTTCTTTTCTATGTTGAACTTTTCAATATAAAATAATGTGGCCTCGATTTAATATCGAGAGGCACCTTTTCCGATCTAACTAAACTATAAAAGCCGCCGGAAAGATTGATATTGGTCGGGGAATTATGTCCGAAGAACCAAGAAGGTTATAGATCTGGTTGGAACAACCAACTAGGGTTCCATTCCTTAATATTCTACGAATGATTAATTAAATAACTCATATTCAGAGCTGTAAAAAAAGTTTTCACAACGGGATGATGATCAGCGAATCAAAAACCACTATTTCATCACCATAACCAGAGAAAAACACTCACCTTATCGCAAAATGTCAAAATTCCATCCCAATTTTCGGTGGTCAACGTCGGAGCGGTGATTTTCTCCAAAATCTCATCATACGACATCATTTTTGGCTAAAACAGTCTATTTGTTTATTTTCCTATGGGAAAGGAAAGGGAAAGAAAAGGGGAGAGAAAAAAGAAGAAGCGAATGACTAGGCTGGCCAATATTTGTGTCATGTTTCGACTGCCTTGACGCTTTTCTCTTTTTTCTCCTTTCTATATTGACGTGTCTTTTAGCGACTTACCCCTTCTTTTTTACTTGATTTTGTATTTGTGCTAAACATGGTTGGCGGAATTTGAAATGCCATCGTTTACGAGTTAGAAATGGTTGCGAAATAAAAATATTTTTATTTTTTTTCGAAATTAGGTTACGGTGGGTCACGTTTTTGTGTGATTGTGCGTCAGCGTGTTTGCACAATTTCAAATAATTTATTTTTGTTTTTTTCTTTTTCGCTTTTCGCCCACCTTTTGCCTTTTGTTTATAGAAAAAACCATTGAATATGCTAATAAATAATCGATTTGTCCTTGTTCTTATCGTGGTTTTCTTGCTTTTTTATTTTTTATCAGCGAAAAAAAGATAACTTTTCCAGATAATTTTCATGCATGTAAAATTGAATTAAATTAGCGTCGAAAATGTCGAATACGGTGTCGAATTTGTTAGATTTGATAGTGAATTTATTGGAAACTGCCACACAAAATAGTCAAAATGAGGCGATTCGAAATGAGGTTCAAGATTCGCTGAGAACTTTGGGACAACACAAACCAGATATTCTTCTGTCCGCCTGCCATCAATATTTGCTACAAAATCCAAAGGTTGGTGATATTTCGCAAGAATTCTAGTGGTTGAAGCCAATTTTTTCGGCTAAAGTTGTGAAATTTTCCTAATTTCAAAATAAATAAATCCACGTGGCAAAAAAACGATAAACCCTACTGAAAACATATTAAAATTATCAATTATTCTGCAGCTCTCCGGCATCAAACGATCCTTCATCCTGAACTCAATTTCCTTTTGCGTCGACAATTCAAAAACCATCAAACTCGTCGATGAGCAATTAATCAATCTCATAATTAATTTGGCAATTCAGGAAATGAATCAGGCAAAAGAAAATGACGTGGAATGGGCCGAATCATCCAAAGATATTCTAGTCAGTTTGGCAAAAACTCAACGATTTCAAAATAATGTTATTGATGCGATTTTGGATAAATTTCCGCCGGGAAGAACGACGAGTCCACATCGATATATTGTTTTGGCGATGGCTACGATTGCAGAGCATAATCGTAAGGATTTTGAGGGAATTCGGGGCGAACAAGCAGAAAATGGAGCTCGTGAAAATTGAACAAAATTGACCTAATTTCTATGAAAAAATATGATTTTTGACCTGAAGTGAACTGAAAATGCTCCCAAACTACTATTTTTGCAGCTTTCGGTTTGGTGCCATTTTTGACGGATATTTTGTCACGAACTGTTCCACTTTTACAACATATCAGAACTGATGCGCTCAAGTGAGTTTTTCTTTCCGAAGAAATTTTGCCGGATCAAAATCATTTTCCCACATTTTTCTATCAAAATACTCTGAAACAGTGGATTTTTTGGTTGAACAAAATTGTAAAGAAAATTATGAGTAAAAAAGGGCATAAAAAATTAATTTTTCATTTTTTTTTGAAAGGTAAAGAGAGGCAAATCAAAATTGTAATTCTCAATTTTTTAAATTATACATTTTTGAAACAGTGACTTTTTTTGATGTTGAAAATTCAGGTATTTGGAATTTTTTCACAATTATAGACCTTTAGGAAGTTGTTATCAAAACTTAATTTCTAATTTTTCAACATTTACACGTTTTGAAACAGTAAAAATATCAATATTTTCCATCAAGAAATCTCCTATTTTTCCGCTCAAAAATCAAATTCCAGAAGTGCATGGGCTCGAGCAATTTGTGCATTTTGTGAAGCTGTTCGAGAATGTGAAACCGAAAGACCAATTGAAGCTTGCGAAGAAACATCGACAGCCACAATTATCGAAAATTCACAAGAAGTTTCGAATCGAAAAACGTATGCTGATCAAACTGAAGCAGTTTATGATGTGATTTTTGGATGGATTTATAGTAAAGATCCGAAAGTGAGCAGAATTTGGGAGAAAATTGAGTGTTAGGAAATCTTTGTTTGGCTAAGCCCTAGAAACAAAAAAAAATGAAAACTGTCAACATTTTATAAAGCATACTAAAACTTCAAATGCTTAGGTTAAAATTTTATGAATGTTCCTAATCTCCCCACCATTTCTACCCGTCCCACCTCAAAAATCAATATTTTCCAGACTCGCGCTGAAGCATCCGAATGTATTGGTCAACTTTGCCTAATGATTCGACAAACTCGATTAATCGAAGATGTCAAGAAAATCGTGACAAATCTTCTTCCTCTCTACAAAAAGTCTCCCAACGAATCACATATGATAACTCAAGGAATTTGTCGATTTTTAGAAGCTGCTTGTTCAGATGACACGTGTCCATTAGAACCATATTTAGAGGATATTTTGAATGCTTTATTCCCAAATGCTTGTTTGGATCCGGATGATACAACAGTTACCCTAAGTGTTCAAGCCATCAAAAATCATTCGGAAGCTTTTCGTTGTTTTCATGTAGCGGCTTCGCGATTTGCTGATAGAATTGTCTATTATTTACTGCATAAAATGCAAAATGTGGCGGATAATCAGAAATTGGGAGCAATTAATTTGTTGAGACATTTATTGAATAGTTCGGGTAAGTAAGGGGAAAACATTTGCGATTTTCAAACTTCGGACCCAGATCCCACGTGGATTTTCGCCCCAAAATACAATATTTGTAGGTCAACACATGGAAGACAAGCGCTCTCTTCTGATGATGGGTCTCAAAAAACTGCTGGCCGCCGAAAACACAACCAGTATTCGAGTGAAAAGAGCAACTGTTCAATTATGCGTAGCCTTGGCTGATCATGCATATGTCGACGCAGAAGGCGGTGATTGTGTCATTGCATTTCTTGTCAGGAATTTGGTGGCACCAACAGATCAAATTGATATTGCCGGAACGAATCAGCTACGAACACAATGTGCGCAAGCACTGCATACAATCGCATCGACTTGTGTTTGTGCAAACAAGCTACTCTGGCCTTATTTGTTGGAATTCATATGTCTCGAAAAATATACCCCGGTTGTTGGAGATCTTTGTAAATGCATCAGAACTCTGCTAAATCGCCAAGATTTTCAAGATGTTATTGATTTTAAAGAGGGATTTGATAATGAACGAGTTGCTGGACGACACGCTGTTTTTGCTCGCCTTTTTACATGTTTGGCAAATGCGCCAACAAATGGATTATTGACTAGAAGAGCGAGAGAAGCTGGAGGACTTATTAAAACACTCTCGACATGGTTTCATCCGAGTTTGGTGCAAATGGCCGAAAAATGGGTGGAGAAATTGGAGCCGTTGTTGGATGGTGAGCTTTTGGAAGGGTTTTATCGGAACTAGAGATCGGAAATTTTCAGTTAGATTTTTGATTGAATTAAAAAAAATAATTTTTATTCTAATAAATCCCGTAAAAACGTGAACTTGTGACGTGGCACTTTAACAATTTCATTTTTCAAATCTAAAAAAAAATTGTTTTCAATTTTAAAACGTGACCTATTTTGCTACGAGAAAAAAATGCGTTTTCTTCTCATTTTTGGATTCTTGGAGCATTTGAAAATTGTGAGTTTTTAGATTTCTTTTCTCATGTTAGAAAATTTAATTTGAATTTCAGGATTCTGATTCTTCTTATAAAATATTTCGGAGTCTAAACCTTTAAATTACACATCATGCTAGCAAATAAAAAAAATCAAAAAACTTGTGAATTTTTAAATATTGCTCATATTAAAGAATTCGTTTTGAAGCAGATAATCAGAGAATAAACAATATTTTTAATTGGGTTTCTAGGCCACCAAAATTTCCTTTTCCCAATCCTCAGCTCGTCTTTTCGAACCTCAATCATCTTCCAGAAGTCTCTTCAACCTCAGTCACTAGTCCATCAGGCGAAACTGCTCCCTCCGAACTTCGCGGCCGAAAAATCGCACGTTGGCACGAAGCGTGTCTCGAATGGCTCGGTCTATGCATTTCGAGTGTTCCCGAAGGAGAATGGCGTCAAGAAATTGCCGCTGCAATGGGAAAACAATTGGATATGTATAAAGAAATGGCGGATGAGAAGGCTTTTTTGCTGAGATGTTTGGGTGTAGCATTGTCGAAAATTGCCGCAAAACAATTTGTCACCGATCATTTTATGTTGATGTTCAAATCGACTACTCATTCGAATCCTATTGAACGACAAGGTTGTGCGAGAGGAATTGGAGCAATTGCCACGTGTCATATTGATTTGGTAGGACATTTTTTCTAACCTTCCTACCCATCAAATATTTTTGCAGGTCCTAGTCGAACTCGAAAATGTGAGCAAATGGGAACACGCGAAAAAATCGACTGGACTGTTTGGTTTCATTAAAGACACAATGCCAATGCGACAATATCCAGATATTGAAATGGTTATGCTTAGATCAACACTTATGTTATGCTATGGTTATGTTGTAATGGCTTGTGGAATAGATACAGTAACCCAAAGACTGCAAAATACGATTATGGTGTTTCTAAGAAATTATTTTGCCAATAGCAAACAGGAGACTGTTGTAAGAGAATCAATGTTGGAAACAATGCGATTGATTGCGTCTGCAATACATCCAGCAAGAATTGGAAATGATTGGAAATTTGAGGCGAGAAATGAATTGTTGGCATATGTCAAGGATTATTTGACAGGAGAAACACCGGAAATGTTGACGAGTTCGTTGAGATTGTTGGCGGCAAAAGCGACGGCCGCGTTGGTGTGAGTATTTTAGGGTGGGAAGAGGGGAGAAGCAGGAAAAATATGCAATTTGATTTTTTTCTGTGCCAAAAATCCACTTTTAAAGGGTTGGTGCTTTCCTGGTGAAAAAATCGTCTGCAAAAAGGCGTCACCGTGTTATTTTCAAAGTTGTGTGCAAACACACACACAAAAATTCAAAAACAAGTTGTGCGCTAGAGCGCATTTACATGCTTTATTTCGTAGGTTTTAACTCGCTTGTGTTTTTGAGGAAAAACATGGGCTGAATTGATACTAGAATTTTTTCTAAAACTGGAACCTTCCAGGAGCACCTTATTCTTATCTAAACCAAGCAAGATTCCTTGGCGGAGGACCAACCCTTTAATTTGCAATACCGTTCAGAAATACGAAAAATTCCATTTTTCCGTGTTTTTGGCATCAATTTCCTTCAAAACTCTTCAGAAATTAAAAGTGAATTTTTTGAAACAGTGATATTTTGTTGAATTGACAATTTACCAAATCCTCATGAATTTTGTTGGAAATATTTTGAAACAGTGGATTTTTTTTGGAACAATTTTTTTCGAAAAAAAAATCCCTAAATTTTTTGCAGCCAACTCGAACCACCGCTTTCTGTCATTGATATCGATGATTTGGGACAAATTCTCACCAAACACGTTTTACCAATGCACCGTGAAAAATCGGGATTGAAAACTGTAAGTGTTTTTTTTAATTATTTAATTCATTACCCTAATTATGAATCCTAAGTTCCTTAACCTTGTGTGATTGATGTAATCCCAATTTTGGTTAGACTGGAATCTTTAATTAATTAATAACTCAATTAGATAGACCATTGATACTCTTAATTAGGTATATTATTTGGTTAACTTAATTTTCCTTAACCTTGTGTGATTTCACTCTAATTAATTACGTCTCTAATTAGTGTAATTAATTACCTTAAGTTTCTTCTTAACTTATTTTACTAATTGTTCTAAAGAATTAATCAATTAATTCAATTACCTTTCTAATTTCCGTAAGCTTTCTCAATTTTAGGTTTCTTTTTTAAGCTCTCTTTCGTTTCCAGGTGTTCTAGGACTCAAGTCTGTAATATAATTACCCCTCCCCCCCCTAAACTACCCTTATCTGTTCCTAACCTTGTTTATTTTCTCCCAGCTCGCCTATGATATTTTCGACTATGCCTCTTCATCTGTTTTATCAACAATTGGAACAGTTTCCGGAAGTTCTCTTGGATATTTGCCGACTTCAAATATTGCCGAAGGACCCAATGGAACACCGATACATCAGAGATTTAGAGGAGTCAAGGTTGATTTTTTATTCTGGGACAGGGAAAACTAATTTGGTTTTTGGTTTATGATATGCTTCTACTAATTTTTCCGGGATGGGCTTTATACTTGGAGCATTTATTGATCGGAGAGAATTCTGTGGTTCAAAAAAAGTTATGATATTTTCACAGACTATTTTGTTTTTTTGGAATTCTTCCGAAATTCATTTAAAAGTTTTGAAACAAAAAATAAAAATTCACTGTTTCTGAATTTTGATATGATTTTTGAAGAAATATAAAATTATTGAGTCTTCTCTAATTTTGACTTTTCATGGATTCTTATCGTGTGGAACTTGCACAGTTTTTTTCAATTTTTTTTTTGGAAAATGTGAAAATTTCAAAAAGTTTGCTGTTTCAAAATTTTCATATGATTTTAGAAAGGAAAGAATAATTGGTGAACATATAATCAAATCTTTAAAAAAAACTAATCAGCACTTTAATCTGAATTTTTCCCATTTGAGACCCCATTCAGTTTTCATTTCCAGATTGACGACGATGAATCAGCTACCATAATGGATGCCACAGTTCACCAATACGGTTTGGCTCTCGAACAAATTGTTCGAATGTCACCAACCACTCAAACAATCCTTGTTCTCTTGAAAATCCTTCAACCATATTACGGTAAATCTGCAGATCATGAACGACTTCGAGCCGTCGATTCGACAGTTTTAATATTACGAGTCTATTATGAATGTGCTAATGATATTTCGCTTGGACATGCAGCCGATTTTGAACCGTTGAGCTCGTTGTTGGGAAGATTGGCGCCGAGATTGGTGGATTCGTTGGCACATGTCAGGTTGCAAGCATTGGCTGCAATACATTGGGCATTGCGATTGGCCTATATGCATAAGGTGGGTAATGTTTGGAAAATTGGGAGAACAACTAGAATTTCAATTTCAAAAATTGATAATTTCTTTCAATTTTTCAGAATATAAATCGAAATTCAATAAATCATGAGAAAATCTATTTTCACTATTTTCGCAACCCAAGAAATCCATTTTCCAAATTTCAGGGCCATGGTCGAGACATGGATCAATCACTATTTTCCTACGCTGAATTTGTCGAAAAATATCTAACTTTTGGCGAAGGAAAACTCGACGGACAAACTGCAAAATTGGCAATAAAAGGCATTGCTCAGATTATCGAACACCGTCTTCCACAATCACAAATGCAAATTTATTTGACAGCCATTTTTGATATGTTAACAGATAGACAAAGTCAAGTTAGCTCAGCTGCTGCACAATTATTGACATATTCAATGCATTCAAGAGGATCTACACTAATTAATGAGGCTGAGATTTTGGTGACAACTCTCGTTGGAAAATTGGCTGAAGTTCAGAATTGTGTGCAGACTTATACGGATGTTTTGGCGGCGCTGGTCGCATTTGCTGCACATCAACAACAGGCGGTTTGTGATGTTATGTTAAAGCAACCGTTGCCGTATTCAGAGTGAGTTTTATGAGGGTTGGGAATTTGGGATCTACTGAAAATTTGGAGCATTTTTAGGCCGAATATTTTCTATAAAATAATTTTGAAAAAACCCCAAATTTGTGAAATTTTTGAAACAGTAAATTTTTTTCTAGCTAAAATTTTTACTGTTTCGAAAATTCTATATGAATTTTTGTGAGAAATTTTATCGATATTATATTTCATCGATATGTAGTGAAATAAACACTGTTTCAAAAACTTCATTAATTGTAATTTTTTGAAATCTTCTACAAAAATTAATTTTAGGAAAATTAATTGTTTTTTGTTATGATAATTTCGAAAAAAAACCCGAATTTGTGAGATGTTTGAAACAATAATTTGAAATAATTTTTTTCAACATAAAATTTCAACTGTTTCTAAATTTTTATATGTTTTTTTTTCATGAGAAAACTTGAACGATATGAACTCTTTGAATAAAATGTCAAAAATTTCCAGAAATATCTCGGATGCTTGGGAATGTCTTTCCCGCGACAAACTTCTATTTGGTGGAATCCTCGATTATCTCATCGAATTACTCGGAACATCTCTAGATGAACCTTTCGAAATTGTCGATTCTGGCGGTGGAACTTCGGCTAAATTAGTCAATGTTGAACCGTGTGTTTATGTAGCTGCAATTGCTGAAATAATCAAAAATGGTGAGCCGGAAAGTGCTCTGATGGAAAGGCTTGCGATTATTCTCACCTTGTTGATTCAATTTATCTGCTCGGTTTCGGACACACAATTTCCGGTGATGCAAAAAGAAGGTGCAAAAGGTGTGCTAATAATTACACCCGAAATTCGAAGAAGTGCTGAAAAACCGGCTGGAATCGCAGTTTCGACACTGAAGAATTTGATGAATCGAACGAGGAGTATGACGATTATTGAGGATATGAATCAGGCGCGAGCTTGGTCAGATTGTTTGGATCGCGAAATGTTTATACAGGCGGTAAGTGTTTGGGTGAATTGTTCATCGAAAAATTTAATTGAACATCATAGGTTCCAAATTTTGCGCTGATTCATTAACTTGAAAATATTTCATTTAAAAGTTCCCGAAATAATTTTTAAAATTTTCCAGATTTTCGTTCTGGTTCGATCAATAACTGAACAAAGATCCGGATGGATTCCGGCTCTCGCAAGAGTTGTTGAAGAATATGCGACAAGTGAAAGTGAACCGAGAAGATTGGCTGCGGTTATTGTGGCCGCGTCGTTGATTAAAAGGTGAGGATTTTTTGAGAAATTATGAAAATAGGGGGAAATTTGGAGGAACTTCTATATGTAGAATCTGGAGAATGTTTCCGATTTTTGACCTGGATCCATGTGTAGTTTCCAGTTTTCAAAGTGTAATGTTGACCAGGTTTAGGCTTTAAATATTCTGAAACATATATTTTTCTATGCTTGCAAATCGACGAATTATCGTTCAAAATATAGAAAAATATTTTACTAATTTTTTGAAACAGTAAAAAATTTCTTTGCTGAAAAAATTGTTGACGTTATCAGAAATCCATGAGACATCTATCCAATTTTTGCAGAACCACAACTGAAAATGGCGAAATGAACGAACAACTTCTAATAAAATGCATAAGACGATTAGAAGATTCTCTAACTGATCCAAGTCTTCGAATACGAAAATTGTGTGTTAAAGGCTTGGGTGATTTATCGGAAAGTTCATCACCAGATGTAATTCAAAGATTTGTTCATATGGCTGTTGAAGCAGCAATGAGTGGATTAGATGATCATGGAGATCGAAAAGATACGGTTGCTATTGAAAGTATTGTTGCTTTGAATAAGTTAGTCGAACTCACAAATGATGAACAACTTCGATCGATTTTACCGGTTGTTTTATTAAAAGTTCGGCCATGTTTTGAAAAAGATTCGTCCACTCTTCGAGCTGCTGCTTTTAATTTATTCGGAGAAATTGGTGCGCGAGTTGGCGAGAATTCCGAGGATTTTCGATCGCATTTACATACAAATATTGTTACTTTGTTATTGCATTTGAATGATGATTTTGAAGAAGTTCGAGGAAAATGTGCATTGGCTGTTTGGAGATTGGCTGGATTTTTGAATTCGAGCAATGCCGGGATTTTGATTGAGAGAGAGTTGAAAGATGGAAAACAGCCTGCATGTTATTCGCAGTTTTTGAAGGAGATTTCGATGGTTATGGTGAGTGCGGGGGGGGAGGAGAACTTCGAAATTGTGAAATTTTTTAATTGGGAATGCCAAAAAAAGTTCTGAAATTCATCAAATTTTTTTTTAGAGTGACTCATTTCCTGATCGTGTTAATCAATATGCATTAGCCACATCGAACTATTTCAAAAGTTCAAGTAGCCGAATTCGATCGAATGCCGCAATTTTGACCGGATTTTTTATTGGAAGGATTGAGTGCACAATTAAGAGCCACAATTAGCAAGGATTTGATTTTTACTGGTTAGTTTTTTATCGACTTTTTGGGAAAAAAATGAGAATTACTAAAATAGGAATTGAAATTGGGGAGTTTTGAAGTGAAAATAGGGATTTTAAAAGTCGTATTCTTTCGTTTGTGCCCCTCAAAAAAGGTCTGATTTTTGTAGGTCTTGTTGGACTTTTAAAAGATGGCGAGGATCAAAATGTGATAATTTCGGCAACGAAAGCAATTTCTAATTTGCATGATTTTAATTAGTCATTTTTAATTAGAATTAATTAATTAGTTAATTAATTGGGAATGCATTTTTTGTAAATATTTTAAATTTTGTGATTTTTCTAGGGTATTTATTGTTTTCAAGAATTCATTTTTAAGCCAAATGTTTGTTCGCTAGTCTTCCTTTTTTGGGTGTTTTTCTGGAGATTTTATGGATGAAGAGTTGTTTTATTGATCAAGATTGCTCAGATTATTTGAAAAATTCTTGTTTATTTTTTCCCACAAATAGAAATCAGGAATTCATGGTATTTCATGAATGTAAAATTTTAACTATATAAATAATAGGGCGATTGTTTCACATGAAAAATTGTATCATGAAATTCTTGATTCTTTGTGCATTTTTGGCTGTAATTTCAACGGTTTTGGCCGAACCCATTTTCAGACCGGAATTCGGTGAGCTACGTTAAATTTGAAGTCAAAAATTTAAATTTTCAGGAAAAGTTCCAATTTCTCCTTTAAGATTCGGAAAATCGCCAAAACGCTCACTTGTATTCATTGCATGAATTTCTTCAAATATTAAAAAATTCATTAAATTTTTGTTGCAGAAACATTTGGTGCCAATCAATTGAAAAAAAACACTTTCATAATTTCAAATTATTTATTAACTAAAAAACGTACAATGTACAAAAAATTAAAACTAGAAAGCTAAAATGAACTGTGACAGAAAAATTTTGTCTCCGAAAGGGAGCTGGTAAAGAAAATAATTTTTGAATGTTGTCGTTGAGGAATTCTCTTATCTGGAACAAATAGAGTGTCATTTTAAATAATTATAATGCGATGAATAAAAGCTTACAGGTATCTCAACATTGGAACATGATTTTTTTAAAATCTTGGTAGTTTTGGAGCATTTAAAAAAGTCCTAAGTTTTTTTTCCGTTCGAAAAATTTCGCTCCATCCATATAATGAATTTCATTGCTAACATCGATTGATTTATTCCAATGAACCCCGTTTTATTCATTATAGCAATATCTCCATACATACCAACCAACATCACCTTCATATGTTGTCACTCCAACTCTTTTGAGTTCTGAAAACAAAGGCTGATTTTTTTCAAATGAAAAAAAAATCACAATTATGAAAAGACAAACGGCTCGGACATTGACATCGAATACACAGTAATCACGCATATTGGTATCAAAGTCAAATTCTTCATTTTTTACTTCTTGTAAATATTCTTCCAATTTCATTCTCTTCTCAACATTGTATGAATCAGGAGCATAAAAATGGATTGGTGAATGGCTATTGAATACTTTTCCGTAATTATCTTTCAAATTGGAAAAGTACGGAAATAAGCCTCTAACATCTTCTGTGAATCCAAAAGTCTTTGGCATTGGTTCCAAAAAATTGAAGCTGTCGATGAATCTGATCTTTCCGTTGAGGATTTTGTAGCCTTAAAAATAATCAAAAATTGTTATTGGTTGATCCACAAAAAATCTTACCTACTAGAGTATGGGTGGTGCCAAAACATCAAAAAATGCAAGTTCCTTGAATCCAAGTTGATTTCCAACAATTTTTTGAAAATCAGATCTTAGTATCAGATCTCAGATCTCGGGGTTGACCACGTGGATATTCAGTAGTGCAATTGACATATGGATACAGAGAACAATAATCTGCATATCCAATCGATTTTGTCTCCTGTCCGACTTCGGCATACATATTGAACACTTGTGTTCGACCACCGAACATGGCTTCGCGTGGTCTCATATGAGTAGCATGTCGACAATTCTTGAAAAAGGTCCGCATCTTTTTATCAATTCTTAATTGCTCCTTAATTGAATGTTCCCAAATATAATCTACATCATATCCTTCAGCTCTTATACGATCGATTCGAGCCATTGTTTCATCATACATATATTTGCTGGTGAGTCTTGTCCTTGTTCGAAAAATTTTTCTCCACCATCCGGTCCTTGTTGCACACATTACATCCATTCCACAAACATCCAAGCACTTCAACCACTTTTTTATTTTCATCATCATATAGATCCACACTGTATGATAATATCTTCTTTTCACCACCGCGCAACTTGTGTTGGAACTTTTTTCCAGATTCTTTTTCCAACCAAAGAATGAACTACATCGCCAAATCAGATTGATTAACTCCGCCAAATCCTAATTCACTAATAATCCCGATGTCGCCATTCTTGATACACTTCTGCGTCAACAAGAACTTGACATATGAAGCGGTTGTGATTCCGACTTCCATTGGATTTATATCGTATAATTTTGCCTTGGAGTTCTGAAAATTTTGTTGAATTAGATTTTTATTTCTAATATGACAAACTCACTATTATGAACAAGCAGACAGCTCGACAAAGCACATTTACATCCGAAACGCAATAATCCATGATATTCTTGTCGAAATCGAATTCCTCATCTTTGACTTCTTCCAAATATTCTTCCAATTTCATTCTCTTCTCGACTTTGTATGAATCTGGAGCATAGAAATGGATAGGAGGATGACTATCGAAAACTTTGCCGTAATTTTCTTTCAGATTGAAAAAATAGGGGAAGAATCCTTTTACATCTTCATCGAATCCGAAAGCTTTTGGCTCTAACGCTTTTGGCTCTAAATTCTAACGACATGTTCAGGAAATTGAAACTATCAACAAATCGAATCTTGTCGAATCCCATTGTTCGTTTTTTTGTCGAGCATCAAGTTCAGCGAGGGTGTTTTTCTCCAATAGTTTTTTTCACGTAATTACGTTCCTTCCTAATTGCACTTTGATTTTTCGAGCTATTTTTGATGTCCACAGAAGCTGACAGGATATTCCGACCTTGCGCGATGATGCTGAGACGGCCCAGACACTTGTGATAAATACTGCTCAAAATGAAATACAAATCATATCGACCTCCATTGTGAGCAATGAAAGTTCGATCATGATATGCAACTTCTTTGAACAATAAATTAGTGAACGCCTCGATGACAGTTTCACCAGCTTTAATTGTATTATAAGCAATATATCGGGCCTTTGGACATTCCTGACAACCAGCTCCATTTTGAGGCATGCATAGATCGCATACTGCTCACAAGGTTCGCTTCTGGCAAGTTGTACAGAGTTGCAACCACAACATGGAGTGATTCACGGCAACATGTGCCGAGACTCAAGGTCACAAAGTGACCCGCGGCAAAAACCGCTTCCTTTCGCACATATTTCGTTTTTCATGTTTTGAGCAACTTCCAATTTTGCATTTACAAGGAATAGTTCCAATAAATTCTTGAATTCCTCGATTGAAGTTCAGTTATTTCAATTTTCTTGAATTTAGCCAGGAATGGTAACTTTCGTTTCGTATAAATTTCGTAATTAAAAAACAAAAAAATCGTTCAAAAAAAACTTCATACGCGAAGCGCTCTGCGTTTGAAAAATAAAATGTGTATCACTAGAATGAATTTATTTTTAAAAAAATAAAATAAACGCGCCATCCAATAGATGCACCAACATAAAAAATGAGCAAACATTGCACAACAAAAAAAGTGCACGCCAGACACGAAAAAACACAGGTGCCCACACGAAACTTTTAGAGTAATGTAATAAATAATTATTTAGGGAGACATACACAGCAGATGAGCAAGAAGTGAAGGTTTTTGTTGCCAGAAACAGAAAAGATGTTTTATGAGTTTGGGAAACAGGATACACTTTGGGTGTTTGAAATAAGTATCAAATAATGTATATTTAAACTGTTAAAGGGAGAACGGGAAGAATCAGAAATATGTATTTTTTGAATTTTTTCAACGTATACGTTGTTTGATAGCATAATAATATAATATTATTTCTTATGGGGTGAATTAATTTCACAAAAACGTGAAATTATTCGCACTTTTTTTGTCAATTTTCTCGTATGAATCACCCAATTTATATTTTTTTCTGTTCTATTTCTCAAACAAATTCAAAATTATTTCTATGCAAATATTCATTGTTTTACAAATCACTTAAAATATGGTCTAGCAATTTCAGCAAACTCCGCATAATAAGTCTTTATCTTCTTTCCTTTACCCAGATCCTCATTCAATTTGATTACTTTATCCAAATCCTTCTTTTCAAATCTCCAACATTCAATTTGTCCCGGACGCCATACTAAACAGTTATGTTTAATACACATGAATGCTTCAATTCCTCCGAATTCCCTTTCGCTTCCAGATATAGTATAACTTCCATTTTGATCAGTGAATGTAGAATCGAGAAGATCTGATGAACCTGGATTGTCATAATCAAAAAGTAGAACTTGGGTGTTTATCATAGGTATATAATGACATTTAAATATTCCTTCTACTGTAATACGTGACTCGGAATAAATTGAGCCAATTTGGGGAATTGATAATTGAAGAAAAATAATGAAGATTTGTTTGCAAATGATAGAAAACTCAGACATTTTTGGACAAAATGACTGTCTGAAAGGATTATTAAATAAATTTTCGCGTGGGAACAAAGCTCTTTGCAAAAAAATATTGATTTCTAAAATTTTGATTTTCTAATTTCTAATCAGAAAATCTGTTGTTATTCAAAATATGAAAAAATAAATCAATAAAATCCTTTCAAATTAAATATTAATATTAAAATCCTTTCAAGTATAAAATTTTTTTTTTTCTTCGACGAGCAGTTCATGTTTCGAAATTCTTATTAATTTTCACAGTTTTATCCAGATGTTCCTTGTCAATTTTCCAACTTTCAATGATTTCAAAATTATAACAATCATGTTTGAGACAAAGAATTGGATCGATTCCGCCAAATTCTCTTTCCTGTCCGAATATTTGAAATCTCCCTTTTTTTATCGGTGAAAGTTGTGTTGAGAAGATCAATTGGATCTAGTGAATCATGCTCCAAAGTAAGACTTTTTGATATGACAAAGGTTTAGAATTACAAGTGAAGTGACCGAAAACTGTGATGTTTGTCAACGAATAAATCGATGAAGTTGTTTGAGGTCGAGAACTTCCAATTTGGAATTGAAGAAGAAAAAATAGAAATTTGAGAGAAATTATTGATATTTTTCAAAACAAAATCAATGTCTATAAGGTTTAAAAACAGATTTTAGGTGGGAAAAATTTTTCAGAAAAAATTGATTCTAAATCGGACCCAAATTTTACAAAAATCCCTATTTTCAACAACATCTATAAAACGTGGAAAAATATAAAATTTTAAAATAGAATTTTTAATATTTTTTCCCACCAAAATGTATGTTTTTAACAGAGAATTCAAACATTTTGTTTCAAAAATGTCAATGTTTTCTCTCAAATTCGTTTTCTTTTTTCTTCAATTCCTTCAAATTGTGAATCTGACTTTTATCACCAAATCTGGATATTTATCATCAAATATCACGATTTTCGGACAATTTTTGTGTAATTCAAAACCTCTGTCAAATCAAAAAGTTCTACTTGTTGAGTATGACAAATTAGATCCAAATGATCTTCTCAACACAACAATCACTGATAAAAATGGAAAATATACGATTTTTGGAGAAGAAGCTGAATTTCATGGAATGGAGCCAATTCTATGTTTAAAACATGATTGTAATTCGATTGGATTTGTTGAAAGTTGGGAAATTGATAAGAAATATCTGGATGAAGTTATAGAAATCAATGAGGATTTTGGAAAGGGAAATTTTATTCGAAAAAATTATGAAAAATCGAATGCAATTTGTAAGGAGTTTTTTAAATGAATGAAGTTTTGCATAAAAGAATTTATTTTCAGAAAAATATCATAAGAGTATTTTGCAATATGAAAACGTTTCAGAAAATTTATAGAATTTCGTTTGAATTTAGATTTTCTACTGATTTTTACCCTGTGAAATTCGTTTGCTGAAATTTTATTCAAAATCAGTTACAGATAGTTGACATATGTTGATGACACCGTAGTTCATGTAAAAACGAATCCTTAAATTTCTTATGCCTATTAAAATTATACGTAAAATTCACAACAGTTCCCAAATAATCCTTATGAAAAGTGTTGGATTCGTGCAATGTTACCACATTTTCTTCATAACACAAATGTTTTATACAAAGTCGCGGATCGATTTTGCGAAATTCGCGCTCTTGTCCATAAACTTCGAAATTGCCGTTTTCATCGGTGAAAGTTTCGTTGAGAAAATCCGTTTTATCGAAAGGAACTGCAGAATATAGCCGATTTTAACACATATTTTTGAAAGCTCTACAAAAAGCTCGATCCAACTCACTGTGATCGTGATCAATTAGAATAACTTGATGATTAGCCATCGGAATACCATTACAAAACAATCGACCAACTATTGTTATGTTCCACATATAATAAATTGCATTCACCGAATTGAGAAAAATCAAAAGGTGAAGCATGTTTTATTTTAAAAAAATGAAGAAGATACTATTGAATAAGATTTTATTTGTGGGAAAGTCTGGAACGTTACAAAAAATTTGAAGTTTGTGCAATGATTATTTGATACTTCCAAAATTTTTGAACAACATTTATTTCCATTCACGCAACATTTTCATTTAAGTTCCAAAGTTATAGCATGAGCTGGTGATTTAGCTGATAATTGAAATTTTCTGTGAATTTTAGGCGCCGAAAACTTACCAATTGGTTTTCCCCCAAAGCTATTAAAGAAAATAATATTTTCATGATATGTTATATTTCCTTTGAATTTCTCTGTATGTTTTTATACAAAAGTTTCACCTTTCCAAAAACTTCTCTTAAATTTACGGAGCTGGATGTTTGAAACACAATTTTTGAAACGTTATATTTTGAACATTTTTCAGTATTTTTTTAAATGAGTTCCTAAAAGAAGCCTCTCTTCAAAATGTTCAAATTCTGATCACAAAATGCAATTAATTTATTATTCCTCAATTCTTTTCAAAAAATGGTTTACAAATCTTATAGTAAAAAATATTTCTGTCTTTTTTGTTTTCCCCAAAATCTTCGATAATTTCGATAACTCTACCCAAAGCATCTTTTTCATATTTCCAAGTTTCAATAGTTTTTTGAGAATCTGAATTGCAGTCATGTTCAAGGCAAAGAATTGGATCCATCCCATTCAACTCTCTTTCCTGCCCGAAAATCTCAAATTTTCCATTTTCATCAGTAAATGTTGAATTAAGGAGATCACTTGAATCTATCATATCATGCTCCAAAAGTATGATTTTTTGATTTGACAAAGACTTCGAGTTACACGAAAATTGCCCAAAAATTGTGATATTTGATAATCCATAAAATTGTTTTTGTTCAGGATTTGTAACTCGACAAAATGTTATTTGGAGAATTATTAGGAAAATAAGAAAAGATTTCAACATTTTTGACACAAAATGATGTCTGTGGGCTGTTAAAACTGGAATTTTCATGGGGAACATAAAATTCCGAAAAATTGATTTTGAAAAAATCGCCAACGATTTTTTTTCTGATTCACAAAGTTTAATCATATGGAATTTTAAAACAGTGAAAAATTTTCCAAAAATATTTTACATAGGCGAGCCGTATGTCCAGCAAAAAATATAAAAATATGTATTTTTAAATTTGATATTTGAAACGTAGATTTTTCTGCGGATTATTTTTCTTAACATTTCCTAAGTTTTTTAGGCTAACAAGCTTCACTGGTTTGAGGCACTTTTTTAAAGGCTTAGCAAGCCATAAAAGAATTCAAGCCTAAGGGATTTCAACAACAATTTATTCCAAATCGAAAAATTTCACCACAAAAATCAATCAAAATTATTATTTGAAAAATCAGAATTATTTGTTGTGACATTAGTTCTCTTATTTTTCATTCGTCGATTTTGAAACCAAATTTTGATTTGTGTTTCGGATAATGTTAATTGTTGTGCCAATTGATATCTTCTCGGTCGACTCAAATATCGATTTTTTTCAAATTGTTTTTCCAATTCAATTAATTGTTCACTACTAAAAGCTGTTCGAGGACGACGCATTTTTCCCCAAACTTGCCATGCATTTACTACAAAAAATAAAAAGTTTCAGAGGGATTTTTGGCAACAAAAATTAGAATAACTTACATGTGATTGCAATTTGATCATATAAAATTGGTAAAACTGTTGGTTGAATTAATTGAGAGAAATTTTGAGAAGAGGATTGAGAAAAAGCAGATGATTGGTCTGAAACAAATTGAATTTTACATGGTGAATTATCAAGAGAAAATGAAGAATTTTTGAAAATTCACTGTTTCAAAATATTTATATGAAAGTTTTGATGTGACCCCAACTCACCAAAAAATTGCAAATTTCTTCTGATTTTCTCTTCATTTTCTTCTTCAATTTTCGCTTTTTCTGCCAATTTTTTCAATTCTTCCGAGCAAAAATTATTTGAAAATTTTGGTTCGATCTCAACTTTTTTCACTTTTTTTTCAACTTTTAATAATTCATCAATTGAACAAAACATTATAGAAATACAGTAGTCAGAAAAAATAGGCAGCAACAAAAAAATAAGTGCGCGAAAATGAAGGAAGAAGGTCCCGAGGGGAAAGGCGGAGAAACAAAGAAAGTATATTATGAGAGAAGAAGAAGAAGATTACGGTAGCTGAAGGGAAAAGCATAAATGATTGATATTTTCGAAAACATTAGAAGGATTTCAATTTGTAGCGGCAGAAAAAGTGGTGAAAAAAATTCCCAGGGGATAATTTTTGATGGCGGCGGAGCTAGAAATTATTTGCGGCGCTTCTTTTTTTTGACAGGCGCTAGACAATTTTGTGAGGAAAAGGGTAAGGTTTTTGAAAAAAAGCATGTTTTAAGTAGAAAAAAATACATTTTAGGTCTCGACAATTTGGATTAAATTAATAGAAAATTTATGAAAATAATAAGAAAACTCCTTAAATGTTTGAAACATTTCCTCAGCGTTTGGTGCCATTTTTTGGTATCTTCGCGACAGTTTTATCGATGTTGATATGCTTTCGCTGAGAAATTTTAAAAAAATATGAAGTTTTTTGTGGAGAAAATCAAAAGGAACTCCAAAAACCTGAGGAATTTACTTGGAAAGATAAACATTTGATCTTGGATGGAACTGCTGTTGAAAATCTCAATATTGTTCCGAATTTACGCAATTCTCAACAATCTTCTCTATTTTATGTCATAAATAAATGCTCGACGATAAACTCAATCATTTATTCCATAATACACCAATCAATAATTTATAGTTAATTTCTCTTTTTTCTTCCCCATCCTCCCCAACCACCTCCCCATTGATCTCCCCTTCCATTCATATTATTTCCCCATCCCCATTGTGGTTGTTGTTGCCCCCAATCATTTTGCTGTTGCTGAAAACCTCCTCCCCAACCACCACGTGGCGGCGGGGGTCTGCGAGAGCTTTGACGTGGCGCGGGAGCCACAGGCGACACACTTCCTGCACGTTGTCCACACATTCGACGAAGTTCTGTTTGTGAATAACACGAGTTGCAACTGGCTCGACAATTTTCAGCCATCCATGGGTTTTTCTGACATTCTCCGACGCGAGCCCAACCAGCACAAGAGCGATGATAATCGACGCATGCTGCAAAACAATATTGCGATGTTTTTCTCGCAAAATTTGAAATGCAAGGACGTTCAGTTGATGATATCGATTAATCTTTGAACATTTGGTTTTTTTTTGGTTATCAATGGGTCAGAAAGTAGGTCTGATTTGTTTTGAAACAAAGAGGAAGTGAAAGTAACTTCAAGATTGTTTTGCCACGTCATAACTAGCTAAATCAAGGATGACGTGGTATTTTTAAAAAATTCTATCAAGTCCTCACATCTATGACGTGGCAACCCCCTCTCTGAAAAAAACTTACATCCATAATTATAATCATCCGGATAGCAATGTCCACAAGAAACTCGACAATTACACGCCATAAATCCAATATTATTCCTGCATTCTCCCAATAATCCCCAAATTGAGCAACAAACATTCTCGTTGTAGCAACCTTCTGAATTTTCGCATTGTGGTTGTTGTGGCGCAACAGTTGTGGTAGTTGTTGCGGCTGCTGCAGATCCTCCACCACATTCTTGCGCTCGAGTCTTCGAACATTTCTTACAACTCTTCCGGCAATTCTCAGCCATCCAGAGTGGATTTTTAGTGCATTCCCCGGTCGCCGCCCAATTCGCACAATTTGAATGACGATCTCCGCAACTATCCGTGAGCGGATATGTGGTTTTACACTTTCCGCAACTTGCTTTACACCACTCGTTCATATATGCGGCATTTCGTGTGCATTCTCCACGTGCAGCCCATGTTGCACAACACTGATTCTCATTGAAACAAGATTCTTGTGATTGCACTGGTTGGGTTGGTGCAGCAGTTGTGACAACTGGAGGTGGAGTGGTTGGTGGAGGTGTTGCATTGGCGCTGAGAACACAGATACCACCTTGACAAACACCGGAAAAACAAGGATTTACTTGGAAACTGCCACATTGAGAGCCTGGTTTGATTCGAACGACGCATTGGTTTCTTGTGGTATCACAGAAAAGAAATTTCGAAGTGCAACCGTTTTGACAAGTTGGACGAGGCGCATATTCATACAAATTATCAGTAAATTTATTTGATAATCCATCGATATTTCTCATCGGTGTGAATGGTTGCATTGGAGATGCTCCAAAATGTTGAGCTGATGCACAGAGTTGATTATCTGGAGGGAATGCAATCTCTCGATCTGCTCTAGATTGTTTTGTGAGTCTCCATTGCTCCCAAATAAAATCAATGAACGCGTGATGCAAGAAAAACGACGGATCATTAGAAGATGTAGCTGTATCAAACATATCACCACCAACAAAAATATGCACATTTCCATGGGTATATTCCAAACAATTGTAATCAGTTCGATAAGGACAACCTTGTTGAGGAGCGGTGAATGCAAGAACTTGATCTACTTGAGTTTGCTGCATCACAAAGTTTAAATCATTATCCGTCAATGGTCCACCTTGCGCTCCAACAGCTCGCTGAATTTGAGCACGACCAGATAGAGTTCGCCAGTTGACAAATGGTCCATTTGACACCAAACCCTGTGCATTTGATTCGCCCATCAAATAATCACTGAACATTATAGTATCTGCAGGACGGCTGAGACGTGATTCAAGTGTGGAATCCCAATAAGGAAGGGATACGGTAGGATCAACTTGACGTAAGGCGAACTCAACTCGTTTGATAAATTCACGATGCCAAGCAAGGAAGGCGGGACCAGAGTGAGCTCCTCCGGCAGCAGACATTTGAGAGTGGATTCGGCCAATGCGATCATACTCTCCGTTCTGAAAAATTTCTATGATGATTTTTTTTTTGGTATACTTTAGAACTAGTTGAAGGTTAGTGAACTTAAGTCACCTCCCTGAAAACTCACATTTTTCAACTGCCTAAACGCATTATGAAGTCGACTTCTCTCATCATCGCTCAAAGTTCTATACTCCTTCCTGACTGATTTTCTCAATGGTTGTCCATTTGGTAAAGTACACTGTCCATTTGCTCCCGTAGTTCCTCTTAAATAAGAACAAAGACAAGCTAAATCCATACATTGATAAATATTCGAGGCGATTGGTGCAAATTCAGCAGCCATTCCTTTTTCGATTCCTGGAGGCAATGCTATTTTTTTCTTTTTTGAAGCTTCCTGCAAAATTTTGGGATAAAAAATTATTTTTAAATTTTTGGATGAACTGTTTCAAAAAAATTTGAAATTATATATTTTTTCTCACTTTTTCAAAATTTCTATAAATTTTCTAAAAAAAACTCACCCTAGCTCCAGTATCCCACCGATGCAACTGTTTACACATAATTTTAGCATTTTCAGTTGGCGCATTTGCGCACGGATCTGCATCTTGAGAATTGGCCCCAAATATTAGAAATGACCCAAAAAATAATAACCATATCATTTTTCAATCAATTCTTCTTCGTTTTAATTTTGATTTTAAGAAGAAGAAGAAAAAGAAAAATGAAGATATGATAACTTGCCATCATTTTTTGTTACTTTTTTATTTTCTCGAAAAAAAAAGTAGTTCGTCTAACTACTTTTTGGAACAACACAATTGATAATAAAATAAAATGTGTCATGGTTTTTTTTCAAAATAAAAAAGTAGTGTTTATTGGGTTTTGGGATTAGAGCGCACTTGTATATAAACACACCCAGGAAAAAGGAATCGGAAAAAAACACACATTTCAGTCTGTTTTTTGTACGATTTTCCCATGGATTATTCAAGTGGGTTTTGGGATTTTCACTTGGGGAAAAAATTTCAGTAGAAAAACTGGTTTTTTTTCAGCGTGACCTTGATTTGTTAAATTCAGAAAACATTTTATAATTAGAAAATTTTGACTTTTGCTGAAATTTTATTGGAAAAACATCTTTTGGAAAAATTGACCGTTTCAAAATTTTTGAAATTTTTTTTTTAATTTTCAGATCAAAATTTTTCGCAAATTCAATTCCTAATTTTTCATAGAAAATTTTACTGTTTCAAAGTTTTTGCATACATTTTTGAAGCTAACATAATTTTGATAAACTGTAGTTGTTCATAATTTTCCAACTTGCCTAGTTTTTTTCTCAAAAAATCCCAATTTTTTGTTTGAATTTGGGATTATTTGTGAATAATGTTATACGAAAATGGTCAAAGATTCTCGATTTCCGGAAAAGAATACGGGAAAAATTTACTTTTTAAAAAAATGCATAAATTTTTCAGACTTTTCAAAAGCCAATCTTTTTCCACTTCAGAAAAATCTACTGATCCAAATTTTCCCCAAAAATTTCTCACTCACTATTTTTTTTGCAGCTCGTTTCTATGTTCCTTTAACTCACGGTTCCTGCCACGACACTCGTCAAAATTGCAACAAAAAACCGAGAATCGAACCGCTTGTCTCACTCAAATCCATGCCGACATTTCAGCAAAATCCGAATTTTCAGCCAAGTTTCAGCCGAGAAAATTCGACGAAAAAAGAGGCGGAGAAAAATGAACGTCGTGTACATTTCAGCAAAAATATGTGATTTTATCGCAGAATTTTTTTGAATTCATTTTTATTAATAAATAAATAATTTATTCTTTTCTTTTGAAACTTTCTAGAAATTCGGGAATTTTTTACGTTTCTAAGTTTCCCTATTGTCTTTTGGAGATTTCATAATTCGATAATTTTTTTGTTTTTACTGTATAACTACGAAAAAAATTTGAGAATGAAAAAAAAAATGAAATTCTAGAAGCTCAAAAAATCTTATTTGATTACAAGGCAGACTGTTTTCTAAAATAAAAATTAAAATTAATTTTCAAATAATTCATGGTTTTGAATATATTGTTCACAAAAAATTTACTGTTTCAAACATTTCATTTTTCTCTTTTTTTAAAGTTTTCTTTTTTCAAAATTTTCAAATGAATAAAGTAAAAATAAAGATTAGGAATAAAGTAAGATATTAGAGTAGAGAGAGAAAAATAAATAGAATTAAAAGAAAGAAAAATTATAAAATGACGCAAATCGAAAATTATTCGAGGAAAGTATGATATTAATGTGAGGAAATAAAAAACAGAAAGAGAGAGAGAGAGAAAGAGTTTTTGTATTATATTAAATAAGAGTAGAGCTATATTTTAGTTTGACCTAGTTAGAGGAATGTTTTTGGTTTTGTAGTTTGATGTCGAGAAAATGTTCACTGAATCCGTTTTTGCTGAATTGTTTGACTAGATCAAGAATTCTGTTGCTTGAGTCAATGAAATTTGCAAAAGTTTGGAAAATTCGTGAAAGTTCAGTGTAAATTGTATTTATAGCAATCTTTTTTGGTATGTAGCTGTTAGCAATTGGGTATCTAACAATTTCGAAATCGTAATCATCCGTTTTTTTGTATAATCGTGTGTGAATTGTTTTTCCACAGGTGATGATTTTCAAATCCAGAAAAAATCTAGAAATAATTTTTTTCTACTTAAAAAAATGCTTTTTTTCAAAAACCTTACCCTATTTCTCCCCAAATTGTCTAGCGCCTGTCAAAAAAAAGGAGCGCCGCAAATAATTTCTAGCTCCGCCGCCATCAAAAATCATCCCCTGGGAATGTTTTTCATCACTTTTTTGCCGCTACAAATTGAAATCCTTCTAATGTTTTCGAAAATATCAATCATTTATGCTTTTCCCTTCAGCTACCGTAATCTTCTTCTTCTTCTCTCATAATATACTTTCTTTGTTTCTCCGCCTTTTCCCCTCGGGACCTTCTTCCTTCATTTTTGCGCACTTATTTTTTTGTTGGTGCTTATTTTTCTGACTACTGTATTTCTATAATGTTTTGTTCAATTGATGAATTATTAAAAGTTGAAAAAGATGTGAAAAAAGTTGAGATCGAACCAAAATTTTCAAATAATTTTTGCTCGGAAGAATTGAAAAAATTGGCAGAAAAAGCGAAAATTGAAGAAGAAAATGAAGAGAAAATCAGAAGAAATTTGCAATTTTTTGGTGAGTTGGGGTCTTTGAAAATCAAATCAAAATTTTCATATGAATATTTTGAAACAGTGAATTTTCTCAAACAAAAGTTCTTCAGTTTCTCTTGATAATTCACCATGAAAAATTAAATTTGTTTCAGACGAACCATCTGCTTTTTCTCAATCAACATCTCAAAACTTCTCTCAAATTATTCAACCAACAGTTTTACCAATTTTATATGATCAAATTGCAATCACATGTAAGTTATTGTATTTTTTGGTGCCAAAAATCCCACTGAAACTTTTTAATTTTTTGCAGTAAATGCATGGCAAGTTTGGGGAAAAATGCGTCGTCCTCGAACAGCTTTTAGTAGTGAACAATTAATTGAATTGGAAAAACAATTCGAAAAAAATCGATATTTGAGTCGTCCGAGAAGATATCAATTGGCACAACAATTAACATTATCCGAAACACAAATCAAAATTTGGTTTCAAAATCGACGAATGAAAAATAAGAGAACTAATGTCACAACAAATAGTTCTGATTTTGCAAATAATAATTTTGATTGATTGATTTTTGTGGTGAAATTTTTCGATTTGGAATAAATTGTTGTTGAAAACTTAGGGACCTATGAAATACTTCAATCTTAAAAAGAAGCCTGTGAAAAATTCTATGATTACTAATGCAAATTAAAAGCCTGAACCCAGCTTTAGGTTTTACACTTGGGAAATGTTGAAAAAATCATCCGCAGAAAAATATACGTTTCAAATATCAGATTATAAAACTCGTATTTCTATATTTTTGCTGGGCATATAGTACTACGATGTAAAACATTTTTGGAGAATGTTTCACTGTTTCAAAATTTTCATATCATATTTTTTTAGGAATAAATATTTTGTATCAGATATATGAAAAGATATTGAAAAAAATTTATTGAAACCCCAAAACATTTCGAAAAAAACCCAAATTATTCGATTGGCGATTTTCCTGGAAACCAAACAGATTTTGGTGGTCTGGACTAGAAACCCCAAAAAACGTACCGAAACGCATAACAGATGGAGATTTTCCCATTCTCATCATCGAATTTGGTGCTTTTCCTGAAAAGTAAATAGATTTTGGTGGCCTAGAAATACTCCCGATGACCTAGGACTCCAAAAATGATAAATTTCTGGCCCAAAACGTACCGAAACGCATAACAGATGGAGATTTTCCCATTCTCATCATCGAATTTGGTGCTTTTCCTGAAAAGAAACGTTTTTTTGGTGGCCTAGAAACCCAAATTTATCCGCAAAAAAACTAACCAACACTAACAACTGGTGGTGATTTTCCTCTCAATCTTGGACACGCTGGAGATTTTCCTGAAAATCATTTTTGATTGTCTTGAATCGTCATAAACCTTTGAATACTCACCAAATTCAGGTCTGAAAATTGGCTCAGCCAAAACAACTGAAACAGCCACCAAAAGTGCACAAAGAATGAAGAATTTCATAATTGTTGATATGATGTTTTCAATGAATTAGGCTCCCATTTTATACAGAAAAATGAGAATAAGAATTCCAAAAATTCCTCAATTTTTCATCGTGGGAAAATCAAAAAATTCCTAAAGGCTTTAGTTCTTGTGATACAGGAATACGTTGAAAAATATACTGTAATATAGGATTATTGTAGCTAAATAGCTTTGTGGAGAATGATAAAATCTTGAATCTTTTTTGAATTTTTTCATTTTTTCGGCGTGACCTAGTTTTTTTCACGTTTAACCTCATTTCTGTCTCTTCTCAAGATCAACTCACTTATTTCTAAAATTCCAAAAATAAATAAATTATCAATCAAAAAATGTATATCAAAATAATATTGTATCAAATCCTAATTTATCGAAGTCTCGCCCATGAAAATCATCAAAATTTGGGAGGAGGTGAAGAAGATGAGCAAGATGTCTATCAAAAACATTCGACAATATTCATTTGTCTTTTTGTTTTCATTGTTTTATTGTTTATTTGTGCAATGGCTGCTTGTTTTTTCTTTTGTATTCGACGAAAAAAACAGAAACTCGCAAAATCGCCGAAAACCGGCGGATCGAGGTCGAAATCGAAATCGAGTCGAGAAAAAGAAGTTGTGCTATGTCCGAAAAATACTAAACCAGTTATTATTAAAACTAACGAGCCGGTTATTGAGGAAAAAGATGAGTTTGCTGAATGGAATAAGGTTGGTTTTATTTTTAAGGATGTTTAGGAGGAGGTGTAGGCTTAGGGATATATTTATGCTTGTACTCTTACAATAAGCTTGCGCTTGAATTTTCAGCTTGCAAACAGTTAGCCTAACATAAAAATCTAGATAAATTTCAGATTCAAGCTGATCCAAATCGAGAAATCACTTGTGATGAAGCAGAACCTGTGGAAGAACAAAATCTATTTGATAAATAAATTTTGTAGTTTTGGCAAAAATGCCACGTGGCACAAATATTTTTTCACATATTTTTCGAAATGAAAAGAAGATTTTGATAACGATTTGAATATCGCAGAACAAACTGATTTTCTTCAATCACATCATCTACAATTTTTAACTTCAATTAAATTTATATATCGCAAGAATTCAAAAAACAGAAAAAATTAAAAACATACTGTGAAAAAATCGGGAGATCACACAAATAGATAAAAATAATAAGAAGAAAAAGGGTAAAAAATAAATACACTGAAAATTTAAAAAATTGGAGAAGGAGGTTAGTGTAATCAGAGACAAAAAAAAAGCCCGTTTTGAGGGGTAAAAAAATAATTTCAGAAAATTGAAAAAAAACACGGGGATATGTTAGTTAGGAGTAAAAAATAGTAAAATAAATAAATACATTTTAGGATCAAAATTGGCCCTAATGTTTTGATTTTTTCGAGCTCTGCGGAGTTTGGGGCATTTGTGCAGCAGCTAAGAGCATTGCAGCTGTTGGATCACCGCCAAGTAACAAACTGTTGAATAAAACTGGATTGGACATCAATGCTTGCATTAACATCGGATTCATTTGATCGTCAGCTGAAGAGTTTGCAGCAGCAGAATTTGAGGATGTTGATGCATTTTGATTTGCAGCTGAAGTTGAAGCACCGGAATTTGAAGTTGATGGAGCTGAGGCAGAGGGAGTTGATGTTGTGGCAGTTGTCGATGTTGTTGACTGAAACAAATCACCATTATTCAAATTTAGGCATTTGTGCCAAAAATCCCACAATTCTCAGACCCATATTTCCAGAAAACAAGATTGGTGAATCAAAATTCGATGTTTTGCCAGAAAATTCATGAAAAATTTGAAACAGTGAGAAAATTTGTTGAAAATATCTTCTGGGTTTTCATATTTTCAAGAAAAAACCGAAAATAATTTTACGACTTTTAAAGGTTGATTTAAGACTAGAAAATTCAAAACCATGAGGAATTTTGCTAGAATTTTTAGCCAAAATTCATTAATTTTTCGAAATTGCTGAATTTCCTTATAATTTTTCAATTGAAATGTCAAATTTCAGGCCTAAAATATCGCAGAGTTTTTCACTAGAATTAAAATATTCAACAATTTTCTCCCACCCATCCCAAAATCTCCAACCTTATTGGCTCCCGATCCTCCAGCTCCTCCACTTCCACTTGCAGTTGTCGCATTTACACCGTACGGAAACATCATAGCTTGCATAGATTGTTGCAGTGCAGCTTGCTGCAACAATAGCTGCATTTGCAGCATATCCATTTGTTGTTTAGCCAAAGAATCCGCTGTTGTTCTAGACGATTTGGGTGTAGCTGTTGTTGTATTTGCAGAAGTGCTCGCAGCTGCAGCAGCAAGTGCAGCCAATTGTGCAGTCGTCGCAGCTGACATCGAAGCCGGTGTTGAAGGTGTTAAAGGTGGAGCGGGTGTATGAGTTGTAGATGGTTGAGTTGTTGAAATTGTTGTTGCACCTTCGCCACCAATTCTTTCAGTTGAGCCAAGAACTAATTGAGCAATTGCTGAACTTGATGTGTGAACATTGAATTCGGAATTGGCGTCAAGCCAATTTGACAGGTCTTTTGCTTTTGGCCATTTTGACGCAGCCAGAAGTTCACCAGTATTTCTGAAAATATTTATTTAAAATATTTATAGAAGGCATGAAAAACAACCACGAATCAAAACTCAAATTTTTCTTGAAAAATTCAAAAATTGAAACAGTAAAAGTTTTTCTAGTAAATGTGTTTTAAAGATTTTTATAAGCAAGAAAATTAAATTTCCAACAAAAAATTCTGGATTTATGTGGAAAATTGATTTGTTGATTTGAGACTACGTGGAAATTAATATATAAAAATTTTGAAAAATAGTCACAAAAAATTATAAAATTTTTGAAGCAGTAAATGTTTGTTTCATGTTTTTGGGCTTAAAAATCCCCAAATTCCCGTCCTCTCAAAAAACTCACCGATTAAAAACAGCAATGGGATCATCAATTTGCAAACTGTTCGATGCTTTCACATTCGCCGTCACCGTTGCCTTTTTCTCTTCTTGTGCCAATTTGGGACTGGTGGATTTGGGTGTCATAACAGGTGCGGGAGTGGCTGGAGCCGACGGTTTTGCACTCGATGCTTGTGATGTTGATTCTTGAGCACTTGAAGATGCAACCGCACCAGATTTCGCCTTCTTTCCTTGATTATTCAAATCAATGACATATTCTGGATTTGACATCAGCCAAGCTGTCAAATCTTTGATTTGTGGTCTTTCGGAATCAGGGATCGACTCACGCGTTTTCTTGTGCATCATTGGAATTTGGGTTTCTGAAAAAAATGAAAGTTTATAGATTGATGGATTTTTAGGGTTTTTTGAGGATTTCTTTAAAATTTCAGACTTTCATTTTCTTTAATTCAGACGTTGATTGAAATTTTCAGACTTTGAATATTTCCGTTTGAAAATTTCTAATTCTGCACCATTTTTCGCGCCAAAAAATCTACAGTACCCCTCTTATTTTCCCCCAATCCAAACAAACCTTTCGGCAACGCATTCAAAATCACAAGCTCATTCATTCCGACTCCTGCATTATTCAAATATTGCACAACCATCGATTCCTGTTGTGCTTTTGTCATTTCAGCCGGGTTCGCTTTCGGTGTCGCCGCAGCGGGTTTCTTTTTCTGTGGTGGTATTTGTGGTGTTGCCATATTGCCAGCGGCTGCAGCAGCTGCGAGAATCTCCGCAAGTGCTAACTGTTGTTGCATAGTCATTGCATCCGCGGAAGAACTTGCGGCTGCAGCTTGTGCCAGCGCATTTGCAGCACTTTTCGAAGATGATGCTCCTCCGGAAGATGTGGATGGCATTGATCCCATAAACATATGCGCAAGAAGTTGCGCAGCGGCCGCAGATTGTTGTTGTTGTTGAGCAGCTTGCGAAGAAGCAGAAGATGTTGATGCAGCCATTCCCATGAGTTGTGGCATCATAAGAGTTTGCAGCAATGCCGCAGCAGCTAAATCCTGTTGTGTTCCTCCGCCTCCCGACGCAAGTAACATTTGCTGCATAACAGCACGCATTTTCGCCGCTTCTGCATCTCCCGACGAACTAGCTCCGGCTCCCCGTTTTCTTCCTCGTCTTGCAGCTGCGGCAGCCGCAGCAGCAGCCGCAGCAGTCGCTTGTTGTTGTTGGGCGAGTCGAATAGCTTGAGCTTGGGCAGCAGCAAGATCTCGTTTATCTTCAGTGTCAGATTCTTCGAGCGAATCCACGTCACCAGCTCCCATCCATTTTCCGTGTTCAACAGTATTGACAATTTCGAGGACACGACGGAGAAGAGTTCTTTCGGATGGTCGGACAATCTGTAAATATTTGATTGAAAAACAATTTTGAACTGAAAAATATTACAATAAAATTGTATATTTTCTCAAGTTGTTTTTCCTATGCGAAAAATCGCCAAAATTCCAGAGCTCTGGAAATGATTTTGAGAAGAATATTTTATAATTTTATTCTGGAAAAAATTTACTGTTTCTTTTTGATTTCATGGCTAAATTCCTTTTTTAAAGTATTTTGAAAATTTTTTGTCATCATAAAAACTTTACTGTTTCAAATTCAAGACAAAACCCTGAGTTATTTTCTCACTTTATTAAGTGGAAATTCATAGGCGAAAAAATCATGAAAAATTCAAATTTCCCTATCTCAAAAGCCTAAGCTAACCTTTTCAAAAGCTGGTTTTCTCAAGCAATGTGTCGCCAATCCATCAATTCCATATTGATCACAAATCTCCATTAGTTCTTTATCATGTTGATGTGTCCATCCAGCTGGCATTCCATCCATCGCACATAATTTCATAGCAGGCGCATCCAAACTTGCAGCCAATGCGTGCACTTTTCTCGTCAGATGTAGTCGATTCATTAATCTAAATGATCGTTTACTGCTCATTGGCTCAACCGACATTGCTCTTTTCAAATCCATTGGTCCCAATTCTCCACCTTGCGCTTTTGTGCACATAGCAAGAACACAGAATAGTTGCTCCTGCATTTCCTCATTATTTTTCTTTTCCAAAAGTGGCGAAAAACTTCGGAAAGAATCCCAATCAATTTTCTGAGAATCAGTCTTCGAATCTTTAATTCCAAAAGACCTCAATATCCTCATAAATTCTTGTTCTTCTCGTTTCGTCCATTTCAATCTTTCATAAACCGGATCATGAATATTTCGTTGACTAGTTCCAACAAGTCTTCTAAATCTCAACCATAATTCTGCCGATGCTGGCCACGTGGCAATCAGTGCTTCTCTCTCTTTAAAGCATAAATTCTCATCACTTTTTATCGCATCATAATTCTCCAATCCATGTCTCCACGAGCCAATCAATAAACATTTATCACAATCCGAATCCCATCCATCGATTAAAACTTCAGCAATTTGTGGAAGTTCTTTCAATTCGATATCAGTGAATTTAACAGTGACATCAGCGCATTTGTCTTTAGCATCAGCAATTATATATTTTTCGAGATGTTTTAGCATGTCAACTTTGATTAAAAGTTTGTTGGCGTGTCGATGAACGTGTCTTTGGAATGATGAATCAAGTGCGAAACTGGGTGGATTGAATTCGGGAAGAGCTGCCCAACCCTGCAAAAAATATTGGTTAATTTTTAGAACTTGTTGATCTAAATTTTAGATTCTAAAAATTCCGAAATTCTTGAAGAAAAATAGATTTTCTTCTCTAGATTCGTTTTTCCTCCGCTTTTTCAGAGCTGAAATTAAGCTAAAATCTAAAATTTACTCTTCATTTATCGGGGTTAATTTTTAAAAAATATGAATTGCGGAAGAACGAAAAGCCTTTGAAGAACGGTATTGAGCATTCCGAAAATTTTGCTGAATATAAATAATTCGAAACGTAAAAAATTGGGTTTTTGGGGGTGAGTGAAAAATTTCAGCTATTGGGTTTCTTTGGATTTTTGGATTTTTTTTCGAAAACAAAAAGCCAGATTTTCAGCCCTGAATAATTACGAGAAAACTCTGGGGAAAAGACCGTTTTCCCACATTTTTGAAGCCAAAAATTCGAGCTCATCTCAAAGGTTTTGAGCGAAAAAAAATCAAAAACCTCCAGAATGTTCTAGAGTAGAAAAGTTTCCAGATGTTTTCTGCCACGTGCACATACCTGATGATAAATACTCTGCATACTTCCCGTCTGCTGTTTCGGCACATCTCCACATCTTTCCGGTTTGATAAGAGCAAATAAGAAGCTTCGAATGCGATCATCTCCGCGGAACTCTCGAATACAATGAAGAATCAGTGTCCGACACATATGTTCAATATCGAGTTCACTAATTTCCAATTCTCCCATTTTCTTCATTTCCGCCCATCTTCCCCATCCATATTGTGCCAAAACCTTCTCAACTTTGAAATATTCTTGTTTAGATGTAGCCAATTCATCGGGTCGATAATGCGAAGAATAATCTCCATCTTCATCATCTCGTCTTCTTTTTCTAGTTCGATCTCCCGGTCCTCCTGTAGTTCTTCGTCTATTCTTTCCATTTCCTTCATCACTTCCATCTGATTCTTCATCATCTTTCATATTATCTTCAAATCTCTTTGTTCTTTTTCTAGGCTCTTCCAAAATCAATTCTCTTCCATCCGGTGTTTTCTCCATCATTTTTTCCAAATCAACCTGTGCTTTTTCGGCCCATTTATTCCAAAATTCCGGATCATCAATATCAATATCATCTCCTTTATTATGCGTCGAATTAAAAGTTGCCTTTGCAAACAAACTTCCTTTCTGTCCAGCTTCAAGTGTAATCGTCTGAGTTCTTCTTTGCAAAATCGTCTCAATATCTTCCTCATTGAATTTCGAGCTCTCATTATTTTCATCCATAATACTTCCATATGCACCTTTCTTCAACAATTCTTCAACATCTTTTTTGCTCAAAGCAGTACTAGATTCCTTAAGAGCAGTTGTTGATTGAAGTACAGCTTTATCTAATCCAAGTTTCAACGAAGCTTTATCAAACATTTCTCTTTCATAGGTATTTGCAGTTATAAGACGATAGACTTTCACCAATTTTTTCTGTCCAATACGATGACATCTAAAAAATCGATAAATTCAGTTGCAAAAAATGTTTCTAAACAAACCTTGCTTGAGCTTGCAAATCATTTTGCGGGTTCCAATCGGAATCAAAAATAATAACAGTATCGGCAGCTGTTAAATTGATACCAAGTCCACCGGCTCGAGTACAAAGAAGGAAGACGAATCGATCGGAATCTGGAAGAGAAAATTGATGAGCTGGTCTTTAAATCCAAATTTTGGTTATAGTGGATGAAACTTGTCTAGACTTTCAAGATTAGCTTTCAATTGTTTTTAAATAAGCCAACCCGAAACAGTTTTTGACTTTAATTTTATAGAATAGACATCGAAAAACCCTCTTAAAATCTAATTTTCCAGCACAACACTTTAAAATTATTAAAAATTACTTTTGAAACCTCTAGAATATAGTAACAATTCTTTAAATAATGAGAAATTCCGGCCAAAACTCACTTTCTCTCGAAAATCTATCAATCGAGGCTTGTCGCAAATCTCCTCGAACATTTCCATCAATTCTCTCAAACGGATAGCTCATATTCACCAAAAACTCTTCCAATAAATCCAAAACCTTAACCATTTGTGAGAAAATCAACACTTTGTGGCCATCTTTGCGCAATTTTGGTAAGAGTTTCTCAATTAGGACAACTTTTCCACTTGCTTGAACCAAAGCTCGATTCATAAGTGTTTCATCATCCCATTCTGGATGCATCATTTTGAAATCGTTCAAAATCGTCTCTTCAGCGCCATTTATCAAAAACGGATGATTACAACATTTTCTCAATTCCATCATAACATTCATCAAACTTGGAGCATTTGTTCCTTTACAAAGATGCGTGAAATTCCTCTCCAAAATCGCGCGATAAAACTTTTTCTGCATATCGGATAACTGCACCTCAATAATTGTCTCCTCTTTTGGTCCCAATGATTTCTCAACATCTTCTTTTAATCTTCTCAACATCATTGGTCTCAAAATCTCCTGCAATTTCTGAACTTGTTCATCCGATTTACAACTTCCAAATTCTTCCAAAAATTCGGCTGAACTGTGAAATTGTTGAGGGCAAAGGAAATTGAGAAGCGAGAAGAGTTCCTCAATATTATTTTGAAGTGGAGTTCCGGTAAGAAGAACACGATGTTCCATTCGGAAAGCAAGGAGACCATTCACAAGAAGTTTGCAATTTCGATTTTTCAACCTGTGAGCTTCATCAATTACACAAACTCTCCATGGGATTTTTTTGATAAATTCACAATCTGTGACTACCATTTCGAATGTTGTGATGAGAGCATCGAGTTTGACCAAATTCTTTCGCCATTGCTGCAAAAAATATGAAGGTTTTGGGATTTGGCTCAATTGTTGAACTTTTTTTTTAGAATTCCAACCTTGAAAAATAGGCAATTTTTCAGCCTGAAACGGATTTCAGCCATAAATTCACATTTTTATTGATTAACCTGTTGATAGATGTTATATTTGCTTATTGTTGCTTTCTTATTATTTTTCTCCAATAAATTATCAATATATTGAAATTTTGAAAAATTGTTGGTGAAAATAAACATTTTGAAACGTAAAAATGCTGGCTCTCAGCTCTCGAGTTTCATAGGTATTATTAATTTTTTTTGAATAAAAAGCCAGATTTTCCTATTTCAGTTGGAAACATACATTTTCAGTCCCGAAATAGTCCGAGAAAAAGCTGAAAATCGGAGAATTTTCAGACCAAAAATTCAAGTCGACAACTTCGTTTTTATCGGCCAAAAATCGAAAAATAGGCCAACTAATTTTAATTTATGCTAAATTTTTGGAAGTCTGAGTTACTGGAAAATTTCTAGACTTTTTAAAAAGAATGCTTCATTTACATCAGAAATACCGATCAAAATTCTCAAATTTCAACCTAAAACCCATAATTTTTTGAACCGGTGAATCTCCGGTTCAAAACAAACATAAAAAATATCCAATTACAAGATAACCAGACAAACACCATAATAACAAACAAGGAAACAATATCTGAAAGATTAGCAGATCATTTTGCTGCAAATTTTGCTAATGGATCCCCTCATGATACTTTCGAAAAATTTCCGAACACTTCCGATGAAGCCGGATCTTTTCCTTGGGTTTTTGTTCAGGAAGTTTTGAAGGAATTTTCAAAAACCAAAAATAATGTTACTCTGACACCAGATAACATCCCATTTTCTTTTCTTAAACTGTTTCCGGATTGGATTTGTACCCCATTGGCACATATATTCAATGTGTCAATGATGCATTCCAACATCCCGGACAAATGGAGAATCTCAATTATTACTCCTATCCCCAAAATTCCTGATTCAAAAACTCCGGGAGATTTTCGACCAATTTCAATCACCAGTCAAATCTGTAGAATATATGAGAGAATTCTCAAACGCAAGATAGTACAACATCTGGAGAAAATTAATTATTTTACTCCATTTCAGCACGGTTTTGTAGTTGGAAAATCAACCACTACTCAACTACTTGAGTGTGTCAATTTATGGACCGACTCGCTCGACAAAAATATCCAAACCGATGTTATCTACTTCGACTTTAGTAAGGCGTTTGATATGGTGAATTACTCTATACTATTCACCAAACTCTCTATGTTAGGTTTGAATTCTTACCTATTAAATTGGATACAACAATATTTGACTGGTAGAAGTTTTGTTGTAAAAATAAAGGACGTATTTTCAAATCCCCGTCCAATTTTTTCTGGCGTTCCGCAAGGAGGAGTACTATCTCCCCTTCTTTTTGCAATTTTCGCAAACGATCTCCCAAATTTCGTTTCAAATCCGGGAGTTTCGGTTGCACAATTCGCGGACGACGTGAAAATATTCTCAAAAGTAAGAAGTCGGAATGACTCGGAAATTCTCCAAAATTCAATCAATAAAGTTCATGAGTGGGCTACCATTAACAAACTAATTCTCAACAGTAATAAAACAAAAGTTATCTCGATACATCCAAAACCTTCTGAATTCTCCTATCACATAAATCAATCGGACATCTCTAGAACCTCTCTGATTCGCGATCTCGGTTTTCATATCTCACAAAATCTTGCTTTCTCTGAACATTGGGAAATCTTCACCAAAAAAGCCAATTCTCTTCTCTATCTTTTATTCAAAACATTTTCCACCAAAAATCCTAAGCTCTATTTGTCTCTTTATAAAACTCATATTAGATCTGTTCTCGAATATGGTTGCATCGTCACATCTCCTCCAGACAAATCTACTTCAGATTTGATTGAGAGGGTTCAGCGCAACTTTACGAGAAAATTAGTTGGTAGAATTTCTGGGAGAATGATCAGTATTACTGACCCTAACTATTTATCATATGAGGAAAGGCTAGATATGTTTGAATTGGAGAAGTTGAGTGACAGGAGGAAGAAATGTGATCTAAAATTCCTTGAGGACATCCTTTCTGGTAAATCCAAAATTAATCTCAAATCCTTATTTCAAATCCAGAAATCTACAACGCGATCCCGTATTAATTTTTCTTACAAAATTCCAAAAAAGAAAATCCGTGGTAACTTTTTCTCAGTGCGAGTGATTCCTGAATTTTTGAAAAACATCAAATCCTACTCGGATGATTTCCTAGATGTAATTATTAGAAATGCTTGCGATTGATCTGACATTGGTGTACACATTACAAATCAAACTAAAACTTACGGTTATGTCTATGAGTCTCATTCATAATTATGTTTAATACATAAAAACCATAAAAACTATAAATTTCGTGCTATCTCCACTGATTCTGGTCTCCTCACCTCCGATTAGTCATTTTAATTTAGCTTGTGTCATCCTCCCCCCCCCCAAAATAATTTAATTCAATTCGATTTTGTTCTATTTTTTATTTTACTTTGTGTTCGATTTCATTATATATTGTGTTTTATCTTACTTACTGCGTGATTTTTTCTCTAACGGTGTATTTTCCGCTCATCGTAAATAAATAAATAAATAAATAAATAAATTTTCAGAAAATCCCAACATTCAAAAAATCCCCATAAATTCCCCGTCGAAAATGTCTGCTCACCTTATTCGCCGAATGTTTTTTATCATAATACACTTCATATTGTTGCAAAACATCCCGTGCATACGAACTTCCATGATAAACCACCGCATTCATATCTGTCCACGTTTCAAATTCTCGAACCCAATTATGAATTGTTGAAAGAGGAACGACAATCAAGAATGGACCATGAATTCCATATTTGTAAATTTCCGACAAAAATGTGATGGTTTGAACGGTTTTTCCCAGACCCATTTCATCGGCAAGAATACAGTTTTGTCTGCAAGAAAAAAATCGATGAATTTGGTGGAAAATTGGCGATTTTAGATGAAAGTTATGACATGGAAAATTATTTTGAAAATATTTCATAGGTTGATTTTAGAGATAATAGCTATATTTATATTTGAAAAAACCCATATTTCTAGTTTTTGAGTCCAAATCCTCAATTTCACCCTATCAAAATAAACACTCACGAATTATAATAACAATACAACAACCAATTAACTCCTTCAAACTGATATTCTCTCAACGAATTGTCATTCTTCCATACTGTCGTATTTGCAATCTTTTTCCATCCATCCGGTTCTGGTCGAGCCTTTTCTTTCAATTTTGCCGGATCAATTATTTGTCGACTTCTCCACAGCTCAACTTTTTCAGCAGGAACAGTTTCAATGGCTTCCCAAGTCACTTCTTCATATCCCAATGATTTCCATTTTATTAGTGCAAATTCTTGACCATCTTCTTCGACTGTTACATCAACAACTCGATCAACAATCACATAATCCGCATTGAAATCTTCGTCTTCCTGAGAAAAATTAGCATTTGAAGATGAAAATTCCTTTAAGTTTTTGGGGGTACTTAAAGCTGATTCTCTGGACATTCAAGCCAGAGTTCAGCTTCTGGTAGCCTAGAAACCCAATATCCATTGTCTGGTGGCCGAGAAAACCGGGAAAATTCCCAATGCGGTTTAAAACTGGTTTTTTTCGGTTTCCAGATCATTTTTAGCCGAAAAAAAATTCTATCCCATTTTTCAACTAGACACTCAAAAATCCCAGCCTTCCGTCTCCCCCCCCCCCAAAAAACCCACAATCTCATTATACGCCCTTTCCTTCTTCATTTTATATCGTTTAACTTTGGCAACACTTCTCTTATCAAGTTCTTCTAATTCCTGTGCATTTTTCCATTCACAATGAACATATGCTCGACCCTTCCATTTAATCAAGAATATCTCCTCTTCTTCTTCCTCTTCACCTTCTTGATTCTCTTCAGATTTTTCAATTTTCTGCATTTTCGAGTTCAAAATCTTCTCAACAATCATGGCATCAGGATCTGTTTGTGCACTTGTTTGTTGTCTCATCAATAATTCATCATCATCTTCATCAAATTCATCTGTTTGTGGTCCAGCATTCAATACATCTGCCCATTTTCCACTAGCCGCTCTTTTCATAACTCCTCCCGTTTCAGCAGAATTTGCTTGATCTTCTCCACCAGCTACCTTCTTTTTTCCTCTTCCTCGTCCTTTTCCTTTTGACGGGTAAAAATCATCATCATCCGAATCATCTACACTTTTCTTCTTTTTTGCCTTGGCAACTATTACGGCTGGTCTTTTGTAGCTGGATGAATTTGTCGATTTTTTCTTGGTTGATGTTGAAGTGGTTGATGTGGTGCTAGCTGTTGTCATTGGAGTGGCAGGGGCGGAAGGTTCCTGGAAAAAAATATAGATTGATTTTGGATAGAGGAAATTGGTTGGTTTTTGAGAAGAATACTTTGTTGAATCCCCTTTTTCTATTGGAAATTAACTGTTACTACATAAATAATTAAGAAAATTAGTTGCTTAAAAGTTATGATTTTTTCGATACTATTGAAAATTCGTTCAAAAACCGGGATATATATGATTTCTTACCGCGAAATTGTACAGTAACCCTAGGCATTTTTGGTGTCAAAAAATCGCTAATTTTCAGTTCAAAATTCCAGATTGTGTCAAAAATGAAAATACTCACCTCACTCGGCTCTTCACTTCCATCTTTTGTCTCAATTTCATCCTCCTCTTCTTCCAGTGCTTCAGTTTCAGCTTCTGGCTCGATTTCAGCTTCCTCTTCTTTCGGTGCAATTTCAGCTTCATCGGGTTCCTCAATTTTCAGAGTTTCCTCATCTTCTTCAATCTCTTCTTGTTCAATTTCAGGTTTTTCCGTGTTGACTTCAGGTTTTTGCTCAATTTCCATCGGCTCTTCCGGAGCTGGAATTTCAGAAGTTTCTGGTTCAGCAACTTGAGCTGGAGCTTCTTCTTCTTCTTTTTCTTCCACTGGAGCTGAAATATCAGACTTCGCCTCGGGCTCTTCAATATTTTCAGCTTCTGGCTCAACTTCTGCAGCTGAAACTTCAGCTTCTGGTTCTGGTTCAGGCTCAATATTTGCCTCAATTTCCTGCGCTTCTTCCTCATTTTCAACTTCAACTTTATTCGGGACCACGATTTTTTCTTCCTCTTCTGGTAGCTCATTTTGCACTGGAATTTCAGGCTTTTCCTCCTCAGGAATTTCAGCATTTCCATTGACATTTTCAGAAGTTTCAGCAGTCTCTTCTTCTGGATTTTCAGCCGGGTTTTCAGCGGTTTCTTGAACAAAAGAATCTGAATTTTCATCTGGTGGTCGATGTTCTTCGCGAGTTATTGATGGGGTGGAAACAGCGCTGAAAAAATCAAATTTGAAAAAGTTGGAAAACAAATTTGGTGAGAAAAATCAAAACATTTTTTGTGAAATGTGTGAATTTTTCAAAAAAAAATTAACTGTTTCAAAATATTGATAATAAGAAGTTTTTGTTTCAAAAATTATTAAGTCAAAAATCATAACCAAAAATATGACCGTTTCAAAATATTGATGAAACTCAACTTTATTTGTGAAGAAAAGGAATGGTGGGTGAGTAACTATTGGAAATGTTGAAACAAAAAAAAAGAATATTTTCGCGCCGAAAATTACAGTAAATTCATAGCCCATGTACATTTAAAAATCGCAGAATTTTTCGGGGACAAAAACGAGCCCTATTTGAAATCTGAAGATTCAGAATTCCTGAATCCACAATATGGGTTTTTTGAATACTGAAAACGTAGATTTTTTGGGCCAAAACCTATCAGAATTTAGGAAATGTCTCAAAATCCAGAAATTTTCCAGCCCAAATCACTGATAAAAATTCCCTACCTATTCTCTTGTTCAACATCGGCTCCAACTTCTGGATTCATCATAATCCTGCCAATTTCATCACTTTCCGCATCTTCTAATTGCGCTTTTTCACACGCTGGTTGCGAAGTCTCATCAATCATCGTCTCAATTGGTGGAGGTAACAGCGAATCTCGTGAGGGCAACGCGTCTTCCAAACTTTCACATGGTTGAATTAATATCGTTTGTGCCTGCGAATCACTTTGCTCTTTTGGTTTGATTTCTTCGCCATCACCCACCATTTCATTCTGTTCCTGATTCACCAATTTGATCAAATCCATTCTTTCAGCTGACATTGGTGGATGTGCTGGATATGGTTTTGGTGGTTCTGTGGTTAAACCAGGTGGAGCAATAACCGGCGGTGGAATTTGCTGTTGCTGAATTTGATGTTGCTGGGGAGGTGGAACCATTTGTTGATGAGGTGGTCCCATTGGCGGATATCCTTGTGGTGGTTGTGGATAAGGTGGATAGCCTTGGTGTTGTGGTTGTCTAGGTCCACCATTATTCGCCATCATTTGTTGCTGTTGGGAATGCATTTGATAGGGTTGAGATTGTTGTTGAGACATGTGTTGGGGAGGATAGCCAGGCATCTGAAAACATCAGGATTTTTAAGCGCAGGATTTTTACTCTTCAAAAAAATCATGAAAAATTGATTTTTAAATTCGGGTCCAACTTTTTGGGGTACCGTTTTTTATTCCATATTAACAACAAATACCAACAATTGATCAAACAAGTTTACAAATATTTAGCTATCAAAAAATCAAGAAACGTATGAAATAAGAGTTTGAATATTAGGCTATTTTTCCTTTGGAAATTTTTCAGATGTGTTGGAAATTCTTAAAAGCATCAGAAGCTAGAAAAATCATGGAATTTCTCTAAAATTGAGAAAAAAAATGAATTGCGAAACCCAAGCCCTCTAAGATTTCGAAATCTCCCCAAAAAAACGGTACCTGCTGTCCGGGATATTGCTGTTGTTGAGGATACATTTGTTGTGGTTGTCCTGTTCCATACCCTCCTCCACCATATTTCGCTCCATTCTCCACCCCATTATTACTTGCCGATGGCACTCCTCCATACGATCCACTATAAGCGGGTTCCGGTTTGATTTGTGCGGTTGTAGGAGTTGGTTCGGGTGGAACTACAGATTCTTTGGATTCTGTAGAACTCGCACCAGATCCTGGAACTCCACCATAACCCTCGTGATATACTGAAATTAGGGTTCGTGTTTTATCCGATGTGATATTTAATTGCACTTGATTGCCAGTTGAATTAACTTGAACCGGTGTGGAAGGTTGAATAACAACTTGGGAAGACGAAGGAGTACCCTGTGAATTTGCAGAACCTGTGGATGACGGAGGAACCGGGTAGGGTTGTTGTTGAGAAGTTTGTTGTTGTGGTTGAGCTTGCGGAACTTGCTGTGACTGCGGGGCTTGTGAGACTTGCTGCATTTGCTGCGTCATCATATAATGCTCTTTTTGCATATATTGCATTCGATGCTGTAGATGTTGAACTTCTTGATCAATCATTGGATTTCGCGGTTGATGGAATAATTGATTCATGCGATGTTGCATCTTGTTCATTTCGGCTTCAATCTGATATAATTGTTGTTTGAGTTGCTGCCAATCTTGCGGTTGTTGCGCAGAAGCGGAAGCCTGCGGATATCCATATTGTTGCTGCTGCTGCTGTTGTTGTTGATCCCAATATCCTTGTGGATATTGTTGCTGTTGAGGTCGCATCTGTTGTTGCGGAGGATATTGCGAGCCCTGTGGGTATCCTTGCGGATAGCCGGGATATCCTTGTGGTGGTTGCTGCGGTGGATAACCCGGCCGATATCCGTATTGTTGTTGAGGCTGAGGCTGTTGTTGTGGGGCTCCGGGTCTTCCTGGATATCCGGCACTTCCCCCAGGATAACTTCCAGGCGGATACATTCCATATCCACCGGCTCCGCCGCGCATCGGATTGTTGGACATCGCTGCCATCGATGCCATCGGATCCATTTCTTGTTGTTGTTGTTGTTGAGCAGCAGCCGCAGCGGCGAGTGCTTTTTTCGATTTCCCGCGGCCTTTTTTGGCGGGTGGCGGAGCGACTTGCTGTTGTTGTTGCATTTGCATTTGCTGCTGTTGTTGCATCATCATCATTTGTTGATGTTCGTATGGATTTGACATTGGAATGTTCTGCAAACAATATTTTTGATAAAAAAGTCTCCACTATTTTTTTTTTTAGGAAATTTACTCTTTCAAAATGTTTGAAGTAAATTTTCAAATTCAATAATTTTGTAAATATTTTGCTGTTTCAAGAGTGTATTTATCATTTTCCAACATTTCTAGATTTTTTTTTCAAATTCAGTTTTTCTCTCTGAAATCTGGAGGTTCACAAAATTTTTGATTTTTATAAAATCGATATTGAAATTTTTTAGTCAAACAAAATTAAAGGAACACCAAAAACTAAAAGGTCAACATCGCTAGGTGAAGCCGCGCATACAAAAACAGGCACTTTAATACTCCTACTTTCATTCCCTATACTCACTTTTCGATGAAAAAATTCTTCTGAACTTTTAGAGGAAAAAATATTTTTCTGTGGAAAAATGAAAAAACTCAAAATCAAATTGCCACGCCTTTTACGCTAAACACCAGGCGAGCGGAATGTCGTTGTTTTCTTTTTGTTTTTTTGTTTTCGAAAAATTTTTTTCGCGTTTTTCCGTTTTTTTCTTTGTTTCTCATAGTAAACGACGATTTTAAGTAGTAAATTCGATATTCTAGTCATCAACAAAACTTATTGATTGTAGATTGGAAGAACATTCGTGGCGAAATGAGTAAATTTGGTCGGAATCTGCGTTTTCAACCTGCAATCGCGGATTTCGATCGTTTCTCCAACACATACTGATAATTTTCGAAATAAATATGACATCCACGAATTTCGAGCGCCTACAGTTGTTTTTGAATGGTCGGAGTTCTGATAAATTGGTTTTTTTAAAACAAATAAACCGGTTTTCATCAAATTTTATTGAAAAATGACAGAAAACAGCTTTTAAAAGAGTGAATGTATAGAATAATCGCGATCAGAACATTGATGAGCAGAATCGTCGAGGAAGAAGTGTTTTGGGTGAGTTTGGTTTGCAAAAAGGACGACTTTTGATCGAAACCGGCTTGAAAGCATGAAAATCCATCAAATCTCTTCAATTCGCCTCCATTCATGACTATTCACAGAGTCTTTCTTCTACTTCTATGGTTTTCTTTGATTTTGCAGCAGTTTTTTTTCATGTTTCACATTGTTGAGCCTGGAAAACAGCGATTTATGAGAATAATCTGTAATTTCTCAAAATACTCACTCTTTGGCTGGAAATCGACGAAATTTCGCATTCCTCCGTCGAAAACATGATCGAGACAGTTGGGAGAAGAATTGCCAACATCAATTTACTGAAAAATATATGAATTCATCGTTGAAAAGTGAAAAACAAGCGAAAACTCCCGAAAAACAAAAAATTAAAAAAAATAATTTTTTTGTGTGCATTCTGCCGTGACGGTGTTTGCACACTTCGCTCTGAGTCCTCTGAGGAGGGAATTCAAACGGTTTTTTTCACATTTTTTTATTTTGGCGCAAACTTCACCATTTTTTCAATTTTTTTTTTACTTGTTGCGAACATTTGTAAATTGACATTGATTATTTCGAGTTCTGAAGTGTTTGTTCGGGTACGCTAGAGTGACTATTAGCTTTTGGTGTTCCTTTAACAGTTTCAAATTTTAACGAATGTTTTAATTTTTTTTTGGATTAATGAAAACCTTGATTTAAAAATTCTATATTTTCGCAAGTATTCTGAATTTTGTTCAATTCTGAAAATTCAAAATGATCATAAGTTTTTGTAGAAAAATGAGATATTTCTGGTAATTTGGAGATTTCTAACACCAAATACCCTCATTTTTGGGTTTCAAAACGCCCCAAATCCCATGAAAAATCAAATGTTACCTGCTGATACATTTGCTGCTGCTGTTGTTGTTGCTGTTGTGGCGGAACTCCCATCGGCATTCCATAATCTGTCATTTGTGTCATTTGAGGCACATAATCATCGCCTAAAATCATCAAATTTTTGAAAAAGCTGAGAATTAGAATTCGACTCACCTTCATCCATTTTTAAAAAATATATTCAATTAATTCCAAACAAAAAAAACAAAAAATAAAAATAATTTAGTAGTTGTCGTCTTCAATTTCTATTCTTATCGAAAACGGTGCACTTCTCAAAACATAACTGCAAAAAAACAAAGTTAAAATTTTAGGCCAAAAAAATTTCAAAAGTATTATAAGACACAAAAAAAGGACGCTTGTTGTTATTGTGTGTGTACTATTGATTTTTTGGTTTGGTTTGTTCGAAAGGAAAAAAAGGAATGGGGGGGGGCAGAAAAAAGGAGGTCTCTTATTATTTTTATATGATGAATTATTTGTATTGGGTTAGGGGTTAGAGAAATAGGCGAAGAAAAACGATAGGTTTTTTGAGGGAAAAAACATCTGGCTATAGCTAAATTTAGGCTTAGACTAGAGTCTAGTTCGGACTCAAAAATTTGATAGATAATTTTTTTTGAAATTGTACTAAATCTTGAATAGTTCTATGGAGCGCACTTGTTCTCAAAGTTCACTTATCGGAATTTTGAGCTAATGCGCTCTACCGAATTGCTGGAAAATTTGTGGACCTTCGCTTGTAGTAGACCTAGAGGGGCTTAGACTGGACTCTAGTTTATCTTTAGGATGCAAACTCAAATTTTCGTTTACAAAATTTTGAAAAATCCTCAAAATTTCGCTAGAGCGCATTTGTGTGAAAAATTTAATTCTCGAGAAAATTTACTTCTGGCTAAAAATGAAAAAAAAAATAGTAAAAATTCGCGAAAACAACGGAAATATCGTGGGAACCCCGAAACAGGTAGAAATACGAATTTCTGTAGAATTCGGTCTGAACTATCAGAAAATGTGAAATTTTCATAAAAATACGGAGAACCGACGGAAAATCTTGGAAAAAAGCAATTTATGACTAAATTAAGCAAAAATGACTAAACTAACTCAAAATTTTGCAAAAAATGTAATTTTTTGCAAATTTCAACACAAAAATCAGAAAAACCTTGCAAAAACTTAAATTTTGACTACCAACTACCCCTACTACAACTAATAATAATAATAGTTGTTGTGAACGTGGTCTTCGTCTTCTTCTTCTTCATAGCAAAAAAAACCGCGAACACAGAAAACACTGAAGCGTCAGTCAGGGTGAGAGAACACAGAGAAACATACACCGACCAGCACACTATTGGCCACTCTCTCGCTCTCTCAAATTTCCATACTATCTCCCAACCCGCGTCTATTTTTGTCTATCGTTTCTCTGGCTTCTCTAACTATCTATCTATTTGTATGTCGACGCCTCTAATCGATGATGATGATGATGTGGACCGCTTTTTTGTCGTAGTGTGTTCGGATAGGTTAGAGATTCTCACCCCTAATAGTGAAAATTTACACGGGATTCGAAAGTTTTTTATAAAAGCTATACTAAAAAGGTGTTCATTTTTCATTAAATTTCGAGAGGAATACGGAAAATTAGATGAAAATTCGAGAATTTTTGATTAATGAGCGAAACACACACAAAAAACACTCACTCTTTCGCTCAATGTGAGAAAATTTTTGAGGGAAATGACCTCCCCCATGTTTTTTTTTTCGCTGTGTTCTTGATGAAATGAAATGAGACAATGACATTGAGAAACAAAAGTAGTAGATAACTCAGATAATTTTTTCTTGCTTGGATGGAAAAAAAACTGTGACGTGACAAATTTGAAACTCGCTGTGAAGTTTCAATTCAAAAATTAGTGGAAAATGCAAACGCGCTCTATCGAACAAATTTCGAACACAATTTTTAGGTAAAAATGCAACTACGCTCTACAGAAACTGCTCGAAAATCGTGAAGAGCCTCTTTTTTTGTTAGTAAAAATAGCAGAACCTCAATGAAGGCAAATGTGCTCTATCGAACTTTCTTCAAAAATCCACAAATTTTCCGCGGGAACAACGAAGAATTCAATTTGTTGGACCTATTCCAAAAAAAACACATGAAATGAATGAGCAAATTTTGCTGTCTTCGGGAAAAACGGACAGAGAAGAGACGAGGAAGGAAAAAATGGAGGGACGAAGAACACGAACAGCTGGGTGTGCGCCATTTTGTGGTGTTTTTCGAAATATTATTATTATTAGTATTTGGACATTTGCCAAACATGCAGATGGAAAAAAAGGATGGAAAGAAAGACGCGTTAAACTTATATATGAGAAAAAGGAAAAATGTAGAGAGAAATTGTGAAGAAAAAAACAGGGTGGTTCAAAAAAAGGGGGCATCCGAGAAAACTGTTTTGATAATAAAATCAGACAAAAAATTTGGGGGCCCTTTGTCTTATCAAATTTTGATATCACAAAGTATATTATTACAATACAGAAAAAACTTCTTTTTTCCCGAAGAAAAATACGTTGTTATTATTGTATCAAATAAAAATTAAAGTACAATTTTTTGCAGAAAAAAATCGCGCGATTTTCAACAAAACACATTATTTTCGAGAAAAATCGTTTGTTTTTATGATGAAAAAAATCTGAAATCATGGTTTCTATGGGAAACCGTGATTTTTTGAACTATTAGAATTTTTTATATTTTTATAATTTTTCATATGTATAGAAATTGAGGGATTTGAGAGGATTTAGAAGTTTGCTTTTTTGGCTTTGAGAAAATGTTAAATGGAGAGAATTTGCATTTTGTTTTAAAATGAAAACCACGTGGCAATGAAGTTTCAAAATATGGCTACCAAAATCCACGTGTCTTTGAATGGTCTCAAAAGACTTCAACTTTGGCTCCAAAAATCTAACACCCAAAGAAGTATATTACAAAACTAGAAAATTCTCCAAAATAACCTAATTTTCGCGCGAAAAAAATTAAATTTCCAACAAAAATTCAAAGATCTATTTATGTTCTAGAAAAATGAATAACATGATTATTAAATTGAGAAAAATTGCACGGAGTGTGGCAAAAAAACCTCCTCCTCCTCTCCTGCTCACAAAATTTTTCGCTTTCTCATATCCATTTTTGCGCGCACACACACACACACTTTTTTTTTCATTTTCATTGCTCTTCGTCTAGAGATACTTTTGTTGTTGTTGTCCGGGCGCCAGAATCGTCCTTCCTTTTTCACTCTGTGCTCTCTTAGGTTGAGAGAGCATAGAGGAGAGCTGCGCGGCATCAACAACAAAAAATATATTTATATTTCGAAAAAAAAAATTATATTTCGAGAAGGAAGACAAAAAGGGGTTTATGATTTAATTGTTCACAATCAATCTATGAAAATTCAACAAAAAACCCTTGAAAGTATAATGTTTCAGCTTTCACTCAAGATTTTGAACCCGCTGATCACGATACCCTCGTCAGAAACAACTTATCTCAATACTGACTATGAATTACGACTCGTAACTCCAGGAAAAACATAGGCTTTACTACAAATCTTGAGTTATAGCAGTTCTCCTGAAAAAACGAAAAAAAAAGAAAAATAATTTTTTTGAAAATGCGACTACGGTATGCTTGTGTGCAAACACCGCGAACTACCGTATACCTCTCATTTATTTTTAAAATGTTTTTTTTTTCGCTTTTTCCCAAGTTCCCTTGCGAATTTCACAATTTTCAGACAAAATGGCGCAAATTAAACAAGAATTAATAAATCCGGGTGAAGCTGAGCAACAAGTGCTGCAAATTGTAGAAGCCGCAGCAGATGGAATCGATATGGACGCATTGACAGCGCTAACAGCCGCCTTGCAGCCAATTGAGCGGCAAAATGCGATAAACGGATTGCTGGGCTCGAAAAAACTGACAATTCAACAAGCACCGGGTGGAGTTTTGAGATTGAAAGTAAATACTGGTCAACAAATTGGTGGAACTCCCGAAGAACAGGCGATTTATTCACTTATTGAAGAATCGAAAACGCGAGGGATTTGGATTCGAGAACTTCGCGATGGAACCGGTTTGAATCAATTGCAACTTAGAAAAACGCTGCGAAGTTTGGAGAACAAGAAATTGATCAAAACTATAAAAGCTGTGGGGACCACTAAAAAGTGCTATATTTTGTTTGGATTAGAGCCGGATATGTCGCTAACTGGTGGCACTTTTTATTCAGATCAACAATTAGATTCGGAATTGATTAATACTTTGATTAGTGTATCGGGATCCTATGCTAATGTGAGTTTTTGTCTGGAATAAAACCTAAATCTACGAAATCCCAAGCACCCATTGAAATGATGAAACTCACATTTCCTAGCCATTTTCAATGAAAAAAATTAGAAGTAATAATCTGATTTTGAAATAAAACACATTAGAAATGAGGTCACGTTTTCCGTGCAATTTTTTAAAAATAATTTCATAATTCTTTTTTTTTATTCAATGAGTAATTTCATGTTTTATTTAAAATTTTGAATAAGTTTTTTATACCAAAATTGACAATTTTGGGCTTAAAAATGCATTCACATGAATTTCTAATTTTCCATAAAATGTTAACCTCCAAATTTTCAGAGTCGCCGAAAACACGCAATTGATTCAAATCCAAATGACATTCAACTTCAACGCGAAGCCAGCTACATTCGCCCACAAGAAATCGCCGATTTCATCTCCGAAAAACGTGTTCTCAATGTTCCATTATCTGTTGAAGACCTCGAAAAAATCCTGGATGTTGCAGTTTTAGATGGAACTATTGAGAGAAGAGCAGATGGGAAGATTCGAGCTTGTCCACCACGAGTTAGCGCATCTCCACTGGTTTCAGTTCCTTGCGCAGTTTGTCCGGTTGTTGAGGATTGTCGACCTGGTTATAGTATTTCACCGGAAACTTGTCAATATATGAAACAATGGCTCGATGGATTATAGGCTGAGGTATTTGTTTTGAAGTTTGGGTTAGGCCTAAATTGTTGATGTTTTCGGGTCAATTTTGTTGAGTTTTATTGTTACATTTTATTGATTTATGAACCTATTTTCAAAATAGCATTTTGTTTTGGAATCTGTGAAACAAAAAATAATTCCAACACGATTTTGGCGGAATTATTTGCTTGAAAAAAGAGGAAACACGCTCAGATATTTCAAAATTAATAAAATTTTTGGGCTTTAAAAATTTTACTGTTTCAAAAAATAGAAGTTTTGGAGATTGATATTTTTGGATGAGTTAGTCGATATTTGGTGTCAAAATGCTCCGAATTCTCAGCCGAATCTGAAATTTACAAAATACTCTTTGTTTTCTGAGCATTCCGAGCCCAAAAATCACTATATGCATGGTCAAAATGCTCCAAACTTCTAGTTTATCAAATTCCTTCAAAAATGACTCATTTCATGTTTTACACAAAAGTTCTTCTTTTGATCTTTTTCCCATCGATCAAACATTATTTTTTATAATTTTTCATTCAAAAAAAGGTTTTCCCCAATTTTTCAATATAAAAATGCGGTGAACGTCACATTTATATTCATTTCTCCGTATTTTCTCATAAAAATGAAAAACTACTGTATTTTTGCAACCATATTTTTTGTATCTAGTCTGCTCATTGAGCCCGGAATGGCTCAGAAATTGGATTTTTCGACGTGTGCCAGAATGGATATTCCAGGTGAGAATATAGGAGCCGAAACTCCACGTGGAATCATCATTTTATAACTTTATTAAATATTGAATCTATTGAATTTTGGAATCCAAATTGCACAATTTTCCTAGGTTTGAACAAAGTTGCGCAGGGACTTTGCATAACTTCTTGCTCTGTTCAAAATTGTGGAACAGGAACTTGTCAAAAACGAAAAAATCGGCCGACTTGTGTTTGTTATCGATGTGCAAAAGGTGGAAATGTGCCACTTGGAGCCGTTATTTCGAAAAAGGGATGAATTTTCGAGTGGTTTTTGAATGAAGTTTTGAAATCTGCTGATAATTTGGAGCATTCTAAACGTATTTTAAGTATGGTAGTTTTCGACTTCGAGAACTCAAGATGCTCAGAAAACACGTGGATTGTGAAAATTTTGAAAGTAAATATGCTTACAATTAAATTAAAATTAATTTAATCCAACGAAAAAAAATTCACTGTTTCAAAAAATAGTAAATTTTTTCCGGAAAATTTTAGAGTTCGATACATACGATTTGTTTTCTTCGTTGGTCTCAAAATTTCATCAGACTTTGGAAAATGAAGCTCAAAATTAATTATTAAAATCTGAATCATATTCGATCTCAAAATGCTCCAAATCTCGTGACAAATATAAATATTTATTCGACAAAATCAAATTAAAAAGCAACACTTCTTTTGGGGCATGAACAATAAGCAGCATCAGGTCCTGGTGTTCCATCTCCTCCTTTTCCTCCTGGTGTTCCAGGTTGTCCAGCCGCTCCCGGATTTCCAGGTGCTCCTGCAATTCCCGCATCTCCAATTGCTCCATCACTTCCAGGTTGTCCTTGTTGTCCTGGTGCTCCAGCTGGTCCAGCCGGTCCTTCAGGTCCTGCAGGTCCAGGAGCTCCACTTCCTCTAGTTCCAGATTTTCCAGGTGCTCCAGGATTACCATCAGTTCCTGGTGTTCCAGCACTTCCAGCATCTCCAGCTGGTCCTTCTTGTCCTGGAAGTCCATTCTGTCCTGGAGCCCCATTTTGTCCTGGTTGTCCATCTGGCCCAGCAGGCCCGGCTGGTCCTTCGGGCCCTTGTGGGCCAGGCTCTCCAGCTGGACAACTAATACATTGTTTTCCGGCTTCTTGATAGATCAAAGCAACTCCGTTTGTTCCAGCTTTTCCAGCATCTCCATTTTCACCGTCTTCTCCAGGTTGACCTGGATTTCCCGGTGGACCAGGTGGACCAGGAGGACAATTGTTTGGACCGTTTTTGCATGGACAACCACAATCAGATTCTTCACCATCTTCTTGACGTTTGGCACGCATTGGGAAAGATGTTTGGGATACCATTTCACGCCACGCGTGATCGGCTATATCCTAGAAGAATTTGAAAATTGGAGGGAAAATTGAACTTTTCTTGAGATTCTGAATATCAGAAGACCAAATTTGGTGTAGAAAAATCTATAATGTTCAGCAGAATCAGATTCGCCCACAAGAAATCGCCGATTTCATCTCCGAAAAACGTGTTCTCAATGTTCCTTTATCTGTAGAAGACCTTGAAAAAATCCTGGATGTTGCAGTTTTAGATGGAACTATTGAGAGAAGAGCAGATGGGAAGATTCGAGCTTGTCCACCACGAGTTAGCGCATCTCCACTGGTTTCAGTTCCTTGCGCAGTTTGTCCGGTTGTTGAAGATTGTCGACCTGGTTATAGTATTTCACCGGAAACTTGTCAATATATGAAACAATGGCTCGATGGATTATAGGCTGAGGTATTTGTTTTGAAGTTTGGGTTAGGCCTAAATTGTTGATGTTTTCGGGTCAATTTTGTTGAGTTTTATTGTTACATTTTATTGATTTATGAACCTATTTTCAAAATAGCATTTTGTTTTGGAATCTGTGAAACAAAAAATAATTCCAACACGATTTTGGCGGAATTATTTGCTTGAAAAAGAGGAAACACGCTCAGATATTTCAAAATTAATAAAATTTTTGGGCTTTAAAAATTTTACTGTTTCAAAAAATAGAAGTTTTGGAGATTGATATTTTTGGATGAGTTAGTCGATATTTGGTGTCAAAATGCTCCGAATTCTCAGCCGAATCTGAAATTTACAAAATACTCTTTGTTTTCTGAGCATTCCGAGCCCAAAAATCACTATATGCATGGTCAAAATGCTCCAAACTTCTAGTTTATCAAATTCCTTCAAAAATGACTCATTTCATGTTTTACACAAAAGTTCTTCTTTTGATCTTTTTCCCATCGATCAAACATTATTTTTTATAATTTTTCATTCAAAAAAAAGGTTTTCCCCAATTTTTCAATATAAAAATGCGGTGAACGTCACATTTATATTCATTTCTCCGTATTTTCTCATAAAAATGAAAAACTACTGTATTTTTGCAACCATATTTTTTGTATCTAGTCTGCTCATTGAGCCCGGAATGGCTCAGAAATTGGATTTTTCGACGTGTGCCAGAATGGATATTCCAGGTGAGAATATAGGAGCCGAAACTCCACGTGGAATCATCATTTTATAACTTTATTAAATATTGAATCTATTGAATTTTGGAATCCAAATTGCACAATTTTCCTAGGTTTGAACAAAGTTGCGCAGGGACTTTGCATAACTTCTTGCTCTGTTCAAAATTGTGGAACAGGAACTTGTCAAAAACGAAAAAATCGGCCGACTTGTGTTTGTTATCGATGTGCAAAAGGTGGAAATGTGCCACTTGGAGCCGTTATTTCGAAAAAGGGATGAATTTTCGAGTGGTTTTTGAATGAAGTTTTGAAATCTGCTGATAATTTGGAGCATTCTAAACGTATTTTAAGTATGGTAGTTTTCGACTTCGAGAACTCAAGATGCTCAGAAAACACGTGGATTGTGAAAATTTTGAAAGTAAATATGCTTACAATTAAATTAAAATTAATTTAATCCAACGAAAAAAAATTCACTGTTTCAAAAAATAGTAAATTTTTTCCGGAAAATTTTAGAGTTCGATACATACGATTTGTTTTCTTCGTTGGTCTCAAAATTTCATCAGACTTTGGAAAATGAAGCTCAAAATTAATTATTAAAATCTGAATCATATTCGATCTCAAAATGCTCCAAATCTCGTGACAAATATAAATATTTATTCGACAAAATCAAATTAAAAAGCAACACTTCTTTTGGGGCATGAACAATAAGCAGCATCAGGTCCTGGTGTTCCATCTCCTCCTTTTCCTCCTGGTGTTCCAGGTTGTCCAGCCGCTCCCGGATTTCCAGGTGCTCCTGCAATTCCCGCATCTCCAATTGCTCCATCACTTCCAGGTTGTCCTTGTTGTCCTGGTGCTCCAGCTGGTCCAGCCGGTCCTTCAGGTCCTGCAGGTCCAGGAGCTCCACTTCCTCTAGTTCCAGATTTTCCAGGTGCTCCAGGATTACCATCAGTTCCTGGTGTTCCAGCACTTCCAGCATCTCCAGCTGGTCCTTCTTGTCCTGGAAGTCCATTCTGTCCTGGAGCCCCATTTTGTCCTGGTTGTCCATCTGGCCCAGCAGGCCCGGCTGGTCCTTCGGGCCCTTGTGGGCCAGGCTCTCCAGCTGGACAACTAATACATTGTTTTCCGGCTTCTTGATAGATCAAAGCAACTCCGTTTGTTCCAGCTTTTCCAGCATCTCCATTTTCACCGTCTTCTCCAGGTTGACCTGGATTTCCCGGTGGACCAGGTGGACCAGGAGGACAATTGTTTGGACCGTTTTTGCATGGACAACCACAATCAGATTCTTCACCATCTTCTTGACGTTTGGCACGCATTGGGAAAGATGTTTGGGATACCATTTCACGCCACGCGTGATCGGCTATATCCTAGAAGAATTTGAAAATTGGAGGGAAAATTGAACTTTTCTTGAGATTCTGAATATCAGAAGACCAAATTTGGTGTAGAAAAATCTATAATGTTCAGCAGAATCAGATTCGCCCACAAGAAATCGCCGATTTCATCTCCGAAAAACGTGTTCTCAATGTTCCTTTATCTGTAGAAGACCTTGAAAAAATCCTGGATGTTGCAGTTTTAGATGGAACTATTGAGAGAAGAGCAGATGGGAAGATTCGAGCTTGTCCACCACGAGTTAGCGCATCTCCACTGGTTTCAGTTCCTTGCGCAGTTTGTCCGGTTGTTGAAGATTGTCGACCTGGTTATAGTATTTCACCGGAAACTTGTCAATATATGAAACAATGGCTCGATGGATTATAGGCTGAGGTATTTGTTTTGAAGTTTGGGTTAGGCCTAAATTGTTGATGTTTTCGGGTCAATTTTGTTGAGTTTTATTGTTACATTTTATTGATTTATGAACCTATTTTCAAAATAGCATTTTGTTTTGGAATCTGTGAAACAAAAAATAATTCCAACACGATTTTGGCGGAATTATTTGCTTGAAAAAAGAGGAAACACGCTCAGATATTTCAAAATTAATAAAATTTTTGGGCTTTAAAAATTTTACTGTTTCAAAAAATAGAAGTTTTGGAGATTGATATTTTTGGATGAGTTAGTCGATATTTGGTGTCAAAATGCTCCGAATTCTCAGCCGAATCTGAAATTTACAAAATACTCTTTGTTTTCTGAGCATTCCGAGCCCAAAAATCACTATATGCATGGTCAAAATGCTCCAAACTTCTAGTTTATCAAATTCCTTCAAAAATGACTCATTTCATGTTTTACACAAAAGTTCTTCTTTTGATCTTTTTCCCATCGATCAAACATTATTTTTTATAATTTTTCATTCAAAAAAAAGGTTTTCCCCAATTTTTCAATATAAAAATGCGGTGAACGTCACATTTATATTCATTTCTCCGTATTTTCTCATAAAAATGAAAAACTACTGTATTTTTGCAACCATATTTTTTGTATCTAGTCTGCTCATTGAGCCCGGAATGGCTCAGAAATTGGATTTTTCGACGTGTGCCAGAATGGATATTCCAGGTGAGAATATAGGAGCCGAAACTCCACGTGGAATCATCATTTTATAACTTTATTAAATATTGAATCTATTGAATTTTGGAATCCAAATTGCACAATTTTCCTAGGTTTGAACAAAGTTGCGCAGGGACTTTGCATAACTTCTTGCTCTGTTCAAAATTGTGGAACAGGAACTTGTCAAAAACGAAAAAATCGGCCGACTTGTGTTTGTTATCGATGTGCAAAAGGTGGAAATGTGCCACTTGGAGCCGTTATTTCGAAAAAGGGATGAATTTTCGAGTGGTTTTTGAATGAAGTTTTGAAATCTGCTGATAATTTGGAGCATTCTAAACGTATTTTAAGTATGGTAGTTTTCGACTTCGAGAACTCAAGATGCTCAGAAAACACGTGGATTGTGAAAATTTTGAAAGTAAATATGCTTACAATTAAATTAAAATTAATTTAATCCAACGAAAAAAAATTCACTGTTTCAAAAAATAGTAAATTTTTTCCGGAAAATTTTAGAGTTCGATACATACGATTTGTTTTCTTCGTTGGTCTCAAAATTTCATCAGACTTTGGAAAATGAAGCTCAAAATTAATTATTAAAATCTGAATCATATTCGATCTCAAAATGCTCCAAATCTCGTGACAAATATAAATATTTATTCGACAAAATCAAATTAAAAAGCAACACTTCTTTTGGGGCATGAACAATAAGCAGCATCAGGTCCTGGTGTTCCATCTCCTCCTTTTCCTCCTGGTGTTCCAGGTTGTCCAGCCGCTCCCGGATTTCCAGGTGCTCCTGCAATTCCCGCATCTCCAATTGCTCCATCACTTCCAGGTTGTCCTTGTTGTCCTGGTGCTCCAGCTGGTCCAGCCGGTCCTTCAGGTCCTGCAGGTCCAGGAGCTCCACTTCCTCTAGTTCCAGATTTTCCAGGTGCTCCAGGATTACCATCAGTTCCTGGTGTTCCAGCACTTCCAGCATCTCCAGCTGGTCCTTCTTGTCCTGGAAGTCCATTCTGTCCTGGAGCCCCATTTTGTCCTGGTTGTCCATCTGGCCCAGCAGGCCCGGCTGGTCCTTCGGGCCCTTGTGGGCCAGGCTCTCCAGCTGGACAACTAATACATTGTTTTCCGGCTTCTTGATAGATCAAAGCAACTCCGTTTGTTCCAGCTTTTCCAGCATCTCCATTTTCACCGTCTTCTCCAGGTTGACCTGGATTTCCCGGTGGACCAGGTGGACCAGGAGGACAATTGTTTGGACCGTTTTTGCATGGACAACCACAATCAGATTCTTCACCATCTTCTTGACGTTTGGCACGCATTGGGAAAGATGTTTGGGATACCATTTCACGCCACGCGTGATCGGCTATATCCTAGAAGAATTTGAAAATTGGAGGGAAAATTGAACTTTTCTTGAGATTCTGAATATCAGAAGACCAAATTTGGTGTAGAAAAATCTATAATGTTCAGCAGAATCAGATTCTCTTATATTTTTAGATATTAACTAGAAATTCTGAAAAGATTGTTCTTGAATTTCTAAAAATTTTAAAATTATCAGAATATCCAGTAGATTCTGAAAAAAAAGATCAATTCTAATCCAAATCATATAAATTCCAAGAAAAAATTACAACAATTTTTCCGATATTTTTTCAGTTATCTTATTAAGTTTTGTATAATATGTTATTTTACAAAGTGTTATCTTTGGCAGTTTTTTTGGGTTTGGTATTTTTGTAATATTTTTACACTTGTTATCTTACGATGAGGATTTTGTTGCAAAGTTATATCAAATGATCAAAAATTTAGAGAATATCAGATTGGCTGAATAAATAAATCTTGTGAATTATACGTTTCATGGAATTTTTATGATTTTCATTAGTTTTTTGAATGCTGATGAATCAAAAAAATTGTCGGGATGATTCTAAAAATTCTATTTTGTATCAAAATTTTTGGAATTTCATTGAGATTTTGAAAAATTGTCCTGAATTTCTAGAAGAATCTAAAAATTCTGAAATCTCCGAGAAGCTGAAAATATACCAGTCATAATCGGTATCAATAAATTCAGAATCTCAGGAAGAATCTGAAAAGTTTACTGAAAATATCTTTATTTCTCTCTCACCTTAAACTCAGCCAAATCCTCCAACGAATCATCCAAAAACAGATTCGCCTCATAATACAACGATCCGCACGCGAAAATGCTGCACAAAATCACGAATCCACAAACGCCCGAAGTCGCAGCCAAGAATTTCGTCGACATTTTTGTCGCCAACCCAAAAATGATATAGAGAATACAATTTTTAGCTACCTATTTATTTTAAGGTAGGCGGAATCAAGTTTTTTTTTGCTGTGTTGCTTTCTTATCAATTATTGTTTGGGGGTAGGCAAGTTTTTTTGTTGTGGTGTAACATTTTATGTACTAAAGGAAGTAAAAAAAAATCTCCATCTTCTTTAAAAGTTCCCCAAAAGTTCTAGGGACCTTCAAAATCCACCCTAATTATATTATTAATTCGATTACAACATAATTTTCCAGCCGATTGCCTCGACCTTCCTGAGAAAGTTGTTGTTGGGATCCCGTGTCGCTAATTAATTAGTTTTATCTTGATTAATCGCCTGTCTGTCAGGAAGGAAGGAAGGTGTAAAATAAAATGGCAAAACGGCTCAGTCCTATCATTAATCCTCACAGATTCTTTCAGAAAAGGATTTGGCTCACTTTGAATCTATCACCGCCGGCTTCGGGAATCGAACCCGCGACCCATCGAACGCAACGCGCGCATGCTAACCACTCGGCCAGCCGAGGCTCTTGAGAAACAAAGCGCGAAAGACAAACACATCTTTGATGAGAGAAAAAGTGTGTTGAGTGAGGAGAGAGAGAACAGACCCAGAGAAAAGTTCCCTTGTTTTTTCCAAGATAAAGTTCTTGTAAGTATTTTTGAAGAACACATTCCTTCTGGAGTTGGATAAACAGATTTTTCATAAATAAATAAATAAATAAATAAACAAATGTTGATTGTGAGTGACACACTAATCACAACGTTCCGAAACGCAATTGAGTGAGAGGAGAGAGATTCTAGAGAAAACATACGTTTTTAGTGGGCAAACGTGCTCAAATGATAACCAGAATTCTACTTTTTCAAACATTTTCTGAGAGGTCGTTCAAACGTATTGCCGACATTGATCAAACAAATGGCCAAGCGCTATACACACATGTATTATTTTTCTTTGTTTTTTTGAAAAATGAAGCGAGGCGACAAGAGTTCACGCGAATAATCAACAAAACGTGAATTCTTTTATGTTTTTCTCTAAATCTCTTCCTCTCACCCTATTGCATTTTATCATTAGCCTAAAATGTTGTGTAATCACAGGTTGTCACACTTTTCTCGCGCGCGTACGGGTCAAACATGTGTTGTAATTTGAGAGAAAAGGAGAAACATGAGCAATGGCGCAAAATTTTTGGCTTTTTAGAGAAAAACAGCTGAAAAAATGAATAATCCCGACCTTCAAAGAAATAAATACGCCTCGAAAAAATCTGCAAACAACAAACCCTACAGTACTTCCCGGGAAAAGTGTAACGGGAACCCCACGGGGGTTATTTGAAGAGAACCTAGAGGTTTTTTATACGAATTATCATTCCGGGAATCCTGAGAATCTCATAAGCTTCACTTTAGCTGAAACCTGAATTTTAATTTATATTCATAAATCCTAGACCCGCAAAAAAACATATATATTGTAGATCACGCGGGAATTTTTCGTTGTTCTTATATATCGATTGGCAGCCCACATTTAATAATAATACGTTTATTTACATGAAATCAAAATTAAACTCGTAATGTGATTTCAAGAAAAATATTTTTTGAAATGAATTTTCTGTTTTGTCGAGAAAAAAAAGTGTTCACGTTTTTATTTTATGAATAAAAATATTTTCTCATGTTGGACGCTGATTTCTCGAAATATTTTATTTTGTACTAGTCGCTTTCAAAACAAATCAAAAAATAAGAGTAAAACAACGACACTCTTGGCTTGCCTGTTGTTTAATTTTCACACACTGTGTGAGCGGAGTGTCGTTATTTTATTTTTAGAAGATTGCGCGTAGGATTTGGTGTTTGCGGGCAGTCGGTGTTGACACACACTCTTATTTTGTCGTTCTTTCTTTGGGTTTAGGATTTATTTGGCCTGTCTTCAAATTATTTTGCTTCGTATGATTCAGATAAATTCCAGATCGCGAGAGAAAAACAAAACAAAATGATTTTGAGGATTTGGTTCTACAACTGCAACTCATGTCAGGTCAGTTTAATTGGGTTTTGGGGTTTAGTTTTGGGTTTTGGGAGAGAAAACAGAGTAATTTGTGTTAAATTATATCACAGGTAAGTTTGGGGTATTTTGTATAAGCTCACAAGAAAGAACTTGTTGGAAAAGAGGAAAATGCCTCAAAATTCCTCGTTTTTTTCTTTCATTATTTTTTTTGTATAGTTTTTTAAAAATATCTGACATTCCTATTTGGTTTCAACGTTTGCATTTTTTCTAGTATTTGAAAAAAACTATGAAATTCAGTGGCTTTGGCCTAGGATCCGACTCGGCCGCGTATTTTTTTCGAATTTTATTTTTTCAAGACTAGTATACTCCGCCCGAAAAGTGAAACTTGTGAGATTCTCAGGGTCCCCGGGATAATAATTCGTAGGAAAAACCTCTAGGTTCTCTTCAAATAACCCCCGTGGGGTTCCCGTTGCACTTTTCCCGGGAAGTACTGTAGGGTTTGCGCGTAGTGTTTGCTGTTTACTGCATTCAGTTTTTTTCAGCGTTTTTGCGGATTTTTTCAAGGAATATTTTTTTTCTATGAAGGTTGGGATTGTATGTTTTCAGGGGAATTTCAACCAAATTTTGAGATGTAATTGATGAAATCAAATTTGGTGAACATTTTGAGCCCAAAATTAAATTTTATTTTCAAATCGCGCATGTTAAATCCCCGTGTAAACATATAAATCCGGCCATTCCAAATTAATCCAAATCCAAAACGGAACTCCTAAAAGGTGTCTCCAAATTTCTTGTATAAATATTTATTTATCGCCCCTATTTTTCACCCCCAAAAATAAAAAAGGTTACTTTACTTTAGAAAATTGGATCCCTAAGGCAGTGTCAAAATCTGCCGCTCTCTTTTTTATTTTTATTTTATTTCCTTTTTGGCTTGGGCTTGTCTCGGTTAATTTGTCGGGCAAGAAAATTAATTGAGATTGACTTTTCATGTGGCGAAAAAGAAGGAAGACATAGCATTTTTGGGTGCTGTTTTTTATGATGATCAAAATAGGTTTGGAACAAATTTAGGGCTCAAAGGTTTTAGATTTTTTGAATGATTTTGGAAATTTTCAAGTCAGCACTTATTCTTAGGCTCAAAATTTTCAAAAGATTTCAGATTTTTCCAAATCCACGTGAAAATCTGAACATGCTCAAACTTTTTCATATGAGAAATTCTAAATTCGAATTTATTAAAGATCTACTCGGCCAAAAAACGACATAGCTCGGGGCGACTCGCTACACATTTTTCGAGACTCGTTTTGCAGCGAGTTGCCCCAAGCGCGCCTCAAAAGTGGCGAGTGCCGGGCAACTCGCTACATTTTTTGCTCATTTTTAAAATCATGGTTTTTATGCATTTTTTTCGGGATTTCACAATGATCCATTGATTAAATGGCCCATATAAATGTAGGGTAATAAAGCTATAAGTTGATCTATTTTTGCTCCAAAGATACAGTTTTTGAAAAATGCTTCTGAACACCCTCCGAGAGAGTGGATCGGGGCGAGAACGGGGCAAGTTGCTTCACGCTCGGGCGAGTCGCCCCAAGCTCGCCCAAAGAGCCTCGGGCCAGTCGCCCGAAACGTGTAGCGACTCCGCCCCGATTGGTAGCGACCTCGCCGTTTTCTGCCCGAGTAAAAAATACCAACATTTTCAGCACAAAATTTTCAGATCCCACAACAATATTTTTTTAATTCTATTTTTTTCGTGCTCTTTTTTCTTGTTGTTCTCTCGAGTGAGTGAAAAACCAACCAACCTCATCCCAAACCAAAAAAATATTCAATTTCTGTCGTGCTTTTTTCGGCTATGGGCCAGCTTTTCCCTTTCGAAAAATGAAATGGGAGATGTTTTGGGAAGCGTCTCGATTTTCACTAACACAACACCGCACAAAATTGATTTTTTTTTACTTTTTTTTTGAAATTTTCAATTTTTAAATATATTTTGTAGCTCAAAAATGCACAATTTTGATATTTTTGAAAATTTCAGGAGCAAGTTTGGGCTCAAAATTACACGTGGTCTTTGAAAAAAATAAAATTATTTTGAAATTCTAAGGAATTTGAGCCGAGAAAAAAATCAAATTCAAAAATCACACTTTCCTGTGCTTAAAAAAGGGTTTCCTAATTTTCGGATTTTTTCTGGCTTGAAAATTGAAAAATTAATCTGCAGGCTCAAAAAAATCAAAATTTTTGTCGAAAATTCGCAGATTAGTGAAAAACACCCAAAAATCTTGTTAACACCAACCAGTTCGTGTGATTTTTGACACAAGAAACATGGTGTCAAATTTAGCTGCAAGGTGTAGAGAAACAGCTACAGTAACCAGGTTATTTTTGCATCTGGAAAATTTCTGAACTGATCTACTACAATCCTTCCGAAAAAATGAAATTTTTTTTTATCTAGATGGATATCTAGATATCTACAGAATTTTCCTTCAGTGGATTACTGTAATGATTTTCAAGAGAACCGTAGACATTTTCAAGCAATTCTTTTTCAATTTTTAAAGCTTTCATAATTACAGTATTCCTTTACCAATATGTCTACAGTACTATTCATAACAATAATCAAACACCTATTCCAATTTTTAAATCCAGTCAAAAACGTTTGATCTACCAGTAATCACAGTATCTTCTGAACTATCTTCAATTCCTTACTTTTTCAAAAGAAAATAATTTCTTTCCAGATTTCTCCTAAAAACCATGCGATAGCTCCGAGCTCGAAGCTTCAAAAATCGACCAGAGCAAAAAATGTTGCTCATCTCATTAACAGGTTCTTCATTTTGTGCTCTTCTGCTCATTTTCCTGAAAAATCAGATTAGACGAATGTCTTCAAAAGATAATCCGCCCCAAATCCATTCATTTTTTTCTGAAAAAAAATAATTTTATTGGATTATCAATGAATTGAAACAAAAAAGTGGGGGAGACCGCGGATTTTTTTTACACTTTTTCTTTTCGGAAAAAAAAGATCATAATGCATTTTTGTTTTTTTTTTCGAAAGTTTTTTGCTCCCAGATTACTGTAGCTTGATATTTTGACGCTAAAAATTTACATTTTCAAATCTAAGGTCCCTAAGCTTTTACCCTTACTTGAACCCTGTAATTATCTTGTCAAAAAATCTGGTCGACTTTTTTCACACTTTGGTGCGAAATACACCAGGGTGGGTGATTTTATTGTTGACACTGTGTAGTTTTTTTTTTTTGACACCATGTTTTGGGGTGAGTATTTTTGCACGAGGTTGTGAAAATGAAGTTTGGGAGGGTTTTTTGAGCTTGAAAATTATTGTGACACGAAATTTGCCGAAATATTCGAGACTTGAATTTTTTTAAATATTTGAAATCAAACATTTGAAAATCCAGCTTAAATTTTAAGCTTCGAAAAAATGAGACTTAAAATATTCAGAATATTTTTATTGTTGGGCTAAACAATTTCAAATCCTCTTAAAATTTGGGATTTTATTGTTAGGCTAACATAAAGATTCTTAAATTTTCGCCCGTAAATATTCGAAATTTAAATTGATAATTTTCGCTCCAAAACCTTTCCTTCCTGCTCATTCAATCCAGTCAGGCCTAATTACAAATAATCATCAAATATTAGTACGTTCTGCACAAAAACTGCACTTTTCCCTCATTTTTCCGACTTTTTCCAACTCAAACAAAAATCCCATGACCAAACTAACTATATAAAACAAATTTATTATCCAATTTTCTGCAGTCCGTCCAGTCAGCTAACCAAAACCAAAAAAAAAGTGGGCGTGGTCATCAGTCAATTCTTGGCCAATCGCCAACCAAAACAAGCTCCGCCCCCCGTTTTTTCCACCTCGTGTTTGTTTTTATTTTGTTCTGTTCTGTCTGTGAGTCTCTTGTGTTGTGTTACTTGACTTTTTTTTGATCTACAAACCTATTTTTGATCTACATACACATTCAAAAAATGACTTCAACTTGTATTCGAAGTTCATTTGATAGCTCTTTTATGACTCCGCCCGGAACATCGGATGGATCTTCAGCTGAATCGACTTTTTGGAATAATGATTCGGATTCGACGTCGAAATATATTTGTCTGGATATGGATGCGATTACACCAGAGAGTGGGTTTTTTGTAGTTTTGTGATTTTGTTGTGAAAAAATTGGTGGGGTTTAAACCTGGGATCTTTAACTTAGACATGGACCGGCTGAGCTAGCTAGGAAAGCAATTTTGCAAGTTACAGACAGTAAACCTGGAACATTTCAGCAATTATTCTAAAGGCCATCCGATTGAGCTACTTTGAAAAACTTTGAAAAATTAAACTGGGATCAGAAATTGAACCTAGGACCTCCTGATCTGTAAGTTATCCCGAGCTTTAACCGCACACCCACGCACTAACCAACTGAGCTATTCCAAATTCTCATCTGAAAACATAGTCAGAAAATCGGATTTACCTCTACTTTCGGATTTATTTTCGGCGCGAAAATCCGGTGGATTGTAGGTTTAACCAAAATAGAGTAAAGAAGTTCGCATGTGTTTTTTTTTCAAATCTAAAATAGAACATTTTTGACGCCAAAATTCATACTACTTTAATTTTTTTGAAAAATGACAATTTGAAAATCTTGTTGAAAAAAATCTGAAATCCCTTCACAAAATTTATTTTTCCTATATAATCGCCTTATCAAATTTCCGGTCTCCTCGAAAATTTTTCCAGAAAAAAATTCTTCCAAGAAAAAAACATACTGTAGTATAAATACTAATATTTGCCCGAAAAAAACTTTTAACCCGAAAATAGACTTGTCAAGTCAGGTGCAAAAAAGAACAATTCATCAAAGAGCCAATAATTGAGGGGTTCACAACCTAATTTAGCCTAACTCCAGGCAAAAAAAAAACCCAGAAAAAATAAAGAGAAATATATTTTCAGAGACACCGATGTCAATTTGTGCTGGATGTCGGCTGGAAATTTGTGATCGATATATTTTGAAGGTCAATCCGAATCTGGAATTTCACGCGCATTGTTTGAAGGTAGGTTACGATGCTCCGCGATTACGCAGGGTCTAAGTTTTCAATTGAAAATTGCAACCTAAGATTAAGCAAACTACGATGCTCCGCGATTACGCCACGTCGTTTCCTTCTCTTTTCACCCAACTTTTTCATCCGAAAATCCTGTTCATTATTAAAATGAATCCCCCCGCCTCATTTTTCCACATGACTAAGCTTTTTGTTTCATTTTTCTTTTTTCTCCTACCATAGTAAAAAGTCAGGGGTAAAAGTGCGAAAATTTGGTGAATAATTCATTTTGATACACCAAATGAACCTGAATTTTTATGTGTGAGCAAAAATGGAAACAAAAAAGGGGGATTCTCAGTGGAGCGCACTTGTGCAATTTTTTTCGAAAAAATAAAACAACAAAAAGTGTTGACCCGGAAGGTGTCGAATTTCGCGCACACAACAATAAAAAATTGAGCAAGCAACAAATTTGTGCTCTCACGAAATCACACCAAATAAAAACGGGGAGAAGTTGCGTGAGCCACACATCTGCCCCCTGGTTGGGACGACCTGGAAAATTGAGAAGAGATAGGAAAGGTTCCCTGGAGAAGGGTCTGGAAAATGAATTTCAGATTTTATTGACCTTCTTGGCTCTTGAAAATCAATTTTGAAATGTAGATACAAATTTACAGCCAGGTTGAATTCCCCCTGAAAATCTTTAAAACAATAAGTCTCCAACTCCTTCAAAAACCCAAAAATGATTTTTTTTTGCAGTGTTTCGAGTGTGGTTGTCAATTGGACGAAAATCAAACAGCATTCATCAAAAATGGTCAAACATATTGTCGAAATGATTATATGAGGTAACTAATTATTTAATTTCTTTTTATTTTTCACGACCTTGCTGCTCATCTTAAAGGGACAGGTGCTCCTTCTCTCAAATTATATAGATAGATAGATATACCGTATTCCCCGAGGTTAGTTAGCCTATGTTGACTCAATGAAATGTGTCGATTGAAGAAAAGGGGAGGAATGAAGAAGTAAAATATTATGACAATAGAGAGTATTATAATATGAGCAATCATAATATTATTATTATTATTATAATACTATGTTTTGAATACAATAGGGATAATGGGCAACGAAATTTCGGAAAACTTTTTAGATAATAGAGAGCAGGTGCGGGAACACAGAATTATTTATTTATTTATTTATTTGAGATGAGAAGGTGGAAGGTCATTTTTGAGTTGGGGATGAGAATTTAGAACATTTACCTTTGAAGAAAATAGGATAGGTTCAGTGTTGGATTTGAGATTCGGAGTTTTTTGAGAATTGGAATTTTTCAGGCTAGGCTTATTTTTTAATTGGGCCTTTTTACAGTCTGAAAACTAACAGTACCCTATAGACCTAACCAAAATTTTTTTTGAACTCCTGATGTAAAGCCTACAGTACTCCTAGACATTTTCCTCCAAACTACATACAATAATCCTTACATTTTTTTCTCAAATTTTCAACGTTTCAAATTTTTTATTAAGATTTCAAAAAATTTTCAAGGTTTGGTATTTTGAGTTTTTCTTTGTGAATCTTAATAATGTTGCTAAAGTGTTGTAACTTAAAAAAAATTCCAAAACTTTGCGCCAAACCCTACCGTACCTCTGATTTTACCACCTCTCCCATCTTTTCACCCGGCTCTAGATATTTATTCAAAAGAGAGAGCATTGCTCATCTAATTAGCGGCCGCTTTCACATTTCTCCCGCTAATAAAAGGCTGTGCAGCGCGCAATGACCGGAAGAAGTTGGCGCATATACATTTCCGGACCATCCTAGTTAAAGTTAGTTACGTAACTCCTTCCATTTTGCAGGTTATTTCAAACGCGATGCGCTCGTTGCGCCGGATGTTTCGACAAAAGCGATTTGGTGATGCGAGCCGCCTCCTACACATTTCACATGCCATGTTTTTGTTGCGTGGCTTGCGAGAAACGGCTGCAAACTGGAGAAGAGTTTCGAATTCGCAATGGAAGATTATACTGTCGAGCAGATTGTGAATGCGGAAATCTTCCGGATACTTCTGGAGGATCAAGCGATTTTAAGATGTTGTTGACTTCAACTTCAAATAATAATAATTCTTTTGATGATGATAGTTGGGAAGATCGATCTACTTTAACATCATTGGATAATCATAGCCCACCTCTGTAAGTTTTTTTTGTGGAAAGGGCTTTATTTTCAAAAATCTATTTTTTCCCTCCCAATCAGAAAACTTCATCCTTTTGATGTCACCGCATTTCAGCTGCCAACCAGGTGCGTTTACCCACTAGATTACCGTAATACAAAAAAGGTATTGGGTAAACAAATATTGGAAGGATGTCAAGTGGTTATTTTAGAGCCTTTTCCATGATTTTTTGAAAAGCTCATCATAAAAAAAATATTTGAAACTTCTATCAAAAAATGTATAGTTCTATAGAGCGTATTTGCAATCTTCATAAAATAAGAAGATCTTGAAAATTGAACTTTGAAAATTCTGTTTGAAAATCACGTGTTCAATAGGGCGAGGTTGCATTTTTTAAAACTTTTTTTTTCCAGATCTCCCAAATCCGAATGCGGTTTCCAACTTCAAAGTTCTTCACATCACAATCAAATTTCTGGCTCCTCATCAAACACATCAACTGGAAAAAAGAAGAAAGACAAACAAACGACGCGAGTTCGAACGGTTTTGAATGAAACACAGCTGAAAATTCTGAAAGAGTGCTATTCGGTGAATTCAAGACCTGATGCATTATTAAAAGAGAGATTGGTTGAAATGACTGGTGAGTTTGAGTTGAAAATTGGGAAAATTTGAGGATTTTTGATAGCAAAAATGTCGGGGTTGGAGGAGATCAAATATTAGTTACAGTATCTTCAGTTACTGTAGTTTTTTGGCACCGTTTGTTATTAGTGATCCAAAACATATAATATTTACTATCAAAATACTCCAAATTTCACGCAGGTTCCAAAAAAACTCCAAATATTCCAGGTTTGAATGCTCGCGTCATCCGCGTTTGGTTTCAAAACAAACGTTGCAAAGACAAAAAACGCCAACAACAAATGCACGAAACCCGAATCAATTCTGAACGAGTATGTTATCCTGTGTGGTGAAACACTAAAATGTTGTGTTGTAAATTTATATATTCGTGTTTGTATTGTATTGTGTTTTTCTAGATCTAATAATACTAAATTCAAATTAAATGTGCTTAAAATTCCAGAAAATGCGATTTTTAACCGATTCGTAATTAGACTAAAGTTTGTATATGGACCTTAAAACTCTCTGCGTCTATACCTATCTGTCTGTCTAACCTCTCGCTAACTCTCTGCGTCTCTAGCACTCTCTCTCTCTCTCTCTCTCTCCGTGTTTTTTTCTGTGAAAAATTGATTTCTTCCCCATTTATTTAGGCTAACTCAATTTTTTTCTCTCCCTAAGCCCAGCTAAAAAATACCGTAGTCTAAAAGTAATTAGTTTAGACACGCTTTGCTTGTTTTTTTTTTGAAGATGAAGAAAACATCATCATCTGTCCTTGTGCACATTTTTGGCGCGCAAAAAAGCCGCCAAAATGGGATTTTTATTAGGAGCAAGAGATGGGGTTAATTGGGTGTTTTTTTTTGGTGCAAAAAAATTGGATCAGGATTTTTGAGGAAGGAAGAAATGAAGGGATTTTTCGGCGCTAAAATTTACAGTCAAATTTCCCTTGGTTACTGTAGATTTTCTAGTGACAAAATGTCTAAAGACTGACTTTTCCAACTCATCTTTTATTTTGATTTTTTATTATTATTATTCAAAACAAAAACAAAATAAGTATCTATTTTTGTTCTCAAGTGCTCCTGCAGCTCCTCTATTTTCATGAAAACAATACATACTCACAAATTCTGAAGAGCCTCCACACATATGGCTCTTCGCTCTTCGCTGTTCCCTTTTTTCCTGTGATTTTTGTGCTCAAATTACCCTCAATTTCATTTAGTATTTTCACCACCACCTTTTTTTCTGGGGACCTAACTAATATGAGTAATCCGTTGGAATTACTCATATTAGCTCATATTTGACAGTGTGTGCTTGTTAAAAGGGTGCTAAATGAACAAATAATGGGGTCAGATGGGATTACTGTAGATATGGATGAGCCTACGAAAATTGAGATGAAGAAAAAATGGAAAAGGATGAGCTGCGGTTGAAATTTGAGATGGGTTACGGTAATAATCTGGATCACCTGGGGTTGGGTGATTTTCTCTGGATTCTTCTAGATCACATGGACGAAATTAGGGACATAGTTTTAGCCTAAAGTCTTGGTTAAGCCTAACATAAGCCTAACCTTAAAACCTAAAATCCTAACTTTTTGTCAAGTCTACGCTTGTCTCAAAAACTACCGTACCTTCTCAAAACTACATAATTAATTAATTAATTAATTAATTAGACCGTAATCCGATATTTGATATATATTTAGCCGCCAAAAAACTAATTATTATACTCTCTTTTTGTTTTCTTTTCAAAAACAAAACAATAACAAACACACACAGAAAATACCGTATTCTCATATTTTTGCAACTAATTAACGAATTACACGATGTGTCTTCTTCTCTTTTTATGTTGTGCGCGAAAAAAAGCGCGCTAATTAGATCAAAAACACCCCCTCCCTTCGCCATCGCCTCAAATTATACAATATTTGTTCAGTGACCATGCAAAAAAAGTGAATTAAAAGGGGCTGGGAGAGGAGTACTGTAGGAGGAGAAAAGTTGCGAAAATTTATTTGTAGATTTTTCTTTTCTCAATAATTATTACCTATATTTTTCTACAGGTTTTCAAGTATTGACATTTCTAGTACAGTAATCTAGGAGGAAAAATTTGGGAACAAATTTTTGGGGTTACGGTAATTTAGACACTGCAGTAATTCAGGAAAAAATTGTCGACAAGAATTTTGAAACTATTTTTGGCACGAATTATTGGGCTACAGTAATCATAATATTTCAAGAGAAAAAATGGGATCCTCAGAAGTTTTGAAAACTGTTGTGGTACAATTTTTTGGAATACAGTAATCAAGAGGGATTACCATACATAATCCATATATTCAAAAATTATTACACAATCTCTAAAAAAACTTTTTTTTTGTCACCCACTCAACAAAAAAATTGACTCATAGATAGAGTTTTTGTTGTTTGTTCTTACAATATATGTAACTTTTTTTTGGGCACAAGTTGTGTTGTGTTTGTTTTTGACTTAAAGTAAATTGAGTGGAAGAAATAAGAAAAATTATTTGATTGGGGAAAGTTATTTCTGTCTACAGTAATCTTTTGATCTACAGAAATTCTGTGGATTACAGTAATCAAGATTTGCCACGTGGTTTTTTGTGACTAATAAAATCCGACCTCTTAAAATCCTCATATTTCTATTTGCAGGAAGAAGTTCTGAACCGTGTTCGAGTGAGTGGAGTCGGCCCTTTAATGGTCTCAGCTCCAAGTCAACATATCGATAACACACTGGGTGGTCCAATTGATATTACACATTACACGCAATGGGGTTCCGCTAACCCAGTTGCTCCAAATAATGAGCCAACATCAGCAAATCCTGTTGTTGAGTTTCCACCTAATCCTATGGTAAATACTACTAATTAGTTAATTAATTATGTAATTTATTTATTTTTTTTGCAGATCTTCCCTTATGCACCGAACAATGAGGATTTGTTTCCACCGGTGGATTAGCTAATTTTCAAAGTTTAGAGAAGTTTTTACTTGCATTTATCAAAATAACCTATCAATATTCACTTATCCTATGATTTTTTGTAAATAAATGAGCTTTATTTTAAACAACTGTTCTTCAAAAGTTTATCCAACATTTTTTTTTCCTGACCATAAAAATGATTTGTTTCTCATCATTCTTCAGATATTTTTCAACATTCCGCCTCCAGTTGTTTTTTCGAAACAACTGACGCAGTTCGTGTAGGTCGTTTGGATATTAAAATGTTCGGCGTATTCCCGGGACCAAGAATATCCGAAACTTCTTTGGGGGAAATGGGGACTTTCCCGGAAAACCAGGGAAAACGGAATGAAATCGTGAAAATTTGGGGAATGTGCGGTGGAGCGCACTTGCATTCTTACTTTTGTTTCTGTGGCGTTTTTATTTTTTTCAAAGGTTTTTGGGGTTTTTTTGGGGAACCTAGTTTTTGTAAAGGTTGATTCTTGATATACAAGAGTTCTAGAGGGGTTAGCGAGTAGTTTGAGCAAAAATTTGGCTGAAGATTTTGGATGTTCAGAGGGTTTAGAGTTTTAATAGAAAATGAACAGTTTTTGGTGTCGAAATGTTCGAAATATTAAGGAAAAAGACGCTAGAATTTAACAAAAAATTTATTTCTTCGCATTTTGCCTCTAATTGTCACATTTTCCATCTCAAATCTCCATTTTTTTTTGCAGAAAATGCACGGTGTCTTGGTAATCGGTGCTCCGGGAGCCGGAAAATCAACATTCTGCGCAGGACTCACTGACATTTTCACTCAACTCAAAAGACCATACCTAACTATAAATCTCGATCCAGCAAATGATACAATGTCATATCCACCAGATGTTAATATAACAGAACTCATAACAGTAACAGAAGTAATGGATAGACTTGGATTAGGTCCAAATGGAGCACTGAAATATTGCATTGAAACATTGGGAAATAATTCGAATTGGTTGCTTCAAAAAATATTGGAAAATCGAAAGAAATATATAATTATCGATTGTCCAGGACAATTGGAATTGTATAAAAGCGAAGGAGAGTTATGGAAAGTTATTAGGAATTTGGAGAAATCGGGAATTCGACTATGTGCATTGCATTTGGCTGATTCTTTATATTGTTCAGATCCTTCGAAGTTTATTTCAGTTGCACTTTCGACTTTGGCAACTATGATTACCATGGAAATGCCGCAGGTTAATGCTCTCTCAAAAGCCGATTTATTTTCTGGTGATGGAACTTATGATTTAGAGTATTTTTCGTGTTTGCCGGATGTTCATAAACTTTTGGATTTGTTGAATGTGAGTCCTTGGGAAATTTGGAGTGTCTAGATTCCAAAAATGATTCGGAGCATTAAAAAAATGAATTTCGAAACCAGATAACGTGAAGGTCACATTTAAAACTTCACATTCTCCAGCTTTATCATTTCTTTTTTTGAAATGTTCCGAATTCCTAACTCATATCTAAAATCCCAAGTCCAAATTTATTCCAGGAAGTTCCGGGACTAGAAAAATATCGGAAACTTAACGAATCGATTTGCGGCGTGATTTCTGACTTTGATTTGGTTTCATTCGTTCCGCTTGCTGTGGAAAACAAAGAATCAATGGCGAAAATTATAAGAATGATCGACACTGCAAATGGTTTTGCAATGAGTGAACAAGGAGATATTAGAGAACTTATTTTGAATGAAAAATAGACTCTAGTTTGGTTTTTCCGTTGTTTTTTTTTGTATATTTTGTTGAATTTTGAGTTAAAAATGAAGTTTTTTGTTGAAAATAAAAACTTTTCAGGAATTTCATCTGTCAACCTATAATTTTCTCATGAGACTCATTGTGAAGCTAGTTACAGGATTTTAGAGTTGATTTTTCGAAAGTTTCCAACTTTTCCACGTAATAACTTATGTTCAGTGTTAATTTCAGTAATTTTGACAGCGAGAACGTTATCGGCAGCTGAAACTACCCCAGAAAGCAAATTTTTTTTCGAAAAATGTTCAGTGAAAGTTCAGCTTTTCAACTTTAAACATTCGGTTTGATTAAAGGGACACGTGGGCGCCTTGGAGGGTCTCGCAGCGCAGCGCGTAATTTTGGGATTTGAATTTGAATTTTTGTTTTTTTTTCGCCGTTTGACCGGTGTTTTTTGCCATCTAAACTGATTTGAACGCTGAAATTATTATCATATTTTTTAGAGTTTATGAAACATGTCCGACCATAACACAAAAGATCTGCAATTCAAAATTGAGATGAAACAAATTCTGGAAAACAATCAAAAGATTATTGAAGAATTGGATAAACGAAGTAAAGAGAGATTGGAACAATTTCAAGAAGATATGAAAAAGGTTGGTTTCTCCTTTGATTATTGTAAAAAATCGAAATTAAAAATATTGAATTTTTATAAAATTAAAAATATTGAATAATAAATAAATAAATAAAAACGCCAAAAATTGAAATCCACGTTTTCAGTTTATATCTCAACAATTTGAGCAGTTGTGGCAAAAGACGATGTCAATCGACCAGAATAATAATCGACCAATGGCGATCGAAGACAGCCCATTTGGTGTGCTTCAACAAGCTATCGAAATCACGCAAGAAACCCGGCCAATCAAACAAGAAGTCAGCGATCATTTGGAAAAGGCGAATGCGAAGAAGCTGAAAACTCTGCGTCCTCGATTTATCAAGCCGAGAAGTGTTAGAAAAACTAATTGTGGAGTTCCGATGATAGTTGAGCCAGAGTCAGAACCTGTGAAAAAACCAGCTGAAACGCCGGCAACAAAAACAAGAAAAAGAAAAAGGTGAGCTTTTTGGGGAATCTTGGATAAATTCGAGTGAATTTTCAATATGAGTTTCCAAGTGCCAAAGTTAGGGACTTTAGAACTATCTTGGATATCATGAAAAATCTATATGTAGTCTTGTTGAAGATTGTCGTTCTTAGATTTTCATGAAAGCCAAGCTATCAAATATTCAAAACTTTTGAAAGTAGAGATGTAAAATTCATGATTCATTTATATAAAACATTTGTTAGACCGTTGTTGGAGTATGGTACAATTGTGAGCAACCCATATAAGAAAAACATTCTCAATCTTATAGAAAGTAGCCAAAATAATTTCACGCGTAAATTGTTTTTTCAGAATTGAAGGTAAATTTTTACTTCCAAATCATGAAAAATATAAATATGCTGATAAAAGAAATGAAGAATTTGGATTGGTAAGTTTAAAAAGTCGTAGAATTGTCTTAGATAAACTATTCTTGAAAAAAGTCAACAATAAAAAAATTGACTTGAATACAGAGGATCTCTTCACCCTGATTACCGATAATGTCACTCGAAGTAACACCAGATATCACTACAAATTGCCTAAATCAAACATTAGAAAAAACTTTTTTGTTCATCGAACATGCTCTCTATAATAATTTCTGTTCTATTTCTTTCCAATGACCACATTTATTTGAAAAATCGCAGCAACAACCCCCGGGCGTCCTATCACTAGGTCCGTATTTTTACCACCGTCCACACCAATCTTTTTTTTTCTTCCCTCAACTTATTTTTTCCTACCACCTATTTTTCTTTTTGATTCTATTATGTGACTATTTTCTTTAATTATTTCTTGTGTACTTAATCACGTTAATAGCGTATAATAAATAAATAAAATAAAAAAGCTAGATAGTTATATTCTTTAACTTTACCACGTTAGAATGCACATTCAAAGTTGAGCTAAGCGTTTTTCTCACAGCTGAAATATAGAAAAAAATAAATTCTGAAGTTTTACAGATCACCGAAATGCGTTTTCAATGAATATGGGCATGTTATTGGTGTTGAAGAGGTGAGTTCTCCACAACTTTTTCAAGTTTTCTTTTGCGAAACTTTATTATTTTCAGGGAGAAGAGAGATTCAACTGCAACACATGTCCAAAAATCGAAAAAGACCCGCGAAGCCTTGATTCAACATCATCGTCACGTTCACGTCGGAGTAAGTTCTAGTTTTCCACTGCAAAATTGCATTCCCATAACACCAGTTTTTTTTGCAGTATTATAAAAACGTGACAAGAAGAAGTGAAAGAGGGATGAGAAGAATGAACATTCTCTGACTTTTCTGTATTGTTTATTTTTACTTGTTTCCCTCCCCTAATTTTTTAACTGCTCTCCAATGTCTGTTTTGAAATTTACATACTTAATAAATGTTTTTCTTTTTTGGAGTACTGTAGATGTTTGGTGTTTGCGACCGCTTGTTTCGAAGTATGCGGGCATTTTATCTCACGCGCAAATTTATGTTTGAATTTTCTTTTTTTCTCGTTTTTTTGTCAAAACTCGTTCGTACAAGGTGTTTTCAGCATGGATGAGGTCACTGCGAAACTTGAAAAAATCCCGAATTTCGAGACGCTCAAAGGAATCGTAAGTTTATCCAAAAAATATAAATTTTCTCGAGAAAACAACTTTTGTTGCAGAGCGCCGAGGATATTCCATTTGAGGAGGATATTTTGCGCAATCCAACTTCGGTAAATTGCTGGCAACGCTATATCGATCATAAAAAGACGTCGAAAAGTCCAGCGAAACAGGTTTTCTTGATTTATGAGAGAGCTTTGGCTATTTTCGAGAGAAGCTATAAATTATGGTATCACTACTTGAAATATCGCGAGTCTACAATTCTCAATCAATGTCCAACTGAAAAAGCATGGACAGCATTAGCTGATACATATGAAAGATGTTTGATGAGATTGCACAAAATGCCAAGAATTTGGCAATGTTATTGTGAAATTATGATAAAACGAGGATTGATAACTGAAACTCGCAGAGTTTTTGATCGATCTCTTCGTTCTCTTCCTGTTACTCAACATAAACGAATTTGGGATTTATATATTGATTTTCTCACGAAACATGATTTACCTGACACTACAATTCGGGTTTATCGAAGATATTTGAAATTCAATCAAAGAGCAAGAGAAGATTATATTGAATATTTGATTTCTCGCGATCAAATCGATGAAGCTGCTAAAGAACTCACAATTCTTGTAGATAAAGATCAAGCAGTTTCAGAGAAGGGAAAAACCGCTCATCAACTTTGGACCCAACTTTGCGATTTGATTTCGAAAAATCCGGTCAAGATCTTCTCTCTGAATGTTGATGCAATTATTCGACAAGGAATTCATAGATATACAGATCAAGTTGGATTTCTTTGGTGTTCTTTGGCTGATTATTATATTAGAAGTGCAGAATTCGAAAGAGCTCGCGATATTTACGAAGAGGCGATGGCAAAAGTTTCGACGGTCAGAGATTTCGCGCAAGTTTATGATGCATATGCTGCTTTTGAAGAGCGAGAAGTGTCGATTATGATGGAAGAAGTTGAACAAAGTGGAGATCCGGAAGAAGAAATTGATCTAGAATGGATGTTTCAACGATTCCAGAATCTTATGGAGCGCAAAAATCTGTTGATGAATAGTGTTCTCTTACGCCAAAATCCACATAATGTTGGAGAATGGTTGAATCGTGTCAAGATTTTTGAGAATAATTTCGAAAAACAAGTGGAGACTTTCAAAGAGGCCGTGAAATCGGTGAATCCGAAAATGCAAGTGGGAAAAGTGAGGGATTTGTGGATTGCATTTGCGAAATTATATGAGGATAAGGGAGATGTGGATGCGGTGAGTTTGGAGTAAAAAAAATATTGATTAACTGAAGAATCTCGAATTTTTGCTGATTTTTCCAGAGATTTTTCTAGTCTAGTCTTCTGTTCAACCCAAAAACCCCCAATTTTTCAGGCTCGAAAAACCTTCGAAACGGCAGTTTTATCTCAATTTGGCGGTGTTAGTGAATTAGCGAATGTTTGGTGTGCATATGCAGAAATGGAAATGAAACACAATCGACCAAAAAGTGCACTTTCTCTCCTCCAAAAAGCTTGTCAAGTTCCGCGACAAGGAGACTACGAAAATATGCACAGTGTGCAAGCTCGAGTTCATCGAAGTCCAATATTATGGGCAATGTATGCTGATTATGAAGAATGTTGTGGAACTGTTGAATCGTGTCGAAAAGTATATGATAAAATGATTGATTTGAGAGTGGCTTCGCCTCAAATGATCATGAATTATGCTCTGTTTTTGGAAGAAAATGAGCATTTTGAGCTGGCATTTCAGGCATATGAAAAGGGTATTGCTCTATTCAAATGGCCTAGTGTTTTTGATATTTGGAATACTTATTTGGTCAAATTTATCAAGAGATATGGAGGAAAGAAATTGGAAAGAGCTAGAGATTTGTTTGAACAATGTTTAGAGAACTGTCCACCAAAATATTCGAAATGTAAGCTTTTGTGGGAAACTTTGGAGATTTTTTGCCACTGGGTTTTCAGTGTTTTACCATATTTCACCCAAAAAATCCTCATTTTTGCAGACATTTTCCTACTCTACGCAAAACTAGAAGAAGAGCACGGTTTGGCTCGTCACGCTCTTTCAATCTATAATCGCGCTGCTTCCGGTGTTGACAGATCTGATATGCATTTATTATACAATATTTATATCAAAAAAGTCCAAGAAATGTATGGAATTGCACAATGTCGACCGATTTTTGAGAGAGCTATTGCTGAATTGCCAGAGGATAAATCGAGGTAAATTTTTCGTCAGAAACATTAATATGAGCAATCCCTATAATTTTGCAGATCAATGAGTTTGCGCTATGCTCAACTCGAAACGACAGTCGGTGAAATCGATCGAGCTCGTGCAATCTACGCACACGCGGCCGAAATTTCCGATCCAAAAGTTCACGTCAAATTCTGGGACACGTGGAAAACGTTCGAAGTTGCGCACGGAAATGAGGCAACTGTTCGAGATATGTTGAGAGTTAGAAGAAGTGTTGAAGCATCGTATAATGTGAATGTGACATTGACAAGTGTACAAATGAGAGTTGATGCTGAGAGAAAAGCACAAGAGGTAAGAATTTGGGTGGTTTTGGTGGAAAAATATTGGATCTTGTGTGAAACTTGACCCGAAATCTAAATTTCATAGGTAATTTGGATTCTTCTGAATCAGAAAAATATAAAAACACATTTTTTCCCTCAAAAAAACTTCATTTGTTTATCTCCAATAATTTTAAAATTACAATTCCTCTACAAAATACTCATTTTCATCAATTCTAATCGCATTACAAACTTTTTCGCGATTCAATAATGCAATAGTATAAGCAAAAAGCAGACATAAAATTGCGATGAAAATATAAAAACGAAAATCGCCGAATTTCGAAAAACAACACACTGAATCGTCTTCTTCTACTGCTGGATCGTCGTTTTTTGTTAATCGATTGATTATCTGTAGGAATTGGGAGAATTTGGGATTTTCTGAGTCTACATTGGTCCCAAAATTAAATTTTTCCCTTTTGTTCCGCTAAAATTTTAAATTTTCAAGACTCAATTAGCCTCAAAAATTTTAAAAAGTCTACAGGGTGGCCGTTAATTACCCGCACAAATTCAATCTGGTCCCGTGTTTGAACAGTAAATGTAGATATGATTTCTAGTTTCAAAAATTATTCCCAGATGTGTTCATCATTTTAACATAGAATCTTGTCATATAATTCGGTCTAAGGGTAGCTGGAATATCGGGAATGAATTTCAGAACTTCGCATCAGGCACGCTGCTTTTTTTGGAATGAATGAGCTTGCTATACCCATAGATAGTTTCAAATTATATGTTTCCGGTTCAGAATTTTAGTATAAACCCTAGACGTGCTCGATCCTTGACGGAAATGATTCACAAAATTTCTGGAACAAGAATAAGACACAGTAAAGCGAAACCCTCAAAACGGATTTTTCAACTCAAAAACTCAATTTTTATCATTTATCATGTTCACCATAATGGTGTGAGATAAATCCATGGTATTTTTGATGTTAAATGTCACTAGTAGGCTTGGTTTGGCTATACGGATCTCACATTTCCCACACTTTGTAACATTTTCGATTTTGACCTCGTTTTATAAAATTTCTATCAAAAAACGGTCAATTTTAAAAACACGACCAGAAATGATCTCAATAATTTTTCAGAGGGTCTAATCTCGCTAAATTCCTTTTTTAATACCCAAAAAACATCATTAAATTCTGCTATGATTCTAAAAGTACCGAAATTGTTTCAAATCTGTCACCCGAAGTATGAAAATCACTCGAAAAAAATGTAGCGTGCAAAAAATCTTGTTTTTGCGTTTCATACTGTCACCAACAACCCCTCTAACTTGCCTCAAACATGAAGAATCACTATGAGACTTCGATTATTTACTTTAAAATAGGTAAAACTAAATAATTATAATTACGGTAACAAGTTTGGGACGTTTTGATAAGAATCTGAGCTGGTTCAACAAAAATTTGGCTTGTGCGGGTAATTAACGGCCACCCTGTACGTGGAATTTTTCTATTTGAAAAATTTTCCACGTGGATTCTTTGTCACGTCATAACTTTTTTTTCCGAAATTTGGGAGAAAAACACTTTTTTTGCGTTAAAAATCCAATTTTCCCTCAAAAATATCCCCATCCACAAAATATTGCTAACCTGTGTTGGATACGGCGAATCCTCATCATAATTTTTTGCTCGCGCATTTGTTTTCGGTGATTTTTTGGCTGAAGATGGTTTCGGTTTTGATTCGATTCCTCCCGGAGGACCATTTGCCAACTCTTTGGACATTGAAACATTTGTCTCTGTGTTATCCATCGATCTTCGTTTTTCCAACTTTCTTGGCGGATTTTCTGAGGGTTTCTGGGTGATTTTTGGTGGACTTTCCGGCTTTTTTGGCGAAATTTCAGCTTTTGGTGTGTGAAAATCTGGTTTTTGAGTGGTTCTCGGCGAATTTTCATCTAGAACAGCGGTTTGGGAATCTTTCAAATGTAGAGGAGCGGATTTTTGTGCACGAGATGTTGTCGGTTTTTCGGCGTAGAGTTCAGATTCGGGTGTTGTAGGAGACTGAAAATTTGTGAACTTTTGAGCTATTCTTCACCCAAACCTTTTTTCCCCAAAAAATCACCAACCTCAATATCAGCTTTCGATAAAACAGTTTGTTCTCGAATTGCTTGTCTGGCTGGATGTTTTGAAGAAGAAGACATGATTTTGTTTTGATTTTCTTTGACCTCAGCTGATTATATTTATTTGTTAGTTATTCGAAAATGTTTTTTTCTTCGTCTGATTTGCTGAATTTGAATTCATAAGAAATGGCTGGGGAAAGGTTTTTCGATTCGAAAAAAAAACAACGTGGGAAATTTGGGTCACGTTTTTATTGCGGAACATTAATTGAGCCTTTCAAAAAAAAAACGGTTTTTTTCCAGACAACCAGTGGCTCATCCTCAAATGCAATGGAACAATTGGATCAACAAAATTCGGGAGAAAATTCAACAATAACACAAGTTTCGATGAACAAAGGAAATATTTCATTTGTTCGTGGAGCTGGAAAAACTGTGCAACAGGATACGACTGAAAATCCGGATGAAATTGATTTGGGAGATGATGATGATGATGATAGAGAAGAAGGAGAAAATGATGAAAATGAAGGTGAGCGGGTGAAATTTAATCATAAATGGATTATTTTGAAGTGAAAATCGAGAAAAGTTATGGGGTGATTCAGGTCGAAAAAACATTTTTTTTTAAAACGTTTTTTTACAAAAAATTTCGATTCAGCAAATGTCAAAAAACTATATTTTTTTCCTATTTTTGACATTTTTCGACATTTTTTCATTGAAACATTTTCGCTGCGAGATATATTTCATTTTTGTGTGGAAAAAATAGGGTTTTTTGACATTTGCTGAATCGAATTTTTTTGTAAAAAAACGTTTTTTTTTAGTTTTTTCTCAACCTGAATCACCCCATTACATTTTTATCTCAAAAGGGCATTGTTCAGAAAAAAAACCAAAAAAAAATATTCAAAAATTCATACAAAATGACTGAAAGTAATCTCCCGAAATCCTCTGTAAAAAATATTTTTTCAGACATGGAAATCGACACAAAAACCATTCCAGCTCAAATTTTCGGAAGTTTGAAAAAAGCCCAAGAAGAAGAAGAAGCCTAATTTTTATTTTTTATTCAATTTTTCTCCTGAAATTTTTTTGTTATGAAGTTTTATTTATCTATCCTGAATTTTATCTTTCAAAAAGTTTTTCCAAAAAAACTTTAACCATATCTGATATGAGAATTGCAATTTTCAGCCGAATTAACCGATTTTCAGCATGGAAGATGATTTGTACGATATTGCTCTGGAAGAATCACAAGAAGCTGAAACTTCGTCGGAAAAATTGGAAAATCCAGAAGAATCGGATAAAATGCATAAATATGCAATTTATGTGCGAAAATTGATTATTGGAGCACGGAAAAATATTGAGAAATTGGAAAATGAAAATCGAGAATTGAGGGAGAAGTAAGGACATTTTTGGCTGGAAAATTTAGAATTTTTTGAGACCAAACATAACTGAAAAAATCCACGTGATTATTAATTTTTAAAAATTAATTTTTTTCAGTTTGAAAAACGCGCTAAATTCGGCCGGAGTTGTGACGTGTCCAGATTGTACGCATAGTTTCAAAGATCGACATCATTTGATTAGACCAAATCATATGAAGGTGAGGTTTTTTGGGGTTAAAAAATAGGGAAACGGGGTTTTCAATTAAAATTTCAGATTTTCATCGTGAAATTGATAGTCTAAAATTACATATAATATTTCAAAATTTGCAAAAACGCTCTACCGAAATCTCAAATTTCCCATTAAAATTCAAATTTTCCAGGCTTACCGTGCCAATAAATGCGTCGAACTCGAATTCAAAACGACCGAAGAAATGACAACGTGGCTTTTTTTGAATCAATTGGAAACCAATTCCGATGGAATGCCAACTGTTATGAAAAATGAAAAAGTCGAGCAGAAATTTGTAAGTTTTTCATCACACTCTAATCTGAAATGTCTGATTTTCAGAGCACTTTGAAGTCTGTTGGCAGCAAAATTCCTGAAATTCGCGAGAAAATTCGGATTGCTATTGGGAAATCGGAAAAATCTGGAAATTCGGCTGAAAATCGAGCTGGAACATCTGGAAGTTCAAGGAACTTCGAAAATCGAGAAGCTTCTAGAAAATTGGATGAAAAATCTGAAATTCGCGCTGAAAATTCAAGAAAACATCCTGAAGTTTCTAGAAGTTCTGGAAATTCGAAATTGAAGTCTGAAAATGCTTCAAGCTCACGAATCACTGAAAAATCTGGAAATCCACAGAAGCCTGAATTTTCCAGAACTTCTGGAGCTTCAAGAAGATCTCAAGAACCTGCTGAACAGAAGCCTAGATTTACTGGAGGATCTGAAAATCAAGATGAAAAATCTGAAACTTCCCGAACAACTTCAAGAAAAACACAAGAATCTGAAGCTCAGAAATCATCTAGAAAACTGGCTGAAAATCGTAGAAGTCATACGGAAAGTCGTTCTGAAAATCCCCGAAAATCTGAAATATCTAGAAGTTCAGAAGCTTCAAGACGATCTCAAGATCCCAAAAGTTATACTGAAAATTCACAGAAGCCTAGAGGTGCTGGTGGATCTGAAAATCCCAGAATGTCTACATCAACTTCAAGAAAATCTGAAAATCCTCATAAGCCTGAACATTCTAAAAGTTCAGAAGCATCAAGAAGATCTGAACAATCTCAAAATTCTCTCGAGAAGTCACGGAGTTTGGCTGAAGTTTCACAAAAATCTCGAAGTTCAGAAAATTCTGCTGAAACTTCACAGAAAACTAGAAGTTCCGGAAGCTCTGAAATTTCAAGGTCAACTTCAAGAACAGCTGAAAGTGTTCAGAAACCTAGATTTTCTACAAGTTCAGAAGCTTCAAGAAGATCTCAAGAACCTCAAAAATCTGCGGAAAGTTCTAGAAATCCCATAACGTTCACTGAAAAACCATCAATTTTATCGAGAATTTCAAAAAAGCCAACAGCAGTTCGAAAATTGGATATTTTTGAAGAAAACAATATTTTAGACGACAAAAAATCGATGAAAAATGAACCGGTGAAATTGGAAGAATTTGTGAAAATTAGTGGAGGAAATGCAACTGGGTATAAGACGGATTTCAAAATTCCGACAAGAAAAAGGAAAGGAGAAGGTGAGGATTTTTGGGCCGAGCGAGAAATTTGGAGATTTTTGAAACTATATTTATCAACAAAAAATTCGGAAATATAAGAATTTCTACTCTTATCAATAATTTTGTTTCCTCGAAAAAAGTTAACAATTTTTTGAAACAGTGAATTGTTTTCAAATGTATTCTTTGAATTTAATTTTTACACTGTTTCGAAAATTTTTAAAATTCTGTTGAAAATAATTGATTTTATTCTCTTCTTGACCCTAAATTCCAAAAAAAAAGTTAAATTCGAATTTTTCCAGAGCCCTCCAAAAAACTGGAAATCGATGCTGAAACTGCGGGAAAATCCACCAAAAATGCTCCCATTACCACCAAAAAATTCACAATAACCAGAGAAAAAAAGAAGGAAAATTCGATCGCTGAAACTGGAGAATCGCCTGAAATTCCAGCGAAAATTAGGAAAATTGAGGAAAAGCCCGAAAAGTCTCCAAAATCATCTGGAACTCAAGATTTGCCTGAATTTTCTCAAAAAATCGATAATTCATATGTTCTTCCAACTTCTACTGGAAATTTGGCTGAAATTCGAGCTGTATCTCAAAAATCATCTGAAAATCCTCAAAAAATCGACAATTCCTATGTTCTTCCAATTTCTTCCCGTAATTTGGCTCAAAATGCTCCAAATTCAAGTTTAGCTGAAAATCTGCAAAAAATCGATAATTCCTATTTTCTTCCATCTTCAGCTGAAAATTTGGGATTATCTGAATCAGCTCTGAAATTCTTGAAAAATCGTGCGGCAAAGTTGCAAAAAGAGGAACCTCTCGAATCACCCAATAATTTGTTGTCGGAATTTTTCCCGAATTTTCTGGCGGCGAAAAATGAGAAGGAAAAAATTGAAGAAGTTGAAGAAGAAGCTGAAGAAGAGGATATGTCTTATTGGATGAGTGGAGATAATGTGGAAGAAAGTGGAGAGGAAAATGAAGAGGAAGAAGAGGAGGAATTTGTGTGCCCAGGTAGGTAAATTTTTTGATTTTGTAGTGAAAATTTAATAAAAAATAACCTAAATTTAAATTTTCATGAACTTTTTTGTTATTATCGATTTTTCGAATTTTTCTCCAAAAATGTTATATATTTTTTGAAATAGTGAAAATTTTGAGAAACATAATGATTGAAGATTATTACTGGAAATGAAAAACATCTTTTTAGCCCTAGAAGTTATCCTTTCTCATTATACTTTGCACAACAAAAAAAAATTCACGGTTTCAAGAAAATTAACTTTTTTGAGAAAAATTCAAACATTGATAATTGCATAAAACATATTATTTTTCAAAATTCACTTTTTTTTCAGAAGAATACCCAGAATCCAATCGAAGTTCAGCTAACTCTTCAATAATTTCATCATCTTCAACTTCTTCGAAAAATTCAAAAATCGAAGAATATTCAGATTGTTCCATATCACAAGATGCAATTCCAATAACACCAAAATTGTTATCCGAAAAAAAAGAGGAAGAAATTGAAGAATTAGATTGGGATTTTGATGACGGAGAATTGGTGGAAAATAATAGTGGAACAGAAAATGAAAATGAGATTGAAGAAGAGGAAATTGTAGAGGAAACTGATCAGAGTGAGCGATTTTTGGTGGGAAAAATTTGAGATTTTTTGACCCCACAAGTACTGGTTTCGAAGAATTGTTCAGCCTCAAAAATCCATATTTTTGCAGTTCCCATAACTCCCAACAACAATCCAATAATTACACCGCAAGATTTGGAAGAACTCGACGAAAGTGGTGAAATTTATGAGGAAGATGAAGAGCCGAAAAAAGAGCCACGTTGCTCAAAATCACCTCAACAAGAAAATAATCGAAAATCCCGAAACAATCGGGAAAATTCGAACAAAAATCGAGGAAAACGGCGAAATGAACATTTGGTTGAATCGTATTCAATGGGAATTTGTTCGGAGCCAAAAAAGATCATTTGGTGGAAGACGAAATTAACTAATTGATCAATTAGCGGGTAATTAAAATTGGGTTAATTTTTTGTGTGTAAGTTGTACATTTTGTTTACTTTTTCTTGTGACTTTATGAATTTATTTGTATGTTTTATGTTTTGAAAAATCTTAAATTTTTAGTTTTTTCAGATTTTTTTTTTCACGTGAAAACATGTTTCAAAAATTATTCAATTTCCACGTGACCTTTAATTTTCCAACAAAAATCCGAAAACAACTAGCGTAAAAGTAGTCATAACTAGAAAAAAATGTGCAACAAAATGATTTGCTCTTATTTTCTGCTGATTTTATTGCTTTTCGATCCGACGGCTGGATTCGAAACCGAAAATAGACCTGAAAGTTGGTCCGATGGTACAGAAAAGCCTGGAAATTATCCTGAAGATAAGCCCGACCGCCCACCGGAGGAAAATTGGACCAAGGAGCCCGAAAAGCCTGGAAATTATCCTGACAATAAGACTGATGTCCCTGACAAGCCCGGAGAAGAGAATTGGACCGAAAAGCCTGGAAATCAATCCGACGAGAAACCGGACGGTTCAGAAAAGCCACCGGAGGAAACTTGGACGAAGGAGCCCGAAAAGCCTGGAAATTATCCAGATGATAAACCTCAAGGCACAGAAAAGCCTGAACGTCCGCCGGAGGAAAATTGGACTAAAAATCCTGACAATTATCCCGATGACACATCGAATGGCTCAGAAAAGCCCGGAGAAGAAAGTTGGACCAAACAGCCTGATCGGCCTTATCCAATTCCATCGCCGGAAACTGAAAATCTGGAAGAAGACTATGAAACACCGTGTTATCCTATTGATTATCCAGGAAGATTGATTCCGAGATTAGTGATATTTGTAATTGATCGAAGTCAAGAAGAATTGGAATTGGTGAGTTTTAGAATCACAACGGGGTCACAGCATCTTCAACCTAACAATGTCTTTCAGCGCCAACCACTTCGCCGAATTTTCGATGAAATGTCTTGCCTTCTCCCAAATTCTACTGATCTTCGCACTTTATTCATGGATATTTCGAGTCTAAATTCAACAGATGAAGGTTTCCAATTTGGTCGAATCGAAGATTCTGCTGAATATTTTGAGCGATTCGAGAATCAGTCGGAACTTGATTTTCGAACAATCGAACAACGCTTCGAATATGCTATGGAAAAATTGAATGAAAGTGGAATTCACCAATATTTTCCGATTATCAAATTTATTCATCTCGACATCGAAACCTATGAAAATGAAGCTGAAGTCGCGATAGTTGAAAAACCCCGCAAGAAACGCATCTCGACTACGACATTCGCACAAATTATTTCCGCATATCCGGAGATTTCGAAAGTTGCGACAAGTTCGGCTATTCAATTGGTACGACAATTTAATAATGTGCAAATTGCTGAATCATCGATTGGTGTGAAGACGCAACAAAAATTTGAAAAAGTTTCGTCGAAGGCCAAAGGTAAGTGGGGAAAACATCTATACGTATCGTAACCCAGAGAAAATCGGAGATAACTACAGTAATTCATATCCACGTGTTATTTCGCAGATTACTGTAGTCAGAAATATAAGATTTTGCAAAATTAAACAATAACGTTTTTTGCAGATAAAATTCCCGAGAAACTCCAAACCACATTAAAGGATATGTAAGTTATTTTATTTCCATCTCTCGAAAACCTCGGATTTTTCAGCGCAAAAGAAGTTGTACCCGAATTATTAGCTGGAAATGAAGGAAAAGCTGCTGAAAACTTGGTGGCTTATATCATTGATAAATCGAAAGAAAATGCGAAAGAAAATGAAGCTGTTAAAAAAACGATCGAAGAAATTCAGAAAATGATCAAACCTAAAGATGGACAACAATCTGCGATAATTGATTTGAATGATGCAACAAATATAATAACATCAGCAACTTCAGGAAATTGGTTGGATTTGACAAAAAATGTATTCAAAGTCGGAAAAAAGGTTGCAAAACATCAAGGATGGGATAAAAAAGTGAAAAAAGGAATGGATAAATTAATCAAATCTAAATTTCCAAAATTGGCCAAGAAAATTGATTGTATAGTTCCACAAATTGGTGAAAAAGGAAAGAAAATCAAAGAATTTTATGATGATTTCGTTTCGAAACATCCGGAAGTTAAAGATCTGATTAGTTTTAATGGTGTACCTTTGGAACAAAAATTGGTAGATGGTGGAAAAATGGGAGTTGGTATGATTATTGATGGAATATTTGAAGAGATCGATCCGGATTTGACTGATGTTTCGGATGGAGTGAAAAATGTATTGGGAAAAGTTATTGATGGAATTCCGGGATTGGTGAAAGGTGATGAATTCACATATGGTGGAAATGGAAATGGCGGAAGTGGTAAGATTTTGGAAAGGGCGTGGGGAAATCTAATTGACACCGAAAACTGAAAAAAATCGACAAAAGGAGCAAATACGCCCTAGTAAACAATGAAAAGTACTGCGTCATTGCGGAGTGTTGTTACAAACGATGAAAGTGGCATGGCGGAGTGTTGCAGACATATTATATTGATTTTTCAGGAAATCAAAACAACGGAAACAACAATAATAAAAATTCCAACCGAAAACCACAATGTGCACCAACAAAAAGTCGAACAAGGACTGAATGTGGGAAAGCAATTGTTTGGATTTGTTGTTGATCGAGGAAATGATGATGATGTGGTAAGTTGATGACGTGGCAAAAAGGTCAGCACTAATATCTGATTTAAAAAAAATTCAGAATGACGCGATTTTTTCAACAATTGAACAAGCTACTTGTCTTATCAAGGATTCCAAAGATGTTAAAGGGACAATTTTGGATATTTCGGATAAAACATCAAGCGATTCACCGATTTCTATTGATGATATTGGAAAATTGGGGAAAGAATTGTTGAAGAATTATGGGAAAAGTAAGGACTTGACAGCTCTCTACAAAAACCCTAATCATCTCCAATTTCAGAAACATTTTCAACTGATGATATTGGAACTCGATTCGCTGACACCATCAAGAAATTAGCGGATGGTGAAACACCAGATGTTTATGATGCCATAAATCTTTTTGTTCCTGATTTTCCGAATGGTGGAAATGGTGAGAATTTGAAGAAGATTTTTGATATGGTTATGAAAGGGAAATCGGCGAATTTGAGAGATAAGATTAAATTCAACAATATTCCGCTGAAATATGGAAAATTGCCGAGTGGAAAAACGTCGATTGGAATGCCTGGATTGGGGGATATTGGACCAATTTGTGAGTTTTTTTTCTAGGAAGGCAATGATATTTTAAAATCTACAAAGCTACCCTCATAAATATGTTTCTCCTGATTTCCAGTGTCCAACATTCCTGCACCTGTCATCGATGTTCTTGCAAATCTGTAAGTTTCCAACCCAACTTTCTAAAAATTCATTTTTTTTGCTTGTAGCCTGGAAACTGCCGTCCCTGGAATCACTACAATTTTGCCAATTCCGATTCCAAATATTCCAAACATCCTAGATCTGCCAAATGTTCCAAGTTTCCCCAATATACCCGGATTGCCGAATTTCCCGAAAATCCCAGATTTGCTCGATATTCCTGATATACCCAACTGGCCGAATATTAATCTTCCTGATTTGCCAAACCCGAATTCAGGAGGATCTAAACCGGATTCGAACACGAATTCTAAACCCAAATCAAAATCGACACAAAAAACGAAAAGACCAAGAAGTGATTCGCGACAAAAATCAAAAAATAATCGCAAAAAACGATGTTCGAATTTGAAAACCGCTTTGTCGATTGGCAAAAAATTGTTTGCATTTGTTGTGGATCGAGGAACTGATGAGGAAGTGGTGAGTTAATGACGTGGCTAATTTTTATCACCCTAGAATTAATTTTCTTTCTTTTCAGACTGATGGAATCTTCACAACCGTCCAAGAATTAATCTGCCTAATTCCCTCATCGAATTCCACAAATTCTACAAATTCTACTGAATCTACAAAAGGAACTATTCTCGATACATCTGATACACAATCAATAAATGATCTATTATCGATTGATAGCATTGATAAATTGCCCGAAAAATTGGCCAAAATTTCCGGAAAGAAAGCGATTTCTCAAGAAGGATTTGGATCGAGATTTGGAAAAGTTTTGAAGAAATTGCTTCAGGGAAACACCCCGGATTTATTTGATGCGATTGATATAATTGCGCCAGAATTGCCGAATGGAGTGACTGAAAGTGCGCTGAAAAAAGTGTTCAATAAGGTGTTGGATAAATATCCGACAGATATCAAAAAGAAGGTGAAACTGAATAGTATACCTTTCGAATTTGGAATGGATCCGGATGGAACACTGACTGTTGGATTGCCTGATGTTGGAAAAATTGATGTGGATTTACCCGAAATCACGAAAAAGCAAAAGAAGAAATTATATGAGATTTGGAAGAAGATTGAGCCGAAAATTACGGATCCTGATGATCAGAGTTCAAATCAGAATCAGCAGCCAGAAAAGGAGAAAAAAAATAAATGCAAATCGAGAAAAACAACACCTTTGCTTGTTGGAAAAACACTTTTTGTTATGTTTGTTGAAAGGAATTTGGGAAAGGAATATGTGAGTTTTTGGGGGGAAAAAGTTTTTGAGGTGGCAAACACGCTCCACCTAATTGTTAATAATTATTGATTTTTCTTCCAGGTCGAACCAATTTCGTTGATTTTGAAACAAATAGCTTGCCAAATCCCAGATGCATCGGATACAGAAGGAACTATTATTGATCTCACAAATCAACAAACAATCGATCAACCAAAAACAATTGATACAATACGAAAATGGGGGCCGAAAATTGAGGATTTGGTAAGACAAACTCCAAAAACATCACAAAATACGAATGAAATTGGAAAACTGTTTGTTGATGCTTTGGAAAAATTCGCGAAAAGTCAGATTCCCAAGGAATTTGATAACATCGAAGTTTTGACGTCTAATTTGCCTGGAGCGGATTCGGATTTGTGGAAAAAGGGTTTTGAAACAGTGATGAAACTATTGCCCGATAATGTGAAGGAGAAATATCGATTGAGGAATTTTCCACTGGATTTTAAAGCGAAAAATGTGGAAATTCCTGAAGGGGTTAAGATTGATACAGAAGGTTGGGGATTTTTTTTGAGTTTTATTAGGAAAAAGAAATTATTTTCAGAGATTTTCCCGGATGTTACCAAGAAATTGTTCAAGGAAATGTAGGTTTTTTTTCAAGTTTCTAGTGTCAAATCACATTTATAAGTTAAAAAAGTACAGTCATCATATATTTCGTCGCCCAAAAAATATTTCTGAAATCAGATGATCTCCTCAATTCCTGATATTTTCAGCCTCAATAAACTCGATCCGAAAATAACTGAACAAAAATCGGAATCCGAACAAAAACCAAAAAAACGATGTAAATCGAAACAAACAGCCGCTTTCAATATTGGCAAAAAACTGTTTGGATTAGTTGTGGATCGAGGAAACGACAAAGATTTTGTAGGTTCTTTTTCGATTCCGCGTAAACGACCACGTGATTAACTATAACGTGGAATTCTAAAATTCTACGTTACAGTAATCCGCTCGGATTTGTAGTCCAGAAGATAAAAATCTGAAGTTTATTACAGACTCTGCCGCTTTTTGATGTAATGGAAGAAGTTTCTTGTTTATTACCAGATGCACCGGATTTGAAAGCTATGATTTTGGATATTTCAAATATGAATCCAACTATAAATGTAGATACAATTGGAAAACTTGGGGAAACCTTGAGAAATTCAAAAAATAAGAAATCGATATCGAACAAGGATATTGCTAGTCGATTTTTTGATACTTTGCAAAAAATAAAAGACGCTGGATTATTTGATGATTATGATTGGATTGAATTATTGAATCCGAATTTTCCAAATGGTGGATCTGGTGATAATTTCAAAAAAGTCTATGAACAATTTTTGAAAAGTAATCCGAATGTTGAAGATAAAGTGAGATTCAATAATATTCCATTGAATTTTGGAGTTTCGGCAAGTGGAATACCGACGATTGGATTGCCTGGAGTTGGAGATGTTGATTTGAATTGTGAGTTCTTTTGGGGGGATGTGGATTTTGAAAAAAATTAATCAACATTTTACCTGATTTTTTAAGTATTGAGAAAGAAGAGTTTTCAAAAAAACAATTCTCAAATTATTTCAGCACCAGCTTTGCCGCCATATTTGAAAGATAAGATCAAGGATGCGTAAGTTTTTTTTTCTCAATTTTTCGCCATTTGGCATTGAGTTGGACGTAAAATAATCAACGTGGCAAAAATACTATAATTATTTTCCAGCCTTCGAAAAATCGATTCAAAAATTGTCAAAAAACCGAAATCCACTCAACCGCAAGACGAGAAAAATCGCGAAAGATCGTGCAAACCCAAAACCACAGCTGCTCTGAATATTGGTAAAAAATTGATTGGAATAATTTTGGATCAAGGTTTCGATGAGGAAATTACAAATCCGATTCTAACAACAATGGAACAATTGGTTTGTAAAGTTCCGAATGCGCCAGAAATCAAAGGACAAGTTGTTGATATATCAGATATGGATACAATTAGTTTGCCATCAAATATTGGAACGATTTTGGAATTGGGACCAGAAATATTGAAAAGAATGGGAAAACGTGAGCATTTTTTGAGAATTTTCACCAATTTTCAACAAAATTATATTATTTTCAGGCTCCAACTCACCATTGGATGCTCCTAACAGATTTTTCAAAGCTCTCGAACTTTTGGCTTCATCTGGAATCCTTGACGGATTCGACAGTGTCAATTTATTCGTGCCCACTCTACCAGGCTTCAGTGGAATTGGCTTGGGAATTCCCGGAATCCCCGTAGTTCTCCCTGTAGGTCTTCCAATAATTCCACCGATTCCCGGTGTTCCTGGTTTGGATGGATTTATCAAGGCATTGGGAATGATATTTGATGTTTTCCCCAATTTACGACCAAAAATCACGTTGAATGGTGTGAATTTTAAGTTCAAGCTGAAGATTCCGCCTACAGGTAAAGTTTTCGGGCAATTTTTGAAATTCCATGTTGAATCTGAAATTTATGACCAAAAATTTGAAGCGCTTAGAAACTGATCTGGAAAACCACTTTTTTGGGAAAATTGGCCTAGAAAACCTGGAAAGTATTTTCTAGTACACGAGAATTTGATGTTTCAGGAAATGGACCAAATATTGAAGTTGATAGTCCATCATCAGAAGATTTAGATGAAACACTGAAAAAAAGCGATCCGAAAGTCGAGAAAAATGGCGAATCACAAGAACCAGATGAATCGGAAAAATGTAACAAGTTAACGAAAGTTGGTGTGGAAGCCGTCAAACAACTCTATATTTTCATAACCGATCAAGACTCGAATAATGAGATTCAGGAAAAAGTTTGGGAATTGATTGAACAAGCGATTTGTTCGGCATCGAAAAATGATGATGGAATGGTTATTGATCCGATAAATGGAGCAAGTGATATTGGAAGTATGGAGGAGACAGAAGAAAAAGTCAAGAAAAACAAGGAAAAATGTGAGCAATTAGTTTGGCTTACTATAGAATTTACTGTTGATCTACGCTAAATTTCGAACTTTTTGGTTGGAAACTGAAGAGAAGAACAATTTCTAGATTACTGTTCTTTTCTGGCGCTATTCTAAGAAATCTTTCTACCATTAATAAAATCAAAAATTTTGCAGCCAACCGAAAAAAAGATAGCAAATGTAAGCGAATTCAAAAAGTTCTGGGTAAATTGGACGGAGTTATCAAAAATGTGACAAAGCTTTATAAAAAGATTCACATCGTTGTTCCAATGGTCAACAGCACAGTTTTGAATGATATCAATATGAAAATCAATCAGAGTTTGACGATCGCATCAAATATGTCGAATTATGCAGCAAATACTGATTTTTGTAATTGGAAAGCGATGTTGATGAATTGGACGAAAAGATTGAAGGATTCGGGTGTGAAACAGAGAATTGAATATATTCAAATCCCGCTTAAAGTTGTCCAAATTAATGAAACTGAAGCTAGTCTCGTTTTGGAAGTGGAAAATTCGACGAAAACTGTCGAAATTCGAAAATTGAATATGCAAGAAATTGAGGAGGAAGTTGTGATTTATGAAACAAATTACACTAACTCGACGAATAATGTGCCACCGGATTTTGGTGGATTTTGGGAGGGAACTTATCAGAATACTTATGATCCTGAAAAGACAAACACGAAACCGGTGAAAGAATTGCCCAGAGAAGTTAGAGTCGAGTGAGTTTTGAGAGGGAAGGGGATTGATGTAAAATATCTGGAATATTTTGATTTTTCTCTGAAATTTAAATCATCTGTGTACAGGGCATAATTTGATGAATTTTTGAAATACCTAGACTTCAAGATCCCAAAAATGAAAATAATGAAGCTTTGAGTCTGGGAACTGCAATTTAAAGTTTTCTGAAAGAATTGTTAACTTTTTTTATTGAAATATTGGATTTTTTCACGCTTTTATTATTTTTTTCTTGATTCACAAAAAATTAATTTTTAACAGAATCACTCACAAAGTCAACGAATCAATAATTCGAAGTTATTATGAACGAACTGTTTATATAGAAAGTGAGCAACAAATTGAAGAAAAAGTGGAAACATCAAATTGGCTACTGTGGCTAATTATTATAATTGTAATATTACTTTTATTAATAATTTGTTGTATTTTGATTTGTATCTATTGTTGTTGCTGTGGACCAATTGCTGTAATGAAAGAAGAGGAAGATGAAGAAGAAGAAGAAAAAGAAAAGGAAAAAGAGAAAGAAGTTGTCCCAACTCCAATACCGAAAACTACATCAAATTCAATGAAGGAAGATATTCCTCCAATTCCAACAACTCCGCCTTCACCGCCACCACGTCCACGTCCACGTCCAAAAAAGAAAAAACAAGCGAAACTTGCACCATTCTTTGATGCGAAATATTATCGAGTTAGTCGAAATCCTTCTGTTCCACCAACTCCGCCACCAGCAAAAGATGTTTTTTCGGCGGAAAATGAAAAGAAGGAAATTCCGAAAAATGCGACGAGATCGCAAAGATTGTATAAATCGTGAGAAAAAATTGGCTGGAATTTTTCGAGCCTGAAAATTGTATTATGTACTCGTTTTTTGCATTCTTTTGAAACTGAATATGAAGATTTTTACTCGGAATATTGTTTTTTTGGGTTTCGAGTTTTAAGCTTGAAAATGAGAAGCGAACTTTCAAAATTCTTATAATTTTCACCCTAATTTGCTCATTTACAGGCTCAAATTCTTGCTCTTCACAAATTTTTCTGAAAATTTTCAATTTGATGATAAAATTTTTCTGATATACCATGCTATAAATATATCCGATAAATTATCAAGTAAAATTGTTTTCAAGATTGATGGTTTTTGTGATTGAAGGAAATGAAGATGAAGTTACTGTAGATATTTACAGTAGTCCACGAATACTTTCATATTACTGGTTTAAATGAGCTCATTTTTAGACCTCAAATTTTCAAAGAAAAATATTAGAATTCCCAAGTGATGATCAAAAGCTTGAGATTTTTTGTGAAATTTTTCGAAAATCTGATCACACAATTTAGGAACATGTGTTTTTTTTTCAATAGTTTTCTCCACAAAAATTTTGAAAAATGTTTTAACAGATAGTGTTTTTCGTTTTTGGGTTTGTTGGTAAAATAAGAGTCACGTGAAAACCTTCGGTTCTAAGATCCTAGATTTCTTCAAAAAACCCCCAAATCCTTTCACAAGAACATAATAACATTGAAAATAAAAAGGATAACCAATTTTTAATCCCATCAAAAATCTATAAATCGAATCAATCTCGATATAATCATTTTCTTCTTTCATTTTTTTATTCTTCTATCCACACATCCATCGCTCATCTTTTCCTCGTATTCTTCAACTATTCTCCTCCGTCAAGAAAAAACATAAGAAGATGAAGATTTCTTCGTGCGCAAAAATCTTCCTGGGCTGGTACCAACACTCACAAATACTTTTAACAACACCCCAACTACTCTTCTTCGTCTTCTTCTTCCTACTATTAATATCTTCTAACTGTAGAAGACGAGATAGTAAGAGAGTTTGCGAGAGAAAAAGAGTGGAGAGAGATGGTTGGAGGGGGTGGTTGGTAGTAATAGAAGGCTGGGGAGAAAATGCGCGGGGGTCACTTGCGTTCGGCGGACGACGAGATGCGAGGTAGGTCATCTCTTTTTCATATATATGGGATTTGATTTTGCGAGTTTTTAGCGAAAAGTTCAAAATTTCGGGTTGGGGTGATTTGGGGATATGGGAAACTATTGGGGAAAATGCACACGGGCGGCCCATTTTTTCAATACTGTTTTGTTAATTTCTAGAACGAATCAGCCAAAATTACAGAGGAGCTTTTGAATCAGAATCGGTTTTAAAAAGGGTTTGAGATTCAGACATCTTTAAAATCAGGCTCGATTCAAAATTTGCCAAATTTTAGCTGAATATTCGTTCTCGAGAAAAATCAGACAAAAAATTTTGCATTTTTCAAAATTTTTGATCCAATTTTTTTCGAGATTTATTAAATTGAACTCGAGAAAAAATGAACCAACAATTCTGGACTCATTTTCCTTGAGATTTTGTATTTTTTTCAATTGTTATCTAATCGATAACAAAATCTTGAAAAATTCCGAAATTTCTCGAGATTCAAATTCTTCTTGTACTTTTTTGTCTTCGCAATTCATTTTACATTATGTTTTTTCCTGTCAGTTTTTATTTTGTTCTTTTTTGTCTTATCGCCGTTTTTTCTTGCCTTTCATGGTCACTTTTTTAATATTATGATGAGTTCGTTCGATTTTTTATTGAAGAAAAAAATTTGGATGGGGGTTTTAGAGAGAAAATTTGAAAAATTCGACCACCTGCATGTTTTTCCACGTGGATTTGTTGAAATTTTGTGGCAAAATGTAGTGCAGGTGGGCGAATTTTGAAGTGTTTCATTTCAAAAAATTATATCCACGTGGCAAACATCACATGGAGTTTCATTCTACTCCGAATTTTAATCGTAAAATTCCCAGCTATAATATTCCAGCCCGAAAACTTTTCCCGCACAAAATATGTTAGCCTAACATTGTTAGATTCTGTTGCCATAACCAATTTAATTACATCCATCCATCCACAAAGAAATGTCCTCCGGGCGGTCATTTTTCGAAATTTTTTGCATTTTTCCGACCTTGATACTAATTTTACTATTATATAGTCCCTCTCTTTCTCTTCCTGTGTTGTTGTTTTCGTCTACTTTTTATGACTAGCCGAGAGAATTTGGGGGGATCTCGAAAAAAAAAAAGAATTTTTGATAATTTTTCTCGAGAGAAGACCACCGGTCAAGCGATAAAAAAGTAACTTGTTGTGGTCAAAAACATGAGTAGACAAAACACAGAGAGAGAGACAAAAAACCGGTTTTTTCTTCATCTTGTTCATCTCTTTTTTCTTGGGGTTAGGCACCGACTGGCTCGAAATTGCAAGATTTTTGTATGTGTGTCTCGCTTCAATGATCTTGAATTGTAAATTTTGAGATGAAGAGTTACAAAATTGTTTTTGAGGAAGAACAACATGATGTCGAAATTTTTGGGAAAATGGGGACTTTTGGCAAAAAGCCACGTGGATTGAATTTTTGAAAAATATCCAATAAGATTATTTTTCCACATGGTTTTTTCAGCGTAAACTTCTTGAGAAAGTGCCACGTGGATATACGGCACAAAAAACTTGTCATTTTTCAACCGAAAAAATCAAATCAAAAACTACCTAATTTTTTTCAAAGTTTTAATAAAAATTTTCAAAAATTGAAAATTCCTAGTTTCGCCTGTCATGTGGATTTTCAGTTCCTAGATTCGTGAATTCTATTCTCTCTCTCTCTCTCTCCTTTTCAATATTTCTTTTTCCCGCAAAAATCCAAAAATTCCCGAAAAAAACGTGAAAACAAAAAAAATCGCACGTTTTCTAATAATTTTTCCCGTCAAAACCCAATCATTCCTCAATTGTTCGGGAAAAGGAAAAATCGAAAAGCAAGGTGAGTGAGTAATCTCCGCTTTGTCTATAGCCTATAGGATCGAAGGTAATCTCGCGCAGCCAAATCATATGTTTCGAAATTGCTTGCTTGCTTCTCGCATCATCCTATCTAAATATCCTGCCTTCGAAAATCACGCGCGTACCAACACGTACCATAATGCGGCCGTTTGCGCATGATGATCAGCGGAAAGTACAACAATTTGCGAAATTGCAACCCTCCCTCTCCTCTCTTCTATAGGCAATTTCATTTTTTTCTCTCTATTTCGAATGAAAAAATGGCGGTAGGCGGAGTTTTGTTTTCTGTTTCTTGAAGATATATTTTACCGGCCGGCCGATCGGCGCGCCTTCTTCTAACTAATTCTTTTTCTCTTCTACCGTTCGATCGTGCACAGGTACCGAGGTCACAATTTCTTCTTCTCGAGCGAGAAAAAGATGAGACACCATCACATCTTTTCTTCTTCTTCTTCGTATTCTTACACAGACACATACATACACTGTAATTGTTATTATTTTTATGCGAAGGAATCTTGTGAAGGGGATGAATAACAAAAGAAGCAAAACGGGAAGAGAGGAAAATAAATAAATAAATAAAATAATTGGATTACTGTAGGGGTGTTCGTTTTGGTGCAAACACTTTGCACAATTTCGAAGCTACCGTAGTTTTCTCTATTGATTTTTATTTTTTTTCTCCCAAAAGTTTTTATTTTCGCAAATTTTTGGCTTAGACATGAATTTCAGGTGATTTAGGAATTTCATATTGATGACGTGTCGTTGCACGATCCACGTGGCTCACGTTTTCTCTATAAAAACAGGATTTTTGACGTGAAAACGTGGTTTTCACGTAGAAACCGTGTTCTAAAGAATTTCCCTGAGATTTTTCGAATTAAATTGAAACTCGAATTTTTAGGTGTGACTTTCCATTGAAAAAAATCAGTTTTTCTGTAGAAATTCAGGATCATCAAGAAAATTAGGGCTTTTTTGAAATAAGTCGATAAGAATTTTTAGGGCAAACGGGAAAACCAGAGATTTCGAGTCAAACGGCTGTGGTAAAGACTTAGGCTATATGTTTTTAAAAATTTCTAATAGTTTTCAAGAAATCAGATGTTGTTTGAAATACCTCCGTACATCAGCAAAATTATAATGTTTCTGAAACTTTCTAATTTTCTCAACCCCCTTATCTAACAATTATTCGCGCACCTTTTCTTATTTCTTCCCCGCCATTCCATATTTTTTTTGTTATCTCGTTCGTTGCTCGTCGTATCAATCACACAATACATACACCACACACCATCGTAAAATAATAAGTACTCTCTTCTCACTTCTCTCCTCATTTCGCGCACTATCTCCAAATCTACCGCGTTTGTCGAGCCAATAAGAAATGAGCATAGAGGCGGAGTTTGTGTGTGAGCAAGCAAGCAGAAAAGTTTTGGGACGCGTTGCGTAAGCGTCTCTTTTTTTGCTTGCTCTCCTTCCTTGCTGTTTTTTTTCTTGTAAAAATAATCGATAGTGTTTTCTATCTGAATTATTTTATAACTAATTAATTACCTGATAATTTAAACTATTCCTAGTAAAGAGAAAATGTCGGCGCCACCATTGATAATGAAGAGAATAAAAAACGAGTCGCCTCACTTGCCGTGCACATCGTCGCCAGATCAAGTCATCGAACACGCCGCCGATCCGATTGGAAGCGAAACGCTGATCTTGCAACCGACGCAGCCGCAACACACTTCTCCGGAAATGGACGAATTTGCAAAATATCTTCAAAGTGTTGCGCAGACGAGTGGAAATGATGAAAATGGTGCGCAACATTTCTCGCCAAATGGATTTTCGCATGTATATACAACTGCTACTAATCGAGAAAAACCTGTTATTGGTGTGTATTTTTTCGAATTTGTTTTTTTGTTTGATGACTTTTTGGGTCCCCCGTGTGCATTCTAGAAAACATAGTTTATCTGATAAATTTGGACTCGCTGATAATGAATTCGTTTTGTTATCAGTGGATCCAATCTTATCGCTAACACTATTTTTAATGTTAAAAAAATGTGAAAGCATGCTATATAGCTTGAAGTTTCTTGGTATCTGAAATTCTGAAACTTTTCGGCGTTTTTTGGTTTCGTTCATATCGCTAGACTTGAATTTGGCTAAATCTGAGGCATTGCCACGTCATAGCTCAGATTTTGTAAATTTTCAGATCTAGAGACTTTCACTAGAAGTACGAGAACCGAGAAATGCCAAAAAATTGCAGAATTTCAGATCTTAGAGGTGGAAAAGCTAAATTTCTTAATTTTTACATTATCAGAATCTCCCGGTCTTGAAATTCTGCAGTTTTTGGGTCTAAGTTCTCAAAAATTGCAAAAGCTCTGATGTAAAAAATTTCGGGGAAACGAATTTGATTTTCATGCTGAAATCAAGCTTTTCCACTCAAACCATCCTCGTTTTTTGCAGTCTCTGCACAAATAGAAGTGATACCGTGTAAAGTATGCGGTGACAAATCGTCCGGCGTTCACTATGGAGTTATCACGTGTGAAGGATGTAAAGGATTTTTTAGACGTAGTCAATCATCGATTGTCAATTATCAGTGTCCTAGGCAAAAGAATTGTGTTGTAGATCGGTGAGTTTTTTTTTGAAATCGCGATTTTTTTGGTGGGAAAAAAGAAAAATGATCTATTTATGAATCTGTTTTCAGCTAAATTTTATTTTAAAAAATTTAAATTTTCACATTGAAACGTTTCAATTCTTCTGTAAACTCTGCGAAATCCTTGAATGTTCAATTTTTTGAGTAAAAAACTGATTCCTACACGAATGTCTTCCTGTTTTCATATGAAATCCTATTGAAAATCTCATTGTTTTGCAGTGTAAATCGAAATAGATGTCAATATTGTCGACTAAAAAAGTGCATCGAATTGGGAATGTCGCGAGATGCCGTGAAATTCGGAAGAATGTCGAAAAAGCAGCGAGAAAAAGTGGAAGATGAGGTGGGTTTTTTGTTTTTGTTGTTTGAGATTTTCAGTGTTGTTGAGAAGAGTTTGTTGGGGGAAAATTGGATTTTTCGGTGAAAATGCAATTTCAGATATCGGATTTAAATATGTTTTTGGACTTAAAATTTATGGAAAATGTGATTTCCAGATATTTTTTGACCGAAAACTTATTTTAAATCTGAATTTTTGACTAGAAGTTTCATGTTTGTTCTTTTTAGCACAGAAAAATCTCATTTTCAGATATTTTTAAACCAAAGATCACCTGAAATTCAACTTTTCCCCCAACTTATTCTCTCTTATGTTTTGTCCTTGTCTGTATTATTGGATATTCCTATGTATATTTGTAGTATTTTTGAAAACTGCGAGGGAAAAATTGAGAGATTTGAGAGAAAATACAGTATGTGTGTGTTGTATATGTTTTGTTTTGTTTTTGTGTGTGTGGTACGGTTATGGTCAGCTGACCTTGGGGATTTTGATGGATGAAGAAAATTGCGAATGAATTTTGAGAGATGAGGATTTGAGGGGGGACTTTGAAATTTGAATTGAATTTGAGACTTTTTGCATGACACTTTCGGGGTTATTTTTAATTTTGCATGTTTTTTGGCTGGAAATTTCTGGATGAAAATTCCAGATGGCAAAGAAATTTCAGATATTTTCGAAAAATTCTTGAAATTTTGAAGAAAAAAATTTCCACGAATAATTCTAAAACATTTTTAAGCTTGTAACTAATTCTGCATGATTTTCATCACTAACAAACTGTTTTTAAAAAAATCTTGAAATTTAAAACACGTGGCGAAAACTTGGAATTTTCAGAAAATATTCGAAGTTTTCCGAAGTTCTAAATTTTTCAATTAAAGTTGCATGTTTTTCGTTTTTTTTTTGTCCGTCCACTAACCTGCATGTTCTTTTTTACTAACTTAGCCTAACTAACTACCTTATTTTGCACTTTTTAGTTTTTTTTTTCCCATAAGATTGTTATCTTTTCAATTCTAACACCATTTTTAATGTATGTGCTAGTTGCTTGTCACTTTTTTTGTGTCTCTAATTTTGGTCAGTCAGCAGCCTTTTACTAATTTATAGCCGCACAACATGTCTTCTTCTTCATCTTCTTCTCCTCCTTCTACAATGCCATTGATTGAAAAGATTAAGGTTGAGATAGCCGGTGAGAAAAAGGTTCGCTTTTTGCTTTTTTTTGGTTAAACTAACTTGGTGAAGGGAAAACACTGTGCACTTTTTTTTGGTTTTTTTGGTGGAGGAAAAATAGGGGGAATGATCTGATACAGTAATCAGGGGGTACTGTGGATTTTGAGGGGTGAAAATTATATACAAAGTTGAAGAATAGTAGCCTAGGCGAAAAAATACTGTTATTATTTAGAATTACATTTCGATTACTGTTGATCAAATTTTGGTGCGGATAGACTAGAGGCAATGAAATCAAATATTCTCAAATTGCAAAAAATATAATAAAAATTTTGAAACATATTTTTTCGGGAAATTTTTATATGTGGAAAAATGTTGATTTTTGGTATAAAAAATTCAGAGAATCAAATAAAAATTGTTTTTTCACTTAAAAATGTTCAAATTAAATTCTTCAGGTTCGAATGCACAAACAATTAGCAGAAGCGAGTGGAATGAGTTATCAATCACTATATGGTGATTATTCGCCTCCACCATCGCATCCAAATTATTGTTTCGATCAAAGTATATATAGTCATTATGCGGCTGCCACATCAACAAATGGTGGAACATCAACACCAAATGGATATCCGTTGACTGTAAATGCAGCTGCAGCTGCACCAGTTACACCAATTTCACAATATGGTGGAGGTGCCACGTCGGCTGGATCGGCGAATAGTTCAAATGGTGGAAGTGTTGGCGGAGGAGCGAGTGGAGATAGTGTGGCTGGAAATGGACCAGGAGCTGGATATGTTGCACATCAGGGTGAGTATTGAGGGGGAAATTGAGGAATTTTGAGCAAAAACTGGTTTCTGGACGATTTTCGATCAAGAAAATGTGAAATTTTGTCCAAACTGTTGATCTATCTGTTTAAAACCAAATTTTCGCCACGTGGAATTTGGAAGAATTTTTTCGTCAAAATTAAATATCCAAACAAACAAAACAACCAACTTTTCTGGGCGGCCCTCATTTTTTGTCTCGAATTTTCATTTCCACGTGGATTTTTGGCCTTCTCAACATATCTAAATGAACCCCTTAACTTTGTTTTTGTTTCAGCATCGGGCGGTAGTTTTCCATCTCCGCAAGTTCCCGAAGATGATACGGTAGCACGAGTGATCAATTCATTCGAACAACAACATCATCTTTATCGAACCACCCACGATGTTTGTGATGTGGATTTGAATCGAATTAGTAGTTTGGTGAGTTGCAATTATTTTTGGATGGGTGCTTGAAAGCTGTATTTTTCACCTGAAACGCTAGATTTTCACCATAAATCATCTTGAAAAAGAATTTTGTTGAATTTACCCTATTTTTCACTTTATTTCAACTAGACTTCAAAATCACCTAGATTCATCCTAACATACCCTATTTTATCATCCCTTTTACCCTGACTTATCCTAACTCTTATCTTTCATTTTTCAGTCACGTGGTGATGGTTGGGAACTATTTGCCCACGAACTCAATCCTCTAATTCAATCAATAATCGAATTCGCCAAATGTGTCGACGGTTTTATGACTCTTCCACAAGAAACACAAATTCAATTGCTGAAAGGCAGTGTATTTGAATTGTCGCTGATATTTGCAGCCATGCATTATAATATGGAAACACAGGCTGTGTGTGGAGATCGAACCAATTTGCCGTTTTCGTGTTTGTCAGCTGAGGATCCTATCGAGGTTTGTGGATTTTCGTGACAATTTGGGGACCGCGAGTTTTGAATTGAGCCGTTGGCATCTGAGCCGAAACAAGCTCCGAAAGTTTTTTTAGATTCTGAACGCTTCAAGCGATTTCTCACACTGAAAGTTCAGAATTTCCAGTATTTTCAAACGGAAAAGCTGAAATCCACGTGTCAAAATTTATTAAAACTTTTAATTCCCAACTTTTCATTCATGAAAAATTTGAGAAAATCTGAAAATTTCGAATTTTTGCTACGTGGAAATTGTTCATCAGAAGTTGTTTAAATTTGAATTTTAGAACCAGAAATTTCCATGTTTTTGTCACGCGGAAATTACTTCATTCATGATTTTCATGAATATTTTTGAGAGACCAAGAAAATCGTTGAATTTCTAAAATCCACGTGTCAATTCAAAATTCTCACGTTCTATTTTTGCAGATGCAACTAATCAACGATGTTCATACAACCCTCCACGATATTGCCTCTCTTCAACCAAATGTTGCCGAATTAGCTCTTCTCGCCGCATGCCTTTTACTCGAACTAACATCTACACCAATTGCTGCAACAGCAATACTCGGAAGTGCCGAAATGACAGTCACAGTAACCGCTGATATTTTACGCAACTCGTTACATCAATTAATTGCATCGCGATTGGGATGTTTGGATACGACAATTGGACGAGTTCAGGAAATTGAACAACGTATTCGACAGACTGCCAGGTTGCATTTGCAGGTTTGTGTTTTTGACGGGTGAAAATTGTGATTGAGAAAAAAATACTTAATTTTGTCCTTGTGGTTTTTAAGCGAAATTCGGAGATTTTCTGATATTTTTGATAGAAAATCCGACCAGAAAGTTGACTTTCGTAGTTTTTCTCTCAAAATCTTCAATTTTTTCAGGCTCTTCAACGATTCCGCGAACTCGATCCAGTCTCATCTGAAAGACTTCCAGCACTTTACAAGGAACTATTCACAGCCGATCAAATTTGCTGAAACCCAATCTCGAAAAATCTCCCTTCCAAAACACAAAACGGTTAGCACATATTATCTCGAAAAAATTAATATATTAATTTAATTTATAATTTATTTGTTTTCCCCCCATCTTCCGGTATTTTTCTACCAAAAACCACCCCAAAAAAGCTGTAAAATAATCTGTGATTTGGCCTGTTTTATTTATGAGATTTCTTTTGGCCCCCCAATTTTTGTTTAGATAACTCGCAAATCCCCCATTTCTTTCAGGCTTTTCTTTTTCCTCAAAACAACCCCTTTTTAATTAATTAATTGATTAATTAATTAAACATTTTGTAACGGGTCCACACATTTTTAGACGATTTATTGAGCCCCCAAACTTATTGCTTTATTCTTCCCTGTTTAATAATTGGTTTTTTCTCATTATTTGTGGATTTTCCTCTATTTTTATCGCAACACTCGTTATGTAACATTTTTTGGCTCCGCCCACCAGCAACATTTTTTCTTTATCCACTGAAAAATATTAATTTATTTACCGCCCTGAATGTTTTTCTTCTGTCCAATTGCATTCGTTTTTTGTCGTTATTTATGAATTGATTTTTATTATTATTTGGATTTTTAGCTGAGTATTTGGGATTTTTTTGAATCCCTAAATTTTTTGAAAAAAAATGGCAGGATTATTCGAATAAGTATCAAAAAAATTTCAAATTTTCGCGTCAAACAAGCTACAGTAACCCGAACTACAGTAATTAAAAATGTTTTTATTAATTACAAATCCTCTAAAAACAAAGTTCCACCTTTTTCCCAATCCAAACGTTTTTCTTGTGAATTCCTCAAATTTTTGCGTAAAATCGTATAAATTTGCTGATAATCAGGTGTCGAAAAATATGTCAAATTATCGATTATCTGCAAAAGTTCTCTCAAAAATTGTGCATTTTTGAGAAATTCCTGCAATTTCGCACCGCTTCTTGCCGCATTTTTCGCCAAAAACACGGCATTTTGATCGGCGTTGAAACCTTTCCATGGCAAATTTCCGGTTATCATTTCAATGATCACATAAAATGTCGATTCGAGATCATCTTTTCGAGAAAGTTCGACAAGTTTGTGACAATTTAGAGAAGCGTAGCGAAGAGTTCCACGAAATTCGACAGAATCACGAGCTGATCGAATTTGACCCTAGAAAGAAAAAAATGAGGGATTTTTTGAGATCAAATAAGCCTAAAAACTTTCAATTTTCTTGTTTCCAAACCTTTTCATCCAAATATTTTCTAGCAATCGAAAAACTCAACAAAAATAATTTGTTCAATTCTCCTCGATCTGACCGACCAAAACATAAATTCGATGGTTTTATATCACGGTGTAAATCCGGAATTGTGTAAATCTTCTAGACTTTCATAAATTTGAATTCCGACGAGAAGTGCACAATTTTGAGAAATTTGACCGAATTTCATGTAATCCTGGAAAAAATGGACATTTTTGGATCATTTTGAAACCGAATACGATGATTTAGTGTGGTTTTGGTGCAAAAAAAAATCTACAATCTACAGTACTCTTACAGTATCCTCTCAACTTACAACAAGTGGTCTTCCTAATAATTGCATAACAATATAATGAATTCCTTGTGTTTTTCCAATATCCTCAATTTCACAAAAATGTCGTTTTTTCTTGCAAGCTTTCAAATTTTGAATCACAAAACTCTCAACTTTCAACATTTGCAGACTTAAATCCACATTTTCGCATTTCAGTGCGAATTTTTCCGATTTTGCGGCTCCAGAAACTTTGTAAATATGGCAAAAATCACCTTGTGTCAACTTTTTTTCAATTTTCCATTTTGAGATCTGAAAAATTGAGCTTAGGATGAAAATTTCAGATTTTTGGAGTCTAATTAGGTGAAATACGCAGAGATTCCTGCGAAGACATAATTTATATGAAAATGATCAGAAACTCATGTAGAATTCAGATTTCCAGCCAAAATCTGAAATTTTCACTTACAATAGTTCCTTGAACAATATTGGTCACATCCAGACACGTTTCCATTATTAAATTTATCAAAAATGAGCATTTTTTTGAATTTCTCCTAATTTTTTCGGTTGTTTTTTTTTGCAAAAAAAATAACTAGGTTCACGTGTATTAATATTTTAAGCAATTTGGAAAAAACTTTAAGTTTTCAGTGCCGCTTTTAATTTCCAAATTTTCGAAGTTTGTCGTGAACATTCAGATTTTTGTTTATTTTTGAAAATGTTCTTCTCGCGCAAACAAGAAATGATTTTCTGGGACCAAGTCCTTCCGGATTTTTAGTTTTATGTTCTGTTTCGTTTTTCGAAATGTGCACCTGCAATAACCCCAGACATAAAAAGTTCTCTAGCACTTTTTAATTGACTCTCTCTCTCACTCTCTCTTCTTTTATCTGTTGCTCTTCTTAATTCTTTTCATTTTGTCGGCAGGCAGGCAAGACACACCGGAAAATCATCAAAATCATCAATAAAAACAGAAAAATCGACATATGTTACACCACCAATAACTACTGTCTTTCTTTCTTTTCGCAACTGCTCTCTTTCTATTTTCGCAAAGTGGGCGGGACAAAAAAGATGTTTGAAGAAAGAAGAATTATTGCACAAGATAAGATAACCTCTTGATTAGATTGTGCTTTTTTTGGTGGAGCAAAATACGTGATGCGATTTGATATTTTGGTGCTTTTGGGGTTTGCCAAATTTTTTGTTGCGGCGCAGGACGAAATTGAGGTGAGTTTTTTCTTTTTTTTTTTTTGGAAAAAAACGAATTTCAATTTTTTACAATAAAACCAAAAAGATTTTTTCTTCTTCTAGATAGCTTCTTTTTTCTAGATAGCTTCAATTGCACAATGTTCGAGTAATAAAGTGGCGTGTGGTGCCACAATTTATTCCTATCCACTTTTGGAAGCTAGTGAACCAGACGATTTGTCGGCCGATTTTTCGGGTTATGGAAGTGGAGTGGTGCCGGTTTATGATGAAATTTTAACGGTGAGATATTTTTGGGAAAGGTTTTATAGAATTTTGGGTGGATTTTGAAAGGACCTAGGTTTAGGCTTAGATTTTCTCAAAAAAAAAGTTGGGCTTGAAAAAAATGAATAATTTTTTTGAAATCTAGGATACCTTTTCAACCGGATATAGGGCTTCTCAAAAAGTAATCTCAAAATTTTGAAAAATTCTGAGATCAAGCGGGACCAGATTTTGGCTATGTAAGCTCAGAAGTTCTAACTCACAAGTAGGCTTCTTAAAAATGTGCATGAAAAATAAATAATTTAGGCTTCCCGGAAAACTAATCCCCAAACTCCTGTCCAAATATTTTCCCTGTTTCAAACTCATCCAAATTTCCTTCAAAAATTATAGAAAATATTTCAGCGCGAAGTCTACGATTTAAATGGCACTCCAACCCAACACAACTTCACAATCTGCTCTTGTCCTGAAAATCAGGCATGCGATTTCGATTCAGAAGAGAATACTGTTAAAGTTGACTATGTAAGTGGATCCCTTAAAATTTCAGCCTAAAATTAATTTTTTGCAGCACGTCACTCTTCGATTTTGCAATCTATCAACAATCTACAATGGATGTAGTCGAAAAAGTCCGAGTCAGGTTCGAGTTATCGGAAATGCTCAAGAATCAGGTAATTTTTCATTTGAACCCAAAAAAAAAAAGTTGCTGAAAATTGATTGCATCTTTTGAATGCAAAAGTTCACGAATGACTGACTCATTTCACATTTATTTTGATTTTATTTTCTTTTTCTTTTATCACACAACAAATTGATGATGTAAAATAAGTATGTGTCACAACAATTGGCAAATTTTTGACAAAACTCAAAACTCTCATGATATGTATTTTGAAAAAGAAAAAGAAAAAGAAGGAGGATTTGGTTTTGGATTGATTGATTGATTGCTTGTTTTCAAATTGAACATATTTATTTATTTTTGAAAGATTTACTTGAAAATATTGAATTTTTCATAGGAATTTAGGGTTTCATTCAAGAAATTGTGGATCGAGATTTTTCTGGAACTTTCTTAAGCACACCCACAAAACTGGGCCACTAGAAAAATTCGTCCAAAAAAATCTCGACACGTGGAAAAAAATTGAAAATTCACAGTTTCAATTTCGGAATTTTCGGTTTTTTTTTGAAAATCCTGAAACATTTTTTTTAGTTTTCTGAAAAATACAAAAATTTTAAGGAAAAAAATTAAAATGATCAAAAACGAAACCCTGTAATGTCATTATTTCTAGGAAAATCTCAAAAATTGTCAGATTTCGAACGAAAATTTTCCCAATTTTTTTTGCAGGTGACAGTGTTGTCTCCGTTTCAAACGCAATGATGTTTTGCAATTGTCCAACTGGTTTCAAAAGAGACAAAGTGGAAAATTGGATTGGAACCGAAGTTTCGCTAAATTACAAGTGTCTTTAGACACATTTTTTAAAATTTTCAAAAGATTTTCTGAAAATCGCTAATTTTTCTTGAATTATTTACTTACACGGGATATTTTACACCGTACAAACCCTTTTTTCTCGAAAATCTCATTTTCCTTTTATTCTATTTTAATTTTCTTTTTTTTGTTGCTCAACGGTGATTTTTTAATTTTTTCTATTTTTGAAAACACAAATAATAATAATTTTTTGACCACAAAAAATCTGAATCAACAAAAAACAACAGGTTAGACAAATAAACAGGAATGATCCTTTAAAATGCGGAAAATTTTTCGAATTTCAACAGAAAATCATGAAATTTCTAGTTTTTTTGATGATTTTGAGCCTATCTTCGAAAATTGTTTTTGGCCAAAAATTGGATTTTTCGAGTTGTGCGAGAATGGATGTTCCAGGTGAGAAAGCGAATTTCGTGCCACGTGTCGAAATCCACCAATTTTTTCTAGGTTTAAATAAAGTAGCGCAGGGACTTTGCATAACTTCGTGCTCCGTTCAAAATTGTGGTACGGGAACTTGTCAAAAACGTGGAGGAAGACCGACTTGTGTTTGTTCGAGATGTGCAAATGGTGGAAATGTGCCAGTTGGTGATGTTATTGGTGCAGTCGGTAGAAGAGGATGATAATGATTTGGAAAAAAAATGATTTTTTTTTTGAAATTTTTTGTATATAAATGTGATCTTAACCTGAAGATGTACGATTTTTGACACCACAGTTTCAATATCACGTGGATTTTTAGTGTATTGAGCTGCAGCTAACATAAAATTCCAAAACTCCCCCAAATGTTGCAAAAAATTTTATTCATGATAAAGAACAATAATCGATTTTTAAAAAAAGTATCCATTTTTATTTTTTCTTATTTTTCTTGTTAGCAAATTTATCCTTCGAATATCCCTTCGTATCATTTTTCGGTTTCGAAAAACTGGACTTCGATTTTCCAAGTTGAGTTTTCTTCGTATATTTCATTTTCGGGGTTCCTTTATTTCGAGTTGGAGTTTTAGTTCGTGTTTTTGAGTTTGGTTTTGGTTTTGAGACGGCTTTTGGTGTTGCAGTTCTAGTTTTTGAGGGTACAGTTGTAGTTTGCGGTGTACCAATTGAAGTTTGTGGAGTTCCAGATACAGTTTGCGGAGTGCCAGTTGCAGTTAGTGGTGTTCCAGTTGAAGTTTGCGGTGTTCCAGTTGAAGTAAAAGTTCTAGATCCTGATCTAACTTTCTTCTTCTTTTCCTTCTTCTTCTTTCTCATTCTAGGAGTTCCCGTATCTTCATCTTCACTTTTTGGTCTCGAAAATCTATAATATTTCGGATTGAAGAATGGCGCTAACTTTTCAGCAATCTTCTTTTTTCGACTTCCACTTTTTGATCCTTTTTTCTTTTTATTTTTCGGAGTTCCAATATCTGTACTTCCAGTAGTAGTTCCTTTAGATCCAGGTGTTCCAGATTCCTCTTTATTCTTTTTCTTTTTTTTCTTATCCTTTTTCTTTTGTCGAATTACAGCAATCGGTCCACAACAACAACAATAGAAACAGCACATTCCAATGCAAATCATCAATAATACCAAAATAACAATTATAATTATCAGATATATTTCGATGTTCCAAGTTTCTTTTTTCACTTGAACAAGTTTTTCTTCCACATAAATAGTTCTGGTATAATTATATCTTCGGATAATATATGTTTGATTCACACGTCTTTCGATTCTGAAAAATGTGAATCGATTTTACAGGAGATTTAAGGGCTCAAGTTGCGCCAAAAATCCCAAGGTTTCTGTAGATCATACATTAAAATTGTAAGAATTATTTGCAACGTGGATTTCAAGCCAAAAGACACATAGACCTGTTTTTTTCTATTTTTTTGGAATCACCAGATTTTTGGTGCAGAAATTTCGCAAAAAAAAAACACTCACTCGACTCTAACCTTCTTCGGCAACACTTTACACGTTCCACCTCTCGGCTTATTCGGATCATACGAATTCTGATAAGTTCCCTCCCAAAATCCACCATAATCCGGTGGCACACCAGCCTCGTTCACATCCAAATCGTTCTCTTTTATTTCAGTCCTCTCAATTTCACCCAACACAATATTTTCCTCTTCCGAATTCACAATTTTCATAGACAAAACAACTCTCGTCAGACGTATCTCAATAACCAATGGAATTGGGAAGAATTCAAGTTTGTTCAAAATATCCTCATCCAAATTCGTTTTCCAATTATTCAATTTCAAATTCCAATCACAATAATCCGTATTTGTCTCAAAAATCTCAGTAATTGTCGAATTTTTCGTGAAATTTTCATTCAATTCCTGGAGCAATCTAGTATCAGCAATTGGTATGATAATTTCAATAATCTCATAATTTTTGCTCCATTTTTTCAGCATATTTCCAAGAATTTTCAGAGTTATATCAATTCTTTCACATTTGCTATCCTCCTTGTTATTGCCTAAAATAAATATACTAATTAATTAAAAATAATCAAGAAGAAGACGTATCAATAAAATCGTACCATTCTCCTTTCGAATCTCAATTTCTTCTCTCGTTCTTTGCATAATTTCTATCGAACTCGGACCATTATGTGGATCTATAACTGCACTATCTCCTGTCAATCTACACGCAATGACTTTCAAAAGATCCCAAATATTTTGTTGCACTTGATAATTTGAATCTTGATCATGAATGAAGATATACAATAATCTTGCGACAGGTAATTCATCAAGTACTGTGCTATTTTTCTCTGGTTCAGGTTTAAATATTGGAATATCAGGAATGGAGAGGTTGAATTTGTACTCTTCAATTACAATAACACCATCATCATCGTAATCTGCAAAAAGTTAGGGTTTTTATCAGTTTCGAATACTTAATTTGTCTAGATATTGTCGAAGTTGAAAAATGTGGCTGGCGCAAAAAATAAAAACTAGCGCAGAGCTGAATGAAAAAAAAAACATTAATTCGTTAGTCGCGTGCGGCTGTGCGGCGTGGTCGAAAAACAGAATTTATGGCGTGGAAAATTTCCCAAAATTTGGATTCCTCACCATCTTCTTCAATTGTGGTTTCTTCACACGGTTCCTCAGTTGTAGTTTGTTCTTCATCACAAAGTTCTTCAGTTGTCATTACTGCAGTTGTAGTCTCTTCATCACACAATTCCTCCGTTGTAGTTTCCTCCTCGCATGGTTCTTCTGTCGTCGTTTGATCCTCTGGTTTTTCTGTTGTTGTTTCATCACATGGTTCTTCAGTCGTGGTTTCTTCGTCCGATCTTTTGATGGTAGTAGTTTCATCTTCACATTCTTCAGTTGTTGTTGTTGTTTCATCATCTCGTTTTTTGGTTGTTGCTGTTGTTTGCTCATTGCCTTTTCTGGTTGTCTTCTGTTCATCCGGATCTTCTGTTGGTCGATTTGTTGCAGAAGTTTTCTGTGGCAGATCTACAAAAAAAATGTTATAATTTCGAATTTTCAAGCTTCATTGTGTACCTGTGGGAGGTCGAGGAGGTTTCGGAGGTCCATCAGTTGTTTCTGTAGGAGGATTCGGAGGTCCATCAGTTGTTTTTGGAGGTTTCGGAGGTCCTATAGTTGGTGGTGTGGGAATCGGTGGTTTAGTTACAGGTCCAGGTCCACTAGTTGGCGGTTGAGGAGGATTCGGTGGTTTAGTTACAGGTCCAGGTGGTCCACTAGTTGGTGGTTGCGGTGGATTTGGCGGTTCTGGATCATCTAAAAATTCATTTTATCTCCAAGCTTCAAAACTTTAGTGTACCTGTGGGTGACGGAGGTCCTTCTGTAGGAGGATATGGTGGTGGAGGATTCGTCGGTTCAGGTCTAGGCCAAATAGTTATTTTTGGAGGTTCATGTCGTGGTCGACCAGTTGTTTTTGACGTTGTCGGTGTTCGTCTAATTGTTGTTCGAGGATTTGGCCGTTCAGTTCCAGGTTCAGGCCCAATTGTTGCTGGCGACGGTGCTTGTTGTGGTTCATTCGGCTCTTCAAAAATTCTCATTTTCAGCCAATTTGGGATAAAAAACCCTCCGTGGTATTTTTCTCTTAATTTTTTTTCAAAAAACTAATCGAAAAATACTCTAGAAGGTTTACTATTCCAAATATTCAATTTAACTAACCACAACATAATAACACACGAAGAATATGTTCTTGATATTGAATCGAAGAACACGGTAGATTTGTTGGATGTTCTCCATTTTCGCATTTGAGTCTTTTTGAGATCTGATGAAACATTTAATTATTTCAAAGATTGTAAAATAAAAACTTACCGCAACATTTCACTAAACCATTCTTGAATATATAGTGATATTGAGAGCTAGAACATGGCACAAATTTTGGATCATCTCCACCAGGGCATTTTTCTGGAACATGAAAATGTTTGAAGCTCTCGACGTTTTAAACTTTAGTGTACCTTGTGGTGGCGGTGTAGGAGGTGGTGGTGTTGGAGGATTTGGTGATTGAGGTCCAGAATTCGATTCTTCAAAAACATATTTTTAACGCTTTCAAAGGAAACAATAGCAAAGTATCAAAATTTTACATAAGGTTTTCTAATCGGAAATCAAGAATAATATAACCTCCGAGGAATTTTACAAAACACGTATGACATAAGTTTTAGTATTATAAATGTAAAAAAATGGAAACGCGAAAAAATTATTTTGGAAAAATATATACTAACGCAGTTCTTTTCTCCTTCGAGGTTTTAGATGTTTCTGCATGAAAAAATCAGAAATCAACTGAGTTGATAACAAATCAGAGAATGGAGATGGTCTAAAGCTAAAGAAAGAAATAAAAAATCAATTTTTCTTTAGGAAAACCCTATTTTTCGGATAAAAATTACGAAAATCGAGCAAATACATCTCTGAATTGGTTTTAATTCACTTGTTCTCGTTTTGACCAGTAATAGCCACCAAAACACACAAAAACCGCCTTTCTTCGTTGTGAATAGAAGGCGCATTGATTTTTGAAAGGTGTGAGTCTCGTCGCAACGAAAAAGAACTACGGTATATACTTTTTTCAAAAAATTATTTTTTCGCGTTTCCATTTTTTACGTTTATTTTACGTTTCGTGGAACATTCAAGATGAGGTCACATTTTCGCCTTATCTTTTTCCCTCTCCAACTAACCACAACATAATATCACAAGATCCTTGAAATATTCCGGATATTGAGTAGCAGAACACGGTAGATTCGTAGGATATTCTCCATTTTCGCACATCAATTTTTTGAGGTCTGAAATTTTAATTATTTCTCTGTTTGAAAATGTCTCCGTTTTCCAAAAACGAAAATATTTACCGCAACATTTGAGCACACCATTTTTGAATAAATAGGGATATTGAGAGCTGGAACATGGCACAGAGTCTGGAATTTCTCCACCAGGGCATTTTTCAGTTTTGGGAGAATCTGGAAAATGATATGAACGATCCATTTCAAGCAAGAAAATTTGAAATACAATTCTCGCCAAAAATATGGTAAATAATGAATGGGACCCCAAATGGGACCCCAAATGACTGAATGGGACCCCATGCTGAATGGGACCCCGGTGTTTAAAAATCGTCGTGATGAATGGGACCCCAAAATAATAAAATGGGACCACAGCATTTTTTTGAATTGTCTGAATGGGACCCCGCAAAAAAAGGGACCCCGTTGAATTTTTGTATGAGTATGAATGGGACCCCATTGAAATTTCTTCAGAATGGGACCACAGGTAGGCTTAAACTTAGACGTATCCTCAGCACTGGGGTGAGGCATAGGCTTAGGCTTAGTTAGGATTTCAGGCTTAGACTTAGTTAGGCCTTTAGGCTTAGGCTTAGTCAGGGTTTTAGGTCTTTGTTAGGATTTCAGGTTTAGACTTTGTTAGGATTTTAGGCTTAGGGTTAGTTAGGCCTTTAGGCTTATGCTTAGTTAGGGTTTTACGCTTAGGCTTAGTTAGGATTTTTAGCCTAGGCTTAGGCTTCAAATTTTGTATCCCTTTCAGTATAAAATTTCAGTGGGGTCCCATTCGTACTAATACAAAAATTCAACGGGGTCCCTTTTTTTGCGGGGTCCCATTCAGACAATTCAAAAAAAAGCTGTGGTCCCATTTTATTATTTTGGGGTCCCATTCATCACGACGATTTTTAAACACCGGGGTCCCATTCAGCATGGGGTCCCATTCAGTCATTTGGGGTCCCATTTGGGGTCCCATTCATTATTTGCCCAAATATATCTAACGCCGAATTTTCAAATTTAGTCAATCAATTTATACGGGTATTTCTAAGTATGTTTTGGGATTTCCGGGATTCAACTATAACTGTACCTGTGGATGGCGTTGTTGTGCGATCTGGTGATTGAGGAGTTGGTGGTCGAGGTGGATCAGGGCCTGGTGGTCCATTTGTTGAACCTCGAGGGCCTGAAGCAGTTGGACCTGAAAAAATAAATGTTAGATTTTTTTAATTTTCTAATTTCATTTTATAATTTACCTCGAGTTGCTGAATCAGTTTTTCCTGGTGGATTGGTTGAACCTTGAGGGCCTGAAGCAGTTGGACCTGAAAAAATAAATGTTAGATTAATTTTAATTTTCTAATTTCATTTTATATTTACCTTGAGGACCTGAAGGAGTTTTTCCTGGTGGATTGGTTGAACCTTGAGGGCCTGAAGCAGTTGGACCTGAAAAAATAAATGTTAGATTTTTTTAATTTTCTAATTTCATTTTATAATTTACCTTGAGGACCTGAAGGAGTTTTTCCTGGTGGATTGGTTGAACCTCGAGGGCCTGAAGCAGTTGGACCTGAAAAAATAAATGTTAGATTTTTTAATTTTCTAATTTCATTTTATATTTACCTTGAGGACCTGAAGGAGTTTTTCCTGGTGGATTGGTTGAACCTCGAGGGCCTGAAGCAGTTGGACCTGAAAAAATAAATGTTAGATTTTTTTAATTTTCTAATTTCATTTTATAATTTACCTTGAGGACCTGAAGGAGTTTTTCCTGGTGGATTGGTTGAACCTTGAGGGCCTGAAGCAGTTGGACCTGAAAAAATAAATGTTAGATTAATTTTAATTTTCTAATTTCATTTTATATTTACCTTGAGGACCTGAAGGAGTTTTTCCTGGTGGATTGGTTGAACCTTGAGGGCCTGAAGCAGTTGGACCTGAAAAAATAAATGTTAGATTTTTTTTAATTTTCTAATTTCATTTTATAATTTACCTTGAGGACCTGAAGGAGTTTTTCCTGGTGGATTGGTTGAACCTCGAGGGCCTGAAGCAGTTGGACCTGAAAAAATAAATGTTAGATTTTTTAATTTTCTAATTTCATTTTATATTTACCTTGAGGACCTGAAGGAGTTTTTCCTGGTGGATTGGTTGAACCTCGAGGGCCTGAAGCAGTTGGACCTGAAAAAATAAATGTTAGATTTTTTTAATTTTCTAATTTCATTTTATAATTTACCTTGAGGACCTGAAGGAGTTTTTCCTGGTGGATTGGTTGAACCTCGAGGGCCTGAAGCAGTTGGACCTGAAAAAATAAATGTTAGATTTTTTTAATTTTCTAATTTCATTTTATAATTTACCTCGAGTTGCTGAATCAGTTTTTCCTGGTGGATTGGTTGAACCTTGAGGGCCTGAAGCAGTTGGACCTGAAAAAATAAATGTTAGATTTTTTTAATTTTCTAATTTCATTTTATAATTTACCTTGAGGACCTGAAGGAGTTTTTCCTGGTGGATTGGTTGAACCTTGAGGGCCTGAAGCAGTTGGACCTGAAAAAATAAATGATTAGATTTTTTTAATTTTCTAATTTCATTTTATATTTACCTTGAGGACCTGAAGGAGTTTTTCCTGGTGGATTGGTTGAACCTCGAGGGCCTGAAGCAGTTGGACCTGAAAAAATAAATGTTAGATTTTTTTAATTTTCTAATTTCATTTTATAATTTACCTTGAGGACCTGAAGGAGTTTTTCCTGGTGGATTGGTTGAACCTCGAGGGCCTGAAGCAGTTGGACCTGAAAAAATAAATGTTAGATTTTTTTAATTTTCTAATTTCATTTTATATTTACCTTGAGGACCTGAAGGAGTTTTTCCTGGTGGATTGGTTGAACCTCGAGGGCCTGAAGCAGTTGGACCTGAAAAAATAAATGTTAGATTTTTTTAATTTTCTAATTTCATTTTATAATTTACCTTGAGGACCTGAAGGAGTTTTTCCTGGTGGATTGGTTGAACCTTGAGGGCCTGAAGCAGTTGGACCTGAAAAAATAAATGATTAGATTTTTTTAATTTTCTAATTTCATTTTATAATTTACCTTGAGGACCTGAAGGAGTTTTTCCTGGTGGATTGGTTGAACCTTGAGGGCCTGAAGCAGTTGGACCTGAAAAAATAAATGTTAGATTAATTTTAATTTTCTAATTTCATTTTATAATTTACCTTGAGGACCTGAAGGAGTTTTTCCTGGTGGATTGGTTGAACCTTGAGGGCCTGAAGCAGTTGGACCTGAAAAAATAAATGTTAGATTTTTTTAATTTTCTAATTTCATTTTATAATTTACCTTGAGGACCTGAAGGAGTTTTTCCTGGTGGATTGGTTGAACCTTGAGGGCCTGAAGCAGTTGGACCTGAAAAAATAAATGTTAGATTTTTTTTTAATTTTCTAATTTCATTTTATAATTTACCTTGAGGACCTGAAGGAGTTTTTCCTGGTGGATTGGTTGAACCTTGAGGGCCTGAAGCAGTTGGACCTGAAAAAATAAATGATTAGATTTTTTTAATTTTCTAATTTCATTTTATAATTTACCTTGAGGACCTGAAGGAGTTTTTCCTGGTGGATTGGTTGAACCTTGAGGGCCTGAAGCAGTTGGACCTGAAAAAATAAATGATTAGATTTTTTTAATTTTCTAATTTCATTTTATAATTTACCTTGAGGACCTGAAGGAGTTTTTCCTGGTGGATTGGTTGAACCTCGAGGGCCTGAAGCAGTTGGACCTGAAAAAATAAATGTTAGATTTTTTTAATTTTCTAATTTCATTTTATAATTTACCTCGAGTTGCTGAATCAGTTTTTCCTGGTGGATTGGTTGAACCTTGAGGGCCTGAAGCAGTTGGACCTGAAAAAATAAATGATTAGATTTTTTTAAATTTCTAATTTCATTTTATAATTTACCTTGAGGACCTGAAGGAGTTTTTCCTGGTGGATTGGTTGAACCTCGAGGGCCTGAAGCAGTTGGACCTGAAAAAATAAATGTTAGATTTTTTTAATTTTCTAATTTCATTTTATAATTTACCTTGAGGACCTGAAGGAGTTTTTCCTGGTGGATTGGTTGAACCTCGAGGGCCTGAAGCAGTTGGACCTGAAAAAATAAATGTTAGATTTTTTTTAATTTTCTAATTTCATTTTATAATTTACCTCGAGTTGCTGAATCAGTTTTTCCTGGTGGATTGGTTGATCCTTGAGGACCTGAAGCAGTTGGACCTGAAAAAATGAATGATTAGATTTTTTTTAATTTTCGAATTTTATTTTATAATTTACCTTGAGGACCTGAAGGAGTTTTTCCTGGTGGATTGGTTGAACCTCGAGGGCCTGAAGCAGTTGGACCTGAAAAAATAAATGATTAGATTTTTTAATTTTCTAATTTCATTTTATAATTTACCTCGAGTTGCTGAATCAGTTTTTCCTGGTGGATTGGTTGAACCTTGAGGGCCTGAAGCAGTTGGACCTGAAAAAATAAATGTTAGATTTTTTTAATTTTCTAATTTCATTTTATAATTTACCTTGAGGACCTGAAGGAGTTTTTCCTGGTGGATTGGTTGAACCTCGAGGGCCTGAAGCAGTTGGACCTGAAAAAATAAATGTTAGATTTTTTTAATTTTCTAATTTCATTTTATAATTTACCTTGAGGACCTGAAGGAGTTTTTCCTGGTGGATTGGTTGAACCTCGAGGGCCTGAAGCAGTTGGACCTGAAAAAATAAATGTTAGATTTTTTTTAATTTTCTAATTTCATTTTATAATTTACCTCGAGTTGCTGAATCAGTTTTTCCTGGTGGATTGGTTGAACCTCGAGGGCCTGAAGCAGTTGGACCTGAAAAAATAAATGTTAGATTTTTTTAATTTTCTAATTTCATTTTATAATTTACCTCGAGTTGCTGAATCAGTTTTTCCTGGTGGTTTGGTTGATCTTTGAGGACCTGAAGCAGTTGGACCTGAAAAAAAGAATGATTAGATTTTTTTTAATTTTCGAATTTTATTTTTTAATTTACCTCGAGTTTCTGAATCAGTTTCTCCTGGTGGTTTGGTTGAACCTCGAGGGCCTGAAGCAGTTGGACCTGAAAAAATAAATGTTAGATTTTTTTAATTTTCTAATTTCATTTTATAATTTACCTTGAGGACCTGAAGGAGTTTTTCCTGGTGGATTGGTTGAACCTCGAGGGCCTGAAGCAGTTGGACCTGAAAAAATAAATGTTAGATTTTTTTAATTTTCTAATTTCATTTTATAATTTACCTCGAGTTGCTGAATCAGTTTTTCCTGGTGGATTGGTTGAACCTTCAGGTCCTCCTGAAGGAGTTGGACCTGGAAAAAATAAATGATTAGATTTTTTAAATTTTCGAATTTCATTTTATAATTTACCTCGAGTTGCTGAATCAGTTTTTCCTGGTGGATTGGTTGAACCTCGAGGGCCTGAAGCAGTTGGACCTGAAAAAAAGAATGATTAGATTTTTTTAATTTTCGAATTTTATTTTTTAATTTACCTCGAGTTTCTGAATCAGTTTCTCCTGGTGGTTTGGTTGATCTTTGAGGACCTGAAGCAGTTGGACCTGAAAAAATGAATGATTAGATTTTTTTAATTTTCGAATTTTATTTTTTAATTTACCTCGAGTTGCTGAATCAGTTTTTCCTGGTGGATTGGTTGAACCTCGAGGGCCTGAAGCAGTTGGACCTGAAAAAATAAATGTTAGATTTTTTTAATTTTCTAATTTCATTTTATAATTTACCCATACATGAACTAGTCGCTCCGGGGACCCCCGAGTTAACCCCCCTCCAGAAAAAAAATCGAGAAAGTTAACCCCCCTCTTGTCAAATTTTTTCTGACCTCTGAAAAAAAGTTCAACATGCCGTGAAAATTATACAATAGTTTTTTCTCAAGTCTTAAAAGTTAATTGATGGCGAAGGCTTTTATAAAAATTTCTGTCAAAAAAGAAATTTTTATATTTGCCTCCGCCACATTTTTAAATTTTACGGCGCCAAACTTTCTTTATCATGAACTTTCGCCGCTGGTGTCTTCATCGCGTTCTTGGTGTACTGGCTAACACGTGGGTTTTTGAGTAGGAAGGTCGCCAGTTCGATTCCACCTATGTGTATGATTTTTGTTTTTTATTATTTTTCTTTTGAAATTTTTTAAATTCTCAATATTTCATGTTCCACTAAATCAATCGAAGTGAAACTTGTCTCAAATGTAGTTTATCTATCGTAGATAAGATATATAGCAACTCTTGTCGATTTGGTGACGTTTCCTTTCTTCTACCCCCCCTCCGTATGTTGACAACCATCATTTTTCACCAAATTTCAGGTATTTTCGAAATTTATATCAGCCAGAAACCACCATAAGGACATTGATTCGTGATAAACACTAGTAAATAAGTATAGAAAGGTATGCCAAACAATTCTTTGAAGTTTTATGAAGAAATGGAGCTTCTATCCCCCCACTCCGTTTTCGGAGCCTGAGACTCCGAAAACGGAGTGGGGGGATAGAGGTCGTAATTTGCATTTATACTTCAAATAATTGTTAGAGGTAACTTTCTATACTTATTTACTAGTGTTTAGCACGAATCAATCTCCATTTAGTGTTCTCAGGAGATTTTTTTTTGTCAAAATACCTGAAATTTGGTGAAAAAAGATGGTTGTCAACATACGGAGGGGGGGTAGAAGAGAGGAAACGTCACCAAATCGACAAGAGTTGCTATATATCTTATCTACGAGAATTAAACTATATTTAAAACAAGTTTAATCGCGCTTAGTAACGATTAGATGATATATTTATATGAAAATTCAAGAAAATTGCCCAAAAATGCTTAAAAATGCTCATTCGGGACCTAGGAAGGGGGGTTACTTGAAGGAAAGCGCAATAAATTGAAACAAGATTATGAAAAATTGAATAAACAATAGTTAAAATGCATTTTTAAAAAAATATCACATCGTTGACATCTGAAATTTTCTGAAAAAAAATTTAAAAAATTTTTTTTTCTAAAAAAAAATTTTCTCTCCAAAATTTTTCCCTGATTTTTTTCTTCAAATTATTTTTGAAAAGTTAAGGGCCCCCCACAAAAAATTTTCAAAAGTTAACCCCCCCCTCCCTCCGGTTTCGGAGAGGCAGTTCATGTATGAATTTACCTCGAGTTGCTGAATCAGTTTTTCCTGGTGGATTGGTTGAACCTCGAGGGCCTGAAGCAGTTGGACCTGGAAAAAATAAATGTTAGATTAATTTTAATTTTCTAATTTCATTTTATAATTTACCTCGAGTTGCTGAATCAGTTTTTCCTGGTGGATTGGTTGAACCTCGAGGGCCTGAAGCAGTTGGACCTGGAAAAAATAAATGTTAGATTTTTTAAATTTTCGAATTTCATTTTATAATTTACCTCGAGTTGCTGAATCAGTTTTTCCTGGTGGATTGGTTGAACCTTCAGGTCCTCCTGAAGGAGTTGGACCTGGAAAAAATAAATGTTAAATTTTTTAAATTTTCTAATTTCATTTTATAATTTACCTCGAGTTGCTGAATCAGTTTTTCCTGGTGGATTGGTTGAACCTTCAGGTCCTCCTGAAGGAGTTGGACCTGGAAAAAATAAATGTTAGATTAATTTTAATTTTCTAATTTCATTTTCTAATTTACCTCGAGTTGCTGAATCAGTTTTTCCTGGTGGATTGGTTGAACCTTCAGGTCCTCCTGAAGCAGTTGGACCTGGAAAAAATAAATGTTAGATTTTTTAAATTTTCGAATTTCATTTTATAATTTACCTCGAGTTGCTGAATCAGTTTTTCCTGGTGAATTGGTTGAACCTTCAGGTCCTCCTGAAGGAGTTGGACCTGGAAAAAATAAATGATTAGATTTTTTAAATTTTCGAATTTCATTTTATAATTTACCTCGAGTTGCTGAATCAGTTTTTCCTGGTGGATTGGTTGAACCTCGAGGGCCTGAAGCAGTTGGACCTGAAAAAATAAATGTTAGATTAATTTTAATTTTCTAATTTCATTTTATAATTTACCTCGAGTTGCTGAATCAGTTTTTCCTGGTGGATTGGTTGAACCTTCAGGTCCTCCTGAAGGAGTTGGACCTGGAAAAAATAAATGTTAGATTAATTTTAATTTTCTAATTTCATTTTATAATTTACCTCGAGTTGCTGAATCAGTTTTTCCTGGTGGATTGGTTGAACCTTCAGGTCCTCCTGAAGGAGTTGGACCTGGAAAAAATAAATGTTAGATTAATTTTAATTTTCTAATTTACCTCGAGTTGCTGAATCAGTTTTTCCTGGTGGATTGGTTGAACCTTCAGGTCCTGAAGGAGTTGGACCTGGAAAAAATAAATGTTAGATTTTTTAAATTTTCGAATTTCATTTTATAATTTACCTCGAGTTGCTGAATCAGTTTTTCCTGGTGGATTGGTTGAACCTTCAGGTCCTCCCGAAGGAGTTGGACCTGAAAAAAATAAATGATTAGATTTTTTAAATTTTCGAATTTCATTTTATAATTTACCTCGAGTTGCTGAATCAGTTTTTCCTGGTGGATTGGTTGAACCTTCAGGTCCTCCCGAAGGAGTTGGACCTGAAAAAAATAAATGATTAGATTTTTTAAATTTTCGAATTTTATTTTTTTATTTACCTCGAGTTTCTGAATCAGTTTTTCCTGGTGGATTGGTTGAACCTTCAGGTCCTGAAGGAGTTGGACCTGGAAAAAATAAATGTTAGATTTTTTAAATTATCGAATTTCATTTTATAATTTACCTCGAGTTGCTGAATCAGTTTTTCCTGGTGGATTGGTTGAACCTTCAGGTCCTGAAGGAGTTGGACCTGGAAAAAATAAATGTTAGATTTTTTAAATTATCGAATTTCATTATATAATTTACCTCGAGTTGCTGAATCAGTTTTTCCTGGTGGATTGGTTGAACCTTCAGGTCCTGAAGGAGTTGGACCTGGAAAAAATAAATGTTAGATTTTTTAAATTATCGAATTTCATTTTATAATTTACCTCGAGTTGCTGAATCAGTTTTTCCTGGTGGATTGGTTGAACCTTCAGGTCCTGAAGGAGTTGGACCTGGAAAAAATAAATGTTAGATTTTTTAAATTATCGAATTTCATTTTATAATTTACCTCGAGTTGCTGAATCAGTTTTTCCTGGTGGATTGGTTGAACCTTCAGGTCCTCCTGAAGGAGTTGAACCTGAAAAAAATAAATGTTAGATTTTTTAAATTATCGAATTTCATTTTATAATTTACCTCGAGTTGCTGAATCAGTTTTTCCTGGTGGATTGGTTGAACCTTCAGGTCCTCCTGAAGGAGTTGGACCTGGAAAAAATAAATGTTAGATTTTTTAAATTATCGAATTTCATTATATAATTTACCTCGAGTTCCTGAATCAGTTTTTCCTGGTGGATTGGTTGAACCTTCAGGTCCTGAAGGAGTTGGACCTGGAAAAAATAAATGTTAGATTTTTTAAATTATCGAATTTCATTTTATAATTTACCTCGAGTTGCTGAATCAGTTTTTCCTGGTGGATTGGTTGAACCTTCAGGTCCTCCCGAAGGAGTTGGACCTGAAAAAAATAAATGTTAGATTTTTTAAATTTTCGAATTTCATTTTATAATTTACCTCGAGTTCCTGAATCAGTTTTTCCTGGTGGATTGGTTGAACCTTCAGGTCCTGAAGGAGTTGGACCTGGAAAAAATAAATGATTAGATTTTTTAAATTATCGAATTTCATTTTATAATTTACCTCGAGTTGCTGAATCAGTTTTTCCTGGTGGATTGGTTGAACCTTCAGGTCCTCCCGAAGGAGTTGGACCTGGAAAAAATAAAAGTTAGATTTTTTAAATTATCGAATTTCATTTTATAATTTACCTCGAGTTGCTGAATCAGTTTTTCCTGGTGGATTGGTTGAACCTTCAGGTCCTGAAGGAGTTGGACCTGGAAAAAATAAATGTTAGATTTTTTAAATTATCGAATTTCATTTTATAATTTACCTCGAGTTGCTGAATCAGTTTTTCCTGGTGGATTGGTTGAACCTTCAGGTCCTCCCGAAGGAGTTGGACCTGGAAAAAATAAATGTTAGATTTTTTAAATTATCGAATTTCATTTTATAATTTACCTCGAGTTGCTGAATCAGTTTTTCCTGGTGGATTGGTTGAACCTTCAGGTCCTCCCGAAGGAGTTGGACCTGGAAAAAATAAATGTTAGATTTTTTAAATTATCGAATTTCATTTTATAATTTACCTCGAGTTGCTGAATCAGTTTTTCCTGGTGGATTGGTTGAACCTTCAGGTCCTGAAGGAGTTGGACCTGGAAAAAATAAATGTTAGATTTTTTAAATTATCGAATTTCATTTTATAATTTACCTCGAGTTGCTGAATCAGTTTTTCCTGGTGGATTGGTTGAACCTTCAGGTCCTCCCGAAGGAGTTGGACCTGGAAAAAATAAATGTTAGATTTTTTAAATTATCGAATTTCATTTTATAATTTACCTCGAGTTGCTGAATCAGTTTTTCCTGGTGGATTGGTTGAACCTTCAGGTCCTGAAGGAGTTGGACCTGGAAAAAATAAATGTTAGATTTTTTAAATTATCGAATTTCATTTTATAATTTACCTCGAGTTGCTGAATCAGTTTTTCCTGGTGGATTGGTTGAACCTTCAGGTCCTCCCGAAGGAGTTGGACCTGGAAAAAATAAATGTTAGATTTTTTAAATTATCGAATTTCATTTTATAATTTACCTCGAGTTGCTGAATCAGTTTTTCCTGGTGGATTGGTTGAACCTTCAGGTCCTCCCGAAGGAGTTGGACCTGAAAAAAATAAATGTTAGATTTTTTAAATTATCGAATTTCATTTTATAATTTACCTCGAGTTGCTGAATCAGTTTTTCCTGGTGGATTGGTTGAACCTTCAGGTCCTGAAGGAGTTGGACCTGGAAAAAATAAATGTTAGATTTTTTAAATTATCGAATTTCATTATATAATTTACCTCGAGTTGCTGAATCAGTTTTTCCTGGTGGATTGGTTGAACCTTCAGGTCCTGAAGGAGTTGGACCTGGAAAAAATAAATGTTAGATTTTTTAAATTATCGAATTTCATTATATAATTTACCTCGAGTTGCTGAATCAGTTTTTCCTGGTGGATTGGTTGAACCTTCAGGTCCTGAAGGAGTTGGACCTGGAAAAAATAAATGTTAGATTTTTTAAATTATCGAATTTCATTATATAATTTACCTCGAGTTGCTGAATCAGTTTTTCCTGGTGGATTGGTTGAACCTTCAGGTCCTCCTGAAGGAGTTGGACCTGGAAAAAATAAATGTTAGATTTTTTAAATTTTCGAATTTCATTTTATAATTTACCTCGAGTTCCTGAATCAGTTTTTCCTGGTGGATTGGTTGAACCTTCAGGTCCTCCCGAAGGAGTTGGACCTGGAAAAAATAAATGTTAGATTTTTTAAATTATCGAATTTCATTTTATAATTTACCTCGAGTTGCTGAATCAGTTTTTCCTGGTGGATTGGTTGAACCTTCAGGTCCTCCCGAAGGAGTTGGACCTGGAAAAAATAAATGTTAGATTTTTTAAATTATCGAATTTCATTTTATAATTTACCTCGAGTTGCTGAATCAGTTTTTCCTGGTGGATTGGTTGAACCTTCAGGTCCTCCCGAAGGAGTTGGACCTGAAAAAAATAAATGTTAGATTTTTTAAATTTTCGAATTTCATTTTATAATTTACCTCGAGTTGCTGAATCAGTTTTTCCTGGTGGATTGGTTGAACCTTCAGGTCCTCCTGAAGGAGTTGGACCTGGAAAAAAAAATGATTAGATTAATTTTAATTTTCTAATTTCATTTTATAATTTACCTCGAGTTCCTGAATCAGTTTTTCCTGGTGGATTGGTTGAACCTTCAGGTCCTGAAGGAGTTGGACCTGAAAAAAATAAATGATTAGATTAATTTTAATTTTCTAATTTCATTTTATAATTTACCTCGAGTTGCTGAATCAGTTTTTCCTGGTGGATTGGTTGAACCTCGAGGGCCTGAAGGAGTTGGACCTGAAAAAAATAAATGTTAGATTAATTTTAATTTTCTAATTTCATTTTATAATTTACCTCGAGTTCCTGAATCAGTTTTTCCTGGTGGATTGGTTGAACCTTCAGGTCCTCCTGAAGGAGTTGGACCTGGAAAAAATAAATGATTAGATTTTTTAAATTATCGAATTTCATTTTATAATTTACCTCGAGTTGCTGAATCAGTTTTTCCTGGTGGATTGGTTGAACCTTCAGGTCCTCCTGAAGGAGTTGGACCTGGAAAAAATAAATGATTAGATTTTTTAAATTATCGAATTTCATTTTATAATTTACCTCGAGTTGCTGAATCAGTTTTTCCTGGTGGATTGGTTGAACCTTCAGGTCCTCCCGAAGGAGTTGGACCTGAAAAAAATAAATGATTAGATTTTTTAAATTATCGAATTTCATTTTATAATTTACCTCGAGTTGCTGAATCAGTTTTTCCTGGTGGATTGGTTGAACCTTCAGGTCCTCCCGAAGGAGTTGGACCTGAAAAAAATAAATGTTAGATTTTTTAAATTATCGAATTTCATTTTATAATTTACCTCGAGTTGCTGAATCAGTTTTTCCTGGTGGATTGGTTGAACCTTCAGGTCCTCCCGAAGGAGTTGGACCTGAAAAAAATAAATGTTAGATTTTTTAAATTATCGAATTTCATTTTATAATTTACCTCGAGTTGCTGAATCAGTTTTTCCTGGTGGATTGGTTGAACCTTCAGGTCCTCCCGAAGGAGTTGGACCTGGAAAAAATAAATATTAGATTTTTTAAATTATCGAATTTCATTTTATAATTTACCTCGAGTTGCTGAATCAGTTTTTCCTGGTGGATTGGTTGAACCTTCAGGTCCTCCCGAAGGAGTTGGACCTGGAAAAAATAAATGTTAGATTTTTTAAATTATCGAATTTCATTTTATAATTTACCTCGAGTTCCTGAATCAGTTTTTCCTGGTGGATTGGTTGAACCTTCAGGTCCTGAAGGAGTTGGACCTGGAAAAAATAAATGTTAGATTTTTTAAATTATCGAATTTCATTATATAATTTACCTCGAGTTGCTGAATCAGTTTTTCCTGGTGGATTGGTTGAACCTTCAGGTCCTCCCGAAGGAGTTGGACCTGAAAAAAATAAATGTTAGATTTTTTAAATTTTCGAATTTCATTTTATAATTTACCTCGAGTTCCTGAATCAGTTTTTCCTGGTGGATTGGTTGAACCTTCAGGTCCTCCCGAAGGAGTTGGACCTGAAAAAAATAAATGATTAGATTTTTTAAATTATCGAATTTCATTTTATAATTTACCTCGAGTTCCTGAATCAGTTTTTCCTGGTGGATTGGTTGAACCTTCAGGTCCTGAAGGAGTTGGACCTGGAAAAAATAAATGATTAGATTTTTTAAATTATCGAATTTCATTATATAATTTACCTCGAGTTGCTGAATCAGTTTTTCCTGGTGGATTGGTTGAACCTTCAGGTCCTCCCGAAGGAGTTGGACCTGAAAAAAATAAATGTTAGATTTTTTAAATTTTCGAATTTCATTTTATAATTTACCTCGAGTTCCTGAATCAGTTTTTCCTGGTGGATTGGTTGAACCTTCAGGTCCTCCCGAAGGAGTTGGACCTGAAAAAAATAAATGTTAGATTTTTTAAATTATCGAATTTCATTTTATAATTTACCTCGAGTTCCTGAATCAGTTTTTCCTGGTGGATTGGTTGAACCTTCAGGTCCTGAAGGAGTTGGACCTGGAAAAAATAAATGTTAGATTTTTTAAATTATCGAATTTCATTATATAATTTACCTCGAGTTGCTGAATCAGTTTTTCCTGGTGGATTGGTTGAACCTTCAGGTCCTCCCGAAGGAGTTGGACCTGAAAAAAATAAATGTTAGATTTTTTAAATTTTCGAATTTCATTTTATAATTTACCTCGAGTTCCTGAATCAGTTTTTCCTGGTGGATTGGTTGAACCTTCAGGTCCTCCCGAAGGAGTTGGACCTGAAAAAAATAAATGATTAGATTTTTTAAATTATCGAATTTCATTTTATAATTTACCTCGAGTTCCTGAATCAGTTTTTCCTGGTGGATTGGTTGAACCTTCAGGTCCTGAAGGAGTTGGACCTGGAAAAAATAAATGATTAGATTTTTTAAATTATCGAATTTCATTATATAATTTACCTCGAGTTGCTGAATCAGTTTTTCCTGGTGGATTGGTTGAACCTTCAGGTCCTCCTGAAGGAGTTGGACCTGGAAAAAATAAATGTTAGATTTTTTAAATTTTCGAATTTCATTTTATAATTTACCTCGAGTTCCTGAATCAGTTTTTCCTGGTGGATTGGTTGAACCTTCAGGTCCTCCCGAAGGAGTTGGACCTGAAAAAAATAAATGTTAGATTTTTTAAATTATCGAATTTCATTATATAATTTACCTCGAGTTGCTGAATCAGTTTTTCCTGGTGGATTGGTTGAACCTTCAGGTCCTCCTGAAGGAGTTGGACCTGGAAAAAATAAATGTTAGATTTTTTAAATTATCGAATTTCATTTTATAATTTACCTCGAGTTGCTGAATCAGTTTTTCCTGGTGGATTGGTTGAACCTTCAGGTCCTCCCGAAGGAGTTGGACCTGAAAAAAATAAATGTTAGATTTTTTAAATTATCGAATTTCATTTTATAATTTACCTCGAGTTGCTGAATCAGTTTTTCCTGGTGGATTGGTTGAACCTTCAGGTCCTCCCGAAGGAGTTGGACCTGGAAAAAATAAATGTTAGATTTTTTAAATTATCGAATTTCATTTTATAATTTACCTCGAGTTCCTGAATCAGTTTTTCCTGGTGGATTGGTTGAACCTTTAGGTCCTCCTGAAGGAGTTGAACCTGGAAAAAATAAATGTTAGATTTTTTAAATTTTCGAATTTCATTTTATAATTTACCTCGAGTTGCTGAATCAGTTTTTCCTGGTGGATTGGTTGAACCTTCAGGTCCTCCCGAAGGAGTTGGACCTGAAAAAAATAAATGATTAGATTTTTTAAATTATCGAATTTCATTTTATAATTTACCTCGAGTTGCTGAATCAGTTTTTCCTGGTGGATTGGTTGAACCTTCAGGTCCTGAAGGAGTTGGACCTGGAAAAAATAAATGATTAGATTTTTTAAATTATCGAATTTCATTTTATAATTTACCTCGAGTTCCTGAATCAGTTTTTCCTGGTGGATTGGTTGAACCTTTAGGTCCTCCTGAAGGAGTTGAACCTGGAAAAAATAAATGATTAGATTTTTTAAATTTTCGAATTTCATTTTATAATTTACCTCGAGTTGCTGAATCAGTTTTTCCTGGTGGATTGGTTGAACCTTCAGGTCCTCCCGAAGGAGTTGGACCTGGAAAAAATAAATGATTAGATTTTTTAAATTATCGAATTTCATTTTATAATTTACCTCGAGTTCCTGAATCAGTTTTTCCTGGTGGATTGGTTGAACCTTCAGGTCCTGAAGGAGTTGGACCTGGAAAAAATAAATGATTAGATTTTTTAAATTATCGAATTTCATTTTATAATTTACCTCGAGTTCCTGAATCAGTTTTTCCTGGTGGATTGGTTGAACCTTCAGGTCCTGAAGGAGTTGGACCTGGAAAAAATAAATGATTAGATTTTTTAAATTATCGAATTTCATTTTATAATTTACCTCGAGTTCCTGAATCAGTTTTTCCTGGTGGATTGGTTGAACCTTCAGGTCCTCCCGAAGGAGTTGGACCTGAAAAAAATAAATGTTAGATTTTTTAAATTTTCGAATTTCATTTTATAATTTACCTCGAGTTGCTGAATCAGTTTTTCCTGGTGGATTGGTTGAACCTTCAGGTCCTCCTGAAGGAGTTGGACCTGGAAAAAAAAAATGTTAGATTAATTTTAATTTTCTAATTTCATTTTATAATTTACCTCGAGTTCCTGAATCAGTTTTTCCTGGTGGATTGGTTGAACCTTCAGGTCCTGAAGGAGTTGGACCTGAAAAAAATAAATGTTAGATTAATTTTAATTTTCTAATTTCATTTTATAATTTACCTCGAGTTGCTGAATCAGTTTTTCCTGGTGGATTGGTTGAACCTCGAGGGCCTGAAGGAGTTGGACCTGAAAAAAATAAATGTTAGATTAATTTTAATTTTCTAATTTCATTTTATAATTTACCTCGAGTTCCTGAATCAGTTTTTCCTGTTGATTTGGTTGTTCCAGTTGAATGTGGATATATTCCTCCGATCGGAGTTGTTTCATTGATACATTCTTCAGATGTTTCAATAGTTCCATCTTGAGTTGTTGTGGTTGGCATTCCCAATGGAGTTGTGTTTGTTGTTTCTCCAGATATCGTAGTGATACCATCTTCAGGCCGTTCCGTAATTTCTGAATTATCTGTCCACGTTATGGAAGTTGTCGTTGTGGCTTCAATAGTAGTCGTTGTAGATTCCATAGTGGTTGATGTAAGTATCAGCGGATTCATACTAAACGTGAATCCAACCTGATTGATCGTGATGTTTTTCAGTCTCAAATGTGGTTTCCATTGAAAAATCTTTTCCAGCGCTGTGTAAAATGCTCCAATTTCTGGTACACCTGGTTCCGGTTTGATATATGGAACTCCCTTAACATCTATGAGCATTTCACCAATCACATTAAATCCAGGCAATGTTGGAACAAATAAGTTGGCAGTAGCAAAACCATCAAATATTCCTGCATTCACCATTGTTTCAAGAGCTTTGAAGAATCGAGTTCCAGCGTCGAATTGGGAATTAGTACCTGAAATTGATCCAAATTTATGGTTATGTAAGTGTTATTCACAGTATTAACTAACGTTTTCCTTGTCTTTTCCATATTTCCACTCCCAACTCATAAATACTTCCAATTTTCGGCGGAATATTGATCGAATCAAAATCAGATATATCAATAACAGTTCCACTGATTTCAAGAGCATTCGCAATTTCGCAAACAGCTTTTTCCATACTTCTCAAGACCCCATCAGTGATATCCTCGACGAAACCTTGATCCAACACTACACCAATTAGTTTTGTGGCAATTTCTAATTGTCCAATATCCATTGATTGGCAAGTTCTCTCTGGTGGCGGTTTTAGTTTCGGTGGTTCTGTTTTCCTTTTTGGATCAATGCTTCGAAGTCTAAAAAATTTATATTTTTTAATACTTTTTCCTCTTTTGAAAACTCACGCTTCCTTGATCTTCTCTTTCAAATACGCCGGCAACTCTGGTGCTAAAAACTACCATAATTTCTATATTTTACTTTCACGAAACTCACAATTCAAATCAACATCTCCAACTCCAGGCAATCCAATCGTCGGTATTCCACTTGCCGAAACTCCAAAGTTCAATGGAATATTATGGAACTTCACTTTATCCTCAACATTTGGATTAATTTTCAAAAAATGTTCATAGACTTTTTTGAAATTATCACCAGATCCACCATTTGGAAAATTTGGATTCAATATTTCAATCCATTTAAATTCCTTGAATATTCCACGTTTATTTAAAGTTTGCAACGTATTGAAAAATCGATCAGCAATATCCTTATTCGATATTGATTTTTTATATTTTATATCATTCAAAGCTTGTCCAAGTTTTCCAATTGTATCCACATTTATAGTTGGATTCATATTTGAAATATCCAAAACCATAGCTTTCAAATCCGGTGCATCTGGTAATAAACAAGAAACTTCTTCCATTACATCAAAAAGTGGCAGAGTCTGAAAAACTCAAAATTTCAATTTAGTTTTTTTTCGAAACTAGGAAAATTCTTACAAATCCCCTATCAGCTCCTCGATCAACAACCAATCCAAAAACCTTCTTTCCAATATCATAAATCCCAGTTTTTCTCGGTTTACACCGTCTTTTCTTTTTTTCACCGTCTTCCACAATTTTCGGGTCAATTTCTCCGAGACTGCAAAAAAAGAAATTTCAAGTATCTGATTTTCAGCAAAACTTACAATTTCCTCAAATACTCCATTGATTTTTCCGGGAATTTTTCATTGATATTGATCTTGACACCTTTTGGAATCCATACAGTTTTGGAAGTGAATTCTATTCGAATATGTCTCAATCTATATTTATATCCATCAGCTGTCGTACGAGTCAATTGAACAAAAACATCTCTCCAAAATTCCGAATTTTCTTCTCCTGGCAAACTTGTTATCAAAATTTCGATATTGTCAAAATCCTTGGAGGCAACTCTTGCGATGAATTCCATAAACCCAGTTGAAAATTTACTTCGAATACTTTCTTGAGATGGACTTGCTGTAAACAAAAGCACGATTAGAGACCCAAGTTTTTTTTTCGAAAAACAAACTTTTATTTTCAAGATGTGTTAATAATTTTGATCCCCATTTCCGAATCGGATCAATCATAATTGATTTCCGAGCAGTTTGTTTACTTGTAATATCAATAATGGTTCCTTCGGTGTCTGGAGCATCTGGGATCAGGCAAGCAATTTGTTTCAGAACCAAGAAAATCGAATCGATCTGAACAGAAAAGTCGAATGCTCAAAATTTAGTAAAAATGGATTAACACTAAATGTGCCCTAAACTTTTAAATAACATGTTTCTTTTTCAAACTCACATAATCCAGATGAATTCCCCGATCAATAAATATTGCAAAAAGTGTTCTTCCAATTCCTAAAGCTGGTGTTTTTCTCGATCTGCATTTATTTATATTTTCATTTTCCGGGGGGATAGGTTTTGGAGTGTTGTTTGGTTTCGCAGTCGTAGGTTTTCGAGCTCTTCCCAAAATCCGCTTGTCTATCGCATTAATTCTAAATTTCAAAAAAACATTCAATTTCCTAGAAAATCAACAATAAAAAACTCACAAATCATATAATGGTTCTTTTTGACAATCCGAGAAAAATGATGAATCCACATCAATTTTTCCACAGTTTGATATTATAACAATCAGAGTTCCATCTTCTTCCACAACAAATTCGAATCGTATTATATGCAAAGATACGCGCTTTTTGAGTCGCGGAAAATTTCGCATGACCTTTCGAAAAACTTTGGTTAATGCAGCCACACCCACACCATTCGGAAGTTCGGCGGAAATCAGATGTATCTTATCGACAAGATCCGGTGTTCCACCTTTTAATAATTTTTCCAAAGTTTTAGTGAATCTCGATCCGAAACCCTCTTGAGAAATCGCTTTCTGTCCGGCTAATTCGGCCAATTTTCCAGGTGTTTCTCCAACAGCTTTGATAACTAGCGCATCATTTATTGATATCGTATCCGATAAATCTAGAATTGTTCCTTTGAACGAAGAGCTACTAGGTAGCATGCATGCAAATTCTTGAAACACTGTGAAAAGCGCTTCAGTCTGAAAGAAATATGAATGATATTTTCGGGGTTTTTTCTTGGCGGTGCTCGGAAAACCTACCACATCTTCATCAGCTCCTCGATCCACAATAAAACCGAACAACATTTCACCAATCTCCAAATCTTTATTCACATTTCGACATCTTGCTTTTCGATCTCTCGGTTTTCTAATCATTTGTCGTTTTGGTCGTTTCAGCGGATATTCGTAACCTGGTTTCGAATTCGGATCCGATTCCTCTGAAGTTTCTCGATTAATCGGCTCAAGTTTGAAAATATTGTTCAGATCGGGAAGTCCAAGAATATCGAAAAAATCCGGAATTTGCGGGAAATTGGGTAATCCGGGTATTTGAGGAAAACTCGGAACATTTGGCAATGTTGGGATTTTTGGTACATTTGGGATTGGAGTAGGAAGAAATGTGGTGATTCCCGGGACAGCCGTTTCCAAACTGCAAGAAAATTGATTATTTAGGTGGAAAGAGGGGGGAACTTACATAGATCCGAAAGCATCGATAACAGGAGCAGGGATTTTAGACACTGAAAATTTTTGGAATTTCGGTTGGAATCGGTGATTTAAAAGAAAATTTTAGTATTGATTATTCTTCAATTGTTTTTTATTCGCAGAAAAAGTAGTTATTCTAAACAAATTGTCACTTTTGTTTGAAAAAATGGAACATGTTTGCGAAAGAATAAAAAGAAAACAACGAGACTCCGCGTTGACCACGATTGCGCGGGAGGTTTGAATGTATTTATTTTCAATTTTTTCACGAACATTTTCTGCGCGAAATGTGGACGAGAATAATTTATGATAATAAATTACACACTGTATGTTTCTCTAGCGATTCTCCTGACTAGTTTTCCTCGTAACGTGAAAACTCACAAATTGGTCCAATATCCCCCAATCCAGGCATTCCAATTGACGCTTTTCCACTCGGCAATTTTCCATATTTCAAAGGAATACTGTTGAATTTAATTTTATCCATCAAATCCGGCAATGTATCTTCCATAACCATCTCAAAAATCCCTTGCAATTTTTCAGCATTTCCACCATTCGGAAAATCAGGAACAAAAATATTTATCGCATCAAATAGGTTGGGAGTTTCACCATTCGCAAATTTCATTATTGCGTTTTCGAAACGAGTTGAAACATCATCGATTGTTAGAGTGGCTGAAAAAAGTGAAATTTTATATGTAAAAACCAGCTGGAAAAGAAATTCTCACTTTTCCCATATTTTTCGAACAAAGATTTTCCCAGATTTCCAATTTCATGATAAGACATCGGCAATTTTGCATATTTCTTTTTCGTAATATCAATAATTGTTGCTTTGAAATCCTGGTTATCCGGAATAAGACATGCGATTTGTTCGATTGCTGAGAAAATAGCGGCAGTCTGAAAATAACAGTCAGAAAATTTTTGCTGAAAACTGCCACGTCATCAACTTACCACATCATCATCATTTCCTCGATCAACAACAAATCCAAACAATTGTTTCCCAATATTAAATCCTTGTTCGACTTTTGTTGGTGCACATTGTGGTTTTCTTTTTAGTTTTTGGGGGTTTTTAGTTCCTAGAAAGAAGTTTCGAAAGTTTCGATTTTTTCAGTTTGACTGATTTTGTTTTTAAAAAATCCAGGATTTCAATTTTAGGCTAACAATTCTAGATAGATTCTCTGTGATAAATTTCACATCTGGAATTGAAATTTTTGTCCAAAGTTCAAAATAAAAATCTTGAAATCACACCTTTTCTTTAAAAGCCTTCTGAAGTTCCCGAAAACTCCGGGAAAAGTTCTTTGCTCAAAAACTTTTACAGAAAATTGTAGTCACGTGGCACTTTTTTTCTCAATTTTCAGAAAATCAAAACACTCCCTTCTTCAAAAATCTCACCGTCATTTCCACCATATGTGAATCCATCATCTTTCACCAATCCCGGAATTCCATCAATAACTTTTCCCAATACATTTTTCACTCCATCCGAAACATCAGTCAAATCCGGATCGATCTCTTCAAATATTCCATCAATAATCATACCAACTCCCACTTTTCCACCATCTACCAATTTTTGTTCCAAAGGTACACCATTAAAACTAATCAGATCTTTAATTTCCGGATGTTTTGAAATATAATCATCGAAAATTTCCTTGATCTTTTTGCCGTTTTCACCAACTTGTGGAACTATACAATCAATTTTCTTGGCCAATTTTGGAAATTTAGATTTGATTAATTTATCCATTCCATTTTTCACTTTTTTATCCCATCCTTGATGTTTTGCAACCTTTTTTCCGACTTTGAATACATTTTTTGTCAAATCCAACCAATTTCCTGAAGCTGCAGATGTTATTATATTTGTAGCATCATTCAAATCAATAATTGTAGATTGTTGTCCTCTTTTCGGTATTATCATTTTCTGAATTTCTTCAATTGTTTTCTGAACTGCTTCACTTTCCTCTGCTGATCTATCAATGATATAAGCCACCATATTTGCGGCAGCTTCTCCTTCATTTCCAGCCAATAATTCGGGCACAACTTCTGTCGCGCTGAAAAAATGAGTTTTTTGAAAAAAGAGGATGGAAAAAACTCACATATTCTTCAGCGTATTTTGAAGTTTTTCAGGAATTTTGTCTGAAAAAAAAACAAATTTAGGAATTCGGAAGAGAAATACTAATTCTTGAAATTTCCTATCAACAAATTCCAATCTACAGTAGTGTACAGTACCTTTGGTTTTTGATGAAATCTTCTCAAATTTCTCTTTTCCAAATCCAATTATCGATTTTCCCTCTTCGGTTTTTGCCACCTTTTGAATCAATGGAATTGCAGAAGTTGTGGCAAGTTTTGCAATTTTCGGAAATTTAGAAATCATATTTTCAAAAATCCCCTTTTGAGTATATCGCGAATTCCCAGAAATATCCAAATGAATTAATTTGACAATCGGAAAATAATCCACAATTCCACTTTGATCTAACATTTCCATGGATTTTTGCAAAAGTGTGACTTGATCAATATTGTCTTTGTCTTCGGTGCGATTTTCGAATTTGCGAAAGTATTTTTGAGCATGTTCGATTCGACCAAGATCGAAACCTTTGGGTGTTTTCAAAACATAATTGGATATATCCATGAATAATATTTGAATATCTGTAGAATTTGGGAGAAGGCATGCCATTTCTTCGAAAACTCGATGAACTGGATCAAGCTGGAAAATTCAGGATTGAAATCAATGATTTTTGAAGAGATTTCAGGATTTTTAAAAACTAGAACTTTTTCGAAACTACTGTATTCTCAAATCTTCAGAAACCAATTTCTCTAATTTTTCTAATTTAACTGTATCTACAGTACTCCTACAGTACCCTCTTCCCAACTCACCACATCTTTTTCCTCATTCCGATCAATTACAAATATCACCAGTCTCGGAATCAATCTCCCCGGATAATTTATTGAATAACACGGTGTTTCAGAGTCAATAGAATCTTCGAAATTTCCTCCAGAAAGCGGAATGGGATACGGTCGATTAGGCGGCTCGTCCAAAAATGCACCAAATCTGAATTTGGCCCCAAAAATCGGATCGAAAAGCAATAAAACCAGCAAGAAAAAAGAGCAACGCACTTTTTTGTTGCACATTTTTTGGTTATGACGACTTTTGTTTTTTTTAGTTTCCAAAAATAATGTTTTGTTGGAAAAGTGTTGGCACACGTGAAAGGTCACGTGAAAATATTATTTTTGAAAACATTTTCTGAACTTTTTTTCGGTGCCAAAAATTTTGCACAGAATTGGGAAACTTGCAATTTTCAGATTATTGGATAAATTTTATTTGAAAAAATGTCTGACACACGCTTTTTTTTAAAACAAGGCGATGTTGCAGGTGAATTTCTCCTTCGAGGAGAAATGGGGCGAAATTCAAAAAATGCATTGTTTCGCCTCCCCGTGCAACACGTTTCTCCTCAATTTGCCCCGAGGAGAAACCAACCTGCATCATCGCCGAAGGAAAAATTGTAAGTTTGAAGAAAACTCTTTATTTTCAACTCGCTTCAAAAAAAATGTACGGAACTTTTACTCAAAAAATAATGTGCGCTCTATTGCAAATTACAAGTGAAAGAAGAGCGACGTCATCCGCGGAGTCTTGTTGTTTTCTTTTTTTCTCGTGAAACGTTTTCCACGTGAAATCTGCTCATTTCTCAAGACAAAACAAATGAAAAATGGCAGAATTTGATGATATTTGGAAAACTGAAGGGTTGAATGTGAGCGCACCAATCACAACTCATAGAACACCAACAATTCGAAATTATACGACGAAACCGAAAATCGTGAGTTTTATTCGGAAGAGGAGATTTTCATTAACAATATATGATTTTTGCAGGTTTATCAAACTGTTTGTGGTGTGAATGGTCCTTTGGTAATTGTGAAAGATGTTAAATTTCCAATGTTCAATGAAATTGTGAAAATTACTCTAAATGATGGCTCAATTCGGACCGGACAAGTTCTAGAAATTGCCAAAAACAAGGCAGTGGTTCAAGTTTTCGAGGGAACCTCTGGAATCGATGCCAAGTATACTTTATGCGAATTCACTGGCGATATTTTCCGCTGTCCAGTTTCGATCGATATGTTGGGTAGAATTTTTAACGGCTCGGGAAAACCGATCGATAAAGGACCTCCCGTGTTGGCCGAAGATTTTTTGGATATCAATGGACAGGCGATCAATCCGTATATTCGAATTTATCCCGAAGAAATGATTCAGACTGGCATTTCGGCGATTGATGTGATGAATTCGATTGCACGCGGGCAAAAAATCCCGATTTTCAGTGCTGCCGGTTTGCCGCATAATGAAATTGCAGCGCAAATTGTTCGCCAAGGCGGTTTGGTTCAATTATCTGGAAGACCAACAGAACAAACTAGTTTTGCTATTGTTTTTGCGGCGATGGGTGTTAATATGGAGACTTCACGATATTTTAAACAGGATTTTGAGGAACATGGTGAATTTTTAGTTCTTACAGATTTTTCACTGATTTTTAAGGCTGTAAATAAGATATCCAGCCAAATTTCATAAATTCATATCAAAAAGTAACTTCAGAATTATTGTATCTTTGCAGGTTCAATGGAAAATGTGTGCCTCTTCCTGAATTTGGCCAACGATCCAACAATCGAACGTATAATTACTCCACGAATCGCCTTAACCGCCGCCGAATATTTCGCCTATCATTGTGGAAAACACGTTCTAGTTGTGCTAACTGATATGTCTTCGTATGCTGAAGCTTTGCGTGAAATTTCAGCTGCACGGGAAGAAGTTCCAGGTCGACGCGGTTTTCCTGGATATATGTATACGGATTTGGCAACAATTTATGAGCGAGCTGGAAGAGTGAAAGAACGTGATGGTTCGATTACACAAATTCCGATTTTGACAATGCCAAATGATGATATAACACATCCGATTCCGGATTTGACCGGATATATTACAGAGGGTAAGGCTTTAGGCTAGCTTTTGGGAAAATACATTTTCTGTGACCTTGGCCTAGATCGGAATACTCCGAAACTAACTGATCCCTGTCTGAATTTCAGGCCAAATCTACGTGGATCGTCAACTTCACAATCGTCTAATTTATCCACCAATCAATGTTTTGCCTTCATTATCTCGATTAATGAAATCAGCAATTGGCGAAGGAATGACACGAGAAGATCATTCAGATCTATCAAATCAAATGTATGCATGTTATGCAGTTGGAAAAGAAGTTCAAGCAATGCGAGCTGTTGTTGGAGAAGAAGCACTATCTTCCGATGATTTATTATATCTCGAATTTTTGCATAAATTCGAGAAGAATTTTATTGGTCAAGGAAATTATGAGAATCGAACAATTGTTGAATCATTGAATATTGGATGGGAATTATTGAGAATTTTCCCGAAGGAAATGCTCAAAAGAATTCCGCATAAATTGCTCGAGAAATATTATGTAAGAAAACTTTGAAGACTTGAAAAATGTATAGATTTTTATGAAAATATTGCGCTTTTTTAGAGATAATAATGAAATTTTACTTTTTTTCATTCAACTTTTCTTTTGAATTATCAAATCAAACTAAAATTTTATTTTTCTCTCTCGAAAAAAATAATAAATAAGTGAATTCAAAAACCTAAAGACAACTATCAAATATTATCAAAATTAGATGAGCGGTGGTAAAGCACATCGATTTTTACGAATTGTATAAAAACAAATCAGCGAAACTGCAACGAATACGCAAAACACCAAAAAACACAGCGGAGCAAATCCGCTCCATATGAAATTCTTGACCGTATCCTGAGCCACCGAACAAATGTGCTCATCTCGACCATACGGACAATTCGGCCGCCCGTTGCACGCAAGAACTTTTGGCACACAATTCTCATCGCCGCACGCAAACATTCCCTCGTGAGTGCAGTTTTTTACTGGAAATTCTTATGGTGAGTTGTTTTGTGGGACAATTTAACTTACGTCTTGCGTAGGATGAAAACAGCGCTGTGATTGATGTTGCGTTGAGATTTTGAACATTTGATAGATAAATCCGAACATACATCACATTTGCTGGCGAAAAAACATCGCTAGCAGTCAGCCCGCAGAATCTGAAAGATAATCTTGTTGTTCTAGTCAATTTTCACAAATATCCAACCTTTTTTAATGGTTTACTCGATGTGTCCCTTGAATAAATCTCCAAAAAAATTCTCACTACATTGGTTGGGATTTTTCAGTTGGAAATCTTTGATGTAAAATGCGATGTGATATTTTGGATCGACTAGCAATTTCCAAGTACAATCCAGTGTTCCAGAAGCGTTTTTTGGCTGAAAATTCTTGAAATTTTGATTTGACTAAAAATTTAAGAAAATGTGATTTTCAAAATGTTCAAAAAATGTTGTCTCGAAGTTTTAAGATTATATTTTGGCAGAAAATTTGTGGAATTGTTTAACTCAAAATTTCAATAAAAATTTTCTTTACATTTTCAGATTTTTACTGTTTTTCTAGTAACTTACCAAACTTGAGATTAGATCTTTAGATCGAATAAATCCATCCAATCCATTCAAATACTCCATAAGACATTCTGAAACAATTTAAATTTCCACCCTAAACTTTAGACTTTAGGGCCTAAAGTCAAAAAAAAATGTAATTATCCGCTAGCTCACCATGTGTGTTAACTTTTCCGCCAATACTTGCCACATTCGTGTATTCCGCCGAAAATCCTTGATATTCCAGCATCGAATCCGATCTGAAGCGCAACCACAAAAACCCGGAAACAGCGCGAATCTCCTCTTTTGGCATCTGATTTCCGCAATACCGCCGAATCAGCGGCGAAAACCCGTAACGTCCATCGCGAAATTCCTGAAATTGTTTTTGTTTACTCGCAGCTTTCCCCCTCGAAAATTTCTAATAAAAAACCAGACTCACTATAAAATCATTTGGACACTCGTCACCGGCTTCCAATTTATCATATGTTGATTCGATCTGGAATTTTAGATCACAGAGGATTTTCAGATATTTTTGGGAACTCACATGAAACATGTAGTGAAATTTAACAAGAATATCATGAGCTGGAAGCGCTTGAATCACACGAACACAATCCACGTTGGGAGGATAGCTGGAAGATTTTCAGCAAAATTATTGATTTTTTGTCAGATATCTAATGAAAAAACTAACTTTCCGGGAAAATTTGGCGATGAAAAAGTGGGCGAATTGGTGCCGACACCATTTATCGAAGTGCATTGATCGAAATCGGCGAGCACCACGTGGATCACTGGAATATTTTGAATATAAACAATTTTATTCCAGATTTTTCTGTGGAAAATTTTGGTGAATCTACAGTAACCTTTTGATGTCAATAACGTGAATTTTCGTCCCAAAACCCAGAAAAAACTCACAAATCGCCAAAATCGGCAAATTGTCTCGCATCAATCAGCTTTCACATCAAAAAACACCGAAATTCATCGATTTTTTTTCCAAAAAAAATCTGAAATTTTAAGTTTATTCTCAAAAAAATCCACGTAGCTCTAAATTGCTTCATATTAAGAAAAACTGCACCCAAAAACAATGCAAAAATGAAAAACTCGTCAAAAAATGTGGGTTTTTTCTGGGTTTAGAAGGGGAAGTATGCAAAAATTGAGTTTTCTGTCCGCCGACTTTTTTTCCGAGTTACACGACATTTTTTTGGATGTATGCGTATGTGTATATGTATGTAAAAAAAAAAGAAAAAGAAGGAAACTCGAGAGAATAATTGGGAGAAAAAGAAGAAAAACACAAGGGGACACGCGGACGACAAAAATCCATTAAACAACTTTTTTCGACTTTTTTCGCCAGATTTTTCGGTGAATTTTGATATAAAATTTAGCCGAGGAGACAAAATATATACTGCATGTTTTAGCGCGAGAAAATTTGGCTGCGTATTTCACTAAGTATCAAACTAAGTTGTTCTGGCACCAAAATTAGGAAATGTAAAATTTTTCGAATCTTCTTCAGTAATTTTTCATCTCCAAAAACTACAGTAATCCGAGCTATTTTGGATCCAAAATTTTCGTGGAAATTTGCACATTTCCTACTTAATTTTATGCCTCCAAAAAATGAACAAACAACTAAAAAGTGCATCTATAATCCCATTTTCTTCCCAAAAATTGTTCTTTTTCCTTCATTTTTCATTTTTCAACAGGAAAAATGGGCCGAAAGAAAAAGAAAATTGGATCAAAAATTTTGCGTTTTACAAGAAAAACGAAAGAAAAAGAAGCATATAACAAAAAAAACACTTTATTTTTTCGAGGAGAGGATTTTCAGACAAAAAAACGAACATTTCTCAGTTTTTCTCTTTCGATTTCGAGTGATGAAGCTGGAAAAAGAGGGATTATTGAAGGCAGTGTCATATGAATTTTGGAGTCTCGCAGCGAAAAATTCAAATATTTTTGGCACCAATATTTAAACTTTTAAAAATTTCCATAGCCACGTCACATTTTGGATTTAAAAATTGATTTAGAAATTTTCACAACAAAGTTTGAATTTTCAAAATTTCTTTTCAAAAATAATTTGCCACGTGGATACTCAGGCTTATTTGGTATCAAAAATTCCCCAATTTTCACAAAAAAAATGCTCACCGGCATCAACGAATCGACCTGTTGGAACATGCCACAATTAACATGAATTGGTCTCGCCTCCTCCTGTTTCGCAACTCTTTGCAAAAGCGGCGAAAATACCATATCCGGCATTTCGCTGTCGACTTCATCAATCGTATCGCGACAACTCGTCTCATCGATTGCGTCATGATTCACTTGTCCGCCAAGTGCAGCGCGAATATCCGCGTTTGACATGAGTTTTGTGAGTTGGGCGTTTTCCAGAAATTCGGTAGCATCGTTGACGGATCGGCTGCAAAATTTGAAGCATTTTGATACTGAATACTATTGGATTTACTTCAAAAATGTCTGAAAACCCCCGAAAACCCCGAAAATTTCAAAAAAATAAAAAACTGGCCGAGGCGGTTCCTAGTCCACCTTTGTTGATGTTTCTAGGTCACGGCCACGTCAATTTTTTCTTTTTTTTTTCTCGGTTTTTCAAAAGTCTCCTGCCGAACTCACTCATCCCCGACATCCGTATGATTTTGTTGCTGCTGTTGTTTTTTGACCGGCGGAACGCGACGCTTCGTATGAATATTTGCAGTCGCCTGAGCACCGGGTTTTCCACCATTCTGTTGCGCTTCGGGTTTTACCGGGATTTTGTTAGGCTCTTCTCCGGGTTTGAGCAATTTTGACTGTTTTTCTTTGCTAGATTTTGGCTTGAGCCATCCCCAAAGAGATTTCTGCAAGAATTTCTTGTTTTTCAAGTACCCAGAAAGAATGTGATTGAATAGGCGTAGAATTCCCCCAATTATACCTACCTGTTTCTCCTCTTCCAAACTGACTTCCTTCAACTCGCTCTCTTTTTCCACTCGTGTCGAAGTTGTCCTAACAACTTCCTCTACCTTTTTGTGCTCCGATTCTTTCGGCTTTTTCTTGTCTGATATTTCCACTTTTTTGCCACGCGACTCTTTTTTCGGCACCAACTTTTTCTCGCCAGGCTTCTCTTCCGCTGTGATTTTTTTCGTACTACTTTTTTTTGCTAAACACATTTTTGCTAGAAATGACAGCATATTTCACGTCAATTTTCAGTTTGGGTCAACGAATTTAATAAATATTTTTAAACATTAAAATTATTCAATTTTTTTTATTAGCAAAAAAAAATAAATACAAATTATGATATAAGAAAAATGAACCCGTAAAATTGTAAATCAAAATATTTAATTAAGTTAGAATGCTTTAAAATCCCTCAATTCGGGCAACTTGAAAATCGATTGATTTGGTGCCAGAAGGTGTATTTCTCGTGGAAGAGAGGCGAAATATGGGTGGAGCATCGCAGAAGCTGCAGAAACACGGCTTTCTGGACGAAGTTGTAGTAGCATTCCGAGAAGTTCTTGGCCGCTTTTCAAGATTTTTGTGAACATTGGATTGACGGCGATGAAGGAGAGTTCACGGTAGCGCGGAAATAGATCAGGAGTGTAACGAGGGAGGGAAAGAACCTGGAAAAGCAGGTGGGTTAAAGACGAAAGAAAAGAGTAAGGAAAAGAAGTTACCTCTGGCCATTTCTGATGATCCGGTGCACCTCTCACACTAAAAATCTTGTCCAATTGATCAACAACATCTTTGGTCCCCGGAAACAATGCAGTTCCACTGCAAATCTCCGCAAAAATACAACCCACGCCCCACATATCCAACGATGTCGAATAATCAGTTGATCCTAGTAGAACATCTGGTGGCCGATACCAAAGTGTGACAACTTCGTGCGAATAAGTGCGCGATGGAACAGATTTTGCGCGAGCCAGACCAAAATCAGCCAGTTTGAGCACACCATCTTCGTCGAGTAGCAGGTTCTGCGGCTTGAGATCGCTGCAAAATTTGGAAGTTTTTAGTGTGAAAATTAGTGTGGATTTGATTTTCGAATGAAAATCCACGTTTTCTGACATCGAATAAGCATAGTTTTTTCGACTCAAATACTGACACTTTTCATATAGTGAATCTGAGTTTTCTGACGATTGTCAATGTAAAAAAAACTAGAATTTCACTGCCACGTGGTTTTTCCTGTGCCAGAATTTTTTATTTTTGAAATTTCAATTACCACGTGGCTTTTTCGGCTTTTCCTGTTTCTCCCTTGCCCTCAAAAATCACATACCGGTGCAAAATCTTCTTCCGATGACAAAAATCCAATCCCCTCAACAATTGAAACAACAACAATTTAATCTCGAAACTATCCAACCCGTAAACATTTTGCTCCAAATATTTGCTCAAATCCATTTTCATATATTCGAAAACGAATGTCAATTGATTATGTTGATAGAAAATATCGTGTAATGATACAATATTAGCGTGTCTAAGATTACGTAGAAGAGAAGCTTCTCGAATTGCTGTGAAAGGAAGACCTTCTTGAAATTGTAGTTTGATCTCTTTCAGTGCTACAATCGAGTTATCCAATCTTGATTCGCATTTATAAACTGTTGCATAACTGCCTTCACCCAATTTTTCGATTTTCTCATATAAATCTTCTACATTTTGCGATTCAATCTCTTTTTTTGCTGGCAATTGTATTGTATTTGGATCATAATGTGCTGATCTTGGCCGTCTTTTTCGCAAATGCGTGAAATCAGCCACACTTTGACTTGTTGGTGTCGTTGTTTTTGAAGATGTTGAAGTATTTGAAGCTTGAGATAGTGGCGAAATTATTGAGGGTGATTTCGAGATGCTTATATTGTTGTGGTCGGCTGGATTTCCAGAACGGGACCGAGATTGACGGCTGAAAATGTTAATTTTAGATTTTAAAAAATTATTAGTTTTTTCTTTGGCAATTTCAAGAAAATTCCGGAATTTTTTAATTTCAAGAGAATTCTGAGAAATCGCTTACAATTAGGCAACTCCAATTTTTATCGTAAAAATTCTTGATTTGAAATTAGGTTTCAAAAATTCTGAAAAATTCCGAGAATTTGAAGTGCAGAATTTTTATTGTCAGTTTTAACCCCAGATTTCTAGAGCAAAATTTTCCCAAAAAAAAACCCATTCCAACCTTAAAAAGCTGAAAATATTCTTCTCCTTCGGACTGTCTTTTCTCTGTTGTTTTTCGGGCGTCGAATTTTGCGTTGCCGACAAAATTGTATTAATTTGATTATGCGAATGCCACGATTGTGTCATCTCTCCAACATTTTTCACTTTCGGTGAACCTGCAAATTTTCAGTATTTTTTTTCAATTTGGCTGAAATTATTCAAACCTGAACTGAATAAACTATGGAACATTTTCTTTTTTCTCTGAGAAAATTTTCAAAATTGAGATGTGAAAAGAAAACAGAAAACAATGTTATCTTTGACAATAAAATTGCCTAAAATTTTCCGCCCAAAAACCAACCGTTTTTCAATTTTTTCTCTTTGTTTCGACTTCGCCGAAGTGTGAAGATAGAGGAAGTCTGGAAAAACAAACAGGATGAGTTGCGTGCCGTGCATTTTTTGGACACAAAACTGACTTTTCGAATTGTTGGCGATTCGTTGACATCGGTTATTCGTTGGGGAGAGACGGTTATCTAAAAATTAGAAAAAATTGAGCTCGTTTTTGAACTTTAAAGGTATAAAAAGTCTGCATTTGGTTTTCTAGTGAATTTTTGGAAAATATACTCGGTCAGGATGCTTTTTCAAGGCACAAAGAATTCAAACAAGGACAGAATGATTTTTCACTGCCTAGAAAAATGAAATTTGAATTTCTCGGCTACCTCTTCCAGACCAAAACAATATTCTTGTGATCTAGAAACCCAAAAATATCTCCCCTATAACCAACCCTATGCAAATTATCGCTCGACTTCGAATTTCGAACCGTAGTCATTTGTGGATGATGTATCATTGACATTGAACAAGAAGCTCTCATTGGCCTATCCGGTTCCTCTAATCCTAACCAAACTCCGATATGTGATGTGATTTTACCCCACATTTTGGCTGAAATTCGAGAAAGTGAGATTTAAATATGACAAATATGTACAGTGCGTAAGATCAGGGGTTCGAAGCTGCCTTTTTACGAAATTTTTTATTTTTTAGTACGAAAAATGCTGAAAATTAATGAATAAAAAGGAGAAAATGGATGAAAAACGCATTAGTTTTTTCTCTGTTTTCTTCGGCTTCGAAATGTTAATGGGCTATGTCAAAATTAGCCAATTTTTCCTTTTTTCTGTTTTTTTTTTCGAACAAAAAAAAAGAGAATGGAAAAAAATGGAAATTCAAATTAAATGGGATCAAGTTCCATTAATTACATTTTTAGATAATTGAAAAAATGCTAGGTTTTTATGCAATTTTCAAAAAAAAATGTTCTGGCGCCTGAAAAGTGCTCTTCATCTCATTTTGTAGATAGATGTAATTTGAGTAGTGGGGCCCAGCTGAACCGGAAAAATCCTTTCTTTTTTTTGAAAAAAAAGTTTTTTTGGGGGAGAATGATGTAAAAAAAAGAAAAGATGAGTGGAAAAGGGAAAATAATTAAAAATTAATGAAAAATGTTCAGTTTATTGATTGCGCTAAAAAAGGTGAAGTTTGAATATGAGAAAAACTCCCGATCCCAAACTTTTTGCCACACGTGCCCAAGGTCAGGGGTTCGAGACCGCCTCGCTGCGAAACTTTTTATTTTCTTTTTTTGCAGAATAAAATGAAATGAAAAGCAGGGAAAAAGGAAGAAAAAAAGAAATTGTGTTGTGTGAAGAGTGAAAAATGAAGAGCCTCTGACAATAAATTGAATTACACATGCCCGACAAAGTGCCAAAAAATACACTAGTTTTGTTGGAAAACGGCGACCAATTTTTTTGGGAACCAAAAAAGGAAAGGATTAAAATGGGTATTTCATGTGTGTGTTTTTTTTTTGCTTTTTCAAAAAAAATATAGCAAAAATTTTGAAAAAAATAATAAAAAAGCACCAAAAAAAGAGGCCTTACCCTGGGGGAAGAAGGCATTTTTGGTGTTTGGTGCGAGAGAGTGTGCATTTTGAGGAGAGCGCAGAGTTTCGAAAAATGATGAATTACTAATGTGAAAATGAAAATAGTGAGAAGGGTGGAGAGACGCAGATTTTTGGGAATTTTTTGGAGTTTTTTGCTGTTTGTATAAAAAATGGAATTTTTTTTGGAAAAATAAATGTTGCGTCTTCAAAAACTAGCGTTTAATCGCTGTGTGACCTGATTAAAATTGGTGTGCGCCTTTAAAAATAAAGGCGTAATCCGAACTATGGGTCTTGGCGTGAAAAAAATTTGAGACACCTTTTTGATCAAGCCTTTGAAATTACAGTAATCTAAAAAATGATAAATTAATTTTTCGAACTCAAAAAAATTGTTGCGCCTTAAAAGTTACCGTAACCTGAACTTTTAGGAAGAATTTTTCCCGGGTAGAAATCAAAAATTTCCCTGGTGGCTGAAATTGAATAAAAAATAAAAATAGTTCTATACGCCTTCAAAATACCGTAACTCAAAACATTTCTGCTCAAAAAATTTTAGCCACGTAAAAAAATCCGGTTTTCCGGCTTCTGAATCAAAAATCGATAATTTACGCATAAAAATATCAATTTTTCATTTTCATTCATTTTACATACAATCACATAAAATGAGTCATTTTTGATTGAAAACAGAAAAAAATACACAGAAAAAAATGGGAAAGTTTTTGTTCGTTTCGAACGGGGCACAAAAATCGGATCGGGAGGAAAAAGCGAGAAATTTTTGAGAAAATTAATATTATTACAACAGACAAGAAGAAGGGAGGAAATCAGAAAGAAAAAGAAAAGAGGAAGATATAGGTACCGCCTGACATTCTTTTTTGTTCGCTTTGCTCAACGAGCACCAGAAAATCAGAGAAAAAATGGGATTTTTGGGTGATGGGAGATTGGGAGAAAAATGAGCCGAAATGTGAAAATCTCAGAATTTTCAGAAATTTGTGAAATTCTGGTACAATTTCTCAATTTATGAAAAAATACATTTGTGAAAAATTTCGAATTTTCAGGAATTTTTTCTCATGTGAATTTTCTATTGTTTACGTGTGAAATTCTTTTTAAAAAAGCTGAACAAATTTTGGAAAAAACATTGGAAGGATTCGAAAATCAAAAAATTGATTTTCCCGATTTTTTAGCACCAATCGAATTAAAAAATTTGATGCTAAAATTTACTTGAATGTTTGCCACGTCATAACTTGAAGTATAATGAAAAATTTCACAATTTTTGTATTTTTCAATATATTTTCACAATTGCAACTCATTTTTTTCCCAAAAAAACATCTCACACAGGAGACAACGTTTGTTTATCATCCAAATTCTGTGGATCCTGTCTAACTCGAATCAAACCCTCTTGAGCCTTCTCCATTTCTCTCAAAACATTTATACATTCTCGATATTCGTCGATTTTCTCATTATTTTCGGCCAATTCCATTCGAAGACTTCGTATTTCATCCAAATGTTCTTTGAATTCTTTGTCGAAGTCGCGAACTGATTTTTTCCCCTGACTCATTGTTTCAAATCCCTCTTGCATTGTTTTCTGAAAAAGAAATGGTAAAGCAAAGTAAATAAAATAATTTTGAAAACTTACAAATACAGGGAGTGTGACGGTTGTCGGAATATTGAACAACGTAGTGACGCAGTGACGCTGAAAATTGACTGTTTTTTTTCAGAAAATAGAAGAATTTCAATTTTAATGGGAATGCTTTGACTTACAGTGATCAATGAAAAAATTTCAGTAAAATTGCGTTGTCTGAATGGTAAGGATAAAATTCGCTTCTTTGTTTCATTTTTGATTGGTTGAAGATTTGTTTGGAACATTTCTTGACATGTTTCTTCCCAAGATTCGACGAGCAAATTGAACACTGCAAATTTTGAAGAGTTTCTTCTTGAAAATCTGTTTTTTGCAAAAAACTCACTGGTATCAGAAAATGACAAGCCGGAAAATTGAAAATGCTGGATTTGTACCTCATTGGTAATGCCCGAAACCTCTTCAGCCATCTGAAAATACGAAATGTCCTGCTGAAAACCAAAAAAAATGAGAAAAGACCCTTTTCAAACACCAACAAATGCCCGCCGCTTTTTTGTGCAAACACACAAATTGACGCGCAAAGCGAGAGAGAATGGAAGAGGAAGAGTGTGCAGAGATGGGAAACGTTTTGAGAAAAAAAGAAAATAGGTACTGTAATTTAAAGGAGCGTTGTGATCTCGCACCGAAAAAGTTAAGTTTTCGAATAAAACGTTCCTTCATTTTCATTCTCAAGTTTTGGCCCCAGGACACTGGACAACGAAAGGTAATTGTTTTGATTTATGTATCAAAATTTTTTATCACGTATTTCAGCTCAGATGTCGAAAATTGACAACAACTCAAATGAAGAATCAAACAACGTTTCCGCAACTCGTTGGAGATTCAAAACCAAATTATGTAATGCGAATAGTTCACATGGAAAAGAATGTATCAGTACTGAAAGAAGTCAAGCCTTTGGAACGAGAATCGCCAAAGAAGAGTCAACACGTGGAAAAGAACAAAGCTCCGAGATTGTGAACGGATTGCAAGCATTATCAATTTCTGAGAACACTTCAAAAATAAATGTTGGCAAAACTGAAGCAAGTTCGAGAAGACAAAACGAAGATCACGCAGAAGACGGTTCATCCGAGGAAAAATCTATAAAGAAGAAGAAAACTCTACGAACATTCAAAGATTTTCGACGCGCATATAAAATAAAAGAAGAGATCCCATTTGGTACATATGGATTCAAGGTAAGTGCTTTGTTTTATAAAACAAATTAAAATTTGTTGAAATGGCACATAAACTTCTATTTTCAGATGAATGCCACGAAAACTGAACAACCAAAATGATGACTATTCACTTCAATGTCATACATCCTCCTGAATCACCGTTTCTAAGTTGTTTTTGTTATTATTTTCTAGCTTTTTATTTGTTATAATAAACTTTTGAAAAAATTTCACACTCCAAAGATTTTTCTCCAAAGAATAGTTGCAATGCACTAGAAACATTTTATTTGACGACAATCCGCGATTTTCTGATTTTGAAAAGTGACAGGTTTTGCAGACACTCAAAAAATATTTTGTTTCATCATTCCGAAAATTTTGATCGACGTAAAGATGGATGATGTAAGTTTTTATTCCTATTCAAAGTATTTTCAGAAAAACTATTCGATTTTTGCAGGAAGAGCTGGATGCTGAAGTTCGTAGACTTGAAGAAGAGCTGCGCGATGTGCAAAGACGTAAAAAAGAGCGAATGGAGTTTTTGTTGCGAAGAAATCGAGCAAGAAAAGACGGGTATTCCTCGAGTTCTGAAGAATCCGAATCGGAATCTGAAGGTGATGTTGGATCGACTGAAGCTCTTTTCAAAGGAATGATGGCAGTTCAAGAGCGAGCAGATTTCAATTTGAAAAAACTTGAGGAAAAGTATTTGCAAAAGGAAAAGAATCTAAAACTTGGCGATTTGATTGAATTCGATGGACATGGAAATATTTATTTTCCTGAGAATATGCCCAAAAACCAAGAGCAAAGGCATATTGATAAGATGTTTCGTGATGATATGAATTTTGGGTAAATTATTGATTCAATTGTTTTTTCATAATAATGTAGGAAATAATTTTCAGAAAAGGCATTTTGTGCGCGCCAAGCAACTCAAAAGCGGTGTTCAAAGACGATCCACGAGCTTGGAAGGAGAGTTTGAAGCGAGATGAAATGTTCAAAGAATATAAAAGATCGCAGAAAAGATCTAGTAGACCAAAACCAATCTTCGAGGAAAACCCAGGACCACAACATGCATCTAGTTCTAAATATCAAGCAGATGGGGAGGACTCGGATGACCTGGAAGATGAACAATTTTCGGACACCACTGATGATTTATCTTCGGAAGTTTTCACATCTTCGGAAGAGGAAGAAGAAGAAGAAGAGACGAAAATTCATAACTATCCCAAAATATCTGGAAGTTTTGCAAAATCGAAAATTGAATTATTGAAAAAGGCGGAAGAGATTGAAGAGGTGCGATTTGTTAGAAGTCAAGAGGAATTCGCAACACCTTCTACACGATCTAAAAAATATCATGAGAGATCTGAAACACCGGAAATTGCCGAAACTTTGAAAATGGCTGAAACTCCATCCTCAAAATCTTCTGAAAGAGAAAAAGTCGCTGAAACTTCATCAAGATCTTCTCGAAGTTCCAAGAAAATCATCGATTTTTTCGCTGAAACTTCAAAAACTGTGGCTTTGCTAAAATCAGCAGATATTCAAGTTGTTTATGAAACTCCATCAACGAGATCTAGGAAAAGACAAGCCAAAATTGAATTTGAAACTGAAGCCTCTTCTACAAAGTCGAGGAAGAGAAACGCTGAAACTGTCACTTCTGAAGTTGCTGAAACTCCAAAAATTGCGGCTCTCGAACTTACAAAAACTTCCACAACATCTAAAAATGTTGAAACTGTTCCGAAACCTGCTGAAAATTTGAAGGCATCTGAAAATCCACCAGAAGTTGCTGAAACCCCAAAAAGCATAGCTCCAGAAGTCAAGAAAACGTCTACAAGATCCAGAAAAACAAAAACTGCTCAAAATCTTGAAATTTCTGAAACTCCAAAAACCGCAGCACCAGAAGTTAAGAAAACATCCACAAGGTCCAGAAAAGCTGAAATATCTTCGAAATCTTCTGAAAATCCACCGCAAATTTCTGAAACCCCGAAAACTGTGGCTCCAGAAATTAAGAAAACTTCCACAAGATCTAGAAAAGCTGAAACTGCTTCAAAACCTGGTGAAAATCTGAATATCGCTGAAACCCCGAAAACCATAGCTGCAGAAGTCAAGAAAACGTCTACCAGATCCAGAAAAGCTGAAACTGCTCAAAATCCTGCTGAAACTCCCAGAACCACTACAAGATCTCAAGCAAATCCCCAAAGTTCCTCAAATTCTCCAAAAACTCGAAAAAGGCCAAGTGCATCTAACTCTGCTCAGCAGCCTCAAAAAAAGAAAAGTGAGTTCGCTCTAAATTTTCAGATCCCAAAACATACCTCGTTTTTTTTTCAGAAATATCTCTGGCCACAATCTCAAATAGCTCACTCGAAGTGCAAATTGATGAATCTGAAAATCCGTCCGATGCTGCTGCTGCTGCTGCTGAAAATCCTGAAGAACCTCGAGAAATCGCGGAAAAAATTTGGGCGCAAAAAATCGATTTTTCCGAGTTTGGCGAGCGCATTTTTGGAATTCCCATCCAATTTCATAGCAAATTGGACACTACCTTTTTTGATGTCTGGAATTCGAGCCCACGATTGATGAATCCGGATTGTCGAGATAATTTTGATGCGGATTATCGAAGATATTTGTCGAAACATCGGAAATCGGAACAGGATTATAAAGCGGGATATGATTTTAAGAGATAAATTTTGAATTTTTGATGAAATTTAGATTTTCTGGTAGAAATTAATGTCACATTTCTGAAGATCAAACTTGAATATTTAATCAGCACGTCAAAATTTACAAGAAAAATATTTCTCATCAAAAAATTCATTTTTGTATTCTAACTAATTTTTTGCACATGTTTCTTTTCTTTCTTTGTGAATAACTAAATTTCTCATTCAACCTTGATTTTTTAACCAAGAACTCACATGTTTTACCTCCGAAAATACCTTTTTCAATAAGTATTTAATTTCAGGTTTCTAGACAATTTTTCCAGCAATTGTGTACCTGAATGTCAGCCAAAAAGCAAAGTGCAATCACTTCGTTCTTCACTCGAACTCCAAAAGCTGAAAATTTGGAGAAAAATGAGACTGAAAATCCCAAGAAACCTGCATCAAATACACCGCTGAAAAAACGAGTTGTGGAAAATGTGAAGGAGAAGAAAAATGGTAAGGATTTGGGAATTTCTGGGGAAAATTTTAGAAAAATTTGAATATTTTAAATTTCAAGCTAGTGGGAAAAAACACTGCTTAACATGAAATTTGAGAATTTCCAATAATTTTCCAACACGACAAATATACGTTTCAAAAATCTTATTATTTTTTGAACATTTTTCTAACATTACTGGAAAATCAACGAAATCAAATTGCGTTTCTATATTTTTAAATTAAAGACACGTAGAAAACTAGAAATCGTTCAAAAATCATTATTTGCATGTGTTTTATCATCCTTCAAATAGTGGAAGTACATAAATAAAATTTAAAAATATTGAGTTTAGCGAAAGTCAAAAAAAGAAATTGCCTTTTTTGAAATCGCTCAGCCGACGCGAAATTTGGTGTTTGCACAAATGTTCGTGATTTGCCGCACATGTGTGCATTCTTATGGGGTGATTCAGTCGAATTAATCGACGTGAATTTGTCAATTAATTGACAAAAAATCCGAGTCTTTTAGGGCGATTAATTTCACGTTTTTGTCAAATCTTCACTTTCATTTCTTGGCAAAAAATGCGATTAATTGCATAAAAATTCGAATTTATTTGACCTATATTTTAAAACGTGACCTATATGAGTTGGAATTATCAACAAAAAATTGTCTTCTCTCAATTTTCTTTCATTTCGAAATGAATCCAAAAATTAAGCAGTGAATTTGGGACACGTTTCAAAATAGAGGTCAAATAAATTCTATTTCATATTGAAATTCCTCATTTTTGAATGCAATTAATTGCAAAAAAATATGGAATTAATCGACAAAAACGTGAAAAAATCGCACAAAAATGACTCGGATTTTCTGTCAATTAATCGTCAAAAAAACGAATTGAATCACCCCATTAGCATACCGTACCACCACTTTTTATTTATTTTTCCTTTTTCAAACGAACAACACACAACTTTGAAAAAAGACGCGCGTTCAAATTTTTACGATTACGAACACACATTTCTAGTTTTCCACGTGTCTTTAAAATGTGGTCATTCTCAGAAATTATTGATTATGAAAAAAAATGTGAAATTTCAAATACACCTCGGCCAAAATCGTGGTTTCCAAAATAAAAAATTGTACGCTGAATTTTTACAGTGTTAACTTTTTAGTTTTTGACCTCTAAATACTGAAATTCAGATTTTTTCAAAATTGTACTCTCGCCAGCCACTGATTGGGCGAGGTGTGATTCCAAATTTTGAGCACCTGAAAATTCCTAGAGTTCCAGATTCAAAACAAATCCTCAAACGATCCAACTCTCAAACAATACAATCAGAAAGTGATCCAGATGTAGAAGAAAAAAGCTCAAGTCCTATTCAAAAACCCGTCCAAAAAACACCAAAACGCTCAAAAGTTCAATCAGAAAGTGAACCAGACGAAAAGAGTCCAAGCCCAATCAAAAAATCGAACCAAAGAACACCAAAACGTCAAAAAGTAGTTCTTTCTTCTTCAAGTTCTGATGATGATTCGGAAAGCGATGATGAAGATTTTGAATTGGACGAGAAACATCAGAAAGGCGGAAAAGGGGGAGAAGATGAGAGTTTCGATGAAAGTTCGACAGATACTGGAGATGATAGTGAAGATGATTCGGATGTTGAAATGGGATCAGAAGAAGAAGAAGGAAGTGGAAGTGAAGAAGAATCTGATATCAGTGAAGTTTCACCAGTCAATACGCCTGTTTTTAAAAGGGTGAGAACGGGATTTAAGAGGAAAATTACCATTTTAGGTGGAAAAATTATGATTTCTTACCTAATTTTCTCAAAATATAGATTAGAAAATCTAGTTTTTGAGGGAGACAGTTGAAATTTTGGTTGAAAAATAAGTTTTTTGGCTTGAAATATCTGAATGGAGGATTTTGATTCACAAAATTTTTGATTTTTACCTCAATTTCTAGCGAAAAAATTCAGCTAAGTTTCTTCCCCCAAAAAATTCAATTTTTCCAATTTCAGAAACGCGCGGCCGCCATTGCTGCACTTCCAAATCGCCCAAAACCCACATTGGATTCTTTGCCACAAATTGAAATGGGCTCAGTTTCTCAGAAAATGGATGAGATTTTGAGCAGCAAAAAACGAGCGGATTCTTCTGCTAAAAAAATGGATGAAAAACAGTCAAAACATGGCCAAGATGATGAAGAGGAAGAAATTGAACGTTTTGATCATGAAAGTTTTGAATTTATCAAACCTGAAAAAATTAAAGATGCTGAAAAAAGAGGTATAAATGATCCGGATTATGACCCAAAAACTTTATGGGTCCCTCCTGGATTTTTGGAAAAACAAACACCTGGACATCGACAATGGTGGCTTATCAAATCACAACATTTTGACACGATTATTTTGTTCAAAGTTGGCAAGTTTTATGAGACTTATCATATGGATGCGGTTGAAGTTGTGCGAACTTTGAATATTGCATTTATGCGCGGAAGTTATGCGCATGCTGGATTTCCGGAACATGCCGCATCCAAGTTTGCTGATCAATTGATGAGTCATGGATATAAAGTGGCGAGAGTTGAGCAGACTGAAACACCGCAACAATTAGAGGAAAGAAATAGTGGATTGGTGGGAGCGAAAAAGGATAAAGTTGTCAAAAGGTGGGAGAAGAGAGAAGTGCTGACACTAGATTCGGGATAAACCAGGAAACTTGAACGGTTTACGTAAGTGTAAACCACAAGCTTCCGCGAAACGGTCATGCTCTAATAATCCACGTGGCGACAAATTTTTACCTAGAAATTTTGATTTGGTGATATTTCAATGTTCTACTCCAGTAGATTGTGGTTGAATTTTAATCATAACTTTAAAACCAAAAAATCCACACCGCTTGTACATATTTTCATTCTAGATTTATCCCCCAAATTTCACATTTTTCAAAGTCCCATCTCATTTTTTTGTGTTTTTTCAGAGAAGTTTGCCGTGTCACATGCAATGCGACTCGAACCTACGGAATTTTGGATGGAGTTGACTTGGGAAGTTCGACAGAAGCACTTGATCCAACTGCAAAATATTTGCTGGCAATCAAGGAAGTTCAGGTAATTATTTAGCTGGAAATTGGAAAATTTAGAAATTTTTGAAAGGAAAATTATGGGAACAAATCTTTTAAAAAAATTGATTTTCCTGAAAACCAAACTCAATGTTCTCTTCCAGAATCCTGAATCCGGAAAATCAATGTATGGTGTTTGTTTGATTGACACAACAACTGCACTAATCAAAATTGGCCAATTTGAAGACGATGATTATCGATCGAATTTGCGAACACTTTTAGCCAACCTAGTGATTGTTCAAGTTTTGGTCGAGAAAAATGCGATTTCAACAAGCACAAAATCGATATTGACGGGAATTTTGTGCGCGGTTCCAATTGAATATTTGTTGACCAAAAAACAATTTTTGGGCGCCGAGGATTTGGTGAAAATTGTGAGTTTTTGGGAGAGGCTGAAAATCTGAAAAAACACGCACAAAAAATTGGAATAATTTTTTTAAAGAAATTTGAAGCATTTTAAATTTATAAAATTCCAACCAATAGATTTTTGGATTGAATTTTCTATATAGCATAACAGAAAACAATTAAAAGAAATAAAAATCCGAAAAATATTCTTTCAGATTTCTGGCGAAGATTATTATGGTTCTGAAACCGCTACGTGGCCCGAAGTTTTACAATCAATGCTTGATTCAACAAGTGTTCTTCCAAAACCCTCTTCAAAATTTGCGTCCGTTTTCTCAGCGTTTGGTGCCATTTTTTGGTATCTTCGCGACAGTTTTATCGATGTTGATATGCTTTCGATGAGAAATTTTGAAAAATATGAAGTTTTTTGTGGAGAAAATCAAAAGGAACTCCAAAAACCTGAGGAATTCACTTGGAAAGATAAACATTTGATCTTGGATGGAACTGCTGTTGAAAATCTCAATATTGTTCCGAATTTGCGCGATTCTCAACAATCTTCGCTGTTTTATGTCATAAATAAATGCTCGACGAATTTTGGGAGAAGATTATTAAGAAATTGGTTGCTCTTACCGATTTGTGATCCAAAAAAATTGCGGGAAAGACAGGAGGCTGTGAGATTTTTGTGCCAACCCGAAGCGACTAATTTTGTGGCCACAGCTGGAAGTGTTTTGAAAAAGATTCCTGATTTGGAGAGATTGATGCAAAAGTAAGAGAAAGAGAGAGGGTTTTTGGGATTTTTATCTTAAAAACAAGAGGAGATTCAGCAAATTCAACCATTTTTTTTCAGAATCCACACAATTGGCCTAAAATACCGTGCCGAAAAACACCCAGATAGTCGAGCTGTTTTCTTCGATACTCTCAAAACGAATCAGCGGAAAATTCAGGAATTGTTGGCAACAATTGATGGATTCAAAATGTGCAATCGATTGAGAAAAGAATATTCGAATATTCAACAAGAAGGAGAAGGTTGTGAATTTTTGGATGATTTATTGGGAAATGAAAAAGATATGAAAGAAGTTGATGAGAATATTGAATATTTTGAGGTGAATATTTGAAGGGAATCTGCCAAAAACCGCGTCTTCCTCAACCTCATTACCTTTTTCCAGAAAATGTTTGATCGTTCAAAAGCAACTGAAACTGGCAAAATTGTACCGAACAAAGGTTGCGATGATGAATATGAAAATGCGGTGAAAAATGTGCAAGAAGCCGAAGCAGAAATCGAGGAATATAGAAGAACTGTCGAAAGAAAATTCTCGTGCAAAATAAAATATGTTTCATCGGGAAAACTGAAATATCTCCTCGAAATGCCTGAAAATATCAAAGTTCCGTCGAGTTATGAGCTCAAAACCAGAAGAAAAGGTTTCATTCGATATCTCAATTCGGATTTGGAGGGATTTGTTGAGAATTTGGACGAGGCTCAGAAATTGCGAGCAAAACTTGCTGATGATGCGACAAGACGGGTTTTCGAGCAGTTTGGTGGCAAAAATGAGATTTGGGCAAAGACTTTGGAAAGTGTGGCGAAATTTGATGTTTTGGTTGGATTGGCATTGTTTTCCAAATCATCGCCATTTATCATGTGTATGCCGGAATTTGATTTTGAGCCCGAAACAAAGCCATTTTTGATTGTTGAGAAAGGAGTTCATCCGTGTATGGCATTACAGGCGAGAAATGAGGTGACCGGAACGACGAGTTTTATTGGTGAGTGCGGAAAAAATAAGGAGAAAGAGCGAAATTTATACATTTTTGCAAAAAATGAATTGTTCAAAATTTTAGACTGAGTTCTGGTCAAAAATATGATCTACAGTAAGAGTTTTCGTGGCTTGAACCAAATTAAACATCAAAATGTCCCTTTGAGTTTGCTTTTTTCGACTAAAAATAGTGGTTTTGCTATCAAAATGTGCCACTTTGGGCCTGAAGCGATCTACAGTAATTTTCGCTCAAAAATTTTAAAAATTCAATTTCATTTTCAACTAGGGACTGTTAGCCCCCAGGCGTAACCGTCTTCTCATTTGTTTCAGTTTTTCTGTGATTATTTTCAATTTTCTGTGGGAAATTGACTCGCAATTGAATTCATTGAAAATTACAATCAAATTTATAGAAAATTTTAATTTTATTGATTTGTAAAACAAAAATTATTGATTTGTAAAACTGGAAGAGCTTCCAGATTTACAAATTTTTGAACGAAAAAAAAGTTGATCAAAAAAATAGTATTTTTTTGGAGAGTATTCAATAAATGCTCACTAAATGAATTGCAATCATTTTAAGCCTTAAATCTTGAAATTTGGTTCGAAAATGATTCATTTGTAAAACTGGAAGAGCTTCCAGATTTACAAATTTTTGAACGAATTATTAAAAAGGTAGAAATCGGGATTTTGATAAAAAAGTGGATTTAATGCCAAAGAATTATCCATGAAATTTTACGTTTCAAAACTTGCTTGATTTTTTTTCACAGCTCACAGTAGAGATGTTACACAATAAATATCGATAAAAACTAAAATTTTCTGAAAAAATGTTTTCCATGAAAATCTCTCTTTTTTTCCAGCCAACAGTACAACAATGGGAGATTCGGAGGCGGCTGTGATGTTATTGACAGGTCCAAATATGGGTGGAAAATCCACTTTGATGAGACAAACTGCTGTGCTTTGTGTATTAGCGCATATTGTGAGTTTTTGCGCTGAAAATCGATATTTTTCTTCTCAATATCCACCTTATAATTAATTCACTCCAATTTTTTTAGGGTTCAATGGTTCCTGCTTCTTCAATGCGCCTCACACCAATTGATCGTATTTTCACCCGAATTGGTGCAAATGATCGAATTATGTGTGGTGAATCGACGTTTTTCATTGAATTGAAAGAAACTGATGTGATGTTGAAGAATGCCACCAAAAAATCGTTGCTTTTGGTGGATGAATTGGGACGTGGAACGAGCACTTTTGATGGAACTGCAATTGCTTCAGCTGTTTTGGAAACTATTTCTGATGATTTGGGATGTCGCACATTTTTTTCGACACATTATCATTCGATTTGTAATCGATTTTTGACACATCCAAATGTTCGATTGGCGCATATGGTAAGGGTTTTTTGGAGAATCTTTTGAATACTGTCCTCGAAAAATACTATTTTTTTGATCAACTTTTTTTTCGTTCAAAAATTTGTAAATCTGGAAGACCTTCCAGTTTTACAAAATCCATCAATATCGAGCCAAATTTCATGATTTCAGTCTAAAGTTGATTGATTACATTTTTTCTTGCAGAAATGCGTTGTCGACGAAGAAAATGAAGAGGATCCAACCATGGAAAATGTCACATTTTTATATGAATTGGACTCTGGAATCTGTCCAAAATCATATGGTTTTTATGCTGCAAAATTGGCCGGAATCAATGTTGAAGTGGTCCGAAATGCCTATGAAGAATCAAATAAATTTGTCTCGAAAAATCCGAGTTTCAAAATTCAAAAATTGATTGACTCGGCCAAAAATGAACAAATCACTGTGAATGAGTTGCGCCAACTTGTTGAAGCTCTTTAATTTTTCTTTCCCACAATTATTGATGTTTTATTGTGAATAACCCAATTTTACCCCATGAAAAATGCTCATTGTTGAGCAAAACTTATTATTGTTTCCCTAAATTTGCACATTGTCTGATTTTTAATTGTATAACCCTTTTTACCCGGTGAAAATCCCCTTATTCTCACCAAAAATTGAAATAAATGAATGAATAGTCTCAAGACGCACACAATTATTGCCAGAATATCTCGCCACGAAGACCACCCATACTTTTTTCTTCGTGGGTGGTCGACGCCGCCCATTTTTTCACAGTTTTTTTTGTTTTTCGCCGAATTTTGCGAAATGGGGAAGGATGATGATGCGAAGGTGAGTGAATCGTTTTGGATGAAAATTTGGAATATCAGAAAAAGAATTGGATTTTTAGAGGAGATTCTAAGTTTTCTAAAGTTTTTAAAAACTTTCGTGTATGAACTTTGAAAATAAAAATGAAGATCTGAAAACCCTTGATGCTTCTTTGCCTAAAAATCATAAAATTCTCGACTGGAGAGCTGGAATGGGCTTAACTTTTGGATAAAATTATGGAAAACTTGGAGAATTCCAGATTTTTCTATGAAAATTGCTAGAGAGCTGGATTTTATTTCACATTAGTCCTAAATTTCAGTCTAATTATTAATTGTCCCTGCTCAAACCACAATTTGATGAGCAATTTCCAGATGTTTCCAAAATATCGCAAAATTTAAAAATCAATTCCAGACCCCCAAATTTTCAAAATTCCCTCTCAATCAAACATGCGAGTTACTGTACATGCACATCTAAGTGTGTGCCGCGAATTCGAGTCCTTCAAAAATATTTTTTCATTTTCTTTTTTTACAAAACTTTTGCACCCAAATTTGTTATTTTGCACACGTTTTCTTCTTGTTCAATAGGTTAGTTTAACTGGTATTTTTTGCTGAAACTTTGATTATTCTGAAATGTCTAATAATCGATGGAAAATTAGGAGAAAGAGGGTATTTTTAGGCCAAATCGAAAATCGTTTTTTTTCTAGATAGCCATTTATAGTTAGAGTATTAGGGAAATTAGGGGAACATTCAGGATTTTAGGCCTAGATCAAATAAATCGATATTTTGCAGATGTCGTTTCACGGAGAAGGCCTTTTTAGGCGTTTCTTGTATTTGCATGGACGCGACAATTTCACCGAACGGATCGTTCACTCGTTCACCATATGGATTTTGATATTTTTCACCATTCTACTATGCTCGAAAATGATGTTTGGCGCAATGATTGTTTGTCGATCGCCAAAAGAGGCGCCAGACACTTGGGTCAATTATTTCGACAATTTTTGCTATTATCAGGATAAATTCAAGTTGGATGCCGTGCAAGCTGCTACGTGAGTGCAAATTTTGAATGGAATTTTTCGTGTCGTATCTCGTTTTTAGTTGTTGCAGAATATATGCATTTGAAAAAATTTCAGCAACTCGCCGTTTTCACTCAAAAAGTCACCCATTTTTTCAGTCGCACTACCACACGTGGCAGTTTAAGCGAAGTGCTTTTCAAAGAAAACGACGTCATCACATATTATCAATGGATTCCTTATTCAATGATTGTTCAAATAGTACTCTGCTTGCTGCCAGCCATGGTTTGGCGAAACTTTGGACTTCGATTTTTCCACGGTGCTGATTTCGACGCAGTGTTGCGCGGTTTCATTGAAAAAATGCCGGGAGAGGCGAAGGGTGTCACCATCAAATGGATCAAGGAAGACGATTGGAAACGAATGGCTAGGACTGTTCAAAGATTGTTGAAATTGAAGAAAACGTGGGTATTAGGCCGAAAAATCGCTTTTTGCCGACCAGAGATTTATTTTTGAAAAAAAAAAATGCTCAAAGTTTCCAGCGATCGCTTTGGCCTGCGCTCAACAATGTTCATCTACGTTGCTCAAAAATGGATCGGTTTCTGGTCATTCGTTTTCCAGTTTTATTTGCTGGCTAAAATGTTTGCGAATGGTGGAATTATGTGGGGAGTTCATGTAAGTTACCTAATAGTTTTGTTCTCAAAAAAGTAGATTTTTTTCCAGCTCACTTACAATTTGCTGCATTCCGAATTGGTGGATCTGAAGGGCGGGCTTTTTCCGCGAATGGTGCATTGCTCGGTGGATAAAGCGGTGAGTTTTGAAAGGAGTTTTAGTGCTGCAAATCGGAAATCCACCGCTCATCTTCACTATTTTATCATTTTTTTTCTTACTTCCAGGATCTTGCCAGCACTCATTCCTACAGTCTCAACTGTCTCTTGGCTCAAAATTTCATCAATGAAAAAGTCTTCTTGTTCCTCTATTGGTGGTTCATTTTTGCAATCATCGTCAGCTTTTGCTCTGCCATCCGTTTCTCGGCTCTTTTATTCTCGCCAAGATATCAAAGATACACCACAAAAAGTCTGTTGCCATGCCAAGAATATTTCATGGACACCACAACTGGCGGCGATTTCGCCCAACCGGAGAATAACGATTTGCTCGAATATTTTGTCGATTATCTTGGATGTGATGGTTATTTATTGCTGCAATTGGTTGGTGATATGATGCATTTAATGTCGGTTAGAATGTTGAGCAAAGAATTATGGCGGAGAATTATTGTGCAACAAAGACATGAGGATGAAGAAGATGTTGTTGCTGTGAAAAGTGAAGAGGAAAAGAAGAAAGAGGAAGAAAATCAGGGATGTGGTGATTCGACACAACCGACAGCTCCACCAATGGATGCGAGATATTATGCAGGAAAGGATGGAAAGAAAGAGAAAAAGAAGCAAAGAGAAAATTCGGAGGAGAAACAACCGTTGATTGAGGATAGGGTAAATTGGATTTTTGGGTGTGAAATATCAGAAATTTAGCGTTTTTATTTAGATATGAAAAAGCTTAATTTTGGTTTGGAAAGTCTTGCTGAAAATTCATAATTTTTGGCTGAAGATCTCGAAATTTCACTGAAGTATGAGATTTTGGCTGAACATTTTTCAAGATTGAGATTTCTGAGATAATACATGTTTGGCTGAAAAAAGGTCTCAATTTTTAAAAAACAAAGAAGTTATAGGATTTTCCTCCAGAGAATCCTGGATTTTTTTACTGCACTTTTTAGAAGTTTTTAATTTTTAACATTTATTTTTGTTTTGATTTCCACGTGAACTGAGTGACGTGGCAATTTGAAATTCTGTCATTTTTAGTTTTGAAAACTCAAAACGTATCCTCCTAGAACCCCGATTTCCAGCCGTCTTCGTCCTCGTCTACCAAATCATCCACCACAGTTTCACCACCTCCACCAACTCGCTATCAAAATCAAAAACCCGACATTTTCCGAACTGCCAACGAGGATTCTGACAACTCTCCGGTTTTTCGAAATTAAATTATTCCCAAGAGTTTTTCCCTCCCCACAAAAATTGATAATTTTCATATGATTTCTAATGTTTTGTTTTTTTTTCTTCAAGTTTAGCTCATTTTATAGACGAATTCATGCATCTTATTCCTAGGGAAAGAGTATTATTATTATTGCTCATATTATATTATACGTTTTACCCATTTAGCCCCTGCATTTTAAGTTTTTGTTGACCTGTGAATGATTATGCTCCTTTAAAGGATGAAATTTTTTAAGCTAAAAAGTCAATAATTTATTTATAATTTAAATTTTAGCGAATTTCTTATCCTTGAGAATCTCTTTTGCCTCTTCAACTAGTTCTTCTTCAACACATCCCTCACTTTCATTTTCAGCCGCCATTTTCAACCAAATTTTCGCATTTGGCAAATCGCCTAACGCCAAATATGTTTTGCCAACAAAAAGTTGATTTTCAGCCACGTCTGGTGTGATTTTATCAGCATTCAGTAGATCTTGAAGTGCTTCTTGATAACTGGTTTCTGGAATTTTGCCAATAACTTTGGCGGCGATTCGTTCGACCATTGATAGATTTGAAACCTGAAAGAAGAAGATTCAATCTGCTGTCCCAACCTACACTCTAGTCTTACCGTATACGAGAATCTTCCTCTCATATGCAATGTCTCAAAATCATTATCATTCAACGCGATCGCCTTGTCCAAATAACCTTTGAAAAGAAAACCAAAATGAATTTTCTTCTGAATTCCCGATTCTTCGGCCAATCTTCCTGATGTTGAACACAACACTTTGAGAGAATTGAAATCGGATTCGTCGATCGAATGAGCTGATAATGCAGAATTGTACGCTGAAAATTATTAAAACATGAAGAAATGGTATAGAAACCCCCGTGACCAAAAAACCCACCATTTTCCAACAATTCATATCGTTTTTTCTTATCTTCTTCATGATTACTCAAAGCATACAACCATTCAGCTTTTCGGCGCAAAACAGCCACTTTCAAATTTGGCGCCAACTCTTCCAAATTCAAATTTTCGACGTGTTTCAACACGTTTTCAATACTCTCGATTTCATAATCGCCAGCCAACGTGTCCAATTTTTCGATTATTTGTGACTAGAAAAAACAAAAAGTGGAAGAGGAATTTGAGGGACTAGAAAACCAATATATATGTTTTTGGTTTTCTAGGCCATGCCGGTTTTGATTCCAAAAAAGGTAGTTTCCATGTGAATTTGGGGGACCAAAAATCCAGAAACAAAGAAAACTCACATCGTCTGCCATTTTCGTACAGCGCAAAATATTGAAACTGATGGTTTTTTCTCTAAATTTGCCAACTGGACACAGAAAAAATCGGGTCACGTTTCATAATATTTCATATTTTTTTTTGTTTGCAAAAAAAAAACAAAATTGTTTATAAATTGTCTCTGCGTCTCTCAATTTCCCCCACTCTCTCTCGCCAAGAGAAAAAAGAGAGCGATGTTATCATAGTCAAACAGCGGCCCTTTCAAACATGACTGCTTGGCGCAATGGTAGCGCGTTCGACTCCAGATCGAAAGGTTGGGCGTTCGATCCGCTCAGTGGTCAAAACTTTTTTCTTTTTTTTTTGCTTCTCTCTCATTTTTCTCTTATTCTTTCTGAATGAAATTTAGTGACGTCAGTGTGTAACATGTCACCTGTTATTATATATATGTAGAAGAGTTTTATTTTTCCTAAGCTCTCCAATACTTTTATCTTGAATATATTCCCTGAAAAATGGCAGATTCAGTAACTCCGATAGGTAATCGATATATTGAATCAAATGATTCGGATATTCATTTTCTTCGAACTTGGGCTGTTCGTCGATGTCAACACACAGATTGGGATGTTTGTGAGAGGATTCGATTAGTGGAATTGCAAGAAGCAAGAGATCGAGCAGCTCAGATGGAAAAAACTATGAGATGGTGGTCGAATTGTACAGCAGAGTGGAGAAATCGCTGGAGGTAATCGATTTTTTAAAGTTATTTTTAGTCTGGTGCCTAACAAATAGTTATTTCTTGGATTATTAGACCAAACATTTTTTGACGAAAAAAAAATCCACATGGAATATAATTTCTAGGGACTTAGTTTTCTGATATAGAATCCAGAGAGATCCAAATTTCAGCGCAGTCCGTGACGAACGAAATCGTGCTCGCGAAGAAGCTGAAACTCTCCGCTACAATTATGATCTGCTATTAGAAGAACGTGAAAAATCGATAATCAGTTCACAAGAATCGTCGCCAGAATTGGAACTTAGGCCAAAATTACACGTGGCAGTACAAACATGCGAAAATGCTGCAGGAAATTCGAATTTTCTGGGGTAAGTGAGATGGGGTTGAAAAAGTTGATTGAGGTTTCAAGACCGGATTCTAGGCACCGGAATTAATTTCTAGGTCATAGAAATCTCTTCTTGTTTCAGAAAAATTAGCGAAATTGACGAGCAAATTGCGGCGGAAACCGAATTTCTCAAAGATCAAACATTCGAACTACAAAAAGCACGCGAAAAAATCGACGCCGATTCGAAAATCATCGATGAATTGCGGGAAAAAGTGGAGAAAATGGAACGAGAACTGCAAAATGCGGGAAAAAATAAGCGAGCTTCGAGTTCGTAAAAATGCACATAAATTGGTTTTTTAACAAGTTTCGTGAAATTTTAGTGAAAATTCGAATTCTAGGCCATTTTTCAGAACGGGGACTAGTTTTTTGTGTCCTGGCCGAGCTTTGTCGAAAACTAGGTCGTTATTTTGGCACCAACAACACACGTTTGAATATCAAAATTTTACTCGTATATCCAAGAAAAATAGAGAAAAATAGTGGAAAAATACAGACAAAAAGTGAATTCTAGTCAGTGTTTTTTGAGAGGGAAATCTGAAAATTTCAGATTTTCGGGTGAAAAATGGGGATTTTCAGACAAATTTTCAGAAAATATATATTTATTGTTGTTGAACTTGTTGTGGTTGTTGTTGAGAATTGACTGGAACTTGTTGAAAATCGGCAGCTTCTTCTGGAAATTCCAATTCCCAGATTCGTTTCAGATGTTTGCCTTTGACGTCGCGTGGAGTTCCGAAACCGGTCATTCCCTGTAACAAAATTTGAAATTTTTTTGAATTCAGGATTTTTGGAGGGAAAAATTAAGGATTTTGGAATATTTCATTGAAAATTTGAACTTTTCCCACAATAAGATACTGTAAGTTTTGAATTTCAAAATTTCAATTTTTGGCGCCCGAAAAATCCTCAAGAAATACTGTAGTTTTTTGGAGAAATATTGAGAACTTGAAAGTTGGACTTTTGTCGGGAAAAAATATAAAAGTACTGTAGTTTTTGGGGCCAAAAATCGCTCCCAAAAATTGTACTTTTTCCCAAAACCCCCCTCATTTCTCTAATTGTTTACAATTAGATTAGTCTCTTTTTTCGGGTTTTTTTTTTGACATGAAGGTAAACAAGGAGAAAAGGTGTACTTTTTCGGGGACAGAAAAACACAAACTTTTTTTCGACACACACATATTTAAAACATGGTGAAAAACACCCAAAAATAGTGAAAAATTAGGGGTTTTTGGTGAAAAAATAAGGAAAAATGAGTGAAAATGTGCTTAGCAGCTTAGAAGCCTAAACTTGTCCCAAAAATCTTGAATACGGGCTCATTTTTACACAAATTTCCACCAAACCCCCATATATTTTTCACCATTTTTTGCACCCCAAATCAAATTCTCAACCTTTTGCGATTCATATTGATTGGTGCCAGATTGCAGACGAACAAATTGATCGTGTTGTTGAGTTTGATCGGTGATAGCCCAACGAGCCGCTCCGTGATCCGCAAATTCGACTTTTGTTTGAGTGTTTCGCGGCATTCCGAAACCGGTTTTACCCTGTTGTTTTTTCGACATTTATGGTTAGAAATTTGAGGTTTTTCAGGCGAAGATTCGGATTTTTCATGATTTTTTTAAGCTAGAAAGTTTGAAAAACCAAAGAAATTCAATTGAAGACCTAGAAATTCAAATATATTATTTTGGTGGACTAGAAATTAAAAATGTGGTCGAGAAATGTTTTTAAACGCATAAATTTTCTTCTGGCTTAGAGACCCAAAAAGTATATATTTAATTTTTGTGACTCAGATCCCTAAAAACTCAAAAAATCAAAATTCTCTCCCTCTTTTCAAAAATAGCTATGACGTGGCAAATTAGTCAGCAGTTCTTCACAAAACCATGAAAAATGCCGAATTTTCGCTTCAAAAAAATGTGATTTCAAGCAAGAACACACAACATTCCACATATATAAACTGAAAAAAAGCCAACCTTTTGCGATTCGAATTGATTGGTTCCAGATTGAAGTCGAACAATCGAATCAGATTGCAATTTCTGTTCTTCAATCGCCCATTGTTTATCGCGATCCGCAAATTCGACTTTGGTTTGTGTATTTCTCGGCATTCCGAACCCTGTTTTACCCTAAAAATTCAAACAAAACATGGACGAGGACAAAACAACGAAAAAGTACACCTTACTACACAAAAAATTGCACTTTTAGGCTGAAAAATTAAATGAAGTAACTCACTCTTTGACTATCGAATTGATTAGTTCCAGATTGAAGTGGAACAATGGCGTCGGTTTGACGCAATTGACGCAAAGTCCATTTTCCTGGAAAAAAATGTATTAAAAATTTGAAAAAAAAATAAAGCGCGAGAAGTTCGCGACGAGACGCAACAACGTTTGTGTGTGCGCCTTGAACGCAACTACGGTAGAAAAAAAATTTTTTTTTGAATTTTTATTTTTCGCTGGAATTTTCGAGCTTACCATCACGTGTTCGTCGTTCCAATGATTCAGTGCTTGGCAATTCGACAGCCGCAATCTTCAAACCCGATTCAGCGCTAGCTGGAGGCACTGGAGACGCCATTTTATTGTGGAAAAATCTGGAAAAAATCGAAAAATGAAATTTCAAAGCAAACAAAACTCGGCAAAACCGCAATACAAAAATTGAATGATGATGAATGAACTCTTCTTATTTGAGAAAAGACAAAAAAAGCGGCGAGAAAAAAGTGGGCGGAGCCAGGTGGGGAGAGAGTGAGAGACGCAGAGAAACAAAAAAACAATTAGATATGATTCACGATCCGTGTGTGGGAGGAAGAAAGTGCACCGAAATCCGGATTTTTCGAAAAAAGTTGCGAAAAAAACTCTGAAATTTTTTTTTATTCAAGAGGTTTTGAAAAAACGCCGAAATTTCGAGAAAATTATGAAATTCGATGCCACGTGGAAATTTTGGCACAAAAATTCGAGCTTCGGAGTTTTGGGTGGACAAATGCCACGTGTAATCGAAAATTTGACGTAAAAATGTTCGAATTCTAGGATTTTGGGGCCAAAAAATCACACAAAATCTTTGAGCTTTTTCTTCCCCCTCAAAAAATAGAGAAATTTCGAAATAAAATCAAAACAACTCATGACCAACCAATTGGCCAGATGTGTTAAATTTTTCGAAAAAAAACAGCTGTTCAAAAATATTTCAACATAAAAATTCGAAAAATTGAAGCTGTTCTTTTGTGAAAAAAAATTCCTCACAGTATCTCCAATTCCTGTTCGCTTCGAGACCCAAAAACCAAAAAAAAATCTGAAAAATAAAAATTTTCCTTTAAAATCTTTCGCACATTTCCTATGATCGCGAAGAGATCCCAAATTTTCAAAACTTTTACCGTACTCTTTCAAAAAATGTTGTTGGCTTTGTGACTCAACAATATATTCGTATGTTCCTTTAACATTTGCTTCGCTTCGAGACCCAAAAAAAATCAAAAAATCACAACAAACAGATGTTGAGCATTGATCAGATATCGACAAATGTAAACATGAAACAGCGAAAAAAAATCCCCCGAATTTTTTTTGTGAGAAAAATCGTGTCCCTTTTTTGTGTTATGATGCTCCTTCGAAATCAAAGGTGTACTGTAGAAGATTACGGTATCCTTGTTTTGGGTGAAAAAACTAACAATAAGACGATGTTCATTTAAATTTGGGTTACTGTAGGGGATTGAAGGGACATGGAGATCAGGCAGCGAAATAGCTTAATTTTTTCAGAAAAACCTACAGTACTTTGAAGTAAATAGCATAACAATCAAGCAAAATTGAAATCACTTTATCATGTTGCTTTAAAAAATTCTCCAGATACAGTAAATCTGAAAAATCAAAGGAACATCTTATATTAATTTAAAGGGACACCAAACTTACAAACTACAGTACCTTTGAAAGATTTTCAATTCAAAGGTACACTCTCACGAAAATTTACAGTTTTTCTTGCCTAATTTAAAGGATCATATATTTTCCTCTACAGTAATCCTCTAAAATTCGAAAGAATTCATTTATCATCGAGATGTCCCTTTAAAATTCATGAAAACCTACATTAACCTGTAAAACTTAAAGAAACATTCCTTCTTACAGTATCCTTCTACCAAAATTCTAAAGGAACACACCTCTCACCCACAGTACACCTGTGCTAGAAAATTGTTAAAGGCGCATTGAATTTCTGCGCGTTGGCCACAAGATATCACAATATTTGTTTGTTTACAATTAAAAAAGCGGGGCAGCTCGCAGCTCACAAAAATCCCCTCTCTTTACTCTATTTTTTGTGCTAACCAAGATTTTGGTTGGTTGAAAAAAAGTATAGAGATATATAAGAAAGTAAACAAAAAAAGAAGTAAAAGCTCTCGAATTTTCCCGCGCAAAAAGTTTTTTAGAAAAAGAATTGGGGAAAGTGAAAAAGGTTTGGGTTAATTAATTCCTCGAAACTAATAAAATCAAAAAAAGTTCATCAAAAATCAAATAAGTATATGAATCATCGAAAAATGCGAATGATACCCGCTCTTTGGCAAAAAAATGAGGAAAAAATGATGAAAAATGGGCCAGAAATTGAAAATTTTAAAGGTAAAACTTTTTTGAAGAGACATAAATAATATCGAGGGAAAAAACATTATGGTACAAGGTGTGAAAGAAAAAGGCATTCAATAAAACGTTTCTGAGCAAAAAATCCGAAAAAATCAATCAATAAAATATAATACACATGAAAGAGGAGGGGAGCGAAAAAAAAAATCGATAAATATTTTTGAAAAAAAAAACACAATTTTCAAAAATCACCACGAGGTCCAAATTTGTGGTCGCGTTTTTTCTGGAAAAATGGGGGATTTTAGAGAGGAAATTTTGATGACGTGGCAATTTTTGGATTAAAAATTAGAACTTTTTTGCGGTGAAAATCAAAACTTCATTTTAAAAACTTGTTTTGACATGTGGAATTTTTTTTTCAAAAATTGGATTATTTTATCTGATAACTCTGTCTTCTCTAGACTCTCTAACTCATTTTTTCACCAAATTTTTAAAATTTCCCACCAAAACCACCCAAAAATCACCCACCTGATCAAAAATCTTGACCAACTCAGCCACATCAGGACGGTTTTGAATAAAATCATTTTGCATAAAATATCGATGTGAAAGTGCGCCTTTTGCAGTCAATCTCCGTTCTGGCGGATATCGCACAATTTCACTTAAAATATCGAATCCGGCTTGGCTCAAATTCGAAGTTTCTGCCAATTTTTTCGAATTATATTGCCATTTTGGAAAAGCAGATTTGAAATGAGGCAGTTTTTCAACACCAGGCCAAGTCTGTAAAAAATATTGGATTAGAATTTCTAAAAATCAGGAATATTCAAAAAAAAATGCTCGAAAATGTTCTTTAAAATTCTCACCTGTGAAGTCGGTGTTCCAATAGTTTCAAAAATCCGGAAGAGTTGAGAAATTTCAGATTCTCCATTAAAAAGTGGTTGACCAGAAGCGCATTCCGAAAATATACAACCAATTGACCACATATCCAAAGAAGTCGAATATCTTTGAGAACCAAGAAGAATCTGAAACAAATTGGGGATTTTTGGTTGAAAATTGATGCACTTTGAAGTTTTCCAGTGATAAATCTCTCTTTTTCCACAAAAAATTCCCCCGAAACCCGTCATTTTGCTCACCTCAGGTGGTCTATACCAAAGTGTCACAACTTCATGTGTATATTTCCTGCTGGGAAACGAAAAATTGCGAGCTAATCCAAAATCGGCTATTTTGATGACTCCATTATTTGAAACTAGAATATTTTGAGGTTTTAGATCGCGATGAACAATTCGACGAAGATGACAATATGATAAAGCTGATAGAAGTTGCCACATAAAAGACTGCAAAGAATAATGGGGTTTGGGAGCATTTTTGAGCCAAGCGATCATCAGAATCACGCTTTTCAAGCAAATCTGTGCCCAGAGAACATGAAAATCGAATTTTGAGCTCTTCGTAATGGAACATATTTTGAATAAAATATGAAAATTTTCAGATTTTCAGCCCCAAAAAAACGCACTCTAACATAATTCGGAGGCAATGGTTCGGGTGATATACGATCCAGCAAAAACTTCAAATCCTGATCAATATACTCGAAAACCATGTATAATTTTTGGTCTGCAAAAAAATTTGAATTCGGATTTAACCGCCGAAAATGACCTACTGGTATAAATGATATCGTAGAGTTTAACAACATTATCGTGGCGCAAATCTTTGAGACATGAGATTTCTCGAAGACACGTGCTCGGAATTCCTTCTTCGTCCCTGCGAAAAATTGAATTTATTTGGTTTGTCGCGAAATTCAAAATTTGAATTTTACCTATCCATGGTGATCATTTTGAGGGCGCATTTCACGTTGTCGTTGGTGTGGGTGGCTCGGAAAACTACACCATAGGTGCCCTCCCCGATTTTTTTCATGTGACGAAAACGACCGTTCAAATCGCGCTCTAAAAATAATGTTTACTTTAAAAAGACCCTAATTTACTTACCATAAACACTTGTTGACATTCCACGACCCAAAGAACCTTAAAAAATGTATTTCAAAAAGAAAAATTCAAACACTGTTTTCCCGCGCTCTCTTTTTGCGCCAGTGTTGGCAAGAGATAAGGAGACGCAGAGAAAAATAGAGTGTTCATTTTGTATATTATAATAGCTAGTGCACTTTGTTATTTCTGTTATCAGGAGGAAAACATAAGGAACGCGGGAAAACAATGTTTGAAATAAAAGTAAAAATGGAAGTGCGCTCCATTGATAATGTGATCGTTACGAGACCGCGACATGTTCTTATGTGCGCCTTGAAAAAAGTACGGTATTTTTTCAAATTTTTATTTAATTTTTTCAATTTTCACTGAAAATTTGTTTCAAAAAACACGAGAAGAACACAAATGTTTGGGGAAATGCAAGAATAATAGGGAGAGAATAAATCTGTTTAACTCAATTTACCCCAAAAAAAGAGATAGAAGGGTAATAAAAGACGAATTCTTTCTTTTTTTTTTGTAGTTTACATTTGAAAAATTGCGTATTTTAGTGCAGGTGCAATTGTGGGAAAATTATTCATTTTTCACACGAATTTCAAATCAGGATCTATGATTTGTCTTATTTTTTCCAATATTTTCATGTGTGGTTTAGGTAAAATCAAATGTTCATTTCTTCCACTTCATTAGGTTTTGAGCAGATGATTTCTTTATGTTTGATTTAATCACCCCAGGCAACGTCTTTATACTTTCATATTTCCCTCTTTTCTATATTTTTTTGTTGAAAAAATTACAAAAAAATAAATAAAATGTTAAACGGTATTTAAAGGAGTATTTGTTGATTGGTTTCGCCACGCTCCCATTTTTTCTAATTTTTCTTTTGCTCTTTTCTGAAAAAAAATCACCGGGTATCTTGGGGAACCGATAATTATCCTCCCCCATAATTTTCTTCTTCAAATTTCAGATTCAAATTTATTTGGTTTCTTCTTCCTCTATAAAACATACTATGGAGAAGAGAAAAATGGAATAAAAATCTGGCCGAAACCCAACAAAAAAAAACAAAATGGCGTGTAGTAGTTTTTTTAGTAGCGAATATTTTTATCGATGTTTTCACGGTCCGAATGGGTGAGTTTTGAATTGCCACGTCATTTTTCTGGCGTGAATTCATTCCCGAATTTGAAATTTTTGCAGATGTTTGGTGCCAAGTCGGCCTACTGAAGGTCAACCCATTGAAAATCAATTCGATGAATTGGAATCGAAACTCAGTATTTTGGCAAAGTAAGTGGCCCTTTTTTTGCTAAATTCCAAAAAAAAATCTCCTAATATTTCAAAATTTTTCTAGGAAACGAAGTGATGAAATTGAACGTTATTTAGATGAACAAAAGAGAAAAAACGATGGAATTTTGAATATTTTAATTCTCGGTGGACCGTCCAGTGGAAAATCGACAATTTTCAAACAAATGCAGTGGGTTTCGTTTGTATTGGCATATAGTTGGACATGGTTTGGAAAAAACTCGAGCGAAACCAGTTTTTTGAGTTCGCTCACTTGTTTGGGTTTTGAGTTCGCTCACTCATTTCAAACCGGTTTTCGCTCATTTCTGATTTGATTAGAATAGATGGATTTTTAGTTTTTCGGATATGGGAAATCGATTGGTGATAATAATTCGGCCCAAAAGCCCAAACTAAAATGATCATAACTTTTTTATTTTTCAAGCTTTTTCAAATATCTCTGGACCATTGTGACGTGCTCATCCTCAGCTAAATTTTTGCTCTTCGGATTTTGAATGTTGGTCCGAAGAGAAAAAATGACCATTTTAGTTTTTGTGACTCGAAAAGGTATAATGTATTTCAATTTAATTTCAAACAAAAATCCATTTTTCATGCCCTGTCCCTTTAAAAGTCACGTTTAGGCCGAATTATTATCACCAATCGATTTCCCATATCCGAAAACCCAAAAATCCACCAATTCTAATCAAATCAGAAATGAGCGATATTTGAGCGAAAACCGGTTTGAAATGAGTGAGCGAACTCAAAACCCAAACAAGTGAGCGAACTCAAAATTTGAGTTTTCGCCCAGATCATTTGAAAACTCACTCATGTCTTACTATATATTGGCATTTTTCACAGCGCAAAAATGTGTGCCGCCATAGCTCAGTCGGTTAGAGCGTGGGTCTAATAAGCCCAAGGTCGCAGGTTCGACCCCTGCTGGCGGCAAACTTTTTTCCTTTTCTTCAGAAAAAGGACAAAAAAATTCTCAAATTTTTTATTCCAGAATAATTCACCGTGATGGCTATAAAGATGCCGATGAACTGGAATCATTTAAAAATTTGATATACGAGAACATTTTCGATATTTTTCAACAACTTCAAAATGGTGCCAGAATTATAGGAATCAGTCTTGAAAATTTGAAATGCCACGTGGATTCGGTGGCTGAAGGTTATCGAAACTCGGAAAATGTGAATAGCAAAATTTTGACGGTGGAAATGGCCGAAAATCTCAGGGGAATTTTGGATATCGGCTGAAATTCAACGGGTTTTTTCGAGACGATATGAATTCGAGTTGATGGATTCGACAAAATAGTAGGTTTTGGAAAAAGTGGGAAAATTTTGGATTTATGAACTTTAAAAGTCGTTTGCAAATTTTAAATTATGATTTTTTTTTAAGTTTACAATTTTTGAAACAGTGAATATTTGGGGATTTTTTCATGGAAAATTTCTTGGCGTCAAAATTTCGATTTTAAAAGTTGAAATCAAAAATATTCTGAATCAGTTGATCAAAAATGTTTCCCAAAAAATCTGAAAAATCCCGAAATTTCAGCCCCAAAAATTTCAGCTCCAAAATATTTTTGCAGCTATCTCTCAAATCTGAATCGCCTCAGTCAACCCGGATATATTCCAAATTATGAAGATATTGTTCACTCAAGAAGACCAACTAAAAATATTCATACTATGATTTTCACTTATACACATCTCAAATTGAAGTGAGTTTGACTGAAAATCTTGTGATTTTTGATCGAGAAAATGTGTACTTTTCACTCGAAAAAGTTCAAAGAAATCTAGTTTTCTGACTAATTTTTTTCCATTTAAAAAGGCTATAATTAGGTAAAAATTGTTGTTTTGTTGGAAAGAAAAACTTTGAAAAATATGTTCAAAAAATCAGAGCAAAAATGAGTCACGAGGTTGATGAATTTTGAAAAATTGACAAATTAATTTCAATATCACGGCAACAATCCATGAATATAAAAATATGAATTTACCTGATAAGCCTAGCTTTATGCCTAGATTATAATCTAAGCCCAATCTAAGTCTTATATCCTAGTAAGTTCACAAATTCTGTGGAAATTCAATTTTTTTCTAGACTTATCGACGTGGGTGGTCAAAAATCGGAGCGTCGTAAATGGCTTCCACTTTTCGAAGATTCGCGAGTCATTCTTTTCGTCATTGATCTAACGGGCTACGCGAAAAAATCCGAAGAATCTCGTCTCGAAATATTACGCTCAGCCATTTTTCAAAAATGGTGGGAAGATCCGGGTAATGTATCTGATCTGAAAGTGGCACTCAAAATATTCGAAGATGTTTCGAATAATGCGATCCTCAAAAATGCCGTGTTTTTAATGTTTTTCAACAAATTCGATTTATTTGAAGAGTTATTGAGGGATTTCGAAATTGAACGATGTTTTTCGAAATTCAAAGGAAAATCGGGTGATTTGGATGAGTGCTCGGATTTTATTAGACAGAAATTTTTGAGGGCTGCTAAGCACAGGAAATCGATTTATCCACATTTTACAACCGCCACCAATACCGAGAATATTAAAGTGGGTTAAATTCTGGCGCGATATTCTTGAGCTTGACTTTGACAAAAATTCAATATTTTTCTACGCTTCAAAATTTTCATAAAATGAACAAATTTTTGTTGATTTTGTTTGAATGATTGTAGACAATCCGAAATTAAATTTTGAAAAATCTAAAAATTTTGAAACGTAGAAAAATATTTAATTATTTTTCCAAGCTCAAACATTTCAGTTTTTTGTGTTTTTTGGCTGAATAGAATTTTCGTGCCGAAAATCCAAAACTATTTTTGCAGATGGTCTTTCGCGCATCAATGGAAAGTGTCTTCAAGGCGAATTCCCGTTCAACTGGACTTCAATGACACGTGGCAAGATATCAATTAATGAAAAAAAAACAATTATTTAATTCAATTATTAAAGAAAAATAAAATAAGATAATTTAATTTAAGATAAAAAAAGGGAAGAGAAACATTTCGAATATTTCAAGAAATAAAAATTAAAATTACCCGACGACGAAATTTTGAAGAGAACAGAAACATTTGAAAAAGGAATGGCATATCTTTTACGCAAAAATCTAATGGCGCAAAGCCAAAAATTGTTGATAACATTCGAGCACATTTGCATCCACATCATTTGTGAATAATTCTTCATTTAAGGCCGTCGTGAATTTGTAGAGTGTTTCGGAGTGCTGCAATTTGGAATATTGTCGCATTTTTATCAGCTCCAAAAAAGATAACTCACCATCAAAAAGACCTGACAAAATCGTCCTCTCAACCATCTGTATCTTGGATTTTGTGAAAAATCAATAGCTTCCGATTCACAATCTCCAATCAAATTTGTCAATTCTTGAATGAATTTCTGCAAGAAAAAATTTTTGAGCTTAGAAATGTTTTTTAGCTCAAAATGCTCTCACATGTAGAACTTCCATATACAGTGACTTTTGGAATTCGAGCAAACTGTCAAATTTGTTTTTCTGGGCTTCCAATTCTTCCAAATCTTTTTGTTTGGATTCATCGTCGACCTGAAATTAAATATTGAAAAATAAGTTTTAGCTAACGAGATTTAGCTCAAAATCTACAGGGTGACAACAAATTATAGCGACAAATTCCACTAACTCTGGTGACTGTCGTACTTAACCGATCTCTATGAAAATTTTTTTGAGACTTTCCTGACTATCCAGGACTACGTAGAAAAAATATCAAGAGTTCTCGGAAGGTTCACAATATTTTTTCTGACCTTCGAAGAGTTTTGAAAAATATTTCCGTACTAGCTAGATACTTTGTTCAACAAAAATTTTCCCTGGCTGATAAATTTTATATTTATTGCTCAAAATAGTTTTTCTAGATCATAATACACACTGTTTCATGGTTATACCAATTTCGGATGTTCAAATGAGTAATCCACCGGGGTTCAATTATCATGAATTTTCGGAATTTTGTGAATTTTCAAATCAAGTCAAAATTAAAAAATGTCCCAATAATTTTTTTTCAACGATGTTAATGTTTCAAATTGTTGCAAAGGTGTTTAGTGAATGTTTTTATATCACGAATATTATTTTCAAACATAAATTTTGAAAGAAATGCAACTTTTCCAAAAATCATAATTTCTCGAAATTCATCATTTGACTCTGATTATCCGTTAATTACTCTAATTAATGAAGAGGATTTATGCTCAACATTTTTTTCAACAATTTTTGATAGTATTAAGACTATTTGCAATCATTCATACTTATAAATATTGGAATTGTATCCCCAGATTTCAATTTTATCGAAAAATGAAATTTTGATACTCGCAAGTGGTGGTTCAATATAACCACATCTAAAAAAGTCTGAAAGTCGGGTAGCTGTAATAATATTTGTGCCGAACCTTCCCCAATACTTACTTTACCTAAACTAAAAATTATAGTTATGAAATATTACATACAGACATGAAACAATTAGCCGATAAAATATCGAAAATTTAAAAAATCGTCAAAAAGCGAAATTTTGAAAACCATCGTTTTCCAACTTAGTGAAATTTGTTGTGTTCAAAATCAAAAACAAGTCAGTATACTAATTAGGAACTTTAAAATGATGGTTTTTGAGAAAATTTGAGCAAAGAAATCATAAAAAAATTGCTGCGTGATTACTGTCAGATCAGCATATACTTTTGTCGCTATAATTTGTTGTCACCCTGTATAATTTTTCCTCAAAACCTCCATTCTTACCGTCATTTCAACATCTCCTCCATTATTTTCATCTCTTCCATTTCTATCCTGTTTTTCAATTCTTTCCTTCAATTCTTTATAATCTTTTTCAACTGATACAATATGTCTTGATAGTTTTTCCATTGCTTGATTCAATACTTCAAATGTCCATTGTCTATCGTGTTCTTGTTTCAATTTATCATCGAATAACCACGAAATTACTTGAGAACAATCCAATACTTGCATTTTGAGCAATTTATCGATTAGAATCATCATCATCTATAAAAATATGATCTCTTGGTCAACATTTGAATATTTGTCTCACCTGTTGATTAGTTTTCCAACAAGAATACAAAGTATCAAGCAATCTTTCTTGAAATCTCTCCGCAAAATCACAAACAGTTTTCAATGTATTTTGATATTTGGACAATGCCGAAAAATTATGACTATATGTTTTGGCAGCCATTTTCAACATAACCGTCACAAACACCTCAAAATCATCAATATTATATCCTTCTTCAGGATCCGAAGCTCGTAATTCTGAGATAAATGCTTCAGCCGGTTGTCGTTCTTGAAACATTTGTTGAAATGTTTGAGCTTTTGCGTATCCTTGTTCAGTTTCATCATCTAACATATATCTGACTTCTGGAGTTGTTGGTTGAATTCGAACAAATTCTGATGGAATTGCAGCGATGATTTTGTCATAAGAACCGAGTCTTCTGCATTTTTCGATGACTTCACGGGCAAATGCAACACTTCCACAAAACGAGTCTTTCTGGAAATTGGAAACGGTTTGGGTTTGGTCAAAAAGAACTTGATTTTCAGTGGAAAATAGGTAATTTGGGAAACTTTGATATTTTCGAAGAAAAATTATGAATATTTTCAGAAATTCTACGGAAAACGTGACCTCATTTCTAAATTTCTATTCATTCCACAATCAGATTATTTCAAGAATTGTCATAACTGGAAACGATGCGATAAATGTGAGTTTTATTATTTCTATAACCGATTTTTGGCGCCAAAAATGAAAAACTCGAAACTTTTATATCAAAAACAGTTCTCACCTCCAAACAATCTTTCCAATCATTCCACGAATATCGATATTGAAAATTGGATAAATGAAAACTAAACCAATCAACCAATCGATCAACACATTCTGGTTGCATAAAATCAGCAGCCTGATAGAGTAACTCAACAGAATGTACCAAAATCTGCGGATAACTCGTCGCCTGAATTCGACACAATTCCAACAAAAGACTTCCATAAAATAATTGAGGAAGTGGAGAATGTGGAAGTCTGAACATTTGCCCAAAAATCGTCTCAAAAATCAAATATCCCATTGGAACTGTGCTATTCTCTTCAGCAAATGCAACCAATTCTTTCGCACAATTTTTTCGATTTGTCTGATTTTTCTCAATAATCCACGCAATTTCGACTTCAATAAGGAATCGCTCAATCGAATGATTTCCGGGTAAAACCATACCATCTTCAGAGCAATCAGCATAATCAAAAAGGCGAAAAACGACCTGAGGATAGGGATATTTTGAATTTTCCGAATGAATTGGTGGGGCGAAATTTGGCAAGTTATGTTGAAGAGCATCTTGAAGGACAACATCAAATCCAACATAATGTCTTGGAATGTGTTTTTCTTTCCAGTCCAATTTTTTCAAGGTTTCGATTTGGGCAAATAAACTGTCTAGATAATCTTCTTGTTCATTTGAACTGCCTTGTTTGCTCCAAACTTGGAGGATCTGCAAAAATAGCGATTTTGAGTGGATTTTCAACTATTTTCAAAATATTTGACTTCAAAAATCAATTTTTCGCCATTCCTTTAATTTTTAGGTAAAATTATCAAATTCTCATCAATCTGATTTACTCACCGGAACATGTTGTTTATTTCGTTGCTCTAAATACTTTCCAATTCCCTCCAAAATATTCTCCAATTGCTCATTTGCCTTCTCCATCAATTCGCCTCCAATCCACGGTAAACATCGCAAAACCGTGAAAATGAACCAATCGGTTCTCGATTGTGGCACACAATCCTCGAAAGCGGCGGCGACGAGTGATTCCAAATATTCGCCAACCGATTGAATTGTCAATACCCGCGAATTTCCCAAATCACACAGGAAAATCGCAAGATTCTGCGCCTCCCCGAATTTCTCATTATCCAACAGTTCTTGCTGCTCAGCGATAAGTCGCTCAACAACATCGCCTCCAAAATTGAAATTCTTCGCGTTCAATAATCCGACGAGTGTTGAATAAACTGTGGCGCGTTGTGGCAAATAAATTGCACAACCAGTAATTATATCAATAATATTTGTGCGATACTTGTCCAAATCGTCTTGCAACACTTTGCACAAACCCTCCAAATTACTTTCAATCGATGTTTTCGATTTATCATCACCAACTCTTCCAATAATATCTTGTAATTTTCTTTCTACCTCGGTTACCAGTGGTGCTCCTTTTCTTCGTTTTGTTGAGATCTCATCCTCCTCTGAAACACCATTTTATTATTTTTCAACAATTTTCACAAACTTACCATCATTATGACGGCGCCGAATTCCAGACATTCTTGAATTTTTCGGTTTTCGAAACGACGAAAAAAATAAAAATTTTGAAAACGCTGCTGATAAACAAGGGGCAAGCGGCGTGTCGTTCGACAAACACTGCAAACCCGCTCCATTTCGAATTGCTGTCAATCCCCAAATTTTTCAAAGAAGTTAACCTTTTTGCTCGAAAAATAGCGACTTCTCGCTAGAAAATAAAGATTTTTGATAACCCCATAGATTGTTAAGGAATTCCGAAATACCTTACATTATTTCTCAGCCCTTGAATATCGAGAAGATTTGATGAATTTCGAGAAAATCTTCGGTTACAGTAAGAAAAAACTCAAAGGCACATGAAACATATTGACGGATAGGTCTTGCAGCGACCCGCGAAAAGCTATTTTTTGGGGAACACGAACCGCCCGTCCGAAAATTCTGTCATTTTTTGGGTTTTCGATGGTTCCGTGTTGGTTTTTATTGAGTTTTCCAGTTTCAGAGGCATTGCATTGTTGAAATTTTTCTTTTTTGGCCTAGACTAGATTCTTAATTTTTCAAAACATATCACGATGAAGTTTTCGCAAAAACCTTTTTTGTTGAATTTTCTTGTTTTTTTTATGTTACCCAATCAATTTCGATTTTTCCAGATGTCATACATCCAAGTTTATGGGCGTTTTCGCCCTTCAGCGAGCTCTGGACAGGATGCGGTCGAAATTTTCGACAACAGTCGAGTTCACCTCCAGCAATTGGGCAAGGAGCAGAAGATATTCGAGCTTCACCGAGTTTTTGGTAAAACATCTACTCAAGAAGAGATTTTCGAAGTCGCTGCTCGGAAATTGGTGAGCGAATCGGTGGATGGAGTGAATGCGACGATTTTCGCGTATGGCCAAACTGGATCCGGAAAGACGCACACGATGTTGGGGCCTGGAGATGGATGGTCGGATGTGGACATGAAAGGCTTGATTCCAAGGTCAATCGCATGTCTTTTTGAAACGCTGGAACAGAAGACCAAGGTAACTTATTTTGAAATCTCTGTAGATAAACCAATATTAATTTTCAGGAATCCCAAAAATTCGAATTCGCCGTTTCAGTTCAATTCGTTGAACTCTACAACGAAACGATTTTCGATCTCTTGGATACAAATCAAAAGAAGATAACACTTCGAGACACAGGATCGGATGTTCAATTGGTTGGCGCAATTTCGGAAGACGTCCAAAATTGTCTCGATTTGATGCATGTTATCAAACAAGGTTGGCAAGCGAGAAAAACCGGGGAGACAGCTATGAATCGCGATTCTTCGAGATCTCATGCTCTGATTATTGTTCGAATCAAAACGGAAGAGTTGATGGGAGCGATGTCAATCACCAGATCATCTACACTGAATTTGGTTGATTTGGCAGGATCGGAGAGACAATCGCACACAAAAGCAGCCGGAGAGCGATTGAAAGAGGCGACACACATCAATGGTTCGCTTTCGGTGCTCGGAAGAGTTATCCGAATCCTTTCATCACCTAAAAACTCCAAGGAATTCGTTCCATATCGTGAATCTTCGCTGACGCACATATTGAAGAATTCGCTCGGTGGAAACTCGAAAACCGCTGTTATTGTGAACATGCACCCAGATCGGAAATTCCTTGCCGAAACTTCATCAACACTTCAATTTGCGGCAGCCTGCGCTATGATCAAAAATCATGTGTCGAAGAATGAGAAGATGTCGGGTGAAAGCGAGGCAGCATTCAAAGAAGCGATTCGACAACTGAAATTGGAGATCGAGGAAGTTGAGGAGAAGGTGAAAAGAGAATACTCGCTGAAATTGTCGAGTTGCGAGGAGGAGAAGAAGAAGCAGAACGATTTGGCGATTTCGTTGCGCACTGAACTCCAGGAATTGCAGACGAAATATCGACTTTTGGTTCTGCAACAAAGCGCAGATGTCGATGAGAACTTGCCTAAAGAGATCATCGATCGATTATTTGTGGATTTGTCGAGATCGGTTGAAGAAATCGGGCAAGACAGATTGGTGGAAAAGTTGCACACGGTGAGTTCCTTTTTTCAGTAGAAAAAACTGAATATATGAAAAAGACTTCAAAAATTGATTTTTCAGAAGACTCTTGAATGCGACGCCAAATCTCGCGAAATCGAACAACTTCGCGTAGAACTTGCCGAACAGCGAACCAACATGACGCAAATGCTCGAAGAATCTCGCATCTCAAGAACTCCGCAAACTAACCGCCGAAGAACTCGAAATCCGCGCCGAGAGACGATCTACGAACCATCGCCGGCTAGAAGAAAGGTTTTCGAAGCGGAAGAAGATCAACAAGTTCCATCGCCTTCAACTTCTTCTTCCCAAATCGAGCAAGATTTGATAACTTGTTTATCCGAAAAAGAAGCTGTCGAAAGCGATTTGGAGAAAACCAAAGCGAATATGGCGAAAATGGCGGAGGATTGGATGGCGAAAGAACAAAGATTCGCAGAAACTTTGGACAGTTTTGAAAAAGAGCGATATTCGCTGAAAGAGGACATCGCCAAACGCAACGACGATGTCGAATTGTTGCAGGAGAAATTGTCAAGATCCTCCAAGAACATCGACAAATTGCTGATTACTTGCAGCCAGAAAGACGCGCAATTCGCGAAATTAGCCGAGGAGAAGGAGAAAAATGAGGCGGCATTGAACGAGGAACTGAATGGTTGGTTGATTGTTTGATTCTAAGATTGTTTATTAGGGACAAATAGAGTTTTCTTGATTTTTTTTACAAAATGTTTCTATTTTCAGAAATGCTTCTTCATTTCCAAGAAGAAATCTCTCAACTCAAAAAGGACAAGGAGGAACTCGTCAAGAAAAACGCCGAAAATCAACATCTGGCCAAGGATGACGCAGAAAATCGTGAAAAGGTCGCGGAACTCGAGGTCGAGCTGGAAAATGTCCGGAAAAATACGGAGGAAACCGTAGCGAAGTTGAAGGAGGACAACTCGAAACTCCGAGCCGATTATGAGAAAATGGAAAAGAAGGCGAAGAAGCTCGGCAGAGACATCAATGAAATGGTAACCGAGCAAACCCGTCTACAATGCCAACACGATGATTCGGTGCAGCAAGTGCAAATCCTCAAAAAATCCAACGATGATCTGAAGAAATCGCTGTCTTCTCGATTTGAACAACACGAAAATGAGATGCGGGAAACTGTGGCGAAGAATTTGAGTGTTGTCAAAGAGATGGAGGAGCGATTGAGAAGAGAACGGGCGGATCATGAGGCAACACTTGCTGAAAATGCGAAGAGAACCGCCAATTCGAATGCGGAATTCGACAAAAAAATGGCGCAATTCAAAAAGTTAGTTTGTTCTTTATTTAGAAGAGCATTTAAATCAGGGAACTGAAATTATGTTTTTCAAATTTATAATTAGAAATTTTCAACTCTTCCATGAATTATGCATACTTCATTTTTAAAATTTTCAACGAAACGAAACTGAAAATCCTCTCAATTATTCCAGAACATTTCGTGCCGCCCAAGAAGCCGAAATTGCCCAAAAGGAGCAAGAAGTGAAAGCACTTGAGGAGGAAGTGGCCGCGCTGAAATTGAGGAGTCAAGAAGATTCGGATACGCTCCAAGGAGTGATGGGCCACGCAAATCGCGATCAAAAGGTGAGTAAATTTCAGGGGTTTCTGGTTGATAATTGAAATTTAACCGTTTTAAATATTTCTTCAAAATTAGAAAAAATTTTAGTAGGAGGCTTTTTGCTCACAGTTTCATCATATTTCTCTAATAATCCATTTTTTCCAGATCGGATACGTTTCCAAGCTCCGCAACAAAATCACCGAACTGGAAGCCGACAAGGCAAAACTTCTTCGCGAATTGGCGACTGCGAATGAGGCGAGGCGCACATTGAGACCGCGAAATTAAGTCGCCCATTTTCATGTCTGTGAATAACGTTTTTTTTCAAAATTAATTTTGTATTTCCTGTAAATAATTTATACCGCCCCTTTTTAACATTATTTTTTTTGAAGTTTTATTTTTTAATGAAAACATTCGTTTTTCATCGCCTTGCTTTTTTTTTGGTGCAAACACTTTGACGTAATATCGCACAGTTTTGTGTTTACTTTATTTGCGGGCTTCTGGGGGTTTTTTTTCGAGATTTTTGCTTCGCGCGATTCAAGAAAATGAATTGTGACGTGGCAAGCCACGTAACTCATGGTTAATACTGCACCAGTAAAATCCCAAAATTTGCAGACAACAAAAAAATGAGCGCAGCCCAATACGCTCGCCTCGTTCCTCGAAAATATCGTCATCGAACACTTCCCAAAATGGACCGGCCTATTAGGCCTCGTGTTATTTCGTGGGCCGGTCCATCTGCATTCTATCCAAATCGATTCTACGAAATTGACAAATGGTACAAAGCGAGAATCGATAAACCCGAAACAATTCCTGATATGCACATTATTGAACCGACTGATTATACCAAATCGATTAGAGAGATTTTGGAGAAACGTATGGAATTTTTGGCCGGGGAAATTTGATTCTAGATCAAATATTCACTTCTTGTAGTGAAAAAATTGAGAAAAATCTGCATTTTTGTGTCTCGGAGCGTAACAATCATGAAAAACTGAGATTTTGGAGAAAAGTTGGCCAAAAAATTGAGATAATATATCCAGATAAATCTGATTTTTGAGTCCTGAATTGTAAAAATGAGAGCTTTCAAATCTCGAGGCCTAATTTCCCAATAAAATCTAGTTTTCTATTCTCAAAACTGTGTTTAACGAATAATATTTGCAGCCCAAACCGAATTGATCAACATTGGGTTCAAAAAACCGGAACTTTCGGCCAAAAAAATTGAGAAAACTGAAGAGGATCGTGTTGAACTTGAGAGAAAATCGAGACATATGGAATGTACGTTTTATTTTAAAAATTATTCAAGAATCTTTTTCTCATTTTTTCCAGTACTAATTTCAATCGATAATCTCGAAATTCCAAATCTCTCAATCTACAAACACTTCAATATTTTCGACGATTTATTCGGTAAATCAACATTTTTCGAAAAACGCTCAAAATTTCGACGTTTGCTATCCGAAAAATCACGCAATTTATAATGGAAATATTATTGAAGCCCAAAATCTTACTGAAAAACCTGATATAAAAATTGAGAAAATCGGGAATTCCGGGGGATTCAACACATTGCTCATGGTAAACATTGATGGAAATGGGTTTTTGGAGCAAAAAAACGGGGAATTTGTGCAATATTTGGTGGCAAATATTGAAAATGGCGGAGAAATTGGCACTGGCGACGAGGTTTTCGAGTACTTACAACCATTGCCATTTTATGGAACCGGATTTCATCGAATCGCTTTCGTTCTCTTCAGACATTCTGAAAAACTTGATTTGGCTGGAATTTCGGGTGCTGCAAATCTGGAGAGCCGAATTTTGAACGTGTCGGAGTTTTATAAGAAAAATGAGCGGGTTTTGACGCCTTCTGCTATTCGATTTTGTCAAACAAAATATGATGAAAGTGTGAAGAGGAAATTACATGAATTGGGTAAGGTTTTGAGATAGAAAATTGGATTTTTAAGGGAAAACATGGGGAAAAATTTGCCCTGATATTGACTAAAAATTGATTTTTCTGGTCTAAAAGTAGGCATGTTTTTCATCAAAAATTAGACATTTTAGAGTCTGAACTTTTTTTGAGCCTAAAATCAGGCATATTTTCCCAAATTTTTCTCACTAACAATAAAAATCAAAAACTCCAATCTTTCCAGGCTACAAATCACCGCTCTACAATTATGAATATTTGCCAGCCTTGAAACCGGACCAAAAAGAATATCCCAAAAAACCACAACCATTTGATTTGTAAGTTTTTTTAAAGTTTTCAATCTGAAACTATGATTTGTCTTCTTTGCAGATATTTGGATATGTATCGAGATCCGAAAGAAATTGAAGCAGAAGTACTTGAGAAACGGTTGAATACGATTGGATTGAATGATGTTGAGGTGAGGATATTTTAGACTGAAAATTTACAGAAAATTGGATTTTCCTGATCATTTTTAGCCTAAAATTTGATTTTCAAATTATTTTGAGATAAAAATACACAAAAAAATGAGAATTATATTGATTTTTCAGGTCCAATTTACCCCATTCAAATTTTTCGCTATGCATTTTTCCTCATGAAAAAAATACAAAAAATGCATAAATAATCCAGTTCCATAATTATTTGTCTCTGATAACCGACAAAATAAACATTGGCGACGAAATGAGCAAAACCTCGTGTTTTTTATCAGATAATTTTCGTTCGAAATTCATGGAATTTTCCCGGTAAAGGGTGAAAATTCTATGAATTTTTTGATTTTTGCTCATTTCGTCGCCAATGTTTTTTCCACTTATCAGAATGATACCGGATTATTTATGCATTTTTTCATGAGGAAAACTGCATAGTTAAAATGATAAGAAAGTTTTTTGAGCGAGAAATATGAATGGGGTGATTTTTGAACCAAAAATCTAGAAAAGTGGAAAATTATCGCCTGAATAGTCTTATTTTTGATCGAAAAATGCTCAATATTGAAGAACAAGGTTTTAGCTAGAAATAAATTTTAATCAAAATAAGTTGTGAATTTTGAAAATTCAGATTTTTCTGGTCCAAAAAATCTTAAATTACTAAAATGTTTGGCTCCCAAAATCGTTCTTATCATTTACACTATGCATTTTTCCTCGAAAAAAATTCAAAAAAAAACATAAATAATCCGGCGCCTTTTTTTTCCTGATACCATTTTTTTCTGTTTGAAAGCGCGTGCTTTTTGGAATTTTAGAGGTTCAAAGATTGATAAAAATTCGATAAAAATGTGATTTTTTGTGATACTTTTGACCCGGAAAATTCCAAAATTTTTTAAATTTTATCAGCAAAGAAGACGCCAGATTATTTATATTTTTTTAATTAAATATTTTTTCGAAGAAATTGCATAGTTAAAAAGATAAGAGTTTTTGAAAAAAAAAATAATGAGGTGATTTTTCGAAGTTCAAAAATAGAACATTTCGGATTTCCAGAAGATCGGGCTTAATATTCACAGAAAAAGGAATATTTGAATCCTTCAGCGAAAAAATCCAAGTGAAAATGAGAAATGTTTGGTTCTGAAGCGTGAAATGATAAAATTCCATTTTTTTTAAATTGAAAAACTGATTTGACGCCAAACTGCCACGTGGCGTTTCAAATTTCAAAAATTTTTTTGTGAAAAATTCACCCGAAAAATCCCAAAATCAATTTCAGGCTCCAAAATGGTTGGACACTGATTACAACGAGAACAAAAAGAAATTGCCATCTTGGTTGCATTCGAAAATGTTGGATCGAAGTGGACCAAATCGAAAATTGTATGAAAATATTGAGAAAAAATAGAAGTTGGCCGGAAAAGTTTAGAAAAATAGATTATTGTTATTGTTTTTTTGATTTTCAATTGTTTTTTTTTATTTTTCATTTATCTAGATGAATAGTTCATATTTTTGGATTACTCAGCATCTCCTGGCGTACAAAATGCGCACGATAACGTACGCTTTCCCTACACTCTTTCTACGCTTTTTGTACACTTGCCACTTTTCGCGAGTGTAGCTACATTGTAGGACCGCGTTGCAAGCTTGTTGCGTTGCGGCTATTATTTTATTTTTCTTTTCTATTTTCTTTTTGGCCTAAAATTCTTTTTAAACGTATAAATCAGGTATCATGATAGTAAAATTATATCTGCGTGGATTCTAGAAGTTGAAAATAATTATTGAAGCTATCAAACAACTTATTCGTCAAAAAAATATCGTTTTTTCAAGAAAAACCTTGAAATAATTTCGAAAATTCATCCAAACTGCGAATCAGAGTTGACCGATAACATTCCTTCTATTTATTCTCGTTATTATTCTTTTTACACCTGAATTTGATTGCGATTTGTTGAATTTCAGATCATCAAACCAACAACTCCTAGAATTTGCATCATGACGGCAGAAAAAAGGAGGAGAATCTTCCACAGGCAGATGCAGAACGGCCGGATACTTGCCAAAAATTGAAAACCGGTCCGAAACTTGTACGTTTCCGACCAGTGTTGAAAAACGGCCAGTAACAACTCAAAAACCGACCAGTTTCTGACCGGTTTATCAAAATTGACCAGTAACCGGCCGTGTTTTTTCACTGGTTTTCGGCCGTTTTTGTTGAATTTGAGCAGAAACCGGCCGATTTTCGAGTGGTTTTTGGCCGTTTTCAACACTGGTCGGAAACGTACAAGTTTCGGACCGGTTCTCAATTTTTGGCAAGTATCCGGCCGTTCTGCATCTGCCTGTGTTCACTGGAGTTCATCGAGGAGATGATTTTAAAGGTGAGGAAGACTACTAGGAAGACTAAGAATTCGGAATCTTACTGGCTAATCGCCTGTCAAAACGTAGGTGATCTGAAGTTGGCAGATCATTTCGTGGAGACGCCTCTTATAATTATGATAAGTAGTAATGTAATGGGACTTGGGATGTTTATGAATATCTAGAAAGTTGAAAATCATCCTATTTTTCAGGTTGACACTTGATGCTCCGCCTACACCTACGCCCAATGCTAACATCGGGATAGTTTCGACCGAAGATTCACAGTCAAGTAACCTGAAAATCAACGACAACATGCACATGCTCCACAACCCGAATTCTACCCCGCAACCCCGACTTCTACCACTCAACCCTCAACAACCAACACATTCTCAAAAAATCTTCGGAGAAATTAAATTTCTAACTTTTTTTATTATGTTTTGAAGATTTTTGTTATTATATTTATTTAATGTGCTAAAAGTCTATTGATCCATAAATGATTTGTTATATTTTCTAGTTTTAATCTCTCCTAAATCGCAGCGCAAAAAGAAAAAAATCGATTCGAAATTCGGTGTACGGTATTCGTTCAAAAAAAGGAAAAGTGTAGGATCTTTGTAGAGTTTTTTGTAGGATGTGCGTACAATGTTTGTAGCGTGCGTCATACAACAATGTAGCTACACTTTTTGTTCGCAAAAGTGTACGCCAGGAGATGCTGAGTACACGTGAATTTTCAGCCATGCACTTTTCAATGAAAATACTTTATTTTTCGCAAAAATTTTAGAAAAACATTTAGAAAAATCTAACATTTCTTCAATTCTTGACAGATTGTCTTTGGTGGAACATCTTTCTTGATCAAATCAACCATAACTTCAACTTCATGTTCTCCATATTCTTCACACAAATGTTCAGCTGATTTAGTTGGAACCTCTTTCAAACAAATCGCATCCACATCTTTTTTCGCAACACTTTCACCTTCTGCCAAAACTTTTCCTTCAACTCCTTTAACTGTCGCAACACAAGTAATACAAGCCAAAGAAGCTTGAGATTGTGGAATAAATGAGGAGAGAGTGAGAGAGACGCAGACAGCGAGAATTAAAACGGAGGCGATACGAGCCATTTTGATTGATAAATTGATAATTTATGAGAATGACAAAGTTTTAGGCGTATTTTATATTGTGCACAAAGTGTTTTCTTATCTCATTTTTTCGACGTAAATTGACATGGGCGGTTCGTGAGGAAAAGTTCAAAAATCATTGATTTGATTCGAAAATTCATAGATAACGAAAATTCATAGAATTTTTGGTGAAAAATTTGAAAACTGGGAAAATTTTTCAGGTCCTGCGATGAAAAGTTAAAATTTTTCGCTTCAAGACCTAGAAATCAATATTTTCAGGTCCTGGGGCGAAATGTGGGACCAAAATCTTATGTTCACGATGTTCTGGCTCCTGACACGAAAATTCCACGCTTTTCGTTGCAAGACCCATTTGTTTAGAGTTTAGACCTAGATTACATAATCTAGCAGTGGCGACAAAAACGTGATTTTCGGACTTTTGAACCGAACCGCCCATAATTTATTACTTTTTTGAGATAAGAAAATCAAACTTTTTTCGTTGATAAACAGCTATAAAAACAAGCTTAGAACAGTTTTCGTACCAAACTATCAATCTAAAAATGCCACGTGTCATTCTAATTCTTCTCGCTGTCTGCGTCTCTCTCACTCTTGCCTCATTCATTCCACAATCTCAAGCTGGATTGGAATGTATTACTTGTGTTGCAACAGTTAAAGGAGTTGAAGCAAAAGTTTTGGGAAAAGGAGAAGATGTGGCTGAAAAAGAGGTGAAACAAATATGTTTGGAAGTTGTGCCAATGAAATCAGCTGAACATTTGTGTGAAGAATATGGAGATAAAGAAGTTGAAGTTATGGTTGATTTGATTAAGAAAGATGTTCCACCAAAGGAAATTTGTCAAAAATTGGGAAAATGTTAGAGTTTTCTCTGATTTTTGAATGATATTCATGCGAAAGATAAATGATTTTTTTTTTCAAAAACATCCCACAAAAAACAACAAAAATTCATTCAAAATCAACAAAAAAACAACAATTTTCAAATGTTCTTACTGAAAAATCATATTCATTAATTCGGTGTTTTCCGTTTTCACCGTCGTATTTTTTCGCTCTTTTTTCGGTTTTCTGGCAAATGTTTTCTTTTGTTCGACATCTCGTTCGAAATTTGTCCATTTTCCGCCAGCCGATTTCACTTTTTCCTCCAATTTTCGCAAATTTCGGCCTTTTTCGATTTGATCTTCGAAGTGAGCGGCGATTCGACGAGCCTAGAAAAATGTTGGACGATTTTTCAGAGATTTTTTTGATTTTTAAAATTATATTTCTTTGAATTTTCATAACTTTTGGGCTTAAAGTTTTCAGGAAAACAATTGACAATTTAAATTTTGATTTTTCAATTTTCATATAAATTCTCAATTTTCGGTTCAATATTTTGAGGCTGAAAAAATAGAATTTTCAAAATTCTTGTCAAATTTGACTGAATTTTGACTCAATTTATCCGTGTTCTCTCAAATTTCTATCCCCAAAATTCTTAATTTCTTCTATATTTCTAACCTGTGCTAATTCAACATTCATTCGTCTTCTTTCAACTTCTTTTTCATACTGTAATTGTTCAGTCAAATGAACCCATTTGAATCCGGACAAATATCGAATATTCCAATACAAACTCGATACAAAATCTCGTTTTTTTCCGCCAATTTGAGTATTATCGATTTGTTCAGCAATTGCTTTTGCCACTTTTTTCTTTTTCAATTCCATCCAACCTTCTGAATATCTATTTGCCAACGATTTTGACGCTTTGTTTTTCTGGAATAAAACATTTTTCAGGAAATCGGGATTATGATGAAATTTCAATTTTGATATTAAAAAATTGTATTGGAGTTATGTTATGCTGATTTATTGTAATGCGGAATAGTTGCAAAATATGGAAGTTTTTTGAAACAGTGAGTATTTTTTGATAAAATAAATGAAATAATCAAAAATCAGATTTTCAAGTCAAAATTTCATCAAATAATTAGTTCTTCTCAAATTTTACATCAAAACCATGATTTTCCCGATTTAAAAAATGTCAGATGAAAATTCGAATTTTCTAGTTAAAAATAGACAAATAGTAAGAATTTCTGAAATTTCACAAGAAAGGAAATCAGGTGAAACCACGCATTTCCAGGTTAAAAGTTGATCGAATCATCAAACTTTCACAAATTTTCAATTGAAAAACCTCATTTTCCCTCAAAACACCTAATCCTTGCTCACCGCCAAATAAATTCTTCCCACATCTCCCGGCGCAATTTTCTCAAAATATTCTCGCATTCTTGCCACATTATAATTTGGGGGAATCATTGAAAAATATACAACTCCGGTTTTTCGCTGCTTTTTTTCGACATCTTCTGCATTTTCAGCTTCATCTCCCGAAATTTCAGCTTTTTCCTCTTTGTCTGAAATTTCAGCTTCATCTTCTTGATTTTCTAGTTTTTCAGCAGGAATTTCAGGCTTTTTCTTCACAATCTTTCTTTTTGCTGGCATCTGAAAATTGTTTTTTTTTTTGAAAAAATTCCAGATTTTCAGATATAAAAAGGCGCAAAAACCTTTTGAATTAAAAAAAATGAAAAAAAAACCGGAGGAATTTTATTATGCACATGGAATAATTTCAATAAAATTTGTACAAAAATTAGGATTTTCAAAATTCTCAGAGAATTACAGCGATTTTTTGAGTTGGAGTTCTGCAGTTGATGCTTGACTTCCTTTTCGATCCAAATCTCGAACCATCTGCAAAAATCACGGGATTTTTTGGATAAGAAAATTTGGCCTAAAATTTCGGGTTTTTTCTGGGTTATTTTTTGCCACATGGATTTTTAGGATCATTTTTCATACTAAAAAATTCCTAGGATCCTAAATTTTTTGAAACAGTGAAATTTCCCGCAAAAATTTTTCAGATTAACATTTCGCCGCGTGGATTTTCAGAATTAAATTTTACAATTCTTATGATACGAAAATCAATTTTTGTCAAATAGGTATTCAATAATTTTCGAAAAAGCCATCAAAAATATCTATATTTTTTGAAACAGTGAAAAATTTAGAATTTTCAGCGTTAAACTCAGAAAAATCCCAAATTCCTCTTAATTTCCTCACCTGTATTCCAGCTTTTCTCGCCATTCTTCCAGCAACACTTCTCGGTCCCAAATCCCAAATCTGTGCGGCTGCCAATCCACCATGTCCAGCCGCAAATAATGCATGATGTGTTGTTTCACTCGCTTCTTCTCCATATTTTAATTTGACATTTTTGACAGTTTGATTTGCAATACTTCGACATAATGCAATACTTCCATCTTCTAAACTCATCCAAATTGTACTAATTCCAGTTATTCCTCCTCCAATTATTTCAATTGTTCCCGATACTAATCCACCAGTTTTTCCGTCTCCGAATTTTTTCTGAGCTGAATCGGCCAACTTTTTACCCATAGACACACCAATGTCACCAATTTTGTCTACTGCAAAAATTGGCAATCAAATATTCAACTTTGATTTTTAAAAATAATTTGATGTTGAAAATTCCCAGAAAAATTAAATTTTCATTCTTTCTGATTACCATGAAGTTGGAGCTATAAAAATTCACTGTTTCAGAAAGTTCAGAATTTTTTGAGAGATTTTCTAGTCAAAAATTAAAAATTCACGATTTTTTTCAATATCGAAAAACATTGCTGTTTCAAAAAATGATTATAGGTTTTTTTTAAATTTTAAACAAAAATAACCGAAATGCAGATTTTTCCCCAAAAAATTATGTTTCAAAATTGTATATAATTTTGATGGGTTTTCAAAATGATGTTGGCTTTTGTTTGCAACAAATTTTAAAAAACTTCAATTTTTCAGATTTTAAGAAGTTTCAACCCTCCTCCCCTTGCTGCTCCTAAAAATAAACTCACATAAATATCTCGTGCATTTCGCCACAACTTTTGTTCCTTTATGCATATAAACAACACTTCCTTTAACAATCGGCGAAACATTTATCGGTTTTTCAGTTTCCGTCAAATTTTCTCGATATTTTTCGCCATTCTCTTCCACGTGGCTCACTACTTTTACCGTAGTTGTTTCAACTCCCCACGCTAATTTTTGTCCACTTTTTATAAGGAATTTCGAGATTTTAGTGCTGATTCGTTGTTTTTCATCAGTGGTGAGAGGAAGGTCTTCTTGAGAATTTTTGAAATTCGAAAATTCTTGAAGGACTTGGTCGAGTTCTTGAATAAGGCGAGATTCGATGTCGGAAGATAGAAGAATTGCAACCATAAGATCTGCAAGAAAAATTAGAATTTTTGAAGGGGAAATATGTAAATTTTGAGATTCTCAATTTTGAAAATATTATTTTTTTTCCTTTTATTTTTCGACTAGATTGATTCCCGAAGTCTCTCAATAAAAAATGTGAAATTTCAACATGAAAACTTAAACTTCTCAAACCATTTTTCCCTCAAAAAAATTAACCAACAAAGAAACTAACTTGGTTTCTCGGGTGTCGGATTTGCCAAAACATAAGCTCCAAACTCATTTTTCAAAATCGGTGTTTTTTCGCCCATCAAAGGATAAACCCATGGTCCAACTTGAATAAAGGCTTTTGTGTCAAAATTTTCAGAATCCGAAAATTCAGAGGAATTTGGAAATTTGAGGATTTGCAGAGAAGTTGGATCGGTTGGAGCAGTTGTCGAGGAACCCTGCAAAAGTTTGATATTGGCTTAAAAATCAAGAATTTTGAACGGAAAATTTGCGACTTGCAACTTTTACTGAAACAACTTCCGTAGATCTTTTTTTAACAAAAAAACTAACAAAAATTTTGAATTTTATCGTGAAACTAACTTTTGGATCAAAATTAGATGTTTTTGCGTAAAAAACCATGAAAAATCCCATTTTCTAGCCCAAAATTCCCCCAAATCCTCACATCAATTGTAAAAAGTTGAACACCTTCTGGCAAAAAATAAATCAATTCAGCTTCTTGACTTCCAAACGAATCCAATTGTTGTCGAATTTGCTCTTTTTCATTTTCCACAGAGTTTTCATCGTCAATTTTCGCTTTTTCTTCATTTTTTGATGGTTTCGGTCCGTCTTTTCGCATTGTTTTTATTCTGAAAAGTTGAGATTTTTTGGAATTGGAAAAGTTCACTTTTTGAACGTTTTTTCTCAAATTTCAGCCAAGAAAATCAAAACTAAATGCTTCCAACCAATTTTCAGATTCATTTCTATATGAAATATTTTTGTCAAAATTTTCAAAAAAAATTGTTTTTATTCAAGTAAATCAAAACCATATTCATGGAAATCAAATCGAAAATTTACAAATTTTTTGAAACAGTGAATTTCTTCGATTTTCAAAATTTTCTCCCAAAAATCTCACCTATGTTCCACACTTTTCTTAGCCTCTTGTAAAACTGGATAAAGTGCTGATTTTTTGGCCTTTTTCTGCTTTTCGCCCTCATTTATCAAATTCAGGCCTCGTTCGTACATCGCAAGCGTATTTTCCTGGAAAAATGTGAGAGTATTTTTCCGCCTAAATTCGGTATTTTAACTGAACAAATATTTTTTAACTCACAGTTTCCATGGTGAAAAAATCTCGAAATGATCAAATTCTCAACAAAAAATACGTGAAAAATTTAATTTTGAAAACGTGATTTTTTTTTGGAATTTCTTCAATGTTTATTCCGAGAATACTGTTAGCCATGGAACTACTTATCAACTTTTGAAAACTAAAGTTCTAGAAATTTTGAAACAGTGAAAAATTTATAATTTTTTTCTGAAAAAACTCAATTTTTATCGAAAAGTTAAAATTTCAGGTTAAATTATTACATTTTTTAATTTTCTAGGTAAAAACCTCGCAAGCATTCAAATTTTCTTTCCCAAATCCCTCCTCTTAAAAAACTCACAAAATCATCAACTTCATCATAACAAAGTCCTTGTTCGATACAAGCAAAAGCTTCGGAAAATATTGCATCAGCCATTGCCGAACTCGGAACTTTCCACAAAAACGAAAACATTTTTTTCTGTTTCGAAAAAAAAGTGGGAAAAAACAAAATCGATCTCTTCTGATTTTCGCCCTCTCTTTCTCTCGTTTCTCCTAAATTTCTCTACTGTTTTCTGTCAAAACAGTTGTTATTGTTAGTAAAGTAACTTTTTTTCGATGAAGAACAAGTGGAAAATTGGAAATTGCTGGAAAATTACGAAATTTAGTGATGAAATCATACATTTTATTCAATCAGAAGTGCTAATTAGGCTAAAAATCGATAATTCCAATTAATCAATCGATTATTCGACATATCTCTTGTTCCACAATGGAATGTATTGTCCGACGGTTTTCCATTCGCAAAAGTAGATGGCCAAAAGGAAGGCTGAGCCACCGTATGCTCCGTATGATTTGAAGCTGAAAATGTAGAAGATTTTTGAGGGGAACTTGGGATTTTAATAGTTTTGGAGTAGAAAATTAATTATTCAGTTTGAAAATTCATAAGTTTTAAATTAAATTATACGGAAATTCAGTTCAATTTTTGATATTTTTTCCTGAAAAAACAAGTTGTGCGAATTAAGAATTTTTGAATATTTTTTTGAGTTCGGAATATGAATTTTGTGTAGAAAATGTATGAGGAATTGAGGATTTTCGAGATAGAAATCATGATGTGAACAAAAAATATGTTGAAATCGTGCACTAGGAACCGAAAAAGCTTTGGCAGCAGCAAAGCTTTAAAATTAGCAACTTCAATATTTTGACATTCCGAAAAATTCTGAATCACTAATTTTTCTTTTTAAAAAACTCACTAATTTGGATTGGTGGCGGCGTTTTTAAGGAAACGCGAAGCATTCATGTACAACGACATTTTTAACCTGAAAATGAGACAAGTTTCGAATTTTCGAATTTTTCCCAAAAAAATTTAAATTTTGCAGATATTTCTAGCGATCTCTACGCATTTTCAACAAAAATCATATAAATAATTCAAAGTTTTACCAGAAAATATAATTTATTATATAACAAAAACACATATATATATAAATTAATATTTAACACAGATTTACCCCCAAGTTTGGCTTGTTTTTTTTTGGAATTCTATAGAAAATAAATTATTTAAAGCGCATATTGATTTTTGTACATTTTTTAGCCCAAGAAATTGGTGACGACCAAGTGGAGAACCAAGTTAGCGAAAATGAAGTCGGCAAATGCTCTTTCTGGTGAAACTTGCTTGAATTCGGTGCGATTTTCGGGATTGACTTGCATTCGAAGGCAAGCTGAAAGGTTTAAAGGATTTATGAGAGAAAATATAAAGATTTTCCAGAAGTGGATTTTGAGAGGCTGATAACGATTCTCATAGATCAACAATGAATATGAATTATAAAGTTCACAATTTTTGCTACGTCATAACTCATATCCAAAGTTCAGAAGATTGATTGGTGAATCAAAATCAACTTTCCATTTAAAAAAAAACTCACAAGCTAAAACAAACGATGTAACAGTTGAGATAAAACCAGAGAGGAATGAATTGAATGGGAATGTTCCGACCAAAACGCAATAAACAAATTGGAAAATTCCGGTGAAAAGAATGTATGTCATATAAGCATCGATGATTTTCAGCTTTTGTGGAGTGGTTTTTTGATAGTCTTCGAACAATTTTTGAAGAACTGGAAGAGCTTGCGCGGCCATTCTGGAAACAAATAATAAGAAATTGGTGAGGAATAAGTTGCGAGACAAAGAAAGTTGAGAGAAATATATGAAAAATAAAATTCAATTTTTTTTAGAAAAAACTTCTTGGAATAAAAAAAACCGTATTTTCATTGAATAGTCGTAATTTTAGCAAACATTCAGAACGGAATACTGAAGAAATCTATTGAATACAAGACTTCAATTTGACTTCTAGCAAAAAAAGCTCAAAAACTCATCAAAAGCTGTAATATCATTTTTCAGTTAATCTTCGAAAATTCAGGGTTTTATCTTATTTTTCGAGTGAAAAATCAAGATTTTCCATACAAAAATAGCTCTTCCAGCAACTTTCACAACATTTTACACAAAAACCTGCAACCCAGCCAAAAATACAGCGAAAAAACCCTGAAAAACAATTCAACGTGGCACAAACAACACTCCGAACCGTAGTGCGGGCGGCGGTGCTATCCTCAAAGGTACATCATATTTTCCCAGCTCGTCGCCGCAAGACCAAACGCCCTTGCAATGTGCGGCGCGGTGTTTCTGCAATCCTCCCGCACACACAATTTTTTTTCTGTTTTTTTTATTTTCCCTTTTTTCTCTGCGCCTTTTGAGGAGAGAAAAGAGGCGGGGTTTCGAGAAACGAAAAAAGAAAGTCGAATTCAAAAATCTACTATCGGGTCTGCTTTTTGATGAGACTTTCTTAGGAAATGCTTTACACTGTACTCAATTTATTAGCGTAAGTTTTTGTTTTTTGGATGGAAATTTTTCTAGAAAGCTGCTGAAAATTTCGAAAAATGAAATTTTGCAGCCAAATATATTGCAATGGCCCGATTCTTCAAACCGTCCAAGATTCGCACATGTTTCCCGATTCCAAACATTTCGTAGACATGTCGCTGAAATATGATCCAAGTTCGTTTTTTGGCTGGGCTGAAAATTCTCCAAATATGGTCTGACCATAAATCACCCATTAATCATAAATTCTTACAAAAAGTTATCAAAAAACCGGTTTCACTCTTGATTTTTCGAACTTTTTTCTCAGAAATTGCGAAAAAACTGAGCAGTTGTTGTTATTTTCTGGGGTCATGTGAACCATGTTTTTCCGTCTTTTTTTCTTTCAAAAATCAGAAAAATTTTCACAAAAAATAAGATGGCCATATCATATTAGTGGGGAGTAAAACGAAAAAAGACATTGAATTAGGTGGAGAATGAAAATTGGAAATGCAATGTTTGGGGAAGATGAAATGCGGTGCAAATGTACCTGGGATTTTTGAAAAGAAAAATATTCACCTGATTTGCACATGGGTTCAAATTAATTAGATTTCAAGGTTGAAAGATCAGAGTTCGGAAAATAATCGAGAAAATAATTGGATTCTATTTTTCTTATGAAGATTTCAAGGCTTCCAGATTTCTAAATTTTTTTAGTTCACATGAATCAGAAATCAAATTTTTGACCAAACATCTGAAATCAATACAGAATATGTTTAGTCTAAAAAATTCTGAAGCCCTCTCAAAATCTACTTTCCAGTCACAACTCTCCGACACTTCGACGAACTTGGCGATTCAGCCACCGATGTCGTAATTCTTCGCGAATTCGTCACTTCTCATTTCAATCCACCAGGCACCGAATTAGTCGAATGGTTTCCTCCAGATTGGGTAGATTTCCCATCAAATTTCCTGAATATCCACGATTATCATCATCGTCGTTGGGCTCTTCATCTTCATCGAATTTGGAAGGATTTGTGTCGAAAAGTTCGTGATGATGTTCGAGATAACCAAGATCATTATTCTCTTCTCTATGTTCCTCATCCTTTCATTATACCAGGCGGAAGATTTCGCGAATTCTATTATTGGGATTCTTTCTGGATTTTGAAAGGGTTAATATTCTCCGAAATGTACGAAACTGCACGAGGTGTTATCAAAAATTTGGCTTATATGGTTGATAAGTAAGTTGTTGATGAGAGAAAATAAACAAAACAACAATAATCGTGTTGTTTTTCAGTCATGGTTTTGTGCCAAATGGTGGACGGGTTTATTATTTGACACGATCACAACCGCCTTTGTTGATTCCAATGGTTTATGATTATTATATGGGAACTGGAGATTTGGAATTTGTTATGGTAAAAAGAAGACATTGAAAATTAAAATATGACCAACAAAGAATCTGAGATTCTTAAGAATTTCTAGAATATTCTATCCAGATTTCAGAAAGCTGCGGAAGCTAGGCTCAGATTTTTAAAATTACCCTGAAAGATTTAACTGTATCATTCTAAATGTATCAGCGGGAAAATTCATAACAATTTTGAAACGTATAATTCTCGAGATTTCCTGAAATATTGTCTAGAGCATTAATGTTCAGAAAATTCTAGCAGGATTTCAGATGTGAAAATCTATACCCAAATTTTTATTTCAAATTTGAAATTCCAGCAAATCCTACCAACTCTTGAAAAAGAATACGAATTCTGGGTGAAAAATCGTATGCAAATGTTCAAAGATGAAGAAGGCAACGAGCTTTTTCCCTATTTCCAATACAAAGCAAAACTCAAAGTTCCGAGACCCGAATCCTATCGAGAAGACAACGAATTAGCCGAACATCTTGAAACGGAGGAAGAAAAAATCAGAATGTGGTCAGAAGTTGCATCAGCCGCTGAAACTGGCTGGGATTTTTCGACGCGATGGTTCTCACAAACTGGCGATGAAAAACATCGAATGAATTCGATTCGAACTTGGAGTATTGTTCCTGTTGATCTCAATGCATTTATGTGTGCAAATGCTCGTATTTTGGCTAGTCTTTTTGAGATTTCTGGAGATTTTAATAAAGTCAAAATCTATGAGAAACGATATGCTTGGGCGAAAAAAGAAATGAAAAGATTGCATTGGAATGAAACTGATGGAATTTGGTATGATTATGATATTGAGAGAGGAACACATTCGAATATTTATTATGTTTCGAATGCGGTGCCACTTTATGCCAAATGTTACGATGATGACGACGTTTCGCCGCATAGAGTTCATGAATATTTGGAGGTAAGAAAATTTTGGGAGATATTGAGGGGATTCGGGAATTTTTTGAATTTTAGTTCCAGACTACTGAAAATTATTTAAAAAAAAAAACCAAAATAACATACGTTTCAAAAATGTAAGAACTATCAATTACAAATTTCAAACTGTTTTCAGAGTGTTCATGTGATAACCTACTCAGAGATTCGCTGGCCAGCTCGCCACCAGATCGCTGCGGCCATCTGGAAACCGCATGGCCGCCAGGTCGCCTTGAGTTTTCCGGCGACGTGGCCTGTGTGTTTGAAATTCTGGAAAGCTGGCAAGACAGTGGTTTGTACTCAAAACAGTGCATTTTCTACTGTTTTTTTCACTTCCTAAGGTTTCAAGTGCTGCGAAAAAACAGAAAATGAGCCAAATTTTTCGAAAATGCCTCAATTCACAAGTTTTTCAGACTTTTTCATGAAAATTCATTTTGACGCGGCGAAGTGGCCACCACGTGGTAGCCATATGGCCGTGACCTAGCCAGAGCGTGGCCACCTTGCCAGCGAAAAAAAACCGGGCGACATGGTTTCCATGTGGTTCCCAGGTCAGCCAGCCTCCCCACCTGGTGGCGAGCTGGCCAGCGAATCTCTGAGTAGAAATCTTCAAATGGTCGAGAAACTCAAAAACATCAATCAAATTTTGAATCTTGGAAAAACTAAAAATTCCCAATACTTTCGAATTTTTCAGCGCGAAGGTGTAATGAAATTCAAAAAAGGTCTTCCGACATCTTTGGCAATGGGTTCCGAACAACAATGGGACAAAGAAAATGCGTGGCCTCCAATGATTCATATGGTAATCGAAGGATTTCGAACAACTGGCGATGAAAAACTAATGAAAGTTGCTCAAAAAATGGCAACATCTTGGCTCACAGTCACTTATCAATCATTTATTCGAACTCATGCAATGTTCGAGAAATATAATGTGACTTTGCATACTGAAGAAGCATCTGCGGGTGGCGGTGGAGAATATGAAGTGCAAACTGGATTTGGGTGGACAAATGGTGTCATTTTGGATTTGTTGGATAAATATGGCGATCAATTTTCTACTAGTTCTAGTAATGTTTCGAAATTTTCTGTATTTATATTTTTGTACATTTTTTCTAGTCTTTTTTGTATTTTTTAAATTGATTGAATGAATAAATCGGGTTTTTTTCTGTGTGTGTGTGTCAACACCGACTGCCCGCAAACACCAAATCCTACGCGCAATCTTGACGCCAAATACGCGCTACTCTATTTCTAGAAATTCTCTGGGGACTACATAGATAGTTTCATTTAAAAAAATGGTAGAATGAGAAACATCAGACCCTACGCGCAAGCGCTAAAACTAGTGAGCGACTTACAGAAATATAATTTAGATATGCCACAAAAAACATTTAGCGTATCTCGTCCATTTTTTCTCTTACCAATCTTCTTTTTTTCTGTCAGCAAAAAAATAAAAATTTGAAAAATTCCGAGAAAAAATCTTGTTTTGCGTGAACGTGAAATTTGTCGTGGCAAATGCCATTTCAACGATAATTTTTCAGTCATTTAAAATTTTCGGCGAGCAACAAGACGACAGCAAATAAAGATGAGTTTTTTTTGGGTTGCCCGAATTCCTAATAAGCTACCGCCCTTTTTGCGAGTACTTTCACGTATCTCTCCTGGAGTAAAGTACAGCTCAACTTAGCCTAACTCTGGATAGTAAAGCTTTTTAAGTTGAGCATTAGCCATTGCAATTGTCAGGAACCTCGACATGAGTTACCATAACTTTTTGGTTATACTCTCGACTTTGTCGACTTGATTTGGTTGGAAAAACTGTGAAGGGAGAGATCGAGGTTCGCTTTTCAAGTTTTCTGAAAGAAAAATTGAAAAGAAAACGTGGAATTATTCAAAGAGGAGGGAAATTTCGACTATTATGAGGGAAAATACGATATTTCCAAAAAAAATCATCATTTTTTCAGAAACAAATTCAAAAACCATGGAAAACATCTGCACAAAACAACAAAAATCAAAGAATTCGAAGTTTTCGGTGAGTTTTTCTAACCAAACAATAAGAAGTTCTTGAATTTCAATCGAAAATTGATGGAATTCAAATGTTATAAATTTTCAATTGGAATTTCAGTTGGAATGCGGAAGCTATGCTCAAAATTGCACTTTTTCACCAGAAACTTGGAATTTTCAGAAGTTCTGGTAGCCATAGAAAACCTCGATTCTTTCCAAAGCAAAACCGGAAGCCGTCATTGAAAATACAAAAATGCCGAGGATTTCTAATTTTTTAATTATTTTTTGTTGCCAACTTCTTGCGGAAAAGCCAAGAAGAAGGTGTTTACTTGTTCTAAATTCCAAGTGGAAACCGTTGTTTTTCAAACCGCAGATTCTCGCAGAAAAGCCGAGAAACTGGAGTTTACTGTAGTTTTGTTTTGAATTCCACTTGAATGTTTATCTTTATGAGAACCGTTGTTTGTCTCCCTTAAAATGCCATGTGTGAATTCGGTGATTTTCCGTGAAATTCCGCACATTTTGGTTCAAAAATGCCACGTGGCAATTCCGTATTTCTCGGGAACAGTTTTTACAAAAGTCAAAAACATCAGAAATCCACGTACTTTTAGTCCACAGTACACGTTACGAAAAAATATTACTTTTTCCTATCGGCGAGTCTAAAAATTAAAAAAAAATTCAGAAAATTTCTAAAATTGTTTCTGAAACTAATAAATTTTGAAATTCTAGTTTTTGAAAAAAAATTGGCGGTGGCCTAGAAACCCAAAAACAAAATATTGATGGCCTAGAAAACCAACAAATTGCCGCAACTTCCAAAAAAGTGCTAGATACATTTATTCATCATCATAAATCCATAAATAAGAAATTTCACAAAATATCCGCAAAAAAAGAAGTATGGTACCTAAAATAAAACACCCGGGAGTCAAAAAATACTGAAAGATATTTCGGGCTGAAAAAAACAATGTTACAATGTATTTTCATTTATTGATTGTTGAGCTTTTGGGGGATGAGTAGAACAAAATAAATTAATTTAGAAAAAAAGGCGATAAAAATGAGTAGGTTAAATGGAAAAATAGCTTGAAGAAAAATACGGTGGGAAAAATAAATAAAACGTTAATTTTTGGGATTTTTTCGGGGAGAACCCTATTTTTACAATATTTGAAAGAGAAAATCATGGCACAGACTAGACAAAATTTGAAAGAAAATGTATAATATATAGCAGTTGTTTTTTGAAATTGGGAATTCACAGATTTTTTGACGACATTTTTCTGAGTCGCCGTTCTTCGTCCTGAAAAGGAAATTTCTGTATAACATGGAAAATTTCCTTCTTTTTTCTTTTGATTTTTTGAGCAGTTTAAAATATTTTCAGATTTCACAACGTGGAATATTGACACCAGAATTTCGAATTTCTCAAAATATTTTTTAAATACATGGAATTTTCTCAGTCATTTAAGTTTGAAAAAAACCCCATCTTCAGCAGCCCAAAAACTCACAACTTTTGGCCTAATTTCATCAAATTTGAAATATGTTTGAATGTTATGCACATCTTCCGGTGTTATTTTTTCATTTGTTGGCAACGGATCTCCAGCATCTCGGCTTCTATCGAAAACCGTCACAACCGGTTCAACAAATCGAATTACAGCCGATAATTGATCGTACAGAAAACCTGGAAATAAAAAATTGATTTGGCTTTCAGAACTCTTCCAGATCAAAAACTATTGAATATTGGCTTCGTACTTCCTAGATAAACCTTTGAAAAAAGTCAACATTGAAACAAAAAATCCAATTTTTTTCAATAATTAGGAAATTTTCAAAACGCATAATTTTGTGGTTTGTTAAAAAACTAAAATTTCATATAACAATCCTATTTTCCGATGAAAAATTACCCAAAAACTCACCTGTCGCATTCTCGACTTCCTCTCTCGGTTCAACGCACGCAAAAAGCACAGCTGCCGCAATCGTCCGATACGTAAATCTCAACGAATCTGCCTCAAACAGCAAATAATCCAATATCCTCGCCATATGCACAAAATCCTCGCGCATCAACTCAGGCACAAAATAATTGTTCTGCTCAGTGAAATGCTCATCGTCCGATTGTTTTTCAGGTTCCTGTCCCAATAATTGTAGATAAGTTGCAAGCCAATGAATCGAAGTTATCGGACCTAATGTCCAATTGATTGCGCGGACCAATAAAACCTCCATTTGTCTGATGTTTTCACAACTAAATGCGCCATCAGTCAAATTTGCAAATTCTTCACATCTCGGCGGATATATTTCCTCATATTTTGCTGCCACAAACAAAGCAGCAGCTCCAACAAGTTGAAATGTATTTTGATTAACAGGTCGATCATTCGAATCAAGATATCGATCAATATAATCAATCGATAAATGAAAAGTCTCGCGATGTAAATTCTCCGACTCACAAACTTCCATCAACCAATCAATCAATAATCCTCGCATATTTTCCGACATTTCTGGATGATTATTTAGCAAACAATTACTAGCTCGAGATATTTCATCTCTTCCAACCATCAAACTCCAAACTTGTTCAGGCGAGCCGATTCCTCGCAATTTTTCCGGATTTAAAGAGCTCGGCGGTTTGAGCAAAGTGACATCATTCATTCTTGATTTCATAATTGCAAATTGCTCATTTTCAAGTGGAAGATCAGCCTCGTCCAGTTCTTCATCTTCCAATTCCTCATCCTCAAATTCCTCTTCATCGTCGACTTCAACCTCCAAAATATCTCGAACTTGTTCCTCCTCTTCTTCATTTTCAATATCTGAATCTTCTTCTTCCATCACTGGAAGTGGTTTTCCGCGAAGTCTTGTGTTATTTTTTGACGATGTTGATGAGGATGTAGAAATTGATGATATCGAACCAGAGGAATTCGAGAATGTATCATCGTCGCTGGCGGCTGTTGAGGGATGTTGGTCTTTTTTCTCGATTGAGGCGCGTTTGGCGATTGGGCCGATCTGAAAGAATTTTTAGGTTTTTTGGTGCCATTTTCTGTCGATTGAATTTAAAAATTGTCTACTCTGTCTACTGTCTACAAGATACCTAAAAATTCATAATTTCTTCGCTTCAAGAAAATTCCTCTCAAAATTTTGCAAAAATGCTAGGGGGCACCCGGATTTGAACCGGGGACCTCTCGATCTGCAGTCGAATGCTCTGCCACTGAGCTATACCCCCGCGTGTCTGCCTTCTAACGATTTTCCAACAAACCACAAAGGATAGAAGGAAAAGGAACAGCCGCCAGTGGTCAGTTTTTTGGACACAGCACACATAAATTCTATGTGTTTGGATTGCAAATGGAGAGAAGGAGGTTAGAGATGGAGAGGAAATAAATGAGGATTATAAATTGGAAATTGAAAAAAAAAGTGGAAAATTTTCACATTAGATAAGAAAATTGTATAAAATTCACAATTTTCAGTAAAAATCAATACATTTTGATTTCACACAATCTTTTGGACGTGGACTATGACGTAGAACATTAAAAACCGACTATTTCTCGAAAAAAACGTATTATTTCAGTGTTTTCTTCAAATTTTCCCTATTTTCGACCAAATTTCCAATCAAAAATGGAATTTACCTGTGCCCCTCGTCTTTTCCTAGTTTCCGGCGAAAATGGCGCTTTTTCCGAGTCCATACTAGAAGCGCAACTTCGCGTAATTCTTCGATTATGAATAGTTTCAGACGGAATATTCTCTTTGACGTCTATAGCTGCTTCAAGAAGTCGTCGGCGAAGTTCACCATTCGGCGAACTGTAAAAACCGATTTTTATGCAAATTTTCGGGAGAAAAACACGGGGACTAGCTTTCCAAATTCGCAAATTCTAGTCTCCGTTTTTAAAATTTTCATTTGAAAACTCACATAATCAATGATTCTTCTGCGCTAGTTTTCGGTTGATTCGGATTTTTGACTGTTGTTTCACTAATCTGTCTGTTTTTCGTCGATTTCCTACCAGCCATGGTCAAATACCTGGAAAATTCAGTAAGAAAAATGAAAAACGTCGAGGAATTCAGAAACATGGAGAAAAGTTTTTAGTTTGGTCATGTGAAGAGAAAAATAAATTTAATTAGAGGAAATTATAGGGTAGATCATAACAAAATGTTTCTCGAGCGGGGAAAATTAAAGAGAGCTTAAAATTTTGGGAAAATGTTCATTTTTCATAATGATTTTGGTGAAAATAGGTTTTCTTTTCATGAGGTGTTTTCATTTAGAAATCTCCGAGTATTTCTTAAAAACTGTTTTGGGTAAATTGTTTGTCAACACAACATGTCAAAAAGCAATCGGTGAGAGTGAAAGAGACGAAAAGATATTGAAATCGCGCGTGATCTACAGCCAGTTAAATTTGTGGGTCTAGGATTTGTTAAATCTAGAAATAGGTTTCAGCTTGACTTTTGAGAATTCATTTTTGAATTTTCACTGTGCTAAGCGACTAAAAGTCATCCTCGATTTTTTTCGAAACAAAATATGTTTAGCAACCGCAGTTTCAAAAATTATGGATTTTCAGACCCACAAATTTTTAATGTACCTTTGATCTATTTTTCTCTAAGTCTTCTTCACTCTCACCGATTGCCAATTTTCATTGGGCTGACATGATGTGTCAATAACTCAAAGGATTGCAACCAAAACGCAAAAATGTCAACAAAACATCACTATTTTCAGCTAAAGAGTTACTGAAATTCCAAAAATTTTCCGAAAAATCACGAATTTTCAAACAAATTCATAGATTTCCAGAAAAACGACAAACTCCACAATTTACAGCCAATAATTAGAAAAACCTAGATTTGCCCTTGTTGTCGAACATTAACCTCACCATTTTACACCCGAAATCCCCACGAAAACCAAAAATTCCCAGATGAAAACTTCAATTTTAAGCCAAAACCTCAAAAAAACTGAAAATTCGAAAAAAAAACTGGGCGTGGCTACAGTACACGTCAATGGTCTTGGCGCGATGAGACGGTTCGCTAGAGCAACTTTGCCTAGTTACCCGTTCAAATATTTTTCATTTTTTTCATTTTTTCCGTTTTTTTGTTTCTCACATGACCCTTTGATAAGAAAAACAAGGTGAAATGTCTATTTTCAATAATTAAAATTCTAGCGAAATGTTCATTGAATCGAGTTTAATTAGCATAGCGCTTCTTTATTTTTTTAATTAGTTGAACAATTATTAAAACTTTGAAAATTTTGAAAAGCTTGAAAAAATGAGAGAAAACGAGGCAAAAAAGGGGGAGGAATTTTTGAATTAGGCGCGCGAAATCGAGACGAGCGGGTGGAAATGGGTCTCGCCGCGAAGGCCCCCCATCAAAGAGAAGAGACGTTGTTCTTATGAGATAGAGAGAGGGAAAGAGTGAAGAGAGTGCGAGAGAATCAGAGGACAAGATATTTTTTGTTCTCTTCTTCTTCTTCTTCTTTTCTTTTTTTCTATAATATAATATTTTTCACCCCAGATTGATCTTTCTCTCCTCCTTTTTCTTTCTTATCTTTATCTAAGTATATTTATGTAATATGTATTATTGTTATTATACTTTTCGCATGACAAATGCACTTTTTTGCAAAAAAAAAATCATGAAAAATTGAGTTTTTACAGATATGTCTGATGACGAGGACGAGGGACTATTAAGAATCGCCGAAAGCCCTTCAGATGATGGTTTGTCTTGAAATTTCAGATTTTCAGATGAACACAATCATAAAATTCAATATTTTCAGCTTCGTTTACTCCTCAAAAACCCCTACAAGAATTGGGATACGATAAGAATTCAGGTATTAGAATTTCCGGGGAAATGTACTCTTCTTAAAAATACAAATTTTGTAGTTTTTCATGGGCGGTTCGAGGGGGGAAAAGATTTTTCAGATATTTATTACGATTTTTTAGGACAAAGATTTTAATTTATTTTTTGTTTTGGGTGAGGTGGAAATTTAAATTAAAAAAAGCTCACGTGAGTTTTTTCTTCGAGAATTTTAATCATTTCTAGATCCTTTAATTAGGAAAAAAGTAAAAATGAAGGCAATTAAGTGAGGAAAAATTTAGATTTAGAAAATTTTTTGTCGACTATAAATACTGGCTCAAATGTTTAAATCCAACGCCAAAATTTAGTAACTCGAAAATTAAAATTTTTTGAGTCACATTTCAAGTTTTACTAGAAATAAATTTGACGCCAGAATTTCAGCCAGCTATTTATTTCAACTATACGATTTCCCAAGGCAATTTTGAAAATTCAAAAATAATTTTTTTTTTGAAAAAAAATTTGCGAAATTCGATTATTTTCATGAGAAAAATGATAGTATTTTAATCAATCAAACTGAATAGATTTTTTCTTTTCTGCTAGACTTAGAGCATGTTTTGATTCAAAAAAGCAGCCCAAATTTTCAGGAAAAATTTTTTAATTACAGCCGCGTTATAAAATAATTTTTTTTTCAAAACCGGAATGAAGTTTTAATTAAAGTTATGAGATCTTTAAATTGTTCTAAAATCTTTCCCAAATTTTTTTGGACTTCATAAATCCTTTTTTTCCTCAAATTTGAGCCTTCTCCCCTAAAACCTCTAATTTTCTTCTATTTTTCCAGACAATATCATAATGCTTCCACTAGTTCCCAAAAAACCGGACGAAAAAGAAAAAGAAGAAGGCGAAATCGATGATGACGATGAAGTTTCGAGAATCGACGAAGAAATCGAGGAAATCCCAGAAACCACAACAAAACAATGTTTCGATATGCCAATTATCCATGTTCCACCACTAAAATTTCAGGAAAAATCTGTAGTTGAGGTTGAAAAACATCATGAAAATACCAATGAACAACAAAACTCTCATCAAAATTCAACAACAACAAATCTAGTTCAAAATCGGAAGAGAAATCATCATAGAGATAGCTCATCTTCAAGTTCAAACGATGAAAAACGCGCCAAAAATCATCAGAGTCAGATAACTGTAGCAAATGAGACGCCAAGATCAAAAAGAACAAGTCATCAAGTGGCATCGGCTGCAATTACAGCATGTTTTGATGAAGAGGATATGGTATTGCCACAAAATAGTGGATATTTGGTGGAGAAAAAAGAGATTGTGGCAGGAAATATGGGAGTAGGAAATACGGGAATGGGAAATTCGAGCAAACGGCCAAAGGTTAGTGAGAAGTGGGGGAGATTTTCGAGTGAAATTCTGAAAAGCCATGTGGAATTTAGACGCCAATCATTGAATTTTCAATTTCAAATCAACGCGTAGATGCACATTTTGCCACGTCATCAAATTATTTTAAATTTCAAATTTTCACATTGTCACTTAAATTTTTAGAGCTGATTTTTTAGACCAACCAGTTAAGATTTTTCAGAATTTTTGTTCAAAAAATCAGTTTTCAAGTGTTCAAAACTACAAAAAATATTTTTTTAATCGCCCAAAAATGTGGCTCTAATTACGAAAAAATTAAGTTTTTTGTAGAGAAAAGTACAATTTTTCTTAGTAAATTTTGAATTTTTGATCGAAAAAATTGGAAAATTATAGGGATCCCCTTTAACCTCAAAATCTGAAAATCCCAATTCATTTTTTTGCAGAAAGACGCGTCAACAAATTGTTGCGAAAAAAACGAGGATACATCGGATATCAACGAAAAATTATCGATTTTTGACGCGCCGCCCGGAACAACGATGGTTATTGAAATTACTGTTATGTATAGATGTAGTCAGTTTTTTCATCGATTTTTTATAGAAATTTTGAGAGAACCACCTTAATTTTTAATCTGAAAATTCAGAAAAAAAAAATTTAAAAATTAAATTTTTATGGGAAAGTGAAAATTTTCAACTTTGGTGCTCTTTTTTTCGCGCCTAATTTCCGAATTTTGCAGACGAACACCTGGCATTTCGAACAAAAGGCAAAGAAAATGCGGAAATCTACGGTATTTTAAGTGAGGCCGGTTCAAGAATGCATATGGGTCTCGCAGCGAAACGAAAACAAGCGGGTAATTTGGAGAATGGAAATCATTCAAATCACAGTAATTCGACTGAAAATCATCTGAAAGTGGAAAAAGATAAAGTTCGAGGAAATTCGCAAACTCGAGAACACAAAAATGAGCATAAAAGGAATAAAGATAAGAAGAAACATGTGAGCCCGAAAGATGAACAATCATCTGTTGGTTCTGCTGAAAATGAGCATTTTCCGACTGATAATTTGAAATTAGTCGAAATTGACACGGAAAAAATGCACGATTGTCATTTTGATGGATGCTCCAAACGATTCTTCTTGGCTAGTGAATTGAATTATCATGTGACAAAGTTTCATAGAAGAAAAGTGGTGAGTTCTTTTTTAGTGGGGGAATTTATGCTATGAAATTTCGAGCATTTTGACATCGAATAAGTTTAGGGTTAAAGATTTAGGCTTAAATGTAGGCTCAGCTTTGGGCTTAAATTAAGGCCGAACAATTTAGGAATAAAAATTTAAGTTTGAATTTAGGCATTAAAGTTTAGGCCTTAGCTTAATGACCTTCAAAAATTAGGATTAAAACATCATAAAACACACTTCAATTTCAGAAAATTTTCTCCATCATTCTCTTTACCAAAGGGAGTTTCGGGGCCAAAATGTTTTCAAAAATCTCTTGAATATCTGAATTATGAAACCTATTGTAAATAATGTTCACAAATTCCCCTTGACTCCCCATTTTTCCAGATTATGACAGACACAATCGCATGTCAAACTGCTGAATCTTCGTTCGATCTTCCTCCTCCTCCTCCACCAATTCCTGCACCAATTCCAATTGCAGTTGCACCAATAATATCAGTTCCAACTGCAGCCGCTCAAATTCCAGTCTCAATTCAAAATATCCCACCATTAGCACCTCAAACAATGGAACAAATAACACCAATGCCAGTCTTGAGATCAGCAAAATCTCCACATTATTCCGATTTATCAGATGATGATGATGAAATTGTCAAAAATGTGATTGAGAAAAATGCACAAGTCAAAAAACAGCAGCCTCTACAAGTACCAATTCAACCAATTCCACAAACTAGCCTACAAAGCCTAAATCCGAGTCTAAGTCTAACACCAAATCTCACGAACAATCCGCCGACTGGATTTCAAAAGAATAATATTGTGACGCCGGCGGCGATTCGAAGTAATAGTGCATTTGTTATGGCCAGTGGAAAACAGCCAAGTAGACGTGAGTTTTTTGTGAAATTCCCATTTTTTTAAAATTCATTTGTAATTTTTAGCAAAATCAGCTGAAAATCAATGAAAATTACAAAAAAGGCAAATTTTTTATCTGTACTTTTCAGCGAAATTTTAAGAAAAAGTCATTTTGCCATAGATTTGCTAGAAAGTCCTGTTTTCAAATTTCCACTGCAAAAACCCGAAATTCAGAATTGTGAAATCATTTTTCATGATCTTCAGGTTTTCCTGAAGATTTTCTAACCCATTTCGACCTGAAATTTGAAATATCACACTTTCCTCCTCTAAAAATCTCTCCATTTTCAGCTCAATCCTCCCAAATCCACCCAATTCCTTCCTCATCTTCCACTTCATCTCTACCAACATCTTCAATGGTTCAACCAGTTCCCTTAGCCGCTCCCGTTCCTGGAAACATCCCATTCATTCCCGGTTTTCATCCGGCAATGCTTCATCCTGGAATGATGAGCCAATTTCAACCGGGAACCAGTCAAAAACCATCACAAGATAATCATAAAATACACGAGTTGGCTGGCGGAAATTCGGCGGGTAAAGAACAACGATTGACTGGAGGCGGGAGAAATAGTTTGGGAGGTGCCAAGATTTCTACAACACCTGCGACACCACAACAGCAGACGAATCGAGGCATCCCGCAACAACAAGCTCAGCAACAACAGTTTTTGACGCCGAGTGAGTTAATTTTGGGGTAAAATTTGAAAGTTCTTATCAATTTCAAGAAAATATCGAAAATTCAGCTGAAAATATTGAAAATTTTATTTTTTTTATCTCAAAAATTATTTTTTTGTCATCTGAATTTGATTGAAAATGGTCAACTTCGGGCTGAAATTGAACGACTATTTGTCAAACATTGATATTTCAGACTAGAATCACATTAAACTCTGAATTTTTAGAAAAAATTAAACTTAAAAATTTTTGAAACAGTGAATATTATTCATCAATCAATTAATAAAATAACAACATTTACGATATCGATTTGCCTCGAAAAATTAAAAGCTTTGAGTTATTTTTGAAACAGTAAATTTTTACATTTCAAAAATCCATGAAAAATTGATTTTTGTGCTCTAGAAATTCAGAGTTTTAGGCCAAGCTGCTCAGCAACAACAACAATATATGCAGAATATGCAATTTCAACAACAAATGATGGCTGCGACAAGAGGAATACAGGTAGATTTTTTGGGGGTGGAATTTTTTATAGCAAAATATTGGTTGCCACGTGGATTTTTTGAATATTCTTAGAACTTTTTGAACAAAAAATAATTTATTTTTCAAAAATTCTCTGTTTCAGAAAAGTTTTCCAAATTTTTTAAATTATTCACAAAACCATACACATTTTGAAAAATTCCCAGATGTATTCGTTTTGAAAATTTTAAAAATTCAATTTGGCGACAAAAATCCACGTCGCCATTCAAATTTCGAAATTCTTAAGTTTTGGTGCTAAAAATAGCATTTCTTGCAGCTTCCCACTCAAAATGACATGCTAATGTTCTCAATGATAAATCCGATGGCATTTCAACAATTAGCTTCTCAAACTCAAAATCTACCACAACAACCACCAAAATAGGCAAATTTTTTGTTTTCGAAATTTTCAGAAAAAGTCTGAAATTTCGCCCAATTCATTTTATCATAGATTTGTTAGAAAGTCCTTGTTTTTGGATTTTTTTCTGAAAAAAATTCGAAATTTTCAATTTTCGCGCGGGTTTTTGTTTTTGAAATTTAAAGAGTTTAAGACCCAAAATGCAGAATTTTTTAATCATTTTTTTCATGTTTTTATCTATCTTCTCCCGATTTTTTTGTGTATAAAAACGCCCCTTTTTTGCCTAACCGGTTACTATTTTTCAAGGTCCTTTAGACCCTTTTTGGAAATTTTCATTTTTATATTCTTTATTTATTTTATTTTATTCATATCCCACCCCGGTTCCTTTTTTATCTTCGAAATTTAATGTTTAAATTTTTTGTTTTTCATATGTGTTTTTGTGTGTGAATAATTATTATTAATATGTGTACTATTATTGAGGAAAATTGTGAAGGAATTGAGATTTTTGGTCATTTTTAATCAAAAGAATGCGATTTTTTGGCCTAGAAAAGTAGTTCTTGTGATTCTAGGCCACCTAAATCACAGGTTTGAGTATAATTCCAAACTTTTACCTGTTGGCCTAGAAACCTAAAAACCCTTTTTCTAGATCAAAAAACCGCTGAATTTTATCTGAAAATACTCTAAAACACTGATTTCCACCACCAAATTCCTCACCAAAAAAAATATAAAATTCAAAAAAAATCTACAAATCAAAATAATACAAAATTAATAATGATTCCTCGAAATTTCTCTTTTCCTTCTTCTTCTTTTCAACATTTCTTCATTTTCGTCTTCCAATCTTTTTTCATTCCATTTTTCCAGCCATTTCTCCAAATTTTTCTCATTCAACTCTCTCCACTGAATATTTAGCTCAACTTGCTCATAACTCTGTTCCATTTTCATTTGTCCTTCGTCTTCCAGATTTTTTTCGATCAAAAATGATTTGAGATCTTCCAAATCTTGACGTGTTGAAAGAGGTTCGGCGAGGCAGCGGATGCAAGTAGCGAGAAGGGTGGAGCCCGAACCCATTCTGCAATTATGATAAGATTGACACGTGGATTTTGACGGAGGAATTTTAAAAAAAGCATTTTGACACTAAACAATCCTAGTATTTTTTGAAAAACACATTTTCGAAATCTAAAATTGATTCATTCTTTTTTGGTACAGTAAACCGAGTAATAATCAACATTTTCTAAAAATTCGAAAATTTACATAATTTTTTGAAACAGTGGATTTTTTTTTCATATTTTCAGAAAAATTAATTCCAGGTTGCCTCGTGGATTTTTTTGACACTGTTTCAGAAAAGTTCTACAATTTCTCAATTATTTTATACAATACCAAAATTCAAAAATTCAAGTTTTTTTGAAACAGTTAATTTTTAAGAAACATTTTCAGAATATAATTTTTTGTAAATTTGTCGATATATTCGCACCAGTTCAGTTAGAAAAGCCCGAAAAAACTCACATTTTATGGAATTTTTCGAAATGAGTTTTGAAAAACCGCCAAGCAGTAGTTCTTCCGATTTCGTGTTGAGATAAACTTGAAAAAACTCGAGGAATTAGATTGATTTTGATTTGACCATCCAAGCAAAATTTGAGAAGTCTGCAAAAAATAAACTTTTTGACACGTGGCATTTATCAAATTTCATCGTGAAATTTCATTTATAAATTATTTTTAGTTATGAAAACATGGTAAAATGGTTGCCACGTGGATTTTTAATCACATTATTTTCAATTAATTTCAAAGCCACTTTGAAGTGTATTAGAAAATTATCTATCTTCAAATAATTTTGAAACAATGAAATTTTTGCACCAAAAAAATATTAGCATGTAGAAAATCAAATTATTTAGATTCTTGTGCCATATTTGATCTTCAAAAAACTCACTTATTAATCAAATGAACATCCTTAACCGATGCAAGCGAATTAATAATACTATTTTTCTCAGCCGGACTTGTTGCTTCCAAATAACTTTTCCAAATTTGTTGCCAAGCTCCTTGCCCATTTTGTCGAATTCCTTCCTCAAAAATAATGCCCGCAAACTCGGGATTATCGATTTTGCGTGTATTTTGCCACGTGACAAACAATTTCATTGCATTTTTCGAACAATCAAGAATATTTAAACGACAAGCTGCTTGAAATGTTTCAATTTGTAAACCTTTTCTCATTGGAGTTTGTTGATTTTTTGCAGATTTCCAGTCAAAAGTCTCATATAATTTGAGAATCAAAGAACGCTCGAAATCTCGGAATATTTGAAAATTCTCTGGCGAATTTTCTATTAAACTTTCGATTGTTTGAAGATGTTTGTTGATGATTGTCCATGTCATTTTGTCTTTTTCATCTACAAAAATAAGGAATTTTGGGGTTCACAAAAATGTCGGCTAAGGAAATCGCAAATTTGGAGTATCTCCGAACATTAAATTTAAATTTATTAATCGTCCAGCTCACTTTCATTGATAAATTAGATCAATCTGATTTTTGGAGTTACTCCAAATTTCCTATTTTTTATCTCATTTTTTGCAACATCTATTTTTTTTCATAAATTTTGAGAAAAACCAATTTTTCAAAAAAGTCCCCAGAAATTAAGACAATTTTGAAACGTATTTTTTTCAGATAATTTTTGAAATTTTTTATTTTAACTCAAATTTTAAATTTTGAATTCACAAATTTCAAAAAAAAATAAGGATGAGTTCGAATAATTTTTAACACTGTTAAAAAATAACAAAAAAAAAATTTTTAACAGTGTTAAAAAAAAATAAATCTGATTGTGAGTTCAAATAATTTTTAACAGTGTTAAAAAATAAGGATGAGTTCTAGGCCATAATAAACAATATTTGATTATCAGGCCATATTCTGAGGTCTCCGGGCTAATTTTTAATTTTAAAAATGATGACCTAGAAAACCAAATTGTTCTATTGATGGCCTAGAAACTCAACAGCACATATTTTATAATTTCTACCCCATCCCCCTCACCCAAAACTCACTCTCTGCATATCTCACCAACTCCAACCACACATCAATCGTCACTCTTCCAGCTCTCGCCAAATCAAACGCATCCACCAAAATCATGGCTCGATCAATCGCCGAAATTTGTGTGTGATTTTGACGAAGTTGATGGGTGATTTGAGTGTACATTTGGTCGTCGTATTGCACTTTGAAATATCCCACACCACCCGAATTCAAGATTAGCGGCGGCGGATGTTTTTCGTGCGGGTAATTGGGAACGGGAATTTCTTGGTGAGAAGAATTGGGGTGCAACCAGATGAATCGAGTTTCATTGAGAATTCGATAATTCATAGGAATCGGCCAGGTCTCAGCACGATCTTCAGTATTTTTCAAGGCAGATTTGGCACCAAAATGGAACCTGGTTTGATTTTGAATAAAAATTTTGTCATCTTCAATTCCTATATTCACCAAAGGATAGCCAATTTGTTTTGTGTATGCCTCAGCAACTGCCTTGATGCCTCTTGTCCCGGAATATTTTTCAACGATGCTCCATAATTCCACTCCTTTTGCATTTCCATAGGCGAATTCGTTGAGATATTCAACCAAAGCTTGCTGGAAGAAAAAACAAGAATGAGAGAATTTCTCTGAAAGGATCTGATCTTTAAAAAACCGGATAGCGCAATTTAAAGCTTGGCTTACTGTATCCTAAACATTTTTTAAATCCCCCTTTTCCAAAGTTTGTACCTGAAAATGTCTCTGTCCGGCCATTTCAGCAATCATATGAATAATCGCAGCAGCCTTGTGATAATTAATAGCATCGAAAAGGTTCAATAAACTATCGGGATCTTCGCTTTCAATCGCTCGTGTGCTCAAAAATCCATCAGGTTCTTGAGAAAACGCCACATTCTCTGCGTAGAATCGTGTCATAATATTCCAATCGGGAAATATCACATCAACACATTTATATTCCATATAATTAGCGAAACCTTCATTCAAGTATAATTCGTTCCACCAATCCATTGTGACTAGATTTCCGAACCATTGATGAGCGATTTCATGGCAAATTATGAGAGCAATGTGTTCTTTTGCAACAACACTCGCTTTTGTTTCATCAAAAAGAAGAGCAGAATCACGGAATGTGACGAGACCCCAGTTTTCCATTGCACCTTCGCTGAAATCGTCCAAGGCAAGTAGGTCTGAAAATAAGAGTTTGGTTCAAAAATTTTTTTGCCGCCTCATTTTTCATCGTTATTTTTTTCCGAGAACAACATTTTTTGATTGTGATTCTAAATATCTCAGGAAACCCTGTAATTATTTCAAAAATGACATTTTCTTCAAAAGTTCTCAGTCTCACATACTCAAAAAAAAAAAAAAGAAAACACGGAAATGGAGCCCCTTTTGCAAATTTGGCTTTATTATGGAACATTTTCCGTATTGCTCATGTTATTCTTTATCATTCTCCTCGGACTACACTCAAAATTCAAGACTTCCTCATTCTACAGAATTGTACAATGTGATTTGATTCTGAATTTAGGCTGCTATTTCAATTCCTGGTTTTTTAGACTGGCCGTAAGGCCTGACACGGGCTATCTATTCGAAAATATTTACTATAATCATCGTTGGATTTTCCAATTTGTAGCATTTTGCAATCTTTTCTATTTTCAAACTCAAAGTGTTAGTATAATTATTTTATGTTTCTATCGCTACAGTTTAATTCATTTCGAGAATTCCAACAAGTTTTGGGCAAAATGGTATATTCTGGTATATTTTTGTATATGTCTATATGCTGTTTGTATAAATTCACCAGCAGCTTTACTTTATCGTCCATATATTTATAATGAAACTTTGAAATATTTTATTAACCGGGGAGACTCTACAATTGTGAGTTACTGTAATTATGGGGGTCTCTTGTAAGCTTTCATAATTTTTAGAAAGATGTTGTATTCAAATTATATATTGTTACCTGCACTCTCATATATTTCATTATAATCGTAACCCTAGGAACTTTGACTATAAAAAATCTCAAAATTCGTTTCATCCATCATCAAAATGATCAAAGAACTAAAGAAATGATGAAAAGAATGACAATTATTGTTGCTATTAATTCAATTGTTTATCTTATGCTCATAATCGTCGAATTTAATATTGGCTTGATATTTCCTAACATGAGCTATGACAATAGGTCAAATATGACTATGTGTGCATCAGACATGGTAAATTTTTAGACCCTACATATTCTGAAATTTTAAAATTCTGAAATTTCCAGCTGAGTTTCAGTATGGCGTACACATTATTAATATGCGACAAAAATGTACAGGAAATACTTTTTGGACAACTCCGAGAGATTAAATTGCGAATCAGCTCTAATTGAAGTTCAATAGCACCGAGAACATGATAAATGAAACAGAAAGACTTTGAAATACTACGGTAAAACGGGTATAAAATTAACCCTATAACAGGCCTGTGCCGGAAAATCAAAACCCGGAAAACGGAAAGTCGGAAAATTTTTTGAACCGGAAAATCCGGAAAAAATTCGGAAAATTTTTCAAAATCTGAAATTTCGATTTTCAGCTTTAAGTTGGCACAAAAACTTATTTTTATCTACAATTCTCCTGTTCACAGGTAATTTAGTAACTATTTGAGACGTTTTACGTTCAAAAAATCGTAAAATTTGAAAAATTGAAAAAAAATTCAAAAAATTTCATTTTTTCTATCATAAACTGAGAACATTTCCCAAAATTTAGGCAAAATTGTAAGTATTTCTACTAAAGATCATTTTTCCGGATTTTCCGAGCACATTTTCCGGAAAACCGGAAAATTGATTTTTCTGTGAAAAAACCGGAAAATCCGGAAATTCGGAAAATTCGGCAAATTTCCAGCACAGGCCTGTCCTATAATTATCACTAAAATGTTATTTCTTTCGAAGTTCTCTCTTGTCATTTTCTTTACTTCACAATTGTTCAACCTCGTTTCCTTATAAAATAGAAATTGTAAAAAAAAGTAGCTCCTTTGCAAATATTTTTCTCCCTTTCCAAATACTCACCAATTTTTTCCAAAGGATAGCTGATATTAAAATAGTTTTCGAAAAATTCGAGCGCTTTGATAGTTGTATCAATTCCAAATTCACTTTGTCCTTCAATAATATCAGCTGGTGCATATAGTCTAACTTCTATCGATTTTTTTGTATTCTGAGTCAATTTTCTAACATAAGAATAGTTATCCAAAATTGCGACAGCCAACAAATAAGTTGACATTTTCACAGATTTTTCGAAAAAGTCCTCATATAATTGTGGACCATTTTGTTTTTCTTCATCATTCTCATTTGTATTTTCAGTGTCCAAATATTCCCTCGAAATTTTCAGTGGCATATTAGATCTTGCCACGTGTTCAGCTTGTCGAATTATGCTAACTTCAAATTTGGATTTGAAATTTGGTTCATCGAAACACGGCAACATTTTTCGCGCAAAAGTTGGTTCGAATTGTGTGGCGGCACTTTTGATTTTGGCACCAGATTTTAAAGTATGTGTAGATATATAAAGACCTTGGAGATCGGGTTTCATTTCGGATTCGTAGTCGATTTCCAAATGGAGAATTTCACCAGGTTTTAGGATTTTTGAGAATTTCCAAGACCATTGGGTCATTAGTTTACAGTCTGTCTGCAACAATTATAATTTTCAGGGCAAAAAGAAGTGGAAAACATTTGATGTGAATTGTTTTGGGAAAACTACAGTAATTCAGGAAAACGTTTTTCCAATATTGATAATTTTCAAAAAAAAAATTCATAGATCGTAAAAAGTAATCTACAGTACTCGAGTTTTCAAAAATCTGTAAATTTTTGAGATAAAAAATCAACCTACAGTAATCCCGAATTTTTAATTAAAAAAGCCACATGAATATTTAGCACCAAAAATTGAGTTACAGTAATCTACAAATTTTGGAGAGCGAAAAAAATCTGATTAAATTTTTACACGTGGACTTCTGGCACCGGAAATTCATGAGCTACAGTAATCCTTTTTTGGGGCCACGTGGATTTTTCGGTATAATTTCGGGGTGAAAAATCAAGGATAATGAGATTTCGTAAAACTCACAAATTCCGCTTCAATCACTTGATTTTTCTTTTTCTTTCTCCGAATTTCAAATCTTTTCATTTCCAATTCTTCCGCATTCAAAATCAATTGATCTGTTTTTTCGACTGCTTCCACCTCAATAATTACACGAGATTTCACCAAATTCGTCGTCAAATTTGGATGTAATCTCAATTTATATTCAATTGGTTTGAACCATTTTGGAAGTCGTGAAGAAACCCAAGACATATTCATACATTCTCGATGTTCTTCTAGAAATTCTTGATTTTCTTGTGATTTTTGGTCGGATTCTTGAAGAGAACTTGAAGTTGAGCTAATTTCCACTGATTGTTCATCTTCTTCTGAATTCTCTGAGCTTGAACTTGAAGCTGAAGTTGAGCTAACTTCGATACTTTTTTCAATTTCTTCTTCTTCTTCAGAACTTGAACTTGAACTAACTTCTTCTTCTTCTTCTTTTTCATTTTCCTGTGGTTCGATATTGATTTGAATCAATTTTTCATTCGTTATTTCGTCTGTAAAATTTTTTGTGAAATGAAATTTTTTATTCAATTTTTTGAAAAACGTGAACTGTTTTTTTTTGGATTTATTTTTATAAATAAATAGATTTTTTGACGCGAAACATTTCATTTCAAAATTATTCGCGAGGACTAACTCGGAAAACTCTTCCACAACCATTATTTCAATTTTTGGTATTTTGCTCACCATAAACTCCGTTTGTCACATTATTCTCCAAATCGTTTTCCTCAAAATCAATAAAATTCGAAATCGGTGATCCGCCTTCCGGATATAAAACAGCGTGCACAAATGCACCAACCGATAAACCCAGTAAAAACATCAACAACATTAGGCAAATTGATATCAAAATTATGGGAGTTTTTGAACTTTTTCGAATCGGAATATGGTGTCGCGGAGTCCAGGCGGATAAATCCTCGTCGTTTTCGGCTTCGTGTTGATCGACAATGTTGTAATGGTTATGATGGTGTTTTTTCGGCGCGTGAATTGGTGGCGCCGGTGGCGCTGGAGGCGGTGACATCGAAAAGCGCCTGAAACACAAAAAACATATCCGTAGACTCCAAAAATTTTTTCGTATTACGGTAGAATTTAAAGGAACACACAAAATCAACACGCTTTGGTCTCGACGCAATTATTGATTTTTATTGTTTGTGTCATGGAAATTTTTGGGATTTTCATTTTCAAAAGTGAAAAACGATGGAGGAAACCAAAGTTGTTGTCGAAAAAAAATTGGTAGTTGTTAAAGATGAGAATCAGGTTAGTTTTAGTGAGAAAAAGTGTGAAGAAATATTTCGAAAAAGATGCATAAATTCCGATTTCAATCTTAAATTATTTAGAATAGCGTTCCTCGTCGATCAAGTCGGTTGGCATCTTCGTCTCGAGAACCACCGAATTATTGCGTAACTCGTAAATTAACATCAAAAGTTTGCAAAGTTCCAATTTCAACAAAACGTCTCACGAAAACTTCATTCAATGAAGACAAGAATTCGGTAGAAGAAAAGCCGAATATTGCAGCTCCCGAAGTCAGCGAAGAAAAGGAATATCCAAAGAAAGTAGGGCGCCAGAGAGTAAGATTCCGCCCAGATGTGTCGATGTCATCAACAGGAGTTTGGGATACATCTATCGATGGTATTTCTTCTGATGCTACTCATGGAGCTGGTGATGTGCTAGAAGAAACACTGAGAATTGGGACTGAATTGGTGCTGACACAAAATGGTGATGATAATAATAGAGAGAAGAAGAAAAGGAATCCAGTTATCCGCGCCAAACCATTGGTGAAGTACGCTATTACTCCAAGAAATTTGAGCAGAAATAAATCTACAATTGAGATTACGGCTGTGCCAGAACCGCTTCCTTGCACATCTTCATCTCTTCCTCGAAAATCTTCGATTCGAGCTGGAGAACAATCAGTTCCGCCTCGACAATTTTCAATTCCTGGAGGGAATCCGTGTCTTCTATCACGAGAACCAACTGTTTTATCACAGCCCGATATTCCGCTCCCAGTTGAAGTTCAAATGAATTCTGCATCTTATGTTCACGATTTGGTTTCGGAAGTCTCCATAACTCAGATAGTTTCTGATACAGAAGTTACTCCACCATCTACGATTGTTCCGGAAAATGTTGAAGTTCCAATGAATCTAGAGTCAGATGTTCACGATTTGGTCACCGAAGTCTCAAGAACTCGGATAATGTGTGACTCAAACATTCCTCTCGCTGAAGCACTATATGTTGAAACTAATCAACGAAGATGGACAAAGGTTCAAAATTGCTGCGAATCTGGTTCAGACGATGAAGAAGAAGTCGTCGTTCAAAAACCACCGAAGCGTCAAATTTCTCCGCCATGCGATGTGGATCCTGAAGTATCGTCTGAAGAAGCAAAACGTAGGAGATTTGAAGACATCGATGAAACAATCAAAGAGGCAAAAGTAAAAGCGGATGGGATTTTATTGAAGGAGCGCCAAAAAGATCATGGCAAAAAACTTCATCGACTTTTTCTACCAACTGCTTTTGCTGAATGTGGATTTGATGAATTTATTGTAAAGGTAAGAAAGAAGCTAGAATGTGTATGTGTGAAAAAAAACTAAATTTTTGTTAAATTTCAGCAACTCTACGCTAGATTCCGACCAGCTATTCTGCAGCGACATTATAACAGTAGTGGATTCGGTCTTAATAGTGGATTTATGGAAGTTTTCGAGGATAAAATGGATGAAGTAGCAAGATATGCGCCCGATAGAAGTTGGAAAGGTAAATTAAACTGTTGAACGTGAACCATTTAATACTAGAAATGAATTTCAATTTAATTTCAGCTCAACGCATCTTTCCCTTAACACTCGAAAAATTCTGCAAAGACACCGACAACATCAAAATGTACATATTCTGTGTTCACGACAAGATGGACATTCCACGTTTCTGCTATGATCTCGAAAAAAGTTTTGGCGCTCGCCACATCGAACGATTCTATGATGAAAAGCGACGCTTTCTAGGATGCATTGCTCATATGAGTCACGAGAAGGCTCGAAAATTGGGGAATGATCCAGTTTACAAGGTGGCCGGTAAGCCTTGTCGTTTTAATATTTTCCAAGTCGCAGATGATTGATTTTTCTATTTTTTCCAAATATTTATATTTTTTTCGTTTTATCTAAAGCTTGAAATTTTGTATTTTTAATAAATTTTTACGTCGAAGAAAAAACTTGAAAATAAACAAAACGGAACATTTTCAAAGAAAAAATTCAGAAAAGTAGCAAAAATACTATGTTTATAAATAAAGAAAACAAGAATACGAAAATGCTTGACTTGAAAAAAATAAACTTTTTGGCGCAAGAAGTAGTAAGGGACAAAAAACGACAACTGTATTTACATTTTCGATTTTCCAAACTACTGTTTGCCAAAATGATTACTAGCCAAAAATCCATATTTTTTTGTTTCTTCTGTCTATGAAAGATGAAAGAAACACTAGAAAAACCCTAGAAATAAAAAAAAAACAAAATAATAACAATAATTTCTTGAGCTCATCATAGCTCAAGATGTTGTATATGTATTTCAGGCATGTTCATTTCGCCGGCGAACGCCGGGCGTCGCCTTTTTTATTGAGGCGAAGGCGAGGCGTGCCTCTTTTTATTTTTCAACGCACAAGGCGAGGCGAGGCGTCGCCCGGCGATTCGCCGGGCGAGTTGCATTTTGCAAGTGAGAATAGATTAAATTTTCTTCGATTTTGTCATAAATTCGGTTGTCGGCGGGGTTTCAGCTACCTATTAGCAACATTTTCAATCAAGATTTTGCTTTAGTTTTCACTAAAAAGTATATTTGGAAACGAAACAGCTATTTTTAGATGGAAAACATATCGTTCAAATGTTCTCATGTAACTGTAAGGCGATATATTTTTATTTCTAAGCTTACAAAAACATTTTGCTGAAATTGAATGTTTATAAATACAGTTTTTTCACAAATTGGGTAAAAAAAATAGGTTTTCAGTGAAAATGACTCTTTTCTTCACTTCTTTGACCTTAATAATGTGTTTCAGAAGAAATCTTAGCACATAACGTTAAAATATGGGTGAAATTATCACAATTAATCGTTTTTCATGCAAATAAATTACGTTTCTTTATGAAACAGACAACACACACGCGTTTTCTCGCCGCGGCGAAGGCAGGCGAAGGCGAGGCGTGGTTTTTATTTTTTTTCGAAAAACAGGCGAGGCGTGCCTCGCCTGCACAAAACGTCGCCGGGCGAAAAGCAGGCAGGCAAAATGAACACGCCTGATGTATTTACAAATAAAAAATTTCTTGTAAAAATTGTTTGAAATGGGGTCGAATTACAAGAAAAGACTTGAAACTTGAAAAATTATTTATTTTTTTTGTTGCTGGAGCAAAAAATGAATAAATATTGTGAAGGATCTTGAGGGAATTTTTGAAACTTCCTGAAAACTTCATTTTTTCTTGGGAAAAAAACTTTTTAAAAAGTTAATTAGTCAAAAATAGCCATGTGAAAGACATTATCGTAATCAACAAAAAAGTTCAACTTTTTCTCAAACAAAATCAAAAAACCAACATTTTTCTCAAAAACCACGGGAAAAATGTTGAAAAAATCACAATTTACTTTTTAAACCGTCTGTTCAAACAATCAAACTTTTTCAAAAAAAAAATAATAATACGTCACGTGGAGAATTTCACTGAAAATAAAAATTTATCTTTTTTGGAGCAAAAATGGAAAAGTATAAATAAATATAAATTTAAAAATTGTGAAAGCTCTTGAGCGAAATGAAACAAAAAATGCGAATTAGGAGAAGAACACAGAAAAAAACATACACGTAAAATAATGAATATAGACATGAAAAATAAGGGTTTCGGAAAGAATTTTGAGAAAGAGAGGGTTGCAAAATATTGGACATCCTTCTTCTCAAAAATTCATACTAGCCTCCTTATATTCAGAAGAATCCAAATTGAACAAATCCTCCAATTTCCACTGTAAAGTCTCAAAAGTTGGCCGTTTATCGGGATCACTTCTCCAACATTGTTGCATTATATCATAAAGTGATGGCGGACAATTTGCTGGACACGGCATACGGTATCCGGCATCAACTTGTTGTAAAACTTCTGCATTTGACATTCCTGGATACGGTAATCTACCGAATGTAATGATTTCTGTTAGAAGAATACCAAATGACCAAACATCGGATTTTGTTGTGAATCGATTGTAATTTGCAGCTTCCGGAGCAGTCCACTGAAAAAAATCGATTTTTTTGAGGAAATTTTTTGAAAAATCTCATTAATTTGGCTCCAAAAATAAATTTTTGCTAATAAAAAAATGCCAGCGAAAAAAAAGATCGAAAAATTCTTCGCCTTCAAAATTTAATGTTGTCCATGTAATCTTGAATTGAAAATAATCCAACTTACTGTAAAAAATCGTCTACAAGACCTACAGTAATCCAAATTCACAGTAACCTTTAAAATTTCAAAAAGGTAAATTTTATTTTTATTGATTTTTGAGGAAAAAGTTAGAATCCTGAATTGCAGGGATACTGTAGAAAATTCCAAAACAAAAACTACAGTAACCCTCGAATTTTGAGAAAAAAATGTTTTTTTCTAGAATTTACAATTCACAACAAAATAATTCAAGTTACTGTTAGAAAATCTGCGAAAGTACAGTAACCTCAAACTTTCAGATCAAAAATTCAATTTTTCTCTCATGATTTTGGTTTTTTAAAAATTTGAATTCAAAACTTCCAGGTTACTGTACAAAATTTTCCAAAAATACAGTAACCCTCAAATTTCAAAGAGGAAATTTCTGAAACTTTCAGTGGAAATATCCCTAAAAACTACAGTAACCCATAATTTTCTAATCTGAAAAAATGCTGTTTTTTTTAGATATTAGATAAAATTTTTAGGTTACTGTAATACGAAAATCCTTATTTATCTTGGAAAATCCTTTTTTTTTTTTAATTTATTCTCGAAAAAACTACAGTAATCTACAGTACCTGTTCCCTCTTTTCAAAAAATCCTTACCTTAATCGGAAATCTTGCACCAGTTCTCGCCTCATATTCATTTTCTTTCATCAAAATCCTCGCCAATCCAAAATCAGCAATTTTGACAGAAAGTGAATTATTGATTAAAATATTTCTCGCAGCCAAATCTCGATGTATAAAATTCATTTCCTCCAAATAGGCCATACCAGCTGCAACTTGTGCGCCAATCTCAACCAATTGTGCCAATGGACATTGTCGACCGCGTCTTTGCAAAAATGTCAACAAATTCTCTTGCATTAATTCGGTGACAATTAGAATTGGCTCATCTTTGGTGCAGACAGCGTATAAGCTGAGCAATTTTGGATGTCGCAATTTTTTCATGATTTGAGCTTCGGCTAGGAAATCTGTTGGATCTGCGGTGCCGGCTTTTAGTTTTTTGACAGCTACTGGCACATTTGTATTCCATCGACCTTCCCAAACCTGAAATATTTGAGATTAAATTTGGGATTTTTTGATACTAGATATGACAGGGAAATTTATTGTCACATGGATTTTTTTCTGAAAATTCGAGATTTCTGATATCAAATTTGCCACGTGGATTCCAAAATTGTTTAATAAATTTTCCCCTTGAAAATCGAAAATTTCAAAAAATTCAAATCTCCTCTTTTTCGAAATAAGAATAACATTTTCTAAAATTAATTTTTTGTTGTTGTACAAATTGCCACGTCATAGTTCACGTGAAATTAGAAAAAAAAAACACAAGATCCTAAATCTTCTCAAAAACTACGACGTGGATTTTTGGCGGCAAAATTCGAAAATTCAAAAATTTTTTGGGCATCCCAAAATCCCCAACCATTTATTTCACTGTTCCAATTTCCACCTTCTCCTAATATCCTCTTTTTTTGCCCCACAAAAAATATCCGGCCATTTTTCTTTTTTCTTTTTCTTATCCAAATATTTGACCAAAAGTGACACCACAAAGAAGAAGATCTTCTTCTTTTTTTTCGCTCGCGCAAAAAAAGAACATTTTTCGCTTGTAAATAAATATTGATTGGGATTATCCTAGCCTTGCTCACTTTTTTTCTGAGCAAGGTAAATAAATAATCGGAAAATTAGAAATTATAATTTGATATCAAAACAAATATTGAGGCGAGAATATTGATTTTTGGGTGGAAAATAAAAGAAATTCAGTACAACTTGTACATCTAGATAACTATTGGAGTTTCTAGGTTTAGATACCATAAATAGAAGTTCTCAAGGCGTCGTACCTAGCCACAGTGGTTCTCAAGGATCAGTTGCTTGTTAGAGTTGACCTCTAGACACGAGTCCTAGACAATTATGTTCTCTAGGCTCGGCTGCTTGACAGAGGTGAGTTCAAGGCTCGACTTCTTGAGATATTATCAGCATAACTACTTGAAGAACGTTTTTTTATTTTAGATGTTAATTTTCATTTTCATTTTCAGCACAAAGAAATAACTTTTTTGGCTGGAATTTTTTTTTCAAATTCAAATCGTACACAAAAATCTGAAATTATTCCTTTTTTTGTACGAAATTTGGCGACAAAACATCCACGTGACAATTAGATAAAAAATTTTCCATCCTTCTCCCAAAATGTCTTACCTCTCCGAACTGTCCAGCTCCAATTTGTCGAATCAATCGAACTGATCTCCGATCCACTTCCCATTGATCATCATACGTAAAAGTGGTGGTTTGTGGTGCTTCGGGTTTTGCGCAAGGTCGACCGAGATTGACGCAAAGTCCGTCTGCGTCTCTTTGATAATGTGCTATCAAATCGTGCAAAGTTGCAAAAGGTCGACGTCTTGCGATGAAATATCCACCATGATCGAGTTGACGAATACGGTAATGTTTGACAGTGTCAGATTCACGAACTGCAAAAAATTGGGTTAAAATGTGATACAAATACAATAATTTCGCAAAAAAATTTGAAAAATAAAAAGTTTCTACAGTAGTAAAAATAAAGGTACACACAGAAAATCATTTGGTCTCACAGCGATCTTCTAACAGGGCCCGCCAAATTGCACACTTTGAAAATAATGTTTTTAATTTTTTCCCCCAAGTTTTTTAACTTTCACGATGTTTTGCCACGTCATAACTCATTCATCTAAGAAATGCTATTAAATAATAACTAAATTGTGTTCAAAAAGTTCAGCAATACTGAAGAAGTATAGTTTTTCAGAAGCGAAAATGAGAATGCCCGAAAATCCTCCGAAAAAAAATCCTGAGATCGATGAAGAAGAAATACAAGAATTGATGGATTACAGGGCTCGACTCATTCAAGCTTTGGCTGAACAAAAGGAGTTGCAGGTAAGTACTTTTCAAAAAAAAAAGGTTGGGAGGGAGAATTTTTCTGGAATGTCAGATCTTTTCAGCTTCGACTTCAACAAGAAAAATTAGAGATGGAAAGAAAAATTGAAGAACTGCAAATGCAATTGGAAATTCGCCGTTTGAAGTTGGCTCTTGAACAATTGAGCAAAGAATGGGAAGAGTTAGAAAAACTCATGCAACAATCTTAATTTTTCTTGAAATAAAATATTTTTCTTGATCCCTGTTGCATTTTCTCGATTTTCTTCGGTTGGAATTCCGATATTTCTTGAAATTTTTTTTTATCACTTTAAACATTATATTCAGTTTTCAACCGAAAATGTCTGAAAATATGAGTGAAGATGGAAAACGAAATATCAATGGTCAATCTGAGAAAAATTTCGATGACAGATATCGAAATTACGAAAAAATGTGCCAAGAAAGACGCGAGTTGGAGGTATATGTTTTGAAAATCTCAAAAATTGTATATTTTTTCTTTCATTATTTTTTTGCAGAAAAAACAATCGATTTTGATGAAAAAGACTCGATTGATGGTTGAAGAATTGGAAAATAAACAATTGAAACAAAAACGATTGTTGGAAAAAGTCAAGGCTTCTGAAAAGTTGAAGAAAGCTCAAAAATCTTGAAAAATAAAATGTTGTTTTGTTTTTTGAAATTATTGTTCGTTTCAATTTTACTCACTGTGTTTTTTTCTAATAGAAAAATGCAATTTCGAGGAGACGCAGACACTCTCTGGTCTCGACACGCTGTGTGTCTGCCACACACTATTTCTCTCCCTTTTTCGGCGAGAGATTTGTCTGCACACGTTAAAGTCTGCGTCTCCCTCGAATTGCAAAAAAAATACAGTGTACTGTGGAGAATTCAAAAAATTTGGATGAAATCGAACGATTGAACGTGGATTTCGAAAACAGTTTCACCCACTTCAAAGTTTCACCCACAAAAAACTGACCAGAAAGCGATAAATCATGTTGTCGACTTTCAGAATCTCTGACTAAAAATGCTCCATGATCATTCATCTGATTCAATAAACATTTTTCAGCATCAATTCGTCGAAGTTTACCGAAATACCATCTGAAAATCATGAAATTCGGTGAAAAAGTCAAGAAAATTGAAAAACTCACGGCTGTGATTCGATACTTTTCTCCCTTGCTACATAATTCGATGGAATATATCCTGTTCTTCCAGTTGCCTTATGTCTGGCAAACCACCAATCACCTTGAGTGTCGTTGAGAATTTCGAGAATCTGTACAACAACAATTTGAATTCGGAATTTTGGTGGCGGAATTGAATAATATGGAAGTGCGCTCTATTTTTTTATTTTAAATATCGCGCTGAAATTTTCGATGGAGCACATTTGAACATTTCAACTCAAATGCCCCCCAAAAAACTCACATCATCTTTTTTGAAGCTCAAATCATCATCAGTTCTTGCGTCATATTGAAAAAGTGCAATAAAATTCGAATTCTGATTATTATTTCCTCCTCCAACAATCGATTTTTTATCAATTGTATTATTTGGCGAAGAAGAATTATTATTCAAATTGTGACTTGGCGAAATCGAGATTGGTGACGAAGTTGGAGGCGGTAATTGACCAACTTTTTCCTCTTTTCCTATACACGAACCCATTTGAAATTGAAAAACATTCGCAAAATTTGAGAAATTCTGTAAAATTTGGAATTTTTTAATGGAAAAATCGGGGTGAGATAAAATTATATAGAAAGGAAGGAAATTTTTGAAAAATAAAAAATTATGAGTAAATAAAAATAAAAATAAAAGTGATAAGGAAAAAAGTGGGCGGGGCTTGGAAAATTTTGAAATAAAATTTTGAAACTAAAAATTTTGAAATTAATGTTTTTTGCAAATTCAGACATACCTGAATTGTCTAGCTACAATTTTTTGGTGCCAAAAATCCACATGGCAATATTACAAGAATTTAAGCCCCAAAAAATGCTCCGAACCCTAAAATCCACCAAAAACCCTGCAATTTGGCCACAAAATGACCAAATTTCCGCCCAAAAATCAGGTTTGCCTCATTCATTCATTCAGTCTCTGATAACAGGATAGATGATGATGATTGGAGAAAAAAACAACACAAAAACAGCCCGCGCCAAAAAAAAAAGAAGAGGAGATGGGAGGAAAAACAGTCAGAAAGAGGGAAGAGAAGGAGGAGGAGGAGGCAACTGGCGGACGACGGGCGCGCTGTTAGCAAATATTTAGATAGTTGTATATTCATTATAATAAATATATTTAAAGGGAGGCGAAGAAGAAGAAGCTGAAGATGAAGAGGAAATAAGAAATAAAGAGTTAATTAACAAATGTTTTTGGTTTTGGTGAAGATTCGAAACAAAACAGGAAAACAGAGAAAAATAGGGGTGGGACTAAAAATCGATGAAATCAACGCAAAAATGAGAGATTAAGAGAAAAAAAATTATTTTTGATCTACCCCAAAAACTATTGAAAATTTTGAAGTCTAGAGATTCGAGGTAGTAAATAACACCCTGTGTATGCCAACAAATTCTGAAAACGTAATGAATTTTCATGCTATTTAAATATCCAAGAAATCCCGAAGTTTCCAAAAACAACCAAACATTCCTATATTAATATATTAAACAGTAACCCAAATTCTTGAAAAAATCAATTTATCACAAAAAGACTTGCGGTTTCCCACAAGCCACAGGAATTTGACAATCAAAAAAACTCCCCAAACAAAATTTATGTGAAGAAAGATATTTAGCCTTGAAATGTGAACGGGAAAAAGTCTCAAGGCTGTCTCAAAATTGAAATTAGCTTATGGGATTTGGATTTTTGTAGAAAAAACTTCTGTTTTAATATCACCTCTTGAAATTCCAAATTTTTCCCTCTTATCCTTTGAAAATTCCGAAAAATTACAGTAACCTGAATATTTTTTTTGAAAAATGCACGCCAAACGCGCCAGCAGTCTCAAAACACTGACGCATTTTTTGTTGGCACACAACGCGTTTTTTATTTTCGTTTTTTTCTTGTCGCTCCCCTATTTTATGTGTTTTTCTTGTTTTTCCGTGAATTTTCGCTAGTTTTAGTTGGTGAAATCGATAGAATTGGTGGGGTTTTACTAGGGAATGTAGGATTTTTCAAGTAACATTCAAATTCCGAAAGTTTTAACATGAATAATTGAAAAATCAATAATTTTTGTTTGTGGAAGGGTTTTTTATGGGAAAAGGAGCGTTTTGGCGAGTTTTCATTTTCAAAAATTGAAGTTTCAAATTTCCATGTTCCCAACTAGAACCCCATCGATTTGTCACCAAAAAATAGAATTGTTGCATATTTCTGCAAGTTGTGATTGAACTTTTTTCCAAAATCCAACATTTTTGCAGGTAACAAAAAGAGGCAGCAAAAATGCGTATCGAAAAGTGTTATTTCTGCTCCTCACCAATCTATCCAGGACATGGTATTCAATTCGCCCGAAACGACAGCACAATCTTTAAATTCTGTCGATCGCGTTGCAACAAATTGTTCAAGAAGAAGAAGAACCCAAGAAAGTTAAGATTCACAAAAGCATCGAGACGTGCTCGCGGAAAAGAGCTCATCAATGATGCCACACAATTATTGGAACAACGACGAGATGAACCAGTCAAATATGAAAGAGAATTGTTTAAGAAAACTGTTGAGGCCGCTAAGACTATTTCGAGTTTGAAACATAAACGGTAAGGACAAAAACAAGGAACATTTCCTACAGCAAAAAATATTTTCTTCCATTTTTTATATTTAAAAAAAATTACTAGCGCATGTCTATATTTTTTCAGTTACGCAAATCTCATTCGAAAACGCCTTCAACCCGGCAAAATCGTGCAAAAGAAGGGATTATTGGCAAAAGTGGACAAAAAAATGCATCTTATCAAAGCGCCAGTTGCGACAAGAATTGGAGCAAAAACGAGATCGGCTCAAAAAACAAAACAACACGAAGAAATGGAGACAAATTAAAAAGAAGGTTGTTTTTTATTGTTTTTATTTTCATCATTTTTTACTGTTCATTTTTGATTGTTACTTGTTTTCACATAAATTACACTTTGAAATTTTTGTGGGAATCTAGGTGAAAGTTTCAGAAAAAATGAGCCAGAATAAGAACAAATTTGGAAAAATGGCTGAAAAACATAGAATTTCAACTGAAGTTATCCGAGAAATCCTAAAACTTATAGAAAATTATTTTTAAAAAATCAAAATCTTTTTTAAAAATTGGAAGCCCCTCAAATCTGAAAAAGTTTCAGAGTGAAAATCTGAAATTTTCGCCAAGCGCAACCAAACGTTTTCTGAAAATTAAAAATTCTGGAAAACAACAAGATCTTGAAATTCAATCATAAAACTCAGATATGTTTCATTATTACACTAAAAATAACTTAAAATTCAAGAAAAACGCAACAAAAATTGGGGACCCCGAAAAATCAATTCAAAGGCAATAAAAAAACGAAATGAAATGAAAAAAATTATGTACAGACTAAAGTGAAAAACGACCCATAAAAAGAAGAAAAAGCGATTTTAAAATTTTCTACTAATTATAAATAATTAAACTTAATTAGGCAGTGGCTATAATTCTAGTTTTTCAGAATTTTTTCGCTGAAATTCTGATCCTTCAGCTTGTGGAAACATATCCGATCTGAAATTGGCAACTTCTTGAATACTTGAGGAATATCGACCAAAACTTTGGAGCAAAGCAACTACTTCGTTTCTGAAAAAAACAATTTGTGATTCATTTTTAGGTCGAAAAACCCTATTATCTACTCCCTCAAAATACTCACCTAGTCAATTGAAATTTGCTCAAATCATGTTTATAATGTGAATGTGGTAAATCGCTGAACAAAATCTTCAGCGCAGTTCCCATTCCATGTGTTTGAACTTTTCCCCAAAGTCGACATTTATCACATTCGACACAATCCATAATTCTCGAAATATTCACAAAATGCGATCGGAATTCTTCTCGAAGTTCTCGAGCTTGTGCTTCAACTCCAGTAAACATATCAGATTCATCGAAATGATTTTCATAAGAATCGATTGCTTCCAAAAGTTCTTCAACAGCTCTTCGAGTTTCTTGATCTTCCTGAAATTAATTTTAAAGATTTTTAGTGCCCAAATACGTCCAGGTTACTGTAGGTGATCAAATTTAGGTTTTTTTAAACTCCAAACAAGCCTGATTGGGTTGCTGTAGGGTACCGCATCGAAAAATTTACAGTATTCCAAAAATTTGAAGAATTTTTACAGAGATCCTACAGCGTCTCAAAAATATCCATATTTGATATCAAAACGATCCAAATTTCCCAAAATCCCAGAAAACCTTTCCATGTTCTCTTACCTTTTCATTTCCAGTATAAAATAACTCATTGAGCAAATATGGTTTAGCCTTTTGCAGTGCTCTCAATTCGAGAAGATAAACAAAATATACATTTCTGAGTCTTTGCGGTCCTTCCCATGACCATTTTGTTCCAAATCGACCAGCAAACATTTCCGTATTTCGGAACCATGTTCCTTGTTGAATTTGAGCACCGAATTTACCCAAACTTGGTGGAGCTGTAAGAAAAAGTGGAATTATTTCGAGGGAGATTTGGAAAAATTCAATTTTTGAATATTGAAGTTTCACAGTCTGTAATTTACTAACAGCTGAACTTCAAACCTTCAATATACAAATTTTTTATTGAAAAAAGTTTCCCCTGAAAATTTGGTTGAATTGTAATTTTCCAGAAAAAATGTTTTATTTTTTAATTGAAAATAGGCCTATTTTTGCATACTTCGCATTGAATTTGAAAAATTTCAATTCTTTGTAATTTACAATAATTTTTGAAACAGTGAAAAATAGGAAAAATTGTTCTTCTGAAAATTTTGATTAAAATAGAGGATTTCTGGTCAAATCAATTTTTCAGCCAATTTTTCATTCGATTTTAAGTCATCGAAGAAATTTAAACAATCGCCAAATTTTAATAAAAATATTTTGAAACAGTGAAAAAGAAAAACTTTTCAAGATTTCTCAACCAAAAAATTAATAAAATATCAGAAAACCATGAATTTCACTACCAACTCTGAAATAGTGAATTTTTCAACTCAAAGTATACTTTGGAGATATATCTCAAATTTTCAGCCCCCAGATTCAAATTCAAATTTCCCGCTCCCCAAAAAACCTACGTGGTTTATAATTATAAGCCGCAATCGAAATAGTAATAGCCGAATGAAGTCCAGAAATCAATCGATAAAAGACACGTTTCTCCAAGCACATTCCTGAAAAATTCAAATTTTCTGACGTGTTTTTTTCGTAAAATCGCACAAAACACCAAAAAATAGGGGGAAAAGCGGCCCAGATAAAAGCACATCACAACAACAGATAAAACTCAAAAAAAAAACCATCACCAGATTTCAAATTGCCACGTACCTTCTGTAGAAAAAAACTCAAAAATATTGTGTTAGTATTTGACATGGGGAGAGGACTTTTTGTGTGAATGTGAATGAAAATTCGAGAATTTTCACCAAAAAAATAGAAAAAATGGAGGAAAAACTTACCAAAATTATTTGGGTTGGTGAGGAAGTTTTTGTCGAATTTTGGATCGGGTCTGGAAAAATTAGATTGATTTGGGAGCGGGAAATAAGAAATTTTTGAAGAATTGTTTGGCGCCCAAATTTTGAAATAAAAAGTTCAGGAAATTTCAAAGTAAAAATCCAAAAATTTCGCTTATATTTTCAAAACCCCTTCAATAAGCTCACTTGAAACAATTTTCCTCATAAATACTTTTCCAAACTCGTTGCGGTGATTTTCCAGCATATCCAGTGTATCTTTCAGGATTTTTCGACAAATCAACATAGTGCATATCGGCCGATTCTTCATCTGAAAATTGGAAGAATTCAGGTTGGAATTGAGATATTTTGGGTGAAAATGATGTTTTTTTGGTAATTTTTCGGTCCAAAAATCCCTGATTTGCCCCATTTTCAAATTTCAAATTTGATCAGCTCCCGCAATTCTTTTGTTATATTTTTTTAATTAAAAAAATTGTGCAAACAAATAATGTATTTGTTTGATTGAACTATTATTGTTTGAAACAGCAAAAAAATGGAGAAAAATTTGAAATTTCAGGAATTTCTATGACATTGACGAAAAATCGCGTGAAAATTGAAAAAATTCAAACTTTCAGGAATTCCAGAGTTATCAATAGTTATCAAACTTGCTCAAATATTTCTGATATTCCATCAAAAATTATTAATTTTCAGTTAGATTTTCACCACAAACCCCTCGAATCCCACAAATATCCAGCTCACCATCAATTTCACAAAATTTGTCTTCTAAACCATCATCATGTTGATCCATATCATTCAATTGTTTTTTCTCTTTTTCCTCCAAACTTCTATCCATCGGATCAAATTCTTCTTCTTTTTTTGCGCCTTGTTTTGTCTCGCATTCTCTCTGAATAGTTATTGTTGTTGTAGTCGTCGAATTCCAGCGGTCAGTGTTATTTTTTGAATCTTGAGAAGATGCTCTAACTCGTACCACGTTTACACTTGTCGGTTTTCGAAGTCCAGCTGGAACTTCGTCGTCACAGAATGCGATTCCACATTGCGAAGTTCCACATTGACGATCATCGGCCCAGAATGGACATGTTTTATCCATGTTTACCTGAAATATAAATGTGAGATTTCCCGAGGAAAATCATTCAATTTGTCAATCGCGCCCCATAGAACAATCGAAATCATCAATAGAGCGCGTTTTCCCTTCGTAAACCGTTTTCAAAACTCTCACCTTATAAAACCGGAAGAAATCCTTTTTGAGCAACTTTTGCACCTTCTCATAAATCACATCATTATTCAATTTATCGATATTTTGTGAATCTGCACAAGCACATGGCTCAACGGCTTCTTCGCCTTTTCGAAAACACAATCTTTCGGGCTCAAATTGGCCCACAACTAGGCTACATAATATGAGCAATACTATTTTTTCCCGCATCCTATTCTGAATGAATTTGAAAAAATTAGAAATGAGGCGAGGAAATTTTTTGATGACGTGTATTTATTACAAAAATTGAGAGAAAATGGAACAGGTGTGCTGGAAAACGAAAATGTTTGGCTGAAATTTGACGCGATCAATTTTTTGTGTGATGGCTGCTCATGGAAAATGTCAATAAACAGTTTTCCGTTTCGTCAAAGACCGGAAACTTTGCGGAAAAAATAAAAAATAAATAGAAACACAATTTCAAATATGGGCGCGGCGAGACCCGGGGGTGATTGACTGTGCGCCTTTGAAATTACTGTATTTCAAAATTTCTTTTTTTTTCTTGAAAAAATTGGAAACTTTCCCACAAGAAAGCAAAAAATCGAAATTTGCCCCCACATCAAATAAATAACAACATAATGTCGCTGTGAAAAAATGAATAATGCAAATTTTTATATGGTTTCGTTTTTTTTCGCCTAACACCTGTCCAAAAATTAAATAAATAAATACACGTTGCACAAAAAATCCTGGAAGAATTATAAACAATAATATACGTTTTTTCCGGCAGGTATGCTGCCTGCGCGGACAAAACACCGCGCTCTCGAGAAAGAGATTTAGAGAAAGAAAAAAAAAGAAAAGAAGAAAACCGGCTATGAAATACCGTGCAGCGACCTGGATTTTTTTCAAATTATATCTTTTTCATAAATCTTTTTTTCAAACTTACCAAACACTGACCGCTGGAAAACTTTTGATTATTTAATTTTTTTTAATTTTTAAATTTAATATCAACTATATATAAATAAAAAATACGAAAAACTATAAAAAGTGGCAAAAAAGAGTGAGAGATAGACGCACACAACAGCCATAAATCGTATGAATACATAAAGAAAGTGCGCTCTAATGCACTCATTGAGAAGATAGAAAACGTTGCACATTGGTTAGTTATTGCGAAACACATGTATTTATTTTGTTAGTAGCAAAATTGAGGGAAAAATCGAATTTGAAAAAGAAAGCGCGGTGAGACCAAAAGAACGAGGTGTTCGCGCCTTCAAGGCGACCTTTTGTTTCGAATAAAAAACAAAAATTCATTCACAAAAATAACAAATTTATGCATCTATTCATTTGCAAAAAAACACGAAAAAAATGTATTTTTTTACAATATTTTTCTATTCACCAAAATCACAAATTGTCACGAAATACATGCAATCGTGACGAGACTCACACTCATTTCAAGGCAGCGAGTGTGAAAAATACATGCTTTCGAAAATTTCATTTCTTGTTTTTTTTTTCTCGCATGTTTTTCTCCTTGAAATGTGTGTGGGTCTCGTCACGATTGACATTTATTTCGTGCATTTTGGTGAATAGAAAAATATTGTAAAAAAATACATTTTTTTCGGTTTTTTTCGCAAATGAATAGATGCATTAACAATGGGTTAACTTATTAGTAAAACCTTTTTTATTCTAGTTCTAGATTTGAGACATTGTGAAAGAGTTTCGTTCGCATTCAACTTTGATTTTATGCGTTTCGTTGGAGATTTCGAAGTGGTCTTGGAAAGGCAATCCGTTGTAGTTGCTGAAAATCGATGTTTTCAAGTGAAATTGTTTTCTATTATCTCAGTTTTCAATATAAGCTATGAATTTTATGAAAATCAACCCTGGTTCAGGCGCCGAATTCATCAATAATATACCAAAAATCAGCGAAGAAAATATTTGGCGTACCAAAAATTTTCTGATCTCAACATATTTTTTAAACGCCCAAATGTTTCAGTAATTTTTGGTATACCAGTTTTGTGAATTCGGCCCATGGAGGATCAATTGTAGTTGCAGAATTCAACTTTTTGAACAAATTCCTCAGATTTTGAAAAATTTTAAAGCTAGTCATTGTAAACCTTGCAATATTACAAAGGTTTTCTTTGTCATGCCATAAATTATATCTTAAGTTGAGATAAGCAGTTTTGACAGAGGAATCAAAATCTACTAACAAAGAAACAAAAATTATGTTGAAAAACTCTAACCGTCTAAGTTCCTTCAACAAGCATTTGATATCTTTGTTTTCTTTTAGTTCTTCATAGTCATAATCATAATCTTCTTCTTCGTCTTCATAATCTGAATGCATTTCTTTTTGCAATTCTGCAATTGTTCTTATATCCATCTCAAAATCCACAATTTCTGGAATATTTTCAACATTTCCCACCTCAAAATCTATAAAATACTTGAAAATTTCTCGATGAAGAAGATGTCCGGTAATATGACGAAAAGTGATTTTTTTCGCCTTCATTTCCTTCAATTTCAAAATCTCACCATCCACCGAAACACCGTGAATTGAAATTCGTCCGGTGATTGAAAGAATTGTATCCTGGTCTAAAAATCCACATTGTGTCGAATTGATCTTTTCACCTCTGCGAAAGATTGACAAGTTCTTTAAGCTTCTGAAGTTTTTGATAGAAGTTGTGGCAAATGGAAAATTATTCTGAAACAAACATTTATAAAATTATTGAATTTTTTGTTTTTTATTTTGTGATTTTTGGAACCAATATCAATTATGGTTACTGTGAAAATTTTCCAATTGAATTTTCAACAATAATTTGAAAATATTTTGAAATCAACTCTTTTTCAGTTTTTCCATCTTCAATTTTTGTCCAAGCTGTATTTCGCTTCAATTTCATAATCGAATCCGAGAAAGTCAAAACCATCGTTCTTTTTGATTTCAAAATAACTTGTATTTCAGGAGTTATACCAAGGAATTTCAACGAGACCACCGGATTTTGGGAAAGTTTCGCAAAAAAGTCATCGAAAAAAGTTGATCAAAAAAATAGTATTTTGTTTTAACAGTTTTCTGATAAATAAATGTTACCTTATCATGAATTGCAATCATTTTAAGCCTAAAATCTTGAAATTTGGTTCGATATGAACGTAAAAAACGACTCATTGTTGGAATCTAGAAAAACAACCGAAATTTCGGAAAACAAGAAAAAACATGTTTTTCAATTTCAAAAATTATGCGTGATGAGACCCATGCAACAAAGTGTGTGCGCCTTCGTTTTTTGTACGGTAGCTGTGTTTTTTCTTTCATTTTCAAATTTTTTAGGTCCTAGGATCAGATCCTTTTGAACGTTCAGTCAGAAGGTATGATTGTTGCAGCGGAAAATTTGAAATTGAGCCATAATGAATGGGCTTTTGACACCAAACAATATGGTTACGGTAGAAATTTGGAGCCAAGTTTGAATTTTCGAAAAGAAACGATTTTTGCAGTTCGATTTACAGTAAGCCATGCAGTTTCAAAAATCCACGCGGCTAATTTTATTAAAAAGGTAGAAAAGTATCAATTTCCCTCGGCGATAAACAGAAATTATTAATTTTTTAACTTTCGTCAAACATTTTCAAAAATAACATAAGACTTCTGATCCACAATAACGGAGCCCAAAATGTGATCTATTGTTTTTTGTTGTAACACATATTATTTTATGCTCCCGTATTTATTACTACTATTAGATATTACTATTTTCTATTTTATTTTCTTTTTCGGGGCGGCGTGTGAATAAAAATCGATCGAGCTTCTTCTTGAAATATGATAGTTTCGCCGAGAGCCGACCGCTGTCTTTTTGCTTTTTGCGCGTAAAAAGAAGAAGAAAGGTATACGGTAGCAAGAAGACAACCAGACTCTTTCATTTCTTTTTTTCTAATTTTATATAGTAGTTGATTTCAAATGGATTTTTTGTGGGTTTATGGAAGCTAGGCTTAAGGGTGGACTTAGGCTTAACAGAGAGATTAGGATTCTGAGCTTTTAGGCTTTGAGCTCAATTTTTGTTTTTAATTAGGGCCTGGACTCAGACAAGCTCTATAATTAGGTTTAGCTTCTCATCTAGACTTCTAGGCTTCTGAAGATTCTTAGGCTTATCCTAAGCGTTCCATTTTCATAACCTAAACCTGAACTGAAGCCTATTAAACTCTCTAGATTCTTCTAGACTAATCAAAGGTTTTTTTTCAGAATTTTTCAGTATCAAGCTGAATTCTGGGTTATTTTTCGATTTTTCTAGATGTTTTTTTATTTGGATCCGAAATTCGAATAGTTTTTTTAAAGTCAAAAATTGCCACGTAGCAAAGTTTTGGCGCTAAATGTAATTGTTTATTTCAATATTTTAAACTAACAATAAGTCATTCATGAATCAATCCAAAATTCAGTTTCCGAAAAATAGCAAAATTTTGAAACATAGAAAATCCTGGTTCAAAATCATTATTTTTTGCCAAATTTTAATGTTATCGAAAATCCACGTGGAAAAAATATCAAAAGGTATCAATTTCCTCCCGCGGCCGACGATAAACAAAAATTGTTTATTTTTTGTTTTTGTCAAAAATGTATTTCGAATCATTTATTTATTCCCAAATTTCTCCATTTCGCCCATAAAAATCAATATTTTAATTAAAGTGCTCTTTTTTCCGGGCTTCCTTCCCGTGTAAAACAATACCCTGTTTCAAGTATTTATATTTATGCACTATTCTTCAAGCATATGTTCGATTTTGGAGCACATTTTAGGGTGGCTCCAAAAGCAAATACAGATGTCTTATTCTTGGGCAGATTTAACAGAGTGTATTTTGTATTTGCTCAATTTTTCGCCCGGGTTTTTGGAACCAAGTAATTTTGGCCTGAAATTTAAGGCTTTCATCGTTAATTTTGCCTAAAATTAAACATTTTCAGCGCAATTTTCAGTCAAAAATAACGTAAAAAACTTTAAGAAAATCGGGTTTTTTGCGGTTAAAATAAGGTTTAAAATTAAGTTTTTTATAAGTTTAAGGTTATACACTTTTTTCGTTCTCCTCAATTTCTAAACCCAAAAAATTATAGCAAACCCACATTTCCCTATTTTTTATCCCCACCAAAAAGTTGTGCTAATTAGCAGATGTTTTTAGACACCTGCCTGATATTAATTAGATGACTTTTTCCTTGCCTGATGAATATTTATTTTGTCCCAAGAGCTGATGCTCTTGTGGCTATTAATGGGGTGTTAATTTGGAAAAAAGGATAAAGAGAGAGACGGATTACTGTAAGAACAAGTTACTGTAGTTTTTGGGGTACTGTAGTACTGTAGTACCTTCAGATTATCTAGGGATCACGGTAATTTAGGAGTTCCGGGTTACTGTAGGAATTCGGATTTATTTCTATACAAGCACTATACCACAATATTTTTATTCGAAAAAAATACGGTACTTTCAAAAATGAACAAATTTCCCAAGATCATGTTCCTTTAATTTTTCCGTGCAAAACTCCAGATACTTTTTCGGGTTACTGTAGCATATTCAAAATTTACAATTTTTCTCCTGAAAATCTTCTTGCTCATTTAGAATTCCGACTGGATTACTGTAGTTCAATCGCTCTTGAAATAATGTTGCGTGTTTTCTTTCAACAAAAAATACGCATGTTCCTTTAAGGTTTAGCTGAATTACTGTAGCTCTCATTTTTCTGATTTTTTGTTGTTCACAAACAATATTCCAAAAATACTCTTGTTCCTTTATTGGTTACTGTACCATTCGAATTTTTCTTCAAAATTTATTTTTTACTTTCCAAAAATTCTCATGTTCCTTCAAATTTTATCCGAGACTACAGTAACTCAAATCTTTTTCTCCATAATATTTTCTTCGCCAGAAATCGATGTATATATAAAATTGCGTAATTTTTTATAAGACATCATAAAAAACATGACAAATTATTATTATTATTATTACACCAGATGGAGCCAAAAAATCATACTGTACTTGAAATTTGACACTTTATCGATTTTTTCATTCTTGGATGGATAGATGAATGAATAACAAATAGAAAAACACATTTTTAGCCCAATTTTTTGCCGACTCAGAATTTCGTGAATTTTCCGAACTTCACACACTGAAAAATCTGAAATTTTGAATTTTCAGCCGAAAAATGACATCAACATCGCCTGCTCTTTGGTCGACAATTCCAACACAGGTTGATGTTGGAAGCACGAAGGATGCCATTTTACCGGACTCGATTTATGGTAAGTTCAGGCCAGAACTTGAGAATAGGATTCTTAGAACTTAAATTGCAAGCCTAGGAAACTAAAAGGTGAGCCTAAGCCTAAATTAAGCCTAACATAAGGCTAACCTAAACTTAGGCTAAGCCTAGCCTAAGCCTAACCTATCTCCCAAGCCTAACCCAAAGTGCACCACTAAAACTTGCGCAAAAAACCCCAACCCAAATGACCCCTGCACCCTCTCACTTCTCCACACTATTTTTCTGACCTGTCCTCCTGGCTGCTCACTTTTTCTGTTGCTCCACCGAAATGGGCGGAGCCAAATGGGCGGAGCCTTGTGGTGCTAATGGTGATGTATTCTTCTTAATTGTATGGTTGTCGGATGGCGTTGGTGTATTTTGTTGTTTTTTTTTGGGTGATTTATGGGTGGCGGGGATTATGCTTTGAGAGGTTAGACGTTTTTTTTTGAGTTGAGTTGAGTTTATAAGTGTGCTCCGCTTTTGATCTTACCGCTTTTTTGTTTTTGAATTGCTGAGATTTTGACACCAAAAATTTAGATTTTTGAATTTTTTGAAACGTATATTTTTAGGGTTAGGCTTAGATCAGGCTTGTGCGGAAACGGAAAACGCGTTTTCCGATTTTCCGACTTTTTGGGAAAATTTCGGAAAAAATACGAGTCGGAAAATTTTCCGGCCTAAAAATTCGGAAAACTTTTGGTCGGAAAATTTTTCCGACGAATATTTTCGGAAAAAATTATTTTCCGAAAATTTTCCGAGACTAATAATTTTCCGAAAAAGTGAAAAAATAGGTGATTTTCAGGAATTTTTGCTAATTTTATCAAAAAATAATTTTGGTAATTGTGAAAAATATACGAATTTGTTAGTAATATTTAACTAAAGTGACAAAATATTGTGAAAACTGCCGAATTTGTTGAAACTACTTCAAAACAACTCAAAAACCAACAAATAAGCCTATTATTTCTTCATTGAAATTTTTTCCGAAATTTTCCGATTTTCCGGAAAATTGAGTCGGAAAAAACAGTCGGAAAACTTTTTTCCGAAAATAAAAAGTCGGAAAATAACTTCGGAAAACTTTTTCCGACCGGATGGTTTCGGAAAAACACGGTTTTCCGAAATTTTCCGAAAACCTATTTTCCGCACAAGCCTGGCTTAGATCTAGGCTTCTGAAAAATCAATATTCCTTCCCGGCTCCCCAAACGCAAGCTACATACACAATATTACATACATGGGTGCTAAAAACTTGTGAACATCAAATATTTACTCCTCCCACTTTCTCCTCGCCCAAAACAAACATTTCTATTGTTCTTTCTCTCAGGTACAACATCAACCTCTTCAACTTCCTCCACAACTACCGTAACCTATCCCAACTACAGTACCCCAACAAACTACAGTACTACCACCGGCTATCAAATGTATACAACGGGTGCGACACCAGCGAGTTATTATCAACAAGTCGCATCGAATTTGCGAGCTCAGACAACATTTCCATACAATTTGACGACGCCGAGTTATTATGCGGCAGCTAGCGGAACATATCCGGTTGACTATTCCGCAGCTTATAATCCTCAACAATATTATCAGCGATACTACAATCCACTTGCGACTTATTCGCTAGGCGACATTGCTGCCGCGTCTTCAGCGACTGGCGGAAATGCGGATGTTTCGGCAGCGGCCGGATTTCCGCTGAACATGAAGGAGATCAAGAAATCGGCCAAGAATTCGTCGAAAAATGCGGGAAGTTCGGGGAAGAAGAAAAATGGCTCGTGTTCACCGGGAGACGAAGTTTATGCAAGAGTTTTTATTTGGGATATTGATGATATTACGATGCTTTCCAGAAATATTATTGCTCAGGTTACACAACAGGTAAGATAGAGAGATTGGAACCCTACAGTACTATGTTCCTTTAAGCTTTCCTACTGTACACAATGTCCCTTTAAATCTTAGGGTTTCCAACTAGAACTATGATTACTGTAGCAATAGATCCTCCAGATTCAAATTCTAAATTCTACATCCCAAAATCTCTCTTGCAGTTCCCCCACTTGGCATCCGCTGGTATTTCCCTCTATCAACTCATCGAACGTGTTGTCGCCGTCAATTTTTCGGATCCCAACGAACTTCAAGAAGGCGATGTGATCAATATCGAAGATGCCGTGATTGATGAAACTGTCATCGATGGTCCCATTGATAACTTGCGCGGTTTGGATATTATGCGTCGCGTGGCACCCAAATATCAGGCATTGCGTCAATTTTATGCCGAGATATCGGAGGGATTCAAGGCCGAGAAACCGATTTTGAGCTATGGTGAGTGCTTGGGTTGGGTACTGTAGATGTAGATCGTTACCGTAACCCTACAGTAGGTAGATAGGATTTCTACAGTACCTCTAGGTTGAAGGGACACGCTCAAAAATCCGAAAAATTGTACGTTTCAAAATTTTTTGATATTTTGAATGTTAGAATTTTCGGAGATATCAATATGAACAATTCCATATTTTTCTTCAAATTTCAGTCAAAGCCTTAGAGTACTGTAGGTTGCATATAAGAGATTACTGTATGTCCTGTATCAGATTACGGTATTAGCAATATAGAATATACCGCGCAGCGAGTGTTTGTCCCTTTAAGCTTCCTACTGTAACTTAGGGGTGGTCTGTATTTAGAAGTAGATACAGTTCTTCCGAGCACATGTTTCTGTCCCTTTAAAGGTCAGGCAGGGAGTACAGTATCCCCCGCCACCAAGACACATTCTATCCTTCTTAATTTCTAGAACTTCTCGAACGGTGTGGAATGGCTACTCAAGAAGTCGACCTCTGTCAATCAGCCGCCCAACTTCAAACTCTTTTCAATCAACGTTGGCAATGTGCCAACAGATGTCTCGAATTAGTTACGAAAAGAAGCGCAGAATCACACGAAAAATACGCAAATGTAGTAATTTGCGCGGAAGGTGTTGCGTACGCTGCCGCGCAATTATTGGTCGCCGGTCAATCCGCAACAATTCCAATCGATAATATATTTTCAACAACAAAAGCGTCAAAAGAATCAATTTTCGAGAAAATCCAAAGTAAATACGGCAAAAAATGCAGTTTTGTTTCGGTCACAAGTTCGGCTGAAACATCAGGAATCGCGAAAAAACTGGCAATTCCAGTTTGGCCTGTTGGAGCAAGTGATGATTTAGAGAAACTGTATACTGCACAGAGAAATTATTTGCTTGGATAAAAATCGACTAACGTTTTTGATTAATTTTTGCTAATTAATTTGCTTTTTTTGCCATTTTTCGGGTTTTTTCTATATAAATTATTTATTTATTCAGAATAAAAAACAAAATTTCGAGGATTTTTGTGATTCTTTGGCTATCCAGAAGCGATCAGGATCTACAAAATCCGGAATTTTGGGTTATGACGTGGCAAAAATTATGGATTTTGATAAATGGAGGTATTTCAGATTGATTTTTTCGCGCGAAATTCAAAATATTTATTATTTTCAGCGCTAAAACGCAGCGTGTTTGGTGTCAAAATGGCCGCAATTTTTCTCGTAGTCAAATTTCATCCCTCCCCTCCCACGTTCAAAAAAAAACTCACCGCAACAATCAAAATCACACTAATCAAAAACATCAATACACTAACAACCAGTTGAATCTTGACTCCAGTTAGTGAAATTTCTTTGTCCTTCACATTTTTCATCTCACTTTTGCCTTCTTTTCCATTTTTCTTCGGTTTTTTGTCGTATTTCGAATTTTTCTTGTCTTTTCCACCTTTTCCTCCGTTTTTCGGCGTTTTGGCGGATTTTGATTTGGATTCTGATCGCGACGCCGATTTTTTCTTATTTTTTAATTTTTTTGGTGAACCTATTGGATCCGGACCGGGCGGTGGAGGCGCGGCAAGCTGTAAAATTTGAATTTTTGTTGAAAATGCAGAAAATGCTTCAAGATATTCAAGAATGACGTGAACTTGGTTTATTTGTTCATTTTCGTAAAATTTCTAGTTTTTAGTGTCAAAATGCTAGAAATTCGATGAAACATCGTAATTTTTATTTCAAAAATCATTTAAATCCTAATTTTAGTCAGAATTTGTGATTCCCATTAAAAATTTAGCTTAAAATGTCCCTAGTTCCAAATTTTCAGCAAAATTCCCCGAAAATCTCACATTAGTCGGAACAAAAAACTCATAACCATCGTCCTCTTTTTGTGCACTCATTTTTTTCGTTTGCACTTGCTAAAATCACATAAATTAAAAATAAGAGCATTTGAAAAATTGACCGTTTTTGAAATACAAAAAAATGTCACGTCAAAAATAATTTATATTCGACAGGAAAGAAAATTGTTAGTAAGTGGGGGTGCAGATAAATAAATAAATAAGTTCAAATTCTAAATTTAGGTCAAAAATTAGTGAGGGGTGCAAATAAATAACTAAAAATAAATGAAAATTTAAATTTTGGTTGAAAAGAAGTTGGAATGGGGTTAATTAGATAATGCACTTCTTTGCATTCGTTTTGCCAGTCGAGCTTTTTGCAATTTATACAATACATTACCGGTTTCGGCTTCGTCGGCTCGATGTCGAGTATAACCATCGCCAGCGTGACTTATTGACATTGTTCGAGCATTTATCATTTCACGTGCTGCAAAAATATATAATTTATGAAAATCCCAACTCCAAATGATACTCCACTCAAAAATCTTACCATTAGTCAATATTCTTTCATCTTCACTAGTTGTATTTGCAACCGGTTGTCCAACACCGTATTCATACAAATTTCGAACTTCTTGGAATGCGCCAATCATTGTATTCAGGCGATGGAGTAACATTCCTAGAAAAAAACACATGGTATGAAATTTTTATCCAATTTCCAGCAAAAACCCTACCTAATGTTTGAACAAACAAAATGGCCAGCAAAAACACAACAATTCCCATTCCAAGTGGATCGATTTTCAGCGGTTCTTTGGTTTGTTCAAATTGTCCAGTCATTTCGTTCATTTTTGTCCATTTGAAACCCTCTGAAAATTAGATGGAATTTTTTTTTGTAAAAAAAGAAAATTTGCTCTTTGTATAGCCAAAACATGTTTTTTTGTCACGTGACTTTTGGAGAGTTCAAACCTTGAAATTTTTTCACGTCACCAAACTGTGGCATGAAAAATCCAGCTTTGAATTTTAAAACCTATTAATTTCAGGCGTACAATTTTTTGGTTTTTTTGGGTTTGACTGCCACGTGGATTTTTGAAGCCCCGCATTTCTCTGGAAAAACCAAAAATATTCAAATCTTTGTCTCCAAAAATCCACGTGGCAAATTCAGTCTCAAAATATGCGCATTTACGCTAAAAACTCACTATAAGGCACATATTTAATACTCAACACATTTTTGTGTTTCTGAATCAAGAAAATGGCCAAAGCGAGAAGAGCATTGATGAGCAAAATGGTGAAAGCAATTTGATTTCGAAGAGAAGCGAGTCCTTCCGCGACTTGTTTCATTTCAGCTGCGGTAGATTTGATCGGTTTCAGATATGTTTCAATCAATTCGTTCCAGAATGTTTTTTCGGCCGATTTCAGTTTTCCGCGTTCGCAAATCTGAAAGTTTTTGGAATTTGGAACAAAATATTCAAAATTGTTTCACAAAAACTCACCTTCAAAACATCACTATTCATCCAAACATATTTATTGGCTTTCTTCATTTCCTCTTTTCTTGTTTCTTCTTTTTCTATTCCCATATTTTCAGCCAAAGTTTGTGTTTCAATTTCTCGTTTTTCTTTGAAATCACTCAAAATCTTATCAATCTCTTCTCCTCCTTTTTCCACATTTCTCAAAGCCATTTCAATTTTGCTCAACTTATTCTCGAATTTCGCTTGTTTCTCTGCATTTTCGCGTTTTTCTTTTCCCGACAAAATGCGAACACCTTCTTTCAAAAAATCGATAATTTTATCAATCCATCTTTCCAGTGGTGCTTTTTTCGTTTTTTGTCCAGTCGCTTTGGCTACAGCTTCTCGAGTTCCCCACGTAATTACATTCAAATTGATCAAACTATAAAGAGTTAGGAATACATAAGTTGAGGGAATCATTAGGAAAAAGACGATTCCATAAATGATATTGGTGAATTCTTTCGGATGAAGACAGGCGGCGAAAAAGAAGATAAGGACCATTGTGACAATGAAAAGAGATGTTGGAGCAACGACGGCTGAAAACAATAAATAGGTTTAGATGATTTTCTCAATAAAAATATAGGTGCCACGTGGCAAAACTTTATTTCGGAAATCAAATCTAACTTCTGTTAATTTTCTGCTCAAAAATTCAAGAAATTAGGAGAATTTTAAGAAGTACAGCTTGAGCTGAAAATTCAACTGATAATTTCCAAGAAATTTCAGGTAACCTAGCTAGAATTTGTCTTGAATTTCTCAGTCATTTTGTTCTAGAAAATCGTACATTTTTTTGTAAAAATTTGAGCTTTTCCAGGGTTACTGTAGCTCTGAATTGTTAAACGAATATGTTTTTGCTGAAACGCTACAGTAATCCCGATGTTTCCAGATTTTTCATAAGTCTCTGTTTTCTGTATTTGAACACTCCCCTCTTTCCCTCCCCTTTACCCACTTTCCAAAACAATCTGACTACTTGTCGCAACCAAAACCGCTAACATAATAAATGCATAAACAATTGACATGAATTTGGCATAAATCAATTGAATATTCGATTCTGTTGTAAAACAAAGCAAAACAAACAATCCAATCGGAATACCATTCCACAACATAACATTAGTTCCATCAATTCCAAAAGCAGCAACTTGAGCAAAAACAAGCATTGTAAATATAATAGCCGGTCCAAGCATTGAGAAAAATATCACCAAAAATTGATAAGCAATGTATGCATAACTAATCGATTCATTATTTTCAGCCGCTCTTTTGTAATCCATAAGTAAATCAATAGTATTAGCAATTGATGAAGGTGTCCATCTTCGCCGTTGATTGAAAAACTCTTCAAAACCTTCGGGAGCATATGTTTCAGCATCAGAAGCAGCTGCATATTCAATACGATATCCTTGTTTCAATAAAAGTGTACTTAACCAACGATCTTCTCCTTGATCATATTGAACATAATGACGAGGTTCTGATGCGGTTTTTGTATATTTATGCATTATATTATCATCCATAAGAGCGGAGGCGCGGAAAAGTGAAAAACAACCAGGAGCGCAGAGAACACATCCGAAAACATGTTCGGCTGCTTTTTGGAACCAATGAGCAATCGCGTATTCGAATTTTTGATACCAAACCATGATTCCTAGAAAAGAAAAAGGGATTTTGATAGGTAAAATAATTTTAAATGTTAAAATTATGGATTGGAAAACTTCGGATGGAAAACATCGACTTTCAGCCAAGTTAACAAACTTTTATCAAATTTCACGAAAATTCAATTTTTCTGAAAACTATCGATAAATTAGGGTTGAAACACAACTTTTCACACCATTTTGATTGAAATTTAAGGTTTTCAGGTCTAAATTTCACTGCAAATCTCAAAATTCACTGAAATTCAGATGCAGATTTTCCAAAGTTTCTAGGTAAAAAACCCCGTGCTCACCACTTCCAATCGGATGAATTCTTCCACACGCACATCCAATATCACTTTTCGCATTCATCAAATGCAACAATCTCAACAATGCATCCGGCTCAAATTTCGAATCTCCATCAATCGCCAAAATAAAAGTATTGTCAGCCATTTGTTGTCGATCTTCAATTGATAATGGGCAATCCATAATTCGATGTCCCAACAAATAATACATATACATCACCTGGCTCCATCGTTTCTTATGACGAATTAGAGTTTTATCCTTGAGATGAACAAAGAGCAATGTTCCCGATGGAAGTTTCACAACAAGTCTTCCTCCATAAGGTGTATTCACTAGAATTCTAGTCTCTAACTTGCCATTTTCATTCAATCTTTCGCCAGTCATTTCATTCAACAAATCGAAAAACATCACAAAATATTCATTCGGTTCCCGTTTTTCGATTCCATCTTCAATTTTATTTTCCCAAGCATCATCAAAGAATATATGTCCTTCCAATCGATATCTCAAATCACTTTTCTTCGAACTCATTCTAGTTGCATGATCCACATCCAATTTCAAAATACTTCTCAAAACTTGTCTCATTTCAGTTTCAGTTTCATGCCACATTGTTGCACATGCATATACCGTACTCGTCTTATCCACGTCATCATTTCGAATTCGAAGTTCGTCATTTTCATCTGAGTTATTGATTAGATCATCGTCTTCAATTAGGAATTCTTTTTCTTGACGATTTAGAGAATGTTGAAAAACGACGAGAGATTGTTCGATGCAAAGACCATTGCTGATTGGAGGCATTGATGAGATTCTGCAAAACGAAAAGGTGAGTTTTTTTGTTGAAATTCCAGAATTTCCCCTAAAAATCTTACATTTCCTCAGTCGACTCAAAATATCTCTGCTTGACCAATTTCCATCCTCGATACGATCCAACAATTAACCAAATCATGCAAATATAAAAATCCGGAGATGTGAATCCACTCGATTCCTGGAACCATTGATCACAAATCCATCTTAATCCATATTTTGCCAATTTTCGGGAAATCCAACAAGTTGGTGATTGACAAGTTAGACGAACAAATGAATAAGCAATGATTGGAGCAATTGATAATGGATGAATAAATGAGATTGGATGAAGATCGAGAGCAGCAAGGAAACGAGAGATTCCACGCATTATGAGATGAAGAATAATGATCGAAACAGCGAGAAGGAGAAGAAGTCTGGAAAATTATATGATGAGATATGGATGATTTTTTGGGGTTAGAAATTAGGGTTTCTTTTGAAAAGTTTGAACTTCTAACTTCCACGTGGATTTTCTGCCACGGGACGTGGCAAAAACGTGGCCCACGTCTTCAAATTTTCAAAATTTACAGATTGAGAAAAATCATCAATATTTTGGGTTCCCAGAAAATTTTCAGACTATTTTTCAAAATTCCAGAGAACAAGTAAAAACTCACGTATGTCCGCGTTTCATTCCAAAATAAAAAACGGCTTTGAAGAAATGTACACCGTGCAATTTGGTATGTCCATTCATAAAAACAGCCGCAATCATAACTCCCAAAACACAACAAATCCTGCAGAATGCCACGACCGCTTTCGTAGTGTTATTCATTTTTCGAACAGCATATTTGAGTCGATATAATTCATCATAAGAAGTGTTGGCATGAGTTGTGTCAATCCATGATTCCCAAAAACCGATTGATGTGCAAATAATACCGATTGGAAGGGCAAGATGGGCGGTGAATTGTTTTCCCGAATCGAAAAGTGTCCAAAGATAGCATGAGGAAAATAAGGCGATACACATGAAAATATGAGGCATCGCTAGGAAACAACGACCAAGGCGAGATCGGAATTTCTTCGATGCCCTGGCTGCATTCATCATTGCGATAAGACTTCGTTGGAAAACAGCAACCAATGGAAAACAACATCCGAGAACGATACATCTACCAAGATCCAATTGTGGGAAAACATGGAAAGTAAGCACCGATAGTCCGATTGCTCTGAGGCATTCAAGAATCACCAAACTTCCCACCAAGTTTCCAGCTCCTCCACGTTGTTTCACAATTTGTAGAACTGCTTGGATCATGTTAAATATATCGGGAAGACATTGAATCATCAATAATCCTATATAGATACTCGCCGTTGTTGTGGAGGTTCGTTGAACATTTGCGCGCGAACATTTTCGACTGAATTTGTCGAGCAAATGTGAGTGGGGAATAATGTTAGTGGACATGATGAGCACAATGAGTTTGGAGAAGACGGAGCCAAGGGTGAGAGTGATATTGCACAGAGTGAATAGGAGCAACTGGAAATTCATGATTTCAGGGTGAAATTTTCATTTTTAGGAAAGTTTGAAGCATTTTTCCCACCGAAAACAAGCCAATTTGAATTTAGAAGTACACCATACAAATTTTCTACCAAAAATTTCTGAAATATAACCTTTTTCGATCATCTGATTTCTGACAGGATTGTTCCCCATGTTTCGTCAATAAGAAATGAGAAAATTGCATTTATAATCAAAAATGAACACTTGCCACGTCATAGTCCACGTTTCAAAAAAAAGCAGACTGGGATTTCATTTCTGATATTTGAAATTATGCATTTTCATGATTTTTAGCCCTACCAATCTATTGTGAAGTTAAAAAACTACGCAATTTCTAACCAAAAACCCCACAAAACCCACATTCAAAATAATAGAAGACAAACCTTTGTTGCTTGCAAAGCGGTCACCATCCATGGTGAAAGTGTGGGTCCATCGGTGGCGGTTCTTTTATGAGATCGAAACGCGTTCCAATAATTCTCACCATCGTTCATCCTTCCTTTTTCAATCAATCAATCGAGGAAAAGACGAGAGAATGACGAAAAAATGATGATTTTTTGGTGGAAAATTGGAAACTCAAAGTTGCGCGGTGCACTTCAGATCAAATTGTTATTTATAGTTTGCTCACTCTCGGTGAAAGTGTGGTTTTTAGGTCTGGAAGTGAAGAAAACACAGAACACTCGTTTAAAGGTACAGCGATAAAATGTGTTGGGTCTCGTCATGATACCGTAGTTTCTTCAAAGGCGCAAAAGAAAATTGCTTCTTCGTGTCAAGACCCACCCGCCGAAAAAGACGTTTGAAAATTTTTTCGAGTATTTTCATTTTTGTCATTTTTTCACTCTTGTGTTTTTCTTTGAGTTTTTGAGATCATTGCACATTTATTCACAAAACAAAGTATAAATATAAATTATTCATCTTCCTCCTCATCATCCCCAAATGATAATAGCGTCTTCTTGGGCTCTGCAATAACCGTTTTCTTCTTCTTTTTATCATCCTCTTCTTTTTCCCCTTCAGCCAATCTTTTCACTGGTTTTTTGAATGTAATCTTGCCCTCTGCAATCTTCTGATCATCCTCCTCTTTTCGAATAACTTCCAGCTCTTTTTCCAACTGCTCTTTCGTCAAATCAGTCGATTCATTGAGAACTACAACTTGTGGTCGATCTTCTTCTTTCATTCTCAAAAGTTCTGTTTCATCGTCGTCGAAATTTGACGGACCTTCATCGTCGAACTATAAAAAAACTAGATTTCATCAAGATTTTTCATTCAAAAAACTCACTTTATCCTCCAGTTTTGCCGGTTCCTTATATCCCATTTTTGCTTTCATCGCCTTGATAAACGCTGGCTCTTCTTGCTCCACAAATTTCAGATTTGCTTTATCCTTGTAGGACATTGTAGATTTAGTTCCTCTCGACATTTTTATCCACGAAAGCTGTGAAAAAGAAAGAAAATGAATAATTGTCGTCAAATAAAATGTCTGCGAGTGTGGTTGTGCGTCACGGTGTTTGCACATGTCATCGAGGCATGTTCTCATTTTTAAACCAGGAACGGGGCGTTTTGGTTTTATCGAAATCTAGTTGTGTTTATAAAATTGTTTGACTTGTTTTTACGTGAAACATCTTCACGTGACCAACAAAATTTAGGATTTTCAAAATGCCGTCATTTTGAAAATAATTATTTTCAAGGAACGGCTAGCCGGCTATTTGTTATTCTTGTTTCTGTTGTCGCAAATCCCAGATTTCAGAGTTATATTTTATTCAAACTTGTTTGAAATTCAAAATTTTGATTTTCCCGCTAAATATCCTGACAATCATGTTTATTCGTAGTATAATCTTTATTTTCCAGTTTGAAGATGCGAATCATCAAGCCAAACACGGATAAAGAAAAAATGACAAAATCCATGGATTTCATCAATCAAGCAGTTCAACGATATTTAGAAGACTTGGACGAACTCCAAAAACAAATGCACGAAGCATTCTTGGAAGAATTTGGAAAAAATGGAATGCTCGATATGAATTCTCAAGCAAAATTTGCAAGGTTGACTTCGAAATTCAGTCATTTTCACGCAAAAGGCGATCTTCGAAAGCTTCCAAAAACATTGGAAATCGCATATGATTTATGGCAAAAACATAAAAGCGAGATTTTGATAATGAATTCGGAAGAAAGGAGAAAATTGGGACGGGCTCCTACGCGACTCGCCTTTGTTTATTTATTCAATGGCGAATTCATCAAAGCTCTCGCATTAATCTTGGATTACTGTGAAATTGTTAAAGAAGATATTTCTGCAAAGGAAGTCGCCTTAAAATGGTTGCTATATTTGGGAGAGACGGAATTAGCCGAGCAAAAATTGCACAATTGGGAATCTCGATTATCACAAGAGATGGTGAAACTTATTCAAAAATACATAGGTTTTGTCAAAAATCGGGATCAGCGAGCTGAAATGGTTCAAAAATTGCTGAAAATTGTCGAGGAGATCAAGGAGATTGGGTTGAAAAAGAAAAGTTTTCAGTCGTATGAGCATATTTCGATGGCATCGTGGATGTTGTCGACTTTGGCGAGTTCGTCGTTGATTTCAGGAGTACAGGTAAATAACTTGATTGATTTGTGCAGTGTTTGCAAAACTTTAGGATTTTCCAATCCAAATTTTCTTTGTTTTTTTCAGTTTCCCGATAAAACGTCGCAATTATCCGACGCTTCTGGAAAAGCCGACTCAATTATTCGCAACAAAATCGACGGTCTCAGCCCATTTCAGTTCGAAAATACGAGAAGCGCAAGTTTGCTGGAATATTTGGAACCAAAGTCGGGAAGTCGATCAGCGACCGAGTATTGTAAGCATTTTTGGGTGGGAGAAGAGAAAAATATGAGAATGGCTTGATTTTCGCTGAAATTATATGAAAAATCATACTGAATTCAGAGAAAAATACCCTGAAATACTTTAAATTCCACGAAAAGTATTCAAATGTTTCCCAAAATATATTTTGTTTGCAGTGTCTGTTGGTTCATCAATAGCTTGGATGTTTGAATTGCGAAAAGATCTGACTTTATCCTACATCAATTCAGCTCAATCACGCGAAGCAATGTCAGCATTGATTGTGAATTGGAGAATTGCGCTCAAGTCTGGATGCTTTTTGAGAATTTTGCAAAGCGTCAATCTAACACAATATTATTGGAATGTTATAAATGATGGAGATTCGGTGAATTATCGATCGATTTTGGCGGCGACAAGTGTGAATATGCTATCGGTGAGTGGAGAAAAAATGTTGGATTTTTATCAACGAAAAAACATGGAAAAATAGTGAAAATGGGATTTTCAAGGAAATTTTTGAAAAAAAAAAATCTATAACCAAAAACTATTGTAGCCATCAATATTTTATGAAACATCAGAGTTTTTACTCAATAAATCCGCGATTTTTTTACAGCCGGACGCCATGATTGTTCGTTGTTCAACACCGATAAATGAGGAAAATCAGACCAAGAAGAAGGATGAAACAATGATGTTGACTGAAGGAATCAGCGATTTGAGCATGTGAGTTTTTTAAGAGGAAATAAGGCCAAAATCTCTTTTCATCTAAAAATTTGAAAATTTAAAGCGTGAATTGCTAGTTTTTCCCAAGATTTCTTCCCAAAAACGTGTAATTCTCTCATTTTTTGCAGTGCCGGTTCATCTCCGCTTCATCAAATTTCAAAAACATGTTATTGTTTCACTTGTGCTATGTATTCATCCAGTTCCAATTTTGCTTCGGAATATCAATTCGCTTCAATGATTTATTTCAATTTCAATCAACAAGCAATGAGCGAATTTGAGAAGATCTTTATCAAAATTCGTGAAAATACGATGAAATATCAGTGTATTTTGCATGGAGATGAGAAAATTCGACCGCGACCTCCACTTAATCTCAATATTATTTTTGGAATTTCAGCCATTCGATGGTTGACTCTGAAAATCGAGGGAAAAGAAAAATATGATGGTCCTGCATCGAAAAAAATCGTGGAAAGTGCGCTGAAAATTGTGAGATATGTGCCAAGTCGAACAAAGGAGCTATTTCTCACTATTTCTCAATTATATCGACAAATTGAACACCCGCAAAATATGAATTTATCATGGATGCAACCGATTGATAATCGACCATTCCTGAAAATGTCAATTGAATCAGCTTGTGATATTTTTCGAGCTGTTTCACCGTTTGGAAAAAGCAAGAAAATTGCATTTGATTTTGAAGAAAATGGAAATGGAGAAGAATTGGATGTGAAGAATCGATTGAAGAAGGAATTGAGTTATGATATGAATCGATTCAATCATACTCTTTATCGGTGAGGAATTCGGGACACATTCGGGATTTCCCGGTGAAAATTGGTGACAAATTTATCGTTTTCCTCGAAATTCTGTGTGAAATTTGATTTGAAAGCAGTTATTTCAGGGAAAAATTTCTTAAAGACACATCAGCCACTGGAAAAAACAGATATCCCGCATTTATTTTCAAATGACAAAAACAGCATGTGCGCTCTATTGCTTCGTTGTTTGCAAACTCTTTCGAAAATCCCGTCGGCTGAGCGATTTCAAAAACAATTATTTTGTTTTTTTCACTTTTGACAGACGCAAAATTTTTTCTTGATTTTTATGAATTTCGATTACTTGAAAGGTGTTATGAAAGAATAACAAACTCATTTTCTGTTCATTTCTAGCGGATTGTGTGTCTTTAAGTTTAGGAATTTTTGATAGATTTTTTCGGTCCAACATATTTCAAATTTCTTTATTCTTTGTTAGAAAAAATTATCTGGAAACCAGACCGTTTGAAATTTAATTAAAAAGTTGAATATTTTTGAGGGGCTTTTGAAGTTCAAAAATGATATTCAGTTCAAGATTTGAACTGATTGTCATCAGAATTATTTTAAATTTCATAATTTTTCAAAAATTTCACCCAGAAAACCTAAAAAGTTTGGTGAAATTTGATCAATTTTTAATTTAAATTGAACCCAAGAAATTTCAAATAGTATTTGATTATTATACTATTTGGGTAATACTATAAAATCTCTAGCCTCTCTCTCCAAAGTTCCTCTCTTCAAGTTTTTATTTTTTCTAGAGAATGGCGTTCCCAATTGTTTACATACATTGGTCGAACAACTTCTGATCAATGGGAAGCTGCATACAGTTGGATCGAATCAACATCAATCGGAACTCGCAATTCACTTCAACAAAAAATAGGTCAAACTGGAAGTGTGACAATTGAAAGTCCTCAATTATTCCGAAAATGTGTCGAAAAAATGGCGAATGAAATGACTGTTGTGCAAATTGCGAGAGCTGATGATGGCAATATTTATTTGATCAAATTACATTCGGATCGAACTCCAATAATTATGCCAATTGCACATGAAACTAAAATGATGGAAATGATGAAGAAGTTTCAGCATTTGTTGATGGAAGATGAGAGGATTTCGAAGAATCCCGGAAATCGAACAGCTGAACAATTTTGGGAGACAAGAAAAGCAATTGATGCGCGGATGAAGGTTGGATATTTGGGAATCGGGGGATTTAGGGACAATTCGGGGTTTCTAATCCAGAAATATTGATCCTAAACCACACTGTAGTTTATTTTTCTAAATTACAAATAGAGTCTAGTTTTGACTTCAAACTAGAAATTTTTAGCAATCAAACTAGATTTTTTAGTCATAAAAATTTACTGTTTCAATATATTTTCAAAATTTTTCCGATCAAATTCATATTTGTTCAACTGATAGAATTTTATTTTTAGATTTTCGTGCATCGCAAATTCTAGCCTAATAATACCTTGAATTTTTTCAGTCGCTGGTCGATGAAATCCAGAAAAATTTCTTGGGTTGTGCAGCTGCACTCCTTCTTCCTTCTACAAAACTCGGTCGAAAATGTTTGGAAAATGCGGCTCGATATGAGAAATGCACAAAAGGAGCGATTCGAATTGGAGAGGCTAAAGAACTCATTTATTTGACAACAAAAATGACGGAAAACGAGTGGAAGGAATTGTTGGATAGATTTGGAGAAATGCGAAAAATTGGAGAAAAAGAGATGAATATGTTGAAATCAAGTTATCATGTGTGAGTTTTTGAAAAGGGAATTCGGAATGAAAATTTAGAATTTTGAGGTTCCAAAAATTATATAAATAAAATACTGAATAATTCAGTGGATTCCACTGCACTTTTGCATCAAAAATAACCGAAATAATTTTGCAGCTGCCTCAATTCGGTGAAAAACGATGGAATTTCTTCATCCTCATCGATTTCCCAACAAAACAACTACAGTTATCTAAATATTTGCCCAGAATTGGCACAATTTTGTTGGGAAAAGCTTCCAATTTTCTCGAATCATCCATATGTTTGTCGTGTTATCTCTATTCATGCATTATTCTGTCAATTGGAAACACTTCGCGATTCGAACAAAGAAGTTCCGCTGCAAATCGACGTGCAAAAAGCGTATTATGTGCTGGATCCGGAGAATAATTTGGGAGAGACAAAAAAGCGAATGATGGAATATATCAAGAAATTCCAATGGGAAGGAACGGTTGGAGCGGCACCGAATCAAAGTGAAGTTGTTGGAGCATTGGAGAATAAAGATGCGTTTTTGTAAGTGATTTGAGGGGATTTTTGAAGGGAAAAATGATAAATTTGTAAGATTTTTGAACTGGACATCGGAAATTTTGATAAAATTCGAAATTATTCACGGAATCCTGTTATGTTTCTAACTGAAATAAGCGATTGTTGAAAATTCATGAATTTCAATTAGAAAACAAGCTAGAAATGTCTGAAAACACGATAAATAATGTTACAATTGCGATCTGAAATTATAACTAAAAGAGGCTGAAAATTGAGTTTTTGAAAATGAAATCCTCTGAAAATTCTATGGAGAAAGTTTCGAGATCAATTTTTGATGAAAAATCCAATTTCAAAATATTTTTTGCAGCTATTTCGGACACGGATCTGGTTCAAAACATGTCACCCGCCAAACTATCAAACAAAGCAAATGCAATGCAATAAGTTTATTGATGGGTTGCGGAAGTGTTAAAACTGTTCCGCAAGGAATTGGATTTGACGGAAAAAGTGTGTTACAAGATTATGTGGTAGCGAAATGCCCGCTTGTTGTTGGGTAAGTTGGACCATTGGGGCCTGTTTTGGGAAAATTGCGGTTTTTTTAAAGTTGGAATATAGTTTTAAGCGCTAAAATTACAGTAGTTTTGACACGTGGTCCCGTATTTAACGCCAAAGAAGTTATCAAAAAAAGTTTCCCAAAATCGTGAATTTCCGAATTTCTTATAGAAAGTTACAATATTGCTATTTATATGGCAGTATTATTTTAAAGTTCACAAATTTCGTGAAAAAAAACTGAAAATTTTGAATTTTCAAACTGAAGATACATGAATTTCTAAAATTTTCATTTTCAAAACAAAATTTAAAACATGATCTAGAATTTGGAAAAAGCCAGAAAAAACTTCAATCCAAAATCTCAGTCTTAATTTTTGTAGATGTCTGTGGACTGTAACTGATGGAGAAATCGATCGATATTTGATGAGTATGGTGGATGATTGTTTTGTTCGAAAATGTGAAGGAAAAGAAGGAATAGATAAATTGCGACAATTATCCGAAGCCATGGAAACGGCGAAATCGAAATCGAAATTAAAGTTTTTGACGGGCGCCTCTGTGGTTATGTATGGTTTTCCGATTGTTTCGAAACCGGAAAGTGTAATTAGTTCGAAATCGGATGAAATGAGAGTGGCTCAGACTATTGATGGATATAATCGAAAAGGTGAGGATTTTTTGATGCTTTAGTTATTGATTTGGATTTCTCACCACCAAATATGGTGTTGGGATAATTTTTAAGTTTTTTCGCTCTTCGCATTGCCCAGATTATACCCCTCCAGCCGCTCGTCATTGAGCGGCTTGAAGCGGCTCACGAGCCGAGCGAGCCGCTCGCTCGAGCGCCTAAGCCGCTCGAGCCAACGAGCGGCTTGAATGGCTTGAGCCGCTGAGCGGCTAGAGCCATTTGAGCCGCTCGCTCGCTAAGCCGCTCGAGCATGGAGCCGCTCGAGCGCCTCAGCGGCTTAGGCGCTCGAGCCACCAAGCCGCTCAAGCCGCTGAGGCGCTCGAGCGGCTCGCTCCATTTTCAAAAAAAAATTTTTTTTCTATACGAAAATTGTGAAACAGTGGTTTTTTTCATAATTTTTGGGTACTTCGAAAATGAAATATTTGTATTGGGACATGGTCCTTGGGTCATGAAAAAATTTTTTTTAATTTGAAAAAAAAGTGGGCGGGGCTTATTTTTCAGTTTAGAGCTGAAAACACTAAAAAATTCAAAATTTACCAAAAACTTTCTGGTTTTTTTCTAGATGATTTTTTAATGCTTTTGATGATGAAAAACACTTCAAATTTTCAGATAGCTGACAATTTTCAGCTTTTTCCGGCTTGAAATATCAAAAAAATAAACACATAATTGCAGATTTTCGATAAAAAATAGCTGAAAATCGTCAGTTATCTGAGAATTTTGTGTGTTTTTTATCGTCAAAAACATTCAAAAATAAACTAGAAGTCATCTGAAAAAAACCAGAAAGTTTTTAGTAAATTTTGAATTTTTTGATTTTTTAGTGTTTTCAGCTTTAAACTGAAAAATAAGCCCCGCCCACTTTTTTTTCAAATTAAAAAAAATTTTTCATGACCCAAGGACCATGTCCCAATACAAATATTTCATTTTCGAAGTACCCAAAAATTATGAAAAAAACCACTGTTTCACAATTTTCGTATAGAAAAAAATTTTTTTTTGAAAATGGAGCGAGCCGCTCGAGCCGCTCGAGCGGCTCGCTCGCTCGAGCGCCTCAGCGGCTTGAGCGGCTTGGTGGCTCGAGCGCCTAAGCCGCTGAGGCGCTCGAGCGGCTCCATGCTCGAGCGGCTTAGCGAGCGAGCGGCTCAAATGGCTCTAGCCGCTCAGCGGCTCAAGCCATTCAAGCCGCTCGTTGGCTCGAGCGGCTTAGGCGCTCAGAAGCTCGAGCGAGCGCCTCGGTTTGAGCGGCTAAGCGAGCGGCTGGAGGGGTATAGCCCAGATTATACCTAAGTTTGCGTTCTTTATGGTTATTTGTTAATGCACCACGTGGATTTCTTGAGCATTGCTCAGAATATAGGAGAAAAAACGAAATTTTCAGCCGGAAAAATTCCACGTGGCAATCATAATCTACCAAATTCTCAATTTGTTTATTTTTTTGTAGCCTTGTCCTCAATCAATCTGCCACAACAATTTTCGGAATTTCCGATTTCACCACTTCCATCAAATGCACCACCACAAAGTTTGTCTGATTCGACTGCTTCTGCTGCCAAGTCACCAAAATTTGTTCCACGAAGACTACGCCAAATTCCTTCGGCTGAAACATTGCCAACTTCCTCTTCTTCAGCAACTCCAACTCGAGTTTTGAGAAGTACAAAAAAATAATCATTTGTATAGCTGTGATTATTGATTAGTTCAAATCATCATCCACCGGGTACCTTTTTCCTCCCCATTTTTATTCATTTTTTGTACTTCCGGGTAATTTTCCTTTTTTGTATTTATTTTTTATTTATTTATTTTTCTTCGTGTGCAATAATATGAAAAAATTTTATTTGAAAATCTTTGTATTTTCTCATACCAGTAATTTTGGTGGAAACATCGCACACTCACCGTGACACAAGAATGCACCATTTTTGTTTGTTTTTCGAAAAAAAACTTTTCGCCGCTAATCGTCATCAAAATGCTGATAAGAAGACATTTTTCCGCAAAAATCAAAAAAAAAAATTATTTTTTAAAACTTTTTGCTCGAAGAAAAAGAAATGAAAGATGAAGCTTTGGAATCGGTATTTTCGGCGATTTTTATGAATTTTGAAGATGAATCCGAATTTTCAGCCAGTGTAAAAACACGATTTTCAGAGGTTAGTTTAAAAAATTTAAAAAATATTTATCATGTGGCAATTTTTATTTTCAGGTTTTTCACGTAAAAGACAAGTTACCGCAATTAATTGAAAAATGCAAAAATTTGGCAACTTTCCAACTCGAAGTTTTTGTTGGCAATCATCCAATTCATGTTTATATTATAAAGTTGGTTTTTTTTTGGAAATTTCAGATTTTCAGACATAATTTTATGAATCTCAGGCCTGAAACTTGTTGGGAACAAACGCTTAAACCAGGAATTATTAATAAAATGTTAGTTTTTTCTTAATTTTTCAACACATTAAAAAAAATGTCCTAATTTTTCAGAGATCTCGGAAAATCGTTGGAAGTCTCTCTGAAATTCTCACTAAAACCAGCTGAAAATGCGGAAAAGATCAAAAGATCAGCTTCGCTTCTCAAAAAAGTCGGATTTTTCGATGAGAAAAAGAAGAAAAGTTCGGAGAGCTTTTTGCAAGTCGCAAGCTTGCCGATTGGATCGAAATGTAAGAAAAATATTCATTTGGGTGGCGGAAAGACGACGGTTTTTGATTTGAAATTGGTGGTTGGTGGATTTTTTTGGAGGGAATTTTTAATTCGGAATAATTACAAAGATTCAAGGCTTGATTGAACAGAAATTAACATTTATGACATGCAAAATTTTATTTATTAAAGAAAAGTTTGTCTTTCGTTTCGAAATAGTCTGACGAAAAATAGTCTGGCGCACCATCCATAATTGTGTTCCTCCAATTATCTGCAATCAATTGTCTTCCTTTACCATCGAGAGTTTGATTATAAAACAAGGTGTAATTTCTGAAAATACAATATCACCAAGTGTTATATCAGAAACTAGAAAAAACGTTACTTTTCTCCAGCAACCTTAACTTTTTCGAAATTCTCATAGTTATATTGCAGCTCTCTTCCATTTTTCTCACAATTATGGAATACTGTTGAGGCGAGATAATATTCTTTATTTGGACGATCGGTGTTTTGCCATCCTGTAGTTACAGTAATATCCCATGATTTTCCTTCAACATTCATATCAACTTCACTGATATAATCGTGTTCTCTGTAAGAGCAAATCTATCCTCAAATTTGAAAGGAATAAATCTGACTTACATGTTATCGTCTTCATAGTAAAATACTTTGACATACCAATTTTCTCGAATTGTACATGTCCAATTAGCAATAAAGATGAAAGTTGTGACATCTTCGCCGTGATGATAGATCAGAGTGCGATTTTGCAAGAGTTCATCAAAGTTATCTGTCGCTGATGTAAATGCAAATAATATAACAAAAATTAGTTTCATTTTTAGTTGAATAGTCTGACATTTCATTTTTTAATCAAATATATTTTATGTGTCTGGGAAATATTTTAAGAAAACGTCGGCTTATGGAATTATTCATCTGATTTGCTAACAACTTGACCAAAAACTTAAAATCAACAAAAATTTCAAACAAAAAAAACATCATCGAAGAAAACGCAATTTTCTTGGAAAATATCGAAATTCCGCACAGAAATTCGTGAAAATAGCGAGGTTCCCAAATATTCAGAAAAACGACAATCGTCACCTTGTGCAGCCGCTAGATTTCGAAGATTTTCTGGAAATCACTCAAAAAATCCACGAATGGCAAGCCTCTTCCTCTTCTTCAAATTCTTCTCAAAAATACGATGGAAATCTGGGAAATCCGACATTTTCAATGTTTTATTCAATGGCATTCTTCTTTGAAATTCCCTCATTTATTCTAAAAGTTTGCGAAATGATCACATTTTTGGGTAAGTCATTTATTTATCGTATGAGCCTTCATTTGAATGAATTAAACTGATAACTGAAAACCCAATGCTTATTTTCAGTCTGGGATGACGAAGATTCCTCGATTCAAATCGATGATCGTGCACTTTTTGATGTTATCGAAAAAATGACAGCTTGCGAAATCGAAGTTGATTTACACCACCCTTTATTAGTTCCTTCATTGATTTATTTGAATGATTGTACATCGACAGAAATTCGAAATATTTTGGAGAAATTCGCCAACGAGCCTCTGTTCCCACCAATTTCTCATCATCGATTGAAACCAATCAATGATTCGTTGAAAATTGTGGGCGAGATATGTATTTTGGAAATTTGGGACGATTTTGCGGATTTGACAAGTCCGGCGAGTTGTTTATCGATGGAATTGTCAAAATTATTGGTGGAAAGTGCGAAAAGATTTGAGAATACTGTGAAATATGCCGGATTTTTGGTGAGTTTTTCGGGAACCATTTTTTCGGATTCTATGACGCAAGAAATCAATAAAATTTCAGGAGCTCTACACAAAATTGCACAATTTATGGGCTCGTCTAAACGAGGAATCCAAATCCTATCAAATATTTTTCAATCAATTTGATATTAATTACATTAAAACAAGTGTAAAAGCCCTGGAAAATACGGTATTTCTAGCCGAATTGCAGAATTTCATCTGATAATTTTCAGATCAAAAAAAGTGTATGCCGAGTTTTAAAAGAGGAAATTCGAAGTATAAACACGAGAAACCATGAGGAACTCGAAGAATTCACAAATACTTCAATGAGATTATTTCTAATTTTGAAGAATATTTCGAAAATTTCTGGATTTTTGAACGATTTCGAAGAGTGGTTTCAAAATATCGCCGTTTTTTGGACTTATTCTTGGAGGGATATAACAAGGAAAAATGGTTGAAAGAACAATTAGTTTGGATGAAGATGGAGATAGTGTGAAATATGGAGCAAGAAGGCCACTTCCAGCTGGATTATATTCATTTTTGTGTATTCAAAAAGGAATTGCTGATGATATGATGAGATTGGAATTGAGATTTGAGAGAAATTTGATTGTTTGTAGTACGGCTGTTGTTAATGTGAGTCGGAAAATTTGATTTTCCGATGAAGTAATTGGAATTGAAGAACAAATTGATTAATCAAACAACTTTTCCATGGAAAAGTTAAACTTTTGAAAAACAAACAAAAATTTTGAAGAATGATTGAGAAAAACAACAAAAACAAAACCAGTCTGAAAAAAAAAACAAGAAAAATTAAATAAAAATAACGCTCAATTTTTCATCACCTTCAAATTCAGATTTTTCAATGAAAATAACATGAAAGCCACGTTTTTCTAAAAATTTTAGGCCTAAAAATCAAAATTTTCACATTAACTCGGTCTGAAATCACATAAATTTGACTGAAAATCGATACTTTTCCCATGTGGTGGGAATTTTCATATTAGAAACATCAAAAATTCTCTAAACGAGTCTCTCGAAAGTGATTTACAGATTTTATGTCAAAACAACATTGCATACGCGAAAAAATTATTTAACGAAGCAATTCGAAATCACGATGAAAAAAGTTGGCGAATAATTCGAGCCACAAATGGAATTGAGCAAGCGCTAAATTTTGTGGAAGAAGGGTTCGAGAGATTTGCCGAATTCGATCGATTGGAGAAAAATGTGGAAATCGTAGATTTCGACGCAGTTCGGCTAACTTCACAGCGATTATTGAGAACAACAAGAGAAATGTGCGAAAAAATGCAAATCGAAAAGTTGTTGCAAGAATTTGTTGAGTTGAAAATCGATATAATTTCAAGAATTGCAAGAAATTTATGCGCGGATTTGGATCAATTAAAAGGATATTATAATACGAGAGAAGTTACGATAAATGAAAAAATTGAGGGAACTTTGGAATGTTGTTATGGATTAGTCGATGATGTTAAAGGATTATTATTACCAAAGTTAGTTAATTTTAGAGTCGAAGTTACACTATCTTTGTGAGTTTGGCGCCAAGAATTATTTTGTTTTTTCAGCTGCTTCAAAATCAGCACTAAATTTCTGGCAAGTTCACTAGAAATTGAAGTTCGCAAATTTTTGAAACAAAAACAGACGGCCGATTATTATAGCAATATTTATGTGAGTTTTTGAAGAAATTATCGAATGAAAAATCCATAATTTAAAGGGACATACAGTACCTCTTCAATTTTTGCAGATTGCTTTGAAATATATCTACGAAATGCTGGAAATTGAAAACGAAAAAGATATCGATTTATTAAAAAATCTGCATTTGAACAGTTTTTCAACAAACGATCTGATATTATCGTATTATGATTCGATTTGTGAAAAAATTGAAAGATCTACGAATTTTGGAAATGTGCCAAATATTGATATACAAATACAACATTCGAAAATTGAACCGAAAAATGCGAATGACCTGATGGAAATTGCTATTCAAATCAAGTGTTAGTAGGATTTTTTGACGCCAAATTTTATTAAAGTTCAGAAATTTCAATTTTTGCTCAAAAAATGCCACGTGGCAGCGAAAATTCCATTACTTTTCCTATTAAAATGTTCCTAACCCTTTTTGGCGCCAAATTCAAATATTTTCTGGTTACAGTAGTAAAAATGTCCCCAATGGAATGGATTGATATTTTATCGGATCGGGTCGATTATTTCACAAAATTCGAACTTTTACCAAAAGTGCTATTTCCGTCGAATAAATTCGATTCGCCAATGACAAATCCAGTTCCACAATCAACAACTCCGCAATGGAAAGAATTATTTGAAATGCGAGTTTTTCGAGAAAACCATTGGCCCAGAATTTGAACATTTTCGAGGGAAAACTACTTCAAAACTTTGAAATTCTTTGAAATTTGAAAAAACTTTGAAACACGAAAAAACTTGCAATTTCTGTAAAAATTAGCCTAAAAACTTTCAAAAATCCTCATTTTTTGCAGCCGCGTTCCCCTCGACTCATTTTTCACTCGCGGCGCCTGTCTCTCGATCTCAGTTTTCGATCACGAACTTCAAGCAGATCGTCTAATCGGACGTGGTTTTATTCCACTTCATTCAGTTCCATCAACAACTTCCACATTGCGAATTCCACTTTTATCCGCTGATTTTCAAGCCGACAACAATTCTGACAATCCATTTTTTCAACTTTTGAAGGCGCGTTCGTCGCGAGACCCAATTGCGCGGGAATTTATCGAAACGCGAACAAAAAGGATTTTCAGACGGATTTCGGATATTCATAGAATGATGATTTGTAGGAGAAGAAATTGGAATCGGAATTTTAAATAAATGTTTTAAATTGAATTTTTCTTCCAAATTCCCAAGCCACGTGGATTTTTTAACGTCAAAAACTGAAATTTGACATCAAATGTCAATTGCATGAAACTTGAGCATTAGAATTAGGCCAATTATAATTTTCTCACCAAAATATCGATTTTTGTTTGGCAAAATGTGTTTTACTCGGTAAATCTTAGATGGTATTTAGAATTTAAGCAGAATGCTGATTTTTCTCAAACTTACAATAATTTTTTAGCGCTAAAACCCTGGATTCCCCCGAAAAAAAACCAAGAAAAAAAAATACAAAATTCAAAATGTTGTTTGCGCGGGTTGCCCGCGGTGTTTGCAGATACCGTAATTTCCACCAAATGTGTGCAGTTGTGCGTCACATTGATTTTTCTTTTTTTTTTCACTGTTTTTCGAACTAGTGGAAACTGAAAATTTCGAACCAGAAAATGAAAATGATAAAAATTTGGGTGGAAGACGAAGAAATGTGATTGCTAGAAGTAAGGCTGAGAATCGGCTGATTTCAGAATTAATTTTGAATTTTCAGGTGGAAAACCAAGAAGGAAACTAGGTGAAAATGGAAGAGGTCAACAGGAAAAACAAGAAAATCTGGAAGAACCCAAGAAAACAGTTAAAGATGGTGAGATTTTCAGAATCTAGAGAAAAGAAACATATTTTTACACCCAATATTTTTGGTGTCTAAAAATCTCCTGTTTTAAGATGAGCAATTCATCAAAGTTCCGCATCACGTCGACCGAAAATCAAGGAGAAGACAAAATTCCAATGAGCCCATAAGAGCAGGACGTGAGTTTTTTTTCAACAAATAAGAGCGCCCTTATTTAAAAAGTTCGCGTTCATTTTCCAAAACCAGAAATGGAGAATTATTTGTTACAAATCCACACAGACTGTAAGGTCGATTTTTGAATACAAAAAAAATCATCAATTTGTAAAGAAAAAATAGAGGAAACAAAATTCGTAATTTTTTTGTGCAGAATTTAAAGAAATTCATAGTTTTTGTTTAAAATTCTTTTCTGTCCTATTAGTAGTTGAGCAATTGGCACCAAGTATAATCTTGTTTCAAATCATAAGTTTTATAGTTAATTTGTTTTTTCAATTTCACAGAACAGTCTATAGTTTAAATGTAACAAATCTGTCTTTTATTTATTTGTTACATTTTTCCCTTCTTTGAATTCACGTGAAATATTTTTCCCATTTTCAACCTTTTCAAAATGTAACAAATTTTAAAAAATTATTTTTGGTACATTTTTTCATTTGACGTTTTTTGTGACATTTATGTCATTTTCAAGAAAAAAAAGATTTTTTTCAATCAACAGTTCGTTCTAGAACTGTACATTATAATGGCATTAGTTATAGTAATTTCTCAAATAATCAGAAAAGGTCTATTTCAAATTATCTTCCAATTTCGGAGAAAACAAAAATTTGAAATGAATGAGACGTCATCAATTTTGAGGACACGTAGAATTTGTCCCAAAAAGCAAGTAAAAAAAGAAAGAAATTCAGAAATTCTTTTTTCACGTGAACTAATTTTTTTCATCCATTTCGCAAAAATGGGTTTTTCTAAATGCAGATTTGAGCATCCAGATCTGCAAAATCTCACTTTTTTCGATGAAAAACATCAAAGAAGTTAAAAATCTATGAAAATGAAGGTTCAGTTCTATAGGGACTTCAAAAAATGAATCAGTTTTCGAAAAAATTATGTTTTTATATTTTTTCGAAAATGTAACAAATTGAAAAAAATAATTTTGTTACAAAATTTCACGCCTTCATTTTTTGTAAATGTAACAAAAATCAAAAAACAAATTTTGTTACATTTTTTTTTAGGAAAACGAACATTAAAAAATAGATAAAACGAAAATTGGAGAATAATAAATAGAAACTATCAAACTTAACTTATCAACCCTTTTCAAAATTGGAATTCAATGAAAATTACGATGAACACGAAAACTCACAAGCATGCAGCTTCAAAATGTATAATTTTTAACAAAGTGCAAGTTTTTACAATAATTTCAGAAAAGAATGTTTTATTTATCAAAGCAAAAATTATTCACTTTGCCTACTTGATTTTTTGTGTAAATGTAACACTTTTTATCATTTTCCTAGTATTTTCTAAACCAACGCAAACTTTTTAAATAATGGCGCTCTTAAATTGTTCTCAACATTTTAAAAATCATTTTCAGATGGAAAACCACAAAAAAAGAAGGGACAAAGAAAAGGACCCAATGATTCGTTCGAAAACGACACCGAACTTCCACAAGCTAACATTTGATGAAAATAATGATATTTTTGTGAATTTTTAATAAAAACTTCGAAATTTTATCGAATTTTCATCAAAAAGAGATCTCAAACAAATCGATTTTATATGAGAAAAAAACAGCAAAAAGGGTGAAAAAAAAAAGAAAATGAAAGAATAGTATAAAAATGTGGCCTAGAAACTATTTGGTCGAGGAACCGTGTAAATCCCTCGGCCATGTTTTGATTTTTTTTTTCTGACTAGGTTATCTATGAAATCTAGTTATGGTTAAAAAATGAACTTCCAAACTTAAAACCAAAAGAAAAACTAAATTTTAAGTAAAACTATTAAGCATTATACATAATTGGAAAAACTAGATTTTCTTTTAATCTTCTAAGTCTAATTTGTTCTGATACTTTTTGAAACATTTTGAATCGGACCACTTTTTTGAAATAATCAAAATTAACTATTCAAAATTTCACGCATGAAAAAATTATCAGATGTTCTAGTTCTCAAAACTCGAAATTTGTGTTTCAAAAAATTAGTTTCAATTTGAAATTTGATAAAAATTATGAAACTAAACTTTTAAAAGTTTAAAATCTTGAAATTATTTTAAAAAAATGTTTTAATCTTAAACCCCAAAAATAAATCAACTAACTGAATTCCAGTTGTCCTCCTAGTTGTTGACTTGTGTTATTGCCATTGGTTGAGTAGATTGTCCAGCATCGGATCTTGGAATGATTGCGACTTGTCTTGTTGGCAGCTCCTTGCGAAGGCGGCAAAACCGATTGGCTTGTTGTAGATGAACCGACATATCTGGAATAAAAACATTCGTAACTAAAAATGGGTAAATCAGTAGAATGTCGGGAGAAAAAAATAAGAAATTAAATAAAAAACTTTATAATTTGATCCTTACAGTTGATTCCTTGCGTCGAGAAGATTCCTTGCATCGGGCGATCTAGTCTTGTGATAGCATCTGAGGTAGTCACAGCATTCGAAGTCGGAACTGTTGTGCCAAATGTTGGCAGAAGAATTGATTGTTGAAGGTGTACATAGTTGAAACCATGAAGAAGTTGATTTTGCCCAGTTGAAACATCACATCGATTCGAGCTTAAAAATAATACAAAAAAAAACATTTAAAAGAAAACTCAATTTAAACCTAATTGTAAACGTAATTTTCTAAGCTAAAAAATCTTCAATCATCTAAATCTTTGATGTCGGAGTAAATCCTAAACTCAAAGATTTTCAGCAAAATTGTACATTTTTAGCTATCGGAGTAAATCCTACACCCCAAAAATGATACTGATGATGACTGCAAATTATTTAGCATCAAAAACTAAATTCAGTCAAAAAAATGGTTTTCTATTTGAATTAAAAAAAGACTGATTAATGCAAATCTTGAAAATTCAATAAAGTGAGAGGGATCTCAATTTATAATTTTCAAGATTTCAAATCTATCTTGTTTTTCATTCCAAAAAAAACCAATTTTTTAAGATCTCTACAAAACTACAATCTCAAAAAAACTAAATGAAAATTGGAAAAAAAACGACCTGGTTATTCGAATTCCAGTTGAAAGCATGACGTCTTGAGCATGACGAAAGAAGACGTCTTACGAAGACGAGCAACAGCGGAACAGCTTTCACGGAGCAATTGCTTTCGGAGGTGTTACGGCTTGGCGGTTTCTGAAGACGTCGATGGATGTGAATCTGCTCGGCATTGCAGGAGTTGAACAAACAACGTTGTGGAAAGAAGATCTGGAAGATGGGGAATCTCTCACGAAACTAGAAGTGAAATTATAACTTAAAAAAAGAAAAAAACCGACCTGATGAATTTCCTTTCGAAAATAATACGAAGACAATTGATGGATCGGCTTGGCGTAGCCAGCTTGCGTAGATTGTTGGAGATGGTCGGAGCAAACTGCTGAAGTGACAACTTGGCAACGGCAGTTCTGCAAAATAATAATGGTTATACTCGGAATTTTGGGAAAGTTTGTCGATGAGAGGGAAAATCAAACAACGCATCAGAAAAAATGTTTTATTATTCCATAGATAAGCGCAGGATGCGCTTGCAGCAAAACCCAGAAACGGCTCGATATGAACCACAAAATTGGCAAATTTCCAGCCTGCTGGAAATTTAGCCAAAAATCATGGCAAGCGGAGCATGTCTCTGGATTTGCCGCTCCAATAAAACATCGTCCCAAAGTTGTGGCAAATCCTTGCGTCAACCAAAAATCGAACATCTTTGGCATAATGCGTTGGAGCTGTTTTGACGATGGATGCGACATCTTGAATGACAGCTCGAAAGTCACCAGGATCAGCAGCTGTAGACGACGCATCTTGCTGAGCGGTGACTGCACAACGAAGGTTGTCGTAGTTCCTGAAAAAACGAACGCAGCAGCACAAAAATCACGAAAATTAAACAAAAATAACTCATCTGAACACAGCAACAGGGCAGCAGGCATTGAAGACGGGTAGCGACTGAAGGCGAAAGACGGCGGAGCGGCAGCAACAGGCAGCAACAGGCAGCAGGAGAGCATAGGGAGAAATGATAGCAGGTCCCCCAAAAGTAGAGAAAATGTCAATCACTGCAAAACGCTCACCTTTTATACTCCAAACTAGACTATAGTCTAGCAAATTCAAAACTTCCCGCCGCCGCCCACCACCAAATCAGATCAAAAATATTTTTGCCTGCAAAAACTTGCAATAAAATTGTTTTTGCGTCAAAGTGGTTAAAAGACTGGCATATTTTCTGTTGTCGCTTTGTATTTAACTAGTATTCTCTCCGTGAAGTGTAGGCGGAGAGAATCTCAGGGTTCCCAACTGTTATACTTTTGATGTAACGTATTCTCAAACTCAGAAAAAGGGGGGGGGGGTCCCATTTTGAAAAAATCGCCTGAAGTTACAATAACAATAAGCGTGTTAGATGTTCTAAAAATTGCAGCGCTCAAACCCTCAAAAAAAAAAGAAAAAAATAAAATTTCACGAATACTTCTACCGTACCTCTCATCAAAGGCGCACACAACGTTTCTCTCGTGTCTCGCAACGCGCGTTGATTTTTCAAAAAAAGAAGCGGTGAACGTGTTTGCACATTATTGATTTTCAGTGACTAGTATACTCTTCGCGAAGTGTAGTTGGAGAGATTCTCAGGGTTCCCAACTGTTATACTTTTGATGTGATCTATTCTCAAAGTCAGAGTTAAAGGGGGAGGGTTCCCATTTTGAAGAAAACAATTCCATGAAGTTACAATAGGCGTGTTAGATGTTCCAAAAATTGCAGCGCTCACGCTGATTTTGAAGGGACAAATCGAGAATCCACTAAAAAGGGAGAGTGCAGAGAAATCGCGTCAAGACCACACTTGGCTGTGCGCCAGCTAATGGTAAAATGGCGTACTGTAGCACTATTTCAGCTGTGTTTCTAGCTTCTTTTCCCTCTCTCAAACTCTCGATTTGTCCCTCTTTCTATTGTTTTAAAATAGCGTGCGCTCAAACCCTCAGAAAAAGAAAAAAATAAATAAAAATTCACGAATACTTTTACCGTACCCCTCATCAAAGGCGCACACAAATTTTCTCCCGTGTCTCACAACGCGCGTTGATTTTTCAAAAAAACGAAGCGGTGTTTGCACAAAAAGAAACATTTAATGTGACGCCAAATTTTCAGTGATTTCGTTTTTTATAAGGGGAGGATTGGACCCGGTTTTCTGAAGTAAGTTTAGGGGTTTTCAGGGAATTTTTATGAAAAAGTGTTTTAATAAATTATTAATAATTGAATTATGAAGGATTTTTTTTCAAAAATTACCGGAATTCCATCATTTTTGATCGAGTTTCAGAGGGAAAACTAATTCTTTAATTTTCCACGTCACAGGTGAATCCACCGTCTTTAAATTTTTAGTGTAATATTAAATTACTATGAAAAGTTCCCCTTACGTTGAAGACATTGAGGCAAATGCGCCCCATTGTCAAACATCAGCTGGTGTTTATTTTCCCCCCATTTTTCACATGAGCAATGCTTTTTTGTTGTTTTTCAGATGATAAACGTTGTAAAGCTCTACAAAGAGATACAATCAATCGATAGTGAGTTACGCGAACTTGCCGAAAATCTTCAAATCGTCCGGAATTTCAAAGAAGATTCGCTAGAAATCTGCAAAATTCCGGGATTTTCGGGAAAACTTGGCGCCAAAATCGATGGCGTATTTCAAAATCAAGTTGAAAAAATGGAGGAGAAGAAGATCGAGTTAGCCGAAGTTATGAGGAAATTTGTATTGCTCATGGGAAACGAGCCGAAATCTGCAACATTTTCCGAGGATTTGGAGATAATTATCGATTTTTTGAGGAATCTACGGACTTATTTAGACGGCATTGATTATATAAATATGAAGGCTCGATTTCCAGAACTTAGCCTAACTTCGGAACAATCAATAAATAGGATAAATATTGATTTAACTTTGGAATAAAGTTTTGTTTTATGAAATTTTTTTATTGAGAAACAATTGTTTTCAAACAATTTTTTATATTTTTGTTGTGAATTTAAACCTAAAACTAACCTATTCTATTCAGATGGATACATATCTAGGAGCTCAAATACCGGAAAAATGGGTAAAAGACAACCTCAGGCAAATGTAAGTTTTTAATTCCTTGAAACATCCTCCCAAAAAATGTATTTTCTATATAGGGATTCGGGAGATGCCGATTGGATAAATCAGAACATTTTTTGGTATGATAAAAAGATTGCGAGATCGATTTTTATGAATAAACATGTTGTATTTATTGGAGATTCGTGTGAGTTTTTTGGAGTGGAAGAAATTTGGGATTTTAAAAAGATATTTTTAAATTGAAAACATGAAAATCATTTAGAAATTACTGAAACACGGTTTTCAAATGAACAAATAATTCGTGCTTGAAATTCTTAATTTCAGGCTGAAAAGCGTAAACTCAACACACCTGACGAGACGTGTCAAAAAGGGACACTGTACAGAAATTTTCAAAAGGCACACTGTACATTTTTCAACGAAAAATGTAGTTTCTATTGATTTTCAGCGAATTTTAATGACAATTTTCAAAAAATTCGAAATTTCACGCTGCAGCCCAGAAAATAGGCATGAGTTTTCTAACCACCAAAAGGTGTGCTGAAAATTTAATGAAAACAAAGTGTGCATTTCCCAACTTTTCAATTTTTCCAGTAATCCGTGCCATGTACAAAGATCTTCTCAGCCTTCTCAGACACGGAAATCTAACAGAACCACGTGATCTCAAATTCCCTAATGAAACACATTTCGAAGGCGATCATCAAATCGATATTCTTCCACTCGAAATGAATCGAGTATTTCGACAAGCTCGCGAATTCCAATCAAATCATCATCTTATTCAATTCTTTTTCACATCTCGCGCAATGCGAAAAGAACACGAAAAAATTCTATTGCTCATGGTAGAGAAAAACGAGATTCCCGATATAATTATAATGAATTCGGCGATTTGGGATATTTCGAGATATCATGTGGAAAGTGAACAAAATACGAGAACATTGGAAAATGAGACAAAAACTATTGATGAATATTTGCAAAGACTTACGATGTTTTTGAGAAGAGTTCGAACAATTCTAAAACCTGGATCTAAATTTATCTGGATTCTATTTCCAGTTGTTACAGAATCACAAAAAGAACGAGGTTTTATCAATTCAAATTGGTTATCTTATTATCATATTCGAATTCGACTCATGGAAGCAAATATGAGAGCTGCTAAAATTGTCAAAGAAGCTGGATTTGATGTATTAGATTTATCATTTCATTTTAGAAGTTCGGCATTTGAGAATTTTCGAGCTTTAGATGGAGTACATTGGGATAATGTGGCGACAAGATTTATGAATCAATTATTAATTGGACATTTGATTATGACACAGAAAATTAAAACGGAAATGTTGGCGAAGATTTCGGATTTGATTAAAGATAGACTGTGAGATTTTTATTCTGGGATCTTTGGGAATATTTTTTTTTAATGAAAATTTGATGCCTAGAAATCCAAGAATTTTTTTCTAATCCGAAAATTCTCGAAAATTCCCGGCTTTTTCAGCGCTCCACATAATCGATGCGAATATTTCGATCGTTCGCTGAAATTTCTCGAAAAAATGAGGACTTCTCGTGAAAATGAGGGCGAAGACGAAAAAGAAGAGGATTCTGTAGAGGTGTTTAGATCACAGGTTTTGCAAGAAATTGATGAATTCAATAGGTAAGAATGGGTTTTGGGTGAAAATAGGGATTTTTTATCTGAAATTCTTTATTTTAAATCCAAAAATTTACTCATTTTCTTGCAGTCAACACCCACTTTCTGGACTTATCGAAACTCTTCGATTATTAATGATATTCAAAAGATATTGTCGAAAATTGAGAAAAGATCAAGATGTCATTCAATATTCTATGAAGGATGCGCCACAAAAAGCCAGAGAGTTTTTTAATAATTTTGGAGAAATGTGGCGAGAATTGAGTGAAGAGGTTAGTATTTTCTTAGGTTTTGAAAGGGAAATTTGTATGAAAATGCTGAAAACTTCTGGGGTTTTTTTTTGAAATTTGGATTTTCAACTCGAACATAAATACTCTGAAAATCCTCGATTTGGAGCTTTGAAAAAATTTAAATTTTGCCTATAAACCTGGCAAATTCCCACTAAACTTTTTCCCATTTTCCAGCTCAAAAACCTGCGTTCCTTCTGGTCCTCGCAACCTTATTCAACCCGCAAAATAATTCTCCGAAGATTGGGTCGAAAACGCCAATTACAACGAGATTCATCGATTCCCGAATTAGAATATGTAGAAGAATCCCAAGAAGATGTGGATATTGTTGATGAAGATGAAGAGATCAATGAAGATGAACCGAATTGTGAAGTTTTGGTGGAAAATGAGCCAGAAATTCGGGATCCTGAACAACATTTGGTTAAAAATAGCCTATATTTAATGGAATGTCGAAGAATTTCTGGGGAAAATCACCCACAATTCCTCAAAATGGCTCGGCTCAAAATGGTCACGAAAATCGGAATGCAGAGCAGAATGATTCAGTATTGACGCCGCCTATACCACAAAATTATCGACTTACAACGCCTGAGGCGGCCCTTATTCCTCTCCCGGTTCCACAATTCCTTTTGGCTCAGAATGACTCAGTTTCGGCCCGAAATAGCCCGATTATGGGGCTTTCTCCAATTTCGGCTTCTTCAGATGATGATTGTCAGATTATTGAGATTTAGAAGATGTATGTATTTTTTTTACATTGTATAGATTGTTTGTACCTTTTTTGATGGAGGGATTTTGGCTGAAATTCAAGATTCTCAGTTAAAAATCACAAAAGTGCATGATTTTTGAGCGAAAATCTGAAATTTACAGATTTTCAGTCAAAATCCCTCCCAAACCTTTTCTGTGCCTTTTTCCCTTTGTTGATCTCACTTCATTTTTTTTTGTATTTTTTACTTACCCCCAAACATGTTTTTCACAAAGAATTTTAGAATAATCTCAGGTTTCCTCCGAATAATGTGCATTAATAAAAATTGTATTTAGTTTTTGTCTGAAAATTGAAGAAAAAACAGGTTTTTGAGCCTGATTGGTATTTTTATTGAAAAATATTCAAAATTTTAAGCCAAAAATTTCTGGCCGAAAATCTTGTTATACAATTTTTAAAGTGCTGAAAATTGTGATTTTTTCGAATTTCTAGGTCATCTAGAGAAATTTTAGAAAAAAACACGAAATTCCTCCGTTTCCTGATCTAAACCAAAAATAAAATTAAATATTTACTCTCATATTTTTTCCTCTTCCTATTTCATTTTCTTATTTTTTGTCATCATTTTTATGACGAAAAAGCGAGGAAAAACATGTGAACAACACAGGGTGTAATTGACTACCTCAAATCGCTAGACCTCAAATTTTTAATTAATTTTTGGGTAGATCAAAAATCATTTTTCTCTAAATCTCTCGTTTTTGCGTTGAATTTCGTCGATTTTAGTCCCACCCCTAAGATCGTGTCAGGTCTCAAAAAATGCGCGAAATTTTTCGGGTAGTAAATTACACTCTGTGAACAAGGAATTTTTGTTTTCATATTTTTAAGTAGATCATGTGGCGGGTTTTATCGATTATTTTCAGAGAAAATTTGATTTGGCTGAAATTTTGGAATTCCAGCATTTTTTGAACCAGAAATCTTAAATTTTCTCCTGAAATTCTGTGCCCAATTTTAGTTTTTTTTTACGTGAACTTTTTTTGGAAAAAATTCATTATTCCAAATTTTTTAGAAATGTTCATTTTTGATTATTTTTTTTTAAAAAGAAAATGAGATTTTCTGTGAGTTTCTGGTTTTCGATCTGGAATCTATAAATGGCCTAGAAACCCAACTCATATTTGAAGGTGGCCTAGGAATCATCCAATTGGCCTTAAACTATTCCGATTTTCCTCAATTTTTCGACCAAACATCCTCGAAAACACGATTTTCTCAAATTGTCATCATTTTTTTCACTTTTCTGACTTTTTCCCCCCAAAAAAATATGGCTTGTGCATCAGAAGATGACAATTCAACCAAACTACACATGTTTTGATAATTTTTTTTTTCGAAAATCAAAAAAAAATTCAAATTTTGTTTTCCAGCAGCCAAACACAGATGGGAAATTGGCTAACTTCCACGTTGATGCGATTCGATTCGCTGTTTTTCTCGAAAAATCACAGCAATTTTCTGGAATATCGTAGAAATCAGAATGGTGAGGGTTTTTGGGGAGATTTGGCTGAAAATCTGAAAATTTAGTTCAAAATTAGGCTCCGCCCACTTTCATAAAAAAAACTATGCCAGGATTACATAAATTAACTCTGCTCATCGTTTTCTGTTAGAGTACTGTTTCAGAAAATTGTGCCAGAGTTGCAAATACCCCAAATTCAACTCCGCCCACTTTTTATAACTTTCCTCTCAATAAAAACAATCAAAAATGATGATAATTTCTGTGAATAATAAAATTATTAAGTGCGCGATGATGACAAATTAAGCACCGCCTATCATGATTTTTGGAGCCTAAAATCATAATTTTTCTGAATTTTTCATCACAAATTCTGAAATTTGAAACAAAAATTTGATATTTTTCAGCTGAAAATTCGCAATTCATGGTCCGTCTGGCTGCTGAAATTGTAGCATCACAACGAAGAAATATGGTCAGTTCTTTGTTTTGGTGATTTTTGGGATTTGGAATTAGTTTTCGAATTTGAAATTTGGGAAAATGATGACAAATAGAAATTGGGAGCAAAAAACATGTTTTTCTGTGCTTTGTTGATGTGAATGCTGAAAATTACGGCCAAAATTTATCTACGAATAGACATGACCTAGAAACCCGAAAAGTCGATTTTGGTGGCCTAGAAAACCAGCTATTCGAATCAAAATCAGCACTTCAAGCTTGAAATGCATCATTTTCAGTCAATCTTGTCTGAAAATCGCGATTTCCAACCTGAAACTCTTCCGTTCTCGGTCTAAAATGCTGAATATCCACATCATAACCTTCAATTTCCACAAAAATCACAAAAACCACAATTCTAGTCTATTTGTGTTCGATAAAACAACCCCCCCCCCAAGAGAGTATTTTGTGTTCAATTTCTCTGTGCCCTCTCTCATTTCTCTACACTCTCTCCTCTTTTGTCATGCTCTCTCATCGAAAAGACGCAGAGAAAAAAAGAGAAAATCAGTTGATTTTCCTTCGTTTTTCATTCTTCATTTTTTCGCCTAACCGTAACTATTTTTTATATAAGCCTAGGTATTTTTTATTGATTTATTGATTGGCTAATCTTAACTAGACTATAGTCTAGAATATAATACAATATGCCGTTTAAACGAAAAATTACGGAAAAAACGAAAAGTGTGAGTTCTTTGGTTTTGTTCTTGATGTTTGTTTCTTGTGATCTTTGCGAATAACTTAGGCTAACTTGACTTTTAAAAAGTGACATTTTCGCTGAGAAGTATTACGAAATTTTGGGGCGAAATTACATCAGCTGACTTTTTTGTTGTTGGTAGATCGATAGGTTCACAAAAAAATGATGACAATTTAAAAGGCTAGGCTACATTGTACCCGGAAAGTTTTTTGTCGATTTTGTGTGTAGTTTAATTGTAGGAGTGGTATTTTTAGGGTAAACTGAAGGATTTTGGAATCAGATTATTCAGATTCTAATGGGACGTCCAAAAATCAAAAATTAAAATTTCACACCTGTCCAATTTTTGTTCAAAGTTGAATAACTATGCTTAGAATTCAGTTATTTCTATCAAAATTGGACAGGGAAAAATAAAAATTGGACAGGCATGAAATTTTCATTTTTCGATTTTTTGGAAGCCCCATAAGTGTATGGATTATTTGAAAAACATTTACGAAGCCCTTAAAGGTGGAGTCCGAGCAAAAAATAAGTTGTGCTAATTTGAAAGAGCATGTTGCAATTAGTACAATCCTCGAAGGATTTTTTCTGAAAGCTTCTCTAACATTAGAGAAACACAGCTCCAAACGGTTGGAGATATGGACTTTCAAGCCATTTTACACGGTGTTTCACTGTTTTTTCGAACTTTGTAATTTTTTAACCAATGTTTGAGAAGCTTCCAGAAAAAATCCTTCGAGGATTGTACTAATTAGAACATGCTCTTTCAAATGAGCACAACTTAATTTTTGCTCGGACTCCACCTTTAAAAACTAAATTACGATTTGAATCAGATTATTGTTTCTAAATATAGCCCATGTGCAATATAATTTATCACATCACAGACAGAAAAAGCATTTAAAAATTCCACGTTTATTCTCCCCAAAAAAAATCAATAATTTTCAGCACAGTGATGACGATGATACGGATTTTTCGTCTGATGACGAATGTCCACAAATTGATGCGGCTGAACAAGCGAGGATGTTTGAAAGAGAAAGGCTGATTGCATTCAGTGGAAGATGTACGATTGGAGATCATCAGGTTAGAAAATGGGTTGAATTTCAGTTTGAAAACAAGTTTTATAAAATTAGATGTTCATTAGATTTTGTTCATAAATTGATTTTTCTAATGAAAAATCGACTGTGGCCTAGGGGAAATAATGAATGAACTTCTAGTCCTTCAAATCGGTAAATCTCATTTTTTCCAGAGTCTCAACCAACTTCGCGATGACATTTCATTGAGTTGCGAATGCGCTCCTTCGACAAGCATCACCAACTACTGTATGTCGCTCGAAATTGGCGCCAAAAATTCGCGGCGAGACCAAACCACTCTGAAAAACTCATTCGCCCCAAATCGCCGAAAAAATGTGATAAAACTGCCGACGAAATCATTTTGCTGTCAATACGCGAAAAATGGACAGATTTTGATTGTTGCGAGTCAAGATGAGCGAATACGATTTTTCAAGAGGAATTTCGGGGGAGCGAGAAATGGCTCGAAATTGGCGCATTCAATGAAATATGAGCAATACAATGAATTGCGAGCTGATACTTGTGTTTGGTCGATTTTGGATGTGGCAGTCTCGGAAGACGCCAAAATACTGTGCTATTCCACGTGGCGACAAGCGATTTATTTGGCGAATTTGGAAGAGCGAATTAATGAAGGTGGTGGGACAATGTGGAATCATATTGATTTGGAAGTTGGAAATGCAAAGTGAGTAGGAATTTTTTGGAAGAAATTGTAAAAATGCGGATTAAGATTAAGCTAAACCTACACTTTATTGTTAGAATAAATCCTTGTAAGTCTAGATTTGAGCTAAGCCTAGGATTTTTCTATAAAAAATTGCAGCTGAAAATTATTTATTTTTTTCAAAATTTAAAAAAGTGCACTCATTTTGAATAGCTCCAAAAATCCACATGTTCTCCTTGAAATTTCCAAAAATTCCAGCAATATGGCCGTTTTCACGATTCGTTTATCCAAAGATTCTCGCCAAATAATTTGCGGCGATTCGGGCCAAAATATTCATGTTTTTGACACGGAAAGAAAATGTCGACTTCGAACAATTGGAAAAGCGCACGATGATGATGTGAATGCGATTTGTTTTGCCGATGATTCGTCAAATATGATTTATAGTGGTGGAGATGATGGATTAATTAAGGTATGGATCAGAAATGTGGGGTTTTGGTGAAAAAGTAGCTTAGAATCAGGAAAATCGCAAAATTTTGTACCAAAACGTGAAATAACCAAACAATTAAATAAACATCGGATAGGGTGATTTTGAAATTGCAAAATTTTGGTGTTGGAACAGGAAATTGCCAAAAATCTTCAAAAATTCAACCCATCGAAAATACGTTTCAAAAATTTGTTATTTTATTGAAATGAAATTTTCTGAAATTCTATTACATTTAGTATCAAATCCCAATACAACAATAAGCTACAAGAACCTGCCCAAATTCTGAATATTTTCTAGGTGTGGGATCGTCGTGCATGGTGTGATCGTGAACTCGAACCAATCGGAACTTTTGCCGGCCATCGAGACGGAATCACATATATAGATTCACGCGGTGATGACAGATATCTACTATCCAACTCGAAAGATCAAACTATAAAACTGTGGGATTTGCGAAAATTCGCGACACCACAAGCAATTCAAGAAACCCGTCTGGCTGTCAAATCACACAAATGGGATTATCGATGGCAACCGGCGCCACCCGGATTATGTCAGCCGATTCCGGGCGACACTTCAATTATGACATTGAGAGGACATAATGTATTGCACACTTTGGTTAGGGCGAAATTCTCGCCCGAATCGACGGGAAAACGATATATTTATACGGGATGTGCACGCGGTGAAGTGGTTGTTTATGATATTTTGACGGGAGTTGTAAGCAATCGATTAAAGGGACATATTGGAGTAGTTAGAGATATTGATTGGCATCCAGAACACATGGAAATGGTTTCGGCTTCGGTGAGTTTTTTTCAGGAACAGGGAGGAAAAACATTAATAACATAAAATTGGGTGAAATTCATGGAAATCAAGAAAATGACCGTTTAATTACAAGAAATACTGATAATTGAGCCGAAATTCAAAAAATACAAAATTTTTGCCACTTTTGAGGAAAAATGAGTTTCTCAAATTTTAAATTTTGACTGAACTAAGGGCGGTGCCCCTAGGCGAAACAGTTCTACAAATCCTCAAAAATTCCAAATTTCAAAGAAAAATCTTTTTTTTTTCGCATTTTTAAAATGTTCATTTATAAATTAAAGAAATAAACAGATTTTCACGTAGGCATTCGTGGTCAAGTGGTACGTGACTTTGCCTTCGAATCTAAGCATTTTTGACGGGTTCGATTCCCAGTCGAAGCATTTTCCTATATCCGCTAGGTATGATTTTTAAATTTTCTGAAGAAAATGTGAAAAAAATGGTGAAAAAATGTGCGAAAAAATTTATAATCAGAATGCATACCTACGGGATTCGCGAATTTTATGAAAAAAATTGGTTACTGTAGTTTTTAGGTGCTATAAACTACAGTAACCCCTGACCAAATGTCCATCGAAAAATGATGATTTTAAATTTTTGATTAGATAACAAATAACACATTAACTAGAATGAAATGAACATTTAGTTTTGAAACTTTTTCTTCAAAATTTTACAAAAAAATCGATTTTCAATGAAAAATGTTTTATTCAAAAATCAATGGAAACTTTCTAATGAAAATATCAATTTTTAATATTTATTTCAAAATTTCAGTGGGACGGAGTAACATCAGTTTGGTATTGGGACGAACGGGCAAATCATGTGACTGCACCATTTGATGGTGCACAATTTGGAGATGAGGATTCGTGCGACGAATCATTTACGCCATTTTTACACCAAAATTTGGACAAAAATGGAGGAGCTAAACGGTTGAGAAAACATCGGGTTATGTAAATTTAATTTGTGATTTTTTGCTCATTTTTTTGTGTATCTTTGTAGATTTTTTTTTGAATAAAATTGAAAAACTCAAAGCCTTTTTTTGAAATTTTCAGAAAAATTAAAGTTAGAAAAATGTTCTTCTTCTCCGAATTATATGACAATTTTGATGATTGTTTCTCAAGTTGAAGTGATATTTGCCACGTGGCATGAATTTTTAATACTTTTCAATTTAAAAATTCATACAATGTGATCTACAAAAGTGAAGAAGAATCCCGAATTCGGCCGTGACGTGGCAATTTAAAGAAATAGTTTTTCTCCAAAAACTTATTGAAAGCCAATAGAATTTAGTAATTTTTTGAAAGTCCTTCATAATCCAAATATTCTTTTGATTTTCATAAAAATTTCCCGAAAAACCCCAAACTTACTTCAAAAAACCAGGTCCAACTCGAAAAACGGTTAAAAAACAAGAAAAAAAATGTGACGCACAATTGCACACATTTGGTGAAAAGTACGGTATCTGCAAACACCGCGCAAACATGCGTTTGAATTTTATTTTTGGGGTTTTTTGTTTTCGCGGCAGTTTTGGGGATAAAACTGCTTTGGCGCTAAATGATAATTGAGTTTGGCTTGGAAGACTGAAATCAATAGAAATCCGCACCTTTTCGCACAGAATTCATCAAAAATGCTGAAAATTAGCCGAAAATTGAAAATAATTAGCATAATTTGAATTATGAGCAGCTCACATATTTTTATAAATTTCCATATTCTGGGTCAATTAATCATCTCTGATTATGAAGATCGAAAACTCAATAATTTATACATCCATTGAATAATTAACCAAAAATTAATTAATTATCATTGTTATCGTTGTCTGCATATTTCCTCGGCGGTAGCATTGGTTTCTGCAATCAAATAGACATTTTTAGGTGAGAAATTTGAGACATGTTCTAAGTATGTATTCTTTTTCTTCCTCCTGAAGCAAAACCCAAAAACAAACAAACTTTTTTGTTGTTGAAAAGATGTTTTTGTGAATCGGAAGAACCCAGTTTGTCAAGTATCTGTTTCTTCGTTTTTTCGCCCTTGGAAACATCGGGATTTATACGAACTTGACCGTTTTCATCAGGCATCAGTAGAATTACCTGAAAATTGGCAATTAGCCGGTTTCTAGCTGTTTTTTTTGACATTGAGAGAAATCCTTACTCTCGGCTCATTTTCAGTTTCAGTTCGAGTTTGAGCAGTTTCAGCATCATCCTCATTATCATTTCCACCTCGCCTTTTACCGTAATGAAACCAACTTCGACCCTCGTTCATCATTACGCGGATTCCAAATGCGCTATAGCGGAAAATTAGGAGAATCTGTAAAAAAATTAGTGTTCAAGGTCGATAAGTTGGGTTCAAGTGTCTGAGTTTGACGAATTTTAGGTTTTCTAGGTTAAATTTATGAGAATTTCTAGATCATGATTTGAATACTGAAACTCACCAACAAAATAATCAAAAAACCAAGTGTGACTTTGCAATACGTCGATAATTCCACAGCTTCTTGTATGAAAAGATCGACTTCAGCTGAAAATCGGAGATTTTTAGCGGGAAATTTGGGTTTTGTGATATTTTGTGCAGGAATTGCTAGAATTTAAGATGGTTTTTATCTGAAATTCATTGTAAATTAGGTAAATTTGATCTGAAAAATTGAATTTCAATCTAAAAAAACCAAAAAAACTCAAGTTACTTAACCTAACTCGAAAGCACTTGTTCTTTTCTGACCAAAAAAATGAAAATTACCAGATCAAAATCAACCATATAAATTAGGCTTGAAATCAGTAAAAGCATGGTAATTTAAGTCAAAACCCTTTAGAAAGTCGAGTTATCTTAACTCAAGTGTCCACCACTTGCACTACGTAGTTCAAATTTGAATCAAGATTTCCTAAAATCACCATAGGATAATTCAAGTTATCCCAACTCTAGGTACCCTTTTCCCACGCCCAATTTGACCTACCCGTAAAATTATTCGTTAGAAATTCGAATTGTGTCTCGAATTTGTCGCCCAAATCACCGGCTCGATCGGTAACAGATTTGAAAAGACGTGTACCCAAATTGTTCAGCATTTTTTGTCAAAAATTACAAATTAGAAATGAACTAGTTTTTGTTTTCGAAAAAAAGATTCTTTGATTTCAAACGGGGTCACGCGGTTTCGATTAAAATTTTGAAATTTCGAAGGTCGGCGAGAAAAAACAAAGCAAATACCTCCTTTTTTCCGGCCAAAAATGAATCACCTGTGAATAGGAAAAAAGGAGGAGAAAAGGACAAATTCAAAACTTGTTTTGTGTTTTTTTGAGATTTGCGCGTTCGGAAATTGAAGATCTTTGTATTTATTTGAATTCTAGGGTTTCTAGGCCATCTCAAGAATCATAATACATTTATTCAGGCAATACATATAAAATGGCACCGAGTAGAATTTTAGTGTGAGAAAAAGTGCATAAATCCGCAAAAACAATCATCAATAGAGCGCATTTGTTTTTATTCTTGTTCCAATTCAATCAAAACTCCTCCGCAATCTTTTGGATGCAAGAAAATCACATCTTTTCCGTGAGCACCGATTTTCGGTTTTTCGCCCAATGTTCGGATTCCTTTTGATTTGACGGCGGTGACAGCCTGGAAAATTGTAAATTCGGATTCTAGTCCATATTTTTTTCGCAATTTCTAGTCTACTAACCTCATGAATATCTCTGACTTCAATACAAATATGATGCATTCCACCAGCGGAATTTTTGTTCAAAAATGCCTGAATTGGCGATTTCTCACCAAACGGGTGCAATAATTCGATTTTCGAATTTGGCAACTCGACGAAAACCGTGTAAACACCGTGTTCTGGTTGTGGCTAAAAAACATTTGAATTTGAACTTTTGGCGGCAAGAGTGATGAAAAACTTACTACTGGCTCTGATACTTTGGCTCCCAAGTTTCTGTAGAAGTCCGATGTTTTTTTGAGATCTGGGGTGGCGATGGCGACGTGATTGAGACGTCCGAGAAGTCCGGCCAATGGGTGAGTAGACATTTGCTGGAAATTCTCATAGATCAGTGGAATTTTTGAGAACCGGTTTTATTTATTTCATAGATAAAAAACAACTAGTAAACACATTTCAAAAGTTTGTCGAAGGTCATTGAAAATGGGGTTTTCAGTCAGTCACTGCGACAGTGAAATGAATTATTGAGGAATTCGGGGACTAAAAATCCAAATGCGCTCTAATGAGAATAGGAAATTTTGAATGATATTTTGAAATTTTGTGCAGCACAGAATCATTGATAAAAACGTTCTCCAATGAGAATTATCGATTTTTGAAGAGAAATTTGATTTTTTCAGAAAAAATCAGTGAATTTGTAATTTTCGAATAGAAATCGGAGATACAAAATTGAATTATTGATTTTTTTCGAACTAACGAGCTTTTCGTTTCACAAATAATCAATAACGAGATGATTAATTTGCACAATATTTAAAGAAAGCTTTTCTGACAAAAATCAAGTTTCGCTAGGGCGCACTTGATTTCATCACTTAAAAAAATCGATTTTCAACTATTTTCCCCCAATTTTTGGCTGAAACTCACTCTTTGCCCCATTGCACTGGTCATCTTTCCAAAACTCGTCAAAACCGATCGAAAATGCGACATTTTTCTGAAAAAATTGAATTATTATTAATTTTCATAGAAAATAAAACTGTTTTTCAACACAAAGCAAAGAAACAAAACTAAAAAATATATCGCATGTTTCTTCATTTTTTTCTCCAAATGTTGTAAACTCCCTTTTTGCACGTCTCTTTTTTTCTCGATGAAAAATGTTTTTTGATCGAAACACGAGAAAAATGTTCGCAACGACACTCCGCGTGCCTGCTGTTTAGCGCGGTGTGCATTTTTTCTTTTCTTTTTTCGTTTTCTCCCGCATTTTCACGCGAATTTTGTTTTCACCGAAACCAGAGAGTGCCCAGAAATTGCTTCAAGACCAAAATTGTCTTTGGCATATTGCAGAACTATTTAGGCTAAAATTAGGGTTTGAGATAATCACATAAAAATGTAACTCCGCAAATTTTTTTCCATCAAATTCTTTCAGAAAACATACTTTTCTTCAAAAATCTTCATTGAAAGTTGAAAATGTTTAATGATAATACTTACAGCAACTATGGGAACTAAATTATCCGTATCATTGGAAGGCGCAACCTCTCCAGAAACCGCTCCACGAGTCGATCGTCCACCAACTTTCGATCCACAATACGGTTTCGAAAAACCACGAAAAGTTCGAGAGATGAAGGCGACTTGGGAGGAAATGGAACAATGGAAATTGAAGCCGGCGCAACGCGATTATTGTGCACATCATTTGATTGCTTTGATGAAGTGTCAGACACAAAATGCGCCATTTGCTGGACACGCTTGTGATGGAGAAAGAGGAGCATGGGATAAATGCGAATATGATGATCATATTAGCAGAATTAAGGTACATATTTGTAGGAAGAGCAAGGGTTTGAGATGGAAAATTCATGTTATGACGTGGCAAAGCGGGCCAAATCTCTCTAATCGTTTTTGCCACGTCATTACTAAGTTCAATAGTTTTCTACCTGCGTTTTCTACCAAAAACTACCGAGCTAAACTCTGAATATGAGCTAAGACGTGGCAAATCTTGAAAATCAGGACGAAAGAGTGATATATCTAACTTTATTTTCTCAATTTTTCCAGGAATTCGAACGCGAACGACGACTTCTTCAAAGACAAGCCCGCAAAGAAGTTTCAGCCTAATTCAAAAAATTTCAGTCTAGATCTGTTTGCTCTCTTCTAAAATCTTTTTTTTCTTCTAAATTTTTCTAGTGTGAATAAAGTTTATGTGTATTTTTCCATTTTTTTGGTTGAAAAAAATACATTTTTCGAATTTGTGAGATACCTTTAGTTGACGATTTTCAGCAGATAAACAAAAAATCAATAAATATTTCCAGATGGATCTCGAAAAATTAGTTGGGCTAACTCTTCACGGAAAATCTGAGCAGGAAACTCAAATATTCGAAGAGTGCTTCAGATTGGTGGGCTCACAAAAAACCGAAAAAGAGCACGATATTGGATTTTGTTTGTTGGCGAGAATGGTGGAAAAGTTGGTGATTTTTGGGCGAAAAATAAGCTCCTAGGCTAAATTTTGGTGCATAAATACTTCTGGAATGGATTACAGCGCGAAATTTGAAACGCTGAACCTATTTTTGAACTCCTAATCGAAGTTTTTTGAATTCGGCGTTGTAAACTCGCCGAATTCAAAAAGGTTTCTGACACTAAAATCTATATTTTAAAAATGTTTCCGAAATTCCCCATTTTCCAGAGCTTCTCCTAATACTCTTCGATCTTTCCAATCTCGTCTCGCAAATCGATTTGCTCAAATTTCGGATAAATTTACATTGGCTGGATGTTTGTTTGTGAGAGAGGTTTTGGTCAAAAATCCCAAGGTAAGAAATGGTTTTTGGATTGAAAGTGGAATTTTCGGCTGAAAAATTGATACAAAAATAATTGATTTTCATGTGAAAATCACTGAAATTCACCTGATTTTCATAATTTTTGAAGAAAAGTTGATGAAAATGATAATTTTTCAAAAGCAAAGCATTTTCAATTTAGAGTTATGATTTTTCTTGAAAAATTCTTCGAAATGTTGGATTTTTGATAAAATACGGAAAATCAACTTTCTCCGATTCCTGAAATTTTAATAACAAATTTTTGAAACAGTGAAAATTGTTGAATTTTTTTTCACGAATAAATTTGCTAAATAATTATCAAAAATTCTAGGATAAGCAATACATTCGAAAAAAATATATTTTATATCAAAAATCATCCATAAAATTTTGTTTTTGAAGTAAAAATGAGGAAAAACATAAATTTTCAATTTCAAGTTTGATAGAGTTATGATTTTTCTTTAAAAAATGTTCGAATTGTTAGATTTTTTGCAAAAATCGGAGAGAGCATCAATTTTTTGAAATTCTTGAGAAAAAAAATGAAGAAATTTTGAAACAGTGAAATTTTTTTTTACAAATAACCTTGCAAAAATTTCAAAGAAACCTTAAATATTTATCAAAAATAATCCGACGAATTTGGTTTTTCACAAAAATCAAAGCTTATTTTTGCAGTCCGGCGATTTGCATTCCACAACAGTTTCCAAAATCATCAATCAATGCATTGATGTTGGTGTTCAAACCGAAGATCCAACAATTCGAGCCTTGGCTTCCGATCTTTTCGGGCTCCGCGCCAATTCAAATCAACACATTGCTCAGCTTATAAACACTATTGCAGCTCTTCAAAATCCACAAAAAACTTCGAATTCCTCAGATATCCTGGAATTATCAACTTTCGGAATTAGTTCTCTCAAAGTTTCGCTTCAAAATTTGCTTTTCGAATGTTTGGCTTGGAGTTTGGGACAAATTCAAATATCCGGAATATCGATTGATCGAAAAAATATGATAAGTTGCATTGAAAATGGGATAAAAATGAAGGAGACAAGACACGTGGCATTTGTTTGTTTGAGGAGTTTGTGTGCGAATGCAAAATGGTCGATTTTGCCAATGGTAGGAGGTTTTTGAAGGAAAATTATCAAGAAATTCCAGAATTTGAGACTTTTGAGTTATCGAGCTCAAAAAATTGACTGAAAATCTCTAATTTATTGAACTTTGCAGATTCCCCGAATTGTCTCCAGTCTAATCAGCGATCTCGACAACATTGATTCAGATCTTATCGAAACTCTCGCATTTATTTCGCAAATTTTCGGACCAATCAATTCTACTTTATATAAACATTTCTATGTTTTATTCAGTGCTATAAAACAACCTCTTCATCTTCAAAAATTCGCTGTTCCCGCTGCCAATTTATTCGCGAATATTATCGAACATTCAGCGGCTTTTGTGAAACCCGAAATTTTCATCAGTGTTCAAAAATTAATTTGTGAACTGGCGATTCGATTTGTGGATGTTGATTTGTATCAAATGATTTTGGCTGCTTTTATGGCGTTAGGAAATGAATATGTGCCAAGTCCATTGCAGGTTTGGAAGGGGTTTTGGGTGAAAAATTATGAAAAGTCGATATTTTAGGCCAACCAATTTTGAAGTTCTAGAGAACAAAATCCCCAAAAGTCAGATATTCAAATTTCGAAATAGAGTTTTTTGAAAAATTGCAATATTTTTTCACTGTTTCAAAAATTCGATCTTCCCTATAAAAAAACGCTCAAAAAAAATGAATCTTCGCTGTCCGCAATGAACACCATGACGCAAACTTGCACACATTTTTTTTGGGCAGCTTGCCAATTTTTCTCAACAGAGCGTAGATTAAAGGGAGGACGAATTGTTCGTTTGGGTCTCGTCGCGATGTGACGCGCTGCTCAAATGTTTTTCATTTTCTCTTTTTTTTTTCGTTTTTTCCCTTTTTTCTCCGAGGTTGCGATCTGGAGGCTGCCGTTCAACTCAGCTTGAGAACAGCATGAGCAAGAATTGGAAGAGCTCGAAGCAATTAATACAGAAGGGGAATTCTGAATCGAGAACATCCAGAAATCAGCCTACAAATAACACTGAAATCAAATCAAGTAAGTTTTTGCTTCAATTTATTTGTTAAGTTGAATTTATTTGTTAAATTGAAATCATGCAAACTTTTTGCAGTTTGGTGAACCTGGAAATGATGATTTTACAGTTGAATTAAGTATAAAATTCACTGATCCGGAAGGGATTCCTGAAACAACAATTGATGGAATTGATGAGAAATTTGAGGTTACTCGGATTTTCGAGGCAATTGAGAAAATGAAAGCGGTTGCTGAAGAGAATTTGTGTATGGTTATGGTATTTGCGATAGTTTCAGCAATGCAAGAAGAAATTGAGGAATTATTAAATGTGAAAAGGCGGAGATTGCTCGAAATCGAGCAAAAAGTAGGGAAATGTTGTGACGCCGAAGAGTTTACGCGCTTGGAAGGAGAAACTCGATGCGGAGCGGAAGGCGGCAAATGAGAGTGCGGAGAAGGAGCGATTGGCTGCGTTGGATGGCAGGTTGACGGACGGGAAGACAATTGTTCTTGAAGGGTGCCACTTTGAATTTGTCGGATATGACGTTGATACAGGAGCACAGGATAAGGTCGAAATTGATGAGTCACTTTTTGATAAAGAGGTGAGTAACTTTTCTGGGAGAGTGGAGGGGAGGGGGTGGCACAAGGGTAAAAAGAGAACCTTTCCAAGGTAAAACCGCCATATTTCGAATTTGCAAATTCACGAATCGCATCCTTACAAATTATTCATAAAATTTCGCGCTGACGCGGATAACTTGCATGTTTCCATATTAACATTCCAAATTATTTAGATGCGAACTCAATCGCCTCCATTTTCGACTGGACCATGCAATATATTGGTAATTTTAACTTTATGTTGTTTTTTTTTGTCAATAAATATTATAAAAATAAGATGAATTCCTTCATAATGTGGTTCCTCAGCAATCCGGATCCCCGAAATTTCTCTTTCGGCATTCCCAAGAAAAAAAATGAATATAATTTTTCAGCGGAGTGATTCTACAGAATCTGGTTGGAAAATTGGAAAGCTGACAAAAATATTTATGTGCACGATTGCATTACGGTCTTTGCAACTTTTGCGCTTTTTTTGATTTTTAAATTGAAGAATATTTCTCGAGCTAATTTGAGTTCCCGGGCGAGTAAGCTTTTCTAAAAAGACCTTTCGGTCCAGTCTTTGTCTAAAAAACATTTCTAATGAGGTCTCAAGGCTTGGGCTTTGTCTTAAAACGACATGACCCAATCTTTCTAATCAATAAAAAATTGATCTGTTCACTAAATGAGCAGATGATTATGGCCAGGTGGTGATTGAACAAGTTTAGGCATAGCGCCCTGGGTCCACTATGGATCAATTCATTTGACGAAAAATGAATTTCGCGACATTTTTTGTCGCGAAATTGCAATTCGTGAAACGACACGAAATAAACACAAAAATAAAGGAGAAACATTAAAGGGACGCGTAATCGGTGCGAGACCCAACACACGAAAAAAGAATTTCCTCTTTTATTTTATTAATTTCGTGTCGTTTCGCGAATTGCAATTTCGCGACAAAAAATGTCGCGAAATTCATTTTTTCTTCAGATGAATTGATCCACTAGTTAATGAAAAACTGTTCATTTTTTTCGATTCACTTGTGGATATTGGATTTGCTGAAAACCTCGATTTTTTTACGTTTCAAAAATCTGATAACTAAAAATTGAAACCTTTCGTTTTATTAGTATTATTAGTATCATTGGGAAATTTAATTTTAAAAATTCCACTGTTTCCAAAATTTAAGTTTTCAATATCAAATTTACCTTTGAAAAAATATGAAAATGAAAAAAAAATTTAATTGAAAACTCGATTTTTTTCAAAGAATTGAAACAGCAATTTTCCCCCAAAAATCCCGAATTTTCCCAGATCGCTCAAGTCGTTTGTTCTCGCACCAAAAGTCACTCAGAAATCACTCAAAATTTGAGAAAAATGTGCCAAATCGCGGCGAGACCCAGAGTTACTGTAAGTCCAAATTTTCACCTGAAATTATATATTTTATTTTCTCTATTTTTCTAGGACATTGCAAATATCAAAGCGAAAAAGACGATTTCTTTGAAAGAGGCAGCTGTTATTCAAGAGGAAATTGTTGAAAAAGCTGAAAATATGGAAATATCTGAAAATCCAAAAGAATTAGAAGAAGCTGATAATTTGTCTGAAAATGAGGAGGAAGAAGATGATGAGGAAGAAATTCAAATTATTGAACCAGAACCAAAAAAAGAGGCTGAAAATAAACGGAAATCTGCGGAAACTCCGGAAAAAGTGGAAGTCCAACCCAAAAAGAAGCAGAAAGTTGTTGTGAAAGAAGTGGTGGGTTTTTCTTGGCTGGAAATTTTAAGGGTTTAGCTAGGATTCTGGAATTTTTAGCATACAGTTCAGATTTGAAGCTGTCAAATTCATCTGAATCTAGAAATTTTCAATTTTAAAAATTCAACAATTATTTTAAATTTCAGACTTTTCTAACTGGAAATCAAACTGAAATTTCGAAATTTCAGCTCTAAAAAAACATTTGAAAATTCCAGATTTTCAGTCCCAAAAAATCCCCCAATTCTCATTTTTTACAGAATCTACTAGCCGGCGAACAATCAGTCGATGATATTCTCAACTTTTTTCGATCCCTCATAATTTTTGGCTGAAAATTTGTCTGAAATTGTTAATTTGTTTTTGTTATTTTTTGAATTGAATTGTTGATTTTTGAATTTTTAAATTTTTTTACTTGACAAAAAATGGTATGTACATGATACAGAACAGAAATTTGAAATTTTTGGCGCTAAAAATTGTGGGTAGAGAGAGAGAGAGAAAAACTGTACAGGGGAAGAAACCCATAGCATTAAATTATTAAAGAAATTTTGTTTTGTTGTGGCGAAAATTTAGGCGACCGCCGATTTTTTGCCAAAACTCATTTCCACCAAATCCTCTTCGTTTTCATTGTTCGATTTTCGTCGCGTGTATTCGACTTCTTTATCGCCCAAAACTGCTTCTCTGCAAAAAATGGGAAATTTTGAGTTATGACGTGGCAAATTTGGAATTTTTTGTAATTTTCAGCGAAAATCTGAAAAATCAAGCTTAGTCTCATTTTGTAAAGAATTATCTGGGCTTCAAAATGCGCACAAATTAGATTTTTGAAAATTTCGGTTCTGAGCTAAAATTCCAGCCTGAAACTTGGGCCAACTTCTCATAGAGCTTTTGAATTTCAGTGTAGAATTTCAGACATCAAGTTTAGGCTGCTTTTGAAGCTCTCGAGAAATTCTTGGTAAGAATTATTGATTTTTGTCATCTTTAACATACCTCGAAACATGAACAGAATCAATATCACTTCCAGGCACAGTATATTTTGCATCCAACAATGTCGATTCTAAAATCGATCTCAATGCTCTTGCTCCAGTTTTTCTTTCCAAAGCCAATTGTGCAACTTGTTCCAAAGCTTCTGCACTAAATGACAAATCAACATTATCGATCGAAAATTGCAATTTCAATTGTGCCAAAAGTGAATTTTGTGGTTCTGTCATAACTCGAACCAACATTTGTTTATCAAAAGAATGAAAAGGAACTAATACTGGAAATCGTCCAACTAATTCAGGAACCATTCCAAATGATATCAAATCGCCTTGATCTGCTTTTCCCAATAATTCGTCTCTTTTTCGCATTATTTCGGCATTCGAATCATCTTGCGATATTCTGACTTGTCCTGAATTTGAGCCGAAGCCAAGCGCTTTTTTGTCAAGTCGACGACCGACGATTTTATCCAAGTTACTGAAGGCGCCAGATGCAACAAAAAGAATGTCAGATGTGTCGATCTAGAAGAACATTAGAAATTATAAAGAATTTTCATTGAAAAATTGAATTTTTCTTCTTGAAGTTTTGGTAGAATTTTCGATACAAAACAAAAAATTTGAAAGATTTTTCTTTAGTTTTCATGTTTTTATTATGGGGTTTTGATAAAATTTTCGAAAGATTTTCCAGAATTTTCTACGTTTCAAAACATGAATATCTAAAAACATTTTGTTTTTGTTGAATTCCATTTTTTATATTTTCTAGACAAAATTCAGTTCTTTAAAAAAATATATCGAATTTTGTTGAATCTAGGATCATAATTTCAGATTTTCATGATTTCTAGATCATTTTTTTTTTCAAATTTTCAACATTGACTCACCTGCACAGTATCCTGTTGTGATCCCATTCCTTTCCTTCCACTCTTTACATTCACCATTGTTCCCTCAACCAATTTCAAAAGTGCGTGTTGTACACCTTCTCCACTAACATCTCGATATGCAGCACTATGTCCCTCATTTGCAGCCGCAATTTTGTCGACTTCATCTAAAAATACAATTCCTTGTTGAGCTTTTTCGATATTTCCACCGGCGGCTTGAACAAGTTTTTGAATTACAGATTCGACATCTTCTCCGACATATCCAGCTTGTGTCATTGATGTACAATCACAAAGTGCGATTGGAACATCGAGAACTCTGGAAAAAAAGAAATTAGATAGGGTGGAGAAGGATTTTGGAAAGAAACTTTTAATATGGCTAAATTGGGGAGCGATTCAGACCAAAGCTTTTTTGACTGCAAATTAATCTAACTTTTTCCAGAAAAATTTTCAATTGAAAAATCAATTTTAGATCAAAATTTCCAAATTTCCCTCTCTTAATCCATACCTCGCCAATGTTTGTGTCAAAAATGTTTTTCCAACTCCCGATGGTCCAACCAGCAAAATATTCGACTTCTCCAATCGTACACTTTGTTCTTTTTCAGGCAAAGCTCTAAAAGTGGGCGGGGCTCGTTTCTGCGCAGTATTTTGAGATGCTTGATTCGAATTTGGTGCTCCCATATTCTGTTGATGCATAAGAGAACTTCGAAGTTCATGACTGGCAATTTGTCCCAATCGCATTTCGTCTTGATACAAAACACCACGTGGCATTTTATCGTCGGGATTTTGAGCAGCGGTTTTGGAAGCGGGAGAATTTTGCTGATAAATTGAAGATGCTCCAGATTCGATATTGTGCTCCAGACGACGATAATGTTGATAAACACCAACTGCAAGGGTTTTCTTCGCCTTTTTTTGACCGACGACGAATTTGTCGAGATATTCGGCGATCTGCAAGAAATTTGGAAGGTTTTAGGAGCGAAAATGTGATATTTTAATAATTTTTTGCTCTAAAAATTCTGGGCTCAAAGCGAGGGTTTTTGTAAGATACATTTTTTTCTGAAAAATTCTTCGTTACATTTTTTAAACAATTTTTTGGATAACTTTTTGACTGGGTTCAGAAGATCTGTTTTGACATCTTGGAATGTTTTGACATCTTATTTTTAAAACAGTAAAATTCTGAAAATATTTTTGGGGAATTTTTGTACACTAAAAAAATGTTGAACTTTTTTGGAGCTGAAAATTCTACATTTCCTAGAAATTTTGAACTTAACTAGAAATTTTGTGAATAAACCATATTCATGAAATCAATGTGAAAATCAAAATTTTATCATATTCAAAATTTGAAACAGTGAATTTTTTGGTTTGAAAATTTTTTCTTGGGAATTTTGGGTTCAACAATTCGGAAAAATCAGGAATTTTTGAAGCTGAAAATGAGGGATTTTCAAAGCAAAATTTTTGAAATTTTTCCCAAAATTCGAATTTCCCGCTCAAACCCCTGCCAAAAATGCTGACCTGTGTTGGATAAGGCGGACTCTTTCGCACCGCATTTTTCCCTCCCATTCCTCCTCCCAAATTCTTCGTTGATTCCTCCATAAAATTGGCAAAATACAATTTATTGCAATTATCGCAGTGTATATATCGATTTGAGGGTTGAAGAGTTGGCAAAGGTTTTAGGGGTTTTGAGCAATGTTTACAATTGCCGAATGATTGGATTGTTTTATTTGGTGGCGGATTTGTGGGAAGATCTCCGCCATTATTTCCATTGTTGTCATCTCCACCATTATTTCCACCTGATGTTGAACAACTTCGAGTTGGACACGTTCTGGAAGCACATTTTTTGAGCAAAGCTTTTCACGAGCTTCGATTTGAAACCACACAAGCCCCTTGCAAAAATAATTGAAATTTTCAGCAGAAAATTAGAGATTTCAACGAGATTATGGCCCAGGGCCTTGATTTTTGTGTAACTTTGTTTTTCATAACAAAATTGACTTAAAATAACCTGTTCTATCAAGTATGAATTGAAATTTAGTGAAAAATCGATTTCTGGGTAAAAACCCAACAAAATTTTCAAATTTCCCGCTAAAAATAATCAGTCTTCTCACCTGTACAAATTGCATTCTGCAATCTTCCTTGTTCTGGCCAACAATCTGATCGATCCGATTGAACGATGCATTTTGTCTCACTTTCTTTTCTCTGTAGACAAAAAAATATTTTATTTATTTTATTATTCAAAAATTATAGATAAGCAACAAAAAATGAAGTGAAAATGAAAGTGATAAGGAAAATTATATATTTTTTGTATTCATTTAAAAATGAGAAAAAAAAAGAAAAAACTTGAAAAACTGACTGATAAACAAAAAATGGGACAACCAAAGAATTTGCACTATTGATTTGGGAGACATGGGATTCCCCCAAGTTATTTTTAGTGCAAAATAAGTTTAATCACATTTTTTCTTAAAGAAAATAATAGAAAACCATCCCAAGTTTCACGAGAAGAAAACAAAACAAAGTAAAATGAAAATTTGTTGACAGTCATTTTCTTGAAAAGATACTAGAGAGAAAAAAAGTTGCTACCTTCAGCTGAAAGACATGTGGCGTTCTTTGTTCGTGAACTATGGTAAACAAACAAAAATTGGAGAATTCCTGGTGATTTAACACATATTTTTGGGGAATACCTTGGATTATGACGTCATAATTCTCAAGGTGGCCAGGTGTTTTGGTGGCAATTTGCCGAAAAAGGGGTTTCCCGAAGAGAAAACGGGGAGATATGATGATTTTTAGAATGAGAAATGAAAAACGTGGCGCCCTCCGCTTCACGTGAGCAGTTTTTTGTGCGAGAGTCTCTCGGACAGACAATTCTGAATAAATAAATTGGTTTCGAGCGGCTGAAAAACGAATTTTTGAGAATTAGTAAGTTTTGCGGTTAAAAAACTCTCACAAAATTTCTTTAAAATCCCATTTTTAAAGCCAATTAGCTATTTCACCCCAAAATCGCCTACTCTCACAAAAAAATCCGGAAAAAAATGAAAAATAAAAATTTCGTCACTATTTACAGTACCACTGTTTCAAAGGCGCAACCACAGCACACAAATATCTCGCAGCGTAAAACTCCCGCGCTCCAATAAATTCAAAAAATATTTTTATTTTTTCTCATTTTAACCCGAAAGTTCAATCAGACACAAAAAACAACAATTCACATGATGTTTCGTCGTGTTCGTTGTTATCAAAACGGGGCGAAAAAACGTGTGTCACGGGGTTCGCGCAAATCTCTTAAAGAAGATTGATAAGTGTACTATGAGATCATTGGAAAAAATAAATATTTTTCTAACATGAAAAAAATCGCGAAAAATCAATTAAACCACAATTTTCCAACTGAATAGAAATAGCACGCGCATGTCTCTCAATTTCTTTTCTCAATAGAGCAAATTCGCTCCAACGCACTTTCCCATAATAAACACATACTTTTGTTGATTTTTTGGTTTTCATACCCGATTTATATAGAAAAAGTTGTTTAAAAATTTAAATTTTTCAGGGATTAGTATTTAAAGGCACAGTACTACGTTTCTCAGTGAGTTTTTCATCAAAATTTAGCGGCAAAACTGATTTTTAATTCAGAACTTGTCACGGGATTATGGGACTTCGGTCACATGAGCAATTGGTGGTTGGTGTTGGTGTACTATTTTTGGTCACTGTCTGTGTCACCGCTTTCTTCTTTTTGCCAGCCGGTGGAGCGGATTTGTATTTTCGAGATGAGCATGCGATTCAAGTTAGGGATACGTTTGTGAGGTAAGGATTTTATGGGAAGAGGGTGCTTAAAAGTGAAAGTGCTGGTGAATTTGATATCAAAAGATAGAGAATTTTCCACTGAATCTCGGGAATCACTAATTTCCAGACGAAAATAACAATTTTCAGTAAAAATTAGTTATCATAAGTTAAAAAATTCTGAAAATTATTATTTTTTGTTCAAAAATTTTTCAATTTTCATTTTAAATTCTGGATTTTTAGCCCAAAATTTTGACCAAAAAATGTCGATTTTTTATTTGTTTTCCTTCGAATATAGTGTAATGTTTACTCAATTTTTCTTTTACATTTTTTTTTCGAAAAAAAACTTGAAAGAGCAAAATGAGTTCTCTGATGTTTCTAGACCTGAAAATTCCCATTTTTTGCAGAGAACGCGAAGAAGTTCGGAGGAAACAACAAGAAGAATTGATTCGAAAAGCCGAAGAAGCCATTCCAGCTCCAATTCCAAAACCTGAAATTGGAGCAGCTGATGATGTAGAAGGAAGGAGGACATATGTTAAACAGGTTACATTTTTACGTTTTGAATTTTGATTGAAAAATGCGGGAGAATATGGGAAAAATATGAAAATCGAAAATGTATGCCTTAAATTTGTCTGAAAATCATGAAATTTAAGTCAAAAACTACCAGAATTCCCCGAAAATTTCTAAAACATCAGAATTTCCAGTTCCAAGACATAAAGTTTGAACATTTTCTAGAAAAAGCTCAAATTTGTGAAAATGTATCAAAAAATCACCAAAGTTTACATTTCTCGATTTGAAAAACTGAATAACGAAAACTGAAAATCCAAAAATTTAGCTTAAAAAATGGATAAAGTTCCTTATTTGAAGATAAGAATTCAGATTTAAATGTATTCTTTTGGTCAAAAAACCTGGAATTTCATTAGAAATCTTCCAAAATGATCAAAAAATCCTAAAAATTTTCACTCGCTTGTTATCTCCATTTTGTTGTTCCAGATGATAAAATTCGCATGGGACGGGTATCGTCGTTATGCTTGGGGTGAAAATGAGCTGAAACCCAACTCGAAACAAGGTCATTCATCCTCAATATTTGGATACGGTAAAACGGGTGCCACAATTATTGATGCGATTGACACGTTGTATTTGGTTGGATTGAAAGAAGAATATGAAGAAGCGAGAAAATGGATCGAGACATTTGATTATAAAAGTGTTGTGGTTGGTGGAAAAAATGGGAGATTTTTGTAGAAAAAATGGTGGAATATAAGGTGGAAGGTCAAATTTTAGTCCTTCCGAATCATGTTTCAGGTTTCTAGCCCACCAAAAACGTTTTTCTGGATTTCTAGGCCATAACCAGCTTGGTTTTTTTTTGATCCTCAGCCATCTGGGAAATTCTAGGTCATCAAAAACCGAATTTTGTGTTTCTAGTCCACGTTTTAATTTCTCTCTATTTCAGAAAGGAGATGTTTCGGTTTTTGAAACAAATATTCGATTTGTCGGCGGACTTCTATCGATTTATGCATTGACAGAGGATAAGGTAAGGTTTTTGGGTGATTTTCGAGTAAAAACATCGAAGTTTTATATTTCCTCCGTCAAAATATTTCGAATTTTATGATTTTCAACCCTAAATACCCTATTTTTGTTGCAGATGTTCCTGGAAAAAGCCGAACAAATAGCTACAGTCCTTTTACCCGCCTTCGAAACCTCAACTGGAATTCCAAATGCACTAATAAATGTTCAAAGTGGTCGATCAAAAACCTATAATTGGGCAAATGGAAAAGCGATTCTATCGGAATACGGTTCGATTCAATTGGAATTCGATTATTTGTCAAATCAAACTGGAAATCCGATTTTTGCAAAAAAAGCGCAGAAAATTCGAGATGTTTTGAGTGAAATTGAGAAACCCGATGGATTGTATCCGATTTATTTGAGTGTTGAAACTGCAAAATGGGGACAACGTAAGTGGAATGAGGGGGAAAATGACTGAAAATATGCATCTTGGACTGAAAACGATGATTTTTACCTGGAAATGGAGAAAATTTGAATGAAACTAATAGATTTCTACCTTAAATTGTGAAAATTTAACTGAAAATTATAACGTTGATTTTTGAGCTGAAAAACTGATTTTCAAAATTAAATCATCAAGAAAAATAGACTGAAAATGAGATTTTTGAGCTGAAAATCATGAATTTAAAATGAGAAATGATGAAAAATTGACTGAAAACGACATATTTTAGGCCTAAAAAGTTGATATGTCATCTGAAAATCAGCTGAAATTGTGAATTTTCTATTGAAAATCAATCAACATTTCTGAAAATTTCTAAATTTCCCTAGAAATCCACCCCCTCCCCCTCCAAATCTCAGATTTTTAGATCATTATTCGATGGGAGCAATGGCTGATAGTTGGTATGAATATTTGTTGAAACAGTGGATTGCGACTGGCAAAAAAGTTGGTTATTTTTCAAGTTTAGATCTAGAGCTAACCTAAATTCCTCATTTTTTTTTACTTTAGGATACCAAAACTAAATTGGAATATGATGAAGCTATTTTTGCGATGGAGAAAAAGTTGCTATTCAAATCTGAACAAAATTCACTTTGGTATTTCGCAAAAATGTTTGGAACTCGCGTTGAACACACATTTGAACATTTGGCATGTTTTTCGGGTGGAATGGCTGTATTACATTCAATGAATGAACCAAATCAAACAGTTGCAAAACATTATTTAGAACTTGGAAAAGAAATTGGAAAAACATGTCATGAATCATATATTCGAAGTGCGACTGGAATTGGACCAGAAAGTTTTCAATTTTCAGCGAGTATTGAGGCGAAAACTGAACGATCTCAAGATTCGTATTATATTTTGAGACCTGAAGTTGTTGAAACTTGGTTTTATTTGTGGAGAGCGACAAAGGATGAGAAATATCGACAATGGGCATGGGAACATGTACTCAATTTGGAGAAATATTGTCGGGTAAGTGAGTGGGGGAGAGGGAGAGGGATTTGGGAAATATTGAACCACAATTTTTTACTGGGTGTTAGGGAAGATTTTCTAATCTTTGAGATTTTTAGAACATTTTCTAGGATTATTGGTTTTAATCTGAAAAATCCCAGATAATCCTGAAATTAAATTCAGGTATTCAAATTGAAAACTTGAACATTTGTAAGATCTGAAGTAAAATACTTTGAAATTTGTAATTTAACATTAAAATTATCAGATAATTTGAAAAATCACTTTGCCAGCTCAATTTTCGTTTGAAATTTTAAATTTAAAACAAAAAATCATTTTTCAGATTGATTTTAGCTGAAAATTCCAGATTTTTGTCTCATAAAATCACCATAATTTGACAAAAACATGAGTATAAGATCAAATTTTGAAATGTGAAAAAAAAGTTTGAAATTCAAAATTTTGAATAAATGTTATCAGAAAATCTTCGTAAACCCGTTTTCGGTTCCAGTTTTGCTGAAAATATTAAATTTTCAGACAAAAATTGATTTTCAGTCAAATTTCTGCTGAAATTTTAAGATATTTTTGTTGGGAATCTCAAAAATTTCCCAAAAAAATGGGTCAGAATTTTCATGGTTATCTGAAATTTTCATCTAAAACACAAAAAATTCTCGAGTTTTACACAAAAAACTCTCGAATTATCAGAAAAACTTCAAAAAATCCAATTTTTAGTTCAATTTTCACTCAAAATTCCCTTTTCATAATTTTACATTTTCATTTTTCCAGGGAAAATCTGGTTATTCTGGAATTCGAAATGTCTATAATTCTTCGCCAGATCAAGACGATGTTCAACAATCGTTCCTTTTCGCCGAACTTTTCAAATATTTATATCTGATATTTTCCGATGATTCAATCTTGCCACTTGATCAATGGGTTTTCAACACAGAAGCGCATCCATTCCGAATTCGACATTAGAACTGTAAAATTTGAGAGTTTTGGAGAGAAAATTGGGCTTTTTCGGCCTTTTTTGGGCCCGAAAAGGCCCATTTTCCACCCCCCTCCCCCTCAATTGTCACCCTAACACCTCTCTTATTTTTACCCTATATTTATTTCTAGCTCTAAGCCTTAATTGTTTTATTTTGAAGCCTAAGCCTGAGCCTATGTTGTTTTTAGGCCTAAGACTTAGGCATAGGGTATTTTTTCAAATTGCATTTGGGTTTTACCAAATTGTTTTCCTGGGTATTTTTTGTTGTATTTTTTTCGCGTGTGAAAAATAAATTATTATTTATTTATTGATTTTGGACTAGGGGCTGTTAGCCCCCAGGCGTAACAGTCGCCTCATTTATTTCAGTTTCACTTTTTTCTGTGAAAAAATTGACTTACAATTGAATTTATTGAAAATTTTGAGTTTTTCGATCAAAAAATGACTCGTGGCAAAATCAGGAAGGCTTCCTAATTTTGCCATGGATGACGTCATCAATCAATTTTTCGAAAAAAAACTTATTTAAAAATCGGCCCGAGTTTTTTTTTTAAATCGAGTTTAAAAAATAATCGGCTCGAGTTTTTTCGAAAAAAAATCGGCTCGAGTTTAAAAAAAATAATCGGCCCGAGTTTTTTCAAAAAATAATCGGCCCGAGTTTTTAAAAAAAAACATCGGCCCGAGTTTTTTCAAAAAAAAATCGGCCTGAGTTTTTTCAAAAAAAATCGGCCCGAGTTTTTTCAAAAAAAAAACATCGGCCCGAGTTTTTTCAAAAAAAATCGGCCCGAGTTTTTTCAAAAAAAAAAATCGGGCCGAGTTTTTTCAAAAAAATCGGCCCGAGTTTTTTCAAAAAAAATCGGCCCGAGTTTTTTCAAAAAAAATCGGGCCGAGTTTTTTCAAAAAAAAAATCGGCTCGAGTTTTTTTTTAAAATCGAGTTTAAAAAAAATAATCGGCTCGAGTTTTTTCGAAAATAATCGGCTTGAGTTTTTTCGAAAATAATCGGCTCGAGTTTTTTCAAAAAATCGGGCCGAGTTTTTTCAAAAAATCGGGCCGAGTTTTTTCAAAAAAAACATCGGCCCGAGTTTTTTTCGAAAATAATCGGCTCGAGTTTTTTTCGAAAATAATCGGCTCGAGTTAAAAAAAAAATAATCGGCCCGAGTTTTTTCAAAAAATAATCGGCCCGAGTTTTTTTAAAAAAAAACATCGGCCCGAGTTTTTTCAAAAAAAAATCGGCCTGAGTTTTTTCAAAAAAAAATCGGCCCGAGTTTTTTCAAAAAAACATCGGCCCGAGTTTTTTCAAAAAACATCGGCCCGAGTTTTTTCGAAAATAATCGGCTCGAGTTTTTTTCGAAAATAATCGGCTCGAGTTTTTTTCGAAAAAAAAACATCGGCCCGAGTTTTTTTCGAAAATAATCGGCCCGAGTTTTTTCAAAAAAAACATCGGCCCGAGTTTTTTCAAAAAAAAAATCGGCCCGAGTTTTTTTCAAAAAAAAATCGGCCCGAGTTTTTTCAAAAAAATCGGCCCGAGTTTTTTCAAAAAAAAATCGGGCCGAGTTTTTTCAAAAAAAAAAATCGGCTCGAGTTTTTTTTTTAAAATCGAGTTTAAAAAAATAATCGGCTCGAGTTTTTTCGAAAATAATCGGCTTGAGTTTTTTCGAAAATAATCGGCTCGAGTTTTTTTCGAAAATAATCGGCTCGAGTTTTTTTCGAAAATAATCGGCTCGAGTTTTTTTCGAAAATAATCGGCTCGAGTTTTTTTCGAAAATAATCGGCTCGAGTTAAAAAAAAAATAATCGGCTCGAGTTTTTTCAAAAAAACATCGGCCCGAGTTTTTTCAAAAAAAAATCGGCCTGAGTTTTTCAAAAAATCGGCCCGAGTTTTTCAAAAAAAAAACATCGGCCCGAGTTTTTTCAAAAAAAACATCGGCCCGAGTTTTTTCGAAAATAATCGGCTCGAGTTTTTTTCGAAAATAATCGGCTCGAGTTTTTTTCGAAAAAAAACATCGGCCCGAGTTTTTTTCGAAAATAATCGGCCCGAGTTTTTTCAAAAAACATCGGCCCGAGTTTTTTCAAAAAAATCGGCCCGAGTTTTTTTCAAAAAAAAATCGGCCCGAGTTTTTTCAAAAAAAATCGGCCCGAGTTTTTTCAAAAAAAAATCGGGCCGAGTTTTTTCAAAAAAAAAATCGGCTCGAGTTTTTTTTTAAAATCGAGTTTAAAAAAATAATCGGCTCGAGTTTTTTCGAAAATAATCGGCTTGAGTTTTTTCGAAAATAATCGGCTCGAGTTTTTTTCGAAAATAATCGGCTCGAGTTTTTTTCGAAAATAATCGGCTCGAGTTTTTTTCGAAAATAATCGGCTCGAGTTTTTTTCGAAAATAATCGGCTCGAGTTAAAAAAAAAATAATCGGCTCGAGTTTTTTCAAAAAAATCGGGCCGAGTTTTTTCAAAAAAAATCGGGCCGAGTTTTTTCAAAAAAACATCGGCCCGAGTTTTTTTCGAAAATAATCGGGCCGAGTTTTTCAAAAAAAAATCGGGCCGAGTTTTTTCAAAAAAATCGGGCCGAGTTTTTTCAAAAAAAACATCGGCCCGAGTTTTTTCGAAAATAATCGGCTCGAGTTTTTTTCGAAAATAATCGGCTCGAGTTTTTTTCGAAAATAATCGGCTCGAGTTAAAAAAAAAATAATCGGCTCGAGTTTTTTCAAAAAAAAATCGGGCCGAGTTTTTTCAAAAAAAAACATCGGCCCGAGTTTTTTTCGAAAATAATCGGCTCGAGTTTTTTCAAAAAATCGGGCCGAGTTTTTTCAAAAAAAAATCGGGCCGAGTTTTTTCAAAAAAAAATCGGGCCGAGTTTTTTCAAAAAAAACATCGGCCCGAGTTTTTTTCGAAAATAATCGGCTCGAGTTTTTTTCGAAAATAATCGGCTCGAGTTTTTTTCGAAAATAATCGGCTCGAGTTAAAAAAAAAATAATCGGCTCGAGTTTTTTCAAAAAAAAAATCGGGCCGAGTTTTTCAAAAAAAACATCGGCCCGAGTTTTTTTCGAAAATAATCGGCTCGAGTTAAAAAAAAAATAATCGGCTCGAGTTTTTTCAAAAAAAAATCGGGCCGAGTTTTTTCAAAATAAACATCGGCCCGAGTTTTTTCAAAAAAAAAATCGGCCCGAGTTTTTTCAAAAAAATCGGCCCGAGTTTTTTCAAAAAAAAATCGGGCCGAGTTTTTTCAAAAAAAAACATCGGCCCGAGTTTTTTTCGAAAATAATCGGCTCGAGTTAAAAAAAAAATAATCGGCTCGAGTTTTTTCAAAAAAAAATCGGCCCGAGTTTTTCAAAAAATAATCGGCCCGAGTTTTTTCAAAAAAAATCGGCTCGAGTTTTTTCAAAAATAATCGGCTCGAGTTTTTTTCGAAAATAATCGGCTCGAGTTTTTTTCGAAAATAATCGGCTCGAGTTTTTTCGAAAATAATCGGCTCGAGTTTTTTTCGAAAATAATCGGCTCGAGTTAAAAAAAATAATCGGCTCGAGTTTTTTCAAAAAAAAATCGGCCCGAGTTTTTTCAAAAAAAAATCGGCTCGAGTTTTTTCAAAAATAATCGGCTCGAGTTTTTTCGAAAAAAAAATCGGCCCGAGTTTTTTCAAAAAAATAATCGCTACCCGCCCAAATCGAAATTTTCATTCGGGCGGGTGTTTTTTCAATTTTTGTGGGGTTTTTCATTAGAAACCCACCAAAACCAAAATTTCAATTTTTTCGGGTTTTGTTGGAAAAAACCAAGAAATTGGTAAGCATCGGATGGAATGTTTAATTCATGATTTCGTTTGTCGAAATCTACAACAACGAACTATTCGATTTGCTCAACAAACATCAAAAGTTGAAGACTCGACTGACGCTAAAAAGTGGCATATGGCCAATTGTAGGGTAAATTTTTTACAAGGTAGCTTTTTGAAAGAGTAAATTACATATCAGAAAACGGCTTCCAGGAACTGCAATGTGCTTACATTCATCGATATCTTTTTTTGGTTTGTTCCTTGTTACGAGGAAAAACAATTTCGATTTCCAGCAAAAAACAGACGCACAACGAGAGATAGAATACATAGAAAAAATAGAACAATTTTTGCTGCTGTCCGGTGTTTGCAGATCAACGTGAGATTTTCTTGACGTCCCGACCCGTCGAGAAAAATTTATTGAGTTGAAGGATTTATATAATTGAAGGACCCAGTTTTTATGAATTATCTTTGTTTTTTATTCCAGAAATTGATATTTCGAACGATGAAATACTTGAAGATCATGTGGTATTTTTTTAAATTTTATGGACGGAAAAAATCGAAATAAATAGACAATTTATTTTTCGAACTCGATTCGATATTAAAAAAAAGTGAAAACGAATAAGACGCAAAAATGGAGAATCGAAACAATGGATATAGTGAAGTGGGAAGGAAAAGCCATTAAAAACACACAATTGGAAAGAACATTGGAAAATTGGGAAAAAGGAGAAAATTGGGAAAAATGAGAAAATTGAGAGCAAGTAAATGGAAAAAATCAATTTGTGGATCCATCAAAGCATTTCGGCGATTATGGAGATAAAATCGCACTCATTGTCAATGAAAAACTTCGCATAATTGCCTGCGTATTCGGCCTGATGTTCTCCATACTCGATTGATATAGTCGCGCGGTCTTCAAGAGGTTTCGTAAATTTGACCAGCAACGATCTATTTTTTCGAGCCTCAATTTTGCCCATTGTCGTGTCGAACTTCATATATTTGTTTTTCGAAGTTTTGATCTTGAATAAAATTGGGCAATCTGACTCGTTATGCAAAACAATTGTTGTTTGTTTTGTTTCGTTTTTCAGTTTCAGCGAATCCGGAATTGCAACCAGGTTTAAAATTAGTGGAGATTTTGCGATTATGATTTCATGTTTGCATTTGAAATTGTTGAAATGGTCCATCACGGTTTTCATCTGCAAATTTCGTCCTGGTCTCGAATCAAGACTCGAGACGAAATCGCTGAGAAGCTCGTAGTTTCCGTATTTCATCAAGAAATCGTTTTTGACTCGTCCCCGAATTCCGCGCTTTTCGAAATTGATCTCCTTTTCCAAAATTTGAAATTGTCCAATCGCCTTTTTGATATCATCCTTTTTCACAATTTCTCGTAAAATTTCCAATGTTCTTGCTGGATTCTTCAGATGAGCTGGCCAAATGCGCTTGATGAGATCATCCGTGACATTGGCAAACATCATTGTTCGCTGCACTTCTTTTCGCAAACTGGAGGTGACGAACATTCGGATGAAATAGGGGTTGAAACTCTGTAAAAAAACAAAATCTATATCTTTGCATGATTTTTGAAAAAGTTCGGACGATGGATTTTCTACAAGTAGTATGATTCTTCAGGTTCTATTCAAAATTGTATTAATTTATTTTTTTGGGTTACTGTATATTAGGAGTATAGAACTGCTACACCTCATACAACAGCTGACGCCTGTCACCACCACCACTGATAGGTGTGATTAATTACCCCCCTCGGGGTGCCCCTAGGTGTGAAAATGAAAATGACGTAATTTGATGACATGAATCACTTAAAAAAAAAAAAAAGAAAATGTATTTGACAAAAAATATAAGTCGCGAATTTTTTGAGACGTCGAATTTTCAGATGTCGCGCCATTTAAAACCAAACGGTCTGATAAAAAACCATCGTCCACGTCGTGCCACTACACAATTTCGAGGAGACGCAGACAAACATTTTCGGTTAGAAAGTCGCTGCGAGACCTCAACGCATCTCAAAGGGCGAGGCCTCAAAGGGCGATGCCGATGGGGTCTAAAAATGCAGTGCCCGACAAAAAAAGCGGGAGGCCAAGCGAGAGATGCCTCTATCTGTGTTAAATGTCTGGTTTTCCCAGAAATTTAATTTTTGTATTACATAAAAGAAGTTATGTGGGGAGTCATGATGCTCTAGTTGTAATGTGAGCTGATTCCACGTTTTGCAAGCAAACGTGTATTTGAAGCTTGCAATAAGAGCCTTTGATGCCCCTACGCTATTCAAATCAGCCCACCACCAGATTTGCTCAACCATCACTGGTGTATATCAGCCCCCCCCCCCCACTAATGTTTTATGGAGCCCGCACCACTTCAAAAATTATAAACTTTTAAATATTTCGAACACTTCAAAGAAAACTCACCCCAATGAATTTTCCGCTTTTGCCTCTCTCCACTTTGCAGAACCCAGTTGCTCCTGCGATAACATTTGTGCAAACATTCGAATTGTTTTCATCTGTAAAAATATTTTATGTATCTAAAATTTTCCGAATTTTCTGGTTTTTCACAGAAAATGTTGTTTTCCAGAAAAGGGGTCATCTAAGGTTGAGATCAGCCCTGCCCCAGAAAGAGTGGAGGGGACTCATCTACTACAGTAGCACCCAAAAACTCACAAATATTTTCTGTCATTTGTTATTTTCTAATAAAGGATAAATAAACTGATTGGGGGAAATCGGTCTTTTTTTCCGAAATGAGTGACACGTTTCACGTTTCACGTGAAAGCGCGCAATCACAAATTTTGTTTTTTTTCGCTCGTGGGTTTGTGGATATCAATGCAACACATTTCCTTTTTAGAATTCGGTATTGTCAAAGGAACATTAGGTGTAAACATTCATTTGGTCTCGACAAGAAAGAAAATGCGCTTCAGCGAACAAAGGCGCAATTATTAATTTCGAAAATTTTCATTTTTCATTTTTCTGTTTTTGTCTTTTTCGCTTTCATTTTTCATTTGAAAACTTTCCTGTTAGTCAGTTCATTTTTCAGCACAAAAATGATTTATTTATCCAGTCTGACAAGAAAAGACTGTGTGGACATTGAACATCACGGAAATCCAGAAACATGCTTTTTGAATCAGCACGCGTTTGTGAGTTTTTGTGTATAATATCGAAAAATATAGAATTTTATCAATGATTTCAGATGATTCCGTATAATTCCCTCGACTCATATTCGCTTGCATTGTGCATTGACAAAAATGAGAGGCAGAGAAGTTCGGCGATTTCAAAAGTATCGATTTCGGAGAAACAACGAAATGTCAATGTTTTTTATGAAAAGTTAACAGAGGAACAGCTTGGATATAGTGTTGATGAACATATTGAGGAAATTCGGCGGAATTTTTTCGGAGATCAAATCGGTGTCACATTTCAAGGATTCACTTATGATTCGATAGTTGATCCAACTCCTAATTCGACTATCTGTGTTTATGAAAGTGTGCATAAAATGCTGAATCGATTTTATGAGGAGATTCGACGTTCGGAACTAGTTAACAATATGGTAGAACGTTTTTTATCAACAGTTCCAAATTTATGTTTCGATGCGGATTTGGAAGGATTCAAACAAGATAAAGAATCGATAATGAGTTATATTCGTTGTTTTCAAAAGATTCGTCTCATTATCAACGATCAAATGGAAAAGTTTTCGGATGGATTTGATATGAATTTGGCTGAAACTTGTTCCAATTTATGCAATATTTTTCTGCCGTTTTTTGAACGAATTGTATTAGAAAGCCATTTGGTAAATAAATACATAATATTGAAAATTAAGATTGAAAATACAACAATCTAATGAAAACATTATTTCAGCTATCTCGAAAATCTTCCACGATGAGTGATATTTTCGTTGTTATCAAGAATTTGGAAAGGGATTTACCAGCATCGGATAATGGCTTTGATTTCGAAGAGATTTTTCACAGATGTTTTCAAGATGTTTATGAAAAAATGGATTATAAGTTTGCAATCTTTTTGGATCCAAGATATGCCTATAAAAAGCAGTATATGTCGAATGTGGAATGGGCGGAAGTTGCGAACAAATTAGTGGAAATGAGAGTTCCACACAAAAAAGAAATTTTTCGAAAAGAGATTGTGGAATATAAGCAACTCGTGGCTCTTCATCCCAATATTTCGAATTTAGAAGAAACAATTGACTTCTGGCACGAATTTGGAAGACGATTACAAAATATTCGTCACATTGCACAATGCTTTTCATCGATTTTCCCGCAATATGTTCATGAAATTCCAGCTCGAAATATTGTAAAATGTAGAGGAGAAGCTGAAACAGTTTTGCAAACTGATTATTTCCAGTAAGTTTCCAGTATAAAAATCATACTAAGAAGGTGCCGAAATTTTGATATTGAGAATTAGAATTTTTCAGAGGCGCTGGTTTCGAAAAACATGTTTATATTTCGAAAGAAACGTATTCAGCATTTGCCAAAGGATTCTTCTCTGACATCGAAACCGCGAGAGAAATCGAAAAATGTATTTTTAATATTATGTATGCGAGTTACTGCGACCGTCTTCCACCACATTTGAAACAAAGTCATGCTTATAATATGTGTTATCCAGCAACCAATCAACCATTTTCGATTTGGAGAAATCAATCGAATTCGAATGTTTTGCAAACTGTTGTTCCTACTCCACAGTGAGTTTTTTATTTTTGAAAATTGGGAAAAAATTGAATTCCGAATCATTTTCAGGAAATCGAATGTAGCAAGTCAGTCAAAGAATAAAGGACAAACAGTTGCTGTGAAAGAAATCGAAATGATTAAAATCGAAACGAGTTCAGAAGATGAAAATAGCGATGACGAAAAAGCGAAAGAAGAAGAATATCAGAGAAGATCGAAGGAAATCAGGGAAACTGGTATGAAAAAGTGAGTTTTTTCCACAATGTTATTTTTAAGAGTTCAACTTTTTATATAAGTTCGAATTCAAAAAAAAAACAGTTTTTTCCTATTTTCTCCACAGAAAAATAATAGATATGCTGCAATACGAATATTTTGATAGAAAAATAAAATAATAAAAAGATTAGGAATATGATGAATTTTGGAATAGAGAAAGAGAGAAAAAAAAGGAAAAGAGAAGAATACTAAATATAGTTTTCTGACACCGAATAGTACCATTTTATCGAGAAAAAAACTCTATTGAAAATTTGAAATTTTCAAATACATAGCTTGTCAAAAATTTAGTCTATGTTGAAAAGATCTTTGAAAAATTCGAAATGGATACATTTTATGCTGAATTTCCAATTTTCAGAAATCGATTCCACAACGCTGCAAACCTCACCCAAGAACCTGGAGTAGTGGGTAAAAATTGCCCACCTGGGTTTATTTTCGAAAATTGCCCACCTACTAAAAAAAATTTGCCCAGCTAAGGCTCGCCTTGAAGACCCTAAAAAATTTGCCCAGCTAAGGCTCGCCTTGAAGACCCTAAAAAAATTTGCCCAGCTAAGGCTCGCCTTGAGGACCCTTAAAAAAAATTTGCCCAGCTAAGGCTCACCTTGAAGACCCTTAAAAAAATTTGCCCAGCTAAGGCTCGCCTTGAAGACCCTTTAAAAAATTTGCCCAGCTAAGGCTCGCCTTGAAGACCCTAAAAAAATTTGCCCAGCTAAGGCTCGCCTTGAAGACCCTAAAAAAATTTGCCCAGCTAAGGCTCGCCTTGAGGACCCTTAAAAAAAATTTGCCCAGCTAAGGCTCACCTTGAAGACCCTTAAAAAAATTTGCCCAGCTAAGGCTCGCCTTGAAGACCCTTTAAAAAATTTGCCCAGCTAAGGCTCGCCTTGAAGACCCTAAAAAAATTTGCCCAGCTAAGGCTCGCCTTGAAGACCCTAAAAAAATTTGCCCAGCTAAGGCTCGCCTTGAAGACCCTTAAAAAAATTTGCCCAGCTAAGGCTCGCCTTGAAGACCCTAAAAAAATTTGCCCAGCTAAGGCTCGCCTTGAAGACCCTTAAAAAAATTTGCCCGCTTGAGGCTCGCCTTAGAGACACTAAAAAAAAAACTTTGCCCACCTAGGGCTCACCCTAAAGACCCTAAAATTTTTTGCCCACCTAGATTTTTCGAAAAAAAATTGCCCACCTGGAATTCCAGGTATTGGGTGAGGTTTGACAACGCTGCTCAAATCAACGATCCGAGGAAAATCAATCGAGTTGCATCGGATCAAAAAGAAAATAATGAAGAAGAAACTGAAGAAGTTCAACGAACAAAAGAAATAAAGAAATTTACAAAGTAAGTTCCGTCCAATCGATTTTTTAAATTTTTTATAAAAATTATTTTTCCAGAAGAAAAGCATGTGATCTGACAAATGTTCGTCGATCTACTCGACCAAAAAAACCAAAGAGATTCGAATAATAATAATAATAATAACCTTGTGAAATAAATATGCTCAATAGTTATTTGTAAAATTATTGTATTTGACCCCACTCCCTTTTTTTCGCACAATTTTTCATTTTTTTTAAAAAATAAATCTAGAATAACGATATTTTTTTTTGATCTACAGTATCCAAACTGCAAATTCACTAACATTTTTCCTCTAAAAATCGATAATTTATTGATTCACCTCCAAAAAGTGTTGTTTCAATCAAAAAAAAAAAATATAAAAAAGAGAATTTTTTGCGCAAAAAAAACAAGAAATGAAAAAAACCGTGGATTAATAAGTTATATACGAAAAAATATATAGGACACAAAAAAATGGGGGAAAAATGGAAGGAATTTGTAATAGGACAAGAAAAAAGTAGAGAAAAATGAAATGAAAAAGAGAAAAAATAAAACCCGGAAATAAAACGAGGATGATTTTGGGGGGAGAAAATATATCAAGTTCAGGTCGAAAATTTTGAATTAGAGCTCAAAAACAAGTCAAAATTTCGAAAAATTCTTCATTTTTTGGCGCCGCGAATCGCCTCAAAAAATTGTTTTTGTTGAGTGGCTGATAATTGTTGAATCATTCGATTCATTTGTGGATTCATCATACTTGCGGCAGCTGCTGCATTTCCAGATGAACCAGCCATTAAAGCGGCTGAAAATTGAGATAAATTGAATTTTTTATTGAAAAAATGGGATTTTCGGAGATTTTTAGGTTTAGAAAATAAGATTCAGATGATTTTTGAGAATTTCACAAGAAATTTTGATATCAAAAATCAAAATCTCGAGGATTTTTAGCCTTAGAAATATGAATTTTTGTAAAAATTTCGAGAATGTTTCAATTTAAAATTATTTTTTTTTAATTTCATTAGACACTTTCAGATTTCAAGGATTTTCAGGATTAGAAAAAAAAATTTAAATAAAACTATAAAAAAATATTTATCAAAAAATTTCAGGGAATTTTCATTTGTAACAATTTTCAGGCTCACAAATTTGAAACTTCCTGTTATTTTTCCAACTTTTTAGCATTAAAAGCGCTATTTTTTCAGTAAATTTTCTACCAAAACACAAAAAACCTACCAATTGCTGCCATTTGTTGTTGTGCAGCATTTACAGCGGCTGCCGATGAACTCGAGTTATTTTGTTGAGCCTGTTGCTGTTGCTGCTGCTGAAAATCGATAATTTTTTTAAAAAATTGGTAAATTTTAGTTTTCAAAATTATTCAAAACTCATGAATTTGAGCTCAAATATTCAGTCAAAAAATCTCAAATCTCACCTGTTGCTGTTGTTGTTGTGCCATATAACTCATCATTTGTGCCATATTTGGAATATTTGGTATATTTACACCACTTCGAGCTGCTTGTTGTACTTGAGCTGACATTAGAGCCGACATTTGCATCTGCAAAAAAATTGATTTTTCTTCTCTTGGAATGTTTTCTAGGTTACGAGATTTGAAAAATCGTAAAAAAAATAACTTTTTACTAATAAATATGCTAATTTTCGGGACAAAAACAAGCTCTAAATCGTGGAATTTTAAGCCCAAAAAGCTACAAAATTCTTACCATTTGCTGCATCATTCCACCATTTCTCATCATTCCAGCCGCCATCGGACTATTCATAAATTGTTGTAATAGTGCATTCTGCATTTGTTGTGCACTATTTGCCGCCGAACTCGCCGAACTCTTCTTACTAGATCCACTTAATTTCGCAGAAGAACTTGATGTATGATTCGAAGTGGAAGGTGCAGCTGGAGTCGATGATCCTTTGGGTGTAGATGTTCCACTTCCATTTGATCCCACCGCAATTCTCGAAATCGCAGATTGTGTTGCACTTGTTGATGCAACTGGTGTTCCACTATTATTTCTCGCTTGATTCTGTTGTTGTTGAATTTGTTGCTCGAAAACTTGTTCCAAAGTGCCTTCGGCAATCTTTTTCTCAAATTCTTTTTCTTGCGTCGTGATTTTTTGATATGCTTTTTTGAGGAATGTTGAATGATCTTGACGAATTTTGCGTTTTTGTGCTGTTTTCACGCATTGTTCGCAATACAAATGAAGATCTTCTCCAGGTTGTCCGATCGCTTTCCAGGATGGCGTGAAATCGGTGTGACATTCTTCACATTCATATGGTTTTTCGGTGCATTTTCTGGAAAATATGGATGGTTTTGCTAGTTTTTGTAAAGTTAAAAAAACGTTTTTGTCGCGAAAAAATCCACGTGGCAAACTTTTGTCGAAAAAAACAGATTTTGTAAAATTGAAGAAGATTTTTTGACGCGAAAAAAAGATTCCACGTGGCAAAAATCAATTTTTTGCATCGAAATCTCGTCAAAATTATGCTGAAAATTTTCCAGTTCAATTTGGGACTCAAAAAAGCTAGGAAACTTCATGAAATTTTGAATTTTCTGAATCTGAAAATTGCCACGTAGAAAATTTCAGCTAAATTCACCCGGTATCAAAATGTTCCGAAAAATTCAATGTTAAAAAAAAATTTCTATGAAATTAATGGGTTGTTTATAGCAAAGCAAAATTTAGATTTTCAACGAATTAGAATTTTTTTATAAAATAAAAAACTCACCGATCAACAGCTTTATCTTTCAATACTTTCGATACCACCAAATCCAATCCCAACAAATATGTAAAAGCAGGTTGTGATGGATTTGGAATAAAAAACATATCAGGTGGTGGAGCTTTTGGTGCAGACACCATCATAAGTTGTTTATCAGCTTGTGCACGGAATGCCATTCTCGCCGCAAGACTTCGTTGTTGCGGTGTTTGTGATGCCATCAATTTAGCTTGTGCTTGCGACAAAGTTGCGGCTGCCGAATTCGCAGAACTCGTTGCTGCGGTGACTTGCGACGTCGCCTGCGTCGTCGCCACTCCATTTTGATGTTGTTTCGATTTCTCTTCGGCTTTTGTCATTTGTTGTTGAGCATTGAGTATTAATTGCGTCAGCATTTGTTGGATTTGCGCTGAATTTCCAGTTTTCTTTGATTGCAGCAATGCTTGTTGAGCTGCTGTGGAACTTTGTGCGAGACGTGCGAGAAGTTCGGATTGTTGTTGTGGAGTCATTCCGGCTAAAGCAAGAAGAGCTGCATTCTTTTGTGGTTGATTGATGGAAGCTGGAAAATGAAGAGTTTTGAGAGGGATAAGATTTTTTGAGAAAAAAAAAATGAAAATTTTATCGATTTTTTCAATTAAAAATTTGTGTATAGGTCAAAAATCCTGAATTTTTCAACAAAACTTCAAATTTCCAAGGAATTTTTGAGGAGAATTCGTTTTTCATAGTCGAAAACCGTTTTTTTTCAAAAAAAAAAACAAAATATTTATTAATTTTTGAATTCAAATTTTATATGTATAAAGGTTTTGAAATTCCACGTCATAGGTTCATGAATTTTAAATTTCTGAATTTTTTTCTGGATAAAAATCCACGTGGCAAATGACGAAAAATTTTATTTTTTATTGTTAGAGCCGAAAAATTCTGATTTTCAGATTATCTTAGATGAAGAATTCAAGATTTTTAAATACTTTAAGCTCTAAAACTCACCTTTACCATTAGTAGCAGCGGCATTTCCATTTTTTCCCAAAGGCGGTGCAAATATCGGTTTATAAGCTCCTCCTCCATTTCCATTTCCCAAACTATTCGGCAAACCAGCTGTCATTTTCTTGGCTTCCGCCAATTTTTGAATAGCACACGTTTGACTCTGTCGCATTCTCTTCAACAATGCCAATTTCGATTCCTCTTTCCGCAGTTGCGATTCCGCTTCTTTCCGCATCATTGTCCGCTCATTCAGCAGTTCTTGCGTCATTTCGCGACTCAACATTTTTTCGTGATGCGCATGAATAACAGCCATTTCAGATGAGTGAATTGAGGAGTTCTCACTTTCATCGGTCATCGCATAAACATCACCATCTTCATCAGTTCGAAGACCAAATCGGAAACAAAATTGATCCAAATCTTTTCCATCTTCTAGTCTTTTCTTTTTCTCTGGAGGTCCTTCTAGAGGATCATCTAAATTCTTGCCAGAATGTTTTTCTTCTTGTTCTAAATCATCTTCACCTCCTTCAGCTTGTTGTGGTTGAACTATATCATCTTTCAGTTTAATCTTCTCTTGCGCCTTTAAAGCACTCGCTCTTGTGCTTCTTCTGCGCAATGAAGCAGCTTCTTCATCTTCCTCTAACATATCAATATCATTATGATTCAAATTCAGATTCAAATTTGAAGAAGATGCGCCGTTTTCAACTGATTCTTCTGGATTTCCAGCTCCAGATCCATTTGATGTGGAAGAATTTGATAATTGAGTTAGATTTGCCGGTTGTTGAACTTGTGCCATTTTTTGTTGTTGTGATATGATTTATCAATTATTGGGCATTTAATGAATGATGTTCTCTGCAAACAAATATCGAGTTAGAAATGATGATTTTTTTAGGAAAAGAGAAAGAAAAAGAGAAATGTCACGGAATAATTAATTGAACACGTGGAATTTTTGAATTATTGATTTTTCACAAGGCTTGGATTTTTTGGCGGGAGGAAATTTGGGTTCGAAAACCGGGATTTTCATATTTTTTCTCGAATTCAAAGTGATGAACTTTTTTGTTGAAATTTGAATTTGCACGAAAATTTCAGATTTTCAGAATTATTTAGTTGGAAACCCATTTCATGGAGAAATCTGAATTTTCAGCTTTTCAGAAGAATTTCAGATTTTGGATGAAAAAAAAATCAGGATTCAAATTTCAGCTGGAAATCCGAGTTTTTCTGAAAACTATTTTGAGCCTCAAACCAATTAAAAGTTTTCTTGGAAAATCTGATTTTCAGAACACTTTATTTGTGAAATCTGAAAAATCAGGGTTTCAGATTTTTCAGAGTACCACGAAAATGTGGGAATGCTGATTTTTCACGAAATCGTTTCCTAGAAAAATTCTGCACGCGCTACTACTAAATTATTGATTTTCACTCAATTATCATCAAGTACCTCAGGAATTTTCAGATTTCCGAAAAAATCTGGAAATCTCTGAAATTCTTCGAAAACTTTCAGGAAACCTAAAAATTTCAATGAAATCCTTGAAAACCCCAATAAAACCGCCAGCATATTCCAGAAAAAGAGAAAAATGGAATTCACAAATCAAAAAAAAAAGATGCCGAACGCATGCGAGATAGTGAGAGACATAGAGAAAGTCGGGTTTTAGGGGTGAATGAGAGAGTGTGACGAGGTGTGGAGAGTGGAGAGAGAAATGAGCAAACAGGCGTCCTTGTCATCAGGGCAGCTTTGTTGCGCACATCACACCATCCCTCCCTCCGTATAATAATAAAAATATAACCTTTATTTGGGCCTTGCTTTCTTTCTTTGCCTGCCTCCGTGAGAAGAGCGAAAATCGTTTTAAAACACAATTTTTGTTGGAAAAATGAGAGGGCAGATGATTTTTTGGAGAAATTTATTGGTTTCATTAAATTGGGGATGGTTTTCTATTCTTTTCAAATTAAAAACCCCTTGTTTTTAAAGCTGAAAAAAGTGGGAAAAATGAAAAATTTTCAAAAAAAAAAGCGCCGGCCTAGAAAACTCACGTTTTTTCTAGGCCACATGAGCTTGTGCGCTCTAACGTGAACTGAACAATTTTGAAATTTTCATTTTTTTTCCACCGGGTTTTCACCATTTCTGCGGGTGTTGCTGTGTTAGAAGGTGTTTTTTTAGTTTTGAAAAATTGGCGAGGTCAAAATTAATCAGCTGGAATTTAGGAGGTTTCATAGAAATTTGAAAATTAGAGAGAAAAAGAGATTTCAGGGAGTTTCAGGATTTTTCGAGTTTTTAAGTGAATAAAATCAGTTTTTAACCTGAAAATCAGTCATTTTAATTGAGAAAATGTGTAGACTTAGGAAATTGTAGTTTTTCTATTTTTGTGGAAAATCTAAACACCTTATCAAAAATTCAATGTTTCCATGAAAAATCTGAAAATTTGACTTCAAAATCTTGTATTTTCAGAAACTGCAGAAATGATTGGGATTTAGGAAGAAATTCACAGAACTTTTAATTGTGAGCTGAAATTGCAGAAAAGCCCAGAATTTGAGCTGAAAATCAAGCTGAAAGTTTTCATCTGAAAATGGTGCCCTAAATAATTGCAAAACTTTTTTCTGCATTTTCCCGAGACAAATATTGATTTTCCGTCCTCCTCTCCTCATTTTTCTTTTCAACCAAAAAACTGAAATCTCAAAAATAAAAAAATTAAATTTCAGATTTCCCCAGGAAATCTGAAATTTTTTGAAAAAATGGCTTCAGAGAAGAAAAATTGACAATAAAGTTGAGATTTTGGAGAATGTTGTTATCGAGTTTTTCTCAAAATGAGAAAAAAATTAAATGAGACGACGAAAAAGTGTGTGTAACCCGCAAAAATAATACAAACATACATAAAGAAAAGCGTGTGCGAGGAGAAGAAGAAAAGAAGAAGAAAAAAGACGGGGTGGACACAAAACCACTAGGCCAGGACACATAAGTCAATCGATTATTTTCTTGTTTTTTCCACACACACACAAACACTAAAATTTCGCTTCATCATCACCGAAAAACTCGAATTTCTCACGGAAAAACCAAAAATTTTGACCCAGAAATCATCAAACTAACTTTTTCCAAGAATTTCAAAATTATAAAAAAAACAAGCAGAATATCATATTACGTATTGATTTTTCAGCAGTTATTTATAACATTATAAAATTTTATATTATATGGGAAAAACAGAGAAAGTGAGGAGATGGAGATGGGGGGACAAAGTTCTTTTTCTCCCCGAAAAAATATAGAAATTGGGAAAATAAGTAGACCACGCCCATAAAATTGCACCTTGGAGAATTCTGTGGAGTTCGCAAGGCACAGTTTTGTGGGCGTGGTTTATTTTTCGAAAAATCACAGTAGGCCACGCCCACAACACCATGCCTTTAAATATTCAAGTTTCGCAGAAAATTTCAGAAGAAATTAATTTAAGCTGAAATTCCCTGAAAATCTTGGGATTCTCCAGGCATAGTTTTGTGGGCGTGGTCTATTTGGAAAATCTGAGAAAATCTGTTTGCAAATAAGCCACGCCCAATAGACTGTGCCTAGAAAAATTCAAGGTTCCCAGAAAGTTTCAGCTGTAATTTTCTTGAAATCTTTTAATTTTTCAAGACACAATTTTGTGGACGTGGCTTAAAAGTGAAGTTGGGGAAAATTCATGTTTTACAAAAAATCTCCGCCTACAATACTGTGCCTTGAAATATCAAGTTTCAGCTGATGGAACTTTGAATTTTTCAAGACACAGTTTTATAGGTGGGGCTTATTTTCAAGGTATAAGAAAGCTAAGCTCCGCCCACAAGACTGTCTCGGAAAAGTCAAAAATACCAAGACACGTTTTTGTGGGCGTGGTCTACTTGCAAACCTGCGGCACGAACTTTTTCCCCTCCAAAAAATGTCGAAAAAAGTGTGTGTTTTTTCAATTTACTCTGGAAGAAACACCAAAAAATCAATGCTCTCTCTCAAATTCTGTCGTCTCTGTTTTTTTTCTTCTTGCGCGCATATATAAAAATATATGGATGTATACTCCTTTTTTGTGCTGCGGCCCCCCAATTTTCCCTCCTTTTTTTCATCTGAAAAAAAGTGGAAAAATTAGAGATTAGGAAAAAAAAGTTTTTTGCTGGCATGCGAAATTGAACTTACGACTTTTTTCTTGGAAATTTTTGGATTTTTAGAGAAAAAGGTCTCAAGTTCGATTCCCGATGCCTGCGGAAAATTTAAATTCTGAAGAAATTGGGACTCACATTTGAAAACAAAAAGCAATGACGTGGCAAAAGTTAGTGTAAATTTTTGAATTTTAGATTTGGAAAGCGAAACGTTTCTGAACAATTTTATTTTTAGAAATGAAAATTAAAATGAAAAGAAGGCTCACGTCATTTCATTTCAAAAAAAATGAAAAAAATTATTTTTAGCTCAATTTTTTTGAGAGAAATTTGAGTTTCGAACAATTTTGACACCAAAAATCAAGATGAATTTTTTTCCACTTTGATTTTTAGCACCAGTTCTGTAGTCTTGAAAAATTTAAATAAAATCAATCTAAAAATTTCTCTTTTTAGCTACAAACTTAATGAAGTTAGGATAAAAACAATGTATAAAAAACCTTCTAGGCACCAAAATTCTGAAAAATTCAAAATTTTCCACGTGGATTCTGAAATACTAAATTTCATGTGGAATATCAACAATTTGCCGAAAAAGTTTCGAAAATTTTTGGAACCAAAATCTTTCAAAAAATAAAAGTTCTGTTCGAAGTTATGCTAAATCACAAAAAATCTCCAAATCATAGCCAAAATCCTAGGCAAAAATGGGTGCGAGAAAAGTTTTCACTTTTCTTTTTTTCGGGCTGTCCTCCGCCCCAAAAAAGCGACGCTCAAAAAAAACCGAATCGATAATTATTACATTATTTATTATACTACTTTTCCACACAAAAAAAACATTTTTCTTCTTTTTTTTTTGAAAGAAAAATTCAGGAGCGTTTTGAAAGAACAAAAAAATCTGAAATTAAAATTAATTCCAAGTTGGCTAAATTCAAAAACTGAATAACTAACTTTGTTAAGGTTTAAAAGAAGAAGAAAATTTTTCGAAATAAAATTTTGTGACACAACAAATAAAGAGAAAAGAGGGACATTCACACACAGAAAAAAATGGGAAGACAAAAAAAATTTAGGGGAAAATTGAGTGTTTTTGTGTGAGTTTGTGAGTTTTCCGTGAGTTTGAGCGAAATCAAAAATAATAATAATAATAACACTTTTCTTCTTCTTTTTTTGATTTATTCGCCAGTTTTTTGTTTATAAATATTTTGGGCAGCCAAAAAATATGGGGACCGGAAATTAGAAAAAAATAGGTTTTTTCTCGGAATCATTTGAGGTACTGTAGAGAGAGGTACTGTAGGTTTCAAAGGATCATAGCACAAAAAAGCAATAATAATTTTCTGAAGAAAAATTACAGTATACCTGAAAAATTGAATCTGGAAAACTGTAGGCTTTTTTAAAGGAACATTCTAAAATTTCAAAAAAATTTAGTAAATCAAAAAGGTTTCACCGTAGTACTGTAACTTTTATTAAAGGAACATGTGTGAAATTCAATTCTACAGTTATCCTCAGTAATTATTTTAGGTTTACTGTAAATGATTTCACCGTCACACGCATTCTTGAAATTTTCAGTACCAGGAAATTTTTGGAGTATTGTAGAGGTAGGTAAAGTAGAATAATAGTCTTCAGGAATACTATAGGTATTTTTCAAAGGGACAAAAGACTATGAAATATGCATACAAATAAAGTTCTTCTGGGTTACTGTAGATGCTTTAAAGGAACATAATAGAATTTCAGAATTTAAAAATGATTTTCAAATTTTCTTAGAATAACTGCAATTTTTTGAAAGGCGCGAGTTTTTGAGAAATCTACAGTACCCTAAAAATATAATTTTTTGGACTACTGTAGGCTTTTGGAAGGCACATGCCAGAGAACCTCGAAACTTGAACGAACTAAATTTTGCAAAAAAAAAATCACTGTTTCAAAACTTCTGTAAAATAAAAAAAAACTTTGTTGGATTTATTGATGCAGTTCCTCAAGTTTGTAAATTTTCAAAAAAAAAAGGAAATAATTTTGTCGCCAAACTCAAAAAAAGTGTGAAAAATCGGATTTTTCTTTTTTCGAGTCAAGAAATGTAATTATGTGAAAAAAGATGGAAGAATAAGACGAAAATGGGCGAAAAAGCATGAATTTTTGCGGTGAGTTGAGAAAATTTACATATAATTAATTTTGGAAAGACTTATGGAGTGGCTGAAAATTTTCTAAAAAATTTTAACAATAAGTAGAAATTTGATATCTGGAATTTCAGTGTTGAAAAAACACGTTGTCTGTTTGTTTATAAAAATTTACGAAGTACTGTAGAAAAGTTAAAGGAACATCATTTTCAGATCAGAACATATTAGGACTACTGTAGATCAATAAACTAATCATGAAGGAACATTAAGAAAAATGAATATACAGTAATCTGAAAGTACTGTAAATAGAAAATTTCATGAATTAACGTAGCAATATTTTTTAGATGATGAAAAAGTACAGTAATTTGAAAACAGAAAGTTTCAAGGAGCATGCAAGAAATAAAAAGTACAGTAATCGAAAACCTGAAGAAACTATTAGGTTAGCATAGGTAAAATGTAAAGGAAAATACCAAAATGAAGAGGATTACGGTAAGGATATTTAAAGGAAGATAAATTTTCATATGATGAAATGCTACAGTAATCAGAAATCTTGAAAAAGCTTATGGGGTGAGTCAATCGAATTAATCGACATAAAAAAGTGAGTCTTTTAGGGCGATTAATTTCACGTTTTTGTCAATTAATCGCATTTTTTTAGAAATGAATGCTATTAATTGACAAAAACGTGAGATTAATCGCCCTAAAAAGACTCATTTTTTTATGTCGATTAATTCGATTGACTCACCCCATTGCGGTGAGTAAATTGCAAAAGAATATTCCAAAAACGTGCAGGGATACTGTAGATTAATTCAAAGGTACATCCAAAAACGGGTCAAAACTACTGATTACTGTAAAAAAAATTTAATGGAGCATTCATAATAAATAAACAAGATTACGGTAGGAGTATTTAAAGAGACATGAAAGTTCAGAACAACAGGAACATACGTTGAATTTTTAAAGGGATATCCAAAAAAATCAAGAATCATGTATATTCGATAAATTTAAAGGTACGTGAATTTTCAGATGTTGAAAACATACAGTAATCCACAAAGCGGTCGAAACCTCTGGTTATTGTAGAAAAATTTAAGGGCACGTTAGGAACCACAGTTACACACGTTGAATGTTTAAAGGAACATTCCAAAATATGCAGAGTTACTGTAATTAAGTTCAAAGAGACATGCAAATTCAGAACTACAATACTAGACATTTTTAAAGGGATACCCCGTTAAATAACCCTGGTACTGTAGAAACTCACCGAAAAATTCCAGACTCACGTCAGCTTCTCCAAAAATTTCAGATTTCCTAAATAAAATAAATTATTTTTTTAATTTTTTTTTGAGAAGAAAGAAAATTGGTGTTTTAGGAGGAGAAACATAAAATGAATTGGCAATGTGAAATATAAAATAAAATAAAATAACTAAATTTATTGATCGAAGATACTTTGGAACAAAAAAAAGGCGAACGAGAGGCGAGAGAGTGTGGAAACCGAAGAGGGTGGGCGAGAGAAAAATGCGGCAAAAAAAAATAATGAAGAGTCGCAAAAAAAACGAAAAGGAGGAGGTTTTTGGGCGACAAGGACACAGCACACGCAATCAAATATTACTATTATTTGGAAAAAACTTGGATTTTGTGGAACTGTAGAATTATGTATTATTTTAGGGAACAATTTTTGAAAAATTTTAAAAATTTCAAATCTGAAGTTTTCATGTTAAATATAAAAAATTTTAAAACCCATCCCACCAATTCAAAAAAAAATAGAAAAAAATAAACCGCGCGTACTACGCTTCAATAAAATGAAAAATTATTTGAAATTTTGGACTGCAAAAGAATCATAGTAACTTTCTGAAGATAAACTACAGTAACTCAAAGTGGAAAACTCTACAGTAACCAAACTGCAACAAAACAAAACTTCTGTCGCCAAAAATTCCTCAAAAAAAATACTAATAACATTTTTTCATCAAGTTGAGCAAAAAATAAAAAATGTTGAAAAAAAAAACAAAAAAAATCGTTATTTGTTTGTTTGTTTTTCAGCTGAAAATGAAAAAGAAAAACAAGATTTTTTATTTCAAAAAAATTTAAAAATTTAAAACGTGGCAATTTTGGCACCAAATCTTTCCCGGAAAAATGCATTTCGGATTATTGTTTTCCTAAATCTCCACTAATTTTATCAGAAAAACAAATTTCGAAAAAATTATTCTAGAATTTTTGAAACGTAAAAAATTGAGGTTTTTTCATTTGACAATTTTATGCAATTTTCAGCGTTAAAATTGTGATTCTAACACGTGGAATTTTTTCCAAAAAATTTTTTATTTATTAAAAAAACCAACAAAAATGAAAATAACTTTGGAAATAGCGAGAGGGATTAAATAATTTGTTCTCAAAAAACAATAAATTAGTTAGTGAATAAATTAGGATAAATTAAAAATTAATACTTAGAAACTAGGCAAATACTGAATGGGACCATTTTAAAACGGACCACTACTAATTTTAGATGGAGTGATCCAATCAAAATAAAAAGATGCGGAGGCTGTTTTGTGTGGTCATATTCAGTATTTGTCTAAAATAAAAAAAATTAAAACTTAAAGAAAAGTTGGTCAAAATATACAGAAAAATCTGGGTTTAGAAGACGTGGGAATTGGCGCTTCTTTCTTTCTCTCTTTCTCTCTCTCTTACTCCATTCCAGTTCCTCTCAAATTATCACTAACAACAATATCAATCACCGCCTCAATCACAATATTCACTTGATTTGTATCAGTTGCACATGTGGCATGTGTATAAATTCTTTTGGTTCGATGATTTGTATTCAATTTTTCGAATTCTTTCGTCAAAAATTCGATGCATTGTCCGAGTTCGTCTTGTCCCGCATAATTTTTGAACAAAGTTCGAATTGAAGTGTGCTGGATTTTTTTTTCGAACAAATCTTTTTTGTTCAAAAATAGGATGGTCGAAGTTTTGTGGAAGAATCGACTATTGCAAAGTTTGTCGAAAAGAGCAAATGATTCTTCCATTCGATTTGATCTTTGATCTTCGTTTAGTTGTTGATCGTATTCATTGATTGCACAAATGTAGATCAATGCATTGACATTGTCGAATTGATGAATCCATTTACGACGTTCTGAGCGTTGACCACCGACGTCAATTACACTGGAAAAAGAAGGACATTCGGTAAGGTTTTAGATTTTTAGAAAATCATCTAGAACTATTTAGAAATGGTAAATTTTGTCAAGAGAAACCTCCTATAATTTCTGAAGAGATGAGTTGGAATTGAGACTTCCAAATTTATTCAGAACTTGAAAGCCTAAGATTTTTCTGAAAGACATGTGCATTCTAGTCTCTCGGTGAACTTTAAAATTTTCTTTCAAGTTCATTCTAAACATTTATACATGTTTTATGATTTTGTAAACATATTCTAAGAGCTTGTGTAGATTTGATTAGAACTCTCAATTTTGGTGATCGGGATCTTTTATATTTCGTATTATATAAACATTGAAACAATTTTTCCCGAATCCTGTCAGATTTTCAAATATTTTTAAAACGTATTTTTCACTGTTCCAAATTTCTTTTGATAAATAAATGTACAATATGTTTTTTTGAATCACTTGTTTTTTCATTCTAATTTGTTTTCATTTATTTAATGAGGAAAAACATACAAAACTTATTGTTAATAATTTCCAATTAAGTCTCACCTGAAAATAGTTCCCTTGACATCAAAGTCGAACTTTACCACTCCAGTTGTCGCGATTCGAACTTTCAAAATGTCTTCAACGCTTGGCACGAATGAATCATCATAAATTTTTTCCAATTTCCACAAAAAGCTGAAAATTGAATTGATGATTATTAATCATGACAACACTTTCTGCTGAGAAAAATTAGCATACGAATCACGAGGAACTTAAATACAGAATGTGAACTATTTTCTGTCAAATTTTAAGCAAATCCCCTCGATCTCACGACCATTTACTCCAATAGAAAATTGCCCCTCGGGTCAGACAAGAGACGACGGGAGTCTGATGACGTCATCTGAGACAGAGAAAGACATCGCTTCGAGATATTTTTGAAAAAATATGTGTCCCTTTGAAAAAATACCGTATTTTGTTTCAAGGAACACATGTTTTATTGAAAATATCTCGAAGCGAAATTCATTCTCGAGATATTTTTGCAAAATACTCTCGTCGTCTCGCGTCTGACTCAACGGGCGCCTTGTATGGTCGTGATCTCCCAAACTCACTAAACAAGATGTTCAGTATGTGGATATGTATTGCATTCTTGAATCAACATGATAATTTTCTGTTCTTCTCTCAATCTTAGCAATGCTTCAAAAGTGACTTGTCCAAACTTCTCTCTCATCTTACAATTTTCGGATAATCGAATAATATGTTGAATATCGTCTTCGGTTTCTTTGCTCACAGAAATGTAGAAATATTTGTCGCGAGCCCGTAGGATTTGTGCCATTCCGGAGACTATGTTACTACAGATTGCTGGTACCATAGCTTGACGTTCGGATACTGTGTAGCCATTTGAATGAAGAATTCTGGAATGGATATGCTCTCGTGATAATCGATGGGGTTTTCGAAGAAGTTTGAATCTTAGATTTTTTTTGGATTTCAGTTCTTTCCGGATTTTGTTTCAAAATTTTTCTTGGTAGAGTTTTCAAATTCGTCCCATTGATAATTTTCTTTTTGATTTGTTTTTTTTTTGAATATCATATTTTCCCGGATTCATTTTCATGCTTTATTTCATGTGTGCTCTACTGCTAACCGTTCTTTTCTATGATTTATTCCAAATGCGCTCCACTGATAAAAATCTATTTCCAAGTGATTTTGGAGTTTCAGAAACCTCCGAGATAAGCTAAGATGCGCTCCATTGCAAACTCTCTATTATTTCTTCAATCTCCCCTCATTATTTTTTCCAAAAATAACTTTTTGTCCGCCGAAAGAGTCAAACTACAAATTTCATCTTTTTTTCCAGAAAAATCCGCAGACCTTTTTGACCGAAAATGTATTACAGTATCTGCGGCTACAAAAAACAACAACTACGTCAAGAGTTCAGCAAGTCAATTTTGGCTGCTTACCCGATTTGTTGGCTGAGTATCAAATAATTTTTGAAAGTGCTTTTCAAAAATCCCAAGTTGTCTATGACGTGGAAAAGCATGCACTTTTTGTCACGTCTAGTTGATATTATCTAATCAAGCAGAAAGCGGAAATTTCTCAAATCTAATTTAATTTTGATTGTTAATTAATCATGGCTAATTAAATAATTAACTAATTAACCGGGTGGTCAGAAAATTTCCGGAACATTTTGTGTTTTCACTCGAAAAAAGTAAAATTTTTCCATGCAAAAACAAAACTTGGTTGACGAAAACAATAGTAATAAAGTCATCATTTGATGAAATTGTCTGGAGATTTTTTTGTGGGCGAAAAAAGCAGAAAAAAAGATGATTTGCGTAATTGGACATGTGATCTGACAAAGATCACGGTTATTTTTAGATGTATTTTGTTGCAAAACATGGGGAATCTTCAGCGGAGTGAACACACTTGGAATTTTGAATTTTTTGGAAAAATGCTGGTCTCAATAGAGTGTAGTTGCTGTTCTGATGAACATGGTGAATTGTATTATTTTAATTTGAAATCATTAAACCATTTTAAACCTAATTTAGAAGTTAGAAAACATTAATGCAAGATTAATTAAGAATCTCAGTAGAGCACACTTTCCCCCACCGATTTTACCTCAATTGTTTCAAAATGGTCGACTTTCCGCATTCTCCAGTTCCCAACAGCAACATCTTCTGATTTCCCGACGCCTCATCCTTCTCATTTTTCAATTCCCGCTCAATCTGCGCATTTCTCCGATTCTGCTCTTTTTCTTCAGCACTCGCACACAACTGATTGCCCATTTCAGCCAAGAGAATCTGGAAAAATACTACATTTCGATATCAGATAAGTCTGGAAATCAGAAATTTCGAGAAAAATGAAACATTTTGATATAGAAAATGTCTGGATAAAATAATCAAAAATGGGAGGAAATGAGTGATACCTTCTAAAATGTGTCAAAAATTATTAATAATAATATTTTTGTGTCTCTGGGGGCGTGGCTCCTCGATTTTTTGCCGGCTCGTCGCTAAGCAACATTTAGCTCAAGTTTTTCGGCTAAATCGGGTAATTAGTAGTATCAGCGATAGCCAAATTTTATTTTCACATTTTTCCCGGGTTTTTGGAACCTCTGGGGAATTCCGGGAGAAGACGTCAGGACTTTTTTGAGAAATTGGAAGAGGGAACTACTGTAGCTTAAATTATTGACGTCAAGGGTTTTTTTTTTGAAAATTCCTCAATTCTGATGAATTTGGAATCTAGAAATTGTCACATCAGATACTATAATTCATAATCAGATACTATAATTCACATCAGATACTATAATTCATTTTTAATGACGGTTTGATTTTTCAGAAAATGCACTATCAAAAATTGTTATGAAAGTATAAACGTACCGTTCTTTCAACAGTAATCCCGAATCCAACAAATGTTGCAGATGAAACTTCCACAATTATACCATAATTATCACAAATTAGCGTCACAGAGAGTAATTTACTACCCGAAACATTTCACGCATTTTTTGTGATCTGACACGACGAAATCAATGCAAAAAGTGAGAGAGAATGTTAGAGAAAAATTAATTTTGATCTACCCCAAAATTTATCGAAAGATATGAGGTCTAGCGATTTGTGGTAGTAAATTACTGTGTACTTACTTGAATAACTCCAACAAGATTATCAACACTTGAGTTCAAAATATGAACAATTGTTGTATTTTTCAAGTTGTGATTAGTTTTATTTTATTTTATTAAAAAGGTAGGATTATTTTCACTTTAGCAAAAAAACAAACAACTGGGGAAAATCTGGCGATTAAAGTAATTCCGAGCTAAAATAAAAACGATTCAGATCCGAAAATTATTTCAAGGTTTTCAACAAATATACAGTAGTACTGTATTTTTTCTTTGTTGTATTTTTCTGTTGAAATTATTGATTTTTCTTCTGTAATTATATTTTTCTGTTCTTCTGTAATTTTCTAAAAAACTCCGTTTTTCTGATTTCTCAAACTTGAGAAATCTTTTTGAAAAAAATTTTGGATTTTTGTTTTGTTAGTCCTTTGATATCTCTTAAATATTTAATTTTTTTCAACTTCTCATATATTTGTATTTCATATTCAATCAGTTCCAATTGGAAGCTAGATAGTTTAAGTAAGTATATTCCCAGTGTCGAAATACAGTATTCCTTCTCCTTTTCTTTTTTCCTTCCCCTTTTCGGTGCATTTGTGCGTCGCCGTGTTGACACACAACAAGTAAGACGTGCATACAATGTGTGGTACGGTAGACTGCCAACGTTGCTGAAGACTTTCCATTTCAAAATCCGAACATTTTTTTGATTTTTGTGACGTGGATTTTGCAAATTACGTGTATTTTTTCAGCGCGACACTTGCAAAATGTCGTTGCTCATCAAATTTGAGTCGAAATCCGCGAGAGTGAAAGGTTTGTTTGATTTTTTGCAGCCAAATTGATTTTTCTTGTAAATATCACTGTTTTTCAAAAACAAGTGGTTATTTGAACATTCACTTTGATTTTCCAATTTTCCCGGGATGAAATATATCAAAAACCCTGTGTTTTCCTCAAAAAAATGGTTTTTTCCAGGAATTTCATTCCACCCGACTCGCCCATGGGTTCTAACATCTCTTCACAGCGGTGTTATTCAATTGTGGGATTATCGAATGTGTGTACTTCTCGAGAAGTTCGATGAGCATGACGGACCAGTTCGAGGAATCTGTTTCCATCAAGAACAACCGATTTTTGTCTCTGGTGGTGATGATTACAAGATCAAAGTGTGGAATTATAAGCAGAAACGATGCATTTTCACACTTTTAGGACATTTGGATTATATTCGAACAACATTTTTCCACAATAAATATCCATGGATTATATCAGCTTCTGATGATCAAACTGTTCGTATTTGGAATTGGCAATCACGAAATTCTATTGCTATTTTAACCGGACATAATCATTATGTAATGTGTGCACAATTTCACCCAACAGAAGATTTAGTCGCATCAGCTTCTTTGGATCAAACTGTTCGAATTTGGGATATTTCAGGATTGAGAAAGAAACAAATGCCAGGAGGAGGTGTTCCAACTCGACCATCTGGTCCACAACAAGCTGAACTATTTGGACAACCTGATGCTGTTGTGAAACATGTTCTTGAAGGACATGATCGTGGTGTGAATTGGGTTGCATTCCATCATCAAATGCCAATTCTTGTTTCTGGTTCTGATGATAGACAAGTTAAAATGTGGAGATATAATGAGACAAAAGCTTGGGAAGTTGATAGTTGTCGAGGACATTATAATAATGTATCATCTGTTTTATTCCATCCAAATTCAGAATTGATTCTGTCGAATTCGGAGGATAAAAGTATTCGAGTTTGGGATATGCAAAAACGCACAAGCCTTCATGTTTTCAGGTAATTTTGAGGTTTTCTGCAGAAATGGCTCAAATTCGAGTTGTTTTTTTTTGAAAAAATCATTGTAATTTTTCGTGACAATCTCCAAATTCCAAAATTATTTTTCAGACACGAAAACGAACGCTTCTGGGTCCTTGCCGCTCATCCAAGTTTGAATATGTTTGCCGCCGGACACGACAACGGAATGGTCGTTTTCAAAATTCAAAGAGAACGTCCAGCTTATTGTGTCAATGAGAATCTTGCATTTTATGTCAAAGATAAGCAATTGAGAAAGCTCGATTTCACCACAAAGTTAGTTATAGTTTGGTTTTTTCTCACTGTCAGCTGGTCATGATTTTCGATATAATTCATGTAATAATTTATATTCAAAGTTTATGGTCAGCGGGTCTAAATCTAGCAGAAAAATGTAATTTCATCAAAATTAAGTGAATAACCTAATTAATTACAGCAAAGATGTCGCCGTTTGCAAATTGCGTGCTGCCGCCGCTTTCATGCAACCATATTATTCGCTCTCCTTCAATCCAGCTGAAAGCTCATTTTTGCTCACAAGTCGATCACATAATCGCGAAATGTGCACTTTTGATTTGTACAAAGTTCAAGCAAACAGCGATGGAAATTCGGATGCTCAAGCTATTCGCAGCACTGGAATTGCTGCACTTTGGGTGGCTAGAAATCGATTTGCGGTTTTGGATAAGGCGCAAAATGTTAGTGAGAAAACATTTGATCCGAACTAAGAATACAAAAACTCTAATTTTAACCCTGACTTTTCCAGGTTTCTCTCCGCGATTTGGCTAACAAAGAGCTCCGAAAACTCGAAAACATCAACACAGCCGTCGATGATATTTTCTACGCTGGAACTGGTATGATTCTTCTCAAAAACGAGGATGGTCTTCAATTATTCGATGTTCAACAAAAAATTGTGACCGCTTCAGTGAAAGCGAGCAAAGTTCGTTATGTTATTTGGAGCAAATCCATGGAATATGCTGCCCTTCTCTCTAAACATACCCTAACTCTTGTTAATCGCAAATTGGAAATTCTCTGCACTCAACAAGAATCAACTCGTGTTAAAAGTGGTGCTTGGGATGATGATTCAGTGTTTTTGTATACAACAAGTAATCATATCAAATATGCGATAACTTCGGGAGATTGTGGAATTGTTCGAACTTTGGATTTGCCTTTGTATATTTTAGCGGTTCGTGGTGCAACTTTGTATTGTTTGAATCGTGAAGCGACACCTGTTGAAGTTCCAATTGATACTGCTGATTATAAATTCAAGTTAGCATTGATTAATCGAAGAATTGATGAAGTTGTGAATATGGTGAAATCGGCTAATCTTGTTGGACAATCTATCATCGGATATTTGGAGAAAAAAGGTTATCCCGAAATTGCCCTTCATTTTGTGAAAGATGAAAAGACTAGATTTGGTTTGGCGTTGGAATGTGGAAATCTTGAAGTTGCTTTGGAGGCAGCCAAAAGATTGGATGAAACTGCGGTTTGGGAAGCATTGGGAGAAGCTGCACTTTTACAAGGAAATCATCAAATTGTTGAGATGAGTTATCAAAGAACGAAGAATTTCGAGAAATTATCCTTCTTATATTTTGTTACTGGAAATACGGATAAACTTGTGAAAATGATGAGAATTGCACAAGCAAGAAATGATTCGGATGGACATTTCAACACTGCTCTGTATGTTGGAGATGTTGAGGAAAGAATCAAGGTTCTTCGAGGATGCGGACAGACAAGTCTAGCTTATTTGGCTGCTGCAACACATGGATTTGAAGGAGAAGCTGAAGAATTGAAGGGAGAATTGGAGAGTAAACAACAAGCGATTCCACCGGTTGATGCGAATGCAAGATTGTTGGCGCCGCCTCCGCCAGTTTGTAAATTGGAGGAAAATTGGCCATTATTGGCGTCGGCTCGTGGAGCATTTGATGCGCAATTATTGGGACTTGGAGGAGGTGTTGGTGGAGGAGCTGCGGCGAAAACTGGAGGAGTTAAACCAGCTGCTGCTGCATTTGCTGCTATTGAGGATGATGTGAGTTTTGGGCCTAATTTTTCCAGTGGAAAATCTAACATTTCCTTGAAAGATTTTCTTCTGTAATTTTGGTCGAAAAAATGATGATTTTGAGCAATTTCTCTTCATTTTGGATATAAATTAGTTATTCTAAATTCCATGCAAAAAAATTGGATTTTGATGCTTCGATTCTAGAAAATCACAGGGTTTTGAAAAATATGAGCTGAAAATCACAAAATTGAAAGATAAACCTAGATTTCTCCAACTTTGACCTGAAGTTTCAGAGCTATCTCGCTTCACCTCAAAAATTCCATTTTTTTTACAGGATGTTGATGGTGGAGCCGATGGTGCTTGGGGAGACGATGAATATTTGGTTGGTGAAGACGGAGAACCTGAATTTGATGAAGGTGAAGGTGGAAGTGCTGGAATTGGTGAAGACGACGAAGAAGGCGGTTGGGATGTTGATGATGATTTGGCAATTCCTGACATCGCTGAAGATGGCACTGGAAATGGTGAAGAAGATGAAGAAGTTGTCCCAAATGCCGCTCCAGCAGTTTCTTCCGAATGGCCAAATGCATCTCGTCTTGTTGCTGATCATGTTGCTGCTGGTTCATTCGAAACTGCCATCAAATTGTTGCGCGACACAATTGGTGTCATCGATGCTGCTCCATTCAAAGAAGTGTTTTTGCGAGTTTATGGAACTTCGAGATTATCGCATCGTGGATGGGGAGGATTGGGACCAGCTGGACCAATTTATATTCATCCGATTCGAAATTATCAAGAAGAGAAGAATCATTTACCAGTTGTTGCCATCAAATTATCACTTTTGGCAAAGAAATTGCAAAAGTCTTATCAATTAACAACTTCTGGAAAATTCGGAGATGCGATCGTAAAATTGAGAGAAATCTTGCTATCTGTTCCACTTTTGGTTGTATCATCGAAACAAGAAGTAGCAGAAGCCGAACAACTTATTGCAATTACTCGAGAATATTTGGCAGCTTTGCTCTTGGAAATTCATCGAAAAGATGCGCCAAAAGCAACTCCAGCGGATTTGAAAAGAAATGCCGAATTGGCTGCATATTTCACACATTTCGATTTGCAACCAATGCATCGAATTTTGACTCTCAGAGCTGCTATTAATACATTCTTCAAGATGAAGCAAATGAGAACTTGCGCTTCGCTGTGCAAGAGATTATTGGAATTGGCTCCAAAACCTGAAGTTGCTGCACAGATAAGAAAAGTATTGGTGGCTGCTGAGAAGGATAATACCGATGCGAATCAGGTAAATTTTTAAAATAATATGGGAAAAGGGTGTTTGAAACATGAATCCTATGAAAATATCCCTGAAAATATCTAGCTGAAATCGTCTGAAACAAAACGAAAAGTTCGGAATTTGAAAGTATGACCAAAGTTTATTGATTTTTTGAGAAAAAGTCGGATTGTTTCTGAATTTTCAGAATTAAATTTTTTTCGATTATTGTGAAATTTTTAACTAGAACAATTCATCAGAAAACTCCGAATTTCAAAATTTTTATCTGAAAAATCATAACAATTTTAGATCTGCAATTATTGATTTGAAAATTTTTTCTCCAAAATTTCATTATTTTTTTTTCCAGTTCCTCTACGACGAGCATAATCCATTCGTCATTTGCTCTCGCAATTTCGTTCCATTATACCGTGGTCGACCATTATGCAAATGCTCATTCTGTGGAGCATCGTATTCCGAAGGTTTGGAAGGCGAATTGTGCGATGTTTGCCAAGTGTCCGAAATTGGAAAAAATGTTTTGGGATTGAGAATTTCGACATTGAAAAATTAAATTCCCTTATTATTGTTTGAATCCAAATGTGTGATAATTAATTGATTAATTAACTCATTCTCCTTCCTTTTTTTAAATAGTATTGATTCTTTGGGGATTCTTTTTCGTTTTCTTTTTTTTGGAAGATTTCTATGTGTATGCTGGTTTTATTTATTTGAATATTTATTTATTTATTGAATGTAATGTGTATTTATTTAAAGAGAAGAAATGCAGATAAATGTGATTTTTGAAAACTTTTCAATTGTCTAGTGGAGAATTTGGAATTGTTGAGTTTCAGAGAAATATTTTGTGATTTTCAGGTGGAAAGTTTAAAAATTGAGAGATTTTTAAGAAAAAACATGTTAGGAAATTCAGCCTGAATTTAAATTTTGAAAGTCATGCTGTAAATTTTAGATTTTTTAGCTAAAAAAATCCATGAATTTTGAAAAAAGTTGAAAATTTGGTTCCAAAAATTGAGAACCTGAAATTAAATTTTGAAGAATTCCTGAATCAGATAATCTTCAGCAAAAATTGAAATTTCCGAGTCCGGGCCCATTTTTATCGAGTTTTCCTCTAGTTTCAGTCATTTTCAGCTCAATTTCAAGCTGAAACAAAAATTTTCGCTCAAAAATCCTCTCCCGAAAAAAAGTCGTCAAAGGAAAAGCGAAGAAAACATTTTCTGACAAACACCATGACGCACAAATGCACACACCAAAAACACTCACTTTTTCCGTTTTTCCTCTTTTTTTCGCGATTTTCAAGAAATCTACGTGATTTTTCATAGAAATCATTTGAAAAATCACAAAAATTTCATATTTTTCAGAGGCAAATTCAAAAATCCTGCGAAAAATCGATAACTTTCAAGTTTTTTTTTGTTGAAAAAAAATCCGGTTTTTTTCTTTTCCAAAAGAAAACATAGAGAAAAGTTCGAGTTCTTGGTAATTATCGGATTATTTCCACAATTTTCTTGATTTTTTCTCAAGTTAGCCTAAATACTCCCTCCCGAAAAATCGATATTTTTACGATTTTTTGTTGTATTTGTATTTTGGATCACGATGAGTCATCATTGATTTTTTTTCCCCAAATTTTCGGGGAAAATTGGGGGTTTGGATATTTTTGCAGCGAGGTCTAGGAAATGTTGTATTTTCATGAATAGGCACAGGTCGAAATTTAGGCTTGTCACTTTCAGGTTTAAAATTAGGCTGAACAAGCCTAAAACTTTGTAACTTAGCTTCCACCAGAAGTCACTGATTTACAGTAACATTTTCAAATCTGAAGCTTGGCTTAACAAAGAGCCTATAAGTTAGGCTAAGTCCCCAAGAAAACCTCTAATTATTCCTCTAAAAAATCTTCATTTTCAAATTTCCTTTCCAACAATCTTGATTTTCAATTTTCCACCTCTCAATTTTCCAGCCAATCTCAACAAAATGTCGGCTCACCAACTTCCGGCATGTGTAATCGACAACGGAACCGGTTACACAAAACTCGGTTTCGCTGGAAACATGGAACCACAATTCATAATTCCCTCTGCAATTGCTGTCAAAGACAAAGTGACAAGTGCAAATTCGCAAGCGCTGAGATGGAATAATCGAGGAACTGGAGCTGGTATTGATGATTTGGACTTTTTTATTGGAGATGAAGCATTGAGTCCAGCAGCTGCTAATTATACTGTCAAATATCCGATTCGACATGGAATTGTTGAGGATTGGGATTTGATGGAAAGATATTGGGAACAATGTATATTTAAATATTTGAGAGCTGAACCAGAGGATCACTTTTTCTTGTTGGTGGGTTTTCAGCTTGAATTTTTTTGAACCGTTGGGCTTTAAAAAAAGTTCAAAATTTGGCTTTGGAAACGGTTTGAAATGCCACGTCATAGCTTATAACAACCCAATGTTTGCACAAATTTTGTATTACTTTCAAAAAAATTGGCCCAATTTTAGGAAATATTTTGAAACGTATAATTTTTGGGGTAAAAATCATCAAAATGTATAGTTCAACAATCAAGTTCTGGGCTGAAAAAATCATGAGAAATTCCAAAAAAAATCACGGCTTCCGATTTCTGTGCCTAAAAATCTCCATTTTCAGACCGAACCACCACTAAACACCCCAGAAAATCGTGAATATACAGCCGAAATTATGTTCGAATCATTCAATGTTCCCGGTTTGTATATAGCTGTTCAAGCGGTTTTGGCATTGACGGCTTCTTGGCAATCGAGAGCTGCAAATGAGAGAAGTTTGACCGGATTGGTGAGTTTTTGATGAAATTTGGAGAATTTTTATACTAGATTCGATGGGGTTACTGTAGATTTGGGTCCTGGAGCGATTTGGAGAATTTTTAATTTCAGGTCATCGATTCAGGAGATGGTGTAACTCATTGTATTCCAGTCGCCGATGGTTATGTTATAGGTTCATGTATTAAACATATCCCAATTGCCGGAAGAGATATCACATATTTTATTCAAAATTTGTTGCGTGAAAGAGAACATGCGATTCCGGCTGAACAATCGTATGAAGTTGCGAAAACTATCAAGGTAATTTCGATTTTTGGGTCTTGAAGCGAAAAATTATGTTTTTGATTAAATTTAGAGCATTTTGAGGTCGAAATTCTATGTCCTGGGCCGTTTTTTGAAATATTTCGAACTGAAATTCGATCAAAAATCAGTTTTTTAGGTTCTGAAGCGAAAAATCATGTTTCGATAAAATTTGGAGCATTTTGAGTCCAGATTCAAAAACCACAGTAGTTCAGAAAAATTACTATTTTTTTCGTTTATATTTCAGAAGTTCCTTATGATAAAAATGCACCCCGAAAATTTGGTAAATAATGAATGGGACCCCAAATGGGACCCCAAATGACTGAATGGGACCCCATGCTGAATGGGACCCCGGTATTTAAAAATCGTCGTGATGAATGGGACCCCAAAATAATAAAATGGGACCACAGCATTTTTTTGAATTGTCTGAATGGGACCCCGCAAAAAAAGGGACCCCGTTGAATTTTTGTATGAGTATGAATGGGACCCCATTGAAATTTCTTCAGAATGGGACCACAGGTAGGGTATAAACTTAGACGTATCCTCAGCACTGGGGTGAGGCATAGGCTTAGGCTTAGTTAGGATTTCAGGCTTAGACTTAGTTAGGCCTTTAGGCTTAGGCTTAGTCAGGGTTTTAGGTCTTTGTTAGGATTTCAGGTTTAGGCTTAGTTAGGATTTTAGGCTTAGGGTTAGTTAGGCCTTTAGGCTTATGCTTAGTTAGGGTTTTACGCTTAGGCTTAGTTAGGATTTTTAGCCTAGGCTTAGGCTTCAAATTTTGTATCCCTTTCAGTATAAAATTTCAGTGGGGTCCCATTCGTACTAATACAAAAATTCAACGGGGTCCCTTTTTTTGCGGGGTCCCATTCAGACAATTCAAAAAAGCTGTGGTCCCATTTTATTATTTTGGGGTCCCATTCATCACGACGATTTTTAAACACCGGGGTCCCATTCAGCATGGGTCCCATTCAGTCATTTGGGGTCCCATTTGGGGTCCCATTCATTATTTGCCCGAAAATTTGTGAGCCTAAATTTTCTCTCCAAACACTTTCCGATCTTCAATTCCCACCTCCCACAATTTCCCATTTTTACAGGAGCGATATTGCTATGTTTGCCCAGACGTAATGAAGGAATTCGTGAAATACGACACTGACGCCGAAAAATGGCTAAAAACCTATGACGGAATCAATAATATCACCAAAAAACCATTTTCTGTCGATATTGGATATGAGCGATTCTTGGGACCTGAAATCTTTTTCCATCCCGAATTCTGTAATCCCGATTTCACTACTCCAATCTCTGATACTGTTGATAATTTGATTCAACAATGTCCGATTGATGTAAGAAGAGGATTGTATGAGAATATTGTATTATCTGGTGGATCTACGATGTTTAAGGATTTTGCCAGAAAATTGCAACGGGATGTGAAACGATTGAGTGATGCTAGATTGCAGAGTAGTGAAGCATTGAGTGGAGGAAGATTGAAGGTGAGGAATTTTTCAAGAATTATTTTGTTTTGGGGGTTTTTGGTGTTAAAAAGAATAATTCTGATTGAAAAATTAGCTGAAAATCTGAAATTTTGATAGAAAATAACCTGAAATTCATATTTTTTGACACTTGGAAAACTGAAAAAATTTAAATAATTAATTTAAGCGTGACCTCTTATTTTAATACGTGGAAATTTTATTTCGAAAATTTTTCATTTCTAATTTATGTCGATTGTTTTCCTGGATTTTCGAATTTTTGTGAGTTCTTGAAAATATGTTGAAAATTATCTGGAATCCAGGTTTTTTGGGCTGGTTTTCAGATTTTCGCTGAAAATTTTGTATTCTTTGTGTAACAATAAAATGTTTCATGATAAATTCTCAATTGTATTTTTTGAGACTTTTTAGCTGAAAAAATTTATTTTCAATTTAAATGACACGTGGCAATTTTCAGAAAACCTGAAAATCTGGAATTTCTCAGGAAAACATTTTCTGAGCTCTAAAAATCATAGAAAATCCAATTTTCCAATAAAAAATCTATAAATTTTACAGCCAAAACCAATCGATGTTCAAGTGATTTCCCATAAAATGCAAAGATATGCAGTTTGGTTCGGTGGATCAATGTTGGCCTCAACTGTAAGTTTTGTGCCATTTTTGGTTCCAAAATTCAAGATTTGACCTCAAATTCGTGATTTTTGGTGAAAATTGTTCTAAAATTCTTGAATTTTGGATAATTTTGACCTAATGTTCATAATTTTCACCCAAAAATCCATCCAAAAATTATTTTTCAGGCCGAATTTTACCAAGTCTCCCATACAAAAGCCGAATACATGGAAAAAGGTCCCTCAATTTGCCGCTATAATCCAGTTTTTGGAGCACTTACCTAATTGTCTTCTTTGTTTTGCTGCTCAAAAAATGCTCTTCAGTCAAAAATGTGTATAAATCAAAAAATTTACAGAAAAAAGGCACTTTTCCACTTATTTCCTTGTTTTTTTAACCCCGAAAATCCCCCATTTTTTAGCCTGTTTTTGCTTTAATTTATTCCAATTTCAATTTTTTTATATTTATGAAAATATTCGAAAAACTTGTTTTTCCTGCGATTTTTCACTGTTTTTCGACGGTTTCAGCGATATTTTTGAGGAATTTTCAGATTTTCAAACTTTTTTTTCGAAATTTTAGATGGATTTGGGAATTTTGACATATGATGAAACTGAATGGGCTACAACGCATACTGGAAATAAAGTGAATAAGAAGCATGGAATTACCGGAACTCAAAATATTATTATTGCAGGAAAGGTGAGAGATTTAGGGAGGGTTCTGAAAATCATGAAAAATTGCCTATTTTGAGCCTAGAAACATGAATATGTCTGAAATTTGAATATTTACAGTCATTTCAAGCTTAAAAACACATTTCTGTCCAAAAATCACGGAAATAGTGAATTTTAAGCCTGAAAGGTGAGATGTTTGCTCAAATTTCGATATTTGAACTCAGAAGTTAGCTGAAAATTAGATAACATTATTCTCTCACTAAAAGTGTAAACTTATGAAAAATTGCTCATTTTAAGCGTAGAATCATGGAAATGTCTGAAATTAACGTTTTTATCAATAATTTCAAGCTCAAACTATAGATTTTCAGCCAAAAAATCAATAAATTTTGATGAATTTGAGATTTGTAATTGCCATATGGAATTTGTTAGCCAGAATTCTATTTTTACAGAAAATTTTTATTTAAAAATTATGAAACTCTTCGGAAAATCAATAAAAATACTATGAAGACTAATTTTTAATATATTCCCCCCAAAATCTTCATTTATTTTTTTGCAGTCAATAATCGAGAAATCAGTATCAATTCGCGGCGGTTTGGCGGCAGTTCGAATCGGAAAAAATTGCATTTTGAAGTCGGGTTGTCATATTCGACCATGTTTCAAATATTTCAACAAAAAACCCACGCAATGTAATACAATTATTGGAGATTATGTTTTTATGGAAGAGGTTTGTGAAAGGGGGACTAGAACCCCAAACTCGAAAAACTCTTCCATATTTCCAGGGTTGCATCGTCAACGCATCTCAAATCTACAGTTTTGTCCATTTGGGTGCCCGTTGTATATTAGGAAATGGTTGTGTGATTCGAGAATGTTCCCGTGTCCTACCAGGCTCCGTAATTCCACCCGACACAATTTTCCCGCCATTTTCGACGATTGGCGGTTCGCCAGCTCGAGTCATTGGAAATGAGCCGCTTTGCACCGAAAATCTGATGATCGAAGCGTGCACGATGTATTATGAGAATTTTGTGCCCAAAAATTCGCACAAACCTTCGCTGACCTAATTTTTTTGTCTTTCGGGGGTTTTTTGATGTAAAAATGAAGAATTTTGATGGAAATTGAACTGAAAATCTGAAATTTTGAGCATTTTCATGACACGTGGGAATTTTAAATTTTGAAAGAATGAAAAAATAATTTAATACGCATGACCTCTTCTGACACGTGATAATGAATATTTTTCATTTCTAATTTTTCCTCAAATGAAAATCGCTCGATTTTTTCCGGATATTTTGTGAGTTTTAAACATTTTCAGCATTTTACACTGAAAACCCCCTAAATTGTATGTAGTTTGCTTTAATTTATTCGAATTTCTTTATTTCCATGCATAAATTGTTCAATTTCAGCAAAAATTCCAGATTCTAGATATTTTCTGCATCCGAAAAAAGCGCGCCGCCGAATTGCCAACCAAGCTCCGCCCCTTTTCGCTGTGTTTTTCTTTTTCTTTTTTGTGGCTGATGGTGTTCAACAACAATTAATTGTGTTTATATTATTTTTATCCGCGGTCAACGAAAAATCGATAAATAGTAGTTATTTTTGTTGGAAGAGAAGGAGTTAGGCTATATCATTGATAAATTAGGCATGGATTCTTCGGATTTTTGGCGCGATTTCAAAATCTTCACGGCATTTGTGATTGTATCGATCAGTTCGATGTTTCCAAATAATGCATTTATGAATGCGCACGAGGTGGGTGAAAATCTAGGGTTTTCGGCTGAAAATGAGTCATAGAACAGGAAAAAATCAATAATTTTGCAGTATTTTTATTATAAATTGCGAAATGTGACGGCTGAACATGATGATGGAAATTTGACGAGTTTTTTGAGTACAAATGATGGATGGCAGGAATTTAAGAGACAGGGTGAGTTTTTTGGGCGGGATTTTTGAGTTTTTAAAAAATTTTTTATGAGGTTTGGAGGTGAATGATATTGAATAAGCCTAGGAATGATGGGAAAAACGGATTTTCAGTGAATTTTTAGCTGAAAACTTTGAAAAACATGGATTTTTCATAATTTTTCGATTCAAATGAGATCTAACAAGGCTGAAAAATCACCAAAGTTCGAAATCTAGCTGAAAATTCCAGATTATCATACACTTTTGCTGAAAAACTCGAGAGCTAGCAAAAAATCCTGTTTTGAAGGTTCTATCACCTTGAATAGACTGAAATTTTCTTATTTTCATTAAAAATTGCCCTCAAAAATGTTCAATCTGTTTACAGTCCGTGAAGATGCTCCAACCGAAATGCAGGCTGATTTTGAGGCATATTTGACAGTTTATGGTGGAATCGCATGTGTTTTAGGATCGATTATCAATGTTTTCGCGACGAAAAGGTGGGAAAATAACTAAAAATGTTCATTTTTCACTTAAAACTGGTGAAAAGGAGACAAAATCTGAAATTTATAAGCTAAAAATCATGAAAAATGACCGAAAAATCATCATTTTCCATCAGAAACTTAAATTTCAACCCAACAATAAAATTAATACGTTTTTCAGCCTTTCAAATAGTTGTCGTGTAATATGGGGTCATATTTTGGTTATTCTCGTTTTCATCCCAACAATTGCTCTAACTTTCATCGATTTCGATTCAGCACAAGATTTGTTTTTCAATATTTCGATGGGTTTGATTTCAATTGCATGTTTCGCTTCTTTGGGTATGATTGCTGGAGGAGTTTTGGGATTATCTGCCATTTTTCCGGCAAAATATGTGAGTTTTTTATTTGAAGGGGTTTGGGGGAGATAGTTGAAAATCAAAAATCACGTGAAATTCTGAGAAAAAATTGATGTTTTTCCTAGAACTTTTGGCTCAAACCCAAAGATTTGAAACCTCTTTAGTTACCCTAACTAAAAAGTTGAATTTCATACCTAAATTTCACTAAAAATACCCTAATTCATCGCCTTAAACTCCCTAGTTACTCTAACTTTATTTTCAAACTTCCCAAGTTACCCCAACTTCCCAATTTTTGCAGACCCAAGCCGTGATGATTGGTCAATCGGCAGCCGGTGTTTTAGCCGCCCTCGCCAGCATCCTTTGCCAAGCTTCCACTTCAAATGTGATTTTAAACGGACAAATGTATTTTGTTTTTAGTTTGCTCATGGCCATTTTAAGCATCGTCGTCTATTTTTGGCTCAATAATATCGAAATTCCTCAAAACAATTCGGGAGATGAGGAAAATCAGAGACTTTTGGAGGCGGAAGCGGAAGCGATCATTGAAAATCAGGCTGGCAATTTTCCGGCGATTTCTGAAGATGAGGAAGACGATTCGGGGGATTTTAGAAGTCAATTTGAGCAATGCTGTGGAATTGTTAGAAAGGTAAAGGGGTTTTTGGGCCTGGCAATGTTTTGCTGGCGCATTTTCTTGATCTACCCGAAAAATGGGTCTTTTTGACACTAAACAAGCCATAATTTGAGAGCGAATGCGTCAGTAAAGTGTTTGCTGGCGTATTTCTAGTGCTACCCCCGGATCAAGTCATGTTTGGTGTCAAAATGAAGCTCTAAACCCTGAGAAACCAAAAATCCCACCAAAAAACATCTTTTTTTGCAGTCCTTCATCGATCTTCTCACAATTTCCATTGTTTTGCTGGTAACGTTGGCCGCGTATCCAGGATTGACAAGTTTGGTTCGAAGCACGTCGAGAAATCACACATGGAATTCGTATTTTTCGGCCGTCGCCTCGTTTTTATTGTATAATATTGGTGATTTCATTGGTAGATCGTGTGCGAATTCTGTGAGATTGGTAAGCAATTTTGAATTTTTAGCGGGAAAATTGGAAATTTCATGGAAATTTACACCAGAATGGTGGATTTTTAGCCTAAAATGCCACGTGGCAACTCATAATTTTTTTTCCAGAATCGCTTCTGGCTTCTCACAATTGCCTCCCTTCGAGTTCTTCTAATTCCCCTCCTAGTTATGTGCAATGTTATGCCACGTGTTCACACACATTCAATTCTACCGTATGACGGCGTTTTCATTTTGATTGTGATTTTGTTGGCTGTTTCGCATGGATTTTGTATAACGAATGCGACGATTGGAGCCACGTTGTGAGTTTTTTTTGAGAAGAAGAGATTTTGGGGAACATTTTGACACCAAACATGACGTGGTTTCGAGCACCAGAAATGCGCCAGCAAACAATTTACTGGCGCATTTTTGGTGCATTCTTGAATTAAAGCATGCTTGGTGTCAAAATAAACCATTTTTCACATAGATTAAGACTAGAGTCCGCAAAATCCGCTAGCTATCTTTTGCTGGCGCATTTTTTGGGGCACAGCCATATCAAAATGCTCCGAGTTTTCCAGAGAAATCGACAAAAACTCGCGCGAACTTGCCGGAAGTATTGTTTCATTGATTGGTGTGACAGCTGCAATGCTTGGTGGTGTTATGGGTGTACTTGTGATCAAATTGGTGTGATTTCCCTCCAGAAAATTTTTCTGTTCAAAATTTTCCTGACTTTTTATGTGTATATCTTGTACGAGTTTGTTTTGAAAAGATTTTTATTTATTTATTTTATTTTTTCTATGATTTTTCTCGTGATTTTCTGGGTTTTTATCCCAGTTTCTATCGAATTTCACTCCAAATTTCTTTAATTTTCAAACGATTTTCAGACAATTTTGAGTCAATTGTTTTTTGTATGCGATATAGTCGGCTGGCAAAAAGCCAAGAAGAAGCCGACGAATTATCGTGCCTTTTGACACCAATGACCGATTCGGAGATCGGAGGAATCGAGGGAGCATCCGACGACATTTATTTGTTGCCATCGGTCGCCGCGTCGAGCACATCTAGCACTTTCAGTATGACACGGTTAGTTGATTTTTTGGGTGGATTTGAGGGGGGAGATTGACCCGGGAAGCGGGCTTCTAGGGTAAAAATTGAAGATTTTGAGCTATTTTTTTCAAATTTACGTGAAAAATGGGTTATTTTGACATCAAACATCATATACTTTGAGAATACACCGAAAATACGTCAGCAAAGCTTTGCTAGCGCATTTTTGGTGCATTTTCATGCTCTCTTTCTTGATCATATTGAAAATAGATTATTTTGACATCAAACATGATCAGAAACATTGCTGACGCATTTTTGGTGCAACTCTGAACCAAGTCATGTTTGGTGTCTAATTGAAGCTCTGGACTCTGTGAAACCTATTTTACACCTCAAATCTTCTGCCAGCAATGTTCTGTAGTTTTTTCTTTTCCCAAATAATTTTCCAAAAATCATTGATTTTTCTCCTGTTTGCAATTCAAATTTTTTAATGTTCTCTGCCACGAGAATTTGGCATTTTTCTCCCAATTTTTCTAATATTTTCTCCTCGATTCCTTCGATTTTCAGCTGACAACTTTCTATATTTTTAGCTGAAAATTCTTTCAATTTTCTCGGCTAATTTTGTCTCATAATATATTTCCATGGAAACCTTCTCATTTTCCGCCTTGTTTTTCAAGTTTTTTGTCTTTTTTTACTCCAATTTTCTATTATTATTATTAGTAGGGAAACATGTGGTTTTATTTACACATTTTATTATATTGGTTTAGACTTTTTTGGCGCCAGAAAATGAGGGTTTTAAGTGGGGAAAATTAGGGTCAACATTTTGTGCCACGTGGATTTTTTCGGCACCAAAAATCCACGTTTGAAAATCAAATGAAAAGCGGAAAAATCCAATTTTCATTCATTTTTTTTTCGATAATAATGTTCTACTTTTTTGCCTATTTCAATTTCATTTTTCTCTCTCCCCTCAATTTTCGTGTCTCTGTGTCTCTCAATTTCACATACTCTCTCACTTCTATTTCTACTTTTTCTCTACTTTTTTTCTGTGGTTAGTTTTTGTTGTTGTTTGACAGACAGTTAGTTGGTTAATTCAACCTCGCTGTATTTTTTTTTTCGAAAAATTTTTGGCGCCAAAAAATTGAATTTGAAATTCTGGATATTTATCTGAAAAATTGAAATTTTCTGAATTTTTACCTCCAAATTTGAGGGTTTCCAAGAAGTTTCAGGTTCACTTGAAAGTTTTCAATTTTTTTATCTGAAATTTCAACGTCGCAGTTTTTACTAAAAAAAATTTTGGCGCCAAATTTTGAAAAAAAGGATTACATAAAAAAATTGTCAAAAATCTACGAGGCGCCCATTTAGAATTTTTCTGAAACGTATTTTTTGGCGGCAAAAATTGATATTTAAAAAATGCAAAAGCTTCGATTTTTCCTGATTTTTTGTATTTCAAAAATTGCCCAACCAATAATTTATGTTTAAAAATATCATTTCGACTTTCCTTCAAGTTCAAAAATCTTGCCACGTGGCATATTTTGCTGGCAAAATTCCAATGTTTTTTGTTTTTTATGTTGTTCTTCCTTCTCATTTCCCTTTTCAAAACATTGCAAAAAATGCGTGGGCCTCTTATCAATTTTATTTTCCCTTTTTTGTGAAAACACAGAATTTGGGACAAGTCGAAAATGAAATGACTCATTTCCCTATTTTCGTCATTTTATTGCTTTTTCTTATAGAAAATATTTGGAAATTTTTGAATTTTTTCAAGTTGGAATTGATTTTGAAACATTAAAAGTTTCGAAATTTGTTGAATTCTTCGCGCAAAAAAACCCAAGTGTCTAATTCTTTCTGAATTTGTTTTGGCCCCAAAATGTTTTCCACGTGGATCTGAACACCTGCAAAAAATATCCACATCCACATCCACACACACACAGACAAAAAAACTCCACTTTTTTGTCCAATTTTCGTTGTGTTTATATTTGTTTTCGGAATTTTCGACACTTTTTGGTCGAAAAATAGATCAAATAAATATTTGGGCGAATTTATTGATTTTTTGAGAGATTCTGAATTTTGACGCCAAAAATAGTCGATTTTTTTATTTTTACTAGACAGTACGATTAATAGTAAATTAATAGTGAATTTTATTCAAATCTTCTCTTTTTTGGGAGAAAAAGGAGAAAGTTTTGTTGTATGTTGCTTTTTAATCCTCTCTCTTTCTCTCTACTTTTTCGCTTTTTGCAAATTTTTGTAGACGAAATTTGAATTTTATTGATTTTTTTTGGGTGAAATTTCAGAAGTTTGGGAGAAAGTTAGCTTAACTTCCCACGTGTGTATTTTCTTTTTTGAAGAAGTTCTTCAGCTTAAAATTTTTAGAGCTCAAATTTCCGATTTCTTAAAAGTTTTTAGGTTAAGCCTGGAAGTTGAGAAAAGTTTAAGCCCCAAGCTACTGAGGACACATAGACACAGAAATGCCTGTGCTCAACTCAATATAGGCCCAATTTGCCACGTGGCATCCGAAAACCCAACTATATACAATCATTTTTGTTTCAATCCATCAAATCAAAATAAATACTTTTTTTTGTTGGTTATTTTTCGACCATCCGTGACCCGTTTTCAAGTGTGATTCATATTCTCTTTTTCTTTTTTCTTTCCCTTTTTTCACACCCCGATTTTTGTTTACTTTACCGTCTCTTTTCTCTCGTATTTTTAGCGGAAATTTGAGATTTTCAGGATTTTTGGGTCATTTCTGACCATTTTTCGTTGAAAAAATTCGAAAGTTGTATGTCTTTTTCTTTTTTTACTTGAATTTCGATCATTTTTCTTCCAAAAACTCGAATTTTCCAAGATTTTCCCGCATGGTTGATTGATTTTTTTGCACATCGAAAAAATCTCATGTGATGAGCAACATCAGTGTGTCGTTTGTCAAGAAAAATGGACACCAGCGAAAAAATTCGACCACCAACAATAATAATGAAGAAACAACAGGCAATGAGGATCATGTGGCGGCGATGATTCGCGAAAAAACGCAGTCGCTTAAATCGACTGCGACGCATTTGTCGGCGGCGTCGGCTGCGGCAAAAGGCGGATTTTTGTGAGTGGAACAGCATTTTGAGATCAAAAATGGTGGTTTTCGGACTATTTGGAGCATTTTGAGTGTAAACATGAGAAAGCTCGGATTTTCTGATATTTTGAGTCTACATATTCTTTAGGAAGCTTGACTACAGTGTAGTCAAACTCTGATCAGTTTGAGCTTAAACTTGGTGTTGTTTGGACTCGCCTAAAAAGAGCTTTGAATTTGGAGCATTCTAATTTTGAGCTCAAAATGCCAAATTTTTAAAAGTATCTAAAACATCGTGATTTTCCGATCATTTTGAGTCCAAATTTGGTGATTTTTGCATTACTGTAATCGAGTGAAAAAGAGCTATTATTTAATTTGGAGCATTTTTAGCCTAAACATAATTTATGCGACTTGACTACAGTGTAGTCTAATTTTGCTCGAAGTTCTGATCATTTTGAGCCTGAAAATGTTATTAAAAAATATACGTGAACGTGATCTAGTTTTTTTTTTGAAAAAAAAGCCCCTCCACCTAACTCCACTTCTAATTTTTTGACCTGTGCCAACTGTCCGGCCCATTGAGCAGACCAGGTTTGACTACAGTACCCTCACCACCTTTCCTACAGTACTCTTCTTCAATCTAATTTTTTGCAGATGTTGTCGATCACTATTCTCACGTCGTCGTGTTCTACATTCTCGAACAGTTCGAGTTGGCTACGGTCCAATTGGGCACGATGCCAATGTCTCGTTTTCGCCCAACACGGTGTGCAATCAGAAATATAATATTTTCAGTTTTGTGCCATTAGTAAGTTTGCAATTATTCTGGGACGAATTAATTTTTCTTCAAATTTTCAGGTGCTGTTTCAACAATTTAAATTTTTCCTCAACTTATATTTTCTTCTAATGGCTTGCTCACAATTCATTCCAGCCATACAAATTGGTGCTCCAATTACATATTGGGGACCACTTGGATTTGTTCTAACTATCACTTTGATTCGAGAAGCTTTCGATGATTTTGTGCGATTTTTGCGGGACAAAGAATTGAATGGGGAAAAATATGAGAAATTGACACGGGATGGAACGAGAGTTGAGGTGAAAAGTAGCGATATTGAAGTTGGTGATGTGATTATTATGCATAAGGATCGACGAGTTCCCGCTGATGTTGTTTTGTTGAGGTTTGTGCGGGAAATGGTGGGAAAATTGGAGGAGACGCAGACAGTCGCTGGTCTCGACACGCAGTGTAAACTTCAACGTGTGCAGACAAACTTCGACGAGAGTCTGCGTCTTCCTTGAATTGCAAAAAAATACAGTAGAAAATTGAATCTAGGAACTTGATAATCCGATTTTTGAGCTAAAATTTGATGAAAATCGGGAAAAATGAGCCTAGAAGCTTGAAAATAAAATTTTTTGAACTAAGAAAATCCACGTGGCACTTTACTCTGCAATTTGAATTTGACAACGAAAAATTAAGGTGGCAAGTTCATCATTTTTATTTAAAATCATTCTGAGCAGATCTATTTTGGCGCGAAAAATTTTGAAATTTCCAGTTCAACTTAAAAACATTAATTTTTTCATAAAAGTTTTTACCAAAATTCATCGAAAATCATAATTCCAGAAATTCAAAGAGACTAACATTTTTCATTTTCAGAACCACTGACAAATCAGGTGCCTGTTTTATTCGAACCGATCAACTCGATGGCGAAACCGATTGGAAACTTCGAATTCCTGTTCCTCTAACTCAACATCTACCAAATGAGGCTGAAATCATGGAATTAAATTGTGAAATTTATGCCGAAAAACCACAAAAGGATATTCATGCATTTGTTGGAACACTCAAAATCACACAAGATGATCAAGTTCAAGATGGAAGTTTAAATGTGGAAAATGTTTTGTGGGCGAATACGGTAGTCGCATCAGGAACTGCTGTTGGAATTGTTGTATATACTGGAAGAGAAACAAGAAGTGTTATGAATACAACACTTCCCGAAAGTAAAGTTGGATTATTGGATTTGGAAGTTAACAATCTCACAAAGCTTTTGTTCCTTTTCGTTGTTTTGTTATCTTCAGTTATGGTTGTTATGAAAGGATTAGATGGATTATGGTATCGATATTTGATGCGATTCATTTTATTATTCTCCTATATTATTCCAATTTCATTGAGAGTTAATTTGGATATGGCTAAACTGTTTTTTGCGTGGCAAATTGGACGAGATACTCATATTCCGGATACGGTTGTTAGATCTTCTACAATTCCTGAAGAACTTGGAAGAATTTCATTTTTATTATCGGATAAAACTGGAACGTTGACTAAAAATGAGATGCATTTCAAGAAAATCCACCTGGGAACAGTTGCATTTAGTAGTGATGCATTCGAAGAAGTCGCGCAACATGTGCAAAGTGCTTACGCGGGAAGATTGGCCAAACATAGTTTCTCTGCGAAATTGCAAAATGCGGTGGAAGCGATTGCACTTTGTCACAATGTTACACCGATTTTTGAGAATGGTGAGACTTCGTATCAAGCAGCGAGTCCCGATGAGGTGGCACTTGTGAAATGGACTGAAACTGTTGGAGTGAGATTGGCGAGTCGAGATTTGCATAGTATTCAATTGGCTGTGCAACAATCATCCGGACAGGTTATCAATAAACAATTTACGATTCTTCATATTTTTCCATTTACAAGTGAAACTAAAAGAATGGGAATTATTGTGAAAGATGAGATTACGGATGAAGTTACACTTTTAATGAAAGGAGCAGATACTGTTATGAGCACAATGGTACAATATAATGATTGGTTAGATGAAGAATGTAGTAATATGGCGAGAGAAGGATTGAGAACACTTGTTGTTGCTAGAAAACCATTGTCACCACAAGAATTGGAGGCTTTTGATCGAGCTTATCATGCGGCGAAAATGTCGATTTCTGATAGAAGTGCGAATATGGCGAATGTGGTTAATCGAATGTTGGAGAAAGATTTGCAATTATTATGCTTAACTGGTGTAGAAGATCGATTGCAAGATCAAGTTACCACATCTCTCGAATCACTTCGAAACGCGGGAATCAAGATTTGGATGCTGACTGGAGATAAACTTGAGACAGCGATTTGTATCGCGAAATCATCTGGACTTTTCGCGAGATCGGATAATATTCATGTTTTCGGAAATGTGCATAATCGAACTGATGCGCATAATGAGCTTAATAATTTGAGAAGGAAAACTGATGTTGCTCTAGTTATGCCTGGATCTGCGTTGAATGTTTGTTTGCAATATTATGAGGCAGAAGTTGCGGAACTGGTATGCGCATGTACTGCTGTGGTTTGTTGTCGATGTTCGCCGGAACAAAAGGCACAAATTGTGCAGTTGTTGAGAAAGGTGAGAATTGAATTGGGGAAGGGGGTGGGGTGTTAGCGATGGGGCGCGCTTGGAAAATTTTGAACTCCAAAATCAATGGATTTTCGCCAGTTTATCAATAGAGAGCATTTGTGATCTCAAACACCTAATTTTTGAAATTACAAATGCGCTCTAGTGATAAATTTTCAGCTTTCTAAATATTTATCAATTGAGCGCACTTTAGAAAAAAATTATTGGGAAAATTTTTTGAATTTCAAAATAAATATATTTTTCGCCAGTTTATCTGTAGAGCGCATTTGCAATCTCAAAATCTCATGGCTTTTAAAAATTCAAAAAAAATCCTATTATTACAAATGCGCTCTAATGATAAATCTATTGTTTTCAATTACAGTTTAAATTTAGATTTCGTGTTTCTCAATATCAATTTTCAAACAAATTTAAAAAAAAATCAATTTTCATACCACCTAAATAATCCTAATTTTTTGCAGTATCGCGCACCTCTCCGCGTCGCTGCCATTGGCGATGGTGGAAACGATGTTTCGATGATTCAAGCTGCTCACGCTGGAATCGGAATCGATGCGAACGAAGGAAAACAAGCATCGCTGGCTGCTGATTTTTCGATTACCCAATTCTCGCATGTTTGTAGATTGTTATTGGTTCATGGACGGTTTTGTTATAAAAGATCGTGTGCGTTGTCGCAGTTTGTTATGCATCGGTAAGAATCTGTTTAAGGGATGGGAATTTTAGTGCCGAAAATTATACGTTTCAAAATTGTTTAAATTGGAATTTGAAAAGGCTATTTTTGATATGTATGATCAAGAAATTCAGAAATTTTGATTAAAAATATTGTGAAACGTAGAATTTTCGGAAAAATTATTCCCGTTTTTGATATAATTTCTCAAAAAATAAAGAATGGAATATATATATTGCCTAAAATTCTCGAAACCAAAAACTAAATAGTTCTCCTCATTTTTCCAGTGGACTTATCATCTCAACAATGCAAGCCATTTTTTCGTGTGTATTTTATTTTGCATCTGTTTCGCTTTATCAAGGAGTTTTGATGGTGGCGTGAGTTTTTTGGGGGATTTGGGAATTAGGGTCATGATCTAGGCTTCCGGGCCGAGATCTGGGGTTTTAGGCCGCCAGGCCTAATTATTAGCTTGATTTGGATCTGTTTTAGTTTAGAAATTCGGATTTAGAATTTTCAAAGAATTTTTGGGGCTTCTGGGATAATTTTAACATAAGCTATATTTCAATATTCATAATTTTTTAAAAAACATTTTCTAGCTTTGTCGAATTTTTCTGACTGATTTTATGAGTTTTAGGCAGTTTTCTATGCGTCCTCAATTTATTTTCCACACAAAATTACCCCGAAATCTTCAAAACCTCTCATTTTTTCCAGATATTCCACATGCTACACAATGCTACCTGTATTTTCTCTAGTCGTTGATCGTGACGTCACAGCTGCCAGTGCTCTTCGATATCCGGAATTGTATAAAGAATTGGGAAAAGGAAGATCGCTGTCATATAAGACGTTTTTTATTTGGGTATTGATTTCGCTTTATCAAGGTGAGCATTTTGGTCTGCAAATGAAGGTTTCTTCATGATTTTCCACCAAAAACCATGTTTGCAGGAGCTGTTATAATGTATGGTGCACTTTTGGTATTTGACGCCGATTTCATTCACGTCGTTTCGATTTCGTTTTCTGCTTTAATTGTCACCGAATTGATTATGGTTGCGATGACAGTGCACACGTGGCATTGGGCAATGTTATTAGCGCAGGTTTGTGAGAAAGGGTTTTTCGAGGGAAAAAATAAGCCTAGTTTTGGGATAAAATGGGGGTTTTCAGGTCTGGAAAGCCTGGTTTTTTAGCTAAAATTTTTGAAAACTATCGAAAATTTAGCACCAAAAAATTCCAATATTTCCAAAAAAAATTCGATCAATTTTTCACTATTTCAAAAATATATCAAAAATTTACTCGATTTTTCAAAAATTGATCTATCGCTTGTTTTTCGCCAAAAAAACTCATATTTTTAAAATTGAACTAAAAAAAAATTCCAAAGGCCATCGAATCAAATCTCCGTTTTCCAGGCGCTTTCAATTTGTCTCTACATGATTTCATTGGTCGTTTTCGATCAATATTTTGATCGTCAATTTGTTTTGTCATGGGTGTTTATTTCGAAAACGACTGCAATCACTGCAATCTCATGTCTACCACTTTATATTATCAAAGCACTTCGTCGAAAATTCTCGCCGCCAAGTTATGCAAAAGTCAACTAATTTTGGGAATTTTAGCTTTTTAGACCGGAAAAAATTGGGTGAAAATGAGCTGTGTACCTTTATTAGGTACGGTTAGCTTTAAAATAATTTTTTTGCCTGAAAGTTTAGATTTCTTGAGCTTTTAACTTTCACCAAATTTTTTCCCGCCTCAATTTTTAGCGCCAAATTTGTCCCCGTTCTTTTTTCTTGTAAATTATTTTTACGGTTTGGGTTTTATTTTTTGCCGCCAAAAAAGTGATTTTATTGATTTTTTTTCTTGTCTGTCCATATCTTTATTCCCCCTTTTTTTGAATGCGAGTAGAACTTTTTTATTTTTTTCTTTGATGAATGAAAATTTGAATTTGTGGAAAAGCTAGCGACGTTCTCTAAAGTTTATCGATTTCCCAAGAAAATGTCGGAAAAACATTGGAATATTTTTTGGATGTTGTGCTGGTGTAACCGTTGAGTGTTGTAGTTTTTTTTGTTGGGAAATTGCGTGAACATTTGGCATAATTAGATTATTTGACGAAAATCCTAGCAGATTTCTCCTATCTGTTAGAAATCATGGCATAATTTGCCTACTCAAGCAAAATCCTATTATATTTTCTCTATCTGAAAAATTTCAAATACGCTCCACTGAAATATTGATTGTTTTTCTATTACAGATCTCATCAATCAATCAGGCAAAAAATGGGTACTCTACTAACCATATCCTGTTATATTTTCACATTTTCACCATCTTTCTGTATTTTTTGCCGATTTATCGCCCATGATCCCGTCAGAATTATTTTGTTCTTTTTGGGGTGAGTTATTTCGGAAGGGTTTTGGACAGTGAAAGGGGATTCTAGGCTACAAAAATCATGTTTTTAAAAAATTTGGAACAACCTACAATTTTTTATCTGACTTCAAATATCAAAATTTTAAACATAAAATCGATTTTCAGAAAACCTTCAAAGTTTTAATTTTCTAGCCTAAACTTCATTGATTTTCAACTGTAAAAATCTACCCAAACATTTTTTTCTTGCAGCTCATTCTTCTGGCTCGTATCAATTCTCTTCTCATCTCTAATCTGGCTTCTTCTCTCCCAAATTCTTCCCAAACCTCAATCCTTTTTCCTCGCCATTTCAACTTCAATTCTCATCCAAGAATCGTCTCGCATCGCCTATTTCCTTCTTCTAAAAGCCGCTCAAAGTGGACTAAACAAGATAACAAAACAAGGTCAAATATCAGTGGCTCCCGGTGTTTCGGATCTTCAAAATAGCCGACATATGTTAGGATTAGTTTGTGGCCTCGGAATGGGAGTGATTTCGGCGCTTTTTTTGACAATGAACGCATTTGCCGCATTTTCGGGTCCTGGAACGATTGGAATGCCTGAAGCACTACTCAAAAGTACGGTAGATGTGAATCGAGCCGGAAAATATTTACCCGCATTTTATTCTGCTTCTGCTCTTTTGCTTAGCTGCTTTCATGTTTGCTGGACTATTATGATTTGGGATAGTTGTCATCGATTTGGACGAATGCCAACTGCTTATTTACCAGGATTCGCGGCATTGATCACACATTTTGCAGTCGCCTATTTGGTGAGTTATTTTTTGGGTGAAGATTTGGGGAAAATTCTAATTTTTAAGCTGAAATTCAGGATTCCTAATGAATTTCACTGAAATTGCGTGAAAAATGAGGTTTTCAAGTCGATAAATGATGTTGACGGCCTAGAAATCCAAAATCTGGTCTAGAAAACCTAAAGATGACCTAAACCTTGAAAAAACTTGAGTTTATTGATCTAGAATCCCTATAACATGATTCTGACAACTTAGAAAACTTCTAGGTGGCCTAGAAACCCGAAATCTTGATTTTCATGACCTAGAAACCCAAAAATTATTTTATTTCATTCAAATGTTCTCCTCGGTTTTCCAATTGATTTCAATAATTCTTCAGTTGTCTGAAATTTCGGCACAATTTCCTCACAAACATCTCGAATTGGTGAATTATCCGAGTTATGATAAATATCCGTAAAAAAGTCCGTCCATCGGCAAAAAATCGTCATTTTTTGCAGAAAATACTGCTTTTTCGACGAGTTTCTGAAATGTTTATTGGTTTTGTTTTTTCTGACAATTTTTATGTCTCACCTTCAAATCCTTATCAATTTCATCCAATTCTTTTTCTTCTGCCAAATTTTGCGTCAAAATTTTGGCGCGAAATTCGAAAATCGGATCACGTGGCGGTGTTTTCGGATTGGGTCCAGCTGAATGTCCGTGATATTCGGTTTGTAGTTCGAGAATCAGGGGACCATTTCCGGAAATTATGAAATTCCGTGCAAAACGAGCCGCTTCTCGAATTGATATTATATCAATTCCATCACAACGAATTCCCGGAATATAATCGCATCTGGAAAAAAATTCAAATGGGATTTTTTGTGCTAAAAATGAGGAAAATGAACATTTTTTGACTCGAAAAATGTCATTTTTGAACTAAAATTTGAAATTTCAAAAAAAAATTATAGCTCATAAATTTTTTAAAATCTTGATTCTCAAGACTTAAATTCTAACTTTTAAATTTCCTATTCCACGTGGATTTTGACAACAGAAAATGCCACGTGTCACCTCCTAACTCACCTCGTATAATATTTTGTATTCGATGTCAATGTTTCTGATTCAACAACTCGTCCAAATCGATTATTTTCGCAAACGAATAAAATTGGCAAATTCCATAGTTTTGCCATATTATAAGTTTCGTATAATTGACCTTGATTCGCTGTTCCATCGCCATAACATGTTACGCAAATTTGCGGCTCTTTTCTGGAGGAAATTGATGGATTTAGAGTCGAAAATAAAAAAATTCATAGATTAGAAAAAAATGATTGTTGTCGTAGAATGACCCGATTTTTGGCGCCAAAAATGTACAGTACTCTCTCCACATTTAGAAAATAGAGACAACGTTTTTGAATTTTGAAAGCTAGGTTTTAGGAAGATTTCCGAATTTAATTTCAGAAATTCGGTATTTTTATTAAAAAAATTAATTCTCAGAAATAGATATTTTATATATTTTTGAAACAGTGAAAATTTGAAAGATTTTTTTTTATTTTGAAAAATTTACTTTTCTCGAAAATAAGTTGATTTTTAGCTTGTTTGGTGTCAAAACGCTCCAAATTTTCATCCGGCCACATTTTTGGCCCCAGAGATCCCCGATTATCTGATCACCTCAATTTCATAGCCAATGCCATTCCTGCTCCATTCGGAACCTGTCCACATAACATTGCATTACCCCCAAAAAATCGATCGGTAAACATGTGCATTGAACCACTTTTGCCATTCACAATTCCTGTTGATCTACCTGTACATTCAGTTAGAACTTCTGACACTTCAGCACCTGAAAAATAAACCTAGAAAGAATTCTAGACAAAAGCTGAAAGTTACCCAATAAATGTGCCCAAACATGATTTCGATACGAAGTGATTGCCAAATCTTTTTCATGCATTTCTGCAAATATTCCAACAGCACAAGCCTCTTGTCCACTATAAATATGACATAATTGATTGATATAACCTTGTTGACTTAAAGGTGCACATTCATTTTCCATCAATCGACTTCGTTTCATTTGAGTGTAAAATTTGAGAGCATCTTGACGAGTTAGACTAACTTCGCCACGTGGAAGAGTAGAAGAGGAATCGAGATTATGATAGAAATATGGAAGAGTTTTGAAATTGGCCGAGTTTGAGATTTTTCGAGTTGAATAACGCATAAATTGTTTTGAGAGCATCTTTGATTCAGAAATGGAAGAAAATTTTTCGAATTTTGGAAAAAAATAAGGGGAGAGGTCACGTGTCACGTAAAAATTGCATTTTATCTCATTTTTTTTGATTCCTAGCTCAGCACTTGACTCTGTAGACTGACTGTACAAATTGAAGAAGTGTGAATACAGCGAATGAACGCTGTACCTACACTTTTTTCTCGAAAATTGTAGGTTCATTTTATCTTCAGCGTAGCTACGAAAAAATCAAATTCGTAGCTACGCAGATGATAAATCGTTATTACGCACACCTGAAATTCTGACGAGAGCTGCCAAGCGTCACACAATCAGAAATGAAAACGTAGGTACAGCGTATCTACGCTGTAGCTACACAATTCGCAGACAGAAATGAAGTGAAGTGACCGCTCTATATTATTTTTGAATCCGTAGCTACGCCGATGCTGTTCTGTAGCTACTTTGTAGATAAACGGATGTTACTTATGTGCAATTCTCTCTTCCCCGTTTTCGTACAAAGTATCAACGAAATTTGTACAGTCAGTCTACAGAGTCAAGTGCTGAGAGGGTCAAGTTTTGGAATTCTAGGCCACCAACATCGTCTTTTTGATTTTCTAGGTCATGCATTTAGCAAAATTAGGACTTCTATTATTTTTGGCAGAAAAACTGTGCGAGACTTGCAAAATTAGGCTACGCCCGTCTTTTTCGAGTTCTAATTTTGTCTGAACAAAATGCCACGTTGCAAAGTTTGTCTAACAAAGATTCAAAAAAATTTTTCGAAAAATCTTGATTTTCATCCGAAAATAATAATTATCGATTTTTTGCAGAGCACATTGAATACATCCGGCTTCTACATTCTCGTTTTATCCATCCAATTGCTCATATTAATCACCAGTATCGCCTACTGTAATGTTTTGATGGGCGGAACCATCAAACAATTCATCTTCTCAATATTCGCCGCAATTTTGCCTTTGAAGTCTACTACAGTACCCCCGGTTACTGTAGCTGAAGAGCAACAAGAAGAATTGAATACTGTGGCTACTTGAAAATTTGATTTTTGTGTGTAAAAAATAAAATTCATATAACAATAAAAAATGAAATGGTCCCGTAAAAAATCTACCGGTAAAGAACAAACAAAATACGAGAGAAATAATACGAATTCAAATTTTGGCGCCTTTTTCGAGAGGATATCGTGTAAATTGGCTGATCAAACTAGAGATATTCGAAATGATTTCCGAAAGAACATCGAAAGTTTTGCGATTTTCTAGTTTTTCCTCGATTTTATCGGCCGAAATTCCAAGAATTTGAAGAGCTGCTTTGAATTCGACGATCTGAAATTGAGAAATTTAAGATTATCATTTATTTAAATGTTAATTGCTAACCTGTGGTGAAATTTTCACCAATGCGTTCAAAACCGCTTTCGATTGTTGGGAATTTGTGAGGAAAATCGAGAGAGCTTTGGTGATCCACGCGAATTTTCGGGCAATTGTATTCGCTTGATTTTCTGTGATTTTTGAGTCGATAGTGGAGCCGAAAAGGACAGTGGCTGGAAAAAACGAGATTTTAAGAGAAATTAATAATTTTGGAGTCGATTTCAATTTTGAAGAGCAAAAACCACGAAAAAATCGACCTTCCTTGAAGGAAAATCTAGTTTTCTCAAAAATTCAAAGTTTTCAAATAAAATCTAGTTTTCTAGCTCATTTTTGCTCAAAATTCAGTAATTTTTTGTCTCTAAATTCGAAATCCACGTGGAAACTGACAGCAATTCGTTAAAATATGTCATCTTACAATTTTTGGATTAAAAATTCAAAATCTACATGGCATTCAGAATTAAGGGTTGAAAAATCTAATATTTCTCGAAACATTTTTTCATGAAAAACCGTGTTTTTTTGTTCAAAATTCAACAAAAGCTCACTTTTCTTCGTCTCGTCTCCAACAATTCCATTCTGTATCTCTCGCATCAAATCCTCCATTTTCTCAAATACCATTTTCAACACTTCTCGATCTCCAGTTTTTGCCAATTTTACCATAAGTCCCTCAAAATTTCGCTCATTTTTCATCAAAAATTCGCGCATTTCACCAGGTGAAACCATCAAAATCGGCGGAATTTCGGAAGAAAATCGTGTGATAATCAACCAATTAACAATATCAGCAACTTGTTCATCTTTCCACAAAATCAATCGATAATCGATCGATAAATGATTCTTCAGGAAATCCGCGAATTTTTCTGCGATTTTTGAATTTAATAAATATGCCAAAATTCGTCCGGCTTGTTGTTCGTGTCGCAAAAATATGATCGAAAGCAATTTTTGGGGTAAAACTGCGATTTTTTCTAAATCTTCGGAAGTTTCGAGTGATTTTTCAGCGAAATAAATGGAATGACAGAAAAGACGAGCAAAACTGGCAGATATTCTCGAACATGTTGATGTTGAATTCATTATTGCGAATTCGTAGATTATTCGTTTGGCAAATTCCACTGTAAAAAATTATTGTATGATTATTTTATAAAATATATTGATTTTAGGTGTGTGGTAATGATTGAATGTTTGGAAAATTGCAAAAATATTTGACAATTTTTTGAAACAGTAATTTTTTTTTGTTTTTTTTTTTGAAGAGAAAGTATTCACTGCCTCCCCAAATCTACGTGTGTGTGGAAAAACGAAAAATGTCTGGCACGCTCTCACAAACACACACTCTCTCGCACACAACTTTTTACTTTTATTTCGCGAAAACAGTGCATATTAGGAGCTGATTTTTATGTGTTTTTCGTCGGAACCACAATAAGTGTTATACATAGTTCGAAAGAGAATTTCTTCAGCTACAAACACATATGAAATGTTATAAATGAAAACGAGGTAAAAAAATAAAAATTTCATGCAAACATGACATGGTTTTTTTGAATTGTGTGAATCACGCATGTGTTTTTTGATGACCTGGCTTATTTTTTGAATATCGAATATATGTATAATCGAGTCGTAGTTTTGTTCAGAATATCAAGGGCTTTCAGATGGTATAAATCAATATTTATGAAATTGTGAAATCATGGAGGAGTAGGGATTTTTCGTTTGTCAATTTTTAAAACGAAATTTTCATTTTCATTTGAAAGGAACTCGAATGAAGTTTACATACGTTTTGTAGAGAATTTCTCGGGCTTCAAAATCATATATATTTCTATACACAAAAATGAAAATTGAAAGCACCGCTTTCGGTTGAAAACTCACCGCTGTTTTTCGCAACGCTACTAAACGCGATTTGTTTGTTTGGTGCAAACCCAACAAGTTTTCAACCGAAAGCGGTGCTTTCAATTTTCATTTTTGTGTATAGAAATATATATATGATTTTGAAGCCCGAGAAATTCTCTATAAAACGTATGTAAACTTCATTCGAGTTCCTTTCAAATGAAAATGAAAATATCGTTTTAAAAATTGACAAACGAAAAATCCCTACTCCTCCATGATTTCACAATTTCATAAATATTGATTTATACCATCTGAAAGCTCTTGAGATTCTGAACAAAACTACGACTCGATTATACATATATTCGATATTCAAAAAATAAGCCAGGTCATCAAAAAACACATGCGTGTTTCACACAATTCAAAAAAACCATGTCATGTTTGTATGAAATTTTTATTTTTTTACCTCGTTTTCATTTATAACATTTCATATGTGTTTGTAGCTGAAGAAATTCTCTTTCGAACTATGTATAACACTTATTGTGGTTCCGACGAAAACACATAAAAATCAGCTCCTAATATGCACTGTTTTCGCGAAATAAAAGTAAAAAGTTGTGTGCGAGAGAGTGTGTGTTTGTGAGAGCGTGCCAGACATTTTTCGTTTTTCCACACACACGTAGATTTGGGGAGGCAGTGGTATTGAAAAACTTCAAATTCAACGTAGATTCCTAAATTTTCATGCGTCAAAAACATCCCAAGCATGTTTGGTGTCAAAATGTTCCAAATTCTACGTAGATCCTACTGCGCACCCCAGATATTCTCAAAGTTCTCCAAAAAACTCCGTTCTTGAGCTCCAAAATGCTCCAAATTCCCTCCCTCTCCTTCTTAAAAATTCACTCACAAAGCAATCTACCATCCTCTCTGATAAAAGTCGCAGCCACATTCAAAAACATTTCTTCTTCTTTATTTAACAATTCTTCCGTCTTTTGCTCTCTTTTTTGTTTCAATAATAATCCCCACATTTCCGCGTGTTGGCTCTTTTTCAAATATTCAATCATAACATCAACAGCTTCCTCGATTTCCATTAAAATACATCCATTTTCCAATTTCACACCTTTTTCCTCCAAAACTTGTGGCAATTGTTCAACAGGTAATTTCAAATCAAATGCCAATCTCAAGTGATTTTTCCCGTTTTCTCGCTGATTTTTCCTTAATTTTTTCGTATTTTCAGCCAATTCCAGCTCCGCGGCTCTTTTTATTCCTCTTCCCGGTTTTTTCAGTGGAATATCGATTAGAATTGCAGTTCTTTTTGGCTCCGGTTTTTTGGTGGAAATTGTGGGCGGAGCTTGTGGTTGTTCTGATTCTGGTTCTTCTTCGCTATCACTGACATCTAATCCGAGATCTTCGATTTTTGATGATTTCTGGAAAAAGAAAAATAACATGGAAGACTTTTTGGTGGCCTAGAAATACAAATGTTATTTTTATGATCTTGAATTTTTGTCAAAAATTCATTTTTTTTTTGTATTTCAGTGACTTCTGGATATCCTTCTATGATGTTTTGGGCTAGAAATCCAATTTTTCTCAAAATCTGAAATCTTACCTTCTTAATTACCGCAACTTTGTCCATTTTTTTCGGCGATTTTTCGACAATTTCCTCTTCAACTCTCAATGATCTATCACTGTCCTCACTTTCCTCCAAAAAATTATCAGAGAAAGAAATTTCAGTCGATAATGAAATTACAGAACATGATGATGTGCTTGGCAGATTTTCAGAGATCTGCAAAATACCTGGGGTTAGAGATTGAAAATTCAGTCGGACAACGAGTGACGCCTTGAAATTCTATGTCAAGAAGGCGCGCCTAGATATCTTAGATCTCAAGTAGCCGCGCCTATGAGATTCAATTTTCAAGGGTCAGCGCCTACAAATCTTACCTCAACATTTTCAGTCGGCATTTTACTTGATTGTACAGGTTTTGGCTGAAAATTCGAATGTCAGAAGAAACTTGAAATTTAAAATTTACCTTAACTTTTTCTTGTACAGTTATATTTGACAGGTTTGATTTTGGCTTGTGTTGTTTTCTGGGTGATGGTCTTTTGAATGTAGTTTGATCTGGATTTTCAGCAAGTTCCAGATTTTCAGATAATAGTTTTTTGGGAGGCGAAATTGATGGAAGTGGCTAAAAAATATCGATTTTTCAGGGATTTTCATCTCAAAAATTACCTCATCAATTTGTAAATTTCCAGTGTCTTCTTCCTCATTCTCTTCTCGATTTTCAGCAGGTTTTTCAAGATTTTCAGGCTGAAATTATGTGATTTTGTGTTAAAATTATGGTTTCTAGCTCAAAAACCCACCTGATCTACAGATTTTTCAGATTTTCTTTGTCTTTTCGGTGCTGGCATTGTCGAAAATCCTCGAACTCTTGTTGGCGGACCACAATCAAGAGAAGCTGGCTGAAAAAAATGAGATTTTTTCGGGCTGAAAACAAAATTGGGGAAAAACTCACTAAAACAGCTTTAGGTCTGACTGGAATTGCACGATGTGTTGGCATTTTTTTCTGGAAAAAATGGGGAATTTTGGAAAATTAGAAAATATTTAGAATTTCATCAACCATTGGAATACTGAAATTTTGGTTCTCGTTAGAATCTTATTAAAATTTTGAAAAGTATCAAAAACGGGGAAAATATTAGAATATTTTTGAAATTTAGTCATGATTTTTAGTAGGGAAATTTGTCTGAAAAACACGAATTCAGAAATTTTATTTACAAAATTACCTCAACTTTCGAACTTCCAGCTTCTTCTCGATTTTCAGGCAGGAACTTTCAAGATATTCTGGTGAACTTTCGAACTGCAGCTGATTGTTTTGGTGTTGGAATTGGCTGAAATTTCAAATTTTTAGGGATTATTTCCAGAATGAAAAATGAAAATTATGAACCAAATTTACCTCCTCAATTTCCAAATTTCCAGCGTCATCTCGACTTCCATATACAGCTTCAGAACTTCTTGTAGATCTTCTTACTGGAACTGATTGCTTTGGTGTTGGAAGAAGCTGAAAATACGAGTTTTTTAGGGTGAAAAAAAGGAATTTCAGATGATTTCTAGGTCAAAAATCAAGATTTCTATTTGAAAATTGGTCTGAAAATATTTTCTATGATTGGCAGCTATAAATTGGTCTAAAAATTACCTCATCAATATCCAAACTTTCAGCGTCTTCTCGAAGTCCAGCAGGAATTTCAGAATTTCTGGATGATCTTCGAATTGAAGCTGGTGCTTTTGGTGATGGTGAAGGCTGAAAATTACAGTTTTAGCATTAAATAAAAATGGGATTTTCAGATGATTTCATTTAAGAATAAAATTACCTCAGAATTTCTGGTAGAACTTCTGACTGGAGCTGGTTGTTTTTGTGTTGGAATTGGAGTTGGCTGCAAAATTACAGTATTCAAAGTAGAACAAAAAGAATTTCAATGTGAAAATGAAAATTTCAGCTTCACAATTACCTCATTAATTTCCAAACTTCCTCGATTTTCAGCAGGAATTTCAGAATTTCTTGTAGATCTTCTTACTGGAGCTGGTTGTTTTGGTGTTGGAAGAAGCTGAAATTATCGATTTTTAGCGTGAAATGAGATTTTCATATGATTTCCAGACTGAAAAATTTAATCTCCAACCAACATTACCTCATCAATATCCAAACTTCCTGGTTCTTCTCGATTTTCAGCGACAATTTCTGAGTTTCTAGTTGATCTTCGAATTGGAACATGTTGTTGCTTTGGTTTTTGAATTATCTGAAAATTTCAGATTTTAAGGTAAAAATAGGTCTAAACATACCTCTTTCTTAGTGCTTCCAGTGATTTTCGGAGTCGGAGGTTCAGCTGATGTTTTTGGTGTTGGAAGATGCTAAAAATAGGAGAATTAACATGCTTATAGCTTTAAAACACTAAAAATTCACCCCAAAACCTATTTGACTATTTCTATTTGGTGGTCTTCCTCTTCCTCTTCCTTTTTCTTCTTCCACATTTTTATCAATTGATTTTCTACTCGAAACTGAACGACTCCTAGCTCTTCCAGCTTGAGGAGTCTGAAAATTAGAGATTTTTATGATTTTCAGGTAAAGATCTATCTTTTTTATTTAATATTCAACTAATTTCAGGTATAAATTCAGGCTTTTCGGCATAAAATGTTCCTAAATACCTCCTTTTCAATTTTCCTTTTTGGCCGGTCTTCCACGTCCTCTTCTTTCAACAATTGCTTCGGGCTGAAAATAGGTTTTTAGATTGAAAAATGGTCAAAACAGTAATCATTTCATGATAATTTAGCATAAATTGATGTTTTTCGGGTCAAAAATGATTCAGAAATCATGAAAATTGACCAGCCTACAACTATCAATTTTTAGACAAAAAAAAGATTATTTCAACAATTTCTGATGATTTTTCTTGAAAATCGCGAAATTTCAGCTTCAAATTTACCTCATCAATTTTCGAACTTCCAGCTTCTTCTCGATTCTCATTTTCAGCTGAAATTTCAGAATTTCTAGTCGATCTTCGGATTGGCGCTGGTTGTTTTGGTGTTGGCTGGAAAATATAGATTTATTGATTTTCTGATAAAACAGTGCGAATTGTTTTTCCCTGATTTTCAGCACAAAATCTCACCGTTGCCAGAATTTCCGGATCTTCGGATTTTCGAGAAGAACAAGTTCTTCTTCTCAATTTGACTCTTTCCGATGTTGACATCGAAATATCATCGGGAATATCGCTGGATTCCGAAAGGCATAAACTGACAGGTCGAAGAGGCTGCAAAATTTTAGATTTTTTGGGCTAAGACAAGCCAAATTTTTAAGCTGAAAATTCAAGGCTCTAAGACAAAACTTCCCAAAGAATCACCTCAATCTCTCCAATTTTCTTCGAATTTCCCGCCAAATTCTGTTCTTCTCGCATTTTCGCCACTTTTTCTTTGATCGACATTTTTTGCATATTTTCCGCTTGCTGTTCTCGAACCGTTTTTCCTTTTCGACCGTGAATTGTGCTGAAAATTGTAAAGTTTCGTTGGGATTTTCGGATTGAAAAAAACTTACGTTGCAGCAGCAACAGGTTCCGGATTTGGACCAGAAGGATTGCTTGGACCGGCTTCAGATGAGTTTCCAGATGATCGATGCAATAGGGATTTTGCTGGAAAAAAAATCAATTTAGGCTGAAAAACGTGGCTTAAAATTAGCTAAAGTCTAATTTTTCTTGAAGGTTTTTAGCACACAATCCCCATTTCCCCAATTTAAGCCTCAAAAATCGCTTACTTCTCTGTTTTGCCGCATCATTGATCGCATCATAAGCATACGGTGCTGGAATAGATCTGCTGTGCACAGTTCGAGCATCCAAGACTCCACGATCTGCCAAATCTGCGATTTCTAAATTAAATTTTAATTTGAAAAAAAAATGAAATATTCTTACTAGGATTAGGTTTTCTGATGCGTTTTGGCCAAACTTTGTGATCTTTGATGGGTGTTTTGTCATATTTCATCTGTGGCTCGCGTTTTTTGATTTCTGGAGATTTCAGGAGAGCTTCTAGGGTTTCTGAAGTTTCATCGATGGATTCTTCTTCTTCATCATCACTTAAATGTAGTCCTAAATCTTCATGATCTTTATTTTTCCGACTATTTGGCTCTTTTTCCACTAAAACAATCGATTCTGCATCTTTTCTATAAGGTTCAGCATTAAATTGAACTCTAACATCATCCCGACGAAATAAGTTGATTAAATCCTTTGTGGCTTTTGCTGTGTTATTTGTTGGCATATTTCTTGAAAGCAAATCGATTAGAGTGATTGCCTTATTTAGATATCTATTAAGGATTTTTTGTCGATTAATGATTGGATCATTTTTCGCTTTGTCTAATTCCAATTTTGCTCGAAGAGATGTGAATTTCTTTTCATATTGATCGAGTAAAGAAACACTTTTCACGTATTTCGAATTAACTTCATCAATTGTTTGTTCGAGTTTTTCAGCAAGACCGCCCATCTCATCGTGTTTATTTCGCCATTCATTCGCATTTTTCAAATGTATTTCTGAACTTGCTGCTTTCTCTGATAACTCTTCATTTCGATTTTTATAAAATTCGCAATCCTTTTGTAATCTGAGCAATTCGGCTTCCGCAGTCTCTTTTGCATTTACGGCATTTGCACATTGATCATGATAGCGCATTGTATTTCTTTCCAAATCTTGCAACTTATACACCAAAACCCTTATTTTCGCTTTGCAATTTTTCAATCGATTCCTGAGATGCTGTGAAACTCTTCTGCCTTTCTATAACCAACGCTAGATTTTTCTTCACATTCTGGCATGCTTCTTTGTCACAAATAGTTTCTTCTTCATCCATTTTTTACTGAAATTAAAAAAAAATAATTTGAAACGAATTTTCTATTCTAAAAAATAAGAAAACAAGTTAAATAGGACATGTTATATATCATTAGGCTCAGAATTAGTTGTTCTAAACTTTGTTCACAAAAGGAAACATTACTTTTGTTTTATTTGAGCGGATATTGGCTGTGAAAAAGAAAAAAACCCAAAAAATAAAAATACTCTTCGAAAATGTGGCAGACAAACGCGCCCTATTGCTAATTGCGCGTCACATTTGGTGTTTGCGGAAATTCGAATTTTTCTTTTTCTTTTTTTTTCACTTTTTTCTCTTTCTTTTTACCCTCTTATTCTAAAGCTGAAGCAAGTTACAATATGTTTATTGTGAAGTGGAAGAACAAGTATTTTTCATTTGTTGAAAACCACAAATTATTTTGAAAAAATCAGTTTCTGCCTCGGTGTTGCGTTCGCCATTTATTTGAACCCATGGAATCTGTAATTTTCTTTTTTGTTTTCTTCAAAACTAAATTATAAATATAGGTTACATGGTACGAATTCGGTGCAATTTTCGAGCGCATCATATGCTCGCCGAATAGTAAATCTTCACCGTGTTGTGAAACCCCACAATTTCGAATTTCCTCGCGTTTTTCATGATTTTCTAGACATTTTTCAATGTCCTCCAATTTTCCGCCTTGTATACAAGAGACTGAAAATTAATTAAAATTGGAGGTTTCTTGAGGAGAAATTGGAAAAAGAAGATTTGTTACCTGTGACGATGCCAGTTGTGAAATTTGAATATTTTTTGGCGCACGCTTGGAATTTCGCCAGTTCACATTCCAAAGTTCCATGTGGACATGTTGCCCTGTTTTTTTTTCAAAATGTATGTTTTCTGGTAGATTTTTTTGAACCAGCTGATCCTGATTCAAAATTGCCTATCCCAACTCTGAATATAAATTATAACGTGGCGAAATTTGTGATTTAAAAACATACATAAAATAGGTCCCCCGAGTCAGTTGTCAAAGTTAGGGTCCTTCCTGGAAAATTTTCCAAAGTTAAACACCTTCCTCACATTTTTGAGCGAATTTTGGACAAATCTGGGAATTTTAGTAAATTATCAGCAGAAAATTGGCCAAAGCCCCCTCACCCCGATTCAGGGCACAGCAAATTTTTCACTACGCATTTTCTCATTGCACAATTTCACGTGTCGCTACAGTATTTTCGCAAAAAAAATGTCTTTTTTTGTGTTTTTTTTCACAAAAAATGTGTTTTTGAAGCCGAAACCGAAGGAAACATGCTCAAACTACATTTTTAGAAGTAGTTGATAATTTTTCAAGTAGTAATAGTTTTTTGAATCAAAAGTTTATTGTCTTTCCTGGGAAAATCGAGAAAAATATGGAGAAACGTCATTTTGAGCGGAATTAGAAGATTAATAAGCAATTATCTGTCTTCCGGACCTCCCTCAACCCTTCTTTGCTCAATTCTTATAGTGAAAAATCAACTTTTCCCTGAAATTCGGGTTCAAATCCTCAAAAAACGAGTAAAAACAGGATTTTATTAGGCTCCGCCCAGATGTGTGTGCCGCGTGAAAAACACATTCTGCAATGATTTTTTATTTGAGGTCACGTAGAAAAAAATTTGCTGTGAGGGGACCCATTTTATGAATGTTTAAAAAATGTCATTATTAGTACATTTTCGAAATGTTACCTAAAGATAAGTATTCCACGTCATAACTCATATTTAGAGTTGAGCTTTGCAATTTTTGAGGACGAAATTGTGGACAGCGAGTCAAAATCTACATGGATTTGGCTTCAAAAAATAAGAAAACCTACACAACTTTTCCATTGACCTGTTTTGTTCCCGTCGGTATAATATGCCAATCAATTTTCACATCATCCGCCAATTTTTGGTGATTCTTCTTGGCGAAAAATGGGCCGAGTTGATTTTTAAATAGAATATTTGTATGGGGGCATTTTGCCAGACCGAAAATCTCAATTTCCAGCTTGGCAAATGCCACGTAGGGTATTAGAAATAGAATGAAAATGTTCATTTTGAATGAAATTTAATAGCCCCGCTTCTCATTTTATAGATACTATTAACATATGAATGGTGAATTTTTATGATTACACAAAAAATAAATATAAAAAATTTTGAATCAATAGACGTCATCAATTTTGACGATTTGCTCGAAACCCGGATATTTTGGCATAACCAATTTGAACTCATCAACGAGGCCTTGCGGTACAAATCGGCCGCCGAGAAAATGAGGCCCGGTCCAGTTCTGTAGACATAGTTTTGGCAAGGTTAGCGAAATAACTGCATGTGGTTTAATATAGGCTTGATCCTGATTTTCTCCAGCAGAAGAAGGAATTCCAGTTTCAACATTCCAACCTGATGGAATATCAATTGAAAATACGTGAATACCCGATTCCACCACATTTTTGATAATTTCATTGAATGGTTCACGAATTGGTGGATTGAATGAGAAGCCAAAAAGTGCATCGACGATTAGATTGAAGTCTTTAAGATTGTTTGGAAGGGTTTGATGAATTGAGATGTTGGAAGTGTGACATTGTTGAACTAGATTTTTCATTAGATCGTTTCTCGATTCTTTCGGGTAGATTATTGTTGGATTGAAACCCTGCAAATTGGTTTTCAGTGGGTTTTTGTTGCTAGATAAAAGATTTCTGAATCTTGGTGGAAGCATTTGTTTTCAAAATGATTTTCTAGTTTTCCACGTCACGAAGTTCACGTGGAAATAATGCTCTGAAACGTTTAGGACCAATTTTTGAAGGGCTTCAATAGTTGACTGAAATCCAGCTACACAAACAGATTTTTCTAGCCTAAAACAAACTAAAGTTCGTCCTCGACGTTTCAGAACGTTTTTTGCCACGTCATAGCTTTTTTCCCGATCGAAAAACGCGATGACTTTGAAAACTGGTTTCGTCCATTTGAAGTTCCACAGAAAAAAACGGAATTAAAAATTTTGGAAGTGATAAAAAATTTGCAAAATTGCAAATTTTGCCACATAACCTAGTGAGTTTTTCAATAAAATTTCCCGGAAAATTTATATACAAATTAATTTTGATTTTTAAAAAACTCACAAATTGTTGAAGATGTCTGGCGCACACAAATCCATCGCCTCCATTATTCCCAGGTCCACAGAGAACAGCAACTTTGCCTAGAACAAAAAATGATCGTTTTTTGTCTTTCAAATAAAAAACCTAATCCTATTGATTCCGGTTCCGTTCTTTCTCCCATTTTCCATCATTTTTCATTCAAAAACAATAAATAAAACAGTGTGTTTATTTATTTATTTATCTATCTATCAGTCTGATGTTTTTGACCTACCTCTCGAATAATGTGATGCGATTGCTTGCGCAGCAGCGAGTCCCGCAAGTTCCATCAGCTGCTCAACTTTGAATCCATATTTGGTGAAAAGCTCCTGGTCGATTTTTGCAGCGAGATTTTGTCTGAAATTTGAAAATCTTAAGGGGTGAAGCATACTTTCTAGTAGTTTTGACACACTGATCTTCGATTTCTGTGATTTTTGACAACTAGATCATGTCAAAATCCACTAGAGAGCACAATCTATCCGATTTCCGTTGTTTTTTCCCCCAAAATGGTCTGAAAAGCCTACCCGATCCATGTGACACTTTTCTTCGAAATCACTGAAACCGTCATTCCTCTGCAATTTTCCTCGTTCTGTTTTATTTTTCGCTGCTATTTTCTGCTGCTGTTCAAAAAAACACACACAAACACATATAGTGATAATGAAGTGTGTGAGAATTAGAGAAAACCTCGCCACGGTCGAAACAAAAACAACAAAAACAGAGAGAAAAAAGAGAGAACGAGAGAGAGAAAACGAGAAGACATTCTCATTTTCTTTTTGCTGTTTTGTCAATTTCCTGCCTCTCCTTCTTCCCCTTGTGATCACGAATTTTCAATAATTTTCCTTCCGAATTTCGGGGTTTTAATGGAACTATGGGCCGGGATTGAAAAATTATAATCCAAGACATTTTTCGTCGAAAATTTCGCGATTTTTGATGAAAAACTATGCGGGGGTTGCATTTCTATCAGAAAATCGATAATTTCAGTCGTACGCTGTGTGGAGGTTGTATTTCCAAATCTCCGCGCAGTTTTTGGTCAAAATTTCGGTTTTCATGTAAAAACTGTGCGAGGTTTGCAAAATCAGAACCCAGGAGAGTTTTTCGTGAAAATCCGGAGTTTTCGATGAAATATGCGGAGGTTGCATTTTCGAAAAAAAACCGTGCCAGGATTGCATTTCAAGACTCCGCCTGTTTTCAGGGGAAAAAACAGAAAATATTGCTCCCCGCGCAAGAAATAATAAAGGGTCGAGTTTGGTTTCCTAGGCCGCGCTAGTTTCTCTTCCATCCCTCATTTATCAGTATTTTCATCATTTCGTAAAAATTTTCAACGAAACGCCACAAAATGCAAAGTATTTTTTTGTGTGCTGCTGATTTTTTGCGGTTTGACGTCAATTGATTTTTTTCTCGTTTCGTTTTATAACATACTGAATTTTTTGGTTTTGGAGAGGCAAATTTTGAAGAAGAAAAGAACAAAGTGTAACCAAATATGATTTGCGTGTAGATACATCTATGTTGAAATATATTGTGTGTATGTGTGTTTTTTTTGTCACTTGTTTCATGTGACAGAAAAAGACAAAACGCATTTGATAATAGATATTGATTTTGTATTAGTAGTTTTTTTTTCGGCGGTTCGGTTCGATTTTCTGATGTAACTAACTGATGATACATATTCTAGATAAAAATTCGGAAAATCTAAAGTTAAAGCTCGTTTTCCCATAAAATCTTCAAGTGTTCATTAAATCTCAAATTCAAATTTGAAAAATAAACGTTCATCCCTATGATGTAAGGAGCTATAAGTGTTCTCCCTGTTTTTTCCACTGAAAATAGCTGACTAATCCATCCGACGGCTCACTTTTTCTCAGCTCATTTTTTTCTTTCTGAAAGAAAAAATTTGAAAAGAGTTGTCATTATTTGCATGTGTGAAATGAAATAAAATTATGATGAGGAGTCTAATTAGTCCATGACATTTTTTGAAATGATGTGTACCTATGTTGTCGTTGAATGCAGGTTCTATTTTGAATTATGCCGAGGAAAATGAGCTTCGGAATGAAAACGTGTGGTTTTAGAGGCTGGAAATGATTTTCGAAATTGACTTTTTAATTTCAAAACGATTCCAGTTCACGTAAAAAATATGGAAATATTGATTTTCCGGTCAATTTTTGAAAGTAGTTGGGAATTTTTTAATTACCAACCGAACTCAGATTTTCCACCGAAATTCGGAAAATCTCTAATTACATCATAATTTCAAACAGAATTCATGTTGAAAATTCAAAATTTCAGTAGTTTCATATATTTTTGAAAAGTATACCTGAGTTTTCAAGTTTTAATCAAAATTTTTGTGAAAACTAAGCTTCCTGTAATGAATACGAACTTGTATGAGATCAAAAAATCCTAATTTTCATTTTTTTTTCTTTTTCCCAAATTTTTGATCTCAAAAATTGCTCATAATCACCGATTCCCCTCTTCCCCGGCTTTTTGCTCAAAAACTAATACATTTTATTACTATTATTATTTGTCGTCGTCTTCTTCTTCTCGTTTTTTTGACTAGAACAACAACGGATTCTTCCATGTTTTCTCTGCTTCTCTAATCTCTCTCATATTCTCTCACTCTCTATCCAATCCACCATTCGATTCATTTCTTCTTCGGTCCATTCCTTCATCCGTCCATCTATCCATCCATCGATTCTTGCGCGCTCTCTGTCTCTGCTTCTCTGCCACTCTCGCCACCTTCTTCTCATTTATACACATACATACATATATATGTATGTATATATATGTGCTAGGCAGGCAGCCCGCCCTTGCATCTCTGCGTCTCTAACCACCTTCACGGTGCACTCTTTGCCTCTCTCTGTTCTATCGGGCGGCAGGCTTGTTTGCTTCTTTTCTCTCTGTCTCTCTATTCGGCCGATATGTTTTGATTTGAAATGAAAAAATGAAGGCTTTTTGCGTGATTTTTTGGAACATCATTTATGGTGTGAGAAATTGGTGGATTTTTGAGATTTTTATTGATTTATTTGTGAAGATTATGACTGCTCCCGGTGTTTTTCTGATAGTTTTAGCCGGAAAAAATTGATCTACTATATACTAATTGAAAACTGCTTTTCGAAAATAGTTTGTCCGCGATCCGTTCAGGTCTTCAACGTTCATAAAAATTGATGATCAAAAAATGAAAAGTTTGCAAATTTTGGCACCTTGGTGCACATACCATCTGTTTTTGATGAATTTCAGTCGGGGTGCGCGGAGCACAAAAAGTTTGAAAACTCCAATGTATTTTTCGATTTAAAAATGTGTCGCAAGACTTTTCTCAACTTTCAGAAGGCCATTTTTGATGGGACCTTCACCATTCGATCCCAAATTCTTTCCCATCGAGGCGCTAATATTCGGTTTTTCAAAAAGTGCGCGAGTTTTCACGTGAAAAATCAAAACTTTTTTCATGCTAAAAAGAATGATCACGTTTTTAATCAGAAAAATGGCTAGGTCACGTCTCTTATCTGATCTTTCTATTTCATTCATAGAGGGGACATTTTTAATCATTTCTCGCTATTACTCTACTCCTAATCGGTTTGAAAAATAAATAGAAAAAAAGTGAGTTAGATTACTGTGGATAAATTTATAATTTGTTCGAACTTTCAGATATTGGATAATTTCTTTTACAAGAAGAAAAACAAATACTTTAATGTGAATGTTTGATAGTGAGTTTTGATGTGTTTGGGAATCCCAATATAGTTAAAGGGGGGGGGGTAAGACGACAAAATTTTTTTGTCGCAAAGTTGAAGGCTCCCCAAAAGTAGTAAAACCTCCAAGGGATTTTTCTGGAAACGCCCAGAAAAAATGTTCCATAAACTAGGTACCACGTATACGTTGAAAAAAAGTTCATGGAATATTTTTTCGGACCTTTTTAGGCCTTTCGAAAATAAATCCCCTGGGGCTTTTACTATTCAAAGGAGCCCGATTCATTGAGCGAATAAAATTTTGTCGTCTTACCCCCCCCTTTAAGCCCAAACCACAAACCCGAGTTTATTCAAAAAAAAAATCGGCCCGAGTTTTTTCGTTGGATGAAAAAAAATCGGCCCGAGTTTTTTCGTTGGATGAAAAAAAAAATAGGCCCGAGTTTTTTCGTTGGATGAAAAAATCGGCCCGAGTTTTTTCGTTGGATGAAAAAAAAAATCGGGCCGAGTTTTTTCGTTGGATGAAAAAATCGGCCCGAGTTTTTCGTTGGATGAAAAAAAATCGGCCCGAGTTTTTTTCAAAAAAAAATCGGCCCGAGTTTTTTCGTTGGATGAAAAAAATCGGCCCGAGTTTTTTCGTTGGATGAAAAAAAAAATAGGCCCGAGTTTTTTCGTTGGATGAAAAAAATCGGCCCGAGTTTTTTCGTTGGATGAAAAAAAATCGGGCCGAGTTTTTTCGTTGGATGAAAAAAATCGGCCCGAGTTTTTTCGTTGGATGAAAAAAAATCGGCCCGAGTTTTTTTCAAAAAAAAATCGGCCCGAGTTTTTTCAAAAAAATTGGATGAAAAAAAATCGGCCCGAGTTTTTTCAAAAAAAAATCGGACCGAGTTTTTTCAAAAAAAAATTGGATGAAAAAAAAATCGGACCGAGTTTTTCAAAAAAAAATTGGATGAAAAAAAATCGGCCCGAGTTTTTTCAAAAAAAAATCGGACCGAGTTTTTTCAAAAAAAAATTGGATGAAAAAAAATCGGACCGAGTTTTTCAAAAAAAAAATCGGCCCGAGTTTTTTTCAAAAAAAAAATCGGCCCGAGTTTTTTCAAAAAAAAATCGGCCCGAGTTTTTTCAAAAAAAAATCGGCCCGAGTTTTCAAAAAAAAATTGGATGAAAAAAAATCGGCCCGAGTTTTTTCAAAAAAATCGGACCGAGTTTTTTCAAAAAAATTGGATGAAAAAAAATCGGCCCGAGTTTTTCAAAAAAAAATCGGCCCGAGTTTTTTCAAAAAAAAAATCGGACCGAGTTTTTCAAAAAAAATTGGATGAAAAAAAATCGGCCCGAGTTTTTTCAAAAAAAAAATCGGCCCGAGTTTTTTCAAAAAAAAATCGGACCGAGTTTTTTCAAAAAAAAAAAATCGGCCCGAGTTTTTTCAAAAAAAAAATCGGACCGAGTTTTTTCAAAAAAAAAATTGGATGAAAAAAAATCGGCCCGAGTTTTTTCAAAAAAAAATTGGATGAAAAAAAATCGGACCGAGTTTTTTTCAAAAAAAAAAATTGGATGAAAAAAAATCGGCCCGAGTTTTTCAAAAAAAAATTGGATGAAAAAAAATCGGCCCGAGTTTTTTCAAAAAAAATCGGACCGAGTTTTTTCAAAAAAAAAAATCGGCCCGAGTTTTTTCAAAAAAATCGGCCCGAGTTTTTCAAAAAAAAAATCGGCCCGAGTTTTTTCAAAAAAAAATCGGCCCGAAGTTTTTTCAAAAAAAAATCGGCCCGAGTTTTTTTCAAAAAAAAAAATCGGACCGAGTTTTTTCAAAAAAAAATTGGATGAAAAAAAATCGGCCCGAGTTTTTTCAAAAAAAAAAATCGGACCGAGTTTTTTCAAAAAAAAATTGGATGAAAAAAAATCGGCCCGAGTTTTTTCAAAAAAAAATCGGCCCGAGTTTTTTCAAAAAAAAATTGGATGAAAAAAAAATCGGCCCGAGTTTTTTCAAAAAAAAAATCGGACCGAGTTTTTTCAAAAAAAAATTGGATGAAAAAAAATCGGCCCGAGTTTTTTCAAAAAAAAAAATTGGATGAAAAAAAATCGGCCCGAGTTTTTTCAAAAAAAAATCGGCCCGAGTTTTTTCAAAAAAAAATTGGATGAAAAAAAATCGGCCCGAGTTTTTTCAAAAAAAAAAATCGGACCGAGTTTTTCAAAAAAAAATTGGATGAAAAAAAATCGGCCGAGTTTTTTCAAAAAAAAAATCGGACCGAGTTTTTCAAAAAAAATTGGATGAAAAAAAATCGGCCCGAGTTTTTTCAAAAAAAAAAATCGGCCCGAGTTTTTTCAAAAAAAAAATCGGACCGAGTTTTTCAAAAAAAAATTGGATGAAAAAAAATCGGCCCGAGTTTTTTCAAAAAAAAAAATCGGCCCGAGTTTTTTCAAAAAAATCGGACCGAGTTTTTTCAAAAAAAAAAATCGGCCCGAGTTTTTTCAAAAAAAAATCGGACCGAGTTTTTCAAAAAAAAATTGGATGAAAAAAAATCGGCCCGAGTTTTTCAAAAAAAAATCGGCCCGAGTTTTTTTTCAAAAAAAAAATCGGACCGAGTTTTCAAAAAAAAATTGGATGAAAAAAAATCGGCCCGAGTTTTCAAAAAAAAAAATCGGCCCGAGTTTTTTCAAAAAAAAAATCGGCCCGAGTTTTTTCAAAAAATCGGACCGAGGTTTTTCAAAAAAAAATTGGATGAAAAAAATCGGCCCGAATGAATCAATGAAAATAATCAGAGGGCGGCGGAGTTTACTGTACTTTGGTTTTATCTTCCACGGCTCTGAAAATTTCAGATGGAACATAGAAGCTTATACTCAGAAAATAAGTCAGCATTTCTTTTCTCTCTGGATATAGATTTTTTGGATATAGATTTTAGATTTTCGGAACAGTTCCGCCAAATGTTGTGCTTTAGTTTCTGAGACGTAGAAAATTTTTTCTTCAGAAATTTTAAAAATCATACCTAGCGGAGAAAGAATTCAACGAAAATCAAAATTTCGGTTTTTGTTGAAAGAATCTTTTCCAACTTTTCAAAAACTACAACTCTGTCGTATTTTAAGACGAAACATGTTTCTGTTTACACCTAAAGAAAACTACGCGCGAAGCCGGGACAATCCAGAAGGAGGAGCCGGCGTTAGCCGGCGGAGCCCTTCTGGTTTATTTATAATTGTTTTGTGGATCCAAGGTTTTGCGAATTTTTCGTATTTTTCCTGTAGTCTTGTCTGAAAATGTAGCATTTTCCTCAGATTTATCGATTTTTTCTTTGAATCTTAAAATTCGTAGACGATTTTCCTTCCTGATTTTTTTTGGCTGAAACTATGCTGAAATTCTTAATTTTATCTCTCAAATCGAGAAACTTTCCCTCTAAAAATCGATTTTTTTGTTGAAATCCCAACATTTTCTTTGAAATGTCATATGGTTTTCCAAGATTTTTTGTAAACATTGTTTTCACCAACAAGAAAAAACTGGAAAGGTTTTGAAAAATCTGAAAATTTCGCAATTTTCTCCCTTGGCAACCGACATTTTTAAGCCAAAAAAGTTGTTCGTAAATTGGGAATTTTGAAAATTGCTCCAATTTTCAATGAAATTTCAGCGTTTCCGGCTGAAAATCTACGATTTTCATAAGATTACTCTGCTTTCAACCAACATTTTTCTAAACTTTTCTCCCTCCGCCCACTCAACATACAAATCCAACCTATAATTAATTCTGAGCCTTCTAATTTTTTACGATTTGAAAAAAAATGTTCTAATCCGCTTTTTCTCTTTTTTTTCGAAAAATAAAAGGATTAGGCAGACATTTTTTCTCACATTCAAAAATAATTGAAAAATTATCGATTTTTCTCCTCTCCTCCGCATATTTTTCACGTGAACTTCTTTATCAATCGAGAAATCTATTTTTTTTTCTTTTCATTTTCTGATTTTCAGACTGGAGAAAAAAGCGGGAGACGCAAAAATATTGATTTTTTGAGCAAAAAAAGCAACAATTGGGCAACAACAAGAAGCATCTAAGAAGATATGAATAAGCAGTTACTGTCATGCTCGCTGAAGAGCGGAAAACAGGTGACAATGGTTGTGGCATCGGTGGCGACGGATGGTGTTGATCAACAGGTTGGTGCAGCAGGGAAAATAGAAAATGAGGCAAAATTTTAGATTTTTAAAGAAAAAATTAGCCAAAAAGCATGAAAGCCACTTTTTATTTGGTGGTTTTTAGTTGTTCTCCTGAAAATTAGCCTAATTGGGGTCATTTTAGCTGTCAATTTCAGTTTAACCTTTAGAAGTCGCCTAATATTGAATTTTCATGGAACTTTTTGAAAATTTTAATAAACATTAGTTGAAAATATTCACCGTATCCTATTCTTAATCTGAAATCCATCTAAAATATCTCAAAAACCCCTAATATTCATTCCAGGTCGAAATTTCATATTATGATCAAAAAGTGATTGGAAATGGCTCATTTGGTGTTGTATTTTTGGCCAAATTATCATCAAATAATGAAATGGTAGCCATCAAAAAAGTCCTACAAGACAAACGATTCAAAAATCGAGAATTGCAAATTATGAGAAAACTCAATCATCCAAATATTGTCAAATTGAAGTGAGTTCTGGTTTTTTGTTGTTGCAGAAATTGATTTTGAAAATGCCAAATTAGTGCCAAAATGTCAATTTCAACTCAAAAATGTTGAAATTTACGTTGGAAAAATCAAATCTTTCTTTGAAAATTAAAAAAAAAAGTATTTTCATTAGTTTAACTAACTGTATGTCCCTTTAAAATCACTAATTATCTCAAATTCTCCATTATTTCATGTTTTTTCTTGTAGGTATTTCTTCTATTCGAGTGGCGACAAAAAAGACGAACTCTACCTCAATTTGATACTTGAATATGTGCCAGAAACTGTTTATAGGTTTGTTTTTTTAAATGAAAATTTAAAGAAAAATCCATAAAAATCAATCTTGCAGAGTAGCCAGACATTATTCAAAACAACGACAACCGATACCGATGATTTATGTCAAATTGTACATGTATCAGGTGAGATTTTCGGTGATTTATCCGAAGAGAATAAGGGAATTTGGGGTTGTGTTACTTTTGACCCATTTAAATTAAACATTCTCATGAGCATTTTGTGAAGTTCAGTAATTTCTCAAATTATATAATGATGCGCGAAATAATCTAACAATTACTGTAAACAATTTTAAAAATCTCCCTAAAAATACTGTAGGATCCTCCTATAGGAGGAGTCTTTGAAAATTGTTGAGTTTGTCTTGATTTCGCAATAAAAAGTTCACTGTTTCAAGAAATTTCCAAACAAAAATTGGGATCTCTAATTTTGAATTTTAATTGATTAACTTCTCTCTTTTCTAATTCTCCAAAAAATATTTTAACATTTTTTGATAATCCAGAAAATTTTTAGGGTTACTGTAGGGAAAACTACTGTTAAATTGAGCATTTTCATGAAAGTTTGTGGGAAAATTTTTTGAAGTAAATTCTTTGTGAATTCACGACATTTTGTCAAGTACTGTAATTTTTAAATCACTACAAAATCTAAAAAAAATATGAAAAATTTTAATTTTCCAAAAATTGCCAAATATTTGTGGGTTACTGTAGGAGCCCTCGAAAATTCATAAATTTGGCTTGATTTTTTTAATGAAAATTTCACTGTTTCAAAATATTTTTGAATAAAAAATTGGGATTTTGAATTTTGATTATTCCTTCGAATATATTTTTAAATTTTCATAAACATTTCAAAAGCAAAAAAACCGCAAAATTTAAGGGTTACCGTAGGAACCTTTAAAACCCTCAACTTTCTGGGAAAATTTCACTCTTTAAAAATTTCAAGAAAAGTTTCGATCTTTTCCTGCGACCCCACACAACTCAAAATTACTGTATGTCCCTTTGAAAATCCAATGTTTTCTTGCAGCTTCTTCGATCTCTTGCTTATATTCACGGAATTGGAATTTGCCATCGTGACATTAAACCGCAAAATTTGTTGATTGATCCCGAAAGTGGAGTATTGAAATTGTGCGATTTTGGATCGGCTAAATATTTGGTGAAGGTTGGTTTTTTTTTTGGAAAACTTTGGATTTTTGTCTAAAAAATACTGATAAATTGCTCTAAAAATCGATTTTTCCATCTAAAAAATTGATTTTTTTACAGAACGAGCCAAACGTTTCATACATTTGCTCTAGATATTATCGTGCACCAGAATTGATTTTTGGCGCCACAAATTATACAAATTCAATTGATGTTTGGTCAGCGGGTACTGTAATGGCTGAATTGTTATTGGGACAACCGATATTCCCCGGTGATTCTGGTGTTGATCAATTGGTTGAAATTATTAAGGTTGGTTTGGGGAAACTTGTGAAAATTGGCCTAAAATTGAAATTTTTGCGAAATTTTGAAGTGAAAGTTATGAAAATTGACCAAAAATGAGGTTTTTGGTGAGAAATATTGATTTTTCATCAGATTTTCAAATACAATTGAGTTAAAAAAATTAATTCTAGGTTCTTGGCACACCGACACGAGAACAAATTCAAAGTATGAACCCGAATTACAAAGAGTTCAAATTCCCACAAATCAAAGCGCATCCATGGAATAAAGTATTTCGTGTGCACACACCGCCAGACGCTATTGATTTGATCTCGAAAATTATCGAATATACACCAACTGCAAGACCGACACCACAAGTTGTGAGTTTTTTTGGAGGGTTTGGGGTTTTGTGAGTTTTGCTCTTATTTAAAAATACGGTTTTTTTTCGTTTCAACATTTGAAGAAAATTCAATTTTTCCCTCAAACCCTTACATCCTTACATATATCGATTTTTGTTGATATTCAAAAGTTCAAAAATCGAGAGTAAATAGTAAACAACTGACCGCCTCCGCGGTCTCTTTCTTATTCCTATCTTGTTCTCTGTTTTTGTTTGAGAGATAGCTTTTGGATGGGGTGATTATGGGGATTTTTGCAAAAATGTATTTTTTTGCTGAAATTCTCGATGACGTATAAAAGTTTTTAACGTCAAAGATATTAAACTTGAAAATATTTTTTTAATTAGCAGAACTTTTAAATTTTTCTTTTTTCTTCTGTAGATTTTTGCACCCATTTCGTGGAGTTGTTTTGAGCTTCACTAGAACTACACATAACGGGTCTCAGCGCGAAATAAGTGGAAATTTCAAGTGTTCCGAAAATTTTGAAAAATGAATCAATAATTGGCTTATACAGATTAATATTTTGTGATAAAATTTAATAAAAATCATAAATTGTCGCTATGCAGAAAATACGTTGAAAAAACAAAATACACCGTTTATAAGTAGAGACAACGTGAAATTGAGAGAGTGCAGACAAAATAATTAATTTTTCGAATAAAAACACTAAAAAACTGATTTTCTGTCTGCGCTCTCTTAATTTTCCGCTGTCTTCATGGAAAAATTATATTTTTTTATCAAATTTTATTACAAAATATTGATCCCCATAAGTTATCAAATCCCCTAAAACCTCAATTTTTCTAGGCTTGCCAACATCCATTCTTCGACGAACTTCGGAACCCAGAAACCCGTCTTCCATCCGGTCGACAACTTCCTCATTTGGAAACCGATAATGGTGGATCACTTGGCGTTGCCTCAACATCAGCCGGAACATCTTCTGCACCAGAAAGTGGAGCCGGACCATCAGAACCAACAGCTGAAACTGTAGGATCTGCTGAAAAATGAGAAGAAAAAGAAGTGTGCAAAAAGAAGAAGAAAATATCATGAAAAACACAATTAAAAACGGGCTTTTTCGATTTTCTCCACCCCTTTCCCTCCTTATTTTTCCAATTCTTTTTCTTTTTCTGACGGTTTTTTCTAGTCAGATGTATTTTTCTCCACCCTCATCCCCCGTAAGTTTGAAATTGCAAGCATTTTTGCCCTCCTAATTTATTCTTCGCTTCTTCGCCTAAGCATGACTTTTTTCTTCATTTTCTTGTTTTTTTTCCCGCGTCACGCTTGTAAAAATATATTTATCGTATATTTTTGGTGTATTTTCTTCTTCTTTTGGTGAATTCTTGAATTCGCCCATATTTTTCTTTCCCCGCGAGCCAGCTTCTCGATTTATTATGATTATTATTATTATCATCCGAGCAACAAAAACCTATCCAAAATTCGATTTTTTCTTTCTCTCTCCGTTTTTTCCTTCTTCATATACGAAACTTGTACATTTTTTCGTCACCTCTTTGGGACCCTCTTATTTTTTTGTCTCTCTGATTTTCTCCCCAATTCCCAATTATTTTTGACCCCCCTTGAATTGTCTACATACATTTTTTGTTTCAAAACTGATTTTCTCTCTTTCTTCTATCTTTTTCTAGTAATATTCGAATCAATTGTGAATGTAGTATGATATAAATGAATTTTGTGTTTTGAAAGAATGAAATGAAGGAGATTTGAAAGAAAAATGACTATGAATTGATTTTCAGCAGAAAATTGGAGTTTTTGGAGAATTTGCGTCAATGTGAATCTAGATTCGAAATTTTTCACCAGAAATTAAATTTCAGGTCCCAGCAGTCCAAATTCGACGAAAATTCCCAGGATTTCTAGAAAAACGAGAATTCTGAGCTTTCTGACCCCAGAAAGACGGAATTTTATACAATACAATTTCTAGCCTACAAACTCAAAAATCGATAAATTTCGAGCCAAAATGCAAGAAAAACGATTTTTAGCAACAAAAAAAGCACAACTCTGGAAAAATTAGTTCAAAAACTGAATTTTCGTGAAAAATTGAATGTTTGCATTAGAAAATCATCAAAACTCTAATTTCACTGAAACATTTTCACAGTTTTTCTAGACGAACCCTCTCTTCCGAAAAACTCTGAAATCCCCACCAAAAACTCTGAAAATTGAAAAAGAAAACTCGAAATTTCGAAATGAAGTTCAAACAAACTACGGTAGCCCGAATTCTGCAGCGTGTTTTGGCGTCGACGAGTGTGCGGCGAGTGTACGCTTGGGGGCGGGGCGAGCCGTCCATACAAATTCATTTTCACCTCGTTTTTTCACGTTTTTCACGCGTTTTGCGCTATTTTTCAGATAAAAGTTTTGCGTGTTTTTGTAGAGCAAAAAATTCTGCACAAGCTGATGTGGTTATCGATTATTGATCTTTGATTTTTCGCGAGATTTCGAGAGAGGCCAATTTTTATTGATTGATTTCGATTCTCACTTATTTTTTCTTGTTGAAAATGTAATTCATTTAAAAATTACACTATTTATTATTTTTCAGGATGAGCCTTTCCTTGTTGACTCCAAGACTTGTGTCAAAGGCCACTTTGGTCCGTGTTCTTGTCATCAGACAAGCCTCGTCAGGATTGACCGTCAGAGTAAGCGTTTTTCTTGGTTTTTTTTTTTGAAGAGAAGGGATTTCAGAGCTGAAGAGAAGATTGAAGAGCTAAACTGTGTTTTTCTGATAAGAGAAAATCAAATTTGCAAAAATAAAAACGAAATTTCACTGAAAGTTCGCGTTTCTTAGAAACAAAACGTGTTCTTGGAATTTTTCATTTATCATTTCAGAAAATGCTTAATTTGTAAAGAAATAACGCAACTTCGAACAAAAACTTGAGATAAATTCGTAAAATTTGGAAATTTATGAGTCACAAAATTTTCCACAGCATAATTCACGTTTATATTTAGGCTATGTTATTTTTGACAAGCGCCATTGGATGAAAAACTTAATTCATTGAAAGACTTGGGGGATTTGTGCGAAAAACTAGAAAAATCCTTGATTTTCCCCTCAAAACTCTTCACTTCCAGGCCGATCAATCGCTCAAGCTCGCCGAGCCAGGATATTTCAAATACGCCCGCGATATTTCCCGCGACGGTCGTTACGCCAATCCAGCCAAACTCGGAGACACCCCAGGACGATTCTTGGTGCGCAAACTCGGTCATGCTTATGAAGTCTATCCACTTCTCATTCTTATGGGAATCTGGTGCTTCCTTTTCGCCTACATTGTCTATTATTCGTTCGAAAAGAATGAAGTTTGGCTTGATAGAAGTGAGTGAACATTTTAATGAAGAATTTTTGAAACATCAGTTTCCTTATGCGAAATATTCGAAATGTTGCAGGTTATCTAGGTTGTAGCCCAAAGTTCTCAGAAAAAAACCTTTTTTTCATAAGAATTTTCTTCCCTATAAATCCAGAGATGAATGAAACATGCTTTTCTAGTAAATATTATCGATTTTTAGGCCACACTGTTGCTCCATGGGACTGGGAGAGAATCCGCAACAACTACTGGAAGAAACCAACATTGACGTAAGTTTTCAGCTCAAAAAATCGATTATTAGGTAGAATTCAAAATTTGTCACTCCTGATGTTCTTATTCGAATTTCAAAATTTTTTTCGCAAATAATTTTTTAGTGCCGAATTTTTCACAACATCGCAACCTTCTTCCAAAATAGATTTTTTTCGGTGTCCAGAATCTCTGAAATTTTAATTATCAGTCTGGAATTCCAGAATTATAGTAATATTATGAATTAAGTTTCTGATCGATTTCAGAAGAAGTTTGAAAGTTTACCCAACAATTTTAGATTTTTCTGGAAGTTTGAATTTTCAAAATGTTTCAAATATGACCGTGGCATTTTTAGTATTTAAATACTGAAGTTTTATTTTTGATCAGAGAATTGTGAACAAATCCTATATTTTTCGAGAAAAAGCTTCGGAAATAGTTAGAAACTTCGAATTTCGGACAAATTTTGAAGAGCCCCAATTTTCCATTTCATTAATGTATTATTTTCCTTTAAAGCTTTACATGAAAAGTTTAATTTTGAGATACACTTGTGAAATTATGAAAAATCCGTTTTCCTTCAAAAACCAATGTTTTTTTCCAGCTTCGACCCAACTGGCGTCACTCACCAAAGATTGGAAATCATGGAAACCCTTCAAGACGAAATGGTCGCCGCCGCCAAATCCCGAGGAACCAGATAAATGATTCGCACCAATTTTATCTAATTTTTGAAATTTTTTGTGTACTTTCCAATTTTTCTAGAAAAATACGTCAAGTTATTTGAATTGAACTAGTTTGTTTTTCAGAAGAACGAACACGATTTTTTTCAGCTAAATTTGTGAAAAATTGTGGTGTATTTTTCATAAATCGGCGAGAATATTTGTTTTAGATTCTTCCATGTTCTCGAGCTCTAAATTTCAAAAATCGACGAAATCAGGCGATGCAACAAAATATTCTTTTAGAAAGTATCAATTTTCAATGAATAGAACCTGCGGATATTTTTCAGATATTTAAGACAAAATTTCCCCTAAATTTTGAGAATCAACTTGAAATTTAAGAAATAGATAAATTCAATTATTGGAGCGTGAATTCTACAACGCGAATGATTTTTCCAGTTTTTATTTCTTCTAATTTTTTTTAGCAGGTCCGGAACTTTTATCAGACCTAAGATTTTAGGAATTCGATTTCATTTGTAAGTTGAAGCCTCTTGTGGAATTTTCTTCACCATGAAAAACATCAATCAATCAACGTAAAAACAATTTCATTGATTAACAAATAACTTTACTTGAGTGGGATGAATCGGGAAGAGTGGGTAGCTCCAATACCTGGTCTACCGTGCTTAACCGGCTTGATGGTGATGGCGAATTCTCCCAAGTAGTAACCGATCATTTCTGGCTTGATTTCGGTCTGAAAATGTGAGGATTAGGAAAATACAAAATTTGAATGAAAAGTAAAATTAACTCACTTGGTTGAAAACTTTTCCGTTGTAGATTCCGATGACGGCTCCGACCAATTCTGGGAGGACGATCATGTCACGAAGATGGGTCTTGACGGTAGCTGGTTTCTCGAGAACTCCGGCGGCCTTCTTGGCTTTTTGGACCTTGTTGATGAGGGCCAAGTGTTTTCTCTTGAGTCCACGGTCGAGACGTCTGCGCATACGGCATGGAAGGAGCTTGGCGAATTGTTCGCTGGAAAATTATCAGGTCATTTTTTGTGAAAAAACAATGAGGAGAACATTAGGGAGGCATTATTTTTATAGAAACTACATCCCCAAAGAAAAAATACTCACCGGCTCATGTCCAAAAGTTGATCGAGATCAACTCCTCTGTAGGTGAACTTACGGAAAGTTCTCTTCTTCTTAAGCTCAGCAAGATGGGCGTCGTCTTGTGTAGCCATGATTAACCCTGGAAAAAATAAGAATCAATAAAGAAATGTATAATCACGAAAGTGAAAAGAAATTAACAAAACGCGTTGAATTTCAAGAAAATCCTATCAGAAAAGTATATTATTCGGTTCAATAAACTGATAAAGCATAGAGAAACAATATTTCATTGTTTGAATGAAAAATAAAAATTTACCATGAAACAAAAAATGAAAATTCAACAAAAAATCTCCTAAATTCAAAACGCTCGAAAATTCACCTACCAAGCAAAAATTTTGCTGTAAAACACTACATCTAAACCTGAAATCATTCTAAATTTCATCCGAAACCTTTAAAAAATTCAAAAACATCCCGAAAACACCGTGAAACCCCGAAAAAACCGCAAAAAAGGCGAATTTTTCCAATTTTCAATGAACCCCATTTGGCTGCGTATCCAAACCACCCGGTCATTCGCTACTCAGCCAATAGAACCGGCTGGCTATTTGCCAAGTTTTGCAACGGGGCGCGTTTGCGATGCTCATTTATTTATTTTTCTTTTTTTCGGAGTTTTCTCGGGTTTTTGCTGGTATAAACGGGCTCAGCCGCTGGGATATTCATTTGATAAAATAGCTGAATAGCGTGTAATAGAATTTGTATATTATTTTTCCCTTCACTTCCCTTTTTTTCAAGGAAAACATTTTTGTTTCGAAAAACAAAAAATTCTTATCAATTTTTGATAAAATAAAAGTTCTATTTCAAATAAAGAAAAAAATCAATATTTGCAGTGATGCGACCTATACTGGTATTTCTAATATTTTGCCTTATATTTTGCAAATGTGCCTTAATCGATCGACCCGATATGGAAGCAATTTTAAGAGGAGAATTCCACGATGAAACCGGAGTGAATAATGTGGATTATGAAGACGATTCACATAATTTAACAGATTATGCAAGTCGGAAAAGTAGCGATGATGAATATAATCAAAAAGGAAAATCGAATATTAATAAAAGTGGAGAAGAAGTTGAAGACAATTCGAATAGTAATGAAAATAATGTGAAAGATGATATAAGTGAAGAAAGAGAACGAGATGCTGTAGATACATCAAATTTGAAAGCAATAACAGCTTTGAAAGTCGAGAAAAAACAAGATGAAATTGTGACAGTTATTAATAAAGCTTTCAACGACAGGAAGACTTTCAAATGTCCTCGGACAAAAACCGAACTGTTGACTGGAACATCGGTTGCGGATTTGAGTCCGGAAGATATTACAATAATTGCGGCGATGGGTGATGCATTGGCAACGGGAATTGGTCTTTGGCCGAATGCGGATATTGAGTTTAGAGGAGCTTCGTTTCCGCATGGTGGCGATTCGACGATTGATGGATTGGTCACGATTCCGAGTGAGTTTTGAGGGGAAATGAGTATAACTTTTTGCCCTAAGAATCCACGTCGCAATATTCTGAATTTCAGAAATTCTCACCAAAAAGTTTCGTTTAAAAAATCTACACGGAAAACCTCAAAAATTTTCTAGGCATATTTTATATCAAAATGTTCAAAATTTCGCCTCAAATAATCCAATCCACGTTTTGCAGACATTCTGCGTGAATTCAGTCCACATTTATCCGGAGAATCACACGGAATGGGTTCAAATCTTCCCGACAATCAACTAAACACCGCTCGAAGTAATGCAACTGTTGGCAGTCTGCCATCACAAGCTCGAGAATTAGTTCGACGACTCAAAACATCGAAACCAAATTATGGAAGAGAATGGGTTATGGTAATAATTACAATCGGAACTGAGGAATTATGTTGGAGTTGTCGTGGACCAGATGAATATCCAATTAAAGAATCGATTCAATATTTACAAACACAAATTCCGAAAGCTTTGATTGTTTTGTTGGGACCATTACATGTTTCGGATGTTCATTTGCAGACTGTGAATTTGGTTAAGTTAGTGGAGTTTGGGAGAGGGCGAGGGGTTTGGAGAATTTTATACCAAATATCCTGAAATCCACGTGGCAAAAAATATTGGATTTTTGGCGGGATATTGTTGATATTTGAGCTTCAAATTTTGCTATGTGGATTTTCAGCGAAAAATTTTCAAACTAAAATTATTTCATTAGATATTTGGAGACCCAAGAATTCACTGAAATTTTTAATGTTTTCTTGGGATTATTCACACGAAACAAATAGTTTGAAATTGAAAAAAATCTAAATTATGTTCAAGGTGTTTGATTTTAAGATTTGAGTTTTATTTTAAGAAGATAAAAAAATCCAAATCTCCTATCCCAAAATCATATCCACATTATTTTTTTGCAGAGATCGTTGCCCATGCTCAAAAAACAAAACCGATGGCTATATGATCGACATTTATCGCGAATGGACACGCGTCTTCAAAAACATTCAAAATTTCGTCGAAAATGGCGAAACTTCTCGACCAACTTTCGGAATGGTTTCATATCCAATGATTACTGTCGTTTCTCGATTTCCCAGAGGTCTTTTCATTTTCGATAAACCGTTTTTGAATCGACGTGGACATAATTATGCAACAAAATGGTTGTGGAATCGATTGATTGGAGGCGATAAATATAATTTATCATCGGCCACACTTTCACAGGATAACTATTTTTGCCCGTCGCAGGTTGGATTTTGAAATGGGGATTTTTTAAGAAAATTGCGATTTTTTGACACCAAACATGATATATCTTATATTTTTAGCCTAAGGTTTCTAAGATTATGCCTCATTCTAGATTTTTCGATAAGCTCAAGGCTTTGAGCTAAGCCTAAGCTTCTGAAATTTCAGATTTATTTTTCTCTAGTCCTTTTTTGGTAAGTTTTTGTTGTAAAATGTATATTCAGCATGTTTTATTTTTTTTTGGTTTTAGTGCTTTTTTTTGCAAAAACCCAGCTGAATTTTGAGCCCAAGTAGGGTTGGAAAAACAGTGTATTTGCGTACACGGATACACGCGCAGCCAAATACACGAATACACGGATACACGAATACACGAATACACGAATACACTGTACACGAATACACGGTTTTCTTCTCTTCTCAAGCAATTCAGAAAAAAGCGTGTATTCGTGTATTCGTGTATTCGTGTACCGTGTATCGAGCGCGTGTATTCGTGTATTTTTTTCCAACCCTAAGCCCAAGTCTAAACTCAGCTCCATTTTTCCAGGGTTGCCCATATTTCCGAACATACGCGAATCGTGTTGGCTGCCGTCCAGTCACTTTTGAAGAAGCCGAAGAGAATCAAATCGAAATCAGCGAAAACGGAAAATTGGTTCGAACGCCCAAAAGATCGAGGAGATTTTTGTACACCGTGACTGGAGTTGTGCTATTTTCCGCGTTTTGTGTTGTTGGCATTTTGGCCACGATTTTTTATCAAATGAGTAAAATGGTGGGTTTTTTTGGGTCTCTATAATTATAAGTCTAAGCCTAAGGATCTTGCTAAGCCTGACCTTAGTCATCATTATTTTAAATTGATTTTTCCCAGGATGATCATGGCCGATTTGAAATTGTCGACGAGCAGACCAAAAAATTTGAAGAGGCTCAAAAAGAGGAGCAAAAAGCACTGCTGACCAGACAGAATACCAGAGCACAATCCGAATTGGTCAGTTTTTTCGGGGTCTAAATTCACCCAAAAATATGAAATTGTTAGGTCCTGAATACTGTACCGCTTCAACAACTTGGCGGAAGACACAAATCCTTCAGAGGAACTATTGAGGATAGTGATGATTAGGATTTTTTGGGCAAGGAAAAAAATCCACCAAAACTTTGTAAATATTTTTCTCATGCAATATTTCACTTTTGTTGTCTGCCTTTAATTGCCTTTGTGATATGCGTTTAAATTAATTGATTAAGTACTTAATGAGTCAGGAAATGAATGAAGAGTTTTTATTTTCGAGGGTTGAATTTTTTCTCGCGCAGCAGTTTTGTATAGAAGAAGGTATATAAAAATAAATGATTTTATCGTGAAAAACATCCAATAATTGTGCAAGAAACAATAATAAAAATGAGCAAAAAATTCGATGAAATCGAAGCGATTAATACATGTAGAAATGGGTGAGGTAGATCAAATAGTCTTTCATTTTTATTTGAATCTAGATTGATTTTATTGGAAGAAGGAAGCTTTTGAGCTGTTGAGTTAGCTGAACTTCTTAATTTTCTCATCGTATAACATCCACTATTTTTCTCAAGTTCTTTATAAATATCCATTTGTTCTTTCATCCATTCAAATTGTCCTTTACACACTTCCAGCCCCATTTTCATCATTTTTTCCTCGCTATATTGCAGTATAAAATGTCGCAAACTTGCCGTTTGATTCTGCATTTGCATTGCCCAATAATAGGGTGTGCATGGCTCATTTCGCCAGACAGGCAACGTCATTGTGGAGTGTAGTAGGAAACGGAGAAGACGATGATTTTGGTGGGAGATTAGGAGGAATGAGGGAGGAAATTCGATGAGTGGATTTCCTTCGATTCGAAGTTGCGAGAGACTTGAAAGACCGGCGAGAACTTCGGGAGGTAAAGAAGAACTTCGATGGAATTTGTTGTTGGCCAGGTTTAGTCTGGAAGATTTGGATTTGTTTTGAGAGAAACAACGATACTCCGCCTTTACGGGCAATTTTCGATTTATAGATTCATAACTTTTTTTTGCTCGAAAAAGTTTTCGAGTTTTTATTTTTTCAAACAATACTCCGCGTTTACGTTTTTATTATAAAATGCTCAATCTTCGAATTCTCCATATTTTTTCAGCTTGAAAATTGAATTTTTCACCCGATACTCCACCTTTAAACCAGCGTAAGCGCGGAGTGTCGTTCTAACAAATGAAATTTTCTTATTTTTCCCTCAACCCCATGCTCTCAGAGAATGTGTGAAAATGAGAGATGCAGACACTCCGCTCTCTCTCTACACACACAAAATTTTGCTTCAAAAATAAAACGACATTTTGCTGCTAGCGCTCTCGTCCTCCCATGTGGTCTAGTGGTTAGGATTCGTGGTTTTCACCCACGCGGCCCGGGTTCGATTCCCGGCATGGGAAGCTAATTTTTTCTTCAAGTTTTGAAGTTTACAATTAAAAAATTTTGTATTTAGGCTAACTCACTTTGTTAGATGGCAATTGTAAATCACAGAATGAGGAATTCTTGTCAAATTGCATGAATCCATATCCAAATATCGTAGATTTTTTAAAGGCACAAATGCATACGGTGAAATATTGTGTAGCGGCATTTTTGAGAGAGTTAGGGTTTTCAAGGAACTCAGGCCGAAAAAATGATCAGGATTTAGAGTTTGAATTTCAGATTTGCTCAATTTCAGCCATTTCAGTCGATTGTTTTTTGCGAATGGTTTATAGGGAAGCATTTTGATGGGATTTGAAGATAAATCGAGAACTCGAAGATCGCCTAACTTGCTGAAAGTGTGCGATGAAAATGAGGTGATCTGAAAAAATAATAGACAGAAAAATCATAAAGCCCCTCATATTTCACCTTATTATGACTCAAATCCAAATGAATCAACGATTTTGATTCAAAAAATGAATTGCTGTAAATTGGTTAGCAAATTCCATGATAATTTTAATGAACGAACAGCGGGCAAATTGACGAGAGAAGCGAGAGACGAGACGCGAGTGTCTGCATGTTTATACACACGCAGTTGGAAAAAGGATCCTTTAAGGACGTTTCACCCTTAAAGTATACTTTTGGATATCCTTAAAGGATACTTTCACTCAAAGGACTGAAAAAGGGTCTATGAAGGATACCCAAAAACGGAGGTTTCGTGCTGATTCTTGTTATCCAACGTGATTAGGAAGGGTCTGTTATCATTTTCGCTACATTTCGATGTTAATTTCATGAACTTCATAAGTATTACCGATTTTTGTTGAAAAGTATGCTCAAAGGCCATTTGAAATAGCCTTTAAGGGTACTTTTCCAAAAATCAAAAATCTTCTTTCAAGTTTTTAAAGTGAGTTTTTCAATACATTTTGGTGACTCTAATTCAATCATAGTCAAGAAATATCATAAAAATGAGATTTTAGAAAAATGTTTGGTAAAGTTCACTTTAAGGTACTTTCAGGGTAGCCTTTAAGTATACTTTCATGTTCTCCTCCACTTGGGGAAACTCCAGACGAGGTTTCTCTGTCAGAATGTTATAGTAGTGTATTCTCAAACTCGCGAAGGTATTATTAGTTGTGAGAAACAACATTATGAAGGGTTTCAACAGAAATTTTTACATGAATATTGATTTTTGACTCAAAATTTGAAAAATATACATGAAATCGGATTTCAGAATGATTTGATATATGTTATGGCATATCATTATGCTTGTTTCTTCATTCCCTACCCGAATATAACGTTAGTTTCATTTTCTAGCCGCATTTTTACCGATACACGATAAAAACAAGAAAATGTGTAACTGCGCGTCAACTAGCGTGTGTTGTCCGCAGAGTGTGTACTTCTCTCGGAATTCATTTTCGTTTTTTCGTTTTTTTTTCTTTGTTTCTGTTTTTCGCTTTTTCTGTGTTGTTTTTGAGCGTAGAACGTGTGAAACAGGTTGCGATATAAATGTAAACTGCTATTGATAGTGCGTTACTTGAGATTCAAGGAATAAACTTTGAAAAACATGAGAAATTTTCGATTTTAGGACTTCTCTACATTGTCAACTTATTGACAGTTAGCCCTCCGTAAACCAACCAATTTTACTATTTTGACTTCAAGAAGCTACGTTTCATTATCATGCGATTAATTATAAAGTGAATTCTCTGGATACATGAGTTTCAAAGTTTTAGTCGGTGTGTCTGTGGCGAGATTTCATGTTTGAAAACACCCGTTTTTCGACGACTAAATGTAAGAATACATTTCAATAGAAATTTTTGATTATCAGACTCAGAAAGTTTTCGGTAAAACCTATTTCATGTGTTGTTGCTATTTCCGATAAGTTCTTCAAGGAGAATACATTCAGATTTCAATAATCATTTTTTTGTGCGTTTGTGCATTGTTTTTCATTATTTTTCCTATTTATTCATAACAAGCGACGATCCGTTTGATATAAATAACTTTTTAAGTTGTCCAAGACTATTGGAATGTAAAAAACATCAAAGATAGTGAAAGCTTGATTAATTTTTGACTGAACTCGTTCCATCTGGCTTTTTGGTCGAAATTTGACAACAACTTCGAAAATTTCGTTCAAAAATAATTTTTTGGCAAAAACGAGTTGGCGAAATCTTGTCAAAATTTGTCATCTGATATGCCCAAAATATTAAAAACCAAACTCTACATCTGAGCAGCACACATGATAAAAGTATGAAAAACATCGAAAATATCCACCTATCTTATTAAAGTATAGTCCTATAGTAAAACCTTAGTTCTGTTTACCTCTTATCTTATATTTTCTCTCTTGAAATCTTCGGATGTATCTCAATAAATTATTTTTACAGACAGTCTAAACCCTTCAACGATGCTCATTGTACAGGTAAACAAATATACTGTGAAAACCTAGAAAATTTGACTTTTCAGAAAAGCCGCCGGACGATTCGACTCACTGGACATTTCGACCAAATAAAGGAGGATTTTTGAAGGTCAGTTTTTTGAAATATAATTTTTATCCGAAACTCGAGAAAAAATTTATGACGAGGAAAATGTGTGACCACTGATAACTTGCCAGTCATCGAAGATTTTCAATGAGACTTATTTTCTACAGTTTTTCACGCAGAGAAATATCTTGTTTTTAGTTTTTGGTGCGTAACTCTCTGAAGAGCACAAAAATAAGCCCAAAATCGAGAATTTTCTGAAAAACGCGTTTTCTAGGGTCCATGACTCATGTCAACGAAAATTTTATCAAAAACTAAGCATATGACAATGTTCAGTACGGTCGATTCACCAAAGTCAAAATTATTGACAGAATTTTCCAAAAATTTTCCAAATGGATCAGCCTATTTTCTAACAAGGGAAGTGATTTAGGCTCTGAAATTAACTTTTGATGAAACATAATGAAATATAGTATTTCGACCATGCTGAACACGATCCCGAAGTCAAATATTGCTATAACGAACTCTGAGCCATTTTTGGAGCTCCAAACTTTTCATTTTTTGCACACTCTCCGACCTTTTTTGGTGTTTGTCTGGCGGTTAAATTACACCAAGCTCCAAAAGATGGCTCAGAGTGCGTTATAGCAATTTTCGACTTCGGGATCGTTTTCAGCATGGTCGAATTACTATATTTCACTATGTTTCATCAGAACTTAATTTCAGAACCCTTTTACTTCCCTTGTAAGCTACAAATTAAAAAAACATAGATTTACTTATCGAAAAATTGCGACTTGGATAAGTCGACCCTCCTGAACAACGTTATTATTCAGTGTCGATAAAATATTTTTGACATGAGGCTCTCAAAACTGCGTTTTCTTAAATTTATCCAACTTTCTGCACTTTTTGTCACACCTCGGCCAATCTGTGGCTGGCCGGAGTACACTTTTGAAAAATTTTGAATTTCAGTTTGCAGAGGTCAAAAATTGACGAATTCAGAGTTTTTAGAGGTCAAACACTGAAAAATTCACAGTTTTCATACTGTAAAAAGTTCACGTACAATTTCTTGTTTTGAAAACCATGATTTTGGCTGAGGTGTGATTTTTGTTGAGCAGCAAAAACTGAAAACTTGATCTTTCTCAGCATGAAAATTTCAAAATTTATCATTTTTCTCAAACTCAATGAGATATTATACAGAATCATCGAAAATCGCGCACCGACACTCGCCGATCAATCAGAAGACCGACAAAAACACGGAAGAATGTCAAGGAAAAGTAAATTTTTATGTTTTTTGAATAAATTTTTATTCAAGTAAAAAAAAATGTTTTTTTCCCTTAAAGTATACTTTTTCCATCCTTAAAGTATACTTTTTATTTCCTTAAAGGATACTTTGTGAGGTACTTAATTGACACATGAGCTCATCCCTAAAGGATACTTTCGGCATCCTTAAAGGATCCTTTTTCCAACTGCGTGTGTATATGGGCTATTTGTGTTGGGCGAAAATGTGTGGGGGTATAGCTCAGGGGTAGAGCGCTCGCTTTGCATGCGAGAAGTCTGGGGTTCGATTCCCCATACCTCCAGTAATTTTTATTTTTTGCAAAAACACTCACTTTTCAAATTAACTGTCACTAATTGCTTGGCTTTTTGCAAACCATTTTGGAATCTCACTCAACGTCGAATTCTCAATATGCAAATAATTCAAATTCTCAATAAATGGTGGCTCGCTGAGCCAAAACTCGAAATCCACATTGACCAACGATAGAACAGTCAGATTCCGTAAATTTTTCAACGATTTTTGGAAACTTGCCAATTTTCTGGTGGGTGAAATAATTTGGAATGATGCCAAATCGGGAAAACACGTGGAAAAATCGAGTTGATCGAAGAGTTGAGAATAGGTTTGAAGGGTGAGCGAGGTGACGTGGTAGCCACACATTCCCAAAAGGAATTCGTAGGTTTTTCTGGAATATTTTAGAATTTTGGAGGTTTTGTAGTACTGTAGTTGGAAAAAGCTCAAAATTTGAAGCATTTTGAGTATAATATTGTTGGAAAACATTTTGGAAAAGATTTTGTAGGATTACTGTAGTCTTGGAGTACTGTATTCTTTCAAAAACAATTTTTTAAAAGTTACTGTACTTTTCATCAGCTTCCTCAATAACTACAGTATAGGGTACTGTAGGATTTGGCAAATTTGGGTCCCGACACGAAATCTGCGAGCCGGCAGAAGTTTGATGATCGAGAAATTTGAATTTTTTCGAATCAGACGTGTTCTTAAAGGCGCATTCCAAATGTTGTGTGATTGTTAGAAAACATGAGCAATGCTCGCGACAAAATGACGTGTATTCGCAGGTTTCGATTAAAGGAGCATCCAAAGAGCAGCAGATCTGTAAAGAGAAAAAACATTTGGGGATTTTTGGCGCGAGTTAAAAACATTTGAAAATTACCCACCAAATTCACGCCATGACTTGATGAATGTAAACTTTCACATCCTTTCACGGCACCAAAAATAATCCCGAAAATAATTCCAAGAAATACTAGAAAATCCATGTTTCACAAATGACCAGAAAAAAAAACGCTTCTTATCGGCTCAGTTTTTGCTCATCAGCTCTCTATTCAATTCAAAAGAGCTCACAGCAAAAATGTGTATTTTTGAACTCGAAAAAAATGTTCGACGAAAAAGGGAGAAAAACGGACATTTTTGATGAATTGAAGAAGAATTGACAACTAAAATTCGAGGAAATTTAATTATTTTCAGGCTTTTTTTGAAAACTTCTTGAGTCAGGGACTAGTTTGACTGAAAAGAAAAACGGAAATTTGAATTTTGCCACGTGGATTTTCGGTGGGTGTTTTATTTCGAAAAAGTTGTTCTTTTTAAATATTATTCACTGTTTCAAAATGTTCATAATAAAAAATAAAATGCTGGGGAATTTGTTTGTTATATTCTTGTTGTTGGGAAAAATCTGATATAAAAATCAGTTTTATCAGAAAAAATCACTGTTTCAAATTCATTTAGAATACAAATATCAGTTATTGAAAAATAATTATGAAAACGTTTTTGAACCTTACCAAAAAAATCAAAATTAAATTTTCTGTTCTAATAACCTTAGAATAAATTTTCGAAAATACTTGGGAAAATCACATTTTTCAAATAATCTAAGTAGAGAGTCTATAAAAGTTCCACACAATTCGAAAAACAAAAAACAAATTAAAGGAAAATCTTTAAGAATCTGCACAATTTCAGAAGTTTTAATTAACATCAGGCATCATCGAACTTCTTCTTCCAATATGTGAAATATCAACAGTCATTCTTCTTTTCGAAATCTCTTCATTTCTTCTCATTATCCTCACTTTCCCGCCAAATTTCCACATCAAAAAACCATCAAAAACGTGGCAAAATTGCCAACAAAAAACACTGCCAACAAATGTGTCACCAAGAAAAGAACTCGATGAAAATAGAAATAGAAAATCGAGAGCATTTTGTAGCAAAACTTGGAAAAATAATAGAGAAGTTCGAAGGATTTGTTGGTCGGATTTTTTGTAGAACATGTAGAATTTGAGGGTTTTGGCGAGAGTTAGGAGATTGAAAAATAGGGATGCGAAAGTTGCAGCAAGATTTTTCGAATCGAAACAATTTGAAGTTTTGGTGTAGGAAAGTGTGTTGAAATCCAGATATGCTGTGCAGTTTTCAGCTAAAAATTGGATAATTAGATTACTGTATGTACCTTTAAAAAATAATTCGGAGATTCATGTAAAGAATACTGTATGTTCCTTTAAAGATAGTATGCCTTACACTCGGTGTCGAAATCTTCAAATCTTCCAAAAATATGTTTGTGAGATATCTAAATGCTTCGAACCTCGTGAAAATTTTGAAAATTTCGATCAGAGTACTGTATGTACCTTTAAAAAACCTAGAGACATCCTAATTTTTATTGAACCTTGAGTTGTGGGGTATCAAAACGATCAGAATTTTATAGGGTCCTCGAATTCCCTCAAAACCCACGTATATTGTCTGTCAAATCCTCATAAATCACATAAAATCGATAAGAAAACACGAAAATCAAAACCAACAAAGTCAATGTGAATCCGTAGATTTTGGTGTAGAATTTTGGGGCGAAAATGGCGATGAAACGATTGAAAGATAAATAAAAAGTGAGAAATTGGAGAGATTTGTGGAGGGAATTGGCCATTCCGATGATGCAACTCGAGAAGATTTGGGTGAAAATTTGGGTGTTTCTGAAGATAAAATTCAGGGTTACTGTACTTCAAAATTCTCAATTTTTCCTTTAAAAAAACTCACAAAAAGGCCTGTGTCACAAAATCGATCGCAAATACCGTAACCAAAATTTGAATATTCGAAATGGCGCGAAAAACACAAATCAAATTGAACGAGGTTCGTTGTCCAGGATCGACGAGAAATCCGGAAAATATCGAACAATTCCAGAACATCCCAAAACCACAATTTATTGCCACTAAAATTGCGGCGAAAATTGAGAAGAAACCCATTTTCTAGATAGATTTCGTCAGAAAATAGTAGGATATGAAATTGAAAAATAATTGATTTTGATTACATGCTTTGGGAGGTTTGACATTTATGTAATTTTTTTTGGAAGGAAATCATGGTTGGAACTTTGGTCTGAAAACTTTTCTGATTTTTTGAAACAGTGATTTTTTATTTGAAGAAATTCAGGCCAGGTTTATAGGGCTTAAGGCTACATTTAGGCTGAACGCTTAGCCATAAGCTTCAGGCGCTTTTTCTTCTGAAAATTTCACTGTTTCAAAAAAAAATAAATTCTTCATATGTATTCCAGTTTAAACAAAATACCCGCAATTATTATACAAAATTTTTAATTAGACTTATGTTTCTAAGCCTAACATTAGACCGAAGCCTAGAAAAACGAGTCCAAACTGGATTCATCGTCGTCGCTGCTTTTCCTTCTCTCCACTCTCGTCGAACTATTATTCTTGGCATTTCCATTCGTCAAAATATGAACTCGTCGCTGAAAACTATCAACTTCGGGTTTCGGAAATGATAAACTCGACGATAGTGGAAGCGGTGGAAGTTGATCTAATTCGGCTCGATTTGTGACAATTCTCAGATTCGGTCGGGGAATATGAGCGATATGACGTGCGTTTTCCGGTTGATTTTCAGCATGAATTTCAGCACCATAATTATCGTGATAATTATTATTATCATTTTGATTTTCATTCCAAATTCCAGGCCGCACATTTTGATTGTCATTTCGTTCGGATTTTCGACACCACGCATAAATTTGTCGCCGAAGGCAATAGGCAATTGTGGCGATGATCACCAAGAGAACACCAAATACGATGGGAAGAACAATGGCGATGGCCGAAGCGTGGCTCGGAGAATCGTGCTGGAATTGTTGAGTTCTCAAGAGGTTGTAAGAAATTGGCTCAATTTTCAGCGAAAAGTTTGGATTTCTGTTGATCAAAACTTAGAGCTGCTGTAGATCAAATTTACCCGCAAAATTGTTACTGTGGCTCGAAAAATAGGATTACTGTAGCTTTTATTTATTTTTATATTTATTTAGTTCGAAATTAGATACAACACAATTGTAGATCAATTAGCGCTTGAAAACCCAATTCACTAAAAATCTACAGTACTTCTAATCTGGACAAATTTCGTCTCAAAAAAGGTGTATTTTTTGGCGCGAAATGCTCAAAATACAATTCAGAAATCAGTAAATCTTCTACCCCTTCCACTTCGCCCACACTCACCACTTCCACCAAACAATTTCTCAACTTGCTTCCCGTCTGCAATTGACAATTACATCCAGCCAAAGGTGTGCTCGGCGAGCAAGTCGATTGACAAGTTAGCGGAACATCTTCATCATCCTCATTCAAATCACTGCATGATAAACACGTGTCTTGATTCGTCAAATTTTGAAATGTTCCTTGCTCACAACAAGGGCAAAGAAAACTATAAGGTGTTGTGTAGGGAATCGGTTCGGATAGATTTGTATTTCTATATGTGTTCAAATCAAGGCAATCAAGAATATCACAATTTCCAATATCATCCGAAGCAGTTCGAGTTGTCGTAAGTCCACGAGGACACTGTAAACATGGCCCGCGGGTTTGATTTTTGTAGAATCCAATAACACAAGGCTGACAAATATTATCAACCATTTCGTATCCTTTTTCACAAGTTACAGCGCAATCTTCAACTGATTTTGATCCAATCGAACTTGTTGATAAATCAGAATCACAAGAAATACAAGAGTCTTTCAGACCTTCTGAGTTACCATAACTTCCAATTGGACAAAATTGACAAACAGAACTTGAGATATCAAAAAATTGACCAATCGGGCAATTTTGATAACATTCTGAAATATTAATCGATCCAGTTGATAAGGTAACAGTACCATTTGGACATTTTTGACACTCGGATTCAGTATCATTTCCAGATCGATACGTATTTTGTGGACATTCTTGGCACGTATCATTTTGTGCAGATGTTCCAGGTGGACAAGAGATACAAAATGTGGAGTTTGAATTTGAGATATTTTGAAGGATTGGATGAGTTGAGTTACAGGAAGTTTGAGAGGTTTGGCGAACGAGTTGGAAATTTTGACGGAGATTTTGAAGGACGATCGGAGCCAGCGAGATGTACGATTGTCTGGAAATGAATTTTGAACTTTTTCAAACGTAAGTTAACCTGAGCAATGTGATTTTTAACTGATACATACGGTAGTATTGCTCAGGTTAGGTTTTTTGGCACTGAAAAAAGTTGAACATGTGAATTTTAAAAGTCAATGTTTTTCCTCAAATTTTTGTGCTCGTAAGGAAAATTTAAGATAACATTTGAAACTAATTAGTCTTCACTGTTTCAAAATAATTTGAAACAATGAAAACTTGAACGTAAAAAAATTAAATGTAAAAAAACCCACTGTGTCTCCAATTCATACTGCAACGCAATCGATTCCACCGCCTCAAACCTATCAGAATTTCCACACGGCGGCAAAATCCGCAAGCGACACATTGCCGCATCGCAATCAATCGATGTCCACAAAATCTGTCGCAGTTTCGCCGAAACCTGTTCGCAACTCTCTCCATCTGTCGACACAATAGTTCCATTCACAATTTGTCGAGCTGTCGTAGTTTTTCCGCATCCCGGAAGATAATATTTGTCACTTGCGACATCGCCACCCGCCTCAAAATTGCCCAACAAATCGCAAACATAGAATCGCGGCGAATCAGCGTCGCAATATTGTGGATCCTCACAATTGACCAACGCGACTTCTTGCGAATATTCTGAGTCGCTTGCGATTGGAACAAATTCAATATTCGCATTCGCGGCGACAACATTCGTAGGACATTTGCGATTGGCGACAACAATGCGAAATTCGCAAGTCGCCGAATTTCCAGCCGCGTCAAATGCAACATATCTGACCGTATGAATTCCAATCGCAAATTGTTGTCCATTCACATAATTCGAAGTTATTCGAACTATTCCGATATTGTCGAAAAACGCGATTTGATCTTCGCGCCAGGTTACTGTAGTGTATTTCTGGCGAGTGGATGGTGTTAGAATTGAGATGGTTTGGGTGGGACATTTCGAGACACTTGGTGGAATACGATCTTTTTCTGGAAACAAAATTTGATGAGAGAGGAGGGAATTTTAAGAAAATACATTTTTTTTGAGCTTAGGCGTAGCCTTACCAGAATACGTAGGCTTAGGCCTAATCAAAATCGTAGGCTTAGGCTCAACCCAACTATTAGGCCTTAGGTTCTCCAAACTTCTAACAATAAGGCTCAGGCTTCAGCTTAATTAATCGGCTTAGGCTTATCCGAAATTCTTAGGCTTAACCCGAAATAATTCACCCATTTTTTCTACCCCCACCAAAACTCACCACATCCAGTCGATATTTTCGAAAACTGTCTTCCAAACATACATTTAACACTTCCACAAATTCCAGCCGGATCCGTATAAACTCCTGGATTATTCGATGAGACTCGTGTGAAATTACTTTGCCATTTCAAAATCTCCAAATTCTCGGCACCAAATCCATTCGCTTCGCCGTTTTTCAATGTCTCATAACAATCGAATGCCAATTTTCCGATTTGTGTTTCATTTAGGCGGATTATATACATTTGTGTCATTGAAATCATTCCTAGAAAATAAGAAAATCTAGTTCGTGGCCTAAAATTCCAAATCAAAAATTGGACCAAAAATCAGATTCGCACTAAGAAGAAAACATTATCAAATTCAAGTTTTCCAAAAAATTAATTCAAAGTTTTTTGAAACAGTAGAAAAAAAGTTTTTTCTTCGTAGTTCCATTCAATATTTACCTTGAAAAAGAGCGGTTTTTGGTGCCAAATCCTGTGGTGCCAAAATCAGATATCCGTAGGATTTCGGGATGAAACGATCGGCATATTGTTCGACAACTTTGACACCATCCAAATAGCCCGTGTAGATCGGTGAGACTTCGTTGGCTGAAGGAGAGACGAGGCAGAACTGCAAGAAATTATTCAGGTGAATTATACAGGGGAAAAAATCTATTGTTTCAGAAACGTCTGATTACAAAATTGACTTTCTCAAAAGTTGATAACACATGAACGAACAAAAACAATATCGCAAAAATTTACTTTCGCAGTCACAACGAATTCTCGATTTTTATTTCTAGCTCAATTTTATGGATAAAAATAATAAATCGTCGTTTCGGAGTCACTACTAATTCTCGATTTTTATTTCTAGCTCAATTTTATGGATAAAAATAATAAATCGTCGTTTCGAAGTCACTAATAATTCTCGATTTTTATTTCTAGCTCAATTTTATGGATAAAAATAATAAATCGTCGTTTCGGAGTCACTAGTAATTCTCGATTTTTATTTCTAGCTCAATTTTATGGATAAAAATAATAAATCGTCGTTTCGGAGTCACTACTAATTCTCGATTTTTATTTTCAGCTCAATTTTATGGATAAAAATAATAAATCGTCGTTTCGAAGTCACTAATAATTCTCGATTTTTATTTCTAGCTCAATTTTATGGATAAAAATAATAAATCGTCGTTTCGAAGTCACTAATAATTCTCGATTTTTATTTCTAGCTCAATTTTATGGATAAAAATAATAAATCGTCGTTTCGGAGTCACTACTAATTCTCGATTTTTATTTTCAGCTCAATTTTATGGATAAAAATAATAAATCGTCGTTTCGGAGTCACTACTAATTCTCGATTTTTATTTTCAGCTCAATTTTATGGATAAAAATAATAAATCGTCGTTTCGGAGTCACTACTAATTCTCGATTTTTATTTTCAGCTCAATTTTACGGATAAAAATAATAAATCGTCGTTTCGGAGTCACAACGAATTCTCGATTTTTATTTCTAGCTCAATTTTATGGATAAAAATAATAAATCGTCGTTTCGGAGTCACTACTAATTCTCGATTTTTATTTCTAGCTCAATTTTATGGATAAAAATAATAAATCGTCGTTTCGAAGTCACTAATAATTCTCGATTTTTATTTCTAGCTCAATTTTATGGATAAAAATAATAAATCGTCGTTTCGGAGTCACTAGTAATTCTCGATTTTTATTTCTAGCTCAATTTTATGGATAAAAATAATAAATCGTCGTTTCGGAGTCACTACTAATTCTCGATTTTTATTTTCAGCTCAATTTTATGGATAAAAATAATAAATCGTCGTTTCGGAGTCACTACTAATTCTCGATTTTTATTTCTAGCTCAATTTTATGGATAAAAATAATAAATCGTCGTTTCGGAGTCACTACTAATTCTCGATTTTTATTTCTAGCTCAATTTTATGGATAAAAATAATAAATCGTCGTTTCGGAGTCACTACTAATTCTCGATTTTTATTTCTAGCTCAATTTTATGGATAAAAATAATAAATCGTCGTTTCGGAGTCACTAATAATTCTCGATTTTTATTTCTAGCTCAATTTTATGGATAAAAATAATAAATCGTCGTTTCGGAGTCACTACTAATTCTCGATTTTTATTTCTAGCTCAATTTTATGGATAAAAATAATAAATCGTCGTTTCGGAGTCACTACTAATTCTCGATTTTTATTTCTAGCTCAATTTTATGGATAAAAATAATAAATCGTCGTTTCGGAGTCACTACTAATTCTCGATTTTTATTTCTAGCTCAATTTTATGGATAAAAATAATAAATCGTCGTTTCGGAGTCACTAATAATTCTCGATTTTTATTTCTAGCTCAATTTTATGGATAAAAATAATAAATCGTCGTTTCGGAGTCACTACTAATTCTCGATTTTTATTTCTAGCTCAATTTTATGGATAAAAATAATAAATCGTCGTTTCGGAGTCACTAGTAATTCTCGATTTTTATTTCTAGCTCAATTTTATGGATAAAAATAATAAATCGTCGTTTCGGAGTCACTACTAATTCTCGATTTTTATTTCTAGCTCAATTTTATGGATAAAAATAATAAATCGTCGTTTCGGAGTCACTACTAATTCTCGATTTTTATTTCTAGCTCAATTTTATGGATAAAAATAATAAATCGTCGTTTCGGAGTCACTAGTAATTCTCGATTTTTATTTCTAGCTCAATTTTATGGATAAAAATAATAAATCGTCGTTTCGGAGTCACTACTAATTCTCGATTTTTATTTCTAGCTCAATTTTATGGATAAAAATAATAAATCGTCGTTTCGGAGTCACTAGTAATTCTCGATTTTTATTTTCAGCTCAATTTTATGGATAAAAATAATAAATCGTCGTTTCGGAGTCACTACTAATTCTCGATTTTTATTTCTAGCTCAATTTTATGGATAAAAATAATAAATCGTCGTTTCGGAGTCACTACTAATTCTCGATTTTTATTTTCAGCTCAATTTTATGGATAAAAATAATAAATCGTCGTTTCGGAGTCACTAGTAATTCTCGATTTTTATTTTCAGCTCAATTTTATGGATAAAAATAATAAATCGTCGTTTCGGAGTCACTACTAATTCTCGATTTTTATTTTCAGCTCAATTTTATGGATAAAAATAATAAATCGTCGTTTCGGAGTCACTAGTAATTCTCGATTTTTATTTCTAGCTCAATTTTATGGATAAAAATAATAAATCGTCGTTTCGGAGTCACTACTAATTCTCGATTTTTATTTTCAGCTCAATTTTATGGATAAAAATAATAAATCGTCGTTTCGGAGTCACTACTAATTCTCGATTTTTATTTTCAGCTCAATTTTATGGATAAAAATAATAAATCGTCGTTTCGGAGTCACTACTAATTCTCGATTTTTATTTTCAGCTCAATTTTATGGATAAAAATAATAAATCGTCGTTTCGGAGTCACTAGTAATTCTCGATTTTTATTTTCAGCTCAATTTTATGGATAAAAATAATAAATCGTCGTTTCGGAGTCACTACTAATTCTCGATTTTTATTTCTAGCTCAATTTTATGGATAAAAATAATAAATCGTCGTTTCGGAGTCACTACTAATTCTCGATTTTTATTTCTAGCTCAATTTTATGGATAAAAATAATAAATCGTCGTTTCGGAGTCACTAGTAATTCTCGATTTTTATTTCTAGCTCAATTTTATGGATAAAAATAATAAATCGTCGTTTCGGAGTCACTAATAATTCTCGATTTTTATTTCTAGCTCAATTTTATGGATAAAAATAATAAATCGTCGTTTCGGAGTCACTACTAATTCTCGATTTTTATTTCTAGCTCAATTTTATGGATAAAAATAATAAATCGTCGTTTCGGAGTCACTACTAATTCTCGATTTTTATTTCTAGCTCAATTTTATGGATAAAAATAATAAATCGTCGTTTCGGAGTCACTACTAATTCTCGATTTTTATTTCTAGCTCAATTTTATGGATAAAAATAATAAATCGTCGTTTCGGAGTCACTAATAATTCTCGATTTTTATTTCTAGCTCAATTTTATGGATAAAAATAATAAATCGTCGTTTCGGAGTCACTACTAATTCTCGATTTTTATTTCTAGCTCAATTTTATGGATAAAAATAATAAATCGTCGTTTCGGAGTCACTAGTAATTCTCGATTTTTATTTCTAGCTCAATTTTATGGATAAAAATAATAAATCGTCGTTTCGGAGTCACTACTAATTCTCGATTTTTATTTCTAGCTCAATTTTATGGATAAAAATAATAAATCGTCGTTTCGGAGTCACTACTAATTCTCGATTTTTATTTCTAGCTCAATTTTATGGATAAAAATAATAAATCGTCGTTTCGGAGTCACTAGTAATTCTCGATTTTTATTTCTAGCTCAATTTTATGGATAAAAATAATAAATCGTCGTTTCGGAGTCACTACTAATTCTCGATTTTTATTTCTAGCTCAATTTTATGGATAAAAATAATAAATCGTCGTTTCGGAGTCACTAGTAATTCTCGATTTTTATTTTCAGCTCAATTTTATGGATAAAAATAATAAATCGTCGTTTCGGAGTCACTACTAATTCTCGATTTTTATTTCTAGCTCAATTTTATGGATAAAAATAATAAATCGTCGTTTCGGAGTCACTACTAATTCTCGATTTTTATTTTCAGCTCAATTTTATGGATAAAAATAATAAATCGTCGTTTCGGAGTCACTAGTAATTCTCGATTTTTATTTTCAGCTCAATTTTATGGATAAAAATAATAAATCGTCGTTTCGGAGTCACTACTAATTCTCGATTTTTATTTCTAGCTCAATTTTATGGATAAAAATAATAAATCGTCGTTTCGGAGTCACTACTAATTCTCGATTTTTATTTTCAGCTCAATTTTATGGATAAAAATAATAAATCGTCGTTTCGGAGTCACTACTAATTCTCGATTTTTATTTTCAGCTCAATTTTATGGATAAAAATAATAAATCGTCGTTTCGGAGTCACTACTAATTCTCGATTTTTATTTTCAGCTCAATTTTATGGATAAAAATAATAAATCGTCGTTTCGGAGTCACTAGTAATTCTCGATTTTTATTTTCAGCTCAATTTTATGGATAAAAATAATAAATCGTCGTTTCGGAGTCACTACTAATTCTCGATTTTTATTTCTAGCTCAATTTTATGGATAAAAATAATAAATCGTCGTTTCGGAGTCACTACTAATTCTCGATTTTTATTTCTAGCTCAATTTTATGGATAAAAATAATAAATCGTCGTTTCGGAGTCACTAGTAATTCTCGATTTTTATTTTCAGCTCAATTTTATGGATAAAAATAATAAATCGTCGTTTCGGAGTCACTACTAATTCTCGATTTTTATTTCTAGCTCAATTTTATGGATAAAAATAATAAATCGTCGTTTCGGAGTCACTACTAATTCTCGATTTTTATTTCTAGCTCAATTTTATGGATAAAAATAATAAATCGTCGTTTCGGAGTCACTAGTAATTCTCGATTTTTATTTCTAGCTCAATTTTATGGATAAAAATAATAAATCGTCGTTTCGGAGTCACTACTAATTCTCGATTTTTATTTCTAGCTCAATTTTATGGATAAAAATAATAAATCGTCGTTTCGGAGTCACTACTAATTCTCGATTTTTATTTCTAGCTCAATTTTATGGATAAAAATAATAAATCGTCGTTTCGGAGTCACTACTAATTCTCGATTTTTATTTTCAGCTCAATTTTATGGATAAAAATAATAAATCGTCGTTTCGGAGTCACTACTAATTCTCGATTTTTATTTCTAGCTCAATTTTATGGATAAAAATAATAAATCGTCGTTTCGGAGTCACTACTAATTCTCGATTTTTATTTTCAGCTCAATTTTATGGATAAAAATAATAAATCGTCGTTTCGGAGTCACTACTAATTCTCGATTTTTATTTTCAGCTCAATTTTATGGATAAAAATAATAAATCGTCGTTTCGGAGTCACTAATTCTCGATTTTTATTTTCAGCTCAATTTTATGGATAAAAATAATAAATCGTCGTTTCGGAGTCACTAATAATTCTCGATTTTTATTTTCAGCTCAATTTTATGGATAAAAATAATAAATCGTCGTTTCGGAGTCACTACTAATTCTCGATTTTTATTTTCAGCTCAATTTTATGGATAAAAATAATAAATCGTCGTTTCGGAGTCACTACTAATTCTCGATTTTTATTTCTAGCTCAATTTTATGGATAAAAATAATAAATCGTCGTTTCGGAGTCACTACTAATTCTCGATTTTTATTTCTAGCTCAATTTCATGGATAAAAATAATAAATCGTCGTTTCGGAGTCACTACTAATTCTCGATTTTTATTTCTAGCTCAATTTTATGGATAAAAATAATAAATCGTCGTTTCGAAGTCACTTTTATTTCTAGCTCAATTTTATGGATAAAAATAATAAATCGTCGTTTCGGAGTCACTACTAATTCTCGATTTTTATTTCTAGCTCAATTTTATGGATAAAAATAATAAATCGTCGTTTCGGAGTCACTACTAATTCTCGATTTTTATTTCTAGCTCAATTTTATGGATAAAAATAATAAATCGTCGTTTCGGAGTCACTACTAATTCTCGATTTTTATTTCTAGCTCAATTTTATGGATAAAAATAATAAATCGTCGTTTCGGAGTCACTACTAATTCTCGATTTTTATTTCTAGCTCAATTTTATGGATAAAAATAATAAATCGTCGTTTCGGAGTCACTACTAATTCTCGATTTTTATTTTCAGCTCAATTTTATGGATAAAAATAATAAATCGTCGTTTCGGAGTCACTACTAATTCTCGATTTTTATTTCTAGCTCAATTTTATGGATAAAAATAATAAATCGTCGTTTCGGAGTCACTACTAATTCTCGATTTTTATTTTCAGCTCAATTTTATGGATAAAAATAATAAATCGTCGTTTCGGAGTCACTACTAATTCTCGATTTTTATTTTCAGCTCAATTTTATGGATAAAAATAATAAATCGTCGTTTCGGAGTCACTACTAATTCTCGATTTTTATTTCTAGCTCTATTTTATGGATAAAAATAATAAATCGTCGTTTCGAAGTCACTACTAATTCTCGATTTTTATTTCTAGCTCAATTTTATGGATAAAAATAATAAATCGTCGTTTCGAAGTCACTAGTAATTCTCGATTTTTATTTCTAGCTCAATTTTATGGATAAAAATAATAAATCGTCGTTTCGGAGTCACTACTAATTCTCGATTTTTATTTCTAGCTCAATTTTATGGATAAAAATAATAAATCGTCGTTTCGGAGTCACTACTAATTCTCGATTTTTATTTCTAGCTCAATTTTATGGATAAAAATAATAAATCGTCGTTTCGGAGTCACTACTAATTCTCGATTTTTATTTCTAGCTCAATTTTATGGATAAAAATAATAAATCGTCGTTTCGGAGTCACTACTAATTCTCGATTTTTATTTTCAGCTCAATTTTATGGATAAAAATAATAAATCGTCGTTTCGGAGTCACTACTAATTCTCGATTTTTATTTTCAGCTCAATTTTATGGATAAAAATAATAAATCGTCGTTTCGGAGTCACTACTAATTCTCGATTTTTATTTCTAGCTCAATTTTATGGATAAAAATAATAAATCGTCGTTTCGGAGTCACTACTAATTCTCGATTTTTATTTCTAGCTCAATTTCATGGATAAAAATAATAAATCGTCGTTTCGGAGTCACTACTAATTCTCGATTTTTATTTCTAGCTCAATTTTATGGATAAAAATAATAAATCGTCGTTTCGAAGTCACTTTTATTTCTAGCTCAATTTTATGGATAAAAATAATAAATCGTCGTTTCGGAGTCACTACTAATTCTCGATTTTTATTTCTAGCTCAATTTTATGGATAAAAATAATAAATCGTCGTTTCGGAGTCACTACTAATTCTCGATTTTTATTTCTAGCTCAATTTTATGGATAAAAATAATAAATCGTCGTTTCGGAGTCACTACTAATTCTCGATTTTTATTTCTAGCTCAATTTTATGGATAAAAATAATAAATCGTCGTTTCGGAGTCACTACTAATTCTCGATTTTTATTTCTAGCTCAATTTTATGGATAAAAATAATAAATCGTCGTTTCGGAGTCACTACTAATTCTCGATTTTTATTTTCAGCTCAATTTTATGGATAAAAATAATAAATCGTCGTTTCGGAGTCACTACTAATTCTCGATTTTTATTTTCAGCTCAATTTTATGGATAAAAATAATAAATCGTCGTTTCGGAGTCACTACTAATTCTCGATTTTTATTTCTAGCTCAATTTTATGGATAAAAATAATAAATCGTCGTTTCGGAGTCACTACTAATTCTCGATTTTTATTTCTAGCTCAATTTTATGGATAAAAATAATAAATCGTCGTTTCGGAGTCACTACTAATTCTCGATTTTTATTTCTAGCTCAATTTCATGGATAAAAATAATAAATCGTCGTTTCGGAGTCACTACTAATTCTCGATTTTTATTTCTAGCTCAATTTTATGGATAAAAATAATAAATCGTCGTTTCGAAGTCACTTTTATTTCTAGCTCAATTTTATGGATAAAAATAATAAATCGTCGTTTCGGAGTCACTACTAATTCTCGATTTTTATTTCTAGCTCAATTTTATGGATAAAAATAATAAATCGTCGTTTCGGAGTCACTACTAATTCTCGATTTTTATTTTCAGCTCAATTTTATGGATAAAAATAATAAATCGTCGTTTCGGAGTCACTACTAATTCTCGATTTTTATTTTCAGCTCAATTTTATGGATAAAAATAATAAATCGTCGTTTCGGAGTCACTAGTAATTCTCGATTTTTATTTCTAGCTCAATTTCATGGATAAAAATAATAAATCGTCGTTTCGGAGTCACTACTAATTCTCGATTTTTATTTCTAGCTCAATTTCATGGATAAAAATAATAAATCGTCGTTTCGGAGTCACTACTAATTCTCGATTTTTATTTCTAGCTCAATTTTATGGATAAAAATAATAAATCGTCGTTTCGAAGTCACTTTTATTTCTAGCTCAATTTTATGGATAAAAATAATAAATCGTCGTTTCGGAGTCACTACTAATTCTCGATTTTTATTTCTAGCTCAATTTTATGGATAAAAATAATAAATCGTCGTTTCGGAGTCACTACTAATTCTCGATTTTTATTTTCAGCTCAATTTTATGGATAAAAATAATAAATCGTCGTTTCGGAGTCACTACTAATTCTCGATTTTTATTTTCAGCTCAATTTTATGGATAAAAATAATAAATCGTCGTTTCGAAGTCACTAATAATTCTCGATTTTTATTTCTAGCTCAATTTTATGGATAAAAATAATAAATCGTCGTTTTGGAGTCACTACTAATTCTCGATTTTTATTTCTAGCTCAATTTTATGGATAAAAATAATAAATCGTCGTTTCGGAGTCACTAATAATTCTCGATTTTTATTTCTAGCTCAATTTTATGGATAAAAATAATAAATCGTCGTTTCGAAGTCACTAATAATTCTCGATTTTTATTTCTAGCTCAATTTTATGGATAAAAATAATAAATCGTCGTTTCGGAGTCACTAATAATTCTCGATTTTTATTTCTAGCTCAATTTTATGGATAAAAATAATAAATCGTCGTTTCGGAGTCACTACTAATTCTCGATTTTTATTTTCAGCTCAATTTTATGGATAAAAATAATAAATCGTCGTTTCGGAGTCACTACTAATTCTCGATTTTTATTTCTAGCTCAATTTTATGGATAAAAATAATAAATCGTCGTTTCGAAGTCACTAATAATTCTCGATTTTTATTTCTAGCTCAATTTTATGGATAAAAATAATAAATCGTCGTTTCGGAGTCACTAATAATTCTCGATTTTTATTTTCAGCTCAATTTTATGGATAAAAATAATAAATCGTCGTTTCGGAGTCACTACTAATTCTCGATTTTTATTTCTAGCTCAATTTTATGGATAAAAATAATAAATCGTCGTTTCGGAGTCACTACTAATTCTCGATTTTTATTTCTAGCTCAATTTTATGGATAAAAATAATAAATCGTCGTTTCGGAGTCACTACTAATTCTCGATTTTTATTTCTAGCTCAATTTTATGGATAAAAATAATAAATCGTCGTTTCGGAGTCACTACTAATTCTCGATTTTTATTTTCAGCTCAATTTTATGGATAAAAATAATAAATCGTCGTTTCGGAGTCACTACTAATTCTCGATTTTTATTTTCAGCTCAATTTTATGGATAAAAATAATAAATCGTCGTTTCGGAGTCACTACTAATTCTCGATTTTTATTTTCAGCTCAATTTTATGGATAAAAATAATAAATCGTCGTTTCGGAGTCACTACTAATTCTCGATTTTTATTTTCAGCTCAATTTTATGGATAAAAATAATAAATCGTCGTTTTGGAGTCACTACTAATTCTCGATTTTTATTTCTAGCTCAATTTTATGGATAAAAATAATAAATCGTCGTTTCGGAGTCACTAATAATTCTCGATTTTTATTTCTAGCTCAATTTTATGGATAAAAATAATAAATCGTCGTTTCGAAGTCACTAATAATTCTCGATTTTTATTTCTAGCTCAATTTTATGGATAAAAATAATAAATCGTCGTTTCGGAGTCACTAATAATTCTCGATTTTTATTTCTAGCTCAATTTTATGGATAAAAATAATAAATCGTCGTTTCGGAGTCACTACTAATTCTCGATTTTTATTTTCAGCTCAATTTTATGGATAAAAATAATAAATCGTCGTTTCGGAGTCACTACTAATTCTCGATTTTTATTTCTAGCTCAATTTTATGGATAAAAATAATAAATCGTCGTTTCGAAGTCACTAATAATTCTCGATTTTTATTTCTAGCTCAATTTTATGGATAAAAATAATAAATCGTCGTTTCGGAGTCACTAATAATTCTCGATTTTTATTTCTAGCTCAATTTTATGGATAAAAATAATAAATCGTCGTTTCGGAGTCACTAATAATTCTCGATTTTTATTTCTAGCTCAATTTTATGGATAAAAATAATAAATCGTCGTTTCGGAGTCACTACTAATTCTCGATTTTTATTTTCAGCTCAATTTTATGGATAAAAATAATAAATCGTCGTTTCGGAGTCACTACTAATTCTCGATTTTTATTTCTAGCTCAATTTTATGGATAAAAATAATAAATCGTCGTTTCGGAGTCACTAATAATTCTCGATTTTTATTTCTAGCTCAATTTTATGGATAAAAATAATAAATCGTCGTTTCGGAGTCACTAATAATTCTCGATTTTTATTTTCAGCTCAATTTTATGGATAAAAATAATAAATCGTCGTTTCGGAGTCACTACTAATTCTCGATTTTTATTTCTAGCTCAATTTTATGGATAAAAATAATAAATCGTCGTTTCGGAGTCACTACTAATTCTCGATTTTTATTTCTAGCTCAATTTTATGGATAAAAATAATAAATCGTCGTTTCGGAGTCACTACTAATTCTCGATTTTTATTTCTAGCTCAATTTTATGGATAAAAATAATAAATCGTCGTTTCGGAGTCACTACTAATTCTCGATTTTTATTTCTAGCTCAATTTTATGGATAAAAATAATAAATCGTCGTTTCGGAGTCACTACTAATTCTCGATTTTTATTTTCAGCTCAATTTTATGGATAAAAATAATAAATCGTCGTTTCGGAGTCACTACTAATTCTCGATTTTTATTTCTAGCTCAATTTTATGGATAAAAATAATAAATCGTCGTTTCGGAGTCACTAGTAATTCTCGATTTTTATTTCTAGCTCAATTTTATGGATAAAAATAATAAATCGTCGTTTCGGAGTCACTACTAATTCTCGATTTTTATTTCTAGCTCAATTTTATGGATAAAAATAATAAATCGTCGTTTCGGAGTCACTAGTAATTCTCGATTTTTATTTTCAGCTCAATTTTATGGATAAAAATAATAAATCGTCGTTTCGGAGTCACTACTAATTCTCGATTTTTATTTCTAGCTCAATTTTATGGATAAAAATAATAAATCGTCGTTTCGGAGTCACTACTAATTCTCGATTTTTATTTCTAGCTCAATTTTATGGATAAAAATAATAAATCGTCGTTTCGGAGTCACTAGTAATTCTCGATTTTTATTTCTAGCTCAATTTTATGGATAAAAATAATAAATCGTCGTTTCGGAGTCACTACTAATTCTCGATTTTTATTTCTAGCTCAATTTTATGGATAAAAATAATAAATCGTCGTTTCGGAGTCACTAGTAATTCTCGATTTTTATTTTCAGCTCAATTTTATGGATAAAAATAATAAATCGTCGTTTCGGAGTCACTACTAATTCTCGATTTTTATTTCTAGCTCAATTTTATGGATAAAAATAATAAATCGTCGTTTCGGAGTCACTACTAATTCTCGATTTTTATTTCTAGCTCAATTTTATGGATAAAAATAATAAATCGTCGTTTCGGAGTCACTAGTAATTCTCGATTTTTATTTTCAGCTCAATTTTATGGATAAAAATAATAAATCGTCGTTTCGGAGTCACTACTAATTCTCGATTTTTATTTCTAGCTCAATTTTATGGATAAAAATAATAAATCGTCGTTTCGGAGTCACTACTAATTCTCGATTTTTATTTTCAGCTCAATTTTATGGATAAAAATAATAAATCGTCGTTTCGGAGTCACTACTAATTCTCGATTTTTATTTCTAGCTCAATTTTATGGATAAAAATAATAAATCGTCGTTTCGGAGTCACTACTAATTCTCGATTTTTATTTCTAGCTCAATTTTATGGATAAAAATAATAAATCGTCGTTTCGGAGTCACTACTAATTCTCGATTTTTATTTCTAGCTCAATTTTATGGATAAAAATAATAAATCGTCGTTTCGGAGTCACTACTAATTCTCGATTTTTATTTCTAGCTCAATTTTATGGATAAAAATAATAAATCGTCGTTTCGGAGTCACTACTAATTCTCGATTTTTATTTTCAGCTCAATTTTATGGATAAAAATAATAAATCGTCGTTTCGGAGTCACTACTAATTCTCGATTTTTATTTTCAGCTCAATTTTATGGATAAAAATAATAAATCGTCGTTTCGGAGTCACTACTAATTCTCGATTTTTATTTCTAGCTCAATTTTATGGATAAAAATAATAAATCGTCGTTTCGGAGTCACTACTAATTCTCGATTTTTATTTTCAGCTCAATTTTATGGATAAAAATAATAAATCGTCGTTTCGGAGTCACTACTAATTCTCGATTTTTATTTCTAGCTCAATTTTATGGATAAAAATAATAAATCGTCGTTTCGAAGTCACTACTAATTCTCGATTTTTATTTCTAGCTCAATTTTATGGATAAAAATAATAAATCGTCGTTTCGAAGTCACTACTAATTCTCGATTTTTATTTCTAGCTCAATTTTATGGATAAAAATAATAAATCGTCGTTTCGGAGTCACTAATAATTCTCGATTTTTATTTCTAGCTCAATTTTATGGATAAAAATAATAAATCGTCGTTTCGGAGTCACTAATAATTCTCGATTTTTATTTCTAGCTCAATTTTATGGATAAAAATAATAAATCGTCGTTTCGGAGTCACTACTAATTCTCGATTTTTATTTCTAGCTCAATTTTATGGATAAAAATAATAAATCGTCGTTTCGGAGTCACTACTAATTCTCGATTTTTATTTCTAGCTCAATTTTATGGATAAAAATAATAAATCGTCGTTTCGAAGTCACTACTAATTCTCGATTTTTATTTCTAGCTCAATTTTATGGATAAAAATAATAAATCGTCGTTTCGGAGTCACTACTAATTCTCGATTTTTATTTCTAGCTCAATTTTACGGATAAAAATAATAAATCGTCGTTTCGGAGTCACTACTAATTCTCGATTTTTATTTCTAGCTCAATTTTATGGATAAAAATAATAAATCGTCGTTTCGGAGTCACTACTAATTCTCGATTTTTATTTCTAGCTCAATTTTATGGATAAAAATAATAAATCGTCGTTTCGGAGTCACTACTAATTCTCGATTTTTATTTCTAGCTCAATTTTATGGATAAAAATAATAAATCGTCGTTTCGGAGTCACTACTAATTCTCGATTTTTATTTCTAGCTCAATTTTATGGATAAAAATAATAAATCGTCGTTTCGGAGTCACTACTAATTCTCGATTTTTATTTTCAGCTCAATTTTATGGATAAAAATAATAAATCGTCGTTTCGGAGTCACTACTAATTCTCGATTTTTATTTCTAGCTCAATTTTATGGATAAAAATAATAAATCGTCGTTTCGAAGTCACTACTAATTCTCGATTTTTATTTCTAGCTCAATTTTATGGATAAAAATAATAAATCGTCGTTTCGGAGTCACTACTAATTCTCGATTTTTATTTCTAGCTCAATTTTATGGATAAAAATAATAAATCGTCGTTTCGGAGTCACTAATAATTCTCGATTTTTATTTCTAGCTCAATTTTATGGATAAAAATAATAAATCGTCGTTTCGAAGTCACTACTAATTCTCGATTTTTATTTCTAGCTCAATTTTATGGATAAAAATAATAAATCGTCGTTTCGGAGTCACTAATAATTCTCGATTTTTATTTCTAGCTCAATTTTATGGATAAAAATAATAAATCGTCGTTTCGGAGTCACTAATAATTCTCGATTTTTATTTCTAGCTCAATTTTATGGATAAAAATAATAAATCGTCGTTTCGAAGTCACTACTAATTCTCGATTTTTATTTCTAGCTCAATTTTATGGATAAAAATAATAAATCGTCGTTTCGGAGTCACTAATAATTCTCGATTTTTATTTCTAGCTCAATTTTATGGATAAAAATAATAAATCGTCGTTTCGGAGTCACTAATAATTCTCGATTTTTATTTCTAGCTCAATTTTATGGATAAAAATAATAAATCGTCGTTTCGGAGTCACTAATAATTCTCGATTTTTATTTCTAGCTCAATTTTATGGATAAAAATAATAAATCGTCGTTTCGAAGTCACTACTAATTCTCGATTTTTATTTCTAGCTCAATTTTATGGATAAAAATAATAAATCGTCGTTTCGGAGTCACTACTAATTCTCGATTTTTATTTCTAGCTCAATTTTATGGATAAAAATAATAAATCGTCGTTTCGGAGTCACTAATAATTCTCGATTTTTATTTCTAGCTCAATTTTATGGATAAAAATAATAAATCGTCGTTTCGGAGTCACTAATAATTCTCGATTTTTATTTCTAGCTCAATTTTATGGATAAAAATAATAAATCGTCGTTTCGGAGTCACTACTAATTCTCGATTTTTATTTCTAGCTCAATTTTATGGATAAAAATAATAAATCGTCGTTTCGGAGTCACTAATAATTCTCGATTTTTATTTCTAGCTCAATTTTATGGATAAAAATAATAAATCGTCGTTTCGGAGTCACTACTAATTCTCGATTTTTATTTCTAGCTCAATTTTATGGATAAAAATAATAAATCGTCGTTTCGGAGTCACTAATAATTCTCGATTTTTATTTCTAGCTCAATTTTATGGATAAAAATAATAAATCGTCGTTTCGGAGTCACTACTAATTCTCGATTTTTATTTTCAGCTCAATTTTATGGATAAAAATAATAAATCGTCGTTTCGGAGTCACTACTAATTCTCGATTTTTATTTCTAGCTCAATTTTATGGATAAAAATAATAAATCGTCGTTTCGAAGTCACTACTAATTCTCGATTTTTATTTCTAGCTCAATTTTATGGATAAAAATAATAAATCGTCGTTTCGGAGTCACTAATAATTCTCGATTTTTATTTCTAGCTCAATTTTATGGATAAAAATAATAAATCGTCGTTTCGAAGTCACTACTAATTCTCGATTTTTATTTCTAGCTCAATTTTATGGATAAAAATAATAAATCGTCGTTTCGAAGTCACTACTAATTCTCGATTTTTATTTCTAGCTCAATTTTATGGATAAAAATAATAAATCGTCGTTTCGAAGTCACTACTAATTCTCGATTTTTATTTCTAGCTCAATTTTATGGATAAAAATAATAAATCGTCGTTTCGGAGTCACTACTAATTCTCGATTTTTATTTCTAGCTCAATTTTATGGATAAAAATAATAAATCGTCGTTTCGAAGTCACTACTAATTCTCGATTTTTATTTCTAGCTCAATTTTATGGATAAAAATAATAAATCGTCGTTTCGAAGTCACTACTAATTCTCGATTTTTATTTCTAGCTCAATTTTATGGATAAAAATAATAAATCGTCGTTTCGAAGTCACTACTAATTCTCGATTTTTATTTCTAGCTCAATTTTATGGATAAAAATAATAAATCGTCGTTTCGAAGTCACTACTAATTCTCGATTTTTATTTCTAGCTCAATTTTATGGATAAAAATAATAAATCGTCGTTTCGGAGTCACTACTAATTCTCGATTTTTATTTCTAGCTCAATTTTATGGATAAAAATAATAAATCGTCGTTTCGGAGTCACTAATAATTCTCGATTTTTATTTCTAGCTCAATTTTATGGATAAAAATAATAAATCGTCGTTTCGAAGTCACTACTAATTCTCGATTTTTATTTCTAGCTCAATTTTATGGATAAAAATAATAAATCGTCGTTTCGGAGTCACTACTAATTCTCGATTTTTATTTCTAGCTCAATTTTATGGATAAAAATAATAAATCGTCGTTTCGGAGTCACTAATAATTCTCGATTTTTATTTCTAGCTCAATTTTATGGATAAAAATAATAAATCGTCGTTTCGAAGTCACTACTAATTCTCGATTTTTATTTCTAGCTCAATTTTATGGATAAAAATAATAAATCGTCGTTTCGGAGTCACTACTAATTCTCGATTTTTATTTCTAGCTCAATTTTATGGATAAAAATAATAAATCGTCGTTTCGGAGTCACTAATAATTCTCGATTTTTATTTCTAGCTCAATTTTATGGATAAAAATAATAAATCGTCGTTTCGGAGTCACTAATAATTCTCGATTTTTATTTCTAGCTCAATTTTATGGATAAAAATAATAAATCGTCGTTTCGAAGTCACTACTAATTCTCGATTTTTATTTCTAGCTCAATTTTATGGATAAAAATAATAAATCGTCGTTTCGGAGTCACTAATAATTCTCGATTTTTATTTCTAGCTCAATTTTATGGATAAAAATAATAAATCGTCGTTTCGGAGTCACTAATAATTCTCGATTTTTATTTCTAGCTCAATTTTATGGATAAAAATAATAAATCGTCGTTTCGGAGTCACTAATAATTCTCGATTTTTATTTCTAGCTCAATTTTATGGATAAAAATAATAAATCGTCGTTTCGAAGTCACTACTAATTCTCGATTTTTATTTCTAGCTCAATTTTATGGATAAAAATAATAAATCGTCGTTTCGGAGTCACTACTAATTCTCGATTTTTATTTCTAGCTCAATTTTATGGATAAAAATAATAAATCGTCGTTTCGGAGTCACTAATAATTCTCGATTTTTATTTCTAGCTCAATTTTATGGATAAAAATAATAAATCGTCGTTTCGGAGTCACTAATAATTCTCGATTTTTATTTCTAGCTCAATTTTATGGATAAAAATAATAAATCGTCGTTTCGGAGTCACTACTAATTCTCGATTTTTATTTCTAGCTCAATTTTATGGATAAAAATAATAAATCGTCGTTTCGGAGTCACTAATAATTCTCGATTTTTATTTGTAGCTCAATTTTATGGATAAAAATAATAAATCGTCGTTTCGGAGTCACTACTAATTCTCGATTTTTATTTCTAGCTCAATTTTATGGATAAAAATAATAAATCGTCGTTTCGAAGTCACTACTAATTCTCGATTTTTATTTCTAGCTCAATTTTATGGATAAAAATAATAAATCGTCGTTTCGGAGTCACTAATAATTCTCGATTTTTATTTCTAGCTCAATTTTATGGATAAAAATAATAAATCGTCGTTTCGGAGTCACTAATAATTCTCGATTTTTATTTCTAGCTCAATTTTATGGATAAAAATAATAAATCGTCGTTTCGGAGTCACTACTAATTCTCGATTTTTATTTCTAGCTCAATTTTATGGATAAAAATAATAAATCGTCGTTTCGAAGTCACTACTAATTCTCGATTTTTATTTCTAGCTCAATTTTATGGATAAAAATAATAAATCGTCGTTTCGGAGTCACTAATAATTCTCGATTTTTATTTCTAGCTCAATTTTATGGATAAAAATAATAAATCGTCGTTTCGGAGTCACTAATAATTCTCGATTTTTATTTCTAGCTCAATTTTATGGATAAAAATAATAAATCGTCGTTTCGGAGTCACTACTAATTCTCGATTTTTATTTCTAGCTCAATTTTATGGATAAAAATAATAAATCGTCGTTTCGGAGTCACTAATAATTCTCGATTTTTATTTCTAGCTCAATTTTATGGATAAAAATAATAAATCGTCGTTTCGGAGTCACTACTAATTCTCGATTTTTATTTCTAGCTCAATTTTATGGATAAAAATAATAAATCGTCGTTTCGGAGTCACTACTAATTCTCGATTTTTATTTCTAGCTCAATTTTATGGATAAAAATAATAAATCGTCGTTTCGGAGTCACTAATAATTCTCGATTTTTATTTCTAGCTCAATTTTATGGATAAAAATAATAAATCGTCGTTTCGGAGTCACTACTAATTCTCGATTTTTATTTCTAGCTCAATTTTATGGATAAAAATAATAAATCGTCGTTTCGGAGTCACTACTAATTCTCGATTTTTATTTCTAGCTCAATTTTATGGATAAAAATAATAAATCGTCGTTTCGGAGTCACTAATAATTCTCGATTTTTATTTCTAGCTCAATTTTATGGATAAAAATAATAAATCGTCGTTTCGGAGTCACTACTAATTCTCGATTTTTATTTCTAGCTCAATTTTATGGATAAAAATAATAAATCGTCGTTTCGGAGTCACTACTAATTCTCGATTTTTATTTCTAGCTCAATTTTATGGATAAAAATAATAAATCGTCGTTTCGGAGTCACTAATAATTCTCGATTTTTATTTCTAGCTCAATTTTATGGATAAAAATAATAAATCGTCGTTTCGGAGTCACTACTAATTCTCGATTTTTATTTCTAGCTCAATTTTATGGATAAAAATAATAAATCGTCGTTTCGGAGTCACTAATAATTCTCGATTTTTATTTCTAGCTCAATTTTATGGATAAAAATAATAAATCGTCGTTTCGGAGTCACTAATAATTCTCGATTTTTATTTCTAGCTCAATTTTATGGATAAAAATAATAAATCGTCGTTTCGGAGTCACTACTAATTCTCGATTTTTATTTCTAGCTCAATTTTATGGATAAAAATAATAAATCGTCGTTTCGGAGTCACTAATAATTCTCGATTTTTATTTCTAGCTCAATTTTATGGATAAAAATAATAAATCGTCGTTTCGGAGTCACTAATAATTCTCGATTTTTATTTCTAGCTCAATTTTATGGATAAAAATAATAAATCGTCGTTTCGAAGTCACTACTAATTCTCGATTTTTATTTCTAGCTCAATTTTATGGATAAAAATAATAAATCGTCGTTTCGGAGTCACTAATAATTCTCGATTTTTATTTCTAGCTCAATTTTATGGATAAAAATAATAAATCGTCGTTTCGGAGTCACTACTAATTCTCGATTTTTATTTCTAGCTCAATTTTATGGATAAAAATAATAAATCGTCGTTTCGAAGTCACTACTAATTCTCGATTTTTATTTCTAGCTCAATTTTATGGATAAAAATAATAAATCGTCGTTTCGGAGTCACTACTAATTCTCGATTTTTATTTCTAGCTCAATTTTATGGATAAAAATAATAAATCGTCGTTTCGGAGTCACTAATAATTCTCGATTTTTATTTCTAGCTCAATTTTATGGATAAAAATAATAAATCGTCGTTTCGAAGTCACTACTAATTCTCGATTTTTATTTCTAGCTCAATTTTATGGATAAAAATAATAAATCGTCGTTTCGGAGTCACTACTAATTCTCGATTTTTATTTCTAGCTCAATTTTATGGATAAAAATAATAAATCGTCGTTTCGAAGTCACTACTAATTCTCGATTTTTATTTCTAGCTCAATTTTATGGATAAAAATAATAAATCGTCGTTTCGAAGTCACTACTAATTCTCGATTTTTATTTCTAGCTCAATTTTATGGATAAAAATAATAAATCGTCGTTTCGAAGTCACTACTAATTCTCGATTTTTATTTCTAGCTCAATTTTATGGATAAAAATAATAAATCGTCGTTTCGAAGTCACTACTAATTCTCGATTTTTATTTCTAGCTCAATTTTATGGATAAAAATAATAAATCGTCGTTTCGGAGTCACTAATAATTCTCGATTTTTATTTTCAGCTCAATTTTATGGATAAAAATAATAAATCGTCGTTTCGAAGTCACTAATAATTCTCGATTTTTATTTTCAGCTCAATTTTATGGATAAAAATAATAAATCGTCGTTTCGAAGTCACTAATAATTCTCGATTTTTATTTCTAGCTCAATTTTATGGATAAAAATAATAAATCGTCGTTTCGAAGTCACTACTAATTCTCGATTTTTATTTCTAGCTCAATTTTATGGATAAAAATAATAAATCGTCGTTTCGAAGTCACTACTAATTCTCGATTTTTATTTCTAGCTCAATTTTATGGATAAAAATAATAAATCGTCGTTTCGGAGTCACTACTAATTCTCGATTTTTATTTCTAGCTCAATTTTATGGATAAAAATAATAAATCGTCGTTTCGGAGTCACTACTAATTCTCGATTTTTATTTTCAGCTCAATTTTATGGATAAAAATAATAAATCGTCGTTTCGGAGTCACTACTAATTCTCGATTTTTATTTTCAGCTCAATTTTATGGATAAAAATAATAAATCGTCGTTTCGGAGTCACTTTTATTTCTAGCTCAATTTTATGGATAAAAATAATAAATCGTCGTTTCGGAGTCACTACTAATTCTCGATTTTTATTTCTAGCTCAATTTTATGGATAAAAATAATAAATCGTCGTTTCGGAGTCACTACTAATTCTCGATTTTTATTTTCAGCTCAATTTTATGGATAAAAATAATAAATCGTCGTTTCGGAGTCACTACTAATTCTCGATTTTTATTTCTAGCTCAATTTTATGGATAAAAATAATAAATCGTCGTTTCGGAGTCACTACTAATTCTCGATTTTTATTTTCAGCTCAATTTTATGGATAAAAATAATAAATCGTCGTTTCGGAGTCACTTTTATTTCTAGCTCAATTTTATGGATAAAAATAATAAATCGTCGTTTCGGAGTCACTACTAATTCTCGATTTTTATTTTCAGCTCAATTTTATGGATAAAAATAATAAATCGTCGTTTCGGAGTCACTTTTATTTCTAGCTCAATTTTATGGATAAAAATAATAAATCGTCGTTTCGGAGTCACTACTAATTCTCGATTTTTATTTTCAGCTCAATTTTATGGATAAAAATAATAAATCGTCGTTTCGGAGTCACTACTAATTCTCGATTTTTATTTCTAGCTCAATTTTATGGATAAAAATAATAAATCGTCGTTTCGGAGTCACTACTAATTCTCGATTTTTATTTTCAGCTCAATTTTATGGATAAAAATAATAAATCGTCGTTTCGGAGTCACTACTAATTCTCGATTTTTATTTCTAGCTCAATTTTATGGATAAAAATAATAAATCGTCGTTTCGGAGTCACTACTAATTCTCGATTTTTATTTTCAGCTCAATTTTATGGATAAAAATAATAAATCGTCGTTTCGGAGTCACTACTAATTCTCGATTTTTATTTCTAGCTCAATTTTATGGATAAAAATAATAAATCGTCGTTTCGAAGTCACTACTAATTCTCGATTTTTATTTCTAGCTCAATTTTATGGATAAAAATAATAAATCGTCGTTTCGGAGTCACTAATAATTCTCGATTTTTATTTCTAGCTCAATTTTATGGATAAAAATAATAAATCGTCGTTTCGGAGTCACTACTAATTCTCGATTTTTATTTCTAGCTCAATTTTATGGATAAAAATAATAAATCGTCGTTTCGAAGTCACTACTAATTCTCGATTTTTATTTCTAGCTCAATTTTATGGATAAAAATAATAAATCGTCGTTTCGAAGTCACTACTAATTCTCGATTTTTATTTTCAGCTCAATTTTATGGATAAAAATAATAAATCGTCGTTTCGGAGTCACTACTAATTCTCGATTTTTATTTCTAGCTCAATTTTATGGATAAAAATAATAAATCGTCGTTTCGGAGTCACTACTAATTCTCGATTTTTATTTTCAGCTCAATTTTATGGATAAAAATAATAAATCGTCGTTTCGGAGTCACTACTAATTCTCGATTTTTATTTCTAGCTCAATTTTATGGATAAAAATAATAAATCGTCGTTTCGGAGTCACTACTAATTCTCGATTTTTATTTTCAGCTCAATTTTATGGATAAAAATAATAAATCGTCGTTTCGGAGTCACTACTAATTCTCGATTTTTATTTCTAGCTCAATTTTATGGATAAAAATAATAAATCGTCGTTTCGAAGTCACTACTAATTCTCGATTTTTATTTCTAGCTCAATTTTATGGATAAAAATAATAAATCGTCGTTTCGGAGTCACTAATAATTCTCGATTTTTATTTCTAGCTCAATTTTATGGATAAAAATAATAAATCGTCGTTTCGGAGTCACTACTAATTCTCGATTTTTATTTCTAGCTCAATTTTATGGATAAAAATAATAAATCGTCGTTTCGAAGTCACTACTAATTCTCGATTTTTATTTCTAGCTCAATTTTATGGATAAAAATAATAAATCGTCGTTTCGGAGTCACTACTAATTCTCGATTTTTATTTCTAGCTCAATTTTATGGATAAAAATAATAAATCGTCGTTTCGGAGTCACTAATAATTCTCGATTTTTATTTCTAGCTCAATTTTATGGATAAAAATAATAAATCGTCGTTTCGAAGTCACTACTAATTCTCGATTTTTATTTCTAGCTCAATTTTATGGATAAAAATAATAAATCGTCGTTTCGGAGTCACTACTAATTCTCGATTTTTATTTCTAGCTCAATTTTATGGATAAAAATAATAAATCGTCGTTTCGAAGTCACTACTAATTCTCGATTTTTATTTCTAGCTCAATTTTATGGATAAAAATAATAAATCGTCGTTTCGAAGTCACTACTAATTCTCGATTTTTATTTCTAGCTCAATTTTATGGATAAAAATAATAAATCGTCGTTTCGAAGTCACTACTAATTCTCGATTTTTATTTCTAGCTCAATTTTATGGATAAAAATAATAAATCGTCGTTTCGAAGTCACTACTAATTCTCGATTTTTATTTCTAGCTCAATTTTATGGATAAAAATAATAAATCGTCGTTTCGGAGTCACTAATAATTCTCGATTTTTATTTTCAGCTCAATTTTATGGATAAAAATAATAAATCGTCGTTTCGAAGTCACTAATAATTCTCGATTTTTATTTTCAGCTCAATTTTATGGATAAAAATAATAAATCGTCGTTTCGAAGTCACTAATAATTCTCGATTTTTATTTCTAGCTCAATTTTATGGATAAAAATAATAAATCGTCGTTTCGAAGTCACTACTAATTCTCGATTTTTATTTCTAGCTCAATTTTATGGATAAAAATAATAAATCGTCGTTTCGAAGTCACTACTAATTCTCGATTTTTATTTCTAGCTCAATTTTATGGATAAAAATAATAAATCGTCGTTTCGGAGTCACTACTAATTCTCGATTTTTATTTCTAGCTCAATTTTATGGATAAAAATAATAAATCGTCGTTTCGGAGTCACTACTAATTCTCGATTTTTATTTTCAGCTCAATTTTATGGATAAAAATAATAAATCGTCGTTTCGGAGTCACTACTAATTCTCGATTTTTATTTTCAGCTCAATTTTATGGATAAAAATAATAAATCGTCGTTTCGGAGTCACTTTTATTTCTAGCTCAATTTTATGGATAAAAATAATAAATCGTCGTTTCGGAGTCACTACTAATTCTCGATTTTTATTTCTAGCTCAATTTTATGGATAAAAATAATAAATCGTCGTTTCGGAGTCACTACTAATTCTCGATTTTTATTTTCAGCTCAATTTTATGGATAAAAATAATAAATCGTCGTTTCGGAGTCACTACTAATTCTCGATTTTTATTTCTAGCTCAATTTTATGGATAAAAATAATAAATCGTCGTTTCGGAGTCACTACTAATTCTCGATTTTTATTTTCAGCTCAATTTTATGGATAAAAATAATAAATCGTCGTTTCGGAGTCACTTTTATTTCTAGCTCAATTTTATGGATAAAAATAATAAATCGTCGTTTCGGAGTCACTACTAATTCTCGATTTTTATTTTCAGCTCAATTTTATGGATAAAAATAATAAATCGTCGTTTCGGAGTCACTTTTATTTCTAGCTCAATTTTATGGATAAAAATAATAAATCGTCGTTTCGGAGTCACTACTAATTCTCGATTTTTATTTTCAGCTCAATTTTATGGATAAAAATAATAAATCGTCGTTTCGGAGTCACTACTAATTCTCGATTTTTATTTCTAGCTCAATTTTATGGATAAAAATAATAAATCGTCGTTTCGGAGTCACTACTAATTCTCGATTTTTATTTTCAGCTCAATTTTATGGATAAAAATAATAAATCGTCGTTTCGGAGTCACTACTAATTCTCGATTTTTATTTCTAGCTCAATTTTATGGATAAAAATAATAAATCGTCGTTTCGGAGTCACTACTAATTCTCGATTTTTATTTTCAGCTCAATTTTATGGATAAAAATAATAAATCGTCGTTTCGGAGTCACTACTAATTCTCGATTTTTATTTCTAGCTCAATTTTATGGATAAAAATAATAAATCGTCGTTTCGGAGTCACTACTAATTCTCGATTTTTATTTCTAGCTCAATTTTATGGATAAAAATAATAAATCGTCGTTTCGGAGTCACTACTAATTCTCGATTTTTATTTCTAGCTCAATTTTATGGATAAAAATAATAAATCGTCGTTTCGGAGTCACTACTAATTCTCGATTTTTATTTTCAGCTCAATTTTATGGATAAAAATAATAAATCGTCGTTTCGGAGTCACTAATAATTCTCGATTTTTATTTCTAGCTCAATTTTATGGATAAAAATAATAAATCGTCGTTTCGGAGTCACTAATAATTCTCGATTTTTATTTCTAGCTCAATTTTATGGATAAAAATAATAAATCGTCGTTTCGGAGTCACTACTAATTCTCGATTTTTATTTCTAGCTCAATTTTATGGATAAAAATAATAAATCGTCGTTTCGGAGTCACTACTAATTCTCGATTTTTATTTCTAGCTCAATTTTATGGATAAAAATAATAAATCGTCGTTTCGGAGTCACTACTAATTCTCGATTTTTATTTCTAGCTCAATTTTATGGATAAAAATAATAAATCGTCGTTTCGGAGTCACTACTAATTCTCGATTTTTATTTTCAGCTCAATTTTATGGATAAAAATAATAAATCGTCGTTTCGGAGTCACTAATAATTCTCGATTTTTATTTCTAGCTCAATTTTATGGATAAAAATAATAAATCGTCGTTTCGGAGTCACTAATAATTCTCGATTTTTATTTCTAGCTCAATTTTATGGATAAAAATAATAAATCGTCGTTTCGGAGTCACTACTAATTCTCGATTTTTATTTCTAGCTCAATTTTATGGATAAAAATAATAAATCGTCGTTTCGGAGTCACTACTAATTCTCGATTTTTATTTCTAGCTCAATTTTATGGATAAAAATAATAAATCGTCGTTTCGGAGTCACTACTAATTCTCGATTTTTATTTCTAGCTCAATTTTATGGATAAAAATAATAAATCGTCGTTTCGGAGTCACTACTAATTCTCGATTTTTATTTCTAGCTCAATTTTATGGATAAAAATAATAAATCGTCGTTTCGGAGTCACTACTAATTCTCGATTTTTATTTCTAGCTCAATTTTATGGATAAAAATAATAAATCGTCGTTTCGGAGTCACTACTAATTCTCGATTTTTATTTCTAGCTCAATTTTATGGATAAAAATAATAAATCGTCGTTTCGGAGTCACTACTAATTCTCGATTTTTATTTCTAGCTCAATTTTATGGATAAAAATAATAAATCGTCGTTTCGGAGTCACTACTAATTCTCGATTTTTATTTCTAGCTCAATTTTATGGATAAAAATAATAAATCGTCGTTTCGGAGTCACTACTAATTCTCGATTTTTATTTCTAGCTCAATTTTATGGATAAAAATAATAAATCGTCGTTTCGGAGTCACTACTAATTCTCGATTTTTATTTTCAGCTCAATTTTATGGATAAAAATAATAAATCGTCGTTTCGGAGTCACTACTAATTCTCGATTTTTATTTCTAGCTCAATTTTATGGATAAAAATAATAAATCGTCGTTTCGGAGTCACTACTAATTCTCGATTTTTATTTCTAGCTCAATTTTATGGATAAAAATAATAAATCGTCGTTTCGGAGTCACTACTAATTCTCGATTTTTATTTTCAGCTCAATTTTATGGATAAAAATAATAAATCGTCGTTTCGGAGTCACTACTAATTCTCGATTTTTATTTCTAGCTCAATTTTATGGATAAAAATAATAAATCGTCGTTTCGGAGTCACTACTAATTCTCGATTTTTATTTCTAGCTCAATTTTATGGATAAAAATAATAAATCGTCGTTTCGGAGTCACTACTAATTCTCGATTTTTATTTCTAGCTCAATTTTATGGATAAAAATAATAAATCGTCGTTTCGGAGTCACTACTAATTCTCGATTTTTATTTTCAGCTCAATTTTATGGATAAAAATAATAAATCGTCGTTTCGGAGTCACTACTAATTCTCGATTTTTATTTCTAGCTCAATTTTATGGATAAAAATAATAAATCGTCGTTTCGGAGTCACTACTAATTCTCGATTTTTATTTCTAGCTCAATTTTATGGATAAAAATAATAAATCGTCGTTTCGGAGTCACTACTAATTCTCGATTTTTATTTCTAGCTCAATTTTATGGATAAAAATAATAAATCGTCGTTTCGGAGTCACTACTAATTCTCGATTTTTATTTCTAGCTCAATTTTATGGATAAAAATAATAAATCGTCGTTTCGGAGTCACTACTAATTCTCGATTTTTATTTTCAGCTCAATTTTATGGATAAAAATAATAAATCGTCGTTTCGGAGTCACTACTAATTCTCGATTTTTATTTCTAGCTCAATTTTATGGATAAAAATAATAAATCGTCGTTTCGGAGTCACTACTAATTCTCGATTTTTATTTCTAGCTCAATTTTATGGATAAAAATAATAAATCGTCGTTTCGGAGTCACTACTAATTCTCGATTTTTATTTTCAGCTCAATTTTATGGATAAAAATAATAAATCGTCGTTTCGGAGTCACTACTAATTCTCGATTTTTATTTCTAGCTCAATTTTATGGATAAAAATAATAAATCGTCGTTTCGGAGTCACTACTAATTCTCGATTTTTATTTCTAGCTCAATTTTATGGATAAAAATAATAAATCGTCGTTTCGGAGTCACTACTAATTCTCGATTTTTATTTTCAGCTCAATTTTATGGATAAAAATAATAAATCGTCGTTTCGGAGTCACTACTAATTCTCGATTTTTATTTCTAGCTCAATTTTATGGATAAAAATAATAAATCGTCGTTTCGGAGTCACTACTAATTCTCGATTTTTATTTCTAGCTCAATTTTATGGATAAAAATAATAAATCGTCGTTTCGGAGTCACTACTAATTCTCGATTTTTATTTCTAGCTCAATTTTATGGATAAAAATAATAAATCGTCGTTTCGGAGTCACTACTAATTCTCGATTTTTATTTTCAGCTCAATTTTATGGATAAAAATAATAAATCGTCGTTTCGGAGTCACTAATAATTCTCGATTTTTATTTCTAGCTCAATTTTATGGATAAAAATAATAAATCGTCGTTTCGGAGTCACTAATAATTCTCGATTTTTATTTCTAGCTCAATTTTATGGATAAAAATAATAAATCGTCGTTTCGGAGTCACTACTAATTCTCGATTTTTATTTCTAGCTCAATTTTATGGATAAAAATAATAAATCGTCGTTTCGGAGTCACTACTAATTCTCGATTTTTATTTCTAGCTCAATTTTATGGATAAAAATAATAAATCGTCGTTTCGGAGTCACTACTAATTCTCGATTTTTATTTCTAGCTCAATTTTATGGATAAAAATAATAAATCGTCGTTTCGGAGTCACTACTAATTCTCGATTTTTATTTCTAGCTCAATTTTATGGATAAAAATAATAAATCGTCGTTTCGGAGTCACTACTAATTCTCGATTTTTATTTCTAGCTCAATTTTATGGATAAAAATAATAAATCGTCGTTTCGGAGTCACTACTAATTCTCGATTTTTATTTCTAGCTCAATTTTATGGATAAAAATAATAAATCGTCGTTTCGGAGTCACTACTAATTCTCGATTTTTATTTTCAGCTCAATTTTATGGATAAAAATAATAAATCGTCGTTTCGGAGTCACTACTAATTCTCGATTTTTATTTCTAGCTCAATTTTATGGATAAAAATAATAAATCGTCGTTTCGGAGTCACTACTAATTCTCGATTTTTATTTCTAGCTCAATTTTATGGATAAAAATAATAAATCGTCGTTTCGGAGTCACTAGTAATTCTCGATTTTTATTTTCAGCTCAATTTTATGGATAAAAATAATAAATCGTCGTTTCGGAGTCACTACTAATTCTCGATTTTTATTTTCAGCTCAATTTTATGGATAAAAATAATAAATCGTCGTTTCGGAGTCACTACTAATTCTCGATTTTTATTTTCAGCTCAATTTTATGGATAAAAATAATAAATCGTCGTTTCGGAGTCACTACTAATTCTCGATTTTTATTTCTAGCTCAATTTTATGGATAAAAATAATAAATCGTCGTTTCGGAGTCACTACTAATTCTCGATTTTTATTTTCAGCTCAATTTTATGGATAAAAATAATAAATCGTCGTTTCGGAGTCACTACTAATTCTCGATTTTTATTTCTAGCTCAATTTTATGGATAAAAATAATAAATCGTCGTTTCGGAGTCACTACTAATTCTCGATTTTTATTTTCAGCTCAATTTTATGGATAAAAATAATAAATCGTCGTTTCGGAGTCACTACTAATTCTCGATTTTTATTTTCAGCTCAATTTTATGGATAAAAATAATAAATCGTCGTTTCGGAGTCACTACTAATTCTCGATTTTTATTTTCAGCTCAATTTTATGGATAAAAATAATAAATCGTCGTTTCGGAGTCACTACTAATTCTCGATTTTTATTTTCAGCTCAATTTTATGGATAAAAATAATAAATCGTCGTTTCGGAGTCACTACTAATTCTCGATTTTTATTTTCAGCTCAATTTTATGGATAAAAATAATAAATCGTCGTTTCGGAGTCACTAATAATTCTCGATTTTTATTTCTAGCTCAATTTTATGGATAAAAATAATAAATCGTCGTTTCGGAGTCACTACTAATTCTCGATTTTTATTTTCAGCTCAATTTTATGGATAAAAATAATAAATCGTCGTTTCGGAGTCACTACTAATTCTCGATTTTTATTTTCAGCTCAATTTTATGGATAAAAATAATAAATCGTCGTTTCGGAGTCACTAATAATTCTCGATTTTTATTTCTAGCTCAATTTTATGGATAAAAATAATAAATCGTCGTTTCGGAGTCACTACTAATTCTCGATTTTTATTTTCAGCTCAATTTTATGGATAAAAATAATAAATCGTCGTTTCGGAGTCACTAATAATTCTCGATTTTTATTTTCAGCTCAATTTTATGGATAAAAATAATAAATCGTCGTTTCGGAGTCACTACTAATTCTCGATTTTTATTTTCAGCTCAATTTTATGGATAAAAATAATAAATCGTCGTTTCGGAGTCACTACTAATTCTCGATTTTTATTTTCAGCTCAATTTTATGGATAAAAATAATAAATCGTCGTTTCGGAGTCACTAATAATTCTCGATTTTTATTTCTAGCTCAATTTTATGGATAAAAATAATAAATCGTCGTTTCGGAGTCACTACTAATTCTCGATTTTTATTTTCAGCTCAATTTTATGGATAAAAATAATAAATCGTCGTTTCGGAGTCACTAATAATTCTCGATTTTTATTTTCAGCTCAATTTTATGGATAAAAATAATAAATCGTCGTTTCGGAGTCACTACTAATTCTCGATTTTTATTTTCAGCTCAATTTTATGGATAAAAATAATAAATCGTCGTTTCGGAGTCACTACTAATTCTCGATTTTTATTTTCAGCTCAATTTTATGGATAAAAATAATAAATCGTCGTTTCGGAGTCACTAATAATTCTCGATTTTTATTTCTAGCTCAATTTTATGGATAAAAATAATAAATCGTCGTTTCGGAGTCACTACTAATTCTCGATTTTTATTTTCAGCTCAATTTTATGGATAAAAATAATAAATCGTCGTTTCGGAGTCACTACTAATTCTCGATTTTTATTTTCAGCTCAATTTTATGGATAAAAATAATAAATCGTCGTTTCGGAGTCACTACTAATTCTCGATTTTTATTTTCAGCTCAATTTTATGGATAAAAATAATAAATCGTCGTTTCGGAGTCACTACTAATTCTCGATTTTTATTTTCAGCTCAATTTTATGGATAAAAATAATAAATCGTCGTTTCGGAGTCACTACTAATTCTCGATTTTTATTTTCAGCTCAATTTTATGGATAAAAATAATAAATCGTCGTTTCGGAGTCACTACTAATTCTCGATTTTTATTTTCAGCTCAATTTTATGGATAAAAATAATAAATCGTCGTTTCGGAGTCACTAATAATTCTCGATTTTTATTTCTAGCTCAATTTTATGGATAAAAATAATAAATCGTCGTTTCGGAGTCACTACTAATTCTCGATTTTTATTTTCAGCTCAATTTTATGGATAAAAATAATAAATCGTCGTTTCGGAGTCACTAATAATTCTCGATTTTTATTTTCAGCTCAATTTTATGGATAAAAATAATAAATCGTCGTTTCGGAGTCACTAATAATTCTCGATTTTTATTTTCAGCTCAATTTTATGGATAAAAATAATAAATCGTCGTTTCGGAGTCACTAATAATTCTCGATTTTTATTTCTAGCTCAATTTTATGGATAAAAATAATAAATCGTCGTTTCGGAGTCACTAATAATTCTCGATTTTTATTTTCAGCTCAATTTTATGGATAAAAATAATAAATCGTCGTTTCGGAGTCACTACTAATTCTCGATTTTTATTTTCAGCTCAATTTTATGGATAAAAATAATAAATCGTCGTTTCGGAGTCACTACTAATTCTCGATTTTTATTTTCAGCTCAATTTTATGGATAAAAATAATAAATCGTCGTTTCGGAGTCACTAATAATTCTCGATTTTTATTTCTAGCTCAATTTTATGGATAAAAATAATAAATCGTCGTTTCGGAGTCACTACTAATTCTCGATTTTTATTTTCAGCTCAATTTTATGGATAAAAATAATAAATCGTCGTTTCGGAGTCACTAATAATTCTCGATTTTTATTTTCAGCTCAATTTTATGGATAAAAATAATAAATCGTCGTTTCGGAGTCACTAATAATTCTCGATTTTTATTTTCAGCTCAATTTTATGGATAAAAATAATAAATCGTCGTTTCGGAGTCACTACTAATTCTCGATTTTTATTTTCAGCTCAATTTTATGGATAAAAATAATAAATCGTCGTTTCGGAGTCACTACTAATTCTCGATTTTTATTTTCAGCTCAATTTTATGGATAAAAATAATAAATCGTCGTTTCGGAGTCACTAATAATTCTCGATTTTTATTTCTAGCTCAATTTTATGGATAAAAATAATAAATCGTCGTTTCGGAGTCACTACTAATTCTCGATTTTTATTTTCAGCTCAATTTTATGGATAAAAATAATAAATCGTCGTTTCGGAGTCACTACTAATTCTCGATTTTTATTTTCAGCTCAATTTTATGGATAAAAATAATAAATCGTCGTTTCGGAGTCACTACTAATTCTCGATTTTTATTTTCAGCTCAATTTTATGGATAAAAATAATAAATCGTCGTTTCGGAGTCACTAATAATTCTCGATTTTTATTTCTAGCTCAATTTTATGGATAAAAATAATAAATCGTCGTTTCGGAGTCACTACTAATTCTCGATTTTTATTTTCAGCTCAATTTTATGGATAAAAATAATAAATCGTCGTTTCGGAGTCACTACTAATTCTCGATTTTTATTTTCAGCTCAATTTTATGGATAAAAATAATAAATCGTCGTTTCGGAGTCACTAATAATTCTCGATTTTTATTTCTAGCTCAATTTTATGGATAAAAATAATAAATCGTCGTTTCGGAGTCACTACTAATTCTCGATTTTTATTTTCAGCTCAATTTTATGGATAAAAATAATAAATCGTCGTTTCGGAGTCACTAATAATTCTCGATTTTTATTTTCAGCTCAATTTTATGGATAAAAATAATAAATCGTCGTTTCGGAGTCACTACTAATTCTCGATTTTTATTTTCAGCTCAATTTTATGGATAAAAATAATAAATCGTCGTTTCGGAGTCACTACTAATTCTCGATTTTTATTTTCAGCTCAATTTTATGGATAAAAATAATAAATCGTCGTTTCGGAGTCACTACTAATTCTCGATTTTTATTTTCAGCTCAATTTTATGGATAAAAATAATAAATCGTCGTTTCGGAGTCACTACTAATTCTCGATTTTTATTTTCAGCTCAATTTTATGGATAAAAATAATAAATCGTCGTTTCTGAGTCACTACTAATTCTCGATTTTTATTTCTAGCTCAATTTTATGGATAAAAATAATAAATCGTCGTTTCGGAGTCACTACTAATTCTCGATTTTTATTTCTAGCTCAATTTTATGGATAAAAATAATAAATCGTCGTTTCGGAGTCACTACTAATTCTCGATTTTTATTTTCAGCTCAATTTTATGGATAAAAATAATAAATCGTCGTTTCGGAGTCACTACTAATTCTCGATTTTTATTTCTAGCTCAATTTTATGGATAAAAATAATAAATCGTCGTTTCGGAGTCACTACTAATTCTCGATTTTTATTTTCAGCTCAATTTTATGGATAAAAATAATAAATCGTCGTTTCGGAGTCACTACTAATTCTCGATTTTTATTTTCAGCTCAATTTTATGGATAAAAATAATAAATCGTCGTTTCGGAGTCACTACTAATTCTCGATTTTTATTTTCAGCTCAATTTTATGGATAAAAATAATAAATCGTCGTTTCGGAGTCACTACTAATTCTCGATTTTTATTTTCAGCTCAATTTTATGGATAAAAATAATAAATCGTCGTTTCGGAGTCACTACTAATTCTCGATTTTTATTTCTAGCTCAATTTTATGGATAAAAATAATAAATCGTCGTTTCGGAGTCACTACTAATTCTCGATTTTTATTTTCAGCTCAATTTTATGGATAAAAATAATAAATCGTCGTTTCGGAGTCACTACTAATTCTCGATTTTTATTTTCAGCTCAATTTTATGGATAAAAATAATAAATCGTCGTTTCGGAGTCACTACTAATTCTCGATTTTTATTTTCAGCTCAATTTTATGGATAAAAATAATAAATCGTCGTTTCGGAGTCACTACTAATTCTCGATTTTTATTTCTAGCTCAATTTTATGGATAAAAATAATAAATCGTCGTTTCGGAGTCACTACTAATTCTCGATTTTTATTTCTAGCTCAATTTTATGGATAAAAATAATAAATCGTCGTTTCGGAGTCACTACTAATTCTCGATTTTTATTTTCAGCTCAATTTTATGGATAAAAATAATAAATCGTCGTTTCGGAGTCACTACTAATTCTCGATTTTTATTTTCAGCTCAATTTTATGGATAAAAATAATAAATCGTCGTTTCGGAGTCACTAATAATTCTCGATTTTTATTTTCAGCTCAATTTTATGGATAAAAATAATAAATCGTCGTTTCGGAGTCACTACTAATTCTCGATTTTTATTTCTAGCTCAATTTTATGGATAAAAATAATAAATCGTCGTTTCGGAGTCACTACTAATTCTCGATTTTTATTTCTAGCTCAATTTTATGGATAAAAATAATAAATCGTCGTTTCGGAGTCACTACTAATTCTCGATTTTTATTTTCAGCTCAATTTTATGGATAAAAATAATAAATCGTCGTTTCGGAGTCACTACTAATTCTCGATTTTTATTTTCAGCTCAATTTTATGGATAAAAATAATAAATCGTCGTTTCGGAGTCACTACTAATTCTCGATTTTTATTTTCAGCTCAATTTTATGGATAAAAATAATAAATCGTCGTTTCGGAGTCACTAATAATTCTCGATTTTTATTTCTAGCTCAATTTTATGGATAAAAATAATAAATCGTCGTTTCGGAGTCACTAATAATTCTCGATTTTTATTTCTAGCTCAATTTTATGGATAAAAATAATAAATCGTCGTTTCGGAGTCACTACTAATTCTCGATTTTTATTTCTAGCTCAATTTTATGGATAAAAATAATAAATCGTCGTTTCGGAGTCACTACTAATTCTCGATTTTTATTTCTAGCTCAATTTTATGGATAAAAATAATAAATCGTCGTTTCGGAGTCACTAATAATTCTCGATTTTTATTTTCAGCTCAATTTTATGGATAAAAATAATAAATCGTCGTTTCGGAGTCACTAATAATTCTCGATTTTTATTTTCAGCTCAATTTTATGGATAAAAATAATAAATCGTCGTTTCGGAGTCACTAATAATTCTCGATTTTTATTTTCTAGCTCAATTTTATGGATAAAAATAATAAATCGTCGTTTCGGAGTCACTACTAATTCTCGATTTTTATTTCTAGCTCAATTTTATGGATAAAAATAATAAATCGTCGTTTCGGAGTCACTACTAATTCTCGATTTTTATTTCTAGCTCAATTTTATGGATAAAAATAATAAATCGTCGTTTCGGAGTCACTACTAATTCTCGATTTTTATTTCTAGCTCAATTTTATGGATAAAAATAATAAATCGTCGTTTCGGAGTCACTACTAATTCTCGATTTTTATTTCTAGCTCAATTTTATGGATAAAAATAATAAATCGTCGTTTCGGAGTCACTACTAATTCTCGATTTTTATTTCTAGCTCAATTTTATGGATAAAAATAATAAATCGTCGTTTCGGAGTCACTACTAATTCTCGATTTTTATTTCTAGCTCAATTTTATGGATAAAAATAATAAATCGTCGTTTCGGAGTCACTACTAATTCTCGATTTTTATTTCTAGCTCAATTTTATGGATAAAAATAATAAATCGTCGTTTCGGAGTCACTAATAATTCTCGATTTTTATTTCTAGCTCAATTTTATGGATAAAAATAATAAATCGTCGTTTCGGAGTCACTAATAATTCTCGATTTTTATTTCTAGCTCAATTTTATGGATAAAAATAATAAATCGTCGTTTCGGAGTCACTAATAATTCTCGATTTTTATTTCTAGCTCAATTTTATGGATAAAAATAATAAATCGTCGTTTCGGAGTCACTACTAATTCTCGATTTTTATTTCTAGCTCAATTTTATGGATAAAAATAATAAATCGTCGTTTCGGAGTCACTACTAATTCTCGATTTTTATTTCTAGCTCAATTTTATGGATAAAAATAATAAATCGTCGTTTCGGAGTCACTAATAATTCTCGATTTTTATTTCTAGCTCAATTTTATGGATAAAAATAATAAATCGTCGTTTCGGAGTCACTACTAATTCTCGATTTTTATTTCTAGCTCAATTTTATGGATAAAAATAATAAATCGTCGTTTCGGAGTCACTACTAATTCTCGATTTTTATTTCTAGCTCAATTTTATGGATAAAAATAATAAATCGTCGTTTCGGAGTCACTACTAATTCTCGATTTTTATTTTCAGCTCAATTTTATGGATAAAAATAATAAATCGTCGTTTCGGAGTCACTAATAATTCTCGATTTTTATTTCTAGCTCAATTTTATGGATAAAAATAATAAATCGTCGTTTCGGAGTCACTACTAATTCTCGATTTTTATTTTCAGCTCAATTTTATGGATAAAAATAATAAATCGTCGTTTCGGAGTCACTAATAATTCTCGATTTTTATTTCTAGCTCAATTTTATGGATAAAAATAATAAATCGTCGTTTCGGAGTCACTAATAATTCTCGATTTTTATTTCTAGCTCAATTTTATGGATAAAAATAATAAATCGTCGTTTCGGAGTCACTACTAATTCTCGATTTTTATTTCTAGCTCAATTTTATGGATAAAAATAATAAATCGTCGTTTCGGAGTCACTACTAATTCTCGATTTTTATTTCTAGCTCAATTTTATGGATAAAAATAATAAATCGTCGTTTCGGAGTCACTACTAATTCTCGATTTTTATTTCTAGCTCAATTTTATGGATAAAAATAATAAATCGTCGTTTCGGAGTCACTACTAATTCTCGATTTTTATTTTCAGCTCAATTTTATGGATAAAAATAATAAATCGTCGTTTCGGAGTCACTACTAATTCTCGATTTTTATTTTCAGCTCAATTTTATGGATAAAAATAATAAATCGTCGTTTCGGAGTCACTACTAATTCTCGATTTTTATTTCTAGCTCAATTTTATGGATAAAAATAATAAATCGTCGTTTCGGAGTCACTACTAATTCTCGATTTTTATTTTCAGCTCAATTTTATGGATAAAAATAATAAATCGTCGTTTCGGAGTCACTACTAATTCTCGATTTTTATTTCTAGCTCAATTTTATGGATAAAAATAATAAATCGTCGTTTCGGAGTCACTACTAATTCTCGATTTTTATTTTCAGCTCAATTTTATGGATAAAAATAATAAATCGTCGTTTCGGAGTCACTACTAATTCTCGATTTTTATTTTCAGCTCAATTTTATGGATAAAAATAATAAATCGTCGTTTCGGAGTCACTACTAATTCTCGATTTTTATTTCTAGCTCAATTTTATGGATAAAAATAATAAATCGTCGTTTCGGAGTCACTACTAATTCTCGATTTTTATTTTCAGCTCAATTTTATGGATAAAAATAATAAATCGTCGTTTCGGAGTCACTACTAATTCTCGATTTTTATTTCTAGCTCAATTTTATGGATAAAAATAATAAATCGTCGTTTCGGAGTCACTACTAATTCTCGATTTTTATTTTCAGCTCAATTTTATGGATAAAAATAATAAATCGTCGTTTCGGAGTCACTACTAATTCTCGATTTTTATTTCTAGCTCAATTTTATGGATAAAAATAATAAATCGTCGTTTCGGAGTCACTACTAATTCTCGATTTTTATTTTCAGCTCAATTTTATGGATAAAAATAATAAATCGTCGTTTCGGAGTCACTACTAATTCTCGATTTTTATTTTCAGCTCAATTTTATGGATAAAAATAATAAATCGTCGTTTCGGAGTCACTACTAATTCTCGATTTTTATTTTCAGCTCAATTTTATGGATAAAAATAATAAATCGTCGTTTCGGAGTCACTACTAATTCTCGATTTTTATTTCTAGCTCAATTTTATGGATAAAAATCCCCCCCCCCCCACCCCCAAAATACTCACATGATGCCACGTATTCGGTGTAATCGGAACCTTCTTAAAATCGCTCTGTTCTTTTCCCGAATCTCCCACATCCAAAACACAACTTTTCTGATCATCGCACATATGAAAACCAAAATTATCGAAAACAATTTGTCGCGAATTTTCGCCATCCACAAAACTTCGCATCGCCAAAAATGGTGCCAAATTCGGAAAATTCATTCCCGAATAATCTTTGGGATAATTATATTGTACAAAACTGCAAATTGTGAATTCTCGAGCACTCGAATTCGAGAAAACATTCGAAATAATTGGTGGGGTATACTGTAGGCCATTGAAAACCAGGTTGAAATTGAATGTGATTCGGGTCTCGCAACGACGACCTGTGAATTCGGTGGAACCACAATCACAAGCCGCGCCATTTGCCAATTCGAAACATTTTCCGCCGTTTTGACAATAATCTGTGATTGTTCCGTTGGGTTGTTGAATTTTGCAGGGTTGCTGGAAAAATTTGGAAGATTTTTGAAACAGCAGATGTTTTCAACTGATTTTCGGAGATAATTTTGAAAAATAAAAGTATTACAAAATCAGAATGTTAAAACAATATGAGAACATTTTGAAACAGTAAACTTTTTCGATTTTTTTCGAGACTAAATTTTCAGAATTTTGAAAAACAACCCGGATAGCTTAATGAAAATTTCAATAAATTTTTTAAAGTTAGAAAAAATTTGAAACAGTAAATTTTTGAGAACAAATTTAGTTCGAAAAAACTTGAATAAAAATTATTGCAAACATTTTTCGGGATAGAATTAAAAAAAAACAAAAATGTCTCAAAAAATGAACAATTTTTGAAACAGTAAATTCTTCCAATTTTTCGTTAGTTCAAAAATTAGTAAACCATGCTTTTAGTAACATTCTCCTCAAAACTAACCCCCAAATCCTGACAAAAAGTCCCAGTAGTTCCAGGTTGACAAAAACATCCTCCATCCTCACAAATTCCACCATTAAAACAACTATAATCATGGCAAAAATCGACCAAATTCTCACAAAAATCGCCATAAAATCCACTTGGACACGTGCAAATTCCCGTCGAATTTTGACAAGTTCCACCATTTTCACATTGAATATTAAGTGAGCGGCATAAATCTGAATCGATTTCACAGAAATCACCAGAAAATTCGGGTAAACATGAGCAAGTTTGATTTGAGAATTGACAAGTTCCTCCGTTTTGACATGTTAAAATGTTAGTTATACAAACATTCTGCAAACATTAGAAATGGTTCGGTGGAATTTTTAGCGCCAAAAAACTCACATCAACAACATCACAATATTGCGATGTGAAACCATTTTGACATTCACACCAAACTTGACCAGTATTATTATTTTGAGTGCAACCAGTTGCATGCGCACAAACATCAAAACACTAGAAATGAAGGAAGGGTTAGATTGCTTTTTGGTTTTCAAGAAAGCTATAGATTGCAGTTTTATATTTTAGATCATATAAGATTTTCTAGTATCTATGAAGCATTGCTCAGGTCAATTCTAATTTTCTAAAAGACAATGTCATTGTTCAAAATGTAAAATGTAAAATTTTCAAGATTCCTGATCAATAAAAATTCCCGTAACTCACATTTTTCTCACAAAATTCTCCATAAAACTGTTGAGTACATTTGCAAATTGGCTGCCCATTCGAATCAAAATCACACGTTCCTCCATTTTCACATCGAATCAAATCCTCGCAATTTCGAGTTGCTCGAATTTCACAATTTGTTCCAGAAAATCCAGCTGGACACGTGCAATTATACGTCTCAAATTGTTGGCCATTTTTGGCATAATTAAAGCGGGAACAGGTTCCACTATTGAAACATGGTGTAAAAATACAATCATCAATTGGCTCATTGCAGATTTCTCCTCTGAAAAATGATTGTGAAGGATGGTGAAGAAGCTTGAAATTCACTTACTTATATCCAACCGCACATTTACATTCGACACTTTCCGGAATTTCTGAAACACATCCCAAAGAATGGCCTTCTGAACAAACTTCACAATCATGTGTTGGAGCAATTTGACAATAATCACCTGAATTTATGGAATATTATTGATTTAGGAATCCAAAAATAAATAATTGTTTAAAAATTGTGAAGGCGATGTTGTTTCCCTAACGAAAAATCAGAAATCAAAATTGGTTTAGGAATCCAACAATAAATGTAAAATTGTGAAGTCGATGTCATTTTCGTAACGCAAAATCAGAAATCAAAATTGGTTTAAGATTTTCTTGAAGCGTATTTTTCGGAGGGATCTTTTTTCCAGAAAAAAACAATTTTTTTCTTCGTTACATTAACTTTTAGTCCCAAAAAATTTATGATAGTTTGCTTCAGAACCATAAATATTTTCATTTCGGATTACTGTATGTTTTTTCTGGGAAAAAATCCACCGAAAAATACGCTTCAAGAAAATCTTATCGATATGACAAAATCTACTTCAAAATTTTACAATAATTAGTGTTGGATTCCAAAATCCCATAAATTTTGTGGAAGAACAGTTTAGGCTGAGCAATGCTATCTAAATTTTTGAAAAAGGAGAACATGATCAATGCCTTTGTTTTTAAGACAATTATAATTAACATGAGCAATGCATTTTTTGCTATTGTCAAATGTTAACCTTCCCCAGAATCCAACCTTTCCATGCCCCTTGACATCCACAATTATAATTTCCATTATCTTCCAATTCACAACTCGAATTCTGTTGACAAGGATTATTCAATTCACACGCAACGTTCTGAATTGTGCAAATCCCCTGAGAATCTCGCAGAAAACCAACATCACAATTACAATAATTCACTCCATTTGGTCCAACTTCACAAACTCCATTTTGACAAAAGCTTGAGGATTTCAAGGGGCAACTTGCATAGGAAGTTTGGAGTTCACAAAATTCTCCCGTCCAACCATTTGGACATTTACATGATTTTGTTGATTCTTGACAAGTTCCGCCGTTTAGACAATTATAGGTTCCAGAAATTGAGAGGCAGAAAGTGGAAACATCGCAAAATCTTCCATAATATCCTGAAAAAAATCTGAAGATTTTTTGAAGCCAAAATATTTTCAAGCACATATTTTTCTCTCAAAAATCTGAAAATTCATGAAATTTTGCCACGCGGCGTTCCTAGCTTTCAAAAAACAAACATTTTTCCTGACTAAAAATGCTCACCATCTTTACATCCACAAACAACACTCCCCGCATACGGTGCATCTCTAGTACAATTCGCTGTATTTTCCCAATTACACATCGAACATGGATCCATTGAAGTTGGCGTCACTGATATTCCCTGATCTTCTTCACATCCAATAACTTTCATTTCATCCGAACAACATGAATTAATCGAATATGCAAAATTCTGTTGGTTGAACCAATCCAAATACCAGAAATAGCTGGAATTCCAAAGAATTCCCGAAAATTGACAGAATTTTCCAGATTGTTGGGGAATTCCACAGGTTTGAGTTGGATCATTTTCGACGCCTGATTTACAATTATAGCCGTTTGATCTTTGCTGATTTGTATAGGGACAATTATCAGGAATACACGATTTGCCAGTTGAAATGAAGTCTGGAAAATTATACAGTTTTGAATTAAAAAAACTTCCGGAAGAAAACGACACTCCGCGTTTACACCTCTAGATTCTGCCCAAAAAAATAATCAATATTTTGTTTTTTGTGAGTAAAATAGATGATAGTCGCCTATTGATAAAAATTAGAATTACTTTGAATTTACAAACTTTTTGAAACAGTAAATTTTTTGAACAAGAAAAAAACATTCTGGAAAAATTATACTGTTTCGAAAATTGCGGACATCAAGTTTTGAAAATTTAATTAAAATCGACATTTATTGATTTTAGAGGTGTAAACGCGGAGCATCGTTTAAACCTAACATACTGTTTTTTTCAAAATCAAAAATTTTAGAGGTGTAAACGCGGAGCATCGTTCCCAAAACTCACTTTCATGACAAACACAATAAAAACCTTTTCCATCTTCCAAATTCACACAATTCCCATTCGAACAATCATTCAAACCACATTTCGAAATAGCCGGAGGATCTTGTAAAAAATTCACACAACATCCACAATATTTCGAAAACTTTTTTCGAGAATTGCCACAAATCTGTCGGCGAACTTTGATCGAGCAAATTGTGGCGGGACCATCGAAATTTGAAGAGCTCACAGAAATATACAAATATCTCTTCACATCTGTCAATTTTACAACCAAACTTCCAGATTTTCTCGTCTTCAAAACTTCTCGATAATGTGATAAAGAAGGCGGTTGAGTTAGCAAAACATCGGTGGAGAAAATCGATAAAATCACTTGAGCTGAACATTTTGGAGCAATATCTAGGACAATTTCAGTGTCCAATTCTGGCGAGAAAATTTCGATTGGTCGATTTAATGTGAAGAACGAGATTTTTTGATGCCATCTGTGGGTTATACAATTGTTGTGCCATTCCCACTGCAAAAAATGATAGAATTGGGTTACTGTAATCTGAGCAATGTTCAGAGTGTTTTTTTGAATGTAGGAAATGGTAGTATACCCAAAAACTACAGTAATCTACAGTATCCCCTCCCACTTTTTTCTCTAAAACTCACATCATTAGTCCAAATCCACTTCGTCTTCCAATCCACATCAAATAAATCCACCTCTTCAAAAACCATACTATTTTCCAAACTTCCTGGGGATACTGTAACAATCGGAACACAAATTGGCAAATCTTCCACATTTTCTAGATTCCAAGTCAAAGTTTCAGCTGAGCAAGTGATATTTTTCAAGCCTAAAAGGCTGAAACCCGACGCGCAATTGAAAACAATAGTAGAATTTGGTGCCAGAATATTCTCATCGGATACAGAAGAGAATTGCAGAGGTGATTCAATGAAATTTGTAATATTTGGGCAAGTTCGAGGAGCACAGATTGGTAGAATATCCCACTGAAATGTCGAGTTGCAAAAAATCTCAGGTCTTCCGATCAGCTCGAAATATTGCTCATTTTTACATCGAACTCTGGCTGTTGAGAAAATCGTCGGCCAATTGTTATTATAACTTTCTTCGCCTTCCAAAATCAAATCATCCAAGTTATTCAAACAATGATTTCTGACATCTCGATCCACCAAAAATTGCTCATTTTCGCAAAAATAATCAAATGGTACCACACATTTTGGACCACACAAATCGACTGCAAAAATCTTGCCAGTTCCCTCTTGATCTTTATAAATCTCGCGGAAGTTTTTGGGATATTTCAGAGTGATTTCAGAATAATTGGGAAGAATTTGAGAGCTCGAATTACAGACTTTCTCGACACAACTGAAATTTGCGATGAGCCAGCGGATATTTGAAAATAGTTCTTGTGAAGAATTGTAGATTTTTTGCGATTTTTCGCATGAACATTCAAAAGATCCAGGTTGATTGATACAAGTTGAAGTTGGATCGCAGAGTGAGATTTTTTCAGCGCATTCATCGATGTCTGAAAATTTAAGAGGGGTTATTTGTAAAAAGGGAAATTTTAGAATAAAGACCTGCGCAAGCAAAAAAAAAGTTTTTCTGAAAACTTGTGAATTGATAGCCCCATGGATAGGCATCAAATTGTGCGCAATATTATTGCTCAAAACCGCTTCACCATTGTGGTGTGATGGGTGTAAGAAAAATAAGAGGTTTCTGGAACTTTGCTCTTTGTTAATATTTTTCGATGCTCTCAACGCAAAAATGCTTAGTCAGCCTCAGGATCAAGTTTTTTACTTACACCAAGATTTTTACACCATCCCCAATGGTGAATTTACACCATATGGGTGAAAAAGGTGAAAATTATGCCTTTATATCGAAAAAGTGCGAGCCAGAACCGCTTTTAAACGATTGTACGCCATTTTTTACATACCCCACAAAAATATAAAGAAAAACAATAATATTGCGCACAATTTGATGCCTATCCATGGGGCTATCAATTCACAAGTTTTCAGAAAAACTTTTTTTTTGCTTGCGCAGGTCTATTTCCACTATTATGAAGAACCTCTCTTAAAGATGAAAATAGCCTGAATTTTCTCAAATGAAATTTTGAAACAGTGGAATTTTTTGTTCAAAAAAATTTGAATATAAAATGAAAAACCTAATACATATTTCGAAACAGTGAAAATTTTCTAAAAATGGTAATTTCAATTTAAAAATAAAAAATAATTAAATACTTTGAAACCTACAAATTTCGGGGATTTTTCAAAGATTTGTTCTCTCGTAGATTCTTACATTGTTAACAAAATCCAAAACGAAAAATGAGATCAAACAAATTTTGAAACAGTGAATTTTTTGTGGATAAACAACAACTACTATTAAAATTTAAATTTTGTGCTGAAAATCATGGGAAAAAAATTCATATATAATTTTGAAACAGTTGTACTTTTTGAAAAATTCACTGTTTCAAAAATCCACAACTTATTCAACAAGAATCACAAAAATGATGCTTTTAGGCAAAAGAAATCAATTTAAAATATTTCTCAAATATTCCATAGTTCAAACAAAATGTTTCGTTGTTGTTGTACTTACAGAATATCTGAAAAATAAATAAAATTTGACTGAAAAAATATTAGAAGAAAAATATCTAGCCAACAGTTTTTGATTTGAAATGATAAGATTTTTTTTTGAAAAACATGAAAAAAGATGAGTCATCTGGGAAAAAATATTATTTCGAAATATTCCTCATCTCTTATAGCAATCCAGAATATATTATTAAAAATTAAAAAAAAATCACATTTAATGGGCCGTGAAAGAGAAACATACAATTTTATTTGTTCCAAAAAAATCGTCAAAAAATGGTGACAGAAGATCACTTGTTTTATACTCTTATTTATAATGAAACAGCGGATATAAGTAATTTGCCATCTTATGATTTCTCCATTTATACATATATTGGTTATATTGTACGATTAATTTCGATGTTTGCTGTTTTCCTAATTTTATCATTAATCAAAAAACAAATTATCACAAGTTCATTTTATTATTTATTTTTCGTTATTGGAATATTCAATATTATCTCATGGTATACATTTGAAATATCATATTTTCTTGCCTATATCAACTCACATTATTGGTTCAATTTGAAACAATTTTTACTTGCTTTACATTTTATGACATATGTTTGTGTTATGTTTCTGAATATAGCTTTAGTAATCAATAGATACACTTCAACATTTTTGAATTATAATGTGATTTGGAAAAAATCTTATATCAACATTCACATGGTTTTAATTTTAATAATCTCATCTGTTATAACAATATTCACGATGAGAAAAGCTTATGTATTTATCCTTGATGAAAACAGTCTTTGGATAATTGTTGAACCGATTAATTTTAAATTGAGATACATAATCACAGTTCTGAAATTAATAACTGACCTAATATTCATATTTCTAACTTATTTGACACATTTAAAAATTAAAAAATCTGCAGATTTCAAAAGAACATGTGAGTTGGTCAAACAAGCTTAAAGGGGGTATACCCTATTGTCTCTCGTACAAAGTGTGATACATCATTTGATTCAGAATTTTGTGTTATATATACACAAAAAATTTTAGCTCTCAAAACGCATTCTAAGTACACGTTTTTTGCGTCCAAACAGGACCAAAATCTGCTCGAAATGAAAAAAAGAACACACAAGAAAGAGAGACGCAGACTCTCGCTGTCTGCCAGCCAGCCAGCATGTGTTTTGTTTTTTTTTTTGAATTTTGTGTTCAACAACTACAGTAAGTCTGAATATACTGTAATAAACTTTAAAAAATTTAAAAAAGAAGAAAAAACAACACACATGCTGGCTGGCTGGCAGACAGCGAGAGTCTGCGTCTCTCTTTCTTGTGTGTTCTTTTTTTATTTCGAGCAGATTTTGGTCCTGTTTGGACGCAAAAAACGTGTACTTAGAATCCGTTTTGCGAGCTAAAATTTTTTGTCCATATAAAACACAAAATTCTGAATCGAATGATGTATCACACTTTGCACGAGAGACAATAGGGTATACCCCTTTAACTAAACAATTAAACGTTTCTAGAAAACTTTAAAACTTCTTCTATTGCATATCCCTCTAATAATAATATTTGAAATGTATCAAATGAAACACATTTTTTTCAATAATAGCAATAGTCTTCTTGCAACACTGGTTAGTTCAAATGATTATCTTTGTTCAGTGAATAATGTTTTTCAGATTAATTATTCACCATTTTGGGAATATGTTGGATACACATTTTTGATTCTAATTATCAATAAACAAATTCGAGTGGAATTTATTGCTTGCTTGATTTTTTGGAAAAAATATAAAAAGAATCAAGTTTCGAATTCAGTCACAATTTGTTAAATATAGTTTGTTTTTTATCAAATAAAATCATTACATTAGATTATAGAAAATCAGTGTATATTCTTCGTGAACTTCTCCAAATTCATAAAAATATTTTGAAACAGTTCAACTTTTTTTCCAAACAATTCATTGTTTCAAAAAACCACAATTAAACAAAAATCACAAAAATGATTATGTTGTGTATTTCCGAATCAATTCAGAATATTTCTCAAATATTCCATAGTACAAACAAAATTCTAATTTGTTGTTGTACTTACAGAATATCAGAAAAATAAATTAAATTTGACTGGAAATGTATTAGAAGAAAACTATATTGGCAAGAAAAATAATGGAAAATGAAAAGTTTTCGATTCGAAATGATAAGATTTTTTTTTGAAAAAAAATGAGTCATCTGATGTGTTAAAAACAAGCAATTTTTCAAAAAAAAAAGTATTACGAAATCTCAGAGATTCGCTGGCCAGCTCGCCACCAGGTCGGAAGGCTGGCTGACCTGGAAACCACATGGAAACCATGTCGCCCGGTTTTTTTTCGCTGGCAAGGTGGCCAAGCCCTGGCTAGGTCAAGCCCATATGGCTACCATGTGGTGGCCACTTCGCCACGTCAAAATGAATTTTCATGAAAATGTCTGAAAAACTTGTGAATTGAGGCATTTTCGAAGAAATTGGCTCATTTTCTGTTTTTTCGCAGCACTAGAAACCTTAGGAAGTGAAAAAACTATAGAAAATGCAGTGTTTTGATTGCAAACCACCGCCTTGCCAGCTTTCCAGGATTTCAAACACATAGGCCACGTCGCCGGAAAACTCAAGGCGACCTGGCGGCCATGCGGTTTCCAGGTGGCCGCAGCGATCTGGTGGCGAGCTGGCCAGCGAATCTCTGAGATATTTTGAAACAGTGAAAAATTGCTCAATTTTTCCCATATTCAAAACCTTGTTATCATAATTTCCCCATAACCCACCAACACATTGCTGATCCACCATTCGATATCCATCATCACAATCACAAGTATAAATCGATCCATTTCTTCTAATTTTCCCATGATTTCCACACATTTCCTGAACAGGATCACCAACACAATCACACAAAACTTTGGGAATTGGTTTGCCTGTCGAGAATTCGAGCCATTCTGGCGGAGAATTCGGTAATGATTGAGTGCATTGGAAAATTGTCTGATTTTTTGGACAGAAATGACAGGTTAGGCGAGCCTGGAAAATATGAACATGAGATTAATTATAAGCGAATTGAATTCTAAAATTAATTTGTAAATGTAATTCTTGAGAACGATGAAAAAATAAATGTTTCCCTACAAAAATTCACGGTTTCAAAAATTTGATAAATAAATTTTGGGGGACCAATTTCTTAGTACTTATTTAGAATGGGCGAAAAATTCAAATTAAATAATTTTTTGAATGAAAATTCATTGTTTCAAAAATTCGGTAACTAAATTTTTTGAAATTTAAATCTGATTTTACGGTTGATTCACTTCTGAAATGAATGAAAGAAACATTGTTCTTCTTTAAAAATTCACTGTTTCAAAAAATTTCAAAACTAAATTTTGTGAAAATAATTTCTAATCAACAGAGTTACTGTTTTGTAAAATGATCGGAATAACTCTTGATTGAAAATTCCCAAATTTCAAAAACCTTTCAATCACTTACAGTCTGATTAACCGCAAAAGTATTCCAATTCTCCGTCTGCTCATTTTCCAGGGGCTCAAAAATTCCATCATCAAATTCAGGTGTAAAACAAGCACGGGTCAAACTTCTATTATCCATATTAAAACATTCCCATTCGGCCAAATTTCCACAAACACAAAATGGTGAAAATGGCAAATTGGACCAATTCGAATAATTTCGAACCGCTTCAAATTTTCGAGGAAATTCCGAATTGATCGGTGTCAGATTATACAGAATTTCAGCTGGAGTTTGGGCGGGGCATTCAATTTCAGAGCACTCAAAATAATCCAACGAACCAAATGTGCTCCAACTCAAATCATCTTGACACGTGGCAATTGTGTAATTTTGACCTGAAATTGAAAAATTAAGCTAGAAAACCAAAAAAATCTCTAACCTGAATTCAAATTCAGATCATAAAATCCAATATTACAAAAAATTGTCAAATTTGTTCCTGGTGCATAATTTTCTCCGTCGCTGCTCAAATTCTCCACATATCCATTGATAATTGTGGGAAGTTTGCATTTTTTCGAATCAAAATCTGGTGACGGAGAGATTGGAGTTGGGCTAACTGAAATTAGGGTTTGCTCCGAAAGAAGATCATCACGTGCCACGTGGAACGAATACGTGGCATTGAAAGACAAATTTCCGTGAATTTTGAGTTTGGTTGGACCAGAAGTTTGGAATTGAAATTGATCTTGGTTTCTGGAAGAGTACATTTGAATTTTGAGAAAAAGTGAATTCTGGTGGCCTAGAAACCCAAAACCTGACCTAAAAATGATATGGGTGACCTAGAAAACCTTGAAATATTGCTCAGGTTAGTATTAGTTTCAAGAGTAACCTATAAATGTTTGGTTTCAAAATTATTGCATTGAACTCCAGAATCTAAAAGATTAGGATACTGTATGCAAACTCAAAGGAACATAAGATTGCTCAGGTTAACTACAGTAGCCTAGAGTTACTGTAGGTAGGTTTAAAGGTAAAATAAAAATACTCTACAATAACCTCCAGAGCTTCAGGGTTTTGACGACCTAGAAATCCAAACCCTGAACTAAAAACCCCAAACAAGATCTTGGCGGCCTAGAGAACCAAACACGTGGCCTAGAACTTCAAATCCTGACCTAAAAACTCTAAAAATATTCTGAAACCTCTTTTTTCCTCCAAAAAAGTCCCAAATTTTGTCACCTCTCAACAGATTTCGTCAAATTCACACTCAAAAAATCGACAAAACTTTGATTGTTGAAAAATCGTAAATTTCGAAAATCCCAATTTCCTCCAATTTCCAACATATTCACAGCCAATTCTCCAATTGCTCCAGTCAACCAAAAAATCTCAAAATTTCGAGATTTGATAAAAATTTCCGAATTTATAGGAAAAATTTGCAATTTCACCAGGTTCCTCTTCTCTTCAGAAGGCCATGTGGATTTCACGTGGATGCGGATTTTTCGAGTTGGCAAAACCAGCAGGCGATTTTTGTGAATTTCAAAATTTTCAGATTCATAGCTCAAATAATTTTCAGATGATTCATTTTCGAGCATCAGAATCGCCAAAAAATCTTCATTTTCTTCTTTTTCATACCAAAAATCGCAATTTTTCGTAATTTCCGAAGTTTCCAGCGAGAAAATTCCAGTTCCAGATTCCACGTGGCATTTTTCGGGGTCATCTTTGAGTTCGGCGAAATGAATTTCAAATTCTTTTTTTCGAGTATCACTTCCGGAAGCGGTTAAAATAAACGAGGAAAATGGTAGGAAAATCAGGGAGGTCTGATTTTTTGGCGAGATTTTGAGGATTTGATTTTCGGATAAATTTGTGCCTTCAATTTGGATTTGAAGTTGATTTGGGAATGAGGGATTGTGCCAAATTATCTGCAAAAATTGGGAAATTTCAGGGGAGAAAAGGAGTTGTTTTTTTGAGAGGACGTGGTAAATTTGAACTTGAGGAAAAAAATCATGACGTTTTCATAATGAAAAATTATGGCCTGAAATTAATTTTTCAAAAAATCCGGCAAAAATTTAAAAATTAATTTTGCAAGCTCTAAGAAGGTTCTCTAATTTCAGATTGCCACGTGGATTTTCAGATTCGTACTCACCTTCATCACAAAATCTTTGCCATTCGGCGAAATCACAGTCCATCTATGTTGACATTCTCCTCTTCCATATCTCAAAGTTGTCGGTGTCAAAACGCCGTGTTCCAAAACTTGTACAGGATTCTCGAAAAACCTCGAATTCTCATCTGAAATGCTTTTCGATGTCTCCTGATTCTCATCACTTCCATCCAAACAATCATCAAATCCATCCATAACAAATCCTTGCGGAATACATTTGCTATTATCCGCGCATCGAAATTCGCCCGAAAAACATGCGTAATTTTGACAAATGACTGGAAACTGTTGAGTGCATGGGAAGAGACGCCAGCCGAATTGGAGAGGAGATCGGAGATCGAGAGCCACGCAAGAGGAGAGAAGATCCGAGTTCGATAGAGACTGGGAAAAATAGATATGGTTAGGGGAAGTAGGGAAGACTTTGAAAGATTTTCCATTCTTGAAGATGTTTTTCAGAAAAATTTTAAAACTTATGGAATTTCTTTGAGTTTGGTTCAGAATTTCAGAAAATTTCAATGTTCATTGTCAAAATTTGGAATTTTCGAAGACCAATCTTCCAAAGTTTATAATTTTTTGAAAGATTTTTCGGAAATTTCACAACATTTCGGAATTTTTTTCACTGAAAATACTATAGGTTTCCAGTCATTCAAAATTTGCGTGAAAATTAGAAGTTCGGAATTTAGTCAGTATCCAAAATTTATGGGGGCTTAAAATTTGCATCTCAGAAATGGTTTTTTGATCGCAATAGCGTTTTGCAGAAAAATTGCATAAATTGATAATTCTTTTGCGATTTCCAATGATTCGATCAATTAAAATTGTATACTTAAGACAAGTCCTCCAAACAATCAACATCAACAATAGAATCATGAATATTCTGATCTTGTTCGCCGTTTTCTGTTCAGTCAGCGCTCTTCGTTTTGCTGCACTACCTCCAACTGCGATGGAAGCGGCTCAAAAACTCGACAAAAAAATCATTGACGATATTCGTTTCAAGAAAACGATCCAATTTTGCCAGAGTTTCAAAGGCGATACAATGACCTACAAGGGATGTGGAAAAGCACCAATGCGATTCACTTTGGTTGTTTCATATGCTCAAAATATCGCACAACATGAAGCGACAGCTATTCGATCACAGGTTCAATCCGCAAGTCTTACACTTGGTGGTAAATTGACATATGTTACAACAGTCACCAATATTCCAAATGTGTCAAGAGTTAAAGTAACTGCTGAGAGAGATTCCAATGCACCAGCTGGTTTTAAAGTGACTTATGCTGAACAACTTTGCTAAGTTTGGGTTTTGAATTAAAATAAATTTGATTTGCATTATTCCGGAGCTATCAAAAATTGTCGCGTTCGCAGAAGCTTGCGGAGCTTCGCACGAGATTCCGGCTTACACTCGCAATTTTTTTCGACTATTTTTGAAACAGTGATTTTTTGTTGTTGATTCCCTCCCCCTCCCCCCAAATCACCCACTTTTTTCGGTTCTCCCTTCGCCCACAGCGGATTGTAGATCGATGTGAAATTCGAAATCCCCGCGTTCCCATCCTCTTCATTTTCATTTTGTCCAGCATCTTCGGATTCCACGCCAAGCACTTCCAAATCCACAACTTTCAACCCGGTCCAAAAGATTTTGCCTTGAGTTTTGCGGTCGATTTTTGTGAGCAATTTTTTGGCCGTTAGCCAATTGGTGACACGATATGCGGTTGAATGGTTGATGCTGGAAAAAGGAGAAGATTTTTGAGGTTTAAGAAGAAGCCTGATTCTACGCGCAATATTGTAAAAATAAAATATTATACGACACTCCGCTCAAACAATCGGTGAAAATTAAACAACGGGCAAGCGTAGTGTCGTTGTTTTATTTTTATTTTTATTTTTTTTCATTTTTTGTTTTGAAAGCGACTAGTTCTCTCAAAACAAAACAAACATTTTTTAAAAGGTTTAAAAACGTTTTTCAAAAATAAAAAAAAACTCACGCTCCACAAATCTGCACAGCCACCGAAAAATTCCTCTCAAACTGTGTTAGTGGAAATACACAACTCGCCTCCTCTTCATCCAGCAACCATCCCAAATTTCCGCCAAAACATTCGAAATTCGTTCCACTACCAAAAACGCGCCCAAAACAAGCGCAAAAAATGCAGCAAATGTAGATCAAATAAAATGTGCCATCCATAAAATAAATTAATTTTTTCCAAAAAAAAAAAAAAATAATACAATTGGTGCACTTGTTGTGCTTCTCTTATCTTTCCAAAATTGAGCAAACTGTATTTTTCTCTCGCCAGCTCTCCTCATTTCAAATACTCTCTTATCAATTAGACACACTTCAAATGGACATGACATGAACACAAGTTTCTGTGTGTTTTTCGATAATTTTTCGAGGGGTTTGGAGGATTTTTCTGGAAGAAACTATCAGTTTTTCATAATTTTTTGAGATATTCTCCTACCTCAGAGTGGACTGCGATAAATTGTCGCGTCGATCTTATACCAAATCCATCCATCCCATCTGGATATCCAGCCATATTTGAATCGCCTGCGAGAAAAAACAAAAATGAAAATAGAAAAATCGTTATTTTCAAAGCGTCATCCCTTTTTCATTTCCCATGTTTTTCCCCACTCTTCACCAGAAAAACATCATAAACGATGCGCAAAACCCAATGCGACTCCCGTCACTGTTTTCCGGCCGCAGCAAAGGGATTCAATGAAGAATCCTCATTCATGTGAAATGAATGGCTTTGGGTTTCAGAAGCTGGTAGGCGGTACTAACTTAGGGAGCGCGCGCAGACTTTCTCTAGTTCTTGAGGATCCGAGTGGGTATGATTTCGAAATTTATTGAAGCTTTTGAAATTATAAAATTACCCCCTGAAAAACTTATCTTTCACATCCTCGCACGGCCAAAAAATACACAAAATAATGAAAATGGAAAAAAATCGATGAGCGTTTTCGCGAAAAATAGAAAAATATTAGCGGGGTAGATAATTTTAGCATTTTTGAAATTTCAAAATGAGTCATTCCGCATAATTTATCCACGTTTCACGTCGGAAAAACAAAAAAAATGAAATTTTTTATAACAAAATTCTTTAAGTGTCGAAAAATATTCTTCTGATATTCTGTATTCACAGCAAAAAACATCTGAAATTTTGTTGTGAATTCCGAATATCAGAAAAATAGATTTGACAAGAAAAATACTAGAAAAATAATAGTTTTTCTTGAGAAATTAGAAATGAAAATGTTTTGGTTTACAATTGACCTTTTTATAGTGAATCATTTCTGGGAAATGTCACATAGCACTTTTTTGCTGTTTCGAAATATTTCGTGGGATTTTTATGAGAATGAAAAACAATTTTCAAACTAAAAAAATTCGCTGTTTCAAAAAATGTGTATAAATTGTATTCAATTCGCATTGCAATTCGCATTGCATTGCAAGTCTTTGAATTTTAAGAAAATATCCAAAACTGGTTTTTCAACATCGGAGCTAATTCGTTAATTGTTGAAATTACTCGAACTTTTAATTTGAAACAAACAACTCCTAGGAGCGCTCCTGTATCTCAAAAAATTAAATTCAGATCAACAAATTTTTATTAATTATTTCCAAAAAAAACAATCAATAAAATGCGTTCAAATTTCGAATAAGTGGAGTTGAACAAGAAATTCCAACAATATTCTCATCTTTTCCATCGCAACTGAAATTAATTATTTGAAAAATTGGATTTTTGGAAAAAACTCACAAGACATTGACGAATTTATATTCCAAAGGTTTTGAGGAATTCGGAATTTCCAAAGCGTAGCATTCTCTGTAAAATGGGGATTTTAGGAGAAGGGGGGACCAAAAACATGTTTTTGCCCCTAGAAAACCAACTTGTTAATATTATCCACTTCAAATTTCATATTTTTTCTTGTAGTCAATGGATCAATCCATTCAAAAGCATTAGTTCCATCACAATTATCAGCCGTTTTATTGCTCATATAACATTCATATTTCCTTCTGGCTCCTAATAATATTCTTCCTTTTTCAATATTTCTTGCCATCATATTTCGCGCCGCAAAAAATACATTATCTTCCAGCCAATTGAAACCATACAAATTACCGTCGAAAATCGCGCATTTCTCACGTGCTGAGACTAGAGTGTAGTTTGGTGCGAAGAAATAATTGTAGCAGAATGGCGTGATGATTTCCTCGTACCAATCACCCCAACAATCACCGTGCGATAGTTGTTCTGCAAAAAAAGAAGTTCACTGTTTCAAAAATTTTATATGAAAATTTGAGAGCATCTGAAAATGTTCTACATAAAATAATTTTTCTATGCAAAAATAATTTTTATTTTGCTGTTTTAAAAATCTTTCATATTTTTTGGAACTATTTTTTCCTATAGAATACTTTTTTAAAAAATATGTCAAAACCAGCTTTTAAGGAAAAAAACTTCAAAAATTGAAGGTAAATTATTGAAAGATTTGAAAATTTTGATTATTGGTTACGAAATACGAAAGGAAAAAATTAATTTTTAAATTCATTGAAATTTTTTCAAAAATGAAAAAAATGTTGCAGTACAGGATTAAGCCCAAAAATCCACATGTGAATTCAAATGCCTAGCCCTAAATCCTCACTTGGATAATTGATCATAAACCTAATTCCTCCTCCCGATTTCTGCATAATTTGCCAATATCTCGTCGCATTTCCAACCAAACTATTCGGCGGTTCCATTCGAAAACCTTGCAAAATTTCCGATTTCGAATGTCGCCCGCAATTTTCCTTCTCCAAATTAATTTTCACACCAATTTCGGCACCCGCAAAAATATTCGATTTTCTCAGCAAAGTCACATATCCGAATTCGGCGAGTTGACAGATTTTCGTTGTGGAGTTTCGAAATGCCACGTGGCAACTGACATTTTTCTCGCAGATTTGCAAACATTCTTGAAGATTCTTGGTTTTTCCCACAGATTCCATTGATGTTTCCATGCTTCTGGTCCGCCAGAATTCTTCAATCGTGGTATTTTTGAAGGTCAAAAATCGAGTGCAGCTTGGATTTTTGGCCAAACTCAGGCTTAGAAATAGGCTTAGACTTAGAAAAATTAGCTTCATTGAAATTAATTTCAGAGTGAAAAATTCCGGAAGCCGTTGCTCATTTTATAGTCGTTTAATTTTCTCACAATTTTGTTGACAAATAAATAATTTGTTGATTTTTGAAACATTCACACACAATTATTTGTATAGTTTGGTGATTTCATTCGAGAAAAAATTAGAGATCAGGTAACTACCGTAATCTGAAATTTCGGATCGTGGCGCGAAAATTTGAGTTGATACAAAGATGAGAAAATTGGAATTTACAAAATTCACCGAAAATTTAGAAAAGTTTGAAACAGTGAACTTTTATAGAAGATTTTTTAAAATTTTCCAGATTAGAAAATATTGTGAAACAGTGAAAATTCAGATTTTCATCCATAGTTATTTTTCAAATGATTATCATTTTCCGAGTTAGTAGGAGGATTACTAATAGCAATTTCAAAATAAAAATAAATTGTAATTTTTTTGAAACAGTGAATTTTTGGAATTTTTTGTTGGTATTTTCTTATAAGAATATTCCAGATTTTTCAAAGAATAGAAACCCCCTATAAAAATAAGTTTCAAAATTCCTAATTTATTTTTTCCTAGATCTAATTTTGGATTTCATATGGAATTTATATCTCAAAAATATCAAAATTTTTGAAAAGTTTATTTTCAAAAAATAACAAAATGAAAATCATAGGTTAATTTATTAATATAATATTTAGATAGTTAAATAGGAAATACCGGTTGACGTTCAGAAAATCTTGCATTTTCCTTAGTAATTTCAAATTTCAAATATCGATTTTTCATATCAAAAAAGAACATTTTACCGCCATCGATTTTTCTTTGAAAATGATCGACTCCTACCAAATGATCCGAATATTTTTCTCTCAGCCATTTTTTCAATTCTTTGCCTCTTTCAATGGTTCCTTGGTCGAAAAATAGCATTTTATTCGAGCTGCTTTGATCCATCAAATGCTGAAAATTTTGATTTTTGGTGGGAAAAAAAGTTTTTTTTGGATTCTATCACAGCGAAAAAAAATTATTTTTTTGTTCACTAAAAATTCGTTGCGGAAATTCAAAAAAAAAATAGGCGGAGTTTTCCACGTGCAACCCCTGGCAGCGTCTTTCTGCAATATTATTGCATGTGCGCACGGTTTTTGTGTGTTCTCCCCTTTTGTTTTTTTATTTTTTTCCTTTGTGTGTGCAAACACTTTCTGTTTTGCGCACCGTACCACACGGAAACAGAAAAAATAATTTTTTTTCGCTGTGATTCTGGAATGTTCGGAAGAGCTTACTAACCTCACAAATGCTCTTAATTTCTTCATCCGTCAAAACCAAATTATCGCTCAAGTTCTGAACAAACTTCAATGTTTTTGACGTATAAATCCACTGCAAATCCACATCGTTTTTCCCGTAAATTTCCAATGTGTGAATATTTTGCAGCTAGAAAGAAGCCGGATTTTTTGTTGGATGAACTGATAACTTACGAATTCGCTCATCTTCACCTCGATTCGCACATTTTCCGATGTGATTTTCACATAGTTCAATCTTTCTTTGTCAAATTTATCAAGCCATCCAATAAGTAAAAGTGGGTCTTGTTCTTCCTTGTCCACGTATATTTCGAGGCGTTCCACGAAGTTTCTCAATTCGAATACATCCAATATATCGCAACGTGGCGGCTGCAAATTTACACGTCATGATGTCAAAATTCCCCTCTCAAACTCACAAACATTACTTCCAATTTATCGATTCTGAACTCAGGTTCCCCCAAAATGCTACACAACCATCGTGCACAATTATAATGATAATTGTAATCCACATTAATTATCGAATGCTGCATAGTCTTGTTGGGTTTCATAGGGTTTTCGGATATTTCGGCCCTTCGAAAAAGTGTCGATTTTCCCGGGTTCTCCAAATCTTCCTTGATTTTCGCTATGAATTGGCAATAAGGTTCATTATGGTTTTGTTGGATTTTGGGATGAATTTCGATTAGGTAGAAGTTGCCCTAAAAAATTGGATGTTTTAGGTTACTCAAAAGCTCAAAAATATGCCAACTCACATCAAAATCTTTCACATGTCTCACATTGATTTCTTGAACAAGATACGATTTTTTCTTCAGCTGCTTCTCGAATTCCTTGTGAAAATTGCCGAAATCCACAATTTTCGGAGGTCTTGGTTGAAAAAACGGAAATATTGGCATGATTTTGGAGGAGCGGGAGAAGAGGAATGAATTTTTTGGAGAAATAATTCGAAAAATATAAATTATTGAAAACATTGCAGTTTCTCGCGGGTAGATCAATTTCATAATTTTGGGTTTGAAAATCAGAGCTCAATTGATTAACCTAAAAGTCCACGTGTTAGAAATTTTCAGATTGATCTTTGGTTGACAGATAAATAATTTGTTGATTTTTAAACTTTCACACACAATTATTTGTATAGTTCGATATATTTAGAAAGTTAATTGAAGATTAGTCAGGTACAGTAATCTGAAAAAATACACGTGATATTTTTTTGCGACCTATTGGAAATGGAAAAAGTCGCCGAGAATTCGGAAAATTTTTGAAGCAGAGAAATCAAGAGATTTAAGGATGTTGAAAAGTTCCAATTCAGTTTAGTAAAAAAAAATAACTGATAATTTATGTGACGAAATATTTATTTATAGAAATTTTCAGTTTACGAGAATTTGTTGATTATTTTTTTCCTGCGACTGGTATAGTATTATTTATGCCTGTTTTTATTTTGTCCGCCAATCCACCACCTGCCCCTGATTTTCCACCATTTCCTCCAGTTGAGCCTTTTGTTTTAGTCTCTCTGGAAAATCCAAATTCTCATTCACAATTTCCCTCTTTTCCCAAAAATGCACAATCTCCTCCTACTCACTCTGACGAGCTCCTTGAGTTGGATTTCGAAGAAGATCCTGAAGAAGAGGAAGAGCTCGAATTCACAGACACCAGAAATAATACAATCAACAGAAAAATTAGAATTCTCATTTTAAAAAATTTCGAGAAAAACATCGGAGAACACTGTTTATCAAGCAATTTTTGTTGTGTAAAAAAATGTTTTCGAATTGGAAATTTGAAAAAAAAAATAATAAAAAAAATTTGCTGTTTCAGGAATGGTTCATAAATTTTTGGGAATGGAAATAGGGGATTGGTAAAAATGTGTGATTAGGAAAATAATGAAATTTTTGGAATTGAAAAAAAATATTTTGTTGACATCAATTCTGAAAATCTATACAAAACTTTTTTAAAATGTTGAAACAGTGAAAAAAAAAAGATGAAAAAATTTGCTGTTTTAAAATTATGATATTAATTTTTGAGGCGATGTGAATAAATCAATTAATTATGGCGTGACTGAAAAAAGATAACAGAAAAAATTCACTGTTTCAAAGTTTTAATGTTTTTTGTAAATTATTTTTCCGGGATTAATTTTCAAAGTATATCAGCAACATTATTTATCTTTTGTGATCCCCGATTTTACCATAAAAAACTTGAAAGATTTCCTCTAGCTCTAGACAAATCTATTTACCCCACCGATTTCCCAAATTTCCCCGTTTTCCACCCAAAAAATCCATCGCCAATCCCGAAAAACCAAAGTCAAACAAGTAAACGCGCTCCATCGCAAATGAATTGTTGGCATGTTTTCGGTGCGTGTTCTGTTTTTCATTTCTTCCTTTTTTGTTGTTTGTTTTCCCACGTCTTTATGTTTTTAGGCTGAAATTTTTCGTCTGAAAAAGCTGGAATTCATAAGAATCGCTTAAAATGAAGGTGTTAGTGATTTTCAGCGCAAAAATTTAGTCTTGAAAATGTATTTTTGGTTAATATTGAATGGCGGCGGGTTTAGATGATTGTAGGGTTGAATTTTGTTCTGAAACCAATGAAAATAGTGAGAAATGTTAGAAATGAAGATATTCATGATTTTCAGCCCAAAATCTAGAGACTCATTTTTTTATTGAAATCTCAAAATTATTCTTTTTATACTCAAATTTTCCAGAAAATGCTCAAATTTGTAACTTGTATATTTTTTGTGATATCGGCAAAATTAGTGAATTCGATCGAGTTGACATTCGAATTGCCAGACAATGCAAATCAATGTTTTTATGAGGATTTCAAGCAGGGAAAAGACTCGATTCTCGAGTTTCAGGTGAGTAAATCAATAACTTTGGGTAGAAATTCGGGATATAAAATCTATAAATTTCAGGTAGTCACCGGTGGTCAATACGACGTTGATTTGATTCTAGAAGATCCAAATGGCAAAGTTTTATACAAAGACACGAAAAAACAATACGATAGCATTAATTTCAAGACTGAAATCGAGGGAACCTATAAAGCCTGTTTCTCCAACGAATTTTCGACATTTTCCCACAAAATTGTTTATATGGATTGGCAAGTTGGAGATGAACAAGAGAATTTTAATAAAGCAATTACACAAGGAACTCATGCAATGAGTCAATTGGAGAATTATGCTGTTTCGATTGGAGATAAATTGAGAACTGTTAGTTTTTTGAGGGGTGTAGGGGATATTATGGGTTTCTTCATTTCCACCTGAAAACCATTAATTTCATTATCTTCAACTTAAAATTTTGATCGACAATTTTCAATTTCATCTAGAAGTAATTGGAAAATTTTAAATTGTTCAGATCAAATTTTTATGTGAAAAAATTAATTTCGAAAATGATCAAGATTTCAGTGAAAATTCAAAATTGAAAAAATGTTTAAATTATAATTTTTTAAATCTTTTCCACAAAACTCCCAAATTTAACTGCGAATCAAAAAAACTATATTGAACAATCTTTAAAATTTGGAACAAAAAGTTAACAGTAAACCTTTAAAAATTCATGAAAATCCGAATTTTATGTTATAAACTTTCAAAAAACTCAGTAAGCTTAGTTTTTGCTCCAGAAAACAACCCAAAACTCTAATTTTCCCACCAAAATCCCATTTTTCTTCTAGGTTGACGACTATCAAACCCATCATCGTCTTCGCGAAGCCACTGGTCGAAAACGCGCCGAATATTTGAATGAACGAGTTATGATGTGGTCAATTGGTCAAACAGCTTTGGTCATTTTCATCGGCATTGCTCAGGTTTATTTGCTCCGCTCATTTTTCAGTGATAAACGATCGAGATATTAGAAGAATACTTGCCTTTAGTACGGGGGAAATTTGGGGTTTCGGTTCTACCAAAAATCCCAATTTTCCTCGAAATTTACTCATTATTGCATCATAATTCCTCTTTTTATTTTTTGAAAAAGCGAGTAGAGTTTTATTTATTTTTCATAAATATTAATTTATTATTATTAAAACGTATAGATCTATGGCATGGCACTTTAACCCAATTAAAAAATAATTAAAATTTAGTGGTATCCTGTTTGGTCGACACTACAGTATTAATAGTCGATCCCAAATCATCATCATGAACAGCAGCTCCTCCAATTTTATCTCCATTTTCATTATATTCCGTCGCCATTTTCTCCTTTTCAATTTTAATTGTTTGATTCGCGAATTCCACATGATCCACTTTTCCGACTCGTTTATTTTCAAATAAAAATCGAGAAAATGCCATATTTTCATCATAAATCACCAATTTTTTTGAGGACGCGCGCTTTTTGAAACAGAAATAATATGCGAGGATTATTGAGAGGAAGGCGAATGAACCCGATGTTAGATGCAAGATTATTGGAGCTAGTGGAATCGCTGGAAATTGATAATGAGAAGGTTTTTTCACGTGGCAAAATTTTTTGAAAAATGGATAATTTTGAACAGAAATCCATGTGGCAAATTTTCAGGCCTAAATTTTTTTTAGTTTAAATTTTGAGGATTTTTGGCGCAAAGAATTCCACTTGGCAAAATTTCAAAAAAAAAAATCAGTCGATAATTTTAGGTTACACATGTTCCACGTGGAAAAAAATTCAAAAAAACACCTCAAAAAATTTCACTAAAAAAATCCACTGTTTCAAAAAATTTTAATATAATTTGGGAAATTGAGTTGAAATTTGATGTAGAACTATTTTAAAGAATCTGCTGTTTCAAAATTTTAGTTTTTTTCTAATTCTATGATACAAAAATTGATTATAAGAAAAACTTCACATTTTCACCAAAAACCAAGTTTTTATCAAATTTTTGCTTGTCTCAAAAAATCTTGCTCACCCATTTCACAATTCTGTCCAGTATGCAATAAATCACAAATACATTCATCTAAATGAGCTCGCTTATTAAATTGACTATATCCATTACCACTGCAATTTTTCTCTAAAATATTGATTTTTGACAATCGGCCTTGGTTATGACATGGCAAAACTCACTTGCAAAAACTTGAGTTATAAAATAGTAGATTATTATTATTATAGATTTCATTTTGAATTGATTGAAAATTAGGAATGACAACAAAAAAGAGAAAAAATAGTTTTTTTTGGAAAACACGTGGAAAACACGAGGTCACGTTTTTAAGCGCAAAAAAAAACAATAATAATTTATTTTTCTTCGAAACAAAAAATAAGTTAAGTTACCCGAACTCATCTCCTAATTCGCAATTATTTTCTACTCAACAATTTCTCCCATCAATTTCTTTTCATATTCCTCCAATCTCTTCACAAATTTATCATTTTGATTCAACAAATCCTGCACTCCACTAATCAACGTCTTCCTTTTTTCTCGATTTCTTTTCACTTGATTTTCCGGCGTATTTTCTCGAATTATCTGAATTCCATCGATCGATTCCAAATGTCTTTCGGATTCTTCGTTGAATTGTTTGAGACGTTTGTCGAATTTTTTGATCATTTCGATTTGTTTCGGCTTTTCGAGATAGCCTTTTTCGAGTTCGGTGAGATCTTTCGAAAGTTCGTCGAATGTTTTTTGGAGATTGTTGAGATTGTGTTTTTCGTATTGAAGAAGGGCTGAGAAACCGGGATCGTCCTGGAAAAATTGAGGTGATTTTTAAAGCAGAAATTGGCCGGGGCGATTTGTAGAACTTCATGAATTTTGGAAAAATTGAAATATCTAAATTTTGGCGCCAGAAAAACCAAAATTTGAAATGAATTGAAGCTAAATTTCGGCTTGAAAAAATTCCCCCCAAATCACTCACCTTAATCGCCATTTTCTTTCCACCCATCACAATAACCTTGTCGCCCTCCTTGAATCCTACACTTTCAATCGCAATCTCATCATCCGTGCTCAAAATCTTTCCGCGATGCAAAATCTTCATTGCGTCACGATCCAACTCATTTTCTTGCGCTATAAAATCGCGAAATTCGCCGAGTTTTGTGATTGTCGAAACATCGAATGGGATTTGTGTTGATCCACAAGAAATTGTCACTTGCATTTTGCTGAAAATCCTAGAATTTTTGGCTGAAAACGGGCTGAAAAAACTTTCGAAAGAAAAATTTCGAACACTTGTTCTCGAGAACTCCGCCGAAAATTCTGTGCGGTGGAGCGCACTTCCATTTTTACTTTTTTTTCGCCATTTTTTGCTTTGTTGTTTTTTGTGTGTGTTGACTCTATTTCTCTCCCTTTCCTCTTTGAATGAACCGCGCATTTCACACTTTTTTGGAATTCGTATGATGATGCAATTTTCAGCATAGAAACATTCATCTGAAACTCCTATTTTTGCTTGAATAATAAAAACAACAGTTGTTTTTTTCCTCTTCTTCTATCCCTCTTTTTCTTCGCAAAATCAATAATCCGCAGCTCACAAAAAAAGAGAAAAGAAATTTACGTGATAAACTGAAGAATATTTTCATTTCTTGAAAATCAAATGTTCGCATATTTCGGCGCCACACTTTATCGAAAACATTTCGCTGGCGGAAAACGTCGACTTTGTGGGTTTTTCGGTTTCAAATTTAAAACTGGTTTCTCTTTTTCAATAGATATCGATAGTTTTTGTTTTGATTTTTTATAGATAGTTTTTTTCAGTTTCAAACCATTTTTGTGTGTTTGTTTTTTGTTATCATTCATTTTTTTGAATTTTGAGAGAAAATATTGATTTTTGGGGTGAAAAACACTGGAATTAGAGTATTTCTGCAAATTATCGTCGTTTCTAGTATTGTTTTTTGTGTTTTTCGCGCCAAATTCAAATCTTCCCTCCCTTCAAACTAACATTTTTCGTATTTCCTTCTTTTCTTTCACCAAAATCAATCGATAATCCTCAAATCCCTTATTTCTAGTCATGGCAAACAACGATAAAGTAGCGAATAAGGTATGTCTTGTTGTAATCGATGGTTGGGGAATCTCTTCGGATCCATACGGAAATGCAATTCTTGCCGCCAACACTCCAGTCATGGATAAATTGTGTTCCGGAAATTGGGCTCAAATCGAAGCCCACGGTCTTCACGTTGGTTTACCTGAAGGTCTTATGGGAAATTCCGAAGTTGGTCATTTGAACATCGGTGCCGGTCGTGTTATCTATCAAGATATCGTGAGAATCAATTTGGCTGTCAAAAATAATCAATTAATCAATAATGAATCGTTGAAAGATGCGGTAAATCGTGCAAAATCTGGAAATGGTCGATTGCATTTGGCTGGATTGGTTTCAGATGGTGGTGTTCATTCACATATTGATCATTTGTTTGCGTTGGTGAAGGCTGTTAAGGAATTGGGTGCACCTGAATTGTATATTCATTTTTATGGTGATGGACGTGACACTTCGCCAACTAGTGGTGTTGGATTTTTGCAACAAACTTTGGCGTTTTTGGGAGAACAACAGTGAGTTTTTCATTGAACTTGAGAAACTGAAATCTACCCCTATAGTAATATTGATTATTGAAAAATTCAAAATTTCATATGGAAATTTTTTTCTAAATTTTATTCAGAAATAAGACGGACAAAAATTCCTAGTTTTCCCACATGAACCACTCAAAACCATCCCAATTTCCTACTTCAGATATGGTAAATTAGCCACAATTGTTGGTCGCTACTATGCAATGGATCGTGATTCTCGTTGGGAACGTATCAACGTGGCATACGAAGCAATGATTGGTGGAGTTGGAGAAAATGCAACTGAAGCAAATGTTGTCGATTTGGTCAAATCCAGATATGCCGCCGATCAAACTGATGAGTTCTTGAAACCAATCATTTTGCAAGGCGATGATGGAAGAGTTCGAAATGATGACACTTTGATCTTCTTTGATTATCGAGCTGATCGAATGAGAGAAATCTCGGAAGTTATGGGAATGGAAAGATATAAGGATTGTAAAAGTGCTCTTCAACATCCAAGTAATGTCAAGGTTTATGGAATGACTCAATATAAAGCCGAATTCCCGTTTTTGTCGCTTTTCCCACCAGCAAGTAATAAGAATGTTTTGGCTGAATGGTTGGCTGAACAGGTGAGGGATTTTTAAGAAAAATCTTGAAAAATCGATGATTTATTACCTGTTTCAGGTGCTTTACAAATATTTAATCTGAAAATTTGTAAGGAATTTTGGTTTCAAAAAGTGCCAAAATTTAGGATTTTCAAATAAATAAGTCAAACGTTGTTATTTTTTTTTTCAAAAATTCTATTTTCGGCGCCAAAACCTGATCGACAGCTTTCTGTAAATTTTGCTCACTTCTGGAATCTTCTGCTCCACACATGTTTAAATTTTAAAATAAATTTGAAGTTTTCGTTTTGAGAGACAGCGTGAAAATTAAAGAGTCTAGACAAAGTTAGACAAAATCCTTGTTTGTCTCTATGCTCTCTCAATTTTACGTACTCCCTGATCATAATCCTCCCTTAAATTCCATATTTTATTCTTCCAGCAAGTATCTCAATTCCACTGCGCCGAAACCGAAAAATACGCACACGTCACATTTTTCTTCAACGGTGGTCTCGAAAAACAATTCAACGGCGAACATCGTTGTCTAGTCTCCAGTCCAAAAGTTGCCACCTATGATTTGCAACCCGAAATGTCATCAGCTGGAGTTGGCGATAAAATGGTCGAGCAAATTGTTGACGGAACTCATCCATTTATTATGTGCAATTTTGCACCACCTGATATGGTTGGACACACTGGAGTTTATAAAGCGGCTGTCAAAGCGTGTGAAGCGACTGATTTGGCGATTGGAAGAATTTATGAAGCTTGTCAGAAACATGGTGAGGAAAATAGGGATTTGTGATGAATTTTTATTTAAAATTCACGTAAAATCGTGAAGTTTGAAACCTAGAATTGTTGATTTTTGGCTCCTAATTCTGAATCTGAACTCGAAGTTTCTTGCGGAACTTTGAAATCACCCTGATCAGCAAATGTTAAATCGCGTGGATTTAGCTGGGTTCGAGCATTGACTCCCATTTAGATATAATAGAGAAAAGGGACTGAGATCCCTTAATCTCTTAAAGAGAATAAAAATGAGAGAACACAAGAACAAAAAACTACTAATTTATTAGAGAAATATAAAAGAAAGAAAACAAATTAGGATTAAAATTTTGTGGTTGTTGTGGTAGAATGCTTTTGATGTTAATTTAGCGCGATTTAGGCCAATGGTGGCTCTAAATGTGATTGAATTTCCTAGGGGGGTGTGAGATAGCCCAAATATACATGAAAACCTTTGCACAAAACGTATAACGCGCAACCCGAAGGCAGGAAACCTGCGAAGTCTCCAAAAAAGGATTGCAAATCTTCCACGGCGAATGTTTCCCGGAGAAATTCGAATATTTGAATGGCGGCCTTGCCGCCTCAACCCAACGAGACCCGAGCGAATAAATATGTGTGCCTTGAATTGGTTTTGCGCTCTCGTCGTCTGCGCGCTCTCGCAAATACACAATATTTTCTCGTCAGCGGGTTTTTTCTCTTCTTTTTCCTCGATTTTCAGCGCGTATCCGCTGGTTGTTTCGGCTTTTGGTTACCGATTGAATTGAGCTCGAATTATTCGAGACAGACGAAATGGGTTGAGGTTTTTAGCATTGGTTTTCATGTTAAAAACGTTGTATTTGGGTGAGAAATCTCTCAATTTCTCACATTCCCCCTCTACATAAGATTGCGAAGGTTACTGTAGTTTTCCTTGTTGAAGACGAAGTTAGTGTTGAATTTCTTGTGGAGTGTTTCGGCGATTTCGAAGACGGCATCACTGCTATTGCGACGGAGAGTAGGGAGGTCTTGTTGAACGAATTTGAGTTCCAGATTGAGTAGTGTCACATTCCATAAAATCGCTCGACATTTCCGTGTGTGAACAGCAGTCCTTCGATTCAATGTTCCAATATTGTTGTTCCAATCGTTGAAGTCGATCCAAAGATGCACAAAATTTTTTGCTACCCCTTCTTTTGTGTGGGGGTATGTTCAGGATACTGTAGCAATTGAGATGATCTCTTCTGGTAACCGATCACGAATTTTAAGTTGTTATGCCCTGATGGCTCAAATTTTAAGTAGTGATGGTGAATGAATTTTTGACTAACAAAGAATTGATAATTGTTCGATTTTTTGCAATCGACTTGGGTTGTCAAGTTTATCCAAATGAATTGTTTTTCTCGTGGCAGTATTATCGCCAGCGTAGATGAGAATTTTCTTGAAATTTGTCGAAAAAATTCGAATTTTCTTGTTTTCGATGGTTTTATCGAAATTTGTGGGGTATCCCTGGTTGAATTGAAAATGTGTGGGGGGTATCCGTGGGTAAATCAAAATTTGAGGTTCGATAGAACCCTTCCCCCTCTACATAAGTTGGAAAAGTGTTAAGCGATTTTGATTCATGGTTAGTGGGTGCAGTAAGTGCTAATTACATGAATTTCGGGAATTTTGATTGGGTTGATTTAGGGGATAAAGCAGCTGCGTACAAGGTTGCGGAGTTTCAGATTTCTTCATCTATCGTTCATCAAAGTGAACGAAATAATGTTTCATCCGAGCAGCAATGAAAGGTGATTGGCTCTGCCACAACTTCACATCTTCCACCGCATTTCTCCGGTGATTCTTCTCTTGTTCAGTTTCTTCTTTAACTCTCCCCAAACTGATCTTCGGTCTTGCCGATTTTCAGTTGTTAGTGTTTTTTGAGTGGGTTTCAGATTTTTGATGACTGGAATTCCACTGGAACCCTCCCAAAAAAATTTACCTTAACTTGCACAAAATCCAAAATCGATTCGAACTCTTCGGCCACCAATCACCCTCTCTCAATAATCGCAGACGTCTCCTTGATTTCTTGAGCGGTTCTCTTCCGTGGTCCACTTGGTTTTCAGCGAATTTGGAAAGCCTGTAAATTTTTTCGGGTTGACTCCCTCTGAGTTCATGCGCTAATTTCCTGCTGCTTCCCTATCTCACCGCTATCCCGGCAAATTCTGGCGAATCGGGGCTGGAACGGCTGATCAGACCGAACTCAGTAGATCGATGAGACCGACGCTCTATCGTCCAATAGGCTTACGCTCCGAAATCATGTTGATTTCGGAAGTAGGGAAAGGCGAGCGAGGAAAAAGCTTTTTATTAATATGTACCGTTATACGGGCGTTTTACTTCACGCTTGAAGTGTAAAGATTACAAGTTGACAATGTTTTACGATAGCAGATATATTTATTATTGATAACAAACAAACAAAAAAAATTATCATGAGAAAAGTGAAAATGTGTGGGAAAATACCGGTTTTTAAGCCCGTTGATTTGACTTTTTGCTTCTTGAGTGTTTTGGATGATTAGAATCTTCTCGATGTCCAACTCGCGATTCGGCCATTTGACCAAAGAACGTGGTGTTCGATGCCGTACATTCTTTCCTTTTCTTGGACAGCGAGGAGGAACTCGTTTCTTAGCTTCTCCTTTTCGATTCTCTCGAAGACTCTGGCATTTGATCTTATTTTGTTAGCTGATGGGTGAGGTGTTCTCAAGTTTAAGTCATTGAGTCGAACGTGGATTATTTCCGCCAGCTGATTTGATTCCTTCCAGTCTTTGGGCGTCCATTCCAACAGCTTCAAGAATCTTGCTTTTTCATCTCCTGATCTATAGACAATTTCAAGAGATGTCCATACCGCTCGATATGCTGCATCGATTTTCCATGCGACATCGTCCGACCTGCAATTATGAACGTTGGTTATTAACCGGTATTTCTCTTTTCTGGGCTTTGAGCCCTTTTATTTTTAGACTTTTTTAGTCGTTTTGGTTAGTTAGGCGAACTTCTGCCCGCGATTTGAGTCGTCTGCCGTTTTTCTTTGGGATTCAGAGGTTTGAATCCTCCATACCATTCCCCATGCAAGACCTTGACTAAAAACTTTGGTTTGTGTCTTGCGCGGGGATTTTTAAGGTTTGGAGGCTTCTTGCCCCTTCAGAATCTGGGATTCTGTTCCTTCTATTCACGGCTTCTGACTCTCAAACGGGTCTTTTTTCGTCGGCACAACTCCGAGATCTATTTGCCGTTGGCTTCCAGAGCCTTTGGCTTTCTTTAAAACTTTATTGGCCTCTTGTGCCTCTAGTTTTGTCAACACTTGGTCTTTTAGACCTCTGGTTGTTTTTTGAACTCCTGGTCTTCTGTGACCTCTGGTTCAGTTTGAACACCTGGTCTTCTGTGACCTCTGGTTCAGTTGTGCCGATGTTCTCTTGGTTTAGGTCGTAATGCACCATGTTAAATCGCGTGGATTTAGCTGGGTTCGAGCATTGACTCCCATTTAGATATAATAGAGAAAAGGGACTGAGATCCCTTAATCTCTTAAAGAGAATAAAAATGAGAGAACACAAGAACAAAAAACTACTAATTTATTAGAGAAATATAAAAGAAAGAAAACAAATTAGGATTAAAATTTTGTGGTTGTTGTGGTAGAATGCTTTTGATGTTAATTTAGCGCGATTTAGGCCAATGGTGGCTCTAAATGTGATTGAATTTCCTAGGGGGGTGTGAGATAGCCCAAATATACATGAAAACCTTTGCACAAAACGTATAACGCGCAACCCGAAGGCAGGAAACCTGCGAAGTCTCCAAAAAAGGATTGCAAATCTTCCACGGCGAATGTTTCCCGGAGAAATTCGAATATTTGAATGGCGGCCTTGCCGCCTCAACCCAACGAGACCCGAGCGAATAAATATGTGTGCCTTGAATTGGTTTTGCGCTCTCGTCGTCTGCGCGCTCTCGCAAATACACAATATTTTCTCGTCAGCGGGTTTTTTCTCTTCTTTTTCCTCGATTTTCAGCGCGTATCCGCTGGTTGTTTCGGCTTTTGGTTACCGATTGAATTGAGCTCGAATTATTCGAGACAGACGAAATGGGTTGAGGTTTTTAGCATTGGTTTTCATGTTAAAAACGTTGTATTTGGGTGAGAAATCTCTCAATTTCTCACAGCAAATTTCTAAAAGTCACCATTTTTATCCAGAAAATTTAAATGTTGAGAATTTTAATTCTCGAATTTATTGTGAAATTGACATCAACAGAGCTGAAATTTTTACAGATTCGTAAAAATTTTGAAACAGTCAATTTTCTTCCTATTGAAACCCATTATTTTCCACCCTTTTTCCATCCTAAATTTAATTTCAGGTTACACCCTTTTGGTCACCGCCGATCATGGAAATGCTGAAAAAATGAAGGCACCGGATGGCGGAAAACACACTGCCCACACTTGTTATCGAGTTCCGCTAACTTTATCGCATCCTGGATTCAAATTTGTTGATGTGAGTATTTTTTGGGGGTGAACATTTGGAAAATTGGTTTTCAACTTGAAAAATCTGAAATTTTGATTTTTTAGGCTGGAATTTCGCTGTTTCAAAAATGTGATATTTTTATTTTTAGATGATCTCAAATGTTGTTTACGCGTTTTTTCTTTTTATGCAAAGTTTCATATAAAATTTGAAATATGAGAATTTAAACCGGTTTCATCTAAAATTACAGCCAATATTTTTCACTGTTTCAGAAATTCTTAGTTTTCGAGATTTTTGGCTGAAAAAAATTCAAATGAAAAATTCAAAAATCTGAAAATATTTTTTTAGCCAGCCGATCGTCCACCAGCACTTTGCGATGTTGCACCAACAGTTTTGGCAATTCTTGGCCTTCCACAACCAGCCGAAATGACTGGACAATCAATTGTTCAAAAAATCTGATTTTTATAAAATTGGCTACTTAAAATTTGAACTTTTTATTAGTTTTTCTCCGATTTATTTTGATTCTGATTGCCCCTTTTAAAAATCTCACAATTTTCTACTAATTTCTTTTTTATTTGAAAATTTTATTTTATTTAGAGCATTTAGTGAAAATGAACTTTTTTACTTGAAGATTTACTTTGAAGATGAAATTGTGTATTTCAAAATGTTAAATATTTTTTCTTTGTTGTCACATAGAAAGTGTGATTGAAAATTATGGAAATGTGTGAGTTTCGGGGTTTTTTTGAAACAGTGAAATTTTAGCAGAACATTTTTTCACTGTTTCAAAAACGTAATGATTTTATTTTCGAGTTTTGTTGATGGTGTTTTTTCTTATCATAATATTTTTGAAACATTGAATTTTTGGAATTAATATCTAGAATTTCCACCAGAAGGAATGAAATTTAATCATAATTTTTTCAATTCAAAAACGCTCATAAGTTTTCTGAAACAGTGCATTTTTTCGTCCAATTTTCAAAAACTATCCAAATCCTGCACTTTTTCCAAAAATCACTTCCTTATTCACCCTAATCTTGATCTTCTCAACTTATTTCCTTCTGCAATGTTCAATGTTTTCAAAGCCTAAACCTGATATAGATATCTTCTCACTTCCTTTTTCTTCTTCTTCTTCTTCACTTCTCAAAAATTGTTTATTCGTCATCCAGTTCTGTTGTTCGCGCATTTTCCGCAACTTATCTCATCTCCAAATTTGTGTCGATGAAATGAAAAGTTTGACGAATTGACCAAAAAACATCATTTTTCTAGAAGAATCCCAATTTTTTTCTTTCAATTTTTGTCGAAAAATCGATATTTTTTCATGAATTTGCATATTTATTTTCTATTTTTATGTGTGTTCCCAGCCAACGGGAAAAAATCAAGCAAATTGTCTTTTTAGGCGAAAATATACGTTTTCGCTGCGTACTTTGTAGGCTTGACTGAGTATCTAATGTTGTTCTAGGAAACATTGCCTATTTCAAATTTGATCTACAGGTGAAAAAAATTCACTGCGTATTTAATGTTGATATGCCGAATTTATCCCAATTTTTTGAACCATCAAGCCATTAGATACTCAGTGAAGTACGCAGCCAATTTTATTTGATCTACCCAAAATGAATCCTGTACAACTTCCATTTGATACTCAGTCTAACCTATAAGTACGCAGTCAAATCTGTGACTCATTGACCCCTTTTGTCTTTTGTCTTCGCTTTCTAATATTATTTTTTCCGGAGCCCTTTTTCCTCTAATAACCTTACGCAATCGATAAATATTAATATAATTGTGCACTTTTTGTGGTTGGGCGGAAAAAAGGAAAGGGGAAAGAGATCTACAATAAAATCAGCGGCAATCTCTTTTTTGACACTCTCTGTGTGTGTATGTGTATTTACCCAACAACAAAACTGTCAAATCCCCCCTTTTCCCCTCCAATTATAGTATTATTATATGGATTATTGATAGGGTAGAATTCTGGGAGATTTTATCGTTTTGGGGTGATTTTTTGGGTAATAAATGCCAAAAAATTATTAAAGTTTTCTTTGAAAATTAGTTATTTTCTACTTGAAACAGTGAATTTTTTCTGGAAAATGTACATTTCTTAGTTTACTACCTTAGTTTTTGAACATTAAAATTATTAAAGTTCTACTTGAAACAGTGAATTTTTCTCGTATTTTTCAATAAAGCCCTTTTTCTTGTAAAATGTCTTCCGATATTTCCAGTTTCTTGCAACCCCCCCCCCCTCCATAATTTTTCTCGAATATTTAGCCTAACTCGATCATCGATTGATTGTTCTCTCCAAATAACAATGTCAATATTATTATTATTGTTATATTTAAAACACAATTTTGTAATAATAATAATAGGCAAAATGGTTTAGTTTTGCATTGTTTTGTTCGATTTTTGTGTGCAAATAGAAATTCGACAGAGATTTTTGATCCAAGAAAATGGGCGGTAAATTAAACTTGATGATATTTTGAAACAGTGAATTTTTCAAGGGAAAACTTGAAATTTGGAGCATGTTTTTAGAAGTTTCTGGGATATATTTAGCAAAAGAACATTAGAAACAACCAGAAATACAATTTTGAACAATAAACTTTGAAACAGTGAATTTTTTGGATTTAAAAAATTGATTTTTGTTGCCAATTTCGAGATATTGATGGAGAAGTAGAAAAAAAAATCAGAATTTAAACCAAAAAACTTGATGTTCTGAATTTTTAGAAGGAGTAAGAAGAAAAAGAAAACTACCGAAATCAACCACGAATTCAAATGTTATCAATAAACTTAGAAACAGTGAATTTTTTCACTGAGAAATTGAGATTTACATTTAAATTTTCGGAGATAAAAAGATCTAGAAATTCTGAAATTTTTGTCATATTTCACTGAATTTTTTTTAACACTAGAATGACACGGAAATCAAAAACCTATAATATAATTTTGAAACAGTAAATGTTTCTTCATTGAAAAAATGGCTTTTTTGTAAGCTTTCTATGAATGAAATTCTAAATCCCAGAATCCCATCATAAATCCCAGATTTCCCGCCAAAAATAGTACCAATTTCCTTTTTCCAGCCAGATTTTTCAGTCAATTATTTTTCAGCAAAAATCCCTCTCTTTCTCTCTACTTGTCTAAAATCGGACATTTTTCTCTTTTCTCTTCCAATTTCATTTCATTTTTTTATTTATTCATCCTTCGAATGTCCGGCGTCTCTTTTTTTTGCAAGGTTAAAACTGGGCCTTTTTCTCTGCGTCTCTCACTTTTCCTTCTTTTTTTTACTGTTCTCATTCTTGTTTGACTTCGGGATTTGAAGGACTAACTGACCTCTTTTGTACCTTTTATTTTATTTCGGTTTTACTGGTTAGTTTTTATTGATTTTTTTTTCGGGTAAATTTCTAGGAAAATTTAGAAAATCCCCAATTTCCCCTACTTTTTTTCAAAAAAAAACTAGATTTTTCATACTTCTTTACTTAAAAGTGCATAGCACCTGCCACATTATAACACATTTTTTTGTTCAAAATTTTTTTTTCGAAAAAAAAAATTTGTATAGTAACTGTATCTGTTTGACCAGTTATTCTTGGTTTATGTTAGTTGCGACGAAAAAAACATGGAAGATGACCGGTTTCTGAGAAAAATGAATGGAAACTATGTATCTAAACTATTCTGGATTGTTGGCCTCAAAAAAAGCGCCTTTTACAAAAAAATTCACTGTTTCAAAATTTTCATTTAAAAGTTTGGTATTCGCTACTTTTAGTTTCTTTGAGCCAATATGGGAAAAAATGCGAATTTCAAAAAAAAAATTACGTTTCAAATTTTCAATATATTTTTTCGATTATTTAAATTTTTAATTTGAATTCTTTTTGGCATTTTCGCTCAAAAATTCCAGAATTAAGAATTTTTTGGCCCCAAAACACATGTTGATCAAACAGCACTCGGTTCTGTTTTTTCTCAACATTCCCGATTTTCGAATCGTTTTTCACAGCGCGATTGCCATATTTGTTTTTCCATTTTTTTTCGCGCACTCCTCACGAATTCCATTATGTTGCATAATATATTTATGGATTTTGTTGAGAAAATTCGAGAAATCTCAAATTTCCAGTCCAAACCAATCGATTTTCTCAGAAGCTTCTTTTTAGTTTTTTGATCATCTTCTTCGAAATGAAGATCTTGTTTCTGTCTTCTTCTTCTTGATCATTTTTTCATACAGAAAGCAAAAAAAATGAATTTATATCCGTGTTCGCGCAGAGACGGGTTAGAAGGCTTTTGGGGAAAAAAGAAGAAGATGAATAGCGCGAAAACTAACGAAATTATGTATATGTGTTTCGGAACGGATTGTACAATTAATTGGTTTGAAGTGGTGGAAGATTATTGAATATCTTATGTATAGTGCGGCATGGTTTTGTGGGCGGGGTTTAGCTTCATCTAGCTTTGACAATTTTTTTCAACCTACTTTGAGGTTTGAATTTTGTAAGAAACTCCGGAAAATTGGATTTTTCAATGTAAAAAATTAACTGTTTCAAACAATTTATATTTAACGATTTTCGGAAATTTATTTTAATGCTTCCTCTGATGCCATTGAACAAGTTTTACGTTTTTAAAGTTTACGAGAACTCCGAAAAATCGGAAAAATCTAGACTTTCTGAAGGAAGATTTCACTGTTTCAAAAAATTTGTATCAAACTATTTTTTTTGAAGAAATGCTTGATAATTTTGTTTTATATCTATAGAAAATTCATGCTTTTAAGATTGCTCAAAAACGCTCTAATTTTTGTCCCAGAGAATTTCGAAAATTCCGGAAAAATTCGCTGTTTCAAAAATGTGTTGATAGAATTTCGATAATATTTGAAATCGCGTTTCAAAAATTATCATAGATTTTTCAATGTAAAAAATTCACTGTTTCAAAAAATATGTTTTTTTTTGTTGAAAATTCTAGATCTCGTTCTGTGTGATCCTCCTCAATAAGATCTTATTTTCCGAATTCTGTGTACTTCTCTCAGACAATAAATATTGTGGGCGGGGCTTCCCAAAATTTTTTGTTCCCGAAAAACCGTATATCTATTTTATGATTGCAAAAAAGATGATTAACACATTGTTTTAGCCAAAGTTTATTATCGTACCTAATAAATCTTCTTTTTTTTGTTTTGTTGTAGAGATTTTTGTGGTCGATAATAATTAGTTTGTCCATCTTCTTCTTCTTCTATATGTATTTCATTTCTATCTCCTTTTTCGTCTTCTTTTCTTTTTTTCGTGCCGGTCAGAGACGTTTTTTTTAATGTTAGTCGATGAATAAGAACGACGATGAGACGAGAAATATGAAATGGAAAATATTTATTAGCGATGCATTTAGTTATGCTTATAGATTTTTTCGTTTTATAAAATTATATATAGTTTTTTTTTGAAACAGTGATATTTTGCAGAGATCAGACAAGTCATATTGCAAAATTCGTTCAAAATTTTTTTATGAGAATTCTTTGAAACAGTGAATTTTTTTTTTGGAAAATTTGGAATTTATCGAAAAAATTGTAGAACAAAATGGAGCACTTTTTGAGCTCAAAACTTCTAAGAAACTTTTTTATTCAGATTTGTGGATGTACTAATAATCTATATAAAAAATAATTACTGGTTATTAACAGATTCAAAAATACTAATTTTTTAATGAAAATTTTTTGAAACAGTGCATTTTTTTGTTGAAAATTCGCAATTTCTCAAACTTTTTGAAAATACTTGGAGCATTTTGGCGCTCAAAAATCCGAGTAAAATTCAATTTTACTATGGAAAACTTCACTGTTTCGAAAAACATTTTCAAAAAATTCCAAGGATTTTTGAAGTTGATATTGGTAGTTTTTTGTAGATAATGTATAAGTTTAGAGCTCAAAAATTCTGAATTTTTTTGTGGAAAATTTTACTGTTTCAAAAAATCACCCTCAAACTCCTATAATTTTCTCTCTTCCCTCTCAAATTCCCATACTCTCTTTCTCTCTTTCTATATTTTTTTACCACCATTTGCCAAACTTTCCTCATCTCATCTACATATAATATATCCTATCTTGCGTCATCTTTTGACCCCCAAAAAATGTGGGCGGAGTCTGATTTTTCTTGATCTCCGCCCACTTTTAGGTGTCTGCCCGTGTTCTTTTCTCTCTGTGTTTGTTCTCTTTTTCTCTCGGGGTCACTTTTTTTTGTTGTTTTTTTTTGGCACAATTTTGCGGTTTTTAAAGGTGCATACAGTAGTAGTACACCTTTATTTTTGCTCCAGGAACTTTGAGAGCACTTTCATTCTAGCGGCCCTCTTTTCTTATCATTTCGATTTGGCTCTTCTCTCTGTTATCAATATTTTTGCCCCCAGAGAAATTGGAAATTGTACGCTTTTTCGTTATATATTATATTTTTGTGTTTGTCTTGAAAACGTCAGTCAAATAATTTTGGAGTAAAATTGCAATTTTTGATAGGATAGTGGCATTTTTATCAAAAATAGTCACAATTTTGGGTTTTTGGGTCTAGAAAATGCTTGTTGTTTAAATTTCATACAAAATCAGGGTTTTGAGCTCTAATAATTTTGAGCAACGTGTCAAAAAATTTTATCACAAGATCTCAGAAAGTCTTAAATTTTGTGCAAAAAATCCACGTTTTTCGAGCTCCCAAAATTTTTCAATTTTAGTCCAAGAGAACTACGAAAAAAGAAAACTCAATTTTTTGGATTTGAAAAATTCACTGTTTCAAAAAATGTTCATTAACATTTTTCTGGAATTATTTTTTGATGAGAAGCCGCTTGTAGCAAAATCCTCAATATTCTGAGCTCCTAAAGTTCTCCAAAAGGTTTGAAAAATTTCACTGTTTCATTATTTTTATTAAATTTTTTTTTGGAAGAAACTTTTGATCCACCTTTCCAACATTTTCTTCTAGAAAAATTCACTGTTTCAAAAAAAATTGATAAAAGATTTGAAAATCCAGAAATTGTTGGTCTAGCTGCACCAAAGGAACTATAATTTTCTCAAATTTTTCCGGAACCAGCTTTTTTCCCCAAAATTCCTCCTCGAGAACTACACACATTTTCTACCCTTTATCATCATTTTCCCTTGTTTTGACCTATATATCAGCTGAAGAAAATCAAAACTTTTTATAATCAAAAAAAAAAGAAAAAGATAACTTTTTTGACCTATTTTCCCATTTTTCATCCAAAAAAATTCATTTTTCCTCATAAAAAGCATTTTTTCCAATTAAAAACGTCATCTCGCCCACTTCTGCGCCTTTTTTGGTCGACTTTTCAGTCGATCCTCGAAAAACCCCGGAGAAATAGTGTGGAAAATTGAGAGTGTGATAGAGAAAAAGAGAGGCGTCTATGTGTTCTTTCTATGCAACGTGTATATTTTTTTTGCTGGTTTTCTATGTATTGAGAGGCAGAGAGAAAAATGGAGAGATTTCGAAATATACTTGTTTTTTTTGGCGAAGAAGACGTGTTTGGTATGAGTTGGAGGTTTTTTGAGAGTGATAAAATTGTTGATTTCTTGTGGAAATTTGGATTTTTGATGGAAAATAGAGTTTAAGAGTCCTATTTTACACTATTTTCAAGTTGAAAATTGAATTCAAACTGCAATTTTTCAATAGGAACATGCTTTTCTAGGGTTTCTTCTTGCGGAAACTCAAATTCCGCTTCAAAAATCGTCTTTTTCTCTGCGCCTCTCATGTTTTTGTTGCCTCCACTTTTTTCTAGTTTCTCTGTGCTCTAAAAATCCCGTTAAAATTTCAACCAAAGTGCTCCACTTCAGGTGGCCTAGAATTTATATGGCCTAGAAAACCAAATAATTTTTTTTCATTTTCAAAATTTTTCTGAAAAACCGCATTTTCAGCTGTTTCTTGTGGGGATTTCAGCAAATTTCCGCTAAGTTTTGATTTCAAGTTCTTCAATTTCACCTATTCAAACCAGAAATACCCTCTAGATCTTTGTTTTTCTTGATTTCTTCATGTTTTTATAAAAATTCTTATTTTTTCTCGAATTTACTCGTAAATTCTTCATTTTTTGCAGAAGGGTACCCCTTAACCAAAACTTTTTGGTTTTTGGCTAAATTCAAATCGATTTATTTCGCCTCCAAAATGGATCAAGATTTCGACGATTTGTTGAATATCGGACCTGGTGGAATCGACGCAGAACAAATCAATTTCGATGAGGATAATGATCATAATGGTTTGGGAATGATGTTGTCAGCCACTGATGATGATACATTATGGAATCATTTTGATTCGTTTGTTGATCCACATTGTGAGTTTTTACGGGAATCTGGGAGAAATTTGATGGAAAATTTAAGTTAGAAGTGGAAAAATCATGAATTTTCACACAGCAACTAAACAATTTCAAATTAAAGTTTTTAATAAATATTACGATTTTTCACTGTTTCAAAATAAGAATATGTGATTTTTGAGTTGGGGAAATATTGATTGATCACTGTTTTAAATAAAAAAAAAAGAAAAATCTAGAAATTTCAAACCATGATGCTGACTTTTTTCAACTTCCCAAAACCCCTATATTTTTCCAGTCACAGCCGATGAATTTTGCGACAATCTCGTGTCAAAACTCGATTCCCTTCAAGCCGAAGCTGATCATTGTTATGCGGCTGCTCCACTTTCTCCAGTTGGCTCATTGGCATTAAGCCAAGCCTCAACTTCGCCATCAAGTTATAGTCATTCTTCGAGTGGCGAAGAGACTTCCTCTTATAATCACATGGATATTTTGCAACAAGCGAGTAATGAGATTTTTAAGGTGCCAAAAGAAGAAGAGGATTTCGAATTTTGTCAGGTTAGTGAGAGTTTTGGGATAGTTTTAATGTGAAAATTGAAAATTGGAAATTTTTGGAGTCTTTGGCTTGAAAAATTGCCATGTGGATTTTCTGAGCCAAAATTTTTTGTTTACAAAAAAAATGCATTTATTTATACGCTAGCCATGAGAGACTAAAAGTAATTAGTTTAGTTTATTTATTTTATTTTTTGCTCTCTGACTCATTTTCTCTCGCTCTCTGCGTCTCTCGTGCTCTCTCACTCTCTCTCTCTCTTTTGTTGCTCTTCGTTTTTTTCCCAGTGTCCAGAAGATTGATATTATATTACACAACAGACAGGAACGAATTTTTTTGGTTCATTTTTGAAACAGCAACAAATGTTTCGAAAAAAATTAGAGATTTCGGGAGAAATGTTGCACTTTTTCGAGGTCAACGGGAGAATTGAAAAATGAGAGAAAATGGCTGGAAATTGGGGGATTTTTGAGGCAAAACAATGTTTGGGAAATTTTTTAGATGATTTCTAACTGAAACTTGAGCTACTGAATTTTCGAGCTCAAAAAATAAGAATAATCTGCGAGAAAAATTTTCTGTTTCAAAAATGTTTGTAATAAAGTATTTCTATTCAAAAAAAATCCAGATTTTTCAAAATAAAAATTTACTGTTTCAAAAAATTAGTATAATTTTTGAAATAAAGTCTCATTGATTTTTCCGCTCTTTTCAGTTTCAAAAAACCTGAATTTTTTCGAAAAGTTTCAATTTCAATACAAAATTTCGTACATTTTTCTAGACCGGACCACTAATCTCATTCAACTCTTCACAATCCACATCATCAGCCGGTTCTTCTTCTTCTTCTTCAATTCATCCACAAAATACACTAAAAGCTCGACTTGGTTATCAGACAAATAATGTTGTTAGATTCAGTGAGTTTCATTTTCAGCTTTGGATTTTCAGCCGAAATTTAAAAAAAAACCTTTTTTTGTAGAAACTGCAATTCCACAAAATCATCAACAGCAGCAAAATCGAATTTTGAACCCGGCACATATTTCGCTGAATTCGCCAAGCACTTATGGAATTCCAGCACAGCAACAACAACAAAATGCCACGTTTTTGAAGACTGCTGGTGAGTGCTTTTTTGGCGGGAAAATTTGGGGTTTTGGTGCTAAAAATCTACAGTAATCGTAGAAGATTTGGCAAAAAATTATTTTCCCATGAAAATTCTGAAAAAGTTTTTTCACTGTTTCAAAATTTTTATAAACATTTTTATGAGATTTTTTTTTGATATTTTTAATTTTGAACTTTTTGAAATTTATAAGAAAAACAAAGTGCAGGAAAAAATTCTAACAAACATTTCCCCGAAAATCCCCAAAAATCCCCAATTTCAGGCGGTGAACGACGAAAATATCCTCAACTAACATTGACAGAAGAAGAGAAACGACTGTGCAAAAAAGAGGGAATTGTACTGCCCGAATTCTATCCGCTGACAAAAGCCGAAGAGCGCGATTTGAAACGAATTCGACGCAAGATTCGCAACAAACGAAGTGCACAAACGTCGCGAAAACGCAAACAGGTTAGGGAGATTTTTGGGTTGAATTGGGGCTGAAAATCGGGATTTTTTTTAGACTGAATGAGTCTAGGCTGAAAATTTCAGCATTTTTGGGTCTAAACAATCATAAGCTGAAAATTCTGAATTTTTAGCCCAAATTTTCCCGATTTTTAACCTAAAATTCCACTTATTTTGCACTTTTATCATATTTTCCTATTTTTCGCTATTTTTTTTTCAAAAAAAAATTGAGCAAACTCAACTGGTTTGCTCAAATATTTGTAGTGTGCCAGGTGGTGCGCGGCAGGCGATTTTATATTTTCGAAAAAAAAAATTCGGCCGAAAAATGAAATTTTTTGGGGGTCAGCTGATAGAGATGCAAAGATTTTATCAAGGAGTGTGCGACCTAATTTCTTTTTTTTTGGAAAATGTGAAAAAAATTGAAAAAGGGATTTTGAAGGATAGAAAAATGGATTTTCAGCTCTAAAAATCGGATGTTTTTGCAGGATTACATTGAACAATTGGAAGATCGTGTAGCAGATTGTAGCAAAGAAAATCAATCATTAAAAGCACAAGTCGAACATTTGCAACGGGAACATCAAACTGTTATGATGCAAATGCGAAAATTGCAAGCCGCTTTGGGACAATCGGCAAAACGTGGAACACAAGCTGGAACTTGTTTGGCTGTTTTGATGTTATCAGCTTGTTTATTGGTTGCACCACAATTAAATCCATTGGTAAGAGATTTTGGAAGGATTTGGGGTGGAATTTGAGCTAAAAATTATTATTGAGAAGTTTTAAGTTTTTCACTGTTTCAAAAAATTTATATGAACAAATTCTGAGCACATCGATATTGCTGTTTGAATTATTTTAACCTTGATTTCATCAATTTCTGATTATGTTGACCCTGGAAAATCTCCAAGAAAAACTACATTTTTCACTGTTTCAAAAAAAGCATAAAATTTGTGCTATTTTTTAGAACAATGTTAATTACAATTTGCGTCTACAATTATATATTGTTTCAAAAAATTGTCAAAACTAATTAATTTTTTTCCCGAACTTTTGATTCAACGAAATCTGGTTTTGTAATAAAAAAATTCACTGTTTCAATAAATCAATACATTTCCTCGGTTTTTTTGGAAAAACGTTTATTTGTCGATGATGCCTGATACTGAAATTGTTGTATTTAAAAAATCCAGATTTTCCTCAATAAAATTTCAAATAAATTGTACGTTTCAAAATATCTATCAAATATTTTGAAATGTAAAATAAACGATTATATCATCTTTCTATACAAAAAAAATCAGATCTATCGTTTATATTCCAAAAAAATCCTCAAAAATTCACTCTTTCAAATTTTTCTTAATTTCAGACCCGCGATCAATCATTAGAATGTCAAGACGAAGGTTGTCAACCATCAACTCAACCACCATCGCCACAAAATCAACAACAACATCAAAAAATGATGGTTTCCCCACCACAGGCACCAATTTCACCAATTTCCCCACAACAAAACAATGGCGGTGCACCACAAAAATCGATCAATAAATCGATATTGATTGATACGAACACCAAAATGCACCATGGTGTGCATCATCAACAGAAAATCATAGCACCACCTGTGGTGTCGAAAAAAGCGCGAACATCGAGAACACTTGAGAATGTTTGCGAAAATAATTCGGGGAAATATGAGCCGCTCAAAACCTCTTCTCAACCACAACAACAAATGGTGCCGATTGCACCAAAACGAAAATTGGTGCAAACACAAAATCAGCCACAAATTATTCAGAGAAACAATGTTGTTTATCAAAGAGTTGCGCCAGCTGCGGCACCAATCAGAAAAATGGTACAATATGTGGCGAATTTTGATCAGGGATATCAGAATCAGATGCAGAGACCGATTAAATATGAAATTGTGAGTTTTTTGAGGGGGGAAAATTGAGGAACACTTGAAAATTTGTTTTAAAAATTGAATTTCAAAATTTCACAAACTGTCATGTTAATTTTTAGAAACAGTGAGACTTTTCTTTAAAAAAAATAGAATTTTCAATTACATTTTTGGCGCCAATATTCCGAAATTTCTCTAGAAAAAATCACTGTTTCAAAAATTTGATGAAATAAAATCGAATTTTTTCATTTTGATATTTTCAAATTAGGATAATCATCCCAAATTTTCAAATGTATAAGTTTTTGTATTAATTTATTGAAATAGCAACTTTTTAAAAAGTTTTTTTCCGAAAAAATTGATTTTTCAAATATCAAATACAATCTTGGTGCCACCGAAAATTTTCGAAAAAAAATTCACTGTTTCAAAAAATTAGTTAATTTAATTTTCAATTTTCCTCGGCAATTCTTGCTTGAAATTCGATTCTATCAAATTTTTATTCAATTTGAATATTGTTTTTGGACTAATTAACTCTAATTATTATTTATTTTTGCAGCTCTCAAATAATTCGGATTATCTTGATCAAACTCAACAACAAACAGCTCAATGGGTTCATAATCAATCGAATCCCAACATGAATTTGCAAAAATTTGCCCAAAATCCAAATATGAGCAATAATATCGCTCCACGTCATCAAATTCGCCAAATTCAAACTTCGAATTCAGCTTCTTCAGCTGCCACGTCACAACCACAAATTAAACGATTAAAAACACAAATGTATTGATTTAATTAATTAATTAATTGGCAAAAATGATCTATATTTTAGTATTTACTCGATTTTTCCCCGGTTTTTTCGGAACTTTTTTTTTTGAGAGAGTTGACCTCTATTTTTCCTTTTTCTTCTTGTTATATAATTATTTTTTTCTAAATTAATTCAGATTTTATATAGATTTTCTATTTTTACATTCTTCCCCCCGAAATAGTCCCCAAAGTTTTGAATCTTCTTGTGATGTTTCCTTGTCCTTTTAGGTCTAGAGACCAAGGCTTCTCGCTATTCTATTCACTTTCTTCTTTTTTTTCCCTGGAAATTTTTATTGGATGATTTTTCTACTTGTTTTGTTTTTCTTGTTCTATCAAGTTTTTATTTTCCGCCTTTTTTGGGAATACTTTTTTTCTTTTCTTCGACGAATGAATTGATTATTTATATAAAAAAAGGGTTTTGTGAATATTCAGAAATGCCTGCCGGCGAATAAAAAACACTTTTCAGTTTCAAATAAGGAAGCTCTGCAATCAAAACTCATTATCACTAACCAAACAAATATGTTTTCTTTGTGTCTCTCATTTTTCATTACACTATAGCTTCTAGTTTTTTTCTCTAGTTTTTTCTAGACAAAAACGACGCTCATTTATAAATATGTATTGATCCATCTTTTTTTTTATAAACGTGTATAATATTTCATTTTTCAGATAAGTACTGTATCTAAACTACAGTAATCTGTTTATCAAACAAATGTTGAATATCATGCGGAGTTTATGAGTGAGTATAATTAAAATTTTGAAAATTAATATTTATTTTTTTTTAGGAATTGCGAAACGCAACGAGACTATTTCGGCGAGAATTGTATGTATTATTTTACTGTATCTAAATTACAGTACTTTTTTTAATCAAATTATTTCTGATATCGGAACATCCAAACTGTTCACAGACATAAAGTATTAAATTTAACAAACTTGTGAGTTTATTTTTCTTCGAAAAAATATTTTTTTCAAATTTCATGTTGTTTATTTCAGAATATTTGAACCAAATTGGACTTGGAACATTTGTCGTGAAGATTTTGTGGATTTGTGAACCCGAATGATCATTTTTTACTAACATCTGTAATAAAAATTTTGAATAGTCAGTTATGTGTGTTTCAGATTTTTCAGATTCTTATATTTTGCGGAATGTGAATTCTGAAAATTAATTTATTGATTGTGAGCAGAAGAGTACTGTACACTAAATACAGTAATCTGCAAAAACGAACAATGTCAGGTTTCAAATAAATTTTGAAACAATTAAATTTTTCAGATGATAATTTTTCTCAAAAATCCTGAAGATTCAACAGTTTAATTTTTGAACAATAATTTTGAAAAAAGATTCTCATATCATCAAAAATTAATTCAGTTGCAAAACTATGAAAAAACCTTGAAACAGTGAATTTTTTTACAAAAATGTTTCATTCAAAAAAATGTTGACAAAAATAAGAAAAAAAATAAAAATAGTTGGATAAATGCAAAATTGGTCTCAAGCAGAAGATTATTATTCAAATAAATTGGAAAAAATCAGGGATTCCTAACTAGACTAGACTTTTGTTTGGGGATGGGAAGGGGAAAAAGGGCTGCGGGGGAAATAATTCGGGGGAAAGGGATGGGAAGGGGTTACACGTCAGCAGCGGAATATAATTAATTAATTAATTAAGAAAAATTGGATTTAGAAAATTAGAAGAAAAAAAAATGGATGAAAGATTGAAAAGTGAAGCGTTTTAAGTTAATAGTAGGTGAGAAATTGGTGGAAAAATGACAAAAAATGACAAAAAAAATCATGAATTTGCAGCCATGAGCCGTGCTTTCGCACACTCTGGACACAGTATTTCGTGGCCATCGGTGATGAAACCTTTGCCAACTAGAGAAGTTGTGCATTGAGCACAAATGAAACAATCATTGTGCCAATGACGATCTTCGAATGAGATGAACTTGGCACCGCCGATTCCTGGAAATTTTTTGATTTTTAGGGAGTTCTGGGGAGCTTTTTCAGTTCGAATATGATTTATTTTTAGTAATTTTTGAGCCCAAATAAATTCCCGAAAATTTGAAGATTTTTAAGCCTAAACTTGTCCAGAAAAGTAAAAATCAATTTTACTTTTCAAAAAAAAAATTCACTGTTTCAAAAAAGTTAGATATAAAAAATGTTTAGCTTCGATGTTATTATCCTAATGAACTATGTATGTATTCAAAAATTGAATAAGCAATAGGTAAAAATCCACGTGGCACTGCATTTTTCGGTCTAAAATTTGCTCTTTGAGTCCAAATTGGTTTAGTAAAAATCAGAAATAGATTGGAAATTAATTTTTTTTCAAAAAAAATTCACTGTTTCAAAAAAGTCAGATTAAAAAATGTTCAGTGCCATATTTATTATTACGTGTGTAGATAGTCGAATATAACAATTTAATAAAGCTGAAAATCCACGTGGCAATGAATTTATCGGCTTAAAAGTTAAATCTCTTTGCGTCCAAACTTGTTCAGGGAAAACTTCAAAAATAAAAAATCTATTTTTTTCAAGAGGAAAATTTACTGTTTCGAAAAATTTAAATTGTTGTAGGATAATCAGAAATTCTTGTGAATTTTAGCGCCAAAAATCCACGTGGCAATGGGGAACATTAGAATTTTGAATTATTTTTAAGTTCAGACTTTTTTTCTGATTTCCCGGATATTTCTTGAGTTTCTAGTCTCGCAAAATCCTATTTCCCCCCTCAATCCCGAAACCAACCTGTAATCGGTTTTGTGCACGCATTACACCGTTTTGCAAATAATTCTCCATAACAATTTGCACAATATGGTTTTTCATCTTTACTTGTGAATCGTTGTCCGGCCAACGACGAATTACAATTTGTACAACAGAAACATTCGCGATGCCATGGCTCATTTTTGTATGTTACACCACCGGCTGTTATTACCTGGAAGGAAAACATTGAGGAAACATTTAGTTTTATCAATGGAGCGCACTTGAACCTAGTTCTACAGAGTACATTTGCATAATTTTTCAAAAAATAATTTTTAGATAAATTTCACTACATAAATAATATATCAAAAATCTAAAATCTATCAATTATTCACAGAATTTTTGAAACAGTAAGAAAATTGAAAACTTTTTTTTTTCAAAATGGTAGACTTTTCGGCTTGAAAATTATAGAAAAAATGTTATTGCCTTTTTCACTGTTTCAAAAAAGAAATAAAGTTTTACCACGTGGATTTTTTGGACTGAAAATTTTATACTAAAAATACATGTGGATTTTCTCAGTTTAATCATTTTTTAATCTCGACAAGAGACCAATATGATCAAATTTTTTGAAAACGTAAATTTCAAATGAAATTTCTGAAACAGTGGAAAATTTAATACAATTTATGAAGAAAAAAGTTTTCTTCATTTTTCACTGTTTTTTTTTCACAAAAAGAAAAATGTTTTGATAGCACATTTTTGACACGTGGATTTTTTGCTAAGAATTTCGTTCTTAAAATCCACGTGGAAATGTTACAGAACATCAATTAAAGTTTGAGATATAACCGTCAAGCAAAAATGTTGAAATTCAATTTCAATTTTGTTAAATCCATTTTTTGAAACAGTGAAAATTTTTCAACCAAAATCCCACACTAACCTTTTTACATTTACTACACCTCGTCGCAAATTTCTCCTCATAACACGGTCCACAAAAAACGTCGTCGTTTTTGGGAATAAATGATTTGGTGCCAATGGCGACTTTACAATGAGCACAACAGAAACATTTGTCGTGCCACTGTTTTCCTTTGTACTCCATTTTTTTCATTCCTGAAATTCAGATTTTTTCGATGTTTTTTTTTGGTAAGAAAATGACAAGAAAACTTCAAAAAGAGACCCTTTTAACACAGAAAAAAAATCTGATTAAGAGAAAAATCCCGAAAAAAAACAACAAACCTGCTCGGAAAATCTCATTACATCCGTCACAACGTGTCGCAAATGCTTGGTCGTAACAATTTGAGCAAAAAACTGCAAAAAACTTTTGTTGAAGGGTTTTTGGGGCAAATTTGAATTTTTGGAGCAAAAAAATTACTGTTTCAAAACAATTCTTAATTTTCGATTTTTTTTTTCAATTTTCAGTGTTTCTTTCGCCACGTGGGTTTCCTTGGAGCTAATTTTTGATGAAGTGGCAAAATTACCAATTTTTCAAAAAAAAATAATCATAGAAAAATGGAAATTCTGTGCCACGTGGAAAAAAATCCAAAAAAAATGATAAAATTCCACTGTTTCAAAAAATTATAAGTTTTCAATTTCTTGAAAAAATGTTCAATAATCAGCTATTACCAAGCATTTTGCCACCTGGATTTTTTTGAAAACAATCTCAAAAATTTACGAAATTTTTGAAACAGTTAACTTTTTTTGAAGCAGAAATTTTTTTTTCAAATTTTAATGTAAAAATCAGTGAACTTGCCACGTCATCTGAGATAAAATTTTTTTAAAAAATCCACGTGGCAAATGGTTTTGATATGATTAACCGATCGGGAATTTAAATTGAGTTTAAAAATGTAAAACTTTTTTGAAACAGTAATTTTTTCAAAAAATATTTTTGTTGAAATTTTTCACGCTGATGCCGAAAAAATTAGCAAATTTAAAATTTCAAAAATAAAATCATACATTTTTGAAACAGTAAACTTTTAGGGTTTTAAAAAATTGATGCTTGGCTCCAAAACCACCTCCCCCCAGAAAAACCCCAACTAACTTCGATCATTTTTCGATCCAAAAGGCATGTCGACCAACGAAATCTTGCACATACTGCACAAAAAACAATGTTCGTGCCAATGCTTGTCTTTGTAGCTGAGGTCCTGTGAGAAGAAAACAATTTTTGAGTTTGTGACACAAAAAATCACTTGTTTCGGATTAACGTTTAGTAATTCTTAAGGTAAACAAGGTAAAAAATAAAGAGTTTTTGGGGGTAAAAAAAGGGCCTGAAAAGAGCCTCTAAACCTACTTTTGAATCAATTCCAATTGGTTTTGCACACTCGTCACATTGATTTGCAAACACGTCTTCATAACATTTGATACAGTATGGTTGCTCATCTCGCATTATATATCTGCAAAATTAATTAATTAGCTTTAGTTAATTGAATAAATTTGTTAAGAATCATTTTTAATTATTATTTATTTTGTAATTAGAACTGTGAACGATATGTTGTAAACGTTCTGTAGAATAAGAAATGTAGAAATTTAAAAAAACAAATAAAAATTTTGAAACAGTGAATTTTTGAAAATCCACATCAGCATTTTTTTCGAAATTAGCCACGAGATTAGCATTGAACTCCACAAAATGTAGAAAAATATCGAAATGTTTTGAAACAGTAAATTATTTGCTCTCAAAAAATCTAGATTTTCAAAAAAAAACCGTTATAGAAAAAATCAACTGTTTCAAAAAATCAATAAAATTTTGAAGATTTTTTGAAATTTTGATTCTGATTCTTTCTCATCAGATGAAATTCACATGTAATTTTTATTCCAAAACAAGAAATGTTTTCCTTGTCAGCTTTTCAGAATCAAAATTTTCAGATATATGAAAATTTCTGAAAATTCTAATTTGATCCAATTATTGTCTGGAATTTTTCAATGAAATACTTTGAAATTTAATAATAATTATGAAACAGAGACATTGAGCGAAATCAAAATTACAAAAATTGTCAAAAATATCTACATTTTTTGAAACAGTGAATTTTTGCTTTCAAAAAAATGCATTAAAAATTCCATTTGTATGAAGAGCTCCGATTCCTATTTTTCAAAATCAGAAAAATCCACTGTTTCAAAAAATCCATATTTTTTTGTAGGATTTTTCACCTTCGATGATAAAAGCAATTTTTCGCTGTGTTCTAGACCCCTCCCCTTCGACCCACCTTTGCCCAGTCAATGTTTGATCGCATTGCCAGCAACAAAAATGATCACTGTGCCAATCCTTGTTCATCGCTTTTGTATATTCGCCAGCGAAAATTAACTGCAAAAATTATTGATTGAAAAAAAATGATTTTGGAATTCTGGTAGATCGAAATTTGGCAGAGAAAATTGGGGTGAAAAATCGATTTTCAAAATTTTTTGGGCTCACAAAAAGCTTCTTTGAGCAATTATTAATGCTCAACTGAACATGGAAAAAATGTTTTTTGGAATCCAGAATTTATGAAAATTTTCAGCGCAAAATTTCGAAAAAAAATTCGGACATTTTTTGTTCAAAAAAGCAATTTTCACAAAATGCTGGAGCCATTTATTTAATTGCTTGGAATTCGAAAAAAATCGCATTTTTTTGTTTGGGGAAAAACACCAATTTTCTGGGATAATACCGAAAAAAAATAATATCAAAAGGGCAAATTTATGTACTTTTTTGGGAAGAAAAAAAGGAACAAATTCAATATTGGAGCCAAAAAATCCACGTGGCATGTCTCAAGAAATTCGAAATTCTGGGTGGAATTTTAGATGATTTTTGGGGGTGGTGAGTGTTTTTTGGCGAAGGAAAAAAAACTTCAAAATGACGCGAGAATTTCAAATTTAAAAAATCAATGTTTTTGCTCTAAAAATTCACTGTTTCGATGAAAGTTTTCAGAATTTTTTGAAAAAACCAGAAATCTCCTAATATTTCCCATTTTTCATTGAAAATAAAATATTTTTCAAAAACCAAGACAAAAAAAGGCGAGTCAAGTCAAAAAGCAACACAAAAAATATACACATTTTTGTGTATATATTTCTGCTTTTCGCCATTTTTTCTCACCAAAAAGTCGAGAGACAAAAAAAATATGGGGATGTGTCAAGCAAGAGCAATTCCCATAAGGCGCAAAAAACTTTGGAAAAGTTACACCACATTTTTATATTTTATTGGTGGGGGGAGATTTTTGAAAGAAAAACAGCACGTCATTTTGAAATTGTCATCGCGCTTATTATCTAGACAATTTGAGGTGTGAGAAAAAGGTGACGCGTGGTCGAGTGGTGAACACTAATGCGTTTTGCGTGAGAGGTCGAGGGTTCAATTCCACGCGGGCGCAAACATTTTTGTTTTTTTTATTTTTACTTATCAGAATTAACTAAAAGCTATGTCAATTCTAGAAAAACACCAAAGAAATATGAGAATAAAGAGTTCCGGAAAACAAACAACAAAAAGCAATTATTTGATGATGACACAGTTTTTTTGTCTTTTTTCACAAAAGAACATGTCAATAATGTAAGACAGGAAAATCAGAAGACGAAAAAAAAACAATAATCCACAAAAAAACTGAATCGATAAATTTCAAAATACTTTTATTCTTTTTGAAAATGTGTGTGTGTGTTAAACAACACATACATATCGTGTGGGATGTGGTCGAAAAATAATGTGTAATATTTCTTCTTCTTTTCTCTCTGGCTTTCCAAATGTCCTCCCTTTAAACTTAAAATGATCCGAAATCCGAAAACAAAGCTCATCTCAATCACAAAACATGAAAAAGAGCACATTATTTGGTTAGAAGTATAAATCACTGTGAAATATATGTTCTTTTTTGCTTTCTTCAAAAAAAAAAACTTGGGATAGAGCTGGAGGATAGATAAATTGATGAGTTCAAGTCACGCCAAACTTCCGTTCTCTTTTTAATGACGTATGAAATCTCAAAAGCGCAAAAAAAAATGTTTGCAGGCAGCCGACCTCGAACCCAGCAAAACGCAGCTGACGGATTGAAAAGCGCGCGAGCTAACCACTGCACCACGAGACGCACAAGAAACGGAGCTCAATTTGCCAAGATAAGCGCGCAGTTTTGAAAGGAAAAAATGGGGGAAAACACCATTTTTGGTGCCAAAAAATATATAAACAAAAGAAAAACGGAAAAAGAAAAGCATTGAGTTTACAAAAAAAGGGGAGATTTGTATCATCACATTTTTTCATGTGAATGAACAAAAAAAAGAGCAACTGGGCCTTTTTTCTTTTTTTCTCCAATTTTTTCTTGTGTTGTGGGACATGGAAATTAAATTTTATTAGAAAAAAAAAACGAAAAATGCGCGCGCTGTTTACATTTCCCACCAAAAATATTGTTGGTTGGTTTTATTTCGATTTCAGCAAAAAAATTATAACCTGGGAAAGTTTTGATCTACGTGGCCCCCGTCACAAAAAATTAGCCAGGGTTACTGTAGATTTTGGGAAAATGCACGAAAATGCGGGAAAAAATGAGAACAGGCGAACGGTTAGTTAGATATAAGCGGCTTAACAAACGAATGTTTCCGAGGAGAAGTTTTGGATTTTTTTGGTGAGAAAAAATGACGTACCATAATATACAGTAGGTAGGTTTTAGGGTACTGTAGATGGAGATACAGTACTCAGGGATTTTCAGATTCCTCTTGGAATTCTCGTTATTTTGATACTAAATAAAGCTAGGTTACTGTAGAGAGCCCAGTTTCCGTGACAGGACCCAAAATTCACCCATAATGGGGCTTGTTGGGTCTCAAAAAACTCTAAATTTTATGCTGAATCCGATGTCACTTGATTCCACGTGAAATTCTGAATTTTTTGACACCCAACATGCCCAGGGTACTGTATTCGCTACGAGACCCAAGGCATATTTATACTCAAAATACTCCAAATTTCGCTGCGAGACCCAATCAACTAACCTCATCACAAGCCGAACAACGTGGTTTGTGTAATTCGGCGTAGTGTCGTTCGCAGAAAATCTGATTATCCTTCACGCAATACGTCAAATCGACCAATAGTTGTTCGCAAGTTTGACAAGTGAAACAAGCTGGATGCCAACCGGCTGATTCGCCAAGTTTTGGTGCAATTACAGCCATTTCATTCGATTCGAGAATTCCCGAACATTTGTGACATTCCTGCAAAAAAAACAAATATTTGGGGGGATTTTTTGTGATATCGAATAATAAAGAGGGTTTAGGTCCTGGCACGAAAAATATACAGTAATCCAGACATTTTTGGTGTCAAAAAACTCAAAATTTCAAGATAAAACCTATGAAATTGAAATAAGAATGAAATTTCAATTTTTTGAGATTCAAAATAATACTACGATAGAATTACACGAAATTATTTTTGAAAAATTCACTGTTTCAAAAAAATCATTAATTTTTGAAGTTTAAAAAAAATTGATTGGATGATTTATTAATAAAATTTTTTTGAAAATTTTTGAAATAGAATTCTATTTCAAAAATTTTCAAAAACAAAATCGTGTTCTTCTCTCGGAGAAAAAATATTCAGTAACCCAAGCATATTTTCTATTAAAATTCAAAATCAGCATGAAATTCCGAATTTTTTGACACCTAACAAGTCTAGGTTAAAATTTTTGGGTCCCATCACGAAAAATCTACAGTAACCCAGGCATGTTAGGTGTCAAAAAGTTCAGAATTTTATGTAGAATCCTAAAATCTTATCAAAAATTCGAAATAAATACCGTATAACCAATTACAGTACCTCCAAAGAGAAAACATTATAAAAAATTTTTTCACTGTTTCAAAAAATACATAAATTTGTGAGATTTTTTGAAAAACTGATTGAAATGCTTACTCGACATCGAAAATTATTTTTGTAAAATACTTCTCTCGGAGAAAATATATACCGTAGTTTTTCCTATTGAATTTCCTATCAATATTCTCAAAGTCCAATAAATTCCGAGTTTTTTGACACCAAAAAAACTCGGGTCTCACCACGAAAAAGCTCAAATTTACAGTAACCCAGGCATGTTGGGTGTCAAAATGCTTCAAATTCCACGAAAAATCCCAAAAACTACAGTAACTTACCATAGCTTTATTGATATTCGATGAAACATATCCAATATCAAGTGCAATCTCATTTCTCGCATTCACAAATTCTTCATAAACTTTTCGTTCAGTTTGTGTATTCAAATGTCTACAGTAGGCAACTGACAAATCTTGACGTGGCAATTGTAATAATAGTTGTTTTTCGCGCAATTTTTCGCCAGTCGAATTTGTTCGGGGTACTGTATTGTTGGGAAGTTGTGACATATATTCTTCGACCTGGAAAAAACATGGAGATAAGGGTACTGTAGAACATAGTTGGGTCCCAATGATTTTTTGGCATTTGGTTTTTTTGTAGATCAAGTATTAGCGCAGAAAATTGAATTTTAATGGTCCATGAATTTTTTCCCAAAATTAGAAAATGATTTTCACGGAAAATCCGAATCATAAATTCAATAGATCAAAAAATGAAATTGACTTTTCGCGCCGTTTCTCAATCTACAGTACATTTCGCGTCAAGAACCCCATAATTTCAATTCACATAGTTTCTTCTTACATCAATCATCCACTCAACATTTTTCCTTGATCCAAAAAAATTGGCAGCATTTCGTAAAAAACAGTGCATCAATGGATCGGCCAACATATTTTCAGATAAAACTAACATTTTTCAAAGAGAGCTAGAAAATTTCAGATTTAATTTCAGCAGAAAAAAGAGAGGGCAAGAAAAATAAACAGGAAGAATAATAATTTTCGAACATTTTCAGAAAAATAACTTTTTTCATTTTTTTTTCAAATTTCAGATTTAAAAAATTTCTAGAGAAAATTTCAGCCTCGAAAAAAAAGTCCACGAGAAGTACACAGCGAAAAAAATACAATCACAAAAAAGATGAGAAAATAGAATGTTTGTAAATTAGATTAGCACATTTTTTGAAAAATGAGCAGCTCGAGAAAAAAATGAGCAAAAAATGTATTTTTGGGGAATTTTTGGAACACGTGGATAATTTGGCGGGAACATCAGAATTACTGTAGTTTCTGAATTTCTGGTAGATCAAAAACTTCTTTAAATTTTCCAAAACTAAGTTACAGTGAACAAAAATCCACGTGTCAAAAATTAATACGGAATTCAAAAAAAAATTTGAAAATTTCGAAACTGAAAAACGAGAGTAACTGTAGGAAATTACACATTTCTAGTAGATCAAGAAAATTCACATACAGTACCTTTCAAAATTCAGCACCAAAAAACCGAAAAACAAACATTGCAACAAATTTTTGGAACGTTTTTTTTTTAAAGTTTGTTTATGCAAATTTCGCTCAAATATTTGCCAAGTTCAAAAAAATCACTGTTTCAATGAAAAAATCCAAGAAAGAGTTTTTTTTTTTTGGAAAATTGTGCCACGTGGAAAAAAGGGTGGAGATTACTGTAGTGTCGAAATTTCTGGTAGATCAAATTTTCAGAGTATTTTTCAAACTACTGTAAATCAAATCCACGTGGCAATTTTTAGTGCAAAAATCATTTCAAAAACGTTTAAAAAAGTTACTGTAAATCAAATCCACATGCCAAAAATTCCACTATTTCAAAATGTTATGAAAAAATAACTTTTGGGTGTGTGCTTCTCATTTCTCTTTTCTTTTTACCAACATTTTTTCGGAACGAGCAGAAAAAAAAGTTAGAGCAAATAATAAAACAGACAAAAAAGTGATGAGATTTTTTGTTGCAGTGTCGAAAAATCGTGAGAAGATCAAAGAATGATAAAAAAAAGTGTGGAGCGCGCAAGAAAAATAAAATCAGAGAAATTTTGGCGCCGAAAAAATTTGATCTACAAGAATTCAGAGAACCTACGATAGAATTTTCAACACAATTTTTTCCAGGCCTTACCCGCAATCAAACTGCGTCAGCAAATCTAGCCCACCCAAAACTAAACTAACCTTTTTTCTCGACAAACCAGGTGGTACCCAAGCATATCCATGTCCAACAGAACCAGGTGCTTCGATTGGTTCAGCAGCTGATTGAGGCATTATTGCTAGAAAATCAATTAGGTCAAGGTGGGAAAAAATGGGGATGTGGTTTGGTTCCGAAAATTTGAAATTTTGAAAATTTTGCCACGTGGAATTGATTTTTGAGGTCCAAAAATAATCGAATTATGAAGAATTGATTTTTGAAAATTTTCACTGTTTCAAAAAATTCACAAAATTTTTGAAAATAATTTCGAAAACAATAGTGGCATAACAATTTTGTAATAATGAATTAATTATAGTGAAACTTGGAGCTAGAGAAAAAATTTCACTGTTTCAAAAAAATGTATAAAAATTCAGAAATATTTTTTCAAAATGCCAAAAAATGAAGTCCTCATCAAAATTGATGAGGTCATTTTTTCTTTAATTTCAGATTCACAAATTTTACCTAATTTTTACGTTTCAACAAAACTCACAAACGTTTAGAAAATAATAATCCACGTGGCATAAATTATCAGTACAGAAAAAAAAATTAAATTTTCAAATTTTTTTCACTGTTTCAAAAAATGCACAAAATTCAGAAACTTATTTTCAAAATGTTCGTGTTTGAAATTTACTCCCAAAAAAAACACCCAATTTGCCCAAAAACTAACCTGGCGGTTGAATTCCAAGACGATTATAAACGTTCAAAGCTTGATTTGGTGGCAATTCGTGGTCCGCTCGATCACTTTTACAATGTACACACACTTTTCTGAAAAAAAAGAAAAGAGAATATAGGCTAACTCAAATGTTTGATTCAATTAAAAAATCTAGTAGCACATAAACTTTTTGCACAACATCTGAGCCCAGCCAAAAAAAATGAGAAAAATCCATACATTTTTCTCTTTTTTGCTTTTTCTGTCCAACACAAAAAAAACGAATGAAATCCCCGCGGGACCCGAAATACACACACACAGCACAGCACAGCTTTCACTTTTTCCAGAAGAAAAACCCGAGAGAAGAGATTTGCATTTTCTCACTAGACTAGTCGAAAAAATTGTGCAAAAAATAAGTAGCGGGCAGTGGGGATCGAACCATGGTCTTGTGGGTAATAATTTTAGAGATTTTTAGACATTGCTCAGGTCAGATATATCGTGGGAATTGTAAAACTTCTCAAAAATGCAAATTTTTTTATTTTTAGGCAAAAATGAACAGCGGGCAGTGAGGATCGAACCAGGACCTTGTGGGTGGAAAATCTGCAGAATTCAACAAAAAATTAACATTGCTCAGATTAGATATTTTGTCAAAATATGGAAATTAAAAGTTCAATTTCTAAAAGAAATCAAATTTCCCACAAAAATTTCTTCACTGTTTCAAAAATTTTCTATAAAAAATTCAAATTTTCGAATTTTCGTTGGCAAATTTTTTAGCGACAGTTGCATATTTTTCTCTAAGTTGCTGGTGCCACGTGACATCGATATTTCAGCTACAAAAACTTTTTGCCACGTGACAAGAATCCACATTTTCAGAAAATTTTATTTTTTCACTGTTTCAACATTTTTGTAATAAAAATTCTCATTTTCAAATTTTATTATGATGCCGAAATTGTCTGATTCAAATCAAATTTCAAACCAAAATCTGCCACGTGGCACTGCGTATTTTTGAATCCCCGAAAAATTCGGATTTGTTTGTAAATAGAGTAAATGTAGTAGTACACCCGAATTTTCCACCCACCCAGTTTTCAAAAAAATCCCCGAGGGATTTATCGAAACTCGAATAAATCGAGAGCGGATTAAGTGGGTTGACTTCTACTTCTTTTTCTTCGCATTTTTTGGGATTTTTTGAAACTAGATAAAAATAGAGAGACGAGAGACGCAGAGAAATAGAGAGACCGTGTTTTTGTTTTCTGGTGTTTTTTGTTTTTTTTTTTTGGAGAGAAGCTTTGAAAAATTAAGGAGCGTGGGAAAATTTGGGATTTTTTAGACAAATCGAAAAACATAGAGAAGAGGGAGAGAGAGACGCAGAGAAGTCAGGAAATTCGGAGCGTTTTGAGCCCAAATATGAGCATGTTTGGGCTCAAAATGCTCCAAATCTCTTATTTTTTTCAGAAATACCTAAAAATTCCAAAATTTTTGATCCAAAAATTCCCCATATTCGATCTCAAAATGCTTCAAATCTCTTCACAATTTCCAATTTTCGTATTCCCTATTCATTTCAATTTCACATACTACTACATCAATCTAACCAACCAAAAAAAAAAAATACGAATTTTATTTATTTTTCCTCGTTTTTTTTTCTCGGAAGCTCCTTCCACATACAAATAATTGTTTTGAAAACCGCAAAAAAGCAGGTGTTTTTGTTCCGGAAAAGAAAAAAAGAGGAAAAATGAATAAATCTTGGAAATTTTCCGAAAAAAGAATTGTCCCCGAGGAATCTGTTTTTTTTTGCTCAATGAATGAATGAATGAAATGGTGTGAGTGACAGAAGACAAGTCAGACACAACACAAAAAACAAGAAAATATTATTTTTTTTTTCGAAAAAAATACATATATTTTTCATATATTGGAAGATGGAGACAATCAAAAATTCATTAATTTTTTCTCGGGTTTTTGGGACGAAAATAGAATAAATTTGGAGCATTTTGAGACCAAACACAACCGTATTTGGGCTCAAATGCTCCAGAATCAATAATCTGAGCAATTCAATGCTGAAAAAAAGTCAAATTCAATCTCTAATGCTCCAACCACCAATTCATAAGTCAAATATTAATTAAGAATTTCAAAACGCTGAAAACTATCAAATATTCAATCCCCCCATTCAAACATGTGTTGTTTTTATTATTTTTGCACATTTTTTGCTCGAGCTGTGTCCACAACTACTATATGTTTGATGGAAAAAGCTGGGCACCAGCCAACCAAAAAAAAAATATCAAATTACCAGACATCACGATTTTTCTTTGCTTTTTTTGCGTGGCCTTTATAAAATGACAATTTTTACTCGTTGGAAATATGTGCGCGTGTAGTCGAGAGGTAAAATGTTGAATTTTGCCCCGCGGGGTCGCGAGTTCGATTCCGCGCGCAAGCAGTCTATTTTTTCTTTTTCCTTTCTCCGTTCAATTTTTTTGCACTTCCACCACCAAAAATGGCGCAATTTGTTCTTGTTCTGGCGAAAAAAAAGAACTAAACAAATTCAATTACGAGTCAGTCACAAAAAACGGGACGAAAGTTTTGTGACAAACTAAGCGAAGAGGAAAACGAGGAGAGCTTGAAATCAGTGAAGCCGAAACGAATTTTTGAAAAAAAAAGACGAAGCAAAAATTTGTTTCGTTTTGAAAACGGAGAATTTTTGAAACAGTCAATTATGTGGTGGTTTGTGGGAAATTGGCAATTTTTTGAGAGGAAAATGGATGGAAATGGGGTTTTGGCTGAAAATCGAGATGTATGAAAATTTTCAGAAGAAAATTTTGAAAAAAAATGTTCAAAAAAATGGAGAGATACAATGAGAAAAATCCAAGTGAAATATTTTTGAAAATTATTTTCCAAAAAAAGTGTGGATCACCCATAACTCATCTTAAAATCCAGTTATCTCAAGAAATTCTATACCAAAATTTTCAGAAAATTACAGAGAAGCAGTAAATCTCTAGAAAAAACACGTCTGAAATTTCAGAGAAAAAAATAATTCCAAAAGTTTCCAAAAAAAAAGTGTAGATCATCTATAACTTTCTTCAAAATAAATGTTTTTCAAAAATTCCTGGACCAAAATTTTCAGAAATTTACAGAGGACCATGAAATCATCTGAAATTTCAGAGAAAAAACCTTGTGTCGGAAAAAGGTCATCTAACTTTGGAAAATCATAACTCAAAGTCAACATTTTTGAAAAAAAAAACTCGGAAAATGAAGGAAAACTAGATTTGCAATCAAAAATATTCAAAAAAATCGGAGGTCACGGATAACAGATCACAGAATGAAGAAACTTCGAAAGTTTTCAGAAAAAAAAACGAAGAATATAGAAATCCAGCCGGAACTTTCTCCAAAATCAGAATTTTTCAAAAATCTCTCCATCAAAAAAAAAAATCAGAAAACCCAGCCGTAATAATCTCAGACTTCCCATTCAAAAACACTTACACAGCCAAATCCTGTCTAACCATTCCATGTTGTCCACTTCCATTTGCCTTCAAATTCTTTCTCAAATTCTTGGGTGTTGTCGGCTCCAAAATCTTCGTAGAATTAGCTGTAGTCGTCGATGGTTCATCCATCATCGGAATCACCGCTTCTTCAGGTGGCGCAACGAATTTTGGAATTGGTGCAGAAATTGTAGGTGGCGGAGGATCTTTCAGATTCTTCTTGTCTTTTTTCTTCTCCAAAAGACCCCGCCCAATGTCTCGCACCATTGCTCGCATGATTAGAGAAGAAACAAAATCAAATTATGTTAGTTCAATTTGATTTATGCTAAAGTTTGAAATTCCGAAATTTTCCAAAAAAATAAATATATAATATATATTTTTCAAAGACACCGAGAGAAAAGAGACGAACGACGAAAAACTCGGAAAGAAAGTGAAGAGGGGCGTGGCCTGATTTTTCCGGCTGGAGAGCAAGTGAAAAAGCAAAAAGGAGAGATTTTCGACACTATGGAAAGAATAGAAGATGGAGAAAAAGAGATGGATGAGCATGAAGACGAAGACAAAAGCATATAGACAGAAACAACACGGCAAAAAAAAAGTTGTGTTGATTTTATAACAAATTGTCTTCTGGTTCGACAAGTTCATGAATTTTTGAAATATCCAACATTTGACGAAAAAAAAAATTTAAAAGTAGAAAAAAATTTCGCGGGATGGGTCGAACCCTTGACCCCGCGGCGCAAAATCAAACACTCTACCTCTCGACCACGCGTTCACTTTTTTAAGAAACTCAAATTTCCAATAAATAATCGCACCCCATTATCGTCAAAAAAACAGCTGACCATTTTATTTCCGACAATAAATTTTATGAGTTCAGTAGATTTTGTGAAGAAAACAAAAAAAGTGAGGATAATTTATATTGTTTTTGGATTTCTCAAATTTCACACTTTTTTATTTTTTCGGAGCTCAAAAAATTACACAAAAAATTTATTAGTTTTGTTACAGCTTCGGGACCAATTAGTGAGAATTTGCCACGTGGCAATTTTGGCGGGAAAAACATTATAACGTTGTGGCAGTGCAGGAAGGGATTTTAATTTCAAAATTTTTTGAAACAGTGAATTTTTCACTTTTTTGAAGATGGCATCAAACTTTTGGAGCATGAAAACCGTAACAAAAAACCATAACAATTTTCTGAGCAGAAAATTAATTTAGTGAATTTTTGAAACAGTAAATTTTCTGGAAAATATTGTTATCAAAAATTGCAAGTTCTGTCTTTAACAAACCTAATATTGTTTTCTAGTTCCAAAAATTTATTTCACATTTTTTGAAACAGGAAAAATATTTTAAATAAAATTATATGAACAATTTTTGAAGTTGAAAAAATTAATTTCTCAACTTTTTGAAACAGTGAAAATTTTTTGTTTCTCAAAGACTGAAAGGACAATTTTGTAAACTAAAAAAATACGTTCACAATTTTTAGAAACAGTGAAATGTTTGGGCGAAATAAATTTTGAAACAGTGAATTTTTCGGTGATAAAATTCAGATCTTGTGCGCAAATTCCACGTGTTTGAAAGCTGAATACATAATTCGGAATTTTCTGAAAGCGTGGAAAATTCCCATTTAAATACTTTTCACAATAGTTTGTATTAGTTATATTTGTATTAGTATGCATCAATTGTTGAAGCCCGAAAAATTAATTTATTTATTTTTGAAACAGTAAAAAATTTTTCCTAGTAATATTTTTCGCTAGAAATGAGTGAATTTTTTTGAATTCCAATTTTTCGAAAATTGCCACGTGGCAATCTTTGAGCTCTCCCAAAACTCTCATTTTTTCGGAACACTTCTTCAAATTTTTTTTCATCTCTCAAGTGCTCCAGATTATTATTAGTTTTTTTTTGCGAGATTTTCCTAAAAATTTTTTTCATTTTTTGCAGGGGTCCAGTCCATTTTTTTTTCTTCTTCCCAGGCTGAAAATAGGTCCCCAGGGTTCTAATTTTTGCGGCAGAAAAAACAACAAAAAAATTGGGTTTCCAAATATTTTGGGGGATTTTGTTTGGGTGACCACAAAAAACCAGTAGGCAAAAAAAAATGTTTACATAAAAAACAAAAAAAATTGTATATACATACATGTATTTTTTTACGCTTCGTTTAAATTTAGACACTCTTTTTTCGTGTTGTTTTTGGAGGATTTGAGCACTTATGAAACAGCAGAAAATAAAGTTGGGGGGAAAATTTGAAAAAAAATGGGGGGAAAAATTCACTGTTTCAAAAAATAAATAAAAAATTTGTGAGAATTTTTGATTTGATGAAATTTTGGTGATTGTTTCAACCAAAAAAAATTATTTTTTTAGCGCAAACAGTTATGTTTCAACTGTTTCAAAACCTGAAAATAATGTTCAAGAATTTTTTGATAATGTTAATTTTGTGTGTTTGGATTTATTAGCACAGAAAAAAATTAACTGTTTCAAAACCTAAGATTAATATTGAAGAACTTTCTAAATTTAATTTGCGAAAGTTTTCCCACGTGGATTTTTGAGAAGCAATAAATAATCAAAAATTCAGAGAACAAACTTGTAAAACTATTTTTAAAATTTACAAAAAAAATTCTCAGCGTCATAAATTCAACTAAATAATCCACTGTTTCAAAGAAAAAATTATGGTATCAAAAAGTTTACTGTTTCAGAAAATTCATGAAATATTTTTGAAAAAAACTGCTTTGATGTTTGTATTCAATATTTCTCGCAATTCAGTAGAAATTCACTGTTTCACAGAAATAAAATGAAAAATCAGGATGAAAAATTTGCATAATTCTGTTCCGAACATTTTCATATTTCATTGAAAAGAAGAAGAAAAAAGTTCACCAAAAAAACTAATAAAACCATTTTCCGGTATGATTCATATGACAAAAATTGATAAAAATGACCAAAAACGAGCCAAAACAATCAATAACCATAATAACAACAAAAACCAGGACATTTTTCAAATTTCTTGGCGCATTGCCTAACGTGCGCAAGGCCCCGGTTCGATGCCTGATGCGTGCAAGGTTTTTTATTTTTGTTTTTATTTTTTTACAGATAAACAAAAACAACAAAATTTCCCATAGTCTAAGGCCGAAAAAAATAAAGAAAAAGAAAAAAGGAAACTTGAGTGAAGAGCACAGAGCAATCTGATATTTATTTTTATTCATTTTTATACTTCCCTTGCCCAAAAAAAGGCGAAGGAAGAAAATGAATCATCTGTGAACGTATATATTTTCGAAAAAATATATATTGAGAAGAAGAAGAAGAATATTATAAAAATAGCAACAAAAAATCGTGATGAAAAAAAGGACGAAAAGTATCAAGTATCATCATTCAATTCATATCGAATGAGAAAAAAACGACGGAAAATGTTTCATTTTTGGTGGTGTGGTGAGAAAAGATTTGGTCTAGAATTTTCAGAAATAAATTTCATTAAGAAACTTTGCTTAACGTGAGCAATGACCTAATTCAAGAATTTTTGGAAAATCTCTAACCTGAGCAATGTTATGAATTTTTTAAAGAAAATGTAACTTTTGTGTGCTAGGAACAAATTTTGTCTAAAGTTTTCAGAAATAAATTTCATATAGACCGTAACCTGAGCAATGATTTTTTTTTTTGAAAAATCCCTAACCTGAGCAATGCTATAACGTTTTGAAGAAAATATTATGGCGAAAAAATAGTCTGGAATTTTCAAAAATACATTTCACAAAGAAACTTTTAGAGCTTAACCTGAGCAATGACTTAGTTCTAGAATTATTTAAAAATATCTAACCTGAGCAATTTTATGGATTTTTGAAAAAAAAAATGAATATGAAGTTTGTGAAATTTAACCTGAGCAATGACCTAATATTGGGATTTTCATGAAATCGATAACCTGAGAAATGTTATGAAATTTTGAAAAAAAAACTGTCACGTGGATTTGGGAGAAAAAATCAAGCTTCAAAAACTATTGAAAAATTCAAAAGCTAGAATTCAAACTATCAAAATTGTGGCGCCAAAAATCGTACAACACAAACAATTTGTTTGTTGTTGTTGTTATTTTTCTCTTCTCAAAAAGAGCCACCAAAAGCTTGGCCAAAACTTTTTTTTGATGAGCACAAAATTAGGGCGACCCTCCTCCCTCCCCCTTTTTTCCACGAAGATGACAAAAATCCCAACCAAAAAATCCGCGGATTCAAATGAGAGAGTGTTGGAAAATGAGAGAGCGGTTAGAGATGAAATTCGGCGGCGGAAAACGGAAAAGGAAAAGAGTTCGAAAAGAAGACATGCAAAATGACAGCACAAAAAAGAAGAGCAAAAAGATTTTTGGAAAAAGCCAGAAATAGCTGAGATAAAGCAGAGACGACTACTGTTTCAAATAAATAAACATTGCAAGAGATTTTTTGGCGCCAAAAAATGACTTTTTTGAATTATGGAAAATCATAATCTGATACTGAGAAGTGTTATAAATTTTTCAAAACCGTTCAGTTTTTGGTGAACAATTTTCAGAATTGAGATTTGTTAGGATATGTACAGACCCTAAACTGAGCAATGACATTTCAAGAATTTTCGAAATATATCTAACCTGAGCAATGTTATAATTTTTTTTTAAATAATCACTCTAAAATTTCAAATTTTTAAATATATATCAACTGAAGTTTGAAAATCAATATCAGAAAATTTCTAATAAAATTCATATACAAATTTAGAAACAGTGAATTTTTTAAATGAAATTTTTTTTTGAAAAATAACTTTTTTTTTCTTGGTCCAAAATTTTTGTACGTGGATTATTTGACTCAAAGTTTATGCGCGAAAACTTGAGGTTTTTTTATTTAATTGTATTAGCACAAGAAAAATCGTAATTTTACGGCGTAGAACAGACGTCATTCAACAATTTTCAAAAAACCCCAACAAATTTCTAATAAAATTTTGAAACAGTGATTTTTTTCACTTCAAAATTGTGTGTATCAAAAAAACCCTGAAAAGGTTGCTCTCTGCAATTCCAAGATTTTCAATTTTCAGCTTTCGAAAAAATCCACTGTTTCAAAAATTTCTCTTAAAATTTTCGAACACTTTAAATTTAGTTCTCACACAAAAAATGTGAAAAAAATTATTTCACTGATTTTTTTTTGAATTTTGGTGTTTGTTGCGAATGTATTAATATGAGCAATGTTTTGAAAACAGAAAACGAGAATGCTTGACGTGAAAAATTGCTCATACTATACAGTTTCTCAAAAATCTTGAGAAACTATTTACAGCTGAAAACTCTAAACCCATGCAGAAATTTTTCTGCTTGCTCATTGTCAGCCTAGAGGCCCTTTTGAAGTTTCAAGGACCATATTTTCACCAAAACATCCCCTAAAAAACTTACCTCCATGCATGTTGTTTCCATCCCAATCGACATTCTCGAATTCGACACTTTGCTCCGTCTTCCACATCTTTCAAATCCAAATTTTTGGTGCCAGAATTTGAGGTTGGCATCTAGAAAAAAAATTGAAATTTTCAGATTTTCATAAAAAAATTCAAAATTCTAAAAATGTTTATCAATAAAAAAATCTCCCAATTTTTCCGGCCTCATAAATTTTATGTGAAAAATCCTACAAAAAAAAATAAAAATAACAACACAAGATTTTTCTATGAGCCAATTTTTTTTCGCTCGAAAAAATTTGAAAAAAAATTTTTCGAGGGTCTACAATCTCCAAAAAAGTCCAAGTTTCAGAAAATTTTCAAACTTTTTTCAAAAAGAAAACATTTTTCGCAATAAAACAAACCACTTTCATGGGAATTCCAACAAAAAAAGCCGAAGAAAATTTTTAAAAAAAGTTCAAAAATGGGAAAAACTTGGAACTTCATACATTTTTAAGTAGCTAAAAATTTTGGCACGAAAAATCTGGAAGAAAATGGCGCCAAGATGAGATCCACGTGGATAACACTTGGAAATTCCTACGCCAAAAATCTTGAAGCGAAGAAAAAAGTTTTTTGGTTTTTCTCTCAAAAAACGAAAGAAAAAGAAGAATGAAATAGATAGTTTGTTAATCCAAAAAAAGTCAAAAAATTTTTTTTCTTTTTTTTTTCTGGAGACAAAGTGAGCAATTTGATACAAGTGGGAAATTTTTCTTTTTTGCAGAAAATGAAAATAAAAATTTTTGCTTTCAGTGGAAATCGATCCCCTGACCTTTTGATCAGTAAACTTCAAGAGAATCTTTTGAGAAAGTGTTCCAGAAAGTTCCAAAAACTCTAACCTACACCGTTTCGTAGCTCTTAAAATTTCCTACAAAATGATTCCAAAAAATTCTCGCTCGAAATCTGAAATTCATACCTTTTTTCGATGATAAATCCATTTCTTTCTAAAAACTCCACCATTTTTCAGCATATTCGATTTTCAGCACAAAAAATTGTAATAAAATAAACGATGAAAAATGAGGAGAAATGAAAGAAATCGGGACTAATAAAAATTTGATTATGAAAAAAAAACAAAAGAAAATGTGGGGTGAACACATATTTTTCTTTTTTCATGGGGAACCGAGAAAAAAAGAACCCGGAAATTTTTGGGCACTCAAATGCCACGTGGCATTTATGGAACTGGGTCTTGAAATTCTAGAAAAGCTGGAAGTTGCTGAAAACTTTTCAGATTTCAAGAGAAAATTTTAGAAAATTTTGACCACCCGAAAATTCAAATTCAAACTTGCCACGTGGATTTCATGACCTAATTTTGATTTTTGAAAATTTTCAAACTTTGGAGCTACACTTCTTTGAAGAAAACAAATTTTTATTCAAAAATTTCTAAGTTCATAAATGTCAAAACAGTGTTGTTTGGTGAAAAAAATGGATTTAAAAATGGACCACGTGGATTTTATAGGCTCCAAAATTGGAGTTTTACTTTTCAAACGGAGAAAAACCTTATAAAACTAGATCAAAATTTGATATCTTAAACTTTCAATCATAACTTCTCGACTTAAAATCCCTTGACTTTCTAACCTTAAAATTAAACCTATAAACAATTAAAAAAAAAAATTAAAAACTAGAGTCCAAAACTTGATCTACCATATTTCCAGCCCTTTCCCCAAACTCACTCTAAATCCACTTCTCGCTCCGGTTCCAATAATATTATTATATGTTCTGTTGATAGCCGTTGTCGAATGTCCGACTTGAAAAACCGCCGGATTCTCCATTTTATCCAATTTTTCGTATTCAATAAATGCTCCTTCTTCTTTCGGCTCTTGGTTTTCGTTGCCGTATGATGAATACTTCAAAAAGGAAAATAGTTTTTTTTTCGCCCATTTTTTTCAACACCCACTTAACCAATTATGTGGGTCCTTTATTCAAAAAATAAATTCTTTTATTGTTGGTTTTGTGTTTTTTTTTCTATTTTGGAAAAATTGAGGAAAATGAATAGAGGAAAGTTTCGAAACAGTGAACTTTTTCTGGATTTAATTTTTCTTGTTAAATAGGGATCAATGTTGGGATTATTTACTAAATTTCAGTTTTAAATTCATAGATTTTTTTGAAACAGTGAAATTAATTTTAAAAAATTATAGAACAAAAATTAGGAGAAAACTAGTTTTGAGCCTGTTTTTCATCATGACAATTTTGCCAAACTCCAAAGAATGCCACTCTTGAAATTTTTTACAAAACTTTTTTTCGAGTTATCCTAAATCCCTCTCAAAAATGACTTACCTCCGGATCATCAGTAACATCCTCAATAATCATGGTCCTGTTGTTATTATTCGAATTGTTGTTGTTTGGCCGCGTCGAGATCATCATCTGAAATTAATTAATTTAAGGTTAAGATCCTTAAGGTCTTTTTCAAAGGTTATATTTATTCTAAAAAAACAATTTTTCCAGCAGAAAAGAAACAATAGAAAATTAATTAATTTACACAAAAATCGAGAGAGTGAGAGACGCAGAGAAAAAATGATTAATTTATAGACTTGTGACTATTTTTTGTGGTTAAAACCAACCAAGACCAGAAAAATCAACCCGGAAAAATAAATATTTTTCGAGAAAAAATTCGAGAAAAGACCAGAACGATAAAAATTAATAATTTTCTACCCAATTTTTTTCTCGCGGTCTGGGAAGAACATCAAAAATTTATGAAAAGTTGGTCAAAAAAATTTTGGCGGCCTGAAAAATCTTTTTTTTTGTGACTTTTTAAAAAAATGTTTTGAAACAGTGAAATTTCGGGAATATTTTTGACGCTAAAAAAAATTTGCCACGTGGAATTTTGTTGGTTTTATGATTTTTGTTATTATTTAGTAAAAACACGAAGAAAATCTATAAATTTTTTGAAACAGTAAATTTATTTACGTGCAACTTGCATTTTTCTCATTTCGAATTCCTAGCTGACATCTACCTATTGTTTTGAAATTTTGTCTAATTTCTGACCTTATAGCACTCATTCACTCATCAAAACTCCAGATCATTCAGTAACATTCAGACAGATAGCACTTGTCCGAATCAATTTTGAGAAAAATACAAAAAATATAATAATTTTTTGAAACAGTAAATTTTCTGGAGAATTCATTAGCACCAAAACTCAAAATTTGAAAATTCAATTTCCGGTAGAGAAATCGATAAACCTAATTAATTTCCCACCAAAAAAATTTACAACCTTGTTTTTGGCCATATTTTTTCTCATTCAAAAAAAGTACACAGAAACCCCAGAGAAAAAACAATGTTTGTCAAACAAGCAAAAAATTGTATTTACAATAAGAAACATAAAAAATGGATATCCCTCTTCTTTTTTTTGCGCTGTTCAAATTTGATTCGATTTGATTTGATTTTTGATTGATTGATGGCTTTTTTGATTTATAAGAAATCGGAAAAGGAGAAGCTGGAATTTTTACCGCCAAAAAATCAATCACCTGATTCGAAAAAATGCACTGTTTCAGAAAAAATGTATTAATTTTTGTGAATTTTCTCAGAAATGCTTCTTGCAAACAGAAAGCAAATAACGTAGCAAAATTTTGGTGCAAAAAAATCAATTGTTTATTTTGAAAAAATCACTGTTTCAAGAAAAACCTATTAATTTTGTATTTTTCTCAAAATTATTCTCACACTTTTTAACCATTTAATGTGAAAAATCCACGTAACAAAATTTGAAGCGCCCCTATGCCACGTGGATTTTTAGCGCCAAAAATCTCTGAACACAGTTTTTATGTGTTGCAAAAAAATGAAATAAAATAATTGGTGTCCCCCAAAAATAATCGCGAACTTTTTGTTTTTTGCCACTCGAAAAAACAGAAAATTATTGGATCGATAAAAAAGATCATCATGTTTCTTTCTAGTAACACACAAAAAAAAAGAAAAAAAGATCATAATATGTAATCATAAAAGAAGAGTGTGTGAAAAATACAGGTTTTGGTGATTTTTCTGAAAAAAATTTTCAGCTTCAGTTTGAAATTATTTCGAAAAGAATTGTATATTTGAAAAAAAATATGGAAAAGTTATAAATTTTTTGAAACAGTGAACTTTTTTTTCTGAATTTTTTGCACTAAAAATTAATTTTCAAGACATTCACGAAAGAATCAAATTTTCAAAATTTTTTGAAACAGTGAATTTTTTCTTTCATTGCTAAAATGTTCCATTGGTTTCATTCAAATTTTTCTCTCAAAAAATTGAAAGAATTTTCCCATGTGGATATTTGAAAACATTAATAAAAACACCAGAAAGACAAAAACCTAGTATACTTTTTGAAACAGTGAAAAAATTTAATTACTTATATATTGTTTCAAAGTGTTATCTGTCAAAATTTTCAAAAATTAGCTCAAAAATCGCATGCGTCAAAACGAACACATCAAGAAATATCAAATCATGACAAAGGCGCGCGCAAAAAAAATAAATCACAACACTTGAGAAGAAATGTCAATAGAATAAAATCAACTAGAAAAAATGATGTTTGTATCTTTTTTTTTTACTTTGCGCACCCGAGAAGAAAATAATCAGAAAAATAAGCATGATTCAAGTTTTTTGGGACACGACCGGCCGGAAATTAGGAAGAAAAAGGGGAAGAAGAGAATCGTGATGAGACCAAAATAGTTTGTGTGATTTTTGAAGCCAAAAATTAGTGTCACGTGGAAAAACGATGTTCAAGAAATTATTAGATTGAAATTATTAGATTTTTTGAAACCCTCTCAATATTTCTATAATTTTTGAAACAGTGGATTGTCTAAAATCCAGTTTTCAATAGTTTTTTCTCAAAACCAAAGTTCATTCAAAAATCATTTGGAACTGCAAATTATCCCTTTTCTTTCTTCACTATCAAATTACGAAAAGTCACATTTTTGGCGCCAAAAATTTGTGATTCATCTACAGTAACCCATAATTTTCCAAGGAAGTTTTTTTGTTAAAACAAAATTTTTAGCGACCTTGAAAAATTAGCAATTTTTTTGGAAAATATTAATATCAAAATCATAAAGTGATATCAAAAAAAGTACAAGAAAAGTGCAAAAAATAAGAGAAATAAAAAATTTTGGCGCTAAAAATCTACGTGGAAAAAATTGCAAAATTTGGTGAAAACTTCACTGTTTCAAAATTTTCATAAACGTTTTCATGAAATAATTCTGGGATGAAAATGTGTTTCAGGTAGGCTGACAAAAATGAGGCATTCGGGTATTTCTATACACTAATTTTATTTTTACACGTTTGCAGAAATGCCCGAATACACTTACACTTTTACACTACATACATTTTTACAATAATACACGAATACACTATTTTTGCTCCGGCTTGGAAAAAAGAAAAAAATGTCAAAATCTCAATGTCGAAACAGACCAGTGGTTTCCTAAAGTGAATAAAAGAGTTCTGTTCGAAAATAAAGGATTTTAGAGTAAGAAAAAGGTTTTTTTTCGAATAATAAATAGTTTCAGAAAATGAAAAAGGATTATAAAAACCTGTTTAGAAAATGAAGAAGTCACATTTCTTGGCATTTGGGTTAATATAACTCTGATTTTCAGACTTGAACAGAACAAAAAACATTGAATTATCAATTTCTCTGTGATGTTATGCTTTGGCTCTGCTAATTCTCAGATAATGACTGTTTTTTCACTATTTTTCAGTCTTTTTTGGCACTTTCAACAACTCTTTTCCAGAAAAATAGTGTAAAAGTGTAAAGGTGTAAAAGTGTAGCCTTATAAATAAAAATAGTGTAAACGGGCATCATTTCTAAAAACGTGTAGTGTAAATGGGTAAGCCATTTTTGAGCATTTCTGAAATGAGTGTATTCGGGTAATTTTTTGCCAGCCTAGTTTCAGGCGAGTTTTTTGAATTTTTTGAAAATGAAAAAAATTCACTGTTTCAAAATCTGTATAAGATTTTTAACACAAAATTTGAAAATTAATAGCATTTCTGTAATTACGGATATTTTCAAAACGCTACTCTATACATAATTTCCAAAAATAATTGAGTTAGTGTAAGTTCTGGAAGTTGTGTAACTTCGAGAAATATTTCACTGTTTTCAAAATTCTAGAAAATTTGGAATGTTTTTGAAAAAAATTGAAGCCTAAGCCTAAAAGCCTAGCGAAAAAATAATCAAGGTGTTCGCAAATTTCTATCACACACACACAAAAAAGAAAAAAGGATATTTCTTCGTTTTCTTTCTTTGACCAGCCAATCCCAAATCGCATTAATCAATTGTCATTGAAATTTATTTTTGTTCAGCAAAATCAAGAAAAAAGATGAAGAAGAAAAAAGGGGGAAAAGGCGCCAATTTCAATCAAATAAGGTCATTCATTTTCAAAATTAACACAGCCAAAGCAAAAAAAACCAAAATGATTAGGTTTTGCTTTGATTTGTATGTGATTTGTAATTGGAAATCTTGAGGGAAAAAAGGATGAGAAAAGACTTAAATTAAAATTGTCGGTTTTTTTTCAAAAATAAAAAAACCACTGTTTCAAAATTTTTATTTTTTGGAAAAATTCTTAAAATATATTTTTTCGGCTTCAAAATATACCACGTGCCATTTTAGCTCGAAAAAAATTTACTGTTTCAAACTTTTTTGCCGAAGACTCAAAGAATAATATTGGAGGAAATGGGCGAAAAATGTTTCAAAAAATTTCTGAATATTTTATTTGTTTTAAATTCTCTTAATGCCGCGTGGCTATCTAATTATCGATTTTTGGGCGCCAAAAAACCACATGATTTTTGTTCGAAAAAAATATATCTCATTTCATCAATCAAAAAATTGATTTATATATCCAATCCAAAAAAAACTTTTAACAAAAAATATTTTTGGCGCCAAAAAGCCCACTTAGAAAATCAATATTTAGTCTTGTAATGAAAACGAAACCCCCTCAAACCATATAATAATAATAATTTCCGACCAAAAAAAGTGAAATTTTTCACTGTTTCTCCCCCCTCCACACACTTACCGTATCATCATAAACTTCCACAATTATCGGATTTTCTTTTTTCTCCTCGACAACAGCGATTTTTTTGGGAAATTTTTCAATTTTTTTCTGCTCAACAATAGTTGTAGTTGTAGTAGAGTTTTCTGGATCTTCTTCGGTGGTTTTTGGTTGATAAAAATCGGTGACTTCGGCGTCTTTTGAGTAGCAAGAGCAAAGAAGTTTTGAGAGAGCTCCGTGAGTTGAAGGCATCACTCCGTCAATCGCAATTCTACAAAAGAATTAAAGATTTTCAGTTTAAAAAATTGAAAAAAATCAAGCCACCTAGGGGACTCGAACCCCTGACCTTAAGATTAAAAGTCTCACGCTCTACCAACTGAGCTAAGGAGGCCACGGTGGTGCCTGTTTCAAAATGATAATTCATAATCGATATGATTTTTCTTTTTTTTTCAAAAAAAAATTAAATAAAAGAAAACCACACCCAGGAAAAAGACAATAATTCACTCAAATGAAAAGATATTATTGATTATTATCATTCATTTGACATAATTAATCTATATAATATCAAAGAAAAAATTTAACAAAGAAACATTTGGAAAAAAACGAAAAGTTTTGCTTCAAAAAACATGTTCAAAACACATAAAAGTATCAAATTTCGTCTAAAAAACGACTTAAAGGATTAAAATTCTGCCCAAAAAATTTGAAATAACTAAACTTACGTTTCAAGTTGAGCCGCAAGCAAAAATTTGAAAGCTTGCGACAATTCAAAAGGTCCGATGTTATCCGACATTTTTGAAGAGATTTCAGATTCCAGAAGGGGCCAAGTGAGAAAATCTGAAATTTTTATCATAAAATTTAAACATTTTGAATTGAAAAAGAAAGTTACACTAACTAACTTGAGAAAAACACAGTGAACGGCACAGGCGTTTTATTTGATTTTCGGATCATCCTTTAGTTTTTTCAATACTTTTTGTGCCTTGTTTCAAATACATACGTCAAAAGGTCGTTCTTCTATGCAAACAGTAAAAAATTAGCAAAATTTCAGAAAAAAAACAAAAAGTCAAGCCACCTAACTGAGCTAAGGAGGCTACAGCCACAAAATGCCAAAAAAGCAATCGATGAGAGAGACGAAAAGATATTGGATTCGCGCGTGATCTACTGCGAGTTACATTTGCGGGTCTAGGATTTTTAAAATTTAGAAATAGGCTTCAGCTTATTTTTGAGAGTACATTCTTGAACTTTCAATGTGCCAAGCGAATAAAATGCATCCTCAATTTTTTTCGAAACAAAATATGTGTACCAATTTTTTAAATCGGATACCCACAAAGAAAAAATAAATTTCAAATTTCCGCAAAATTTTCTGTGCATTTGTGCGTCACGGTGTTTGCACACAAGAAATTTACTTTTATTTTTCACATCTTCCCTATAAAAAAACGCTCAAAAAAAATGAATCTTCGCTGTCCGCAATGAACACCATGACGCAAACTTGCACAGAAACGCGATTGGGCAGCTTGCCAATTAAAGGGAGGACGAGTTGAATGGCTAACCGGGTCTCGTCGCGATGCACTGCTCCATCGATTATTTTCATTATTTTTTCTTTTTTCCCCTTTTTTTTTTGATTTTCGCCGCTGTTTTCGAAATGGAGGATGCTATTCGTAAGTGAAACTCAGCCCTTTCTACTCAACACAACCTACTAATTTGCAGGCAGAATATTTGCGTGTTCAGCACAGTTTGGTGAATCGGAAATTGTCGAAAAGTGAGTTTCGCGGCTGAAATTCTGACTAAAATATGAAATTCTAGAGAAACATTGATTTTTTCAGAAGAGCGCAAGCAATTTTCGGCGCAACAAAAACAGCAATCAGCCAGGAATTTGGGATTGGTGCCAAATACTGTGCAGGAGGTTATTGTGTGGATGTCGACTTCCAAAGAATTTCCCAAAGTTCAGCCAGTGGTGAGAAATTCCAAAATTTCCCTTAGAAGCTCCTCAAAAACTTTTTTCAGAAAGCCAATGATTTGCCGAAGAAGCCAGAAGATCCTCTCATCCAGCAAAATCTGCGAAAAATGCTCAAAAACCTGCAGAACCCGAATAATCTGAGGGATCTGATGATTCAGAAGATGAAGCTGGAACTGCTGAAAATCCAGGGAAATCCGAAAATGAAGAAGAGGATTCTGAAGAAGATTCAGGCGACGATTCAACAGATGAGGAAATTGAGCAAAAAGAGACGGAAAAATTGGGCCAGAAGTCAAACAAATGAAGTTATAATCTGAAAATCAAGAATCCGCTCAAAAAGCCCTGCCAAAGACCAATGATAAAATCGATAAAGAAATCGAGAAATTGGAAAATGAAGAGGATTACGAATTGCCGGAAATTAAGTGACAACAAATTGCACTTTTGAGATTGCAGAAGAAGTTGAAGGATATGAAACGTGAGAAATTGTTGGAAAACTAAGAAATCCGGAATGAGGAGAAAACGACAATCGCTACTGGAAACTCCGAAAGTGGAGAATAATGTGAGTTTTTTTTTTGCAAAAATAACAATCAAAAAAGTCAAGAATCCACTTTGAAATTGATCAACTGTATTTACAATACCTGGAGAGCATGCTCTGGAAGCACGTTTCTTGTAAAAAGTACAAATCCTTTTGCTATACCTGGACATTTTCTGAGATGTTTCTGTCCGTTGATTAAGCGAATTTCAACGAAAAACAGTTTGCAACTGAAATATCGAAGTTTCATAAGATTTTTCGAGTTTTGCGATTAGAAGAGTGCAGAATATTTTAAATTTGAGATTTTGCTCGAAACAGGAATTTGTGAATGTTCAAAAACTACCAGGTCCAGTGCATGTTCTCCGGGTATTGTAAAAAAAAACAATTTATCCAACTTTCTTCTAATTTCGAAAATGATTTGCTTTACTTCTGATAAATATTAGGGAAGAAACTATTATTTTTAATTTTTAAATTAAAAAAGCAAAACTGATTAAAGTTCAAAAAAATGCAACAAAAACGTCTCTATTTCTGATTTTTCAAAAACACTTTACTTGTCGTTTCAAAAAATAATGAAGTTTCGCAATAAAGCGGATAAGTTACATTTTTTCAAATTATGATTCAAATTTATTTAGGTGCGAACTCAATCGCCGTCCTTTACGATGCCGGAACATTCAACATCTCGATAATTATAATTTGGTGTCTTGTTTATTTTTTCAATAAATATAAATATGATGAAATGACTATCCTTCATAATGTGGTTACTCGACAATCCTGGTCCCCGAAATCCCGGTTTCCGGGTTACCAAGTAAGGAGGGTTTACTTAAGAAATTATTCAACGGAGCAAGTTGGAAAATTGGTAAACTGCCAAAGCTGGTTGGAAAATTGAAAAGCTGCTAAGGCATTTCTGTACAGGGTTGCGTCATTTTTGTGTCTTAATGGAAGAATTGTTCTCGAGCTAATAAAAATATTTGTCTGAATATTCACGTGAATGAATATATTTCAAAATCTGCACCAAGTAATCAGATGATTATGTCCAGGTGGTGAATAAATAAGTTTAGGCATAGAGCATTGGGTCCACTAGTTTTTTTCCTTCCCAAACTTCACGTTTTCCAAAGTTCCACGGTTTTTTTTGCGGGAAAACGGGGCTGCTAAAAAAGAGGCAAGCGTCAACCCGTAGTGTCGTTTGAGATGATTTTCAAATTTTCATTTTTTCGCCCAAAATTTTCGAAAAACAAATTTTGCAGGAAATATGCTTAATTTCGATGAGATCCTCGGAAGAGTTGATAAGCATTCATTGCCTAACACTTATTCAACAGCTCCAACAACTTCTGAAGCTGATGCAGCGGTAAAATTTTGATTTTATGAAGTAAAATATGTTTTTGGTGAATTTTGACGATTATGTTGTCAAAAATTGCTCTACTCAACTGTGAATATGACTTATGACGTAGCAAAACTCGTGATGTTTTTTGCCACGGTATTACTCATAGTCAGAACGAGCCAAAATCTACCAGAAAACATGGAGACATATGTTTGTTTCATTAGAAATTCTCGAATTTTCCAGACTGTTCGAAACTTCACCGTCCGTGCCGGCGTCGAAAAAGAGCTCTACGGAATTCTAACATCCAGCGAAAACATTTGGAGTCGTTCAAATGCTCCAGTTCAATCTCTACTCGTCTTCGGAGAACGTGGAATCGAAATTCCATCACGGGAAATCAAACAAAAAACCTATGAAGATGTTTTACAAGAGGATGGATCAATTATAAATCAACCAACTGTTTATGTTGAAGATATTGATCCATTGGAGTTGGAAGAAGATGTGGCAAGAGTTAAATTGGAGGCTGATCGCGCTTTTTTCAATCAAATGTTGATTTCGAGACCAGCAGCTGCGCCAATGACACCAGCACAACCATTTCATAGAGATGTAAGGGAAGAATTGGTTGTTCATTAGAAAAAAGACCAAATTAAAATTGAATGCTTATTTGGCACGTGATAGTTCACGTGGGGTAACCTCATTTCTAGTTTTCAGTTTGTGAAAAATTTTAGCCTGAGTTTCCCGAAAGTTAGGGTCTAGCCTTAAAATTTTTAAGCTAAAGCTAACCAATCAAAACATGCTGCAAAATAGTCGATAAACTTTCAGGCAATTCCATCCAATCATTCCACTTTTATCAACCCAAATATAACCGATCGCCGCGAACTTGCATTCGCCGACAAACTTCACAAATATCTCAAAAGTGGTGCGAAAAAGAATCTGGTCGAGCTAATGAAAGAAGCAGTTTTTGAGGAAAGTGGAACCGATGGACAATTGGCTGATGTTTGGAATGATGTATTTGCTCTAATGAAAAATCGAAAAGCTGGAAATCAAGGAGACGTTGAAAATGTGACAACAATCGCTGGATATTTATCCGACGCTTGCTCATATTTGCAAAAAGTATTCGCTGATCACATGCAACAAGTCGTCGACAAAAATCTCGAATTAGCACAAAGAGGAGGAGTTCCGGGAACTCGCGGACTTGTTCACGCATTTTTGAAAGTTCAAAATGATGGGGATTTCGAAGCGGAAGATGATTGTATTGATGGATCGCCCACGTGGCAATTGATTTATCATTGTGTGAGAGCTGGAGATATGAAAGAGGCGGCAGAGGCATTGATGAGATTGAAGAGTTTTCCGCAATGTGCGACACTTGTTGCTTCGTTGAATCATGTGGCAAGAAATGGAAAGTAAGTTATATTCATACCACATTCAGAACCTGAAACTCTAGGTCCAAAATTTTTTCCGCAAGTCAATTCTTAGGGCAAATTAAAAAAAAGTGTAATTTGTTTTGTATGTTTAGACAAGTTGATTTGCACTCACGTATATGATCAAACAAAACCAGAAACCCCCATTTTACCAAAATTTTGAAACGTATTTTTTCCAGAGGAAATTTTTTAAAGAAAATGTTTCTTTGTCTGAAGAAAAACGGTGAAAATCTCCAATTTAAAGCAGAAATTCAAAAAAAAATTCAAAATTGCAATATTTCTCCTGTTCCAGACTCGACGCCGAACTCAAGCGAAAATTAAAAGTCGAATGGCGTCATAATGCTGGCCACACAAAAGACAAATACAAAAGAGCACTTTATGCGGCTCTTTTAGGATCTTTAGAATCAGCTGCACTCATTGACAATTTGGAAAATTGGATTTGGTTCAAATTGTATCCACTTCATGTTGATCCACAACTCACGCCGATTTTGTATCAAGAAGTTCAGAAGGCTGTTTCGATTGATTATGGTGAGAAAATTTGGGGGTTTTGGGGAACATTGTGTGAAAATTGTATGAAAATCAGGAGAAGAGAAATGCCAGAAAAATTCACTGTTTCAAAAATTCATGATTAAATTTTTTTTAAATTCAAGGATGTTCTGTCTGTTGTTATACTTATTATAAGCTTGATAATTACGTTCGATAAGATGAATTCCAAAATTCTGAAAACTAGGTGAAAATCATTTCAAATCACCTGAAAATCTTGGATTCACCATGAGCAATTTTGAGAAATCTAGAATTAAGTTCAAGCGATTCTTCTGTCTGAAATTTTAGCTGTTAAATTTTTTCAGGAGAGCAATATTTCATGTCAAATGGTGTCTCCGATTTCCAATATTTTTTCACTGCACTTTGGTTATCTGGACAATTCGAAAGAGCTATTCATGTGAGTTTTCAGCCGAATTCAAGCAAAAATCCCCGAATTTTCAGCTTCTTTTGGAATGTGGTCAAATAATCGACAGTGTTCATATTGCTATTTTGGCTCATCGATTGGGTTATTTGAGAATTGTTGAAAAGTCGACCGATGATATGTGTGAGTTATTTTTAAGTTGGAAAGAAGTTCAAAAATAATTTAAAAATTGCTGAAAGTTTTTAAAGAGAATTCCTTTGAAATCTAAAACTTTTAACAACTTGAAAAAGGATTTTTCTGATAAAAAAAAAGAAGAAAAATCTGTTTAAGAATTTCTTGAAAACCTACAATTTGAATCCGGAAATTGATAAAAAAACATTTTTGAGCTCTAAATATTTTTTGAAATTCTCTCTTTTAATTGAAAACTTTCTAAAACGCATTTTTCCGAAAAAAAAGCCCCAAAGAATTTATGAAAACTTGAAGAGAGTCCCAATAATCTCAAATATATGTTTTTCTTCTTGTTCCAGTGGTCATCGACTCTTCCGAACCCACAAAATGTCGTCTCAATCTCGCTCGTCTCATCGTTGCTTACACCAAAAATTTCGAATTAATCGATGTTCCGCGTTCATTGGATTATTGGTTTTTGTTGCGCGGAGTCACAAATCCATCCGGAGCCGATGTTTTCGAAATGGCTGTCAGTCGATCGGTTTATATTACAAATCAGGCTGATGCGATTTTGGGAAGATTGTCGGCGGATGGAAGAAGGGAAAATGGATTGATTGATGAGTTAGTTTTTTTGGTGGGAAAATTGTGGATTTTGAGTGGTTTTTACACTAAAAGTTCGATCTTTTAGCGAATATTTGGAAAAAAAATTGTGGGTTTTCAGCTGTCTTAGAGCTGAAACTCCAATAACAAAATACTGAAATTCATGACCTAAAATTAATTTTTGAAAAAAATTGTTTCTCTATGAAAATTCACTGTTTCAAAAAATTTTTAAACATTTGAAACTTTCAAAATATCTCATTATACAGACCGATAGAAAAAAATCGCATAAGGTGAATATTATTTTTTGAACAAAAATGTCAAAAATTGACCCAGTTAAATAATATATCACGTGTACGTGAGATCTTATCTCACTGGAATATCTATATAAACCCTCTCCAACACACACAAATCAGACTTCTTCTGTACCCAACACCAGAATCTCAACCTGATACAACACAAATACACAACGAATCGACGGAATCACGAGAATTTATCGTATTCCCTAACCGTAACAATAAATGATTGTATAATACTTCGTTGCTACCTGAGAAACCAAAATAATACGGAAATTCAGTAATAACAGTTTTCGACAAAAAATCTACTGCTTCAAAATTCTTCATAGAAATAGTGACATTTGGACCAGAATTGTTCTTTAAAAACATTTTTTGACCGGATTTTTCTATGAATTTCCTTCAAATAATCATTTACAAAAACAAATTCATTGATCTATTCTTCACAAAAATAGCTTTTCAAAAGACTAATATCAAAATTTGGTGGGTGTTTTGCTGGCGGCAAAAATCGACGAATTAGTTGTTGAACTTGTCGATGGATAAGCAGCAAAACGAACTCGTTTTGGAATTTTGAAACACACGCAATTTTGATAAGCAGAAGAACCGGTTGGTGGAATTTGAGATGTTGGGGAGCGATTGGTCAATTTTGATAGCCACGATTCTGAAATTTTGGAGTTTTTTGAAGCAAATAAAAACAAATGAGATTAAACCTTATTCATTCAGAAGTTTTTGAAATTCTGTAAATTTCAGATTTTGACTGAAAATTGTTCGTAGCTCTTGAAATTTTCTCATATTCAACCTAATTATGCCTAAATACCCGAATTTTGTTTCAAAATTGCCCCGAACCCACCCTCAAGACTTTCTGAAGTATCTCCATGAACCGGACAAATCTGATTGACTTTGAAAATCGATCTCGGATGATGAATTCTTCCGAGATGCGGTGGAACAAATGTTGTAATGTCAACTCCGCCAGCTGGACGATCTTCAGCTTCTTCATCCATGTCAACAGTCTGAAAAAATGTAAATTTCGTGATTTTTGGCTGAAAACACCAAAAAAGGACTCACCGCCGATTTTTTTCGTTTTCCACAAATCAACATAATTCCTGTGTTTGCAAGAAATATGAGTATAATATGAGCAATTGCTGGATTGGAAAAAATTGAATTTATGAGACAAGTTACTGAATGTGATATCATAACGATCTGAAAAATAGGATCACTGTAGGAGAATTTGCAGTCCTAGAGGAGTACTGTAGGACTACAAAACACCAGAAAAATACTGTAGATCTACAAGGTTTAACTACAGTAATCAGGTTAGAATTGCAGTTCTACAGTATTCCTTTCTTTTCACTATTTTCAACTCACTTGTAAATTTTGAAATTTCGGAAATAAATGATTTTTCGTCATTTTTTCGCCACGTCAAATTTCTTTTTTTTCTTTGAAAAATGGGTCACGTTTTTAATTCTGTGATTTTTCAAAATACGTTTCCGTCAACCAAAAATCAAAATTGTCGAAAAAAGTCTGAAAATACAAATTTTTGGCTGAAAATGTTTAGTAGAGTTTTGCACTGTTTCAAATTTTTATAAAATATTATCTGTTAACTTTGTAAAATAATACTACCGAAAATCAGATAATCTAGAAAATCTCAAAATTAAAAAAAAAAGTATTTATGTTTGACTGCAAATTCTGTGGAAAATTTTTTCACTGTTTCAACATTTTTATGTTATTTGAGAGAATGTGAATTTATTCGTTATATTTTTCACAAAACAATTAAATTTTTTCAGATATCTTTCGGATCCATCTGATGTAATTGCTCGAGTTGCTCACGACACCGAATTAACTGGCGACTGGGAAAATGCAGTTGGCCTATATTTGTTGGCATCAAAACCCACAAATGCTGCCAAATTGTTGTCGGCTGAAATTAGCGAGACTTTGAGAACTGATAATTATGAGAGAATTCGAGATTTGATTGCTGTTGCACAAAGTTTTCAACAAGGTTGGTTTTTGGTCTGATTTTTGACAGAAATTTGGGAAATTGATCGATTTTCACCAAAAATTGGAAATCTTTTTTTCCATCAAAAATTCATTTTTCAGTTCAACGTGGATGTCAACCTTCGGAATATGCAACACTTTCTCTTCTTGTCGATTTGACTGCACTTTTTGAACATTGTAGAAATGAGGATGCTGAACAAGCTCTACAGTAAGCTTTTTTGGGATCTGAAAATCTAGGAACAAATTTTAAAACTCTCGAAAGTTGATTTTTTTTTTCAAATCCTGAAAAATAAGCTGAATATCCGATAACTTCTTCTAAAAATTCACAAAAATAATCAAATTCTCTCCCAGAAAACCCCCCGTCTCCGCAAAATTTCCTCAATTTTCCAGTGTCTCCCACGCACTTCGCCTCATTCCATCTGAACCCGAAATGGTTACCGTAATCATCAATGAATTCCACATGGTTCCATTAAAAGTGCGCGATGTTCTACCGGATGCTTGTTTGACATTGATGAAATGTATTGTCGATTTCAGTTTGAGACAAGCAAATGAGAAACGCGCTGGATCGAGTTTGTTTGCCGCCAATAATCGATTTGTGAAACAAGTTAGTGATTTTTTGAGAGATTCTGGGATTTAGCAGGGAATTTTCAAATTATTGACAAAAAATAATGTTTTTCCCGATTATGGACTGAAAAAATCAAATTTTGTGAATTAAAATTAGAAAAAACATTTTGGTCCATTTTTGGCTTCAAACTTCCTCTAAACAAATTATTTTTTCACTAATTTTTCCAACTCCGAAAAAATTCTCAATTTTTATCACAACAACAAATAGCAAAACCGTAAATTCGAAGTAAAATTGCCACAAAATTAAATTTTCAAACATAAAAAAATGAATATAATACAGATAAATATCTAGAATCAACAATCCCCGTTTTTCTCCATTTTTTGCTCATTTTCCTCGTTTTCCTGTTCTTCTTCCGATTTTTTCACCTCATCCAATAATTTGCCAGTTTCGGCTAACTCGATTTCTGGATTTCCAGAAGTTTTGACTGGTTTTCGTAAATGTGCATCTTTTGCCGAAGAACAGCCGCATTTTAAGAAATAGGCATTGTTGAACATATAACCGGCAAATACGAAAATGCACGAAGCAATTGCGAGAGCTCCGAATAATTCAGTGTTTGGGAAGAGGATTATCTGGAATTTTAGAGAATTTGTGGCTGAAAATTGGGATTTTTAGTGGAATTTTAATCTAGGAAGTTGTTGAAAAACCCTTTTGGAAAACGTTTTGTTTGGAATATTAGGTTCACCAGCATAAGACTTTTTCTGAAAGATTTGTTCTCATTTTATGGTCTCCAGTCTAATTTTTCTTATTAGGTTTTCTTCGCAACTTGAAATTTCTGAGATAGAAAGTTTCGGTATGAAATTTTAATTTTTGACAAAAATTCAGAAGCGTTCTGTCTTGGAAATTATACGTTTCAAGATTTTTCGATTAGTTTTCGAACTGTTTTGAATTTTATTCATTTGAATTTATTGAACTGAATTATTGATTTGAATTTTTTGAATGTTTTTCGATCTCGTTGTTTCATTTTTCGATAATTAACAAAAAACTCACAATCGTATCCTTAAGTAATGAAAAAGCTTCACAAAACGCAGTCTGCATCGCAAAAACGGAGTATCGTTGTGATTCGGGAATAGTTTCTTGTTGAATTTGTGTAATCGCCGGATCAGCCATCCATAATCCAAATCTCGCTAATGTTATTCCAAAAAAGAAGACCAAAATCGATGGAGGAAGTTGTAAAAATGGAAGTGGAAAATGATCATCATTTGTTGGTTTGCTTATATGCTCATTAACCTCTTTTATCCAAATATTGAGATCGAAATTTGAAATATAACCCATTATATTCATTGGACTTCCGGGAAGAATTGTGGAGAATGAACAGAAATTGATGAAAATGTTCTGCCAAGTTAGACCAATGAATGCTGTCCAAAGTAGACCAATTCTTGGCTCAAGACGACCGAATGTTATTGCACCGAGAACACCCAAAAGTGAACCGGTGGTACGTAAGAAGCCTAGAGTCACGAGATGCATTCCGTGCTTTTGACCATACGAACCGGCAAGCTGGAAATTTAGAGGATTTTAGGGAGCAGGAGTTGGTATTTCATACTCTCCAGGGGAATTTCATTTTTTTTCTATCAATTTTTTTCACTGTTTCAAAATTTTCATGTGATTTAAAATTTTCTTGGGAGTTTTTGATCGGGAGACTAATGCTTGAATCGTAGATAATTTCGTTTGATAGATTTTCTACTGGAATTTTTAGTTCTTGGTTTGAAAGTGCTGGAAATTCATTTTTCATAGCAATTCTCCTGAAAAAATCACAAAATTTCAACAAAAAAAAAGTACTCAGATTTCTCCGTCAGAAAAATTCTTCTGAAACCGCGAAAAAATTCTTCAAAATTTTTCACTGTTTCAAAGTTTTTGTATTTTTTTTGAGAGTTTATGGAAAATGGTGATGTTCTTCTGGATTCAAAAATCAATAATTCTCGGAAATTTTTTTTAAAACAAATGCCCCCAAAATGACTAACATTATCAAATCCCAAAACAGTCATATACAAAAGTGCCAAACCAAATCCAGCCATCCAACTTGATTGTTGAAAATATAATCGGAATGAATTGATCCATGAAAATGATCTACTCTGATTTTCCTCTCCATCTTCATCTTTTTCAACACATCGTTTCTTCAAAGCCGGTGTCAAATTGTACAAATTTCTCAAAATATTCGATTCAATATACCAAGAAACTACATTGTAGGCGATAATGAATATACATGATGTTTGATAGCCCGAAATTTCGATGAGAGCACCCGTGAAAACTGGGAGAATTACGGAAGACGATTGATCGATTACAGACATTAGAGAGTTTTGATCTGAAAATGGTTTTCTGTCAAATTCTGTTAATTTTCGTCGATTCCTAGTCATTTCACTCACTAGATAGCGTAACTCCCTCTTCTGGATAGGCACTAGTTATGACAACTGTCCAATCTTTGGTGAAACATATTCTTTGAGCCTCGCTGGCTACACGGGATATTGAAGCAAATAGAATTCCAACGATGAACAGAGCCTGCAAGATTTTGAGGTTTAGAACTTCTGAACTCGAATTTTTCGACCGAAAATCAAGATAACTCATATTTGTTGATTTTCAATTGAATCAGGGTGACTAAGGGGTTTTCCTTTTTGAACGCTAGGTTTGTGAACGATTGTGGAGTGTCGTTTGAAATTTTTTAACAGTAATTTAATGAACTCAGAATTATTGGAGTTCTAATGTTTGCCCTGATTTCCAATTCCACCTCAATTTTCTCCCACTTACCATTCGATTTCCAGTAAGTGTTCCATCTGGTGATGGCAAATAAAAACATAGAAAAAATGCGGCCGCCGAAGCACCAACAGCAATATTATTGACAACTAGTGAGATTTGCATGACTGAAAAAAAATCTGATTCTGATTTTCTCCGAAATTCTGCTCACTTTTATTCCTATCTCTCTTATCCATAATTGATCCAATAATCGGCAACGCAGCCAATTTCACAAGAGCATCGAAAAATTGCTGAACAGCCACCCATGTCATTCCGCCGAGTTTGTGCATGAAAATTCCGATGGCAAACATCCACATTCGATCGCCCTGCAAATTTTGACCTAGAAACCCAAAATTACGATTTGGTGGCCTAGAAATCTTCAAAAAAGCTGAATTAGTCTTCCAATTTTGTTTGGAAAATATTACTTAAAATTTGTAAAATTCGAAAGTTTTTGAACTTTTTTCACTGTTTCAAATAATTCTTATAATTTTAAAGGTTATGTCACTAGAAAATTTCACTGTCTGCAATTGTTTTTCTCATTAAAAATGTTCACTGTTTCAAAAAGTCTAGATTTATTTTTGTGGTTTTCCAAGTGTTTGATAGAACTTCGCTGTAGTTTTTCAATTCAAGATTTCAATTTCCCTCCTAAAAAATTGTCAATTTTTTCGAGTTTGTGACGATAAATCTTTCGTTCTCCACCGCCATTTTCTCCTCATTCTTATCAATTTTTCTTATTTATCACCATGACCACTGATAGTTCAAAGTTGAAACCAAAGAATATACTTTTTTCGGTTTTGTCATTGAAAAATGCACATTTTTCGATCAAAAATCGTGATTTTTTGCTCAAAATTTAGCGAATTGCACGTTTTCTGCTCAAAAACTCACCAAAGTTGTCAATAAATAGGCTCCATTAAGCCGAAAAGTTTTTCGCCGCACAAAATCTCGAAATGACGTGGAAGATTGTTGTGGTGACATTTTTGAGCTGAAAATTTGAATCATTGAAATTTGATGGCAGAAAAATTGAATTCCAGTTTTTAGCGCGAAATTCCAATTCAAAAAAAAATTAAATAGAAAGTTTTCGAGAAATCGATATATCGAAATATATATATAAATAAAATAATAAACATACAATGTTTGTGGAGCAATCAGATTGCTCACGAATATGTAACACCTAACGAATATTTGTTGGAATAGACGTTTTAGTGACATGTTTTTCGATTTTCTGTGAGAAATTGTGATAAAAATGGATTTTTTGGGTGATTTTTGGGATTTTTGAAGGGAAAATTCCAAAATTTCATGAAAAATCGATTTTTGATGAAAAATGAGTCATTTTTGAGTGGAAAATTGTTGCATGAGAAATTTCAAAATTTGAAATGATGTTTGATAAAAGTTTTTAGCTAAAAATTTTGAATTTCAAGGTTTTGATACTTTTCAGTCAAAAATTTTCAGTTAGAAAAACTGAAATTCATCATGAATGCAGCTATAAATTGAAAAAAACTAAAATTCAAGTTCAAAAAAATCGATTTTCAGTCAGGAAATTGAATTATTCATGAAAATTCAATAATTTTCAATTAAAAGTATGATAAATTTTGATTGAAAATTACCAGAAATGACGAAATTCTCATCGAAAAACCTCAAAAATCACCCCAAAATCACACAAAAAATAGACTTCTAATTTTTCTTATCAGAAAAAAATATCGCGAATTTTTTTAATTGACAACTCTCTAATTGTCCTTGTTTTATTTGAAAATTATCAATTTTTCAATAAATTTGAAGAAAATTGTGAAATTCGACTGAAAAACTGAAATTTTATTCAAAAAGACGAAAAAAAGTGGGCAGTTTTTTGTACTTATTTTTTACAACTGATATAATTTTTTTGACGAAAAAAAGAGCAAAACTTTATAAACTGATAGAAAAATTCGAATGATAGTGGAATTTTTTTGTATTTCTTTTTTTTTTTGATATTTGTATCACAAAAAAAGTTCTAGAAAAATTGATAAGCGGAATTTGAAGATGTGCAGGAAATGTGTCAACAAATGTTTTGCTGGCGCAATTTTCTAAAGCTTCAAATTGTGTCGTTTTGAGCCCAAATAAGAATTTTGTTGAAGAAAAAATTGCAAACATGGGGTACAAAAAAATGAAGTTTTCTGGTGAAAAATTATTATGAAACGGTTGATTGCTTGAAAAAAGTGGATTTTTTTTAGTTTTTCATGAAAAAAACTTTTTTTCGTGTAAAAAATAGATAGAAAAAAGGCACTTTTGTTGGCCAGCTGCCCATATTTTTCCGAGTGATTTTCGAGTTTTGAGAAGACAAATTGATGATTTTTTGGACTTTGGGTGTTCTTTCTCAAGTGATTTATGGCTGGAAAGAGAGTTTTTCAAATCTTATGATGTAAGATTAAGATTGGAAAAATCGGGTTTTCTAGTGGAAACATTCAAAAATGTTTTGAAAAATCTATCAAAGTCTGAAAAGTTCAGATGTTGTCCAGAAATGCTCACAAAATTTTCTAAAAGCCTGAAAATCCCCGAAATTTCCATCAAAAACATTTTTTGCAGGTCAAAGCAATTGTTCTCTATTGTGCCACAGTTCCATACAAATTCCCCAATCACGTCACTTCGAAACTTTTGCAACTTCAAGCTTCTCTTGGCGTCTGAAAATCTACAAATTTCCAGATTATTTTTTATCGATTTTTTGACTTACCCTAATGTTTTTCTATTTTTTGTTTTGTTTTATAAATTATTTCAATTTTTTTCCTAAGAAATATACTAGATTTTGCGTGATTTTTTGCATGGTTTGAATAACCGCACTAATATATTTTGTGATTTTTTGTTAGAGTTTTAATATTAATATTTCAGTTCAGACCTTTTTTATCTGAAAATCTCACTGTTTCAATTTTTCATAGAATATTTGGTTTAAAAATTTTAGATTATTATTACTCTGTCTTGCTTTTCGAAGCTTTTTTCCCAGAAATTCAATGAAAATATTCAGATTCGAAAAAATTTCTAGTTTGCCTCACTTTTTGTTAGAAAAACTCACTTAGAAAAATAAATATTCGAGTTCACGTGACCTATATTTTTTTCATGACGTGGTAAATATTTTATTCCATTTTTCTGTCATTTTCGAAAATATTCAAACTCAAAAATGGCGAAATTATCTAAGTAAGTGCATTTTTTGTCCGGATTTTTTCTGAAAAAAAAATAATAATTCGATTTCTAAAAACTACTGAAGTTTTCAAATTCGAGAAATTTTTAAACAGCGAGTTGTCCAACAAAAAAATAGTTTTTTAGGACCCAAAATTTACAGAATTTGTCGCATTGTATAAAAAGCTTCTAGCAATGAAATTCACTGATCTCAAAATGTCGTAGAATTTTTGAAACAGTGTTTTTTCTACAAAATTATTTATTTTGTATTGACACTCAAAAATCAAAAGGTCCATCCAACAATTAAAAACCTCGAAAATTAATCAAAATTTTGAAACAGTAAAGTTTCCAAAAACGTATTTCTGACCGTTTTCTGTGTTTTTGACCTCAATTTTTCTTTCTTTGGGCTCTTTTTCTTCTTATCGCAAAATGGGGGACTCTTCTTTCTTTTTGTCATCTGATCGTAAAAACAATCTCGTTTATTTATTTATTTACTCTTATTTTATTTTTAGGCTATCTAGATTTTAACGTGATATTTTCGAAAATTGAAAGAATATTGGATTTTTTGAAGCTCTAATTGTAAACTTATTGTAAATTTTCGTTTTTGGCCCAAAATTATGAGCAAAAAATAAAAAAAAAAGTTATTTTCTTGTTGTTTTTGTTTCCATCTTCTTCAGTTTTGTTTTTTCTTCTGTAGAAACGCAGATACGGTGAGAAATGGACGGCGCCTTCATTCATTCTCCTCTACTATTTTTTGTGTTGTCATTTTTGTGTTGGTTGTATTATTCTCTGCACTCTCTCACAAACTATACTCTCTAGTCTCTTCTTTTTTTTTGGTTGTTGTGTTCAGTTTTTTGGACCCCGGCCGCACGTAGAGTAGTGTTTATTTATTCTCTTTTTTGAGTGAGGAAAACATGTGATATTTTTGAAAATTTGAAAATTTTGTGATTCTTGACCTGTAGATCTGGGATTTTCAGCTGAAATATGTAAAATAGCTGGAAAATCTGATGTTTTGAATCAAATTTTATGTAGAATTTCCAGCTGAAATGTTTACTGAAAATCTAGAATTTCCTAATTGTGATATTCTGGAATTCAGCCAATTTCGAAGTTTTCCATCTGAAAAATTTTCGAGTATTTTTTCTGTCGAAAAATAAACGTGCACTTTTACAAATTACATATTTTCTACTTCTTCTTTCTCTTCGTTTTTCTTTTTACTAACTAATTTTTCACACACAAACAGAAAAATTCTAAGAACGAGCAGGTTTTTTGGCGCAAAAAATTGGGACTTTCTGTGGCAAAAATATAAAGAAATTAATTTTTAGGGTGAAAATATTTTTGAGAATTGATAAATAGGATTGCTCATATTAATAAATTGCCACGTGGTTTTTTGAGGTCAATTTTCACGCCTAAGTTTCACCTTTTCAAACTTCATCACTTTTTTTCTACTGTTCCCTCCCAATTCCTATTAAAATTACCCATATTAATTTTTTTGCAGATAATAAGTGAGCAATTTCCATCAAAAAATGCTCCGATTATCCCTTTCTCCACAAAATCTTCAAAATATCGCGATTCGAAATGCTTCGACAAATAAACACGTATTCGCATGTGTTTTGGGAAGTGGAGTTGCTGGAAGTTCGGTGGCATATCATTTGACGAAAAGGAATATTAAGGATGTTTTGTTGTTGGAAAGAGCATCAGGTATGGTGATTTTGAGAGGGAAAATTGTGAAAATAATCAATGTTCATGGAAAAGTTGGCGGAAATTCGAAAGCTTTTCCATGAAAATTGATTATTTTCTTTGAAAATTGAGCGTAAAATTTCTCAGAAAAATCAATGAACAAATTTTGAAACAGTGAATTGAATTATTAACGAAATGTGGACATCAAAAGGATTGAAAACTAATTTCTAAAAATTAACAATAAGAAATTTATGAAGTGAATGAATTTTTAAAGAAATTTTTAACCTTGAAAAAATTAAGATTTTCATTCAATATCTGGAAATTTGTTCTGAAAATCACTAGAATTTTCCTGATTTTTTTCAAGTATAAAGAACATCAGAACGTATGATAATTTTTCAAAAATCAAATGGCAATTTTTTGAAACGTAAAAAATCTGGAAAAAATAACATTGCAAAAATTTCGATAATTTCGTTCTCCAAATTGTTGAAACCTTAAAAAATTTAAGATTTTCATTCAATATCTGGAAATTTGTTCTGAAAATCAATAGAATTTTCATGGTTTTTTTCGAGTATGGAGAACAACAAAAACGTATGATAATTTTTCAAAAATCAAATGGCAATTTTTTGAAACGTAAAAAATCTGGAAAAAATAACATTGCAAAAATTTCGATAATTTCGTTCTCCAAATTGTTGAAACCTTAAAAAATTTAAGATTTTCATTCAATATCTGGAAATTTGTTCTGAAAATCAATAGAATTTTCATGGTTATTTTCGAGTATGGAGAACAACAAAAACGTATGATAATTTTTCAAAAATCAAATGACAATGTTTTGAAACGTAAAAAATCTGGAAAAAAATTACATTGCAAAAATTGTGATAGTTTTGTTTTCCAAATTGTTGAAACCGTATTTTGAAAATCTCGTATTTTTTCAGGTCCAAATGGTAAGGTAACTTGAAACTTGTTGCACTGCTTAACGTGTTATTTTTCAGTTTTGCTAAATAATTAAAATTCAGTTTATGTCAGGCATGTTCATTTTGCTTTGCCGGCAAAAAGCAAAGCAGCTTTGCTGGGCGTGGCTTTGCTTTTTGCTGGCAAAAAGCAAGTAAGGAAAAGCAAAAAAAAGCAGCCGCGGCTGCCTGCCGGGCTGCTTTTTCAAAATACAGAAGGCAACAAGCGAAGCTCCGCCCCTCCACACACAAAACATGGCAACACACAAAACCAGCGAACCGTCCGCGTATGCATTTATTCAAGTAGTCTCGCGCGCGCGTTAGAGAAGCAAAAATAGGTTGTTTTGTCAATGCATTCTCACTGCTTTCAAATGATTTTGGAAGGAGTGAAAAAAGCATTGCCGGCAATTCGGCAGGATGCTTTGCTGTTGCTTTTTCACAGTCTTACCGTGTAAAAGCAAAAGCGGCTTTGCTTTTTCGGGGGACGGCAAAAAGCAGGCAATGCCGGCAAAATGAACATGCCTGGTTTATGTTGTGCTTTTTTAGTTGCTCACACACCTAATCACTAATTTTTAACCCTAGAATAGTCAAAATTTCACCCTAATTAAATTTAAGGTCATTTTTAATTGTTTTCAGTTGCTCACTTTAGAATTCCTGATTTATGCTAACTTCTGACCCTAAATCACTAATTTAACCCCAAAATCCGCCGCCTGAATTTAATTTCATGTCATATTTTCAGGTGTCGCTTCACCAACCGGAACCTCTTTCCATTCACCTGGTTTAGTTGCCGCAAGTCATCCAGCACATAGATATAAACCGATTTTGGCCCATTCTATTGAATTGTATTCGAAATTGGAAGAAGAAACTGGAGTGGTGAGGAATTTGGGCTGAAAATTGAGAAAAATTGAAGTCTGAAAATTTTGAGATAAAATAATCGAAAATCATCATTATTTTTAAGCTAAAAATTTTTATAATCTGAAAATTTTTTTAGAAAAGCGGACATCTTTCAAAATCTGGAAATGTGTCGTGAAACTTGAAAATGTAGAAAAAGTTGAAGCTTTCAGTTTCTTTAAAATTCTCATATTTTCCTTTCCTCAAAAATTCTCATTCTATTTTTTCCAGAAAATTGATTTCCAAGCCACTGGAACTCTTCGCCTTGCCACCAACGAATCTCGTCTTTCCGAATTCCGCAAATACGTTTCTCGTGATTATTACAAAGAAGGCGATGTTTGTAAAACATCCCTTTTGACACCAGAACAAGTTCAAACTCTGGCACCAGCTGTAGATATCTCGAAAATATTGGGAGCATTGCACACAACAAATGATGGATCGATATCTGCGAGAGGATTGACAGAAGCATTTGTGGCCGGAGCCAAAACTGGAGGAGCTGAAGTTATTGGTGGAGCTATTCCAATGGAAATTCGATATGATAAAGAACAAGGAAATTGGATTGTTTTGTTGCAAGATGGAACACAGGTGGGTTGTTTTTGGATAAGAAAATGGGAGATTTATAAGTTTGAAGTGGTGTAATTTTGATTTTTGCACTAAAATTCAGCCTAAAATTTTTTAATGTGAAAATTCTGTGTGAATTTTGGCCTGTGTCTGAGAAAATCGACGTGGAAATTTTCCAAAATCAAAAAACAAAAAAAAAAACAAGATTTTCTGGGTTATAAAAAATCTTACTGTTTCAAAACATACCACGCCCAGCTTCGTGCAAATTAACTTCGAAACTTGGCGGTGTGGGTTTTGAAACCTTTTCGACTTTTTAACGGAAAAACAATAAAAAATTTGCTGTTTTTCAAGAAAATCTCAAATTGGCGAGGTAAATTTCCGTAAATTTTTATTGGCGCCGTGCATATGCCTCATCCTGGGCGTGGTATGTTTCAAAATTTTAATGAATTTTTTGAAGGCTTTTTGAGTTTTGATCTTCAGATGAGTTGACCAAAATTATATTAAACTACTTTCAGACATGGAAAAACTTAAAATTGAATTTATTTTCAAAGAATATTTTATATTTTGTCTAGAATATGTTCACTGTTTCAAAATGTTGATTAATTTTGGAATAGAACAATAAAAATTATTTTTTCAAATCTTGAGAATTAAAAAAATTATTCTACATTCCAACTACTTTCTGTGATTTTTCGGTGAATCGAACATTTGAAAATATCATTAGGTTCTTGAAAATGCTGAGTTTGGTCCAAAATTCCCGTCTTGACAACAAACAACGAAAAATCCAATAAAAATGTGCAATTATTTCCAGGTCACAACTCGAAATTTGATCAATGCTGGTGGTATTTGGGCAAATGATATTGCTCGATTATCTGGACACGATTTGCCGATTGTTGTTGTTGAACATCAATACGCGGTTTTGACGGTGAGCATTTCATTTTTTCACAACTAGAAACAACTGTGTGATCAAAAATGGTAAAATCCAGAAATTTCTCAATTTTTCTTGAAACAGTGAATTTTTCATGTTCATTTTTGAGATGAAAAAATTTCAAAAATCAATTTTATGATTCTGGAAATCCAATAAAATCGTGGAATTTTTTTGAAATTGTAATTATTACAAATGAAAAAGAATTTCAGTTTGAAAATCTTGCTGAAAAATATGGAATACGCTTGAACTGAAAATTATCTGGGAATCATGATATCCTTAATACCTTTAGAATCTTCATTTAAAAAATTCACAAATTGCAGCCAAAATCGGCTCCAGTCCAAACTCCATCCATCATCGATCACGATGCGCCATTCTACCTTCGAAAATCCGGCGAAAATTATTTATTTGGCGGTTTCGAAAGTCTCGAAAAAACAGTGATTCGCGAAGATTGGTATAAAAAAGGAGTGCCGACCGAAGGATCTCGATCAATTCAACACGATTTTGCGAGAATTGAGGATTCGTATAAGAGAGCTTGTGAACTTGTACCAGATTTGCAAGGAGCACAAGTTGATGCGAGAGCTGCTGTTTTATGCATGACACCCGATGGATATCCATTGGTAAGAGAGGTTTTGGATTTTGAGCTCGAAATGTGAAATATTTGCCTGAAAATCACGAATTTCTTTGAAATTAGTATAATTTTGGTCTAAAACTTGGAAATTTTATCTGAAAATTAAGCTGGGAATGATAGCTGAAAATTGTCGAGTGTCCAGCTGTAAATCTGGATTTTTGGCTATAAATGATTATTTTTGAGCTCGAAAATCGTGTCTGAGAAAAATTTCTACTGTTTCAAAATGTTCTTATAAATTTTTGAAATTTTTATTTTTGGTTTTCCTCTCATTTTACATAAATAATAATTTTAATTTAAAAACTCCGGAATAATTCTACCTGAGAATGAAGTTCTCTCATTTTTCACTGTTTCAATAACATTCCATATAATTTTCAAAAAAAAAATAGTAATTAAATAACTGACCAAACATGTCGAGAAACGTGAATTTTTCATAAAAAGCTAATTTTTCACTAAAAAAATTGCAGGTCGGACCATATGAGAAGAATTATTGGATGTCGACCGGATTTTTGGATGGTGTTAGCAGTGGAGGTGGAATTGGAAAATATTTAGCCGATTGGATTGTTGATGGTGAACCACCAGCTGAATTGTTTGATACAGATGCGAGTAGATATGAGAGATGGGGTGATAGAAAGTTAGTTGGGGGATAATTGGTTAGAGAACGGATTTTTAGGATCAGACAGAAATTTAGTTCTGAAAATCCAGAAATTCACAATAGGTTCACAGGAAAATTCCACATTTTTGTTGAAAAATTCAAAGATTATAGAAACTTTGAGATTTTCATGAATAATTTTTCACTGTTTCAAAAAAATTTCATATTTTTTATCTGTGTATACATAACCATTTATTTTTCAGGTCAGGAACAAATAATTTTCAATTAAAATTAGTTCAAAAGTGATCTTGTTATTAAAACATTGTGAAAATTATCTGAAATCCCTGGTTTTTTTTGAATCTCTGTACAATTTTTACTCGGAATATGGAATATTGTCCTATTTTTGTTCGAAACAGTGAAAATTTCTAGATTTTCAATTTTATCTTTTATATTAAGAAGGTAGAACTTTTGTTTTTTCCTCGGAAGAATATATAATGGAAAATATATGAATTTTATTTGAAACAGTGAATTTCTAATCAAATAATGAGCAAAATAGCGAACTCAACATATGCTATAATATATTTTTGAAACAGTAGAATTTTTGGAACCAAAAAATTATAGAAAATTGATGACCTGGAAATTTTAAAGTCTAGAAAACCCTTCCGAAATTCTTAGCCCTTTCAAATTTGAAAAATAATTTCAGATTCTTCACCGAACGCTCCCGCGAAACATATTCAATGTATTATAATTGGTCAGAAAGTGGTCGAACAGCCGGAAGACCAACCGATCGAATTAGTGGAATTTATGGAAGATTGCGTAATGACGGAGCATCGTTCACATTTAGAAATGGATGGGAAGTGGCAAACACTTTCAGTTTGCAAGGACAAGATCCTGGATATTTGCCGACGTTGGTTAGGTCAGTTTTAGGAGCGGGATATCTGGTGTTTTTGATAGTCCTGGAGTAAAATGGAATTTTGCGATTGAAAATAATTTTTAATCGATGTGGAATGACCAAAATTGAGGCTCACTAACTGAATAATATCTGAATTTTTAAGACCAATTTTTGAAACGTATTTTTTCCGTTATTTTTTATTATTAAAGAGGAAAAGGTTATTAGGAATGAAAGAAGGAGGTGATTGAAATTATGTAATTGTACAAAAATTTATAAGCGTTCGTTGAAACAGTGAAAAAATTTGAAATAAAAAATTGTATAAAAAAAAGAAATAAAAAATTGAATGAGAGTTCTTTATAAACTCTAATAAAATTAAAGATTTTTGTCAGATTTTCATGAAACAAGTATGAATACTCAAATTATCAAAACATGAAAAACCTGAATTTTTAAGACTAAATTTTGAAACGTATTTTTTGTAGGTTTGTTTCCAAAAAAATAGGACTATTTTTTATTATATAAGACTATAGAATTTTGCATTTAGAGACTCAATAATTGAATCTCAAGTATTTATCAAAATTATTGACATTGAGATTTTTTTGAAACAGTAAAAAATTTATTTTCGAATATTTCAGAATAGGGAGGGTTTTTTAATTTCAATTTGTTTGAAAATACGGAAGCTAACAAGAGAAAATGGCGAAAGTTTATGAAATTAATTAAAATGAAGAAATTGTATTTTTAAATACAATTTAAAAATTCACGATGTTTCTCTTTCATCACCTCAAAAACCTTCGATATTTTTCCAGAGAATACGAAATGGTCACCAATAAATGTGGTTTGATCGATCTTTCTTGGAAAGGAAAAATCGAAGTGAAAGGAAAAGACGCGGAAGCATTGATGGAATACGCGATTGCCAGTCCAATTCCACCGCTCGGAAAAATCAATTCAGGAGTTATGCTAACTCGAAATGGTGGAATATTGGGACCACTTATGATTTTCCATCATGATCGACAACGATCTGCTTTCATTTGCTTGACTGAACCAGAAAGAGAAACCAGGGATTTGTATTGGTAAGTGATAGAGAGGGTTTTGAGGGCTGTGGAAAGATTTTTGGTGGACAATTGAGAAAATTTCAGCACTTAACCTGAAATACTTGGGAAAAATTCACAATTTAAAGTAATTATCATAAAGTGTAGTTTTAAAAAATTATATAATATTTGACTATTCATTTTATCACTTTTCTCACGATGTACTTTTCTGCTCATCGTAAATGAATAAATAACTAAATAAATAAATATTTTTTGAAACAGTGAAAAAAATCGGGAAAATATTTTCACTGTTTCAAATTTTTTGCTTAATGATAAAACTTGGATTTATGTTCAGGCAAGTTTAAAATTTCAAAAAAAAATCAATTCTCAATCAAATTTCAAATTTTAAATTAGTAATTCTGAAATTTTTTCACTGTTTCAAATTTTTTAGAAGAAATGTTGAGTAGATTTTTACCAGGCTTCGAAATCATTTTTATTTTCGATATTTTGCAGATGTTTTTTTTTCGAAAACTCAAAATCTCAAAATATCTCATATTCTTCTAGGCTCCGCCGCGCTGCCTCCGAAAAAAAATTCGATGTTCAAATCTCAATCGTCACCGAATATCTCGCCTCATTGGCTCTCGTCGGACCAAAATCTCGCGAAGTTCTATCAATGCTCACAAAATCCGATGTTTCCGACGAAGGTTTTCCACAAAAATCGACGCGAATGATTCGACTGGGACCTGTTGGAGTGGTTTGTGCGAGAAGTTCGACATCGACTGGACAATTGTCCTATGAATTGTTCCATTCAAGAGCTGAAACTGCAAAATTGTATAATGTGAGTTTTTTGGGGAGGTTTTGTAGAAAAAATATTGTTTGAAAAGTTATTTTTGGATCAGAAATACACTGAAAACTGGAAAAATTGGAAAAACATATGTTTCAAAAATTTACTGTTTCAAAATTTGAGTATATTTTCGAAATTTAAAAAAAATCTGATTTTCGTCACTTCCAGAATTTTTTACAATTTTTTTGTTCTCATAAAAAGTTACTGTTTCAAATTTTATTTGAATTCTTTAATTTTTGAACTTTTATTGTAAAAAAAATAATGGAAAAAATCACTGTTTCAAAATTTCAATGAATTTTTTTCGAAAACTTCAGAATTATTAAATTTGGTAGAAAAATGTTGAAAATTTCTGATTTTTTATCACATTTTGTTTAATTTTCTGAAAAATAGATTTTTTTTTCAACAAAGTTCAGCCAGAATCCCTCAGTTCTCTTCAAATCTTTCAAAAAATCCAAATTTGTTTGCAGGCTATAATGTCAGCCGGCGCATCACATGGTTTGGTCAATTTTGGCCAAGCCACATTAAATATGATGAGATTGGAACACGGCTATCGAATTTGGGGACGAGAACTCACATTAGACACAAATCCATTTGAATGTGGACTTGGAAAATTGGTTGATTTCAGCAAGAAAGAATTTATTGGAAGAGCAAGTGCACTTGAATTGAGCAAACAGGAATTTGGGTGAGGGAAATTTAAAAATCACATTGACTCTCATTTTTCGGCGTTAAAAATTAGAAAAAAAAACGTTTATTTACTGTTTCAAATTTTCTATGAAAAAAATTAAGAAATTCTGATTCTGATTCATTTATCAATTTGTTATTGTCCGTTTGGAAATAAGATTCACCCCGCGAAAAAATAAATTTGAATTTGGGAAAATCTCTAATTTCTCCCTACCCCCGCGATGCGTGTGCGTTGCGGTCGCTTTCCCATACAAAACCCCCGTTGGCTGTTTGCCAGTGCACTCTCTCGCTGTCTGCGTCTCCTTCACCAAATTCAAATTTATTTTTTCGCGGGGTGAATCTCATTTCCAAGCGGGCAATAATTTAGAAAAAAATGTGTTTGTTAAGAAATTTAAAAAAATTGAATAAATTTCTACAAGAGCCAACTTTTTGAGCCTAAATGTCCAATTAATGAATTTTTGATCAATGACATTCATTTTCGAAAAACAAATAAAATAATTTATTTTTGAATTCTGTTCAAAAAATTCATATTTTTTTATTTTTCTTATTAAAATTCACTTTTTCAGTCGCCGCCTGGCTTTAATCACATTGGACGGTGAAAATGGTGAAACTTTCGATGAGCGATATATTCCAGCTGGACATGAAGTTATTCGAAGAGATGGAGCTGAAAATGTGAGTTTTTGAGATGAAAATGGGAAGTTTGAGCCAATATTCATCATTTTTATAAATTTTGTTGTCGGAATCATGAAAAATCCATAATTTGCAGAGAGTTGGTCAAATCACATCGGGTGCTTTCAATGTTCGACTTCAAAAACCAATTGCATTCGCCTGGTTGGATCAAAGTGTTGGATTAGATGAAAAAGTGAGCATTTTTGGGGAAGAAGGGTGAAAATCTGAAATTAACCAACTTTTTTTCACATTTTCAGACAAATAATCTGAAAATCCCTAATTTTTTCCATTTTCAGCTTGTCGTTGATGTTGGAGATCGTCGTTTAATTGCATCCAGTTTGAACACTGCCACAATTCCACCAATTCAATAAAAAATTTCAGCATTTTCAGCTGAAAATATCTAAAATCTTTGCCTTATCTTCCTAATTTAACACGGTTAATTTTCTCGATTTTATCTAATGATTTTTTTTGAATAGTTTCTTTAGTTTGTTATTTATTTGTATGCTGTTCTCACCTTTTTTGATAAATGTTTTTTTGTTTTTTTTACCTCTCAAAATACCGTTGGAAAATGAGAAAAAAAGGAAAAAAAGATATTTTGAAGAAGATTTTACAGAAAAATTAACAAACGTGTCCACGTCAAATTCCTGACGTGTTTTTGTTGTCTCATTATTTATTTATTTTTTTGAATTTTTTGAATTTTTGTTTTTCTCGTTGACTATTTCAGCAATGTCTTCTTCTTCTTCTTCAGTCTCCTTCAAATTCAACAATAATAATTCCGAATGTTCAAGTCCATTCTCAATGAATATCAAAACTTGTCAAAATTGCGAGAAAAATTATAGTGAGTTAGCATATCTTCTTTTTTCTCAGTTATCACCAAAAAATTGCAGAAAACATTCCAAATCTTTCCTGGCTGAAATGTAGTCATTCGATGTGTTTGCGTTGTATTTTTGGTCGTTTTCGAGAAGGTTTAGAACCATGCGCATTTTGTTTAGTAAGTTCTCTCCGAAATTTTGAAGAAATCTGGAAATTTCAGCCAAAAATTACGAAGAAATACAAATGTTGTGAAGAGAATTGCGAATCGCTGGATATTGAGAAAAAGTTGTTTTTCCTAGAAAAAATCTGTATAAAAAACAAAAAATTTGGAATTTCAGCCTGAACATTTGCTCAACTTGCACTCCACAAAAAAGTCTGGAAAATTTGGAGCAACTTTTATCGGTGGCTTTGTGCTCAACTTGTGCGATGCGAAAACATTTGAGAAATTCGCATGAAATTATCGATTTTTCGCCGAGTTTTGCCAAATTTCAAAGTTTATCGATGAGCAAAATTTTGAAGCGCAAAATCGAGGAGAATTCAGATAGCGATTTTTTCCCACAAAAATTTGAGGATTTGAAAAATCGCGAAAAAAAGGTGAGGATTTCGAGAAGATCAACTAAAATGAGCAATGCCTTGAATTATTGCAGCTTATTGAAAAATGTCTGGAAAATTTGGAGAAAACCGAAAGCCCAACAGAACAACAAGATTTATTTGAAAAAATTGAGGTTTTTTTGGAAAAAGTAGGTGATTTTCACATTTTTTAACCTGAAGATCTGCTAAGTTTTCAGTTAAAAAAGGCGCGAAATCGTATGACACTGTCAATCGATAATGAAAATCTGGAAATTTCGAAAAATATCGACGAATTTTGGAAAGAAAATTTGAAGGACGAAGAGCCACCCAAAAAATTGCTGCGAAAATGAATAGATGAAAAATTGTGAATTTTTTTTCTTCTTTTTCTTCACAACTGATAAATAAACTGTGGCAAATAATTATTAGAACTAACAGATTTTTGGTCATATTTGATGGTGCAATGAAAATATGAGTTAGACAAAACAGAAAAGAAGAAACTCGTTTTTTGTGAGTGGTACAAAAAAGATGAACTGGAATGCTATTAGTTTACTGACAAATTGATGTTTTCAGTGTGAAATCTAGGTTCTTTGAATTATCTAAAATATAGGCATTCTATGTATTCATAAATGTCAAATGTTTATTTCATAGAAATTATTTTGAAAAAAAAGTTCTTTAACATCAATAAAACATTAATTGCTTCCAAGTTCATGTTGTACCACCCAAAAAACTTTTTCATATTTGTTCTTCCCATTTTTGTCTGGCTCATTTCTTTCATTCGTTGTCTATAAAATATGCTGAACAACCTTTTCTTTCTTATATTTATTTTTCTAAATATTCTCACCAATTATCAAAAAAATGCTGTTAAGTTGTCTAAACCACCAAAAAACATGTTTTCAACACAAGATCGTCTCATTAGAGATGTTTTCCAAAACTATGAAAAAAGTGTTTCGCCGATATTGGATTCGAATCAATATCGACAAGTGTTTGTTGATCCAAGTGACAATTATACATTTAATGGTTGGACACTTTATTATATGATTCAACAAATGAAAGTGATTGATTTGGATGAACCCCAGGAATTATTTACAACTTCGGTGAACTTTTTGTTAGAATGGTTTGATTTTCGGATTATGTGGAATAGCTCACAATACGATGGAATTGAAACCATGTTTGTTAGGCAGGACATGGTGTGGACACCGCCATTGAGTATTTATTCAGCGTTAGTTTTTCCAAATTGGTTTTCTTTACATGTTATTTTTCTAGAAGTGACGTCAAAGATCATCGAGATCTTGATTTCCGAATTGTTGCAGTTTTTTGGAGTGGATTTGTTTCAGAATATGTTACAACGAGATTGACAACAAATTGTGGAATGAACATGATTGATTTTCCTTTTGATATTCAAACTTGTGAAATCCATCTAACCTTATCTAGTGTTAATTACGAATTTTATAACATTTCGATATCACTTCCAGATAGCGATGAAGAAATGATTTGTGACATGGTAGAGTAATATTTTAAAAAATATCATTGATGCTATAATTTTGTATTCAGCGTAATTCCGCTTGGGATATTGTAAACATATCAGCTGGGAGTCTAAATCTTCGACCAATTGGTAAATTTGATTCTAGACTTGGCGTAATTCGTGTAGTTTTGAAAAGGAATCCAATATTCTACGTGTATATGATGATATTACCAACATTTACAATAAATATGATTGCAATTGGTGGAGTATTTTTGAAAAAATCAACACAAATGGAAAAATTAACAATTGGATTTACACATATTATGACAATGACATTTATATTAGGTTTAGTATCAGAGAAAATACCAAAAACTAGTGAAATTCCATTAATGGGAAAATATATTGTATTTGGATTGGGTTTGATGATTTTTGCATTGATTATTTCAACAATATTGAACCGATTTTTTATGCCGAAATCGAATTGCAGGTGATATAATTGTTAAATTTGAGATAGTCTGCAGCATTTTATCACACGCGAATTTCCGCTATGCAAAAACCTGAAGTCTAGCGCACAACATTTTTTTTTGAAAACAATCATTATATTTTCATCAGACGCTACACTTTTCGACGAATTGTGAAAACATTCTTCATAACAACTTTTCAACTTCTCAATGTTTTTGCATTTTCCTACATGATTTATCGATTTTTGAAATTTGAAATTGAATATGGAAAATCACGAGATTGCGATTTTGAGAATGATATGAGAAATCATTCAAAATATTCGAATATGTCTCAGCAGTTTTATGACACATTCGAATCAACACCTCGTTTTGAAAATTAATTTTTTTAGTATACATTTTAACAATTTTCGTATTTTAATAAAGCTTGCTTCTTTCTATCAATAGTTTTGTCACAAGAAATATGGATTTGTTGAACTGGGAAACTTTCCAGATTGAACTGGGAAACTTTCACCGAAAAAAGTTGATCAGAAGAAGAGTATTTTTGACATCAAAAGTCCAGCTAAGATTACTGTAGCAGAATTTGGAACAGAATTGATCTTTCATTCAAAAAATAATCATGCGCTATTAAAATTACTTGAATTTTTTAATTTGATAAATTTTTGTAGCAACATTTATCAGTGAGAAAATTTCAAGAAAGGTTTCAGAAAATTTTTTAGCTCATCACAAGTTGTTTTTGCAGTTGAGTGGAAAACATTGTTCATGCGAAAAAAAATTAAATTAAAGTAAAAACCAATATGTTTCCCTCGATTTTATAAAAAAAAAGAGCTAGAAAAAAATGGGATGGATAAATAATTGTTTTTTGGGTGGTATAATATGAACTGGAAGCAATTAATTTTTTGTTTGGTGTTGACAAATTGACCTTTTCTTAAAATTGTGTTCCCCTCCCATTTTTCTATCTCAATTCCTTCATTTTTCCATCAAATATGGCCAAGAACCTTTTCTTTCTAATATTTATTTCTCAAAATATTTTGATATTTTCTCTTAGAAATGGCACCAAAATATCGGATCTGCCACCAAAAAACATGTTTTCAACACAAGATCGTCTCATCAGTGATGTCTTCAAAAATTATGATAAAAGAGTTTCATCAATCTTGAATTCAAATAAATTTCGTCAAACATATTTTATACCAGGAAGTAACCATACACTTGATGGATGGATATTGTGGATTACAATAGATCAAATGAAAGTTATTGATTTGGATGAACCTCAAGAATTATTCACAACATCTGTGAATATATTGTTAGAATGGAATGATGTTAGATTGATATGGAAAAGTAGGGATTATGATGGAATACATAGTATATTTGTTAGACAGGAAATGGTTTGGACACCGCCATTAAGCTTTTTTTCTGCGTAAGTTTCTTTGGGATTTCTACTGACCACTCTTAAGATCTTTATTCCAGAAGTGATGTGAAAGATCATCGAGATCTCGATTATCGAATTGTGGAAGTAATGTATTATGGATTGATATCAGAATATATCACATTGAGATTAACAACAAATTGTGGATTAAATATGATTGATTTTCCATTTGATATTCAAAATTGTGAAATTCATTTAGGAATTTCTAGTGTTGATTTTAATATTTATAACATCTCAATTGATTTACCTGAAAGCAGTGATGAAAATCTTTGTAATATGGTGGGTCCTCAAGCTAATTATATACAATATTCCTAATTTAAAAAAATGTTTAGCGTAACTCTGCATGGGATATTGTGAATGTGTCAACAGGAAGTTTAAAAATGAAGCCAGTCGGGGTATTCGATTCTAGATTGGGTGTAATTCGAGTGATTCTCAAACGGAATCCAATATTCTACGTGTATATGATGATATTACCAACATTCACAATAAATATGATTGCAATTGGTGGAGTATTTTTGAAAAAATCAACTCAAATGGAAAAATTAACAATTGGATTTACACATATTATGACAATGACATTTATATTAGGATTAGTATCAGAGAAAATACCAAAAACTAGTGAAATTCCATTAATGGGAAAATATATAGTGTTTGGATTGGGTTTGATGATTTTTGCATTGATTATTTCATCAGGATTCAATCGGGTTTTCATTATGGAAACAAATAACAGGTACTTAATTATTTCAAAGGTTTGTTTCTTCAAGAAAATTTGTGATAAATCGATAGAAAAGTGCTCTTTAGCCCATGTTTTCTTTTTCACCACATAAAACAAGAAAATGCGCTCTAATGCACAACTCTTCGAATTTTCCTTTGTTTTCAGACGCAATTTTGCTGGAAGAATCGTGAAATTATTCTTCATAACAACTCTTCAAATTTTAAATATTCTTTCATTTTCCTATATGATTTATCGATTTTTGAAATTCGAAATTGAATTTGGAACAAATCGGAATTGCGACTTTGAGAATGATGAAAGAAACTTTTCGAAATATTCGAATATGTCACAACATTTTGACACATTCGAAGATGAATTGGGAGATATTCGAGAATGAATGATAATTGAAAATTTGATTGAAATTTCAAATAAAGTTCAATAAATCTTTATTCGACGAATAAGGCACAAGAAAAAAAGGAGTTAGATTATGCATTATAATTTAAAAGAATGGCAAAAACCCGCCAAAGAAAACGTTTTGAAAATAAGAATAACCCGACTATAAATATGGAAAATCTCATTAAAAAATTGATCACAGTTTTTCAAAATTCAAATTCTTGGTGTATCATCTTCTGAATCTTCATCATCACATCCAAGATTCACTTTATCATTCACAGCGTTATAATGTGGAAGGGGAGTATAGCTGCAAAATCGATAATTTTAGTCAACAATTTCAGAATCCCGGCAAAAAAACTCACTCAATGCTCGAATGTTTCTGATTCGATTTGAAACATTGGCAAACGGCCAAAACACATCCAGTTGATAGGAAAACCACAAAAATGACCCATAAGAATGAGGCGAAAAATCCGGTTGATTCATCATAATTTCGAAGAGCTTGTGGTTTTGAACAATCTTCTGCAAATTCAAGAGTTTTGAAAATTTTCGAAATAATGTTTTTTCTGGCCAAAATTTGAATTTTTGAAGAAAAAGTAGTTCTTGGTCGGAATTTCTTCAAAGTTTATACCAAAATATTGAATCTAGACGACGTTTGGTTCAAAAATCACCAAATTTTGCCCAAAATCCCTCACCACAATGATAATCCTTGGTATTCGATCCTTGCGTACAACACGGTCTACAATAACCAATCGATCCTTTTCCATATCCATTCGAACATACGTCACAACTCATTGGACCAGGTCCCGAACACGTTTTGCACGACGAATCACAAATATCACATTTTCCGATCGAATTGATATAATATCCTTCGCCACACAAATCTTTGCGCCAAATACAACGGGCTTGCACCAAATTGGTTTCATCTGGGATAGAAAATATAGATAAGGGGATTGTGGAGGAATGGGGAAAAGTGGGAGAAAATTAGAGAGGGAAATGGGAAGAGGGTGCAAGAAGTGGGCATTTTCTTTTTCTTGATTTGGATTTCTAGACCATTAAAATTTAAGGTTTCTTTTTCTAGGCCAGAGCTTCACGGCCACCAAAACATTGTTTTGGTTTTCTAGACCATCCAACTTTTTTTGTTCAATTAAAAATTAGTTTTTTAAAAATTGTTAGTTAAGAATAGAAGTGTTCACTCAAAAAATTACCATTATTTCTCAAAACCTTGGCTGAAATTTGCTGAAATTTTAAAAGAATAAAAGAAGGAAAAACTCACAATCAGCAATAAGTCCAGGCGGACAAGATTCGACACATTTTCCATGATCATAATGCGGTAGATTATCAACATCAATCAATAACATACTCCCGGGACAAGTTTCGCAGACCTTCAATTGAAATTGGGTGAATAATCATTAAAAATCGACCAAAATAGGGGGTTTTACGTTAAAAATCCTAATTTCTCCCCCAAAAATCTTACCTCAGCTTTAGTACAAGTGTGACAATGTGATGAGCACATTTTACACTTATCTCCGTCCAAATAATAAGTATCATCACATTTTTGAACACATTTGAAACCACTTCCACCCTTATTTCTCAAGGTTTGTGTCAAATGTTTGCAGGCAAAACAAGAAGTTGCGGATGAGGATTCGGTACAACCTGAACAAAAAAATATTGATTGATTTTTTTGGGATGTTTAAAGGAAATTTAAGGCACCAATCAATTTTGAGGATTCTAGATGTTTTCAAAAATATTCTGGACCAACTTTTAAAAGTTCTCAAATAAAAAAAAACAAGGTTTTGAGAAATTCGAATTTAAAAAAAGAAAATTTATACATTTTATGGGCCTTTAGACGAAAATTAAGGTCCTATCCTTAATTTTTGGGTTTTTTAAATTTAATTTCTAATTGTAAATTCTAGAGGATATTTTGAACCAATTCTTCGATTCGAAGATAATTTTTTGGAGAATATTGTTATCTGATTATATCAAATTCCGAAATTCAACAATTTTCTTTAAAAGTTTTTGAAACAGTGAAAAACTGGTGTTTTTTCTCCGGGTAAAAAGTCACCCAGACTTCAAATTTCGGGCTAAAAAACCTCCCGAAAACTCTCACCTCCATTACACTCATCGTGACAATTTCCGGCCGATGTCAAATCGGGAAACGAGATCGGCGCCACCTCTTCCACCTAAATTTTTCTGCATTTTTTTCTACAGTAATCTACAGTACTCCTACAGTGTTTGTTGGTCTGTTTGTGTATAGTTTGGTGTGGGTGTGACTAAACTTTCTTTGTTTTTAAATTTCCGGTAAAAAAGCACGACATGTTAGAAAACACACAAAAAACAACCACCACACAAAACACAAAAAAAAGAGGGTACTGTAGACTACTGTACACATCAAAACAAAGGGAAAAATATCACAATTTTCATTCAAATCAAAAAATACACACATAGAAAAACGAGATGCTCTCCACTTTTTCTCCGCTCAAATTTTTGCTCACAAAAAATACGATCCTATCTCTCTCATCGCCTAAAAAAAAATGAAAAAACAATGATGATGATACACACAAAAAATATTTCGAAAATTTTCCCCGAAATTCACAAAATTATGAATATGCGCGTTGCAAATATGTAGTTTTCGAGATTCGCTGAAATTTTTCCACATTTTCAGCCAAAATTCCAAATTTTAAGCCCAAAAACAGAGAAAACCGGAAAAATTAAATGAGAGTGAGAGAGAGATAGAGAAAAATTAAAACCCGATAAAAAACTTCAAAAATATCAATCAATAATTTAAAGGCACATAGGGGAACCGGGGAAAATATGAAATATGGCACAGAGAAAATGGAGAAGAAAGAATGAGAGGGGTACTGTAGATTTTTCGTGGTAGGACCTTTGGAAAAATTTAGCGCGAAAAGTATAGATTTTGAATTTTCCAAAAATTGTTTTTGGCGCGAAAAACCACGGAGAATCGTGACGAGACCCAATTTTTTTGCGGCTAAAATTCACTTGGATAAAAAAATCCGCAAAAAATCACTTCAGGGCCCAAAATTTCTAATTTTCCCATCAAAAATTCTACAGTACTCTTTCTCTCTCAAATTTCTCCTATCTCCACGGTCTTTGACCAGGTGTTCCAAACATTTTCACAAACATTTCATCAAAATACGATTTGAGATATTTTATCGAATTTATGGGATATTTCGAAAATCTGTCCGATTTTTGCTGTTCCTCTTCAAAATCCGCCGATTTTTCCCCACGAAAATCCACCAGCAAAGTTTCAATTCCACCATTTTCCGTCGACTAAAAATCCACATTTTTTAAATGGTGCAATTTTTGAATGGTTAGAAAAATGGGAGAAAATTGGTGAGCGATTTTCGTGGGGAGAGAGGAAGTTCAAATCCATATTTTGCATGCAATTTTTCAGGTGGGCGGGCAAAAAATAATCGATAGAGAAAAAGTGGGAAGAAATGCGGGTACCCGTAACAAAATCATGGGGGAAAATGAGCAAAAAATAAATACATGTGAAAAAAAGAAAAGAATAGCTAGCCAAAGATAAAAATAACAACAGAAACCTAATTTTTTCGGCCTAGAAGTGGAAAAGAAGAAAAAGAGGGAGATTTGGCTGAAATTCTGACTAGAAATGAGGATTTCCTGAGATTCTGGGAATTTGACTATTTTGAGCTGAAATTTCAGCTTAAAATATCCATTTTAAGAGATTTCCTGATCTGGAAATTTCAAATTTTTTTGCAAAAAATGTTGGAAAAATTAGATTTTCAGCAATTTTCAGATTTTTCAATTTCAAAAACAATTTCAGACCACATTTCCAGTCAAATTTTCAGCTCAAAAAATATCAATCAATGCCTAGAAATCACAACAACTTCATTCTCATTCTCCTCATTTTTCAACGCATTTTCAATCATTTGCCGCTCTTTTTCAACCTCAATCGATTCGGCAATCGCTCTTCTCAATTGCTCATTTTCATCGGGCTCCCGATCTGGCCCACTTTCTGGACCAGGCTCAGTTTCAGGCCTCACAGGTTGACTTCTCGAATGCTTTCGCCACACAATCAAAGCAGCCGACACCAACAACAAAATCACTCCAATTTGTAGCACAACAATCATTGTCGGCATCGAAATCTGCTCATTTTCAGCCATTTTTTTCCAGATTTTTTTTTGTCAGACAACAAAACACAACAAGAAAACCACCACATGCCACATGCTTTTTCGAGTTTTTTTTTCAAAGAAAATTTACAGTTTTTTATGACAATTTATACATACATATAAAAAACGAGGAGAAAACAACCCGTAACACAAAAAATGAATCACCGGATAAAAACAGAAGAAAAAATAAAAGAAAATTATGGAGAAATCAAGGAAAAGAAACCATCACCAGACGACATTAAGAATTGGGAAAGTTTTTGAGAGAAAATGAGCATGGAATTGGAAGAAGATTGGACCTGGGTCGAAATCTGGGCTTAGCAAAAAAAAACCTTCAAAAATCCAGAAAGTTTCTAGAACTTATTGGGCCAGAAATCGAAGACCGAGCTTAGGCTGAACCAATACAGTGAACATAAGCTTAGGCTTGTTGCCCCCTTATCTCAGGCTTTTAAAACTTGGACCTTAAACCTTGGGCTTAGGCAAACCAGTCTCTTATGCTTAGGCTTAACCCAAAACATAGCCTTAGGCTTAGGCTTAACTAAAAACGTTTAACTCAAGCTTGAGCCAAATTCGTAAACTTAGGCTAACGAGGGAAGTGTGTGACCAGTCCCCGGAGATTTTCAATGAGACCTATGTTTTTTAGGTCAGTTTTTCACGCTGATAAAGCTCCTGTTTTCAGTTTTTGCTGAACGACTCTCTAAAGAGCCCAAAAATGAGCCAAAAGTTAAGAATTTCCTGAAAATCGCGTTTTTGGGAGCCCATAACTCATGTTAGAAATTATTTTTATGGAAAACGGAATGCATCACGTTGTTCAGGAGGGTCGATTTACCAAAGTCACAAGTTTTTGATTAGTAAGTCCATACTTTTTCAGAAAAAAATTTTGTGGCTCAGAAAATAGGCTCAGGTCATGGATTGCACATTTGAAAATTTTTGGAAAATTTTGTCAAAACTTGTGACTTTGGTAAAATGACCCTCCTGAACAACGTGATGCATTCAGTTTTCCATAAAAATAATTTCTAACATGAGTTATGGGCTCCCAAAAACGCGATTTTCAGGAAATTCTCAACTTTTGGCTCATTTTTGGGCTCTTCAGAGAGTCGTTCAGCAAAAACTGAAAACAGGAGCTTTATCAGCGTGAAAAACTGACCTAAAAAACATAGGTCTCATTGAAAATCTCCGGGGACTGGTCACACACTTCCCTCGTAAGTCAAAATCATAGGTTTGATCACAGTGATTCAATCTAAGACTTAGGCTTAACCCAAATCCTTAGGAACTCCAATTCCATGCCCATATTCTCTCCAAATATTAAAGAAAAAAAAGAAGTGGGGATATCCTACACCAAACAAAAATATACCGAAAAACCGAAATTATAATACAATACAACACCTAATGTTTATATCTTCTCTTGTGTTTTTTATGAAGTGGCTGCTCAGATTGAGCTCTGGCTCGAATCCTTCGTGTCCAAATCCATCTTTGCGATACCGTATCAAACACCCATTGTCCAATATTATTATTATTTGCTGGTGGCGGGGTCACAAATGGATTTGTTCGCCATTGGGCCTGATTTTGTTGGGCTTGGGCCTGGAAATTCCATGCGGACGGCCGTTGAGCTTGGCCTTGTGGAATTGGCATTTGACGGGCTCGCGAAAACGCTTGAGGCCTTCGCTGACGTGTCTGCAAACCACAACACAAACATGCAGAAATGAGTGTGAGAGTGAGAAAAAAAGAGTGTGGGGAGAGGGAGGGGAGAGGTGTGAGAGACGCAGAGAAAACGTGGGTTAGAGATAGGGGGAGTGGGGCTGGAAATTTGGGCAAATTTTGAGAATTTGAAAAATTTCCTAGATTTTCAGAATCATTTTTTGACCAAATTTAGCTAAAAATTTCTAATTTTTCAAATAAAAAAATCCAAATTTTCAGCAAATTCTGTTTTCAAGCTGAAATTTTCAGAAAATTCAAAAATTCTCCCAATTTTCAGCCAACTCCCCCAAAAAGAGAAAAAAAGGTTACAAAGAAAAAAAACCATGTTAAAAACCAAAAAAAAAGTCATGCAAAAAGCCAAAAAAAAAAGAAAAAACGCTCTGAAAAGCCAAGAAAAAGTTCATTTTCACAAAAAACTGTAAATTTTCTGTTGATCTACTCAAAAAATACACAAAAAACGAACAAGGACAACGACAAAAAATAAATGGACAAAAAATTTGAAAACTGAGGAATCACACTTAGATAATTAGTTAAAGCCAATTAAAGCCAAGCGCCTAGGGGTGGTTGGAAATAAATTCGAGAAAATAAATTAATTGAAAAGTCACACCACACACCATTCTAAGTACACCCAACACCAAACAAGTCAGTAAAAATACAAAAATTTGAGGGAAAAATTAAAAAATTCGTGATTTCTATGCATTCTAGGTCAAAAAATGTCGAATTTCTTAAATTTTCCCTCAAATTCCGTGCCTAAACTACCCAAGATCTTCGAAAAAATTGCGTACCTGAGATGTCAATTGTTGAACACGTGATAAAACTCCTTGGGCATTTGAGGGTGAAGCTGGATAGACAGGATCACCCGGTTGGGCTGGTTCAGCAGTTCCGTAAAGTAGTAGAGTCCAGTCGTGGAATGTGCCTGCAAAATGGGGTCAAGAATTGTAAATTTTCAGATTTTCAGGTGAAACTTTTTAAAATTCCGTGTTTCCTGATTCAATTTTTATTTTTTAGAGATAAACTTAACAATTTTTATATCCGAAAAAAATCCAAAAAATTTACTGTTTCAAAAATTAAATAATTTTCATTTGTAAATATAAAAAATGGTAATCTGACTCGTTAAGCAAACTGATAATACAGAACAATTTCGCCCTGATTTCGTCAAAAAATTATATTATTCTGCATAGACCCATATTTAATTTTTGAAACAGTGAATTTTTGGATTTTTCAAGTTCTTTGAAAATGTTTTCCCCAAATCTCTCACCAGTAGCATCAGGATTAGTAGTGACCGATTCAACCATCAACAACCATGTTCCTCTTGGATCCTCTCCCCATTGTTGAACCGAAAGGAAAGGCCATTTGTGGAAACCGTTTGCATTGAAATCTTGTGGTCTTGGTGGCAATAATACGGAACGAGTTCCAGACGGCGAGAATAATGTCAATTTCAGATCGCCTCTTTTCAAATATCGGACAGTTGCGTGAACTTGAACATGTTCTAGGTATAAGACGGGAGTTCCGGATTCACAGCCATTTACATCGAGTGTGAAATTCATTTGGAATCGACCAGTGATTGGACGAGGGCTGAAAAATTAGCAAAATAAAATTTCAGATTTTCTTTTTTGATTTCTTCGCGAAAACTCATTTTTAAAATCTAAAAATCAACATTTTGGCGCCATTTTTCAGAATTTTATTGATTTTAATTTTCTCCCTCCAGAACCATCCCCCAGCTCCTCTCAAAAACACTCACTTTGGCGCCGCCAATCGATATTCATACGTGCAAATGTGTTGTTCGGGCACAGTTTTCCATTGTTTCGCCAAATCCACCAATTTTCCACCATCCATAATTCCGTATCCAAATTTGTTGCTCACCATTCGACCGACTCCGTTCTTCGACCAACCCGGATTCTTTTCGAGCGGTTTCCAGTTGGCAGTTCGGAGAACAAGATGTTGCATGTCCCGCCAAGTGAGTTCGGGGCTGAAAATTTTTATGTTAAATAAATTTCCAGTTGAAAATAGACTCACTTTGCCTCCAACGCAAGTGCAATAATTCCAGCAGCTAATGGAGCAGAAGCAGAAGTTCCAGTATGTTTATCAGTACAACCAGATGGAACATCAACTGTAACAATCGCAGGTTGTCTAAAATCAGCTGAACTATAAGTTGTGGCAATAGAAGAAGGGCATTCTTCCAAATACCAAGGTCTACGATTATCATAAGTCGCCGAGGAAATTGATAAAGTATAAACACTTGTTGTATAGCCATCAGCTGAACAAGAATCCTGTCGACTTCCACCATTTCCACTTGCCCAAACAAAGATATTTCCTTTTCCTTTTCGACCATTCTTTATTCCTCGATAAAAGGCTTCTCTTGCTAATGGACCTGGTCCATCAAATGTTTTTCCATCGTCTTCAGGTCCCCAGGATGCCGAATAAATATCAATGTGATCTTGGTTCAGGGAAAGGGATGCAGCTTCGACCGAATCGGAAACAGCTCCATCCAGCATTCTCACTCCTCCGATTTTTGATTTGAAAGCGACACCAACTCCACATTCGTTGTTTCCAGCGAGTGCAGCGACTTCTCCAGCACATCTTGTTCCATGTCTGAAAATATTTCTCATTTATCGACTTTCTTTAATTTTTCAGAAAAAAAACCCCACTTGTTATCTCCGTTGTTTTGTGGAGTTGGATCATTATCGTGATCGTTGATATCTGTCGACGCCTGTGGATCGTAATTCGCCGCCAAATCTGGATGGTCCCTGGAAAAAAGCGATTTTTCTCGTTCGATATTGCATTTTGCCGTGATGGTGTTTGCAGAAATATCGTGGCGCGCTATGGGTTTTTCAAAAAAAGGTATACGGTATGTGCAAACACGCTGACGACATATTGCAGAAATTGTGAATTTTTTTTTGTTTTCTCAGCATCTCCTGGCGTACAAAATGCGCACGATAACGTACGCTTTCCCTACACTCTTTCTACGCTTTTTGTACACTTGCCACTTTTCGCGAGTGTAGCTACATTGTAGGACCGCGTTGCAAGCTTGTTGCGTTGCGGCTATTATTTTATTTTTGTTTTCTATTTTCTTTTTGGCCTAAAATTCTTTTTAAACGTATAAATCAGGTATCATGATAGTAAAATTATATCTGCGTGGATTCTAGAAGTTGAAAATAATTATTGAAGCTATCAAACAACTTATTCGTCAAAAAAATATCGTTTTTTCAAGAAAAACCTTGAAATAATTTCGAAAATTCATCCAAACTGCGAATCAGAGTTGACCGATAACATTCCTTCTATTTATTCTCGTTATTATTCTTTTTACACCTGAATTTGATTGCGATTTGTTGAATTTCAGATCATCAAACCAACAACTCCTAGAATTTGCATCATGACGGCAGAAAAAAGGAGGAGAATCTTCACTGGAGTTCATCGAGGAGATGATTTTAAAGGTGAGGAAGACTACTAGGAAGACTAAGAATTCGGAATCTTACTGGCTAATCGCCTGTCAAAACGTAGGTGATCTGAAGTTGGCAGATCATTTCGTGGAGACGCCTCTTATAATTATGATAAGTAGTAATGTAATGGGACTTGGGATGTTTATGAATATCTAGAAAGTTGAAAATCATCCTATTTTTCAGGTTGACACTTGATGCTCCGCCTACACCTACGCCCAATGCTAACATCGGGACAATTTCGACCGAAGATTCGCAGTAAAGTCACCTGAATATCAACGACAATATGCACATGCTCCACAACCCGACTTCTACCCCTCAACCCCGACTTCAACCACTCAACCCTCAACAACCAACTCATTCTCAAAAAATCTTCGGAAAAATTATATTTCTAACTTTTTTTATTATGTTTTGAAGATTTTTGTTATTATATTTATTTAATGTGCTAAAAGTCTATTGATCCATAAATGATTTGTTATATTTTCTAGTTTTAATCTCTCCTAAATCGCAGCGCAAAAAGAAAAAATCGATTCGAAATTCGGTGTACGGTTTTCGTTCAAAAAAGGAAAAGTGTAGGATCTTTGTAGAGTTTTTTGTAGGATGTGCGTACAATGTTTGTAGCGTGCGTCATACAACAATGTAGCTACACTTTTTGTTCGCAAAAGTGTACGCCAGGAGATGCTGAGTTTTTTTCGTTTTCACGGGTTTGGTTCAAAATTGTCAATTAAGCGCGAATACTTAGATTATTTCTGATGGAAAGCTGATTTTATTCTTGAAAATCGGCCTATTTTGCCCTAGCCTCCTTACAAACCTTTGAATTCCGTCATCTAAAATCGAAATCGAAACATTTCGTCCAGCATAACCTTGTTGCCAAGCGGCACGAACATTCATATCATATCCGCCAACGGCTCCACCATGCAAATACCATTGATCTTTGTATAATGGGTCAGGAAATGGGAGAACTGGAATTTCTCGGACGACTTGACGAAAGGATCGGCGAGGTGTAGAAGTGCCGCTGAGAACAGATCGACGAACATGCCGCACATCCTAAAAGTTGGTTTTCATTGTAATCAGCGTTTAATTGCTAAAAAACAACAACATACATCATCCAAATGAATATAATCTCTTTTGGTTCTCCGTTTTGGTCGTTGTTCTTCAGACCATTCAACAGCAGGATGACTATCCAATCGTTCATAAACCGCTCGTTTATGCCTCCGTGTTTTTGTCGAATCTTTATGATACAAAAAATAGTGACTGTCGAGGAACGGCTCGCCTTTCACATCCATTCCGTGTTCTTCGGCGATTTGTCGAGCCAATTCATCATCTCGTTTAGCTAGTCGTATCACTGTGTGATGAGGTTCTACACAATTTTCATCGCCATTTTCACATAACTAAATTGGATTTGGTTTTGTATTTAGGGTGCTTTAGATTCCTAAAACTCACCGAATCATGCTCATTCGCGTATAAATTCACACAAAATATTAGTAATAATAACAATAATATCCGCATAATAATAAAGATCTAGAAAAAAAAATGAAAAATGAGATAATTCTTCAGATTTTGAAGATCTATCATTCTGAATAGCCCAGAAATTTAATATTTCAGATTTTCACGGGATGATAGATGACATAGAGTTTACTTTATGTGATCTATCATTCTGGGGAGCTCTGAATTATCAAATTTTTGGGGGCTACTCGGAATGATACCCAAACTCACATGAAAAATACCCTATTTGTAAGAAGAGACGTCCCAATCTAGTACATATGAGCGTTATCGAGTAATCAAATAGGGGGGACGCCTGAAAATTTCCATTTTTAGTTGTTTTTCAAATTATAAAAAAATTTAATTCGAATTATTACGATAATTTGACGATTCATTAATATTATAATGAAAAAATAAAAAAATAAAGACCAAATAAGGCGAGCAAGTGCGCTCCAATTACACTCAAAAAAAAACAGCGAGACACATGAGTAAGTAATGAATTTTGTGTCTGTCAACCACCACAAAAATAGTGACCTTGAGAAGGACCTATAACCCAAAAAGAGACCCGCCCAAACCACAAAACGAGATTAAACAGTTGTAGTAATAAGAAGAGGTGAACTTTTGTGAAGGAATTTTTTGCCTCTCGCGAGAAAAATCTCGATTGAACTGTTAGATAATAAATATATAAATAAAATGAAATAAATGCTTGTATAAATAAATAAATACGATAAAATTCATAAAAAAACTAGTTTTTTTCTCGATGATCGATGACTGTACTTTTGGAATATATATTTTGATGAAAACAATTACCTTTCGAGACCAAAATTATTCAGTTATTTGTCAAAAAAGAAATATCGAGAAATAAATCGACTAGGAAAAAATTGTGTACTAGTTATTTTATGTGGAACACGCCGGAAAAGATTATGACAATTATTTTTTTTCTTTGTTATCACAAGGCGTGAGTCACAATTTTTCGTGTCAGGAAAAAAACGTAAAATGAAATAAAATAAGAAAAATGGAAAACTTCCGGGAACCGGAAATCCATCAAAAATAAAAGAAGGTAGATCAAATAATAATTTGAGGGTTTTGACGTTATTTGATAGAAATTATATGATATGAGCAATCCTTCAAGGGGAAATATAGATTAACATGAGCAATGGTTTTTTAAAGGGATTTGCTCATGTTATTCTATATTTTCCAATGTATTTATATTTTCTTCCAATATTTCCACCATAAAAAATTCGTCCAAAATTCAAAAAAAAAGGATTATCAATAGAGCGTAGATGACTAATCGGATGAGTCATTTTCACCCTTTTGAAAATCAAGAATTTTTGGCAGACATGTCGTTTTTGCTGAATTCGGGCCCCTAAAGCCCGCTCAATTTATCACGGGCCCGGCTGACCCGGCCTTATGAAAATTTAAAAGCGGCCGGGTTGGCCTCGCCCAAACAATATTTTTGAATGGCCAATTTCAGAATTTTTTTTTGATGTTTTCGATGTTGGATTGTATTTATATGAGTGAAAAATCAAATTAGAATGTGATATTTTGCTTATAAAAATAGAAATAAGTAACAAATCGAAAAATAAAAAGCAAAAATTTCAAAATTCAAGTGAATTCTCTTCCACACACATATTATTTTACTATTTTTACTCTTTACAATGTTTGAAAATCATTAAAAATTCCCTTTTGACCACGAAAAACTCATTTTTTCAATGAAAAAAAATCGAAGAAAAAATAAGCGGGCCCCAAAATCGGGCCAATGAAAGCCGCACATGTTAAAATCGGGCTTCGGCTGAAAAAAGCCCGATTTTTTGTGTTTACTTCGGGCTCAGCCCGGCCGGCCCGGCCTGCAGCGACATGTCTGATTTTTGGAATTCCGAACTTTAGTTCCAACTAACAATAACAAAAAAAAAGGTTGACCCAATAATTGGCTTTTTCTCGATTCATCAGCAGCCAAAAAAAAGGAGGAAGAATAGTATTTATGTATGTTGCCTGTTTGAGAGAAAAAAGAACAAGAAAGTCGAGACGAAAGTGAAATTTGAATTGAGAAATGCCCCCAAATCGAGAGAAATAGATGCATTGTTCTTTTTGTCAGTCAGTCTCCAACCATCAAAAAAAATGGAAATACAAAATGGGAGAACTGAAAAATAGGTAAGGGAGAGGAGAACATCAACGAGATATTGAATCGCAAAAAAAAAAGAAGTTCGAGGTTAGTTGAACGAGATAGTGAGAGAGTGCAGAGAAAAAGAGCGATGGTACTTGTTAAAGTAATAATTGAACAAGAATAACAATAACAACAATCGACATATTTTGAGTGGGTCTGAGTGGATTTTGGAAGTAGAAATTGAACAGGTTAGAAGGGGGAGCAGGTGGCGAGAGTTGGGTAGAGACGCAGAGAATATAGAGAGTTAGGAAGATGACGTGATGAATCACGAAATTCAAAGATCATGAAACATCGAGAGGGCGGATCAAAAAAGTTAGAGACGCAGAGAATTTAGAGATCATGGGATTTTCAACTAGAGGCACAGAGGAGTTAGAGACGCAGAGAATCTAGAAATATAGAAAATCGGACAAAATCAAAATCTCGGTAGAGCGCATTTGTATATTTCTTCAAAAAATGATTCTAGTCTCTGTGATTTCTAGAGACAAGTTCAAACGTCTCAAAATATCTATTTGAGATCATGGAGACTCAGAGAATTGTTTCAATTAAACAACACTTGCTCACTGTCAAGAAAAAAAAGTTGAAAGATAAATCGAATCGATTTTCGCTTTTTCAAATTTCAAAGTTCAAAATCAAATGGAAGAAAAAGAGCAAACAAAGGGCAGCAAACTATCTCATTTTTTGTGTGGTTACTTAGTTAGCTAACCAAAAAATCTATGAAAATGTTACAAAAAAAAAAAGATATGCAAGCAGAAAACACAAACCAGATTATCAAACCAGTTCAAACTAACTTTCAATTTCAAAAATTGTCAGTTTTTGTGATGAAGAAGAAGAAGAAAAGATGATGAAGCTCATCTGGAATTTGTTCTCTCGTGTTCACTGACCCCATAAATAACAAAACAGAGGGACAAGGAAAATAGATAGAGAGGAGATAATACTGCAGATCAGATGGTCTTTTTTGTTGTTACACTTTTCAGTCAGTCACTTTTGAATCCGTTAGAAGAAGTGTTGTGGAAAAAGATGAAGATTGAATAGGAAGCAGCTTGTCAAACATGCGAAATTTATGATTTATTTGATTTTCGAATCTGCGGAGAATCGCAAAAAAACACATCGGAATCAAACAAATAAACAAATATTGCATGATTTGACGGATTTATGTATTTTTGAGAATAAGGAAATCGAAAAAAGTCTAGAGTTCAGTAGAGCAGATTTGCTTCATCGTGTCTTCAGAGAATCATTGACACCCCAGCGTACTAGATTTAACTTTATAAAAATTCAAAAATTTTTCAGAAAGTCTAGATTTCGAAAGAGCAGTTTTGCTTCATAAAGTCACCTGCGCTCTATCGTGAAACTTTGAATTTTTATAAAAATTCAAAAAAACCCTATGATTTTTGAACAAGTTTTATTCAAAAATCAATATTTTATTTATTTATTTATTTCAATCCAAAAAATTTGCAATAAATGAAAAAAAAACACATTGAAATTGAGCAAATATTGGTGTAACATGACAATTTTCACAACAATTACCTACATTAGAAAAGTCAACAAAAAATATTTTTTGACACAAAAAAAAAAAAAGAAGCAAACGCGCTCCACTGAAACTATTTTTCTTTTCCGAATTGGGGGCATAAAATGATATGGGTGGGGTGCTGATCTAAGATTTAACCTGAGACCGTAGATGAGGCCCCCTCACTCATTAAAATTATCTTAGATGAGGCCCCCACAGTTAGTTGAGCCCCCACTGAATAATAGACCCCCACCCAAAATGAGGACCCCAAAATATTATTTTTTCACTGGGTGGGTCCCAAGTGGGGGCTTCTCCTGGGATGTGGGGACCTGAATTGGGGTGGGGGCCTGTTCTGCGTTTTTACCCGTTTAAAAAAAGAAGCAAACGCGCTCCACTGAAACTATTTTTCTTGGTATGTGTGAAGAAGAAGGAAAAATTTCGCATCAAATTTATTCAAAAAAAATTTTGTAAACAAAAAATGAATAGGAAGAGGAATTCAAAAACAAAAAAAAGTGCATTGTTTATTCAACATATGTCATATTCGCATTTTTCCGGGAACATTTTTCATTTTGCAAAATGAAAATGAAAAAAGTTTTCGGCCGCCAAAAACGACTCGATTTTATTTTATTACTAAAAAAACCATAAAACAACCAACCCGGAAAAAATCTTGGGTTCGGGAATTTTTTCAAACATCAGATTTTTCCGGCGAAAAACAAATAATATCTATAAGAGAGAAGGATATACAAAAGCCGAACGAAAAAACATTTGAAAACGAAAAAAACATATAACAGGACAGGACATTTGTTATTTTCAACTGGGGAAAATTGGAGAGAAATTGATTTATTTGGTGTTATTTTTGAAGAAAAGTGAGACGTGACCAGGAGATCAGAAATTAGAAAATTGAATGAGAAAAATTTCGGATTTTTGGAGGAATTCCTAATAATTCGGTCCTATTCAGGATATTTATCTATTGGAATAAAAATTAGAGCTGATCCGATTCAGGCCCAAAAATTCATTAAAATTTAGAAGTTTGAGCTTCAGAACTTCTGGATAATTTTTTTCCGATATTTGAATAGCGTCTGAATTGGACCTGAAACTTCGGATTATTCTTAAATTCCAGGATCGGATCATAGTTCCAAAAGCCTATATTAATCTACTTAACCTACTGTAGCTCAGATTTTTGTTGAAACCAAAAATATTGGAAAGGCTTGTGATTTATGATCTATTTTTTGAGCCTGATACCAAGAATCCCTCAGAAATTTCAAAAATCCTTCCAAATTCTCCTATAACTTCATTCTCATCAGGTTCCACTACAATAAATCACAATCACTTCCACTTTTTTCTCAAGTTCCTCATTTCTCTCTGATTTTCTGTAGATCAAAAAATATGATGATAACTGATTTACTTTTTTCTTTTTTTTTTACAACAAAACCAAATTTGTTCTTCTTCTTTTTCTTCAAAAAAAGAACCTCGAGAACGGTTACAACAAAAGCCAAGTTTGGGCGCCAAAAAAAACTAGACAACAAAAAGATGTGAAAAAAAAAGAAAGACCGATTAAATCGAGAAATAAAACAAAATGGAAAGTGTGACGATTTTTCATGACCTCGGGATTTATTTTTTTTTCAATTTTTTGAAAAAAAAAACAAAATATGAGTTAGACGAAGTCAGAAAAAACGAGAATTTCTAAAAATGTTTTTTTTTTCAAAATACTAGGCATAGTTAACCCAACAAAATACTATGAGTTAGGCGAAGTCTTCAGAAAAAAACGAGATTTTCTAAAATAATGATCTTTTTGTTTATAGTTTCTCATTATTTGTTATTTGATGAGTTCAGCAAAAAAACTAGTATTTTTGAAAGTAGAGATCATAGAAAGGGCGCCAACTACAGTAATTCAAAAAAAGATTAGGGGGTACTGTAGATATTGGAAATTTGGTAGATCAAAAATTGATGGTTCTGAAAAAACTTATTCTTGAATTTGTTCAACGTGGTACTGTAGACGAAAAATTCGTAGATCAATAAATCATTGCTCTAGAATTCTGGAAATTCTAACTAACCCGAATCTTTGAGATAACTACAGTAACCAAAAATACTGAAAAAATAATGATTTCAAAAAATCAAAAAAAAACCAAGGGCTTTTTTTACGTTTCAAAAATTCATAATATTTTTTAGCAAAAATAAATCTGGGATTCTAAAGTTTGTTGATCATTGTTTTATTCACATCAAAAAAATAAAAGGAGATGACCAACTCGAATACAATAATAATAATGATAATCATAAAAGGCGTGAGCTGTTAAGTGGCTCATTTTCGAGTTTTTCTTTGCTCTTCTCTCTTCTTCTTTTTTTCGCGCGCTGCTTTTTGGGTCAAAGTGAAGTGGAGAAATAAAAAGAAGGAAAACGGAAGAAAAACGAATGAGCACTTCAAAATCTGCGTTCAAATCGAGAAAAAACAACAATATGAAACTTTTTTTGAATGAAATTTGATACTTTTATGCGTTTTCGATGGCATCCGTTTTTGGAAATTATGGGACTAAAAATAGATGAGACTATAAGAGTTTTTTTGGAATTTCAAGAACTTTAGAATTACTCTAATTTAGAAAAACGAATACAGTAACCAAAAGCTTTCTAATTTTTGATATACAGATTTTCAGAAACTACAGTAATCCATAAATATCCATAGACCTTTCTACAGTAACCGAATCCCCTTATAGTTCGAAATTTTGATCTCATGTACCTTTTTTGTTCAAAAAAGTTCCGATTCATCTCTGAACCTGAACCTGTTCCTTTTCCCGTTTTCTATTCTTGTTTTCGATTTTCTTTTTCTCGCATTCGAAAAAAATCAACCGGTTTTTCCCTTTTCTGATATTATTATAAGCTATTTATTATCCATCACCTTATCATTTTTTAAAATCCTTGAAAATGCGATTTTTTATTGCATCGTTTTATTTTTTATCAATTTTTTTGGCTCAAATCCAAATTTGTGATTGTGGAGTTCGGAATCGAAATTCGAAAGATGATATGGCTTTCAGTTTTGGGACCATTGAAAATGGTGAAAATTATGGGGCAAGACCATTTTTGGAGGTGAGTTTGAGAGGCCGTGAAAAATAGATACAGCATAGACTACAGTAATCTGTTCCACATGACATTAAATTTGATTTTTTTTGTCTGAAAAATCCCCAAAATTCAAATATTTTTTCTCAGATCCCAGTGGATGGCAAAAAACTAACAGTACCCAAAGCCTTCTATCACTACACAGAAAATGAAATGTCAGCTGGCGCGAATTTCGGAATTCCAGATGATGCTCGACTTATGCAAACTGATTCGCTGTTTGTGAATAATCGAAAAGAAATTAATGGGATTTATTTGCCGCTTCCAAATATGGATCCAATTAATTTGCATTTTATTAATGAGAAGTGAGTTAATTCAGGATTTTGTATCATGAGAACTTTGAAACCATCTATGATCTCTAAAAATCTTGATTTTCAGAATTTTCGAGAAAGGAATCGACACAAAAGCGCACGAAGAATCTCCAGAAAGCGTGCTCCATCGGGCTAAAATGTAAGAACCTTCTGAATCTCTGGGTCCAAAAATCTTTCAGGCTCTGCCTTCACGGTTCAGAAACCGAGTGCGAGAAACAACTTCTGAAATATCATCGAGTGAAGAGCGAGGCAATTCGGAGGGAAAGAATGCCACTTCATGAGCAACTTATGGAGCTGGTGGGTTTCTAGGCAACTGGGAAAAAAATCTAGGTGTAAATGTGGAGCTTCGTATAGCCGCCAAAAAATGAGTAATCCTGGAGCATCGTAATTTTATGATTATTTCGAAAAATTATTTTTTTTCCCGCGAAAACACAAGGTGTAAATGCGGAGCATTGTATTTTACAACACCAAATTCAATTTTTTTCAGGGAAGCCTTTCATCTTCTGCAAAACTTCACGATAAAGAGGGAAATGGAATGGGAGTTGTTGTCGGAGTTCCGGGTTACGATCCAATGTACATTGGAGCGAATTTGGGACATGATAATGGACAAAATTTGGATATTAATTTTGCGCCGCCTTCTTAAAGCGGAATTTGAATACAGGTAGAATCGGGATATATTAATAATCAAAACTTTGTGTTTATAATAATAATAATAATAAGCTGTAATTAAAAATTAATAAATTTTCTTCTACAATTTCGCCAAAAATTCTTCCTGAACCGGCTGCTCAATTTTTTTCTCAATTCTCTTCATAAATTCATCAATCTGTCCAATATATTGTTTTGGATATTTTGGAAAATGTGCAACATGCAGTGAATCCTTGAATCTTGTGCTAATCACATCTCGACCTCGATATCTTACGGTATCTTCGAATGATTTTATCACCCTGGAATTTATTTAAGTAACACATCAACTATTTAAGACTTAGCCTAACTCACTCAGCATCACAAACAATATCAGCGTCAGAATAGACAAATGAGATAACTTTGGGAAGATTTGGATGATGTAAAATATAGTGGAAAGGTGAGACATTTTCCAGTGAAACATAGCCGATTTTGATGAGAGTATTGTCGCGGACTGTGTCGTAGATGAAGCTCGCATTTGCCCAGAATTTTGAGAAGTTTCTTGAGAAGAAGTTGAGATTCTGCAATAAAAATTATTGAAACGTGAAACATTGTTGGCCTCGTGGAATTAATCATTTCCCATTTCCACTGATTTTTTTCGATTCTGTGAGTTTTTCTGTTAATTTTTGGGATAACTCTAGTTTTCAAACAAATATTCAGAATACTTCAGGATCTTTAGATCTCTGGATTTAAAATTCTAGGCCCTGTGAAACCACAATCTTTCCGCAAACACCACACGCACAAATGCACACACACACACTCACCTGACTATCATACAAATGTTGCATAACCAAAGAATAAGCCTTGACAACTTTCAAATAATCACTATTATTATGAATCGGACAACTATCGAAAAACATTCCCTCGCATTTCTCAAAAATCCGCAATTCCGGGTATTGTAAATCGAGAGCACATAAAGTGAAGACACCATTTGTTGAGATTGTGTGGAAAACCAGTTTATAATTGGGATTCTCGTCCATACATGGCACTGCTCTCAAAATTGTGAGGGGGAGATCATGACATTTGGAAAAAATTTTCGAGGGGGGGATCATGACATTACATACAAAAAATCTAAATTTTTTTCAAAGTGAAATCGGTACGCTAGAAAAAAATTGGGTTTTTGCATGTGGTCATTTTTGACATATTTTTTCAGGTTCGATAATTTGGAAACTAGTGCTTTAGGAATATCGAATGTAGAGAACGAGCGAAGAGGTCAACGGATACCGTTCATCGGCTAATTATTCTTATTTTATTTCTAAAATTCTCAATTATATTTTTCTATATCCTTCTAAAATAAAAAATGAGTTTATTGTAGTAAGTTCCTTTCAGAAATCTTCATGCAATGATCATGCTCAACCCTTCTGAACAATTCCATATAAATTATAGACAATGCGTTATTTATTTGATAATCAAATTGAAACTCAAAAATATTGAATTAGAAAACAAAAGAAAAAAGTGGATTCCACCGAGAATTCGATCCAAAAACCGTCTGATTATTAGGCGCGATCTCTACCGACTTGACCACGAGGCTACTTTTTTCACACGCTTATTTTTAAGTGATAAAAAAGGGATAGAAGGGGAGATAAAATGAAAAAGAGAAGGAGAAGCGGAAAAAAATCATGAAATTTTTGAAAAATTACCATTTTTTATCGAATTTCGCCGATTTTGTTATATGTTCCGACTGTATAAGTAACTTAAGGATGGTAGAAAGGAATGTCTGTTAAAATTATCTCAAAAGATGGCTTATTTCTTGAGATATGATCCCCCAAAATGACATAGCAAAACGGCTTCGATTTTGGGGGATCATATCTCAAGAAATAAGCCATCTTTTGAGATAATTTTAACAGACATTCCTTTCTACCATCCTTAAGTTACTTATACAGTCGGAACATATAACAAAATCGGCGAAATTCGATAAAAAATGGTAATTTTTCAAAAATTTCATGATTTTTTCCGCTTCTCCTTCTCTTTTTCATTTTATCTCCCCTTCTATCCCTTTTTTATCACTTAAAAATAAGCGTGTGAAAAAAGTAGCCTCGTGGTCAAGTCGGTAGAGATCGCGCGTAGTAATCAGACGGTTTTTGGATCGAATCCTCGGTGGAATCCACTTTTTCTTTTTGTTTTCTAATTCAATATTTTTGAGTTTCAATTTGATTATCAAATAAATAACGCATTGTCTATAATTTATATGGAATTGTTCAGAAGGGTTGAGCATGATCATTGCATGAAGATTTCTGAAAGGAACTTACTACAATAAACTCATTTTTTATTTTAGAAGGATATAGAAAAATATAATTGAGAATTTTAGAAATAAAATAAGAATAATTAGCCGATGAAAGGTATCCGTTGACCTCTTCGCTCGTTCTCTACATTCGATATTCCTAAAGCACTAGTTTCCAAATTATCGAACCTGAAAAAATATGTCAAAAATGAAACTCCCCCTCTCTCTTTGATTTTTTTCATTTTTTTTCACCATTTATTTTTTCAAATTTTTGACGAAAAAATTGAGGGGGGGGATCATGACATTTCAAAATTTTGGGGAGGGGGGGATCATTACATGGAGGGTCCGTTGGGCAAAGATGCCATGTATGTTCTCGTCTAGAAGTTGGAGATAGGCTTCGGCGAGTTCGGTGACTCTTCGAGCGTTTTTTGTTCCCCAACCGATTCGAATCGCAGCCGCCGTGTATTGGATTGTTGTATATCTAGGGGGAATATATATAGATATACAAGGTGTAAACGTGGAGTATCGTAATTTTCGAAGCGATTTTTCGAAAAACTCACCCCTTCTTCTGATAAATCCTTGTATATTTCTCCACATTTTTATCAACTCCACCAACCCATCCAAAAACTGTCACAACAATATTACAATCCACATTTTGACTTCGAGTTATAATAGCTTTCGGATACAAATTCATTTTTCTTTTCAAAAATGATTTCGAATTTGTTTATCAACTCACAAACCCATTAAATTTGTGTACTGTATTTTTGGAGGCGGGCTGATGTTCGGGAACAAAGCGCGTTCCTGGAGTTTAGCGCTGATAAAGAGTCGAACTTTGAAAAAGTGCAATGTTTATCTATTTTTTTTGTACATGACAAAAAATTGACAAACAAAAAAATTTCGAAATTGCTTCGGGAGCATTGGGAGCAAATTTTTAGGATCTTGAAAATTAGTAAATTTTCGAAAAATCCAGATGATCCAATATTTATTACACAATTTTCATAATGACTATAACTTCGAGTTAAAATCTCCTCTTGACTCTTCAATCTTCCTCAAAAACTCATCAATTTGGGCTAAATACTCCTTCGGATATCGTCGAAAATGCTCAACATGCAGTGAATCCGTATACCTCGTACTAATCACATTCCTCCTCCTATTTTCCCGTACTTTTTCTTGAAATTCATGAATCAATTTCGCATCGCAAACCAAATCGCCGTCCGAATAAACAAATGATAAAACTTTGGGTAATTCGGGATTTTTGAGAAGATAATGATAGGATGAAACTTGCTCGATTTCGGCTAAGCCGCTTTTGACGAGGGTTTTGTCGCGAATTGAGGAATAGACATATTTCATGATTGCTAGGAATTTCGACACTTCGTAGATGCTATTTGTGATGAAGTTTGTGTTGATTTTCTGAAAGAAGGAATTTATTTTTTTAGTAGACCTTTACTTGATTCTGTAAATGAGTTATGACGTGGCTAGCATGTTTTTTTGGAAAATCTCTCAGGTTTCAGAAAGTATTTTCTGAAATTTGAGATTTTTTCAAATTTGAACTGAACATTTACTCAAAATCAGAATAATTTTTATGCTTCCAAATTTTCCGCCTTAAAATTTGACTTCTGAAAAATACGTTTCAAAAAATTTGTATATTTGAAATTTTTTTGACATTTTAATTCGGTACACGAAAATGATTTGAAGACTAAATTTTTTCTTTGAAAAAAAATAGACGACATTCTCACAAGTTTCTCCTCCAAAATGCTTACCATGCTATCATAAACATGTTTCATAACAATCGAATAAGCCTTAATCATTTTCCAATCTCCATCAATATTATGAATCGGACAACTATCGAAAAACATTCCCTCACATTTCTCCATTATTCTCAATTCCGGATATTGTATATTCAACGAGCAAAATGTGAATACTCCATTCATCGAAAATACGTGAAAAATGAGTTTTTTCTTCGGATCCTTTTTGATCAATTTATCCAAAGTTTCAGCGAGTTCGGTGACTTTTCGAGATTTTCCAACTCCCCAGCCAATATTATAAGCTGGAGCGGTGTATTGAATTGTTTTGAACCTGCAAATTTCGATTTTGATTTACACATGTCATCTAAACTCACCCTTTATCCTGATAAATCTTCGCATATTTTTCCACATTTCTCTCCGATCCTCCAGCCCATCCAAGAACTGTTACAATCGATTTCTGATTCTTGATATCCGCTTCATTTTGAGATACGATAACTCGAGGATTCAACATTTTCCTGCCTAATTGTAAATAATTGACGAAATCATGTAGACTACATTGTAGTCCAGAGAAAATCGATAAACATACCTATCAATTGTATCGCTTTTATCATTTTTTTTTGCTAAACTAGAATTGTTTTGTTCTTTCTGGAAAAGAGTTAGATAAGTGAATAAGCAGCGAAACTATTGTCAAATCAAATTCGAACGTTAAAAATCTTTATTATTTTCTTTATTTGACATGAAAAATACCCGAAACAACAGAAAAATACACCTACATCTTCTTATTCTTTTCTTTTACATGAGCAATTCAGATTTTTCGATTTTTTTGACAAAATTCAAACAGGCACTTTTGTACAAATCGGGATCTTTTCGAATGTGCGCGCAGTGATCGGATTCGCCAAAATTTATCGATTGAACATTGGCGCCTTTCTCTTGTTGTTTGGTGATGAATTTTTCGACGTGTCTGGAAATCAGCGGATATAAATCTACCAGAAATGTTCGAGCATGACGTGGCAAAATTTGAATTACTTGGTATAAATTTAGTTATTTGAATCAAAATCCAACAAAGCTCTGTTCAGAAAAAACGTCACAAATTTTCTGATCTATCAAAATAATCAGAGCTTTATCCTGGACGAACCTTATAAAGTAACGAATTTTCAAAGTTTGCCACGTCATAACTCAGAATAAAAAAAATCAAAACTCACTTATGTTTGATCATTGTGTCGCCCGTTGAATACAAATACAATTGCTCTTTCGGGAGTTTGATATGATCCTGTAGATAGTAATAGATCGATAAAAATGAGCGAAGAAATGGGACCATTGCCAAAAGTGGAATTTGTAGAGTTGCTCGCAAGTTCAAAAACGCGGTGAGCAGCGAGATTCGCGTATTTTCGCTGACTTTTTCAAACATATCGATGGGAGGAGTTGAAAGAACCATTGCAGTGGCATCTTGTCGACCATAAGGGCGAGATGGAGCACTGTCGAATATGACACCTCGAATACGATCTCGAAGTTCGGGTTTTTCTTCAGCTTCTGTCCATTTGAAGAATGAGATGATTCCACGAACACCATTCATTGAGAAAGAATGAACAATTATTGGGCTGCAAAAATCAGTTCAAGTTTAAAAATAGGGGTTTTCTTGCTCACCAGCTCTTGAATGTTCGAAAATCACCGGGTTTCGCGTCAATCGCTCGGAAAAGAGGTGACATATAAAAACCAACACGCGAATTTGGAATACTATAATGATAACATGGTGGGCAAAGTGAAACAACTCGATATCCTTCGTCATTATAAAACTTGACATATTTCTCAATGTGTTTTGGATTTGCTCCAGCCCAACCAACTAATAAAATAACAGGCTTGTTTTCATCTACCGAACCATCCGAGAAAACTATCGATTCGATTTGTTCGGGTTCTTGAACTGTTGGTAAATGAATTTGCATTTTTGGTTCCGGAACATGTCGTGTGAAATAGAATCTTCTCGCTTTTATTTTCTCTAGATTTGTTGTTTGATTTCCAATGCGATATATTATACTGGAACTTCGTCGACAAACGGAAAACATCTGTAAGAATTTCATAATTTTCAAACCGCCTATCTTTTTTATGAACGAAAAAACGGCAGGAAAGATACAAGATTCAGACTTTGGAGGAATAAAAGATGATTCGTTTTTAAAAACTCACAATTACAAAAATTCCAAGTTTCAGAAAGGGAGAGAGAAAAAGAAAATGAGAAAAACGTGCGAAGCGAAAAAAAAAAGAAAATAAAAAAGTGGGGGACTAGTTTTCATGGGACTTGTCGGCGGCTAGGCCACGAGACGAATTAGAACTTTTCACGAAAAAAACATGATTTCTCGATGAAAAACTTCGAAATATGAAGTTTAGATTAAAAACAAAAATTCGTAGAATTACATGAATATTTAGATCAAAAATTTATTAAAATGCTTCAAAAAAATTTACAAAAAATATTCCATATCTATCAATCCCAAGTCGTCATCTTCCTCAGGTTGTTCATGATTTTCTCCTTCATTTTTCGATATTTTTTTCGAAGGTGTAATCTTTTTCAGCTCTTGACTTCTTCGTTTCCTAGAACTCGGAGTGTTAATCTCTTCTACATTTTCATCGGGTTTTTCTCTTTCTTCTTTCGATATGTTCTTGGAAGGTGTAATCTTTTTTGGTGCTAGGCTTTTTCGCCGTCTAGAACTCGAACTTGTTGGAATATCTTCTTCATCCGGTTTTTCTTTCTCATTTCTCGATTTCTTCTCGGAAGGTTCAATATTTTTTGGTTCTAGATTTGTTCGCCTTTTAGAAGTATATGGAATTGTAATATCTTCCTCTTCATCTTCATTCTCACTTCCATCATCTTCCTCTTCCTCTTCTTCATCAAATTCTTCAATATCTTCAAGAACTTCTTCTGAATCTTCATAGAAATTCAAAATTTCCTTAATACAATCTTGTTCTTCACTCGTTTCTTCCATTTTTTCGTCGCCCAATTCGTATAGGTAATCTGAGCGAAGCCTAAGTTTTTCTAAAAACTCTGCCTGGATTTCTCCAAAGGTACCGGGATTTCGAACAAGTTCTTTCTGAACATTTGAAGATTTTTGAATTTCTGGCAGTGAAGAAGGATTTTTGATTTGAACATTGACTTCCTGTAAAGAAAAATAGTTTTTATCCAAGAAAATTTTGCAAAAAAATTGAAAATTTACCAACACTTGAATCTCATCATCCTCAAGTCTATCCAAATCCGTGAAATCGTGAGATTTTTGAATTATCAATTGTTCAGGATGATCTTTCCAATATGAATTTGTTGCATATTCATTTCCTTGTTCATTAACCCATACAACCTTATTCTCATATCCAGATAAAATACATTTGACGAACTCGGAAATATTCGAATTGTGTTTTAAGCTTGGTTTTGAATTCATCGAAATTTTGGTCAGTATTGCTTCTAGACATTTTGCACACCATTTCGCGCATAAAATTGTGCGAACAACGATTTGAAAATCTTCGAAGCAAACTTTATTTACACCACAATTCCTAACCAACATGACTTTATCGATTGTTTCTTTGATTTGACCATGATTGTTTCTAAAAAAATAAAAATTTACGAAAAACATCTTTAAAAGTAACTCACTTGTGCCTGTCATTTGGTTCTACACTAAATCGTTGTTGATATGGCCCATAAAGATTTACAGTCGATTTTCCGATCCTTGCAAAAACTCCAATAGAAGAATCAGTGATTTTGAAAACCTTTTCGATTGATTCTTCTAATTGTTTGGAATGTCGAACTTCTTGATCCAATAGTTCTAACACAATATTTGGATGGAAGATGAATTTCGGAATCGCCGCATTTTTCTGACTTTCATTGATGATTTTCACGAGGAGCGCATTTGCTGAAGTTGTTTTGAATTTCATGATAAAATCGTTGTTCTTCCCAGCCTTCAGATCGTCTTCAGCATCTTCGATGGTCTTGAGAAACGCCTCTATTGTACAAGGCATGCCTTACAGGTGAAAATTCGTTTTTTTTTCGAAAAAAAATAAAATAAAATTATTTTCTGCATTTTGGCGTCGCCGTGTTTACAGAAACCGTATAATTTTTAAAGGAACACGTTATCTTTTGTAGGGTCTCATAACGATTAGTGTGGCAGTTTAAATTTTTTACTTTTATTTTTTTCATTTTTCTTTTTTTTTCGTGACAGTTGTGTGCATTTTCTGGTCATTGTGTTGACACAAATTGAAAAAAAAATGAAGAGAAAATATCTTCATTTTTTCGTTGATTGTCTGATCTTGACAAAAAACCGATTTCCATATCATTAAACACGCGTTTCAGAAATGTTCTCCATATTATCGAAAACCCCAAATGTCCTTCGACATGTCTGCGTCTCTTCAAACCTATCAAATATCTCGTCTCCGTCTTCCTCTACTCATATTTATTATTCCACAACCTCGACAACAAAAAGACGCAAAATGGTGAGTATATATTTTTAGTTTTTAAGATTTTTAGGTAAAATGAAATATTTCAGGCAGTTTTGAGTGCTGAAGAACGTCAACAAGATCTTCAACCATTGTTGAATGAAGGATGGAGTGTTGTTGAGAATCGAGATGCGATTTTTAAGAAATTTACTTTCAAGGATTTTAATGAGGTATGGATTTTGGGGGGAAAATGGAAACTTATGTGAAATTATTCAGGCTTTCGGTTTCATGACACGAGTTGGTTTGAAAGCCGACAAAATGGATCATCATCCAGAATGGTTCAATGTCTACAATCGTGTCGATATTACACTTTCAACTCACGATTGCGGCGGTTTATCGCAAAAAGACGTGAAACTTGCAAAATTTATCGAATCGGTTGCAAAATAAAAATTGTATGATATGAATAAAATTGCTAAATAACTTAGCCTAAATCAAACTACGCGTGGGAAAAAAAAGACGAATCTTGAATGATTCTACGTTTCAAATTTTCAGCTTTCAGGTGCCAAAAATATCTTATGTTAATTATTTAAATTATTAGGCGGGTTTTTGTTGATATGTGTTGAATTATTGTCCCAATTTGAATCCTCTTCCCATATTCAATATTTTTTCGCATATAATTTGAGGATTTGATTCGCCTGGATTTGCAGTCATCACAGCTTCGACGACATGTTCGGGGAAAATGTTGGAAAGATGATATTGGACACGGGAACGTGGATCAGCATTGATTAAATGATCAGGGAGATTGTGTCTGAAAAAAAAGAAACGATGCTCCGGGTTTACACAAAATAGGTATTATTTTTGGAATTTTTGAGCTCAAAAAATTTCACAATTCTGAAAAAAAATGATATTCAACATTTTTGGAGAAACTTTCTGATGAGCATTTGTTTCGAAAAACCCAACAAAAACTGTACATTTTTAACGATGCTCCGGGTTTACAGGGGTCGAAAACGAGTATATTCCAATATTTTTGATCTCAAAAATGATTCCAAGAATATCTTTTAAAAATTTAAAAATTCAAAATTTTCTAGTAAAAATTCACTGTTTCAAAAAATGTTTATTAAAAATGTTTGGATGGATTTTTTTTGATAAGTATTGAGTGTATCGAGAAAATTTAAAAAAAATGTAAATTTTCATTTTTCTTATCTGATCGTTCTAATTTCTTTCAAAGCCGAATATTTGGGCCATTTCTTGATGTTCCTCTTCTCCTAACTAGAGAATAAATAAATTAGTAAAAAGTGAGTCAAACTACTGTAGATGGCGTTAGCCAGCGAAGCCCTTCTAGTATCTTTTAAAAATTTAAAAATTCAAAATTTTCTAGCAAAAATTCACTGTTTCAAAAAATGTTTATTAAAAATGTTTGGATGGATTTTTTTGATAAGTAGTGAGTGTAAATATCGCGAAAATTTAAAAAAAAATGTAAATTTTCAAACTCTCCGGGGTTTGCGGGGCCCTTTTTCGTAAGTTTTTGAGCAAAAATTCACTGTTTCGAAAAAATATTATTGAAAATTTCTGGAGTAATTTTTTGATTTTCTCTTCATTGAGATTTTTAACGATGCTTCGCAATTACGATGGACTCACCTTGTTGATAATGGTCCAACCGATAATTCCGAATTTCCCCAAATAGCGGTGGAGGGTGCATAAAGATGGGTTTGGGAGGAATTTGGAGATTCAAATGGACCTGGAAAAAATTCACATTGAGGCTTTTGGAGCTAATTTGGAGAGGAATTAAAAATTCAGCTGGAAAAATCTGAAAATGCTTATTTGGTGTCATTTTTCTTCAAATTTAAATCTACGTCCAAAAATTCTCCAATTAATTTTCCCCCCTCAAAAATCACCAACCTCTATTAACCGGCGATAATGGCATTGAACTATTTCTCGAAACTGATTGTCTACTATTACTATTGCTATTATTATGATGAATTGGTGGCGGTTGCAAATATTGTTGATTTTGCTGCTGCCATGGTGCACTATTTACATGTTGTATTGGTTGATGTGGTGAAGAATATTGGCCAGGGATTTGTTGATGATTTGGTGCAATTTCACCCGGTTGAACCATGTTTAGAGATTGAGTGCGGGAAAGTGAACAGTGCTTATTTTTGAACATTTCGTATTGCATTGATTTGACTGAAAAAAAATGAGGAGTTAGTGGAACTTGAGGATATTCAAATTCTAGATTTTCCAAAACTTTTTTGTCTAGACTTTCTCAATTTTACGTTGTCCCAACAAAAAGAAAAAAATTCTGAATCAAGAATCAAAAATTCATCAAAATCTACTTAATTTTACTCCCCAAACTCCAAAACCCTACCAGCCGACAGCGATTTTTTCTGCTGATTTTCCTTCATCAATCGATCAGTCACACTTGGTGCCCCATTGATTCTTTCCGGATGATAATATTTACACTTATTTCCATATGTGCATTTTCGTGCGTATGGACAGATTTGAGCACTTGGCAGAACTTGGGCTTTTGATAGGAATTGATCGAGACGTGGACCATATCTTCCCATTGGATCATCTGGTGGTACGAATCTGAGAAAAATAGGGAAAATTAGATATGAGGTTGGAGGAGGGATCAAAAAAATAACAAATAAAAATTATTTCGTAAAATTCTGAAACAGTGAAATTTTTTGAAAAATCCATGAATTTTCTATTTTCTTCAATAAAAAAGTAGCTAAATTTCTTCAGATTTTACCCAATACCTAGGATTCTAGGTGGGAAATTTTTGTAAATAAACCCACGTGGATAATTTTCTACCCACTTCTCCAGCTTCTTGAGTGAGGTTTGATTATAATTTCGGTGGCCTAGAAAATCAAATACACCATTTTCATAAAAACCCAGAAATCTTGTAGAATCTCAAAAAAAAAGAAATCTTTATTTGTGTGTGAACAAGGCACCCAAAAATACACAAATAAACAGAGAAATAAATAATTTTCGCCAGAAAAAACAGTGATGTTTGATGATTGTTTCTATTTTTTTTGCTTTCGAGAAATGATTCATCGAAAATTTGAAGAAAAAAAAAATGATTTTTGGTGATTCAAGAAGGAATAGCTGATAAGACTACAAAAAATTACGTCATTTTTTGAAATGTTGCCGATTTTTTTGACGCCAAATGGTCTATCTAGGGTGTTTTCTTTGTGGAAAATTTCTGGAGATATTCTAGACCACCAGAATTTTTAGGCCTAAAAACCCTAATTTTCGCATTTCCGGGTAAAGGTTTCTAGACCAATTTTCACGCTAAAACATGATCTGGGATAATTTTTGCAAAAAAAAACTCGTTCCCTAGGTCAAAAATCCCGCAATCTCTCCCCAAAACCACCCACTTGTCATCAACAATCGTGAACATCAACTGTCGTTGTTCGACCAATGTTCGCCACGTCGGATTCTTCTTCGTCAAATCGCGATATTCGTCGTTCGACACAATTACAGCGTCTTTGTCTTGAGCGGTTCGAAGAATGTACAAATCGTCGTGGCAGACAACACGGCGACCGTTTATGTTTCTGAAAATGGAAATTTTGGGGGTTTTTTTTTCGATGAAAATCCATTTTCAGGTGATTTTTAATGAACAATTTTCTGAAACAAAAAATTCAGCACACTCACCTCGATGGTGTATATTTGATAAATGGCTCGAGTTCGTCTAAAATGTGCTGATCGGTGATCGGCGAATCGGCTCGTGGTTGTTCGCGTCTGAAATCAATTTTTCGAAAGGTGTAAACGCGGAGCATCGTTTTACCTGTATTGTGGGATGAACACGTAGATATCACGGTGTCCGCGGTCGAGAAAAAAGTTGACGCAGTCGCGGATGCCGGCGCACGAGAAAACTTCCTTGCGGCCGTGGCTGCAAAAAAATGTGGTTTAGAATGTAAAAGCAGAAGTTATGACGTGGCAATTTTCGAGATGCCACGTCATCATCATGAATTTAGCTCCACCAAAAAAATCCATAGATCATGGAAAAATGAAAATCAAAATAATAAATGTTTCCTGGCTGCTGCCATTCTCCATTTTTTTTCTTTCTCAATATCTTTCCGTCTCTCCTGCCTGATTTTTCCGCGTCCAGTTTTTTGCCGGACATATTGTGTTCGAACACAGCCTCCCCCCTTAATGTTTGTATACGATAGTTTATTTGTTTGTTTTTGTTTGCCGCGCAGCGCTGCGCGGCAGGATTTTTTGCTGCCGCTGCTGCTAGCCAAGACGGAAACATATTTATATTCGCAGGAAGACGAGAAAAAAAATTGTGCGAGCAAGTGTGAGAGACCAAAAAATCAATAGACCTATTTTTATCATACAACATAGACAAAATCAAAGTGCACTTTTTTTTTGTTTGGAGATTGGGGGGAGGCCTAGAATATTTTTTCAAGAAGTCGAGATTTTCAGCATGATTTTCAGAACTTACGCCATTGCAACATTCGATCCATCAATAACAATAGTTCTCAATAAATCAGCCGGATTTGTGCTGGTTTTTGGTTGCATTCTTGGTTTTTGAACATGTTCACTATTGCCTTTTCCAGTTTTCAATAATTCAGCCAACATTCGATCTTCATGTCCCAATTCACCAGTTTGATTCAATGCATATCTCATTTGATCCATCGAAAATCCCAATTTTATTGCATAATCTGCCAATTCCTCACTGGCTTTTCCTCCAGCAGCAAACTGATTTGGACTTTGACTCAAATTATAATTATAATTCGGATAATATATATTATTCGCCATTATTGGTCTACTTCCACTTCCACTTCCACTACTTGTTGGCTCATTATTTCTGCTCGAATCCGAACTTTCGCGACTCAACGATGCATGTGAGATGTCGTCGCACGAGCTGGAACTGGAATCAATGAAGGATTATCTTTTCTCGTCAAAAACATGCAGATTACGTGAGAAGAAATGCCACCGGAAATGCTATTTTTCCCACAAAAAAAAATTAATTTTCAAATTCGAATAAAACGTGGAGCGGTCACACATCGCTGTGAGACCCAACGTATTTCTAATGTGCGTCTTTGAAGCTACCGTATTTTTTCTCGAATTTTATTAATTTTTCTGCACTTACCTGTAACAAGAATCGAAATCATTAATCGTAGCGACACGCAAATTTTGCAATTGTCCAGATGTTCTTCTTAAAGGCGCATGTGTTCGCATTGGATCCATTTCCCTTCTTTAAATTCGAATAATAGAAAAATTCAAAAAAAAACTTTTAATCAAGGTGTTATTCAAATATTTTTTTCTGAATAAAAAAATAGAGAAAATCTTGAGATGGATTAGCGATTGGATAGGATTAGAATATTGCGGTTGATATGGAAACTAATGTTTTTTCTGGCCAAAAAAAGTACAGTAGTCCTTTACTTTACTAATTTTTTTGGGGTTTAAAAATGTGGTTTCTACTACAATTTTTGTTACTTTACTAAAAGTTCAGACGGGTACTGTAGGTGAGAAAAAACCAATTTTGAGAAAAAAGGGAGAAATGTGATTTATGAAAAAAAATTCAGATTTGTTTGTGTCTCGCTGGAAAACATTCCTCGAAAAAATGATAATCCTAAAAGGATTAAATATCAGTTTTCTATGAATTGAGATTTGGATAATATCAAAATCTCGTGTTGTGTGGGGGTACAAAAATCAAAAAAAAAAAAGAGCAAGACAAAAAACTTTGTTAGTGTAAATAAATAAAATCGCCTAGTTTTTTGCAGTGTTTATCGCGTGAGAAACGTGTTTTTTCTTATTCTCTTGGAAAATAACACGAGAAATATGTTTTTTGAATAATCAAAAATCTCTTGAGAAAATTATAGGCTTTTCGAAAGTGGTTTTAAAATGAAAAATGAAAAAAATTATGCGTTCGGGGGGAATCGAACCCCCGTCGAATGCTTGGAAGGCATCCATGCTGACCATTACACCACGAACGCGTATGAGAAATCTTTGCGAAAATTGTCAAGATATGCGCGCCGGGAAAAAATCGAAAACCTGCCAAACTTTTGTCAGAAAAAAAGAGGAAAATTTCAGTGAGTCACGGGGGGATTAAATGAAGAGACCAAAGTGCATTCAGTCAATGAGAACTTAATTAATTAGATTAAAACACACGATTTCTCATAAAATTTTGGAAAATGAGCTCGAAAATGAATTCAGAAAACCCGGAAAGCAAAAAGAGAGTTCCGGGATGATTTTTTGAAGGGTTATCTATCAAAAAATAGGAAAAAAGAAAACATAAGGGGGAGCATAAGAATTCGCTGTTTCTTATCAATTTCTTTCGATTCTCACACACCAAAAAAAATATTGTGCGATAAAATCAGGTCATGTGTTAAATTGTGAAAATATCATTGAGATTTGGAAATCAGCACGAAAATTTCGAGTTTGAAAATTCAAATTCCAAATCTACGCGCAAAAAATTTGGAATTTCAAATATACGAAAATGTTCACTTCAACGAAAATTTCAGCTTTTCCAGTCAAAAAATAATTTCAGGATAAAAAAAAGAAAAAATCCATCGCTTCATCTCATCTATCTAAATAACATGAGATAGATGTATGTATAAAAAAATAAAATTAGAAAAAAAAAACGAAGGAAAAAAAAGATCGATGTAGTATAGCGGGAGAAGGGAAAAAAAAACACAACAACAACAAATATTATTAAAGGAGCCCCTGAAGGAGAAAAAAGAAGGGAAGGAAATATAAGTAGAATAAAATAAAATGAAAGAAAAACTTGAGTTCTGAAACTTTTCCTGACCTAGAAATCCGTAACTTTTCCTTATATTTTTTTCATGGAAAAATGTTGGCAGTGAAGATTTTTCCACGAAATTTTGGATTTTTCAATTTTTTTTGCCCATGATAAAAGTTTTTTGATCCATAAAAAAACAAAAATTTATTAACAAAAATCACTCACTAAAAATCATCTAGCTATTCCTAAATCGATCCAGCCGGCGAATTTGTCGGCCTCCGTTTTTCCCGATATTTTTCAGTTCGCATTTCATAGAGCCTTGAAACTGTTCGACTATAAGCAAAAGCCTCTTCATCTCCACTGAAAACATTCGCTTTCATGCCATCCTGTAAAAAATGGGGGTTTTTTGTTGTTGGTAGATTTGGGAGTCTAGGCCACGGTCGAGCTTTGAAATCTTCAAATGATTCAAATTCGGGTTTCGGTTCCAATTTTTTAATAAATTGTATTCACACGTGGATTTGCAGAACTTTTAGTTCAAATTTTCAAATTTTAAATACCACAAAAAAGTTTGAATTATTTTTTCGCTCCAAAAAATTATTTTTTGAATCTTTCATCTCATCCTGAACTTTTGAATCTCAAATTTTGAATTTTTAGATTCAATTTTGGTGCCAAAATTCTAGCCCACAGCCCAAAAAACTCACATTATCCGCTTTGATTCCCAAATCATCCATCAACATTCGTTTTGAGTCATTTAATTGATCCGGACTAACATTGTGACCATCGAATTGGAACAATCCATCTAACTCGGCAGCGGCTCCCAAAATCACACGAGCCTGCAAAAAATTGATCAATTTTGCTGAAATCATGAAAGAAAATTCGTAGAAAACTTTACTTCTGTTTAAAAATCGAGATTTCCAGAAGTTTTATTCAGATTTCACACCCAAAATATCCCCAATTTCCACTCACTTTCTGATCATAAAACGTGTCAATCAAGGTAATAAATCGTCTCATTTCATTCCATCGATCCTGATGTAAAATTGGCACATTTCTAATAATAATTGTGTGAAAAACTCGTGCCAAAACCAAATAATCCGCGGCACCTTTTGCTGTTTGACAGACTTCGCGGAAATCAATGTCGGCTACACCGCCACAACATTTTTCGACCACAACTTTTCGGCCGAGAATTTCGAGGGTTTTTGAACGAACAGCTGGAAAGTTGAAGGTTTTTCGAGGTTGAAGTTGGGAATTTCCGATTTCACCTGATTTTTCAGATTAATGGTGACCTAGTAATCCAAAAATCATACTCACTATCAGTTTCATTAGCCACCAATTGTTTGAAAGCCACATCGCACTGTGTGTTGGCATTTTCGCCAACAAAATATACCGGATTATCATCAGCCGATCCGGATCTTCGATAATCCATTCCACTGTCCAAAGACAGCGATGCACATTTTTCCTGAAATTGGGATTTTTCTCTTTATTTTTGAAATTCTAGGCAACCTCAACAAACCTCCAAGATCCCGATGAATGGTAAAAATTGATGACGTTGCAGTCCGTTTTTGTACAATTCCGATGGAGCGCGATTTGATGTGGCCACCATAATTAAGCCGCGATCGAAGAGCATCGAGAAAAATCGTTTGAGAATCATTGCGTCGGCAATGTCGGTTACCTGCAAGAATTTTTTTCGGGTTTTCTAAGCCAGAAAAAGCAGATTTCCAGCTCCCCATCCTCCAAAAATCACCTGAAACTCGTCAAAACACAAAACACTCGTTGTCTCCATAATTTCATCAACGATCACTGGAACCGGGTCGAATTTCCCGCGCGATTCATTGCTTTTCATTTTCAATTCATGCATTCCTGCAAAATTAGATATTTTGTCGACTAGAACTACACGAAAAACAAAATCGCAGTGAGACCCTGACGATCTAAATTTCTCGCGTCTTTAAAAATAGGCGATCTCAGCTCATAAATTATGATTTTCCCTCAAAATACACTCACTTTTATGTACATTTTGCATAAAATCATTGAAATGCACCCGTTTTTTCTTGGTCGTCGGACAATTTTCGAAAAATAAATCCATCAACATAGTTTTGCCACATCCAACCGAACCGTAGAGATAAATACCACGTGGAGCTACGATTTTCTCCGCCTCCGCTGAATCACCGCTTTTATTCGAGAATATGCGGAAAAATCGCGATTTCTTCGTCGCCGTCTCGATTTTTGGTGCTGAAGAAGGCTCATAGGTTTCGACTTCTTTTTGAAGGCGCTCAAAATCGACAATCATTTTTCGCTGAAAATTGTCGTCTTTCAGCTGGCCATCGCTGACTTTTTTCGTATAAACATCGGATAATTGAACTAGAAATCGGCGGGAATTCAAATATATCCGAGTTGTGGCCAGCATTTGTCTGAAAATATGTTTTCTTTGCTGATATAAACAGGTTCAAAAAAATAGAGGAAAAATAAACTTTTCTCTTGATAAACCGAAAAAATGTGACATTTTTCTCATTTTCACTTTTTTCTCTCTCAAAAAACACACAAAGAATGTTCATGGGCGGTCGAGAAATTTGTTGGTTTTCTAGGCCATATTTTTGGAAAATGTTTGCACGAAATTCCAGCCTGGAAATTCCAGGCTGGAATGCAGTGTATAGCGCATTTTTGCAGCAAAAAAAACTGAAAATTAGATTTTTGTCCGAGAGAACTAAAAAAACACAATAATTTCGAGGCGAAATTAAACTGCACCTTTAAAAATCGATTCCAATTTTGTTCGAAATAGGTTATTAAAAATGAGGCATTTTCATCGCGGTTTCATTGAATACCAAATAGTTCACGCTAAAAAATATTGTTGCCAAAAATTAAAAATAATTTCATTATTATCATTTCTCGTCCGAGAGAACTACACAAAGTCGTACGAGACCCGCGACTTCAAAAACCGCCTGAAAAAAAGAAAATTTATTATCATCAGTCTTATAAAATATTCAAATATCGTTTGAAAATCCGCTTCTTCGTCGTTTCTTTCAATTCGGCATACTCGGGAAGATCTTTGAATTCTCGAATTTGTTTTCGATTTTCGAATGAAGTCAGAGAGTTTTGCTGAAAGAAAGTTTATTTTAGAAGAAGAGAGCTGAAAGGCATAAATTAAGAAGTTACCATAAGTAGCTCTAGTCCATATTTTTCAGCAGTTTCAAAACTTGACATCAAACAAAATTTGAACTTCTCGAAAGGTTTGTAATAATCCGATCGATTTTTGGGCAAAAGTCGTCGAATTTCATAGTCTTCGCAAATTGACATAATTGCTGGAGCTTGGAATATAAGTGCGAGTTTTGCGAGTGATCGAATAGCTCCATCTGAAAATTTGAAAATTTCAGTCTTTCATGTGGACAATCGCTTACAATCAATCATATTCGCTCTATTGTACATCGACACCAAAAAACAACAAAATTCGTCTTCGTCGCACAATTTTTCGTCAATTCTGATCTCTGATGAATCGTTTTTTTCGAAGAAATATTTGGATTGGGATATAAGTAGCTGAAAACTATCTTTTATCAATTACTAAACATGAGTTTGCCACGTCATAACTCAAATTCAAAAAAAAAAACAAACCGCCTTATTAAAATAAAAAATCGAATCTTCCAACAGTATTTTAAGATCCGTAAATCCATCGATGTTTTTCGAAAAATCAAAAAATTTGAAATCGAAATGAATCTCAATCACAATTCGATCCAAATTGCCAGTTAAATATCCATCTCTCTCCAATTTTTTCGTTTTCAAAACCATATGTCCAGTCGATGATTCATCGTGATTGAAATAAAAATCGAAATCGCATTGCTTATAGCCACCCTCATGATTTTGCTTCAAAATGCGAAATTCGCCTTCCACGTGGCAAGTCCATGTTTTCACGTCGTTTTCAGGAACAGTTGGACGTTCTAAATTGATATAGACAATGAATTCTCCGCCTGAATTATCCGCACTGATTTTCCTGGAAAAATGGGAATTTTTATGCTTGGAAGATTTTGAAGTAACATTTGAACTTTGAAATTGAATTTATAACCACGAAATTCCGTGTTAAAAAACCCACCACAAATGTCCACCAAAATTCCAATGTTCGCCATTCATTGTTTCTTCATTATTTTCCTGATAAACAAATTCGCTCCGCATTTTACAACCGTTTTGTATTGTAACACTCATTTTCTGGGAAAATTTAAAACATTTTTGAGCTCGCTTTGAGACCCTGAACATGTTCCTCTAAATAAATATTGGAAAAACAACCAATTTTTCAACAATCAAGGATTTCTCATTTGAATGAAAATAGGTTTATCGTTAAGATTGGGAACAAATTTTTGAGAAATGCAACAAAATTCGATTTTTCGATTCCAACGTGAGATTCCAGAATTGTTGAGTGTTTTGGAGTTGTTTAATTTGTCCCTCAGTTTTCAAAGACTCCAGATATTTGTCCTGAAAAATCGAATTTTGATCCCATTTCCAGAAAAAAAATCATACCATCAATTTTCGATATCCAAATCGATCAGCATATTTCAAAGCTGTTTCTCTATCAAAATGTTCAATCAAAAATTCTTCGCAAATTTCATGAACACAATTGGCTTCAAATTGATTCGCCAAAACAATCAATGAATTGACTTGTCCCAAATCTTCAATAAATTTCGAAGTCGGATGAAAACACGATAAAAAATGACAGAACTCAAAAGGTTGGATTTTGTCTAGCTCCAAGTTTTGTTGTTGTTCTTGAGAACCATAAAAATGTTCAAAGAACCTTTTTGAATTAGCTGCGAGAAATCCGCGACTCAACCAAAATACGTCGCTTTTTTCTCCAACTTGACACGAATAATCGGTTAATCCTTCAATCGGCTGACTAAAATCGTATAATTTATAATTCATTTCAAGTTCAATAACAATACAATCATCTCCTCGAATAAATCCATCATTTTCAAATGTTTCCCACAATCCGTAGCCTAGAAAATATTCGCCTTTTTGAAAACTTGCGCAAAATTTCATATCACTCGAAAAATGCTGGGTGCTTCGATTTTGCTTCAACAATCTGAGTTTTGTATAAATGTCGCATATCCAAGCAGAACTCGCGTCTTTTTTCAAGCATTTTAATCTTATAAACATCATCTGTGAAACATAAAATTCCAAACTCCTAAAAATTATCGATTATTTGGGATAAATATATTAAATAAGTATAAACCTACCATTCCAAGTTATCAGCAGTTTTCCAAGTGTACGGTTTTGCGGCATCCGTTGACAATTTCGACGCATTTTCAATTGTCCACGTTATTTGAACACCGTTATTGATATGCAATCTCATGGCTGGCGATTCTTGCAGCTTCCGCAATCGCGCGCAAAAAAAACAAACTCAAAATTTGAAAATAGAAAAATTGCGTTCGCTGTGAGACCCAAGCAAACAATCTGATGTGTCTTGAAAAATACAGTAAGAAAAACAATTAATTCCAATTTTTTTTTTCGAAAACTAGAGAAATTTAAAAGCGGCACTTGCAAATGTAGCCTTGGTGGATTCTTTAAAATTCTTGTAGTCTTCGGATTCCATAAGAATTTTAAGTTCTTTAGCCCGTTTCACATCATCCAGAAGAAAAATCGGCTGAAAGTCACAATTGTTTTGAATAATATTGGAAAGAAAACTTGGATACCTCTTGATTTTGCTCGGCATTCTTTATTTTTCCAATGATTTCAGCACATTGATTATGCTTGAAATATTTCTGACATTTTTTGGTTAACGAATCGATTTCGAATTTTTCCGATAAATCATAAAGAATGGAATAATTTTCAGCTGGAATTTTCAGGTTTTTCTTTCGAAGGACAAAAATATTTTGAAACTTACAGTTAATTTTAACTGGATCTGGAACGATCGCTGACAATAATTGAACAAAATCCTCATCTTCCACGTCACAGATATCGATTGTTTTCTCGTTATTTTTGTAGAATTTTTCGAAGAAAATCTTGGAAAACGCGGAAAAATACTGAAAATATATAATTCTTTGATGAAAGTTTTCTAGCGAACTTACTCCTTTGTTAACATGAAATTCAACTTTTCCAATCTTGAAAATTCCATCAGAATAATTAAAATTATCAGAAGATTTCGCAAAATTGTAGAATTTATAATTGAATTCACATTCAAAGGTGAATCTTCCAAGTTTCGAAACGTCGCTTGTAAAATCAGACAATTTTACTGAAGCTGGGAAACTTGAAAACGTCGAGTTGTATAATTCCTTGTCATTTTCATCGATAATTCTGAATTTTGAGGAAAATTCGGCAAATTGATTCGATTTTCTATCCCAATTGATGAGTGAAACTTCGAGATATTTCAATCCAGAAATAGTTTTCTCTTTGGCATTGATATACCTTAATTAATTAGTTCATTAATTACTCAGGCAAATCGTCCCACCGGTGGGCCCACCGGTGGGAAACCGGTGGGAAAAATAAACAAAAACACCGGTGGAACACCTCTTTTTGGTGTTCAGACGGTGTTCAAACGGTGTTAAGCGAGTGTTAAGGTGGTGGTACACCGGTGCTATTATCAAATTTGTGACCACCGGTGGGATTAATGAAGAGAAGGTGTTGAGTTAGTGGAGATTTGGTGTTACACCGGTGGGACGATTTGCCTGAGTAGAGTCAGAAAATATCGAAAAACAAAATATTTTGATTAGAGACAACATAAAACAGAGAGAATCTAGACAAAAAATCCCGTTGTCTCTAATCGAAGTTTTCCCGAAAACATCCTCACCATCTTAAACCATCCATCAGATATTGCGAACTATATTTTCCATTTCCAGAAAAATCAAGAGTATTCTCGAATTTCCATGTGATTTTATTGCCATTTCTGACAATCGGGACCATCTTTGGTTGTAGAACAATAAAAGAAAACTGCTTTCTTGTTGAAAATTAAGATGAGCAATGTGTTCGCTGCGAGACCTCTCATATAAATCATGACATGTTCCTTTAATTGATATCGCATTCAAAATCCAATATATTCATTTTCTTCTCATAAAAAATCAATAATAAATTTTTTGCGGGAAAAAATGAAGGCCCCAAAGAAAAAGAGATCGTATATAGTATAATAGAATATATAATAATAACAAAAAAATTAACAAAAACGGGGGGTTTTGTGTGGTGGGGGAAAAGGTGGAAATCAATAAAAATATGAAGAAGAAAAAGAAAAAACCGGAGAATTTCAGATTTGTGAAAAAATGCTGAAATTGAAAATGATTAATGATGCGATCCACCAAAACGTTCACGTCCTTGTTGAGAATTGCGAACGCTGAAAAACAAATAATTTTTAAGATGAAAATGATCAATTATTCCCAGTATTTTTGTCCAAATCAACTCAAAAAACAATTAATTTGGTTATCGAATTGGGAATTTTCGCCTTTTTTCAAGGGAAGAAAAATTAATTTTCGAAGTCAAAAGTGTTTTCAAGATTTTATTTGAAGGCCATCTTGAAAAGTATCGCACTTCGATTTTCAGAAAACAACTTTGATCATTTTTTGAGAAAAAAATACTCATTATGCTCAAAATTCTTTGAAAATTAAATTCCAGTCGTTTTTGACAAAAATTTGAAGTTTTTCTCAGTTTTGGAAATTTTTGAATGAATATTTTCTTGAAAATTTCATTAAAAAACTCGGGAGCTTTTTAAAAGCAAAAAACATGTTAAAAATAATTTTGAATTTCTTCGAAAAAATGAAATCCTTACCATTGTTGCAATAAATATTGAGCAGTATGAATTTGTTGTTCAGTTCCAGTAATCGTTATAATTCTTTCAGGTTGTCCAGTCGCTTGTTCCAGCGTAATTTGAGCTCCCGAATCCTGTCGAATTCTCGCAATTCTCTCACCACCTCTTCCAATTATAGTTCCTCCCAAATCGGATGGAATTGTAACTTGAGCAGTTGTAACAGGTCCACCAGAACCAGCTCCAGCTCCACCAGGTCCATATCCATAATTCGAATTCGGAGCCCCGCTTCCACTATATCCTCCACCATTTGCGCCTCCTTGCGATGGCGGAGGCGGTGGTCCGAAACCGGCGCCGCCGTGCATTGGTGGATAATTGTTGTTGGGTGGGGGAGGTGGGGGACGATAACCGCCGGGACCACCGTAGTCGCCAGCTGGGCCTGGTCCGCGACGAGGTGGATGTGAGGGTGGTCCGCCTGGCATTCCGCCGCCTGGTCCACCGTGAGTGTTTCCACCGTAGCCACCGTATTCATGAGAACGAATTGGATCGTAGTTGAATGGAGAATAAGGAGTTGAGTTTCCCTGGAAGGAATGTTTTTTTAAATCTATATTTTAAGTTTCCAACCGCATACCTTAATAGGAATCTCCTTCAACTCCTGAATAACACAATCAACAATCTTCAACACATTTTCCGACTCTCCGCACGTCGACAAAACACGATCCGTTGAATTCGGACAACACATTGAGAAAATCTTAAGACGAGCACTGCATTTCTCGCGCAACTCTTTGATTTTACTACCACTTCTTCCGATAAGACCACCAGCATGCGATTGATGAATGAGAATACGTAATTCGCAAGGATCTCGGTCATTTGGAGCCTGAAATTGGGAAAATTAGGGGGTAAGACACCTTATGGATCTGTTTAGATTCAAGATTTTTGATGAAATATATTTTTCCGTACATTTTGACAAGCTAATCATGATTTAATTGTCAGAAACTGTTCAATTCAACTTTGAAAATGAGTTATGATGTGAAAAAAGTTTGCGCATAGAAAATCTAGCAACAAAATATCGTTCAGAACGGTCGATAAATACATTTTTGAGTCTACTTTCCTGAACAATTCCATGCTACCAGATTTTCACAAAATCACCAACATTTCCACGTCTCGGTCAGAAAACGGCGGGGTCGCTACCGATCGGGGCGGAGTCGCTACACGTTTTTTGTTCCCCGAAACGTGTAGCGACTCCGCCCCGATTGGTAGCGACCCCGCCGTTTTCTGACCGAGGTCATAACTCATATTAAAAGTTGAGCTACGCAGTTTTCGACAGCTCATTAAAATCTACTAAAATAAAATATTTCATAAAAAATCGCGAATGAATTTTCTTTCCTTGTTGTGTTGTTTTTCTTCCAAATTTACCTCCTCGAGACGTGGAATAATATCTCTAACAACATTCAATACCACAGAATCCGGCGCAACGATAGTAACAATGCTGAAATCAATTTAAGGGCTTACAATCTGAATTTACCTGGGCCAGAGAAGAGGATAGGGATTATGGGATCTCCTAAGTGGAATTGGTGGAGAAGGAGGCAAAGGAAGGAACAAAGAATATTTACCGGTCTGGGGAGTTGGAATCGGGGACTTGGACATGGGCGTCGAACTGAAAAATTGTGGAAAATCAGAAAAATCGGTGAGAGGACAATTGATATGCTCCCAATTATTGAGAAAAAAGAGAAGCAAAAAATTACCTCTGAACGAAGTCGTTTGATATTTTCACCGCCTTTACCAATGATCGCTCCGGCGGATTTTGTGCTAACCAAAAGTCGCAATTCGAATTTCCCATTATTCAAAGCCTCCATAAAACCATCGGCTCGCGGTCTTTTATGCCTATTCTGGCCGCCATCATCATTATCGTGCTCGCGTTTCATATTATTGGCTGAAAAATTCAAGATTTTTAAATTTAAATAAATAAAATAAATACATAGAAACATGGAAAAAATGGGAAATTCAAAAAAAGCTTCTCAGGCAAACGAGCCGACTAATCGGTGACTAACTTTACGTGGAGCGACTAATCGTTGACCAACTTCTCCTGGGGCGACTAATCGCCGACTAACTTTTTGTGGGCCGACTAATCGCCGACCAACTTTTTTTGTCGGCCGACCAACTTTTCTGCTCATTTATATGTAGGCCGATTAATCGCCGACTAATGTGCGACCAACTACTAGTTGACAGGCGATTTATCGCCAGTTGGTCGCCGATTAGTCGGCCCGTTTGCCTGAGAATTGGGATGACCGCGACGCATGCACGCAACGCGTTAAATGTTTGAAAAGTTTGATGGGAAAAAGGGAGGAGCTCGGGAGAAAAGGAAGAAGAAATGCTAGGAAAAGGGGATAGAGCACTTGAAAATTAGACAGAAATTTAGGCCTTTTGTGGAAAATGTGAGAGATTTTCTGAAGAAAATGAAGAATATTTCGGTCTGAACACGATTATAAGGAAAACACAGGAGTTTCAAGAAAATTCGAATTTCGGCTTTTCCCGAAGAGATTTCGCTGGAAAAATCCAGAAACATTTTCAGAGATTTTTAATTTTAGAAATCCTTTTCACAGAAAATTGGTTTGCCGATAAGAAAATGACAACAACAAAAAATACTATTTCAATCTCATAGAGTCAGCTTTCAACTAAAATTCCACTCTTCTCACCAAAAATTCTAGAATTTCACTAAATAACGAATTTTAGGTAAAAACCCTTATTTTCACCTAAAATCCTTCGGATTTCGGTTAAAACCCAATCACCCAAAGAAGCCCGGAGTGTCTAAACTAACTTACAGTATTCGAACATCACTTGAACTCGAGACAAGCACAAAAAACACAGAAACCCCGAAACCCAAAAAACAAAAAATGAAATGAAGGCGCAGCGGCTTTGGGTGACGCGCGGGTCTCGTTGCGACTCGTTCTACACAGCCCGCGAAATGTTTGGGGGTTCAAAAATCAATGCAATTTTTTTTGCATTTTTCGTGGAAATTATCGATTTTTACGTGAAAACGTGGAATGTGTCGTGAATTTTTCATTTCCAGATTTTTGCACACTATATTTTGGGCGGGCGATGTTAACGAGCAATACAAGAAATGCTCAGAATATATGGATGAATGTTGACAAAACTGAAGAAACAGGTAAGTCTAGAAACAACTGATGTTCACTTGAAAGGGATGAAGATGATATCATTGCCAAAAGGAATTTGCATATTTTGAATATTAGTTATGAAGTGTAAGCCTGACTCAACAATGGTTTTAGCGAAACCCAATTTTGAAGTTAGTTATTGGCTGCCACGTCATAACTCACGTTCAGAGATATGCTAAGTTGAATTTGATAACAGTATCAGCGGGTTAAAATCTATTGGAAACATATATATCTCAAATAAAATAATTGCAGATGACAATCAATCAAGCCGCCGTAAATCGCCAAGTATTTGCTCGATAGATTCAGAGACGCGAATTCGACGAGCTGGCGGCGGATTTTCGAGATACAATCAAGTGACACCGGGAAGAAAAAGCAACAACAGCAATTATACAAGTAATAATGGTGGAGGAGGGCGTGGCGGAAGACAATCACGCCAATTTGGTGGCGCAACTTCGCCAAGCAACTATTTTGGAAATGGAAATGGTGGAGGATTTAATAGTAGTAATGGAGGAAACAGCCCGATGTATAAAAGATCTTCATTGTATGTCAATAGAAAATACGGAATCATTTAAAAACGGTTTTGGATTAATCAAGGATAAAAAAGTGTTCAATGGTCAAATTACCTCTTTTAAAAGTGTTGACCAATGTAACAATAATTAATCATCCGGAAAATTGGATTAGCGAAAAAAGTGTAGTTAGGTTAAAATACGCGAAAATTAGTATTTTGTAGCCTGAAAATCATTAATTAATTAGGGGAAATTAAGAAGATTAGGTTCAAAAAACAACTACAAAATACATTTATTCGTGACCTTAATTTTAACGTTTAGAATTTCTAAATTCCTTTATTTTGAAAATTATAAGAATTTGGAAATGGTTGGAAATAATTTAGAGTCTGAAAAAGTGAGTTTCCAGGAAAAGTTCGGTTTTTAACCTGTTGATCAAAAATTAGGCTTACCTCAAATTTGAGGATTAGTTATGACGTGGCATCGAGATGCCACCATAAAACTACATAATGTTTTATAAATCTCAAAAAATCTCAATATTTTTTGCAGCTATAATCAAAATGAGTATAGATCATCATCCTCTTCTACTTCACCCTTCAATCATCATCAAAATAGCAATAATAATATGTACAACCATTCAAATTCAAATTTTGCCACTTCATCTCGCAATTATCCACCATCACACCAAAATCAACAACGCCGTTTTCATCATCCAATTCATCGTTCGCCATCACCGCCACAAATCTTGAATTCGGCCAGAATTCGACGAGATTCGAGTGATCGAGAAAGTGGTGGAGGAAGAAGTTCGGTTGGTTCACATATACATCGATATCGAGCAGCTGGAACTGCGCCAAGTCCGAGTGCAAGGTTCGAATTTTTAAGAGAGAAATTTTTGATGAAAAGTCGTGAGAAAAATGGATTTACAGATATTTCTAGCTAGAGAATCATGAAAAATCATTTTTTCATTCATAAGATTCTATGAGTTCCCCTTCTCTTATAGAATCTTTTGGTTGAAAAATTGTTTTCCATGATTCTCTAGCTAGAAATATCTGAAAATGCATTTTTCTCACGATTTCTCATCGATTTTTCCAAAACTTTTCTCAAAATATTTTTGATCTACCCGCCAAAAATCTCTCTTCCAACACAAAAATTCCAAAATTTCCCCGAAACTCAGAGAAATGGGCTGGGCTCAGAGATTCGCTGGCCAGCTCGCCACCAGATCGGAGCGGCCACCTGGTAACCGCATGGCCGCCAGGTCGCCTTGAGTTTTCCGGCGACGTGGCCTGTGTGTTTGAAATCCTGGAAAGCAGGCAAAATAGTGGTTTGTACTCAAAACACTGCATTTTCTACTGTTTTTTTCACTTCCTAAGGTTTCAAGTGCTGCGAAAAAACAGAAAATGAGCCAAATTTTTGGAAAATGCCTCAATTCACAAGTTTTTCAGACATTTTCATGAAAATTCATTTTGACGAGGCGAAGTGGCCACCACATGGTAGCCATGTGGGCTTGACCTAGCCAGAGCCTGGCCACCTCGCCAGCGAAAAAAACCGGGCGACATGGTTTCCATGTGGTTCCCAGGTCAGCCAGCCTCCCCACCTGGTGGCAAGCTGGCCAGCGAATCTCTGAGGGGAACCGGCGGAAAACTTTCGGAGATCCAGCCTACGGCTGGCGGTTCGCCGAGAGTTCCCCGCCGGTTATCCGACAGTTTTCCATCGTTACTCCGACAGTTCTCCATTGGTTCTCCGCTAGGCGCTTTTTTGCACTTTTTCGCTCTTCAAACTAGAAAATTTTCTCCGCCAGTTGTCCGCTGGTTTTCCATTCTCTGCTTCGAGAACATTCTTTCGCGCAGGAGAAACATTGTAGATCATTCGGAGAACTGTCGGCGAACAGGCGGAGAACATTTTTCTCCATCGGTTTCCCGAATATTTTCCGCCGTGTCATCTATCCGGCGGTTCTCCAGCCCATTTCTCTGAGAAAAATCAATTTTCCTCAAAATTGCCTATTTATATTTCTAGTATAATATCATCACCATACAAAGAAAGTGCGCTTAAAATGTCGTCTGAAACATCAACACCATCGCAACAACAACAAATTCAGCCACAACAACAAGCACCGCAACATTATCAACCAATGATGAATATGAAAAGCATACCGGAAAAGGAACTTCATCGGTGAGTTTTCGCATGAAATTGTTGGAAATTCAGCAGAAAAATTGAATTTTGGCTGAAATTTGATCGGAAAATGGTCGTCACGATTATCGCTAGAAAAACCAAAAAAAAAAAAATGATGAAAAAGTCAATTTTCACTGAAAAATTCCAGATTTTTGTCAATCAACCCACAACTTCAATACAATTTGCGACTTTTGCCAATTGCGACAAGCAGTGAACATGCTCAATCTGCACCAATTCCTGTACCTCAACATCCATCGCATCATCCACAACAACATCAAAATAATCGTCATTTTTTCCCGTCTTATGGATCGATTGGAACACCTGAAATGATGATGGGTGGTGAGTTTGGGAGGGAATTATTGATTAGATTTAATCTATTTTCAAAGTTTCAAACCCCAAATATATTTTAAAAATGCTCCAAATTTTTTTAGTAGAAAAAATAACATTTCTCAATGTTAGCCTCAAATTTTAAATTCGGAATCGTAGATTTCATTCTAAATTTATTCATCATAATTTTTCGCTGTTTCAAAAATTTCATATACAAAAATATAAATTTCAAATTTTGGTAGTTTTTTGTTAAATGTCTGAATTTTTTAAATTTTATCAAACACATTTCAGAAGTTTCGGAAAATGAAAATCCAAACGAAAATGGCGATCAAAATGTGAATTTTTGCTCAAGACTTCGGGATGCCTATAAAGGGTGAGTTTTTTGGGATTTTTTTGGAGAAAAAATTGCGGGGTTTATTGAAAATTTGGAAAAAATCATGGAAATTTGGCTGGGAATTTGAGATTTTCCCCCTGCCAAAACTGAAAATGTTCCATTTCCTCTTCCTCATTCTAATCTCTTTTTTTTGTATTTTATTTAATACAACACATTTTTGTGTGTGTGAAGATATTGAAAAGATGTTTTGTAACCAGTTTTTGTGTTGGTTGGGATGAATGTGTTTTAGATTAATATCAACAAATAACAGTTATGATATTCTGTTTGGTAAGACAAAAAGTGAAAGGTTTTTTTTTACAAAAAAAAACGAAACGCGGTGTTGTTTTACGCCGCCTTGTAAACGAAGAAGATTCACTTTTTTTGACTTTGTGTTGCGTTGTTTTGAATTTGTTTGTTTTTTTTTGGTTTTATGGACTTTTTGACACTGAAATTTGAATTTTTCGTCGAATTTCGATCTGGGAATTGGAGGAATTTGAACAGGAATTTTTTGGTTGAAAATTGAATTTTTGAAGAATACTTGCTTCAGCGTTTATCTGAAAATTTTTTGAAAAGCCTGAAAATTTCCATTTTTCTATTTCGTTTCTTAAAAGTTCTCAATGTTCAACAAAAACCTCAAAATTTCCAGAGACTATCTATAAAAATTTGATTTCTCACTTTTGTTCTCTGTTTTTTTTGGTCGCTTCCTGATTTTTCTCATTCGTTTTTTTTATTTTTTGCTATTTTTTTGTTCTAGCAGTTGTTTTATTATTTTCATTTTCTGATCTAACTCGAAAACCTTTTTCTATTTTCTTTTCTCTGAAATTTGTCCAAAGATCAAAACAAGTTAGGTTTTTTGTTATAAAATTAGAAAACACAATCTTTAGCTTATTTTTTAATTCTGAAAAGTCAAATTTTCTAGTGAAATTTTGAATTGGCTATAATATTTTCTGCAGGTGGAACGTGGTTCACTTTACACCTTGTTCTGAGAGGAGAAAATGAAGAGATGAGAAAAGGGATGAAAAACACATATAATAATACAAATATATGTTTGTATTTTCTATTATTAGTGATTGATTTGAGGCTGGAGGCAAATTGGTTCATTTTTTGATGTAGAACTGTGTTTTTGACTGAAATTGTGATTCGTTCATTGAGATTTTTATCAATTTTCTGTCGACCGCATTATAGTTTTAGCTAGATTGTATTTTTGCTCGAAATTATGATTTTCCGTCCGAAAATTGATTTTTTTCTAGGTTTTTTTCTTGTCGACGAACGAATCGCGCTGAAAATTGTCGTTTTTCTTATATTTCCTCCGATAATTGTAGTTTCTTCGTTCTGCTCGCGATTTTCAGTTTTTTGAGACCTCGCAGCTTTTTTCGCTTTTTTCATCTGGAATTCATTTCATCTATCGAAAATGTGAAACAAATTTTGAAAATTTTCAGTTTTTATCTGAATTTTTCAATTTTTTGACTAGAAAGCTAGTTCTAACCTTGAAGAAAAATCAGAAAGCAGCAAAACCCTTCTGGTTTTTTGGTCAGAAACATCTTTTTCCAAAAAAAACTAAGATAAAATGAAACCTTTCAATCCAAATAAACCTAAAATGCTCTTTCCTATCAGTAAGTCATTCACCGCAAAAAGTTTCAACGAAAACTAAAATAGCCAAAAAGAGCAAAGTTTAGACAACTTTGGGAGTTTCTACATGATGAAAATTGAAAATTTCGAGACAAATCAGAGTTTTGTAGTTTTTCATGTCACTTTGACATGAATGAACATAATTTTTGAGCATATTTCTGAAACTAGGTTAAATTTATCGCCAAAAACTATATTCAAGAATTTGAAAAATAATTTTGCATAAATTGTGAAATCTCAAGTCTTATTGAAAAATTTTGTCCTCGAAAGGTTGCTTTTTTTTCTGGCGCCAAAATGTTCTATCAGAATATTCTATTGGACTTTCTCAGAAACTGTAATTGACATTTTTACCTCAAAATCATTTTTATCAAAATGATTTTTGTTCTTCTATTATTGAAATTTTTGTCAGCCGACTTTTGGCATCAGAAAACCATTAATTTTGTTGTTCTTCTATTAAAAAACCACTTTTTCAAAAAGTTCTCTTTTATTTGTGGTTTACGTGAGAAAATATGAGAGGTTTTTAGTCTCTTTTCGCAGTATTTGACTAACTCTTCTTGGTGTTCCGAAATGCGCAAATTTTGCTGAAATTTTGGAAGTTTTCTATACATACATGGCATCTTTGCCCAACGGACCCTCCATGTAATGATCCCCCCCTCCCCAAAATTTTGAAATGTCATGATCCCCCCCTCAATTTTTTCGTCAAAAATTTGAAAAAATAAATGGTGAAAAAAAATGAAAAAAATCAAAGAGAGAGGGGGAGTTTCATTTTTGACATATTTTTTCAGGTTCGATAATTTGGAAACTAGTGCTTTAGGAATATCGAATGTAGAGAACGAGCGAAGAGGTCAACGGATACCTTTCATCGGCTAATTATTCTTATTTTATTTCTAAAATTCTCAATTATATTTTTCTATATCCTTCTAAAATAAAAAATGAGTTTATTGTAGTAAGTTCCTTTCAGAAATCTTCATGCAATGATCATGCTCAACCCTTCTGAACAATTCCATATAAATTATAGACAATGCGTTATTTATTTGATAATCAAATTGAAACTCAAAAATATTGAATTAGAAAACAAAAGAAAAAAAGTGGATTCCACCGAGAATTCGATCCAAAAACCGTCTGATTATTAGGCGCGATCTCTACCGACTTGACCACGAGGCTACTTTTTTCACACGCTTATTTTTAAGTGATAAAAAAGGGATAGAAGGGGGAGATAAAATGAAAAAGAGAAGGAGAAGCGGAAAAAAATCATGAAATTTTTGAAAAATTACCATTTTTTATCGAATTTCGCCGATTTTGTTATATGTTCCGACTGTATAAGTAACTTAAGGATGGTAGAAAGGAATGTCTGTTAAAATTATCTCAAAAGATGGCTTATTTCTTGAGATATGATCCCCCCCAAAATGACATAGCAAAACGGCTTCGATTTTGGGGGGGATCATATCTCAAGAAATAAGCCATCTTTTGAGATAATTTTAACAGACATTCCTTTCTACCATCCTTAAGTTACTTATACAGTCGGAACATATAACAAAATCGGCGAAATTCGATAAAAAATGGTAATTTTTCAAAAATTTCATGATTTTTTTCCGCTTCTCCTTCTCTTTTTCATTTTATCTCCCCCTTCTATCCCTTTTTTATCACTTAAAAATAAGCGTGTGAAAAAAGTAGCCTCGTGGTCAAGTCGGTAGAGATCGCGCCTAATAATCAGACGGTTTTTGGATCGAATTCTCGGTGGAATCCACTTTTTTTCTTTTGTTTTCTAATTCAATATTTTTGAGTTTCAATTTGATTATCAAATAAATAACGCATTGTCTATAATTTATATGGAATTGTTCAGAAGGGTTGAGCATGATCATTGCATGAAGATTTCTGAAAGGAACTTACTACAATAAACTCATTTTTTATTTTAGAAGGATATAGAAAAATATAATTGAGAATTTTAGAAATAAAATAAGAATAATTAGCCGATGAAAGGTATCCGTTGACCTCTTCGCTCGTTCTCTACATTCGATATTCCTAAAGCACTAGTTTCCAAATTATCGAACCTGAAAAAATATGTCAAAAATGACCACATGCAAAAACCCAATTTTTTTCTAGCGTACCGATTTCACTTTGAAAAAAATTTAGATTTTTTGTATGTAATGTCATGATCCCCCCCTCGAAAATTTTTTCCAAATGTCATGATCTCCCCCTCACAATTTTGAGAGCAGTGCCATGTATGTTTCTATATCTAAAAAATTGGTTTTTGAAAATTGAAATTTAAAAAAACACTGTCAAGTTTTCCTGTAAAACAGTAGAAAACCACTTTTTCAAAAAAAAACGGAAATTTTTCACTTTTTGTTTTGGAAAAATAGAGTAAATAAAGTTTGTGCGTCACCAAAAAAAACAGTTTTTTGTTTTTTTGGCAGAAAAAATCTCGTGATTTTGACCGAATTTTGAACGGTTTGTTCAGCTTTCCTGGGCTAGCAGTTTTTGGCCAAAAAATATACGTTTCAAAATAATTTTATGTGGAATATTATTTTTGGGAGATTGGTTATTTAAATACAATTTCATTATCATCGCTAAAGCCTAAGGTTTTGGGTGAGCCTAAGTCCTAGTTATTAACCAAGCCTAAAAACAGGCCTTAGTCTTCTAACTTATGAACCTAACCAATTTCTAGTAGGCTTAAGCCATTATCTTTTCGTATGCTTTCGCCTAACTGAAATTTGTTTTGGTGATGTCTAAGCCTTAGAGTTGATTAAGCCTAAGCTTGAGTTTCTAGTCGAACCTTAGCCTGAAAAAAATTTTATGCTAAGATCAATTCTATATTTTCTATTAGATCTAAGCTTAACCTGAAGTTTTTTTTGTTCTTCAAGCCTAAAATGTTGACAAATCTTTTCCACTTGAACTTTTACTACTATACATTTCTGATTGATATCAAAGTTTTTCCTCGAAACGCGTCTTCAACAGTAATAATTATTATATTAATAATACTAATACAGCAGTCTCCTCCCCATTTTTTTTGCAATTTTCCTCGACTTTTTTCTGTTCACTGATATGTAAATGCAACATTTTCTCCTCCTCCTTCTCTCGATTTTTTCCTCTTTTTCTTTTCGTTTTTTCTTGTCGTTGCTTGCGGGACGTAGCAGAAACTAGACCTCTCAACTATTATCGGTTGCGGGTTTCGCGTCTTGTTTCTTTCTTTTTTTCGCCTATCATCTCGCTGTGGTTTTTTTTCTTTTTCTTCGTATTGCCAGTGTTGCGTAGTGTAGTCGATTTACGCGCGCGCAAGCTGTGCTCTTTTTTTGTTGCTCTTTCCGTAAGTAGTTGTTTTGAGATCTCTCTCGAGAAAGTGCGAGAATTGTGGATTTTGAACTTTTCTGCGAATGAGATGTCTGGTTTTTTTGGTCTGGCATTTGGAAAGAATTAGACTAACTCATAAAAAATTCTTGATCTGTTTGAAGAATTCAGAATTTTGGGTTCCATGAATTTATTTCAAGGATCTAAAAGAACTTTTATTTTTGGTCTGAGCTCGAATTTTCATGAGATTTCTAGGGTTTTTGAGTTCTGAGATAATTTTGTTCAAAATTCCTTATAAGTGGATAACATTTGAGAACCTTCCGGTATTTTAATGAAAAAATTCCCTCCACTGGATTCAATTTTCTGATGAGATCTTGATGAAAATTTTGATATTCGTTATCTTTTTCAAATTTGAATGGATGAAGATTTTTCCTCAGAAAATAGTTTTCTCGACGATTTGTTGCATAATCTGATGAAATTTGATTTTTTTTTATTTTAAAAATGTGAATTGTGGCAGTTTTTTTTCGAAAAGTTCTGAACTTGACAGTTTTTCCCCAGAAAATTGAATTTTTGAACAAAAACCAAAAAAAGTGATTTTTATCTTCTAGTTATTTTTTTTGTTTCAACTGACAGTTTTTTTATGATCACTGATTTTTTTCCATTTTTTGACGCAAAAAGCATTTTTTTCGTCCTGAAACCAATTTTTATATCATTTTACCCATTTTGGTCATTTTCTCCAGTCTTGTGACCATTTTTCGCCCCAAAAATACTTCCTCCGCTATCATTTTTCAATTTTTCCATCATTTTTTTTCTCTTTAGCTAATTCTGAATCACACTGAGTTTTTCTGAGAATCTATCTTATCAGGTTCGAAATTTGTTCGCGTTTTTTTCGTATGAATATTGGTCTAGTTTTATTACCAGCCATTAAGTTTTTGTTAAAGTTTGGGGCGGTTTTTACTGGGTTTGTCTGGAAACACTTTTTTGTGTGTTTTTTGGTCTGGAAATACGGAAAATTTGAAAGTTTAGGGATTTTACTACAAAATTGAGTTTTTCGAAAACAATTAAACAGCCGAAATATTTTCAAAAAAAATATTTGTTTGTATTTTTGATTGCATGTTGAACTGCGGAGAACTAACTCTAGGAAAAGTTGAAAAAATCATAGAAATTTTGAAACGTATAAGCTTCGAGTAAAAAATTCAAAGATTTATCCCTAAAATCTTGGAGATGAAAAGTTGTAGAAAATCTGAAATTTTCAATAATATTTCAAATGGAATTTTTATTTAGAAATAAGACTTAGAAATGTTTTCATAGTTTGTTCAAAAATTATTTTATTTTCATTTTTTGTATTTCTCTTATTTTTCCACCGTTTATCTGAAGTTTCAAGAATCTGTGAATTTTTTTTCTTCATATTTCTTTTCTCCTTTCCAGAATTGTCTATTTTCTAGAAAACTTGTGTGTATTTTTCTCTCTCATAATTTGCCAAACCGAAATACGTGAAACAAACAAACAAACGAGAAAATGCCATTATCGACGGGTTCAATCGATTCGGGATTCATCAAATCGATGACTGATGAAGAATTATCATCAAGTGCCTCATCTTTTACATCTTCCTCACTGAAATCAACAAATGTGCAAAAAAAGACGAGAATTCGAAGTCGTAAAAATCAACGAAATTATCATCGACATAATAATCATATGAATAATACAAATAATAAACTTTCCTCATCATCTTCATCTTCTTGTTGCTCGAATTCAATCGCTGGAACATCTGAAAATAGCTGGAATTGTTTGAAAAATGCGTCAGTTGAAGAGCTTGCCATTCGTGTTTATTTATATTTCAAATCATTGCTTTTGGCGGTTAATAAACAACGACAAATTTGTGAGAATATTGCGGTTTTGATGTCGGATATTGATGCGAGATGGGGATATTCTCCCACAGATCGAAAAGGAAATCGAAAATATTTGGATCCGCGTGGATGTTTGGCACCGATTTATAATAATAATGATGGAAAGTTTTGTCAATGTGAAAAAGAACGATGTGGATGTCGTTTGGTGAAATCGGCGCGATTTCCGGCGTGTTGGGCGGTTCCGCAACCCGCGGTTTTTTATCATTTGATGGCGAATGATATTCAAGAGTATTTGAGGTTTTTGGAAAAGTGAGTTTTTGTTTTTTAAAATTTGGAAAAAGTTACGCTGAAAATGTTGAATCTGATTTGTTTTCTTGAAAAAAAATTAATTTTGAACCTAATATTGGTTTTTCTGATTGAAAAAACAAGCTCTGAGGCCGGATTCATAAAATTAGTTTTGAGAAAAAATTAGGTGTACCAAAAATTTTGTTGAGCAATTGTTGCCTCTGATTCTGAATTTTGAAAAATCTTGATTTTTCGGAAATTCTATTTGGAATTTTCAGACATACAAAAGAATTTAAAAAATCTATCCCGATCCTCAATGTTTCTGACCTGTGACACACTTTTTCTCTTTTTTTTTCTGTTTTTTTTTGGTATTTTGTTGTAAAGAAATATTTCTAATTCTATTGTAAAATTATCGTCTTTTTTGGTATTTTCATGAATAAGATTGATTAACTTGTGAAAATAGTGCGATTTGGGAGAAATTACAATGAAAAGGAAACTCTGGTTGGAAAAATCCAATCATGAAAAATCAAATTTTCGGGCTGAATTTTCATCTCAAAAATATTTATAATTTTTCCAGAATTAATCCAAATGTTAAAAATCAACTTCATGAACATCAACAACAAAATCCACATGTCCAAAATCAACATCAAATGACACACGAAGAAGTGCTCTTCTCGATTCAGAATTTGCAAATGCAAGGAGCACAGGTTATGCATCCTGGAATGATGCCATATTATACTGGTTGGTTTCTTTAGACTAATTTTTGGTCAAAAATAGCTGAAAATTTGGATTTTTAGTCCTGGAATTGATTTTGAAACTATGAAAGATGCTCAAAAAGGAATGGGTTTAACACCAAAAATTCACTGTTTCACAATTTTCTCAAATTTATTTTTGAATCAAAATGTTTGGTAATTGATAGATGGGTGTTTGAATTTTTTTTGAATTTTGGCCCTAAAACAACATTAATCCAAATTCTGAAATTCATATGAAATCGCTTGAAAAATTTGAAATTTTAATCTGAAATTTGCTGTTTCAAAAATATTTCAAAATTATTTTTGTTGAGACAAATTTTGTTCCTTGCATGAGTTTCTAAAAAAATAATTGGGTGAAAAATATTTTTTCTTCGAATATTTTTATCAAAAAATAAATAAAAATTAACCAAAAATAAAAATTTTGATGGTGAAATATTTACTGTTTCAAATGTTTTTGAAATTATTTTTTTGTTTGAAAAATTGATGATCAAACAAATATATCTTACATATTAAAAACAAGAATAATGTTATGCTTCTAGGTCATCCGTATTCGAAATATTCGGGTTCCGAAGAGACTTCTTCTAATGGTTCAACTCCATTCAAAGGCGCACGTCAAGATCAACAAAATCATGTTGCACCTCCTCCACCTACACCTTCTTCTCAAAATAATGCCCAAAATCATCTTGAAATTAATGATGAAAGTGGGCGAAAATTGGACATAAAACCATTGATGGAGGAATATGAGCAGCCGAATAAAGTCGGGTATCAAAATCGAGGAACAACATCGAGAAATAGCGAAAATTCGGATAATGGTTAGTTATTTTTGAGAGCTTGCATTGAATAATATGGAAATTTTGAGCGAGAAATTTGAAATGTTGGGTAATTTTTGAGCTAGAGACTTTTTTCACTGGAAATTCAAATTTTTTATTTGAATTTTAGGTATGATAAGATTATCAGAAGACTTTTGGAATTTTGAAGAAATCAATATTTTTCGACCTAAAATTGGTTTGGCGGAACAGGTTTCCTTTTTTTCTTGGAAAAAATCTTATCTGATTTTTGTAGTTTTTATGGCATTAAAAATGGGATTTTCCTTGATTTTTTCAAGAAAAATCGTATAGTTTTATGGGATTTTTTTTCAATTTCGAGAAGCATGTGATTATTATTTTGTAGTTGAAAATTTTTGTTTTTGTATTTTTTAGCCGGGGAATTTGGAATTTTCTGGGTTTTTAAGTTGATAAACAGCCGAAACTGCTAAGGTTTTAAACTGGAAAAATCTGAAAATTTATAGAATTTTCTCGAATTTTGTTATTCTCTATTTTCTCCTAATTCCGAAAAATTTACTTTTGGCTACAATTTAGCCAGAATTCCCTAGGTATTTTTCTCTAATTAGCGTAACTCCCTCTTCTCCTTCTCTATCTTCAAAATCACTATTTTTGAAAAATAATGATTATTGTTATGTATATTAGCTCTTCTTCCTCTATCTTCTCTCTTCATTTTCCCCCTTTTTCCCCATCTTTTTTTCTCTAGTTTTTGTATAATCTCTAGAGTTTTTGCACTTGACATGGTTTTAAACGGTAGTTTTTCGTTCTCTTCCAACAGCACCCCCTGTTTGCACTTTTTGTATACTTTTTTGGGCCTAAAAATTTAGGATTTGGATGGAAAATGAGCTGAAATCGTGGAGTTCTGACCTAAAAATCACTAGACAATAGCGTTCCCTGAAATGTGATAAGATTTGAATTTTTACTGAAATGTGAATTTCAACCAATAAATTACCTAAAATTTTCGAAATTACAATCTCCACCCTAAAATTACCCAAAAAGTCTCAATTTTCTATAGTCTGACCTAAAAATTGCGGTTTTTCTACTACTAATCATATGATTGATCTGGTTTACTTTTTTCTATTTTATTCGATTCGATTCCGTTTTATTTTTGATCGATTTAGCCGTGTTTTTGTTGATGATGTTTTAGTTTTGGTCTAATTCTGTTATTGGAACATTTTTGGAGTTTTTTTGAGTTTCCAAGATTTAATTTAGGTTTGAAACTTTGGTTGTTCATGTTCTCTCATTTTTTGAGATCAAATTGAAGTTTTTGAGTCGAAATTTGGATTTTTGTTCAAATTTTCAGTGAAAAATTGGGACTACAGTAACCAAATTTGGTCCTAAAATTGTTTGATGTTTTTATTTACAAAAATTGCATCTCGATACAAAATGTGTGAAACTAGAGTCTAGTTTGTTTTTGAATTGATATTTTTTGGACTAAATCTAGGGGGTTTTACCTAGAAATGTCCAAATTATGAGCTACAGTAGCCTAGCTAGATTTTGCTCGAAAATTTCCAATTTTCCAGCTACAGTATCTCATTTCATTTTAGGCGTATGAAATAATTTTCAAAATGAATTTTCAGTCAAATTTCATCTACCGTAACATAACCCATCTCTAGTTTGCTAAACATTTACATTTTATCAAAAATCCCAAATTTATTTGTTTTTCTGATCAAAAAGTGTTCTTTGAGTTGGCTCTTTTTCATCTTCTCATATTTTTTTGCGAACTACGAATTCGTGTTCAATTTTCATATATTTTTTCTTCTTCTCAAGGTGTATAATATCTTCTTCTTCTTCTTCTAAATATCTTTTATATTTTCCTTGTCCTATGACTGCCCTTGTCTTTTCTTTTCTTTTTTCATTCCCCTGATTTCCTTCTATTTTTCTTCCCGCGCCCTTTTTCGTCTCGCCACTCTCTTCATGTTCCATACTCTCTCTCTTCATGTTCTCCCTGCCCGCTCCTCCTCTGGGCGAAGTTTTTTCCTCTTTCTCTCTTTTTCTTCTACTGACTGATATCTTTTTTTTGTTTCGTTCCCCTTTTTTTGCCACTACGCACGGACGCTACGGTTTTTTCCGCAGCGCGAAGTTTTTTTTTCTGAACGACGAATTTTCTGGTTTTGTTTGCTCTTTTTCGATTTTTTCCATGATTTTTTAGTTGGTAAATTGAGAGAAATGTTGATTTTTAGGCCCATAGAAATTATTTGCGAACAGTTGCCCGCCTTTTTTTGGCCTAAAATTTGAACGTTTTTGGTGATTTTTGTGATTGGAATTTAGAATTTTCAGGTTTTTTAGATCTTGAAAACTCAGAAAAGTTATTGTTAAAATTACTACGTTTTACAATTCGAATTATTAGATCTGCCCTAAAAAGTAGGATTTTTTTCAAAATTTGGAATTTTTGATTTTTTAGAAACCTATGTTCCTTTAAAAAACATTCCTGATCTCTGAGAAAATGTGATTCAAAATTCTGAATTATCAATGAGAACATTTGAATTTTTCATCAAGCTATTTTTTTTGTCGAATGTGAACATGTGGTTTTTGAAAAAGCCAAGCGGAGCTAAAATTCTGAATTTTGCCGTTTGTATCCAGAAATTCCGCAAATATTTTTAGCGTCAAATTTTCTGCCCCTACTCATTTTCTCATTATTTTTCTCTCTGTCTAATCAATTGAACTCTTTCATAGTACGTTTTCTTGTCATCATTAAAAATGTTGCCGTTTTTATCGAACTGATAAGCAATTCTTGCGATTTTCATATATGTTTATTTTCTTTCAGCTTTCCCAATTATTATTTATTCTCATATTTATTAATTGTTGTTAATTAATTAGTTGTTGGCTAATGTATTCTGAAACTTCGAAAAATTCGACAACATCAAATCGTCGCAAATATTCGTTGTCTACATCAACACAATCGACACAAAAAGAGGATGAAGAGGATTTGTGTTGTTTCGAAGCGTGTTCTTCATCTTCTTCGTCTGGAGCTAGTAGTTCTTCTATGATTTCGCCAGTCGAATCGATGACTGACGCTGAAATGGCTATTATTGAAATTGCGCATCGAGATAGCACACTTTTGGAATTGTATGCGGATCCGAGTTGGCGATTTTATTCGCTTTCGCGCACTGCATTTTGTTTGGCGACTGTCGCGATGCAACATGGATTGAGTGGAGATGAAGGGTTTTGGAAATGGAGTATGCGCAGATTTCTCGGGGGGTTGAAATAGGGAAAAATAAGGATGTGTTAGAAAATGCATGTTCTTTTTTAAAGCTGAAAAATCCACCCAAATTTTACCTTCTTTGATTTTTGAAACGTAATTTTTTTGGCTTGAAAAAAAATGTTGCTTGACAGTTTTTTGACACATGACCTCGATAGTCTGTGTTTTTTTCAGTTGGTTTTCCAAAAAAAAATGTCTTATCGATGTTGTGTTTTTCGCACTTTCACATGATTTTCTTCCATTTCCATAATGTGATTTGTTTTGACAAATTATTTTTTTTGGTTTTGGGAGAAAAAGCGGGAAGGAAACTTGGGGGGGGGGAATCTAGAATTCTTGAAATTTTCTGTAAAAATGAAATCAAATAGAGATATGAAATTTCCAGAAGTTAACTATAGCTAATATAGCCCGAATTCTTCGCCCAAAAAATTTCCCCCAATTTTTCAGGACGCTCAACTCGTGGAAAAGCGAAAATAATTGAGAGAAGACCATCGAATGCATCAGATATTGATTCGATTTCAACATCTTCTTCAATTTCATCGGCTCAAGATTTGACGATCACAAAATCGACGAGAAATGGAATCAAACCACCACCACCGCCGACTTCGGTTTTGACAAAAGATGGAGGATATGAAGTATCGCATATGGATGTGGTAAGCAATTTTGGGGCTGGAAATTGCGGTTTTTGGAACAATTTATTAGAAAATGTAGAAAACTAGACATTTTCGGATAAGTTTTGTGAAAAAAAACAACAATTCTATATAAAAATTTCAAATTTTTAAAGAACACGTATACACTTTCTAATAACTTTCTTTTATTCAGAAAATTCCTAGAACTCTCAAAATTACCCCCCAAGAGTCCACAAATTTCTAAACCTCTAACTCTCTCTTCTCTCTTCATATTTCCAAACTTTTCTTCTCTTCTCTCACATGCCTCTTTGTCTGATCTGGTTAGATGTTTGATTTCGAATCTAAAAGTGACGGAATCGATTCCCGCTGCTGTCTGCAACGACATTTGAGAAGGTGATGATATTCTCTGAATTGAATCATCGCTGGTTATTATGTCGAAAATTGAATTCTCACAAATCAATTGTGTAGTGGATTTGCAAAAATTCTGGCACTCCTGATTTGACATTTTTTGAGCCAAAAATTCCAAATTTTTGTAAAAACTAGTCTAAAAATGCTACTTTTTTCAACTCAAAAATTGATTTTTTCACCCCTAAAACCTCTTTTTTGCAGCTCAGCGAGAAAATCTGGCACTACCATAACAAAGTATCGCAAACCGATGAAATGTTGTCGAGAAAATTACAATTGAGAGATATGCTCTATTCGTCGATTAGCCCCGTTTTTCCAAGTGAGTTTGAGGTTTTTGGCTGGAATTTTCAGCGTTTTTAGGCTGACAATTTGAAAATTTCATGATTTTTGAGAAATTTTGACTCAAAATTTGCGATTTTCAATAGACTTACAAATCCCGGATTTTTTAGGTTTCATGGAATTTTTATGTGATTTTGAGAGAAATTATTTTCAGTTTTGTTTTTCTGTCACTTTCGAGGATCGAAATTTGTTTCTGAAATAATTTAAAATTTTAGGTTCTTGAGGAATTTGTTGAGCTGAAAATTTGAAAATTTCGTGTTTTTTGAGAAATTTTGACTCAAAATTGAAGATTTCGAGTAGGTAAAGAAATCCCGGATTTGTTAGGTTTCATGAGAATTTGATAAAAGAATATTCTTGTTCACCCCGATATTTTTACATCGCCAGATTTCTGAAAATTGATCTAGAATTACTATATTCAGCTAGATCTATACTTATATATACATACAAGTCTAATTCTCTCCAAAATCCTTATTTCTTCTATTTTACAGTGTGCGGTTTATATGTTGTTGGTTCATCATTGAATGGTTTCGGAAACAATTCATCTGACATGGATTTGTGTCTAATGATTACAAACAAAGAATTGGATCAGAAAAATGATGCGGTTGTAGTATTGAATTTGATATTAGCCACTCTGCAATATGAGAAATTTGTGACGAGTCAAAAATTGATTTTGGCCAAAGTTCCCATTTTACGTATCAAATTTGCTGAGCCATTTGGTGATATTACGGTTGATTTGAATGCGAATAATTCGGTGGCCATTCGAAATACACATTTATTATGCTATTATTCGGCTTGTGAGTTTTTTTTGTGGGAAACGCGGGGGTTTTGAGGGAAAATCTGGAACTCTACAATGAAATTTGAGCTTAAAATTGATTTATTTCAATATTAAAAAATTCACTGTTTCAGAAATATTTTATACAAATTTTCACCTTTTGATTTTCTGATGATTTATCTAATTAAAAAAAAATTTTGAAGCTGGATTTATTTTTCTGAAAAGCGATTTTTTTCACTTATCACTTATTTTTTTGAATAAGATTTTGCAAAAATGCAATTTTTCAACCTTTAAAAAATCACTGTTTCGTTTTTTATTAATTTTTTCCACAAAAATCGCTTTTCGAGTTACCTGCATAGGGAATTTTTCGCCCAAATGAATATCTTGAAATTTAATTTATCTGTTTGTTGAAAAATCTACTGTTTCACAATTATTCCAAATTCTCTCATTCCCCCTGACAAAATTGATGCTTTTCTAAAATTCCGAATATTTTTATTTGCAGATGATTGGCGAGTTCGCCCATTGGTTTCTGTTGTCAAAGAGTGGGCAAAACGAAAGGGAATAAATGATGCGAATAAATCAACATTTACCAGCTATTCGCTCGTTTTGATGGTTATACATTATTTGCAATGTGAGTTGATTTCTGGGTGGAAGTTTGGGGGATTTTTCGCGATAAAATCTTTTAACTATAGTAGAAAATGGTATTTTTAGAAAGAGAATGACTGAAAATTTATTCAAAAATTCAGAAAATTACCCCTATGTTTTTCTAGGCGGAACCAACCCTGTAGTTCTACCAAATTTGCAAAAATTGTATCCGAATCGTTTTTCGAACAAAATTGATGTTCGAACTTTGAATGTAACAATGACATTGGAAAATGTTGGAACAGGAAGTGGAGGAAATAGCACAACATCGACAACAACATCAGCAACAGCATCGAATTCGAATGGAAATTCGAGTCCGATGGAAATTCCGGCTGTGGCTGAGGATAATACAACACTTGGCGAATTATTGATTGGATTTTTGGATTATTATGCTAATCAGTTTGAGTGAGTTTTTTTTAGAAGAAAAATAGCTAAAAATGATGAGTTTTGAATTTTTCCAACTGGTTCAAATTTCCGTGATAATTTTGATTTTTGGAAAATTTTTGAATTTTCACCGAAAAACAGTTTTCACTAGAGTTTTGAAAACTTCGCTGAAAATTGTAAAAATTTACCTAGACACCGTTTTTTTCACCTGAAAATATCCGATTTCTCAAAATGTTTAGCCCGAAATTGTTACGTTTCAAAAAATGTTATGATTATTTTTGTTGGATCGAGATAAATGTTCTTCGTGTTTTTTGAATTTCTTCAAAAAGTCTAGACTGCTAACGAAATTTCTAATGTTGAACTAATTTTTTTTGCAAAACAAATCTCCAAAGTCATTTGAAATCCTAGCGAAATTCGGGTAAAATCAGATAATTTTATCCTGTTTCAAAAAATCCTAAAAACTGAAAATTCTAAAGTTTCAAATTGAAAATTCTATATTTCTGCAGTTATGACCGCGATGCGATATCAATTCGTCAAGGTCAACGACTCGAGAGATCAGTAGTTGCTCGCCCAAAAAATATGACAGCTCCACCCCCACCCTCACAATTATCAATGAATGGAGCGGGAATATGTGGAACTGCTGTACCAAATCAGCAACAACAACAAACATCCACAACAACACCGCCACCTTCAACATCTGCCTCAACATCTTCAATTCAATCATGTTCGAAACAGCAACAAGTTCAAACACAAGCACAGCAAAATCAACAGCAATTGTTTCAAGGCGCATGGCGATCACAATGGCGATGTGTTTGTATCGAGGAACCATTCACCAATTCGAACACGGCACATTCGATATACGATGAAATGGTGTTTGGCGCAATAAAAGATGCGTTCCGTGAGGCGCACGGCGAACTTCGAAAAAACCATGATTTGGATCGATTGATGCAATGTGAACCGATAAATGTGACAATTCCAGCGACGGGAGCTGTTGTTTATGCGGCACTTTATGAAGGAGAACGACCGGCTTATTATGGACAACCATATCAGCCACACATTCAACAACAGCAACAAAGAAGACAGCCAAATGGTGCACAAAACAACACTTACAATCGAAATGGTGGACGACGATATTCATCGAATCAGAATCAGAAGTCGAGTAGATCACAGGAGAATGTGATTGTGGCAAATGGAGTGGAGAAGAAGGAGGAGTAAGTTTTTAGGGGCTGGAATTGGGACTAACAAAGTTAGGGCAAGTTATTGCCTTGATTTTGGGCTTTAATTTTCAATTTTTGAACAATAACTTTGAACTGTAGAAGATCAAGCTTTTACTGCCACAAAAAAAAGGATTTTTGGCTGAGCTGATGTTGGCTTCAAAACTTCTCATAGATATTTTTGCCGAAAAAAATTGGTCTAGATTTGAAGAGCCCAGATTTTTGATAAGCTGAATCTAGACTTCAAATCAAGTCGGAGCTTAATCCTAGAGTTCACGGCGCATTTCAAAAATAAAATTCATTTTTGCACGTCAAAAGCTAAAACCCATAAAAATTCCAAACTTCCCAGATTTTTAAATTTCAATCAATGTTATTTTTTTTCAGTTGCAAAGTTCGTAGTGACTTGACAACTCCATCTCCAATTCCACCAGCTTCTTCATCCGCAACATCTTCCACATCAGTTTCATCATCGAATTCGCCAGCCTCAACTTCAGCTCCAAATTCTTCGTCTTCAACATCCTCGAATAATGTTGTTGTTGTTTCAGCCAATAAGTGATTTGGCTCCAAAATCTGATCTTTTTTCCTTTTCCCCCTATTTTCTCTCTCTCTAGTCATGTGCCATTTTTTTCTATTTTTTTGTTGTTTTTTTTGTCTCGGATCTCGTTTTTCTCTGCTCTCTCCTCTTTTCCCACACACTCTCTCTCTCTCCAAAAATTATATGTATTTAAAAAACGTCGCCAGAAGATATTTTTGGCGACGACCCAAAAAATTTAAAAAATTTTGAAATTGAAAAAAAATTCTCTCTATCTCTCGTGTTTTTTGTGTTTTGTTTTTTTTTCTGATTAGTTTGCATGTCGGTTTCTTAATGTACAATAATTGCGCCGGGCCCTCTTCCTATTATTTTTCGTGTTTTTTTCGGGCTTTTTTTTCCGGGCCTCTCAATTTTCTAGGCCAAGTTTGGTTTCTATTTACTCGGTCTCCCCACATGTTTCTCTTTTTTTTTCTTCTTTTTTTTTCGTCCCCGCTCCCTATTTTTCCCCCGTTTTTTTCCCTGTTTTGAACCCACGCGTTTCTTTTTTTGCCCGTTTTTTGTGTGTATTTGAAACCCCCGGATTTTTTCGTATTTTTTTTTGGTCTGGAATGAAATTGGGTATTAAACATTGTGTATTTGAAGGTTGTTTTAAAGGCGCAGATTGAAAGGATTTCAGAAATGGTTCACAATTTAAAAATTTTGGCTCTATCGCAATATATGGGTCCCATGGAAATATATGGGTCCGTAAAAACATATAGGGGTCCGTAAAAACATATAAGGGTCCCTCAGAAATATAAGGGTCCGTGAATTTTTTTATGGGTCCCAAAAAAATAAAAGGGTCCGTGATTTTTTTCATAGGTCTGATTTTTTGATTTTTGGAGGAAAAAATGTGTGGTTTTTTGAATTTTCAATTGTTTCGTTGTATTTTTCTTGATTTTTTGATGATTCTTTGTATTTTCGGGGGGTTTACTAAGCCTAAGCCTAATTATGAAGCTGAAAAGCCGAAAATAGAGTTACCAGAGGATTCAAAATTTCTCTATTATTTTAGGCTTAGGCTTAGTAAACCCCCTAGAAAAATACTTACTGGCTAAAAAAAATGTGAAAAAATTACAAAAAATCACCAAAAATAAATAATTGAAATTAGAAAAAATACTTTTTTTTATGGACCCTCAAAAAAAATAACGGACCCTTATATTTTTTTGGGACCCATAAAAAAATTCACGGACCCTTATATTTCTGAGGGACCCTTATATGTTTTTACGGACCCATATATTTCCATGGGACCCATATATTGCGATAGAGCCAAATTTTTTGTGAAAAACCGAAATTTTTCTTAAAAATATTTTTTAAAAAAGAATAAAATTTTTAGGATTTTTTTTGTACTCCAAGTATTTTTTTAAATTACTGTAGTTTTGATAACCTTGAAGTTTATGTATATTTGTTCATCCCCTTTTCCCCGAAAACCCGATTTTTAAACAAATTTTTATCAGTTTTACACTAAAAAGGCGTAATCTCCTTCTCTCAAAAATATAATTTTTACACTAAAAACTTTCCTCTATTTCTTTTATCATTTTCATTCAGTTAGGCCTAGGCTTAGGCTTAACTTTGTTGAAAAAATGAGTTCAAGTTCGAAATGGGATACTGTAGCATTTGGGCTAAGTTTGGCGTGTCTTTCAACTTCTTGCGTATTGCTCATCTCAATTGCCACGTGGCAATCGCAAATTCAACAAATTGCGCATGAAGCGATTGTTGAGATTGATGAATTTCAGGTAGGCCTTTTGAGAACGGGAGGGGGCTTTTTTAGGCTTCATGCAAGCTTCGAATTGGGCTTCTAGGCTTCAGCGCCCAAAATTTAGGACGTTTTTCAGGCGACATCGGACAAAATTTGGGACCAACTCGTATTTGTGGCCACCGGTGAGACGAATCGACAAAAACGACACGCCTATTTGACACGTCAGCCGACGATTCGAGTTTGGGGTGAGTTTTTTTGGCGCCAAAAATAAAAACAATTCAATTTTTTTAATAGATGGCGGTGTAAACGGCGGAGTGTCGTCAAGCCAAAATGGACAATGTAATTGTGGCGGACCACCCGGGCCACCTGGATTGAATGGAGAAGATGGATGTGAGTTTTGAAGGGCTTTTCTCAGATCAGGCCGAAATTCTGAATTCCAAGATCGGAGGGGGCCTTCACAACCGGAAAACACAGATTTCAAATGACAAAAACAGCAAGTGCGCTCTATCGCACATCCGTTTTATTTTGTGTGCGAACACTTCGAGCGATTTCACAGGCATAAATTCTTGACTTTTTTAATTCAGAAATGCCTGTCGCAGAAAAAAAAAATTCTCGCGTGATTCGGGAGGCGGGATTTATTTGGCAAGGTGCGGCACGTTTTTTTTTCAAGCAATAATTATTTCTGATTTTTTGCATTTCGAAATTTAGTGAAGAAAAAAAGATGAAATCGAAAAAATTATTTAAAAAACGTGAAACGTGTAATCGTGGCAGAGGGCGGAGCCAGTAGGAAAAAAAAGTCAGAAATTTATGCCTGTGCGATTTCAAAAATAATTATTCAATTTTTGATAGAATAACCAACTTATTTTTTCCCATTTCTAGAAGAAGCTCGGACATATTATCGAAAATCTCATCGGTACCACGCGCTCCACCGAAATAAACACGCAACGCAGACCGCGCCGCGCCACAACACACCAAAAAAAGGAAGGGAATTTGAATCGTTCCCTTATTTCCGTGTGTTGTGGCGCGGCGCGGTCTGCGTTGCGTGTTCATTTCGGTGGAGCGCGTGGTACCGATGAGATTTTCGATAATATTCTACATAGGCTGATTCCTTATCTCTTCTCAAATCCCTCTATTTTTTCAGATCCCGGAGAACCAGGCTTACCAGGTCAAAACGGCGACGACGATGTTTCGGTGCATCGCCACGACCCCGACCGTTGTGCTCAATGTCCAGCCGGTCCACAAGGCCCTCAAGGCCCTCGAGGCGATCAAGGACCACCTGGATTGCCTGGAGCTCCGGGAATTGATGGACGAAATGGGAGACCGGGAACACCCGGATATCCGGGAGGCGATGGATATCCAGGACAACCAGGACCTCAAGGAGATGTTGGAGAAAAAGGTCGGGCAGGTCGAGACGGAAAACGATATGTCGGATTATCCGGGCCGCCTGGAGCAGAAGGAGCAGCTGGAGAGCCGGGAACTCAAGGACATCCGGGAGCAAATGGAATTCCTGGAGGGCCCGGAGATTCTGGAGAGGCTGGACCTCCTGGGCAACCTGGTTCGCCTGGAATTCCTGGGGTTCCTGGGCCACCAGGACCTCAAGGAGCTCAAGGCCCGGATGGACAATATTGCAAGTGTCCAAAAAAGATTTCAGCTTGACTGTGATTGTGGAAATAAATTTTTTTGAACTTCAAATTGAATTCAGAATTTCAAAAAAAATTTTTTTAGGAAATTCGGCTATATTTCAGGTTTATCAGTGAAAATTTTGATTTTTGGAAATTATAGATTTTTGGCAAAATTTACAACAACAAAATATACGAAAAACGAGAAATTTTCAAAATAAAAAATTCACTGTTTCAAAAATTTCTCTAATTTTCTGAAATTATTTTAGTAATGATTTCTATGTAACGGGAAATTTTTAATTCCAAAAAATTCACTGTTTCATATTTTTCATAAATTTTTGAGATCCAAAAATGTATTTTAAAAAATAGAATTTTATTTCAAAAAAATTGCCAAAATGCTACATGATATGAAAAAATAATAAAAAAAAACAAGAAAGGAAGGAGACATGAAAATTTGGTTGCGACTGGAAAATGTTTGAAGAAGAAAAAAATGAAGTGGTATTTAGTAGGGATTTTAGTAGGAGAAATATACTTTTTCTATACATTTATTGATTTTTTTAAATCACTCTTGACAAAGCGAATTTCTTCAGCAACTCATTTTTTGCTGGCCTGAAAAAAAATTGCATAGGAGTTGAAAATTTTGACTATTTTTTTGAGCTTACGGATCAAGGCTTTACTCTTAACCGTTGGCCCTAATCGTCTAACAAAGTTCAAACTTTCAGACATATTTAGTGTCAAAAAATCGCAAATTTTTGCGCTAACAAAAAAAATCGACCGTACCTTATTTCTAATTTGTTCAATCATTCGAATACTCTCCTCTTTTTCTTTTTGCAATTGTTGAACACGTTCACGATGTTTTTTCTCTTGATTATAATTGTCGGCTTTCAGATTGCTGATCTGCAAATTTGCAAAATAAATTTGAGTTGAAAAAAATACACGTGGCAAAAGCTTACAAGGGAACCTTTTTTACTCAACACTTAAAATCATGATGAAATTTGGTCCATGAACAGCTTTTGGGACCATAAGAACACCCTAAAAATTTTAGTCTCCCAATGGACCTCTGAGCCAAGTTCTGGGCTCTCAAAAGTTCAAAAAAGGCCTAAAAATGGTCATAAAAGTCATCATAGCACCATTTCAAAATTTTTTTTGGGAGAAATGAAGTTTCAGATATTGATCAGCATAGTCGATTACCCAAAAGTACATCAATAAAAAACTTTATTTCGAAAAATTTTGAAGTTTTTTATTTTTCGGCTGAAAATTCATGAAAATTCATATGTGCCCCTGCTCATTCTTTTTTTTTCAAAATCAAAATTTTTTCTAAAAATTTGATTTATTGATGCTTTTTGGGTAAATCGACCACGCTGATCATCATCTGCTACTCAGTTTTTGATAAAAATTATCAAAAATTGAGTTATGACGTGTTTTATGAGCCAATTTTGGCAATTTTCGAACTTTTGAGAGCCCAGAACTTGGCTCAGAGGTCCATTGGGAGACTAAAATTTTTAGGGTGTTCTTATGACCCCAAAAGCTATCTATGGACAAAATTTCATCAAGATTTGAAGTGTTGAGTAAAAAAGGTTTCCTTGTTAGGCTCAAAAAAATTTGATTTCGACGCCAGAAATCCACGTGGCAAGAATTAAAAAAAAAGAATATCAGAAAATGTTTGAAATCTACAAACTTGTTCAAAATTAGTGCCTAAAAATTATCAATTTTTGAGCAGACTTGCTCACTTTCAGCTCAAAATTTTCAGATCCCCCCCCCCCAATTTTAATCTCAAAAATCGCGAGTCACTCACAATTTTATCCTTTTCCAACAATTGCGTCTCTTTCGTTTGTATAACCGCATTCAATCGGCCAATTTCATCATTCAATTTCTGAATTTTATTTTGCGATTCGAAATCGGGCAAAACTTCGGCCGCCATTGCGCTGAGACTTGTTGTGGTTGTTGTTCCAGGTCGGCCATATTTTGCGGGCGTTGATTCTTCCTGGAAAAAATCAATTTTCAAGATTTTTCTGATAATTGGGTGAAAATCTTTGAAATTTTTTGAAAATTAAAAACATGAGATCAGATATTTTTCGAAGTTCAGTGTCAAAATCCTCCTTTTCTTTATTTTCTTCCCAATTCGCCTTACCTTTTCATGTTTTCTCTTATTTTTATTGGAAGATGATGAATGATTATGTGAACTTCCTCCATTTTGATTCTCTTTTTTCTCTTTACTATCCAATGGAACTGGAATACCAGATAAATGTGTTTGTTTGGTTTGACGAGCTTGCATTATACATAAACGACACAGGCTTTGATTTTCAGCTTTCTGAATTAATAATTGGCTTAAAATTTGGAGATTTTTGAGCTAAAAATTAGCATAAAACCATAAAAACTAACTATTTTTATCGAAATTCGGCTCAAAATACTTTAAATCCTTCAAGAACCCCAAAATCTCACCCTGGCTTTCGAGTTTTTCGGAAATGCACACTTCAATTTACAATTTGCGCAATGAATTGGGTCGCCGAATTTTCTTTCGGAATGTGCACACCAAACACACTTTTTCTCGTGAAATGCCGCATTCAATTTGCAAAATTGACATACTGTTGCCTGGAAAAATAAGGTTTTTTAGATGGAAAATGGGAAAATCGATAAATTATGAGACGAAATTTGTGATTTTTGATAAAGTTTAGCTGAAAAATCTTGTTTTTTGTGAATTTCCATATAAAAATGTTGAAAATGATAACAATAAGCTACATTTGTGATTTTTTACAATTTGAGCGGGAAAATCAATAATTTCACCTTTTCGGCTAACAAAAAATCGAAAAATGAATAAAAAAATTTTAAATTGCCACGTCATCAAATTATCAAGTTCACGCGTCACAAAATTAACGTCAATCAATAATTTTTTGATTATTTTTTATCTCCAGGCTGAAAAAATCCGAATTCACTATTTTTCAGACTGAAATTGAAGATTCTTGGATAGTTAAATCATTTTTAAATTAAAATATTGATTTTACACGATTTTTAGATGACAAACAATAAATTTCCGGCGGTTTCAGATTTTTCTAGTTGAAAACCATCATTTTTCTATCAATTCTCCCCAAAAATCCCCGAAAAAACCAACTTTTCCATATTTTGCCTCATTTTTCTGACATTTCGGGCATTGAATGGCTCTGTAAATGTAATTTTTAAACCCCGATTTTTCACAAAAAACCTTACCCATTTGTATTTTCGCCCAACGCAATTCGACAATTCAAACAATTTTTGACAACTGGTCCAGACATCAGCCTATAATTCAGGTTATTTTAATTCTTAGCTAATTAAGCGGATCATAATTAATTAAGGTTTTAAGCGAACACGTAAAAAAAAAGAAAACAAAAAAGCGTTTCTCCAAGAAACACACAAACAAAATATCTAAAAATGCACACAAAACACCAAACTTGACGCGCAAAACAAATAATTTTTTTTTGTTTTTTTAAAGAGAACCCATAGAAAAATATGATGAAAATGCGACTTTTGAACATTTCGGAATCAAAAACAACGAATTAAAATTGAAAAATTTATTGATTTTCACTGAATTTTCGTTTCCTTGGTTGATTTTTTGTGGAGAAACTTGAAGGAGGAGCTGAACGACGGCCATTTATTGAGGATAGCTGGAAAACATTTTAATTGAGAAGAAAAACATTTTTGATGAAGATTTTCAGGTTGCTAGGAGAATTTTTTCATTGATTTTTTTCAGCTTGAAAAAGAGGAGAAAGATTTTGAGAGAAAAAAAATGAATGAACAAAAATTTAAAAAAATTGAGGAGACGCGATTTTTTCTGAATTAAATTTTATTTCACGTGAAATTCACAATTTCATCATCATTCGACGTGGCAATTTAGAAAACTCATTTTTAAATTTATCTTGGTCAATTTTTTCCGATTCGTGTAAATTTCCCACCAAAAATCCATGTTTACCTCTCGATAAATCGGCAAAATTTGTTCTCTCCACGCCGCTTTTCGACTATATTCCTCTAAATCCCTTTGAGCAGTTATAATATCCACAATTTCATCATCATTCTCGGAATCTTCGTGTCGAGTTAGAACAATGCAAACATCGCCGATCTGGAAATTCTGAATTCACATTAGGTTCAAATTTTCAAGCTCACCTCCAATTTTCCGGCTTGTAATCCATAATTTTCTGCCGTCTTTCTGACGTCACAACTCGCCCATCCTTTTCCCAACACAAAAAATGGGTGTTCATTTTGGACAAGCAGTTCTACAACGTCTGAAAAATAAGCTTTAGAAATAGTGGGGTCTAATTTTAAAGGAGCAGTATTTCAAAGGCGCATGCTAATTTAAAACAAACGCGGCGAGACCAATCTCAAAAGTATGGATCCTTTGAGCTAAGTTTAAAACATACAATTTTTGCCCAAATTTCCACTAGTTTCAAATAAAATCGTAGAAGTCGCTCGATTTTTCTCAGGTTTCACAATATCTTTAATAATCGATGCAGTCACATTAACATCTTTCGATTCTACAGCACATTTCAAAAAATCATCTGATGATAGATCTTCGACTTTTTTAATTGAACCATCTGATAATTCGAGTTTAGTTCCGCGCAGAAAATGAGTTGGATAGTAGAAATCATCGGTGCAAATTGAGCCCATTTCAAAATTTGGATTTTGTTGTGATTTGAATGAAGTTGAAGATGAAGGCAGAGGATTTAGACGAACTTCTTGTTTTTGAAGAAATTGTTGAAGAATTGTTGGAGGGAGATTTGAGAGAAGTTCCTGGAATATTTCAGAATTTTTTGGCTGGAAATTAAAGTATCAATTTTTAACCAAAGTACTGAAATTCTCAGAAAAATCTCGCAAATTTTAGAGATTCGGCGTGGAATTTCCAGTTTTTCGAAAAAAAAATCCCAACGCACCTCAATTTTCTGCTCCTCATTTTTCACGGCTGGCTGAGTTGTTCCCTGACCAAAAAATTGTTGAATGAAACCAGGGTCGAGCTTCCCCAAAAGCTCCTGGAAAAGTAACATAATATTTTCCACAATTTTCAAATTTTAAAGGAAACTCACCAAAAACTCCGTGTTCATTGCAAAAAAATAAAAGATGAAATATTCTTATCAGCTGACAAGAAAAGAGCAAAAGAGTTTGGCTCATGATTGACGTAAAAATATTATTTAGAGAAAAAAAGATGAAAAATCGGAATTTCGCATGTTTTCAAAAAAAAAATTCCCAAAGATAACTGGAAGAAATATTTATAAATAAAAGAAAACAATTTATTCAAACAAAATTATTTGATTTCATCATTCGAAATTCTCATTTCTCATTTTTGACGACTAAATACAAATGGATATCCGTTTGCTCTCCAATTTCAAGAAATGATTTTGGATCGACTCTGGATTGAATTCGTTTTCTTGAAGTGTATCTAGTATTTTCTCGAAAATAAAAACGACTCAGATCAATATCGATTTTGCGAGTCATTAGCGATTTTTTATAAGCTGTGTTGATAGAAAACATCCAAAAATTTGAATGCAATTTACCATCCATCCATAATTCAATATAATTTTGCACATCTTTCTCATTCAATGTTTCCATATAATAAATATCGATGTTTCTCGCACGAAGTTGGATTAATTGATTGAAATTTATAGATGTTGATGGAATTTCGATCGCAGAACTGATATTTTTGATCGTTTCGAAATCAATGAAACCGATTTCAAACAAATCGATTTGTCTCATCGTGTTGCCAATTCGGAGTTCTTTCAGTTTGGTGCAATTTCGAAGAGTCAAGTTGGACAAAAGCAAAGATCGAATTGGACTATTCTGGAAAATTAGATTTTGAAAAACCATTTCGAAAAAAAAGATTGTCTCACCATTGTCTCAATCACAAATTCTCTCAATCGATTTCCAATTCTTTCCAAATAATCTCGAATTATATCCAAACAAACTTTCCGAACATTTTCATTTCGATGTTCTAACAATACTTCGACCCTTTCCCCCCTGATAAATTCTTCAAAAGATATATTTGTATTATTTTCATCGATTTTTTGAACTACCATGCAATAATCGTTTATTCGGATCCAATATTTAAATCGTATTCTTTCATCATCATCATAATCCATGAAAACGATACTATCGAAATAGTTTTTTGATTTTTGAATTTCTTCCTGACATTTTCTACAGGTTGCTCCAAGTTTTAGCAATATTTTTGTATTCATTTCATTCATAATCATTTCTCGAATTTCAAGTGGCATATCAAACCAGCAAATTGTTTGTATTACTAATTGTAAAACTAAAATATCATCCATTTTTCGATTTTGATAAATGTGATCTGAAAATTGAGAAAGATTTAGAGCTAGTAACAAAGTGGAACACAGTAATATGGCGTCATCCCTCTATAATAAGACCATTGAGAAATGCTTTCAAACCCCAAAATATATAAAATAAACCTATCCAGCTATGTTCATAAGCAATATGAAAAAGAAATACTAAAAAACAATTTACATGGAACATTCCGGTCAAAAACTCAAAAAACATAATTCCCATTGAAAAATTTATGTTCGTCTGGAAAATTCAATCTTGGTGCCCATGGAGAAATACTAGTTTTTCGAAAAAAACGTGGAAAAAAAGTTTGCAAAAAAATAAAAAGAAAACAACGAGACTCCGCGTTGACGCTAGCTAGCCCGCGTACGCGGGCGCGCGTGGTTTGAATTTGTGTTTTTTTAAAAGTTTTTCAATGGGCTTCTATATTTCGACTAATACTTATTGAAACGTTTTGAATTTTTCTCCGAACTAGACATCAGTAAATCTAAGATAAATCTATGATTTGAGAACAATTTGGTTTTTTCAATAAAAATGCCTATTATACAGGGGTATTGCTTCAAAATGTGTTTCTTACCTTATGAAAAAAAAATATTGTTTCCGTTTTCTTCAAATTAGAATAATAGAAATGAGAGAAAAGTGTTGGAAAAATTTCACGTGAACAATTTTTCACGTAAAAAATTGTGACCTTTTTTTTTTTTCGAAATGGGGAATTTTTTCAGAGTTTCTTCCATGGTCGCTAGGTCTCAAACTTTTCGAAAATTTTTCGTGGTAGATCAAAACTATTTTTCTCTAATTCTCTCAAGATTGTGTCAGGTCTCAAAAATGCGTGAAATTTGCGCTGTTTCTTTTCTTGTAAATTTTTTTTTGTTTTGTATTTCAAAACTTTTTTATTCCCAAACCTTTTTTTAAAAATAATTTTTGTTCATTTTGAATTTTTTTTCAATGATCTTCGATAAGTGAATGAGCAAGTGCACTTGAGCAAAAAATCAATATTTATTTTTATTTACCAGCCAAAAAGCAAGGGTGTGGCTTTTTTGTTGATAAGAACAAAAAAGCCGAAATGGCCGAAGTTGCAGTGGCGATTATTAGGCTGAAATTGAGCGGATTGACTGAAAAGTGAGTTAACCTAACTACTTACAATATGAGTTTGTAATTTTCACAGAAGGATTTCATCGCAAGACTTTGAAATTTGCATCAAAGAAGAGCCAAGCACCAAAATTGCACATCATCACAATTTTTCGCAAGATTTCAATGTGACAAAACGCGTTACAGTAGGCGGACATACAGTAGGAGCCGATGTTTTCAAATTGCCAACACTGTCTTTTGAACCGGCAAAAATGACGACAGTCGAAGATTTGATACACGAATATTTTCGACGAACTGGAAATAATCGAATTCGACGAGTTTTGCGCATTCCACTGCATTTTGACAATGATGAAAATCAGCCGATGTGTTCGCGAGATATTGTTATGGCACCTGGATTGGCCATGGTTTGTGTTCCTGTTTTTGTGAAAGGTAAGAGGATTTTCTGTGGAGAATTTTGGAGCATTTTAAGTATAAATATGATTCATCTGAAACCGGAATTTTGATTTTGTTCTAAAAAATTTCCCTAGAGCTTTTTTCAGAATTTTTTTGAATCTAGAATTTTTGATATCATGAAAGATACGATTGATCGAATTTTCGAAATTGGAAAAATTTTAACAAATTTTTGAAACGTATATTTTTCGATTAAATTCAAAATGGCATGAAAATTCCAGAAAACTTTGACTTCAGAAATTCTAAATTTTATCCCAGGAATCTCAAAATTTATAGGAAGTTTTAAAGTTTGGTTCAAAATTTTCATGAAAAAAAAACTCTAAATTTTTTCCAAAATCTCTAAAAAAAATTTTTGCAGAAGTCGTCGAAGTTGCCAACTCACGTTTCGAAAACCTCCAAAAACTTCTAAATCTCTGTCAAAACCAACCCGAAATGTTCGAAGTTCACTCAAAAAACATGCTTCAAATTCTCGAAAAATGGCTCCAAAATTCGTGTCTTTCATCGCATTTTATCTCAACATTTTTCAAACGCGAAAATTGTCGAGAAAGAATTCGAAATTGTGCACATAATCCAGCGTATATTGAACAACAGGAACAATGTTTTCGAAATTTATCGCATTCGATTCGAAGCACTTCGAGTTCTGATTTGGATGATCGTGTTCATATGGCGAATTTTGCAAAATTGGCCATGTTGAAGTATAATAAATTCACGATTTCGACTATTAATCCGGCTTTTTGGCCTGAAGATTCGGTGAGCTTTTTTTAACTGAAAAGTGTGAAGTTTTCTGATCACCCTGAAATTTGAGTCCTTGATTTTCGACTAAAATTCATTTTTTGAAAATTTTTGAAATTATTTCGATGTTTTCCTAAAATTCCTTATTCTTGATAACTTGAATAATCTCAATCTTTTACCAAAAGAAATTTTCACTGTTTCAAAAATTCTTGAAAATTTCGAAAAATTTGAAATTGAAGCTTACAATTTTAAAAACTTTAAATAATTTTCACGTGGCCTAGAAAAAAAATGACGTTTCCATTTTTCCAACTCATTTCATTTCGGAAAAAGATGTCAAATCCAAAATGTGTGTTCAAAAAAAAATCCCCATTTTCCAGACCTCCTCATATTTCTACCCGGGAATCAAAAAACCGCCCAAAAATGGTCAAATTCGTGCCAGTTCGTCCAGCATCACCTCTTCAGATTTTCGTCAAAAATCCTATCCAATTCATAAATCGGCTGAAATTGGAAATGTGGCTGAAATTCGACAACTCTTGAATGCCTCGATTTTTGATGTGAATCAGAAAGACGATGATGGATGGACACCACTTCATTATGCATCTTTTTATGGAAATTTTGAGGTGGGTGAGAGAATTTGAAATATTTTGACACTAAATATAAGCTATTCTGAAAAATATTTTGAATTGATACCAGAAATCCAAATTTTAGCAGTTTGGGGACTAACATGAGTAATCGCTGTTAAATCAGATTCTTTTTTTGTCCCAATTTTTTCACTGTTTCAAAGTCTCTGATAAATTTTCCCATTTCAAAAAAATTTGTTTCCGCATAATATGCTATTATCTTTTAAAGACACGTAGAAAACTAGAAATCGTTCAAAAATCATTATTTGCATGTTTTTTATCATCCTTCAAATAGTGGAAGTACATAAACAAAATTGAAAAATATTGAGTTTAGCGAAAGTCAAAAAAGAAATTGCCTTTTTTGAAATCGCTCAGCCGACGCAAAATTTGGTGTTTGCACAAATGTTCGTGATTTGCCGCACATGTGTGCATTCTTAGCATACCGTACCACCACTTTTTATTCGTTTTTTTCTTTTTTCAAACGAACAACACACAACTTTGAAAAAAGGCGCGCGTTCAAATTTTGAAGATTACAAACACACATTTCTAGTTTTCTATGTGTCTTTAAATTTAGAAATTGTCGAAAAAATTAAATTTTCTTCACTGTTTCAAATTATTTATATTTTTTTCCTTATTTCCATATATTAATATTTCATTGAATTGTTAACAAGGATCAATCATTTTGAATTTTGAAACGGCTGAAAAATTTCCAGCATACATTTTTCAACTCAAAATAATTTCTGAAATTCTGCAAAACTTATCAAAATTAAATTAAAAATGTATTTTTTTCAGGTGGCAATCGAATTATTGAACTCACCCCAAATGACAGCTATAAATGCACAAAATGGTGGAGGATCGACTGCTTTACATTATGCTGTTATTAATGGAAATGAATATTTGGTTGAAATTTTGACATCACATGCGAGTATTGATGTGGTAAGGAATTTTGGGGGGATTTGGGGAAAAAGAAGCTGTCTTTAAGCAAAACAGTCAATTTTTTTGAGGGAAAATTTGAAGATTATCGTTTTTTAATAACTTAGTTTAAGTCTAGTTAGAAAAATTTAGTTTCTTATTGAAACTTAGAAAAACCCTCAAATTTTCAACTGAAAAATCCTTATATCTTGAATTTTTTATCACTTCCCACCTATCAATTTCTAGGTTTTTACAAAAAGATTTGATAATTTTTTGAAACAGTAAATTTTTTAAACGTGTTCCAAGTTTCCTCATTTCTTCCAGAACATTCAAAATTCCGAAGGTCTTCGTCCAATCGATTATTGCACCAACAACCCGAAAATCCGGCATATTTTAGAGCTGCAAATTTTCAAGACAAAAATCCACGTGGATACCGTACACGGACCTTATAGTATAAAAATGGCGCGAAAATCGGATGAAGCTCAAGTTTCTGAAATTTTGGAAAGATTGGCTGAAGAAACACAATTAACCAAAGAACAAATGAATTGCTTTGCCATTTTTATTTATTCGAAATCGATGTGTGAGTTTTTTTTTGTTGAGATTAGAAAATATTTTGGGACGTATTTTTTTGAGGTTTTTTGGAAATGAAAATTTGAAAGTTTTACTTCACCGAAAAAGAGAAATACCAATAATTTTATCTTCAAAAAAAAATTATGAAGAATTTGAAACAGTAAATTTTTAATTTTTTTAAATTGAAAATTTCCCAGGATTTTTAAGACTTAGTATTTTTTATGGAACGACATTGGAAAAATTAAAAAATACATAAGAAAAATTTGAAACAGTGAAATTTTTTTGAATCAACATTTTGAAGAAAAAAGGTTTTCCCAGATTTTTGAGCTTAAAATCAACTCTCAAATCCAGTTTTTTGCAGCTCTCCAACTGCGCCCAGATTCTCTAATCGAAGAAAAATTGAAAGTTGACAAATGGAATGTTATGATTCGCAAATTGATCTCACCAGATTGTCCCACTGAAACACCAAGATTAAAATTGAAGAGAAATGCATATGCCACGTCACGTATGGAAATGATTACGGTGGGAAATTTTAAGATAGAAACATTTATTTGCACCGTAAAATTGCGTACACCGTAAAGGGAAAGATAATTAAAAATTAAGATTAATTAGGATTTTAGGGTTAATTAGTTAATTAGGGATCTAGTAGGAGAGAGTGTGAAGAATGAGGAGAATCAGAGAAAATCCGAAGATATTTTGAAAATTTTTATATGTTGCCGAATTTGTTCCACAATCTCCTAATGGACACGCACCGCTGCAGACCTGCAAAAATGGAGATTATTGTAGGGGTACTGTAGTTTTTCGAAAGGATTACTGTACTCTAGTTATTTTCTGAAAAGCTAGAAAAATTTTTTACGCGAAAAAAATGTTCAAAAAAATATACTGTTTTAAAATGTTTCCTAATTTTTGAAAAACTTTTTTTTCGATTCTGTCAATCCTTCTAAGAGTAGAAAAATAATTATTGTAGTTTTACTAGGGTTACTGTAGTGCAAAACTACCGTACCTCGACATAAGTATGAATAGATTCTTGGCGATGAGCTGGTGTATTGGTGGCTGTGGTATCGCGGGTGATGATGTGGCGGCGGTGCTGAAAATTTTGAATTTGAATTTTTGGTGGCCTAGAAACCCAAACCCCTCTCACTTTTTTTGTGATTTTCGAATTGTATAGCGTGCATCCTTTTACATCAGTTTCCATGCCGCAATGTCTTTTTGTAACAACACGTCCTGCAACAACAAAAAAACAAATAATTATTATAATTATAATTAGACCGAAGGATATATGTTTAATATTGTTTGGTTTTTGAGAACAATAGAAATATTTAGTTAGGAAAAGAGATCGGAGCGGATCTAATTAATTTGGTTCGGGATTTTTTGGCGCAATTTTTTCGGGTGGATGAAAAGGTTTTCCGACTTGCAGGGGAAATTTGGAGTGAAACAGTGGATTTATATTGAAAAAAAACTGAATTAAAAAAATTTTTGGTATGATCAAAGAGTGTAATAAATTTGAAATTGCTTCAAAATTATACACAAAATTTAAAACAGTGAATTTTTTTCTTAGTTTTTTTTATAATGAAAAAAAGTTTATGCTGAAATTTTGTAACAGCGATTTTTTCATGGATTACATTTGCAAAATATTGTTTTTGAATCGAAGTTTGATGAGAATTTTGCTTGCACTAAAAATTCCATGAACTGGTTTTTTTTTAGATTTTATAATGTTGCTCTTTCAATCTCATTAAAATCCCGTAAGGTTCAATTTATTTAGAAATTATTAAGTTGTTAATGTTTCTGATACAAATTTCTGAAATAATTAGACAATTTTGAAACAGTGGATTTTTTAACAAAATTTTTTGTCAAAGAAAATTTACGTTTCAAAAAATCCTTAATTCATCTTTTGTCGTATTTCATCAATGGTGTTCTTTCAATTTTTCAAAAATGCAACAAAGCTCACCATTTCCACCATTACTATACCAATCAACAATACAAACTGTGTGAGAAGAATTAGCGCAAAGAGTTGGTTGAATCATTCCAGAATTACATTCTGAACTTCGTCTGAAAAATTGAGCATTTTTTTTGTGCCGTCAAAAATAGCTTCCCTGACTCACTTTGCTTGCTCTTTTTCCGAATACCAATTATCCGTATTTCCACATTGTATACAGTGCAAACCGTAGGCTCCACCCACAAAAATGAGCAACAAAAATAATGAAATTGGGAAAAATTGCATGTTTTTTTCTGAAGAATTCGGGATTTGTGAAGAGGAATTTGGGAGAAATGTGTCAAAAACAGAAGGAGTTTTGAGAGAAAAATATGAAAATGATTGATTTCCACCTAAATTTTCAGAGAAAATAGATGAAAAATGATAAAAACAGCGAACTTTTGAAGAAATATGTTTCAAAAAATGACAGAAAATCGATTTTTGCAGAAAGTAGATCACAACAAATTTGGTCGTGATACTTTGTTGGACGAGGCTATCAATGCTTATTTACACGGTCTTTTGATAGCTGGAAGCAAAGAGGAAATGGCGAAAATGGCGGCGATTTTGGCGAGAAAAATGCATGGAAATAGTGGAAATGGAAATGGCATGGAATATAAACCGAGGTGAGATTTTTGGGCGGGAAAATGGGGAAAACTATACAACAAGCAGAAAATAAAACAATAAATTAGACCTATAAATTTCATTCACACTTTTTTCGAAAATGAAAATTGAATAATAAAATTGGGCCATAAAAATTTGGAGGATCTTTTAATTTCGACCGCCCAAAACATCTGTACATTTTTCTTTTGGGAAAAAATTGGACACGTGGATTTTCTGGGAGAAGCTGAAAATCCAAAAATTCCACCAAAAAAAAATTGTGGCAATTTTTGGACCCTCCAAAATTATACGAGAAAAAAAAATGAGGAAATTTTTTGAGCTATATCCTTGGTGGTCCCTCCCTCTTAGCTAGCTCAGCTCATAATTAAAAAATGTTGAGCTAAATTAAAATTCTTATTCTTATTCTAGTAGCCCGGGGGTCTATTTCAATTTTTTTTGAAAAAAAAACACTTTTTGGCCAAGTGAATTCAGAAAAGTACAATTACTCATATTAGTCAGCAAATCGTGATTTTTTCTAATTTTCATAATTTTCAATTTTTTATTGAAAAATGTTCTGATTCAGAGATTTTAACTGAAAAATTAGCACTGAAAATTAATTGAACGAATTTGGCTAATATGAGCAATTACGTCATTTTTCTAAAAATGAAGCAGATTTTTGAACATTGCTCATATTAGAAATTACAAAAAAAATGAGATTTTTGGATTGCCCATGTTGGGAATATCTGAAATCCGAATCTCCATTTTAAGCCAAACATTTTCAGACAAAAATAGGTGGAGCCTAACTGGAACTATTTTTTATTTTTCAAAAAATGTGATTTTTTATGAAAAAATTACGTAGTTTTTTTTTTTTGAAAATTGGGCTATTCAAAAATTTGTGTTTCTTGAGAAAAGTGTATTAAAAATTGTTTTCAAAAAAAAATCACAAAGAAATCTAAGAATTGCTCATTTTAGGAATATATTCACAAAAGATCAAATGTTCGAAATTGGCTATGAAAGACAAATTTTGTTGATTTTCTAATTCTGCATTGCTCATGTTAGAAAAAATGAATCTTGAAATTTGGTTCCAAAATCTACTGCTCATGTTAAAGAAATTACTAAAAAACTTGAATTGAAAAATTCAGAATTTCAATTAAATTGCTCATGTTAGTAAAAATGCAGAAAAAAAGTATCATTTTCAATTTTGTTTTCTTCAAAACAAAAAATATAAAGAAAAAATGTTGTTACTAGCAAAAGTCCTAAAGTTAAGTTAATTAAAGTGGTAATAATAAATTTTTCCTTCTTTTCTTTTTTTTTTTTTGGGAAAAAGTGCTTTTTGGGGGAAAAGAAGAATATTCTCTTTTCGAATTTTTTGAAAAGAATTTATTATAACTCGACTCTTTCACAAGAAAAATAGAAAATGGAAAAGTAGAGGAATAATTATAATAGTAAATGTTCTCTTTCCCCAAAAATATTTTGGGGGGAAAATGTGGGCGGAGCTTGGGGAAGGGGATGAGATACGCCCACTTTTGTGGGAAAATTTGGAGCGATTTGGGGGCTTTTGGGATTCTGAGCTTGAACATTTTCGACTGAAAAACTCTGAAATATTGGGAAACAAAAAATGAAAATCAGCAAAATTTGAGACTTTTTAGGCTTCTAGACTTGTGGAGTTAGGCAACTAGGATTCTGAAAATGTGTGCCGAAAATGCAAGATTGAAATGAGCAATCTCATTTTTAATCCTCTAAAATGTTACGTTTCAAAATTTCTTGTTATTTTTTTGAGTAGAATTCTATTCGATCAATGTAATCTATTGCATTTTTAGAAACAAAAGCCACAAAAATTAATATGAGCAATCCATTTTTTCAATTTTTCTCCAATACTTTTGTGCTGTTCTCGAAAATAAAATAAAATATGAGATACATTTTGTGTTGGCACAAAATAAGTGATTCCTAATTGGTGTCTAAATATCACCAAGGTGTCCACCCAAAAATATAAAATACACTCGCAAACCCTATAATTAAATATATTTACGAAACCTCGCTACTCTCAAAACAATTTCAATTTTCTTGTTCAATTTTTGATAGACTTCTTCAAGGTTTTCATTGGCGCCACTGGAAAAGTGAGAATTTTTGGTGGGAAAATGATGAGAGCGGGTGAATTTCTTATCCATCTGTGTCTGGGTTACTGTAGCCACCTGACACCTGTTCAATAAGAAAACTTCTAAAAGTGCTGCCACGTGGCATTTTTCAAAATGCTGTAGTTCTGGAAAATTGGTAGATCAAAAAATGGTCGCTGAGAAGAGTACTGTAGATTTTATTCCGAATTATGTAAACTCTAATATGAGCAATCCTATTGTTCCCAAAAAATGTTTCACAACTTCTATTTTCTACAAAACCACCCATATTTTCACACCATTTTGGCGCCAATCTCATTTATTCTTCCTAATGGCTTGGTTGGTGCTTGAATAATTTTCGGATGAAATATGAGATGGTTTTTTTTGGTGGTGAAAAGAGGATTTATAAGAGGTGTGGACAGGTGCTTTTTGGTTTGGCGCACATCCAAAAAATTGTGGATTTGGATTTGGTGTCTACAGTACTCAATCTACAGTACTCTAAATAGTTCCACGTGGCAACATTTTCTATTGCGCCATCAACATTTTTCAGGGCCAAAATTTTATTGAAAAAAACATTTTAGCAGGTGTCAGGTGGCTACAGTAACCCAGACACAGCTGGGGGTTTAATATTTTGGCGCGAAAAAATTTGTAAAAAAAACACCAACTTTTTTCCAAAAAAAAAACGATTAGTAGTACACATTTTCGTTTTTGTTGGCACAAAAAATGGCTACAAATTTACTTTTTAATGAGGTTTTTTGTGTGTGAGCCGACCGACCCCAGAAAAAAAAAGAGCACAACATTTTTTGTGCTCTTTTTTCGGGTGCTCACTCTCCAAAAAAAAAAGCTGGGAGGGACCACTCAAGGTGAAAAAATGGGCACAGATTATCCGATGCACAAATATTTGAGCAAGAATTACTTATTTATGATGAGCAGCAGCTCAGAAAAAAGTAGCCAAAATGATAGGAAAAAAACAGGGTTCGTGCCAAATAATATACGAAAAAAACGCAATTTTAGACAAGAAAAAATTATTTTTTCACACATACAAAAAATAGGCTAATAGTAAAAACATGTATCATTTTGTGTCCAGCTCTCACACACAAATTTTTTCATCTATTTTTTTTTGTTGCTCGTATTCGTTCATTCATTCATTCATTCCGTAATACTCTTGCTCACAACACACAAAAATTGCTTTTTTTCGTCCCAATTTTCGTTTTTTCTTGTTATTTTTCGGACACGAAGAAGAAGAAGAAGATGAAGAAAATTGAAATTTGCAGAGAAAAATTGCATTTTTCTTGTGTTCCTTTAAAAAAAATTTTAAAGCCAAATTTTGATTCAGGGAATTTTTGGGCAATTTTATTTTTAACAAAACATTTATAGATGTATCAAACACCAATTTGATTTCAAAAAATAACTGGAGATTTTGAAACGTAAATTTTTAGAGAAAAAATCTAGAATTGCTCATATTAATTTTGCCACGTAAGAAATGTTGTTTTCCCACAAAAATTTCGGGGGATAAAAAGCTCTTCCGTTTTTCTCGCTCAAATTTCAGGTCAAATTTCACACATATATTTTTTTCTTCTTCAAAAAGTTTCAAATTGAAAAGAAACTTTAGACACAATACTATTTTTAGAAGTGGTTTGGGAAAAAACATTTGAAGAGGTTTTGGGGGATTTGGGATTAGGCTTGGGGCTCCAGGCTCAAGCCTGAACTAGAGGTTAGATTTGGATTCAGAACTTCAGATTCAGGCTTTTAGGCTTCTAGAATTTTGGCTCCAATGAAATTTTATATAATATTTTTTGAAACAGTGATTTTTTTGCGTTTTCTTTTTTTTTAAATTCAATGAGCCAGAAAAAAAGGTTTTTCTGAATTTTTTTGAGAAAATTAGTGAGCTGGATTTTTCCGAACTATATTTGAAGCAAGAATGCCACGTGGCAAAAATCTTTATATATTTTATATATAGCCTTTTGGAGCACAAAAACTTGAACACTTTTTTATTTTTCCCCAGATCAATCACAATAAAAATTTCAAATAAAACAAATAAAATAAAATTTTGGTTCTCAAAAAATATGAAAAATTCATGAAAAATCTCATCAATCAATCAAAATTTGATCCTGTTTTTTGGCTGATTTTTTATGAGCTCTTGGAATATATTATTAATCTACAAAAAAAGAAAGGGAACCCAAATATAAATAAATAATAATAATAATAAGAATAATTACACTTATTATGCAAATCAAGTCATAGAGAAAAAAGGGCAGAAAAGTGACCCGCGACACCTGCAAAAATAAATAACAGAAAAACATTTGATAGGAGGGAGAATATTGGAGTTTTTAATAGAAAATCTGAAAATTCTAGAAATTTTTTCTCGCTGAAAATTGAGGCTGACTACTTTTAAATTTCCACAAAACTACAGTAGTCCTCGAAAAATGAAAACAACATACCAATTTTGAGAAAATTGCAACATTTTTTTGAGAAATAAAACTTTGAAGTTTTTTTTCACACATGTGTTTTTCCGGAAAATGTGTGAAACAAGAAAAAACATCAAAATGATAAATGCGTTTTTCTTTTTTTCTTTTTGAAAAAAAAACGCACAACATTTTTTTGGGGTTTTTTTCGGGAAACAGGAAAAGGGTTAGATTTATTGGGAAGTGGGAAGGAAGGAAGGAAATTTGAGATTTTTTGAAAATTTCGAGTTTTGGAGCTGAAAATCCACAAGTACTGTAGTTTGAAATTTGGGTTTCTTGGATTAATATTCTACAGTAAACCGATTTTTTTGGATTACTGTAGTTTTTGAATTTATGACCACAGTAATCTTTACAGTACTCTCTCAATTTTTGGAGTTTAAAGTTAGCCTACAGTAATCTGAAATCCATACCGTACTCGTCTTTTGATCTATTAATCTACTGATGAAAACACTACAGTACCCTACAGTAATCCCCATTATAAATAATTTTAATACTCAAAATATGGGTACAGTATCTCTAGTAACCTAGATTTTTGATCTACAGATTTTTTATTTCTACAGTAACCCGGAAATGAGAAAATCAAAATTCTTTCGAAAATGTTTCCGAAATTCAGAAAAATTTCCCACAAAAATTAAAATTCCTTTTACTTTTGAATATTTTAACTTTTCTTTCATCATTTTGGCTGACTTATTCTAACTTCGAGTAGTAAATAAATAAATAAATAAATTTGAAACAAAAAGAGAAGTAAAAGAAGAAGAAAAGTAGTTTAGGAAAGTGCTTATATTTTTCCATTTTTTCCCATGGTCCCCCGCCGTTTTCTTTTTCGAATATGAAATGAAGCGTATGTATAATTTTTGGAGGGAGGTCCAGGAAAAACAAAAAATTGAATTTTTTGTATAGTTTTTCGAGTCGCGAGAAAAGAATTCGAAAAAAATGGGGAATTTTGGGCGCCAAAAATACAAATATTTCTATACAGCTTCTTTTTTGCTTCAAATCTTACGAAAAATTTAATGAGCCGAGCAATAAATTTTATTTCTTCCGATTTTTGAAAAATTAATGGTGCCTGAAAAGTCAGTCAAAAAAAAAGAGCAACAAAAAAGAAAAGCAAAAAACGGCAAAAACTAATCTAAAAACACACGAAAAATAGAAAATATATGTTTTTATTTGAGAAGAGCATCACTCATTCTATACTTGCGAAAAAAAACATTTTTTTCGACTTTTTTCTGATGCTCCGCCCAGAAAGCCGAAAGTTTGACGTGTGGCAGAGTTTCAGAAAAAAAATCTTGGAAATTTTGAAACAATAAACTTTTTCTGGAATTTCTGAAGAAGAACCAAACTGCTCCAAAAAGTGCACAAAAATTCTTTTCGCGCGAAAAAAAGTTATTACAATTTTTTTTGACACGAAAAAATTCGTTTGACAATAGGATTATCTTTCCTGCATTTTCGCATCTTATCCACTTTTTTCAATAAAAAATTTTTTTTATTGAAAAAAGTCCGAAAGGATTATTCATTTTCAAAACCGAGAAATTGAGCGAAAAACGAAAATTTTTGGAGAAAAATTGGATTTTTTTTTGAGAAAGAGAGAAATATGTAGGTACAATTTGAGGATTCTAGAAAAATTATATTGATTTTTTTGGAGCAAAAAATTTGGTTCGAATTCAGGGGGAATTTCAGAGTGGCCTAGAAAACCAAACTTCAATAATTCGGCCACGTCTTTTTTGGGTATTTTCCCCCAAAAACCATCAATTTTTAGCGAGCTCCACGTGGCCTAGAAACCCAAGCCAAAAAACTAGGCCACACTCACATTTACCCTCAATTTTTCAGCGCAAAAAACCTGGCGAACATCTATCCTCAATACATGCTCGATAATCATGATCGAACAAAATTGGCTGACCGCTTGAAAATTGCGATGAAAAAAAACGAAACTCGAAACGATCGACAATTGGAAGACGATTTTTTGTCGATTTCGAGAGGACTTATGACTTATGGAGCATCGTTTTTCGAAGTTGATGTATTTACGACGAAAAAAGTGAGCGGTTTTGGGTGGAATTTTGACTAAAAATTATAATTTTTCCAAAAATCTTAGAAAAACATTCGATTCTCTATTATTTTTTTCCCAAAACAAAAAAATAAAAAAAACAAAAGTGGACATAATCTCGGGTCACTCAAGTACTTTGAAAAGCTTTACGATTCGTTTTTTGGAAAAAAATAGGAAAATTGAGAGAATTCTGGGATTTTTATTAGAAATGTTTGATTTTTTCCCAAAATTAAGAATGTATTCAAAATAAAATAAAATAAATAGTACAAATTAATTGCCCATAATTATTCTCTTGACCCTTTTTGGCTCTTCTCAAGTAAAATATGTTTTCTTAAATTTATTTATGCAATATGCTCATCCCAGGTGGCCTGGGAAAATCGGGAAAAACATTTTTGATTCGCAATTTTTTTGCAGAATTTCGGAAATGGTCAAGCTTTAGTCGGTGTCAATGATCACGGTCTGCACATAATTCTCAAAAAAGCGTGGAATGTGAAGAATTTGCGATTCGACGAATTCGCCGCCATTTTTCGCGATTCAAAAACAATTGAAATTGATGCGCAGCGATCGAGGGATTTGCATTTTATCATGGTTTCAACACAAATGAAATTTCTCAAGGGAATATTGCAAAAGTTTCAGGGCTAATTAATATGTATCTAATTAATAAAAATTTTGCAAAAAACCCATCAGTGTAACTATGACATTAAGCGATCACTGCTGCCAGCTCACGCTAAAGGTTGTATCATCACTTGGAATTAGCGCGCAGCCGGCATCGAACCAGCCACCCCTCGCACGATAAACATCGCTGCTACCGGTTGCGCCATGAAAACGTCAGAGAAACTGATGAGAATTGCATTCAAAAACTGGCTAGTGAGAGAAGAGAGAAAAAGGGATAGGAAAGGGAAAATGTGTTGTAAACAGAGTTTTTGTGTGTAGTTTGGGAAAATCGAGTTTTTTGAAGTTTAAAGTTGAGTTTTGTGTGTGGATTTTGGCGCAGGTTTTGAGTACGGTATCTCCCTTTGAATCTGAAAATTTCATATTTTGACGTGAGCTGTGACGTGGGAATTTTTCAAATTCATTTTTTTTTCATTTAGAAAAAATCAACAAAAAATTCCCGGGCTTTCAAATCGCTTCGCAAACCAGATTGTTCTTACAATGTTCCTTTAACATTCCTACAGTAATCTCGTACTTCTGCGGGTTTAGATTTCCAAAAAAAATCATGAATGTTTTCCTGAAAAAAAAACAACTTTTTTAAAGCCAATAAGGTTTATTCAGAAACAAAACAATCAATTTTTAACAGCATTTCTGCCCTTAAAATGATCCATTGAAGTGGTTACACCAAAATATTCGCCATACAAATTGATAACCTCAGTTGGCAACAATCCACCAAGTGCAATCATCACATAATTGAATTTTGGAATCGCCAAAAATGCGCGATTCGTCAAAACCGCCTCCATAATACATTCCACAACATATTCCGGTTCTAACATTGGCAAAAGATTTGGCCATTTCATTTGTGCTCCATCAAACATTCCAGTATTGATATAGATTGGACAAACCACTGTGGTTTTCACATCTTTTTTGAGCGCGTAGATTTCTGAGGAAAGCGAATCATTGAATCCAACTGCACCGTGTTTCGAAGCACAGTAATCGACCAATCCAGCAACTCCACATTTTCCAGCCATTGAGGCAATTGTCACAACGTGACCTTGATTTTTTTCAAGCATTGAGGGCAAGAAATTTTTTGTTGTCTGGAAAAAATCTTGAATTGATTCAGCTTTTATATTCCCCCCCAAAATTCAGCTTTTAAAAATTAATAGAAAGAACTCACATAAAACAATGCATTTGTGTTAACAGCAACTGTTTTTTGCATCAATTCATCTGGACAATCAAAAAGTTTCTTTCCTGTGACAATTCCAGCATTATTTATAAGAATATCAACATCGCCAACTTCTTCCTTCACTAATTGCGCGGTTCTGTTGATTTCCTTGAAGTCGCTGAGATCCACAGTGTAAGCTTTGACCTGAAAATCGGAAAAATTGAAGAATTTTCGCAAAAATAAAAAAAAAACAACGATACTCCGTTGTTTCCACACAACAAGACTCCGCCTGCCTATTGTTTAGCGTATTTTTTTTTTGAATTTTTTTATTTTCGAAATCCTATTTTCCCGATTTTCAGCTAAATTCTGTGTATATAGTACTCGATGTCAACTAGCACAACGAAGCCAATTAATATGTGAGTGAAATCACCCCAAAAAATCCAATGAAAAACTAGTTTTTTATCAAAATATTCATTTTCAGATCTCACGAGGAGGAAGCAAGCGACAACGATTCATCAAGTTCGCAATTCTCATTGGGAGACTCTTTAATAATTGAGCCCAAACAACAACAGAAGAGTTTCGTCAAGCCAAAGGTATTTTTTCGCGAGAAAATGTTCGATGTCTGTAATTTTTTTTAATTTCTGTTCGAAAACGTGTTGTTCTCATTAATTGCACGTTGTGTCCTCCCTCCTCGATGTGTTCTTCTTCTCACTCTATTTTGCAATTTTTGCCCACTCGCAAAACGACGTCTAAAAAGTACTAACTATCTATGAAATGAATAATAATCAGCATTATATACAAAACCCACAAGACGGATATCGTTGGAATTTTGGTGAAGTTCCGCCATTCCCACCGCCTTTTTTGGCGCCAACACCGAATTTGTTTGCTTATGGCATGGATTTCTATCCACCACCGCCGCCGCCACAGGTTTTTCAGGTAGATTTTTGTGTTTGTGTTTTCTATTAGACGGGAATCTACTAGAAAATATCTAATTTATGTGTTTCACAGCATAATAATGGCTATTCAAATGACTTAACAACTTGCTTACCAAAACTAACACCACCTTTGGAACCTTCGGTATGTCTTTTTGTTTTGTGCTATCTATTCCTCTACTAACTCTTGTCTCGTGTTTCTAGTCTCGTTTACATCAATGGATGTCGCCAAATCCTCCGAATTTCTTGGAGAATCGATCAAGATGTCGAACGATAAGCATGTCATCCTCAACAACTTCAACCGGAAAAGATTTGTTGAAAAAGGTTTTGTGTGTGGGGGAGAAGGGGATTTTTGAGGAGAGATTTTGAATTTCAAAAAGTGAAATTTTTGCAGACCAAAATTTGTGAACATTGGCGACGATCGGGACAATGCTCATATGGGGAATCGTGTTGGTATGCGCATGGAGAATTTGATTTGCGCAAAAATGTGGTGCGTTTTTTAGTGGTGGAGAAAAAGTTCTAGAATATTCAGCTCTGGTTTTTCCTGGACGGATTAAAAATCAAATAAAATGTCTGAAAAGCTATAATTGTCAGCTAGAAAATGTTCTGCGTTTGGCGAGTTTCTAGTGATCCAGGAACTTGAAAATTAGTTTTCAAATGTTTTTTTCGGCGTGAACTTTTAAGACAAAGAAAAACAGAAATTTGAAAATCGATTCAAAAAATTAGAGCCAATGTTGAAAATTAGTGAGAAAAATTAGAAAACTTCACATTTTTGCAGTACGGTGTTGCCTCAAAAATCGACCTCCGAAAAAAAGACGACACATCGGAGAAGAAGAAACGCATCTCAACCAACGTCAAAGGTCTAACCGTCAATATTCCCAATACAAATTTGGATAGTTCGGGAAGCGGATCAATGCCATTGTCTCCCGCTCAAGAACGATGGATCTCAATGTCTTTGGGGACAAATAGCAGCGAAAAAACGACGGCGACTACAAGTAGTACATCTTCAATCTCAACACAACAAGATACGCTAACTTCAACATCTACTGTTATTTTGGAAAGTTCTACTGCTGGAGAGGAGCCTAAGAGTCCAGGATTTCACTCGCAAAATCAAAATCAACATGGGGCCTATAATTCAATGTTTTCTCGAGCTGGAAATTCTTTTGGAAGAGGTCCAAATCATCGACAAAGTATTATAAATCATTTCAATGGGATGCCTCAAAATCAAGTCAAATTTGCTCCAAGAATTCCAACTGCTCACAATTTCAGATATCCCCCTCCTCCACCTCCGACTGCAACTCAAATACCAAGCCTAAATGGTTCGGTGTCAAATCAGCCCGGAAATCCCTCTGCTCAACCACTTTATGGCTCAATTGTCGACGAGATTTATCGCCGCCAACAACAAAAACATTCGATGGAAAATCAGTATGAGCAACGAAAAAATGAGGCGATTTTCAGGCAAATGTACTCGAATATGATTCAACAACAGGAATTGGGATTGGGATTACAGCAACAACAACAACAACAGGCGGCTCAACAGCAGCAGAGAAGGGAATTTTTAATGGTGAGAATGGGGTTGGGGTTGGAAATTGCGAGGTTTTTAGCCGGAAAAGGCGCGAAAATATTATTTTCCATTGAAAAATTGAAATTTAGCTATTTTTCTATTGAAAAAAATGATTATTATTGGAAAATCCAAACTGAAAATTTTAGATTTTTTATGGGATTTTTTTATTTGATGCTGCGATAAAAAACATTTGAAAACAAATAATGAAAATCTACGTTTCAAAATTTTTCAAGAAATATTCTGCGGACTTACAACTCAAATTGTGATTCTCAAAAACCAGTTGTAAAAAATCACTGTTTCAAAATTTGCACATATTTTTATTCTTTCCAAAAATCATTGATTTTCCTTCCATTATGAGAATTTCTGGATTTCAAAGTCAAAAATGGGTCTAAAGTGATCACTGTTTTAGAATTACGACAAAAATCACACTATTTTTAAAATTTTGTAGCAAAACGACCGTCTTGGCCGCAGTTCAGCTGTTTATCCACCAAATTATCATCCCGAACAATTTCACCATCAACAACAACAATTCCAAATTCCTACACATCAAACATATGGTCGAATTCCTCATCCGGATTGCTCATGTGCTCATTCGCGCCCCAAACAACAACAACAACCCCATCTCCCGAATTTTTCGACTTTTGCCAATTTATTCCCACAACCACCACCGCCGCCAACAACTTCGCCTAACTCGATTTCAAGTCGACCAGAAACACCGATTTCTTCAATAATTCCACCGCCACCGAAAATGTATCAATCACTTTTGCCAAATGAGCAATGTTTTGAGATTTGGTTGGATCGCAAGGGAGAAAGAGAAAATGAAGAGAGTTTGTTGAGCAAAATGGAACTGTTGAGAGGTGGAGATTTGGGTTTTGACCGTGGAAATTCGGATTATCAGCGTGGAAATCTGGAAGAGCTAGAAGACCTAGATCAAGAAGATCATGAAGAAATCAATCTGGAATCTGAACCTGTTCTCTCGTCTTTGTATGATTTGTTGAGCAGCGAGAATTTGTTGGAAAAAGAGCCGGAGAGAGGAGATTTTATGCACCAACAATCACCAAACAATCAGTTGCCCAATATTTTTGATTTTGATTTGTTGAATGTGAGTTTGGGAAGGTTTTTCACGAAAAATTAATATTTCAAAAACTGCTTAATTTTTATCTTCAAAGCCACTTCTTTTCAAATTTACCAATTTTTCTCTTTAAAAAATCCAACATTTAATGAAAGCCAAAAATCTATAGAATGTTGACATTTTTATTGAAATCCACATGGAAAAACCAATTTTTGAAATGAACCTTTTTTTCGTTTAGATAACTGTAAATAGTGAGATAACAACATCAAGTGAACAATCACCATCATTGTATTTATTATCAAATGATAATACACCAAGAATTGAACAACAACACAATTTGGGAGAAAAAAATGTGAGTTTAGAGAATTGTTTGGGTTGAAATTTGGTGATTAGACCACATACAAGAATTTGGCCTCTTTGATAACTTTTTTTGAATTGGCGCCAAAAATCCACGTGGAATATTAGCTCTCGAAGTTTTTTTTCCAAAAAAATCCTAATTTTTGGATTCTTTTACCACGTGGTTTTTAGCCCTAAACTATTCCAAAAAAAATTACAAAAATTTAGAGAATTTTGATAATCGCCTGATTCATTTTTGATGAATCCAAACGGTTTTCCGACCAAACTTTCGAAAGAATTTAGAGAAAAATCCACGTGGCAAAAGTTTTACATATAATAATTCTACGGCTAAAAATTAGACCAAGCAATTTAACCCTAATCAATTTCCGATTTTCAGATAACCCCTAAAAATAGCAGCGACGAAATTTGCTTCTTCTACTCATCATCCGGAAATTGTCCATTTGGAGATTCGTGTTCATTGTCACATTTGAAATCGTAAGAGACCTCCCCGCAAAAAATGAAGGTATAAATATGTTTTTTTTCTAATTCTTTTTGTATTGTTCTACTACTAGAGTCTAGTTTTCCTATATTTTTTTCCTAAATTTTTGTAGCTTTTTTAGGTAGTATGTAATTTTTTTTGTTTTTTCCTTGTTTTTTGTTTCTTGTTCTAACCTGATGAAATTTGTTAAGTTAATTAGGATTCAGTAAATTGAGTTACCTGAACTCCTTTTGATTCCAAATTTTTGGCGGTTTCCAAATTTCCTTGCTCATTCACATCCCACAAAATAAGCTTGGCTCCGAGTTTTCCAAACTCGTACGACATTAAACGGCCCAAACCGGAACCCGAACCGGTGATTAGCACTGTTTGACCTGAAAAAATGGAGGAATTGGAAAATTTGTCTGGAATATTTAGTTTTTTTTTAAATATTGAACCAAAGTCTCAAAAAGCTCGAATTTATTTCACAAAATTTTGAAACGTATTATTTGGAAGATTTTTTTGAGATGAAAATTTTGGATTTTAGCAAAATTCGAAATTTTGCCTTCAAAAAATTAAATTTCTAAATGTTTAGTTCCAATTTTTTCAAAAATTTCCAACCAACCTCTAACATTTTTCCTCGGCAAAACTCCCATTGGAAGAAGATTTCGAAAAGTCGAAATTATAATCAAAATGATGGCTTTTGCTGTGATCACAACTGATTCGATGAAATCGTCCATTTTTAGCTGAAATTTTAACTGAAAATTTGAAAGAAAATCACATTTTGGCCCAACAAAAAAAAATAAAAATATGTTTTGTTATCATTCATTTTTTTGTTGGTGAGCATGTTTTATTTGTTATCAAACAAATCAAAAAAGTGCTGATAAACAACAAAAATTGGGATTTTTATGTAGTTTTTCAAGTTGGTCAACACTAGAAAAGACTAGACTTGTAGATAATGTTTTTTGTACCCAGAAAGGGCTTTCTGAATACATATTAGATACTCAGTCACGTAAGCAGTCAATTTGAAATTTTTGGCGGCGAGGCTGAAATTTTCAAATTTTTTTCGCTGAAAATAAACAATATGATGAAACCTTCTGAAAAAAATTATCAAGATGAACTTTTTCTTTGCTGCCAAGAAAAAATGTGAAACACACAGAGAAAATTGAAATTGAAATTCGAATTCAAATCAAATAAAAATAATGATGTGATGTGAATTCGGTTGGAAAACTTTATTTTTGTAAAAAAACAAGTTTCAGTTTTCCTTCAAAAAAGTTTTCTTTAAAAAAATTTGGCGCAGTGCCATAAAATTAAATTCAAAACTTTTGAATCTAAAATTCTAGTTTTCTGAAAATTCAAGTGACGAAAAAGGTCAAAAATGGGCGGAACCTAAGTTTTTCTAACTCAAAGATTTTTGATCAACCTGAAAAAAATGCTAGATTTTTGATCAAAGTTGATAAAAATCTCGATTTCCGCCTATTATTTTCAATTTTTCTGTGATCAAAAAAAAAGGTATTAACAATAAATTATGTAAGTGAAAATTTTCAGAATCAGGGAAATATTTCAAATTTCTGAAATTTCAGTGTTTTGCGAAGATCTATTTACTGAAGGTGTGAAATTTTATTAAAATAATTGTCAATGTTTCGAAATACTTGTTACAAAACAGTACCCCTCACAAATCATTTTTTTAATGAAATTTTTGAAACAGTTAATTTTTCCGATTTTTTTCTCAAATTCACCTAAATTTTCAGGTTGAATTTTTTGAAACTGTTTATCGTAAAAATTTAAATTTTCGAACTAACAGCATCGTTGATCATATTAAAATTAAATGTTTTCTTCATAAATTTTTTGAAACAGTGAATTTTTAAGGATTATTTTTTCAAAATTAACCAAACTTTCAGGATGAATTTTTTTAAACAGTATTTTTTGGACTTGAAAAAATTCAATGTTTCAAGGAAATATCAAAACGGTTGAAGATTTCTTCAAAAACAATATTATTAATATATAAGCAACATTCAACTTATTTTAAAAAACTGCAATTTTCATATCAAAAAACAAATGATTTGATGAACTTTTTTCGGAAAACAACTTTGTTTTTCACATTTTACATGGAAAAATTTGGCGCGAAATTCTGAAATTTAAGTTCCCAGAATTTTTGAAACTGAATTTTTTCATGACTTGTTTGAAATCAAATATTTTTCTGTATTTCTTATTTAATTTATGAAATTTTTGAAACAGTGAGTTTTTTTCTTCGAAATAATCAAGATTTTTATTCTCGGGAAAAATACGGCGGGCATGTCGCGATAGTCGCGGCGCTTTTTCCCGTTGATGCGAGTATCCCATCACCAAAAACCTCAGATTTTTGGGATGCATTGTTCTGACGCGATAGTCGCATCAAAAATTACCCAGATCGAGAGTGATGCGACTTTCGCGGCACTCCCGATTAAAAATGCGTCAGTGATGAGAATGGGTTAACGCATTGCATGTAGGAAAAATATTTTCATTTGTTTTTTTTTCGTTTTTCCTATTTTTCTCATTTTAATCTGAAAGGGCTGTTACTGTAATATTTCAGATATGTGATAGAAAGAAAGGCATGTACAGATAATTGTGGAAATACCGATTTATCCTGCCCGATCGAAGTATGAAGGATTTTTGTGAAGAAAAGTTTTGTGAGTAATCTTCAAAATTCTATGTTCTGGAATTCACAATATATTATTCTTTCAGATTCTACAAATTTTGATTTGCAACAATGTGACGAATGTTTGGTGTTCAATGAAATTTTGGTGTTCAATGAAAAACTTGTAAGTTTTATTTCTAGATTTGGGAAAAGCACACACGCATTTGTAAACAGATGAGAAACCTGGCGACGCTGAAAACCTGCGAGAACCTTGCAAAAAACCCGCTGGTTCAAAAAAGTACTCAAAACAGACAGGAAACTCGTGGCGAAGGATTTCTTGTCTGTTTACAAATGCGTGTGGCAGAGAGTGTGATTTACTTCCCGAAAATGTCTTTTTTGAGGGTGAGGCTATACTTTTGTGGAGAAAAATATTTTTCATAAAGCTTGACACAATAAACTCCATAAATTTTTCAGATTTCATGATCGATCAAACAAAGTTGCGACTACGGAACGATTGCCGAGCTTCTTTGAATGAATGGATAGAAACTTCGAAAGATATGGTGGAATTTAATTTGTGACTCTTATTGTCCTTCCGAAAAAAAAAGAACCTTGGAAGAGAACCGACATGGCCTAGAAAACCAATACTACAGTAGACTTCGCGAAATTTTGGAGTCTATTTGAAAAATAAAATGCGAAATTTGCACGCTGGCTATTTGCCAACCAGTTTGATATGCATGTGTCACGTCATTTTTAGTCTACTGTACGTGAGCGCCAATTCAAACGGGGATTCTTTTTATTTTCGGAATGACAATATTTTGATTTAATTTTGAGTTGTTTTAAAACTTTCATAAAATTTTCATGCTGAGAATTCTTTTTTAACGCCTAATTTTGAGCTGGGCGCCACAAGCTCCTCAACTGCCGCAACTATTGAAAAAAAGCCGCGGCAGCGTGACGCGGGTGCGAAAAAAAGGCCGCATCAAAATGATGCGGGTTCGAAAAAAAAGCCGCAACATAAAAGTGATGCGAGCTCGCATAAAAGTGATGCGAATCCGCATCAAAGTGATGCGAAACCCGCGGCTTTTTTCCCGAGATTATTTTTGGAAATTTAAAATTTTCAAGAATTTATAACTACGAAGAACCTGACAAAAATCCATTATTTTCATTCATAAATTTTTTGAAACAGTCAATTTTTCAATAGTTTATATCTCAAATCTAACTGAATTTCTAGATATTTCACTGTTTACAAAAAAAGTCAAAATTTTCTAAATAAATTCTAATTTAATAGTTCAATCCCTGTTTTATTTTGGCATGATTTTTCAGAATCCTATATTTCAAAAAAAGGTCAAAAGTGGGCGGAGTCACACTTTTTCTAACTTATAAAAACCTAGAGATGACCAAAAATCACCCGAAAAATGATAAAAATCACGATTTTCACTATTTTTCTATCTCAAATTCCCTTTTCTCAAAATCAAAAATCTTGCAATTTCATCGAAAATCAGATTCTCGACACAAAATGCCGTGAAAATTTGGAAAAACTATATGGAGAACTTCGAAAAAATGCGAATATTTCCGATGGACATTTTCCGCCGTATGAAAATGCGAGAAAATCGGCGGAATTTTGTGAAAAATCAATGGTTTTTTTTTTGAGGTGCCAAGGAAAGCCTGGATTAGAAAAATTTTAAAAGTTGAAATTCAGAAAAAATCTAACATTTTTTACTGTTTCAAAATGTTTTGAATATTTCGATCTTTTCTGTAAGTTTAACTGAAAAATAGAAAATTTTTTGAAACAGAAAATTTTATCAATATTGTTCAAAAAATATCACTGTTTCAAATATTTTATTTAAAAAATTTCCAAAAAAATCCAATAGTTGTACGCTTAAATCGTATGAAAAATCATCAAGTTGGAACTTTTAATTTAAAATAAATTTAATTTAAAATAAAATCGCCCAATACAATCAATTTTCAGACTTGCCTTAACTCAATAAATTGTTCTCGTTCAATCTCTGTAAAAGTGCACATTTTACCAGTTTGTCAAGGAATTCGACAATTTTCCGGAGAATTTGGAAAATGTATAAGTGAACTTCAGAAAAATCCGAATTTGAAAAAACTGGCAAATTTTTCATCATGCTCAAAATTTCTTCCCACCGACAAAAATCCGGAATCCTCTTTGAAATGCGAAATTTTTACGCGAGGACAAAATTCGAAATGTTTCGAAAATTTGTTGAGGGAAATGTGTGGAGATTCGGCTTTTCGAAATTTTCAGCAAATTTCAGAACAACTCAAGGATTCTTTGGGATGTTAGCCTGGTTTTGTCGCATCGAGTTCATTTTTTTTTTTTAATTTTTAGTTATAAATTTGTTGAAACAGTGAAATTTGTCAAATGAAAAATTGAAATTTTCTTTTTGAGTTACTTAGAGGACAAAAAAATAAAATATCAGAATAAAGAAAATGAAGTGCTTGACACAGAAAAAAGAGTAATTATAAGGAAGTATTATAATTATTTTCAAGAAAAAAATTGTTCTCCAGCCAAATCTCAAACTTTGTTGCAAACTTCTATAAAAATCCAGAATTTCACCTCCCACAAAAATATTTTCAAAATTCATCCAAAAAACGAAGAATATAACAAAACTCAACAAAAAATAGAAAGGGATAAAATGAGCAACAACAAAAAACAAACAACAATTAATTTCTTCCTCTGAATCCACCACCTCTTGAACCACCACGGAATCCTCCGCCTCTAGAACTTCCACTTCTGAATCCTCCTGAACCTCCTCTAGATCCTCCTCTGAAGCCACCAGAATCTCGACCTCTGAATCCTGAACCTCCATCTCGATTTCCTCCAGTTCCTCTGAATCCACCTCGAGATCCTCCTCTAAAACCGCCAGATCCTCCATCCGATCTTCCTCTATATCCATTCGAATCTCGATTTCCTCCTGATCCTCCTCTAAATCCACCTCCTCTTGAACTTCCTCTTCCTCTAAATCCTCCTTCTGAACTTCCTCTAAATCCACCACCTCTAGAGCCCGATCTTCCTCTGAAGCCTCCAGAATTTTCGCCAAAATCTCGATTTCCTCCCCGGAATCCACCCCTTCTTCCTCTGAATCCTCCTTCATTTCCTTCTTCATCGTTATGTCTGCGTCTCTTGAATTCTCTACTATTTCCTCCATCGGTTCCCCATTCTTCGTTGGCTCGTTTGAGGTCTCTGCAAAATATCATTTTTGGAAATTTTGAAGCAATTGTTTGAAACATCGTAATTTTTCTATTGTTGCTAATAAATATTTTTTAAAAAGAAAAACTGTTCCTTCTTTCCATTAAATTTTGAAACAGTATTTTTTGAATGAATTTTTCTTTCAATTTAACACTAAATTATTTTTATAACATTCATTCCAAATTCAGAAACAAAAAGATGACATTTTTAGCCCCGATCGTTTCCGAAATTTTTAGATATAAAAATTTTGAAACATAAATAATCTGGGTTTTTTTGAAAAACAATTTGAAAGAAAAAATAAATTTCTGAATAAAAATATCGATTTTCGTTTTTTTTCAAAAAGGTGCTATTCAAAATTTCACTGTTTCAAGATTTTCTATTATATTTTGATATTTAATGAGTTTTTGATATATAAAACCAAAAACTAGAGAAAATCATAATTTATCCTAATTAAATAATTTCTACACAATTTTCATTTTTTTCGAATAAAAACTGAAAATAAGACAATTTTATGATTTTCAGCCCAAAAATTTGTTCAAGCAAATATTAAAGATAAATTCAAATACTCTCTCACCTTTCTCTTTGCATCGCAATTTCTCGATCTTTTTCCTTTTCATTTTCAACTTCTTCAACTTGTCCAGTTGCAGCTGCTTGTCTTCTTGCCGCCGTTTCTCGAATCGCTTTAATTTCAGCTTCTTCCGCATCATTTCGCTCTTTATTCACTTCGAGACGACGAATTACACGTTGTTCATTCTCTTGTTCACGTCGTTTTTTCATTTGTCTGCAAAGAATGAGGTTTTTTGTTGGGAGAACTTGAACTTTTTGAGATGTTTGATGTTCTGAAGATTTTTAAACTCTGCAGCTAAAAGTTTTAATTTTCGCTCGGTTTCCATCATTTTTACTGTACTAAATCATAATTTTTATGAGATTTCAACTTTGAAAATCAATTTGCGGTGAAAAAATCTCCATTTTTATCAATTTTCCCCCAAATTTTTCACCCCAACCCCTTAAAAATCTCACTTTTTCTTATTCATATGTGCTCTCAATTTGACCAATTCATCCGGTGTTTTTTCATTATGTTTATGATAAAGTACTTCTCCCTCATCAATTCCTTCTTCAATTTTCGTCAATTCCAAAAGAAGTCGTGGTCCAATTTCATGCAATCGAACATTTGATTTTTGACCGACTCCACATCCACGAGATTCCGAGATTTCTTGTGGAAGTTCGACTTCTTGTTGATCACCTTCGAATTCACTGTCGGATAATTGACCAGGGCTGGAAAAATGAGAAGATTTTAGAGTTGAAATGCAGGTGTTTCTGAACGATTTTTCAGAGGAAAATTAATATTTTCATAAAAAACATCAACTTTGGAGAATTTCTGTTGCTTTTTGAGCTGGGATTTTTCAGAGAAAAGAATATTTAATTTTTCAGGAATATTAAGAGATACACTAACTTCAAAAAGTAGTCACTAATATCCTTATAATTGCTCAAATCCGGAATAGTTTTCGACATTGTCTTCTCAGCTTGCACCAATTTCTTGACGGATTTATTCAAACCACTTGCCACAACTCGGATTGCGCTGAAATTTTTATATTTTTGATGTTTGATAGATCTTTGATGGAATATATTTTCTAATTGATTTAAACTTGCTGATCAATCAAGATATCAGTAAGTCAAAAAATAGTAGAAAATATATTTCATCTTCAAAAATCAAAAATCGATTTCTTACTAATGTCGAATATCAATTTCATCCGTCTCCTCATTATAATTAACAATTAGACATCTTTTCAAATGACTGAGTTGAATAGTATCCACATTGATTCCAGGGAACATATTTTGCAGGAATGTTTGAGTTAGCGCAAGTTGCCGTTTCGTACTATCATTAAACCCGTTCATCACAACAAGCGGTGAGGTTTTATACAATTTATCAGTTGCAACTGGTCGCTTTTGGCAGCTCACAACATGTCGTGCCAATGAATATTGCTTCACTTTGAAAGTAAGTGTTGGTCCTTGTGAGAATCGCATCATTCGAAGTTGGAGCGATGCATCACTGGCTGTTAAAACCATCATATTTGTGACACCAAGAACACTGCCGTTCACAATAAAATCTTTGATGTTATTTCGCTTCAAGATTTTGAGATTTTTCGCAGTGTTCGGCTCCATAACATTTCTCAAATCGGTTTCCAGCCCTTTCACATATTTTCCAACATCACCTCGGTGAATAACTAGACAATGTGGCTGACGCGCAAGCTCTTTTTCTTTGTGCTCCAAATATTTTTGTTTTTGCACTTGCTTCACGAATTTCTCCTGATGATAAAGCGCATCTTTTTTGCTCATCTCATCCACATTTTTCGTTTTGTTGTGCGCTCCACTCTTCCTATTCTTCTTCACCATTTTTTACCTGAAAAATTGTTCATTTTTGGGGGGAAAAGCTTGAAAAAACCGAAGAAAACGACAAAAAACGAAAAAAAAGAAATGAAAAAAATCCTACTCGGTGTTTGCAGAATATTGCGTACGCGGCATTTTATTTGACGACATATACGTGGCCCCGCCCATTTTTTATTTTTTTGGCGAAAAAAACACTTTTGTCGTGTTAAAAAAAACATAAACTACTAACAAAATGCTAAAACTATTGATGAATCGAGAAATTGGAGAAGGTTTGTGAATTTTTGAATTGAGTTACAGGGAGAAATTTGGGGGTTTTTTAGAGGGAAAATTTATTTTTTTAGAAACATGACATTTTTAGCGCAAAACCCGGCCCAATACTATCCAAAGTTGTTATATGCCAAATCAATAACCCTAGAAAAACTCGACTATTTTGATGACCAAGTCAAAAACCTCGGATTCTCACCAAATGGTAAAAATCTCATAACTTATCAGGAAGCCTATAAAACTTTCACAATTTATGTTTATCAAGGATATGATCATCCGGAAAAAGTACTTCGGCCAATTTCAAAAATGCGATTGACTCAAAATTCGGATGATATTGTGCATTTCAAGGGTCATTTTTATACAAATGATTCGAAACATGCGATTATTCGACTTGCAACAAGGTGTTTTTTTGAAAAAAAAAAGAAAAATGTATTAAAATCTTCTAAAATACCAATTCACAAAAATTTCCAGAAAAAAAAGTTCCACCTTTCCAACCATCTCAAACCAACGAAGAAATCCGTGCTCAACTTCTCGACATCATCAAACACGATCAAACCTTCGAACTCGATTTTTATATTCAGGAAGCGTTGAGAACCGGCGATTCAACAAGATACGATCAATATCGAAAACTCAACAATATCACTGATCTAACAATCGACGAAATTCGAGAATATCAAGAAGAACATCATGATTATCGACATCTCACCTTATTTTCACAATTGGTTCGAGATTTTCGAGATCCTGCAAGTCATATTGACAAAAATATTTTTGTGATTTTCGATTTGAATACAGGACGTGTTATTTCGAAATTATCGATTTTCAATGCGATGGAATGTTGTTATATGAATAATCGGATTTTGAGTGTTATCAATAAATATAATGAGAATATTGATGTTTATGAGGTGACGGAAAATGGTTCATTTTCGGTAGTTAAAAGAATTAGTGGATTTATTAGAGGTAATTTTTAATTTTCGTTTTTGAAATTCGTCCCGTTTTCAGAACCTTACGAATTGGGTCAAAAACAAATGGAAACCCATTATCAAAAACACCGTCACAACACTCACATTCGTCAACGAATTCTCAATTCCCTTTACAAAGTCTATGTTCCAAAAACCTGGACTTTTATCCAATTCTATCAAAATACCCAGAAAATAACACCAACAAATCTGATACCTTTGGATAATTCGAAACTCGCAATTTTTTGGCAGCTTTCCAATGATCAACCTATTCTAACAATTATTGATTATGATGATGTTGCATATTTTGATATATTTTATGATTATAATGGAAAGTTTCGATATTATTTATTTCAAAATTTTGATCAATATTTGCCGGCGACGCTGGGAAAATTGAATGATGCAACACAGGCGATTGAGATGTTTATGAAATCTAGGATTATTTTGAAAGGTACGAGGGCTTCTTGGATTCTAGGTAGTCAGATTATTCAGGCGGGGGAACTGGGCTTTCTAGGTATTTCTATAAGTCAAAATGGATCTCTAGACTCAGCTACTTGAAGTCTAGGGTTTCTTGACTCTGCTATTTGATACACAAGCTCTCAAGGTCCCATACCTAGCGAGAGTGCCTCTAAAGGCGCGGCTCCTTGCCAGAGTCGATTTCTAGGCGCGATTCCTAGGAAGTCATGTTCTCTAGGTTCATCTACTTGACAACTAACATTTATACATGAAAATTCAGTAATTTTTCAGTATAAAACTACGAATTTTCAATATTTTTCCAGGAATTCCACGTGAAGAGCATTTCCCAAGATTCCTCAAAACCCTTCAAATTCTTCGAAATATCCAAAACTCGATGCTTTCCCCATTTTTGAATCCAAGATTCTTGCGATTTCCTCACGATTTCATTGACAAACTTTTTTTGCGCATCAAAGAATACAATAATCCGACGATTTTTGATGTCGAATGGATGTTGATGGATATGCCGTGCATGTGAGCCATTTTTTTGTGCCCTGAAATTTCAAAACCGATATTTTTCCAGGATTTTGTGCCCGAACACTCGAAAATTGATTGTAAAGTCGCATTTTATGAAAATTGAGAAGAATCCGGAGGTGAGCGAAAAATCATAAATTTTGACCTAAAATTGCTGGAAATCCCTTATTTTTGCAGACAATGGTCCGACAATCCGATTTTCTCTGCCAAACAATTCCATATTTTCATCCAATTGATCTCTTCTTTATTTTTGGACATCAGAAATCATCGTATATTGCAAAATTCGAATTGAAGCCCATTAAAATAAAAATGGAACAGGAAGATGAGAAGAAATAACAATATAAAGTTAGTTTTGCGAAATTTTGGTGGAAAATGAAGGTTTTCTGGACAAAAAGCTAAAATTCTGAATTTTCAGATTAAATTTAATCAACATTTCAAAGTCAAAAATTTTCCACTACTTTCAGCATTTTTAGCTTTCTGAAAAAGTAACAAAAAATATAAAAGTTAGCCTAACTTTTTCTTCCTCTTGGTATCTAAAGTGTAACATGTGCAATTTTAAACATTTGAGATAAATCGAACAGCTGTTCTGCAAAGAAATCTCTTATCTTGTTATTACTATCATTTTTGTTTTATTTTAGAAGATTTGGAATGATTTTTGACTTTAAAATGGAATTTTAGACATAATAAAACATAAGAAAACTGATTTTTCATTAATTTTCTATTTAAATTTTTGAAATATATTTTTCCCCCGTGAAAATTGGTTCTAATAAAAAAGTTAGCCTGAAATTATACGTTTCAAAATTTATATAAGTTAATTGTTTTAATTGAGATTTTTTATTGTGGTAGTGCTACAACTAGTAAAATACATTTCTTTAATCTGGATTTGTTGGCGCCAAAACTGTTTATTTCAAAAATTTTCACATTTTTCCAGATCTCGATAAATCAAATTTCAAAAAAAAAAACAATGAGATCAACAAATGCTCCGAGAGAAATACACGTGGCATTGGTTGGAATGAGTGGATCTGGAAAATCAGGTAATTTGAGACAAATATTTGAATTTGGGCCAAAAACAAATGTTTCAGCCGTCGCTGTGAAATACATCACCAAACGATTTATTGGGGAATATGATTCGACTCTTGGTGAGTTTTTTTTCATTTTGGAAATTTTGAGATGATAATTTGGAATTTTCATGATTTTTTGACTGAAAATATGAATTTTTAATTGATTTCTCACCCAAAAATATTTCAGAAGACACATATTGCCGGCAGGAAACAGTTGGTGGACAATGTATGATGGTTTGGTTGATGGATACTGTCGAAAATGCGGCAAGAGATGAAATGAGATGGATCGCATGGGCTGATGTTTATGTCGTGGTTTATGATGTTACGAGTCAATTGAGCTTTCAGTGAGTGATTTTTGGAGGGAAATTTGGGATGTTTTAAGTGGAAAATCGTGTGAAATGAGGGATTTTGAGGAGAGAGTTCAGATTTAGAAATAGTTTTTTCACTGGAACTGTTTCAAAAAATTTCATATCAATTTCATGTCTCAAAAACTCATACTAACTTTCTGTAATTTTTGTATCAAAAAGCTTCCTGCTTTCCTATGCAAAAAAAATATTTTTTTTATCAGAAAAGTTCACTGTTTCAAAATTTTTATAAATAAAATTCGATCAATCATTTTCTGATTTCTACCTCAGATTCATTCCAAAAGTCCGAAAAAGTCATGGAATGATTTCGAATTTTTATATCGAAAAAGTTCACTGTTTCGAAAAATTTTTAAATCTGAAAATAAAAAAAACTTTTCTAATACGTCCATTACACACACAACGAACATTTCCAAAACAAATTCATACCATTTCTCAAAAACTTTAAAAGGCTTATAGTTTTCTTTCGTTCGAGAAGACCTTCGGCATATCTGCGAAATTTTTTGTTGTCCAATGGAGAAATTGGGCTTACTTTTAGATTTTTTAAAAATTCAGTTTTTTCGAAAAATCCGAATTTCTTGATTAAAAATTAGTAGGCTAGAAAAACTAGAAAAATACGTTTCAAAATGAAGAAAAAAATATATAATTATGGTTTTTGTTTTGATTTATATTTCTTAACTCAAGTTGAATGAAGAAAACCTATTTCTGACCAGTCTGAAATGAATTTTAAAAAATCTATAAATAATCCCAGTGTTACCAAAAGTATTTCGCAGGTATGCCGAAGGTCTTCTCGAAAGAATCGCTCGTCACGAACACGTTTTATGCCCACGAGAACACCGAACAATTCTATTGGGAAATAAAATGGATCTAGATCGATATCGACAGGTTTCGGAACAAGAAGGCGAAAGAGTTGCTGCACAACACAAGGCATATTTTGCTGAATGTTCAGCTGCCACGGATTTTAGACAATTTACACAAACACTGCATTCTACCTTTCAGGTTTGTGAGGGAAAACTGGGGGTAAATGAACTTATCGATTTTTAAAACCTAAAACTTATGATGTTTTTTATCTCTGAAAATTTCATTGCTTAAAAAAAAGAAAAGTTGATAATTCAATTTTCTTATCTGGAATTTTTTATCCAAAGAACTTAGAATTCAATTAATTTCCAATTTCATCCACTTTTTTTCAGAACATAATTTCTGGAGCAAGAAGTCCATCTCCACGACAATGCTCATCAGATTCCGAAATTATCACACCAAGTCAGTTTTTTCTTGAAATTTCAAATTTTCGACCTTCATTTTTTCCAGGAAAAGGTGCGTTCTCCTCACTTCGCTCATCTTCTCGCTCATCCCAAGTTCGATCAAAAACCTCAACCACAAAATCGCCACAAGTTCAACCGCTACACAAAACTCCGTCATTGAGCAAATTGAAAACCGGATCGAAATTGTTGAAACTTTTTCACACATAAAATTATCGATTTTTCAAAAAGTTCATTTTTTGTTGGCTTTTCGAGGGTTTTTCAGCCCAAAGTATTGATTTTCAGCTTTAAAAATCTGTTTTGATTTATTTTTAAGCTCATCCTATTTTCAGATGGCGTTTTCGATGAGAAAACGAAAAAATGGAACAAGTTTGGATGCTTTGCTGAAAGCCACCGTTTCTGGAAACTCGGAAAATATTGATAAAAAATTATTCACGACAACTGATCGAATTATGAGAACTAGACTGGAGTTTGTCAAATCGCACACAATTACGACGGGAGATATGAAAGAACTCGAAAAGTTGGTGATTTTGGAAGTTTGGGGTGAAAATTTAACTAGAATCAGAATTTTTAAAAATATTTCTAGAATTGCTGCCAAAATTACCCTAAATTCAGTGATTTTCGAACTGATATTATTTGAAGCGCATTAATTTCAGTCAAATTTTACTTGAAAATTCGTGATTTTTGATACCAAAAAATAAAAAAGTTAAGGACCCCTTTTATACTTTTCCGGACCAAAAACATGTATGTACCAAATTTATCTAGAAAATTAGATTTTCGGGAAAAAATAATCTGAAAACCAATGTTTTTGGCTTAAGCTTGAGATCAGAATATTGAAACCTAGATTCTTGAGCTCATCCAAATTTATCTGAAATTCCTGAACTCTTATTGTGAGCTGAAAATGTAAAATTAGGCAAAATTCTGATAAAAGAAATTTATTTTTCCAGTTATAGCACTACCACAATAAAAAATCTCAATTAAAACAATTAACTTATATAAATTTTGAAACGTATTATTTCAGCTTTTTTATTAACTTTATTAGAACCAATTTTCACGGGAAAAAATACAAAAAAGGCAAAATTACCACAAAAAATTCCATTTCTATATGAAAGCTTTAAAAAATAATTTTTTTCAAATCCCTAACATTTCAGATACACGGTACTTAAACCCGACATTGATTCGGAAGTCGAAGCAGCTCGAAAATTGAGAATTTCGGGAATTCAGCCAACTAATCGATATTGTCGAGTCGAACCACTTCCGCCCGCTTTTTTCAAGATTAAAAAAGAATTTTCGGGGTCCAAATGATGATTTTTTGAATTTTTTGTTATTGTTTTTAAAAAACCGGTTTTTTCTTGGTTTGGTTGTTATGAATATGAAAATTTGAATCTCTTTTTTGGAATTATTTTTTTCTGAAAAAAGTTATCCAGTTTTTCCCCGCCCTAAAACAACTCTGTTTTTTTTCATCTGAAAAAAACTTGCTTATCCAATTTTCCGCATCTCTATAAAATCGTTATCAACTGCGAATGAAATCCTTGGATTTTCAGTCAAATCTGAAAATGTGGAAAGTGTTGACTGGAACCGCCGCGATTTCGGCAATTCTAGCCAGTTTTTCGACGATTTTCTGGTCATTTTCTGTGCTGAAAGAGGCCAATGAATTTCGAGCGGATTTTCAGCGAGAAATGATGGATTGGAAGGTGAGTCTACGTGTTAGATATGCAAAAAATGGGCGGCGCTTAGAGATTTGCGAAATTCAAAGTTAACATTTTCTAGGAAGTCAGCGATGACACGTGGCATCAAATGTTGTCGATGACGTCATCATCGAAAAAATCGAATATTTTGGCGGGTTTCGGAAGAAATAAGAGAAATTCGAAAGATGATGAGTGTAGTGAGTTTTTGAATTTTTACCGCAGCCTCCAAAACGCCAAAGTTAATTTTTGCAGACTGTGCCTTGCCTACCGAAAATTGTCCACCAGGTCCACCTGGTCCAAAAGGAAACCCAGGTCAACCAGGACAACCTGGTCCTGATGGAGTTCCTGGCGAAGATGGTCTCCCAGCTCCCCACCTTCCTACCCATCTTCTGGACACCAAAAAATGCATCGAATGTCCCGCTGGACCACAAGGTGCACCAGGTCCACCAGGTCCAGTTGGAGCAAAAGGCGAGCCCGGACCAAGTGGTCCACGTGGTCCACTCGGCGAGCAAGGAGATAGTGGAAAAGTTGGCGAACAAGGGCCTCCGGGTGTCCCAGGAAATCCGGGACGTTGCGGACAACCGGGAGTCGATGGGAAACCGGGAACTGTTTATTATCCAGGTCAACCTGGAAAGCCTGGACCAACCGGGCTTCGCGGACCACCTGGACCATCAGGACAACCAGGAAACGATGGAAAAGACGGAGAGAAGGGGGCGCCGGGAAGCAAGGGAAATAATGGACGAGCGGGAAGACGCGGGAATGACGGAGTTCCCGGAACTCCTGGAAAACGCGGAGAGAATGGAGATGATGCTGGATATTGTCCATGTCCAGCTAGAAATTGATTTTTTCATCGAATATTTGCATAAAGATTTTTATTGGATTTTTTCATATTTTAATGATTCAATTGAATTTATTGCTATTTGTTTACTAGAATCACAGAAAGCTCAAAATTTCGCGCATCAAAAATCAGGTTTTTTATCAAATCAATTAAAAATATCATCTCAAGAAAAAGGTCAACATATTTCTATTTTCAAATATTTTGCAATTTCTATTTTCCCTATGGCCGAATACCCAGTTTCCTATTATTTTCTAAATCTTTTCAATTTCCAAGTGGAAATTTTGAATGGCGGCGAAAGCGAGAATCAAACATTTCAAATTTTTCACATTCAAAACGTCACCAAAATATTGCTCATATTAGAGATTTTCATAATCATTCCAATTTACATTCTGTTTTTGGCGCCATGGTGGATTTTTTGGATTGGTGTGCATTTTGCGTTGATTTTGGTGACGATTTATGGAATTGCGAGAAGAAATCATTTGTTTTTGTGGCCAATTGTTGTGGTGGCAGTGAGTTTTTTTGCGGAAATAAAATTCCCGCTTTGATAAAATTTGAAAGATTTGCATTTGTAGTGTAAAATGGTTCATTTATTTACAGAACCTTTTGTGTACAGTAATCCTGAAGCTACAGTAACGTTTGAGTTACAAGAAAAAAAATTCCAAAGTATCCTCAATTTGTCGAATTTCAGGCTCTCCAATTTCTAACCTGGTCAACCTTAACATTTTTCCAATTTCTCGTGCTCGCTTTCAGCACCGAAACTTTTCTCGAATTCTATTCTCAACAATTTCATGAAGGATTTTTCGAGAAAGCGATTGCTGTTATTGTTATAAAGGTATTTATTCATGCACCTTTTTTCAATAATCTAAAATTTTTCGTTTTTTTCAGACAATCAGTTTACTTATTGGCCTGTTTTTCTTCTGGCGTTTAACTGTTTTCTACAGATGTAAAAAATATTTTTTCGAAAGAAAAGAACGACAACCAGTTTCGACTGAAAATGAACTGAAGCTTGTTGAAGAACCTGAAAAACCGAATGAAATTGAAGTTTAATGAAGTTTTTATGATAATTAAAACTATTGTTAAAATCTCTAACATGAGCAATATTTTCGTGACTGTGTTTTTTTCCAATAGAAAAATGTAATTTCGAGGAGACGGAGACATTAGCAGGTCTCGACACGATGTGTGTCTGCCACAAACATCTAAAAATGCCTCTGTCAACGAGGAGCAGATTGTTTTGAAAAGCAATAATAAAGTGTTATAATTTTACAAATAAGATTCATTTATTTTGTGCGTTATTTTATAGGGAAAACAAATAGTTACAAAAAAATTTCAAAAAATTTAAGGCCTCCGTACCGTTTTGAGTTTGTAGGTTTGAGTTAAAACTCTTTAATTTGTGGCAAAAAACTAGAAAATTCCACTGTCTTTCAGTTAAAAAAGAAAATTTATTTGAAAAAATTCACTGTTTCAAAATTTCCATTAAACTCTGGCTGAGGCGGTATTTGAATTCCGGCATTTGGTGCATTTGGTGGAGGTTGTGGTGCGCCAACTGGCTGTGCTTGAGGTGCAATTTGAACCCGGGGTATTGAGTTTCCGACAATTGCACTCTAGCCATTTCAATCGTTTCGGTAACTTCAATATTTGCGAATTCCACGAATCCCCATTTCGCATTCAAACTGTTTTCCGCCGTCCAAATTTCAACATTTCTATCGGAATTCCGCGTTGTTCCGGGATTTCGATTTCTGAGGCGACATTCACTGGATAAGGTGTTCTTGTTACTTACTTCCATCCATTCAACATTTCGCAATACCACATCATTTGCTTGCATTTGTGGAGCCGATTGTGATTGTGTTGAAGCGGTGATTTCCCATCCTTCATACCGACTTGGCGAATAAGATATTTCTGATTTGTCGGTATATTCGCTGATAGGTTGTTCCAATGCTAAACATTCCTTCTACTTCTCGCAATTCTCCTCGTTCATTGAATGGATTTAGGACATTTTCCAATCTTCGAATCTTTCGTGCTCTCTTATTATTGTCTCCCCATGGCGCCGATCGTTTCATAATTCGATTCGTTTTTTGAAAACGCTGAAATATTGAATAATTCTGAAGATTATGGTAATCGATTTTTTATTTTGTACCGCCTACCTTTTTGAGATAAAGTAATCTTGATAAATGACGTTTTTTTTTCGATAGCCACATTTTTTTTAAAAGGTCACGCTTTAAAATTAATTTTTTCGAATTTTTTTCTTTTTTTTTTTGAAAATTTTTGTCGCGTCAAATTTTAAAAAAATCAAACATTTTATATCTGTTTGGATAAATTTATGAGATCAGGAAAATGGTTGAGCATCTTTTGACTAGCTATCCAAAATCTGTAAATCTAAAAAGTTTTCCCGTTTCACAAATCCATATTTTTCGAGCCAAAATCGGAAAAATTTAATTTTAATCAATCAAACTAGAATTTGAAGTGACTTTTTGCAACACAAAAATTTGATAAGTCATCCAGCTGGCAAGAAGGTTTTTTACCAAATTTGACCTTCCAAATGTTATTTCATCAAGTTCCCTGCTGTGAATCTGTTTGGTTTTTGTTGCGAAACAAAACTTTTTCTCAAAGAGTTTGTAATTTTCATTTTTTTTCGAAATTCAGAAAATCGAACAATTATGAAATGTTGCCAGAAGTTGTCTTCTTTCCCAAACATCTATCACAAACCAAACCCATTATTTATGGTGTGTTAAAAAGAACAAAATGATATTTATATGCTTCGTCATAAATCACAAAAAGGGTCACAGCTGTTCGTTAGAAGGTATTACTTTTTTGTTTTGGCTCAACTATCATAATATTTGGCTATGGATTAACCATTGTTTGTTTTTTACACAAAATTATTATTCTTTTTTTGTTGGTTAATTTAATTTTTTATCTGTTCCCATCAATTTTTTCCAAATCTTTCTTTGATAAATTTTTTGTGCACAGCTTTTGTGAATGTGGCTTCAAATGATACCGTAGTCGGGTTTGGATCAGATTAAAAATGTCAAGAAGCACTTCAAATATTCTTCTTTGATTTTTTGAAATGAGATACAGTAATCCCTGGATTACTGTAGGTAAATTTCTTGAGACATCGATCCTGGCAATTTTTTCAAGTTTCATATTAAAAAATAAAACTCACTGTTTCAATTTTTCATTTTCAATTTTTTTCAATGTTATTTTTCATTAAAATGCAAAATTTTTGATAAAACTGTAGAATTTGGGCTCAAAAAACTGTTTTTTTTGGAAAAAAACATTGCTCATGTTAGAGAATATCAGATCTCAAAATTGACCTAAATTCTCGAACTTTTGATCCAAATTCCTCAAAAATTGCAATTTTTGACATCAAATTTCAAACTGATTTTCACCGAAAAAAATACGTTTCAAAATTTTGATATACATAATTTTTTACTCACTTGACATTGTTGATTTTCATAGTATTTTTCACAGTAAGCTCTTTCATTTGTTCAGTTCAGATGCTTCGTGGGTGGTCTTGACCTTTTTTCTTATGATGGATTACTGTACTAAATTCTAGTTTCCCATTTGTCGGGAATCTTGAGATGCTCTTTGATTCTTCCCATATGCTCTTTTTCCTTTTATCCTCTCATAGGCCACGCCCCTTTTCCTTTTTATTATTTTTTGTATTCTCATTTATTTTTTCAACAACACATTTTCTTCAGCTCAACATGGTTCTCACTAACCAGACAAATGCGATTTCTAGAATTATTTCGGACAAGGAAAAATCCAAAAAAGTAAGTTTATTCTTTTCATTTCCATACTATTTTTTTTAATTTCAGGAAAAAGAAGGTTTCGAACTTTTTGTTGGAGATAAAATCGAGTTCAGCGAAAACAAAGGAGTTTGTGAGATGAATTCAGTGATTTATGCCAAGAATGTTTATAAATTGACGTGTGATTTCAATGAGAATCGAATTCAACTTTCATCGGGAAAAAAACAAAAAGGAAGATTTGATTATGAGTTGAAATATCGACAAAAAACACCCACGATGGTTTATGTGACAATGTGAGTTTATATATTTTTTTCTACCTTTTAAAAAATCGACGTGGATTTTTTGGGTCAAAAATTTGGAATTTTATAAATTGCCACGTGTTTTAGCGCTAAAATTTTGAAAATTTCAAATTGTCACGTGGTTCATTTTGCTCTGGGAGTTTTTTTTACAATTAATTCGAAATTTTCCCAAAAAAACTATTTTTTCAGAAGAAAAACAATCGAACCGCAGTGCTGAAAAAACAAAAAATTTGGAATTCGAATCTCTTCAAAAATGTATGCAACAATTCTTCGAGAAAACCTTGGAAGCCTCCAAAGATTCACTAAAACATTTGGAAATTCGAGGATCAAATTCAAACGTGAATCTGGGACCTTTGAAAAACTTAGAGATTCTCGAGTTAACCAATGTTTTGAATGCCACAACTTTTGTGTCAAAAATCACGAAACCATTGAATGTTCTTTCGATTTTTGATAAAAATCCGAGAAATCTAGATTTTTCAAAATGCGAAAAACAATTACGAGAAGTTCGAGAATCTCTAATTCTCTCAGCAAATTGTTTCACAAAGGATAATTATTCAAAAATCCGCGCATCTCAAATCGAAGTTCCAATTGGAAATATGGATGAATTTATGCTTGCAAATATCATCGAAAAATGGAGAAACAGTGATTTGAAAGCGGATTCGAAACGACAACAATGCATAACTTGGAATATTGATAAATCAAAATATTTTCATTTGAAAATGATGTTTAAGCATCTTGGAACAGATTGGGATTCTGAAGGTGACCGATATCATGAAGAAAAAAATAAAGCGGGAAAAGTATTCATTTTCCGATGTAAATTTATGCACAAACAATTGGAAAATATTAGTTCGAAATTATCATATCGCAAAGATGGAGAAATTCAGAAAATTAGTTTTAAATTTTCATATTGATTATTGTATTCTTTTTTTTTTTTGAAAAAACAATATTTGAAAATAATAAATTTGTACATATATTATGAATTTTAAAAAAGCAAAAAGGTATCAAACCCTTTTCCGATATTTATTTCAAAATTGATCGTTCTGCCTCTCAAATCATAGTAATATTTTGTTTTTTTTTCCCAAAATCAAATTAATCTTTACAGAAAAGAGTCATAAAACATAACACCTATCCATTCAGGAATGTTCCCAGAAGTCTTTATTCTGACATGTGGAAGGGGCGTGGCTTGAATTTCGCGAAACTTTGGGAAAAACGTAACATTCTATTAATTTTTGGCTTCGAGCAACAAACTGCTCTGTTGTCCCTCTTTTTCATTTTATTCAGACCTTATTAGTTTTTTTTTTTACTACAAACATGTTGCGTACTAGGTCAGATTATACAATAATCTGGATCTATTTTCACAACATTACAATAACTGTCTCGCGCTATATCGCAAGCTCACTTTTTTTTTACAACGCGGCTCATTCTGTTACTCAGGAAAAATACAAATCCTCCTTTTACAATTATTACTTCTATTGATTCTAGCTAAATTTATGAAAAAAATCATTAATTTCATAAGGAAAAACCGTAATCTCTCTCGAAACCGCAGAATTCTATTTTTTTAATCATCGTCGTTTTAATATTGTCAACCCGAAAAATAGGAAGCTTGGAAGAAAACCGAAATGGCCTAGAAAAACTAGGCTACACTACTTTAGGAATCTATTTGAAAAACAAAATGCGAAATTTCCAGTCTGGCTATTTGCCATCCAGGTTACTGTACCTTTGCCACGTCATTTTTAATATTTTTTCTAGATCACGTTCTTTTTTTCGGGTTGATTGTGAGTATCATTTCATTTTCATAAATATTTTTTTCTAGAAACATGTCGCTAAAAATTGTTCAACTTGCTCCAAATGGATATAGTTGCCGGATCGACGAGAATGAGTACACATTTCTCGATCCAACATCAATCGGATACCGACGTTGTCAAGCTCTTTTGGTAAGTGTGTTTTTGTAGTTTAAAAAAAAACAAATCTTAATTTAGGTCACTAAATGCCCTAACTTGATCGAACTTCAAGAAAAAGAATTACGGAAAATCGTGATGCAAACTTCAAACTTCTGTTCGAACAATGATCACGACAACACTAGAAATCAACCATTCAGCTCGAAGAAAAATGTGAATTTCTCAATTACCACACTTTTGGATAAAACTGGAGTTATTGCACCAACTTCTGAATCGGAACCTTCGATCACAAATTTTATAGATGCTCCACCTGCATCTGAACCTGTGATCTCTATTTCAAGGAAACGTGGAAATTCTCAAGTCGAAGAAAACCCCAAGAAACAGAAGGTCACTGAAGAATCGATATTTTTTGACGAAGAGATTAAGCTCAAAGCAATAGTTCCTGATTCTAAGAAAAGTTTATTGAAATCGATTATTTTTTCCAAAGATCATTATGAACACATAACATCATCACAGTATGAAAACAATTGGGCAAAATATATAAGAAATTTAAATAAATGGACTGATGATGCTGTGAACAAATATGAAAAAGACTTTGGAATTCCGAACGCAGAAACTCATACATTGGAAGATCTGAAAAAAATTGCCGAGAAGAACAATTCATGGAGATTTATATTGTGGATTCGTGAAGAAGGATCTAAGAAATATAAAATTCATATGGATTTAAACAAGAGCGCCGAAAAGATTTGTTCTATCGGATTTCACGATGGTCGTTTTGATTGCATCAGATTGACTTCACCATGTACCGATTCAACGTAAGATTTTACTTTAAAGGGGGAATATCCAATTGAAATGTTGGTGCATATAGAATTCAGAATCGAATGGTGTAAATATCACTATTAATGACAGACAATTAGATATTCCCCTTTTAAATTCATCCAAGTAGTATTTAAATATATTATAATTTTTATAGCTTCTGTCGAAAATGTCATTTGCTACACCAAGATCATAATCATAGCTTAAGATGTTCCGTAAGATGCCGCAAATGCGGTAGATATCATTGTACTGGTATTGAAGATATTCGAGAATGCGACGATTGCAACAAAGTTTTCACAAAACGCGAATGTTATGTCGCACATAAACAACTGCAACATCGCCACAAAACCACATACTGCTATAAATATAGAGTGTAAGTAACATTTCTACATTTTTAATTCGAATTATTTTTTACAGGTGTAAAGAGTGTGGTGTGTGGTATGATTTTGGTAAAAATGGCGAACATTTTTGTGGGATCTTACTATGCCCATTTTGTAAAACGTTTCAACCAATAGAACATATTTGCTGATCTAAAAGAAGAGAAAATGAGAAGTGAAGTCAGATGTTATTATTCCACTTAAAATTTTTTTAATTTTTTGTTAAATGACCGAGAAATGGAGAATATTAGCATTTCTAAAAATGTTAAAATATTGATGAATGAAACTCAAAATGAATTTACTTCGAAGCTGAACGTAAATTTCAGAAAAAAATAAAAAACCAAAAAAAAAATATGCCAACGCAACAAACGCACTCTAACAATAAGCATATTTGCAACAGTAGAGCGAGTTTGTTGCTTTGGCCGAATTCCCGACATTTCTCGGCCACATATATCTTTCATTTTTTTCTGTTTTTTTCTGAAATTTACGTTTAGCGTCAATTCGTTGTGAAGTAAATGCATTTATCAACTTTTGTGAATTTTTAAAAATGCTAATAATATCTGTTGCCGGGCCATTTGAGTTTTTTGGTTCCGAATTTTTTTAAAATTTTTTTGTACTGTTATATTTTTGAACAGATTCATTATTTAATTATAATTATAAAATAAACAGACATTTTACAAACAAATTGAGCAGGTTACAATGAATTGTCAAATTTTCAATATTTCGAACCTTTTTTGATGAACAAATTGAGGAAAAATTTGGTGAATTTGTGTGGATCGCTGAAAAATCCAATTTTTTTCCACAAATCAGGATTCTCAAAAAAAAAACTCACTCAATATCCTGTCTATAATGCATAGTCAATTTCCAATTTTCCTCCAATACCTGCTTCATTCTTTCGATTTTCTGCTCATTCGTCAAATTCGATGCAAAATCTTCGCGTTCTCTTTCGTCTTGATACATTTTCATGATTTCACAATCGACCGGCATCATTGCTTCAACCTCTTTTATGGTTTGGAGTGGAACTTTTCGGCGACGAATGGTTTTTGGAGTTCCGTTTCGAATCTCGAAATAATTTGTGAACATTTGGCCGATTTTTGAAATATGTTTGGTGTCTTTTTGACCCTGAAATTAATATCTTGAACAATTAAATTTTTAAAAATTTCAATCAAAACTTACAACAACACTGTATTTGAAGGTGTTAAATTGAGCCATTTCTTTCTTCAACAATTCTTCAATAGTTGAAAATGGCACATATTTTTCGGCGGAAAATGTTGGAAGAATTTTTCTGAAAATGAAAATTGGTTTTAGATTTTTTCAAACCAAAACTCACACAATAGTTCTCTCCAATTTTTCAACATAAACTTCAAAACTGAAACCATCTTCAATCTCTTTTTCTTTCTTGACGCATTATGAATGCTTTGAACTGCAAAAACGAATAATTTCTATGAATTAATTTTAAAAAATCAAACTAACAACAATATTATCAGCTGTAAACGCCAAAAAACTGGCGAATTCAAAATACAATTGCATTTCTCTTCCATAATTATGTTCTGCAAATGGTGTCTCGCTTTTCAGTTTTTTCATCATTGGAATCATTCCAACAACTTGTCGTATAGCGAGATCCATATATTCTTGAGTTGGAAAATTTGGAAAGAATTTTTTAAGCTCGCTGATAACTTGATAGTCTGGTAATTCTATGTCTCGTAATTTATCCGGGATTTTGTAGACTGTCTGGAAAACAACAGACTTGTGGTTAGAGATTGAGATTTCGGAAAAAAAATTACCTCGGTTGCATATTGTTGAAGATCTTGATAAGCTTTATCAATAATTTCATCAGTTTTCCATGTTTCGACGAAATAGACATAATCCTGAAAATAAATTTTTGAAAATGTGTTGTTTTTATTCGAAATTAAATGTTGAGGTCACGTTTTTGAAAAACTAAAAAATCGAAATGTTTTATTTTGTCTCACCCACCCTTTTGTGATCGAAAACATCATCAAACAATTCCTCAAACCATGTAACAATTTTTGGATAATTTTCCTTACTAACAGCTTTCAACAAATTCATTCCACAAGAAACTTGATCGAAAATGTCTTTAAGTGAATCTCTCGCAAATTTACAATATGTTCCATACGGTGTAATTACTGGAATTTCGGTTAACTTGCTTGTTGATTTGAATTGATCATCAATAATATGAAAATCATCAACAGTTAATTTGAGAGCTCTCAAAATTTTCTTGAATTCCGGATATTCGACAGTTCGCAAAATTCCAATTTTTCGATCTTCTTCGCTTTCAATTTCGAATAATTTGACATCTTTTGGAAGTGATTTGTTATAACGAGTCTTCATTGCACTTTCCAATGCGATTTCCAATTCTTTTGCAAAACAAACTTTGAATGGAGCTTTTTCTGGTTCCCAAAAACGAACAAATGGATTCGCAAGTCTCGCAGCATCCAACACTTTTTGATCAAAAAGTTTTTCGAGAGTCCAATTCCAATGATAAAGTTTGACATAAATACGACAATAGTAATTACGATGTTTTCTAACTGGTTTCACGCAATTCAAGATTCTCAATTCTGTTTTGACCTCTTTCAACAATTCTCCATCAAATTCTTCATCGAAAAACTCTGAATAAAGTTCGAAACATTCTTCAAAACTGATTGTTCGTTGAGAAAATTCTGGTGGAACATCTTCTTTCGGCATCTGAAATTTGTTAGCATATTCATTTTTTCCTCAAAAAAATAAAAACCTCGGCTCCCTCTTGCTCCTCAAAACTCTTCTTCATACGTTCCAAAAGAAAGTCGACTGGCAAAACCACAAAATCATTTTTATATTTTCGATACAATGCATTTCCAATCGATTTTGCCACTAATTGCTCAAATACATCGTCGTCTTTCTCACCAATCATTGTTTGATAGAATTTTGCATAAAAATCTAGAAGTGGAAAGAATTTGACATCCTTTTGTGATTTGATAGCAGATAAGTTAGCCAAAAGATTAAGAGAATCTTTCATTCCCAAAAATGATGAATTTTGTGGCATTTTCAAGAATCTGTAGATATCTTGCATCAATTCTTCAGGTGATGTGAAATAATCAGACATTTCTGGAGAATGGTCAAACAATTCTTTGCAAAACTCCATCCCTTTTTGAACATCTAACGACTTTCTTTCCATATACATCAATTCGTATTCGAACACTCTATTGATCATCTGTAAGTTGACTTTGTGAATTATTTTTATAAGATATTCGCAACCAAAACCTACCGTTCTATAAACAAACTTCTTAACAATAGCGAGAAACATATCAGGAGTAATACTTGGCAGTTCAATCGAATCGATATACTTTTTGAGCATTTTATGGATATCCTCAGCCCCAAGTTGACTGAAATCGATATCGGCAAGCTTTTTATCAAAATCGAAGTCCATCTGGAATGTAATCTGATTGCAGGGCAATGAATTATGTGCAACTTGTTTTTTCTCGAAAAAAAAAAAAAATAAAAAGTAAAGACGCACAGTTTTTCAAACACACATGGGTCTCGTGTGGAAATTAGAGAAATGTGTGGGAGTTTGAAATTCATTTTTTTTCGACTTTTTTTTTCTTTTTTTTCAGAATCCTCGGATAAGACTATCGAATCACAGGGAAGGAAATTCCTTTTGAAACATTCTTCATTTTTAAAACAGACAATTGAGCTCCAAAATTCCACGAATAATTCATTTCCCCATAATATTTTCACGTTTTCTTTGAAAAACTCAATTCATCACCAATGGTTACCCAAATTACTCATTCAAAAATTATTCCTTTTCTAATTATTCACCATTTTTTTTCAAAAAAAAAAAAGATAAGATCAGTTACCCTACCCTAATTAATAATATTCATTTTGCTCCCAAAAATCTGGTCTTTTCTCTTTTTATTTATGCAAATATAATAAAAAGCGTCTCTCGCCTCCTTTTTCTACTTCGACATCTCCAAAAATTTTAAACTCCGCCCACTTTTTTGCTCTTTTTGGGCTTTCTTGTTTCATTGTCTGTCTGTTTCAAGTACTTTTGTTATTTATTTCTGAAAATATTTCATTATTTTATTTTATTCTTCTTCTTTTTCTGTGAAGATGTTTCTTTTGATGAATTGAGAAAAAGACAACAATAATGCTTGTTATATACTACTATTTTTTTCTCTTTTTTATCCCCAAAATTTTCTGCTTCGATGCGTTTTTTGGTGTTGGAAATCGGAGAAGTTTCGAGAAAGAAGAACAAATGAAAGGAAAAGAGATTTGTAAAAGTTTTTGGATTTCGAATAGACCATCACAGGTGAGAAATTGAGAAGTGTTTTTTTCGGCGTGAAAAATTGATAATTCATTTCAAAAATTTCGAAAGTTAAAAAAAACTGAAAGAAGTACGGTATTTAAAGGAACACGCGGAAATTTGTGTGAGTAAACCGTACCGTTTTTCAAGGAATTTTATTCTAATTTTCGTTTTCAGGATTGTTCCTCATCATCCCTGCAAAATATCCCACAACTTTTGCCAAATGTACTTTCGCTAACTCTCTCCAATAATTCACTCATTCGAATTTTCCACTTCCCGCGCGAATATTCTCGTCTTCAATCGATACGTTTAGATCAATGTAAAATCGAGAAAATCGATTATGAGGTAAGTAGTTTTAATTTTTTGTTTTCTGAAGAAAATCTCTCAAAAATCGTTTTTCAGGCTTTGTCAACATTTGAGCAATTACGAGAGTTGGATTTATCACAAAATCGACTTTCGAAATTGATTATTCCACGAAATTTGGCGACTTTGCGAGTTCTCAATTTGGCATTCAATTCATTTACGTAAGAGTTTTCCAGTTTTTTTTTCAAAAAAAAAGAAAAAGAGCCAAAAATTAGGCAGCTCGAAAAACTCTGGAATCCCACGCTTGAGCGCCTTCAATTATTTATTATGCGGGTTTTTTTCTGAAGAGTTAGATAGTTCTTTGTTAGTTTTTTCAGGGGGATGAATTTTTGAGTAGTCCAAAAATGTTTCAAAAGAAAATTGATGATGAATAAATAATTGCAGATATGTCCCGGATATGTCACATCTAAATGATTTGCAATTGGTCGATTTATCACATAATCAAATAATTTCGGTTCGCCCAAGAATGTTGCCTTTTAATTTGGAAGTTATTCGAATGTCGGCAAATCGATTCACACATTTGACACCTTGGCCATTTTTGAATAAACTTCAGGTATTATTTACAAGGCGAATTTAGAATCAAATACATTTTTGTCTAGAAATTCACTATATATTATTCATTCATTCACTCATTCTCAAAAAAAAGAGCGAAATTCAATCGTCTCAAATTTCCAAAAGATTTTTGGCACGCACTTTTGCTTCCAGATGTTGTTTTGTTTATTTATTTATTTATCTCACTTACTACATCATTTTTGGATAAGAAGAGGAGCAAATTAAAAATCCCTAGAGTATATTTATTTATTTATTTAATTAATTGATGGTTTTGGGAAGAGAGAGAGAGTCAAAAAAAGGTTTTTTTGTGAATTGAGAGGAGGAGATATTTAATTTTGAATTTGTTTGAATGGAACGGGAAAAATAGAGAATAGAATGGCATGGGAGAAGGATTAATGAGAAAATCGAGTGGAAAATGAATTTAATGTGACAATATATTATATAGATAGATATTTATTTGAATTTTACTATGAGAAGTGGGGTTTAGGGGAAAAAGTTTTGAAAGTTTGAAAGTTTTTAATTTTAAAAACCACTTGAAATGTTTTTTTCAGGAACTTGATGTATCTTTCAATTCCCTCCAATGCGATTGCTCATTATATAATTTCGTAAATTGGGCTGAAACCCTTTCACTTTTCGATATTTCCCAACTTCCTTGTCGTCAACCAAGTGAACTTCGAAAAAAGTCCGATCGACGGAAAAACTGTTTGTGGTCCGATTGTCACTTCAAATTCACCATCTCGTACCGTAGTCTCATTAAAGGATCATCACACAATGTGTTGTCAAGCTTTCGCAACACCATCTCCTCAATTATATTGGCAATTGAATGGCAAAAATATATCGAATGTTAGTTTTTGATTTTTTTTCACAAGAAAAGTATGAATTTGAAAAAAAAAACAAAAAATGTTCAGGGGTTATCTCAAAAACATCTGTCCGATTCTGGCCAAGTTGAATTCTGTTTCGAGATTCGGGAGATTGGTTTGAAAGATTTGGGAACTTATAAATGTTTGGCGAGTTTGGCAGGAATCAATTCATCTGTGGAATTTCATTTGGAACGCGATAAAATTCCGATTGTTTTGAATTCAGCCGAAGGAATTATGATTTATTGTCAATTTACGATTTGCACTTTCATTGGGGTGGGTTACTGTAGTCAATATTGGCCCCAAAATTTACTTTCAACACTTTTTTCCAGGTTTGTTGCATAATTTCCTGCTGTGTTTTACGAACTGGCGGAAAACCGAAAAAACCACGTCAATATTTATCAGCAAAAATTCTCGAAGTCCCTCAAGAATCGTGTGAATTTTGTGAAGAGAATACAACAAACTCCTCTTCCAATTCCACCGATTTCAAAAATAATTTGGATTTCGATTCGGATTGGAAAAATGATCGAGGTGGAACTGTTGCTGTTCGACATTATTTGGAATTTCGGAGAATGGAAAAAGAGAGGCAGGAAAAACATATGAATATACCATTTTTACCGCATTTTGATCATGAACATCTTTGTCGACTGTCGAAAATTGCACCATTGGCTGAAAATGAAAATGAGCAAGATGAAGACGAAGGAGAACAACATGCTTTTATTTCTCATCTGTGATAGATTTTTGAAGATAAACTTAATCAGAGAATTTATGTGTTTTCGTAGAGAAAGTTTAGGAAATCCCAAAAATTTAAAAACAAAGAAAAGACCTCGAATTAATAAATAACAATTTCATTCTAGAAAAAAAATCAACTGGAAGTTGGCGAACTGGATTCTTGACTAACAATTCTTTGAAATGGTCCAGTAACCTTTCGATGAATAACTGTCCCATTTGGTGATAACAATTCCTCTTCTTTATAATATTCCTCAACAATCGTTTTCTTCACCGATTTTCGACCCGAACATGTTTTTCTCGATGTTGATTTTCTGATTGATGTTGGTTTTGCAGTCGAAACTTCTGTCTTTGCAACAAAATCATAATCGGGAATAAAAAGAAATGCAAAAAGTGCTAGTTTCATCAAATAATAAAGTGGAAGTTCTTCTAAATATCGATCGAATATTGTGAGAATTCCAAAGGAAATGAAATATGATTGAAGTTTTTCAGGTTTTGGACATTCTTTTGGGAAAACAAAAATGAGAAGAAATGGGATGAAAACAAGAAGAAAGTTGGCAATTATATGAGCCTGAAAACTATTTATTTAAAAAATTTTGAAATATTTTTTAAAACTCACATATGGTGTAAAACAGCCAATAACAATAAGAAAAACATGAAAAGCAGCCCAATTATTAGAAGTAATTTCAGTTTTTATTTCCAAATCGGCTAAATATCGAGCAGTGAAATGGGTTGTATCGTGGATATATTCATGAATTGCTTTGATAGTTGATTTTAAAATTTCGTCACTCATCTTGTAAATTTATTTTTTTTGATAAAAATGAAAATAAATATTTTCCAGGTGGAATGCCACATTTCACGTTTTTGAAAAAAAAATGATAAGATCTTTTGACGTGTCCACCCAGAATAGATCATAAATAGACGGGAATCAGTTCTAGATTTGTAACAATTCAGAAAAGCCGAGTTGCAAAATGGAGGAAGTTTCGATGAATTGGATAAATGAAAGAATCCATGACAAAAAACATTTTACGGCAAGATGGTTGGAAGTTTTATCACAATCCACTGGACAATCACCGGATAATTTGGCCAAAATTATTGGAGGCGTTTTATTTTTGCTTTTGGCACTGGCGAATAAACAGGTTCGTGAAAATTCTCGGGATTCTTGGAGTACTGTGGGCTCGCGCATTGTGTGCATTAGTGTGTACACCAAAAACACTAGAGTTTACGCCGGCTTATTTTTATTTTTTTATTTTTGACACGTACTAGTATTCTCCAAGGGAAAAGCGACATCGGAGAGATTCTCAGGGTTCCCATATGTTATACTTTAAGCGTGTCAATTTCTAAAATCTGGGGGGGTTCCCAATTTTTAAAAATCCCCAGAAATTTCTTCGCGAAAACACACAGCGCGTATTTCGCGTCAAGGTTGCGCGTAGGATTTGTTGTTTGCGGGCTGTCGGTGTTGACATACACTCTTATTTTTTCCGTTCTTTCTTTAGGTTTGGGATTTTTTTGGCCCTCGGCCGTAGTACTAAAGTGTGTCTTCCCAATGAAACTCTATAAATATGGTTTTTGCAGGGTCATTACATTGCCAATCCAATCCTCGTCCTTATTCCATTTCTACTAATATTTGTCTATCCAAGTGAAAAACCAACCGATTCGTCACTCTACGTTTATTTCACAACATTTGGTTTTCTAACAGTTTTCGATCGCAATTTCGAACATATTCCACTTTATTATGTCATCAAATTGCTTATTCTTCTTCTCCTTTATCTTCCACCATTCAATTTGGCTGAAGTTATTGATGAACAAATCAAGAAATTGTTGAATAATGACGAGAAGCAGGAGAAAAAGGATGAACCAGCAAAAGCCGAGAGTTCAAAGAGAGAATCATTGAGAAAACCACCATCAAAACGTGAAGCATTGCCAGAACCTGCACCTGCACCAGCTCAAGAACCTCCAAAAGAGGCTGCAGCTCCCGAACCAGTTGCCGTTCCTGTCCAAGCTCCACAAGAAGCTGCACCTGCTCCACCAGTTGAACCTGCACCTGCTCCGCCAGCTGAACCTGTTGCTGCACCAGCGCCTGAACCTGCACCTGCCCCACCAGCTGAACCTGTTGCTGCTCCAGCCCCTGAGCCTGCAGCTGCTCCACCAGCTGCTCCAGAAGCTCCTCCAGCGCCAACTCCAGAACCACAACAAGTTGCAACACCAGCCCCACCAATTGAATCGAAAAGTGGATCAGATTTGGCAGCTGGATCACAACGTATGAAATATTCAGATAATCCAATGGCATCAGGAAGTTTCCATAATTTAAGATCGGAACCAGATGGATTTAATTCGAAATGTGAGTTTGATTCTAGCGAAGCTCTAAACCAAAAAAATTATTTTTTTGCAGTAATTGGACCAGGAAACAATCTTCACGATCTCGTATTTTTCCCAATGGATGCTCTCGTTTTCAATGCTCCATTCGATTTCGAAAATCTCACATATCATATGAAAGTTCGAAATAATTCACATCATCGTATTGCATATGCAATTAAAGGAAATGCAGTTCCACGTGTCATGTGTTCTCCACCAATGGGAATATTTGAATTGAAAGAAACGAAAATTATTGCGGTAACAGTGCAGAAATTCGAATGGAATTGTGCGGATTTTGAAAAAGATCGTGTTGCATTCGATTATGTTATTCTACCGGATAATGTCAAGGATAAACAATTTTCGATGAAAATGTTCCAGAATTGTGATGCTAAAAGAAGAAAGAATATCAAGATTTTGTATAATCCATGATTTCCTTTGTGAAAACTTTTGAATGAATAAATGAAGACGTCAATTTTGAAGTGAGCTTTTTTTTTCAAAATTCTAAAAAATTGGGAAAATCTGTATCTTTTTAGTTTTAGTTTGGTCACTCTATTTTGAAAAACAGGAAAACAAAAATGAAAATTATGATCTTTGCAACATTTCCACGTCATTTATTTCACGTGATTATTACAATTTTATTTTTTGTTTTTTTTTTTGAAAATATTTTGAGGACAAAAATTCAAATCCCATTTTTCTTGACTACGGTATAGCTCTGCGTCGCTAACATCATTTCAAGACCATCCCTGAGAAACAACATCAACAAATTTTTTGGCGGGGCTCGCGGCGAATTTGAATTTTTTTCATTTTGTTGATTTCAAATAATACCGGTATATCTACACTACACTACTTGAAGACTACTATAAATAATGTTTGATTTCAGAAAATTTTCTCATTTCTGCTCTGTGGTTTTCACTATGTGATATAATTGAAACATCGTGCAGATTTGCTTTTTCCTGCGCAGAGAAGAATTAAAAATTCAATTCAGCTTAAGCATGTGTGAATTTTTCCACACAAAGTGTGTTCTCAAGCGATGATGATGATGAAAAAAACGGATATAAAATGACGCGAAAATATTTATAAATAACTTTTTCCAGCAGCTTGAATTCTAAATAATCTCCAGTTTCAGTGATGCAAAACACGAGACAAACATGTTCAATTTATTCGGCCCCAAAAAAATAATGTTACAATCAATCAATGAAAAATATATGGGATGGGAAACAAACACGTTCATCATTCTCATTCGGATGTTGCTGGAATTACAAATTTGTGGTGAACCAGTATTTGAGAGACGCAGAGATCTTGGAGACAATGTGGTAAAGCAAAATATATATAGAAAAAAATTAAAAAAAAAGAAAAAGGAAATGGATAGATGGATACAGTTAATCAAGATGATGCCATTGGGCAACTTGTCTTCCAGGATTTTCCAAAACTTCGACGACGTGCGAATCTTCCATGTTCAAAAGAGCACGGCCAATCACGTCATTTCTATTGATTCGATCGTGGTTGATAACCTGAAGTAAGTTTTATTAGAGTTAAATTTTTAAAACTTTACAATGAAATTACGAACCTGTAGATCAATAACACTTCTCTCCAAACCATCTTCTGGCAATTCGAAAACGAAACTTTCATTATAAACCGGATTCAAAGTGGATCGTCGAACATGCGTCTTCTTCTTCACAATACGTTCTCCCGACTCTTTTCTCAAATACAATTTGACATACGGATCAGCGGTTCCCGCGTCATTTCTGCTCAATCCGCGAGCTTTCAACACAACGATTGTCATGTTGTTGAAAGCGGCTTGGTAGGTGAGAGATAGAAGAACTTCACCGCGTGCAGCGACGCTGTCAGTGGCGCGTGGAAGGAGCGGAAGTTCGACACGCATTTCGGGATGGATTGTGAGCTCGGCATCGATGAGACGGTAAACGCATTCACCGACGACGGTGTCACGACTATATCGATCGAATGCGACAACCTAGAATTATTTATTATTCTTGGAATATACGAAATTCTAACTATGTGTGATAAAAATTTGGCGGAGCCTACTAGATCACAATTTTGTATTGTTTCAGTAATGAAAGATCCACTACGATGGAGCACAGTACACATACGAAATTATTCAAAAAATGCTCACCTGGAAATGCAAAGTGCTCATATTGACTTGTTCATTCGTCACTCCATACATAGTAAATTGCTCATCATAAACCGGATCAGTTGTACTACGAACAATTCGTGTCTTAACACGATGTTCACGTTCTGGCAAAAGTTGCAATTTGACATAAGGATCGAGCAAGCATTGTCCATCACGTGATACAACCATTTCACAAAGATGACGACAGTTGACAACTCCGATTTGAAGTGAGAGACTGACTGGATCGTAACTGAGTGTGAATGTGATGTTACCGCGTTCTGATGGAAGTTCGGATGGTGAGAGCTGAAAATTGAAATTAGTTTTGACTTCCACTTATATTGTTCTCAAAAAAAGTTCACAGAAAAGAATTTCGATTTTTTCATTGAAAAAAATTGGCATTGAAAAAAATTGACAAAAAATGAGCAATTTTCCGCTCACCAAATAAAATATGTCTTCAAATATTTTATGACTCACTTTTCTTGTTCGATCTTCCAACAATGTCTGGAATGGAACATTTGGCGACGGTGTCGAATCATTTGAAAGAGGCGATTGAAGTGGCGAAGGCGATTGTTTCAAACCACCAGGACCTTTAGCAAATCCACCGCGAACTGCGATCACTTGTTTTTGTGGCGGCAAAAGAAGCGATGGATATTGTCGACGTTTGCGAACTGCCAACAAGGCAATCATCGAGATAAGACTCGCCAATCCAACAACACCTCCGACACCAATGTAAAACCATTCTGAGAAAAAAAACATATAAATGCTTGTCGATATATTTGTGGCCAAAAACATTGTTTTTTTTGTTGCTCATTCAAAATCTCATAAAAAAGAAAAGCCCACGCAAAATCCAATTAACATCCACATCCATGTCTTATCTCGCTGCTTTCCCCCAATTATTTTTCTCTATTTCGGTCTTTGGTTCAACTGAAGAATTAATAAGCTCATAAACTCATATTGTACTTAAGTACATATTCGAAGTCAGCTGACAATTGACGAAAAAAAATGCAAAGTTATAATTAATTTTGTTTTTTTTTGGAGTGTGAGTAATACGTATAAGCCTAACTGTTTTGATAGAAAACCTGATTAAAAAATTTTAAAAGGATTAATGAATAATTTCTTATAACTACATTATTTTAAGCCTACAGTAGCCGAAGATATAATTTATTTTTTTCTAGGAGAGGAAATTTAGATCAATAAATAAGAAATGGAAAATTTTTAAACAGAATTTCCTCTTAAAATTACAGTACTCTGAATTACAGTTACAGTACTTTACAGTTACAGATACCAAGGTGCCGTACCTAGTCACAAAGGTTCTCAAGCCGCGACTTCTTGCCAGAGTGGATTTCTAGATGCAGGTTCTAGACAATTAGTTCCTCTAGGCTCGGTTGCTTGAAAACTAGGCTTTCTAGGACGCGGGATGCGAATATTCCTCCCCCCCCCCCTACTACAGTACACTGAATCTACAGTACCCTACAGTACTCACCATTTCCACCATCTGTCTTTAATTGCTGCAAATATCCTTGTCCATTTTGTAAGTTTGGCATTAAAAATCCGCGTGGGCGCTGCCGAAAAAGGAGAAAATAAGAAGTAGATCTGGATAAAGATGAAACTCTTTTTCGCTTTTCTTTCTTCTGCTTCGATTCGAATAGAAGAGAAAAAGAGAAACAAACTGAAAATGGGCGGATCGATGAGAAGAAGAAGACGCGACGCAGCCGCGCGAGCTTCGGAGACCACAAAAAATAAGGGGAAAATGGGGAGGAAAACGTCATTCAAGAAGAAGAAGAAGAAGAAGGCGCGAGAAAAACAGAAGAAAAATGGATATGTGACAAGATTGTTGTTGTGTGAAAAAAAAAGAGAATGAGATGAGATTTAGAGGAGGAGAATTCCGAGAAATGTTTTGATTTGAGCAAGGACTACATAAATAAAAAGGGCTCTAATAGGGGTCATGGAAATTTCTGGGCAAAATTTTTTTTGGTATCGGGAGCCCCACAAACTCAAAAGGTCAATTTTTGTTTCTTAGAAGTTTGAGAGATTATGAAAAATCAAGGGTTCTGTGTTTTCTGTGGTTTATATTACTGTATTGATACGAAAAATCACATTCCTTGAATGTTTTTTGTTTCTCTGAAAGATTTTTTCGAAAAAAAACCATTGAAAGATTTGGTGCGAAATTTGAAAGTATGCATTTCTAAAGTTTGTGCCAAAAATTTCAAATCAAATTTTTTGGCTGCGAATTTTCAGAATTCAAATCTTTGTTTTTCAAAAATAAAAAATTCAGCCATCTTCGTGCAATGAGAAAAATAACTTGGCGGCAAAAAGTTCAACATCAGAACATTTTGGAAATGAAAAACAACATTAGTTCGTGAGAATTTTCAATTATTTATGATTAGTTTTTTTTCTTGCGCTGCTAGCGGGATACAAAAAGACGTTTCTTGGAGTTAGCCTAACTTCAAAACTTTGAAAAACATGTTGATGATAATTTTGAAAAAAATCACCTCATCATTAAATCTAATTAGAAATTCTGATGTGTTTTTTTCAAATAAAAAAAAAACATCTGCCTCCTCCCTTTTTTCATCTTTCATTTCTCAAAAATCCCCCAAGGCCATCATATAAAAATAAGTATGATATATTGACCGAAATTAGTCAGCTCTCAAAAAGCTCTCAAATTTCTCGACTTTGGCTAGCTTTTTTTAGATTGTAAAATGAGACCAGAGAAAATTTTTGTCAAGAGAACTTTGACGTAGCCGTGGATTAACATTAATTCCAAAATGTCAGAGGAACATTTTTTTGTGGGAAAAAAATCTCAAACTTTTTGCGAGAACAATTTGATTCTAGGAAAAATAAAAATGAATTCGTAAAATAAATCCTGGAAAAAAATATGCAAAAAATTGAGTGACGTTTTCTGTGAGAAATAAAATTGAAATTGGATTTGAAATTGAAATCCATGTCACGTTTTGATTTATTTCTTTTCATACGGTTTTTTTTCATTTTCAATTAATTTCGCTTGACAATTTGTCAAGAAACAAAGAAATTGAAACTGAAATTCAAAAATTTGAATATTTTAATTGAAAAACGAACAAAAACAATATTTTACCAAAAAAAATAAGGGAAAATTGGTTTGTAAATCCTTGAAAAAATACGTTTCAGAAATTTTCTTTATTTCGAAATTCAGAAATATTTTTGCTGACAATGAGAAATCACTCAAGAAGTTCTCAAATTTCCACTTGGTTTAGAGCCAAAATTATTCAAATTTATCAATAGAGCGCATATCAACCAATCACCAAAAAATGCGAGGAATGTTTCAAAATAACAACAAAAAGATGATAATGATATGATATTATTAGAAGATCTAATGAAAAAAAAAGGGAAAAAGAAAGAGAGAAAGACGAAAAAACTAGTTTAAACCATCGGAATCGATTTTCTATTTTCTTCTAATATTTTTTGTGATTCGATAGTTTTCCTGATTATTTTCTGAAATGGACAAATATGAACAAGTTCGAGTTGTTGGTCGTGGCGCATTTGGTGTTTGTTGGTTGTGTCGATCTCGAAATTCTAGTTTTAATCGAAAAGTTATTGTGAAATTAATCAATATTCATGGATTATCAGAAGCTGAAGAGAATTCTATTTCTGGTGAGGGTTTTTTCTTCGGAAAAAAATGTATAGTTTTGAGAAAAATACTTGAAAGATAGATATGAAATTGTATCTAGAAAATCCAAAATTATAGATTTTCGCTCCAAATTCTCTATTCCGAAAAGTATATCCGAATTCTTGAAAGTAATATTCATTTTTTCACATAAAAATATATGAAATTGTATCAAGCAAGCCTATAATTTTTTGGCATTTTCTGAGAATTATTTTCATCTAAAAAATTTCTGAAATTAATTATAGGTTATAGCTTCAAAGAGAGATTACTGTAACCATATATCTTAAATTTTCAGGTGAAGTGAAATTGCTGCAAAAAGTGCAACATCCATTGATAATTGGATATTTCGACTCATTTCGTTTCGAAAATCAATTGGCAATTGGTTTGTTTTTTCTGTGTTTTTTTAGTTACTCATTCATTCGAGGAAAAAATGAATTCACATGGGATTGAGAAGAAAAAAAAACATTCAGAGAAGAGAAAATGAAAAATTAGTTTATCTAGGAAGGAAGGGAAAAACGAGTTGTGTTTATAGTAAATTGTAAAATAATCCCTTGGAGGGTCAAGCACGAAAAAATATATATATTTGGGAAACAAATTGGGAAGGGTTTCGTTTTATGAAGATTTTTTTGTTCAAAAAATCAGAGGATTGCTCATATTACACCTGATATCTAGCTACAGTATTTTGAATTGTCATACTCTTGTCTCGCTCGCGCAGAAGCTGCTCGGGGTACTGTATCGTCCTTTAAGTGAGCTACAGTTTTCTCGAACGGTTCTGGCGCAAGTGTAAATCGAAACTCCCCGCGGTCGCAGAACGAGTGTATGTTTCTTTAGAATACTGTAGCTAACGAGTACTGTGTGATCCTTAATACTACAGTAATCCAAAGGAACATACACTTATTTTCCTCTTGCCGCTTTGACGAAATTTTAATATTTTTCAAAAATGAGCACAAATCTTGAAAGAAAAAAAATGACCAAAATTTTGAGAGACGTTTTTTTTGAAAATAAAATTGAAATTGGATTTGAAATTGAAATCCATGTCACGTTTTGATTTATTTCTTTTCATACGGTTTTTTTTCATTTTCAATTAATTTCAGTTGACAATTTGTCAAGAAACAAAGAAATTGAAAATCCTAAAATTTGAATATTTTTAATTAGAAAAACAAAAAAAAAACAATATTTTACAAGTTACAAGAACTTGAGGGAACCCTGGTTTTTAAATCCATGAGAAAATACGTTTCAGAAATTTGATTTATATTCAGATTTTGAAATACTCTTGATCATATGTATCTTTTGTTAAACAGAAAATTAAAATATTAAAATCTCATTCAATAAAAACAGCCATGTTCAAATTTTCCTGGGCTTTTTAAGTTTTTAAGATCACATTTGAAATTTTAAAAAGTCTGCCCAAAAACCTTTCTAATATTAGCAATCTTTCTGAATTCAAAAACCCCTCTATTTTATAAAACTCCATTTTTCTAGTAATGCAATACGCGGAAGGTGGAACAATGGAAAGAATGATACAAGAACAAAGACCAGAAAAATTTGCCGAAAAAACAGTTCTCGAATATTTCACACAAATTCTAATTGCTCTAAATCATATGCATTCAAAACAAATTGTTCATCGAGATTTGAAACCGCAAAATATTTTGATGAATCGAAGGAAAACTATTGTGAAATTGTCGGATTTTGGAATTTCGAAAGAATTGAGCACAAAAAGTGCAGCATCGACTGTAATTGGAACACCGAATTATTTGAGTCCAGAGATTTGCGAAGGAAGATCTTATAATCAAAAAACGGATATGTGGTCATTAGGTTGTGTATTTTATGAATTATTGGAATTGAAGCGAGCATTTGATGGCGAAAATTTGCCATCGATTGTTATGAAAATCACAAAAGGAACAATGAATACAATGGGAGAACATGTTTCGCCGGAAGTTCAAGAACTTGTTCATCGATTACTTCAAATGAATGAGAAGGCTAGACCAGATGTTACAGGTTGGCATTTTTCAACTCCAAAAATTTGATTCTTCCCGACATCTGCTTTCTAACATTAAAAAAATTGAAAAAAAATAATGAAGAAAATTTGAAACAGTGAAATATTTTTTAAAAATTTTTTTCTGAAAAAATTCGAAAACATGTTTCTAATTTTTTCACTGTTTCAAAGTTTTCACAAAATTTTCAATTATTTTTTTTTGATGTTTCTTGTTTCCGTTAAATGGTTATAGAAAATTCTGAATTAAACTTGAAACAGAAAATTAATTTACTTTTGAAAATTGTAAAAATATTCTACAAATTATTCACTGTTTCAAAGTTTTCAGAAAGTTTCAAAAGATTTTCAATTTTTATTCCTGTCACTTTATCAAAAAACACATATTCCACATATTTTCCAATCCACACATATTTTTTTCCAGATCTCCTCGTGAATCCAACAATTCTTCCATATCTAATCTCAATTCATTGCGATCTCAGTCGTCTCGATGCTCCGCCATCCGATAAACGAAAACCATCTTCATCATTGAGTAGTCGACTTCGAACAACTCCAAATACTTTGACAATGCGATCTCTTGCACTATCATCAACTTCATCACAAACATCAACAATCGAAAAATCATCATTTATTGTTCGACAAAACGATACATCGAAAAAGATCATCCCGCCGATTACTATCACAAAATATTAACATTTTTGGAGACAAAAAAAATCTATGTACTTTCTTTTTTTGTTGTAGAAAAACACAATGAAGAATTAGGAGCCTAATGTTCTTTGTTGAGAAGATTTCGATAGGTTAGAACAAGATTGTGACCGAGATTTGTGAATGAGTTTGGACGAGCCGGGGGTTCACAATCTAGATTTGGTGAGCGAGTTCGAGCACGGCGTTCGGATGTTCGGGCGGTTCGTTGTTTGAAACTGCAAAAAATATAGGATCTTAGGATCTAGTGAATTTGGTTTGTGAAAATAATTTAAAGGGTTTCAGAACTTTTAGCTTGGATTAATCTCTCCAGAACTTTTTTATAAGAGTTTTTGTTAACTTGAAAAAATATTGATCTTATAAATTAGCAGTAAAAACTACTGTAGATAACTTTTTGGCACTGAAAGGTTTAGAATCTATATAAGTTACTGTAGTATCAAGGATCACACAGTATCCCATAGCTACAGTATTGCTCGAAGATCTCAAAAATTCTAAACAAAATGCACATACCCTTGAATAGTTCCTCCGCCAACAACAACACCTTCTTTAATCCCAATTCCAGCATTTCTAGTATCCAAACATCCATTTGTATTCTGTTCCAAACTAACAGAATGTCCATATCCATCCAACCAAGATTGTCTTCTTCCTCTCGCTGAATGATTTGAATAACATGAGTCATCCGAAACATCACTTCCATTTCCGATTCGAATTGACATATCAGATTCGAGTGAACCTCTTGAATCTCTTGATTCTCGTCGATTTCCACCTCGATCTTCCAATCTTCCATCGGCCGATAAAAATGACATTTTTCTCGAATCTGATGAAAATGAAGGACGCGCGGCGCTTATCATAACACGTGGCAAATTTGTGGACGACATTGAGACACGTCGATTTCCGAGTCTTCTGCAAAAAATGTTTTTGGGTTACGGTACCTCCACATTTTAGGGGAGTTAGTGTAGATCAAATTAAGAAAAAGTTTAGAACCTATTCTTCAATATTTTTAAGTTTTTGAAACGCTCCAAATTATTTGCAAAAATTAAAAATCCACGTAGCAAGGTACAAAAAGTTGGTAAAACTCACCCTAGACCAAGATGCTGTTGCTGTTGCATTTGTCGATCATCGTGTTCATATCTCCGTTGTTCAACAATATCCAAAAGTATTCGAACACTGCTCAAAACATCATCGAAATGAGCACTACTGCAAAAAAACGAGGAATTAATTTTTTGGGTTAGGAAAAATGTGTGTCACGGGAAAAATTAAATTGAATTTTTTTTTTTGAAAATTTAGAATTTTACTCATTTTTAGATTCTAATTCCACTGAAAATAATTCCCCAGGTTACCTTAAATCTTTGCATGCTAATCCAATCACCAGAGGATTCAGAAGATGTACACAAACTTGTTGAGCATCTCGCATTCTTACAGGATCCCGAGTCACGATTCGTTGAACGATTCCTGGAAAATATTGAGATTTTTTGAATTTTCAAAAAAAAAAACTAAAAAACTCACGACTTTTAGCATGAATAATAACTGGATGTTGAGCCGAACACAACGAAACACATTGCAATAATTGTATCAAATTAACCGCATCACATCGATCGGATAAACTCGCCAAACTTGCCAACAAATCCAGCTGCCGCGGAACATTATCATGTAAAAATGGGGGCAGGCACATAATAGCAGGCAGCAGTTTTTTGACAATAAATTTGACGGGTAGATATTCAGCGACGTTTGGAATTCCTCGAATTGCAGATGATTGTAGAGATGTGTCTTCGGATTTCATTGAATGAATTATGACATCAAGGCAACGATCTTCGACAAAATCATCGGATAATCTTCGGAATAATACAGACATGTTTTCTAGAATGTAGGATCGAAGCTGGAAAATTTAAATAAATGTATTAAAAATAGATTTAATTTCTAAAATTAAACCAAAATTCCAAAAATCATCTTTCAAAGAATCTATAAAAATGAAAAAAAAAACTGAAGAGGAAGCAACAATTAGTTTTAGTTTCTTTTTTCGAGCGGGTACAAATGTAAGTACATAATTCAATTCAACTAAAAGGTCACCCAATTTTCTGGATGAGGTCGACTTCAAGAAATTCGAGTATAGGTCAGATCAGAGAGAAATGAAGAAAATGACGAGAGGGAGAAATTAGGGAGAGATCTCAAGAATTTTTTGAACGATTTCTATCCCCACAGGTGGATGGGAACAAGTCAGTTACAAATTTGTAACAAACTTGTTGCCAATTTTAATTACAAGTCATTTAGGTTCGCATTACTCACTTGTTACAAACAGTGTAACAAGCTAGTTACAAAAATAATTTTAATAAATAGCTTGTTCTGCATAAATCTATTTATTTTGGTTTTTCCGTTTACGCTCTATAATAATTGACACTTTCGATTGAAATTATTTATCAAAAAAATCGAAAATTGCAAAGTGTGGAGCATTATAAGTGGGAATGTTAATAAAACAAAACAAAAAAGATAAAAATGGTTAATAGAACAATTAAAACAAAGATTTATTGCAATTCTTTGAGTCGTTTCAGAGCGGATTCTATTTCTCCCGGTCCGCCTTTTCTTTTTCTCATTGTCGCTCTTTGGTTATTCCTGAAAAAAAGTCAATGAATTAAAAAAAGTTCGAACAACAAATTAACTCACAAAAGATATGAAACAGTTTGTCGTATTTTGATTCTAATTGCGTTGAAAAAGTCGTTGTCGTATCGATCCGCGTTTGTTCCAAAAATATCCACCATAAAACCTGAAACAAACAAACTTAGCTTGAATCTAATCTTACAATCTGTGAAAAATCATAATCTTTTTTGGTTGATCAATGCAATAAATATGAGAAATGTTTTTCTTACAATCGGTGAAACAATTTACAAACTGTAAAAAGGAAGAACAACAATGTTTTTTTTTCCAATTGACAGTAAGAACGAGTGATTTTCATCAGAAAACGATATACAATAGTTCAAAAAAGTAATTCATTTTTCTGTAGCTCGCAAAGAAACTAAATGTTGCCTACCTTTTTCGTTTTTGAATTGCTATTTTCATTCATATTTTTTCGTGAATAAGCTATTTGTAGAAATTTTCAATAATTTTTCGGATAAATAATTTAAATATTTAATATTTTCAAAATTATAATGAATATTTTAAAAAATTATAACAAAAATTTCAATTTTTTCAACTCACATGCCATATTGTCAAGAGGAGGTCCAATAATAGGCACAAATTTACTGCTATGTGAAACCTTGCATATCATAGTCATCGCAATAATCAAATGACCTTTCAGTTTGAGCAGCTGTAAATCAATATTTTTTATTGCATAACACCAATCATAACTTACGGCTCCGAAAAATTCGCGTGCGACTTCCGAAACAGCTGCGAAAAGAAGTTTGGAACTGCATCTTTCAATCAATTGGGCAGTGATAAATTCAGAAATATTATAGCTCCATCCGTTTGGCAAGTCAATAATAAGAAATTGAGGGCGAGCTCGACTGGGGGAAAGTATAACAGTTCTTTTGGCATATCCTGTGTTTTTGACATTTTGTCGTAGAGTTCGAACACTTGATGTCAAACTGTTAACTTGATGAGTTAACACTAATACGATTTCAACAAGTGATTTATTCTCCTCTTGTGCTTGTTCATAACAGCGCAAAATGTCCTGGTAATCAATATCAGTGTAATGGTCTCTCCAGTGATTAGCGAGGTTTCTCTGTAAAAAATAAAATTCACAAATTTTGTAAATCGTAAATTTTTATTTTTTTCTGCTAGTTGTTTTCATTGAACTCCGAAAATTGAAAGCTCAACAAATAACTTAACAATTTTCAAAACAAACTAACTTTAATCGAAATGTCGTCGAGGCCTAATTTGGATCTCGAATTCACGAAGCATTTTTTGGCCATAACAGTTGGGATTATCGAATTTTTGGTGCGAGCATAAACCAACGGTGGATTTCCTTCATCTTCCTCATTTTCTTCTACTTCTTCTTCTACTTCAATTATTTGATCTTCTTCATCATCGACAATAAGTTCTCCATCTTCAGGTTCTTCTCCTTCATATCCTTCGTCTTCTTTTTCATGCAAACCAACTTCATCAACTTGAACATCTTCGTGTTGTCCAATTCTGTCAATTTCCGCGTCTTCAACCTGTTTTTCCTCAATTGGAAGTTGTTTCTCTTCTGCTTCTTCCTCACAAGCCACATTCTGCGTGTTCTTCTGCTCATCCAAACAATCCTTTTTATAGAATTTTTTGCCTTCTTTCTCAGGTTTTTCGATAACATCCGATCTTTTCTGGGATTTGGTTTTGACATCAGCTTTTGGATTTCCGCTCATTTTTCTTTTCTTGATAGAAACTTCTTCCTCATCAACAACAGCCTGCGAATTTTCATCTATTTTCGGCAAATTTTTCGACGCTTTGGCAGCAGCTTTTCTTTGCTGTTGTCTCTAAAATAAATAACATTATATTAAAATATACTTTTAAACAAATAACTCGGAACCTTCAAAGCTGGATTCGTATAAACCAATTCATCTTCAGTCAATCCATTGCCTTCACACGAATATGATTTGCCACCATCTTGATTCTCACCATTCTAAAAATTGAATTTAGTTTATATTGTGAATTCACCAAGAAAATTGTCAATGTTATAAATTCCAAAACTAAGTAAATTATGAAACATTTTTCTTCGGGAATATAAAGTCGATTCAGTCACAATTTCGTTTTCTGTTCTAAAATTCAAAATCATCAGAAAAAATGTAGTAGTATTTTCCAAAACTCATTTTTTGTCACACCATGAGAAAAATTATTTTCCGGAGTTTACGAGCAGATTTCCCGAAAATCATAAAATTCAATTTTCTGTGAAAAAATTCGGAAAACTTCCAGCACAGACCTGATATTTTCTTATTAAAATTCTAATTTTAAAATATCATATCGATTCCGTGGGTTTCAATTCTAGTAAGGTTAACTCCAAGTGTATAAAAGCGATAAAATATTACCGATTCCGCATTTCTCAAATTTCCCTCTTGTTTAATAATTCCTAATACAACGCGATGTGGAGCCTGCGGTTTTCTTGTAAGTGGTGTAGGGGGCGCTGCTGACGACGATGTTTCAGATGAAGTCGATGCTCCTTGATTCTCTTGTTTTTCTTGTTGTTGGCGACGAAATATTTTCCCCTGAGAATAATGAAAACTATGACGAGTACAAAATGGGTTCGAAATCATTTCAATATATGCTATCAAAATGAGTTCGCGAGTGGTGATATAAATGGGTCTCCGATAATTTTCTGATTTTTTTGTAAAAATGGATTTGAAACTGTTTTGTATTCACAGCAAATTGTTTTCTACGTGACCTCAAATAAAAAAATCATTGCAGAAAGTGTTTTGCACGCGGCACACATCTGGGCGGAGCCTAATCAAATCCTGTTTTTATACGTTTTTTGAGGATTTGAATCCGAATTTCAGGGAAAAGTTGATTTTTCACTATCAGAATTGAGCAAAGAAGGGTTGGGGGAGGTCCAGAAGACAGAAAATTGCTTATAAATCTTCTAATTCCGCTCAATATGACGTTTCTCCATATTTTTCTCGATTTTCCCAGAAAAAACAAGAAACTTTTGATTCAAAAAACTACTACTACTTGAAAAATTATCAACTACTTCTAAAAATTTAGTTTGAGCATGTTTCCTTCGCTTTCGGCAATTTGCTGTGGTATTCTTAGGCTTTACCGGAGGCGAAGTTTGGTTGGAAATGTGAGTTTTTTTTAATTCAAGAAAATATCGCCATTTAGGGAAACACGCTCCTAGTCTAAGTCTAGCAGGCGGTTTTTTTTTATTTGGAACTTCGATTTAAAAAAAAAACTCACCTTATTTACCGGCGGAATAGGTCGTGGAGGGCTGGGGTAGTTTCTTCTATAGTTGTCTTGTTTTCTGTATTCTTCCTGCAACAGAAAGTATTGTTTTTTTTTATTTGGGAGGAGTTTGAATTTGATAGCTCAAAAACATACTCTGATGTAGTTCATCATCCTTTCCTGCTCCTCTGACGGCGTGCCGACATATTCCTCGATTTTCTTTTGTTTTTTTGGTGGCATACCTGAAAAATGATATGAAATAAGTCGAAACGAGTAAAAAATAAGAGATAACAATACGGAAAGAAATATGAAAAATATATAATTATAATCAAAAGAATATTTTTGACAGAATTAATAACAAAAAAATGACACATTGATTGTTAGTAAAAAGAATAAAATTTATTAAAACACTAACGAAACACGACAAAAAGCAAGACAATAACACACATAAATTTTACAAACACATATAAACATAAAATAACGATACGATAAATACAAAAATTTTTCTATCTGTGATTTGGAGAACCATTACATTGCAAGTAACAGTTATTTTCCCCTAAACCTATCCAGCTTCCGATTCCTAAAACCTGAAACTCTTCAACCCAAATTTTTTCCGTGCCGAATTTCCCATACTGAACTCCTTTGCAAAGCTTCAATTGTCGCAATATATTTTTCCCGGCTTGCATAATGTTCGTTGGTAATTTGTTGACAGCTTCAGAAACAGTTGGAAACATATCAGCAGGTGAAGTTTCAACAATCGGTTCCATCAATAAACCTTTCTCGACAGTATAAAGCAAAAACTTTCCACATTTCCCATCTCCAAAGAAAACAATGTCGTTAGAACATTTGCTTGAACCATATTTTCTCGATTCTATAAATCCCGAAGATAGATCAATCCGAGAGAAACATTGAAGAGTTCCCGTTTTCAATAAGTCATCGTCCGAAACCTTTGTGATATTTCCTTCGTGTTTTTTGACTTTTTTTGGAATATATGATGGATTTCGAACAGCGAATCGTGAAATTAGAAAACCTGGTTCATCTGATAATCTTCTTTCCATTTCTCTCCTACACGAATCGTGCAACAAAAGTCTGAAATTGAGGATTTCAAAACCAGAACTAAGTTTAAAATCACCTTGTGCAAGCGGTCTCAACAAAGTTTCTCGTCATCTGGCTCGAGAATTCCGATAGGAAAAAATTATAAAAGCACTCGAATTGCTCAGTTGACAAAGGGCCTATATTGCCCATTTTTGAAGCAATATATGGAAGATGGAAGAACACCTCCTTAACAAATTTACTCATTGAATACATCTAATAAAAACTCACATGCGGTTTCATGCAGAAATAACTGACACTTGACATTTCTATAATTTCGACAAGAGCATTGCCATACCTCGGCCAACCCGTGGTGGAGCAGGGTACAATTTTCAAAAAAAAATTTTGAAAATTTTTAGAGTACAGAAAAAAATTCATGGAACTTGAATCAGATCGAAATTTTTCAGTTTTATAGGAACTCTGTCATATCTGGATCACTAACTTTCTAAATACAACGTTTCACTTAAAAATTCAATGCTTGAACTATTTTTAAATCGAAAAATACTGAATTTTCGTTTTTCAAAAAAAATTGATTTTTTCAAAACTCAAATTTTTGAAAAATTACATACTCTGGATTAAATTTTTTGTTGATTCTAGAGTCTAGACCACAAAAAAACGCTACCTAAGTCGAAAAATCCATCAAAAATTTTTCGGGACAACTCAGGACTCAACTCGTGGGCCAAAAAACAGATTTTTGTTCATAACTCAATTCAGGCTGAATGAAATGTAATCAAACATATAACCATAATGTAGAGCGCGAAAAATTAATATAAGTCTCTATTTTGACTTTTTTCGAAAATTGAACCCGAACTCGAAAAAACGCTACTTTCCAGATTCGTGGTTCAGCCAATGCAAAAATGTATAGGAACCACGATTCCAGTTTGCGGTCTAATCGAAAACATTCTCCCAACATTTTATGCTTGTTCTAGCGTTCTTAGACCCTTAAGTTTCTACATATAGAGTTTCAGATTAAAATTTCAAGTTTCAGCCAGTTTTTTTCTAGCTTTAAATTATTTTGCGAAATTCTCATTGATTTTATTGAAAGGGATAGAAAACAGCGATCTTGAATATGAAAATTGAGAAAGGGGAAAGAAATCGCCTCCATGGTGTAGTGGTAAGGCGTTGAGCTGGCTTGTGGTGGTGTGTGGGTTCGAATCCCGCTGCCACCCAAACTCTTTTTTCGAAAATTTGAATTGCGTTTTTTTGTAAACAGTTCTTTATTTGAAAAAAAAACTAACAGCCAAGTTTTTTTAGATATAATTATTACACCATGGAGAATTAAATCATATTTCCTTGTTCTTTGCTCAATCTTCTTTTTCATTACACTGTCTTCCGTCGATTTCTTTTTGACAAACTTCATCTGAAAAGAAAACAACTATCAAAACTGATCAGTCTGATCTATTTTTCAAATAACATTGTTTCTGAAAACTAATTTCACATAATTAGAAAACGGGGCGATTTTTGCATTTTGGCATTTCACGATGTTCAGTGTCATTTTTGCTTTTGACTTAACAATTGTTGGTTGAACCTGCATTTTTTTTAACGAAATCTAACTAAAGCACGAATTTTCAAGCTTGTGTTTAGCAGACAAATCAGATATAACACCGAATATATTCATTTAAACATTAAATCTATTAGAAGAAAAAAATTTCGAATTCAGGGTAGAGTACAATTTTTACAATTTTCACTCCAAAAATCTAGAGTACAATTTTATTATTTTGAAACCACGATGTTGGCCGAGGTATGAGCATTGCAAATATCATAATAAAAAAAGGTTCCGGTTTCACAATCAGTGGCTATTTTTGTAACTAATAAAGCAATGCCAACAATCACTAATTTGGTACTAGGATCACAATCATATTTGATAATAGCCAAAAAAATATGTACTCGAAAGAACTGAAAAAAAGATATCGTTGGATTTCATATTATCGAAACTTGCATCCAGTTTTTCGCTTCCATTTCTCGGATCTACAATAAGTTTGAAAATTGAGTTGGCTCTGACTTCTTTCATAACTCGTGTAAATTCTTCCTCATTGAGTACAAACAGCTTGGACTTTGGAGTGGTCTTTGTCTTCTGCTTGGATGGAAACATTTCTAAATTGGGGGAAAAATATGTGAAACATCGTGAAGCTCTGACTACCTATTATAATGATGGTGATAATACCCTCGGATAGATTGTGAAGCACGTCAATCACACAATCCCAAGGCGCAAGAAGTTCCAAAATCTCAGCAAAGATTGTTCCGGTATTACCGAAACGACCTTTCCGCGAGTCTTCTAAAAACTCCTCTTTTCGCATCACACATCTTTCTGAAAATCAAACACAAGAATATGAATTAAACCCTAGTTATGCACCGTATCCTCTCCTTTTGTAGAAAGCTCCGTCATCCAAACAATAAAAACATGAAAATTCCGAATTGTGGCCATGGAAGCCAAATAATGACCTTTTAGCCTGAAAATCTCAAAAAACTGTGAAGAATTCAACTACACAACATCGAATAACTGGGATTGAATAAGTTCAGAATTCTCTCTGATATCCTTTTAAACTAACAGGCTGATCTGCGCAACAGGTAACAATGCTAAAAGTGAATTTTTCACCATTCACATCAATTCCTTCCGACATCGATTCCAGTTGATTGTTAATATACTTAACTATCGTATTAAAAGCATGTGTAGAGGGATTTTCTTTTCCACTCATAACACCAAACAGCACTATATTCACAGCTTTTTGTCGAATAGCAGTCTCGATGTCTACAATAGAGAAGCAAATCGGCCAAATTTTCTTTCTGAATACGAATTCAATGAGGAAGTACAGACTAGTTCAACCCACTTGCTGTTGCCATGAGGACAACATCCATCGACACTCAACTGAAGCGACAAATCGATAGTTCCTTCCTCGTTTTTCCATAACTGACTGAAATATGCGCTCTCAAGATTGTGACAAGCTGGTATGCCGTATTTCAATTTATGCCTCAGCCTCATTATAGACTCAAAGTTGGCAGAAACAACAGCTTTCAATTGATCGAATAGGTTGAGCATAGTCAAAGTCAAAACTGGCGATTTCTTGGAGCGGCATTCATTTTTGTCACTGAAGAGCCGGAGTGAAAACATTTAAAAAAGAAATTACCATACCATTTTTGTGAAGATCTCAATGTTGCACCACATCCATTACATACACGAACATTCGTGTATTCTTTCTTTTTGATCTCCCAAAATTTCAAAACTTCATCTTGTTCATCGAGATCATCTATCAATAGTGCTCTAGTTCCAAATCCTCTTGACGATTCACGCGATTGTAGTGCACCCAACAGCGCCACCAATTGTTTATCTGATAAGTTCTCTACAGTCATGCCAGCTGGAGTGAGATCTAAAAAATAAATGTTAATCTTCAGTCTGAAAATTTTAATAAAATATACCTTGATGTTCATCGATTGTTTCTTCTTCTTCAGACTCACTATCTTCTGTGTCGAAGTCTAAAACATTGACACCGTCGTCTTCAATTTCCTCCACGAAATGCTCTTCAATCATATTCTCCTCATAATTTTGATCGTTCAATTCCAGAAGTTCCAAATTTCGCGTTTCTTGTTCATGATATTCACCATCTTCCATAACATTCACATCATGTTCAACTTCTTCTTTTTCATCATAACATCTTCTCTTATACGAACCATTCTTATCTCCAAAATAATCCGTCCCATAATAATCATTCATCAAACACTTACCTTTATAAGCTTTAAGTCTATCCAACCCCATTACAATTACTATTAAATTGACCCTAATTTGATGGTTGCATTACCCGATGAGAAAGTGTCACGTGTAGCCAGCGTGAAAAAATGCGCCACGTTTTCCACGTGATACAGAACGCTACGTGTTCACGTTTTTATTATTCTTTTTTGATTCATCAAAACACTAGTTTTTTTCCAGAATCAAATTACTTACATAATAATCCGAAAAGTCAAACCCAACATTTCATTTAATCCCCTTTCATTTTTGTGAAACTTGTAATTTTTGTAGTTGACATAATAGATTTACGATTGATTTACGAAGATCACAATAACAAGACTCAACAAACATACAAAAGACGCATCAAAATCACAAAACACATTTAAAAAACAAGAAAAGTTGTGAGAAAAGTTTAAAAACAAAAAAACAACTGTTGGGTTTCTCATCCACATTTGTTTGGTTTTCTAGGCCATATTTTTTTGTAACAAACTTGTTTTGCACACTTTTTGCTTTTTTTGTTTGTTCTGGATTTCTCGCTTGTAATTAGCTTGTCCATTCGAAAAAATATAACTACAAGCTAGTTATTGTTGCAAAACTCCTTAGTTACAATTTTCTTTTTAGTTATTAACTTGTTCCCATCCACCTGTGCCAAGAGATGGTCTTAAACTCAAAAAGTGTAAATTTTAGATAAAATTACGAATCTTATTGTTAGTTTTGACGTGGCGAAAGCGTACGAAGATTTCTGATTTTTTTCAAAACCACGTCATCATAGCTAATTTCTTTTCTAAAATTTTGTATCTACAACTGACGTATTTGCCCCCCCCCCCCCCAAAAAAATACTACAATTTTAGTTATGTTTTCTGACCAATACATGAAACTGTTTTCACAATTTTTAAAACCGGGCTCAAAAATCTTCGAAATCCCTCTTACCAATCGATTATGTTGTGTTGCATCAACAATAATTCGACTCCATTCTTTCAATTTATGAATATTATGACTCTCGCAATTATCCAACATATAAAACAATGGTTTCGTCAACGCGCAATACATTTCCGGACTTTCGATAAGTTGTTCATTGAAACGCGGAAGAATTCGAGTGAACCAAACATTTTCCGAGATGTTTGGTAGGGCCGAAAATAGGGTTTGAGAGAGGAAATGCGATTTTTGAGATGGATCGAACACCTGGAATTTTTTCTTGTCAAAGCTGCCCTTAAAATATGAAAATTGTTTTTCTAACCTGAGCAATGTCATCTAGTTGTCTGAGCGCTGACAATGCTGGATCATCAAAATGTTTGATCAAAGTCAACAATTGCACCGTCGGTCTCACATCAACTTCTTGGCTCAACACTTTGCTCATTGACTCCTTCAAATTTGGCCCCAAATCTTTGGTAATACAATTCAGTGCTGCATCCAATTGACCGACGACAATTTGATAAGTTTCTAGATTGCTTTTGGTGTCGATCAATCGTTTGCCACCCGCGTAGATCCAGCAAATCAGAACACCCAGTGAGAAAACATCGGCTGCTGATGTCACGGTATTTTGGTTGGGTGCCAGATATTCGGGAGCGAGGAAATCGAGATCCGGTTGAAGGCAGGAGGGCAGCTTTTTGGTGTAGGGAAAGCATGGATACGTGTTCTGCAAAAATATATTTGGGAAAAACAACGATGCTCCGCCTGTTTACGTTTGCGTCAGAATTTTTGAATTTTCAAAATTCCACACATTTCCCGCACTCCCTCAATTTTTCGAAGCTCAAAAAACACAATTTCTCCTTCGCTTCAAATTTCTTCACGCCTCTATAAATACAATCCTAGATATTTCCCCCAAAAATTTTATTTCCGGAAGCAAAACATCTATTTTGCTCACCGGTTCTTTTGCAGCCACCGCAAACATAAATCCGCCAATCTTCCAACTCTTCGAAGCGGTCACAAAAATCGCGTCCGGTGTCAGATTACCGTGTAGAACTTTGGCCGAATTATGCAAATATGAGACACCATCGATTATCTGCAAATTTTGATTTTCGGATAGATTTTGACGGAGAGAGAAAATTACCTGCAAAACTCCAAGTTTGATTTCCAATCGATCCAAATTTTTATCCGTCACCACATCTTCCAAAGTTGTCACCAAAAGCTCCGAAGCAAATGCAATGTGTTCTCTGAAAATCGACTTTTTCCAGAGAAAATCTTTTTTCAACCCACTTCGTTTCTTCTTGTCCGTGCTCAACGTGTAGAATTCTTGGATGAATAAGTGTGTTGAGCTGACTCACTTCGTATCTGAAAAATGCATTAATTTTAAGTGGATTTAAGGCGTTTTGAGGGTTTCTGCGAAAAAAAAAAACAATTTTTACTACGGTATCTAAACTAAGTGTGCATTTTAGCGTCATGGTGTTTGCACTGGTCGGACAAACGCGCCCCGGCGAACATGCGGAATTATTTTTTGTTTTTTTTTCCAACTAACTTTATCAAATCCGCGAGTCCAAATTTAGCCATTCTTCCAATTCTTGGCGGCGCTTTCACATTACTTTTTTTGTCGAAAACCAAAACGGAAGCATTCTGAAACTTTTTGTTTTTCGATGTCTGGTTGGAAAAAATTGAAACCTTATTTCCAAAAGATCGTTTTGAGCTGAAAACTCGCCAATGTCCACTTTTAAATCGAAATTCGAGCGAATGAAATTCTTTTTCCAGTGCTGTCGAACCATTCGAACTTAATGGTGAAGACAAAGTTGGAGAGATTATTGTTGGACGATTTGGGACCATTGAAAAATCCTGAAATTTTATTTTCCTAGGAAAAATCTATTTTTAAAACAATATAAATGTCAAGTTGACAACTGAAAAACTAGCAAAAATGGAAGTTGTGAATGTGTGGATTTCTCGAAATCAAATGAATACTAAAGTATGTTGACAGGTGATTTTTCTCGAAGAGCAAAATCAGAAACGTACAATTTGAGGAAATTACATGTTAGCCTAGCTTATGTTATGTTGGTTAGACAGCTATTTATTGTCACGAAATTTTTCAGCCAAAGAAAAACTGAAATGAAAAATTAGAGTTCAGAATCGGGGGAAAATGAATATAATCTCTGTGGGAGAAACATTTGAAACATCAAAAAATTTGTGTAGGAAAACAAAATAACGTACACATCAAAAGTGGTTTAGGTCATTAGTTAGTTTGAATATCTTTATTGAAAATGAGAAAAAATGAAAATCAATTTTTTTCAAACGTGGAAAAAATTGTGTCACGTTTTTGTTTTAAAGAATGCATTTGATTTTCATTTTTTCTCATTTTCAATAAAGATATTCAAGCTAACTAATGACCTTTACGATTTTTAATGTCTATGCTTTTTGTTCCCTGCACAAATTTTTGATGTTTGAAATCTTCCTCCCACAGAAATTATATTTGTTTTCTCCCGATTCTAAACTCTAATTTCTCACTTCAGTTTTGACTTGGACTTGTCCAATTTTTTTTTCTCAAACAAGCTATCTTGACCAACCTGTGTAGTACTACTGATTGAAGTTCTCAATCTTTGTGCCACTGAACTTCCAACACTTGAAGTGCTACTCGATGCCAAACATCCAGGCTGTGGAAATGTTGCTCGATTCATTTGTCGAATAGGCGTCGACATTACTTGCTTCTTCTTCTTCTTCTTCTTTTTTATTTTTCTCTCCGTCTATCTCTATCTATGTGTTGTAATCTAGAAAAAAGAATTGAAAAATTCAATTAGACACAGCAAAAAAAAACACGAAATCGAAAAAAAATTGGAGAGAGTAAGTAAGTAAGTAAGTAATACACCTCAGGGCAAAAAAAATGAATAAAACAACCAGACAAATTTTTCTTCATATATGTATATTTATTTTTTGTAGTTTCCAGGAGAAGAAAAAGGAAATCGATCAGGTGCTTTTTGAGTTCGAGAAATTTTGGCAGGAATTTTCTTGTTTGAGAAAACAAAAAGAAAAGTCACAAGATTTTGGTTGAATTGCGAAATTTGGGAAAATTAACCGAAATTCTTATGCTCTTCTAAAACTGTGAAAACCAGCCTTTTGAAACATTTGAAAGCTACCAAAAAAGGATTTCTGTGCACGTTTGCGTCGTGGTGTTTGCGGTCTAGTAAGCTTTGAAAAAAAACGTTGAAATTATTTTTGGCAAAATTTTAAATTGAAAAAAAATATCGGAACATTAATCTTCAATTTATTAAATCTCAAAAATAGCTTTTCAGGTAATGTTCAAATATTTTAAATTTGGAAGAATTTTTTTTGTTGAAAAATCTGAAAACTAAATCTTGGCGAAAAAAATTAAGAAAAAAGTTAATAATATTTTTTCCCATAAATCTGAAATTTGAGAACAAAAACTTTTTTGAAAAAAATAATTTTCCGCAACTTTTTTCTCAAATCAACCAAAAAACAGTCAGCAAAAAATGTCTAGACAACCAAAAGTCACGCGAACTTCTCGAGCTCTGACAAAAAAATCGAGCACTCAAATTTTCGCCTTTGTATATTTTTCTCAAAAGGAAATTTCGGGGGCTTTCATTAGTATTCCGGGCTCAAAAACAACGGAAAAAAATGGGGACGAGGCGAATAAAATTAATCATAATAACAATGAGAGACGAATTAAAAAAAATAAAAGGGAGGAGGAAAAATAGAAGAATGAATGGGGAAAAAGGTGTGGCTGTATGGCTATACATAGAGTCTCTTTCTGGCTCTGGCTCTTTTTCAGCGCATTCCTTTTTTTGGGGCCAATTAAACGAGTAGTGTTGCACACATGAAAAAGGTTTCCGCCCACTTTTCTAACCACAATAAAATTGGTCCTTTTTAAGGACACAAAAAGGACCAAAAAATTATTTATATTAGGATTTATTTATAGAGTAATTCTGAAATAAAAACCAACATTTCGGAATTTTTCTGAACAAAATTTATTTTTCAAAAACTTGGGACCAAAAATTCATATGGAAATTGGAAAATATAAAATTTTTTGTTCTTCGGAACTTTTTTGGCACAATTTTTCGGGGGTACTGTAGCTCAGATTACTGTGAAAGCGTATAATCAATAAAATATGATCTATAGGGTTACTGTAGCAACATTTTGGAATTCACAAAGTTCTATGACGCAAATGTGCACAGAAATTGTTGAATTTACAAAATTCCACGTGGTTTTTTCTCGCTAAAAAAATTAGAATTTCCCAATCTCTACGTATTTATTTTTAGAAATAAAAAAAGTTGAGTTGAGTCAACTTTCATTGTTGTCAGAACAAAATAAAAATCGATTTATTCGAGCTTTTTCGTTTCTTTTTCGTCTCTCGTTGATAACTAACTATTGCAAAAATAAAAAAATACGAGATTAAATCATTGTGTGACAAAAAAAACACGCACACGAATTTCTCAAATAACACCAGGTTTTTCAGGTTTTTTGGCTGAAACTGATATCATTTTGTTTTTTGAGCATTGTCTGGAGACATGATTTTTGATTTGATTTTCGTGACCAGCACTAATTTCACATTCGTGCCCACGGGGTTTTGGTTCAAAATATCTACAGTAAGCTATATTTTGGGAGCCCAAAATAAAATCATTTCTCAAAAGATTACTGCCTGAATCATACAATTTTTAATCTAAAAGCACCATGCATATCAATTTGATTAAGATTCTCAAATTTCTCATGGATTTTTTGAAACGTACAATTTCAGGTTTTTCCGAAATTTTTGAAAATTGATTTTTTAAATTATGAAAACACAATACAGTAGTTTGCATAGTGTCGCTCTGAAAAAAACAAATTTCAGGTTAAAACTGATATCACTTTGTTTTTTTTAAATCAAATCGAATTCAGAATTGTATGGAGACTAATTCTACAATTTTGTGTCAAAGGAATACGGTAGCACTAATTAGCGGAATTTCAAAATAACTACAGTATTTCTTGTGTTCTTTTGAGTTCAAAAATATATTTTTTTTCGAATCCTAAAGTTAACTTGAAACTAGCCTCAAATCAGGCTGAGCCTAAATTAGGCTAGGTGTAAGCACGGTCAGGCCTAAGATGGGCCTAAGATCGACCTAGGACTCTAAATTTTGAGAAAAATTATTTTTATCAATCCTCTACAGTAATCCTTATCACTTTGTTATTTTAATCAAATCGAAAATTGTCCAGGGGCTAATTTTATTTTTGGACTTCGTGACCAAGGATTACGGTATCATCAATTATCCATTTACCCCAAGGTTTTGGTTCAAAATATCTACAGTAATCCATTTTACTTATTTTTCTCCCTAAAAATAGAAGTGCAATTGAAATGAAATACATTATGCAAATCAAGAATCCTCGATACATACTTACCATTAAAATAAAAACCCTACAGTAATCTGATTTTGCATTAAGAATCAATCTAGAAAGGACAAAAATAGCCGAAGAAGAAGAAGAAGAAAAAAAAAAGGAGAAAACTGAATGGCCTGAAATAATGAGAAAGAAACATATCAGATTTCAGAATAAGGGAAAAAATGCGAGGAAAAAATTATGGCAAATTTGGAAAATGGGGACTTGATTTTTTTGGTTAAATTTGGATCAAAATGAAAATTGAAAAAAAGATCCACGTGGCATACATATTTGAAATTTAAAAATTTTGACCCAAAACTCATTTGAAAATCTAGCTCCAGATTTTCTCGAAAAACAAAACAAAAAACGAACTCGTAGGAGGACGGAATTCCTATATATATTTCTATTTCTTTTTCTTTCGACGAAAAAAGTGTAAAAATAATAGGGCAACAACAAAAATGAGATGAACTCATTCATATAAGGAGACAAACACAGGGAGAGAAAAGGAACACAGCGGCGGCCCGGCAAAAAACGGAGAAGAAATGAGAAAAAAGTGTCAGAATTATTCAGTGATGAGTTAGTTATTTTGTTACTAGTTTTACCCTTTTTTTGCAATATAATTAATCGACGAAACTTTGAGATGAACTATTAAAAAAGTTGGAATTTTTTTTGAATTTTCTAATTTTCCACGTGGTTTCCTGGTGTTAAAATTTTAGAAGTTTCCAATTTTCATGTGGCACCAAAAATTTCTATTTTTCAAAAATGCCACGTGGTTTTTTGGCGCCCGAATTTTTGAGTTTTGAACTTTCAAATTTCCACGTGGTTTTTGGCTCAGAATTTGAAAAAAGTTATGAAATTGTTTTTGAACTCTCCGGAAATATTTCGAAATAAATTAATCCCTGCAGAAAAATCAAACATCTTATTTGAATAAATTCAATTTTTCCGTGCTATTCAGGCGAATTACTAACCTGGAAGCTTCTGGAAATTCTTGTGCCCAAAAAATCCTCTTCTCACCAAAGCCAGAAAAAAAACAACAAAAATTAGAAACACTTTTTCCCAAGAAGAAGAAGGCATCATCCTTCAGAATAATTCATCGGCTTTTTTTCATCGTCAGATAATTCTTCTTCTTTTTTTTGTTTTCAAACACACACACACACAAAAAAAACACCAGTGAATAATGAAATGAAAAAAATGGACGAAAAAATAGAAAAGAAGAGGAGAAACTGACATTAGTCTATCTAGAAATGAAATAAATGAAGACGAAAAAAAACGACGGACACGAGAAGAGAAAAAACGAAGAAGAAGAAGAAGAAGAAGAAGCCACAAATATCCAATTTCTTTTGTGAATCCATTACGCAACAAAACTGTTTTCATTTTCAGACAAAAAACAAATTATGATAACTAATTTTTGTTTAGCTCAATATTTGCAGAAATTTTTTTGAGAAAATCAGGTCGAGCCTTGTGATCAAGTTGGTTGCCTCAGATTTTTTTCAAGAAAGTTCAGAAATTTATTTTTCCCAATAGTGGGGTGTTCAGATTTTGGAAAACTGAAAAAATTTGAAACCGGAAAAATTTAGATGAAATTTATTGACAAAATCTGGAAGATCGAAATTTTTTTGAATTACACAAATAATTCTAGCAAAATTAGAAAACGTTTCAGATCTCAACTTTCAAAAATATTTTTTGAGAATCACGAAAAATTTTTTTAGTTATCATGAGTAGGCCATTTTTTACCATAAAGTGTTCATAATTCAAAGATTGAATTGAAAATTTCAGAATTATTTAATGTCTCTTCGTTTTTTCTCTGAAAAATCACGTAAATTCGCCATTTTTAGCCTCCAAGGAAACAACATGAAATTTTATTGGCTAAACATGAAACTTTCCAAGAAATATGTGGGGGCTTTTAATTTTTGATGTTCAGTTATCTAATATGAGCAATAAAGAATTTTTTTGGGATCAAAGTTTTGATTTTGATAAAAAATCGTTATTTATTTTCATTTTTAGGTTGAAAGATTATTTTCTAATCAAATTTCAGCGCAAACTTGACTAATCTGAACATTGATGCTTCTCAGGTTGAGGTAATCAAAAAACAGAGAGATCAGAAATTTTGAAATGTTTTTGGCTAAAAGTTTCTCCGTATAAATGTTTTTTTGGCTTAGGATTTTGAATTTCACACGTGACCTTTTGATAATTATCACAAATTTTGAAAATAATTTTCATTTCCACGTTTTCAATTCGGAAAATTCATGTGAGTTTTCTTCAACAATAAAAAAATTACGAGAAAATATTTTTTCTGAATTCACTATTCATAATTCCAACTTTCTAAGTTTCTTGATTTTGAAATTTTTCATTTCTCAATTTTTTTCTCGAATCAAAAAGTCTCCTTTTCTCCCTATCTTGATCAAAATTCAACAAAAAATCCATCTAAAAGTGCGTATTTGTATTCTTTTCACACATAATTAGTGAGCGGAAAAACTAAAGAAAACTAGCGAATAAAGGAAATGAGGAAAGCAAAAGACGAGGACACAAAACCGAAAAAAATGCGACATTTTTCGAGAAAAAAAGGGATTCTACAATAATTTTTAAATATGAGAAGTGCATGAGAATTGTTTTTGAGCTTCCGCGCAGAAGGTTTCGGTCAAAATCAATTTTTCAGCCAATTCTTTGTCTTTTGATCTACCTTTATCAGTCAAAATTTACTGATAAGTAACAAAAACCGAAACCAGAATGACAGTTTCCGATAAACGCAAAATAAAAACACACATTTTTCCTGATAACACTGTATTTTTACACTATAAAAGATCATTTTCCAATCAACTTAGTTAATTCTACAGTTCCACTCCAAACTTTTTGTCTCAAAGTTCAAGAAATCACATTTGACCTACACTTGCACCCCAAAATCTTTACACATCTTTCCACGTGGAGTGATCTCTCTGCGTCTCTCTAATTCCCATTGTATTTTTATCTTCTCTTGGTTTTTTGAACAGCTGCCATTTTTCTATTCCTGACCTTTCTTCTTGCGTTTATCAATTTTATTTTATTTTGATATTTTTTCTTGTTTTTAGGAAAACTTATTTTCTTGCAATTAATTAATTAAAATGCCTAATTAAATATCCGATTTCCAGCACATAATGCAACGTGTCCAACAACTTCGTCCACTTCTTCCGAAAGGACACGTGTCATATTATAAAGATCAAATATTGGTAACCAAGGGTGAAGGACAATTTCTGTTCGATCAAAATGGCAAAAAATATTTGGATTTTTTCGGTGGAATTGTCACTGTTTCAGTGGGACATTGTCATCCGTAAGATTTTATTTTGAGACTCCTACAGTAGTCTTTTCGCGGTGAGACACAACAACTATATTCTTGGAACGGCGAGATCAAGTGCGCTCCACTAAGAACCGAGCAATTGTTGGGCGGGAAATTTGAATTGTTCAAATTATTTTTTTTTGGGAAATTTCTAAATGCGCTCTAATGAGAATTTTTCTAATAACTTTCAAAATTAGAATTTCAAGCGCGCTCCACTGAGAATCGAGCGATTTCTAGAGAATATGAATTTCTGAAAATAAGCGAAAAAACATTAGTGATTTCTTCATAGGCGCAACAATCAAAACACACATGGGTCTCGCCGCGAACGAAAACTACTGTAGAAAAATGATTGTTTTTCTTTTTATTTCGTACCATCGTCTAAATACGCCGTTTCAAAACAACTTTTTTGCAGAAAAGTCAACGCAGCTCTCCACGAACAATCCAAAAAACTCTGGCACACCACATCAATTTATCACACCGAGCCAATATACGAATATGCTCAAAAACTAACTGCAAAATTCCCCGATCCTCTAAAAGTCGTGTATTTAGTGAATTCCGGATCGGAAGCAAATGATTTGGCGTTGGCTTTAGCGCGTAATTATACAGGAAGATTTGATGTGATTTCAATGCGAAATGGATATCACGGTATGACACAAACAGTTCTTGGCGCAACAAATTTGGGAAATTGGAAACCAGTCTATCCACACGGATTCAACATTTTCAAATCATTGAATGCCGATCCTTATCGTGGAATTTTTGGAGGAGATAAATGTCGTGATTCTCCATGTCAAGTTCGAAATCGAAAATGTGCATGCTCGCCAGGCAAATGTGAAGCCGCGGATAAATATATTGAACAATTTGATGAGATGCTTTTACATGATTTCTCTCATTCTTCGGGACCAGCCGCATTTTTGATTGAAAGTATTCAAGGAGTTGGTGGAACTGTTCAATATCCGAAAGGATATTTGGCACGAGCTTATAAATCGATTCAATCGAGAGGTGGATTGGCGATTGCTGATGAAGTTCAGACTGGTTTTGGTAGACTTGGATCACACTTTTGGGGATTCGAATGTGAGTTCAGGTTACCTTTTGCCGCAAAGAATCCGTAATTTTTGAAACCTGCTTTTTTGCAAGAAAAATCAAAGATCTACAAAATTTTCAAACTGAAATCTGTTTCAGCACAATCCGCAATGCCAGATATCGTAACAATGGCAAAAGGAATCGGAAATGGTTTTCCACTCGGAGCTGTTGTTACAACCAAAGAAATCGCCGATGCTTTCAACAGATCTCTTTATTTCAACACTTATGGTGGAAATCCACTTGCATCAGCCGTCGGAAAAGCAGTTCTCGAAGTGATTGAAGAAGAAAAATTGCAAGAAAACAGTGCAAATGTTGGAGATTATTTCCTAAAACAATTGGACAGCCTTTCGGAATCAGCAATTGGAGATGTTCGTGGAAAAGGTTTGATGATTGGTGTCGAATTAATCGATGAGCAAGGAAAACCATTAGCCGCAGCAAAGACAGCAGCCATATTTGAGGATACGAAAAATAAGGGACTTTTGATTGGAAAAGGTGGAATTCATGGAAATGTTTTGCGAATTAAACCACCAATGTGTATTACGAAAAAAGATGTTGATTTTGCTGTTGATGTTATTTCGAAATCTATTAAACAATTCAAATAAATTTGTTTTCAATTTATATTTGAAGAGTTAAAGTATTGAAGTTTTTCGGTCAAATGGCATGGTACTTTTAGAATTCTGGATTTTTTTTTCAATTAGGAGACCCGATTTTCAATTTTTGAGAACTGGCTTCTCTAGGTGAAAAAAAAATACCCGCCACGTCATAACTCAAATGTTTCCCTTCAAAACCCTCGCCAACCTGTAAACATATTCATTCCGTAAATAAGCTATATCAAAATGGCAATTATGCATGCATAAATGAATAAAATATCAATCAATAAACCGGTTCCAATGAAATCCTCCCGTTTCCAAAATCCAAAACTCTAAAATTCAAATTCTGTCCGACTGCTGGCAATTGATTGCGATATCTAAACTTGGAAATGTGTGCCAATCCATTTGTTTCCAATCCAATATCAACAAAAACACCAAATGTTGTTTGGTTTCGAATAATTCCAGGCAAAATTGCGCCTTTTCTTAGCTCCACATTTTTCGTGACACATTTCTGGAAAAAAACATGTTGAAAATAATCTTGAGAGGTTTATCTTGGCGCCAAAAACTACAGTATCCATTCAAAATCTCACCATTAATCTGGGCGGTTCAATCAAATCCTCTTCAATCAACAACAAATCCACAATTTTCTGCTCTCCCTCTTCCCATTTCACATTTCTCCCAATATTCGCAATTTTCTTCTTCACATCCTGCCAACAAATCTCTTCTTCCATTGTCAAAATTCCAATTTTTTTCAAAACTTTTTCCGCAATTCCATAATCATCTGGATGTATTACAGTTTCATCAAGTGGATTCCATTCAACTTTTCTTCTTTTATTCCCATTTTTTACATACGATTTTTCGGGTTTCAAAACTCTCAAGAATCCCGAACATTGGACAAATGAAATTGGACCGAGGCCGGCGACTTTTCGAATTTCTTCGCGACTTGTTATTTTGCCAAGTTTTTCTCGAAGTGTTACAATTCCAGCAGCAGTTCGTTTATTCAAACCACAAACTTGTCTGAAAATCGGAACATTTTCAATTGCCGAGCTAAAAATCCAGGAAAATAGAATTTCTGAACAAAATCCGATTTCTTGTCTGCGTATGCAAAATTTGAAATATTTGTTTGAAAAATGTTTTAATTCTATTTTTATTCAGAAATCTCCCAGGATCTCCAGATTTCTCTAAGATAAAAATGCAAACCTCAACAAATGTTCACTGGCACAATTAACATCAACACCTCTCAACGAAACTCTTTCCTTCACAACCAATTCGAGTGCCTCAGTTAATTTTGTCGAATTCACCGAATGTTGATACATTCCTTTTCCCAAATGTCTCGGCTCAATTTTCACATATTCACTCATTGGATCAATTAAACGACGACCAATTGAGACAGCACTTCGTTCATTTGGCGAGATTTCGGGCATTTCAATGGCCGCCAGTTCGGTTATACTATATTTCGAGGCACCGTCTTCGGGAACAATGCAGAAACCAATGTCAATTTTGTTGTATTTGAGTGTACTTGAGATAAGTTGCGAGACAATCTTTTGTGTTTCATAGCTGCCTTTTCCATTTCCTGAATTAATATTTTTGTGTTTTGAGATAAAGCGAAATTTTAATTAAAATTTTTTAGGTTTGGCGCCAAAAAAATCCCAGAAAAATTAGCCAAAGTTTGCTATTATACTTTTTGCCAAAAAAAAGAAAGCGAACAAAATTCATTACGAAAAAAACCGGAAATCATTCATGCCATTTAGATCTTCAATTACTGTAGCTTTTCGTTTCCAAAACACTTTTTCCATTCAAAACAAAAATGTTTCTGATCTTTTTTGTATTTTCATCTAATGACTTGAGAGATTCAAAAGTGTGAAATCCCACATATTATTCCCTAACCAACCTATAGCAATAGCCAAATTCATTCCATTTGTCATTTTCAAGCAATGTGTTATATATTCAGTTCCTTTTCTATCAAATCCTCCCGCTTTTCCTTGTTGATATCGAAATTCGCAAGTTGTGATAATTTTGCCGGTCGGCTCGAGAAATGCACATTTACAAGTGAGGAAACCAGGGTCCAGTGCCAACACAAATCGATCATTGATTCCTTTTTGACAAAAAAGTTGCTTGATATTTGTGGCAAAACATTGAATGGCTGCATTTTGAGCTTTATTTGATAGGTGGCGTCTGAAAATATTTTTCTGGCATTGAGAACTCTAAAAATCTCCCTGATTAGAAAAAAGGTTCAAAAGATCTATCAAATCCAATTTTTTTTTTAATTTTCAGCTTTTTTCCAATGTGTTTGTTTATTTGACGCCAAAAATTATGATAAGATAAGATTTCATAAAAACTACAACAAAAAATGAAGCAATCGTTTGATCTTTATGAATCACTGGATTGAATAAGCGGTTGAGTAATCCCCAAAAACTGAAACTTTTTTTGCTAAAAAAATCTGGAAGCCTTAGAAACTTAAAGATTTTTCAAAATTTCAATGTTTCTTTTGAAATAAAAAAAAGTCCAGAAATTTCCTGTTTTCTTCATAACTTTTTTTTCAAAATAACTGTTTTTTCTGATTCTCTGCCAAAATCCCGTTCCATGTTTGATTCACAAAATGTTTCATTTTTCTTGGGCAAAAGATTTATAGTGTATCATGAAGCTTATCTTATCATAATATATTTAATGTCCCGAGAAAAAAAACAACATTAGAACAAAAAAGCTGAAAATTGCCATTCTAATATTTTTGTTAGACCTTGTTAGGTGAGGTTTTCATGAAATTTAATTTTTTTTAAATTTAGCGGCCGCTTACTGGGTTCATATTCAAAAAAAACTTCAGTTTTTTGGGAACCTGGAAACCATTTAAAGTTCTTTATGGGATTATAATATTTGCCACGTCATAACTTATTTCTAGGAGGTTGTGACGTTACAATACTTTTTGAATAACTTGGTCTTCAGCAAATTCAAATTCCCAATTTATCCCAACTCACCTAGTTGCTCTCTGAATTCTCGGAACAAAAAACTTCGAAACTGTATAAATCACAGCCTTTTCAAAAATCTCCTTCATTTTTCCATGTATTTTGCCAGCCACCTCTTTTGTATAAGGATGTACCAATTTCGCCTCATTCAAATCAATCTCAATTTTGATCGTAATCAATCCCAAATCCTCAGCTCTTTCCATCGCCAATATCTGATTCTCAGTGATTTGTCGAACTTGTTTATTGAAACCAATGTAATTATCGAAATGAAGTTTGGCATCCTAGACAAAAAATAAAGAAAAAGTGGGTGGAAGAGGATGGATTACGTAATTTCCAATCTAATTATACAACATATTAAAATGGAAATTGCGAGGAAAAACAGGAGAAATGAAATGGAAATAAATATATACCTCTATACTTTTATCATCCGCATTTTTATTGGCTTTCGATGAGATTGCCGTTGTCAGCGACATTTTCAATCGTTGATTTTCGAGTTTCGAACTGTAAAATTTTCAAAATTGATAGGATTGGGCTTGTAGTATTTTGATTAGAGACAATTTAAAATTGAGAGAGAGCAGACAAAAATTAGTTTTTCGACACAAATTTTCGGTAATTTGAAAATTGTTTCTCTTAACATTTTCTATAGATTCCAAAATTTGTCCAAACTTCAAAAAAACTTGTCAAAATGACCTAAATAATTCCTTTTTTAGTTATCTGTGTGTCTTTGTGTGTGTTTCTTATTTATTTGGGGCACAATTTGAATAAATTCGAAATCATCCGCTTTTTCCTGGTTTTTTTCTTCTCTCGATTATCGAAACGGATTTACTATTGTTATTATTATTATTATATGATTTTTCTCCTTCTTTTTCTTTTAATTCATATTTCTTGTGTTGTATTCAGCAAAAAAAACAAGACTTGTTATACCAGACAAAAAAAATGTCAGGATTTTCTTCGCCACATTAGCTTTTTACTGTTTCATTTTACGATGATTTCACCAAGAAGAAAAAAGTATAGCTATTGGTTTTATTTGTGAAATCTTGTGATTTATTTAAAAATGTGTGATGTAAGTTCGGCAAAATTTTAAATAGGAACCGAAAAATTCGCTTTTGAGCTTCTTAAATTTTGGAATGTCCGAATTTTTCCAAAAAAAAATTTAAAGAACCCAAAAAAAATCGGATCACTTAAAAACATAGTCTGATTTCGACTTAAAATTTTCCGTTTCACATTTAGAATCCCCTAATTTTACTTTCCGAAGCTCTAGCTCCCGGTAAGAAGTTTATTGTTTCCCGCCAAAAAAAAACTAGATGATCACCCATGCAAAAAACATCATGAACGCCTCATAAACATCTAAAACTATTTGGCATGTTTCCTTCCTAACCAAAAACGAAATCTTGTTCATTGTCCAGATTTTACAGGAAAAACAACAATAAAAGACGTGGAAGTTCTCAAAAGTTAGTGTATCTTAGGTTTGAATATTTTTATGCTAGCATCTAGAAATTCACTGAGAGCTTTCATGTCAAGTAGTCAAGCCTAGAAAGCCTAGTTGTCAAGGATCAGCACCTACAGAACTTAGTTTAGAAGTAGCCGAGCCTAGAGAGTCTAATTTCAGAAGTTCTGAGTTGTGTTCTGAATCAGAACACAAAAACTCTAATCCAAAGATCAACTTCAAAACAATCTAGTACAAATTCGGCCTAATCCTTCGATTTTCATTTTCATTCTTCAAATTCTTCCAAATCCTCTTGACCTTTCTTTCAAAATAACTAACTTGTCTTCTTTTCTTCCGTATTTTCACGCTTTTGTTCAACAAAAATTGATTTCGCGCGAAAGCATAGAAATTTTGAAAAATCAGGTTTTCTTTGCTTCATTAATACCAATTATTAATTATGCGGGACATGTTTTTTATTTTTATTTTATTAATAAATATTATTTGGAAAAGTCTAAACTTTTGAACTTCTTGGGAACTTAGCGCAACTCAATTTCGAAAATTGCACTGTATTTTGATCAAACATTAATCAGCATTATCATTTTTCAAATATACGCCCAAAAAATATTTATTTCATTTTGATTTATTATGCGTTATGTCTATCTAATTTATTTATGTTTTATTGCTTATCTGATTTTCGGCCAGAAAATCAAAATGTATACATTTTCCAATGTAATTTTTCAGATGATGTCACCAGAAGATGAGCTAAAAAACTCCTATTTATTTTTCGATTTCCACAAACTCAGCCAAAAATTTCTAATTTTTACAACAATTCTAACAATATTCGGTTTATATTTCTCAGCAATGCCACATTTTTTGGACGAAGCAATGTATTCAAATAACACAAAAAGAGTTGTTGAAACTTATAAAACATTTCCAAATGGAAGTCTTTATTATGATAGTGTTGATGAATTTGGAAATATACATTATTATGAATTGGGAGAATGGTTTGTGAAATTTTTGAATGGAGAAATGCGATATAGTTATGGAAATACGTTTTTTAATTATTGTAGAGTAAGTTGGAACTTTTTATTTTAAAAAAGAGATATTGTAAATGGGTTAATCTCTTTGTCAGAAAGAAACATCCAACTTTAAAAAATTCCAATTTTCAGGAGCGTATTATACCAAAAGCTGAATGGATGACATCAATAACTCGGAGTTTGAATCACATGATTTTATCTCAAGTTCTTTTTCGAATTGTTATTCTATCGACTTTGACATTTTCATTATTTCAATGTTTAATTTTACGATATCTTCATGACAGCGCGCTTTTTGGTAGGTTATTTTCTAGAGAGTTTAACATTAGAGCCTGGTTTTGGACGTTCGCAGAAAAATTCTGAATCAAAAAGTGGTTTTTCAAAAATCAAAAGTTATTGGGGGCCGATTCAAAATTTGCCCAAAAAGTGAAATTTCCAGGTTGGCTATTAATTACCAATGAACTCATTCATAATCTCTCTTTATTTGCAATAACATGTCTACATTCTGATCAAGATGCTCATTGTAAGTTTTAGGGGAGCATTTTTGGAATAGGCTGGAAAAACGTGTGGAGCAGATTAAAAAGTCTAGTGGAAATTTATCTCTGAAAATTCATAGGTTCAAAATGAACATGTGAATTTATAGCTCTTATCAGTCGATTCTTGAACTGCTCCCCCTGTTTCTAACTCTACAAATTCCCTAATTATTTCAGTAATCCATTTCACTCGTCTTTCTCTAATCGCAGTTACTTTCACAACAGTTATCAAATTAATAGTCAACTCATTTCTTCATAATAAAAACAAATATATTCAACTAATTTGTATGATCTCAATATCATTTGTTATTTTATCACATAATACAATAATTCAAGATTATGATGATTTCATCAAATCACCAACTTGTGATTCAATGAGTGAGTTTTGGCTGGGAACTTTGTATAAAAACTATAAATATTTTCAGCTACACCCAGTGTGGTTTTTTCCCAACTTTTGGTAATATTTTCATTTGGTCTATGCTCATATTTACAATGTTTATCAATGCGTGGATTACAATGTATGACTGGTGTCACTGAATGTGAACTTCAATATCAACAAAGATTTTGTGCGGGTGGTCAAAAATAAATGTTTTTGTTAACAAACATGTTTTGATATATATATATATATATTTTTCTCTTCCCCTCTCCCAAAATAATCCTTACATCTCATTAACCGCCTTCACAGTCGATTCCATTTTGTTCAAAAGATCTGCCATAATAATCACAATATTTTCCTCAATCTCATCCTGAGGCACCGCTTTTCGAGTGCTTAATATTTCCAAATCGACAAATTTTCCCGACAAAATCTCTTGTGCATATGTCTCATATCCTTTTTCTTTTGCAAGAGCGACTTTGTTTTTTCTACCACCGCCTGTGTACATTTTTGTGATTTCCGAAACTTCGCCAATATCCGAGCAAGCCTGAAAAAATGTGGAGGAATTTATAAAATCCGAAATGTATGTGTATAAAAACCTACCTTCAACATATCCTTCACATTTTGCGATTCGTAAACATTTTCAATTTTCGGAACCACCGAATTAACAGCCGAAACAACTTTCTTATTCAAATCCCGGGTTTCCTTATAAATCTCAAATGCTTTTCGAATATCATCGCATTCCATTCCATTATGAACATCTTTTCGATATCTTGCCACGTAAGCTACTTCACAACCTTCATCAAAAAGATTCGCCAATTTTTCGGCTCTCGAATCCGGAATTTTCACTTCTTCTTTGATAAACGAACCAATCGTTTTGTTCAAGACCCATTCTTCTTTTATTAATTTCTTCATTTCATTAATTGATTAATTAGTTGATAAATTAATAACAAGTTCTGCAAAAAACTAGTCAAGTTGTTTCCGAGGCGGCTAAAAATGAAAAATGACGAAAATCCAAAAAAAAATTTCTGGAAAAAAATTTGAATGATTTTTTTCGCGGGCAGCGCCGTGTCATCACGTAATCTCGTTGGAATGTAGTTCTCGCGGACAATTTTATTTTTTGTTTTTGTTTTTTTTCGTGGCGCGAGTGTATTTAAAAGCTTCCTCGCAGACACAAAGTTACCATTACTTGCTAGATTGACTAATGAATTTATGGTAACTAGTTGTTGCCTTCACATATTTCTAACCCAGAATAAAAAGTATGTTATTTTCGTTCGTTCAAAAAAATTCCCATTTATCTTCGCACTTTCACTTTTAGCAATCATGAGAGTTGCAATTTTCTGGGAAATTAACCTTGGAATAATTATGATCTATAGGTGTTTGTTCCCCGAAATCAATGGGCTGGATCAAAATATTTGTTCAAGGTGCTTCGTAGATTTTATCGAGGATTACTCAGAACTTAAATATGTGTCTACATTCAGCTGTAAAAATTGAAAATCACCAAAAATTCACCATTTTCTTATCTCTTTCGCTATTTACATACTTATATAGCTCATAAAAAACACTATTTTTTGGCAGATAAAAATCTAAATAACCTTTTTTTAGTGTGTCCCCATATATAACTATATTTTTCTTCTCGTTTTGACCAGCTAAATAACCCAAGCGTGTCTCTCTTTTCTTTCTTTCTTGCGCGCGCCATTCGACACGATTTATAGCTATTTTCATTTCATTTTGTCTCATTCACCTCTTCAATTCACCATAATCTCTCACCGATTTTTATTGCTTTTCGGTTATCTGCGTCTCTTCGGAGAGCTTGAGTATTTCGTCGTGTTTTGGGGTTGGCATCCAGATGAGGAACCGAAGAAGAAAAAAAGAGTTCAATTATTGAATGACATCGGGTTAGGCTCAACCGCCAAATTACGAACATTTTCATTTTATTTCAATTGGATTTCGTTTTTTTAGTGTTTTATTTGAATTAAAAATCGGAATTTTTTTGAATTTCAATTTAAACACCGAAAATTTCGTTTAATCAGGCTATTAAATATGAATCAGTGTATTTTTTTAATTTTTAAAAAATAAGTTTTCTCAAGTTTCTAAAATTCTAACCTTTTTTTTAAATAGTCTGTAAAGATATTTGGTTCTAGAAATTTCAGATTTCCGGTTTCAGAGTCTTCAAAACTTGAAAATGTTCTGAAAACTCTGATAGTTCCAGGAAATCTGAAATTTCAGAGCTAAGGAGATGCGGAAGCTATGCCCAAATTTTTATTGAATTTTTATGGAACCCCCAAGACTCTATTCAAAAACTCTTATCAATTTCCCCCAATTTTATGACTTTTTTCACACATTCATATGTTTCCCTTTTCCTTTTTCAAATTCTTCTCTTTCCATTTTATCTCAATTTTGACTCGAACTCCAATAAATTATGATTTGGTCTCTTTCAAATTTCCCGCCTTTTCTTTTTCGATTCACAAAATAGATAATATATACATTTATTTTGTATTCGAAAAATAGAATGCGAAATAAATAAATCAACACATTAGAAAAAGAAGCGTGGAAAAGAAAAAGAAGTAAAACAAACATTTGAATAAATATTCGACAAATTGAAAATTTATTGGGGAGAACAGGAGGAGACCGTGAAAATCCTTGTTCTTTTTGTTTTTACCATAATAAAAATATGTATAGTTTTGATGGAGCCAGCCGAAAAAATAATGTTTTTCGAGAAGAAGCAATAAATCTGAGATCATTTAAAGTGTGTCTCCTTCTTTTTTTTTGAATCTCTTCAAAATGTGCTTGTACTTTAGTTTTGAGATGGGAATTTTTGGGAAGAAAATAAAATCAAACAATTAATTTTTTAAATTTTGAAACGTGACGTGAACTTGTTCATTTCTAGAAATTCACGATCATTTTCAAAATTTCAAAAGTCCATGGTTCCAAAGCGAATTTAAAAATGTGAATAGGCCAGATTTTGAATTTTTTGATTTCAAAAGAAAAACAATTGAATATTTTTAGCTCTTGAAATTTCAGATTTCCGGTTTCAGAATCTCTAGAACTTCCAAAGGTTCTGGGAATTCTGATAGTTCCAGGAAATCTGAAATTTCAGAGCTAAGGAGATGCGAAAGCTATGCCCAAATTTTTCTTGTATTTTCTGGAGCCGTATGTTCCTTCCACCTTGTTCCAGCTGCAAAATCCATTAATTTGTGCTCGCGTGTGTTCGTGCGTCTTCTGTTCTTATTTTTTTTCTTCTCATTTTTGTTGACCCATCATAAATTCAGAACAAGGTATGAAGATAATCATAAATCAACACATTACGTCTCCTCTTCTCCTTCTTTTTCTCTTCTTCTTCCAATTTTTTCGTCTTCTCCCATTTCCCAAAAAAACCGAACCAACCCCAAAAAATGGGCGGAGTCTTGTTGTTTCTCTGGCGTCTTTTTTGTCTCTTCGTCATTTTTTTCTGTGGTCAGGGAGGAGAAATGGCGGGAAATGGCCATACTTTTTCGGAGTTTTTTTTTGAAAATGCTTTTTTTTGGTGTTGGTGACAACTTTTTTGAAATTTAAAAATTGGGATGAATTTTTTTCAAGCTTCCAGAATTTAAAAAAATTATAGAGTTGTTGGCACATCTTCATAAGCTCTACAAATTGAGTCAGCTATTATTTTTACTGACGCAAACTTTGCAGCTACATAATCTAAAGATTTTTTAGCTGACGTGTTTTCGGTAGCGCCGAAGTTTTTGAATTCAAATATTTTCCCGCCACCGATTCTTTTCGCGCCAACGCCATTTTCTCACAATTACTCATTTCGGCTTCTCCTTTATTTCATCACCCTTTTCTTACGCAATTTTCAACTTTCCCATTTTTCCAGCTCCACATGAAAATGAAAATGCGATTCAAAATTATATTCACAATATTTTTTGTCAGTCAAGTCTCATGCACAATTTTCGATCAGGTTTGTTTTGCTCTTGAAAAATGCAATTTCCGTGTCCGGAGAAGAAGAAGCAGAAGAAGAAGACCAGATGGTTTTCTCATTAATTTTTGCCGGACTCCCTCAAGATTTATTTGTTTTACAGACTGGAAAAGGGAAATGCATTCCGATCGATATTGAATTATGCAAAGATCTACCGTATAATTATACTTATAGTCAGAATCCAATTCTTCACAATGATGAACATTCGGTAAGATTTTTGGGTCAAAGAAAAATTATTTATTGATGATTTTTAGTTCTAGAAATTTCAGATTTCCGGTTTCAGAATCTCTAGAACTTTTAAAAGTTCTGAAAATTCTGAAACGTCCAGGAAATCTGAAATTTCAGAGCTACGGAGATGCGGAAGCTATGCCCGAATTTTTCTTGAATTTTTGCAACGTGGATTTTTCGGGTTGAACAATTTTACCTGAAGACTTTAATTTCCGTGAAAAATTAAAATTTAAAGGAACATGCATTTTTTAAAGCTGTGGGTCTCATAACGATTCCTTGAATTTATTGAATTATCTGTTATTGTTGCCACGTGGATTTGTGGCGCCAAAACTTTTGAATTTTCAAGTATCCAAATTCCATTAAAGTTCTGAAATTCGAAAATCACATTTCCACGTGGAATTTTCATGCTAAAAATTATGCAAAAATACGATAATTTATGTAAAACCTTTCCAAAAAAAATTGGAAAAAAATATGAAATTGGCAACAATTTTGTGTGTCAATGAAATACGAAATACGGAAAAATAGGCGAACAAATGATCGATTACCCCAATCATAATAGAGATTCGCAACAAAAAATAAGTTCATCTTGTAAAATAAAAAATGTCTTCTTCTTTTTTTGTATAGAATTTTCTTTGTATAGATATATACACACACATTTTCATTTTGTGAGTGTCGGCAAAACATCAAAGAAATCCCATTTTTCTCGCCAAATGTCTTGCCTCACTCTCCTCAACCCGATGCACACTATTCTTTTTTGCTTTGAAACACACGAAAATTTGTTGGAGAAGAGAAAAATATGTATTAGAAAATAGAAAGGACACGGTAGATAGAAGAACAATGGGGGGATTTATTTGGCGCCCCGAAATTTATGGGGGATTTTTTTGTGGCGGGAAAAGGCAGGGTAACATTTTAGTGCCACGTTGCAATTGTAGATTTGTTTTGACTTGCAGAACAGCAGTCAAACTTTCAAATTTCAAAATTTCAAAATTGTTCACTGTTTCAAAAATTCACTTTCGCCAAATATGTTAAATTTTAAAATTTGAAATTTTTACGTTTCAAAAATTTCATAACATAATTTTTTTTCGGATTTCTGAGATCACTAGACAGAAAATAATTATGTTTGATGTTGAGAGTTTCATATTTTTCACTGTTTCAAGAAATATTGAATTTCACGTGGGTTTTTGCTTAGAATTCTTCTTCAACAATATTCTCTTTATCACACGCACAAAAAGTACACAAAAACAAAATTTTTGATGGTTCCGTTTACGATATTTTCCTTCTTTCTTCATTGTACATATACATATATTGTTAACAACACTATTATTATTTTTTCTCCCAAAAAATCACGAACAAAAAATGTTCGCCCGGGGCGAACAATTCAATTTTATTCGATTTTTTTCGGGGGAAAAAACGGCGTGCCGGGTCTGTTTCTAATTTGAGGAGAGACATCTAGTACTAACAAATGAAATTTGCATTTATTTGTTTGTAACAAAATTTTTTTTTGGGGGAAAAAAGAAGAGAGAATGGGTGGTCTAATTGGATTTCGGAAGGGCAAAAAATAGGATGTTTCCGGGAGCCAACAAAAAATACTATGAAGAAAATAATGCTATGCAGAGGGATTTTAGTTTATCGAAAACTTCAGCGAAAAAAACCACGTGGCAAATTTGAAAATTAGAACATTTTGGGACCAAAAATATAAGTTTTCCAAAAATCTGAATTTTCAAAATTTTGCAGCTCCAAACTCACACCGAACACTTCAAACCGCTGATGAAAACCAAATGTCATCCCCATATTCATTTCTTCATTTGCTCGGTTTTTGCTCCAATGTGTCCCACGAGTTTTCCGCAAGCTGTTACAAGTTGTCGAAGTGTTTGCGAAGAGGTAATGTTTTGAGGGGTTCAGAGACTGTGTAGAAATCCAGAAATATTATTCTAATGGTTGGCTTTATTCAGTGAAAATTTGTTTTGTTTGAGAAAAATCATATGGGATTTGAAACAGTAGATTTTTTATTTCAAAAACTAATTTTCGGCCTCAAAAATTTCAGATTCAACATTTTATAAATTCAATTTCCCCGCAAACGTTTGTTGTAAAATCTACTGTTTCAAAATTTGTTTCAATTTTTGTTAGAAAAATTTAACTTTGGTGAAGCTCTCATATCGTCTAATTTTTTCAAACTGAAAATAGATTTTTTCAGACTTCTACCAAGTTTTTATAAAAAAAATTGAGTTTGTCTCCAATTCTTAAAAAAAAATTTCAGAAATCTACTGTTTCAAAATTTATATTAATTTTTTTTCGAAAAAATTCAACTTTGATCGAGTTGTCGGTTTTTGAGGAAAATTGTGCTAAATCAGATACGGAAGGTATTGTAGCTCAGAAATTTGATTGTTGATTTTTTGGCCTGAATTTCGAAAATTCAAAATTTTCTCCTCGAATTTCATATCTATTTACAATCCTAAAATTAATTTCCTTCTTATTTCCATCAAAAAAAGATTCCGCCAGCTGTTTATTTTCCTTTCCCCAATTTTTCCCTCTAATTATAATTGTCTCCATCGAGTTCTAATTAGGTAAATAATGTAAATAAATAAGCAGGTGTAGATCAATCAAGTTTGGACCCACAAATGAGAAAAAACAGCTGGAGCTTAGGCAACAGGTGAAAATAAGACAATGCCTAATAAATATGTTTGTTTTGTCTTAACGCGACTTTTTAGGGGGATTTGGATTGGATTTGAGAGGGAAATTTGAATTTTCGAATTTCGCGCCGAAAAATCAACTTTGAAAATTTGAATTTTTGAGCTACTGTACTTTGCGTATCTGATTTGTTATTTAATTCACAACTATATTATCAAATTAATTTTTTTTTGACAAAAAATATGAAAATTTTGAAACAGTAGATTTTTTCAACAATTGATTTTTCTGAGAAATTTCAAATTTTAGTCACAAACTTTCTGGAATTTATGAATTTTTCCCCGAAAAAAATCTGTTACAAGCCCCCCATTTTTTTCCAGGTTCGAGCTGATTGTGTCTCAATTTTGGAAGAATTCGGAATCGGATGGCCTGAGCCACTGAATTGTGCACATTTCCCAGATCTACCCGATCTTTGTATGAAACCAACAGATAATGATATAATTGGACAACAACAACAATCAAGACAACAATCAATTGGATCACAAAAACCATCTGGTTGTCCGAGTGATTTGATTGATATTGATCCGATGGATCCAAAAGGACAATGTGCATTTGGATGCACTGCAAATGTTATGTTTAATACTGAAAATAAGGTGGGGATTTTGGGAAGTTGGGATGGGTAGGGAGGGAGATTTGTGGGGATTTTTGAGAGAGCTATAAAATGAGACCAAACATTAATATTCGAATTTTTAAAGAGATTGAGAAATTTGAGTTTCGAAACTTTAGGATTGAAAAAATCTACTGTTTCAAATTTCATATGAGTTTTTTTGTTGAAAAGGGAATTTTGATGTTTTCATATAGTTTTATAAATAATATAAACTCTAAATTCAAACAAAAAAAATTCTAAGATACAGTAACTCTAGAAAACTTTGCTCTAAAAGATCTCAAAAACATGGAAGTTCCTGTTCAGATTCATAAAATGAGGAGTAAGTATTTGAAAAAACAAAATTAAGTTTTAACTCAAATTAGAAACAGTAGATTTTTTCAAGCTATATTCTGGATTTTTTGAAAATTCAGATTTCAAAAAAATCTACTGTTTCAAAATTTCTATGAGTTTTTGGTTGAGAAAAGTACTTTTGATGTACCGCCAATTCCTTTTTTTCAGCAAACAACTCGATCTTGGAGTATTTGGATCGCAGCTGCCAATTCAATAATCGCACTTTTCGCCTTCCTAACATTCAGTATCGATCGAAAACGCTTCAGATTTCCAGAAAGATGTGTATTCTATTTATCAGTTTGCATATTTCTATCAAGTCTTCCTTATTTATTCCCCCTATTTATTCAACCAGTTTTGAGATCTTGTCATCAACTTCATAATTCTCACTTGGCTCAAAATCAACAAAATCTCAATTTATATTTATCGATTGGCTCATTTGATAATCTATATTGTCTCTCGTCATTTTTGCTCAATTACTTCTTTAGCACTGCGGCTTCTTTGTGGTGGCTTATGTTTTCTTTTACACTGTAAGTTGTTTTGGATAATCTTGCTGGGAAAAATGAACAGATGGTTTTTGGATCTGTAATGGGATTAAGGGGTTTTCCACGTGGAATTTGAAAATCACGAAATTTGTGCTCAAAAATCCATGGTTTTTGCAGATATTTGAGCGGTGGACGAAAATGGGTCCCGGAGGGAATTGAAGCTTGTAGTAGTTATGTTCATTTTGTTGCCTGGGGTTTTTCATCATTGGCCACGATTGTTGTGCTTGTTTTTAATAAGGTGAGTTATTTTTGGGAAAATTCTAGAATAGTTGAAGGATTGGATCTGGAAATCTGATTTTTATAGTTTAATATTTTTGAAACAGTCAGATTTTGAGCCGAAATTTTATTCAAAAATTGAAAATTAAGAAAATTATTCCAACTGAAAATTGAATGTTTCTAGATTTTTTGATCTTAAAATCTCATTTCTTTTTTTAGATTTATGACTAAAAATTATTGTTTCCATACAAAATTGCTGTTTGAAAACTTGGAAAAGGGTTTTCACGATTTTTATGCAATAAGCTCACATCAATAAACATGAAGCTGGTTTTTCTAGCTATTGATTTTTTTAAACAGTCAAATTTTTCAAAAAAAAATTTTTTTTTTCTACGTTTGAATGAAAATTATCTAAATTAGATCAGATTGGAGAAATTTTCAAGTCATTATTCTTGATTAAAAATTTATTTTACTAGAATAAACATGAAACTGATTTTTCTTGGTAAAGATTTTTTTGAAACAGTGAATTTTTTAAAACAAAATTTCGTCTGAAAATTAGAACTTTAATCAGGCTGGAGAAATTTTAAATCAAAAATTTTTTTTTTCTTTCCAACTCTAAACCAATTAACATGAAACTGCTTTCTAAAGATTAGATTAAGATTTTTTGAAACAGTAAAATTTTTCAGGAAATTTTTTTTGAAATTTGAATGAAAATTAGATCTGAATAAAATATTTTCAAGAAAAAATTTCACTCTGAAATTTTTCTAGCAAAAAAACCCTTCATACAAATTTCAAAGTTCGAGAATTTTTGCCACTGAATATTAATTTTTGAATGTTTCAAAATTTCGCGCTGAAAACTACTGTCACGTGACAAAATTCGGATTAAAAAAAAACAAAAACTGGGAAATTTTCGGCGAGAAAACCTTTTCCTAGAAATAATACTTGTTGCAAAAAATCAACTGTTTCAAAATTTAACTATTTTTTAAAATTAAAATTTATATTTGATTAGAGTCTTGAACTTCTTCAGAACTTATTGCAGCTGAAAGTCGAATTTTTCTAGATTTTTGTTTGAAATTTTTGAAGCTAACAATAAATCTAATTTATCCAAAGATTTTATTTTTCCAAATCTGAGAGAACATTCAAATCAAAACTCCAAATCAAAATTTCAGGTCGACGCAAGTGAATTAACAGCTCTTTGCTCAGTCGGAAATCTCAACAGCCTTGCTCTTCTTTGGTTTGTAATAATTCCCCGAACAGTTTGCCTTGTTCTTGGCTCATGTTTCATCATCGGAGGTTTTGCAAGTATGTGCAGAGAGCGAATAAGTTTCCGACAAAGAGGAACTGATACATCAAAACTCGAAAAATTAATGATGAAAATGGGCTTATTCTGCGCGCTATTCATTATTCCAAGTGTTGTCGAAATTGTTTGTCAAAGTTATAATTTCCTGATTTTATCCCAATGGATTCGTGCTACAATTGATTGCAAACTTCAAACTGGCGCGTGTCATCGACCACTTCCACCGCAAGCTGAAATTTATATGATTGCGATTTGGGCGAGTTTATCCACTGGATTATCATGTATGATTTGGGTGTTTTCCGCGAAAACAATCGGATCTTGGAAGAATTTCATATTTTGTGGAATGTGTTCACCGGCACCGAGTAAAAGTGAACCATCAAGTCGTCCACTTTTGGAGCCACCAACTGCTCCGCCACCACAACCACCAGTTTATATGCAAATGACAACTAATCCATCGCAAAATTCTTGGAGACCTAGTAAAGTTGTATAGGGAATTTTGGAGGGGAACATTTGGCTGAAAATTTTGGAGCTCAGAAATTGATTAATACAATTTGATACAGTAGATTTTTTTAAATTCTTATTTTGCAGAAAAATTGTTTTTTTCTCAAAACTTTTTGCTAAAAATCACTTCCACGTGGCATTTTTTGTTTTCAAATTGGAAAATTTTGCCTCCAAAAATTGTTACGTGGGATCAATTTTAAGCTCGAAATTTGAAATAAATCCCCGAAATCTAGAAAAGCATTTTTGCAAAAATCCACTGTTTCAAAATTTACATTATTACTTTTAAAATAATGTTTTTTGTTTCGAGAAATTTTTTGCACATTTATATAATTTTTTTTCTGAAAAATTCAACTTTGATGTGGAACCCAAACTAAAATATCATTTCTTGAAAAAATCTACTGTTTCGAAATTTACATAATATTTTTTTCGAAAATTACAACTTTGATAATGTGCTCCACTTATGTTTAAATATTGATTGAACTTTTCAAAACTGAAACTTGAATTTTTCCAAGCTCACACGATTTTCAGCCAATTCCCCAAAAATGCTCCCTTGTAAAAACATTATTTTTTTGTTGTTGTAATTTTTATGCGTTTCCATGTCTCTTTAATCGTTCAACGGGTTTTTCTTTCTTTATTTTTTTGCCAAATTGAAATAACTGACTGTATTTGTCAAATAAAAAATATAATTTTCAAAAAATCTTCATTAATTATCCGCCCAAATTATTCAAGTAATCATCAAAATCCTCCTTATTTCCAGTTTTTTCGCCAGCTATCACAAATGGCGAAATTTCTTGCACTTGACTCAATGTTTTTTGCTGTTTCTGGTGTGGTTTTCCCTCGATTTTCGCCGGTTCAACACGAGCTGGAAATTTGACGGAATCCGGTTGAGTTTGTTCAACGAGTAGTGGATTTGGATGCGATGTTGGAGTTGTTGCAACTACGACTGGTCCTTCTGGAGACGGATTTTGAGTTGGTGTAACTGCTCCGGATGCTGCTGGTTTTTCAGCTAATTTAGCCTGGAAAAATTTGGTGGATTTTAGGGGATAGAAAAGTTTTGCTGCAATTTTTCTCTTATAAAAAGCGAAATCACTGAAAATTTGGCGTCACATCAAGTGTTTTGATGTGTGCAAACACCGCTTCGTTTTTTTAAAAACCTTTCTCTGACTTTGAGAAAAAATCACAAAAAAAGTATAACAGTTCGAAACCTGGAGATTCAATATTGGCACAAAAATAGAAAATTAATATTGACTTTTACAACGACACTCCGCTTGCCCGCTGTTTAGCGCAACACGATAATATTTTCATTTTTCGTTTTTTTTCGCTGGGTTTTCAGGTTTCCGGGGAAAATCAGTTGATTTCAGTCAAAAATTGAATTTTTAGATGTTATACAAGGCTGGAATTGTCGCTATCAACGGAAAATCCGAGGATTATCGAAGAAAGATGGGTTTTTTCTAGAGAAACACTGTTTCGATTGAAATTTTTAAGTTTTCAGGGTCAAATATGAGTTTAAATGTGAGGAGAATGATTATTGGTTGAAATTGGAGCGACATTCGATTTAGAAATATTTTTTTGTGATTTAAGAAATAGAAGCGGTGAGTTTTTTGGGGAGGGATTTCGGAAAAATTGAAAAAATCGATAAAAAATTCCAAAAATTGAAAAAAGTTAGGCTAACTAACAGCGATTTTTTTAAATTTTAAAAATTTTCACCCTTCGAAGCGAAATTCCAAAATGTTCTCTTTTTTTTTTTTTGAAAAAAAATCCACTGTTTCAGAATTAACATGTTTTTTTTCTATGTAGGAAAAAATAATTTAGATACTTGCCTTTTTTTGTACAAAAAAACGATCTTTAGTTTCTGACTAGATATTTGAGAACCTGAATTTCTTTCCGAAATTGGAAAAGACTACTGAATTTGAAATTTGGTGGAGTCAAAATTCATTTTCATCTTCAGCTTGAATTTTGAAACAGCAAAAAATGTTTTTTTCAAATGTTTAGCCCAAGTTTCACCAACCTTTTTGGAATCTTTCCGTTTTTGTGCAGGTCTTGATGAACTTGCCGATGATGCATTCGATTTTTCCTCTTTTTCATTCGCAACTTTTCCTTTTCCACAAATTGTCCAAATATTATTGATGAGAAATATGTTTAAAATGAGAAATGAATATTGTAACACAAAACAAATGATCCTTTTTTCACTGTAAACAAAAATTCAAATTTTTCACTTTTTGCTCCTGCCACGTGGAAAAATCGTGGTTTTCTTTAGATTTCGAGAAAATAAAAAGTACAAAGGTATTTGTACATAATATAGAAATCTCTTGGGAATCCATCGACATGTTCTTTTTTCCCCTCGTTTTTCGTTTTCCCCCGCAATTTTTTCTGGAAAAAAAACTAAAACTCACATCATCATTTATAAAATCTTTAATATCGAGAAATGAATCGTTTAGCCTTGATTTTTCACGTTATCGATTTTTTTGGGTCACGTTTTATTAGCTCGTTTTTCAAGCGCCGCCTCTTTTATATGCAAATTTTTTCCCTTTGAAATATTAGCGTCGCGTGGGCAAGTGGTAAACACGGATGCACACAGCGAAATTCTGGTATATGTGCGGCAGGTGTGCGGCAGGTATCCCGAGGTTGGCATGACTTCCGCAGGAGTGCGGCAGAAGTTATGGAATTTTGGCAGATCTGCCGCAGGTCTGCCAAGAATTTTTTCTCTTTTTTGTATTATAATGAAAAGAATGCCTATAGGTTGAGAGTATGGTGGCATTTTAATTGATTATTTGTATAAAATATATACACAAGTTCACCTAATATGGAGAAAAAATTATGGCTCGTACGATTTTTCAAATGAAACATGCAATTTTCATTAGAATTCGCAAAATTACCTCACTACATAGTTTCGGATTATTTCCAACTTCGACACAAGTCGACACAATGAAGAGAATATTTGAATTTTTTAGTTTTGAAATTAATCAGAAGACAGGACGATAAAATAATTGCAACGTTTTTCCAAAAAAATATCTAGATCTTCGAAGGGCTCTTATATTGGCCTAATATGGTTCTTAATTTTTTGAAAACTCCAAGACAATTTTCTAATAGTCTTAAAATGGCCCGGGAACTCACTGAATTTTTTTTTAAGCCTGGGGAAAATTTCTAAAGGCCTTAGAGTGGCCCGGGAACTCACTGAATTTTTTTTGAGATTGTGGAAAATTTCTAAAGGCCTCAAAGTGGCCCGGGAACTCAGTTAATTTTTTTTGAGATCGTGAAAAATTTCTAAAGGCCTTAGAGTGGCCCGGGAACTCACTGAATTTTTTTAAGCCTGGGGAAAATTTCTAAAGGCCTTAGAGTGGCCCGGGAACTCACTGAATTTTTTTTGAGATCGTGAAAAATTTCTAAAGGCCTTAGAGTGGCCCGGGAACTCACTGAATTTTTTTAAGCCTGGGGAAAATTTCTAAAGGCCTTAGAGTGGCCCGGGAACTCACTGAATTTTTTTAAGCCTGGGGAAAATTTCTAAAGGCCTTAGAGTGGCCCGGGAACTCAGTTAATTTTTTTTGAGATCGTGAAAAATTTCTAAAGGCCTTAGAGTGGCCCCGGAACTCACTGAATTTTTTTTAGACAATTTTCTAATAGTCTTAAAATGGCCCGGGAACTCACTGAATTTTTTTAAGCCTGGGGAAAATTTCTAAAGGCCTCAAAGTGGCCCGGGAACTCACTGAATTTTTTTGAGATCGTGAAAAATTTCTAAAGGCCTTAGAGTGGCCCGGGAACTCACTGAATTTTTTTAAGCCTGGGGAAAATTTCTAAAGGCCTTAGAGTGGCCCGGGAACTCACTGAATTTTTTTTAAGCCTGGGGAAAATTTCTAAAGGCCTTAGAGTGGCCCGGGAACTCAGTTAATTTTTTTTGAGATCGTGAAAAATTTCTAAAGGCCTTAGAGTGGCCCCGGAACTCACTGAATTTTTTTTTAGACAATTTTCTAATAGTCTTAAAATGGCCCGGGAACTCACTGAATTTTTTTAAGCCTGGGGAAAATTTCTAAAGGCCTCAAAGTGGCCCGGGAACTCACTGAATTTTTTTTGAGATCGTGAAAAATTTCTAAAGGCCTTAGAGTGGCCCGGGAACTCACTGAATTTTTTTTGAGATCGTGAAAAATTTCTAAAGGCCTTAGAGTGGCCCAGGAACTCACTGAATTTTTTTAAGCCTGGGGAAAATTTCTAAAGGCCTTAGAGTGGCCCGGGAACTCACTGAATTTTTTAAGCCTGGGGAAAATTTCTAAAGGCCTTAGAGTGGCCCGGGAACTCAGTTAATTTTTTTGAGATCGTGAAAAATTTCTAAAGGCCTTAGAGTGGCCCCGGAACTCACTGAATTTTTTTTTAGACAATTTTCTAATAGTCTTAAAATGGCCCGGGAACTCACTGAATTTTTTTAAGCCTGGGGAAAATTTCTAAAGGCCTTAGAGTGGCCCGGGAACTCAGTTAATTTTTTTTGAGATCGTGAAAAATTTCTAAAGGCCTTAGAGTGGCCCGGGAACTCACTGAATTTTTTTAAGCCTGGGGAAAATTTCTAAAGGCCTTAGAGTGGCCCGGGAACTCACTGAATTTTTTTTGAGATCGTGGAAAATTTCTAAAGGCCTCAAAGTGGCCCGGGAACTCACTGAATTTTTTTTTAAGCCTGGGGAAAATTTCTAAAGGCCTTAGAGTGGCCCGGGAACTCAGTTAATTTTTTTGAGATCGTGAAAAATTTCTAAAGGCCTTAGAGTGGCCCCGGAACTCACTGAATTTTTTTTTTAAAAAGAGGTCAAATAAATTCTATTTCGTATTGAAATTCCTCTTTTTTGAATGCAATAAATTGCAAAAAAAATTGGAATTAATCGACAAAAACGTGAAAAAATCGCACAAAAAAACTCGCTATTTGTGTCAATTAATCGTCAAAAAATAAAATTGACTCACCCCATAATAGTAATAAAATGGCCCGAGAAGTCACTAAATTTTTTTATTAACAGTTCTAATTTTGCAAAAAAGGTTCTTCACAGTGTAAATTTTTGCTTGAAAAATCTGTGCTGTGTTAAATTTTGAATATTTTGATATTTTTCAGCAAAAATCTGCTGAAAATCGAAGTACTTTTTTCGTGATAAATACTCTATCTTAGAAATTTGCAAAATAAGAATCAGAATAGTTTTCTCATGATTTCGGCTTCAGAAAAGTCCATTCAGATGTAATAAACAATTTTTGGAGTAAATGGAGTCGTCAATACTTCTTGCAACCAAATTCTTGTATTTTGCGAGCCTAGCAATATTATTTTTAGGGGTCAATTCATAACCATTTTGTTCAGAACGAGATTTTGCGTCGCATAGTTAAGATAACTTTTTGCGAAAACTAACGTGTTCTGTTCACGTAAATAAAACCGAAACAAAGGCGCACACAATAATTCAGAAAGGTCCCACACGGAAACGCGCTTGTGTGTACTTCTCCCGGACAATTTACAAAATTTTTTTCTTTTTTTTTTGCTTTCTGCTGTTGTTTTGTTTTTATGTGTTTATTAATGAAAATGTAGAGGTAAATTACGAAATGTTAGATTTCTAATCAGCCTTTCAAGTTAGTTTAACAATATTAGGTCTATAAAATTTCATAGAGCTCATCAGATAACCGACTAATTCGATTTATTCATCTGAACTTGATAATTGACAAGAGGACGGAATTGCTGTCATGCTTGTCCTACCCGATGTTGTTTAACGACAGTTTAATGAGTTCATTGAACTTGAATCACCCTCAAAAATCTATAATTTGATGCCGGACACCAGAGAAAAAGTAGAAAAACTGAAAAAGCGCAGAAATGAGCAAAATAGAAAAACAGGCATTTGATAGGACAATTAGGACAGCAATTCCCTTTCTTGAGGTAACCTGTAAATCAGTTGAAAGCTTGTTCGGACTCTTAAATTCTATTACAATAAATATATGCCTAACTCTAAAGCAAGTCTGCCTAACCTTTGAAATGGTTCCGATTTTCCTCCGCCGAGAGAACTTTTATCGTTCTTTGGTGAGAAATGGTACTTATGAAAATAGATTTGAGTTACCTATTCAGTGTCGAAATTTGTTGTAAGTAGACTTTTGGAGCCACTCTTCAGCTAAATTATTGTCCTTTAGAATGAATATAGTTACAAATAACTTCGAGGTCAGAAATAATGAACTTTCTTTCATATTTTCATTTATTTTCTATGCAAATTGTTCTTCGCTTAGTGTTCTGTCAATATATTCTTTCAGAAGTTACAATCAACAATCTCAAGATTCGCGGAAAGCCGGAAAAATCATGGTACGTCGTTTTTCGTGATTTTAAAATTTGAGAAATTTTGAATCCTCTATCCGTAAAGTTTGGTTATTCACTTAAAATCTCAGAATATTTTTACATTTCTGGCGTCTATTTTTGCTCACCAGTGTTTTAGGTGTCCCGGGAGATTTTCAAATTGAACATAACAAACCCCAGCCAATCCTTTTTAGGCTAGGATACTGAAAAAAAAATGAACTTTCAGTTTCTGAAAGGGTAAAACTGAAAAATTGACGTTTTTTTTCTGAAAGCTTTCAATTTTCAATTTTTGAAACCACGAATTCTCTCAATCTTCAGATTTTTGGACTCTTGTTTTTCATCTCGTCTGAGGATTGAAAAATAACATGGTTTCCAAAATTGAAAATTGAAAGGTAAGTTTTTTTCAGTATGAAAAAATGTAAATTTTTCAGTTTTACGCTCTGAAATTCGGAAATTCAATTTTTTTCACATTACCTAGTTTTTTTCTATTGAATTTTCCGATGTTTATTGAAAAGAAATAGTAACTGATACACTTGTTTTTTAAAACATATTGCAAGACTACTGAAATTTTCAATTAAATCATTCACTGTGCTCATTTTATGAAATTTTTCTTGAAAAATGAACGACAACAAAAAGAAAAATCAGAAAAATTCAGCGTTGTCGTCCATTTTTCAAGAAAAATTTCATAAAATGAGCACAGTGAATGATTTAATTGAAAGTTTCAGTAGCCCCGATCTCAAAAAAAAAAATTCAGTGAGTTCCCGGGCCACTCTAAGGCCTTTAGACAATTTCCCTAGGCTTAAAAAAAATTCAGTGAGTTCCCGGGCCACTTTGAGGCCTTTAGAAATTTTCCCCAGGCTTAAAAAAAATTCAGTAAGTTCCCGGGCCTCTCTAAGGCCTTTAGAAATTTTCCCCAGGCTTAAAAAAATTCAGTAAGTTCCCGGGCCTCTCTAAGGCCTTTAGAAATTTTCCACAATCTCGAAAAAAATTCAGTGAGTTCCCGGGCCACTTTGAGGCCTTTAGAAATTTTCCCCAGGCTTAAAAAAATTCAGTAAGTTCCCGGGCCTCTCTAAGGCCTTTAGAAATTTTCCCCAGGCTTAAAAAAAATTCAGTAAGTTCCCGGGCCTCTCTAAGGCCTTTAGAAATTTTCCCCAGGCTTAAAAAAAATTCAGTAAGTTCCCGGGCCTCTCTAAGGCCTTTAGAAATTTTCCACAATCTCGAAAAAAAATTCAGTGAGTTCCCGGGCCACTTTGAGGCCTTTAGAAATTTTCCCCAGGCTTAAAAAAAAAATTCAGTAAGTTCCCGGGCCTCTCTAAGGCCTTTAGAAATTTTCCACAATCTCGAAAAAAATTCAGTAAGTTCCCGGGCCTCTCTAAGGCCTTTAGAAATTTTCCACAATCTCGAAAAAAAATTCAGTGAGTTCCCGGGCCTCTCTAAGGCCTTTAGAAATTTTCCCCAGGCTTAAAAAAAATTCAGTAAGTTCCCGGGCCTCTCTAAGGCCTTTAGAAATTTTCCACAATCTCGAAAAAAAATTCAGTGAGTTCCCGGGCCACTTTGAGGCCTTTAGAAATTTTCCCCAGGCTTAAAAAAAATTCAGTAAGTTCCCGGGCCTCTCTAAGGCCTTTAGAAATTTTCCCCAGGCTTAAAAAAAATTCAGTAAGTTCCCGGGCCTCTCTAAGGCCTTTAGAAATTTTCCACAATCTCGAAAAAAAATTCAGTGAGTTCCCGGGCCACTTTGAGGCCTTTAGAAATTTTCCCCAGGCTTAAAAAAATTCAGTAAGTTCCCGGGCCTCTCTAAGGCCTTTAGAAATTTTCCCCAGGCTTAAAAAAATTCAGTAAGTTCCCGGGCCTCTCTAAGGCCTTTAGAAATTTTCCACAATCTCGAAAAAAAATTCAGTGAGTTCCCGGGCCACTTTGAGGCCTTTAGAAATTTTCCACGATCTCAAAAAAAATTAACTGAGTTCCCGGGCCACTCTAAGGCCTTTAGAAGTTTTCCACAATCTCGAAAAAAATTCAGTGAGTTCCCGGGCCACTCTAAGGCCTTTAGAAATTTTCCCCAGGCTTAAAAAAAATTCAGTGAGTTCCCGGGCCACTCTAAGGCCTTTAGAAATTTTCCCGAGCTATGTCTGCTAAAAATTGAAATAAAGATGTAAATCATTAAAAATAATTTCAGATTTCCATAACCTTCCGCCCATTTCTTCTCATTCTTCATCTTTTTTTTTAGGTCAGTTTACTTATGTATTTTTCCGTAATTACAAAAACCGTAGTTTTTTCATCAACTTTTTTACAGAAACTTCACACAGGATTCAGCAATCTTGGCGAATTCGAGGAGGATATCAATTGCAGGTAATTTTTTGAAAATTTTCGCGCAAAAACTTTAATTTTCGAATTTTGAATTTTGAAAGCACAGAAGTCTTGAATGTTCAACAAAAAATGACCTAAAAATCAAAAATCAGGTTTGATTTTTCAAGATTTCCTGATTTTTGGCCCCAAACTTTTCGAATTTTCTTTTACATCAGCCTCACCCATCACCCATTATCTCGGAAAAATAACAACCCGTTATTTTTTTTAACATTTGGAAATTCAAATTTTTGTTTGGGATAATCGTAGTTTTTTCGCCACAAATTAAAAAAAATTCGAGCTTTTACAATTTTGCCATATCGAAAATCAGATCTAAGACCTGGTCTTTATGACCATCTAGAAGTTCACCCGCGCTTCAGAAAAATTCAGAGACTTCTCAAGCTATTATAAGACCATTTGGAAATTTGCCCCAGGTTTCAAAAAAAAATTCTGCTGCTCAAAAAGCCAAAATTAATGTCACTCTATTTTTGTTTTCAGAGAAACGACTTCACCTATCAAACAATAATCAGTCACCCGCATAACCATACCCGTGGATCTTCTAATTATTACATTTTTATATGTTTAATAAATATTGTTAGTGAAATCAAGATTGTTTAACTAATTGCGATGAAAAATACTAAGCAAAGCGGAAAATTTGATTGAAAGCTGCGACATGCCTGCCGCACTTCTGCCGGCAGGTCCTGCCGGCATGTACCTCACAGTACTACCGCAGATTCGACCTCGGCAGGAGTTCGGCAGGACTGCAGCAGATATGCCAGAATTTCGCTGTGCAAACCGTTTGCACAACCCGAGTTCGATCCCCTTACCCTGCTCTTTTTTTTCAAAAAGCAAAAAAAAACCTTTTCATATCTAATCGATAGGGAAAAAACTCATCAAAACAATTAGAGCAATTAGCGGAAAAGGCAAAAGGCAGCTTTAGGAGCAGCAGAGAAAAAACCAGAGAATGAGATTTTTTTTTGAGAATATGCGTAGGTTTTTGTATGATGAAATGAAATGATGGAGGGAAGGAAAACGAGCGAATTTATGAGATTTTTCCTTTTTTCGTCAGTTTTTGGGAAGGGCTCATGATTTTTTCTGGTTTTTCATAATTTAATCTAAAGCTTGCGCGAATTCAGCAAAGTTATCCTAATTTTCTAGATTTTTTGAAGCACTTAGGGTAACTACGGTTAATTTTGCGGTTTTTTGAAGCTCCATTTGTCTAGGAAAATTTTAAGCTAGAAAATTTAATCTTCCCAAATTTTGTGAATTTTTATTCTCCAAAAAATTCACTGTTTCAAAATCCTATGTAATTTTTTTATTTGAATTTTGAAATAGTTCAACACTCAATCATCGTTTCCTGAAAATTTTTTGAAAAAAATTCTTGTTAGAAAAAATTCACTGTTTCAAAAAATTTATTTTTCTAGATTTGTTTTTGAAAATTATTAATCACTCTTTTTCTGCTGAAAATCTCGAATGAAAATTTCAATAACTTCCTCAATTATCTCAAAAAATCAAGAAATCTAAAAATAAGTTGTCATAAGCTATACAAAATGCGCAAGTACAACTCACATCAGAAATTCACTGAAAGTGCAATAATATTTTTTCAATTTTTTTGTTCACTTCACTCAATTAATTAGATATAAGTGTTCTTCGATCTTATGTCATTTTTTCGTGTCTAAAAATTTAATAGCGTCTATTTTTCGAAACTGTGATCAAATTTTCTAGATTATTTTGCCGATGAAAATATTTATTCTTATTTTTGAAACAGTGATTTTTTTTTGCAAAATTAAATTTTTTATTGAAAATATGGAGAACTCAATTTATCGAATTTTCAAAATTTTTAGTTTTAGTGACAAGTGGATTCTGGATTCCAACTGTTTACCAATTTCAAAATTCTTTGAAACAGTAAATTTTTTCATTAGGCTTCGGAAACATACTAGATAGTTTTTGCAATGTAAATTTTTAATTAGATTTTTGAAACAGTGATTTTTTTTTTGAAAATAGGGTAAACTGAATTTTTTTGAATCGGAATTTTTTGACTTGTGGATTCTGGGTAAACATTTTGAAATTCCATTTATCAAGGTATAGATCGAAAAATAGTTTCAAAACGTCTCTAGACTCAAATTTTCTGCTGAAAATGCTGGAAGTACTTTTAATTTCAGTAAATCGATTGTTTTTCAGCACTCAATTCCAGCATAGAATAGAGTACTTTGAGGTTCTAAACCTGTTTAGAAAAAAGTTCCAAAAGTGTGTAGACCAGCCAAAAATTGTTGTTCAGGCCCAAAAATCATGCTGAAACTTGTGGAATTATAGGAAAGGTTTTTGTGATTTCCAGCACAAAATTCAGTTTCTGGCGAGCATGTGAACTTTTTTGAGATTCGGAGTTTTGTGCCATTTTTTTCTGTGTCTGAGAATTGTAAAAGTCTAAAAAATAAGATATGATAAGTTAGTCAGTTGTTGTTTCTTCTTTTCTAAAAAGTTTTACTCCTCAAATATCATCATCATCTTTTTCTTCTTCTTCGTTTCTACGCAGGTGTCAAAAACTTTGGGAGTTTCTCCTCGAAATCATATCGATTTTACTTTGTCTTCTTTGTTTTTGTGAACAGCTGCAGAGCGAAGAAAGAAAGAAAAAAGAGAAAGAATAAAAATATTCCCGGTTTTGATTTATATATTTCTAGGAGCCGCTACTTAATTTCAAATTGACATGTGGTTTGTTTTTTTTTGGGACAACACAAAAAAATATTGTTTATTTTATTTATGCGAGCCTTCAGGATGCCTTAAAGGTTTTAAGGGACTTCAGGGGTCTTCTGGTGGCATTCGGGAACCCCCAGGAAGTTTTTGGAATTCTTAGAAGCCTTCAGAAACCCTGAGAAAACTGTAGAAGTCTTCGGGAGCTTATTTGTCAGGTAAAAAATTTGAATTCAACGAATTCCCGCGATCTTTGGTCTCGCAACGAACTTTGTGTATTTCTCTTGGACCTTTGAGAGAAATCTGATGTGAACTTCGAACTTCAAGGGTGTTTTGAGACCAATTTAGGTCACGCTTTTTTTTATGTAATACTGGCATATTTTTCGAGCTAAGAAAAACTAGTTTGAGCTCCGCCCACTTTTATGCAATCCTGGCACATTTTTTTGTTAAGATTTATTGACTGTAATTCTCGAAAATTCAGATTTATTTTTCAATTTTCCCGGGCTTGAAAAACATTCTGGTTTTTTTTTTCAAATTTATGTCTCTAATTTTGGGTCTCCATAAATCTTCTGTGTTTTCCAATTTCGCCCGCTCGAAATCATTTTCCGGAACAATGCCCTTTTCGAATAATCTTCCAGCTCGGAAATTTTTGTTTTCTCATTCTATTTTAGATTTTTGAATTATTAACAAATAAGAAATTAGCAATTCAAATTTGTATAAAAAAGTTAGCCGAACTAGAAAAATAAAGTTTTCAACTCAAAAAAAAAACATGTGTGTTATTATCTCTTTTCTCCCACTCTTCTAAATCCATTCATTTTCTTTTTATTTTTAAACATTCTTTGATTGATTAATGAGGCAAATTCGAAAAATGAACATGTTTTTCAAGGTATTTTGAACTTTCAACTGAATTTGTTCGGGATGAAAGATTTTTAAATCAAAATTCAATTTTTTTGTTGCAGAGAATGCAAAAAATATGGGAATGGATAGTGGATAAGAAAACAAATACAATCAGAAAATGGCGATCGAATTTGATAAGAAGGAGTGAAACGGAACCAGATGATTTGAGTGGTATGTGATTTTTGGGACATTTTCCGGGGTCCCCGGGATCCCAAAAATTGATTGTTCAATGGAGCAACTTTTCTTCAGCTGATTGAAAATTGGAAAACGGAAAAATACTCATAGAAAATTTGAAACAGTAGATTTTTTTTTCTGAAAAAAAATTCTGCAAATTTTTTTTATAAAAATCTACTGTTTCAAAGTTTATGTATATCTTTGCAAAAAATAAACTGTATTAATTTGATTCAATTTCATCTCGTAGTAGTTTGGATTTTTTCTATGCTGAAAAGAAATGTGAAACTTTTCTCAACTTGAATTTTTTTTAGAAATTCAAAACTTGTGTTTGATAATTCATTTTCTACAAATCCAAAAAAAATCCACTGTTTCAAATTTTATACATTTATTTCAGCACAAGATTTGAAATTTAAACATCTCTTTTGTTGAAAAATGTTTTCTGAGCAAAATGGGTCTCAAAAATCGCGGATTTTTTGAACCTAGAATCGTTCTAAACTAAAATGTCATGCTGAAAACAATCATAAACACCTCAAATTCAATTTCAGCACTTCGAAATGGCAAACGAAAATCGTATTCAACAGGCAGTATCGTTTCCTCAACAAGCACCTCAAAAAAACTGTCAGATTTCGAGAATTTTTTTGAAGAACCTCAAGTCAAAGATTTATTGGATTCTCGTCGCGAATCATTTCTTCGACACTCGAATTCAGCCGAAATATTTCCAGTTGCTCCGCCCGATATTGAAGCAAAACTCGAAAAGTTTGTTGTTTACAAGAATTTTGAGAAAAAAACGAGAGACTTGTTTTTGTCACTTAATTGTTCTATTTTTTCGTTTTTCGTTGAGAAAAAAGTCTTGAGGTGATAAGAGCTTTCGGCGTTTTTATTTGATCTTGTTAGTCGTTTTTGCTCAAGTGAGTGAGAAATTCTGGGATACTGTAGATTTTTAGCTGGGAAAACTTCTCTGGCAATTTTTTTTTATCTCAAACTATTGTTTAAAGCTCAAATTTTGTGCTGAAAAATCTGGAAACACTTAAAATTTAAAAAAAATCAAGTTTTCTGTGATTTCCAGCACAAAATTTGGGTCTAAAACAAGAATTTCGAGCTCCTGGACTTTTTTCCAGCAGATCTACAGAATTGGGGAATTTTTATCTAGAAAGTTCATGATGCTCAAAATGATGTAACTGATTGAAATTTCGTGCTGAAGCCTGTAGAAATACTTAAAATCGCTTAATCTCGAGGCTTTAGTGATTTTCAGAAAAATTTTGGGTATGAAACAAGAAGTTGAAGCTTCTTGAACATTTTTCAGTTGATCTACAAAATTTTGAAATTTTTTTCAAGGTAGTTTCAAAAGCTCTAAATAATATTCAAGACTCAAAAGTTGTGCTGAAAATCATGGAAAACTCAATTTCCAGAATTTCTGAGTATTTCCAGATTTTTCAGCACAAAATTTGAGTCCGAACAAGATTCTTCTCCAGCCTTTGGCACTTTTTAAGAAATTCGAAATTTTTGTTGAAAAATTTATGAGCAAAAATCACAAGTCCGGAAACGTTTTCTAATTTTATCCAATGTTTCTTTGGCTTCCTGAAATTAATGAAATCCTATTAATTTTTGCTTCCCATAGAAATTATCATCACTTTATTTATCACTTCCCTCCCCAAAAAAAACTCTAAAGTTTAATCTCACTAATAGGATTATCAACGTTTTTTCCCTTTAAAAAATAATTTTTTTTATCTTCATCTTCTTCTTCAGAGAAAATGTTTATTTTTGTCAGAAAATCTCCTCGTGCAACTCCTCGAACTTCACGAAAACAACTTCGATTTGATATTCCGGAGGTTTGTTGGGAAAATAGAGAAAAAGGAAAAAAAATAGGGGAAGGGATTAACTTTCTCACTTTTTTTGAGACCCAAATTTTTCATTTTGGGAATTTTTGTGAGAAAGTTTATGGGAAAATCTCAAATTTTGTGCTGAAAAAGCTGTAAATAATTCGAATTTCGGATTTTCAGCATAAAATTTCACAAGGTATCTTCCGATAATAATAATAAAAAATATATCGAAAAATATTCATGTAAAATTTGAAACAGTAGGTTTTATTCACAATAATGTTTTCCAACAAATTTGGTTCCAAAACTTTTCGAGACTCAAATTTTGTGCTGAAAATCATAGAAAATCTTAATTTTTCCAATTTTCCAGGTTCAAATCTCATTTGAAACCAACGAACCGCGTCGTGTCACATTCGAAGGTGTTTCTTCAATAGTTCCAGAACCAGAAATCGATTGGACTTCAAGTTTGCCAAAAATGGAAACTGTGCCAGAAATTGAGCCTGTAAGATTCTTTCAAAAAATGATTTATTATTTTTATATATGTGAAAAATAATCGTTGAGCAAGTGAATTCTTGAGCATTTTTCGAGCCAACACGCGACTTTTTCACTCTGATTTTTGAATAATTTATTCATCTCGTTCTTTTTTTGATTCGAAAATAACATCATCGTCACGTATTCCGAAATTATTTATATTCCAAGAAAAAATTCAGTTTTTTTGTAGGTTTTATGTTTTGACGACGAAGTGACAATGTCATCGAGAAGAATGTCAGCGAGTGAAAAAGCACGGCAAAATGTGATGGCACAGAGAAGACAGAGTAATGTTCAGGTTAGTTTTTTTGTAGTTCAAATTTTGTGCTGAAAAAAAGCTGGAAATTAGAATTTCAGAAAATCAAGTTTTTCGTTGTTTTCAGCATAAATTTTTAGTCTAGAACAATTTTTCAGCTTCTGAAAGTTTCTAAAAAAAATTCCGAAATTTTCTAGATCAGCTGAAAAAAATTCAAGAAGCTCGAAATTTTGCGCTGAAACTCACAGAGTTACTGAAAATTGTCCAAAGTTCAAGCTTAATTAACAAATTTTGTGGGAAATCACATAGAATTTGAAACAGTAGATTTTTCAATTTTTTTTCAAATAACACCCAAAAAACTGTTTGTGAATAAAATTACTGTTTCAAATTTCACATTAGTATTTTTCGAAATAACAGCAGCTTTGTTAATAATGTCGGATAAGCTCCAGGAAAATCTGGTTTTCTTTGATTTTCAGCACAAAATTTCAGTCTCAAACAATATTTAGAGCTTCTAAAACTTTCTAGAAAAAAAATTCCAAAATTTTGTAGATCAGCTGAAAAATGTTCCAGCAGCATGAATTGGTCCCATTTTCCAATAAAAAACCTCACTTCTTTCAGCTTGTACATACAATGAGTGGTCGAACCACTTCAACAACTCTAATTCCGCTAACTTGCGCTCAAATTCATTTGGTTCGCGCACTTTGGCGACAAGTTTACACAATAAAAGGGCCAACAGTTATTGGTTGCAGTATTTATCATCGATTGTGCTTCAAAAATTTGACTGTAAGTTTTCAGGGGGCTGAAGAAGCCTTAGGGAGGCTTTAGGAGACTTTAGGGTCTCTACACGACCCATAACACATATCAAAATAGTCCAATTTTTTCAGGTAAAAGAGCAAATGAAAACCGTCGAGCTCCCACCCAAATTCACAAATCGTGATAATTTCATCAAGGCTCATTGCAAAGCGATGGCCGAATTAATTGATCAAGTTATTGAAAATCTCGACAATTTGGATAATGTGACAGAGGAATTAATGAGAATTGGAAGAGTTCATGCACGATTGTTACAAGGAGAATTGAATGGAAAATTGTGGAATACGGTGGCTGAAACTATTATTGATTGCACGCTGGAATGGGGTGATAGAAGGTTGGTTTTGGTTGATTTGAAGTAGAAAGTTTCAGAAATACAGAAAATCGAGATTTTTGTGATTTTCAGCACCAAATTTTCAGTCTAGGAAAGTTTTGGAACGTGATTTGAAATTAAAAAACTTCAAAATACTTTGCTCTGGTTGATAAAAACAAATGTACTCATTTTTAACTAACACCAAAAACATTTCAATTTTTATTGAGAAATATTTCGCAATTTCAGATTTCCGATCACAAATATTTCACATGTTTTTTGTTGTTTTTTTTCAGATGTCGAAGTGAAACAGTCAGAAAAGCGTGGGCTCTAATCGTAGCTTTTATGATCGAAAAAATCAAAGGTGGACATCACGAACAGCGCAAATTAATGTTGGCATCTCGCCAATCTCTTCCCTCAATATCAATCCCGACCACATTTTCTCGAACTCATTCCTAAACTTTTTATTCAAATTCTTCATTTTTTTGTTCATTTTATTTTCTTTTATTTTTTTGCGTGTCTAGTCTTCAAACTTTTAGCTTTTTTCTTGATTTTCTTGAAACAGTGTATTTAAAAATGTTTATGATCTCAACCAATTTGACAAATTTTCCGTAACTCTTTTAATAAACTTCTTTTTATATGAAGCCAAATTTTGTTTTTTTTTTTTGAAGATTTTTTGAGACCAGGCCTAGACCTAACTAGGCTTTCAGGTTCCCGAAAAAAATAAAAAAAATTTTTAGTTAAAGAATATACTGTTTCAAAATTTTTTTGGGGGGGGGGGAGGGCTCTAAAAATTATTTCACAAAATTATTTCAAATTTTCATTATCAAACATTTGGGCGGGCTATTTTTTGCTTTTTTTTAACAAAAAATCATAACAATAACATCTGATAACACACACTATCATTTGAAACAAAATTCATTGCACTTTGATGTTTTTCTTTCGAAAGCCTCTAAACCTGAATAAGGTATGTTTATTTACCACTCATTCTGACTTATTCTGACTCCAAGTCTTAAATTACAGTGGCCTGCGATCAACGAAGCAGAGGAAACATTTCAAGATGGAATTAAAGAATTGGAAAAATACAACAATGATGGAGTCAGAACATTGAGAGAAATCCGAAAATTGGGTGCGAATTTGAAAAACAACCAACATTGTTCAATGATTGAAAAAGTAATTTTGAATAATATTCAGAATTAAAAGAAAAAAACTACTTTCAGCTTATGGATTCTTATGCTGAGCAAGCTCAAGAAAAATGCAATGAAATAATCGGAAGAATCAATGAATACAAAACAAATTTGATTGCATTGATTGATCGGACAATATCGATTAACGACAGTAATTTGACAGAAACTGAGCGTTTGAAATTGTCACAAGAAATGAGAAAATATCAGTCTATTGTCATAAAAAGCTTGGATTATGGTGAAAGTGTTAACCGTATCATGCACCCAGAAAAGTTGATGGCAGAGATTTTGAAGTTCATTGCAGAATGTTTGAAAACAATTCGTGGACAACTTGAGATGTGCTCCTGTGATCAATAATAATCTCATTTTTTTTGAAATTACATATTTTTAAATAGAAAAACCCTACCCGATTCGTAATCTGATATTGATTTTCCAAATTTCCAGACTTGACCCATTTACAAAGCATCACATGATTTCTCGATTTGTTCTCCAAACTTTAATTGACTATCATCATTATTTGTAATAATATAATATCTCCCTTTTTTATCCATACTTTCTTCCTTGCCAAACTTCAATTGACCCCCTATAAACTGTTCGCAAGCCAAAAAAATGGACGGAGCTCAAAGGGTGTAAAAAACAGGAAAGAAAAAACAACGCTCCTGTTTTATATTGTTTATGATTTTGTCAATTATGAAATAATTAGAGCCTGCTATTTTTTCTGTTTCTCGTAATTGTTGTTGCTGGAAAAATGGTGATACTCAAATTTAAAAATGAAAGTGATTCTAAAAGTGACTACGAAAAGGTTGAGAAGATATTTTTCTTTGATTGGAAGGAAATCGAAAGTCCGGTGAGTTGACTTTTGTGACGTTTCCAAAAAAGTCTCTTTGAGGTTTTACGTCATATCTAATATTACTCACGGCATAATCTTTTCATTTCATAATTCTGCCAAAAACCTATTTTTTTGCAGTTCGATATTCTTCCAATGGAAATGAAAACAATGATTTTCATATATTTGGATCCGGAAGATATAACTCAATTTGGAAAATGCTCAAAAAGTTGTCAAAAACTATTCAAATTATTCCGACCAAAAATCAAAAGAGTATGTTATCAAGGAAATGAAATCAGCCGATTGAGACATTCTCAATGTTGTTTGATGGAAATTGAATTTCATAAGTATCCGGGAAAATATTATAAAATAGAAGTTGAAACATTGAAATCAATCAATTGGAAAGAAACTCGCTCCAAAAAATTATCGACAAAAAAAACTAAAGGATGCAGATCCAGTATTATACTCATAAAGTTAGTTTTTCTTGATTGAATCTGTGAAAATTTAGTCACCGATCAATTTTGATCCAAAAATGAACGTGTTTTTTTTTTCACTGGAATCGGAATTTTTTCTTTAAAGGTTGTGACGTGACAAAATATAAGCACATTTCCAATAATCAGAACTTTGTAACGTCACAAAGTTGTTAGGTCTTCGAATTCCCAATCTACATGTCACAGTTTGAGAGGCATCATATTTCCAGATCCACAATAATACAACAATCAACATACCGAGATGTGAAAATACTATTACAGCGAAGAAAACCGAAATGTTGTCGAATGATTGCTCTTGAAATGTTCAAAAATATTATTGAATTCAACAAATCAACGATTGAAGAAGTTTCAATTGAAGCAACTATTGTTGTAAATTTTTTTCAAAAAAAAATGTTTGGGAAGCTAATTTTTATTTTCTTAAACTTTGAATCTAAGTATCATTTTAGGAATCAAGATACATGAGATCAATCGATATTTATTCGGAAAACTTGAAAAAATTGGTAATCGATGGATATTTCTCAAATCATCCACAATTGAATAAACTTCTCTCGATTGAATGTCTTAAAATGAGAAATTTCAATCTTTGCGAGCAACATTTTCCAATGATAAAATCAAAGTATCTTTGGATTCACAAAACAGTTATGGACAAAAGAATATTTGAACAATTTTTGAAAAATTGGAGAGATGGGTTGATTGAAAATTTGAAAGTTGTTTCGATGGTTGGAGATGAACATGAATGGTTTCGCTATTTGTTTGTTGATCCTACGATTCTCAGATATGTGATAGGAGAAAATGGACAGCTATTGAAAAGGTGAGTTGATAACAATTATTTACAAGAGGCTTCCAAAGTCCCAAAATTTCTGACAAGGGACTTCCATTAGGGTGATAACGGGTTTTGAAATACTGCTGACATGAGCTCCAGTCTGCGCAGCGTAAATGAGCTCAGCAGCTAATTTTAAAGGAATTGTGTTCAGCGCGTTGAGTTACCTAAGACTGTACTTACCTTATTTCAATACCCATTATCACCCTAATTGAATTCACGCTTTAGGATTCAAAAAATTTTCAAATTTTTGTAGCAGAAATCATGCAATAAGATGTAACGTTGTTTGCTCGCCATCAGTCAATTTCAGAATCCAAGGAGTTATGATCGATCATTGTCATAATTTGCCTGTTCGAATGAATCTGAGGCGAGAGGATTTTTAACAATTTTCTATTCGTTTTTCATTATTTATTTTTCTTCGATTATTTTTGGTGTCCTGAAAACTTACAATTAGAAAATCAAATAAAAATTATTTTAAAACATTTGTTAGAAACCTGGGGAACCAAGCAGTTCTCTTCACAAATCTGTTGCTAGAATCACAATCTTATTTGGGATAAATCCGGCTTTATTTTCTCTCTCAACCCAAAGCCAATCATCTGATGCTCGACCTTGACATTTTATCCATTCTCCAGGCCGAACTGATAAATCCAATGCACAACGAGCTGTGAATGACTCGATTACCAGAAGCGATTCGTTTACCCTGCAAATATATATTTAAATTTTGCCACGTCATAGTTTCTCCGGAAAACCCGAGGAAAACTCACCATTTCTCCTTTACACAGTCCTCCAAAATTGCGCCATTTTCAAGTTTCAAAAAATTTGCCGGAACAAAACCTTGTGCATTTTTCGAATTTTTACAGTAAAACCAATCTGCATCACTGCAATTTAGAATTGTTATTTTCTCATTTTCCACAACTTCCAAATCATCCGAAGCTTGAGGTTTGAAATTGAAAAGAACTCGAGCACTGCATTTTTCCTCCTGGAAAAATATACTGTTTCAAAAATTTGTGAATTTGGGGAATATAAATATAAATTTCATGTTAACCTTTTGAGCTATTAAAAAAATGTTTGTGCAAAAATCTTCAACTGTGCTCCAAAAAATTGGATTTTTTTGCTAGCAAAAATCTTCAACTGTGCTCAAAAAAATTGGATTTTTTGCTAGCAAAAATCTTCAACTGTGCTCCACAAAAATTGGATTTTTTTGCTAGCAAAAATCTTCAACTGTGCTCCACAAAAATTGGATTTTTTTGCTAGCAAAAATCTTCAACTGTGCTCCACAAAAATTGGATTTTTTTGCTAGCAAAAATCTTCAACTGTGCTCCACAAAAATTGGATTTTTTTGCTAGCAAAAATCTTCAACTGTGCTCCACAAAAATTGGATTTTTTTGCTAGCAAAAATCTTCAACTGTGCTCCACAAAAATTGGATTTTTTTGCTAGCAAAAATCTTCAACTGTGCTCCACAAAAATTGGATTTTTTTTGCTAGCAAAAATCTTCAACTGTGCTCCAAAAAATTGGATTTTTTTGCTAGCAAAAATCTTCAACTGTGCTCCACAAAAATTGGATTTTTTTGCTAGCAAAAATCTTCAACTGTGCTCCACAAAAATTGGATTTTTTTTGCTAGCAAAAATCTTCAACTGTGCTCCAAAAAATTGGATTTTTTTGCTAGCAAAAATCTTCAACTGTGCTCCACAAAAATTGGATTTTTTTGCTAGCAAAAATCTTCAACTGTGCTCCACAAAAATTGGATTTTTTTGCTAGCAAAAATCTTCAACTGTGCTCCAAAAAATTGGATTTTTTTGCTAGCAAAAATCTTCAACTGTGCTCCAAAAAATTGGATTTTTTTGCTAGCAAAAATCTTCAACTGTGCTCCACAAAAATTGGATTTTTTTGCTAGCAAAAATCTTCAACTGTGCTCCAAAAAATTGGATTTTTTTGCTAGCAAAAATCTTCAACTGTTCTCCAAAAAAATTGGATTTTTTTGCTAGTAAAAAACTCACAATTTTAAAAACCTCTCCCTCTTCCTTCTGAACCGGTAAACTATCAATAAATCGTTGCAAATTCGATTTTTCCCACCGCCTTTCAATTGTCGCCGAATCGCCTCGAAGTTTTTGATTATTCTGATTCTGACTTCGTCTTCCTCCTTGATTTCCATGCCCATTTCCAATTCCAGAATTGATTAAAAGTCGACAATATGCTTGAGGAATGAAACCTCGTCGACCATCGGATAATTGAACATAAATCCATTGATCATCTCGGTAGAGAGCTGTCATACTTAGTTTGTATATTATTGATTAAATAAAAACGTTTTTTTGCAAAATCAAATTTCCACTGTTTCAGACAAAAAAATTCTACTGTTTCAAAAATTTAATAATTACAGAAATTTTCAATTGGAAATGATCATGATAACATTACTACGCCGTGTATTTGCAGAAATAATTTCCGATAACTGGAAATGTTTATTAACCTTTGAAAAAATTCAGAGTATCTAGGTGAATTTTTGAGAAAAATCAACTGGTTCAAAATTGAAGTTTTTCTTCATCATAAAAAAATTCTGGAAAACTAAGCATAAAAAATTCACTGTTTCAGAATTAGAGGGAAGAAAAAATGAAACTCTAAAAAACCGCTGAATACACAACCAAAAATTCTTTCGCCACTGAAAAAATTAGAGTTTCAAAATTAAAGCTAAAATTCTTTGAAAACTGCTCAAATTCAAAAAAAAATAAAACAAAATAAAAATAAAACAACTCACAACGACACTCCGCTTTGCCCTTTGTTTAACGGAACGTTTGTTGTTTATTTTATTATTTATCGATTATTCAACTTTTCGGGTTTTCTCCCAAAAATGTGTGTTTCACAGCGTTTTTTTTTTAATTTTTAAGTTTTTCAGTATTTTATTCATACCCGTTTTGTATCTTGTACTATTTTTTGCTTTCAAAACAAAAACTTTTTTTTCATAAAACTCCCACGAACCTTTAACCGTCGTCCCTCTGGTCACCGAAATCTCATCAGCCACTGTCGCTTGAAAATTCTTGGTCAATTGTCCAGGTGTATATGGTTCAAAATGTTCAACTTGCATACATTCGACCCATCCATTATCAGGCGGTGATTTACCCGAAATTACTTTCCAAAAAATATTTCGAATTCCCATCAGATAAAAAATAAAAATAAACAGAAAAAATAAAAACGTCAAGGCATTTATTTGTTTTTCATTTGGTCAAGAGATTTTTGACATTTCTATATTTCCGCCGGCTTCGAAGAAATGAGTAAATGTGGCGGATGTTTGAGAACAATCACTAAACAAGATGTCAAAAATGTGAGACCACAGGTAAAGCGCAATAGGTCTGAAATGGGTCTCATAAGTCTCTCGCGTGGCGCCCATAATAGGCCCATTACAGACCTATCGAAAACAAATTTTCGATAGGTCTGTAATAGGTCAATTATAAGCTTACAAATCATCGAATTTTGAGCTATTTTTTGTGAAAAATAGGTATATTATGGGCCTATTATAGGCCTACAGTGCATCCTACATGAAAATCAGCAAAAGCTGAAACTCTACTCTATCAAGTTCTACTAACTCCCAATGATATCTTACTGACTCTTATATAGCTCAATTACCCTAACTCTATAACCCCAAGACCCCAACTTACTTGATTTCCTTTGTTTTTGTTTCATACTCTAAAAAAAGCGCGCCTCCAATATATAGGGTACATAAATCTGACAGGCGACGGCTGCCTGGGCGCGCACATCGCTATGTTTTGTGTGGTGAGCGCGTGAGTTTTGTGAGTGTGTGTGTGTGTGAGCACGCGTTTTTAAAAAATAAAACAAAGTCTATGAGGCAAATCTCTGTAATTCTTCACAAATATCGCAGTTTTTACTTATGAACTAACATCTCCTAACTCAGTTTGAGCATCTGCTTCGATCAAAGCTGAGTTAGGCTATCTCGGGACCTCAGTTTTGGTGTTTTATTAGAGAGGAGTTTGTGGTGAATTAATCAAAGTCTATGGAACAAATGACTGAACGTCTTCATAAATATCGCAAATTTTAGATATGAGCTAACATTCCCTAACCCAGTTTGAGCTTCTGCGTTGGTCAAAGCTAAGTTAGAAGATCTCTGGACTTTTTTTTCGTATGTTTCTAGGATCTTTTTTTAGTCAATGAACGAAAAAGTATATGGAGAGAATTACTGAATTTTTTTATAAGTTTAGCGGTTTTTTCATATGTGCTGACATTCCCTCAATGAGTTCGAGCTTTTGCTTCGATCAAAGTTGAGTTAGACCATCTCTGGACCTCAGTTTTGTGTACTACTTGAGAACAATATTCTGCAGAGTGAACTAAATTGTTTGGGGGGAGTAATGTATTCATTTCAGAACATAACTAATTTTTCATATGAATTGAGCTGCCACAGACATGCTCAAGCTTCTTTTTCGATCAATATTGTTTTTATGATAGTCTAGCAAAGAGTTTTCAAATTAAGCTGATAGGCGTCTCATAGGCCTATAATAGGTCTCAAATAGCTGTTGAAAAAAACTCAAAAAACAAGCGAGAACATCGCTGTGGTATGAAGAAATTTGTTGGTATGGGTTCCTATGTGCACTATTTCTATCAAAAACATGTTTATAATTAAGTTTTAAGATTTTGAATTTTTTTGATTTTTCAAGTGAAATTTGATAATTTTTCGATAGGCGTGTAATAGGCCAATTGTGGGCGCAAATTATATTTTATGCCTATTACACGCCTATTATAGACCTATTGCGCTTTATCTGTGACTACAAAAAAAAGCATTAGAAAATAGATATTTGTAGGGCAAGGTAATTGGAGTTTTGGATAGTTTATGGCATCGCGATCATTTGAAATGTTGTTATTGTCGAACTCATCTTTCGGAAGATCAAGTTTATCGATCGAGTTTTGATCGATTTCAGGCGGCTTGTTATAATTGTTATATGATGACAACACATCCAACTTGCGCAGGTTTGCGGGGATTTTTTGAAAATAATTTCAGTGAACTGTGATTTTTCGCACTGAAGTGTCTAGAAACAATTCCAAAATTTTGTAGATCAGCTAGCTTCTGAAAGCTTGAAATGTTTGTGCTAGAAATCGAAATTTCTATAGAATTTATTCTTCAACACAAAATCTAGGTCTAGAACCCTTTTTCAAGCGTATGTACTTCTGAAACAGTAGATTTTTTTATGAAAAACTTATTTCTCTAATATTTTTTGCAGGTTGTTTCGAACCTCTAATGGAAAAAGCAACGCAAGCCATGGATTTATTGTATCATCAAAAATGTTTCAAATGTGCACTTTGCCGAAAAGTAATTCCAATCGGAAATGGTTTTTATGAAAAAGATGATATGATTGTAGATCAAAAATGTTACATTATGCAATGCAGAGAAAAACTTTTGTAAGAATAGAAGAAGAACACTTTCAAATAAAACTTATCACTTTCTCTTTTTTTTTCCTTAAAAAACTTATCTGGTTAGCGACTAAAGCTAAAGCTATGTATATCTCTTATCAAAGTGTTACACAATCCAAAAAGATAACATTTTTTATTTCAAATATATCATAACTTTCATTACTTTTCCCTTTTTCTTTATTGATTCCTATGAATTATCTAATAACAATAATATTCCCCTTATTTATTCTTGGAATCGCTGCGGGACCATTGGAAATTGCGGATGAATTCAAAAAACATTTCAATGTCGAAGATAAACAGTTGGAATCTGTTGAACAACTTTTGGTGAAGATGAAAAAATTGGCACATTCGAGAAGTTTTCGGGGAAGAGAATTTGGAAATGATGTGAGTTAGGGAATATCGGGATTGCTGATTGCGAAATCAACATGAGCTGAGAAAAATAAATTTCAAATTACCTCCAAGAATTGGTGAGCTCCATTAAATTGTTAAAAATTCATTTTTTTTTTAAATACACTGGGGCTCCTAGCATTCTGAAATTTCTGACTTCAAAAGTTAACTTCGAAATTCTCAAAAGGGGAGAATTCAAATTTCGGAAAAATATAAGAAATAACCACGTGGAAACAATTTTCAAATTTATTTTTAAAAATTAAATTTCCATGTTTAGACATTGGCGTAGAAGTTTCAAACTACAAAGATTACTGTAGATCAAACTACAAAGTGTAGAAATTCCAGAATACAAAAATTAGTGCACCTCAAACTGCAAAGTATACTGTAGCTCAGTACAGATTTTGTTCTGATCATGATTTAAGCTGAAAATTTCCTAGTTTTTCTATTGTCCAGCGAGATTTGAAGTTTCAAATGTATCAACAAGATTCTGATTTTCCAGGCCGTCGAAGATTCCAAAAAAGACGTGACAATCTCCGCTCAACAAGGAACAATCAGCAAAAACCTCTCACCATTTCTCTTCGAAGGTGACATATTTCTATCTCGTCGTCAAGCAGTTGACATCCTAAAAGCTCTTTCAAAAGACAAATCAAAAAGACTACGAAGATCTTTTGTTTCCGACAAAACTGCGATGTGGAAAAAGTTTCCGATTCAATATAGATTTCATGAATCTGTCGATTTTTATACAATCAGTCAAATTATTGCTGCAATTAGGTATTGGGAAGATTCAACTTGTATTACTTTTGAAAATGTTAATGATGTTCCGGATGGAGATTATATTGAATTTTTTGTGGGACAAGGGTGAGTTGAGAGGTTCGAAAAGGTTCGCAAAAATATTTCAATGATTTTCCAGCTGCTATTCAATGATCGGTAGAAATGGTGGTCGACAAGGTGTTTCGATCGGGGAAAGTTGTGTGAAACTCGGTGTAATTGAGCACGAAATCGGGCATGCTCTTGGTCTTTGGCATGAGCAATCACGCCCTGATGCACTTAGTTATATTGAAGTTGAGACTGATTTTATTCTGCCATCTTATATCAGTGATTTTCTGCAAAGAGATGATGAAATTGACACTTTGGGAATACCGTATGATTTGGGAAGTGTTATGCATTATGGAAGCACTGCTTTTAGTTCGGATCAGAAGAGTAAAACTGTGGTTACACGGTGAGTGGAATGTTGGGCGAGTTGGTATCTTGGCCGCGGTTTTCAGAGACTCTTTGTATCAACAAACAATCGGACAACGTGAAAAATTATCATTCTACGATGTGGCTACAATAAATCGAGCATATTGTGAAAATGAATGTATTGCTGAGGATACAAAATGTGAAAATGGAGGATATATGAAACCATCGAAATGTTCGGAATGTCTTTGTCCAGATGGTTTGGGTGGAGATCATTGTGAGAAAAATGAAGAGGCTAAGAGTTAGTTGAAGTTTTATTTTCGGAAAAAAAGGATAAAATTGAAGAGCACATAGAAATTGGCAAAAACCCCTGAAAGAAATTTAGAAAAAATACGGAAATATTTCATTTGAATAGAATTTTTGCATTTCAAAATTTCACTGTTTCAAAAAAATTTTATAGTGAAAAGGTTCAATTATTTTAATAAAAATAATTTGTGGAAAACACTTGAAATTTCGATAAACACTAAAGTCATATTCATTGAGAATTTTCCAAATAAGTTTTTTGAAACAGCGAAAAAAATTAAATTTCAAAATTTCACTGTTTCAAAAATATCTTATAGAGAAAAAGTTCGATTAAATAATAATTTATTACCAGAACACATTGTTTGAGAATTTTCCAAATAAAATTTTTGAAACAGCGAAAAAAAGTTACTTTCAAAAATCTCACTGTTTCAAAATCGTTTTATAGTGAAAACTTGGACTATTCATTATTATGAAATGTGCCCACGTAGACCTGAAATATTAGAAAAAATGAACTTTTTTATTTTTTAATGATGTCAAAATATTTTTTTTTGAAAATTTCGAAATTGTAGGTAGCTAAAAAATCAATCATCTATTCCTTGAAAACTTACCGAGTTTGAAAAATTATTTCATAATTTTGAAATTTAAAGTGGAGAGATCATATTCATTGATGTGAGATTTTAAAAATACACTTTTTGAAACAGTGAAAATTTGAAAACTTTTTTTTAAAAATTGCGCTAATCTTCAGACGCTGAATGTGGTGGTATTTTGAAAGTCACAGATTCCTGGCAAGAAATCGAATCACCTGGATATCCAGACCCAGGATACGATAGCGATCAAAAATGTTCTTGGTTAATCAAATCCGACGACGCCACAAAACGCATCGAACTCGAATTCATCGAAGATTTCTCATTTTTATGCACTTCAACTTGTGTCGATTTTGTTGAGCTGAAAATATCTGATGATTTGAGGAACACTGGCTTTCGATTCTGTTGCTACGATAAACCAGAAATCAGTTTTGTGTCTCAAACAAATACGGCCATTGTTATTTTCCGATCACAACTTTCGCAGGATATTGGATTCAAGATCAGAATGAGGACTAGTTAGTTAGAGAATTCGGAACTTCCGAAGGTCTATCTGAAATTTTCAGCAACTTCGGAGGCTCGTACAACTTTGGCTCCTGCAATTATAACCACAACAATAGCTCCTTTACCAGTTGATTTGCCAAATGTTTGGGCTGATTGGGCAGAATGGTCGACTTGTTCGAGAACTTGTGGAGGATGTGGGATTCGGAGTCGAGTTAGAACTTGTAGATCAAAGAAATGCGAGTGAGTGAAAAATTCTGGAATCTAAAAAAAAAGTTCACTGTTTCAAAAATTTTAGATAATATTTTTTCAGTTTTCGGTCTTCAAATGCAGACAGAAATGAGACAATTTTTTTCAAATACTTTTTTTCCAGAGGTCGCCGCCAAGAATTCGGAACTTGTAATTTACAAGCTTGCCCTGTTGATAAACATTGTGCAAAACTTATGTCAAATAATCGATTGTGTCATGGAAAAGTTTGTACCAAGTGAGTCGTGAAAATAAATTTCGAAAAAAAATTCTACTGTTTCAAAAAATTCATAAATTTCTAGAAGTTATTTTCCAGATGATGATATTGCACAGCTATTTGACAATAAAAAACTTATTTAAAAATTTACTGTTTCAAGAATGTAGTTAAATATTTTCAAGGTTTTAAATTTTTGATTATTTTGTCGATTACGTTTTTTTCAAATTTGATTTGATTGTTTGAAAATTAAAATCTGACTTTGAACTTTCTCATAAAAAATTCATAAGTTAGAGCTAAGGTAAGTTTTGGAAGAAAAATAATAGAAACATTTACTGTTTCAAAAAATGGCAATACCGTATTTGGTTCCACATTTTCAGTTCTGAAATGCTGTTTTTCGGCTCCAAGTTTTCTGATCTCTAAGTTGAGACATTTTTCAAATATTTTTTGAAAATAAGTTTTACGTGAACTTCTGAGTTGCCGTAGCAAATATTTTTAGCGCGAAAAAAACATTATATTATAAAAATTACTGGAAAAATTTACGTTTCAGAAAAATCAAAAGAATATTATCGTGTTATTCCAGATGCTGCAGAAATCGTTAATAAATTATAAAATTTAATCTTTAAAAATTTACTGTTCCAAGAAAATACCAAAACAAAGCTTAAAACGTTTTTTTTTTTTCCAGAAACGATATTTCAATTTCATCATGCGATGCTCCACAATGTTGTCCACCATTTCAAAATATCGATGGAATGTGTCAATCAGATCAACAAAATCAACATGACGAATTATGGTTGTCAATTTGAAGAAATGCGAGAAAATTGATAAGAATCGGGTTATTTATAACTAAATGTCTGTATATAAACTAAATGCCACGTCATAGCTCTTTAAAATGAATTTTAAAAATAAAGTATAAAATATTATTAAAATTTTATAATTTTTTTCACTGTTTCAAGAAAATTTTTATTCAAAACTAGAAGAATAGGTTGGATCAAAATTTCCATTTTTTTTTGAATTATTGCATTTTTGAAATAGTTATTTTTTCAGAAATTTTAAGATTGGAAAATATTTAGTTTCAGGTGATAAGCTTGTTTTCGGAAACGTTATGGGGTGATTCAGGTTGAAAAAAAGATAATAAAAAAACATTTTTTGACAAAAAATTTCGATTCAGCAAATGTCAAAAAACTATATTTTTTTCCTATTTTTTGACATTTTTTTACATTTCAATATTTTCGCTGCGAGATATTTTTCATTTTTGTGTGGAAAAAAATGTCAAAAAATAGGAAAAAAATATAGTTTTTTGACATTTGCTGAATCGAATTTTTTTGTCAAAAAATGTTTTTTTATTATTTTTTTTTCAACCTGAATCACCCAATAAGCAATTAAAAAATTAAATACAAAATTTTGAATTATTTATTTTTTGAAACAGTCAATTTTTTCGGAAGTTTTTTTCAAATTGGCATTTCTTAAAAGTTCAGTGTTTCAAGAAAATTTAAATTATGGAATTACAAAATCAAAATTTCCATGAAATATGTTGAACTATTTTTTCACTGTTTCAAGAAAATTTTAACTAAAAGTTTCATGAAAAATTTGAATTATTGAATTTTTGAAACAGTCAATTTTTTTTAGAAGTTTTTGGTTGACAGATAGTTTGTTTCAGCCATTAAATTTGAAATTTTCCTGCAAAATTGCCACGTCATAGCTCTCAACAAAAACTATATATCGAATGTCGTTTATCAAATACGATATATTTTGTGAAACCACAAATAGACAAAAAAACGTGTGACGAAAAGAAAAAACAAAAAAAATGAATGAAGGAAAAAATCATATTGGGATGTGGGGGGAGAGAGCAAAAAGCTTGTTTCAGAAGACTAGTTAAAAAAAGATGGAAAGCTTTTCTGGAGAAAATGGAGAATTAAAGAAGAGAAAAGAGAGAGAGAAGAGAGACCATAGACTGTTAAAGGAAAAACTGAATGAGTCTACACGGGAAGGAAAGAAAATAATAATAAATATAATATATATATATATAGAAATCAGAAAAAATATCAAAATAATCAATAATAAATAATAAAAAGTCAATAAAAATCCATGATCCTAACAGAATTTCGGGGAGAAAAAAGCTCAAATCATAGTTGCATATACTCGGAAAGGATCTGATGAACAAAAATAAAAAAAAACAAAATATATTATTTTAGATAAAAGGGGATTGGATGGGGGGAAAGCGAAATAATTAATTATCATAATTGTTTGGAGATGGTGTTGTTGTTGTTAATAATTAAAAGACGATTTACACAATATCGAATTAGTATAAACCGCAACCACGAAGATTGTTGGCAATGATGACGTCAGTGACTGCGTCGAACACAAATTGAATATTTGTTGTGTCGGTGGCGCATGTCATATGGCAGTAGATTTCCTGCAAACAATTTTGAGTTTAGGTGGATTTTTGTTAATTTTTCAGATCTTGGAAAAAAAAACATTTGAAATTTTCAGAGTTGTAAATTCTGTGGTGATCTTGAAAACTCATATTTTATTCATAAATCTCAGAATTTAAAAAATTTGAAAATTCTCTAAATTTCAAATTTTCAGAAAATTTTTAAATTTAAAAAAATATCTTTTTTGGCGTCAAGTTCGAAAAATTTCTTAATAAAAATTTAGCTTATTCATATTTCAGAGATAAAAAAAAGTTCAAAATTTTTTCAAAAAAACTAAGGTTCAAAAAAGCCCAGTTCCCTACAACTTCAAGCCTAGAAAAATTCCCATTCCTCTTTTGTTTCTCCCAAAAATTTGTCACAAATGACACATTGTCAAAAAATGCAAGTATTGGTTTTCCCCAAACGTTTCTTATTTTTTCAAAAAAGGCGCTCACCTTATTCGCCGACTTATTTTTGGCCTCAAATTGTGCTTGAATATAAGCCGAAGCTTCATGATAATCCTGTCGTCCCGAATATTCGGGGAAACAAATTGTCAGCGGACTTTTCTTGATCTTCTCCTCGAACAAATCTTTTTTATTCAAAAATAGAATAATCGATGTGTCGGTGAACCATTTGTTGTTGCAAATCGAGTCGAACAATTTCAATGATTCGTGCATTCGATTCGTTGTTTCGTCTTCGTGTAACACTTGATCATATTCGGACATTGCAACGCAGAAAATGATTGCTGTCACATCTTCGAAACAATGAATCCATTTTTTACGTTCTGATCGTTGACCTCCGACATCGAATAATCTACAAAATATTGATGTTTAGAATGGGGGCTTGGGATATTTTTTGATGAAATAAATTATGTCTAGTTGATTTTAATGTGTTAATTACAATCATGGTGTAAAAAACTGCCAAGCTCAACTATGAAAATTAGTTATGACGTGGTAAAGTTTTACAATTAAAATTTTTTAGAGCTTCAAAAAAACATGAAAGAGCCATATTGCACAAAAGTTTTTTTTGAAAAAAACTCCAAAAGAAATACACAAAACGGGTCTCGAAGCGCGCTGGTGTTTTTGTTCTGTATTTCCGTGGCGAAAATTTTGCAAGAAATATTTTTTTTAGATTTTGTGATCTACTTTTTCCATCGGTTTTCTTTGACGTTCATTTATTTTATTAACTAGATTTTCATGAAAAACAATTTGAAGCAATTGTAAACTTTGCCACGTCATTCCTCAAATTCAAATTTGACCCAACGAGTCAAAATCTACCATAAAACCTATTTCTCATCAATGTAAGAAATATCACGGTGAGATTTTCTTGACGTCCCGACCCGTCGAGATAAATTTATTCAGAATGCAAAAAAAAATGAAACTCCGTATCCATAAAACACACAAATGTGTCGCCGCTCTGTGCAACAGAGCGAACATTCTGCACTACAAATTAAATTTCGCGACGGTTTTTTTGTGTGGACGGCGTGAAGTCCCGAAAAAAACTCACTTAAAGTTGAGATTTTTGAATGTAAAGTGAACTTCAACAATACCAGTCGTTTTAACACGAGTTCGCAAAATATCTTGCTCTGTTGGCTGATATGATGCTTCTCCTAACCGCTCCAAATCATCAAGGAAACTGAAAAAATAATAATTTTTTTTTTGAAAATGCACAAAAAATGCGCAAACACACGCGTGATTGACGCATTTCACACAAAAAATTTCACTTTTTTGTGTTTTTTTTATTTTCACAGAAAAAACCCCATAAATTGGGTATTCCGGTGGAAAAAGTCCAGTTCCCTGATTGAAAATTGAGATAAAATAGAGGCAAAACTCACTATTTGGCTGAATCATTGAGCTGATACTCGTTACTACGCGAAAAACAATCCTGAACTCCATTATCCGACCACAATCGTTTCATTGAGCTCAACAATTCTTCGGAAAACGGTTCAGTGTCTTCCATTCGGGCAACTACATCCATTACTAATTTTGCGTCTACCTGCAAATTTGAGAATTGGAAATTTTAGGGTTTGGATGGAGATTTTTGTAATTTTTTGAGCTTGAAATTATAGGTTTAAGTGTATTCATAGGATAGAAAGGTTAAGACAATTTGAATGATTTAATCTTTCGTGATTTTACGTTACCTATAAGTGATTTAGTCCAAATGTTGCCGATATTACAACTCATTCGCTCAAAAAATAAAAAAAATGTAATTGAAACAATTACCCCGAAAAAATAGGTTTCAAAAAATCTATTAAACAATTTTCACTCCACTATATATTTTTTCGTATTTCAAAATAATTTCAAAAAAAAATCTCGAAAACTCGCCTCTCTGTCAGATGATCCAAAAGAAACTCCTAAATTAGTCATTGCTCGTAAAATGGCAACCAACGACTGAACAGTATTACTATATACGACCGGTTTGTATTGTTTGTAGTCTTCGGCGGTGAATCCAGACTCGTGAATAATTCTGCAAAATTTCGAGATAGATATTTTTTGAGATGAACTTAGGCTATGTCACTGATACTGAGAGATGACTTTTCAAGTGCTGAAAATTTTTCCACTGGGATAATTTTCGAATTTTGATATCATAGTGATTCGCAGAGGTTTTGTTAGTAAATTCGCCAATTTTTGGAATTTTTTTACTTGGACATATTTTTTCGACCAGGGAATATCCCAGATAAAAATCGAAATTTTTCTCAAAATTAGCGAATTTTCTTAACCCACCCCTTGAACAACGCTATGAAATCAGAGTTTTTTCACCTCCCATAGCTACAGAAAAAAGTTCCAGACATACTAATTATGTACACTTTCGCAGACAATTAAAATATTACTTTTCTTATCTTTGATTTCTGAAATTTTAAGAAAAGTAATATTTTAATTGTTCGGGAAAGTGTAATTATTATGTTGGAAACTTTTTCTAAGCTCGAAAAAAGTTTTTTGTCAAAATTTAACATAAAAACTCACTTCATTTGTTTGACAATTGTGGATTTACCAGATTCTCCAGCACCAAGAAGAAGCAATTTGATATCTTTTGCCGCTTGCATGCCGTCTTCTTTCAGATTCTTCTCGATCATTCTGAAAATTAGAATTTAGACATTCAGTTTCAAATTTCAAAATTCCCCTCCTAAACTCAAAAACGTTTCTAAAGATTGGTTTGTTTTTCATCGTAATTTCGAAAATCGCGCATGGCTCAGTGGTAGACTCTTTTGCTGTGAGGCGCGACACCCAGGTTCGAATCCTCCTCCTCGCGAATTTTTTATTTTTATTTTTTTTCTAAATATCAAGCCCTCATGATTTTTTCCAAGGTATAAACATCTGGAGCGCATATTTAAAAACATCTGTGTGCTCACAGATTTTCGGCTGCTCTCAAGTATTTTCTCATTTGCAGCTCGGCTCACAGCGAAAAACACATGAATGAATTTTCGAGCCCTCGAAAATTTCGGGAGAAAAAATCAATGTATTTTCATGTGACTGGAAATTTTTTAATAAAAAAAATTGTTTAGATATCGGAGCTGAAAATATTTTTGTAAACAATTTGAAAGGGAAAAATCGAAAAAGATGAAATTTGATCAAAAGTATACAGTTGGAGGGTTTTTGAGGTTCTGGAAATTTTCAGAACATCGTGGAATTTCAGCTCCATCCAGAAAATTTGAAACTTTAAATTCTAAGTTAAAAATTGAGCCTGTAGATTTTCTAGGGGTTTTAAAGGTTCCCAAATTTTCTGAATTTGAGATTTTTGGAAAAAAAGTTCGCTTATTGTTAAAATTCTGGCCCAATTCAGAATTTTTCTAAAAAAAAATAAAAAATCCCAAAAATTTTTAACTTCGTGAATTCGCGGGAAAAGGCGGGAAGCTTGCGCTCCCACAAACAAACAAAAAACGAACCTGGATCTTTCGAGAGCGGCACGCTCCTCCTGTGACATGGTACAACCCATGATGCGATCTTATTCGGTTCTTGTTTCAGGCCTTCTGAAATCTGCTGCAGCCAAAACGAAGATAGCCTAACTTGTGCTCAACGCGTGGGGTGTTCTCTCCGCGTCCGTCTCTCCTACTACACTCGATTTGTCTCCGGAAACACGCACACCGCTGCAAAAATTGAATATCATTATATGACATGGAGAAAATCGATATTATGAGATGACAATAGGAAAAAAAGAAAAAAAAAAATATGGACCCCGTCGGAAAATGGAGCGAGGGAAAAAAGAAGAAATAGAATTCAATATATTTGTGCTAATAAAAAAATGTATATAGGAAGAAGAAGAGGAAAAGGAGAGGGAGGGAGTTAGAGGAAATTGAAACATTTTTGGGGGGGGAGAGAAGGGAAAACGGGGGAGGAAGGCGGACGACGATGAACGAAAAATTGACGATTTTTTTTTTGACGAATTTTAAATCAGACACAACCAAGCAACCAGGCGGTTGAAATTTAGAGACAAGACAAGACAAAAAAACAATAAAGCACTTTTGACAGCCGAAAGACAAATTAGTTTTCTTCTGGTTTCATTTTATGAAATATAAATTATTGGAAATGAAAATGATACTGAAAATATAATAAACAAAGGGGCAGAGATAAACAATTTGAAGCGCCCACGGAAAATTTGAAATTAGTTGATCAAAAATGTTTTTTGTTAATTGGTCTTGAAGTTCTCACGAAAAATCAGAAGTTTAAAAATTGGTAGATCAAAAAATTCACAATTTTTTTTCGAAAAATGTAGATATTCACAGTATCCACGTGGCAAAAGCTAATTTCAAAAATTTTATGAAAAATTCACGTGCCTAATTTTTTAATAGAAAAATGCAAATTCAGTACTCAAACACAAATTCGCAAATTAAATTTCCTAAGAAAATAATTTTGATGATTTAGGTGATTCAGAATTCCAGTGTTTCAAATCATCCAAAATTTTTGCATCCGAAAATAATCACTCAGAGAATACACATTTTTTCGAGCTAAAAATTTGCAAGAGCCTGAATATAAGCCTAAGGCTTCAGCTAAATTGTCACATTTTTTGAAGCAGAAAACAAATCTGTTTTTGATTTCTGCTCTTTTTGCTTATTAATCAGAAAATGTTTTTATTTATTTTTGATTAGAGAGAGAAAGATAATCCAATTAATATTATTTGAAAAGGATTTACGTGACTTTTTTTGGGGCTGAAAATCTGGAATTTTTTGGAATAACAAGGAGAGGAATTGTTTTCGAAAGGGATTTGAGAAATTTTTCAGATCTCAAGCATCCAAAAAAAGAGCAAAAATCAAATACTCGGGAAAAAATTCGAAATTTCAACTCAACTCAACTCACAAAATAAATCCACTTTATGGGATGGGATGGTTCAAGAAGAAAAAGAAGAAAAAGAAGAAGAAGAAGAATGCCAAAAAAATGATGTCAAAAAGAAGAAAGCGTGCGAGAAGAGAGAAGAGGCCTTGAAAGAGCCGAAGCCTGAAAAAAACATGTTTTATGGGGGTACATGCTAAATTTAATTAGGATGGCAAAGGGAAGAAGAAGAAGAAGAAGAAGAAGAAGAAGAAAATGGAAAAATGAAAGAGAAAGAGAAAGAGAGAGAGAGAGAGAGAGAGAAAGAGAGAGAAAATGAATCTGTGAGAAAAAGAATTGAAACAAAAGAATTGGAAATTGGAAATTAGCAACATTTTGTTGATGCACTAATCCCACAACAACTATAAAAATAGATTGGAAAGGTCCTTGCGGCTTTAAAAATTTGTCATAAATTTCTCGAAGGCTTGTTTTTTTTTGGTGCAGGCGGGGGCACATAATTTATGAGCTCTCCTAAATCAAGAAAGCAAATTTTGCGCTTTGAAAAATTGCTGGCATTTTTTTGTTGTTGAGAAAAATTGCGAGAATTTTTTCCTCATGATCATCACTGCACTGGAACACTTGAAAAAAATAAAAATAGAGTTATAAAAATTTTGAAACAGTGAAAAAATGTGATCATTTTTTTGTGAGTTCCTTCAAAAAATTTTTGAAGAAAAAAATTGGCGCAAAACATTCCAAGAGCACAGCTGAATCAAATGTTACAGTATCCACAAAAAGTTTTTTTGAGAGTTTTTAATTTTTCTGAAACTCAAGAGAACTCCTTGAAAAAATCCAATTTTTCCCGCGAACTTTAGCAGCACTCAATTATTCTGGGTCAAACACAGCTCAAACAACTGTTACAGTAATCGAAAAAAGCGTGAATTGATATGATGTGGCAAGAAACCTCCAGGCGAAACGGCTACAAAATCTCTAGTCTAACTAGTCTAAAATAGAAAAATAAATCATCTCATTTTCCAGTCATTATGAAAAATTGTAGTCACACAAAAAATCGGCTACAAAATTTTAATTCACTTCGAGAAAAGCGAGTGTAGATCGCAAGCTTCTGGCCGGTACTAGAATATTTTTCTAGTCATTTGGAAAATTGTAGTTACAAAAATGGGTACAAAAATTTTAATCGACTCACATTAAAATTTTGAATTATTTTTTTTCAAATAAAAAATGAATTCAAATTAAAATTCAATTTTTAATTTTCAATTTCAGATTTTTTGTTATCAACAAAAAAAAAACAACAACAAACAAAAAAAAGAAGAATCGAATCGAATCGAGGCGAAAAAAAAAAAGGAAAAACGAGAAGAGAAGAGGGGCTTTGGCTCTTGACGACCGAAAAAACGAAATAGCATTGGATATAGAAGAGACGCCGAGAAAACAAGAGGGGATTTGGGTGGCGGTGGGTGAGAGAGATTGAGAGAGAGTGCGAGACGGCTAGAGAAATCGATATCCTTCCGTTGAGAGCAGCAGAGAAAAGCAGGCAGGAGGAGGGCGTGCTCTTTCTGTATATTTTAGAAGAAGAAGAAGAAGAAGTGTGTATATTACTAAAAAGAAGAGGAAAGGAGCAAATGGAGCATTTTTGAAGCAGACACACAAAAAAATACGAAAGGGGAGGGCCAATAATACATCTGGAAATTTTATTTTTGCCTATTTTTTCGCTTTGATTAGCTTTCCGCACTGTTTATCGCGTGCTGCTGCGCGGAAGCTTGCGAAAAATAATTTTTTTTGATTATCAAAAATTAGAACCTCATGTGACCTAATCAATAATGTTGAGTGAGGAAAAATTCGGGGTTATTTTTAGAAATGCATATTTATCAATTATTTTCTATCGCAAAAATTGGTCGAATTTTTCGATCTACAGTAAGCTAATTGTGGCGGGAAAATTTTAAAATTAAAATTTGATGAATTTCGTGCTAGCTTTTGATCTACAGTAATCAAAACTTCGGCGCGAAAATATTTAATTTGAAAATCAAAACTCTTCTTGTTAAATTTTGATATACAGTAATCAAAATTTCGGCGCGAAAAATATTGAATTTGAAAATTGATCTCTACAGTAATAAAACATCATTTTTCGGTCTACAGTATCTAAATTATACCGCGAACAATTGAAATTTTGATTTTTTGATTCTGAGTGAATAAAACTACAGTACTCCGAAACATTTTCAACTGAAAAAGTACAATAAATTGGGTTCAAAAATCCACCCCCAACAAAATTTCAGCAAACTTATAATTAAACATTATTTTCATCCGAATTCTTTTTGTTTCTAGAAAAATTCCAACAAACTAATAATTATAATTATCCAAATAATAAATTTAAAGGGACAAACTATGCTTCACATACCGTAATCCAATCCATTAATGAAGAGTGGCACAAATAATTGTTTAGAAAAAAAAAGGAGGAAAAGGGGAGAAAATGGAGGATGGGTTGGGGTTGAAAAAGAAAGAAGCGGAGCGAAAAAAAAAAGAAGGAATTTAATGGATATTGGCAGCTGGTGATGTAATAAAATGAGAAATTTCGAACAATTCGCATTCTGGAACCAGAAATCAATTGGGAAAGAGTGTTTCGCGCAGGCGGCGTCAAATTCTTGAATTCAAAATCTAAGAAAATTCCCCGGGTTTTTTTGATCTACAAAAAATTGGCATAAAACTTTCTGGTTTCAAATTCAAAAACTAACGCCAATTTTTGATCTACAGTAATCCACAGTAGATACACCAGCGCCTAAAGTATAAAATTTAAATCATTAGACCGCCAAACAAACTGTTTTAAAGTACAGTAATCAAAATTTTAAATTTGAATTGTGAAAATTTTTAGTCAATTTTCGATGTACAGTAACCGAAGCTACAGTAGATATACAACACAAAAATGTTCAGATTCAAAACCTGAAAATTTCGCGCCAATCTATGATCTGAATTAAAACAGGGGATTCGTGATCTACAGTAATCAGAATTTGGCTCCAAATTTTTTGACTAAAGTTTGAAAGCATGGACACAAATGTTGATCTACAGTAACCAAACACCCGCTGATCCGAAATTTAGCGCGAAAATTTTCCGAATTCAAAATTTCCTTCGAATATTCTAGAAATCCATTCAAGGAACCTAAATACGAAAAAAAAAATTAATTTCCTTGTTTTGTTTTTGGTCTGGTCTGATCTCAAGGCACCTGCCTTCGTTTTTTCTTTTTTGGTTGCTGGGGCCTTTTTCCGAAAATCGCAAAATAATTAGCCAGATGTTCGACCCAAGAGAGAATCATAATTAATTAATACTTATCCTCCTCCTCGATTTCCGGTTCGGGAAAAATATGAGAAAATGTGTGCGGCGAAATTGCAGATTCGAAAATTTTCGAGGTGAAGCCTGATCGAAAACAGATCTCTTCATAAAACAAGAGCTCAAAAACTGTGCGGCGAAATTGCAAAAAGTTTTTAGCGAAGAAAAATGACTAGAAAAAACAGACTAGAACTTTTCTGGTTCAAAAATAAACACAAAAAGTATGCCGCAGTTTTGCAAAAAAAAAACAATTTTCAATGAAAAACCGTGCCGCAAGTTTTCCGGAAGCCTCCGGAAGCGCGGAAAAACACCTTTAAAAATTTTTGGAACCCAGCCAAACCTAAAAAAGCCTCGCAAAAATTATACACACAAAATTTTGTAGTAGTCGAAAAAAATAAAGTTCAATTTCAGCCGAAAAAGGGAGGAGAAGCTACAAAAAAACTGGAAAAAAAATAATATACATAAGTAGGAATTGAGGGGAAGAAGAAGAAGAAGAAGGGGTGGCACACACAACACAAACAGCCAAAACGACGGAAAATCGATAATAAAATCGAGGAGGAGGAGGAAAAAGAAGCGGCCGAAAAATGGGGCAGGCACATTCTCTCGTCGTCTCGCCACTCTCTCCACTCAAACACACTCTCTCTCTCTCTCTCTCTCTCAGCTCATTGGATTGGCGGGGGTCGCGAGACTGACTGACTGAAAAACGCTCCGCGCAGAGCTAGGCACACGGGGGCCTCTTCTTCTTCTTCTTCTTCAGATGTGTGTGTGTGGCGAGAAAAAGACGTCTTCTTCTTTTTTGCTCCACACACACATACACACAGAACCGAATAAGCAGATAATGGGGACTTTCGGAGGAAAACACCCCAAATATATATATATATTATATATTTGCAGGGGGGAGAAAATGTATGCCGCAAAATTGCACACAATTTAGCTCCGCCCATAAAATTGTGCGGGTTCGATTCCTGGGAAAATAAAAGCATGCCGCAAAATTGCAAAACATTCATTTTCCCGCCCGCCAAAATTTGATCTACTGTAACGAAAAAAGACGTGCGAGACTTGCAAAATGTGGGCGGGGCTTCCCAAACAGCGCCGCAAAATTGCAAAGCCACGCCCCTAAAACCATGTAGTTCTTGGAAAATAAATTAATCTCCAAAGTTTTTTTTTCTCAAAAACGGATTAACTATCGGATTTAACATGTACACGGTGTTTTGTTTTACACAAGAAAAAAAAATGATATCACGCTCTGAAAAAAAAGAAATTCGAGGGGTTTCATTTGATCTACCATCTGCTTCTCTAACCGTCTCTCGTCGTCTCGCACTCTCACTCTCCCCCATACTTCCTTATTCCCACAACACAACACAAATTAGCGTCTGAAACATGAAACGTGTGTAAATATTGTCAGATATTGAGAGAGAGAGAGAGGAGACGCAGAGAAAAAAGTGCCGCGAAAAGAAAAAAATACAACAGAATTCGAAATTAGTTCCAATTAGTTCCTCTGAGACGAGAAAGAGAAAAAAAAAAGAAAAACGACGCCATTTTTCAGTGTGTTTTTGGTGTTGGAAGAAAAAGAGAAAGGAGCCAGCGACACAAAATTGTACAGTACTGGACAAGGGAACTGACATTTGGGCGCTCTAGGCGCGGCTACTTGACACAGTGTTTTTCAAGGGGCGGCTCCTTGTCTGAATTGATCTCTAGGCTCTTATCCTTGACAATCGGTCCCTCTAGGCGTGGTTACTTGAAAACTAGGGTCTCTAGGCGCGGCTACTTGACACAGTGTCTCTCAAGGCGCGGATCCTTATCAAAGTCCATCTCTCGACGCGGGTCCTAGACAATTAGGTTTTCTGGGCTCAACTAGCTGTTTTTCATCTTTCAGCTACAGTACTTCTACAGTAACCCAATAAAAAAGTTACAGTAACCTCTGAAAATCGCGTCATTTTATTTACGCTCAAAATTATTTTTGTGAACACCAAAAATCACATTTCCCAAGAGTACACAAAAAATAATAATTTTCAGTGTCCAAAAATAAAGGAGTACTGTAACCTCTAACTCGTCTAATTTTCCAAAAAAAGTTCAGTGCAGGTTTTATCTACAGTACTCATTTATTTTTGGACTACGAGAAAAATTGTTATTTTTCATTTTATTTCTTTTGGGAAATTGAGTACGGTAATTTTCTGATATTTTGGTTTTCACAAAAATAATTAACAATTTGTGAGCGTAAATAAAATGATGCCAGATTTTTCTGAAATTTGGCGGCTGCTGGATAAAGCTATTTTTCTGGACAGCAAATAAGCTCAAGTAGTTGAGCCTAGAGAACCGACTTGTGTAGGATCAGCGCCTTGAGAGCTACTATGTCTGTCAAGTAGGCAATCCTAGAGGTCGAAGCTAGCAGCCTAGAGAACCTAGTTTCCAAGGATCATCGCCTAGAGATTCACTCTGACAAGGAGTCACACCTTGAGAGTTTAATTGGCAAGCATCTGTGCCTAGAGAACCTTTAGATGTGAAGCAGTCTCGCCTAGAAAAACTAGTTGTCAAGTAGCAAAGACTAGAGGGTTTGAGGTGTGTTCGGGTTCAAACTACAAACATTCGGTAGATTGCACAATAAATCGGATGTTTCACAAGAAAAATTTCGCACTCATTTGTAAACATACAAAACACCCCCCGCCAAAAAACCACTTGAACCCCGGTGTGTGTTTTTTGTTTGGTGTTAGGTTCATTGTCATTTGCGACGGGGGGCGGAGGAGAGGCTTTTCTCGCGCGCGAGTGCCAACAGCAAAAAAAAATGTTCATAAATAAAAAATGAGTGTGAAAAGAAGAAGAAAAAGAGCAGAAAAAGGAGAAAATGGAGAAGCCTCTCGTTTTTTTGTGCTGTAATTGGAGGAAAATGACACAAAATTGGAAAAAGATTAGAAGAAGAAGAAATGGAATTTATTTAATTTGGTATTACGTCAAAAATCGAGAAAAAAGGGTTTAGGGAAGAAGGAAAAGGGGTTTCGAAACAAATTACATTCTATTTTTGGATCTTTGATCTAAAAATGGAGAAATGCTTGGAGGGTTAAATAACAACATTTCGAAAATACAACAAAGTTAGTAAATTTTAAATCTTAAAAAACAGCTCGGCAAATTTCGGACTCATTTCAAATTCTCCATTTCAGCATTTCGTTTCTTATATTCCGATTCTCTGAAAAACACGAGGATTTGGAAACTTTTTTGAAACATAGACGTGAGATGTTATTTCAGAGAAAATCAGCCTAAAATTTAGATCAACGTGAAATTTTTAGGTTAAAAATTTAGAATTTTCTGATTTTGGTGCTAAAAATCGACGTGGATCTTCAGAATTTATCTCAAATTTTTATTCCCTCAATCCAAAATAACTCACAACTCAATCCGTTCATTAAGACGTTGAATAAGAATATCCTTCAATTCCAATTCTCTATTCAGCGCACTGATTAATCCTTCATATTTCGTGGTAGAATCTTCGAATACTCTGAAACTTCGATTATTGAAATGTTGAGGAGAAAACACATAAATTCAAAATTTGTAACGTACTTTCCCGGTGTTTTCTATGGTCGGAGAAATTGACAAAAACCAAAAACTTTTCAGAGCATTAGATACTCAGTCAAAAACTAGTACGCAGTTAATATACCAAAAGAAGTTTCTCGAATTTTTGTAGCCCAACCTTCAAAAAACCCTCAAAAATCACAAACTTTTTAAAATCCTCATTAATTTTCGTCGCTTCTTCAATTTTCTTCTCATATTCGTTTAGATTCTCAATATTTCTCTCGATCATCTTCAAATATTCTTCACAATTTTCGCATTTTTCCTCCGGTTTTTCTTGTTTTTCGAATTTCGGCTCAACTTTTTCTTCCGTCAATTTCGTAATAGTCGCAAATTTTTCTTGCAATTTGCGAAGTAATTCCATCTCGTCATCAGATTCTGAATCTGTTCCAGATTTCGATTTTGAATCTGCTTCTGATTCCGCTTCAGATTCCGAACCACAACATTGTTTTGAATGCATTCCTGGTTTTCGAATTTTCCGGAAAACCTCTTTTCCGTTAAGAGTTTTGAACTCAAAAACATTTTCAAACTTCTTTTTCAGCTTTTCCAAATCCTCTTTTATGATCTGGAAAAATTTGGGTTAAAAATTAATAAGACAACTTTTAAGGCTACAAAATTTAAAAAATCGATTTTTTGTCAAAATTTGAAAATGTTTCCCCTACCTTTGGCAACATTTTGAAATCATCAATCGAAATCACATTTTCATAATATTCACAAACCAAATCCTCAAATTCTTGAATTTCGATAAATTTTTGCGACGAAATATGGTGCAAAACCAAGCTGAAAATATATTTTTCAGTTTGGATTTCTGAATGATTTTTGGTAATCGGATGTCACAAAAATTATATAATTTTTGCAATTTTGATTTTTTCGTAGGAAAAAAAAACTTTTTTTTTATTTTTGAGATGTAAAATATGATTTTGAAACTATGTAAGCGAAGAGACAGGCGAAGAGACAAACAAACATTTGAAACTGTAAAAAAATGTGAGAAAATTTTGAAACAGTAGATTTTTTATTGTAGAAAAAATTATTTTTCTCGAAATGTTTCATTTCGCGTTGAATTTTTCGATTTTAGTCCGGAAAAATTTCTGTGCTCTAAATCAATGACAATCTATAAATCTTCTCCTCCCCCGTCCCAAAATTCTTTCACTAACTTCACATTATCAAAAACATTCTTCAATGTTCTTTCCACCGCTTTTTCATCCAAATTCGATTTCTTCACAATTTCCTTCTTCTCTTCTTTCTCTTCCACAGGTCTTCCTTCAATTTTCATTTTTCCAAGAATTTCATCTCTAAATTCAACCTCAAATCCTCCATCTTCTTTCATAATATCTTTGGGATCAGTTACAATTTGAACATTCTGCATTTGAGGATTATCTCTAAACATATCACCAAACATTCGTTCCAAATTTTCTCGAGTTTCTTCATCCAATCCTTCTTTTTCAAACATTTTGTGGGGTTTGTCTGATTTTTTTGGATTCGAAATCGAACTTGAAGTTGATGAAGTCTCAGTTTTCGGTGGTGGAGGTTCAGGTTTCGTAGTTGATTTATCAGTTTTCGATTCGGCCAAAATAGTCCAAGGATGTTTAGAAACAAGATCTGAAAATTGAATAGTATTTTCTGAAACTTGAAAAAATTGGCTCGAAAAACAATACGTTTTGTTCAACAATACGAAATTAGTTTTCTCAACTCATAAATTTTTTGAAACAGTAACTTTTTCCAGAAAACAAACTCACATTGATATTCCTCATATGCCGGAATATTTTCCTGATTTTTCTGCATCGTCAACATTGTCAAAACAAAATCATCGAAATTCACAAATTTGTTGGGCATTTGTGATAATGTTGTTTGCCATTTGATGAAATCTTCAGCTTTTTCCAAATTCACATGTGCCAAACTAACAGTCCACGCTTTCAGAACATTCGTTTTCAGCTGAAAAAATTTTGGGGGGAACTTTGAAAAATTCACGTGAAAATTGGGCTCAAAAATTCACATTTTTGCTATTTTTTTCACCCAAAAAGCTCCGATCAGAAAACAAACCTCTGGTTCATCCTCGAAAAACTTCTCAATCCAATATTTCATAAAAACATATCGAATTTTCCAGGCATCAATTTCTTCAATTTTTTCCGTTTCTTCATCAAATCCCATCAATTTCAAAAATAGTGCACTTCTAAATGTCACCGCAAATTTTTCATGACAAATTTGCTCCAAAAATGCAGTAAATTCGGATTTCGAAATCGTCTCATTATATCTTTTTTCATGGCAAATAGCTAAAGGAGTTCGATCATTTTTCTGCAAATTTTTCGAATTTTCGAATCAATTATTTTTCTAAAAAGATTCCTACACTTCTCTCTTTTTGATAATATTCTTCTTCCATCAATTTTTCAATCAATAATTCAACTTGTTCAAATGGCCAATATTCTCCATCATTTTCAACTTTTCTCATCTCAAAAAGAATTTTTTCACGGAATTTTCCTCTTGCTTTTATATTTTCATTGTGATCCCAATTGATATCACAAGCAAGGCGTTGAAAAATCAAATATTGAGCCTGGAAAAAAAATAGAATTTGGGTTGGAACTGTTTTCTGGATTTTCTGAATACCTGCGCATAATGAATACACGAAAATTTATGAGGTGTTCTCAAATGAATAGCATCATAACCCATTCTAAGAGGAAGTTCAATAATTTGTCGAGCAAAAAACATATCTGGCACCAGGGTGAATTTGCTCTTCTCAATTCCCAATTCTTGCATTGCTTTCTCGAATTCGCTGACTTTTATGATTGTTGCTTTTTCAGCTCGATACCATTTCATTTCCATTTTTTCGAGTTTTTCTGGAGGGAAAAATGGGGTTATTTTAGACAATTAGGAATTCTAACGAAGAAATTTTCAGTTTAAAACACTACATTTTCAAATTTCTGAACAAAAATGGTGTATTTTTCACAAGAATTTTTCACGAGAGAGGCATTTTAGAGCTCTCAGCTTTTCAGATATCAGAAAAAATATTTGAAATCGGGAAAAGTTTGATTCTTCAAATTTTTGAGAAAAAGTCAAAATTCAAAAATGAAAAATTATTAAAATAAAATCTCATCAAAAAGATTCAAGTCAATTTTTAAATTCAGAATTTTCTAGGCTTCAAAAACATTCTGAATTTCCCGGGTTCAATATTCTAACTCCCAAAAAATTCCCCATCTGAAAATTCCTTACGAGACATCGCTGCAAATCGATTTTCCTCATGCAAAATACATTCAAATGCTTCCATAACCTCATCACAAAAAACATGCCATTCCTTCTGATCTTCAATTTTCATCTCACACATACTTCTCAACACAATCTTTCGTTTCTCTTTCTTTTTCGAATAATCAGTCAAACTTCTCAATTCACCAAAAATCAATCGATAAATCATTTGAGCGTGTCGACAAACTTCAAAAACTTCCGTCATTAAATTGCACAAAATGCCGTTTTTCGTGGCTCCCGGATGAGTTTTCAAATTTTTCATAACTTTATCAATGATTTCTCCATTCTTTTCCGATTTTGGATACATTTCATAAAGACCTCTTCGAACATCACACCATTTGATTTCTCGCGTTTGAAGATAACTGTTTTTTTGAGCTCGCACTCGATCAATTGCATTTTCAATGACATCTGCAAAAATTTCAACAATTTTTAGGAAAATTTCAAACGTGAACTGAAACACAACGTGAAAATTCAGGAAAAAACCGCTCATTTTCTAAAATGATACAATTCAATATTATCCATATTTTCCTAATAATCTATGCATTCTCAAATTTTCAAACATCAGCCGATCCACTTGAAACCTTTTCAAATTTGGAAAAGGAAATCGATGCAAAGCTCAAAGAATACAATTTGGGCGAATATTATTTCACAGCCAATTTGATTGGGGCATATATTGTAGAGGTTAAAATTGATATAAATGGAACAGACAAAACCCCCAAGCCTAACTCGTCAGGTATGATATCATTTTTGAAATGGGGTCTAGAGTTTAGGTAGAAACCAGATTTCTGTTAATTTTTTTTGCCTAGGGAAAAAATAGGGCCAAGAATCCACGTGGAAATTTAAAAGTTCAAAAACTTTGGCACCAAGAATCCATTTAAATCCGGAAATTTCAATTCCAGATGTCAAAAAATCAATGTTAGATTTTCTCCAAAAAATTGCCAAACAAAAACTGGAAGCTGAGAAAAAAGCAAAACAAGCAAAACGTGAAAAACGCGATCAAGATGAACAATTTTGGAAATTTTACAATGATGCAATTCAATTTTTGGATCAATATGAAGTTTCGGTGAAATATTCAGAAAACTTAGAAAGATAAAAAATAAATAAATTTTCCCCGCTCACCTTGATACATTTTATTCGATTTCTCACAAATCTTCTCAATTTCACTCTCTTCAAAATAAAAAATGCGAGTATTTTTCATTTCTTCCTTTTTCGCTTCTTCATTAAATGATAATTTGAGTATTTCTCTTTGATTTTCTTCTGCATTTTCAACAATCGAATCCATTACAATACCCAAACAACAATCATTATCCGCATAACTTTTTCCATTTTTTGCAACAAGTTTGAAATCAAATCTATTTCGATATTCGATATAAACAGCTTCCAAATATTCTTCTCTTGTCATTTCAAGAACTTCGGGCATTTTATTGATCGGAGTTTTCGGGATTTGTGTTTCTTTCTGACATTCACAAACTAATCGACGCATAAGTCCACAAGCTCCTTGATTATGCATAAATTTTGTGTACTGCAAAAAAAAAATAATTTGGAGCTCTTTCCACCAAAAAAATTCCATTTTTTCGACAAAAATTATTTTTCACTGTTTCAAAATTATTTGGAATATGAAACGATCAATAGCGGAATCTGCCGAAAATTAGAATTTTCAATGAACATTGAATTTAAATACATTCCGTGTAACAAAAAATTCCTCTTGAGCCGCAGTTTGAAAATTCGTATTGTTTGAATTCATAACTTTCTGTTGAAATCTAATTTTCGAGCAAATTTCGAAATCACAAACCTTCGGATTCGCCGCGAAAAATTGCAATCTAACACAATGCTCATAAATTTTGTGCACATATCTCATCGAAATATCATTTTCCAATCCAAAAGTTTTCAAAAAATAAAAATGAATTGCTTCAACATTTTCAGGATTCAATCCAAAATTCGGCGACATCTTCAAAACCTGCTTGATCGCCTCAGATTTTTCAAATTTCTCAATTTTCTTTGAAATTTCATAAACTTTTTCTGTTGAATAAACTTCAAGTTCCTTATAAACTCGCTCAACGATTTCATCAATTTTCCAAAGTTCAATGAAATATCGAGTTTTCTGAAAAAAAGATAAAGCTTACAAGGAAAAACAATAAAACAATTACCCTGGTATCATTAAAAACATCGTGTAACTTTGAGAACCATTCAAAGATTTTCGGAACATTTTGTTTGTTGACAGTTTGAAATAATTGCAAACCAGTTGAAACATTATCGAAAACTTCATAAAATGCGTCAGTTGCCAATTTACAATGAGTTCCATATTGAGTAATGATTGGAACTGCGATATTTCGACTTGTTCTTTCGATATCGTGTTCGATTATCTGGAATATTGGAGGTAAACTCTAGAAAGGGATTTCCAAAATCAAAAATTTCCCCCAGAAATCCTCCTATCAGCAAAATACTCACATTCAAATCATCAACAGTTAATCCGAGTGTTTTTAAAATGCTCTCAAACTTTTTCCAATCAACAGACATCAAAATTCCTCGTTTTTTATCTTCAGCTGTTTCAATTGGACAAATTCCAGCCGCCAAATTTTTGTTCTTGAATTTGTTTCTCAATGCAAGCGTGAGTGCAAATTCCAAATCTTTGGCCAAGAAAAATCGATTATTTTCCTCGTTGAAAACACGAACAACCGCGTAATGAGTTTTTAACGTTTTCTGGAAAAAGATAAAGAAATTAGAAATATTTAATTTCAGGTGCTTTTGATACCTTGATCTTGGAATATGGTTGAAAAACCATCGGAAATCTATTTGTAAGAGTTCCAATAGCATCTTGAAATAAGACAAGTTTCAAATACAGTGCTTGATAGAATTCCTCATGTTTTCCAATTGGCTTCGTTTTATTATATTCAATCAAATGTTGTCGAAGTTTAACCAACAATTCTTTGTCATTTTTCTCATCGAAAAACTGCGAGAAAATCGAATATGCTTCATCAACTGAATGATTTGATAATTTCAATCCTCGTTTTGATATTCGAGTCATTAATTGCATTGATCTACATGAGTTGAAAACATCAGTCGAAGCAGAACAAACACTATCAACAATATCAGTCGGAATGATTTCGTAGCTGTTTTTCATTTGTCGAAAAATTGCATTTCCCAATGACATTAAAAGAAGATTGTGAACTTCATCACCTGCATCAATAAATGAGGAGAAATTCTTGAAAATCAAAAAATAAACATCATTCTTCGGCATAAATTCCATTCTTTTTGTGTCTTGCATATATTTCGGGGAACCAAGATAATTGAATTGATCTTTCAAACCAAGAAACTCTCCATTATTCTGGAAATGTGATAGAAGTGTGATATCATTCATGAGTTGCTCAACAGGTCCGTAAATATCAAGTTTTCCTTCTGATTTATCCATGAGACGTTGAAGATATGGAACTGCTTCTTGTGGACTGAAGATTGCTTCATTTCGACCATCTTCCAGTTCTTTTTTGCTTTTCGCAGATAGTCGCTGAAAATGAACGTTTGCTTTGTTTTTGAATTTTTCTGAAACTAACCGTTCGAACGACATACTTCTCGACAACATTCAGTAAGGTTTTGGTCGTCCAGCGTGTTTCACGCAATGATCGATCCATAATCTGGAATCAAAGCTTTGTTTCAACTACAGTTCAGAAAAGGTTTTGAAAATTGCGCGCGAAAAAAATTCAAAACACGAAAATGTGTGAAAGTGCGTCGCGGTGTTTGCAGAAACCGTATTTTTCATTCAAGGAACATTCATTTTTGTGTGAGACTCTCAAAGATTTTTCTCGCTCCTTTAATATTTTTTTGTTTCTTTTTTTTTTCTTTTTTCTGTTCGCTTTCGGCCTAAATTTTGCGAATAGCTATGTTAGCGCCACTGTTTTGAAAAATCACTTTTCAATTTCTTACCTAGAAGCTGACTGAAACAGTTCCAGCATCGGTTCTCTTCGTTTTTCCCATTGTAGAACTGAATTTCGTTTAGCTAGAAAAACTAAAAGTGAGAAATGTTCGATGCAAAGTGTTGGCAATATTTAGGTCTACGTAGACAAATCGATTTCACGTTATTTTATTGATTTATTCATTTCTTGAGTGCTAATTTTTCAGAAATGGGTAAAATTAGTTTCACCGAAACGCACTTCACGACGGGAATTCTCCTGGAAGTCTTGGAACGTTACGTTGTACGAACTGTGAGTTGCTTTCCATAAATTAAAAGCAAAAGAAAATATATGTTTTCAGCGACTTTTACCGTGTGATCGAAATGCGTTAGGCGATCTGAATAGCAAAGAATTCTTCGACTCGAAAAAAGCGGCGATTTTATTGGATCGCCTTGTTGAAAAAGCAAATGGAAGATTGGATATTTATGAACCAACAACAGCTTTAGTCAATGATCTCATCACAATTCATACATTTCCAAATAATTCGGAGTTTCTTGGAATGGCCGATCAAATCAATGTTTTGGCTTTGCCACAATATTTGCAAAACACAAAAGGAGTTGAATTCCTTTCAAAAAATGATATTTATTTGTTAGTTTTCCGCAATTATTCAATGTTATCTGGTGCCGAAGATCAAATCTCATTATTAGTTCTTCATTCGCTAGGAAACAAAATTTCTCGACAACTCAAAAACTGTTATGAATTGATACCTTCCACTTTGGTTGATTCTGTTTGCTCGTATTGTATGGATGTTTTTCGAACTGATTCTGTTCGTCAAATTATTGGAAAAACAAGGGAAAGAGGATTGAGATTGTCGAAATATACAGTTGATGAATTATTTGGAAAATTTTCCGAATATTTTGATGAGGCTTTTGATGGAAAATTGTTGAAACAATTGAAGCAACTTTTAAATGTTTATAACATGGTAAATTAAAATGAGTATTGATTTGTCACTGTTTATAATTTATTCTATTTTTCAGACAAAGCCAATTCGATCAAACGAAGAGTTCTACGAAACAGTTCAAATGAAATTCGTTATGATGATTGAAGGCGTTTCTGCCCTTGTTGATAAATTTCCCAATGTTTTTCAACCATATTCTCATCCTCAAAATCGTCTCAAACAACATTATGCAGTTGTTCGCGTGTTTCTTGATGCAGATGACAAGTTTTTCATTGCAAAAGATTTGGAATATGCGTTGAATATTGCATTGAAAAATAAAACGAAATCAAAATTGCCAGCTGGTTTGATAAAACTTGAATTGCCAGAAGAGAAGAAATCTGGAATTTTGAATTCGGTGTCATGGGAAGAATTTTTGAAAATTCTGGAGACTTTGAAATTATCGATTGAGGATTTGAATGTGAGAACTTTTCAAGACAACAGAGCTTTTAAAAACTTGGATTTCAGATAATCGAACATAAAATCCGCCGAACGACTCGTCAAATCGCAGTCTCTCTAATCTCCCAATATGGAACTCATTGTAAACTTGCAAGTGATGCATTTTTCGAAGTTTTCGAAAATGTTTCAACCGGATTACGATTGTTTCAAACTGTCAGCAAAGCAAATTTACCGAAAGTTTTTGAGTGGTTTGCCGATTTACACGGTGTTTTCAATGATTCAAAAGAGGGACGATATTTTGTGGAAACTTGGAAAATTGATCAAATTATTGATCGGGTTTATAAAGAATTGAATGATTATGCAGTTGGGGTAAGTTAATAATAAGGAAACAAACTTTACATCAAACAATTTCCAGCGTGCCTACGATCTTCCAAACAAATTCAACATTGGTTTCACGAAAGAACAAGTCATCCAAGAAATCAATCGATTTTCTCCAAATTTCAAATTAGATCAAGAACATATCGCTTCAATGCACTTCAAAATTATCAACAATTATGCAATGACTAATTTGACACCTCGATTTATTCATCAAATTTATGAACATTGTGTTCGATTGGAATTTCTCGCAAGAAATCCACGTTTTGCCAAGTTTATTCATAATCAAGGAATTTGCAGGATTTATCAAAGATTTGTTTGTGAATGTGCAAATGAGGAAGATTTTGTGGTAATAAAATAATAGAGTTTTCAAAAAAAATCATGTTTTTTTCAGATGGCTTCTGAAACTACGAAAAATCTGGAAATTCTATCAGCCAAAAATGTGGAAGCAAATCATATCAAATTCAAAGATGGATATAAATATTCACTTGTCGCTGAAAATGGCACAAAATATTATGACAATGAAACATGTTTCTACATGGCTCTTGATAGAACTCTTGATCATATGGATTCGAATAATCAAGAATTACTTGGGCTAACTTATAAAGCACAATGTTTGAAACAAGAAATGAATCCAATATTGATGAGAGATAGTATTTTTTATTTGACAGAAGAAGAGGTTCATCAATTTTGCAATGAGATTCGACAATTTTATGATGATTCGATTAAAATTGCGACTGCTCGAGGAGAAGCTCAAAAAGCAAGTGTAACACAAACATATGAAATGGATTGGGAAGAAGTTTGGAAGAGTTTTCGCGCATATTTTCCTGGCTCTGAAACGAGTGCTGAAGTTGGCGCGATGTTTGAATGTGTTAAACGGAATTTGAAGCGAAGACAAAATGCGACGAAAAAAGGATTGGTTGGAAGTTTTGCGACACAATTGACATCGATTTGTCGACACGGACAATTGACATTTCAAAGATGCGCGGAAAGATTGAAGAATTTGAAAGATTTTATGACAAAAGATGAAAAATATAGGAATCGAAGGATTATTTTGAGAATGATGTCGGAAATGAGGATTCAGGATAATAAATTATGGCATATGTTTACGACTGAGGTTTTTAAAGCCATGAAAATTGTGTTGAGAATTGAGAAAAGGCTTCATCTTATGAGCGGTAAGGTTTAACTTCAAAGCTTCTAAGGAAAGAACTGGCTAAAAAATTGTTCTATAAAAAATACTATGAATATTTTTGACAATAGAAAAATTTAAAAGCGGTATCTGAAATTGCGAGCGAAATTTGATTTTTCGAGTTTTCATTTCTATACGATATTTTTTCCTTCCAGATCGTATCGAAAAATGGGAAATCGATTGGTATGACAGTGAACATTATACTGTAATGGGTGTTGCTGGTTTAGAGCCGATGTTACGAGTTCTTGGAATTGATATGGATAAATTCTTGATTGTTCCCGATATTCATTTCACGAAAAATATGGCAGAATTGCCGTTGAAAATGAATTATGACACTGTTTCGGTTCTGGCACCAAATACTGAATTGGCTTATCATTATACACAGGTTTGTAGTTTTTTTTTGTGGATTGAATTTTCAAAGTTTCACTGTTTCAAAAAATCTAATACATTTTCTGGATATCATGAGTTTTTGATACCACAATTTTCAAGAATTTTTTTTTTCACTGTTTCAAGAAATTTATAATTTTCTCGATATTTTTTAATTCTTAATTCTGCCTCTTCAAGTTGGGATCACTTATTAAAATATTGTTTCTAACATTTTAAGACTTTCTGAAAATTTGGAATTTTTGCCCTAAAAATAATGAGCCAAGAATGTTCATTAGAAGAAAAATTCTCCTATATTTCAGGCTCAATTCCGAGTGTTCCAATTCATTGCATGTGATATTAATTGGAATGTTGCCAGTCTTGATTGTTGTAAACATGCAAATAGCACAAATGATTTCAAAAAAGAGGTGAAAAATCAAATGAGAAATCTGAAAAACGGCTATGTTTCTGCAAATGAAGTTGAAGGAGTTATGAGAAGATTAGCAGATGATGACACATATTATGCTGGAAGACATCGAGATCTTCGAACTCCTCTTAATTTATTGCATGGAAAGAGATATAACGAGACAATGACAAAACACGAATTTTTGAAATTGGTTCTAGAAGTTTGTAATGATCCAATTCCAATATCAATGGCTTTTCATTCTCATCAATTGACACAAGCTTTAGCATATGAAGATTTGAATGATAGAGATGAATATGAAGTTTGGAGAATTAAATATGTATTTATGGATCATTGGATTGATTGGGTTTTGGATGAAGAAGAAGATGAGAGTTTGAAAATGGATGTTCAAACTGCGTGGACTGTTTGTTTGGGACATTTGAAGATTTCGAGTTTTAGCGAATTGAAAAGATGGAGAATGTCTGTTGGAGAAGTTTGTAATGATTATACGGATTTGAAATTGTTGAATAATTGTTTGAAAATTGTGAAAAAGAATGAGGAATTTAATGCGAAGTTCAAAGAGGATGGTGAGCACATTTTCAAAGTTTTTTCTTACTGAAAATTGAAAAATTTTCGATGATTTTTTGAATTTTTCATCGGAAAATTGAAAATTTTATTTCGGAAAATTGATAATTTTAAGCCAAGTTAGGCTTTTTCACAAGAAATCGATTTTTTGAGATAAACTAGATTGAGAGTTGAATTTTGAAATATTGAAATTCATTAAGTTCGGACATAGCTAATTCCGAAAATATGAATGTTAGCTTTTCAGCTAAAGTTTGGTTTCGAATGTTGAAAAAATTGTAAAATCATGTTCTCAAAAATTTCTGAAAACGCAGAAAATTTTAGAAGTTATTTTTAAGCAAAAAATTAGATTCAGAAGGTCGAAAAAGTAGAAATTAGTTTTCTTATTTTCTGAAAATTTCACTGTTTCAAAAATTTTACTTTAAAACTTGCTAGATTTATTTTGATGATTTCTCCATTCTTTATAAATCACAAATAAACAACATACCAATTTCCAGATCTGGTTATAAAACATCATTGGGATAGAACACAACACAAAAAGAAGACCAATTATACAACTCATTCGCATTCTCATTCTCATTCAAATTCTTCATGTTCTACAACAAATACGAAAGCACAATCTTCGACTCCTGCAAAATCAGAAAAAGAAAAACCAAAAGACTCGGAGAAAACCGAATTCTCAACTTTGAAACGTGGATTTTTCAACAAACCAGCTGCTGCTCTCAAAAAACCAGTCGAAACTCCGAAAAAAGTTGAGAAAAAGAAAAAGACAGTGGAAGAGGTTTTGGACAAATTGCACGATAATTTACCGTAAGTTCTTCGAACTCAATTTTTTGAATGAGTAATTTTTTTAGGAAATTGTTGGGTTATATTTGTGATGATGATTTTGAGCCGATGGAAATGTTGGAAGAATTGATTGAAGAGCATTTGAAAGGAGTGTTGGATGATGAAGATTTTGATTGTTTGACTTTGGTGAGATTTTTAGGGTCCATAATTACCGGCCCAAAATTAATTTTCAAATTTCAGATCATGCAAGAAAACTCGGAGCTCAAAAAATTGGAGAAGAAACTCGAAAAATATCTAGACTTCAAAATTGATGGCGGTGATCATTATTTTAAAAGAAAACGATGTGCAAGTTGTTCGAGTAGCGAAGAATCTGAAGAAGAGGAAGAAGATGAAGAAGCTAGAGGTGGAGGATTGCAACAACATTTGGAAAGAATGTTCAAAAGATTGAGCGATGCGAAAAAGGCGGAAGCGGAAAAAGTGAAAAATCAAAAGAAGGAGAAATCGACACCGGTGAAACGCAAAGAATTTCCCATCAAAAATATTGTGTCACAAGCAGCAACTCAAAAACCAGCAGCGGAACCTGCTCCTGCTCCAACAGCCCCAGTGGCTCCGCCTCCACCACAACAAATCATCAAAAAAATTGTGACGGAGACAAAAATAGTGGAAACTTGTGAGAAATGTCGTGATATTAATCAGGAAACTGCGGTGAACTCGAGAAAAATCGAGAGTTTGGAGAGAAGAATTGGAGAGTTTGAGAAATTGGTGCAGAATAAGGATGCTGATATTGGAGTTATGAAAAGGTGAGCGTTTTTGGGCTGAAATAAATTTTGCCGAAAAATGGGAGTGCAAGTGGACTTTTCGTGAAAATCAGCAATAAAATTCACTATGAAATCTTCCTAAAAACAGAAAATCAATATTAGGTCGAAATGTAAACTAGAAAAATTTTCTTCCACAGTGTTTGATAATTTAACGAATTTTTGAAACAGTAGATTTTATTACAAACGAAAATTAAAAAAAAACCTGACTAGAACCAGAAAGTCTCTAAACTTTTTCACAGAAAAAATCCAACAGTACAAATTCAGAAAAATCTACTGTTTCAAACATTGGCAAATTTTCGAAATTTATATATATATATTTATTCAGATAGTTTAAGTATGCATACACACAATGAATAGAGATAAAAAACATAATAAGTTCCAATGGGGAGTAAAATAGTTATAGGATATTCACATGAAAAAAAGGGGGTAAAGGTTTAAGAATGGGGGCTAGAATTTCAGATGTGGAGATCATTGGAAAAAATAAAATTTTCAAAACATTGGCAAATTTTCGAAATTTCTCGTCAGTTCTGCTACCATTATTTTGAGTGAATCCTAAAAACCAAAATTGCCCATATAAACTTCTGCTCATTTTTCTGTTTCTGGAAATCTTGTCTAAAATTTGCTAAACTTTAAAATATTCAAATTTTGCAGTCAAATCGCTGAGAACAAGAAGAAATACCGTGATGAAATTCAAAATCAAAAAGAGGAAATCACAAATCGCGACTCGAAAATTCAACAACTTCAACAAGAACTCAAAGAAGTTTGCGAAGATTTGAGAACTGAAAGAGAAAGTTTGTATACGGAAGCTGAGGAAAATTCGAAATTGTAAGAATTTTTCAGATTTCAGATTAACTAACTGAAAATTGAATTTTAGGGCCAATGAGAATGTGAGAAAAATGAAAATCGAATTGGAAAATACGAAATTTGTTGAGAAAAATAAGACGAGACAATTGGAAGAAATGAAAAAAGAAAATGAACAACTCAAATTACGAATTCAAATCTTTGAAGAAAATCGAGAAAATCAAACAGAACTTTTGGAAAAAGATCAGAAAATCAAGGAACTTGAAGAGAAATTAGAAGAATTGGAGAATTCGAAAAAATTGGAAGAGGAAAAGAATGAACTTTTGGAAAGTTTCGAGAAACGTATGATTGATTTACAAGAACAGAATTTCGTATCGGCTGAAAATTATGAGAAAGAATTAGAGGAAAAGATGTTTTATATTCAATCGATTGAGGAGAGACTGGCAAAATATGAATCGATTTATGATGAGAATCAACGAGCAAATCAATATATTCAACCTAATCCACATTCTCAATTATTTACAGCTGCTGATTATTTGGAACATCGTAAAATGCAGGAAAAATTGGAAGAATTTGAGCATATTTTGAATTTTGATAAAGATCAATTAATTGCTTCTGTTGAGAAAATGGTTCAAAAATTCATCGAAAAATGTGGAAATCCTCAAGAAATTCTAAACGCACGTGCTGAATTTTCGAATTTCATACGAAAATATAATATTTATCGAATTATAATTGAGGAGGAATACGAGAAGATTTGTCAGAATCCAGAGTTGAGATTTGAGGATTTGAGAGTTCCCGATTTTCCGCAACCATTTTCGAGTGGATTTGCTGAGAAATATGAGGAGGTTTTGAAGAAATGGGAGGAAAAAGAGATGAATTATGAGGTTGAAGAGAAAATTTATTATGGAGAAGAAGAAGGTGGAAGAGAATTGGAGGTTTGTTGGGTTTTTTTTATTGAAAATGAGAAGCTTACATAATTTTTTCAGTGATTTTTTTGTTCGAAAATAGCAAGTTCGATTTTTTTTTAAATTTTCAATAAAAAAACAGGTATAAAAAATCACTGTTTCAAAGTTTTCATGAATTTTGAATTACTTTTCGGAAACTAATGAATTACTGGTTGTCTTGATTAAATTTACTGTTAAAAAAGTGTTCAAATCAATATGAAATTTAATTTTCCTTTGAGAATTTCAATTTTTTCAGGACAAAGAATGTTTGATATGTGCCACCGATGTTCGTCCACATCAACATTTCACAAAATGCACAAATTGTTGCCGAAAATATCATTCAAAAGTGAGTTTTTATCAAAATGATTGTTAAATTTTCAAATATCGATTTTTTTACACGAATTTTCCCAGGGAAAAAATATCACTAAATTTTTCAGTGTGTTTCGGAATGGTTGAAAATGAATTCGATTTGCCCAGTTTGCCGTAGCTCACTTCCAGATCCACAAGAATTTCCAAAACTTTGAAAACGTTTTTATTTTTTATATTTGTTCCCTCCCCAAATTTCCACCCAAAGTTATTGTTCTGTTGCCCTTTTTTCTGTTTCAATATTGAAAAATCAATAAATGCTTTTATAATAAAATATGTCGATGTGTACATAATAGAGAATGTTATCACTTTTTCCATAGTTCATGTTGGCAGCCGGAAAAATATGAAATTTTTCATAATTTTTGGTCTGTTTTTAGGAATTTATACAGTTTCTGCGTTGACTACAAAAGACGATACTCATGTGAGTTTTTTGTTTGAAATTTTTCTGAAAATTTGAATTTTTTGCAGGTTGGCCGAGTTTTGTCATTTGAAAGTGTTTCAACTTTAACATGTTTTTTTGAGCCGCTGGAATCTGAGATGTTTTTGACAATTGCGATGAGGGTGAGAAGTTTTGGGCAGAATTTTAAGCATAAAAATTGGGTCATATGAGTTTTGATCTGGAAAAAAATCTGAAATTGTTATTTTCAATTAAAAAAATAATTTGCTCTGGAATTTTCAGCATTAAAATTTGGTTACAAATAGAATTTCCATTCTGAAAAAATCTGAAATAAAAATTCAGCTTTTGTGCCAAGAAATTTCGAAAAAAAATAAAATTTTCTCACAATCAACAAAAAAAACTGTGCAAGAAAAAGGGCGTGGCCTCAAAATAATCAATCTTTTCGAGGGAAAACATTTTTATAAAAGAAATTTTGGGATCCATTTTTAACAAAAAATTGGTTGGTTTTAAAGGTTTTATTCTGAAAAATAGAAATTTCGTTTTAAAAAATTTTTTCTGAAAAAAAATAAATATTTTGACGCCAGAAATCCCCAATTTTTTCTCAAAAAAAAATACGTTTCAAACTTTTCATAACAGTTTTCGAATTTCATCCAATTCTGATATTATCTTGCGATATACTTCTAGACAAAATTACATATGATTTTTTTTCAGCCAACTTTCGATTCCGGTTATCAGATGCAATTTCGGGTAACTTCTCCAAGTGGAGAATGGTCAGAATGGGCGAGTGGAGATGGTGATGCTTATATGGAACATAATACAACTGAAAATGGTGAGCAGACTTTTTATGCAGACAAAAATCCACGTCGCAAATTCCAAAAAAAAATTTCCAGGTGCCTACGAGATCTGTCTTTATACCCGTCGCCCAATGCGTGTCAATATGTTTCTTCAATTTTACAATCCAGAAAAAGCCAAAAAATCTCTCGATTCTTTTATCGAAGCAAATCATTTGAGTAAAAGTATTCAGGAATCAATTATGGAAACAACTAATCGCATTTATAAAATTTATTATACACTCAAATTTCAGAATCAGGTTGGTTAGAAAATCACGGAAACATTTTTTGAGCTGAAAATTAGAATTTTAAAATTTTTGACGTAGATTTAGAGTAGTTGAAGATTGTCAAAAACTGCGAAAATCATTTTTGAAAATGACTTATGACGTGGAAAAATTTGTGGATTCTGAAAAACAAGGATTTCGCAAAGATCAATATTGATTCCAAAAAGTTCTTGTTATTTCAATTTTTCCCGAGCCTCCAAAAATTGTGAACTTTTTGCTTAAAAAAATTGGAAAAGTCAATAAAATTTTTCACTGTTTCAGATTCATGTTATAGTTTTTGTTATGAGATACATTTTTCGATCGACTTTTAACAGACACAACATAGTTTTCTAGATTGAAATTTTGCGCTGGAAATCAGAAAAACCTTGATACGACCTTCAAGAATTTTCTTCAGATGATCTACAAATTTCTGTGACGAAAGCTTTAGAAGCTAAAAAATTGTTTATGGCTGAAATTTTATGCTGAAAATGAGAGAAAACTTGATTTCCTGAAATTGTCATGATTTTCAGACTTTTCAGCACAAAATTTGAGTCTAGATCGAGATTTTTTAGCTTCTGGAGTTTTTTATAAGCGGATAGAGCGATTTTCTAACTGAAAATGTTTTTCATGGCTTTTCCACGATATTAAGAGTTGAGATAAGTTGTCTTTGACAAAAAGTCTCTGATTGGAATTTTTATCTCGAAAATTTAGAAAACAACTCCAAATGTTCAACCAAAAAACCGAAATTTCAGTTTTACATGAAAAAATTTCACTGTTTCAAAATATTTCTAAAGAAAATATTAATTTTTGGTTTGTTAGTTCACTGCTTGTAAGTCTACTACTTAAATATTGCTCAAAGTCTTTGTACTTTTTTTTGCTGAAAATCTGCCTTCTACTATAAAATATTTGTATAATAAAATTATGAAGAAAAAAAAACAGTTCGAAATGTTTCCACTTTTCAGATGGTTGTTCGAGATGAAGCTCTTCAAGTCAAAAATGGTGATTATATAATGCATTATTCTCAAGTTTTCAGTGTTTTTGCTGTAATTATAGCACTTTTTCAGGTGTATTTTGTTAGGAAAATGTTCAACGTAGATACGACTAAAATTAGAATTTGATTGCAATTTTTTGAAATAAATTATTAAATAAATGAATCATATCAATTTTCACGTGACATTTTTCACGTGAAACCAAAAAAACCCCCAGCCAGCTGGCAAAATTTCATTTCAGTAAAAAACTAGTGGTTTCCGGGCGTGTTGTTCAAATTTGTCCATTAACCACCCTGGCGTAACACTTGGCGCAAAATTAATTTAAAAAAACATACGTTCAAACCAATGTTCATACTGATTAGACATAGTCTGGGCCTTCGGCCCATACTTAGCTAAGTCTAAGCGTGATCAAAGTCTGGCCAGAAGGCCCATACTAAGACTAAAAGGCTAATTCCCTCACAGTTCAAGCAAGCGGATGAAAGGCGAAAACAAATTATCAACGATAGCGATTTCCCAATATTTATTGAAAATAAAACAATAAAAAGTAATATTACCAATAAGTTGAATTTCCGATTGTCGATGTCCTTGTTGATGTCGACATCTGAAAATTGTTGAATTATGATTGATATGAGAAAATGATAATTTCATCGAAATTTTTTGATAATTTGGAGTTTAGGTCAATAATAATTGTTTGTCTCTGAAAGTGTATATTATTGGAAAAACAATTTGGCAAAAAAGCGAGGACAGAAAGAAATATCATTCAATTTCGGATTTGAGTAGTTTTTCAACTTCTAAACTGGATCATAAATCGATGCTTATTCTGAATGTTACAACTAAAATTCTCATTAATATCATTATTTTTCATTTTTCTGATTTTCTAAGCTTGGCCGTAAAATTTTCAATTTTTCTTGAACTTGAAACTTGAATTTTTTCGAAAAACCGCCAAATTTATTTTTTTGAGTTCAAAAAACATTGGCAACTTACAATTTTTGAATTAAAAAATTTAGAGATTTTTAAAAATTTGAATTATATTTTAAAATAGTGTTTGAATTCAACACTTGAAATGAATTGCGAATTATTTTAAATTAATCTTAAATTTGGAGTCAAATGTTTTTTTTTCAAATTAAAAATTAAAAGTTTATTGGTTTTGAAATTGTATGAGAAATTACGATGAAATTCATAGGAAACTGTTTTTTCGACGATGAAATGAGCACTTTTTGTTAGAAATTTATTGTCGTCTGTTTTTGTTTTTTTTTTTCTTTACATTTTGAGATTCAGAAATGAAGCTAGGATTTTTGTTAGAAAAAACCCAGGTGTTTATTACCGAAGAAGGTTTTTGGTATGGGAATTATCTTAAATTTTTATTTTGATTTCAAAAAGCAATTTTTATTGTTGAAAAATTATTTTAGAAAAAAACTCACATGAGGTTTCCGCGTGACGAGTTCCCCGGTTCATCAGCGCCATTGTTTTTTGACCTGTAAGAATGTTTTTATTAAATTTGAAATCTGGCTTTATGAAAAATGTGATTTCACATTAAGAAAAAGTAAATTTCTTATTTTATATTTCTATGCTGGTTGTAAGATGAATATAAGAGGCTTTAATTTTCATTATTCGGATAACTTCATCAAATTTTTTGAAAATAGTTTAATCCTTGTACAATTGTCATCGAGCATTTAAAATCTACAAAATAAACGTACATTCTAAAATTATGTACAAAAATTCGAACAAATATAAAAAAAAATCATTAAAAAATTTCAAATCCAATTTTCTCACTTGCTTCAATGTTTTTATTTTGTATTAAGTTCAAATGTTTTTAATAAGGAGGATTTATAAACTTGATGTTGGGGAACAAAGAGATTTAACAACAAAATAAAATGTAAACTTTCCAGGAAACCCCGAAAAATGTACATTTTTAAAATAAATGTTTCATGAAAACATCTAGAAAAAATGTACATTTTTAGGAAATCCCCGAAAAATTGACATTTTGCGTGAAAAATTTTTCCAAAAAAATGTGCATTTTTCAGGGTTCTCTTTAAAATTTACATTTTTATTTTTTATTTTCACGTCAAATTGCAGACATGGAAAAAGTCTGCTTTTTATTGGTATTTTGAGAAGCAGAAATGAAATAATCGAGAGAGTCCGAACTGATTCGCGTGTAGATAAAAATGTAGGGCATCACGCTCAATGAAAACATTCATTTCCCAGAAACAGTTTCATAAGAAACGGAAAGGGAATATTTGTTTTCTCGTGACCCCTCATCTTTTTTTTTGTCAAAAAATGTACATTTTTAGGAAATCCTCAAAAAATTTACATTTTCACGTCGATTATTTCTTCCAAAATGTGCATTTTTTGGGATTTCCTGAAAAATTTACATTTTTTCTACCCTCTTTTTAATTAATGATTTAAATAGTCTTTTATTTGGAAGCTTTTGACTGGAATTTTTTTGATGTGGAAGCTTTTGAGAAAGAGAAAAAACTATTTTTGCAAAAATAATATACATTTGAAAAATTTGTATTTTTTTTTTGGTTATTATCAAAATTTGATTATTTTTTGAACATGTACAGTTTTCGGGAAGAATTTGAAAATATTTGTTTCTAAATAAAAATAATGAAAATGAAAGCCTCTTATATATAGAATGCGCTGTTGTGAAAAATTCAGATTTCTGTGAATTGCTAATAATCTCTGACCGCTGCTGAAAAACCTGAGAAAAATTGCGATCATGGGCCATGTTCTAATTTTCATTAGAAAAGTTCGAACCAAGTTGTATTTTTCACTCCAATTCAACCTTTTCAGTATTTGGCCGCATCCTATAACTTATTCCATCTAAAAATAACAAAGTGCTCGAAATCGACCAAAAATTGGAATCGATTGGAAATGGATGAATAAAAAAGACATGGCTGATAATATTTCAGCTCATCTGGAAAAAGGAACTTAGAAGAAATCAGCTCCGTTCTAGGACTTCACAAGGAACGCCCTAGAGAAACTTAGCAGCGTTCAATGTTCAATTTTCTTCAAAGTATGAACCGAAGATTTCTAGAAAACCACTGTTTTCCTAATAACTGATAGAAGCGCATGTTTCTCAAATAGAGCAGTTTGTCTCTTGAGAGTGAATAACTCACTTCTTTCCCTTGTTGACCATATCCATGTGGTTTCAAGTGCAGCGCCTGGAAAAGAAACGTTTTTTTTAAATATCAAATAGAAAGTTGAGTTTGACTTACGCATTGAAACCTCCAAAAAAGGCGACAAAAATTGAATGAAAAACGAAGTAAAAGAAGAAAAAAAAAAGAAAAAATGCACACGCCACTCGAGTGTTACAGTACTCTCGCGCGACAAGACCCAAAATTTCAACAAATGGCTGTCCCTTTTTTCGACGAAACCAGCCGTTTTTGGTTTTCTTTTTTTTATGTAAAGAAGATCATGCTGAAAAAAGGGACATTTTTATATTTCTACGAAGATTTGGATGAAAATAGTCAGATTCCTCGACATATTTGGGCTATTGAAAATCATGTGATGCTGTGTAAATGGGTCAAGTCTGGAAATTTGGAAAATCAATATCAGATTACAAATCGGGTTAGTTTATTTTGAAAAAAAAGGGTTTTTTTGGAACCCGAAAACATTGAGATTTTTTTTCAGTATACAATCTGGAAAAGTTCGGATTTGGAGCGATATCGAATTCTTGACATTTCTCCGGAATCTTATGAACAAGCTGGTTTGACTGGGGTGAGTTCTGAAATAAAACTGGAAGCTGAAACTCAATAATCAATAATTTCAGCTTGTCACAATTGGAAATGTTCGGTGAATTTGGATTTTTTCTGTCAATAACATTTTTTGAATGAAAATATTTACAAAAAATAAAAATTTTTTGATCTTGGGAATTCGTTTTTTCCAGATTAAACGCACACGTTATTGAGATAACTAATCAGTTTTTCAGCTCATAAATTTTTTGAAACAGTAAAATTTCAAAAGTGTTTTGCAATTTTTTTAAAAATAGACTATTTTGTATAGTTTTAAAGAAAAACAGCTTCACATGATAAAATCTCATAAATTTTTCAATTTGAAGTTTTGTACTAAAAAAGGGAATTTACAGAAAAACCTCATTTTTCGAAACTTCTTTGATTTTAACAGATTTGTAAACAATATTTCATGTTAAAAATAATTTAAAAATTGGAATGAATAAAAATAACCAAACAAACGGATGGAGCATGATTAGCAATTTTGTGTTTTGTGGGAAAAAGGAGAAAATGGAGAAAAATACAGGAAAAATGATGAAGAAATAGGGTGAATAATAAAGAGATCGATTAGAAACAAAGAAAAAAACAGGAATAAAATTAGACACAAAAATAAAAAACAAACAGAAAGAACAAAAACAAGGCAAAATGGTGCTTATTGTTGTCGATCAACCAAAACATTACACGTCGATTGTAATAATTCATCTCGTAATTTCCAAAGAGCACGGGTTACATCTTCTTCTCGGGCAACTGGTCGACCATTTTCATTTTTCTGGAAAAAATAATTTTTTTGAAATTATGAAATTTCTGGATCTTTTAAGAGAAGGGAAGAACGATGTACTGTTTCAAAAAATATGTATTTTTAAGGCCGAAAAATATTATTTGCTGAATTGCTAAAAATTATTTGAAAAAATTACATCAATTTTATAAGTGAAAAAATCAACTGTTTCAAAAAATGTGTATTTCTAGGGCCGAAAAAGTATATTTTGTATCAATGATTCAAATAATTTCATCATTGAAAAAATGCACTGTTTCAAAAAATTTGTAATTTCAGGACCAAAAAGTTTACTTGCTTTCACACAACATTTTTGAAAACAATTTCAAATTTTAAAAATCCAATAATTCTATAATTCAAAAATTTACTGTTTCAGAAAATGTACATTTTTCCGGGCCCAAACATTATTAGGCAATTTTACGAGGAATTCGTTTTTTTTAATTGACTGTTTCAAAACTTGAACAACTTTCAATATTTGTTGTAGACTTTCAATTTTGTAAAATCCCATGATTCAGGTAAAAAAACATACCTTAATCCAATGAGCCGGCAGTCTTTGAGCATTTTGTTGAGAAGGTCCACTTTGTTGAATATTTCGATGGGTTGCTCCCAAACTTCTTTCCCATCGAGAAACTGATTTTTGCCGATTTGTGGCCAGCGATTCAATGTATCTGAAATATAAGAAATTAGGAACTTTGAGACAAAGTTTCCGGAAAATTCCGAAAATTTGTAATTTGCTCATATTAAAAAAGACTCACTTCAAATAGGCTTCGGAATGAAGAACACGTCTCGAATGAATCGAGTTAGGCGGTGCCACAAAATTCGGCACAACAGCTCTCACAATCGTCCTTCCCGGATCAATAATTTGTTGTTGAATTTGTGGCGGCTGAGGTTGCTGTTGAACTTGTTGATGTTGGTGAGGATGCGGAATTTGTTGAGGTTGTGGAGCATGATTTGATGGATGTTGTTGTTGCTGATGAATAACTTGATGAACAACTTGATGCTGATATTGTTGTGGAGCTGGAGCAGTTTGTGAAGATGATGGTCCCTGATGAAGATGATGTGGATGATACATTCCATTTTGAATCGGTTGTTGTGGATGATTCTGTTGCTGATGGGAATGTGGATGTTGCTGCTGTTGTTGTTGAACTTGTTGAACTGGTCCAGGTGGAGGAAGTCGACCATATGGAGCATTGACAAGTTGAGCACTTTCACCATTCATCACAAATTTGAAGAAGTTCTTGCCAATTTGATTTTGATATACATTTCGACAGGCTGATGGAATGTGTTTCTCTTTCATATGTCGATGTAATCGAGGTAATGAGGGAAAGGGTTTTCCGTCTTTTCGATTTCGAAGGCAAGTCATCCACATACAAACATATTGATTTTCGCTGTCCACTGCAAAAAAAATGAGTTGAAAGATTGTTTTTTCATCAGAAGATTTTTCGATGAAGATTAGTTAAATTTTAAATTTTCAGTAAAATTTTAAAATTTATATTTTCTTTTAAAAATTGAGCCAACAATTGTATTTGTTCAGAAATTCTTCAATAATTTCCAAATTTTCGTTAAAAATTGTGAGACATTGGTTATTTTAGCTTTAAAAAAAATAATGTAGGGGTTTTAGGACAATGCTCACATTTAGCTCTAAAAAACTGAAATTTTCCAGTTTTTCTGATATTCCGAACAGTTTTTTTTCAGAATTTTCTCCGATTTCCCCCCAAATTCCCACCGAAAAACTCACTAATAATCTGACTTGTATGATGTTGAATAATATGCTCATTGAGCCCACTTTCAGCATCAAATTGCGAATCACAATTCGCCCATTTACATTGATAAATTCGAACTTGTCCTGGTTGAAGAGCTCTTTCGGCGGCCAATTTGATTGCGTCAAGTTTCGCTTTTTCGATGGCAACAATTTCGGCACGTTGTTCGTAGTGCTTCTTTTGTTCGTCGGACAATTTTTTCCACTGTAAATTCAACCAGTTTAATATCGTTTTAGAAAAAATTTCAAAAAATATATAGGAATTTTGAAACAGTGGATTTTTTATTTCAAAAAAAAAAAAAGAAGGTGAAAAAGATGATAGCTTTTTAAACTCACTGTCGAAAATTGCTCTGTAACTTCAGTTATGAACGAATGGTAGGAGTATCACTTTTGAAAAAATGACTAGAAAGTATATGGAAATTTTGAAACAGTGGATTTTATTTCAGAAAAAAATAATTTTTTTTACAAAATCAATTTTAGTACTTCTTGGATCGCACAATATTTGTGGTTCAATTCAGATTTTTCTCAAAATTCCGGTAACCTTGATGAACAATCATTATTTGTTCGAAAAATAATCAGAAAATCTATAGAATTTTTGAAACAGTGGATTTTATATCAGAAAAAAAAAGAAATTTTTTTTTTTACAAAATCAATTTTAGTACTTCTTTAATCACTCAATCATTATTTTTTTCGAAAAATAATCAGAAAATCTATGGAATTTTTGAAACAGTGGATTTTTGTGAAGGAAATTTTTGAATAGGCTTTCGTGATCCAGAATTTTTCTAAAATCAAAAAAACCCACCTCAATTCCAACAATTTTCGAAACCTCTCCAAATCCAGAATCCGGATTCTCTTGCATAATTCGTTTCCTCACTTCAGCCGAAAACAAAATATATCCAGATTTGCTCTTAACAGCTTTGGGTGTAATTGGAGCAAGGCTCGCACTAGACACCAAAGTCATAGCCGTAGTCACCAAATGTGTTCCCGGTGGACTTGTAATCGAACTAGCCGCTGAACCACTTCTCGATGGAACTTCTTTGGTTGGTGTCGTGATATTCAACTCATTTTCATTTTCTTGCTGTTGTTGTTTTGGTGTTGGTGTTGGTGCAGTTGTTTGTTGATTTGAGCTGGCAATTGATTCAGTTCCATCTGTATCATCATCCAACATATCATCTAAATGATCAAGTGGAATATGTCCAACTGCTTCGGTTTTTACTAATGGCGATGGTTCTTTTTCCATAATTATTGATTGTTTGAAATAGAACAATTCTTCATTCGGGATCGATTGAACCAATCGGAAATGCTGCAAAATAAAAATAGAAAATTAAAAATATTTGAGAGAAAATAAAGAAAATCTTGGCGAGCTCAAGTAGGTCAAATGATATGAGAGAAAGAACAATAAAAGTGTCTATCTTGACACCAACTATTTTCACAACAACAGATTTTTGCACCAGGGTTTGTGGGAAAGTGGTTTTTGGGAAAAATCGATAATTTTTGTTTGAAAACTAAAAAACGGGTAATAGAATTTTTAATGAGGGTACAAAAATTTTTGATTCAAAAGTGAGATTTGAGGAAAATCTACGATTTTTTGAATTTAAAATCAGAAAATTGTCCATTTCCGTTGGGAAATGTGAAAAATCGGAAAATTTGAGAATTTTTAGGCCAAAGTTCATAATTTCAGAATTTTCATTAGAAAATGCAAATAATCAGCATTTCCGATTTCGACAGAAAATTAATGATTCCAAAATTTTCGCGAGAAAACGTGATAAATCAGAATTTCCAAATTCGTCCTAAAATTTCCAGGCCGAAAATCAATTATCTAAAAATTTTCGTTGAAAAATTAAAATATTCAACATTTCGCTTGCCAAAAATTCATGGTTCAAAAATGTTAGAAATCAGAATTTTTGATTTTTTGATTTCGTCATAAAAATTCAGGGAACAATTTTCGTTCAAAAATCATCGATTAGACCAAAATTAAGATGATCTTGAATTTCCGATCCAAGATTTCCAAAGTCCTAAATTTAAAAAAAAACCTAGTCACTAAATATTATCCCAAAAATCTTCGCATTCAATGACTAGAATCTAGTGCAAACTGCCTGGTCAAACAGCGATGTTTCCACCTAGGTAGATCCACTACTCTCCTTCTCTATCTCTCGCTGACCACCGCTGTCTGTTTGACTTCTTTGCCTGAGGGTGGGCGACGAGGGGAGGGGAAAAAAGGGTACCCGCTGCAGCGGAGGGGAGGATACTGTCGCGCGAACACGAAGACAACAACGAAGGAAAAGAAGAAGATGCTGCTGCAGCCGAAAAAAAACCTTCAGCAGGCAGCATTCATTCATTCCATCTAACAGTTAACAACAACAACGAAAACGGAAAGAAAGAAAAAGAAAAGAGCCTAGCAGCAGCAGCCCCACACACACACATATACACATAATGTCAAAATCGACGCTCTTCTTTCTGTCCCCCATCCCCACATCGCCTTCCATCGTCTGCCTCTTACTTCATGCTTCTCTGCACTCTCTCATTTCTCCATAATCTCTCATGTCTTTGCACGTCTGCGTCTCTTTTCAATCGATGCGAAAAGGCCGCGCGCGTGCGCGTCGATTTGCAAATAAAACACGAGAGATGTGAGACGGTAGAAGAGACGGCAGAGAAACCCGCGAAATGGGAAAATTGGAAGGAGAAAAGGGGAAGGGGAAAAAGGGAAAGGGTTTCACAAGAGAAAACGAGAGAGCAAGCAGGCTAGTAAATTTATCATTTTTCTCATCATCATCATCATCATAATATAGTTAGACTTGGGATTTATGAAAAAAAAGAGCACAATAAAGTGGGCGGAGCTTGAGCAAGTGTAATTTTCAATTATAAATTTGTGAGGCTTCCAGCTTAAATTATCCCCATTTCCCAGGGGATCAGATGCAATTTTAACTTATCGTGTAATTGATTCAAAAACCTTCAGACCTTCAAAAACTTTCTCATCAATTTCCGAAAAAAATTGAAGAACTCTGGTTTTTTTTTAATTTCAGAAGGCTGGGAAAAAGGGGCGGAGCTTGGCAATAATTTCAGATTTTCAGCTTATGACATAAAAATGTCCAAAATTATTGTAAAAATTCAAAAATGTTGAATTTGGCTCAAAAGTTTCGAGGAAATTATGAAAATTTCGATTTTTCTGAAAATTCTAATTCCGTTTCAAAAATCAATATTTTTTGGATTTCTCTTGAAAAACCCATTTTCCCCTCAAAAATTATCGATTTTCCACAACGAATAATTGAATTCATTCTAATTTTTTCCCTCATCATTTTTTTCGCCAAAAAATCAAAAATCAGAATTTTCAGCTCACCTTCAATTTTCTAATCGGTTTCGCAAAATCCATATTCATTGGTACAATTTCTTGAGCATTCGTTTCGATTGTCTGCAAAAAATCAATTAAATTTCAGTTTCAAAACCTGAAAATCTCACCGATTCAAACATCAGACAATTATCCGGAGTGTCTTTTGTTCCATAAACCATCGCGTCACAAACAAAAACATCGCATTCCGAAATATCAGTTTGTCGATAGCGAATATAATTTTTGGATGGTAAAACGTCGCAAAGTCCTTGAATTTCCGAAATTTCGCGAATTTCGTCGTTGCGATACACAGCAATTACCTGGAAACGGGGAAAGGGTTTTTGAAGGTTGCAAAAAAATTTTTATAACGTTTTTGAGGTGATAAAATAATTTAAAATCATCTCACTGTTTCAAAAATATGAGAAAAAAAATAGAAAAACGAATTGCTGATTCATACAAGTTTTATCCCTGGACTTATCCATAGTTACGGGCTGACTAACTCCGAGAAAAATTTTAAGGTCCGGCTAACTTTTTTTTCGATTTTTTTTAAATCATCATAGTGTTAAACAAAAATCAGAATTTTCAAAAAAAAAATTTTTTTACAAAAGTTTTTTCCCGCCCGAATCAAAATTTTGATTTGGGCGGAAAGTCAAAATTTTCAAAAAAATTTTTTTACAAAAGGGTGGGAGGCAGGGAGAAAAACATGTATGTGCCGATTTTTAAAATTGTATCACCTCGTTTGTATTTCGAAAATATAAGTGAATTTTTTTGTAAAACTTTCACTGTTTCAAAAATTAAATTAAATTATTTTGTGAATTTTTAGATGATCAATAAGGTGTTTGATTCGATATAGAAAATATTGTTATAGATACTTTCGGAAATATATATGTTTCACTGTTTCAAAAATTATGTAGAATATTTTCTTAAATTTTAGAAATAGTGCTTCAAATACTTCTAAAAAAAATTAGTTCCAAAAAAAGCGATTTTCTTGTTGAAAGTTTTCACTGTTTCAAAAATAAAATTAGATTTTTGAGTGAATTATTGAGATAATGAATAGTCCAACGGATTCAAAATTAAAAAAATATATATTGAACGTGAATTTAGAGTCAATTTCCAAGAAATTTCAAAATTCCTGTGATAAAAATCTTCAAAAGATTTTACTGTTTCATAAATTGCATAATATTATTGTGTGAACTTTTGAGATAATAGCAATCAGCTTTTAAGTTTCCAAAAATTCACGTCAAAACTATTTGAACAAAACTCCAAAAAGGTTTTTTGACTCAAAAATTGCATTGCTCATGTTACCTAAAAATTTGAAATTTCTCTTTCTAATTTGAAGCCATATTAGCTCTAAAAATCCAAAAAAAATCCTAACCAAAAATTCCTCACCTCTTTCACAAAAAAATATCTCTGCTTATCATGAATCGTCTCAATCGGCCGCGCAAACCAACAACCCGAAAACCATTCACTTCCATCCTTTTCCCGCCACAATTTATGAATTCTCATCACATCGCAAAGCGCTTTATTCGCATTGAAAACCAACACAAATTGTCCAATCGTATAGAATTTGCCAGTTTTCGTCTTGATTTGTGCGAAATAATTTCGTCCCTCAACTTCTTCATTATTCGAACTACTTGTTGCCAGAGTCTCTTCTCGATCAATATCCAATTGTAATTCACAAACTTTATCAGCTTCATCATCATCATCATCTGAATCCTCTTTTTTCTCTCCATCTTCTCCTTCTTCTGAATTCTTCTCTACTTTACTTGTCAATCTTTTCGGCGACAATAATCGATCCCTTTTTTCAATCTCTAATTCCTCATCTTCTTCTGAATATGGCCATTTGAATTTTCCAAAATACTTGGGTTTTCCATAATATTTCGATTCACACACATAAATATCATCTTCCTCGAATCCCCCAATTTTTCTGCTAACAAATGTTTGATAGCTGACAACAAGGCAAGTTCCACGAAGTCGATTAGTCAATACAGTATCCCGGAATGGTGTGATGAATACCTCTTTTTTCATGAATTTTCGACTGGCCAAATGAAGTGTTTCTTCTGGTCGATAAACCCAAAGACCTTGAACAGCTTCATCTCCATTTTCATTTCTGAAAAAAAAGAGAGTTTCGAGGTGAAAAATTCAGAAGAAAGCTTACATAAAAACCCGTTCAATTCGGAAAATATGAAGTGGACTTTTTCGTTCATCAGTTCTCGAAATATAAGCATAACAAGGTGGAGAATATTCAACGCCATCGTGTGTTACTTTTTTCACGTCAACTTCGCTTTCCTGAAAAATTGACATTGGAAATGAAGATTTTTTGAAGGATTTCTAGGTCACGTGAAAAAATGAATTTAATTTTTAAAAACAAAAAAATTACGACATTTTTTCTCTTCTTCGTAAAAATTATACTGTTTCAAAATTTTCACATAATTTTTTGATGAAAAAATATAATGATTCATCCTCTGATGTGAAACGAATTATTTCTCGAATTTTCACTGTTTCAAAATTTCGTTAAAGTTTTTTCGTTTTCAAAATTTTTTGATGAGCATACCGCGTTTCCTTTTCAGACCAAAAATATTGTAAAATTTTTCGATAGAAAATGAGGCCAAAAATTAAGGGGAAAAAATTCGCGCAGAGTGAAAATTAAGATTTTTTTGGTGCCAAAACTCTTTGAATATTAAAATTTCCACTTGGCCCGCCAAATTTTCAGCATTTTCTAAATTCTACATGAACTTTGGTGCAAAAATTATGGAATTTCCAAACAAAAAAAAAACTTACATGTCTCTTGATAGCAGCCGCCGACGTACTTTCCTCATCCTCATTCGCCTCTTCTTTTGCTCTTTGTGCAATTTCAAATTCAATAGCTTCATCAATATCTTTTTCAATAACAATATAAGCATTCGATTTGATTGATTCTTTACATTGTTTATCTCTTTCAGAAATAAACAATTTTTGCAAAACAATCGAAGCATCATATATTTCCGATCCAACTTTCGAAACCATTCTTGCAGTTTCACACAAATTAAAGAAATCCTTCTGAAACCGATCCAATCTTCGATATCGACATTTATCAATATTAATCTTAATTTGATCAAAAGTATAAGGCCATTCACTTTCCGGAACTCCTTTATTCTTCAATAATTCCGCCAATTCCACAAAACTATCCGAATAACAATTTCCATCCTCATCTTTTTTCATAAAAATCGTGGCAAACATCGAAGTAAAGATTGTGCGAAGTTCAACTTGGATTTTCGGCACTTTTTCACCACGATCCAAATCTCTTTTCAATTCAAACAACAACTTTTGAAGAATCACCGCTTCTTTATAAATCATCGAGTCCGGCTCGTTGAATTTACAAGCATTTGAAAGCATCAGACTAAAATCCGAATAAACATCTTGAAGTGTTAAATATGATCTTGATTTGAGTTTATTCTGAATTCTAGTAAGATCCATTGGTTTCTTAATAATATCATAATATGAGGGAAGTTCTTCGCGAGTTGGTAATTTCCAGAAATTCAAAGATAACAGTCGTTGATTCTCATTATCTCGGAATTCTTTGATGGCTTTAAACATTTTCCACATTCTTCCTTCTTCATCCGGAAATTCGTTGATAACTCGCTCGATTCTTTGTTGATGTTGTTGATAAGTATAACCAGGTTGTGGGGTAAAACCAGTTGCAGCTTTGTACGGATTTCGAATTGCCATCGTTGGTGTTGGTGGACCACGGGAATCTTCATCGGTGTCAGTTTCCATTTCATGTGCACGTCGTTTTGCTGATGGTTTTCCGCCTTTTGGATGTCTGAAAACATATTACTTTGAAAATTTTGAAGCGGAGTATATTTTTCATTGGAATCAGGCTACGAACTGTTTTCGAATAAAAGTCAAAATACGCTATTCAATTTTTGAAACAGTGAAATTTTGGTTTTTTCATAATTTTACAAATCATTTTTTTGGAGTTTTGCTGGATTTTATTATTTTGAAAATTTTATTTTTTCGTCCCTGGTCTGGGTTTTGAAAAAACATTGAACATTATATTTGAGAAAAGAGAGGTACTACAATGTTTGAAAACTAGAAGCCAGAAGCTCTATGCAAATTTTGAAACAGTGAAATTTTGGGTTTTTTTTAGATTTATCAAATAATTCTTCGAAAGTTAAGCTAGATTTTTCACTCTGAAAATTACAGTTTTACTGATTATTTTCCGCCTTCAGTCTGGAGATAAATTGGGATTTTTCGAAAAAACATTGCAAATTTTATTTGACAAGGGAGAAGGAATAACAATGTTTGAAAACTAGAAGCCAAAAACTCTATGAAACTTTTGAAACAGTGAAATTTTAGATTTTTCATAATTTTACAAATCATTTTTCGAAGTTTAGCTAGAACTTTTTATTCTGAAAATTATAATTTTCCTGAATATATCCAATAAAAAGACACTAACGTTTTAAATACTTTATGAAATAATGTATGCAATTTTTGAAACAGTGAAATTTTGAAGTTTTTTAATTATATAGTTTTTTGCATAACACTTGAAAATTTAGTTGACACAATTTAACTTTGAAATATTATTTTGAAATATTAAATTTCAATGTTGAAAAACTTCATAAAAATGTTGAAACAGTGAAATTTCGTGCAATTTCCAGACAAGATTACAGAATTAGATTTCGGGATATTCTTGAGCCAAAATCTAATTTTAGGGTTATCTTGGAAAATTGAAAATTCAAAAAAATTGGGATTACAACCAGAAATTTTTCCTAAAACGATGTATCTTTTTTTCTTCGAAAAACATCTGCGCATCCAAAACATGTTGTTTTTTTGGAAAAAATTATCGAACACCTGGGCTAAGGCTGTTCAAAAATTGAAGAATTCGGAATTTTTAAATAAAAACTTTCAATGTCTCCGTATCCCAAGTGTTTTCCCGAAAAAACTCACAATCTTCCAGGCGTCACATTTCCCAACGCAGCCGCCGCACTCATCATCGCCTCATACGAATTTCGCATAACTTCCTGCAGCCTACAAGCATCCTGATGAATCTGCGATCCAGGTTCATTGAATTCCCGCGCATTCGAAAACATAACCTTCATATCATCAACCATTTGTTCAGCCACTTTATATTTGTTTCCATCAATTCTTTGGCGAATTTTCGTCATATCAATTGGATATTTGATAACTTGATAATATTCCGGATATTCTTTATGTGATGGTACATGAATAAATGCACCACACGGCCAATACATTCCATTTGGATCAGGTTTGAATTGATGAACCGCTGTCCAAACGCTCAACATTATATGTTTGTTTTTCATTATCTCATTTATCTCAAAATGACTCTTTCTTCCACGTGTCTCAACATATCCCGGTTCACTCGATTTTTTCGGCGATTTTTTTCGTTTGGCGACAGGTGGCGGAGTTCGACTATCTTCTGAATCATATTCCATTTTTATTCGTGGTCGACCTTTTGGTGGACTTCGATGTTGTTGTTGATTGTTTGAATTTGCTACTTGTGTTGGTGGAACATACATTCTTGATGCAAATTCATTTGCCAATTCCGGCGAGAGCTTTTTCAAAGTAATCAGCGTGATTTGCTCCAATTTCTTGGCAGCGATATAAACCTCAGAACTCTCCATATTATATTCGCAAGCATTCGAATACATTTGCAACAAATCCCTAACCAATCCACGCATATCATAATCTCCATTCTTCAATTTCTTATTGATCATAAATAATGAGACCGGTGTTTGAATCTCGTCAAAATAATCCGGATACATTTGTTTACTTGGCAATTCCAGAAAATTGTCGGCAAGTGTGATTGTCCGATCTTTTTCGTGTTTCGCATTTCGAATTGTCCAATATAATTGCCAAAGTGGATCTTCGGCATTTTCAGTGTCCTCGTCTTCTTCGGAATCTTCGGAATAATTGTCCGAACCAGCGGATTCTTCCAAAAGTGAATCGACGAGACGTTGAGCTTTTTGACGTCTGAAAATTTGATTTTTATTCGGAAGAGTGGAAAAGCGTGCTGAAAATTATCCTAAAATCCGAAGAAATTTTGATCAACAATTTTTTTTCTCGGTGTTTTTTGACTTTTGGATACTTTTCAGCATCGTAAATTCAATATTTCTACCAATTTTCCTCCAAAACCCCTTCAAAACAAACCTAAGCGGATGAATTCGTTTCTCGGCAACTTTTCTCATTTCTTCTCTCATACAATTTCTCAATTGATCCGCATCTTTATAAATATCCGTTCCTTTTCCACTAAAAGTTTGCGCATTCGAAAATAATAATTTCAAATCATTTTTCAATTCAGCCATTGTCTGATATTTTCCCTCTCTTCCTCTTTCAGCAATTGTTTTCAAGTCAATCGGATTTTTGATTTTCTCATAATAAATTGGAAATTCATCTTCTGGTTGTAGAACTCGAAATGGTGGACATAAAAGACGACCAGTTTTATCGGTGCATTCAAGAATTGATAATAAGATTGTTTCGATCATTGGAAGATCAATTTCGAATGGAGATTCTTCACGATCATCAGAATCACTGAAAAATTTAATTTAATTGATATACCAAAATATTATTTTGATTAGAGACAGCATAAAAATTGAGAGGGTCTAGACAAGAAAATTATTTTTGCGAACAAAAAATTCAAAAAAAAAAATTGTTGTCTACGCTCTCTCAATTTGACGTTGTCTCTAATCAAAATATTCTGTATATTGTGTAAATTCAAAAATTCCAAACCTCTCTTCATTATCCTCCTCATCAACTTTATCACTCCCACTATTTTCCTCATTTTCATCTTCATCCTCCTGATCTTCTTCATATTCTCCATTTTCAACTTTTTCCTTCGATTCCTCGAAAACTTGCTCAATAATTTTCATATCTTTATACTCTTCCGAGTCTTTTTTATAATATCCCAGCGTATTTTTAATCAGTAGGTCAATATCTTCGCAAAACTCTTCAAAGTTCATATAATCTGGGGTTTTTAATCGAACTTGAATTGTAGTGAAATCGATCGGATTTTGGACTTTTTCGTAGAAATTTGGCTCGAGTCTGAAAACTTTTTAATTAGAAGAAAATGAAAAGATTTTGTTGGAAAATTTAAATTAAATTTGAAAAACTTACCGCCTTGAAGGAAGTCGAATAAAAGCTTCGGCTGCCAATTTTTTCTCCGGATTCATCGCTTTTCTCAATTTTGTCACAACATATTCACCTTTTTGCATTTCCACATCTCGTTTTTGTTTTTCCGCCAAACTCAAACGTCCTTTTTTCTTTTTGGAACTATCGGGTTCGGCATCAGGAACGCGTTTTCTTTTAGTACTCATTATGCTGGAAAGATTGAACAATCAGGAAATCAATGAGATACTTAATAATGAAGCGCGAAAAAAACAACATATAACAAGGAAAAGAAGAAAGAAGAAGAATATCTTGGTCTGCTTTAAAAGGGAGAAAAAACGCGCGCGAAGGGGGGTTTGTGTTGGCCGGACGCCAGGCACAGATGAGAGAGTGGGAGAACGGCGGAGAGTTTAGACAACCCGGTGTGTGCGAAAAATACGTCAGCTTTGAGTTTGTGTTCGAAATATTAGCTAGAAATTGGGATTTGGCTGAAATTGCTGGAAATTGAGAGGTGAGATTGGAAACATTTTGTATGGTTTGAAAATGGGATGAAAGAACTTGAGAATTTTGTGAAAATGTTTATTTTAGAAACTAGTAAAGAGTTTTTTGAAATTTTGAACATTGGCGCATTTTTAGTGCATGGAATATTGTATCTATTTGAATTTTTCGAAAACTCGAGGTTAGCTTAACTTTATAGGAAAAGCCACATTCAACTCAAAATCTTCGAGATTTTGAGTACACAGAGGTCTTTTCCCAACTTTTTGTTGAAAAATAAACTTATTCAACTACGAGCTAGGTAGAATAATATAATCTCAACAAAAAAATCAAAATTTTTGGGAAAAACTTCAGGAATTCAAGAATTTAGTGAAAATTCAAAGGAAAATCCAAATTCTTCTCAAAAATTTAGACTTTAACATAATTTTGAGTGAGAAAACAGGATTATTCAACTATCTTCTGAATCTGGGTTGAATAACATAACCCCAACAGAAAAATCGAAATCCTCCCCTTATAAAAAACGAAATCACTGAAAATTTGGCGTCACATTAAATGTTTCCATCAATAATGTGCAAACACCGCTTCGTTTTTTGAAAAATCAACGCGCGTTGCGAGACACGGGAGAAAAATTGTGTGTACCTTTGATGAGGGGTACGGTAAAAGTATTCGTGAATTTTTATTTATTTTTTTCTTTTTTTGAGGGTTTGAGCGCTGCATATTTTAGAACATCTAACACGCTTATTGTAACTTCAGGGGATTTTTTCTTCAAAACGGGAACCCCCCCTCTAACTCTGACTTTGAGAATAGATCACATCAAAAGTATACCATCACAGGCAAATTCAGATGGATACATAATTGATCCATTATGGATCCATCATGTCCCCAGTTCAGATGTATACATCGGGTACACATAATGGATCCATCTGAACTCGTTTGATTGATACTTGATGGACGCTTGATGTATCCATTTTCTCTTTATAACTCTTTTTCAAGTAGACAGTTAAAATTAAAGTTTATTCATAGTAAAAATTGAAATATAACAAAATTAGAAGTTAGAAGAACTTGTTTTTCATGGTGTGGGCGCATCTTTTCGGTCATCTTAATTGGATTCACGAGGAAGATGGCAGTTGGAGCAGGTTTTGTGGTCATCACGAGCAACGGCGAAGGTTGATTTCCTAGCTCGAGCAGAGCCCGCTTTGCGGAGACTAACGTGGAAGTTTCTTGACCTTCCATCTCTTGGTAGCGTCCTTGAATCCGCAACCTTTGGCAACACCCGATGTTGTCGATCATTTCATATTTGGGAGAAGACGGAGCCAATCAGAAATTGCTTCTCGGTGCTCACAAGCTCAATTGTCCTTTTGAGCGACGAATCCTCAGTTTATTTGGATTTCGACCAAATCAATATTCATTTATTTGACACGGCGATTGAGAACCTTCGCCTGAAAAGAAAGAACCATTTGAAAAATTGTCTTATTCAAGTTAACCAACCTGAGTGTGAGCGATAACATGGATTGATGAGCAATATTTCCTGAGATATTTGAAGACTGTTTCTTCTCGCCATTTAAATTCATTCCATTATTACGAACCAAGTGTCTTCCTGATGCATTAGGCAGTCAGTTCGATAACCTTATTGTACACACTGTAGTGACCTGAAAAGTTGTTTTTATTCACGAAGTTCTTTGAATAATCAAGTTACCGCTGTTTGGCAGATAGTTGATGTCGATTTCGATGTTTGAATGAGAGCGATGTCTGAAAAAAACCAGTTGACAAAAGTAGTAAATCAATGTGTGCTAAATTCCAGAAAGTACGATATAGGGTATTTCAATTTTCAGCTCTGATAGGGAATCTTCTATTTCATTTCATTTAAATGTTCTTTCAATTGAATGAAACTGAAAAAATGTCTCGTTTTACTACCTAAAATCGAAAAAAACCAATTTTTCAAAGTTTCTGGCCTAAATTCATGTTCAATATGCGAATTTCAAAGTTCTGATGACATTTGCTGCTAGATCCTAGTCGAGGAACATATTCTATATGTTTTCCGCAGTTTTTAACACTCAATTTCTCTATGAAACGGGAAACACACAAAAAAAAACGAAAAAAAAGAAAAAAAAAATGTGGCCTCAGCGATTTGGGATGAGAAACCGGCGACGAAAATGGTCTTTTGAGAAACAAACGATAAACCGGCGACGAACACGCGATAAACTGATTCGTCGCTGATTCATCGCGAATTGTTCAGAAAAGAAGATAGCGAGCGCTTGGTTGTTTTCATCGCTAATTCGTCGCCGATTTCTCGCGAGTTCATCACGTAAAAGTTTGACAACACTCCGACAACTATGCCTATTGTTTAGCATTGCTTTCGCGCTCGAAAAACATGTTTTTTTTTCAAAAATGAGCCATGTTTTTTGAAGTTTCTTTTTGTTTTCGCCTGTTTTTCGTATCAACCTTCAGTTGTAGCCTATTTACGAAGTATTTTCAGTATGTTGTGAATGAAGTTGAAGTGTTGTGAAACCGTCATGACAGAGACTAGAGTTTATGATTTCCTGTCAGATATAAATAACAATGAATTAAGAAAATTTGCGAAACGTGAACTTCACTGGAATTATTATCTCATTTCTTAGAATGTCCGTCAAAAGTTGATCATTCACTAACAATAAGTATTGTGTCTGAATATCTTTTCTCACTATAGACAGGAACAGTATACTCAGAAAACTTCTCGTCAGCCGTCCGCGAGGTTGCGAGCTGTCGAAAGCTAGCAGAGGCATTTCGACTGCTCGCCGCGAGGTTGCTACAAATTAGTATCAGAATTCGACGGCCGTCTGCCGGCTCGCGGACGGGTGACGAGACGTTTGCTGAGTACAGAGTGAAACCTAGATATAAACTTTCAATTACATTTTAACTTATTTCAAGAACACGGCCACAATATGAATAAGTACATCCAAATACTATAATGATAATAGATACTTCCATACTCAAATTTTACAGACTACGACGCCGAACATGTTCGATTGTATCTTCAAGAATGTTCAATGAAATATCACTGCGAAGGTATGTTGATAATACGGCGTCCAAGTGAAAAAAAACATAGAATCGCTTAGACCTACGCTTTTTTTGTCCAAACACACGTTGTTTTGCAAAAGTTACGCGATTCTATGCGTTTTTGCGTACGCTTCTTTTTCACTTGGACGCCGTAAAATAATATTTATCAAATTTATAATGAATACAATTTACAGAGATTGGTTGTGTCTAGATGTTATGGAAACTGTTCAACAACTTCATTATCACATTATTCTCTACAAAACTGATGCACATTCTGTTGACACAACAAAGAGAACATATCAATCGAAATTTTCACCAGAAAATGCTGAACAAGGACTTATAAAATGTCATTTTCACTAATTAATCCTGTATAAGGTGACTTTTAAACATTACATGTACTCTTATTTTTGAACATTTGCTATTCACTATGTTTTATGATAATAAAAGCATTTTATGAACTGATTCCTACCTATAAATTCGTAGAAAGCAAAAAACCGCGATGAAAAAGTGAAACTGCAAGCTCGCTCTAGCGCACACACATGCGAGAAACCGGCGACGAACTGGCGATGAACAACTGAGAAACCGACGGTTGCCAAGCGACTTTCCAGTTGTTCGTCGGCGATTCATCGCCAATTCGTCGCCGGTTTCTCATCCCAAATCGCTGAGGCGTGCAAATCGTCCGAGAGAAGTACACACACACACATTTCGCTGCAGGATAAATTCATTGAAATGTCTGCGCCTTTAATGTTACACTTTTCCGCACCAATTAAGAGCACTTGAGTGAAAATGATATACACCATTCGACTCAGAATTTCAAGCTGAACAAAATGATTATAAATTCATCCCTTGTTTCGGTCGATTTTCAATTTTTCGGTTTTTGAGAAATGTGAATGTTTATCGTGAACTTCACTCAGTTACACTATACCATTCGATAGAGTTCTTCCTGATAAGAAATATCCAGTTATCAGTGTTTGCTGAACGACTCGTAAAAGCTCAAAAATTTAGCCCGAAATTGAGAAAATGTTTTTTTTCGCTTTATAAACATAAATTTCGCTTCTAAACAAAAGAATGTGCATACATGAGAAGATTGTATAAATCTTTCTTATATATTAAACGGTGATCTGTCTGTCGACCTACTTTTGTGCCCTAGATTTAAGTTTAAATAATTTCACGTGAATTGTTTTGCTCATTTCTGATTTTACAAAACGCGTTTGGATTGCAGCATTTAATTTATGCACTATTTTTTGAAATGTAGCAAAGAATGTGAGTTGATTTAAAAAGGTATCGTGCGATTCATCATTTTTATTGATAAAAATGAGCTTGATTTGAAAATCGGAAGTTCGCAATGACTCCGAAACCACGGTTCATTATTTTTATCCATAAAATCGAGCTAGATTTAAAAATCGGGAATTCGTGGTGACTACGAAACGACGATTTATGATTTTTATCCTTAAATAGAATGGATGGAAGAGAAAACATGTTCAAAAAAACTATACTGTGAAGAAGGACTTGATGATTTATCAATAATTGATACATTATGGATCCATCAGCTATCCATCGACCAGCTGAGTATCAATCTGAGACCCATCATGGGTACATCACTACTGATTGATGTCAGATGGATCTTATATGGACCGGTGATGTATCCGAAATGGGTCGATTATGGATGATGGATCCATAATGTATCAATTATGTATCCATATGAATTTGCCTGTGCCAGTTGGGAACCCTGAGATTCTCTCCAACTACACTTCACGAAGAGTATACTAGTTTTCGAAAATAACAGAAAACCCATCAAAACTCACACTTCCCAAGATTTTCTCATTTACTAAGTAGTTAATGGGGCTATTCAGCGAAAAAAAAAATGTTTTCTCAACGGGAGAAAAGCGAAGAAAACCTATTCAAGTCGGTTGAGAAAACATAAAAATTAAACACTTAAAACACACAAATTGCGACGAGACCCAACGAAAAACATTGTGTTCCTTTAAGATACTGTAGAAAATCGCAACGGGACCAATTTACAGTAATGCGAAAGGTCAAAGGAACATGTTGTTTTTCGTTGGGTCTTGTCGCAATTTGTGTGTTTCAAGTGTTTGATTTTTATGTTTTCTCAACCGACTTGAATAGGTTTTCTTCGCTTTTCTCCCGTTGAGAAAACATATTTTTTTTCGCTGAATAGCCCCATAAGATATCAACTGAAGTCTTAGCAATTAAAAAAAGCAGCAAAATTCAACCACAGAGCTCTGCTCTAGACCTCAAAACCCGCTGAAAACTCGAGAAGAAAAAAAGAAAAAATATTTTCTCGAGAAAAAAATGAAAAAAATACGGTAGTCACGTCGAGACCACGCACAAATTATTCAAACGTGTTCCTTTATTTTGTATTTTTCAAAATATTTTTTATTTCTAGTTTTTTTCTGTTCATGTTTGCGGTGCGCCTGAATTCATGAGATAAATAGAACGGTAAGCTGAAACATAGTTTGATTGAAACAAAATACGTAATCTTCAGGAAAAATGGCGAAACGTCGGAGGCCTTCAGACACAAATTCCGATCTAAAACGAGCAAAATCTGCGGAAGAAGTGGATAATTCGGAATTCTCCGATGTTTTGCGGCAAATAAAAGAGTCAGAAAATGTGGAAAATGCGAAAAAATATGCGAAACGTTTGAAACAATTGCTGACAGATGAGGGAAAAATAAAGAAATTTGTAATAGTTTCATCGAATATTGAGGAATTGGTGGGGATTTTCTGCAAACAGACAACAGTTATGGGAACTTCGGAGTTAGTTTAACTTAAATATTTTTGGTATAGAATTATTTAGATAAATTGATTCAGGTATCGATCAGAAATACATCAATATTCTATCAGTATATTGGCTAATTGCTGTTTCACAATTCCAAAAACCGGATTTCTGATTCGAAAAGCAAAATCGAATTTTCTCGATTTATCAGTTCGCATTTTCGAATCAACAATCGCAAATCCAGATGTGAAATCATCAATGTGTCGACTTCTCGCAAATCTATGCTCAAACAAAGACCTAGTTATGACGTGGATTTCAAGCAACACGATTATTTTCGATCAAATCGCATTGCTTCTAGAATCAAGTGATTTGAAAATTGTGAAACAATGTTTGCGAATATTTTCGATGCTCGCGAATTCGTCTTTTACTAGAGTGAGTTGTTTTTTGGGAGGAAGGGAATGGGAGGGGGGGCTTGAATATGCGATACAGTAGATCTGAAGATTTTAGGGGGATTGTAGCTGTCGGATACGGAGCGAGCTAATTTATCCCCAAACCATAGTACACATATAAATTATAATATTTATTAGGAAAATGTAGTTAGTGGAATGAGTATGATACTGGAGACGAGCAGTTGAGTGCATTGTTGTTGACAGCGGATTGAGTTTATAGCAGATGTTTAGTATAAGTTCTTGTTTGGTGTGTAAGTATGTTTAGGTTTGGGAAAAGTCTGTTTGGATAGAGGTAAAAGTCTGTTAGAGTGGTTTGACGAGAGGTTTAAATAGGTATTCAGAGAGATTGTTATCTTCACGTTGGTCACGTAAATAATATCAATGGTCACAGTTTGTGACAGTCCCCCCGCAGAAAAAAAGGGGAAAAACGTTTCGTTTGTTAAGTTTTGCTGTGTTAAAGAGTGTTTGTATGGGAAATTTCGTTTTTAATTGTAAAAATTTTTGTTAGTCAGTTGAAGCTTCTGGATTCTTGTCTGTTTCATAGTTGTCTAGTAGTACAGAAACACACAATTTAGGTCATGTGTCGCTGCTGTGAGCTGTGGAAATCTATCGGTAACTGTGCCGATAGCCGGTTGGTTTTTTGTCATTAAGTCGGGTCCCATCGTCCTGGGGTGTTGGATATGGGCCACCCTGAATCCAGTCGCTAATACCTGTCTTAAGATAATATTACAATGAGTTATATCTGCATTTGAACAATCTGATGAGGTCTTGTGAAGCTCCCCGTCCAGATACTAGAATTTTACTCCACAAGTTCGGTCAGACCTGTGAATTCAGAGAGCTGCAGATTCTGATTCACTGCTCATTTGTTTCCATACGGTCTTAGTAATATTATCGTCACTTGCCCTCTAGACGTCAATGCGTTGGATTGACCCTAGATTTAGTTTGTTGGATACGTTGGATCCTCGTAATTTGGTTGTTTGACATTTGGATACGTTGGATCCTCCTAAAAGATTCACAATTTTTGTCTTTTCATTTGTTTATTTGAAACGTGTACTTCGTGATGTGTAATCTTATTTTGTATTTCCAGTTTTCATGAAAATGTCTAAACGCGACGAGGAGTGCCTCGTCCGGCGTTGATAATACTACTAGATGGTTAACAGAACGGAGAGTGCTCCGAACACTGTTTCCTCTTTGTTTTATGTTTTTAGTTTTAGTGGTTACTGTATCGGGGTTTTTCGGTGTGATGTGCTTGGTTGGGATGTATTATTAGCTCTTTTCAGTGGTAGAATGCTGTTTTATGTTGGTTTGGTCGATGCACCATGTCGGATACGGAGCGAGCTAATTTATCCCCAAACCATAGTACACATATAAATTATAATATTTATTAGGAAAATGTAGTTAGTGGAATGAGTATGATACTGGAGACGAGCAGTTGAGTGCATTGTTGTTGACAGCGGATTGAGTTTATAGCAGATGTTTAGTATAAGTTCTTGTTTGGTGTGTAAGTATGTTTAGGTTTGGGAAAAGTCTGTTTGGATAGAGGTAAAAGTCTGTTAGAGTGGTTTGACGAGAGGTTTAAATAGGTATTCAGAGAGATTGTTATCTTCACGTTGGTCACGTAAATAATATCAATGGTCACAGTTTGTGACAGTAGCTTTACGAAAATCGAAAAAATAGAATGAGAAAAGTGCTTTACTTTTTTCCAAGGGGGGGGGGGAGCTAATTTTCCTGAATTGAGCCACTAAAAAACTTTTTCCAAGAATTTGAGGATGATCTTCGATTTTTTTATAAAAGGCAAAAATCCACGTGGAAATTTAATAGATTTAATATGGCAATGACCAGCATACAAAAACTTATCAAATTTTGAAATTCCCTCAAAAATCTTATTATTTCTTTGAAACAGTAGAATTTTTCTGATGTGAATTTTTAAAATATTAATTCAAAATTTGAAAGATTATCAGAGCAATTTCAAATTGAAATTGAAATTTCTGAATTTTTGAAACAGTAAATTTTTTCACACAACATTTTTTCAAAAAATTTTTTTTTATTAAAAACTTTATTAACATTGGAATGTGTTATATTTACAATTCAGAAAATTTAAAAGCCTGGAGAAAACTACAAGTTTACAGGATAAAACCATAAAAAACCGTTGAGAAAAGACTACGTTAAAACTTTTTTATAATTTATTTTGTACAATTTTTCAAATTTTTTTGGGGGGAGATTTCATTTTCTGGAAATTATTATTTACAATTGGTTGTTCAGCTCAAAAAATAATTTAATGAGTTTGTTTTCTTGGTTGTTGAACAGTTCCGCGAGTTGAGCGACTGCTGCGAGTTGCTTGAAGTGTTGGAATCGGTTTTTCGTGCGATTTTTTGACCGAAACTGTTGGATAGCTTCTTTCCATCTGCAAAACAAAAATGATTTGGGAGGTTGGAATCTCATTATCAAAAACTGCAGAGCTCGAGTTCTAATATGAGCTATGACATCGCAAATTTTGGAGTTCGCCAGGCTAACATTAACATTGTGAGCTCACAAATAAATTTCGACACGTCATAACTTATATCAAAAGCTTGGCTGTGCAGTTTCTGACTTCTGATCCTTGACAACTAGGATCTCTAGGCTTGGTTACTTCACAACTAGGCTCTATAGGCGCGATTACTTGGCATAGTAGATCTCTAGGTGGTCTTTCTTGGTAGTCGGATCCTCTAGGAGTGGCTACTTGACAACTAAGTTCTCTAGGCGCCGTTACTTGGCATAGAATCTCTCAAGGCGCTGTATCTAGCCATTGTGGATCTCAAGGTGCAGCTCCTTTGCAGAGTGACTCTCTAGGCTCTACTACTTGTTTCCCCTTCTTACCTTGGCTGGCAAATCAACATCAATCAACTCGCGAATTCCATCATCGGACGATTCCGAATTCGAATAATGATTCGCATTCTGATTCGAATCCATCGAATCCGAATATTTTCGATCCTTTCGATTCACAACTCGACGTCCTCCAACTTTTTCAGCTGGCGCATGTCCGGCTTTCAATTCGGTTACACTCATTTTGTCTCTTTTTTGGTTGAAGCTGAAGCTGAAGCTGCAATTTTCAATTTTGATAACTCGCAGTACTTGAGAAACAAAAAAAGAAGAATAAAAACATGTTTATTTGCTAAAAGTACAGTACTTTTACAATAAAGCAAGAAGAGGAATCTAGTTTTTTGACCAAAAAATGTGTGTTGAGAACAGCTGGGTGAGGGGCAGAGAGAGGAGAAGAGACGCAGAGAACAAATCATGTGAGCTGCGAAAGGAACATAGAGGAAGGACGAAGGACGAAAACAACCACCAAGTGGACAAAGATCGCTATCGAGAGAGAGAGGAAATTGGGCCTGGGAAGGGCCTGGGCTTGGGCCGAGAGAGTCTAGAACTAGGGCCAGGCTCGAGATTATTCCTATTTTCTTCAGGCTTCAGGCTTTCGTCCTTGTTCAAGAGAGCCTAGAATTCTAGACATGGAAAGCCTGAGACTAGTCTTCAGGCATCGGATAGATTTGAGGCTCAGTAAAACATCTGTGGCCAGGCTGTTCAGGGTTAAGAAAGCCTAGAGATCTCGGAGCAATCTAAAAAGGTTCTTCAGGCCCATTTTTCAAAGAAGCCTAGAATCTCTAGTCTTCGGCCTAGCCCAGGCCCAGCTCAGTCATCCATGGCAACCCGAAATAAAAATAGAAGAAACCTCAAAAACCAAATAATGAAAAACCACCTGATAGATGTTTGTTTATATAGGAAAACAGAGAATAGAGAATAGAAAATGGGGCGGAGTCGCGCCGCGTTTTTTTTGGCAGAAAATAGGATTGCGAAATTTCGAGAACGTTCGCGAAATGGTTTTTTTGGTTGTTTGGGAAATTTGAATGAGAAACGGAGAACATTTGGATTCCAGTCTGGAGAGTTCTAACTTGGAATAACTTGGAAAAGTAATTTGGGATCGAAAGTTAACATAAGTCTATGAAATTTAGGAAAAATGTCATTATTCTAGTTTAATCCGAAAGCTTCAGATTTTTAGACTTTGAGCCAAGGAAAACTCAGAAGTTCTGATTTTTCTCGAATATTCTTTCACGATCAATGACTATTTGATGTCATTCATTTTTATTATGTTTTCTCATGTTGTTATCTCAAAAACGACCTTGTTATCATTTCCAAAACAACCAAAAATTATATGATAAGCTTATTGGAACACATGACTTTTTGATGATTAATTCATGGATTTTTGAAGGCTGCAAGACGAAAGAAAAATCGGGTGATAAATTTTTGGCGTTCTTGAAAGTTCACTGTTTCAAAAAACGTTGATTAGAAAAATGAAATGTTTTAAATCCAGTTGTAACATAACAATATTTTTAATTGCAAATTGGCGACAAACAAAAGCAACAAAAATGGCTATGTGAAGTTAAAAATTCAGATATTTATTTTCACTGCGAAGAATGCCAATCCACGTGGAAATAATTTTTCAGCGAAAAAACTGAAAAGTTAATTTTCAAAAAAAATTCACTGTTTCAAAAAAATTTGAAAATTAAATGTTTGAAAAATAATGCATTATCAAGTACCAGCATAACTACACATCAACTATAACCATCTAAAAAAATTAAAATTAAAAATTTTAGCGCAAAAAATAATTCAATAACTATGTAAAAATTTCAATTATTAAAGTTCTAACACCAGAAGTCCACGTGACAATTTTCGACAATTTTCAAATAAATCACTGTTTCAAAATTTATTAAAAAAAAAGTCACATTTTTTCGAAAACAATCCGTTCGTTTGTATATATTCGTACAAAGTTCATCAATTATAAGTTGAGCTCCAGATATTCCAAGCCATGTGGAAATAAATTTTCAGCGAAAAACCGAAAAATTAATTTTCAAAAAAATTCACTGTTTCAAAAAATTTTCATTAGAAAAATTAAATGTTTAAAAAATAATGTGTTATCAAGTATCATAACAACTATCAACCATGTAAAAAAAATTAAAATTTAAAATTTTAGCGCAAGAAATTTCAATCCACGCGAAAGAACGAAAAAATAAGAGTGTGTGCCAACACCGACTGTCCGCAAACACCAAATCCTACGCGCAATCTTGTAAAAATAAAATAACGACACTCCGCTCAAACAGTGTGTGAAAATTAAACAACAGGCAAGCCGAGTGTCGTTGTTTTACTTTTATGTTTTCCTTTTTTGTTTTGGAAGCGACTATTTATTATAAGAAATCACTGTTTCGCAAACATTTGATTATAATAATAAATTTTTTTTGATAATGATAAGTATATTTTATATTATTTTTTGCAGGTAATAATGTTATCAAACGGCGGATTCTACTTGGGAAAACTCCTTTCGAACCCAGAAATTCGAGAAGATTCTGTGAAAATTCTCAAAATCCTTCTGAAACGTCACACAAAAGTGTTGGATCGACAATTGTCCTCAAGTCAATGCTCAGAACATGTTATTCAGCTGTTTTTTGATGAATCCGACAAATATCGACAATTTGTTATTGATTTGTTTTCGAACACTGTTTGTATTAGGGAACAGTAGGTTTTTTTTTGCCGGATTTGGAGGGGAGAGGAGGGGGGAAGGGGGGATTTGAAAATTTTGACGCCAACAATTAATGTGAAAATTTGAAAGTTCAAAGTTGATTTATTGGACTAAAATATTTTTTACAATGTTAAAGCGAAAATTGAGATAAATTGTTTTATCCAAATAAAAACCTACCTCATTTTCTTCACATTTCCAAAATTGTCAAAATTTTCTGGCGATTTCAGAATCAGAAATGAAATAAAAAAAACGTGATTTGATTTTCAGCAACTGTTTTCAATTGACCTCGATACAAAAAAGTTTATTGATGGGCTAATAAAGTTCAAGAAAAATTAAAAGCGAGAAATTTAATCGATATAGGCTTCTTTCTGAAATTTATTTGAAAATCTGGAGACAATTCTCTCTCCTAAATATTACTTATAATCTTTGAATTTATCTGAATATATTGTCTCACATTGCGCTGCTCTTCTATACAAAAATGGTGCAACTTTCATCCAACCAAAAACCATTAAATCTCCACATTCTTCTTTAAAATAATCGATCAAACATCCATCTCTTCCCCATATTTGATTACAAATGTCTCCACTTCGGGAATTAAAACAACTTTGGCGTTTTTCATCTTCCGATTCGGTTTCATCTCTCAATTTTGTGAGACATGGAAAATAGGTGTTTGTGGTGAATTTAAGGACCGCGAAGATTCGTAAAATCAAGATGTCTTTCGATTTTTCGATCTTTTTGTTCGTTTTTGATAAATTGGAGATGCAATTCTGTATAATATGAGCAATGTGGTTATATTTATGAAGTTAGAAACCAACCACAATAAAATCATAAGCTTCAGCCGATTGTTGATCAATCCAAGGGTCAGATATACGTATGGGAAGTTCTGAACTTTTGCGATGTAACTTGAGTGCATCGAAGTAACAATACTTTAGATGTGTTTCGTTTTTATTGGAAACATAGTTATCGAGAGAAACGATTGAGAAAACTTGAGGAATTAGAAAGAGAAAAATAAACAAGAACTTCATTTTGCTCTGAAATGATGGATGCATGAACTTTTATATGCTACTTTCAGCAGCTGTGTTCTATTGGCAGAGTTTCAGATGTGAACTTTCGATGAAAAAGTGCAAAGATTCACATTTTCATTACGTCGCGCCCACACAAAAACACATATTGGCTAGGTTTTTGACTTCCAAAAAATGTGCGCAATGATCATCTGAAGATTTTTGCCCCGTACAAGCGTTCAGAGCTTGTGTGTCATATGGCGGAGCCTAGAAAGCCTAGATTTTTCAGAGACAACAAACTTTTTACAACAATTTTTATATTAAATAATGTTTCGAATAATATTCTTGAACTAATTTCAAATTTTCAAAAAAATTGACATTTGGAGTTTCGAGAAATGATTATTTTTTCTTGAAAAGTTTTCTGAATTTTTAAGTTTTCAAAGCTCCTCGTTTTCCAAACTTTTATATGATTTTTTCTAGTTTCCTTACAGTTTCCGGACTTCTGAAGATTCTGAAACTATGATTTATTATCAAAACTATTGATTTTGAAATGTAGAAACAGTTTTTCAGAGTTTTTGAAAAACGAGACACATAGACAAAAGTAATATAGAAAATCATCCCAGATTATGTAGATTTTGATAATATAATTTTTTTGTAAAATTTTTTATTCTGAAATGTAGAAAACCATGCTCAAAAATTTTGATATGAGATACGCAAAGAAAAAAAGATGCCTTTGCAAAATTGGACTATTTCAATCTCTTTTTCTCTGTTCTCTCTCTTTTTTCCATTATGTTTTTCTGTGCCTGCGAAAATTATTTTCAGCATTTTCTACATTTCAAAACCAGAATTTTCTGGAATTTTGTATATTTTTAGAATCTGGAGGGCGCGGGAGAAATTAATTTGAAATTCCAACTATTTTCAAAAAATATGGGGGTTTTTGTAGGTTTTCAGCCAAAAAAATCAAGATCTGAAATGCCAATTTTGAAAAGTTTTAACACAAAAAATAGATCACCTGAGAAATATTGAAATTTTGAAAATTTCGCCGCCAAAAATCCACGTGGAAGTTGGGAACAATTCAATGTTTTTTGTTTTTTCAGAATGGAAAACGATGAATTCATCCACAAACTTCTCGAATCGCATATTCCGGAAAGAATTCGAATGCTTGCCGCATTTTCACAAACAGCTTGGGGAAGAGCAAGTTTGAGAACATCTGGAGCTCTTGATATTCTGATTAATCGATTATCAAATTCTAAAGATAATCAAGAAAGATCAGCAATTGTAAATTCATTTCGACATTTGATTCATTATACAGCTGGAATGAGACATTTAAGTGAAAATATTGAATTTGTGAATACTGTTGTGAAAGATGTCAATAATTATGTGAAAAATCATCAAAGTAATTGCAAGCCAACTATTGATTTGGAATTTGTCACGAAATTAAGTCAAAAATTGGAGATTTTATCGAGTTCTGGTGAGAATTCCGGTGAAAAATCAATGGAAAATGAAGAAAGAAGACTTTATAAGGATTTTTATACAACGAGTTGGTCATATTCAACACCAAATATGTCACCAAAAGGGATGGGTTCTTCGTCGAATTCACCCTATTATTTTTCGCCATCGCCAAGTTATAGTTGTCCGTCGAGTAGTGCGTCGAGTGGAGCGAATTCGCCGAAAATTAGGTGAGCCTTATTTCAGCGTGTTTTTTTCGCGCAAAAATAACAAATCAAGAAAATATACGTTTCATGAAAAAAAACTATTTTTGGTCAACGTAACACCGCTCACCCATCATTTTGTTTTGTTGAATAACCGAGTTATACAAATGCTGAAACAGTGAAATTTTCGGATATGAAAAATTATTTTTTTTTACAAAAATTCAAATTTAAGGAACTAAGTCGTGAAATTAATTATGCTCATTGGAATTTGAAATTTTTGAAATTTTCTGCAGATTTTCAACGTTTTAGTTTCAAAAAGATTCTTCAGATTTTTGCGGAGGCAAAAAGATTATTAACATTTTTATTTTGTTGAAAAATAACCTTTCATTAAATTTGAAACAGTGGATTTTTCAAATTTACAGTTGTATAGGATAAAGTTCTCCCATCACTGTGTTCTGTTGAATAAAGAAATAATGCAAATGTTGAAACAGTGAAATTTTGAGAATAAACAACTTTCTAGAATTTTGAAACAGGTTTTTTTATAGTTTATGAAGCAGATATAGAATCAAAAAACCAAGAAAATCTTCAATTTACAAATAATTTTTGAAACAGTGAGATTCGTAAAATTTTTAGGATTTGAAAAGTCGATGAAAATTCAACAATTTTTGATTTTTCCGCAGAGCTAAATCAAACCTTACCTCTTTTAATTAAAAAAAAACAAACAAATTTTTGCAGACGTTCTGAAGGAATATTGGATGATTTGAGTGACATCGAATCCGATCATGATATCGAACCTATAATCGAAAATAAAACTGAAAAATCAATAGTCGAAACTGAATTATGGCTTCTTGGTTTTCAATCGCAAGATGATCATAATCTTCAATTCCTAGTTCGCCCAGATGTTGTTGATTGTGTCATTTCATATCTTCGAAATACATTCGAACCCGATTTTCGTTTATATCGAATTCTTCGTCGAATGGCAACACTTCGTGCAAATATTCATTTATTAATTGATATGCAATTTCATGTTCGAGTTTTGAATTGTTTATGCGCGGCTCCTTGTCGATTATTGAAATATGCGAAACATTGTAAACAATGTGAAGGATGTTCGGAACATGGAAAAGAGATTTTGAGAGAATTTGCACGGCATGTTGATAGCAGTTATGGTGATGCTCATATTAATGCAATGTTTAATAATTTGGATTTTGTGGATCGAACCAAAGCGGCTATTGCTAAAGTTGTTCTTGTTAAGTGAGTTAGGGTTGGGGTTCCTAATTTTTTGGCTGAAAACCTACAAAACTTGAAATTTGTTTCAATATAATAGAACATTTCAAAAGTAAAAAAAAACATTGAATTTTTCCCAACTTCCACGTCGATTTTTGGCGCCAAAATCTTTACAATTTAAATGTTTTTCAAGTGATCTATATTTTATGCTAAATATTTTCAAAATTGACATTTCAGATCTTGAATTTTTTGGCTGAAAACCTACAAAAACTCCTAAATGTTTTCAAAATAGTTGGAGTTTCAAATTGATTTTTCTCCCGCGCTTTCCAGATTCTGAAAATATACAAAATTCCAGAAAATTCTAGTTTTGAAATGTTGAAAATGCTGAAATTAATATTTGCAGGCACAGAAAAATATATTGGAAAAAAGAGAGAGAACAGAGAAAAAGAGATTGAAATAGTCCAATATTTGCAAGGCTTCTTTTTTTCTCTGCGTCTCTCATATCAAAATTTTGAACATGATTTTCTACACTTCAAAATCAAAAATTTCCAGGAAAAATTATATTTTGAAAATCTACAGAATCTGGGATAACTTTCTGAATTATTTTTTTCTCTGCATCTCTTCTTTCAAAAAGTTTGAAAAACTGTTTCTACATTTCAAATCCAACATTTTTTTAAATAAATTATATTTTCAGAATCTTCAGAAGTCGGGAAAATATTAGGAAACTAGAAAAACCCATTAAAATGTTTGGAAAATGTAGTGACACTGAAAACTTAAAAATTCAGAAAACTTTTCAAGAAAAAATAATTGTTTCTCGAAATTCCAAGTATCAATTTCTTTGAAATTTTGAAATTAATTCAAGAATATTATTCGCAACATTATTTAAAAAGAAAATTGTCGAAAAAAGTTAATTGTCTCTGTAAAAATGCTGAAACTTGAACCTACCTCGAGTAAATTGGCACATTGCTCAGCTGAAACTACAGTACTACAAATTCCCGAACATTCCAAAAGTAAATGAACAAATATTCGAAATGTTTCGGGATCCGAATCAATTTCAAAATTCCTGATATTTTCCGTTTTTCTACAAAATTTGAGCTAAACATTCCTTGAAAATATTCACTTTTCTCACAAATTTTGAACATTGGAGCTGTTCTCATTGGAAATTGATATAAACAAATAGCCTGAAAATTATACGTATCACCGAAAATTTATTGATTGTTTTATATCTGATCTTTCGGTCACTCAGTTTTCAATATATGGAATAAAAATCTGAAAAAAATCGATTTTTTTGCAGAGAACGAATTCGAGTTGCTAAAATTCCAGCAGTCAGCGAACTTTTCGAATCACTTGGTTTTATTCTGGAATCGCCAGAAAATTTCGATAAATTTGGAAATGTGAAGACTTATGAAAATGGGGTAGGTTTTGAAATACTGAACCCATCGAAAATTGGGATCATCAAAAATTCTCATTATTTTTTTGAAACAGTGAAGTTTTTCTTGATTTTTTAAATGGCTAGCAAAAACCAAAAAATCAATTTTTTGAATTTCGAAAATTATTATGAAAAAAATATTATGAAACAATGAAATTTTTAGGTTTTCGGGGAATTTAGATGAAATAATATTGGATCAAAAAGTCAACCGGGATTTTGAGTTAGTCGAAGGTTCAGATCATTTACAGTAGAATTTTAGACTGCAGATCAAATTTTAGCGCCAAAAACCATGTGGCAAATTTGAAATTTCAAAAATTATTTTTTTCAGCCCACTCTTTGCTCTCAAATAATTGGAGCATTATCCACATTGATAACTGGACAGAAAATCAAAGATTTATGCGAAAAAGATAGCTGGTATTTTCCTGGAAAATCTGAAGATCAATGTGAAATCAAAGCAGAAAACAATGAAGATTCTGAACAATTGAAATTTATATCAATTTCCTCTAATGAGAATATCGAAACAGCTCCAATGTGCAAAATTTGTGAAAAAAGCGAATATTTTCAAGGAATGTTTAGCTCGAATTTTGTGGAAAAAACGGAAAATATTCGGAATTTTGAAATCGATTCGGATCCGGAAACATTTCGAATATTTGTTCATTTACTTTTGGGATGTTCGGGAATTTGTAGCACTGTAGTTTCAGCTGAGCAATGCGCCAATTTACTTGAGGTAGGTTCAATTTTCAGCATTTTTCAGAGACAAAAAACTTTTTACAACAAGTTTCCTATTAAATAATGTTGCGAATAATATTCTTGAATTAATTTCAAAATTTCAAAAAATTTGACATTTGGAGTTTCGAGAAACAATTATTTTTTCTTGAAAATTTTTCTGAACTTTGAATTTTTCAGTGTCCCTACATTTTCCAAACATTTTTTGATTTTTTCTAGTTTCCTAATATTTTCCCGACTTCTGAAGATTCTGAAAATATGATTTTTACTGAAAAATTTTGATTTTGAAATGTGAAAACCGTTTTTCGAACTTTTTGAAAGAAGAGATACAGAGACAAAAATAATATAGAAAATCATCCCAGATTCTGTAGATTCTAAAAAATATAATTTTTTTGTAAAATTTTTGATTTTGAAATGTTAAAAATCGTGTTCAAAATTTTGATATGAGAGACGCAGAGAAAAAGAGATGGCTCGCAAAAATTGTACTATTTCAATCTCTTTTTCTCTGTTCTCTCTCCTTTTTCCATTATATTTTTCTGTGCCTGCGAAAATTATTTTCAGCATTTTCTACATTTCAAAACCAGAATTTTCTGGAATTTTGTACTTTTTCGGAATCTGGAGAGCGCGGGAGAAAAATAAATTTGAAATTTCAAATATTTTTTAAAAAATATGGGAGTTTTGTAGATTCTCAGCCAAAAATATAGGTTTTCAGCAATCCAAAAAAATTCTTCTCAATGAATGAAGTTCCACCTAAATTCAATGTTTATTTCAGTTATCCGATCGATATCTTTGTCCCGAACTTTCAACAACACTTTGTGCAGATAATGGACCACTCAGAACATTTTTAACCGGTCAAACTTTGTCTATTCTTCTTCCAGTTGCACTTATCACAAATGCACATCCAACGTGAGTTTTTTTGAATTTTTGTGCTGTAATATGTGTGGAAAAAATAAATGTAATAGTTTTCAAAAAATCACTGTTTCAAAAAAATGTTAAGTTGGGAATTTCGAAAATGGAAATCAGTGTCACTTTGTGTATCGAGAGTAAATCCTCTAAATTAAATTTTTTGAAGAAATTTCCAGAAAATTCACTGTTTCAAATAATTTTGATTTGGAAATGTTGAAAATTAAAATTATTGGCAATTGACCTTGAATAAAAAACATTTAAATTTCGTGCCAGAAAAATTATACCAATTAAAAAAATAACTTCGAGTTTCCAAAAAATCTCCCAATTTTTCCAGATTATTATCTACCGTATACCTCACCCTCGTTCGTTTTTCCTCATCTTCTGACGTCACAAAATCGCTTGAATTTATTTGTAAAAATACGAATCCAATTGTAATTAATACTTTCATGACTAGTTTTAGACAATTTTTGATGGTTGATTGAAAATATTCGAGATTATTTATGTATTTTTGTGGGCTTTGTATTTATTTTTGTAATAAATGTGTTATTTTTAACATGAGTAATATGGGAATTTTTTTTGAATTGATTTTGAATTTTCTCATTTTTGAAAATATCTATTTTTGTACTGTAGTTTCAGCTGAGCAATGTGCCAATTTACTTGAGGTAGGTTCAGTTTTCAGCATTTTTTCAGAGACAAAAAACTTTTTACAACAAGTTTCCTATTAAATAATGTTGCGAATAATATTCTTGAATTAATTTCAAAATTTCAAAAAAATTGATACTTGGAATTTCGAGAAACAATTAGTTTTTCTTGAAAAGTTTTCTGAATTTTGAATTTTTCAAAGCCACCACATTTTCCAAACATTTTTATGATTTTTTTCTATTTTACTAATATTTTCCCGACTTCTGAAGATTCTGAAAATACAATTTATTCTGAAAAATTTTGATTTTGAAATGTAGAAACAATTTTTCGAACTTTTTGAAAGAAGAGATTCAGAGACAAAAATAATATAGAAAATTATCCCAGATTCTGTAGATTCTGAAAATATAATTTTTTCTAGAAACCTTCGATTTTGAAATGTAGAAAATCGTGTTCAAAAATATGGTTTGAGAGACGCAGAGAAAGAAAGATGGTTGGCAAAAATTGGACTATTTCAATCTCTTTTTCTCTGTTCTCTCTCTTTTTTCCATTATATTTTTTCTGTGCTTGCGAGAATTTTTTCAGTATTCTCTACATTTCAAAACCAGAATTTTCTAGAAAAATGTATATTTCTGAAATCAGGAAGACTTGGGAGTTCATAAAATATCAATATTCCATTTTAGTGCCACGTGGCAATTTTTGATATTTTTTGAAAAATTAACTGTTTCAAAAATAATTGAATTGAAAATTTCGAAAATTAAAATTAATTGATCAGTTGTTAACATCAAATAACATCAAATTTTCGTTATTTGGAAAAAAATGTATTGCCAAAAATTCACTGTTTCAGATATTTTTCATTTATAATTTCCCATAATTGTTTTGGTAATGGACAAATCCCTTTCATCGAATTGAAATATTTCAAAGTTTGTTGAAAAGCTCTATCGTCGAAATATTATCCGGGTTCTTATAATCACCTGAAAAACGTTAACAGAAAGTTATGAGCATTTGTTTTTTTACCACAAACAATGGATTTTTAGCATTTTTTCAGAGACAACAATCTTTTTTTGAAAATTTTTCTATTAAATAATGTTACGAATAATATTCTTGAACTAATTTCAAATTTTCAAAAAAGTTGATACTTGGAGTTTCGAGAAAAAATTATTTTTTCGTGAAATTTTTCATGAAATTTTAGTTTTTCAAAGCCCCCACATTTTCCCAACATTTTTATGATTTTTTCTACTTTCCTAACATTTTCCCGACTTCTGAAGAATATGAAAATATAATTTATTTTAAAAAAATTTGGATTTGAAATGTAGAAACCGTTTTTCGAACTTTTTGAAAGAAGAGACGCAGAGACAAAAATAATATAGAAAATTATCCCAGATTCTGTAGATTTAAAAAAATATAAATTTTCTTTGGAATTTCTGAGTTTGAAATGTAGAAAATATTGAAATAATTATTCGCAAGAATAGAAAAAATATAGTGGAAAATGGAGAGAGAACAGAGAAAAAGAGATTGAAATAGTCCACTTTTTGCAAGGCATCTCTGTTTCTCTGCGTCTCTTATTAAGAATATTTGAACACCATTTTCTACATTTCAAAATCGAAAATTTCTAGAAAAAATTATATTTTTCAAAATCTACAGAGTCTGGGATAATTTTCTATATTATTTTTGTCTCTGTATCTCTTCTTTCAAAAAGTTCGAAAAACTGTTTCTACATTTCAAAATCAAAATTTTTCAGAATAAATTATATTTTCAGAATCTTCAGAAGTCGGGAAAATGTAAGAAAACTAGAAAAAATCATTGAAATGTTTGGAAAATGTGGGGGCTTTGGAAAACTAAAAATTCAGAAACATTTTCAAGAAAAAATAATTTTTTCTCAAAATTCCAAGTATAAAATTTTTTGAAATTTTTAAATTGGGTGAAGAATACTTTTTGCAACACTTTTTAATAGGAACATTCTCAAAAAAAGTTATTAAAATCTGAAAAAATTCTGAAACTTGAACCTACCTCAAGTAAATTGGCGCATTTTTTCTTGTTTGGAAATTGTAGAATTGCCAGAAAAATGTAAAATCTGTCAGAGAATAATTTCGAAACGTGAACTAATTTGTGCCACGTGGGAAAATGTCGACGTGTCCTCGTTTTTCCCGAAATCCCGTTATTTCTCATCAATTTTTTACACAAAATGACATCGCAAATGGTAGGTAAAATTTATGGGGTGGTTCATGTAGAACATTTATTTTTTTGCAAATTTTGATCTATCTTAGATCTCGCTACCTACTTAGTTTTCAATTCAAAAAATTGCGAAAAATTAAAAAAAAATAACAAAAACTACGGTAGTTTGCGAAATGTGTGCAAACACCGAGTAGGCATTTAAATTGACGCGCAGGTATTTTTATTTATTTTTTTTGCGCATCCTCTGATTTTTGCGACTTTCGAGCTTACGAATAGAATTGACGTCACTTTTTTTGTTAGAGCATCGAGGATGCGTTGCGGTCATGCGCTCCGTGTTGCATTTTCAAAATTTCCCTCAAAAAAAGTGATAATTTGCAGGCCAGCGATGGAAATGCGGATTTAACGAAACTAAAATTTTACCATGGTGTTCAAACACGAGAAGACACACAATTATTGATGAAAGATGCTCAAATCGGTGATTTTCTGCTGCGAACCTCGTTTTTGAAACTAGAAGTCAAAATGATTGTGTATTTTTGTATCAAAGTTTGCGAAAATGATATTCATCATTATTTGATTGCATTTCGAAATTGTCAAATTGTCATGAAACAAGAATTGATGGATCGAGAGGGAATTAAGAAAATAATCGAATCGAAACCGTTTAATAGTTTTGATGAGATGATTAATTTTTATCGGGTAAATAAGAAACTTTATCTGCTATTAACTGTTCAAAAATTAAATTAAAATAATTTTCAGGTTCACCGTTTGGCATGTGGAATTCGATTATCTCGATCCCTAAATCGTCCAAAATATCAATTGCGAAATTCGGAAGTTCATTACGAAGAAAGCGGAAAACTTGGCTCAGGCAATTTTTGCACAGTCTATCGAGGAATATTAAAACGAGGAAATCGTGAAGATATAGTTGCAATAAAAGTATCAAAACAAACCGAACATCCAGATCCAGCACAAATAATGGAAACAAAAAAAGAATTATTTGCTGAAGCAAAAATAATGATTGCATATAATCATGTGAATGTCATCAAATTATTTGGCCTCGCTTGTGATCTACCACCATTTATGGTTTGTTTGGAGTTTTGTAATGGTGGAAGTTTGGAAAGTCATTTGTATAAACATGGAAATGAGATGGAAGAATTTGAAAGACAAACATTATTGATTGATTCGGCTAGAGGAATGAGATATTTGCATGCGAATAAATGTATTCATCGAGATTTGGCATCGAGAAATTGTTTGATTTCGGCTGAAGGTTTTATTAAAATTGCTGATTTTGGGTTGAGTAAATCACTTGGAGCTGATGAAACGAAATTCAAAGAGGCTTTGAAAGAAGCACCACTTGTGTAAGTTTGAAAAGCGAACTTCTCTGCGTCTCCTCAATGTAGTTATGACGTGGCAATCCAATTCTTTTTTTTTGCAGCTGGCTGGCTCCGGAATGCATCCAAAAAGAATCGGAATTCTCGGCAAAAAGTGATGTTTGGGCATTTGGTGTTCTAATGTATGAAGTATATTTCAATGGTGCAAAACCATTTTCGGATGAAAAAGACACAAGTACATTAATTCGAAATATTCGAAAAGCCAATATGCCATTAATCGATAAACGAACAAAAATCCCAAAAATGATTGAACTTCATTCATCAATTTTTACACGAAAACCCGAAGATCGAATTGATTTTCAAACAATTTTGGAGAAACTCGTCGATTCGCTCATTTCACATGATCCTTTAAATTTGGCAAAAATGGAAGTGAATAAATTGGATGGAGTTGAACGAACTAAAATGCCCAATATTTGTGTGGAACCCGAAAAAATGCCGAGAATGTTGGAACCCAAATCATCGCATCACAGTAATATGAGCAATATGCATATGATGAAGAAACGAGATAGAAATACGGGAAAGAAATGGGCGAATTATAATAAAGAGGAAAAGGCTGGAGGCGGCAATTCGTGGAGCAAAAATTCGACAAAAACTCAGAGCTCGTCACATTGAGAGATCCTACTTGAAAAAATGAATTTTTGTTTTTCCGAATTCGCCCGCCTGGGCTTCGGTCCAAAACGAGCCTGCTTTTTTGTGCCGGCCTGGACCTGGGCTTGGCCTACTTTTGTTGAAGAAAACATTACAAATTGCTAAGTATTACAAAGAGTTTATTTTCGTTTATCGTCTATTCAAGAGATCAAAAGTTGTTTTGATTAAACAAATATTTCTCTTTTCATCCCGTATGATGTACTTAAAGCCCCATGTTTGCCAAAAAACAAGATTTATAGACGAATTAAAGAGTCCATAAAGTATCTTTTGCGGATTTCGTGTGATAATCAGGTTTTTTTTTTCAAAAAATACTTTTATCATATTAATTGCAATGACCAAACCGCAAACACATGTTTTCTAACTTCAATTGTATTATAATTTATTACCCAACAATTATTATCCGCTTGATTATTCATCAAATTAAATTATGTTATTGATGAATATTATGCTCATGTTCCAAAATTTTGGACAAGCTTGTATTCCGACGCAGCAAATTGAACGTGAGATTTTTTCAACTTTTTATTCGAAAAATCCTGAAGGTCAGCTTTTACAAAAAATTCTGTTAAATACAGAAAAAATTAACCAAAAAATGAAAAGAAAACAACGAGATTCCGGGTGGACGACGGCGCGCGTAGTTTGAATTTATTTATTTTTTCTGTTTTTTTGCCACGAGTGCACCCATAAAGTTTTGAAAATTTTTAACAAAAAAGGGGCGAGGTCGAACCCTGGTTATAAAAATAGTACGCAACTTTTTCATGATTACAGTTCCAATACTCGAAACAACCACTACTACAACCACCACCACAACCACAACTTCAACCACAACAACAACTCCAATAATTTACGGATGTCCTGATTCAACATGGACAGTTATTGATCGAACCGATTATTCTTGGTGCGCTTATATTTTGAATGGACCTTATTTGATGCGAGATTACGAAGCAGAATGTGCAAATATCCATGCAAATGCAGTTGTTTGGGGAATTCAAGATGCAGCCGAACTTCAAACAGTCCTAACATTAATTCGAGCTGTTGAAACCGTATCTCCCAGTAAAGTATGCTTGGGAGCTTTAAGAACATCAGATTGTGATATGGCGTATGGACTTACCCCAACTTGCACAACTTTAACTAGTTATGCTTGGGAAGATGATCATACAACTGGAACAGATGGTTTTATTTGGGCTCCTGGAAAACCGGAAAATCCATTCTTGTATTCTGGATATCCATACACATATATGTATGTTGATTCTGGTACTGGTGAAATGGAAGATTATTATAGTGGTTGGGATGGAGACGCAGGGCTTTGTGGAATGCTGCCAATTCAGCTGAATTGAAGGAAGTTCTCTAAACTTTTGAGATCTTTTTGTTTTTTTTTTAAATAATGGGGCTATTCATGTTATTTTTCAACGCTGAGAAAACGGGAGAAAAGCGGAGAAAACCTATTCAGGTAGGCTGAGAAAATACGAAAAAAGCGGAGAAAATGTATTTCCTCCGCATTTCTCCTGTTTTCTCAACATGCTGAGAAAATACATGAATAGCCCCATAAACAATGTATCGCAAAAACGTTTCTTTTTTGGAATTTTTTTTTCAAAACTGGTTCATTCTTCATTGTGTTTGAAAATTTTTTTAATTCGATTAGTACTTTGATGTCATCCTGAAAAATTACGTAATAATCCAGTTCTCAAACTACACTCGCTTATCACATTATGATATCGAAAAGACAGATTCTGACTAGTGATGCAAAAATCGACAAGAAGCACCCCTGTTCAGAAGCCGGAATGGAAAATTTTCGAAAATCAATAAAGAGGTTTTGATCGTACCAATACCAAATTGGCCTTGCTGAACGTCACTGTGAATTTAGAATCCAAAAAAATTGTCTTTGAAATGAATTACACCACCCGAAAAGTTTAGTTTCTTACACCACCCTCTTACACGCTTGTGCCGGAAATTTTCCGGGTTTCGAATTTCCGGCACAGACCTGCACCACCAGAAAAGTCCGAATGGTGGCAACATTGCCACGTCATAATTATATTTTTTTGAGCGAGTTGTACATCCTAGGATTTTCGGCTTCATCGGGATGAGTTGAACTGCCAAAGCTATAGAAACATTTCATTCGGTTGGTCCGCGATCTTCCCTTGAAAAATTGATACTAGGATAGAACCATGTACTCAAAACCTCTTTTTTTTTGCAAAAATGCAAAAATCACGAATGAATTAAAGCGTCCTTTAAGTATCCATTGCAGATTGCCAGTGATCATCAGGTTTTTAATAGCTTTTTTATCATATTAATTGCAATAAGCAAATCACGAAACATATGTGTTTTTCAGAAAACATACATCTCAATAGCTTTTAATTAATTATCCAATTAATATTTTCTCAATTATTCTCTAATTTAAATATGTTATTGATAAATATTATGCTCATGTTCCAAAATTTTGGACAAGCTTGTATTCCGACGCAGCAAATTGAAAGTAAGATTTTATAAATTTCCTTGATCAAAAATTCTTGATTTTTTTTCCGAAAAAAATAACCTTGTTTTTAAAGCTACCACTACCACAACATCCACCACAACAACTCCAATAATTTACGGATGTCCTGATTCAACATGGACAGTTATTGATCGAACTGATTATTCTTGGTGCGCTTATATTCTGAATGGACCTTATTTGATGCGAGATTACGAAACAGAATGTGCAAATATCCATGCAAATGCAGTTGTTTGGGGAATTCAGGATGCAGCCGAACTTCAAACAGTCCTAACATTAATTCGAGCTGTTCAAACCGTATCTCCAAGTAATGTATGTTTGGGAGCTTTAAGAACATCAGATTGTGATATGGCGTATGGACTTACCCCAACTTGCACAACTTTAACTAGTTATGCTTGGAATGATGGTAATACAGATGGAACGGATGGTTTTATTTGGGCTCCTGGAAAACCGAGTAATGAATTTTTGTACTCTGGATATCCATACACATATATGTATATGTTGATTCTGATACTGGTGAAATGTCAGATACTTATAGTGGTTGGGATGGAGACGCAGGGCTTTGTGGAATGCTACCAATTCAGCTGAATTGAAGAAAGTTCTCTTAACTTTTGAGATCTTTTTGTTTTTTTTTTAATAAACAATGTAAATGTCGCAAAAATAAATTTACTTTATTGGTATTTTCCAACAAAAAAAGGAGGGTGGGGGGGGATCGAGCAATCGAATACGGATCTACCTTTAACTTTTTTAAAACATTATTCAATTCGATTAATACTTTGATGTCATCCTGAAAAATTACGTAATAATCCAGTTCTCAAACTACACTCGCTTATCACATTATGATATCGAAAAGACAGATTCTGACTAGTGATGCAAAAAGCATATTTAAAAAAATCCATTTATATTTTTCTAACAACTTTTTCCAGATCACTTTACAAAATACTATCACCAAATTGCTTGAAATTCTTATGAAAATTTTCTGAAACAGTAAATTTTTGGTAACATGTTTTTTTTTGAAAATTTTGAGTTTCTATCAGGAAAGTGGGCAAAAACTGAAAGGGTTTTTCTGAAAGGGGGTTGACCCCCTTAAAAGGGGGTCAGAGCAAGAAGTCTGAAAGGGGGTCAAGTATAGTAAAAAGGGTTTTACTGAAAGGGGGTTAATCTGAAAGGGGTTTGACCCATATCACAAAAAGGGTTTTTCTGAAAGGGGTTGACCACTCAAAAAGGGGGTCACATTTTTTTCAAAAAAGGGGGTCAAAATTTTTTTCAAAAAGGGTTTTTCTGAAAGGGGGTCAACTTTTTTTTTCAAAAAAGGGGGTCAACTTTTTTTTTCAAAAAGGGTTTTTCTGAAAGGGGGTCAACTTTTTTTTTCAAAAAAGGGGTCAACTTTTTTTTCAAAAAGGGTTTTTCTGAAAGGGGGTCAACTTTTTTTTTCAAAAAAGGGGGTCAACTTTTTTTTTCAAAAAAGGGGGTCAACTTTTTTTTTCAAAAAAGGGGGTCAACTTTTTTTTCAAAAAAGGGGGTCAACTTTTTTTCAAAAAGGGTTTTTCTGAAAGGGGGTCAACTTTTTTTTCAAAAAAGGGGGTTAACATTTTTTTCAAAAAGGGGGTCATATTTGGAGGAAAAAAAGGGGGTCAAATTTTTTATTCAAAACATTTTTTTTCAAAAAGGGGGTCAAATTTTTGGGACGAAAAGCGGGTCCCGGGTGTCTAAGTTGTCTGGGCGTTCACTAAGCCTAAGCCTTGAATAACAGATTATTTACATTTAACCCTTTTTTTCCTCCAAAAATTACCCCTTTTTTTCAAAAATATTGACCCCCTTTCAGAAAAACCCTTTTTGAAAAAAAAGTTGACCCCTTTTTGAAAAAAAGTTGACCCCTTTTTTGAAAAAAAAGTTGACCCCCTTTCAGAAAAACCCTTTTTGAAAAAAAAAAAGTTGACCCCCTGTTTTGAAAAAAGTTGACCCCCTTTTTTGAAAAAAAGTTGACCCCCTTTCAGAAAAACCCTTTTTGAAAAAAAGTTGACCCCTTTTTGAAAAAAAAGTTGACCCCCTTTCAGAAAAAACCCTTTTTGAAAAAAAAGTTGACCCCCTTTTTTGAAAAAAAAGTTGACCCCCTTTCAGAAAAACCCTTTTTGAAAAAAAGTTGACCCCCTTTTTTGAAAAAAAAGTTGACCCCCTTTCAGAAAAACCCTTTTTGAAAAAAAATTTGACCCCCTTTTTTGAAAAAAAAAGTTGACCCCCTTTCAGAAAAACCCTTTTTGAAAAAAAAGTTGACCCCCTTTTTTGAAAAAAAAGTTGACCCCCTTTTTTGAAAAAAAAGTTGACCCCCTTTTTTGAAAAAAAAGTTGACCCCCTTTTTTGAAAAAAAAATGTGACCCCCTTTTTGAGTGGTCAACCCCTTTCAGAAAAACCCTTTTTGAAAAAAAAGTTGACCCCCTTTTTTGAAAAAAAAATGTGACCCCCTTTTTGAGTGGTCAACCCCCTTTCAGAAAAACCCTTTTTGTGATATGGGTCAAACCCCTTTCAGATTAACCCCCTTTCAGTAAAACCCTTTTTACTATACTTGACCCCCTTTCAGACTTCTTGCTCTGACCCCCTTTTAAGGGGGTCAACCCCCTTTCAGAAAAACCCTTTCAGTTTCTACCAGGAAAGTGTTATTAATTTTCATTCTAAAAATATTCAATTCAATTATTTTTGAAACAGTTAATTTTTCAAAAAATATCAAAAATTGTCACGTGGCACGAAAAATGAATTTTGATCTTTTATGATCTCCCAACACTTCCAGATTACAAAAATATACAAAATTCCTGAAAAATCCAATTTTGAAATGTAGAAAATGCTGAAAATAATAGTTTCAAGCACTGAAAAAATATAATGGAAAACAGAGAAAAAGAGATTGAAATAGTCCAATTTTGCAAAGATTTCTTTCTTTCTCTGCGTCTCTCATATCAAATTTTTGAGCATGGTTTTCTACATTTCGAAATCAAAAAATTCCAAAAAAATTATATATTCAAAATCTCTAGAATCTGGGATAATTTTCTATATTATTTTTGTCTCTGCATCTCTTCTTTGAAAAAGTTCGAAAAACTGTTTCTACATTTCAAAATCAAAATTTTTTAAAATAAATTATATTTTCAGAATCTTCAGAAGTCGGGAAAATATTAGGAAACTAGAAAAAATCATAAAAATGTTGGGAAAATGTGAGGGCTTCGAAAAGCTAAAAATTCAGAAAAAATGTCAAGAAAAAAAATTTTTTCTCGAAACTCCAAGTATCAATTTTTTTGAAAATTTGAAATTAGTTAAAGAATATTATTCGCAACATTATTTAATAAGAAAATTTTCAAAAAAAAGTTTGTAGTCTCTGAAAAAAATTTGAAAATAATTTTTTTTCACAGCGTCACCTCTGAAAAATCTCTAACTTCAAATATTGCTCTCAAATTCCAGTTTCTTCCGCGAAGAAGCCACGCGGACTGCTATGACGTGGAATCTTTACCGAGAGGAAGATTTTTTGGAGCATCGGTTACGGGTTGAAGAATTCCAACTTCTTCATCCCGAAATCGCGATGCTCAAGTTGCAAAAATAGTGAAAAATTTATATGGAATTTTTGAAACAGTGGATTTTTTCGTGAATTTTTTTTTCAATATTTATTTTTCCAATAAAATAACAAACATAACAATAATCTACAGTCTAAAATTATCTCTAAAAACTAAAAAAATCAATCAATAAACATATTTTTCTAATCATACACTAGCAATTTTCTTTTTCTTAATCTTTTTCTCTTTTTTCCTTCTTTCAGCTTGCAAAGTATCCAAAATATTTCCAATAATTTTTCGATTCTCCTCTTTATTTCCAGCCAAATTCAACGACAAAGTTACATGAAATCCATTTCTCGAAGTCACAGTCTTCTTCTCAATTGTAACACCATTTTCCTCTAATAACCTTAAGAATTCCGAATGTTCATTTTCCTTGGCCATTCTCCAAATCTCATCATTTTCAAATCCTTCAATATTTCTCCGATCTAAACTTGGTCTTCCACACGAAACTCCATCAACAATCAATAAAAATTCAATTTTCGCATCAAAATCAACCAAAGGCCAAGATTGTTGTGAAACTAGGCCTTGTTCCGGACACATTCCAGCCCAAAGTTCAGCCGCAATATTTGGACAAAATACTTGGAGCATAATAATGAGCGATTGCACAGCATTTCGACCTTCCGGACTATTCGCCAAATAAATTGCATCAATTTTTTTGAGCGCATTTGTGAAGCCTTGTATTCTCATTAGAGCAGTGTTGTGTAAATGCAAAACTTCGAGACACATTCCAATATTTCGCACGAAAAAGTTGTAGGCTTCTTTGATTTCTTCTTCGATTTTCTTGTCGGATTTGAATGGTTTTCCTTGATTTGCAACCATTTCTGATGTTATTGTCGCTATTCGATCCAATAGTTTTTTGATTCCTTTTAAATCTGCAAAAAACATTTTTGATTGTAAATTTTCACGTGGATTCTTGGCGCCGTAATTTTAAAATATCTGAAAATGCTCACCACTTTCTCCCCAATTAATTGGTGCTCGCGGAGCAGCGGCTTCCAATAATCTCAACCTTGTCATATCAACTCCATCGCTTTCCAAAATCGCCGCCAAATCCACTCCATTATTTTTCGATTTGCTCATTTTCTCATAAATTGTCTCAACTTGATCCATCTCATTTTCATTGATTTCCTCAGCTCTCAAATATTTTCCCGTTGATTTTTCGATAAAAGTCTTTCCTCTCACAATTCCTTGCGGAATCAAATCAATAAATGGTTCATTTTCCGGTAGAATTTTCAAATCATTCAAAAAATAAGCGATGAATCTGGCGAAAAACATATGAACAGCAGCGTGTTCGATTCCTCCAACATAAACATCGACTGGCATTTTTTGAGCTGCTGCGGGTGAAATTAATTCATTTCCATTTTTCGGGTCCAAATATCTCAAATAATACCAGGCTGAATCGAAAAATGTGTCAAGAGTATCAGTGTCGAAAATTCCCGCGTCTGTAGTTTGACCTCTTTGTGATCCGAGAACCTGCAGAAAATGAAGAATTTTGTGAAATTTTTTTCTTCGAGTTTCATGAAAAATTGTTGCTTTTTATAAAAAGAACTCTCGGGCTGCATTAATGAAAATTTCACTTTTTTTTTGTAAATAAAAACAATTTGAAACAGTAAAATTTTTAATTTCAGAAAAAAAAAAACATTTTTTGGAATTATTATAATAGGGTGAATGTTTGAATCAACAGAAAATTCTCTATTAAAAGTTCTCTAACAAAACTCTATTATTTAAACTTTGAAACAGTAATTTTTCGATTGTTTTAAAATGTTGGAAATACTAAATATTAATGAAACATTTCAAATTTCTCCAAAACTTCTAGAATTTTTGAAACAGTGGAATTTATTTGACAAAAATGAATGAAAATTTGCTAACTTTATGATAAAATTTCGAAATATCACAATTTTTGGGACCAAATCAAACCTGGATTATAAAAAATGTTTGAAAAAATTTATTTTAGAAAGTGAACCGTCAAATGAACAAAAAATCGGACATCGAAACAATTTTATTTAAAATTTGAAACAGTGAATTCTGATTGTTAGAAAATTGACATTAAACAATTCAAACCTCTCCAAAACATTTTTGAAACAGTGGAATTTCAAAAAAAAAATAAAAAATTCCGTCGTGATAAAGTTCAACTCTTATAAATCTGACCCAAAACTCAAAATTAAAAAATGAAAATTTTAAAATTTTTCTCTTGACCCCTCTCTCACCGGCAATTTCTTCTCCTCCACCGCAATCGCACTTCCATCTTCTCTCATAATCATCGGAATTGGTGTTCCCCATGCTCTTTGTCGACTCACAACCCAATCACTCAATGTTCTCGATGTTTCATATCCTCCGTATCCACCAAATGCAGCCAATTCAACAATATCATTTTTATTCAATTTCAAAACCCTTCCCGATGGTTTGATGGAAAACTTTTCACATAGATCTTTGTCTTTCTCAAAATCTCCAATTCTTGAATCTTTAAACATTTCGATTTCATTTTTGTAATTTTCATCAACAACAATAATTGGCATATATCTTCCAGTAACTCCGTTCAAAACTTGAATCGGTGAAATATCTGCAAAAAATGATGCTCAAAATTGTTCTGCCGCTCGAAAATAACTTACACGGTGTTTCAAAATTCTTGTCAGCTACAAGCGAATGATTTTTATTGACAATAAGGAATTCGGCGTTTGAAATTTGAAAAATATCTTTGATTCTGATATCGATTTTTTCATCGAGAACTTTTCCGTTTTCTTGATCTCGAAGTGGGAACAAAAATCGCCAAACATCGCATTTTCCAATCCAGTTTGCCTGAAAATAAGCTATGTGGTGACAATTTTGCCAAAAATCCACGTGACAATTTGAAACTCTGATTTAAACATTTCTAGTTGGCACGAATCGCATATCAAAACATCTTAAAAACCAAAAAAAATTTAACAAATTTTTGAAACAGTGAAAATTTGAAAAACAATTTTGTGAGATGATTTTATTTGATAGTATTCTGTTCATTAGAAATCTATGTGAAATTTTTGAAACAGTAGAAATTTTGCAGAATGAATTTTCGTGACAAGATTTTACTTCCAAAACATTTGTAAATTTAATTAATTCAACTTCGACGGGTCGCGGATCAAAATATCCTAAAAACCAAATAACTTCAATAAATTTTTGAAACAGTGAAAATTTGAAAAACATTTTTGTGACATTTTATTCCAAAAAGTTATTTGATAGGGAGATTATTTTCTTTTTTTCATTAGAAATCTATATAAAATTTGAAACAGTAAACATTTTACTGTGAATAAATCTTAAGGACGAGACTTTACTTCACAATTTTTGTAAATTCAAATATTTCGGTGCGAAAAATCCACGTGTAAATTTGAAAATTCGAAAAAAAAACATTGGTTCATAAAATTTCAACAGTGAAATTAAATTCCTGCAAGAAATATTTTTCTCACATTTTTTGGATACATTTTTTTGGTCAGGGCTCGTGAATAAAATATCCTAAAAACCAAATAACTTCAAAAAATTTTTGAAACAGTGAAAATTTGAAAAACATTTTGTGATATTTTATTCCAAAAAGTAATTTGATAGTAAGATTATTTTCTGTTTTTCATTAGAAATCTATGTGAAATTTGAAACAGTAGACATTTTACTGTGAATGAATCTTAGTGACAGAACGTTACTTCAAAACTTTTCAGAATTCAAATAATTTAGCGCGAAAAATCCAGGTGGTAACCTACCTGAATATCAGCGACTTCTCCCCATTGCGGTGCCAATTTCCTCAATCCCTCTTGCAATTTCTTCGCATATTTTGGTGTTTCAATCATCCATTGTCTCAATTTCATTTTCTCAGCCACCGCTCCACTTCTCCAACTTTTTCCTTCGCTATCAATTTGTTCAGCAGCCAGAACAGTTTTATCAACCGGATCCCAATTCACTTCCGCCGTGACTCGTTTCACCAATCCTTTTTCATACAATTTGCAGAAAATCCATTGGGTCCATCGGAAAAATTCGGGTTCACACGTTGAGATTTCACGATCCCAATCGAATTGAATCTGCGTTTTTTGAAGTTGTTCGCGCATTGTTTCGATGTTCCTTTAAATTTTTTTTTAAATTTTGATTGAAAATTAATTCCAATTTCTTACTTCAAAGTCCATTCTCTCGAATCGACTCCTTGATTTCTGGCTGCATTTTCAGCCGGAAGTCCAAATGAATCCCAGCCAATTGGGTGAATTACCTGCAAAAATTTAATGTACCTTTAAATGGGTCTCGCCACAAAAAACTTGAATATTGAACGAACTCACATTTTTCCTCAAAATAATAAAGTAAAAATGAGCAAAAATTGTTATTTTTTTGAAAATAAACATTTGCCACGTCATCACGTCACGTGGAAATATTTTAATTTTTGGAAAAATATTCAGTTGGGTCTACAGTCACATTTACACTCAAAATAATTGGAATTTTAACGAGAATCAGAAATTTGACTTCAAAATTATTTTTTCTCTGATCCATTTGAGTTTTATATTGAGCATGTTCCTTTAAAATGTATAATTTCGTGCTGGGACTCAAATGTAAAGGAACATGATCATATTTACACTCAAAATGCTCCAAATTTCCCGTCAAACTCAAAAATACCCACCTCAAAACCATTCAATCGATAATATCTCGCAGTCGCATCTGAAATCGTATAAACCCGCATATGTCCAATATGTAATCGACCCGATGGATAAGGAAACATTGATAAAATATACTTCTTTTGCTTCTCATTTTTTGAGCCAATTTGTTGTTTTTTGCTCAAAAAATCTTGACTGAGAGGTTTTGCCCAAAATTGCTCCAATTCTTTGGTTTTCTCGCTGACCCGAACGTCCTGAAATTAATTGTTTTAGAAGAAACTTTTTTTCATAGTTCCACCAAAAATTTCTACTGTTTCAAAGATTTTTAATAAATTATGCTGCAAGAAAATTTTCACTGTTTGATTTTCAGTCAAAAACTAAATTATCTCAAAAATTATAAATATTTGCTATTTTTTTCTCTAAAAATTTCTACTGTTTCAAAATTTTCACATAATTTTCTAATGAAAAGAAATAATAATATTCAGACTTTATCTTTTCGGAATAAAATCATGTTCCAAAAAAAATTTCAATTTTTCACTGTTTCAAAATTTCGGTGAAGTTTTTTTTTGAATTTCAAGATTTTGTTTCGATCCGTTTGAAAATGGTGCCAAAAATTTTCCTTGACATTTCCCGAATCGATTTTTTTTGAAACCTTACCCTAATTGGCCACCTTAGAGCGGTTCCCAAGAACCGTCGAAAATACATCTGAAAATCCAGAAAATTGAAATTTTTTCAACCAAAAAATAAATAAAACAAGTTCGAAGAAACGAAAAAGCCAATGGAAAACTCGGGGAAAATTATTCAAAATTTATTTTTTGCTATTTATAAATTTGGGGGAAAAATACATATAAATATTTATATAAGCTCTGTTAGAAAAGGGTACTAGAAACACACATTTTCAGGGAAAAAAAAATTAAAAATCAAATTTTCACCGGGGGAAAAAGGAGAAAGACTTTTGCGGTCTAGAAAACAAATTCCGCACATTTCAGCCAACGATCGACTTTTTCGGCGGGAAGAGTTGAAAGATATGAGAATTTCGAGACATTGTACATTTTTTGAGTTGTATTCGGGGAAGATGATGTGGAATTCTGGAAAAATAGAGGTTTTTAGTATAAAATTGTATGCGCCTTTGAGTTGGGTCTCGCTGCGGAAAAATATACATTTTAAAGGAACATAGTCATGTTTATACTCAAAATAACCGGAATTCCAAGAAGAATCCAAAAATCGACTTCAAAATTATTTTTCTACGTTCAAAATTGCGAAAACACAGAATTCCGATAAATTTGAGTGTAAATTGACCCATGTTCCTTTAAAATTCGTATTTTTGTGACGAGAAACCCAATTTAAAGGAACATGAAATCACCAGGATAAATTGGACGGAAAAAATTCGCTACGACCCAATTTTAAAGGAAAAAAGTCGTGTCTAGACTCAAAATAATTGGAATTTCTTGTATTTTCAAATTTTTAAAGTCAAAAAACTCACACTACTTTCACTAATATCATGTTCCTCATCTTCTTCCTTCAAAATCCGCCAATTCGGGCTCTCAACTTCATCGTTTTCCTCATTTTCTTCCCCAGTCAAATACGAGCATTTCAATTGATGGCTCGATTTTGTTCTTCTCAAACATCTCATCCATCCGCCCATATTTTCATTCTCAATTTCTCTTTCTTTTTCATAATTATCTCTTGGCGGTGTTCCAAACCAATTCAAATTATCATTCGGTTTCGTTTTCTCAATTTCAGTCCATTTTCGAATCATAGTTTGTTGCGAGAAGGATGCATGAAAAATGCGATCTTTTAGCGAAACACATCCCGGCGATTCATAATCCTGATTCAAAGTTTGATCGAGAAGTGTCATTTCAGGAATGGGGCGAAGTGGTAGATCCATCAGAACACATCGTTTATCCACATTTCCCCCACTTCCCTTATTTTGCCCTTTTTCTTGTTCTCCTCCATCTCCACTTCCACTAACTTCTCTTCTTTCCGAATTTCCACCACCTCCTGCTTCATCTTTTTTCTCGCCAATAAATCCACCATTTCCCTCATCGTCATCATTTTCTTTGCGTTTTTCATCGAATTTCCCGCATTTCGAGGATAACATTGTTAATCGTCTCGAATCATCTTCGTCTGAAGCTTCGGATGATGAACAACTTGTACTTCGACGGGATCGAATTGCGAATCTTTCATAGCGTCGGCAGACATCTGCAAAAAAATGATTTTTTTCAGAAGATTAGGATGACTCACTGTAGGTAAAAAACAAAGACCATGTTTGAAGAATTTTTGAAACAGTGAATTTTTAAAATTAAAAACAATCGTTGATCATGGAAATATACAAAAATCATGTTTGAAAAATATTTGAAACAGTCAATTTTTCAGAACCGATTTCTCTATTTTTTAATAAAATTTTTCCACGTCATAAATTTCTCACCTGACAATGTATAAGGTCCCGGAATAAACTTTTGATGAAACATATCGAAATATACCAAATCGACCATGCTGATCACGAATCCGAAGTCAAAAATTGCCACAAATGCCCGTGAGCACTTTTCTGGAGCTCCAAAGTCAAAATTGAGTTTGGGTTTTCGCCCATTTTCACCATATTCCTGGGTGAATAACCAACTTTTATAACATGAATGAGGTTGTTCACCACATTCAAAAATCTATCTGCTTTTTAGTTTGTCAAAAAATATGAAATACGAGCTGAAAACTGTAATTTTCAAAAACGCACAAAAAACTTCAAAAAACGTGTGTGTTTGTGTGTATTTGTGTGTATTTTCAGGACTTTTTTATAAATTGCAGTTTTCAGCTGGTTTTTCATATTTTTTGAAAAACTAAAAAGCTGATAGGTTTTCGAATGTGGTGAACAACCTTATTTGATATATGAAAGTTGATTTTGCACCCAGGAACAAGGTGAAAATGGGCAAAGACCAAAACTCAATTCTGACTTTGGAGCTCCAGAAAAGTGCTCACAGGCATTTGTGGCAATTTTTGACTTCGGATTCGTGAGCAGCATGGTCGATTTGGTATGTTTCATCAAAAGTTTATTCCGGGACCTTATACACTTCCCTTGTGAATCCTACATTCATCAAAAACGTTCGAACAATAGAAAAATTCAAGAAACTTTTGAAACAGTAAAGTTTTCAAAAAATAATAATAAAATTTTGGAGAATCAGTTATGATGTGTAAAAGTTGTATTTTTCATTTTTTTTTTCATAACCAAAGTTCGCTCTTCGAAATATTTTTGCTTTCAAAAATACAAGTCATTTTTCCTACTTTTCCAATTCATAACATGGAAAATGTAGTTTACATGAAAATGTTGAAATACTAACATGACATCAATTATTGAAATAAAGAAATAATACAGAATTCATAAAATTGTTGAAACAGCATAATTTTTATTCAAAATTTTCTGATTTCGGAAGAATTTGGACCTAAAAATTACTTTTTAAATATTTTTTTTTCAAAAAATCTAATTTTGTTCTAATGTAAATGAGGTTTTAATTTTAATATCAATTCTTCTTTGAAAAATTAAATTCAAAAAAATTTACTGTTTCAAAATTTATATGAGATTTGCTTAATTTTTTTCCGCCTGTTCAATAACCCCCTTCTATTTTTTAAAAATCCAATTTTTATTGAAACAAATTATTATTAACTTTTCATGATGTTCATATCAATTTTTTTTGAAAAATAAATTCCAAAAAAATTGACTGTTTCAAAGTTTGTATGAGGTTTCTTTAATTTTTTTTTGTCTGATTTCATCCTCTCTTCATCCCAAAAATAATACCTGGTGATACAATAGCTTGTCTTGGTCGAATCATTCTAACCGCACTATAAGTATTTGGTACAAAATTAGAAGTCGTCGATGTTTTCGGTGAAGGTGTCAATGAATTCGAAGTCACCAAGCTTCCCGCAGAACTCTTCGATGCGTGCACAGAATGATGTCGATTGTGAACAACTCCAGTTGATGCGCTTCGATTTGTTCGTCCAACTCGAATCAAATCATTGCTCATGTTATTCGGATTCAATAGTTGATTTGATGTTGAATTGCTAGCCTCTCCAGATTCCTCAGTTTCCTCGCAAATTCCTAAAAGATGTGGGGATGAGGAGAGTTTTCGCATTCCACTAGAAGATGTTGATGTTCCGACTTTTAGACGAGACATTGATGAGATTGTTGACATTGCTGGTGATGTTCTTCCGCTGCTTGATGCTGGCGGAGATGGAGATCGACTACTTCGACAACTTTCTGGACTTGCAGCTCGACCACGACCACCTCCTAGAAAATTTGAAAATTTTGCCAACAAAAACATCAACTTCAATAAATTTTCAGTTCTTCAGAAATATTCATCGAATTTTGTTGAAACGTAAATATTTCGGGATTTATTTCAAAATAATTTCCCATTTTCTCAAATTTCAGATTTTTAAAAAACACAATTTCAGCTCTTTCAATTCAAAAATCAATTATTTCCAGGAAAACATGTTAGACAATAAATCAATTTCAAAAAACCAACCTAATCGATTCAAATCCAACAAATCCTGAACAGCTTGCGGACTAACACGATCTCTTGAAATTCCGGAAAACATTGAAACCGATGGGGAAGAATTTCTGGAAAAATTAGAATGTGTGAAAAATGAGGGGAAAATTAAGGTTTACAAATGCATTCCTCACAAAATGGGGCTTTTTTTGGAAAATTGCTGAGAAAAGGAACAAATTGGACCTATGAGTCGAGTTGAAGAGCTTCAAAATTTTAGAAAATCGTTTTTCGCCATATTTATGTGAAAAATAGAAAATTTTCAGATTTTTCAAAGGAAGATTGACTTGAAATTCAGATTTCAGATTTTTACAGCAAAATTTTTGAAAATTCTAGTTTAGATCAAAATTCATGAAAAAGCCTAATTTTTCAAATTTTTGACTCAAAAACAATCAGAAAAAAAATGAAAATTTGAATTTTTCGAAAAAAAAGAGAAGTTCGATGGGGCGCGTTTGCTATTTCAGCCAATATCTCGAATTTTATGGGCAACCTTATCATTTTTCATGTTTTTTGATATTTAGAGCACTATAAATTGGCTCACAGGTTTATTAGGGTACTTTAAAGTTTAGGATAAATTTTTGAACCAATTCCAATCAAGACCCAATTCTCTATTAAAATTTTAAACCAAAATAAAAAACCTTCTCAACAATCTCAAACTCGACGCCGATTTTTGCAAAACATCGTGCACATGCAAACAACTATCACTCGATTTTCTTCCATTTCCACAATTCATCGAATCATCACAAATCTCATTCAAAATACTCCGTCGTCTTTTTTGTTTTTCCTCCGGTTTTTGGTGTTCCAAATCAAAACCACATTCATTAATCGGTGATAATTCATCAAATCGATTATTATTTATTGCACCAGCAATTGAAGTTGTCGGAGTTGTTGGATGACTTGATGAATTTGAACCGGGTAAATAAAATGTGGCCGGACGAGAATCATCTTGAGCAACACATTGTTGTTCTTCCGAATTTTGACGTGATAATTGTGCGGAACAACAACGACTTGAACTTCGTGGTGATGACATATAATCGTGCATTTGGTAGAATCTAAATACAACACACCCGATAAATAGAGGTACAAGAGATTGGAAAAAAAACACAATTTGTGAGTTGCGAGTTGTTTTTGGAGGGTGATGTGCACATGCTTGTATCAAACAACATTTTCAGGCGGGTTTTTGGATTTTTTTTGACGAGAAAATTGAATATTTTTTAAAAAATTTTAATACAAAAACTTTGAAACAGTTTTTTTAGATGTTTTTTATTTAAAAAATTTCACCTTCACAAAAAATTGTATCAACATTTTTTATTGTATTTTCAAGAAAAACTAATGAAAAATTCGAAACAGCAAAATTTTTAAGCAAAATTTTGAAACAGTGACAAAATTCTTGTCGTTTTTTTTCAAAGATAAGTTCTTTGAATAAATATTTCGATAACTCGAACTTTCTGTAGGATAATTTTGAAACAGTCAGAAATATTGAAAATTATTTTTTTTCGTCAAAAAATTCTCACTTCAGCGAAATTTGTAGAAAAAATCAAAATTTCAATTTTTTTCGAAATGTTTTTCTCTCTAGCAAATTTGAAATATTTTTATTTGAAAGACCAAAAAATCAACAAACACCTTTAAAATACAAATTTTTTATACCAAATTTCTGAAACAGTCGAAAAATCTCCATAAAAGCTTTTATCAACATTTTTATAGTATTGTCAAGAACTATATTCATGAAAGATTCCAAAAAGAGAAAATTTATACGAAAAATTTGAAACAGTGAAAATTTTTTTTAAACAAATTTAGTATTTCTACTGTAAAAAACACATTTTCTGAGATGTTCTTTAGCAAATTTGAAATATTTTTATTTGAAAGGCCAAAAAAATCAACAAACACTTTTAAAATCATAACTTTCAAAACCAAATTTCTGAAACAGTAAAACAATGTCAGAAAATCAGATTTTTAGAGATATATTTTTTAATTACAAAATTCGTGAAACAGTGAGAATTTGAGAACATTTCTGATGAATGCAGATAATAACAATAGTTCAGAAAAATATGAAATTTCTCAAGTGGAACTCTTGAAACAGTGAAATTTTCCAATTGAAAATTTTTTCCGAAATTTTTTAATCATTAAAATTCCAAATAATATTAACCTTTTTAGTCATACAATTATTCAGAAAAATGTGAAATTTCTCTAGACCCAAAACAATACAAACCTTGAACTTTGTCGACTAGCAGATCTCAAATAAGTCGATAATTCCTCTTCACTTTCCTCTTTCAACATCGAACAAGGTCTTGCTCTCCAACTATTCGATCTTGATCTACATCTAGATCCACTTCCACTTCCACCATTCTCACAAACTTCCGAATTCTTTCTCGATGCAACAGATTCTTCTTGCTCTTGGTGTTTTTCCATAATTTCTCTCGCTTGTTCTTCTCGATAACTTGCCAAAACCCGTTCAGCCAATAAATAATAAGTGGCAGTTGTTGAATTATATTCATCATTTTCCAAACATCTCAAAATATCCTCTTCACTCGCAATTCCACCGGCAACCATTTGCTCAACGATTGTTGTATGTGCTGAAATTGGCAAATGATGTCGAACAATCAATGGAATTGCTGTCGATAGTCCTTGATCGCCAGCTTGAACCCAAGGATTTGAGCAGATTTTATCGAGAGTCGCACGTTTTGTTGGCTCTCGAACTAGCATTGATCTTATTAGGTTGGCACAATCATTTGAGATGTTTTCGGGTATCGAATATTTGCAGTCGAGGATTTTTGTGATTGTTTCGGGATCATTGGCTTCTTGAAATGGAAGACGACCACATAAGAGCATGTACAAAATGACACCAAGCGACCAAACATCTGCAAAAAATTAGGGAAAATTAATTTTTAACATGAGCAATCAAAATTTTGAAAATCAAGATGCCTTACCAACAGCTGGTGCATCATACGAATCTCCCAGCAATATTTCTGGAGCTGAATATGCCAAACTTCCACAAGAAGTCGACAATTGTTCACCAGGTTCATAACAATTTGAAAATCCAAAATCCGTCAATTTAACCATTCCCAATTTCTCAAAAAACACCACATTCTCCGGTTTCAAATCTCTATGTACAACGTGTAATTGATGACAATAATCAATAGCTGTCATAATTTGACAAAAATATTGTTGAGCTAAATGTTCGGATACTCCTTTTTCGTGTTTGCTTATAAAATCGTGAAGATCATAGTCGCCGAGTTCGAGAATTAGGAAGATTTTTGTTTGAGTGTCGAGAACTTCGTAGAGTCGAACTATGTTTGCGTGTTGAACTAGTTTCATACAACGAACTTCTTGCATTATTTGAGATGTTGAGGCTTCGTCGATTTTTGTTTTGTCGATGATTTTTACAGCGACCTGGAGGATATTTGAGAAAATTTCAGAGACCCTAACTCACATTATATTTTTGTGGCAAAAGCTTTTTTCCACATCTTAAAGGCTAAGCTAGCGGAAAAATACAAAATTTTTTTAAAAGAAAAATGAGAGATCCAAATGTGTGCCATGTTTTCACGGTATCTAATTGCAATCTTTTTATCCCTCCCATATGAAATCAACTAGAGTCTAGTCGAAAAAAAACTCACCTTTTCTCCAGTAAACACATGTTTTGCCAATTTGACAACTGCAAAATGTCCCTGTCCGATAGTTTCTCCCAAATCATATAATCCAGCAATTCGTGTATCTCGAATATTAACCGATGTTTTTCGTCGAAGTGCTCCACTTTCCGGAGCATTTGACATTTGTCTTCTGAAAAATTAATATTATTATTACATATGTTATTGCAAAATATAGTAACAAGAAAATAAATAACAAAAAAGCATACCAAAAATAGATAGATAGTTGAGAGAAAAGGAAGGGAGAAGTGGAGAGAGTGCAGAGAAAACGAGTCTGCTCAAGTTAGGTGCAATGGAGCGAGTTTGCTGACTATTTGTTTGGCTAAGGTTTTAACAATGACTTAAATCATTGTTAAATGAAATGAAAAATCAAGTGCTTCATAAGATGTTTTGTTGGAAAAAGAGAAATCGATAAAGCTGTGTTGTTTTTTTTTTGAAAATTTGTGAAGCATAAAACCCTTTTAATTAATTAATTATTTGATTTTTAGCTACCTAATGCACTTTAATTATGGGCCTATGAAGAATAAAATGTAACAAGAGTTAATATTTTTCCTATGCAGAAAAACGCCGGAAAACAAAAAACACAGAATATTATTTTGATTAGAGTGAACGTAAAATTAGGAGAGTATAGACAATGAATCAGTTTTTCAAACGAAAAATTCAAAAAATCTAATTTATTGTCTATATTCTCTCAATTTTTCGTTGTCTCTAATCAAAATAATATTTTGTATATTTTATTTTTTAATGGTTTTTTGCATAGGAAAAATAATAATTTCTGTTAGATTTTATTGCAAAATGTTAATTTGCAAAGGCCCCCATAATAGGATGATTCAATTATTTAAAAAATTTTTTTTGGATTCGGTAAATCGATTGTCTTTACTTTTTTGAAATAAAATTTCCAACTGAAAAAATAAAATAACACTGCTTTTTCAAGCACGCACAACTGAATTTCAATTAATTTGAAAATCGAGCATTTTTTCAGCAGAAGCAACAAAAAAGGCTCTTTTCAGCAATTAGTCTTGGGATTAAAAGAGGAACGAAAAATTGCCGTTTTTTCACAAATTCACATGACAACCAACAAAAAATGCAAATCATTTAATCTTTCTTCCGTTTTTTTTTATATTGATATGTAAAGTGTGTGAAACAAGTATTACCACAACAAACAACGAGTAAACAAACGAGATGAAACAAGTATTACCACAACAAAAAATGCAAATCATTTAATCTTTCTTCCGTTTTTTTTTATATTGATATGTAAAGTGTGTGAAACAAGTATTACCACATGAAAAAAACCAGTGTTCTGTTTCAAAAAAAACTTTGAATTTCAAATTTTCAACGAAAAAAAAAGTTGAAGAAGAAGAAAAAGGGAGACATGGGTTTAGTTGGTTGGTCTTAAAAATGTCACGCGGCGGAACGCGAAGAAAAAAGAAAGAATTGATAAGATTTTCGTAGATTCACAAATGCAATTTACACAAAATGAAAAAGGGGAAAAGTACGCTTTTTTTGACCTACGCGCGCGCGCTCTGAAAATTTTTCAAAATCAGTTTTTTGGGGGGAAATTGAAAATGTTTTTCATTTTAGCTCGGAAATTTGGATTTTTTTCGAATAAAAATTCAATCACGTGAAAATTTATACCGTGAACTCAACGTTATTTCTTATTTTTGAATTTATTCGAAATTCTCTGAAAATTAGAAAAAATGCCTAAAAGTAAGTTTTCCTTCCATGACATAATGAAAAATGGATGTATTTCTGCGAAAAATGTAATTTCCTATAATATCAACAAAAATTCGTAAAGCTGACAACTAAAAATTAGCTAGAAACGGTGATTTTCAATTTTGAAAATGCTGAAAATCAAAAAAAAAACTGGGACGTTTGAATTTCCGCCCCCGCTAAACAACGCGCAAATGATGCAATGCGGAGTCTCGTTGTTTTATTTTATTTTTTCGAAAAAAAAACACATTTTCGAATTTCTTCTCAGAGTGCTCTCGATAAGAGCATGTTTTTGCTATTTACTAAAAATCTCTAGTGCTCAGGGATTTGAAAATGTTAATCGGCGGACAAAATACTTGTCAGCGATTAAAATAGGATGAAAATATTCATCGCCAATTAATCGTTTGAAGAAACAACGAAACTCCGCCGAACGATTAATCGGCGGACAACTTTTTCCTCGCGGCCACGGCCAAAACCTATCCTAGATTCTAGTTACTTTATCACCAGCATTTGATGCAACTCCAGAAAAGCGCATTTAGTTAAGTGGTAGAGTGTCAGGCTGCCGCCTGTGAGACCTAGGTTCGATTTTACCTCAGCGCGAACTTTTTTTTCTAGAAGGATGTTTCTTGTGAAATCGAGCAAATTCGCTCTACCGCACACCAAGCGATTAAAACGCGATTGAAACGAGATTAATCTCAAGTTGTCCGCTGAGTTCCTCGCCGATTAACATTTTCAAATCCCTGAGTGGGGAAGGGTTTCTGCTGATGATTCAAAATCATGGAGATTTAGATTATTAGGGTGTTGTTTTAATTTCGTAATTTTTTATTTAGGTTGGAGTTTTCTGAAATTCCTTCAATTGTCTTTTATTTTTCTGATTTCAATATTTAAAATTATGAAGCGAGATGAACAAAACGGTTGTGATTTAGATTTTCTGAGTATTTTTATTTTTTTCGTAATTTTTCGTAATATTTCCGACTTACGAGGGAAGTGTGTGAAGAGTTCGCATATTTTCAATGAGACTTCTACCATTTTGTTCAGTTTTCGCGCTCAGATGCTGCTTTCAGTTTTCGCTACTGTATCTAACATGGAGTGTCTTTGTGTTATTTTATTTTCAGAAATTTTCGAAAAACCAAAAAGTTCTCATTTAGATTCAACTAGAACTTCTAGTGGTTAATTTCAATTATTCGAATTTGTAGTTATTTTTTGATCCTCAGTTGCACAAAGTCATAGGTTATTCCAAAAGATCTTTGAAAACTCCACTTCTTTTTTGTCCTTCCTTTTTTCTAGTTTGACCAATCGTCTTCCTCTTTTTTTCTCATTCTTTCATTCGTTCTTTCAATTTTCCCACACTCACATTGTCTCGATTATCTATCTATTTATAAATAAATTTGTTACTCTCTCAGTTTTTCTTTTTATTTTTTTGTTCTTCTTAGCACCCCTAATACCTCCAGGGCTTTCTCCAAACAAAATAATGTCTCTCTCATTCGTCTCGTTTTGTGTTCAATTTTATTTTATGACAAAAAGAAAAGAATGACGTCATTTTCTAATATGTGAGCGATTGAAGAGAAAACGAGAAAGAGAGAAGAAACATTTGTTTATTTATTTATTTTGTCTATCTAGTAATGTTTTTTTATTTGTAAATAATCTTGCTCATGTCAGGCAAAGCAGAAGGAATCCCCTCTCATGATGAAATTCGGATTATCCAGGCTTATCTCCTTCGTATTTATATATCGAGCAAGATATAGTGATTTGATGTGGTAAGGGACTTTTTCGGGTTTATGTGCATTTGCTCGTCGCGGTGTACACTCAAAATTTCTCTGCGAAATGGGTCGAAATCCTAGCGGATTCAGTTTTTCACGTAGATAACGATGATGCACTCAGATTTTCATATGGTTCAGCCACTATCGTGATTTCCGTCGAAAATAAAGCATGTACCTTTAAATAGCGTACGCGTGTTATTTTCAAATAAACATTTTTTTATGACTCAAAAATCATGTGGGTTGTTGTCTGATTATTTATCAGTGGATTCAATAATTCAACTGATAAAATCCGGAACTGCACCCATTTTTTCTCATTCCTGTCCAAAGTTTGTTGATTGGTCAAAAACAACTGTTCTAAACTGAAAAAGTGCATTTTTTCGTGCAAAAAAAGCAGTTTTCTATGAAAATAAAGAAAATATGGGAGGGGGGTTTGTTTAAAGGTGCATGCTTAGATTTTTGACAGATATACCGTGCAAAATGTACGAAGCGTTTTGACCGTATACCATAAGCGTGCCGAGACCCAAGAAAATACGCAGAGTTATTTCATCTTTGAACTCTGTTTGAGTCCAGTGTCAGAATCTAATTCACTCGGAAATTATACTTGTAAATGCACCTGACAAATTAGTGGAACTCTTGGATCAAACTCGTATGCAATTCTCAAGTGAACTATTATAGAACAATTTTTCCAGCCTCATAATATTCCATCTTGAATTCTTCCAGACTACACAAAGTTCCACCGAGTTCTGTCTACGCCACGTATGTTTAGCTGGCGGCGCCCGCTGCTCTTCTATAAATAGAACTTTTCGCAGAGTGTACACATAGTCCGAGCTCGTCAAAGTTTGTAGACAAACCGAGGGAGGTCTAGGCTTTAATCAGGCTTATTTAACAAAACTAGACTCTAGTTGATTAGATATTTGTTTTGCCGAGCTATAGGGGATTTGAAGTTATCCTAAATCCCATAAGCACTGAAATTCTATCAAAAAATTGATTCGTGGTCTATTAAACATGCGTATTTGTTTATGTTTATATAGATAGTAGAATCTAGTCTCCTCACTCTTTAAAAATCACAAAAAGAAAAACAATATGAGACAGCAATGATCAAAAAGTATTGCGAAATTCCTGTTTCTCCATTCTTTATTTCCCATATTATAATAAACACCCGCCACAACAAAAAAAAACAAATCAACTCCTCCTTTCTCTCTGTTCTTTTTTTTTTGCCGTGTTGCTAACTATTTTCAAAAATCGTTGTCCAGCATTGCTCATATTAGAAAAGAAGAAAAAATAACCAAAGCCACAACTATCTTTCCCCCCTTTCCTCCTTTTTTTCCCATTTTTCGTTGTTGAGCGCGTTAGTTGAGACCGGCCGGCCGGCGGCCCCGCGAAACGATAGACTATAGAAAAATAGGAGACATTTGGAAATAGTATGGGAAAGATTGGAGAGACAAGACATACATTGATTGAAGGGGAAGAGAGAGAGAAAAGGGGTTGGCCTTGGTTCTCTCTTCTCTATTCGCTGTCTCTCTCTAGTCTTCTTCTATTCGCCTTTTTGCTATACACACACTAGCACCCCTGCTGATGATGGCTGGTGTGGTTGGTTTTGTTGGGGGGAGAAAGAAGAGGAGACCTCCTCTTCGCTTCGTTTTATTCATTTCTCTTCTCTTTTCTATCCTATTCGCTCGTAGATAGTTATAAAAGAGTCTTCTTCGTCGTTTTTTCTCCCGTTTCCTTCAGTCGCAATTTTGATCATTCGCATTTTTCACTCACACACACACAAACACATTGGACACAAAAAAATACTTTGATGTGTGTTGTTGAGTGTTTTTTCTAGTCAGTTCAAGATAGATAGCCATATGAACGAGCAGAGTGCAATGGTCAAAATTGTGTTGTTTTTTAATTGAATGGTCAATGGAAAATTTTTGTTGAGAAAAATAGACTTTTTGGAATGACGGAGGAAAGAGACTTGGAATAAATTAGAATAATAACTAAAAATCCTCAGATTCATAAAGCGTTGGAAAAGCTAAAGATTCTTTCAGGCTATATTTAGAGTATGGGCCCGAAATCCAATTTTCAAAATTAGTTCATATGAGAATACACTGGAGATTTTTTGGCCCGAAGTTTACTGACAAATCTAACATTTTCTAAATTAAAAGACTGAACCTCGAAATTTTGCTTGATGTCCAAGACTAGCCTGTTTTCTAGCAAAATTCAGGGCCCAAACATTTTTAGGATTGTCAAATTTGATTTGATCAAACCAAATTCTCTATCTAGATAGCCTGAAATGAAATTTTCGACCAATATTTATTCTTGGCGTGACCTTATTTTGTTCCACGTTCTTCCCACAATTATTCCAACATTTCATTTCTAGAAAATGGCGAGCACAACATATCACCGCGACGATTTAACCGAAGAAATCTTCGGGCATCTCTGCAATGTTGCGCTCACCAAATGTAGTGATAAATTCGAGAAAAAGAAGGCTGGATGTGGCGGCAGAGCGATGCGAAAACGAGTTCTCATCAAGAATTTCGTGTCGGATTTGTTCAAAATGCACAAAAAGCCTGGAAGCCCGTCGAGTTCGGATGGTGGAGCAATCACAGATGATGATGAAGAAGAAGAGGAGGAGGAGGACTATGAAATGTCGGATGTTTCATTTTATGAAGCTGGAAATGATAATGATCGAGAAGAACATATTGTTGAAGATGTTCATTTAGAGGATTTATCGCATAACAGTTTTTCGAATGTAAGTTTTTTTGATTTAGAATTTTCAGAAGATCTTTTTCAAATTAAAATTATTTGCAGGGAGACTGTTGGTTGTCACAAGCAGATGTATATCGACAAGATCTTCACCACCAACATCATCATAATTCTCCAACCTATTATGATTATCCAACCTCATCAGGATCTTTATATGAAAATGTGCAGCATAGTTCCAGCGGTGGTCCAAGCACATATTCAATATATGATATTTACTCAAATGTGTCTGAACAAGCGACGGAAGGTGAAATTCCATCGCCGTCCGATCCATTGGCAAGTATTTCATCAATTATGCAACCATCTGAACATCAATATGATATTTATCAAAATAATGGGCAGACTAGCGATTATTTTCAAACTACTACTGATGATTATTTTTTGACCTCGAATGCTAATAATAATGATTATGTAAGTTGGAGCTTTTGGCACGGGGATCCTTTTGTAATAGCTGAATATTTTTTGATTAGAGACTAGACAAAAATAATTTTTCGAACAAAAAAATCGAATTTCTGTTGTCTCTAATCATAATAATATCTGCACAGTCTATCAAAGTTTATCTTTCAAAAAATCATAATTATTTTAATTTCAGACCAGCTTGGTTTGTCGAGGAGCTGAAGAAGAAGAAACTCACCAACTAACAGATCTTGATGCTGAAACTCGAGAATCTAACAAAATGAAAAGGCGATCGACTGAAATGTTTGATGAGTTCAATTCGCAATTTCAAAAAAGAATTAAAATTTAATTCTTTATATTCATAGTTTAATAATTCTTGTCTAATAACTGGTCTCTTAAGGTCTCTCTCGAAAATCCCGATTTTTTGGGGTTTTTTGTTTTATCTTTTCCTTATTTATTAATCTGATTTTTAGAAATTAATTGTTTTTTATCTCCATTACGGGCTTTAACTTTATTTGTATATGTGTGTGTGTTTTTATGGTCCCCTTTTCTAATTAAGGAAACTCTTATGCACCGTTTTTCTTCCCCAAACCAAATTGCTCTCGAAATTTTTTTGATTCTCAGGAATTTTTTTGGCAACGATTTTTTTTTGTCTGTTCTTGTCACGGATAAAGTTTTAATGTATAAAGATGTGTTTTTTTGGTTTTGGAAAAAATTTCTACAGTAGTTTTTTTCGTGGTGGGATCCAGTGATTCTACGGGAGTTTTTTCACGCGGAACAGATCGCGACGAGACCCAATCTGTTTAGCTGTTGCGCCTTTGAACATGTACAGTAGTTCTAAATTTTCTCGAAAAAAAACATTTCTAGAAAATAATTTGTATTTGTGCCCGGCGCCATGGCGGATCAAACAATTTTTAGTTCAAAAATTCGTATTAAAATTCAGAAACGTATTTTATCCAGGTTACAAATTTTAAACTTCAAAAATTTTCCCCAAAAAATTCAAAATTCTTTTTTTCTTCTTCTTCAAAAAACTAGAAAACATCTACTCAAACTAATTGAAAATGCACCATCTCCTTGGTGAACCACAGGATCTTCTTCCCACTGAAAAAGTTTTTTTTTCGAAAAAATTCCATTTTCTGCGGTTCCACGATGCGAACTGGCGGTTTGTTGCAAATATTCAAAGATTTTTCGAATTGGTCGACTGTGGCTGTGGTTCCACATATTGCAAATGCCACGCATAAGGTGGGTTTTGATCTACTCGGGAGTAGCTATCAGTGGAGCGCGCTTGCTTGTTTGGGTGAAGACATTTCAGAGGCGCGAAGTTTTTATCGAAATCCGGGCTGCTTTCAAACATGTTCGCGTGGCCGACTGGTTATAAGCATTGCCTTTGAAGTTGCCCACCTCGTTTTGCTCAAGTTCGCTTCCTCATCGGAACTTTTTTTGTAATTCAGTTTTTTTCTAACCTTCCCATTAAACATGCCTCTGGGCAAAAAATAAATTACAACTTCCCAAAAGTCCTGTTTTCGGTCTATCTACACCATTCCTTTTTGGCGTATTGGTGACATATGTACAAAAAGAAGATGGACAGATAGAAGAAATAGGAAAAGGGAAAGAAGGAAAGGGGGACAGCTGGGAAAAAAGAAGAAGAAGAAAATAGGAAAACGGAAAATAAGAGCGAAGAGAGAAGGGGGTTTTGGATGTGTGCCAGAAAATATATAGGGGTTGTTTTGATCTACTTAGTTAGAGTTAGATGAGCAGGATTTGAAAAACTACAAAAATTACTGTAGGCTCACGGAAAGCATACTGTATCTAGTAATACATCGCATTATGAGGATTACTGTAACTAGAATTGCAATTATTTTTGTTTGATGAACTTGAAGAACTACTCTAAGGTATCTCAAACTGCAAAAGATACTGTTTGAGCTGCAAAGGGTACTGTAACATAATTATTACTAACTGCAAGGATTACGGTACCTCAAACTGCAAGAGTTACTGTAGCATCAGAGTTGAAACTTCTAGAACTGCAAAATATACTGTTCCTCACACAGATTACTGTAGCCTCGGAATTACAGTTTCTAGAACTGCTAGGTATACGATTCCTCAAATTGTCGAACTGCAAGGCTTACTGTACTTTGAATTGAATAAATTACCGTACTATTTCAAGCTACAAGGGGTACTGTATTTCAAAACACTTCGAATTGCTAACATTGAATTGCTAACATTGGCTCATGAATTTTTCGGACTGAAAGGGTTACTGTAATTCGAATTTGAAAAAATTACGGTACTACTTCCAGACTGCAAGGATTACTGTGCCTAGAAAAATTGTAACTTCAAATTTTATTAAAAATATGTATATCAGAAAATCTACGAGTTTTTCAAAAATTTCCAATTTTTTTCAGATCTCGCGAGCATTTTGGATCATCGTCTTCCTTTTTGTTTTGGGAATGTTCATCTACGAACTCTACATTGTTATCTCAAAATTCTTCTCATATCCAGCAACTGTGAATACGGAAATATTTTTCGAAAAATTGGCATTTCCAGTTGTTTCGATTTGTAATATGAATCCATACAAATACAGCAAAGTTCAATCGACTTCTGCATTTTCGAATTTCAATTCTTTGATGACCGCTTATAAAAATGCGATGGCTGGAAGTTATTCGGGAGATTCTTATGGATTTTCGGTAGGTTTCTGAAGTTAGACTAACTTATGTTTTCAAAAATCTTTAGGAAACCTCCGGCCAATCATACGATCTCGATGCTCGTGCCTACGATGCTCAAATCCTCGAAGCCTATCAAATCTCAGATGCTCAAAAAGAGCCCGCTCTCTATACATTTGCAGATTTGGTACAAGATTGCACATTTGCTGGCTCGCCTTGTTCTTCAAGTGATTTTACACGGTATATCGATCCGGTTTATGGCGCGTGTTATAGTTTTAATTCGGATAAGTCGCTGAATTTTTCTGTTAGTCGACAAGGGATTCAGTTTGGATTGAAGATGGTTATTACTGTTGGAGTGAGTTTTGGGTTTGGAAGCTTTTTCCACAGAATCTGAACTTTAACATGAGCAATGCTCGATTTTTTTTAAGTATCGAAAAAAAACCTTGATTTCTGTGCGAACATGAGCAATAAGTGTTCCAAAATTTGCTTTTAATTTCAGCTTTTACTCTACCTAACATGAGCAATGCTCAATTTTTAAAAATCTATCAAAACTCTGAATTTTTGATTTAACATGAGCAATAATTATTTCAAAATTCTTTTGTCTTCGAATTTCAGCGTTTTCTGTATCTAACATGAGCAATACTCAAAATTTCCACGAAATTTTTTTCTGATTATCTAAACCAAGTAAGATGAAAATCAGTTTTAAAAAATGGCCAAAAATTATATGTCAATTTTGAAACAGTAGATTTTTCTCAGTTGAATTTTTTAAAAGGATTATTTTGGTTTGGGCATTCAAAAATTAAAAATTTTAAAATTCATTTCAGCAAACCTTGGTGAATAACAACAATGATTTTCTGCCAACCACAAAACAAGCTGGAGCTCGAGTTGGAATATTGGCTCGCGGAGTTTTGCCTGGTTTGGATAATAATGGAATTGATGTTGGAGTTGGATCGGATACGGCTATTTCGATTAGTTATGTGAGTTTGGGAAATGGATTTAAAGATTCGGGCTAGAATTTGAGATGGACTAACTTTTTGGATTAAAAAAAATTATTTTTTGAATCTAGAGACCTGCTAAAATTTCTTATGATCAGAAGTGTGTCAAGTAGCTGATCCTAGGAAACCTGATTGACTAGAAGCCGCGCCTTGAGAGTTACGGTTGCTAGGTACGGCGCCTTGATAGCGTCTATGTCAAGAAGCCGAGCCTAGAAAACATAACTCAGGAGCAACGCCTAGAGAACCATTCTTGAAGAATCTGACATTTTCAGTAATCTTCAGATTCTTTTCGGAATTTTCAGATGGCCAAAAACTTCTATACTTTCTTATTTCGAAATTCCAAAGTTAGAGTAATTATTCCGCTCCAAGTGAAAATAATATATTACATATAATTTTCAATACTCGTTAAAATTCCAAAGTTCTTTCCCCCTCTATTTTCAGACCCAAAACATTCGTGCCAAAAAACCCTATGGAAAATGTGTTGATCGCGAGCCAACTTCAACCGATTATTATCAAAATTACACGTATACTTTGGAAACTTGTTTCGAGGGTTGTAAACAGCGAGATACTGTTAAACATTGTAGTTGTGCAAATCCAAGATTTGCTCTGGGAGCCAGTGACACGGCATGTCAGCCGAATAAAAATGATTGTGAGGTTTTTTGGGGGGTGTTCTCACTTGAGAACCTCTTTTTGGCACCCTGCTAAAAGTTCCATTTTTCCAGTGGACTGCTTACAAACCCTGAAAGGAAATCAAACAAATTCGGCCGATCCAAATATCGATCTTTTGACCGAATGCAGTTGTAATCCACCGTGCAATGAAGACACTTATTCCACAACTGTTTCTTTTGCCAAATTTCCAGCCACAAAATATTATGTGGCTGTCTCGGATGATAGTACGGTAGGGTTTTGGAATTTTTAATTTGAAATATCCAAGAAATTTATGACATGTTACTAAAAAATTTCGAAATTGTGAGCTTGGAACATATACGTTTCAAAAATATTATCTATTTCTGTGAGATTTTTGAGATTTTGATATTGTTGATTCTATTATTCTGCAGAAATTAAATAAAGAAACGTGAACATTTTCAGAGAACCCATGTCGTTGGGGGCGTTGCGGTCACGCGATACGTGCTTCATTTCCAGAACTTTATCAATTTTTTTCAATTTTTCAAGCAAATTTTCAAAAATGAAACACACATCGCGTGACCGCAACGCCCCCAACGACATGGGTTTGCTGAAAATTTTCACGTTTCTTTATTTATTTTGACAATATTTTATCTTTCAATCTAATAAACCTAAATACTCGAAATATTAGCTCAAAACGGGCCCAAATATCTGATGAAAATTAGAAATATTGATTGGGCCTAGTCTAACTTTCCTCCTAAGCCTAAATTAAGCTCACAAGGTTCCCAGTTTTTCAGATTGGAAGTTGCACAACATCCAGCAAATTTTCGGTGAGTGTTTCCCGAACCTTCTGAAAAAATGTTCCGATTTGTTTTTCCAGTCTCAAACCGCTTGTCAAAATTGGTATTCCTCAAACGGCCTTATTCTTCAAGTATTCTTCGCCACTTTGAGTTACGAAGTTTACACGGAAACATCTGGATATACAATCGGAAATATTATTAATGATTTGGGTGGACAAGCTGGATTATGGTTGGGGTTGTCAGTGATTTCTTGTGTTGAGATGACTGGATTGCTATTGGTTATGTGTGGATTTGCAGCGAAAGGTGGAAAAGTTAAGATAAATCCGGATGATGATGATTTTGAGGGAGATCATAGAATTAAGGTTGGTTATTTATGTATTTAAGATCTGTCACTTATAGTTTTAATTTCAATTTCAGGACGTTGAAGATGTGAAAAAAGAATTGGATCATATGGAGAAAAATCATAAAGATATGGGAATGGATTCGGATTTGGATGATGAAATTGAAAATGATAAGAAAATTCGATGAAAATATTCGATTTGTGAAGTTTGTTATAAAATAAATTTTCTTAGAGATCTGAATTTTGATCAAAACTAAGATTGCACCAATAATATATATGAAAATTTTGAAACAGTGGACTTTTTGGTCATCAAAACATTTATTTCAAGTTATAAAGAAATAGCCACATTATTCCTGTCGGATAGTCGTTTGACCTGGAAATTTTAGAATTTAAAAATTATTTTTTTTCATTCGCAAAGTTTTGAAAAATCTCACCGTTTCATCTTGTTTTCGAATAATTGAACAGCGCCAAATCGAGCACGAAATGAAGAAAATCAAATAAATTGTTGAGAAAATTGCGACGAGAATTGGATAAAGAAAAATGAATCGAATATATGGAGTTGAACCATCGGGTTTTGAGATGAAAATCTGGAAAATTCTGTAAATTTTGAGAAAATTGGAAGATGAAACACCTGGAAATCCATTTAATAAATTTAGAAATACTGAAAATGACAAGGTTTTTCACGTGACAAAAAAATTAAAAATTTTAGGGTCATTTTTCAAAAATATTTATTTTATGTTTATTCTTCCCCATTTCACGGCGAACTGTCATTTGCTCGTCAATTATAATGTGTGCGTCTGCAAACACCACACCCCCGCCGCCAAGCGTTTTATTATAAAAAAGACAAGGTTTTCTACTTGTTCACATATTTTTTATTGAAAATGGACATTTTCAACGATGAATTCTTTTCAAAAATCGCAGTTCCAATGGTCAGAGATTATTCGATTTTGACAATGGAACCAGAAAAACTTGCGGAAAATTCAGAAAACGACAATTATTTCAAGGAGAATTTTCCGAGTGAGTTTTAATGTTTTGGCGTGGAGTTTCATAATTTTTTATTTCAGGAATTGTGCTCGAAACTCCAAAGAAAAGTCAATATTCAGAAGAAATCGATGTTATCAAAGATTTCGACAGACTCGCCTTATTCAATCCAAAAACTCCCAAACTTCGATTATCGCAAAAACGACGAAGTTTACAGCAGAAAATTGAAAATGAGCAGAAATTGGCGAAAAACGCTGCCACGTCATCGAAAATTCCAGTTTTTCACGGTGTTTTGACAAGATCGATGGCTTTGGAGAAAAAGAAAAATGAGGAAGAAAAGGAGAAACCAAAACCGGCACAGAAACCAAGAAAAATTGGAGTGGTGAGTTATTTTTTGATCTACCGCGCGGAAATTTTTGAAATGGGGATGTTTTCGAAAAAAAAATCTGGTCATTTCCCAAGTTTTTCCCGTAAATTCCGTTTCCACGTGGATTTTTGGTGTTTTTTCAAAAAAAAAATCCTGATTTTCAGATGCGAATTGCTCAACCATCTCCAGCCCGACAATCCTCTCAAAATCCACCGCGAATGTCGCGCGACAAAATCGCGGCAACACCACAGCAACCTCGCCAATCCTTCCTCAATCGTCCAACGCGTTCCTCGATTCTCCGCGAATCTGCGATGAAAGCGCGGCTATCAAATTCGAATGCGAATCAACCGATGCGACTTTTCAACGCGAATCGCGGATTATTCGCGCCGTCTGCTGCGACAAATGAAAATGTTGCGAATTCGCAACAAAAATCATCGGAAAATCCGATTCGAAGACCATCAGTTTTGAGAGAATCGCATTCGAATTCATTGTTTTCGAGATTATCGACGCCGAAAATTCGAAAAGCCGAAGATTTGCGGGTAAAAGAACTAGAGGAGGAAAATGCGAAAAATCGACGAAGTGTGATTTGTAGACCTGTTCCGGATTATGTGAGAAGCACGCGAAAAGATGGGTTAGTTTTTTTTTATAAAAATAATTTTTGGAATCAGAAATCCACGTGGAAATTTGAAAATTCAAAATTTTTTTGGCTCAAAAACCCAGTTTGAAATTGCAAATTTGAAAACTATGTTACATCTTTTTTTACACAAAAACTTTTTATTTAAAAAAATTTTGAAACAGTTAAAATTTTAGCTATTTATTTTTGAACTTTCTGGAACAAATCAAGTTTTATGTGAATTGTATTTTGAAATTTTAATTCTCAAAGCGATGAATTCATATAAAATGCCTGAGCAGTCTATAATATTTTTTCAAAAAAAAATTCAGCTAATTAATTTCTTGAAACAGTAAAATATTTTGAATTCAAATTTTCCACATGGCATATTTTAGTGATAAAATTTAAGATAGCTAATGTTCCTTCAAAATTTCGATCAATTCACAGAATTTTTTGCAGGCTTCCATCAATCGGTGGTCTTGTCGGAATTCGCGCCCCATCAAGAAGTCGAAAACCATCAGAATCGTCACAAAAATAATATGAAATCCTCTGTTGAAAAATATCTAAATACTAACTCATTTTTTCTCTTTCCTTTTCTTAATGCTTCCTGTTAAATAGTTTATCCTCTCACAAACCATGTAAATAAATATATTTTTATTGAAAAAAATAGTTTGGAAAAATTTACTGTTTCAACATTTTCATATCATTGTATTTTTGTGTTTGTTTCAAAACGTGGTTTTATACGTTTCAACAATTTGTCAATATTCACCACTAAAGAATTACCATTCGTTTTTATTCCTGCATGTCTTGTCCTGGATTGATAGATTTTCAGATTCATTTGCTTCAATTATGGCTGCAATTAGATTAAACATGATTTTATTTTTTATTCGATGAAATATTAGGTTTTGAAGTTTTTTCTGGGTGGGTAAAGAATAATCGTGCTTCTGATGACACAATAAATTTAGTTTCGAAAAATGCACATGAAAAAATATAGTTTCACGACATTTTGTGCATTTTATTTTTGTGTTTCAAAAAATGATTTCAATACGTTTCAAAAATTCGTTTTATCTCGAATATTCGATTCTATTTTTGCTTTTGATTCTTTTATTATTTGTCGTAATGGGTTGAAATAACATAATTAGACAAAATTTATAGTATTTGATTGTTTTGTCAAAAAATCGTTTTCTATTCACAACAAATCATTCATAAAATCTGCAAAAATTTTTTAAATTGCATTTTCATAATTTAAAAAATTGTTGATTTTCGTGTGTCAATCCTATAATGTTTCGAGCTCTCAAATTGATTACAGTATTCAAGAAAACAATTATTCCAGAAAAAAAAAATTATAAAAGTGTTGACCCAGAAACCCAAATTCTTTTTTTTTTTGTTAACTCAAAATTATTTTTGTGCCGCTCATTTTTCGTAATTCCAACCGAACAAACCAAAAAAGTCAAATAACAAACATAAAGCATTGAATTATTGAATTGAAAATGGATAAATCGCCGCCGCCGAAAAAAACGACGATGAAGAAAGGAAAAATGACACCGAAAAAAGGATCGAAAGAATCAATGAGAAAAAAGGAAAAAACAAGTACGACACCAAATAAATGTGGAAGTAAAGAGTCTTTGAGAAAAGGTGGAAGTCGAGAAGCTTTGAGAAAAGGAGGAAGTAAAGAAACTGTAAGAAAAGGAAGTAGAGAAATTGTGAAAAAAGCTAGTAAAGAAACATTGACTGTTGATAAAGGATGGGTTTATGATGAAGGAGCAAAGAGTTTTGTTAAGAATAATACATTTGGTGAGTTTTGGGGTCGCCACGTCATTTTTATAATTTTTGGAGCATCGGTTACGGGTTCAAGATTTCAATTCTTAATCCCGAAATCGCAATGCTCTTTCAAATTGCAAAAATTGTCCAAATGTTTCAATTTTGAAACAGTAGATTTTTACTAAAAATGTAAATATTACCACAACCACTCAGAAATTGTTTTAAAATTTAAACGAATCTTTTGAAACAGTAAAATTTTTGAAAAAAAAATATTCCTCAACTCAACTCCATAAATACCAACAACTCAAAGTTAATCCACATTTTATCACGAAGTTTTGAAACAATGGATTTTTCTCATTAATTTTTTCCTAGATCTATCTGCAATCCGCACCGAATTCTCATCCGATTCAACAATTCGTCCATCTCCTCAAGATTGTCTTGCATTTTATCAACATCTCAAGAAAAACCGTCAACCACAAGCTTTGCTTTCCGAAACAACAAGAATCAAGATTCATAATCCATCTGGCGCATATTTCAACGCTGCCAAAATATCGAATCTCGCCGAACCGAATCGAACTATTTTGATTGGACAAGTTCCTGATCAACAAGATTTGGAAATGTTTTGGAGAATGATTTATGATGTGAGCATGGTTTTGGGAGAGATTTTGAATTTTTGAATTTCTTCAAATTTGACTCAAAAAATTTACTGTTTCAGAAATTATTCATTTTTTCTAAATTTTTGCAGTGAAGTTTCTATAAAATTCAAATTAGGAATAAAAACTCAATACAAAAATTCAAAATCCAATATTTGCAGGAAGGAATCACAAGTTTATTCATCTCAACATCTTCAAAAATAGTTTTGAATGGATATATTCCAGTTGCTCTTGGAGCATTTGCTCAAATCGGAAAAATGTTGTTGAGCAACAAAAAAGTGGATATTTTGGGAAAAGAAATACTTTGTATGACAATTGAATTATTGCCAGATGGATGTTCGAATTCGAATTTAGTACAAGTTTATCATATTCAAAATTGGGCACAATTCAAAATTCCGAATAATTTGACAGATTTAATTGCAATTTGTGAGAAAATGTTGATGAAACCAAGTGATGGAATTATGTTTTGTAGTTGGTTTGGATTAGGAAGAAGTGGCATTTTACTTATGATTTATTGTATTATGTCACATATTTCTAAAAATATTGAATGCAAGGTAAATTCTTTTGAAACAAAAATATATGTTAACTGAAAAATTTTCCTAGGTTCCTGATCTTTTCTCAAAACTTCGTGGCCAACGTTTTGGAATTGTTGAAAATGTTGATCAATACGTGGCAATTTATCAATCAATTTGTTGTTGGATTCGAGCAAATTCGAAAGATTCGGATATTTTGAAAGCTATTGAAGCTATTCCACAACCACCTTCTTCTTGAAGTCTTTTTTTATTCGATGAAATATTAGTTTTTGGATTTTTTTGGGTAAAAGAATAATTGTGCTCATTATGGGACAATTGATGCAGTTTAAAAAAATTTATTGAAAATATTTGAAAAAAAAAACAGTTTCGCAACATTTTTTGCATTTTTTTCTTGTGTTCCGAAATGTGATTTTTATACGTTTCAAAAATTTGTCAATTATCTTTTGATTTCGATTTTTTTCAATTCACCATTCAATTGTTCTTCCTTCTTATTGTTTGCTTCTTCTTGACATTTTATGATAAACTTTGTGAGTGTTATTTTATCTTCCATTCTAGTAGTAGCAATTTTCTAAAAATTAGTAATGCAAAAATCTAAAAATTAGTAGTTTTCTAAAAATTAGTAAGGATATATTTTTTTCTGTTTTTAATAAATTATAGAATGTCATGTCAAAATCTTTTCGAATCTTAAAAGGAAGGAAGGCAAAAATAATTGTATTTTATCTGAAAGAGCATCGTTGAATTAGAAAAAGCGATGTTGCGCGGCAAAAATGAAATCTGGAAGAATTTTTTTGTTGAAAGAAATAATTGTGCTCATTATGGGACAATTAATGAAGTTTCAAAAAATTCATTGAAAATATTTGAAAAAAAAACAGTTTCGCAACATTTTTTCTTGTGTTTCGAAATGCGATTTTTATACGTTTCAAAAATTTGTCAATTTTCGATTTCCGTGTCACAATCCGTTGTGCATCGGAAATTGTATTTTGTAGATCAAAATTGAAAGAACATGATAGATCTTGACACGGAGCTTTTGGTTTTCTTGAACTCCGGTAATACTTCCCGAATTACCTAGGAATAAATGATTGAAAATCTTGGAAGGCTTGTCTTTGAAAATTTTTCAAGTCGTTTTTGTGCGATAGAAAATACAATTTTCAACAATTTCTCATGATTCATGAGATAATTGTCAAATGTTTGAAACGTACAAAACACGGAAGGGTTTTATTTGTGTTACGAGTGGCGAAATTCTTAGATTTTTGCCGAATTTTTAATCGAGTCATTTTTTTTGAGATTAAAAAAACATTGATTTTTTCAGCTCTTTGTGTCTGGAAATGCGTGTCTCAGGATATTTACAATATCCTGGACATTACTAACTATTAATAATTCAAAAATTCTCCTATGACTATGAGAAAAATTGAACCAAAAAATAACGCTAAGCAAATTCATTATCAAACTAAAGTAAATTCAATAACAAGATTCTTGACAAATTTTTGAAACGTATAAAAAACATTTTCTGAAACACAAAAATACAAAGCAAAAAATCTGTTTTTTAAAGATTTTCAATACAATCCGTGGTAGTTTCGAAACATGTTGAGGTGATTTATGACGGAATAAACTAATTTAACAAATAATTATACATTTTTGCTATTGGGTGGAATATCTCAGGTGACAATTGACGAATTTTTGAAACGTATAGAAATATGGCAAGAAGCTATTATCAAAAAGGAAGAGACAACATAATCAATAAATATGTGGGTTATTTTTTTCATTGTAATTTACCAAACTTTTCGTTGCTCGAAAAGTTATCTGATTGGCACACGGTATGAAAATGAAGTTTGAACATTTTTTGAAGATTCTATAGATGATTTGTGGTAAGTAGAGAATAGTAAACGATATTTTAAAAACGATCAAATATTATGAATATTGTCTAATTATGTCTTTTCAAGATATTTCGATCATGATATTATAGAAAAATCAAATGCAAAAATTGCAACAATCGAGAAAATCAGAAGGATTCGATTTTTCAGTATCGGGAGGTTTTGTTAATCAAATTAATCAACTCTAAAATAAAATAGAAAAATTACTAATAACACGTTCAAATTATGAATATTTCAGAAAATTTGTATCCTCAAAAAGCGCGTTCAAATTGCTGCTATAATCGAGAAAAAATCATAAAAAATTGTTGAAACGTATAAAACACACATTTTGAAACACAAAAATACAACGCACTCAGAAAACCAGGGCGTAGCTACATTGGCGAACGTGCGTAGCTACACGGTTGTCAGTCTCTCTTTCCAGAATTTGAACAAAGTAGCTACGCATGACTGTCTGCTCCACACTATTTCCATTTTTGTGGACTATGTGGAACTCCAGAAATCCAACTCTGTAGTTACATAGAACGGTGTAGCTACACAAAAAAAATTCACTTTTTTCGAAATTTTCGTAACTACATTGTTGGTTTTCTGGAGTTCCGCATAGTTCACAAACGTGGAAATAGTGTGGGGCAGACAGTCTCGTAGCTACAAAAGTCTATTCACGTAGCTACATCGTTGTCAGGCTCTCTTTACAGAATTCCAACAATGTAGCTACGCCCTGGTTTGCTGAGCACTAAATGCTTCGAAACTCTGATTTTTGAGATTTTTATTATTCGGAATTTTATGAATTGTCTCATCAGAAGCTTTCTATTCAAAACTTCTATTCAAAATTCTCACCAAAACACTCCAAAAACTAATATTTCATCGAATAAAAAAGACTTCAAGAAGAAGGTGGTTGTGGAATAGCTTCAATAGCTTTCAAAATATCCGAATTTTTCGAGTTTGCTCGAATCCAACGAAGTTTTGAGAAAAGATCAGGAACCTAGGAAAATTGAGATTTCAGTTAACATATAATTTTGTTTCAAAAGAATTTACCTTGCATTCGATATTTTTAGAACTATAGTAGCTTCTCTGAACGTTTTTAGGTCGCCCAAAGCGTGCATCAAAAAAAAGAGAAAATTTTCAATGCAAAAACTACATTTTTCAGATGTCAACGTTGCTTATCCTGTCAGATCTGACGGCTTAGCGCAAGGAGTATCAATCTACTCGGGTCCACTATATCGGATCATGCCGCCCGTTTTTTCTTTTCTCTGATAATACCAGATTTCATTTTTTTTTGTCGCGCAACATTTCTTTTTCTAATTCGACGATGCTTTTTCAGATAAAATACAAAATTTTTCAACATTCGAAAATATTTTGACGTGACATTCTATAATTTATTAAAAACAGAAAAACAAATCTTGGGCATTGCTAATTTTTTGAAAATTTGAACTACTCGATATTTAGAAAACTTTGACTACTAGAATGGCTGATATTATATTAGAAAATAAAATAACCCTCAGCAAATTCATTATACAATTTCAAGAAGAAGAAAACAATAAGAAGGAAAACCAATTAAATGATGAATTGAAACAAATCGAAATTAAAAGAGAAGGTAAGTTGAATAACAAATTCTTCCTTTTCAGCTAGTTGTTTTTCAATTTTATTCTTCATGTCTATATTGTTTTGATTGAAAAATTGGATAAACATAGAAATATTTAGTTGAACAGATATTATTTTTTCAATTACCCGCGAGACTTTTTTTTTTGAAAAAAATTATTCTCGAAACAACTGTGACGCAAGAAAATAAGTACTGTAATTTCTCCCTAGATTTTTTCTTTCAAATTTTGAAAACACACACGGAGAGACGTGTCCAAAATGGACACTACATTTTATCCAAAAGTCACACTGTATTTTTTAATACCTTGGAGGTTTTACTACTTTTGAGGAGCTTTTAACTTTGCGACAAAACTTTAAAAAAAAGCATAGCATAAACATAAACTTCAAAAATAATTTCAAGTCATTTTATTGAATTTTATGACTAATTTTTACAGTCAGAAAAAAATCAAAGGATTACACATTTTTGCTGAGTTTGGATTAGAGATGGAAAAACGGGCGTTAGGGCCGCCCGATCGCCAAATTTCTTGACGACCCATTTGCCCGGACGCCCGATCGCCCAGACGCCCGATCGCCCGTTCGCCGCCGAAAAATTTTTGTTATGAAAAATATTCGCCGACACGTGAAAAAATGAACCATTTCTATTTTTAGGCGGCGAACGGGCGATCGGGCGATCTGGCAAAAAAAGCGATTCCAAAAAAAGTAGGTCACGTTTTCACGTAAGCGGGGCCCGCTTTTCCATCCCTAGTTTGGATGAGCGTGTTCTCAAAAATGAAATTCAAAAGTGTGGCCTTTTTGTGAAAAACGAGACAAGTTGTGGAACATGTGGCGAATTGATGCCCTTACAAAGCTCCGATGGGAAGTACAATGTAAGTTGACAAAATGGGCTGTGTTTTATTGAAATCTAAAACAATTTTAGTTTCGCTGCTCTAAACGGCATCGAACGGGAGCAAGAAAGTTATCAATTTTTGAAGGAACCAGAATGCCCATAAAAAAACTAATCAAAATACTTTGGTTAATTTGCAAGGGGTAAGTAAATTTAGAACATAGAAAACGATGTTTTGTCAAAACGATCAAATACTATTAATTTTGTCTAATTATGTTATTTCAAGCCTTCACGACAAGCAAATAATGAGAGAATCGAAATCAAAAGCGGAAACAATCATAAAAATCCGAAGATTAATAAAATTCTTCAAATTTCCGTAAGTCGTTTTTTTTGGATCGGGAGTTTTTGTTAACCAAATTAATCAGCTCAAAAAAATATAGAAACATTACTAATAACACGTTCGAATGATGAATATTTCAGGCAATTTGTGTCATCAAAAAGCGCGTTCAACCTTTTGATGGATGCCATCATAACGAAACATGAAGAAATGAAAGATGAATAAAGCATTTTTTGGTGACAAACATCTGTTTTTTCTAGTGATTTTTGCATGTTTTTGGTCGGAATTGACTTTATCGAAAATGCAAATTAGGGTAACAATCCGATGAACTCGAGAGGGACGTTATAAAAAGGATAAACTGGACCTGACACTATCTTAGGGGTTGGATTGAAAATTGACAAAATCAACGTGAAATTGAGAGATTTAGAGAAAAATCATTTTTGTTCTACCCAAAAAGTTATCGAAAAATTTTGAGGTCTAGCGATTCGATCAACTTGACTATCTACAAATTTTAGAAAAAAATTTTTGAAAATTTTTGAAACGTATAAAAATTCCAAAATCAACAAAAACCAAAATGTTTTATTTCAACAGCGAAATTTCTCAAAACACGAAACATAACTAGTTTGATAATGCCATGTTCAAGCTATTTACAAAGTTTCATGGAAAATTATGAAGTACGAGTTAAGGAAATAGGAAATTTCCGCTTTCACACGATTTTTGCCTCCAAAATCAACAAAAACCAAAATTTCAACTTCGAAAGTGAAAATTTTCGAAAAAACAAAACATGACTGGTTTAATAAGGCTTTATTAACGCTAAATACAAAGTTTCATCGAAAAATGTGAAGTAGGAGTCAGGAAAATAGAAATTTTCTCTTTTAACACGTTTTTTTCCTTCAAAATCATCAAAAACCAAAATTTTTAATTTAAAACAGGGAAATTTCTCATAAAACGAAACATAATTACTTAGATAAAGCTATGTTCAAGCAATTCACAAAATTTCATCAAAAAATGTGAAGCAGGAGTCAGGAAAATAGAAATTTTCTGACCTCGCTCATCAGTTTCACAGAAAAGTGCTTCGATTTTCAATGTATGCGCTATTTTCAGACAAAAATCAATGTATTTCGAATCTAAACCATCCTCTGATACTAGCCTAATAGTTTTGGAGTGAAATGTTACGTAATTAGGGCAAAAAGCAAGTGAAGAAAACAAAAACAAAACGAAAAAAAGAAAGTAAAAAATTAAAAAATATTTGTGCGCTGCGTGCAATCCTGGCACACATTTTTTTTCAGGGGGCGGGGCGTACAGTTCGTCTCAGAGATTCGCTGGCCAGCTCGCCACCAGGTCACTGCGGCCACCTGGAAACCGCATGGCCGCCAGGTCGCCTTGAGTTTTCCGGCGACGTGGCCTGTGTGTTTGATAATCTGAAAGGCTGGTAAGACGGTGGTTTGTACTCAAAACACCGCATTTTCTACTGTTTTTTTCACTTCCTAAGGTTTTAAGTGCTGCGAAAAAACAGAAAATGAGCCAAATATTTCGAAAATGCCCCAATTCACAAGTTTTTCAGACATTTTCATGAAAATTCATTTTGAGGAGGCGAAGTGGCCACCACGTGGTAGCCATGTGGCCGTGACCTAGCCAGAGCCTGGCCACCTTGCCAGCGAAAAAAAACCGGGCGACATGGTTTCCATGCGGTTCCCAGGTCAGCCAGCCTCCCCACCTGGTGGCGAGCTGGCCAGCGAATCTCTGAGGTCGGTCAGTGAAAAATCTGTTTTTTTCAAATATGTTCAATAAATTTTTTAAAACTTCATCAATTGTCCCATAATGAGCACAATAATTCTTTCAACCAAAAACTCTTCCAGATTTCATTTTTTCGCCGCGCAACATCGCTTTTTCTAATTCGACGATGCTCTTCCAGATAAAATACAATTATTTTTGCCTTCCTTCTTTTTAAGATTCGAAAAGATTTTAACATGACATTCAATAATTTATTAAAAAAAGAAAACATATCCTGGGCATTACTAATTTTTTAGAAAATTTTAACTACTACTAATGGCTACTAAATACTAGATAATTAAAAAATTTTTGAAACGTATAAAAATCACATTTCGGAACACAATAAAAAAATGCAAAAAATGTTGCGAAACTGTTTTTTTCAAATATTTTCAATAAATTTTTTGAAACTTTATCCATTGTCCCATAATGAGCACAATTATTATTTTACCCAAAAAACTCCAAAAACTAATATTTCATCGAATAAAAAAAGACTTCAAGAAGAAGGTGGTTGTGGAATAGCTTCAATAGCTTTCAAAATATCCGAATCTTTCGAATTTGCTCGAATCCAACAACAAATTGATTGATAAATTGCCACGTATTGATCAACATTTTCAACAATTCCAAAACGTTGGCCACGAAGTTTTGAGAAAAGATCAGGAACCTAGGAAAATTGAGATTTCTACTAAAATTATATTTTGTTTCAAAAGAATTTACCTTGCATTCAATATTTTTAGAAATATGTGACATAATACAATAAATCATAAGTAAAATGCCACTTCTCCCTAATCCAAACCAACTACAAAACATAATTCCATCACTTGATTTCATCAACATTTTCTCACAAATTACAATCAAATCTGTCAAATTATTCGGAATTTTGAATTGTGCCCAATTTTGAATATGATAAACTTGTACCAAATTCGAATTCGAACATCCATCTGGCAATAATTCAATTGTCATACAAAGTATTTCTTTTCCCAAAATATCCACTTTTTTGTTGCTCAACAACATTTTTCCGATTTGAGCAAATGCTCCAAGAGCAACTGGAATATATCCATTTAAAACTATTTTTGAAGATGTTGAGATGAATAAACTTGTGATTCCTTCCTGCAAATATTGGATTTTGAAGTTATAGAAATTTTGAAACAGTGAATTTTTTGAGTCAACTTTAAATAAATTCAAAATCTCTCCCAAAAGCATGCTCACATCATAAATCATTCTCCAAAACATTTCCAAATCTTGTTGATCAGGAACTTGTCCAATCAAAATAGTTCGATTCGGTTCGGCGAGATTCGATATTTTGGCAGCGTTGAAATATGCGCCAGATGGATTCTGAATCTTGATTCTTGTTGTTTCGGAAAGCAAAGCTTGTGGTTGACGATTTTTCTTGAGATGTTGATAGAATGCAAGACAATCTTGAGGAGATGGACGAATTGTTGAATCCAATGAGAATTCGGAGCGGATTGTAGATAGATCTAGGAAAAAAAATGAATGGATGAAAAAAATTTACTGTTTCAAAATTTCAAAATTAACTTTGGATAATTTTTAATTCTGGTGATTCGAAGCATTTTCCACTACATTTTTTCTAAAAAAAATCTACTGTTTCAGAAGTTGCATATGAAATTTCAATATTTTTTATGTTGTTCGTTCGTGTAGAAATGTCAGGAATATTATGTCAAAAAATAATTTTTGAAATTAAAAAAATCTACTGTTTCAAAATATCAGAAAAAGTTTATTCTTTTTTTCCGATCTTTGGGTTTCAAATAATTTTATCGTCAGAAAATTTTACTGTTTCAAAATTTCCATATAAATTTCGGACAATTTTTACAATTTGAGCATCGCGATTTCGGGATGAAGAATTGAAATCTTCAACCCGTAACCGATGCTCCAAAAAAAAATGCGGATTCCTATGACGTGGCGGCCACAAAACTCACCAAGAGTATTATTCTTGACAAACATCTTTGCTCCTTCATCATAATTCCATCCTTTATTGTTAGTTTCAACAGTTTTCGTTCCTTCATTACTTCCTTGTCTTGTTGTAGTCGTATGTGTGCTAACTGTATTATTCGCATTTCCGCCTCTTCTTTTCCGCGTCGACTTTTTCGATGCTCCTTTTCGCGGACTCGGCGTCGCTTTTCCCTTTTTCGTCGTCGTTTTTTTCGGCGGCGGCGATTTATCCATTTTCAATTCAATATTTTCCTGCTTTATGTTTGTTATCTGACTTTTTTGGTTTGTTTTGTTGGAATTACGAAAAATGAGCGGCACAAAAATAATTGGCCGGGAAAAAATTGGGGTTTTTTGTGGGGCAACACGTTTTCACGTTTGGAAGAAAAAATCCTAATTAAAAAAATTATTTTTTTTTAAATTCAGTTTAGTCAATCACAGAAAATGTATGCAAATAAATTATCATAATTTGAAGATTCCAAAAAAACCGAGCAATTTCTACATCAACGAACATGTCCTGAAAGAAATTTGAAGATTAACTTTTGCAAAACAAAACTTCACATGTGGCGGGAGAAAGATGGAGAATTCGTGAAATTTTGACCAAAAAAAATCTGGTGCATTATTGATAAAAATTTGGCTCCCACCACCCGTATTTCAATAAATTCACTCACCATTCACTATTTTGTTGTTGCGGTGGTCCTCTTGCTGGGCTTATGAATGTCGAAGAAGGTCGAATTGTTCGAATAGCAGCAACTGGTGGAGGAATAGTCTCAATCGAATTATTCCACCCAAATCTGAATTTCTGCGGTTGTTTTTGGCATTCCATTAACAATGTGAATATTGGTTGCATCATTTTTTCTTTCACATCATGTCTATACAATCTCATCTGGAAAATTTGGCAAATTATAATTGATTCGGGAAAATCAGAAAAATCTAACCTGTTGAATATGCTCGAGTTTGACTAAATGTTGAGCGACTTCCAACGGTGATAATAACCATTTCATGCAAACCGGACAACCAGCCTGCAAAACAGAACACTTTGAATAAAAAAGGTCTCCGAGACTGCACAGAGTTTGTTTTACTACCCAAAAAATTTCCCGTAATTTTTGAGACCTGAAACAAATTTTAAGGTGGGACTACAAACGACGAAATTCAATTCAAAAGTGAGATATTTAGAGTAAAATATTTTTGATCTACAAGAAAATTTTTGAAAATTTGAGGTCTAGCTGTTTGAGTTAGTAAAATACACACTGTGGACTGACCGGTTTCAATAAAGATGCCGCTAATCGATTAAAACGAGTTTCATCAATATAATTAGAAAGCGAAACATGATTTTCCATATACACATGCAATGCCATTCCAATATAAACATTTTGTAAATCATACCAATGAGCTTGATGTGATATAACAGATATCGAATTGGCTCGTTTCTCTAAAAAATAAAATGATGTTTTTTTTTTTGAAAAAAAAAAAAAATTAAGTCGGAAAAATCAGCCGGAAAACTTTTTTCCGGGAATAAAAAGTCGGAAAATAACTTCGGAAAACTTTTTCCGACCGGATGATTTCGGAAAAACACGGTTTTCCGAAATTTTCCGACAACCTATTTTCCTCACAAGCCTGATACTTACCCATCATCAAACTATCCCACATATCATAATCATTGCTTGTGAAACGATAACCTTGTTCGAATGCATTATTCATATGTGAATATGAATAAACGTGTTCAATGATAATTGATGGATCGACAGATGTATCACAAACTCTGCATTTCTTCCTTTTTGTTCCAGCGAATCCAGTCGATCTTATCAATCCTTTTCGAACACAAATCAAATGAGCAAGCGGTGGCCATTCGAAATCTCTTCCACGATATTGATTGTTTCGTCGCATTAGTGGGAGATCATAATATTCATCTTGAATTTGAGCTGGAGGCTTGATAGTATATGTTGCAATAGGTGTTTGAGGCTTGACAATAGCTGTTTGAACCTGCAAAAATATACGTTGGGATAAAATATGAAATATATGAGATTCCCTTGCATTTTTCGAGTTTTTCAGTTTCTTAATTTTATTTTTTTTAGCCAAAATTTACATCATAAATAAATGTTTTCCAACAAAAAAACTCACATTAGGTCTAGCAACAGCCACCGGTTTCGATTCCTTCATCATTTTCACATATGCACTAACAGCATTTTCACCTTCATCGTACAAAGGATCAGGCTTTGGCACAAAATTCTCCTCATCGAAAATCATATCCAATTCCAATTGTTGTTCTTCTCGAACCCCTAGAAAATCAAAATAAATCTATTTTGGACAATCAAGTTTGCTCTATCGCACACATAATTTATTTCTGTGTACTTCTTTTGGAATTCACAACTATTTTAGACATTCCCCAATTAAATTACGGCTCTTTTTTGGGCTCTGATTCCGAAAAAGTGGATTTTATTATTTAGGAGCTTAGAATCTGATTAAAAACTCGCTTTCAAAATTAATTAAGGTTCAAAACTAATGGGATGAGTCAATTTTATTTTTTGTCAATTAATTGACACAAAATGTGAGTCATTTTTGTGCGATTTTTTCACGTTTTTGTCCATTAATTTCATCTTTTTTTGCAATTAATTGCATTCAAAAATGAGGAATTTCAATACGAAATAGAATTTATTTGACCTCTTTTTTTGAAACGTGTCCCAAATTCACTGCTTATTTTTTGGATTCATTTTGAAATGAAAGAAAATTGAGGGAAATTGATTTTTTGTTGATAATTCCAACTCATATAGGTCAAGTTTTAAAATATAGGTCAAATAAATTATATTTTTTATGCAATTAATTGCATTTTTTGCCAAGAAATGAAAGCGATGAATTGACAAAAACGTGAAATCAATCGCCCTAAAAGACTCACTTTTTTGTCAATTAATCGCAAAAAACACGTCGATTAATTCGATTGACTCACCCCATAAGGTTTTATTCGGTTATTGTTTCCCGTTAAAATCCCTCCAAAAAACCCACATTCAATAAACTTGAACATATCAAACCATTCTCTAAAATCATCTTCCGAAACCAGACAATATTTGATAACATTTTCCAAATGTTTTTCTTCGCCAATATGTTTTGCAAGAATTGATGGATTGTGTTTGAAAGGGTGATCACACCAAATACAACGATCTCGATCATGCTTAATTAACTACGTAATTAAGTATTCAATTAATTAACTCTCACCCTGTTAGCTAATGGTTTGAATATCTCATTGAATTCGTCCTCTCGAATACTTCCAATTTTCTCCCGCAAAATCGCATATTTTTCTCGAATCACATTTTCCGACAATTTCCGATTTCTCATGAATCCTTGATTATCAATATTCGAATATAAAAATGGGATGGGAGATGACGGATATTTTTGAGATGTTATTGTTTTATCAAAAAGCTCTTTCCAATATTGCAAATCTTCTCGACTTATTCCAAATTCTTTCAAATTCTTGAGGTGTTGATGTGAGAAAATATGATGGATTAGTCGGCCAGACATTACGAGACGATATCCTTCGTCGGGAGTTTTGTAGCAAATATTGCAGTAGAACTGAAAATAAAACAATTTGAAAACAGGGATTCTGAGAAATTTTGGCGTGAAAGTTTTTGGACCAAATTTTTGTCCGAAATTCGAACTTTTCAAGAAAACATATAAAATTCATCGAATTTTTGGGTTTACAAAGTTTTGAGCACTATTTTCAGGCTCTGAAAATTCCAAAATTTTCAGAATATTGCAGTAGAACTGGAAAATATTGAAAATATGGAAATTGTGTTTTTGCGAAAAAAAAATCTACGTGGATATTTATTTCAAATTTTTGGCACAAACCCAATTTTCAAGAAATTTTCATTCAAAAAGAATTTTGGTTTTCAAAAAAAATAAATTTTATATGTTTTTAATTCTGAAAATTTTCTACCAAAATTCAGTCATTTATCACAATTTTGAGCCTATTCTTTTTTTTAACTTTTTTTTCTCAAAATTTTATTTTTTTAAACCCAAAAAACCACAAGTTCCTTTAACTCACCCAATGTTTATCCATAATCGCAATATAACACGTTCTTTTAATCGGATTCTTTACAATATTCTTCATACTCATCCATGTTCTTAGAATCTCAGTTTCATCTTTCAATAATTCATGATTTTCGAGTGGTTTATCAAGAAGTGGAACTCGTGGGACCTCTCTTTTTGGGGGATTTGGAGCATATTTTTCTCTTCGTTGCTCTTTTTTCGATTTTGCATTCGATTCCTCGACTTTCTTTTCTTGAGATGTAGATACAGCTGCTACTTGTGGTTTCTGTTCAACTTTTGGCTGCGGAGGTTGCGGTTGAGGAGAAGTTCTGTTTTTCGCATTTTTCAGCAATCCACTCCACAACTTCACATCAGAATTGCGAATTCCATACTCAATAATAAATTTCTTGTGTTCAGGTGAGAAAACATGAGAAGCTAAAGCTACCGGGTTGGAAAAACAAGCCGGTGGGAGTTTACAAGCATGACAAGTGCCTAATTTATTGATTTGCATCAGAGAAACGGCAGAATTGTTGAAATCCTTGGCTGTCACGGAATCCCATAATTTATTGAGTTTCTGAATTGATTCTTCTCGTTGATGTTTTGTTGTTGGACGAGTGTCGCCGATGTCGATTAAAGGAATTCGGGGAACATCTGAAAGAATGAGAGATTTTGAGAAGAGAAGAAAAATTTATCCAAATTTATATTAAATTAAATTCTGAAACAGTGAAAATTTTCCCTAAAAAAGAACCAACTTCTTCCCAATTCCTGTCGATAATCATATTTCTTCGCCTTATAAACCGCCAGTTCACTCGACCAAAATCCAAAATCCTCTTGACAGAAACCATAGCTCAACAATGCTTCTCGATGTTTTTGCTGCAAACAATGTTCAACGATTGTCGACGGAACCAGCGGAATCAATAAATCATCTCCGCATCCAAATTCACATTTCGCATTTCCTCCTGAATTCTTCATTGCGATTTTCATTTTCTCAGATAAATTGAATTCCAATTTATCCACAGCTGATAATCGATTTTCAAGTTGATCCAATAGTTTTTCGCGTTTTTTAACATCCACAAATTCATCGCAATTTTCCGATTTTTGTAAAAGTGGAAGCGATACATTTTTTTTCGCAGATTTTTGTTCTTTTTTGAACAAATGAGTTCGATTATCATGAATTGATTGACACCAAAAACTATATTCATTTTCATAAAAACCATGTTCCTTTAATTTCGAATAATGTTTATCAGAAACCAGATGACAAATTATTGAATATGGATAGCCTTTGGTCAAAGGTTCAGAACAAGTTGGACATGGGAGACCCTGCAAAAATAGGTTTTGAATGAATTTTTGAGTTAAGGGACTTGGAAGGCAAGAAATTTATTTTCACTCCAACTTTTTCAGTGTAAAAAATACACTGTTCTAAAATTTTCATATAAATTCTGGGAAATATTTATAGAAGTTCGTGCAAAAATTTTTTATAACTATGAATATTAATTTTTGAAAATTTTGTGTGAAAAATTCAATTTTCAATTCCAAAAAAATCCCACTGTTTCAAAATTTTCATATAAATTTTGGGAAACATTGAAAATCCAATTTCACGTATATGTTTAGTTCCAAAAATCCACTGTTTCAAAATTGTTTATAAGAATCATTGGAAAAAATAATTATTAATTGAAGGATGTGAGCTACGAGTCGTAAAAAATGAAAATCTAGTATTCAAAAATCTACTGTTTCAAAATTTTCATATAAATTTAGGGAAAAATGACATATTAATTGAACAGTGGGATTTACAACCAAAAAATTCATTTTCGCTCAAATTTTTTAATTCGAAAAATTCTACTGTTTCAAAATTTCCATATAAATTTCTGACAATTTTTGCAATTTGAGCATCGCGATTTCGGGATGAAAAATTGAAATCTTCAACCCGTAACCGATGCTCCAAAAAAGTAATATGTGAACATGTCTAGCTAGGCCTGGGCTTATTTAGGCTCAGGCTTATTTGGAGCAGAAATCGGTAGATTTTTGGTGAACAGTAAACGTTTTCCAGATAAATTGGAAAAAAATGGTTTCAGCATTTGACAAAAAGGTTATAACCTACATATTTTCACAAAAAAGTACTTACCACTACAAAATGATCGCGAATTCCAAAGAAAAACCAGTTGAAAAACGAGTCTTGATGATTTGTTGAGTTTTCATCGAGTTTTTCGACCAATTTTCGGAGAGCACTTCCATTTTTCCACGCTTTTCGTTTTGGCAAATTTTTGTTTTTCGGGTCGAACATCAATGGGATCTTTTGCCATTCTCGAGCTTCTGGAATGAGTTGAAAAAATTTTCAGTAGAAAATCTAGAATTTTTCAGCCAAAAAAACTCACTTTGCAAAGCCACTGCTTTTCTTTTCGCCAATTCCTTGTCAGCCAATTTTTCCTTCTCAACCACATTTTTCGTCTCAACAATCACTGATTTCTCCATTTCTTTCTTCTTCTTCTCATTTTTGTTAATCAAATGTCCAAAATTATGCAAAGTTTGACACCAAAAACTATAATCACTCGTATAATATCCGTGTTGTTTCAATTTTTTCAAATGCTCTTCCGAGACAATGTGAGAAATTATAGCAAATGGATAGCGCGACAATTTCAGATTGTTACACATTTTGCAAATTGTCTGGAATTTTTTGAAGATAATTTTTGATGTTTTTTTGAATTAAAACTCACAGGATATCCAATAGTTTCCAGAAAAATCGAGAAAAATTCGCCATGTTTGTTAAAAGCATTTTCATCGATTTTTTCGACAAGACCTTTCAATTTATTTCCATTTGAAAATGGACTTCTTTTTCCGAGCGATTTGTCACTTGGGTCAAACATCAAAGGAATTGTTTTGTTGAAGATTTCGGCTCCTGAAATTTGAAACGCATGTATGCGAATGAATACATTTTCTCACTGTTTCAAATATTTATCATATTTTTGAAACGTATTTTGACGAGGTTCGCTCAATATTAATTTCAATAGGAAAAAATTAACAATTTCAAAATTTCTGGAAAAAAAGTTCACTGTTTCAAATAACTCATAAATAATTTTATAGGAAAATGATTTCAATTGTTCTTATGAAAATTACTTAATTTTTCACTGTTTCATATTTTTGGAATTCTCGAAATGTGTTTTGAGAAGGCTTACAAAATTTCACTGTTTCAAAAGAATCATATTTTTGTCAGAAGGGAAATGAAATTAATCATATTTCTTCTGTTTCCATTATAAAATCAAATAAATTAATTGAAATTTTCAAGTACCGGGAAGCCCTAAGTAATCAATTATTTCTCACTGTTTCAAATATTTATCAAATTTTTGAAACGTATTTTGACGAGGTTATATAATAAAAAACAAAAGCCCTCAATTTTTATCAAAAAATCAGATTTGTCTTCTAAAAAATTAACTGTTTCAAAAAACTCATAAAAAATTTGAAACAGAATTTTTTAAATTAGTTGAGGTGTTCAAAATAAAATATGAAAAAAAACATTCTTGCTCATAAAAGCTTCGAAATTTCACTAGAAGAAGATTTTCTCTTTTAAAAAATTTACTGTTTCAAAGAAAAACATTATTTCAGCTTCTCAATCCCTTCAGCCAAAATAAAAACAAACTTTGTATAGCCAAAGCCATCGTCTGATTCACCGCCAAAAATCGATCCATCCAATATTTCAGCGATTTTTTCGATGCTCCAAATGTGCTGAGCTGAAAAAACAATGTTTTTTCCCAATTTTCAGGCAAAAAAACCAACCTTTTCCAAATGTTCATCTCGAAAAATATGCTGAATAACAAGTTGTGCAGAAAACGGTGTAAAATCACACAATTCACATTTCACCACATTTTCCGAGCTTCTTTCAAAATCTTTGAATTTCTCCAGTATTTCCGGTTTATTTTCCCAAGGCAGTGGCGCCAATTTTCGTAGATCAATTATTGATTTTCGAACTTCTTCACCGTATATCAAATCCTCTGTTTGCTCCTTGGAAAATAATGGGAGAATGTTGATTTTCTGACTTGCCGGAAGGTCTTTTTCGAATTTAACAACAATGTTTTTGTCCTCATCCAAAAATACACTTTTCCTTTTGGATTTCAGTTTTTCTTGTGGTTTTTCTTCTTCTTCTGATTCAATATCTGATGATAAACAAGAAGATGAAGAGGAGGATGCAAAATCATCAATTAAATTGCAATTTCTCGGAATTGGTTCGAAATTTTGTCGTCGAAATGGATATTGGGTGCCATAGAGAGATTGAAGGGTTTCTGGAAAAATTGGGGATTTTTTTGAAAATTCTTTGGGGAGGTAAAATCAATTTTTTGTCTGAAACAATTAATTATTTCAATGTTTTTTCTTTATTTTTGAAGCCGTTTTTGGAGAAGAAGTGATTTTCCAAAAGAATTTGAAATCAATTATTTTCAAATAGATGTGAAATTCAACAATGATTTGAAACAGTGAATTTTTTCCACACAAATGTTGTTTTTATTGATTTTATGATAGTATTTTTCTCAATTATTTTTTGAATCAAAGCTTGTGGAGTTTGGAAATAAAGAAGTTATTGGAATCTCTGAACATCGTCTCCAGAAAAATTCAATGTTTTCTGAAACAGTGAACTTTTTCAATAATATTTTTTGAAAGGTTTTCAACAAAATAAGCTTCGATATGAAATTCGTTGAACTCTAGAGTTCCATGGGAATCAATCAGTTACAAAAATGGTAAACCTCGTTTAATCTTCAAACCCGGTCTCAAAAAAAATACCAAAATTGTTTGAAACAGTGAAATTTTCGAGAAAGAAATTTTGAGCTCGAATTTTTACAAAAGATTTTTTTTTCAAATACTTTTTTTTATTTGAAGAGAAGATGTCTATCAACTGACTTTTCTCGAAAAGAAAAATCAACATTTTCTGAAACAGTGAATTTTCTCTAAACAACATTTTGAGCTTAATTTTAGTCAAATACAATTTCAGTGTTACAAAGTTTGATTTCATTACCTCACTTTTGTCGCACAAGATATCAACATTTTTTGAAACAGTGAATTCTCGCTGAACAACATTTTGAGCTTAATTTATATGAAATCCAATTTCAATGTTATGAAGTTCATTTAAATCGAAATTTTGTCACTTTTACAATTTTTCGGAAGGTTCTTGTTAATATAGCAAACAATCGATTGACTTTTCCCAATGAGAAAAATCATGAATTTTTGAAACAGTGAATTTTTTCAATAATATTTCTCCATGGAAAATCAATCAGTTTAAAAACATCGTTTAATCTTAAAACATGGTCTCAAGAAAAATATCAACATTGTATGAAACAGTAAATTTTTCCAAAAAAATTTGAGCTTCCATCGAAATGTTTTAAATTTTTTCAAACCAAATTTTTTGAGTGTGCATGAACGGATCTCATCAACTGAGTTTTCCCAATGAAAAAAATCAAGATTTTCTGAAACAGCAAATTTTTCCTCCCAAAAATAACCTACCAAGTGTATATACATGAAATGGTGAATTCGGACCATCCGAAATATGTACAATGTCGGTTTTTGAGATCTTTCCAAATTTATACAACGATTCGATGATCGGAAGTTTAATCTCTCTGAAAACCAGATTTTCCCTCTTTTTTTCAAAAATCTCAAAACTCACAAATCACTTCCATCCAGTTTAAAAATCTGCTGATCAACATCCATCGACTGAAAAATCTCTAGAATTTTTCTGGTGGAACTACATAGAAGTTAGGAAATATTTCAAAACTGTCAGAAAACATGTTAGGAATTAAGAAAAAAAAATGAGAAAATGATAATATTTATGAAAATTGTTGTGAAAATAAGAAATTTATTTGATTCGTTTGAAAATCTCAACACATCCTCGCATAAACCACGGGCAAACTAAATCCGCATATAAACACATTGAGATGATGCCGAGAGCGAAAAGTGAGATGGCCTGCAAAAATTCACTGTTTTATAACAACTTTAAAAATATAGATTTTTAAAAACTTTTTTCAGATATTTCAAATAAAAATTTCAGAAAAATAAGAATTTCTTTTCGAAAAATCGATGCTGGAAATATTTTTCAATAACAATTTCTGTGAAAAAAATGTGCTGTTTCAATATAATATCATTTTCAACTAAAAATTGCGGATGTCAGTTTGATTCAAATAGTTTTTCCCAAACATTTACTGTTTCAAACACACCTGACGAGACGTGTCCAAAATGGACACTGTACATTTTTTTCAAAAGTCACACTGCATTTTTTTCGAAAAAAAAAACTTTGTTTCCTTTTCATCAACATTTAACTTGGGGAAATGAATGCACATTTAGTTCAGTGGTAGGCCATTTTGCTAGTGTTCAGAAGGTTCGAATTTTCATTCGAACTAAACTTTTTTTTTATTTTTGCTCAACTTCAAAAACAACTTCAGCTTGCTAATTTTTCGAAGTTTCTCGGTGAAAATCAACTCAGCAGACTTCGTTTTAGTGTAGTAACACAATGTGCAGTGTGGAATTTACGTGACTGCTTAGCAAACCATAGTGTCACTGAAATTTCAAAAAAATTGACTTTCTATGGAAAAACTTCAAATTCCACACTGCACATGGGTAAATTCGAAAACTACGCTTAAAAATACACCAACTTTCTGAATATACCAACCCTTGATATGTGCTCGGAAAAAAATGCCGTTCGATTCTTTGTAATGTCCATATTTACCATTGAAATGGACACTCCAAAATAACAGCGAAATAGGGCATTTCCACACTGCACTCATGGTGTTCCACACTGCATATGACCTTAGCAATCTATTGGAAAAAAATCAACTCTATCCGTTAAGCCTAAGCTTAGTTATCCTAACTTCAAATTTTGAGCAACGTTGCAACGCATTCGTTTGAAAACAGTTTCCTTTCCACCAACATTTTCCCCTCGGGAGAAAAAAGAGATGTGGCAGAGAGGTTAGCATTTTAGACTGGCGAGCATGAGACCAGGGTTCGAATCCTCCTGCCCGCGGACTTTTTTTTTTCGAAAAACTTGAAAATTTCACGCTGCACATTTGTTTTGAAAAAAATTTTCACACTGCACAAAAAATTTGGGACACTCTCTCGTCAGGTGTGGTTTCAAATAAAAATTATATCGACTCTCAAAGAGTTTCTTTCGATAACATTTTTTGCTGTAAAATTGAATACGCTTCATAAATTCCAGATGTTCTTTTCAGTGAAAATTCAATTGATTTTCCAGAATTATTTTCTGTTCAAAGTTCATTTATCTCAAATTCCCCCAAAAATCCCAACCTTTCCAAAAAATGCTCCAATCGTATCAATCGTAAATACATCAGGAATCTCTGGGAATTGCGATTCCAAAATTCCCAAAATCGGAAAAGCTGGCAAAACTGCGCCAACAGTTATCAATAATATGAGCAATGTTCCAATATATGAATGCATTTGAACCTGGAAAACGTAAATTCGTGAGGAAAATTTTGAAAGAAAAAACTGACCTATATACAAAAAAAATCAGCCACCCAAAGTTTCTCTGAAAACAAAAATTAGAAAATTTTAAAGTTAAAAATAGTTTGAAAATACTCATATTCATGCGATATTACACGACGTTTCGTAGAAATGCAAATTATGATTTAGATTTCGAAAAAAGGAATGTTTTGATAATTTTTTGTTACAAAAATTAGAACTAGAAGCAAATGGCACAAGAAAAAGAAGAAATGTTGAAGAATCATGGATAAAATCTGCAAAAAATTGCATTTTTTTTGGGAAATTTTGAATTAGAAAAAAATATGGAAGGGGAGAGGATTTTCTTGAAAAATTTACTGTTTCAAAAATTTCCTATATTTTTTCGGAAATTTAATCTAACAATGTAAGATAGTCTTGGTAAAATTTTTTGTTATAAGCTCAAACTCTTAAATTTTCATTTTCAAACAGCATAAAAGTTTTCAAGGTGAAACTACAAAAATTCGTGAAATAATCGAAATTCGGGCTGAGTTCAGATTTTTATATGAAAAAACTGTTTTGAAAATATTCTACTGTTTCAACAATTGCATATGTTTTAGCTATAAAATCTCTGATACTCTGAGCCATTTCAAGTTATCAGTAGAAAGGAATGAATGGAATTGAGGAAAACATGTCTTCAGTTCTGAAATTCAGAAAAAAAAACGATTTTTTTTCAGATTGGGAATTCAAGTTAGAAAATCTGACATAAGCAGTTTTTCGAACAAATTTTAGAAAAATCACCGGACTAAATTTGATATTTCTGAATGTTTTCCAAATTTTCGAAAAATTCCACTGTTTCAAAAAATGCATAAAGTTTCAAACAGATTATTTGAGCTCTTGTTTTCCCAAAATCTAATGAAAAAAATTTCTTAGCAAAAAAATTCTCCGAAAAATCTCTCTCCTCCCAATCCCCCTCAGAAACCGCACTCACCTATTCAATAAGTACATAATCAATTAATTAGCTCAATAATTAACAGTTTTTTTGATCGAATCAAAAACTCGCGAAACAGTTGGCATATAAAATGGTTCGTGAACATGTGGAAATGGTGTGTCGAAACCGCAAACTCGATCGATTGGAGCCTCCAAATTCAAGAAGCACCGTTTTTGAATTGTTGATGCGATTTCGGCGCCGAATCCAGACGAGATTGGAGCTTCGTGAGTTACGATAAGTCGACCGGTTTTTTGGACACTCTGCAAAAAATATAAAGAATTGAAAAAAATGATGAAAATTATTAAGAAAATTTACTGTTTCAAAAAATACTCATAATTTTTTTTTAAATTTTATTTTCGGAAACAAATTGTGTTGAAACTTCCACGGCCAAAAATGTATTAGAAATGATATTAAAAAAAATTTTTTTTTCAACCCAATTCCATCAAACTCTCACCTCAACAATATGATCTTCATCCCATGGTTGGATAGTTTGCAAATCGATAACCTCAACATCAACATTCAATTTTTCTTTAGCTAATTGGGCAGCTTCTAAAGCGACGTGTACTTGAGTTCCCCATGCGACCAATGTCACATCTTTTCCACTTTTAATTGTTTCCGCTTTTCCAATTGGAAGAACATAATCACCATTTGGAACATCTTCGGCTGCCAAACGATAAAGAATCTGGAAAAAAATTTTAAGTTTTTGTCGCAGTTGGGAATTGGAAGCTTATTGAATTGAAAACATTCAAAAATTAATATACAAAATATGAAACAGTAGATTTTTATGAAAAATCAAATGTTGGTTCACACTCATTGCGAGTCATACATCAGTATCCTCGGATTTTCGTCCGGAGGGGTCTGGCTAACTTTGAAAAAAAAGGGTGGGGACCGGCTAACTTGTTGAAAAAATAAAAATTTACACCCCAAAAACCAAGTGTTTTTCTCTTTTTGTTTGAGGGGGTCTGGCTAATTTTTTTATTTTCACATTCCGGGGGTGGCTAATTTTGAGACCCTGACCGGGAGAAACTGAAACTGTATGTTGCGAGTTCATTGGGAGCAAAAAAAATCAAAAAATTATAATAAATTTTTGAAACAGTAGATTTTTTGTCACAATAAATATTTTTCTGATAAAACTAAAAACTAACGTGATTTTCACCAATTGTCTCATAATTTTTTGGAGCATCGGTTACGGGTTGAAAAATTATTTTTCATCCCGAAATCGCGATGCTCAAATTGCGAAAATTTTCGAAAATCTATATGAAAATTTTGAAACAGTAGATTTTTTTCTAGACGAAAAAACCCAAAAAAAAAAATTTTTTATGCTGTTTGGGATTTTTGGTGAATAACTTTTTTTTAAATTTAAATTTATAATTAATTTTGATTCATCTTTAAAAAATTTCAACAAAAGGGTGGTAAAACCGAAATAGTAATATCTGAAACATATTCACAAATTTACATGGAAATTTTGAAACAGCACATTTTTTGGAATTAAAAAAAAACACAATTTCAGTTCATATTTTTTGGGAGCATCGGCTACGCGTTGAAAAATCAATTTTTCATCACGTAATCGCGATGCTCAATTTGCGAATATAGTCGGAAATTCAAATGGTAATTTTGAAACAGTAGATTTTTTGAGAATAAAATATTATTTTATTTGTTGTTAAAAATTGTTTGCAATAAATCTAACCTTGTAAGAACACATTTTTATATTCAAGAAAAAAATCTACTGTTTCAAAATTTGCATATAAATTTCTGACAATTTTTACGGTTTGAGCATCGCGATTTCGGGATGAAGAACTTGGAATCTTCAACCCGTAACCGATGCTCCAAAAAAAATGTGAAAAATACAATGGGGATATCCCAATTTCATCTGAAACGCCAAAAATTGGTTTTTTGATTGGTAAAATCAAAACTTCATGAAAACAAAAAAAAACTTTCGCTTTCGAGAAAAAAGCCTACTGTTTAAATAAAACCATATTATCGATTAATCTTTTGTTCAGAAAAATATATTTATTTTTATTTTCGAGACCCTGTTCTGTAATTAATGTATTGAAATATTGTAAATTAATGCATTGATATGGATATTTTGAAACAGTGAATTTTTTGAAAGATATGAAAAATTTGTTAGTTACAAATGTTCTGAGAATCGAAATTACCCAATTTTCAGAAAATTATACGAGTATTTTGAAACAGTAGATTTTTCGAGGGAAGTTTTGGGTGTTATAAAAAAGATAATTGTGGATCAAATGGATGCCAGCAAATACAAAAATAGTCTAAAAATGTATATGATAATTTTGAAACAGTAGATTTTTTGAGTTTAAAAATGCATTTTTCAAGGCTTCTGACCTGGTTTTTATATTTTTCCGTTAAATTTTTGACAAAATAAAAAAGCCCACCTTTGGCTCAAAGAAAATGCATGGATTTGGATCTCTAATACACGCCAAAAGCAATCCTTTCGCTTGAATCGGTCCACGTGGAACAACAATTTTTAATCCAGGAGTGTGTGTAAAATTGGCTTCAGGACTTTGTGAATGATAAAGTGCACCATGTCCAACAGCTCCCCAAGTTGTTCTAACTGTCAATTTTCCGCAATTGAATTGATTACCACTTCGATATCTGAATTTGGCAGCCTCGTTAACCAATTGATCATAAGCCGGGAAGATATAATCACCGAATTGGATTTCAGCAATCGCAGTTGCTCCAGCGGCAGCTAATCCGATTCCGAAGCCAGCGATACCTTGTTCACACAATGGAGTGTTGAAGACGCGATCTTTTCCGAATTTATTTTGAAGATCAAGACTGCATCGAAAAACACCTCCAAATGCGACATCTTCACCAAAAAGAACTGCTGAATCATCGGTTTCCATTGCGATTTTCATTGCTTCGTTTACCGATTGCATAAGGTTCATTTTTGTGGTCCCGACTGGAAAAATAATGGTTTTGATGGGTTGAAAATAGAAATCTTTAAATTTCGACAAAAATATCTGATTTTTAGAGAAGACAAAAGAAGACAAGCTGAAAAATCACAACAAAATCAATCAATTTTCTTAGGAATAATATATATTAGATATCTGGAACGTATAATTCCGGGGATTTTCGAAGTATCAAATAAGTTTAATTTTTAATTTAAAAAAACCCTTTGAATTGTTTATTTTCAGCTAGTGAAACCTGATTTCCAGATTTTATATTTTTGGACCAAACAATTATCAGAATTTTGTTGGAAATTTGAGAAAATTCCAGCTTTTCTTCATTCAAGGATAACATTTCCAATTTTTCAGATTTTTTTTCTCAATTGTCAGCAAAATTTCCTATGAGAGTTTAGATTTTTTGCTGAAATTTCAGCCACTTCAAAAATCAAATAATCTCACCATTTTCCAATCCAGCTGGGAGTCCATTTGATGGTTGAAATGTGAAATGAGCTTTTCCTCTAATAATTTCCTTTGAAACCTGCTTCGCAGATTGGAAAAGCAACCGGCTGTTCATCTGGAAAAAATTGAATTTTAATTTAAAAAAAATTAAGTTAGATATTCTTTAAAAATCGCTTGAACGATCAAAATTTTCAACAAAAAAAACAAAGAAAAATGGATATTCATGATAATAATTGACAAAAAACAAGAATAAATTGAAAAAAAATAAACTACCGGTTAGAGAAAAAAAGGGAGAAAATCGGAGGAAAAAGAACAAAACAAGAAAAATGTAGCAATAATATAATCATGAAAACCCCAGGAAATAGAAAAACAATTAATTTTTTCGAGCGAAAAAACGTATTTTAATCTTCATCCGAATCAAGTCCTTCAACATCTTCGTCAATATTGAAAAGATCTTCGTTGATTGCCATTTTGCTGACAGCTGAAAAAATAGAGAAATTAGGAATTGTTGGCTGGAATTAATAAAATGTAACAAAAACTAATATTTTTTCCTAAAAAAGTCGAAAATCAAAATATACAGAGACAATGAAAAATTGAGAGAGCGCAGAAATTTAGGCTTTGAATATTTTATTTAAATTCGAAATTGTGCCGCCAAATTTCGAAAATTTACAATTTCAAATTTCTACAGTTTCAAATATAGTCAAAAATTCTGAAACAGTAAAAATTCGATAATTTATTTCTAACTGCGTTCAAATTTAAGCTACTCAAAAAATCCCAACATTTTCAGGAGGTCAAACAATCAATAGTTCAAATATCTTCAAAAAAAATGCTTTTCTCTGACTATTGGAAATATAACGATAAGAGATGATAAAAGATTGGAAAAAAAGAGAGAAACGAAACAAAAAAGAACAGAAAATGAAATAAAGGATGAGAAAACCCACACGTGGTTGGGTTTGCAAATAAAAATAAAAATGAAGAGCGTTATTTTTGAGCAAGTTAGGGGAACTCGATAGATTTTGCAAATTTTGATTTTTAAAAATTTACGAAAATAGAGATATTTGTGGAACTCGGGATTTTTTCAACAGTATTCAAAACTCGTGTTGAAAATTCCAGATTTATACTGAACAATTCTATGAATTCACATCATTGTAAGAACATTTCAAAATTTTTATAAAGAAAAATTTTGAAACAGTGAATTTTTTGCGAATGCAATAGGCACAAAAAAGTAGTTTTCCCACGCAAAAAAACGTCGAAAACAAAATATACAGAGTATTATTTTGATTATAGATTAGGGAATATTGAGAGTGCAGGCAAGAAAATATAATAGTTCTCTAGAATATCTCAATTTAACGCTATATCTAACCGATGTGTCTAATGAATATAATATTCCGTATATTTTGCTTTTTCGACGTTTTTCTGCACAGGCTCAAAACTTTTTAAAAGGACCCTTCAAATTGTAGTCAGAAAAATTCAGCAAAAATCTAGGGTCTTCAATTTTAATATGAGAAAATAGGAATCTTGTATTTGGACTTCGTTTGAAATTTTGTAAGGAAATTTCTAATTTTCTAAAACATGTTGCAGAACAAATTTTAAACCAAAATTTGAGACGTGATTTATGACGTGGAAATTCGAATTCCATTTGTGATTTCAAAAATACCCCCAAAAAAACGCACCTCCAGCAGTAGATTCAACAGCAACCGTCGAATTGCTCATCTGATCATTCAATTCATCATCCATTCCATCGAATTTGAAGAAGTTCGCGTCGATTTCAAACACTTTTTCGTTTTCCTAAAGAATTTCACAATTTTGTTTAGCAACCGAGAACATTTTTAGGGGAAAAACATACATCAACTTCCTCTTTTTCCATTTCAATATCTCCAGCTTCGTCATCGTCGTCCAAAGCCAAATTCGCATTGAAAGTGAACAATTCACGACCAGACATACCGTTCTGAAAATTAATTTTGAAAATGTTCAAATTGGGTGAAAGGGCCTGATTTTTGCATTGAAAATTGAACAATTTCATGCAAAAATCTCCCAAAACTTGCTCTCCAAAATCCAATCTCTTTTCAAAAAACAAAAAAACGTACACTTTTTCCCGACTTAATTTTCTCCTTCTTCGCTTTTATGTCATCCTCCTCTTTCTGTTTTCGTTCTCTCAATTTTTTCTTCTTCCACGCGATGAAAGTTTGTAGAGTTAATTTGGTCAAATCTTTCGAGGATAGAGCGGCGCGCTGCAATTTTATTTTGATTAATTCTATTTTTCTGGCTGAAATTCTACCTCTTTCTCAACCAATTCTTCAATACTAATCTCATCTTCTTTTTGTGCATCCATCGCTTTTCGATCTTTTTTCAACACATATCCTTCAGGTAAACAATGTTTATATTGACATTTATCACCGCCATTTGGACATTCCCAAAACCATCCATATTTGTTAACTTCAACAGCATCGATGAAATATTTGCAAACCTAAAAATCATTGATTTTCTTTCCTTCATAACCCCATATTATTTATAATTATACTCACAATATCAATAGTATTTCCCCCTTTATTTTTCTTGTTCACAACTTCGGTTAACTGTTCTTGATCCCAATTTTCATTGGTCTCATCCTTGTCGACTTCTCTGCTATCAACGTAGAGATTTTTCTTGGCGGTTTTTTGGGCGACTGCCAAATCGTGACTGAATTTGCATTTTGCTCCTTTTCCACAAAGTCCTTGTTTGAAGAAAACGCAGAGCATCGATTTTGGATCGACGTCTGTAACAAATTTCATGCAAAAGATCTTGACCCGATTATTTTTTTATTTTTCAACAAAAAAGCCTACCTTTGGCAATTTTTTGCTCAACAGGCCGCAAAAGATTGGCCATATCCAAAAGTTCATCTTTCTTCTTTTTCTTTTCCTCCTCAGCTTTTCTCACCAAATCCATACGTGTATTATTGTTTCTAACTTGATTTTCGACTTGTTGAACAAATTTTTGCGTTTTGTTTCCCTTCTTATTCTTGAGTCCGAAGGTTTTGTCCTCAATGACTTTTTCCTTCCGTTTTTGCTCGGTTTTTTTACTAGCTTGTTGTTTTGGCGGCATTTTTTGGAAAATTCCTAAAAATTTACTTGATTTTTGATGAGAGAAAAACAATTTTTGAAATAATAAAGGAAAATATAGAAAACGGAGTATTTTTCAAAGCAAAAATGAAAAAGAAACAAAAGCTGATAGGGGTTTTCAGCTGGAAAAAGAAAAAAGAAAAGTGAAGAAAAAGAAAATAAAAAACTGAAAATGCGCCAGGTCTCTCGTTTTGCGTCAATCAGCGAAACCCTGGCGCATATCGGATTTTTTGTTTCATTTTCCAGATTTTTTTCTTTTCTTTTTCAAGCTCTAGAACTCTGGCTAGAACATACGATTTTTGAATGTTCGGAAGTATGCGCCGAGCAGATGATCCGGGTGTATCTTCAGATGAAGCAGCTACTTCTCAACAGGTAAGCCTTGGGCAAACGTTTTTCTTTTGAAAACCCAATAATGAATTTTCAAATTTCTAGCCATCACTAACAACTGGAATGTCTTGGGAACTTCGAGTTCAGAGCTTTGCTGGACTTTTCATACTATCTATAATTGCTTCATTCTGTGTGAGTTTTTCTAGAACTCTATCATCATTTTCAGAGAAAAATATCGATTTTTGTTTCAGGGTAGCTACTTATTATTGCTGACAAAAATCACGGGATTCTGCATAATGACGTCAATCAGCGCAATTTTGTCGTTATCAAGCACTTGTTGTCTAATGGGACCAGTTGGACAAATCAAGAAAATGTTTGATAAAAGTCGATGGATTTCTTCATCATTGTATATTTTGATGATAATTCTAACTTTGATCTCGGGATTGTTTTTGGAGAATGCGGTTCTTGCGATCATTTGCACTGCTGGACAGTATATTGCGATGGCTTGGTATTCGCTTTCCTACATTCCTTATGCTCGCGAAGCGATTTCTCGCATCTTGTGTTAAATATCCTCTCGAAATTGTGATACTTAATTTATTCATACCCTTATTGTACATATTGCCATATTGATTTGCTGAATCTGCATAAATAAACATTTTGTTGTGAAAATTGTCGTTGAAAATGAGTTGGCAGAAAATTCAGAAATGCTTGAGAGCCTGAATAGAGTACGCGAACTAGAAACAATTTAAACGTGTACTAGTTCAAAATTTCATTTTTCTATCTTGGAAACGTGTGAAACAATGCTAAAAAACAGCCTATTAGTTGGCTAAAAAACCGCTGAAAAAAACAAAAAAGAAATTAATTACAGTACCTCAAAGGGACACGTCGCAACACACAAAATATCACAGCGCGATGGTGAATGTTCGCTCTAATGAGACTTGGTCTCGCCGCGAACAACACAGTACAGTAATTTTTTGGGATTTGTTTTTTTTCATTTTCTGTTTTTTCTTTTGCAAAAACTCGAGTAATTAACCCGCTTATTGATTTCCAGCAATGACGGACGACGCCAGAATCAAATATTCGGATATCTATTGCAATTCCGATCGAGAATACGCCAACATTTGGGAGTTGTGCTATTCGGGACGTGCCACAAGAAGAAATCCAGGAAAACTCTGGATTACAGATCCTTATACGAATAATGTCACCGTTTCACTTCCTATTCAACAACCACAGCAGAATTTGGAGCCAGTAAAAGTTCAGAGAACAACAGGAAAAACGGTTGCACCGAAAAAAGCGAAAAAGACCGCTTCAGTTGAAAGAAATAGAGCAAAATCACTCGCACCGCCGAAATCTGTCAGAACTCGTGCTAAAGTGAGTAGATCTGAAAAGTTTGAACAATCCAAAACAAAAAGAGAACTTATTTCAGGCTGCTCCAGATTCAGTTGCAAAGCCAAATTCGGCTAATGAAGAGATTGTCAATGTTCCAACAGCTTCTGATGTTACTAGAAATAGAGCAAAATCAAATGCACCGCCAAAATCTGCTCCAGTTTTGACTCGTTCTACTTCAAAAGAAGCAACAGATTTTGATGTTTCAACAACTCAGGCTGTCAGAACTTCGGTCAGACGTCGCACAAAATCGGCAAAAGTAAGAATAAATCTGAATTTAAGAGATAAAAAACAGAAAATGTTAATTACAGGCAGCTCCAGTTTCATCACGTTCTGATTCAAAAGAAACTTCCCCGCAAGAAGATATTGTTGTTCCAACAGCTTCTGATGTCTCCAGAAAGAGAGCAAAATCAGCTGCACCGCCGAAACTTGCTCCAGTTTCATCTCGTTCGGATGCAAAAGTAATTTCTCCAGAAGATCTTCTCGATGTTCCAACAGATTTTGATGTTACACCAACTCCAATTGTTGAAAATCCGGTTAGAAGTCGTGCGAAGACAGTAAAAGTAAGAATAAAATGAAATTTGGAAGACAAAAACTATGACAATTTAATTACAGGCAGCTCCAGTTTCATCACGTTCTGCTTCAAAAGAATCTCCCCCACAAGAAGATATTGTCGATGTTCCTGCAAATTCTGATGCTCCATCAACTCCAGTCGTCAGAACTTCGACCAGAAGTCGCGCAAAATCGGCAAAAGTGAGAGTAAGATGAAGTTTGGAAGACAAAAAATACAACAATTTAATTACAGGCAGCTCAATCTTTGTCTGATTTGGTCGCTGAAGCAAATTCAACATCTTCAGAAGAAGATCTTACAGATTTTCGAACATCTGATTCAGTTCAAGTAAGTTGTTGCTAGTCAGTTTGAAATTCAAGAAAAGTTAATTTCAGGCAAGTCCAGTTCATCGAACCAGATCAGTTTCAACTAAGAAAACAACAAGCTCCGAATCCGAGCCAACTGCCAGCAGAAACTTGTCGAAAACTATTAAGAAAGAGGGAGAACCAGCCACCAGAAAAAGAAGTGGATCAACTTTAGCTGATCAGGATTCAACTGGAAAAAGAGCACGAACTGTTGTTGATGAGCAGGAATCTGAAGAGATTCAGTCTTCCTCTTCATGTCACACAACTCGATCAAAGGCCAAGCCTGAACAAGCCAGATTTACGTTTTATGAACAAATTTCTGAAAATGCGAAGAATCTCAAGAAAACTTTGAAGGCCACGAATTTCGATGAGTTGGCCGGCGAATTATTGATCGAAAAAGAAAAGTCGAAGAAAAAAGTGCAATTTAAAGATGAAGTCGTTGTGGTATTTGATGAAGTAGAAGAATATGAGGAAGAAGAGGAAAGAGAATTGGAAGTTGTGGAACACAGAGAAGGCGAGCATACTGATGATGACAGACAATTGATGGTTAGTGTTTCTGATAAGGAAACTGTTTGAAATTGAGATAGTTTTGACCTGATAAACACGATCTCGTTATCAAAAACTGCAAAGCTCAACTCCTACTATGAGTTATGACGTGGCAAATTTGGAACATTTCGAAAAATCGAGATTTTACGAATAGCGATGCTTTGATGAAACCCATTTTGAAAGCTAGTTATAATCTCCTAAAATTCCACCTTTTCGAAATATTGCTACTTTGCCACGTCATAAGGTATATTAGAATGAAATCCCGATTGGAAGCCCTATAAATCCAGTTTCTCTCATGATTTTTCAAAAAAATATTTGAATTTTCCAGAAGTTCGTAATCGATGCATTTCGTCAAAATCCGGAAATGTTCGCAGAAATCGAGAATGATATGGATATGTTTAGTGATTGGTACAACAACGAGTTCTTGGTTGGAATGGAGAACTGGGTGAAGTTCATGAATGATCCGGAAGGAAGCGGAATCGAGGATCGGGACAAGGGAAAGTTCATTGCCGAAGAGCAAGGTGAGATGAGAAGCCGAACATTTTTGGGTTTTTATCGATTTTTTTTGCAGATGATGGAACAATTGTTGAAACTCCAGTTGAACCATACCCGGTGATTTTTCCATTGGACATTAAAGAAAGACTTCGAGATCGACTTTATGCAGAGCAAGAAAGAAGAGCCGCTGATATTGAGCGAAATGAAGCGGTAAGTCCATTTGGGGATGACAATTTTCAAAGAGACTTTGAAAATTATCTCAGAAAATCTTTTTTAAAAAATGATTTTTCAACTGCCACGTCATAAACAAGAGGTCACGTCAATATTCGAGAAATTTCAGTGATTTTCACATTTTTAGCATTTTTTTGAAATCACAAAAATGATCCTGAAAAATTTCAGTTTTTTATTCATCCTGAATTTTTGAGAAATTTCTGAAAATTACAGAGTTTCAATTTTTGATAAAACAATTTCACTGCAAAAATCGAAAATCCAAATATTCTCAGATCGCTGAGCTAAAGGCGAGAAATGATCGCCAAAGAATCTTCCTTCTCCACCAAATCCGTCAAAGAAATGCTCAAGCCAACGCTAACAACACAAATTTCTTTAACAATTTCCCCAAATAATTAACAGATTATTTACGGTAACTTTTTTCCCTGTATTTCCCATTTTACCCCCTGTTAACCTTTTTATCGTGTATGTTTTTTCTTGTTTTTTATTATTCAAAAATTCATTTTTTTATAATTGTTGATAGATAGCTTTTCTAACAAGTTCAATTGTATTTGGATGTTTCAAAATAGCCATATGATCAGCTTGGAAAACTTCGTGAGTTGTAACATCTTTCCCATTATTTTTATCCTTCCAAGTTTGACAGAATCTAGCTGATCGCAAATTCACAGTTCCATCACCATCTCCATAATATTCAGTAGGTGGATAATCCGGGAAATATCCTTTGTCCCATTTAAATCTCTCTGGTGTCGGAACCCCTGTGCCATAAATACAATGAACTGGAACACCTGGAGATGTCACATTTCCATTCAATCTTGCCGATTGTTTATATTGCTCCCAACCGGTCTCGTAATTGATGTCGGTGAAGAATTCCTGGATGTTTGAGACGGTGTAGTTCTTGTCGGCGGTTTCGGCGAGAACTTCGAATGGAAGCCAGGAGACTGGACTTGGGAAGAGGAAGGCGGAGGAGGTGAACGATCTGAAAGGTGGGATTTTTTAAATTGGGTTTGGGGGGGGGGTGTGAAAAATTTGAAAAAATTGCTGAAATTCTGAATTTTGAACGGTTTTGGCTCCAAAAATCTACGTGGAAATGAGATTTGATTTGAAAATCAAAAAAAATCTACAAATTATATTACTGTAGGTTAATTTTGGCTATAAATTTCAAAAAAAAAAGAATTTGTAGCCAAAATTAATGCTACAATAATCCGAAATTTTGCACGACCCAAAATTCTCTCACCTTTGCATTCCTCTCAATTTACTTGGCGGCAAAACAACTCGATAATAATTCATATTATAACCGGATGCAAATAATCTCACAATTTGCATTGAACCAGCCCACGGAGCAGCCAAACTAACAAAACTCGCAATATATTTATCTTTCCATGCTTGATCCACATAATTTTGAAGGAAATAAAGGGACAAAGGATTTCCCATACTATGTCCGAGAATTACCACTTTTTGGTTGTCATTCCAACGATACGTGTTTTCGATTAGCGATTTGAGTTGGATTAAATAATCGTTGAGCTCATCTGAAAAAGAGAGAAAAATTAAGAGCCCAGTGTGCATTTTTTTGAAAAGTCGGTATTCAAAAATTTTCAAAACAGTGGATTTTTTCAGTATAAGATTTTCACGTCGCGCCAAATGTTGATCATCAGTTTACAAAAAATGCTCAAAAATTGATATGAAAATTTTAAAACAGTAGATTTTTCCACTATTTCAAAATCAATTTTTTCTGACAAGGAAAGGTTTTCAATGTTCCCCCAAGGAAAAAATCGAGAGTATGTGGAATGTTGAGGGTTCCCAAGGGTAAGAAAAACCCTAACTGGAATAAGGAGAAAAATGCCTTGTTTTAGAAAATTTTGGTGTTATTGATTTTTGCGATGAAATTTTTTAGAAAAATCGAAACTTTTTTCAAAATTGATGAAAAATGTCAGTCTAAAAATCCATTTGTAGCGCAAACGGCGTACTTTAGTATTACTTCGACTAAAATTAGGAATAAAATAATTTTGGTCCCAAAAGTCCACTAAATCAAAAATCCAGTTTGAAAAATTCATAGAAAATCAACGTTTTCGTTGTGAAGGAGAAGTTTGTGTGAATCGAGACTATGATTTTTGGATTCTACGGACCAAATTACGTCTGTTGACCGTCATAAATTTTTCAAGTTCCGTTCATTTGAAAATGGAAAAAATTATTTTTTGTGTTTTTTGGTGACCATTTGATCAGAAAAACCCCGACTAAAAAAACCAAATTTCAAAAAATGTCTAATTTTTTGATAAAAAGTTTCACAAACACGTAATCGACCATTCTGAACAACTTCCACGACTCAAAAGTTCATGAAATAGATTCAAAATCGAGTTACAGATGCTCTAAAAATCAAAAAATGGTGTAAAAATCGACCTAAAATTCATTTTTTCTCGAGAATAAGGCATTTTTCTCCTTATTCCCGTTAGGGTTTTTCTTACCCACGGGAACCCTCAACATTCCACATACTCTCGGTTTTTTCCTTGGGGGAACATTGAAAACCATTCCTTGTGAGAACTATGAGATGATTCAGAACAATGATTACATACTGTAGAATTCTAGAAGTTAGAAATTATGAAAATCTGAAAATTGCTGAAAATCAAGTTTTTTTCTTCCTATAGAATTACTTTGGGCAACGAAAGTTAAAACAATATTTCAAGTTATGAATGTTTTGAAACAGTGAAAAATTGTCTTCTGAGAATTATGAGGTGATTCAGAACAATAATTACATACTAAAGAATTCTAGAAGTTAGAAATGATGAAAATCTGAAAATAGCTGAAAATCAAGTTTATAATTATATTTCTTCCAATTGAATTAATGTGGGCAACGAAATTTAAAGCAATTTTTCAAGTTTTGAATGTTTTGAAACAGTGAAAAAATTTTCTTCGCATGAGAAATGAAAAAAAGTGCTTATGAAGGTTACTTTGTTAGATTTATTTAAAATGTCTACCTCACTCCCCTCCCAAAACTAACTCGGTGATTTTCTCCAATCAAAAGGTGCTCCAACAATATTCTTTCCCCTTTTATATCCCCACGAAACCATTGCATCAACAATATCAAAGAAATATCTGCCTTGAGAAGCTTTGCTTTTATCCAACCATTCGACCGATTCAGTTGTTCCAAATCCAACAACTCGAGTTTTGACTCCTGGCATATTATCAGATAATCCAGTTGTTGTATTATAAACTAATTGCATATTATCAGCCCAACAATCAATGACTAGAGGTGTGAAAAGTTGAAGATTTAACCATAGGTCGAAGTAATCGGCAGTTTGTTTGGCACAAACATAATGAACTACTGAAGGTTTGCCGGTTAGATTTGATTCCAGTTGACTTCCACCATCTCCAGGAACTGCAAAAACAGATTTTGAAAATAACTCTTAAATTTGGTTTTTTTTGAAAGTACATAATTTCAAAAAGATAGCGGATTGAAAAGCTGTTCGAAAACTGATTGAAACATTTTGAAACAGTAGATTTTTCTTTTGAAACTATTTTTTCCAACTTTTTTTTTGACCTGAAAATGTATTTTTTTGTCTGAAAAAATCTGCTGTTTCAAAATATTTATATCATTTAGAATTTCTAGAATTTCTGGAAACTGATTCTAGAATTTCTGGAAACTGATCGCTCTTCTGGTTTTTCTATATACAAAATTTAATTTTAAAATTTCGAGTTGACTTCCACTTTTTGAAACAGATCATTTTTTTAGTTGAAGACATTTTTTTTAAACTTCATTTTTCGATCTGAAAATTAATTTTCTCACATGAAAAAATCTACTGTTTCAAAATTTCAACATCCGTTGATCTATATACAATATTCATTTTTGAAAAATCGATTTGACTTTCACCAACTCCACAAACTTGATTTTCAGCTATTTTTAGTTTATCTTATTTATCTTATTTTTGTTCTGAAATTTGTTCTGAACTCTCAAAAAAAAAATATTTTTCACTTGAAAAAATTTACTGTTTCAAAATTTTCATATAAATTTTTGAGCATTTTCGAAAGCTGATTTGCCGACTTAATATGTCTATATCCTAGAAAAATAAATGAAAATATAATTTATGAAATTTTCAAGCACATCAGCGAAGTTGAATTTGGTCAATTTGAAAAAAATTGATTTTTATTTCTAAAAAATCTACTGTTTCAAAATTTTAATTTAAATTTTTGAGAGTTTTTTAAAACCGTTTAAGATATGCAACGCCCCATTCCCACAAGTTTTCCTAACTATCTAAATCAGCTAAGAAATTTCAAAAAAAAACTCACCTAAAACCACAGGAAGTCCAGCTTGTTTTCCGCCACCGAAACGCCAGCAATTTATCGATTTTTGAAAAATAAAAAAGGCCAAAAAACAAATCAAAAGTCGCATGATATCTTTCGATTTTCTGGCTGCCAAAAAACAAAAAAAATGACCAAATGACCCAAACACAACACGAGCTCTTTTATATCTCTAACCGTCTGAATCTCTCCTAGAAATCTGATCTTTCTATCGTGTTTTAAGATAAAGATAAATCAAATGTCATATGGACGTTTGATTTTTGGGAAGGCAGGAAAAAATCTATAAAAAATCAATAAATTGTGTACCTTTCAGCTACAGTAACCCTAAAAATCGGTGCTAAAAATTTTGACGCGTAAGAGTGCCAACGTTTTTCAAAGGCGCATCAAATAAAACAACCTCGGTGCCGTCACGATTGAAAAAACTACTGTAGAAAAATTATTATCAAAAATTTATCAAATTACAAAAAAAATAAATTAATTAAAGGGTTTGGGAGGAAACTCGAAAATAATTTGTCAAAAAAACTTTTTAAAAAATCACAGGAAATATCAATAGAAATAGAGAGAGTACAGAGAAAAATGAAATGAAAGTTGGAGGAAATAATAGTAGAAAATTGGTGCCAGCCAGAAATATTTTTGAAAAATTAGAAAAAATTATTGATTAAATCTATGATGTTGTTGAAATGGAGTTGTCGCGTCGGGACCATCGTGTAATTTCAGCTTTCCTTCTTCCTCATTTTTTCGCTTTAAGCCTACCATTACTTTTGGATTCATGTTGCGTTGACGAACCTGGAAATATTGCAATTTTGAGAGAAATTTGAATTCAACTGTTTCGAAAATTGCAAATTTTTCAATTTGTAATTAGAAAATCCTAAAATTTTAGCAAAAACCAGTATCCCCCCTTTTCAGTTATTACGTAATCTTAATTTTCCCAGGCTAATTAACAAATCAAACAATTAAAAGTGTCAAAAATGGGGGGGTGTTAATCTCTCTTGCCCTTCAAACAAATCTAAAAGTGTTCGCTTACCTGTTCTTCGAGTTGTGTAATAACCGAAACAGCCTGATGTAATATTCCGAGTTTTGTTTGTGCTCGTTCGGAAGTTGTTGGATTGTGTGTGGTGCACATTCGACCCAATTCTTTGAATGCGGAATTGATGTCGCGCACTCGAACTCTGCAAAAATCGAAAAAATTTGAAAATTCTCTGGAAAGCCCCCGTTTTATCAGTGGAGCACTTTTGCCCCCCCCCCCCCAAACATTTTTAAAGAGCTCAAAATTAAAAACATCAACAAAAATTCAAAACCTCTCTCCTCCCGCCAAATTCGCGCTAGAGCGTATTTGCTTACCTCTCTCTCGCATTATTCTGTGACCTCCGATCAGTATCCTTTTCATCGCTAACCGATTCATTATCCGACAATCTCGAACTCGATGAATGTCTTGTTGGAATTCCTGATGGTGCAGCCGACGCGGCTCCACGTCTTCTTCCCGACGCTCTCATCGCATTTTGCGCCTTTTCACTTCGCGCAGCTGATGCGGACATTCCGCCAAGGTTTCCGTAGGGTGTGGGGTCGAAATGCGGTGAGATTCCGTAGTCGGTGAGAGGAGCATCGGCAAGTCCAGAAGCCTGAAAAGGATAGGATAAATAAAATTTGAATTGAGTTAGGATAAGTAGGTCACAATTTTCCGGGCGATTAATTTCACAAGTGTTTTTCTAAAGGGGTCCTGAGCGAGACGAAATTTTGAAATTTTTCTCACAAATTTCGAATTTTGGAGATTTTTTTACCAAAATTAACTAGAAAAAATAATTTTCTTTAAAAATCTCTTCATCCCCTCCCAAATCTGAAACCCCTTTCTCTAATTTACATCAAGAAATCTCGGATTAATCGTAAATACAAATATAAATACACTAAAACGCATGTTTCTTTGAACTGTCACCGCGCTCGACGGTTTTTATACGCTTCTCTTTCATTTTCGCCGACGCCTTCATCCACCCCCAATTTTTTTTTTGGAGTGGCCTTCACCAAGTCAAACAATAAAGAGGGGTACATAAAATGATGGATTAAGAGTGTTTGTTACATAATTACAGACCCCACACGACCTTTTTAAGGTGAAGAATTTGAAAAAGTTGAAAATTGAAAAAAAACGTGGACGTGGTCTAGAAAACCAGGCGTTTTTTTCGGCCACGCGATGCTTTTTTTCATTTTTTGTTTTGTTTTCCCCCGCAAAACTCACCGGATGAGCATAAAAACTTGAAATATCGCCAGCATCTGCTCCAAATGGATAACCAGCTCCTAGCGGTAAATATGGATTATTGGAAGAAGTGCCAGCCTTATCATCAGTTATACCAGAAGGCATCGTATAAGCTGGATATCCGCCAGTCCATGCGCCGTACATTTGAGACATTTGATCGATTTGAACTGGTGGAGGTGGTGGATTTGATGTTGTTGGAACTACGGCGGGAGTTGTTGAAGATGTTGAGGAGGAGGCAGGAATTGAGGTCTGCAATTTGGATTTTTGAATGAGAATTTGGGGAAAAATAAAAACAGGGAAAAATCAAGATTTTCACCTGTTCCGCTGGCCGGAAAACTCAAAAAAATGGAAAATATATAAATTTCAAAACACGCTCCATTGATAAACGTAGAGGGTTTCGCATATTTTTAAATTTTTGGGAGAAAATCCAAGAAAGTTCAAAAATCTCTGCATTTATCAATGGAGCGCGCTTGCAAATATATTTTTGTTTGGAAAACTGGGGGAAACTCCGAGCTCTAGCAAATGCGCTCTATTGATAAAAGCGAAAGGTTTTGAAATTTTGAAAATATTGAAAAGCCTCTTATTTATCAACAGAGCGAATTTGCGAATTCTACATATTTTGAAAATTAGGGAAAAATTGTTTTCTACTCACCTTCAATTCCAAAACATCACTCGCATTATTCTTCCCAGCATCCTGTGTTCCCGCGTCTCCCGCAGTCGTTGCACCCGCGGAAACTTCCGCTACCGGAACAGGCGGCAAAATCGGCTGATAATTATAATCAACAAGTTCCGCGGGCATTGGTGGCGGCGCGTAATGATGTGCCAAATTCGGATAGGCGCCCGCATTCCAATAGTCAGTCATTTGAATCGGATCCAACCCGTAGGGATAATCGTATGGTGTTGGTGGCAACATTGGCGGAGGAATTGAGGAAGCGGCGACTTGTGCGGAAACTTGCGGAGTTGCGCCGCTTGGTTGCGCATTTTGATCCGACATATTTACTATTTAATGTTTATATAATATATAGTTGTGCTAATTCTTTGGTTGGTGACTGGAAAAAAAATGAGAAAATATATAGATTCTGAGGGAGTTAGCGTAAATAATAATGAAAATGAGAACAGGTGAAAAAAATATTTTGGGAGTGGAAAAATCGATAAGAGAAGAAATAAATTTTTGAGGGTTCAAAGGGACATGGGGTTACTGTATGAACCTTTAAAGGAGCAGGAGTTACTTCAAATGGAGATTCTACAGTAACCTTGGAACTTTTCAGGGAAAAGTTGAGATAAAGTGTCTTGTGTGCCTTTAAATTTTCTACAGCACTTTTTCTAGAAAAAGGTTCATGTTCCTTTAAAATTCAAGAATACTGTAGGCTCAGCTTAAAGGCGCTAAGATACGGTATTTGAAGGAACATTCGAAACCTAGCTAATTTTAGAAAAAACTTAAATTTTGGATTACTGTAGGCTTATTTTAAAGGGAGATAGGTTTTCTGAAGATTACCGTAAGATATTTTTAAAGACTCATGAGGAATCTATAGTAATTTGAAAAAAACATTTTTTAATCTCAGACTACTGTAGGTTGATTCTAAAGGTACACAAGAAATTTCAAAAGAAAAAAAAGGGCTACTGTATTTAAAGGAACACTTAAGCACAAAAGCGCGGATTGAAAAGAAAAATTAAAAATGCAAAATTTGGAAACGAAAAAAAAAGATCTGGTGTCCCTCGGAGAAATACACACATAGCCAGAACATAGAATACATAAATAAATAAAAACGCCTGGGTGAACGGGGGGCGAATGGAAATGGCTTGCTTTGGGTGAATGGGAAGACAGAGACACACACAAAAAAGGCGGCGAAGAGAGTGCGGGAGATGAAGAGACGCAGAGTATGTGGGGGGAGGGGGAGGCGGGAGGAGGAGGAGACACAGGTCACGCCCATTTGGATATACTATGCTGCTTTTTTTGGTGGGTGGGGAGGGGGGGGGGGATAAATCGATTGATCTATTTATTTTTTGGGAGAGGAAGAGGTCATCATGGAAAAAAGAATAATAATAATGAGATGAGATGAGGAAAGGGAGATGAGCACAAAATGAATGGTACTTGGAGGGGTCGAGTTTAGAGTTTTTGGAGAGAAGAAGTTAGCCTAAGTACTGTAGAAATGAAAATTCGGCGCGAAAGGCGCAGATCAGCGAAAAATTTAGATAAAGTGTCTTGTGTGCCTTTAAATTTTCTACAGCACTTTTTTCTGGGATCAAAGGGACATGGGGTTACTGTATGAACCTTTAAAGGAGCAGCGGATTTTATGTTACTGCAGATATTTTTGGTAGTTCATGTTCCTTTAAAATGAGATTCTACAGTAACTTTTTCATGGAGTTTTTCAGAGACAAATTGAGATTAAGCTCAAAAATTCACTTTTTCTAGAAAATTTAAAAAAGGTTCATGTTCCTTCAAGATTACTGTAGGCTCGGTTTAAAGGCGCGTGAGGAATTTCGAAAAAATTAAACTATAATTCATTTGAAAACTACAAAATTTTGGAATTTTTAAAAAATTGGAGCCAGAAATCTACAGTACCTAGATTATTGTAGATCAAATTTCACGATTTTTTTTGAGTTATTCGAACTTATGAATCGTAATCACTTCCTGGGTTACTGTAGCTTAAAAATTTTGGGAAAATCAATTTTCAGCTTTCAAGTCACCTCAGATTACTGTATGTCATTTTCTTCCCCAATTTTGAATAGGTGCTAAGTGAGATGATGATGATGATTTCACGCTGTGTTATTTGACATCTCCATCATTTTCCCCCTTCTTTTTATGCTAATTTATCTGTTTTTGAAATACAAGAGAGAGAGAGAGCAAGAGATAAAAGAGACGCAGACGAGCAGACGGAATTATTGTGGTTTGGGGAGAGATGATTTGACCCGGGTTTTTATGATTTTATGATTTGTGCAAGACAAGTTTTTTGGGAAGAATTTGAAAGCTACAGTAATTTGAGCTGAAATTTAATTATTAAAGATTTTTGAACTTCGAAAATAAATAGAAAGTTGCGCTGGAAATTGATTTATAATTTTTTGGAGAGCTAGAAAATGAGCAGAAAAAAATTGTGCCAAAAATCACTACAGTAACCCAGGGTTACAAATTCGTTTTGAAAAGTTGAAGAATAATCCACTAACTACAGTAACCAGTGATCTCAGATCCTTAACACTACAGTAACCCAAAATTAAAAAATCCAACTCAAAGTAATTCTGATAAGAATGTAGATCAAATTAACATTAATACAATAATCTTGCGCCTTAAAATGTAGAGTACTCTAATTATTTCAAAACTGCGGTATCCTGGTTACTGTAGCTGTAAAATTAGAAAGAAATTTGCAATCTGAAGAAATTTGTAGATCAAGAAAGTCTACAATTTCTGAGAAGACTACAGTAATCTAGAAGGAGGTTGGCTAAAGTAACACTGTGATTTTAAGTGCTAAAATCTACAGTACCTCTTCTCTCCCCTCTTCGCCTTTTTCCTCAAAAAAATACCAAAAAGGTCAAATCTTCCGTTGTTTATAAACATTTCTGGTTATATCCTTCAATTACACATAAACAAATCTATTTTTCCAAAAAAAAGATCCTACAGTACCCCATTGATTCATTTTTATATTCATTTTTTACCCAATAAAACGTGGGAAAAGTGCGCGAACATTGGAACAAAAAAAAAAGAGCAGGTGGCCAAAATGACGTGGCCTTGAATGAACACAGAATTGGAGGATATTTGTAATAGTTTTGTATTGGAGGAGAGGAAATGCGGGCCGAAATGAGTCATTTGAATATGGAAATTTTGAATATTTGTTAAGGGCAGTACTGTAGATAGGTACAGTACTCTTTAGAAAGATAACAAATTATATAGATTATAGTTATCAGAAAAAAATAGATTATTAGGAATTTTTGAAACAGTGAATTTTTTGTTTGGAAAAAAATCAGTAAAATTAAGAAGCTACAGTAGTTTTCTAGAACTATTATGACTACAGTACTCTCTTTTTGTTAATTCTCAAGCTACAGTAGTCTTTTAGAATAGATTACAATGTAAACAATAATCAGAAATGAAAAATCCCACGAATTTAAAATTTGAAACAGTGAAATTTTCACCAGACGCGAAAACTCATCAGAAAACAAAAATTCAAAAAAAACATTTCTTGAAATTTTGAAACAGTACATTTTTCTTTTGAAATTGCCCGATTGAAATTAAATTTTGAATTTTCATGAAAAATTATCTCTGGAAATTTTGATACAGTAATATTTTTGCAATTTTCAACGACATATAAGTGAATATTTGTCAACATTTTTTAAATGAAAATTTGAAACAGTGTAATTTTCCAGCGACGCAACATTCAATCAGAAAACAAAAATTCAAAAAAAAATTTAGTGCAATTTTGAAACAGCAAATTTTTTCAATGAAGTTGGTAGATTGAATTAAAATTATTAAATTTTCATGAAAAATTATTTTTTAATATTTTAAAACATTATTGATCCAGGGTTACAGTACTACTCTAGAAGTTCCCATAGCTACAGTACTCTCTTACAAGAATTTTCACAAGATGAAAACTTCCCAAAATTCTTTCCCATTTCCCATCTCCCATGTTCTTCACACTTTTTTGATTGATATTTTCTTCTTCTTTTTTCTTCCCTTCTAAAATAATGAATTTATGGGTTTTTGTCATAAAAGTGTCAAAAAACGATTGTAGTTTTAAAGACGGCGGCACACTTCTTTTATCCTATTCAAATATTCTTCTTTTCCCTTTTTTACTGCGCGGGAATAATGGACCATGACTTCTTTTTTGTTGGAAAAAAATGAAAGAATGATTAGAAATGTAAATAAAAGAAAAATAGCTTTTTGGTCAAAAAAAATGAAAAAGGTCTAATTTTTCATCAAGTGGAGGGATTTCGGGAACATTATTTGAAAATTTTGAAAAATTCACTGTTTCAACAAATAGTCTTGGTTTGGCAATTCTATATTTTGAACATTAAAATTGTAGATAAGTGACTACAAACTTTATTCATTAAAATTTCACTGTTCCAAAAATTAATCGAAAGTTTTGAGATTTGTTGTGATTTGGTCAACAATCGCCGATAAACTAACAATAAAGTAAAAATTTCATATTTCTATATAAATCTAGAAAAATTCACTGTTTCAAAAAGTATTAGAAGGTTTTTAGAGATTTTTTTGATTTGATTATAAACTGGTAGAAACTTAGTTTTGAAAAATTTCACTGTTTCGAGTTACTTTCAAAGTTTTGAAGACTTTCTTTGAACTGTTAGAAATGCATTCCACTTTTCTGGAAATGAGCTACGAAACCACTCCTAAAAGACTGAATTAAAAATTTTCATAGTTTTATTCACCTAGAAAATTTCACAAAATAAAATATGAAAATTTCCCTGTTTCAATAGGAATTTTTAAATTTGGTCCGACGGTAGAAATCACTGCTCCAGAAATTACTCGAAACTTTTGAGGTAATTTTTGATTTGGTTGAAATTTTCAGATAAAAAAAATTACTTTAAAAATTAAGAAGATATTTTTTGTGGAAAAAGGTGTTCAATTTTTCACTGTTTCAAAGATCTCATGTGATTTTCAGATCAATTATAAAATAGTGTTTCCTGTCTGGAAAAATTCAATTTTTATGTTCTTGAAAATTTCACTGTTTCAAGAATTTTCAAAAACATTTGAATGGTTACAACGTTATTAGTTTAACCAGCATTCTTTATTCTCAATTTATTTCAAGCAAAAAATCTATAATTTGAGAAGTAAACTACAGTAACCTAATATTTTCAGCTCAGAAAATACTAAAAATGACCGCAGGAATCAATCAGTAAATTTTGGCCAAAAAATCATATGAAAAACTCACTGCAACATTTCACTGTTTCAACATCTGCTCGAATTTTTTGTCAAATTTTTGAATTCCGTTTATACTGCTCGGCATGTTATAAAATTTGTGAAGAAATATAAAATTCCTAAAAATTAAAGTTCACGTTCACGCGTGTTATTCAATATTTTTTCTAATTTCAGATTTATTTTTTTTCAAAAAATTTACAGTAACCTTTGGAAATTAGAAAAGTTGAACATTTGTTATCGAAAAATCAATATCAAAAAAATTCATTAAAAAATTTACTGTTTCAAAATTTCTTCAAATTTTTTGGGTTAAAATTTCGGCATTTCTTCTGAGGCTCCATTTCGAAAAAAAATTAATAAATATTTTCGTGGAAAAAATTGTTTTAAATTAATTCACTGTTTCAAAATCTGCTCCCTATTCTTTCTCCAATTTCAAACATTTCCCTTAATTGTGGCTTCAATTAATTAACCTTGAATTCCGAAATTTTTTTTGTTGAAAAGGATGATCAAAAAACCTTGAAGCTTCTCAACTTCCTCCAATTTCTATTCAAAAATATTTTAATGAATTGAAATGCATAACCCATTTTTCCTACTTACGCAATTTTTGTCTACACCTGCCTGAACAAAAAAAAATTTTTGAATACTAAAAAAATATCAGAAGCTACAGTACTCTCGAAAAAAGAAAAAAAGAGGAAAAGAATAGGAAAAGAAAAGGAAAATAAAAGGGGGTGCGCAGCTGGGCAAACTATAAATGTAATACAGAGAAATTGAGATGAGTTCTTCACACAATCAATTAAAAATTATAAAAATTGTACAACAAAAAAGTAGTATTTTTCAAAGGGATCTCAAAGATCTACCGTATACCCGAGGCTTTTTAGATTAAAATAAAGTAGGAAAAAAAGAAAATAAATAAATTTATATGAAAATGACAGCTCAATTTCATTTCGCTCCAGCTTATTCGATTATTATTGTGTTATACGAAGAAAAATAATTAAATCTCAACTAAAATTGGATTTTTCTTTGGCTTTTTCTAGCGCTGATAAATGTACTTTTCGGGGCTGTAAATGGGGAAAAATTGAAAAAAAAAACTTTTTTTTCGAAAAAAAAAGAGGCTCCGCTTCAAGACCCATCCCCACTTGTGTGTGCGTCTTGAAACGAACACGGTAGATTTTTTTTACTTTTTTTTATAGTCTGATGAACCTTGTTTTTAGGCTGAAAGCGGTGAAAAATGGTTTTTTTTTTGAAAAAAAAAACCAAAAAAATTATTTTTTCAAATGAAAAAGTGCGTCGCGTCAAGACCAATCTCCGTTTGTGCGTGCGCCTTTGAACAACTACGGTAGCAAAATATTTTTTTTAAAAATTTTTCTTCAAAAAAAAAAGTTTTGCGCGAGCAAGGAAAAAGAAAGCGACGTTGGCCGAGGAAAATAAGATCGATGGCACTGATTTTTTATATACGCCGTGCTTCTCGGCCATCTCCTCACAATTCAGTGTATTTCCGAACCGCGAAACGAAGCACATCTGGACGAAATAAAATGAAAGAAAACTGCGCGCACAAAAATGAGATGAGAGATTGGGAATTGGTGAAGAGAGACGAGAGAAAAAAGAGGAAGATGAAGAAGTTTTGCTCGGTAGGATGTTTTGATTGAGATGGGATTTTTGTTGAAAATAGAATTTTGCTTTGATGATTTGTGAGCTGGGGAACAATTTTTCACTGTTTCAACAAATTTGGATAATCGAATTTTTAAACAGCGTTTTGATGAACTGATACTGAACGAAATTTTAGACATAAAAATATTTTAGAAAGTTTTCACTGTTTCAAAAAATTAATTAAATTGAATTCGGATTATTGAAAAATATTAGAGAATATCTTTAGATTTCCGAATAAAAAAGAATTCATTTTTCATAGTTAGAATCCAAATATTTTTCTACTGTTTCAAAAAATAAATTAAAAGAACATCAAAATTTTGACAAATCCAATGGTTTGATTGCACACAATGAAAAAATGTCTAAAAAAAATTCATTGTTTCAAAAATAAATTATATGATACTGAAATATCTGAAATATGTGATATAAACTTTTTCACACAATAATAGTAAAGTTTTTATCCCCTAATTTCCACGTGGATTTTTGGCGCCAAAACTTCTCGAAATTTCGAAAAAAAATTACAAAAAAATGTGTGAGGCCCTTTCCTCACAGTCCTTCAAATAATCTCACCAGGCGGTCGTTTTGGCGCGCGACCAGACGAGAGAGCATGCGGAATTGAGAGAGTGCAGACATTTTGGCACGCGATCTGATATGAGTGACTGACACCGAAGAAAATGATGAAGAAAAAGGACAAAAACGGTTTATTTTTGAAAAAAATGAGGAGGAAATACACAGACAAAGAAGAAAGAAAATGTAGATTTTTCGAGAAAAAATTTCTCCAGTACAATATTTTTTTCACTGTTTCAAATTTTATTCAAATTTTTCGAAAAAGGAAAAATGATAATATTGGGTTTTTTGCTACTCATATTTATAAAAATTTCAAGAATCTGGAAGTTGAATTTTTATTGATTAAAAATAACTAATTCAGTCAATCGTGTACCTTTAAAAACATCTACAGTACTCCTTTGAAATTCCTTTAAAAATCTAATACAGTAATTATTTCATATTTTTCAAAGGCACATACATTTATTTACAGTACTATGAAGTGCAAGAATTGTAAAAATTTTCTCAAAAATTTCTCACTGTTTCAAATTTTCTTCAAGTTTTTTGAGGAAAGAAAAAAAAATGGAGGATTCGTTGTAGGCGCCAATTAAAAGATTTTACGAATCTGGAAAAAACACTAATAATAAAATACAGTAATTTAAAATACAGTAATTTTAAAATAATAATAAAATACAGTAATTTTTCATAGATGTTTTAAAGGAACATGATTCTACAGTAGGACAATTGAAGAATCTTTATTTTCGTCAGTATTCATATACAACGATAAAAATTACAAAACCCGGAAATTTCCCGAATTTTTGAAACAGTTAGTTTTTTTTGAATTGTTTTCCAAAATAAATTTGTGAAGTCTAAAAAACACCGAAATATGGAAATCTTATAATCCCACATAAAACAATAATCCAATCATGTCCCTTTAAAAAAACATCTACAGTACTCTTCTGACCTTCAGCTGTTGTTTTTTCAATTTCAATTCATTTGTTCTTCTTTGTTTTTTACAACTACATAAAATATACAAATACTTAAAAATAATGAGGTGAAAAAAGAACAAAAAACTTTTTTCCGCCGCCAAAATGAAAATGCCATTTCATTTTTCCATTAAAACTGGTTCCACGAAAAAAAAACGAGGGGGGAACCCGCTGAGAGACAAGCCTATTATAGAAATACCGTATAAAATAGCAGAAGCTGCTGACTGAAAATATTATTTTCATTTCGAGGAGAAAATGTACGTGGCATTTTCGATTTCCACGTTTTGCTCGTTTGGTGTGATTTCGAGTGTTTTGGTGGCGATGGCGCAACTTTTTCGGGAGATGGATCAGATTGAGAGAGAGGTAAGTAAGTTTCACGTGGATTTTTGAAGCTAAAATTTACTGGATTTTGAGTTCAAATTTGCCACGTGGATTTCTAGCTCCAAAAATTGAATTTACAAAATTCCACGTGGCACCAAAAATCATATTATTTGATATAAAATAATGGTTTGAAACAGTAACTTGAAAAAATAACTTTTTTTCTCAAATCAATTGAAAACTAAAAAAAACCTTAGCCAGTTTTTTCTTATCAAAATTTTGAAACAGTTGATTTTTGAAATAAATTGTCAACTTCTCTGAATAAAAAAAATTCCACGTGGATTTCCAGCGCCAAAAATAAGATTTCAAACTCCCAAATTTGTTTCCAGGTATCAGAAAGTGTAAAATCATTTCAAGATATCACATCTCCCGCGTGGCAGGACATAATCTCTCTCCAATTACACAGTCTTCCACCATCCCGTGCTCCTCGAAGTCCCTTCGAAGAATATCGAAAATCCTCCAAGAAGCGTCAAACCTATTCAGGTCTTCCCTCATGGTGTCAATGCGAACCGAGTCGGCCACAATGTCCCCCGGGACCTCCGGGTCCACCCGGTTCCCCGGGAAATCCGGGAAGACCCGGTGAACGTGGGCAGCCGGGACAGGACAATCAGCAGATCTACGAGCCGATTCATTGTCCACAACCGGATCGAAGTTGTATTCGATGTCCAGTTGGTTTGCCAGGATATCCGGGAAGAGATGGGCAACCGGGTGAACCTGGGCCACCCGGAAGACCGGGTGCTCCTGGCTTACGTGGAAATGACGGGAAACCGGGAAGACCGGGAGAAATTGGTGGAATGGGAGGAATTGGAAGACCTGGTCAAGATGGAAAGCCTGGAAATCCGGGGAGAGATGGAAAAAGGACACATGGAATACCGGGAAGACCGGGGAGAATGGGATATCCTGGGAAAGAGGGAGCACCCGGGTTTCCGGGAGAAGAAGGACGGCCCGGGATTCCGGGAGCACCGGGTTTGGAAGGGAAACCGGGATATCCTGGAGGACCTGGATTGGATGGAAGTCCTGGACAACCTGGAGGACCGGGGATTCCTGGACCGGATGCTGGATATTGTCAATGTCCGAATCGGGGAAGTTATCAACAAAGTTATCCGTATTTGAAGAATCGGAAGAAGAGTGCTTGATAAATGAATTTTTGAAGATTTTTTTGTTGAATAAAAAAAATTACTTGATTATAAAAATATGAAATTTTTCCAAGATTTTTCACTGTTTCAAAATTTCTTCAAGTTTTTTGTAAAAAAATTCATGTTATTTCTTTCGTAAATAAAATTTTTTCAAAAAACATGAGGAAACTTTGAAACAGTGAGAAAATTTCAAACAATTTCTGAAAAGAAGCTGAAGGTTCATAATTTTGCTATTTGAAATGTTGTACTGTAAACACATGTACCTTGAAAAATCTACAAAAATGGTACTGTAGTTTTTTTTTAAAGGAAAATTGTTGGATTAGCCGTTTCATCACAATTTTTCAATAACAAAGTTTGAAGTAAATTTGAAACAGTTAAAAATTTTGATAATGTTGTTTTATTGAAAGTAAAAAAATAATATTTACTGTAGATTTAAAGGGGCATGATAAAATTTTAGGCTTAAAATTATTGAAATTTATTTGTTGATCATTTATTGAGTAATGTCTCACAGGGGTGCGCACACTACATAATTTTGAATCGCGCGGGCGCTGGCGCATTTCAATTTTTATCAATAGAGCGCACTTTCAACATCGACTTTTTTTTCTTTTGCAAAAAATCGTTTTTTCGAGTTTCGAAGAGATTTACGAGTTGATGGGTGTTTTTCACAACTTCTTAAGGAGTATTCGAGATAGAAAATCACATTAGCATTCTTTTGAGACCTCAATGATGAAGATCGGTGCTGAATGAAAGGTGCTGATGCCATTTGAAGACAGACCATTTTTTCAATGAAAAATCTGTTTTTGCTTAATTTTGGTTTAATTTCAATTTTTCATGTCAGAAGGAGGGTGGGATGTAATCACAATGAATCCAATGCTATTTTCGATAGGTTTCTTGATTTTTGAAAGTAAGGTAACAGCGCTAGAACAGGAAAAATTCACTTAGAAGAAACGTTGAACAATTGGACTTCTCGATCTAGAATTTCGAAAAATGTCATAGTATTCGATATTTAACATTGTTCTGAATGATTTTGAGTAAAAATAATATACTACTAATGAGCTGTTATCAGAGAAACCCCTCATAAAAGATGGGTACCTTCTTTTACTGGAAAAATGTAAGAATAGTTTCATAAGATCTTGTATAATATCGGTCGAAAATCACAGAATACATACAAAACTGTTGGAAAATAGCAGTATTCACACTCTGAAAGCCCCGAAACTTTGTTTTCGAGGTCATGGTTCAAAAACTTCAATTTCTCGCTCCAGTATTTTTTAAAATCAAACTAAAAATATATAATTTTGTTTGTATTGCCTTCCTCTATCTCCTCACATATAGAACTACTCCGAAAAAGTCGGTTTTGAATCGGATTCTCAGAAAAAAAACAAAAAAAAATTTCAGTGGCGAGAGAGTGTGTTTGTATGAAGAGACGCAGACAAACACACACAAAACCATACACCTCGCGCATTTTGCTGGCGCATGTCGTGTTCGCACCCCTGTGTGTCTAAAGAAAATGATATATTTTTTGATCAACTTTTTTTTCGTTCAAAAATTTGTAAATCTGGAAGCTCTTCTAGTTTTACAAATCCATCATTATCGAACCAAATTTCAAGTTTTTAGGTTTAAAATGATTGAAATTCATTTAGTAAGCTATTATTGATTACTGTATAAAGAAAATTATATTTTTTTGATCAACTTTCCGAAAGGTATGAACCTTCGTGAACGTCCAAAAGGATCCGATCCTGGACCTTCTGAACAAAAACCACGTTTCAAATACTTCAATAAAATCTGGGAGCTGATCTACAGGAAAAATATATATTTGAATTAGAAAATCCTATACCATCAAGTGTAATTCAAAGCTTCATCTAATGATTTAAACATAGTAATTTATAAACAACTTTCCTTTAACATCAATAGTATTTATGAATAAAAACTTTACCCAATATTTTTAAATGAAGCTCTAATCTTACCTGTTAATTTTTCTCCTCCCCTCCCCCCTCAACCTCAAAATAAACTAACTTGAATGGCCCGTTCCGTGAGAAGTTGTTGATCTCTTTGAATGTTCTGTCCAAACGAAACATCTTTTTTTCGGAAGCCTGAAACTACTACATTCTTTTTCTCAAAATTTTCGCTTTTTTTTAAGCTTACATCAGAAAATGACAATTGTGGATTTGATGGGATCCCTGGATTCTGTGACGGTTGTCTCTAAAAAAATCAGAAAATTAAAAAATGTACCAAATCACCTCAAAAAAACCAGTCAAAAACCAGAAAAAAGCAACAAATAAAAATGTCGTGCAAAAAATAATAAAAGCAAAACAACGATACTCCGCGTGCCCGTTGTTTAGCGTGTTGTTTTGTTTTTTTTGCAGGGTAGATGAGAGAGTGTGGGAAATGAAGAGAGGGTTAGAGAGAGAGAGAGAGAAAGAGAGAGATTTTTTTATTTGAAAAGAAATTATCGATTGAACGTTTTTTTTAAAGTTTTTTTTCGAACTGATTTGGATTTGATAAATTTAATTTGAAACAGTAAAAAATTTTGATCATTTTTCTTTTTACGTAAGAAAAGAGTACTGTAGATATATTTAAAGGGACATGAGAAAATTTATTAGAAATAAAATTATTCTCGCGTGGCATTTCAAAAAACACGTGAAATTTGAAGAGATCAAATTCAAGCCATTTATTTCTAAAAATGCAAGATTCCAGAAAATATCTAATTTTTGGAGCTGCTTCAGTTATCTTCTTATTGATCTCACTTTCTTGTATTATTGTAATTTTGTTGTCTGAAAATGGAAAAGGAAAAGAACACGGAGAACGAACTATGGCATTGAAATCGGAAGATAATTCAACAATTTTGAAGACAGGTATTTAAAGGAATATTTTTAAAATTTGTATTCTACAAACAATTTCAGATTCAGATAAAAAAGTTGAGCGAAAATTGAAAATGGTGCAAATGATTTGGCGACATGGCGATCGAGCACCACAAAGTCTACCGTATCCAAATGATAGAAATGATGAGAAAATGTGGCCGAGAGGTTGGAATCAATTGACTAATGTGAGCAATGCTTTTGGGGACTTTTTGATGGAGAAAAGACATGTGGAAGTTTGGAATTTCATGTTTTTACAAGTAAAAAATTCACTGTTTTAGAATTTTTATGAGGAAAAATGTGGTTACTTCTTTTGCTACGAAAACGAGTGAATATTTTTTTAATTAAAAAAAATTCACTGTTTCATAAATATCTCTTTATCAAAAAATTATATAAAAATCTGATAGACGGAAGGTCCTCACACTTATTTCAAAAAATTCAAATGTTTCAAAAAAATTTCGAGACTGCAAATTTTGAATTCAAAATTATTACATAAAACGTTGAGCAATGTTTTTCCACTTGAATTTTTTTTAAAGTCAACTGAACAATTTTGACTGTTTCAAAAATTATTCAATTCTGGATTTTTGTCCTAATTTTCGGTAATTTTTCAATTCTTTTTTTTTTCGAAAAATCCACTGTTTCAAAATTGTCTTAAGAAAAAATGTTTCTTTTTTTTATTGCTGCTATGTTCCGATGTTGTCGTTCAGAAAAATTGACTAAAAATTCACTGTTTCAAAAATATAGCTTGATGAAAAAATAATTTTGAAATTCGATAAACATCCAGATAAATTAAAACATTTTCAAAATTAATCCACGTGACAAGATTATTTTCCAGAAAGGAATCAAAGAAGCTAGAGACCTTGGAGTCTTCTTCCGAAACTACTACAAATCCAGCGGATTTCTGCAAGAATTCCACAAAGATCGAGTATATATTCTATCCAGTGAAACCGAAAGAACAATTATGACAGCACAAGCATTTGCAGCTGGTTGTTTTCCACCAAATGAAGATTCTATTTGGGATAACTCATCCCTGAAAACATGGCAACCTACCCCAATTCATACCACAGGACCCACTGAACCTGACGCATTTTTAATGTGGAGATATATCAATTGTCCAAAACTTAAACAAATTTATAAAGCAGATAAGAAACTAGTGAAAAAGAAAATCAAAAAAGAATATAAGGAGCTTTTTAAAATGCTTCAGAATTATACTGGATATCCGAAGGTTAATTTTGATATTGTTAGCAGTTTGTATGGTATTCAACACGAGATGTTTCATAATATGGAACAACCTGGATGGATTCATGAGATTTGGCAGAATAAAAGTGTTATTGAACATTTGAGAGAGCTTAAAAGAATCCATAAAAATCTGAAAATGAATTCTCCAGAAAAGGCAAAATTCAGAGGAGGATTACTTTTAAATGGGCTTATCCAAAATATGTTGGACTTCAATTCCGGGGCATCGACTATAAATCAATATTTATATTCATCACATGATGGAACACTTGCAGCACTTGGATATGCTTTAAATGTATCAGATCATCAACTTGTCACATATGTTGCAACTTATATTTTGGAACTTTATGATGATAATAGTGTTCAGGTTTTATATCGAAACAATATTGTTGATGCTCCAAAATCATTGATTATTCCTGGATGTGAGAGATTTTGTGCGATGGATAAGTTTTTGAAATTATTTGAGAATGTTCGAGTGAAATCCTATGATGAATTGTATTTGATTTGTGGAACTGGAACTAAATTATGAGGTTTTTGAATGAAGAGTTTTGATTAAGAAGACACAGCATCTGTTTTTTTCTACAAAAAACCTTGAACAAGTTTTGAAACAGTGATTTTTTATTATAAAAAATTTTATCTCCGGAATTTTCTCTCTCGAAATATTTATATAGTTTTAATATAAAACACATAGCTAAAAGTACTGTAGTTCTTCTAAAGGAACATGATTCCTATAAACTTCCACTCTGCAAATATCTCTGAATCTCTTTGATAACTTGTTTTTCACAGTCTGAAGCAATATTCATTTCTTGAAGATTTTCATCGGTTAAACTCATGAAGCTCTGAAAAATTTTGTTTTTTGGTTGAAATTTCAGCTTAAAGCTTACGTAATGATCGATTTCCTCTTTCATCAATTTCTTCATTAATTCTCGTTGATTTCTTCGCATGAATTGAGACCAAATCATTTCTGGAAAATTCGATATTCATAAAAAACGCAGCGGAATAATTTCAAAATAATATTTATATTATATCCAATTTTTGAAACAGTGAAAAATTTTGAAAAATCGAAAATTAATTTTTTTTACAAATTTTCCGAAAAAAAATAATTTTTGAAAAATTTCACTGTCTCAAATTTTATTCAAGTTCTATTGTGAAATGAAAAAAAAAATGAAACAGTTTATTTTTAGAGATCAGTTTTCAAAGACTAACTTTTTCTGATTACAAACAAAGAAATTTGAAGCAGAAGTTCATTTTCATCAGATTCCCAGATCTATTCAAAAAAGTTATCGGAATTTTGAAACAGTGAAAAACTGAAAAGTATAAAGCTAAAAGATTCTCTAGAAAAATCGCATTTCTATTTTAATAAAAATTTAATTTCAAAAATTTTTCCCTGTTTCAAATGTTCTTGTACGGGTCTAGCAAAAATCCATGAACAGTTTTGAAATGTATAGAATTTTTGAAACAGTGAAAACTTTGAAAAAATTAGAAAATTCACGCTCTAGGAAAACTCATCATTCCTAATTAAAAAATAAATTTCCAGAAAAAATTAACTGTTTCAAAATTTCTTTTGAAATTCCAACATAATCTAATCATATTCGAACTCACCATCAGTGATAACTTGTGTTTGAACCTGTCTCGGTCTTCCACCAGTTCCTCCACCATTTCCAACAACAACTGTCGGAACCTGCATAGATCTTCTCGGAGCCACTGAATAACACGTGTTTTCAGCTAAATCTCTCGATTTCTTCAACATTCTCGGTGTTGTTCTCATTTGATTTTGTGATTGTGATTCGACCATTGAAAATGTTCGAGGTTTTCGATAATGATGTCGATCCAAACTGTCTCGATCAATACTATCTTTTCGGTGTAGAACCAAAGAGTTTCGGGGGAATTTTCGATTTGTTGCGTAGCCTGAAAAGAAATTTAAATTTTTTCTGAAGTTCAGAATTTTAGATAAATTATATGGAATTCACTGAACCCAAAAACAAAGTCCAAAATTTTATGAAAACTTGAAACAGTGAACATTCTGGAAATTGTAGAAACTTTTTTCGCTTCCAAAAATTGGTTCTTTTAAAATAAGGCTGCCCAATAATATTATGTGAAAACTTCAAAATATCATACAATTTTTGAAACAGTGAATTTTTTTATTGAAACATAATTACGGTTCTCTTATTGATTTTCTGCCATAAATAAAAATATTCATGAATATTTTGAAACAGGAAAAATTTGTAAATATAAATTTGATTAACATTTTTATCCAAAATTTTCAAGTCAGAACATATTTCAATGAGGTTCCTGACTTCTTCTGATCACAAAATCATGAAAACAGCTTTATCACGTACTTTTCAATCTACAGTAGTTTATTTGCATTTGAATTCTCTTACCTGAAGTAGCCGCATGATTTTGTGCAATATCATATTGCGGAAAAAGTGGTGCATTTTGTGCCGCCTCTTTTTCGCCATAAAAATCACAAAAACACGTGGGCTGAAATGATTGACATTCTTCCATATAATTTCGAAGTGCGTCGGTTTGCATGTCATATGGATTTGATTCGGGTGAACGAGCTGGTTTTGTGCCACGGAGGATTTCTTCGACGCTCGCGAATTTCTGAAAATTTATTCGGAATAATTTGATTACTATGAATCGAGGTGTAATAAATGAAAAAATCACACTGGAAATTTCATAAAATATTGAAACAGTGAAAAAATATGATAATATAAGATTTAAGAAATGGTAAACCAGATTTTTTTGAAATCGAAATTTCAACAAAATTCACTGTTTCACACACTTTTGGAAATGTTTTTTTTTCAGAAAAATTTGCTGTTTCAAAATATAGATTTGGAAACCGTAGAAACTATTTTTGATTGAAAGTTCGCTCTAATTCAGAGATCCTAAAAATTTCACTGTTTCAGAGAAATGTAGGTAGAGCCTCACTTATCTAGAAAAAATGTCAAAAAAATTCATATTTTTTTTTCTAGGGAGTTTCAGCCAATTTCCAGTTCAACTATTTTTTACAAATGTTCTTTTCATAATTTGGAATTAAAAGAAACATCGGTATCGAGAAATACAACACGGTCTCAACATCAAAATAAAATTACCTAGCAACTTTGAAACAGTGGATTTTTCTCAAAAAGAAACCTGACAAAAACCCTAAAATTTCACTGTTTCAAATAATTTTAAATTTTTTTCTAGGGATTTTTATTCAGTTAATATCTTGCTTCTAGCTTTTACACACAATTTGTTCCAAGGTTTTTCTTTCAAGTTATCAAAACTCTGATTTCTTTCTCAAAAAATGTTGAAATAATTCTCTCTCACTAGTCCATCGAAATATCAAAACCAATTCAAAACTTTCAACTAAATTTGAAACAGTGAAATATTTTTTCAAAAAAAAACAAAATTTCGAATAATTCCAGAAAATGTTAAAATTTCACTGTTTCAAATAATTTTTGAACATTTGCTAGGGATTTATCAATCAATACCAAGTTGGGAGGTTTCTCACATAATTTGGTCCAATTTTTTTCAAGTTATCAAAACTCTGGTGTCTTTCTCAAAAAAAAAATACTAAAATTTGATTCAAGTTAAAAATTTCAACTGCATTTGAAACAGCAAAATATTTTTCCCAAAGAAAAAAAACTGACACAAGAATTGCGTTCCTTTGCTGGTTGATAAAGTGTAATGGCTTCCAACCAATGTTTCGGTTCAATCTTCGATTCCATCGGTTTCTCCATCGAATTCAAAAATATCTGCGACGACATTTTATTCAACCATCCCTTCGTCTGAAATGTCTTATACAAACTCGAACTCGAACTACTAAAATTCAATTTCATTTCCAATTGTGGCGGTCGATTTGGATGTAATTGCATTCGCAAATTCGTCGCCTCCAAAACATCCGAACTATGCAAAAATAAATCGTAAGCACTGACTCCATATTTATTGATATCAGTTGTTTGTGCTGATCTACTCAAATATAATTGAATTAATTCATCGATTCGAAGAAGTGAAGCTATTTGAAGAGCTGTTATATGCATATTATCTCGTGTATTTATATCAATATTGTTTGATAATAAAAGTTTAGCTGAATTTATACTTCGAACTATTGTAGCAAACATCAGAAGTGTACAACCATCTTGAGATGGTTGATCTGATACTCGATCTGGTAGATTATCTTCGGCGATGTGTTTACGAATATCGAATTGTGATTCGAGTTCTGGAAACATGAAGTTTATTAGGGTGAACTTGACAGTTTTGGCGCGAAAAAACCAAATTTGAAAATTTTTTATTATTAATTTTTCACTGTTTCAAAATTTCCACTTAATTTTCGGTGATTTTGAAAATTAATAAACAAGAAAGATTTAGAAATTAAGAAAAATTTTAATGTCGGAAAATTCACTACTCAATTTCAGTTTCGGGATTTTTAAATAAAATTTCAGGTAAATTTCTGAAAATTAAAAAAAAAACTATAATATTTCTCACCGAATTGAAAAAAAAATCACTTCCTTAAAAATTCAAAAATTATTTGGTCAAATTTTGAAACGTATCCAAAACCTTTTTTCTAAATTTGACAACTGAGAAAATTTTGACGCATAAAACTAGTTGAAAAATAAAAACTCACTATTCCTTGGTGCTCTTTTTTCATACAAAACATTCAAAATATCTTTTCTATTAAGAGCTTTTGCCAATTCCATTGCATTATATCGGTGCAAAGTTCTTTTCGATTGATTTGCTCCCAAATCCAATAAAGAAGTTACCATATAAACACCAGGAGTGCATAATATTGCAGTTGATAGAGCCGAAAGACCTTTCAAAGTGTCGACAGTTTCATCAATTGCAGCTCCAGCTCGGGTTAAATAATTACAGATTTGGGAACTTTTGAAACATGTTGCAGCAATTAATGGAGTTGGGGCTAAAGATCGATTACGCGGTGAAGATCGCCAATTTTCATCTCTGAAGAAACGAAAAGAAATTTTCACTTGATTTTTTTAATTTTCATAAACAGAATTTTGTGTGTTGCTACAGTAATAATAGTAATGTGTGTTGAGATTACTGTAGCGACACACAAAACTTTTATTTTTTTTCATTTTGGTGCCACACAGTTTGACATTGATAATACAATTGAACAGCATTTTGATGTTCAAAAATTTCAGAAATTTTTGAAACAGTGAATTTTTTTTACAAAAATAAATTACACCCAATATCACAAAATAAACCAAGAAAAAATTATTTTCGAAAAAAAATTTCAAGAAATCTTGAAACAGTAAATTTTTTCAAAATAACCGACATTCAAACTCAAATTGAGAAAACAAATTTTGGAGCTGAGAATTCAATTTCCAAAATAAATTTTGAAAAAAAACTGGCACAATTCTTTGAGGATAAAAACTTCGTATCAAAATAAATAAATAAAATTCAAAACGAAAAATTTAGAAAGTTTTTGAAACAGTGAATTTTTCAGTAAAGCATTTTCTCGAAGTGATGCTGTGTTAATTGAATTTCAAAAAATCACTAAAAAATTTGTGAATATTTTGAAACAGTAATTTTTTTAAAAAGCAAATCTGAATTGATTTTTTTAATTTTCAAATTTCCACGTGGTTTTTGGCGCCCAGCTCACCTCAAACTCAATAATTTCTTCACAACATCTGCATGTCCTCCAGCTGATGCTAATGTCAATGCGTTTACTCCCATATATGTCAAAGCCTTATAATTTGCACCGCGTTGTAGAAGTGTATCAATAACAGCAAGTTTTCCTTCGCGAGCTGCGTGATGAAATGCTGTGAGACCTAATTGATTGCATGATTCGATATTGGCACCATAATCAAGGAGTCGTTTTGTTAGATTGTTATTTCCCATTGCGGCTGCGATATGGAGAGCTGTGACGTCATCATCATCGGTTGAATCGATGTGAACTTGACCATTTCGCATTAAATTATCGATCTGCAAATCAATCAATAAATTTTTGGATCATAATTTTATAATTTTGATGGAAACCCTTTTCTAAAAAAAACATGTTTTCCATAAAATTTATAAATCTGAAAAAGTAAAAACTTTTTTCATTATTTTAAACAATTTCAACAAATTCAAAAATAAAAAAAATTATGTAGAAACTTTGAAACAGTGAACAATTAACAGATAAAATTTTTGTTTTTCTTTGTTTCGGAAAAAAAAATATTCTTGAAGATCTTGAAAACTAGAAAAATGTTCGATTTTTATTACTGATTTTTTATTCTCCATTTTTTTATTCTCCATCAGACAATTCAAAAACTCCAAAATATCGGATGTTCAAAACTAATATATTTTTTGAAACAGTATTTTTTTCATAAATATCAAACCAACCTTTTCCAAATCATTATTGAAAGCGGCAGTCAACAATTCCATTTTCGGAATGTCTCGATCATCAATTCCATCTAAAACTGCCACACCACTCATTTCCAGACTTTTTTCTCTGGGTTTTTGTAGCAAAAATATGAGAAAAATGAAAAGATGATGATTTTTTGATAGAAAAATCGATAAATACAATTGATACGCGCGAAATTATTTTGTTTTCGCTTTTTCTTTTTTTTGGCGCAAAAAGAATTCAGAATTTTCAAATGTAATTTTCACACGGTTTTTTGGAGTCAAAATTTTGAATTTTCAAATTTTCCCATAGTCTAGCCTGCTTTCACAAAATTCTAATAAAAATTCTGTCATTTTTCATTTTTCTCAAAATGATCTTCCCCCATATTTTTCCCCTAATTCTTCTAATTTTCCTCACAAATTCTATAAATTCTCTCAGCGAATCAGAGAAAAAAGGAATTGTTGCAAATCTTCAATCCCGTCTTGATATTCTTGAAGAAACTCATTCGGATCAAGATTACAAATCGGTTTTTGATGAAAACTTGCAAATTTCGACGAAATATGGGGATCGAAGATTATTTAATCGAAATCAGGTTTTTGAAATTTTGAAATATCGATTGAATGGAAATGGGATGAATTTTGAGATTCGGGAGGATTCGAGAGGAGTTTTGAGTTTTCCATTGAATCAGAACACTGAAGTTGAGGCGGAAAATAAGGGAGGAAGATATTTGATAACTAAATTTAAATAAATAAAAATTTGTATCATTGAATCAATTGATCAGAAACATACCAATTTTTTGACAAAATTCGAGAATAAATATGTTCATAAGTTGAAACAGTGAATTTTTCCTGGAAGATGTTTTTGGAAACCGCAAATATGTTTTCGGAAATTTAGAGCCGAAATTTGAAGAAAAAAATAAGCAAATTATTATTAGGAAAAAATTCATTTAAAAATTATGAAAAACAACGAACAAAAACACAACAAAGTTTAACAAAAAACTTACCTTCGAAAGGTTTCAATTTAAAAAAAAGGCTATATAATCTATGCTAGCAGCGAAAAATTTACGGCTAACCATACAATCCTCGGTTTCCCCATTGGTTTCTCCACTTTGCTACATCACGACGTATTTCATCCATGTATGCTTTGCTACGACGATCGATTCGAATGCTATGATCAGACCAGGGCTGGTCGGAATTGACCTTTCGGAATTTCGGAAGTCCCATTTTCACTTCCGATTTTATTCTCGGAATTTCGGCATTCCGACTTTTCATTCCGAATAATTTTTCGATAGTTCGGCATTCCGATTTTTTCTTCCGACCTTTTTTTCGGAATTTCGGAAGAAATTCGGAAGTCCTAATACGCAGAAAAAAAGTGAAAAACGACATTTTTCGATGAGTTATCAGAACAATAATAGTAAGAATAGTTGCGAAAAAGTGAATCTTGTTCTTTAGTTCATCAAAGACAACAAACTTTTGACTATTATCGATTATTAAGAAATTTTTCACCGTCTTTTCAGTCTTAAAATAAAGTTTTCTTTATAAAAACATATATTCCGATATTCCGAGATTTTTCGAAAGTGATTCCGACAAAAAAAGTCGGAATGAAAAAAAGTCGGAACGAGAGTCGGAATTTGAGCAATTCCGAGTTGTTCTTTCGGAAGTGCTTCCGACCAAACTGCACTTCCGAAAAAACGTCGATTTTCGGAATTTCGGAATTCCGATATTCCGATTCCGACCAGCCCTGGATCAGACAAAGAAATGCTTATTTCCTATTGTCCTAGTGCCATAAATTTGAATGCAATGAAAGACGATCTGAAAATTTGCCCAGTAATTTTTAAAAACCGTATGAAATCAGAAAAATCGACCAACTCATTTGAGATGCTCTGATTCAAAATCTGCCCAAAAAAACTCACCTTTGTCTTTTATATGCTGGTTCTTCGTCTTCTTCGCTTTCAAACACTGTCAATAATCCATTTGTATAATATTCTTCATCCAAAGTTTCAAATTCTTTCGGTTCAATATGAAGATTTCTAATATTCTCATCAATCTCTCCATTTTCCCACATCTTCAAATATCTTTTGACTTGTTCATTTGTCAAATCTTTTGCTCCAACAAAAATATCCTTTGCTTTGAGTTGAATCAATTCATCAAATGTCAAATCGGTTCTTCGCAGCCAGACTTTTTCAGTGCATTTTGCAATTTGATTGATGGTCAATAGATTGTTCTTCATAACATCGAAACCCTCGAATTCCATGGTGTCTTCGAGATTTTTCAAATGTTTCATGTCCAAGTTTCCAATTTTGGTACCGATTGCCTGCAAAATATTTGAATTTTCAAAGTTCCACGTGGTTTTTTGGCTTTAAAAAATCTTACATCATGAACAAATGATTTGAGAGAATATTTATATTCCTCGAGAAACTTCTCCAAATATTTCACAACAACTCCATCAATTTCCCCATTTTCCATAACTCTCCATTGTTCTTCGCTCAATTTATTGATATATTGATGTTCGCCCCCGTAATCATCATCATCTTCGTCAAATTCGTTCATAAAATCCTCATGATCACGTTGTTCCCATTCCTCATATTCAATCTTTTCCTGACAAACAGTTGTATTTGCCCATTTTTTGTTTTTCGTTTTGCTCTCAACAAAAGTATATCGAAAATGCGGACATCTTGGATACTCATTTGTCAAATGAAAACAAATATGAGTGCCTTTTTCGGTGTAGTTCAATTGGATTTTGTGCATCGCATTTTTCGATCTTTTCCCTTCTGTGGCGCACAATTTTGAGCATTGTTTGAAGCGAAAAACTGTCATCGGATCCATTTTATTGATAACTACTTCTCGTGCAACTTCGGGGATATCGAACCAAGATATTGAATAGGGCTGGAAAATGTTTGGAATTCTTGAAAAGAAATTCTTTATTTATCACAACTTACATATTCGTTCTCATTTTGGGTGATTTCTGGCAAGTCTGAATTCATTGCTTCTCAAGAAAATTCAATTTAAAGAGGTAAAAGAGCGTGGAAAAAAACGTGTGACGAAAAAACACATGCAGTGCAAACACGCTGACGAACTAATGCACAACGTACACACCGGCTGTCACACCGTACTTGGTTTTTTTAAATTTCAAAACGTGAAACCCTTATTTTGTCCGTAACCCAATTTAATTCCAGCTCACCGCTGTCGGAAAAATGAAGCTCCCTCGAAAACCCTCGTCATTCCTTAAGATTAGAAAATCTCGAAAAAACTAGCAAAAAGCAAAAAAGAAGAAAAAGAACAAGAAAAAATGGAGAAATCAGGAAGATCGGCAAGAAAAAGAAAACAGAAGAAATCCGGCGGAGGCGGATTGAATCTATTCAAAAAAGCACCGGCGCCTGACAAAAGCACTTATTCGCAAAGAACCAAAAAATCGAGTTCGAATCAGGAGAAATCGGGAAGATCGGCTAGAAAAAAGAAGAAGAATGGAGAAAAGAAAGATGGAGGAAAAGGTGGAAGTGGAGGAGAAGCTGGACAAGGTTGGCAATATGATCAAGCTGCCAAGAAAATGGTCAAGGCTACTGCTTTTAGTAAGTGGAGTACTACGGTACGCAAATTTCTGCATTTCCGCGTCGCTGTATTTACACACTAAATCATTATCTAGTGTGTGAACATCGCGACGCACAAACTTGCGCTAGCTGAACAAAAAAACGCGTTTCGCTAGCGAAAACAAAAAAACAAAAAAAAGTGGGCGGAGTGTGGCCGTGTGGCTGCCCTGTTTGGTTTCCTCGGCCAAATGTCACGAAATAATCAGCGTGAATAGCAGGGCTGGGCGGAATCGGCACGCCGATTTGCCGAAATGCCGAGTTTTCCTGATTTTTCGGCAATTTTTGAAGTCGGCACTACCGCCCGAAAATATTTTCGGCAGTTTTTCAAGTCGGCATTACCGACCGAAAGATTTTTCGGCACTTGATAGAAGCCGAATTTCGTACCGATTTCAAAATGTGCCGAAATCACAACCGAAATGTTCTCCAGTAAAATAAAAAATGTGTTTTTACCTCTATTTTCTGCAGAATGTCTTGTTTTACCTTCATATCTATTGAGTTATGACTAAAATAAAACTAAAATATAATTTTATTCATTTTTCTATCATTTTTTATAGTTTTTAAAATTTCTGAATCACTGCCAAAATGCCGAATTTGAACAAAATCGGGGTGCCGAATTGCCGAATTTTTTTTCGGCAAAAAAGTCGGTATCCCGAAATTCCGAAAAAAAATTTCGGCACAAGAAGTCGGCATCCCGACAAGCCGAGAAAATTTTCGGCACTAAAAGTCGGCGTTGCGAAATGCCGACAAGTAAATTCCGCCCAGCCCTGGTGAATAGATATATAGAGCACATTTGCACCTCTATCTATGCAATCTCTCATTTTCCAGGCACCGATGCTTGTAAAACCGAATTCAACACCGATTTGACGTTCCAACCACCCAAAGATGATTGTGGAGCTTTTCAAAAGAATCTGGCAAAAAATCGTCAACCAGAAGCACCGATCACAGATTCAAATATGGTTTTCATCAAACAACCAGAAAATGCATATTTGTGCGCTGCAAAAATATCAAATCCTGTTGATTCGAGTCAATTGATTATATTAGCACAGGCTCCGGAATCAGCGGATTTGGAGATTTTTTGGAGAATGATTTATGATGTGAGTTTTTGGAAGACTTGAATAATAATTGAGCTTAATTATTACAGGGTGGAATAACGAATATATTCATAGCAACATCTCCAACAACCCTATCTGAATATCTTCCTTTAAATGTCACATCATTCAATCAAGTCGGAAAAATGTTATTAAACAACAAAAAAGTGGAAACATTGGGAAAAGACATAACTTGTATGACAATTGAAGTATTACCAGATGGATGTTCGAATTCAGTGGTTTGTGATGTTTATAGTGTTGCGAGTTGGAGTTCGGGAAAAGCTGCACCAAATCCATCGGATTGTGTTGCTATTTGCGAGAAAATGTTGATTAAACCGGGAGAAGGTGTCATGTTTTGCAGGTATTTCTTTTTTTTTTTTTGGGTATATTTTTGAAGCTTCTGCTATTTTTCAGTTGGAATGGTTTGGGAAGAAGTGGTGTTATTTTGATGATTTATTTGATAATGGCACATGTTATGAAAAATGCGGATTTCAAAATCAATGAATTGTTTTCGAAGATTCGTGCACAGCGTTTTGGAATTGTTGAAAATGGCGACCAGTATTTGTCGATTTATCAAGCAATAACATATTGGATTCGTAATAATTCGAAAGATGCCGAAATTTTGAAAGCTATTGAAGGAATTCCGCCACCGGCATGAGCGACTATTATTTGAATACTTTTTGTTGAATGAACAATTCTGGCAGACCAAGGTTTTTTATTTTTTTGAAAAATTGATTCTTTCAAATTTTTTCCCAGATTGAAAATAGTTATATATTTAAAAAAAATATTCAAAAGAACAGTAAATTTCATCGAAAGAAACAAAAACATTAGAAAAATGGCAAATTAAAAAATGAAAAGTATTAAAAAAAACAAATTAAATCGAGCCAATTGACCCCTCATAACATTGAATAGAAATGAGATCTTCTGCATCTCCCTTTTCGCGAATAATTGCAATAATTCCATTTTGTTTGAAATTCGATCGATATTTATATATTCGGGTTGAAAATCGATCTTTAGTTTTCGAGATTGGATGGAAATCTTTGAAGCTGAATTTCTTATCATGGAAAAGACAGAATTCGATTGATTTCAAATTCCTATGAACTTGTCCATTTTTCAGCATATTCATATAAATTTTGAAATTATCTCCTTCTGCCAGTGCATCACATTTAATATCTCCAGTTTCGAGATCCAATTCAAGAAATTGTTCGAACGATAAATCAGCATTATTATATAGAAATACATGTTTGCATCCACGAATCTGGTTTGAAAAAATAATTGTATTACATATAAAAGTTATTGATTGCTTACCGTTTTCCAATTTAAAATGCCATCTTTGAAATAATCTCGTGAATTCATATTATAGTCTTTAATATCAATTTTTTCAAGATTTTTGAAACTGTTGACATTAAAATCGCTCAACAATTTATAATCATCCTGTAAAATTATTCATTTAGATTTTATTTTAAAAATAGGAAAAAGCTTACATCAAAGGTAAAACACTTGACAACATTTCGATATTTCGCTAGATATTCTTTTAAATATCTCAATTGAACATCTTTTGGTTTACCATTCTCAATTTTCGCCCATTTTACCATTCCTTCGTCTTCTTCATTTTCGTTGCCTGTTTTATAAGCGACAATTGTTTGATCTTTATAATTTCGCAAAAATTCCAACCAGAAATGTCTCTCCGAATTTTCATCGAATGAAAATTGTAATTCCAAAACACCTCCATCATTGCTAACACTAATTTTATACAAATAATTTTTGGATCTTTTGGCTTCTTTTTCGGAATCTTTCGAGCATTGTGCAAATCGACATCTACTTTTTTGAATCCATTTTATCAATTACATTTTCTTGAATATGTAATGGTAAATTTGGCCAGAAAATAAATTGATCCACTTTCTTTTCGAAGACTTCAATTGCTATAAAATCATAGGTTATTTCAAAAAAATCTTTCCAAAACAAAAAAACAACTCACTCTCAATTTTCAATACTAGATTTTCATAAATCACTGAATATTTTCTATCTTCCGAACAAAATTGAAATGAAAAAATAATTTCGTCCTCATTTTCCATAAGATGTGAAATATCAATATATTCCCTTAATTTTTGAAAATCCATATTTTTTAAACGATTTGTGACAATGTTAATAGAGTTAATTGAAATGTCGCCATTTTTCAGCATTTTCAAATATTTCTTGAAATAATTTCTACCGAAATCTTTGATAACAACATGAGCATTATTTCCTTTAAAATCGAATAAATCCTCTGATGTGAATCTGATTTTCGTTAACTTGATTGTGTCAATTTTCAAAAGCTGAAAATAAATCAAAATAATTTTGAGTTTTAAAATTAAATAAAATACAAACCTCGCGTTTATCAATGAATGTGATAGCATCCAAATCTTCCCATTCTTCATATTTATTATTGATTTCAATTTCCTTTAGATTCTTCAACTGTTTCAATGTGAAATTTAATGATTTTTCACTCTGAAAAATTAATCTTTGAATTGAAAAGAGTTGCAGAAAAAAACTCACACTGAATTTGAAAAACTGAACTTGTTTTTGATAATTGTTCAAATACATTCTCGCATATCTCAACATAACTTCTTCATTATCTCCATTTTCGACACTTGTCCACATCGCAATCTTTTCTCCATTTTTGAAGCTAAAATGAATGTGTGATTCTTAAGAATTGTTAGGAAAATAGCATCACTCTTTCTAACAATTAATAAATCTTACCATCTATAAGCCACAATTGTATTAGATGTTCCTGTATATATAAAATCGAACCAATATCCATTTCCAAATTCATCAAACATAATTTTCAAAACTGGTACATCATTATATTCATCATCATCATCATCACAAATTTCCAATCCATAAATATAGAATTTCGATTTTTTGGCTTCTTCATTGCATATTTTTGAGCATCTTGAAAATAAACAGCGAGTCTTTGAATCCATTTTATCTAGGATAATTTCGCGAACTTTAAAAGGAATATCAATCCAAGTGATTTGCAGAGGTTCATTTGGCAGACGTCGTTTAACTGGTAACATTTTGAAACCCTGAAAAAAAACTTTGAAAATTTGTAACGAATGTGGTACCATCTATATCAATAAATCAAAAAAAAATATTGTTTTGGAAAATATGACCAAATAATATTTTTGTAGTCTTGAAAACAACAGTGAAATTTATTAGAACAATGTAGTATAACAATTCGAAAAAAAACAAAAGACAATAAAATTACTTAGATTCATCATAACATTTGATAGAAATGCGACCTTGTTCATCTCCATTTTTTCGAAGAATTTCAATAATCCAATTTTCTTTGAAATTTAATCGATATTTATAAGTTAGCTCGGAATCGTAATCGCTTTCGGTTTTTGAAATATAATCAAAATCGTCGAATTCGAAGCTAATATCATTTGAAAGATAAAATTTAAGTGATTTCAAATTTCTGTGAACTTTTCCGTTTATAAGCATCTCCATATACTTTTCGAGATGGTTTCCTCTGCTCAATTCATCACATTGAATATCTCCAGTTTCGAGGTCCAATTCAAGAAATTGTTTGAATGATAAATCAGCATTATTGTAAAGAAACACATGTTTGCATGAACTGATCTTTAAAAAATTTAGTTTTATTTTAAATAATATTTATATAAAAGTTTTTCATTTCTCACCGTTTTCCAATTCAAAATTCCATTTTTCAAATAATAGGCTGGTTTCATATAAGGACTAACACTATAGTCATTGATATCAATTTTCTCAAGATTTTCGAATCTGTTGATATTGAAATCGCTCAACGATCTATAAAAATCCTGAAAATTTATGAATTTAATTAACTCTCAACTACGGTATTCTTTGGGAACTTTTTTTGTTAAAAAATAAACTAACCTTATAGCTGAAGCTCTTGACAATATTAGCATATTTCGCTAGATATTCATCGAAATATTTCATTAGAATATCTTCTGGTTTTCCATCCTCAATTTTCGTCCATTTCATATTTTCTTCTCCAGTTTTGCCTGTTTTATAAACAACAATTGTTTGATTGTCATCTTCATATTCATCCATGAATTCCAACCAAAAATCTTTCTCTGAATTCTCGCTGAATCCAAATCGCAACTCCAAATACCAATCACCATTTCTGTTAACTTCAATTTCATATAGATAATTCTTGGATCTTTTAGCTGCTGTTTCGGAATCTTTTGAACATTGTGCAAATCGACATCTACTTTTTGAATCCATTTTATCAATTACATTTTCTTTAATATGTAATGGTAATTTTGACCAAAAAGCAAATTGATCCAACTTTTTGAACACTTTGATTGCTTAAAAATATACTGTTATATTTCAAGAGCAAAAAAAAAAAACAACTCACTTTCAATTTTTAATCCTCGATTTCCATAAATCACAGAATATTGTCTATCTTCGGAAACAAATTGAAATGAAAAAATCATCGCCTCTTTATATTCGGTATAATATAATATATCGATATCTTTTCCAATTGTTTTAAAATCCTTATATTTCAAGAGAGTTGTGACAATTTCAATGGAGTTAATCGAAATCTCGCCATCTTTCAACATTTTCAAATATTTTTTGAAATTATTTCCGTCGAAATCACAAATAACAACATGAGCGTTATTTCCTTTGAAATCGAATAAATCATTTGAAGTGAATTTGACATTCGTTAACTTAATTGTGTCAATTTTCAGGAGCTGGAAATAATTCAAGACAATTTTAAATTTCAAAATCGACCCAAATACTAACCTTATGCCTATATAACAATGAAATGTTATTTAATCCTGTCCATTCTTTAGGTGCATTATTGATTTCAAGTTTCTTCAGATTTTTCAAATGCATCAATGTGAATTTCACTTTTTCATTACACTGAAACAAAAAAGATTACTGTAAAGTCAAAAAACAAATAAAAACTCACACTAAATCTGAAAAATTGAACTTGTTCTTGGTATTTTTCCAAATAAAAAATCACATATCTTAGAAGAGCCTTATCATGAAATCCACTTTCAGAAACTGTCCACATTGTTTTCTTTTTTCCCTTTTTGTAGCTGAAATAAAATTATCGAATGTTTTCACTAAGCTTTCAAAAAGCTTCTCTTACCATCTGTAAGCCACGATCAAATTATTTGTCTCGGAATATAAAAAATCGAACCAAAATCCCTTTCCAGATTCGTCAAACATAATTTTCAGAATTGGTCCGTCACTTTTCTTACTGTTAACATCATCACAAACTGCCAATCCATAAATATAGAATTTCGATTTTTTGGCTTCTTCATTGCATATTTTTGAGCATCTTGAAAATAAACAGCGACTTTTCGCATCCATTTTATCGATAATAATTTCTCGAATTTTAGAAGGAATATCAATCCAAGTGATTTTTGGAGGTCTACTTGCCCGAAGTCTTTTAACCGGTAACATTTTTAAAATCTGAAAAAAAAGAGATATTTGGAAAAAAAACATAATCATCAAATAATTGTATGAAATACGGAACATATAAGTTTTAATACAATTTTGGAAAAAAACAGTAAAAATTTATTGTTGAAGACAAAAATGACTACCTATACTTCAAAATTTTCAACAAATTTAATATGAATATAAAATTCATCGTCTCCAAATTGCTGGAAAACTTCAATAATTTGATTTTCCTTGACATTCGATCGAAAACTAAATTTTTGGCTCGTTCGATTCTCCTCGATTTTGAAAAATGGCCTAAATCCATGGAAGCTCAATCTTCTCTGAGCTGTGGAAAGGAATCGAATTTCCTTCAAATTCCTGTGAATTTGTCCATTTTTCAGCATATTCAAATAATTTTTGAAATTATCTTCTTCTGCCAATTCATCACATCTCAATCTTCCTGTTTCGATATCCAATTCGAGAAGTTTTTCGAATGGTAAAATAGCATCATTTTCAAGAATAACATGCTTGCATCTCAAAACCTGCAAAAAATATATTGATTTTTTATATCAGAAAATTCCAAAATAATCTTACTTACCAAATCCCAATCCAAATTTCCATTCTCCACATAATCTTCTTCATTATCATAATTGTTCTTGATATGAATTCGCTCCAGATTTTTTGAATTTTTAATATTCAACTCGTCCAATAAATCTGTATCACCCTGAAAAACTATTGAATTTGAAAAAAAAACATTTGAAAATGAGAAAAAACTGACATGAAAATAGAAGGATTTGATGATTTTGCCATATCTTCCAAGATATTCCTTCAAATATTTCAATCGAATTTTTTCGGCTTCACCATTCTCCAGTTTCGTCCATTTCACAATTTCTTCACCATGTTTTCCAGTTTTATAAACAATGATTGTTTGATCTTGAAAATCTGGCATAATATGCAACCAAAAATCGATTTCTGAATTCTCGCTGAATGCAAATTGTAATTCCAAATGACAACAATGTTCTTCTGTCACACCAATTTTATACAAATAATTTTTGGATCTTTTGGCTTCTTTTTCGGAATCTTTTGAACATTGTGCAAATCGACATCTACTTTTTGAATCCATTTTATCAATTACATTTTCTTGAATATGTAATGGTAAATTTGGCCAGAAAATGAATTGATCCACTTTCTTTTTGAAGACTTCAATTGCTATAAAATCATGGGTTAAAAAAATCTTTCCAAAACAAATAAACAACTCACTCTCAATTTTCAATATTCCTTTTTCAAAGGATACCAAATATTTTCTAGCATCTGAATTAAAATCAAAAGATTGAAACCCATATTTCTTTTCCGTATAATTTGATACTCCCAAATATTTTCCAATAATTTCAAAATCCATATAGTACAAACGTTTCGCAACAATTTTTAAAGAATTCACAGAAATCTCTCCAGTTTTCAGCATCTCCAGGTATTTTTTGAAATTTTCTTTGTTGAAATCATCAATCGAAACAGAGGCGTTTTTCCCTTTGAAATCAAATAAATCCATCGAAGTGAATCCGATTTTAGATGGAAGTTCAATTGTATCAATGTTCAAAAGCTGAAAATTACATACATTTTTAATTTTTCAAATTTTCAGACCTAAACCAACCTGACGTCTATAAATGAATTTAATATCTTTGAGTCTTCTCCATTCATCAGGAATCTGAACTATTTGAATCTTTTTCAAATTTTCCAAATGCATCAATGTGAAATCGAAACTTTTCTTACACTAAAACAAATATTTAAAATTAATTTTTGAATGACGTCAGAAAAATCTCACACTGAATCTGAAAAATTGAACTTGTTTTTGATATTTTTCCAAATAAATTCTAGCATATCGACTTCTCATATTATCACAAAAACCATTCTCAAAAGTTGTCCACATCGCAGTTTCCTTTCCAGATTTGAAGCTGCAAAAAACTTGAATGTTTTCTTTTTGAAATTTACAAGGAAATCCTACCATCTGTAAGCTACAATTGTATGCAAACTATCTGGATACAAAAAATCGAACCAATATCCATTTCCAGATTCGTCAAACTGTATTTTCAAAACTTCTGTTTCACGATCATCGTGATCTTCACAAACATCTAATCCATAAATATAGAATTTCGATTTTTTTGCTTCTTCATTGCATATTTTTGAGCATCTTGAAAATAAACATCTAGTTTTTGAATCCATTTTATCTATGATAATTTCGCGAACTTTAAAAGGAATGTCAATCCAAGTGATTTCTAAAGATGAAATTGGTCGAAGTCGTTTTACCGGCAACATTTCAAAAATCTGAACAAAAATTTGAAGGGACTATTCTAGAATTCTAGAAAAAATAATGATGAACTACGCAACATATCAGTCTTTGCAAATTTCTTGAAAAAAACACAGTAAACTTCATTGATAAAAATATTCGAAAAAAAAAACATGACAATGAAACTATACTTGTGATTCTTCATAACATTTAATTGAAATATAATATTCATCGTCTCCAAATTGCTGGAAAACTTCAATAATTCCATTTTCTTTGACATTTGATTTTAAACTAAATTTCAGAGTTATAGGAGTTTCCTCGATTCTCAACAAAGGGCCGATTTCGTGGATATCCATCTTTTCCTCATTTGTAAACTTGAATCGAATTTCTTTCAAGTTTTCGTGAATTTTTCCGTTTTTCAGCATATTCAAATAGTTTTTGAAATTATCCATTTCTTGCATGTCAACACATATAAATTCTGCCGTCTCAATATCCAATTCAAGAAGTTGTTCGAAGGATAAAACAGAATCAGTGTGAAGAAAGACGTGTTTGCATCTACGAATCTGGTTTGAAAAATAATTATTGAATTGTTTTTGTCTAATATAATCTTACCACTTCCCAATCCAGATAACCGAGTTTCAAATAATCTGGAAACTTCTCCGTATTATCCGTGACATAAATTTTCTCGAGATTTCTCAATTTGTTGAGATTGGCTTTGAATTCACGAAGAAGAATCGTTTCGTCCTGTAAAATTATTCAATTTATAAATCTTGTCAATAGAAAAAAGATAAACTAACTTCAAAATGAAAATATCTGATAACTTTTGCATATTTTGATAAATATTCTTTCAAATATTTCAATCGTACTTCTCTTGGTTTACCATTCTCAACCTTTGTCCATTTTATAAATTGTTCACCATTTTTCCAAGTTTTATACAAAACAATAGTTTGATTGTCATTTTCATAATCACTCATAAATTCAAACCAAAAATCTTTCTCTGAATTCTCGCTGAATGCAAAGTGCAACTCCGTATCCCATTCGAGATTTTTGTATACTCCAATTTTGTACAAATAATTCTTTGATCGTTTGGCTTCTTTTTCGGAATATTTTGAACATTGTGCAAATCGACATCTACTTTTTGGATCCATTTGATAAATTGCATTTTCTTGAATATGCCAAGGTAATTTATTCCAGAAAATGCATTGATCCACCTCATTTTTGAACACTTCGATTGCTAGAAAATGTTTGTTATTTAACATTTTATTTGAAAAAAACTCACTTCGAATATTCAATACACCTTCGTCAAATGATACTGAATATTTTCGATAATCGGAACAAAAATCGAAAGAGATCAAATTGTCCTCATTTATTGCATATTCTGACACTATGTTGCTAAAAACCGTTCTTTCTAGAGCTGGAGCATAAATTTTGATAATATCTACAGTAATTTCTCCAAATTTCAACATTCTCAAGTATTGTTCACAATTATCTTTGTCGAAATCATCGATAAAAACAGATGCATTTTTCCCTTTAAAATCAAATAAATCATTTGATTTGAATGTGAAGTCATCTGGTAGATCAATTGCTTCGAGATTCAAAATCTGGAAATAAACAATAAAATAATATTTTAGATTTTCGAAATCGAGATTTTTACTAACCTGATGTTTATCAACAAATGGGATATCATTGAGATTTCTCCATTCTTCAGGCTTATCGTTAATTTTAATTTTCTTTAGATTTTCCAGATGTCTCAATGTGAAATCCAAACTTTCTGAAGACTGAAACAAATAATATAAATCTATGAAATAAAAATTGAATAAAACTCACATCAAATTCAGAAAATTGAATAGAACTCACATCAAATTCAAAAAATTGAATTTGTTTTTTATAGATTTCCAAATAGTTTCTCAAATATCTCAATGTTACTTCATCATTGTTTCCATTTTCAAGAGTTGTCCACATAACCGTGTTTTTTCCAGCGTTTGAGCTGAAAATTGGTATTTTAAGATTAAAATCAAAATAAATCATAAATCTTCTTACCATCTGTAAACTACAATTGTTTGAGATGTGTTGGCTCGTACGAACTCGAACCAATATCCATTACCAGATTCGTCATACATAATTTTTAACAATACTGGATAATACTGATCTTCACAAACTGCCAATCCATAGAGATAAAACTTCGATTTCTTTGCTTCTTCATTGCATATTTTTGAGCATCTTGAAAATAAACAGCGAGTTTTTGCATCCATTTTATCGATAATAATTTCGCGAACTTTGAAAGGAATATCAATCCAAGACATTTTGGATGGTGGATTTAGTTTAAGTCGTTGAAGTGGAATCATTTTGTATATCTGAAAATTACAAAACGCTAACTTTCATGAATAGAATTGGACGGAACGAGAAATGACGTCATAAAAATATTTGAGAAGTTGGTGACACCGCGTGTCAAGTTCTAGAGAAACTAGAAAAATGTTCAATTACACTTACCTCTGTAATTTTATCTCTTCTCTAAGATTATCTAGGTTAGATGTCTCAAAAACACAGCGTTCACACGTAAAAACGTGAAAAATCTAAAATCGCTGCGAGACCATCGCTTTTTAAAAAATGTATGCGCCTTTGATTTTTCAGAGTTCAATTGTCAGCCTCTAACTTTTTTCAGAAAATGTTTCTGAGAAAAGTGAACAGTTTTCCTGGTTCTTCTCGACGAGACGAATCAGATGGTATATTTGAAATTTTCTGAAATAGCCTCTAACATGTTGAAAACGCGCTGGAATATTCCATGGAATCATCATCCAGGGTGTAAACACCGCGACGCACAAATGCACAAATAGCAGCATACCGTATGCTAAACGAGAATTTTTGTTTGTGGAAAATCGAAGCGCGAGTTCTTGAAAGTTTTCTCTGGGCCTCCTCAAAATTTGATATATTTTGCAAATTTGAAAAGAGTGTTTTGTTACAGCTGCATTCATCGACCTTCCCCCATTCATTGTAAAATATGCAAAGATCCGCGGAATCTCCAAATAATAATAAAAATATTGAACCGTCAGAAAAAGAAATTATGGAATATGTGAGAACAAATGAAATTATACCAGTGAGTTTTATTTAATTTGAGAGAGATTTTGAATTTAAATAGAGAAACTCCAGATTCGATGTGGAACTGTGTCTGGATTACTACATAAAAAGCTTTTCGTCTGCCCCGGACTTCATGAAAAATGTATAAAAATGGAATGTGAGTGAAAGTTTTGATTGATTAAACTATTGATGTATTTCACAGGTGTGCCTAATTATATGTCTCCAGTAGAGTTCACAGTTCGTGGGGACAAATATCGACAAAAAGATTGGAAGGGAAGCATTCGAATTGGAAAAATACCAATGAGAAAACTGATGGATTTGAAAATTATGGATTTTCATGATCATTCCAATAATTGCACGGCGAAATGTGTTTCGCGGAATTTCATTGCTCCAAAAGAAGACACTCCGATTGTGGAAATGGTGAAGGAACGGATGTGAGTTATGGAGGAAATATTTATTTACACGGGAAAGCTTGATGGCTGGAACTATTAATTTTTTTCTTTTCAATTAAAAAAATACAAATTTTATAGACTACGAGAGAGCTTGGAATCAGTGTCAAAATTGAACGAAGGAGCTTCAACTTCCCAAACATCGCCAGCTCCCAGCTCCAGCACTCAATTTCGAAATGCTCAAGTTTATACATTTGTACGAAGCAATAATACATCAACTGTCCAAACTAAACCTCCAACAACAGAACTATCTACAGAAGAAGCTCAAGATAAATATGAAACTGATCAGTTATTCGAAAAAATGACAAGACAGCCGGCTTATTTTTGGGGGCAGATGAAAGAAATGGGACTTGCTGATTCGATTATTAGTGATATGATTGTTACGTTGAATTTCATGCGATATAAATTGAAAAATGGAGGAATTCCAGAAGTTGCACAATCTTTATCGCAATCTATTGCGGCTTTGGGAACTTGTGAACATGCGATTGCGGCGATTCGATTGAAACAAACTAGAGTTGATCGAACAAAACATGGTGCATATAGGGATCCGCAACAATTTAGAGTGGTAAGGTTTTCGAATTTGAAAATAACTTTGTCACGTCATAACTCATATTAGGAGTTGAGATGTGCAATTTTTGACAATGGGATCGTGATCAGCGGGTCAAAAAATTTCAGAAAAATATTTTATCAAACTTTCCGAATGGAAAGTTGAAACGGTTAAGTATTTTCCTAACATTCAGAATAATCTTGACAGAATTTTCTTTTAGGTTGATCAACCACCACAATCCAATCCAAATCCAAATGCATTGGAATTGTTAGCAAAAGAATATCTCGAAGAACAGGCGGAAGAAGAACAAAAGAGAATGCAGCAGCATGAAAATAGCTAATTCTTGTAATTTCTTGTGATTTTTGTTTCCAATTTTTTTTACTCATAAAACTTTCGAATGACAGTACTTAGTTAACTAGTTTCCTTCTAACAAAAACCACCGTTTTCTTGGATTATTCAAGCTTTTATTTATTTACCATTCTCCTTTTTTTTCTGTCAGCAAAAAAAAACAAAAAAACAGAGAGAACAAATAATATATTTTCGCGTGAACGTGAAATTTTCGTGGCAAATGCCATTTCAACGATAATTTTTCAGTCATTTAAAATTTTCGGCGAGCAACAAAATGGCAGCAAATAAAGATGAGTTTTTTCTTTGGGGTGCACGAATTCCTAATCTACCGTCCTTTTTGCGAATAATTTCACGTGTCTCTCCTGGAGTAAAGTACAGCTCAACTTAGCCTAACTCTGGATAGTAAAGCTTCTTAAGTTGAGCATTAGCCATTGCAATTGTCAGGAACCTCGACATGAGTTACCTTAACTTTTTGGTTATACTTTCGACATTGTCGACTTGATTTGGTTGAAAAAACTGTGAAGGGAGAGATCGAGGTTCGCTTTTCAAAGAAAAATTGAAAAGAAAACGTGGAATTATTCAAGGAGGGGGGAAATTTCGACTATTATCAGGGAAAATACGATATTTCCAAGAAATTTTTTAAATTTTTTCAGAAACAAACTCGAAAACCCGCCTGAAAGCACAAAACAACAAAAATCAAAGATTTTGAAATTTTCGGTGAGTTTTTCTAACCAAACAAGAAGACCTTCTGGTGCAATTCAAATTTTATCAAGTTTCAATTGGAATTTCAGTTGGAATGCGGAAGCTATGCTCAAAATTGCATTTTGAATTTTCAGAAATTCTGCCAGCCGTAGAAAAATTCGATTTTTTCAGAGCAAAATTGGAAGCCGTCATCGAACATCACAAAAATGCCTTTTTAGTTTTTCAATTAATTTTTGTTGCCAGCTTCTTGCAGAAAAGCCAAGAAGTAGGTTATTACCATAGTTTTGTTCTAAATTCCACGTGGATGTTTACCATCTGTGTGAAATCAAAAATCCACATGGAAACCGTTGTTTTTTGAACCCCAGATTCTCGCAGAAAAGCCGAGAAACTGGAGTTTACTGTAGTTTTGTTCTGAATTCCACGTGAATGTTTATCTCTATGTTGACTCAAAAAATTCTCTGTGAGAACTGTTGTTTGTCTCTCTTAAAATGCCACGTGTGAATTCAGTGATTTTTCCTCTAAATTGCGAGTTGAAATTCCGAACTTTTCTGTTCAAAATGCCACGTGGCAATTCCGTATTTCTCGAAAACAGTTATCTCTAAAAATTTAACTAAATTACAAAAGTCGAAAACATCCACGTACTTTTAGATTAAAAGTTTTAGTCCACAGTACACGTTTCGAAAACGCTTTTCTGATCAGATAAAATTTCAGCTGAAATTTTATTATTTAGTGTGCAAACACCGTGACGAGGAGATGACGTCACGTCTTTACAAAATTAAGACAGTACTCGAACAACGTACTTAAAACTAGAATTTCTCTTCATAAACTTTGTGCGCAAGGTCCCCTACACACCCGTTCAAACAATGAAAAAATTAGAAATTTCGTTTATTCACACTGCGCCACAATTTTCAAAGGAATTTGATAACCAAATAGAAAAAGTAAATATACCATTAGAATCAGCGCATCGAGATCTATGTGAGACTACGCATTTCGAAATTTTTAGGGTCCTGCGAAGAAAGTTAGCAATCGCGACAAGACCCAACGCATAAAATTTATCTTGCTCCTTTAATACTGTAGTGCGAAATATAACGGCGAACAGAGAGAATTAGACAAAAGTGTTTGCACAGTTTTTTGTTTTGTTTTACAGTAGAAAACACTCATTGCGTGGCTTGAACGGGTGTGCCTAATTCCGTGCGAAAAAACAAAGAAAACAAGCAAGCGCGCTCTGTTGCGAAGAGGGCCGTGGCCTAGGATCCGATAGCGGCAAAAATATTTTCGAAATTTTCCAATTTTTTCAGCGTGTTTTTCAAAGTTTCAGCCCATTTCCAATACTTTTTCTTGTATTTAACTTGTGCTAATTGTTACCTAGAATCTTGAAATATATATTGACTCCAAAGTTTCTTCGAAAATCTTGATTTTTTCGCAATTTTTAAAAGATTTTATGATTTGCAGGTAGTTTTGTCCTGAAAATGATGATTTCTTCATCATGGACATGGCTATTTCTACTGGCTGGATGCACTAATTTATCAGCAGGATATCGATTGAATGTTCCACGTGTTCTTCTACCATATCATCCAAATATTCCAGTGCATTTTATATTGGAAGTTACACATCCTTCAGGCGGTTGTTTTAATTGGTAAATAAATTTTTTTGAGTTTCTTTGAACTTCAAAATTGATTATTTCAGGAGATCTACTCGTCCAGATGTTGTTTCAGTTAAAAGTATCACAAATAGCAGTTCAACTTGTTCAGATCGTGCAGAAATCCGATCAGTCGTAAAATCTGACGCCATTGGTTTAACTGATACATCTTCAGTCATTTTTGCCGAAGATCGTGCAAGTGGAACAACATTAAGTTGCGGTGTAACCGTTGATCAAATCGCCACAATTAGCATCGAAACAACAACCAAAGTCTTGTTTGTTGATGCCGCTCCAGCAAGAATGACAGTTGACGCGTTTAATGCGGAAGGCGATCGTTTTTCAACACTCAGCGAGATTTCGTTAGAATGGGAATTATCTTCTTCATCTGCAAAAAACAACAATAAACCATTGAGAATTGTGCCATTCGAACAATCAACCTATGAAGCACCGGAGGAAATTGTAAAATTGGAGAAAAATAGAAAACGAGGATCATTGATTTTAATCGAAGGAGTTGGAACTGGAACATCTTCATTGACCGCAAAATTCAGTGATAGTTTCTTCAAACACGTCGAAGCGCATAAAGTCGATTTGATTGTTGTTGCAAATCTTCTTTTGGTACCATCACAAGATATGTATATCCCAGTGCATTCAATTCTTCCGTTCCAAGTTCTTCTCGTCAAACAACATGGAACTGAAGTTGTGCCAATGCCTTCGGATAATTATGAATTATCTGTTGATTCGGATAAAATTATCGCATTTGATAGAAAAACCACATCAATTCGCGCTTTGACAAGAGGAAATTCGGGAGTTTTCTTGGTGAATTCTCGTAAGTTTTTTCATATTGACTTGGATTAAATTTTTTCTGGTGAAATTTGACCAGCTGATCACGATTCCGTTATCAAAAACTGCAAAGCTAAACTCCTAACATGAGTGATGACGTGGCAAAGTTAGGAAATATCGAAAATCAGAACTGGCTTTTAAAATGATTTTCATGAAAATATGCGATCATAAAAAAGCTATCATATTTTCAAAAAAAAAACCATTTTGAGATCTAGTTTTGACCTCCTAAAGTCCCAATATTTGGAAATTTTCCAACTTAGCAGTTTTTGAAAACGGAATCGTGATGAGAGGGTTCAAATCTACTAGAAATCATATGTAGTTCCCTTATAAAATGTTCAATTTTTCAGATATCGATGTTGAAACCAAAGCTGGTCTCCGCCCTCCTTCTACAAATATCCACGTAGTTGATGTCGAATCAATTCAATGGTATGTTTCTGGAGATAATTGGATTCTGGAAACAGGAAAACAGTATACTTTTACGATTGAGATGTTTGATGAGAATCGCAATAATATGTTCCTTTCTGATGTGAGTTTACAATGACAAATCACAAAAAATGCGAAATTTTCTTTTCAGAATAGTGTATTTGAAACATTCCTCGATCCCGCATTATTCCAAATCGATTTCATTTCCAAAAACAAAACCTGGATCGTTGCGACTCCCCAAAAACCCGCGAAAACTGTTCTAACATCGAAATTTGTTGGATTATATGATTCGAATGGAAAATTGCAAGAACAAGTTCGCAAAATAAGTGGAGAACAGAAGGTTGTGTTGGTTGAACCAATTCGAATTATTCCATCGATTGTTTATTTGCCATATGTTTCGAATAATCAAAAGAAATCGGAAATATTGTTGGAAGCTACCGGAGGAAGTGGAATATTTAGTTGGTCTGTTGAGAATTTGAATATTGCAAGTGTTGATTCGAATGGAAAAGTTATTGCAAATAATTTGGGAACTACAATTGTCAAGGTGACTGATTTACGAAATCAAGCACTTGAAGCACAAGCTGATGTTTTTGTATTGGATGTTAATGGAATTGGATTTGGTGAAAGTGTTCGAGAAACTTTCGTTGGACACGATTTGATTTTGAATTTACGAGTTTTTGGGCAAGACAAACATGAGATGTCGGATTGTAGAAATATTGATTTTCGTGTCGAAGTTGCGGATTCAACGATTTTACGACATTCAAATTCAGCTGCCTCGATTATTCCGAAAATTGGAACTGGTTGTGGAACTGTTACATTGAAGGGAATTGTTGCTGGAGACACTCGAGTTACTGTATCTATCGGACCACACAAAGCCACAATTGATGTATCAGTTTATAATGCATTGACAGTGTCGGATGAGGAAATATCGATTGGATTGGAGAGTGGATATTCGACGAAATTGTTGGGAGGACCGAGACCGTGGGCTTTGGATACGTCGGCGTTTTATAGAAAAGGTGAGTTTGAAAGTTTGCCGCAAAATTTAGATATAATTCAAACTCAACCGGATTTTGGCATTGAAAATTTTGAAATTCAAAAATACACGTGGTTTTTGAGCATAAAAAATATAGTTTCGAATTTTATCAATTTCACAAGATCCTAAAAATCAACGTTTGAAAAAGCTCAAAATTTCCACGGCATAAATTTTTCCCAAATTATTTTCATTTGGAAAAAAAATTCTAAAAATTTTTTAAAAATTTCCACGTGACATAGTTTTGAAATCGCATTTTTTCCTCAATCAAATTTCATTCTATCTCATTTCCATTTTATTTTCTTGCAGAATCTGGCAATTCGAAAATCGCTATCAACTTCGATGAATCAAATGTTGTTATCAAATGCTCTGGCAAAGAAATCAGTGAAAATGTTGTTGTTCAAATTGGAAATGAAGTTACACCAACTTTGCCATTCCCAGTCAAATCTGAAATTACTCTGACTATTTGTTGTACTTCACCGACGAAGCTGGAAATTTTTGAAAATGTGCAGAAATTGGAAAAATGCCCGAATAATATTGTGAGTCGTATTTCCTTAACTTTGAATATGAGTTATGACGTGGCAAATATTGAATAGTACCATTCCAAAGTTTTTTTCTGAAATATCTAATAAAAATCTGAAAACTGAAATTTCCAGACAAACGTTTTGTCTGAAAAGTTCAGCATTTTTCAGATTCTTATGGGAATTTCAGCGGAGATGCGGAAGCGATGCCCAAAATTTGAATTTTTGGAGGAAAACTAGGACACTAATTTTTCTTTAAAAAACGAATTTTCAGCACACATTGAAATCTCGATCAACTTCAAAATTGTCAATTCGTGGATACGGAGTTTGTTCTGGAAAAATGACCCAACTTCATTCAATCAATGGAATTAAAGCAAAATGGACAAGTTCGGATAAAAATATTCTGAAAATTGGAAAAATTTCGACTGAAGGAGCTGATATTTCATCACTTCAACAAGGAACTGCTACAATTTCAGCGAGTTATGCAAAATCTGAAGCCAAATATGAGATTTTGGTGTTTGATTCGTTGAAAAGTGAGCCGAATCAATTGACAATTTGGAATGAGCCAGTTTCGGAAGGATTGTTTTTGATAAGTGGAGGTTCGGGATTCTTTAATGTTGAGAATTCGGGAAATGGAGCTGGACAAGCGAAATTGGCATTGACTGGAAGAAATTTGAATGTGTCGCCGAAAAAGGAGGGAAATTTGAATTTGCGAATTGTTGATCAATGTGTTTCTGGACAATATATTGATGTTGTTGTGAAGATTGTTGATATCAAATCGTTGAGAATTATTGCGCCACAATATGTGAGTTTTTTTTGGTGGGAATCTGAAATTTCAGCCTAAGCATCATTAAAAATTTGGAAATCTGAACTTTTTAAATACAATTAATAGTCAAAAATTATCTCAAAATTTTTTTTCTATTGCAATTTCGTTTTTTCAACCGATTTTTTGTGTTTCTTCCTTCTTGAAAATCAGAATTTTTAAAAATTCTCGAATTTCGTACCTTAAAATCCCAACAAAGTCCTCTTTTCCAGGTTGAAATTGGTCAAGAAATCGAAGTCGAATGCATTGCTCAAGATGAAAATGGCGGAACAATCAAAAATGCCTATTTACCATTGAAACAGGCAAATTTGGAAGCCACAAATAATCACGTATTTTTGAAAAGAAATGATGGATTAAAATGGAATATTCGAGCTGATTCAATTGGAAGTGTTTCTTTATCAGTTTCAGCAACAAATTCAGCTGGAAAACAATTGCATTCAAAACCCCACACTCTTCAAATTTTCGCGCCAATTTATTTGCAACCCAAACGACTTGTCCTAATTCCTGAATCACAATTTCAATTGGAAGTTGTTGGTGGACCACAACCAACTCCACCTTTGTCTTTTAAATTGAATAATTCGGAAGTTGCCGCAATTCAACCGAATGCATTGATAACATCGAAAGAATTGGGATATACTGAAATATTGGGAACTGTTTTGGTTGGAGATGGACATGTTACGAAAGATTCGGTGGTTGTTCGAGTTGTTTCGTTGGCTGGAGTTGTGTTAAGTAGTTCGACGAGAAAAGTTGAAGTTGGTGGAAGAATTGATGTTAGATTGAAGGGAATTGTTGCGGGTGGAAGTGATGAGAATGAAGAACCTTTTGCGTTTGGTGGAGCTATTTATCCGTTTAAAGGTTAGTGATTTTTGGGGGGGAGGTTGAACTAATATGAGCAATTCTTTTTTTCATTTTTGGAGAAATTCAAAATTACCTCATTGCTCATGTTAGTCAAAACTTTTCCTTCGAAGAATAAGAAGTTGAGTGAAAAATTGAAAAATTATGAAAATCCATTGGCGATATTTCTACTGATTTTAAATTAAATTAAAATTTTTAATCACAAACTTCAAAAAATCAGAAAATTTTGAAACAGTAAAATTGTTCCAAATCTTTATAGCCCTATTTTTTTTTGAAGCTTTCCGATTTTTTTTCCGGATTTTTTTTGGATTTCACTGACAATTTGAAAAAATAAGTGAAGTTTTCAGAAACCAAATTCACAAGTTTAGCAGAGCTTAAAAGCAAAACTTGTTCTCGTAAAAAATTAATTGTACAATTGTTTCAAAATAGAACAATTAGCTATGGATGCAAATTTTAATTCATATTATTTTTTCTAATTAAAAAAAAGTTTATTTAAATGTTTATAAAAATATTTAAATTATGTAAAGCTATCAAAGTTGTTGAGCGACCTAAAAAATATAAATTTTTGAAACAGTAACATTTTACAGAAACATTTTATTCTCAAATGTTTTGGCAGTTAGTTTTCTCCCGATAAACCTTTATTATGTTAAAAATTAAAGAAAAATAGAACTAATGAGTAAATTCTGAAACAGTGAAATTTTTGCAGTAACTTGGAGTGTATCCGATCCAACAATTCTTCAAAATACTCATCCATTGGGAAATGATATTTCGGAATCAAATGAAAATCAATTTGCAATTTGGTTTGATGCAACAAGAAGTGGAATGGTTACAATTAAAGCAACCGTTGAAATCAATTCAAAAGCATATAAACATTTTATTGGAAGAGATACCGTATTCAATGCTGAAATTGATATAATTGTTGAAGATTCTGTTGGTGTTGTGAATCCGGAAATGAAATTGAATATGATTCGAATGGCACCGAATTCAAATCTTCAATTGGTTACTTCTTGGTCGAATGCGCATTTTAGTGTACCGTCGGAATATTCGAATAAAGTATCGGTTAGCAAAGATGGATTGATTCATTCGAATGGAAGAGAAGGATCGGTTATTATTACGGCTAAAAAGGTTGATTCCTCGGATAATGAAACAGCGATTATTCCAGTTGCTGTGAGTTTTTTAGAAGCGGGGGTTGAACTCAATTTTTTTCCGGGCTCAAATGCAACCTAAAATTTTGAATTCTTTGAGCTTTAAATCACTATTTTTCCTTGTTAAATTTGAAATTTTGAAAAATTAAAACCCATCTGAATTTTTAGTGAAAAAAAATTATTTGAAATGTTTTTCAATTCGAAAAATCTGAATTTTGCTGAAAATAACATTTTAAATCTAAATACCTAAATGTTATGCCACGTGGCTTTTTTATCTCTAGGGTCTCCCTCTCCAATTCCCCACGTCATAGCTCAATCGAAATTTTTCCAGGTGTCCCGAGTCTATTCATTGGATGTCAGCCCAACTCTCGAACTTCGTAGCTCATTTGGAACATCTCCCCTTTTACATCTCCCAGTTGGTGCACAAATTCAATTCAAAATAATTGCTCGCGATGTTCGTGGCCGTGTTTTGAGCTCAACATCAACAAATATCAATTATCGTCCACATCGCTTTGATTTGACTGATATCACAGCAATTGATAATAATCATACTCTAACAATCACATTGAAATCTGCGGGAGATACTGTACTTCGCATTTCTGATGCTTCGAATGAGAAAATCTCGACATTTATTCGAATTTCTGCGTCGGAATCGCTTTTGCCGCCGGCTGCATTCAAATATCCAAATGATTTGGTTGTTTCGGATGTTTTTTGTTTGAAATCGAATTTGTTGTCGGAAGATGGTTTGAAATGGTCATCGAAAAGTTCGAATGATGGAGCAATTAATTGGTTGGATGAGCAGAATGGAGTTGCACAATTGAGCCAACCTGGAGATACTTTTATTAAATTGCAATCTGGAAAACAGACTATTCATTCGAAGGTTCGTTGTTTTTGAAGAGACGGGCGGGTTTGAAAATTTATTGATTGAGGAAAGTTTTAAAATTATAACATTAAGAAATGCTAATTTTTACTCATTTTATCAAAAAATCCTGATTTTACCACTGTATCAGATTTTGAATGACATTTTTTTTAATTTTCAGAAATACTTCCCACGTTATTGAATGAATAAGATTTCAATATACATACACATCTAATGTTTGAAACAGTGAATTAATAAGAATTCAAACAGTTTTAAAACAGCAGAAAAATGTTGTTTTTTTTTTCAAAATTCGGTTTTTGAGATCTTGTTTTCAATTTTCGAGAGTAATTTTTTTTTCATCTGAAAATAATTTTGAAAAAAAAATTCACTGTTTCAAAATTTCGATAAGGTTTTATGACAATTAGAACTTTGCTTTTCAGTTCAAAATAATCTCTTTCTTTTTTCCAGATTGTAATCAATTCTCCACAAATTCTTCGTTTCTCATCGCTTTCAAATCCAAATTTGGTCACAAACGAGGAATCTACCAGTTTTATTTTCCCCGTAATTGCCGGAACAAATGAGACAACTCAAAATAAGCATTCATCGATTTATGGAGATTGCTCAAAAGAGCAAATCGCCTCATTTTCCCAATCATTCGTCCCATTCGAATGCCACGTTTCATTTGCTCGAGGAAGAAATGCAAAATATCCGGCTGTTAATTGGCTTGTTGCCAACGCGATTTTCGCGGAAAATATTGGATTTGGTTGCGAAGTTCGAAGACTTGAAGCCGCGTTTTTGCAAGGAATTCCGGAAGAATTGGAAAAACAACAATGGAATGTGGAAGTTGTGGCGAAATGGAAACTGGAGGAGAATCATGTGAAAGAGGCGCGAATTGCGGTGCCGTTCCATTTTGCGATGAGTGTTGAGAAAAAAGAGGTGAGCCGGACATTTTTCGTGGGACAAAATTAGAGTTGGGAAATTTCAAAAATTTGAAATTATTTTTTTCGACAATTTTTGGGTCCATTTTCCCTGAATTGAGTTCTCAAATTCAGGAATTTTATTGAAAAAACAAAATTTGAAAAAAATATATCCTGGGAAAAAAAATCTTAATTTTATGAAAAAAATTTTGTTTTTCTATAAATATAAAATCCAAACACGAATAATTTTCGTTTTGCGAAGAATTATTTGTGAAAATTAAGAAACAGTGAAAAAATTTCAAACGTTTTTTCTGATTTAATTAAATTTTTAGAGTTAGTTTTGGTCATGATGAAATTATATGCAAAATTCCAGCTATCTCTAAACTTCTATTGAATAGCCGAGAATTGACAAATTAATTTATGAGAGTTTTGAAACAGTAATATTTTTTCGAAGTTTTTTTTGGTTACTATCAATTCAACTCGTAGCAGAAATATAATAAGTAATGAAATTCTGATGATTTATTTGTAAAAATTTTGAAACAGTGAAAATATAATTTTTAAAATACAATTTTTTCAGCTCGTCTTCTCGAATATGGTTGACACTGGTGCTGATCTTTCAATTTGGGCACCAAAACACGATTTGGATCATGTAACAGTTCGTGGATGTGAAGGAGATATTCTAACAATCCACAAACTTCGAAACGCACCCACAAATTCGCCAACAAAATCCAATATTTTCTATCAAATCACATTAAATGTCAAATCGGCTGCTTTATTCTCAGATTTTGCTCGAAAATGTCAAATTTCTGTTGAAAACACTCAAACTGGTCAAATAATTCGAGTTCCGGTATCGATTCAATTATTGGATGAAACAGCGAAACAAGTTTATGAAGCATTGGAAAGTCGAGGATTTTTCGATGTTTTGATTGTTTTGTTCAAACAGAATTCGGGATTATTGTCGAAAATGTTGTGGACTTGTGCAATTGCTATTATTCTACTTGCTGTGGGAATTTATATGAAAGTGAATTTGAGCGAAAAATCGGGAAGTTTTGGTGATACAACTATGAATAATTCGACACTTCATCAAACTTCGATTGCCAGTTCTTTGGGATCCACTTTTAATACTTCTGGTGGGTTTTTTATCTTATAAGCTAAAAAATGTTGAAATTTAAAAATCAGTAATTTTTGAAACCGTGAAATCTTGAAGAAAAAATTCACAAAAAAATTATTTGAAATTTAGTTTTTGAAATGTTCTCTCTGAAAATTTACTTGTTGCCCTGTAATTCCAGATTCTGAATGTGATTTTAATTTCATACATTTTATGAATCGCAATGTCAAACAAATTACTATTCAAAATATGTATATTTGAAAATCTGTAATTTTTGAAACAGTGAAATTTCGGGGGTAAAATTAAGAATATTTTTTGAATTAAATATCTCGCCACGAAAATTTTTCAAAGGAAAAAAATAGAACAAATTCGTTACCTCGTAGAGAATTCTGATGCAATTTTTTTAAGAGAAACAGAAGTTTTAATTTGAAAAATAGTTATTTTTAAAACAGTGAAATTTTTTACCGGAAAACCCCCACAGTTGAAAAATCCAACAAAAATCCCTGAAAATATACGTTTCAAAATTTTCTAAATTAATTGGAACACTATTTCGAAGATGTTGCGAGCATTCCAAGTTCAAAATCAATTTAATTGTTTTCCAGGAATATTCCGTGATTCTCCACAATTTCGCTCCACACCAATTGCTGGTTCGCCAAGCTTAATTCAATCACCGCGAGATCGCCTCCGAACTGCAGCACATTTGGGATCAGCTGGTGATTCGAGACTTTGGACATCAAATCCACAAAGATCATAATTTGCTCTAATTTTATTTTGTTTTCGAGCCCTTGAGCTCCTTTTTTTATTGTTATTGTGCTATATTGTTCTTTTTACCCCCGCTAATCTTTGATCTGTTTTCCTTTTATTTTTTGTGTGTGTTTTTACGAGTAATGCTCAACCCTTTTTTTGTCCGGTTTTTTTTCTGAAATATGAACCTATTTTTAATTTTTACTGTAATTTTTCTCAATTAATTAGATAAGTTTTTACTTTTGAAGATATCTAATCCTGAAAATTTTAAATCTTCATTTACCCCCTGAAATATCTGCAGATGCGATTGAATTCTGGAAATCTGGGGAGAAATGAGGAGGTTTTGGAGGCTGCAAATTTTGCGCAGATTTTTTTCGAGGATTTTGAAGAGAATGGAAGCAAAACTGCGATTTTTTGCGCGGATAATGATATTGGAAGGCGGAAAAATGAATTTGTGAAGCGGGTCAAGCAATTGTTTCCGGAGAATATTATTGGATGCAAGAAATTGGGAAATGTGGGTTTTTGCGGGGAAACATTTGGATTTTAGCTCTGAAATTCATATCATAAGTACAACCCTCGGCAACCAACCCTCGAATGTTGTTTTGTACAACTCGTCACTTTGTACAACACTGCTCCAGATTTACCCTCGTCATTTCAAAAATTGATTTTTTCATTTTTGAAATGATTTTTTTTCGGAAAAAAAAACTTCATTTCTCTTTATGTAGCTTGGGCTTAGTGAACGCCCAAGAAAAATGTTTTTTTTTCAACAAAATTCGATGTTTCTCAGCACTTGCAGATGTAGCTAATTCAAAGCTCAACCGATCCCAGCCCTTGACACTTGCGTTTCATTTACGAACAGTATGCGGTTTAGCTACAAACACACACCGAAGTCTTTTAGCTACGAAAACTGTTTTCCTGTTTACAGCGAAATATTGCTCATGTGGGTTTCTTTCTGTATTTGGCGTAGTTAGAAAACTTGCAAATTAAAAACATTTATTTGTATCGAAACATACAATAACATAAGAATATGAAATTATAGTCAGTTATTCACCAGAAACACTTATTTTTCTCAGTGAAGCAGATTGTCTCGGAAGTTGATCAGGTTTGATATTAGCTCTCGTAACTTCCTTCTCGTTTCTGCGGCGTGGCAGATGCTGGTATGGTGGTCCGGCGCTCCACACGCTTCACATCCTTGATAGCGACACTGTTGGCAATTGATTCTGAGACATCGGAAGCATTTCGTGTCCTGTTGTTGTAGCTTTTCCTTTCTTGCCTCTGCTGTCTTGATCTTTCCGCAGTATGTTGCGAAGTGGGTATTTCGCTGGCGGTTTAGCTTCCGGCGGAATCACACCCCGTTGTCTCAAATCGCTTTCTTCTGCCCGCAGTTTTTGTATGAGCCTCTCTGTTTTTCTAATTGTTGGACCTCCGTCTGCTTCCAGGTCTTCAAGTTTATTTGTTCTCAGCATTCGTTGGATTTCCTCCGGAATGGCCCTTCGGCATTGCTTTGGCTTTGGTGGCCCCTCCACGGATGAGGTTGTTTCTTTCGATTGCCACACATAATTTGATTCGGTTGTTATCAATAATTATATATTTCTTTTCATGTAGGTTTCCAGTGCGGGTCGCTGCACCTAGTCTACATCTTCGCCTATTTTTTTCTTCATTCATTGGGACTCTTGATTCTTTTCTATTGGTGGTACTTGCGTGTATCTTATTCTTGTGTACCTGTGTACACTTATTTTGCGGCGGAAGCCCTGAGTACCTCGGCACCCCGACCCGATACCTCGTGATGGCTTGTCTTTTCTATTTTTGTGTGCTTTTTATTCTTGTGGTACCTTATTCTATTTTTGATGTTTCTTTTATACCTATCTTATTTTTGTTCTAATGTGCTCCTCAAGTTATTTAGCACACCTTATTCTCCTTCTTCTCAAATGTCATCTAATTATTAGTATCTATTATTTATTATTTACTTATTTATTTATTACCTAATTAATTGTATTTTTCTTTTTCCCACTTATGTTTTCTTTTCCCTTTTCCCCACGAGTAACGAACGTAATACAATACGGATTCATGATAATCAGATTAAGACAACAGCAGAGATATTTTACATTTATATGTATCTATATGTATATGTATCTGTACCTATTTACGTACCTATACATATCTACATTCTTTTTCTTTCTTTCCTTTTTTTTGACTACCGTATTCTTCTCCTTTCTCCCCTTTTCTTTTTTTTTCGAAAATTAATCGTTTTTTCTAAATCTTTTGGGAGAAAGGACTTTCTATTTTTTTTTCCAAAAAAAGTTCTTTCCTCCTTTTTTTTGATAAATGTTCGTTTTTGTTTTTGAACTAAATCTCTGAGGCTTTTCTTTCGGTTCTTTTTTTTTTGACATCAGATAACATTCAGCTCAGAAAATTCTACAGTAACCTCAGTGAATATTTTCTAATTGATAGCCAGATTCATGATCAGAGCAATAATACATCCAGATCAGCATTAATTTCAACGAGCACAGAGTTTAGATCGGCGTCAATGGAATTCGGAATCAAATAAAATTCAGAGTAGATGGATTCACAATTCAGAGTAAAATTTTGAGTAAATTTTTTTTTAGATCTTTTGATATCAGTAATGTAGGGAGGGAGGGATTGGGGAAATAGAAGTATATGGAATTGGTGAAATACATGCATGTATATATTCAGATGTAGTGGGATTTATAAGATAATTTATTTTATAAGTAAGAACATTTTTTTAAAATTAGACTATAGGGACTCAAACCTAAGTAGGGTCTCGGTGGAACCTCCATGCGGGATCGGAATGATCCTCTTCCTAACTTAGGCCCTATCCCCGTGGTTATCGTATGAAATGGTTAAGAGTGTGATGACTAAATATGAAAAGGTTAAATAAGCAATGTTTATGATAAAGAATAAATATAAATACGAGACCTCTATATAAGCAAAAAACTGCCCATCCGGGCTGCGCCTCCTCCTTATATAGGGGATTATCTAGTCGGCAGCGTTGGCGAATGGCGGCGCCGGTGGGCGGAGCCTAGGGTGTCCCGAGGGCACCACACAACTGAGATGTGTTCCTCTTTCTTCCTTCTTTTGTACAGCAGCTGGGTGGTGTCCTCTTTGGCTCTTTCCTTGATTGATCGTTGTATTTTCGAGTCCTCCTTTTGCTCTTTTGGTAAAATATTGCCCTATTGGGATGGGCTTTGCTCGGATTACCAGAATTTATTGCCTTCTTGGGGTTTTACTCTCTTTGCGGCATCTATGTTAGTTGGGCCCAATTTTGGAGTGAGAATTACTCCCATTAAATATTTGTGAAAATTTCATTAAAAAATTTGAAACAGTGGAGTTTTTCAGAAAAAAAATGTTCAAAAATTTTGAACTCAAAAAAAACCATATTTTCTTTCCAGAAAGACATTGTTGTTCTGACATCGAGAAGTGTTTTGAATGTGTTGGATCCCAAGGATTTTTCGGTGAAAAAATCGATTCAATGTGATTATTTCGCCACTTCGTGAGTTTTTTTTGTTTGACAAAAAAATAGGATAGTGTAGGTGAAGCTTGTTTGAATTAACTGATTTGTTTTTCGAATTCGAAAATTTTTGTTATGAGTTTTTTGAAACAGTAGATTTTTAATAGTCTTCACACGAAAAATTCTTATGGAAAATTTGAAACAATGATTGTTCTTAATTACATATATGACGGAACTTAAATTCAATATTCTTATACATTTATTATTAAAAATTTGAAACAGTGGAAAAAAGTTACAGAAATATTTTTTCAAAGAACATTATGATTGATTTGTTCTGAATGTTGAAATTGGAATTCTGAATATATAACCAAGAAAAAAAATTCAAACAAAACTTTGTATGGAATTTTCGAAACAGTAGATTTTTGAATTTTGAATCGGACTTGAAATTCAAACAACATAACTGGAATTATCAAAAATTCTATGATTTTTTCTGAAACAGTGAATTTTTGTGATACCTTCAGATCCTTATCAAATTTGTTTGAATCACAAAAACTAATATGAAAATTTTGAAACAGTGGAATTTTTTCTATGAAAATAGTCCTTCTCAAATTGACAATTTTCAGCTGAAACAGTCAATTTTTTGCAGCCTATGCTCATATATTTATGGCGATTCCCTGGATTCCCTTCAAATATTTATTGGAAGTGTCGAAGGAGATTTGATGGAATGGAAATTGAAAAATGAAAATAAGAAGCCGATTCGAAGAAAAGGACACAAGGGAATGATTTTTGCGATTTCTGCCGATTCTCAAAATATTTTTACGATTTCTGATGATCGAACTTTGAGAATGTGGAAAATTGAAGAGGATTCGGGATGCTTGTGGTGAGGATTTGGTGAAATTTTTGACATTGCCACGTGGTTTTTTGGCCTTTTTCATATTTTTTCTCAATGCTTGTAAATTTGAAATAGGAATTTATTTTTCTGTTGTTTTTTTTTTTAATTCAAAAAACAAAAAATGTTTTTTTTTAAATTCTAGTTGAAAATTTGTTGAAACAGTGAAAAATTTTTATCTCAAAAAAATCTGGGAAATTCTACGCTTCAAAATATATTCACAAATTTTCGAGATCTGAATTTATTGATCTCTACCTCATTTTTTTTCAGCACAGTCTATGGCCACACAGCTCGTCCATTCTCAATTTGTGTCGATGAAGCGAATCAAATGATTTTCACCGGCGGAATTGAGCAAACCATTTTTGTCTGGAAATATTCTGAAAATTCAATTGAATTGGTCCGAAAAATCGGATTATCGATTGGAACAATTCGAAGTATTGTGCAAATTGAGAATTCGAAATTGGTAAGGTTTTTTGAGATCCTGACTTCAAATTTCCAACCAAATTTTTTGCAGCTAGTTGGATCTTATGAAGGCGCCTTGGTTACTGTAAATATTTCACCAATCGAAAAATCCTTCGAAATTTGTAAAAATGTGCAGAATTTCGCATATTTATCGGAGAAATTGGTGATTTTAGATGATACAAATAATTTGACAGTTTTCAAGAATGAAAAAATGGCCAAGATTTTGTTTCGAGCTGAAAATATTCGATATTTGACTTCGGATTCGAGTTCTAGCTCCAATTCAGTTGCTGCTTGGAATAATGAGAAATTTGTGATTTTTATGAATGAGATGAATGTTTTGAGCTTGAAAATGTCGTCAAATGTTATATCGATTATTGTGTCGGGTTGCTATTTTTTGGTCAAACTTGTTGATGGATTTGTGGTAGGGATTTTTGGCGGGTTTATAAAACAGTTAATTTTTTTGGTATACTTTATCGTTGGTGGGATCTATTGTAACATACATTGAAAATAAATTTATTGACTATTTTTGAAACAGTGAATTTTTTTCTTGGTTGCTCAAAAATTCATCCAAAAAATTATGACACATTTTTGAAACATGGAAAATATTGGAATTATAAAAATTGCATCAATTAAGAAAGCAATATTCAAAAATAATTTTATTTTTTCTATGATACTTTTGAAACAGTGAATTATTTATGTTTGAACATCCAACTGTTTTTGAGATAATTATACATATTCATTCCATTATTTTTCCGAAAATATTCATTTTTCTTGTTTTTTTTTCGAAACAGGAAATTTTATTTCTTTGAAAGTTCAAGTGTTTTTAAATTATATACGCACACATATGATATTATTGAGGAAACTTGAGAATGAGCAAATTATATCTTTGAAACAGTGAAAAATTATGAATTTAAAGGAATTCATTTGAATCTGGTTTCAAACAATATTTCTAACATTCAATATCGAAGTGATAATACAATTTTGAAACAGTAAAATTATTCTCAACAAGTTGATCCAAAAAAAAAACTTTCCAATGCTCGAAAAAAATATATTTCTATAGACATATTTTTTTGAAACAGTTAAATTTCAATTCCACATTTTTTGCAGCGTCTCTACTCCCTTTCCGATTCTCAAAATCTGAAATATCTGAAAAAATTCAAACTGGCCAAACCTTCAATGATTCCATCGAAATTCATAATCATCGATGATTTTTTGGTTTTTGGAACAACTCATGGAGAATTATATTATATTCAAATTTCTACTTCAAGTTCTAGTCCGGAAAATGTGATAAAAAATCGGAAAATCGAGAAATCCCTTTTTGGAGATAAGGAAATATCGAAAATTCATAAAATTGAGGACTTGGATGATGGGATTTTTATGGTATTGGCGAAAAATGGAACATGGTCGACGTTTCAAATCACAGAAAATCGGGAGATTTTATTACTGAATTCAAGAAGTTTCTCAGCAAATATGCGAATAACTTGGCCTTGTGAATTTCTGGAGATTTATGATAGAAATTATATTGTTGGATTTCATGGAACTTCCTTGGTTATTTGGGATACGATAAAAGGAATTTCATGTTTTGAAATTTATTGTGGAGGTGGAAATCGAGAATGGAAAATGAGAGAAAATGAGACGAATGAGGTGTTTTTTGATTATTTGAGTCATGGAATATTGAGAAGACAGAAAATTGATTTGGAAATGGTTGAGTATTCGGCTGATATTCCACATTCGTCGTCGATTGTTTCGGGTTTGTGAATTTGGGAGATTTGAATTTTTGAATGGGGAATTTTAGCAAAGACAATATAATAACCAAAATTTGACCATTATATATTCACAATTTTCTGAAACAGTAAAATTTTTGCAGAAAAAAATTATTTTTTCTGAATTTTTTTTTCCAAGAATATATTTACTGTTTCAAAAATCTCTCAAATTTTCTGGGTTTTTCCAAATTTTCATTAAATAAAATCTAGATGATATATCAAAAAATTAATGACGAAATTTTCACCATTTTATATTCACAATTTTCTGAAACAGCGGATTTTTTCAGAGAAACTTTTTTAAAAAATTATTTGTTCCAAAAATTCACTGTTTTATAACAGTAAAATTTTTCTATATTCAAATAACCATAAAAAAATCAGCCGGTGTAAAAATTATTTGGATTTGACAGAATTTTGAAACAGTGAAGTTTTGAGCGTTGAATTATTTTCCAAATACAAATAAACGGAGAAGAATCAAAGCTTTACTACATTTTTCAATTAGAGGATTTTTTGAAACAGTAAAATTTAATAATGTTGAAAATTTCAGGAAAAATAATTTAGAAATAGACAAAACCAACCAAATTTTGAAAATTTTTCATTCAAAATTTTCTGAAACAGTGAACTTTTTTTTGGAAAACTAAATTATTTGTTACAAAAAAATAAACTGTTTCAAAAATGTGCCACGTGGCAAAAACGTTCAAATTCTCTCAAAAATCCCATTTTCAGCATCTGGATCTCGAAATTATTTGGCAACTGTTTCTTTGGATGGAATTCTATCGATTTCCTCTAAATTATCTGGTGATTCTTCGAATTTCCAAATCGATTTTTCAATGTTTGCCGGCGAGAATTTGTTGTGTGTCGATATTTTCGAATCGTCTGAAAATCCGGCTGAAATTTGGGTGATAACTGGCGGCGGAAAATCGACATTTGGTATTTGGAAATTCTTGGGAACCAATTTTGAGCGCAACATTTTTTGGCATCGAAATTATTGTGAGGATTCGGATGAGGGAAGAGTTGTGGCTGTGAAATTTGTGGAGAAAAATCGAGGAGAATTTGGACAGGAATTTGTTGTCTCTTTTTCATCGGGAGCTATTTTGTGAGTTTTTCAATAACAGAAACGGATCAGAATTAGCTTGCAAAAATTTTATTGATCGATTTTTGAAACAGTAATTTTTCACTGTTTCAAAATTGATATTGAGAAAAAATAATAATTTTTTATTGTTGAACAAGTTTTTCAGAATTAAAAATAAAAAAATCTACCAAATTCAACAAAATTGTGAAAACTTCAATTTCTAATTTTTCACTGTTTCAAAAAAACATCAAAATTACAATCGAGAAAAAAATTAACATAAATCCCAAATTCTCATGATTTTGCCTAAAAAATATTGTCACTATTTCAAAATTTGTTCAAATGATGTATGTTTTGTGAAAACTTTTCACTGTTTCAAATTTTCTTCAAAAGAATTCTGAAACTTTGACTATTCAATGCTGGTTTCATACTATTTCTTTCGAAATTTTTCGGAAAAATATTCCCAATTTTTGATTTTTAAATTGTTCACTGTTTCAAAATGTTCTCTAATTTCAACCCTCTCTTTGAAGTTCAATTCCTCAATGGTTTCCTGAATGGAACAAAGCTTTACAGCACATTTTCAATCGAAAACAATGAAATAATCGCGAAAAATCGCATCAGATTGGATGAAAATGTTGGAATTGGCGCTAAAATTGAGATTCGAAAAGGTCAAGGAGAAAATTATGAAATTTTGGTTGGAACAAGTGGAAGTTATTTGATTTGTTATCGAATTGATGGGAAAAATGTGGAGAAAATTTGGCAGAAGGTAGGGAAGTTTTGGGGTTGGAAATAGGGTTCGGAGGCATTTTTTTTGAAGAAAATTCACTGTTTCAAGGTTTACTGAAATTTACATTGACTTCTTCAATATTCCGTAATTTCCGATTTTTTTCATAACATTTTTTTGAAACAGCGAACATTTTGAACCTAAAAAATGAAACAAAAATTCTGATGAAAACACACCTGACGAGAGAGTGTCCCAAATTTTTTGTGCAGTGTGAAAATTTTTTTCAAAAAAAAAAATGTGCAGCGTGAAATTTTTAAGTTTTTCGAAAAAAAAACTCCGCCGGCAGGAGGATTCGAACCCTGGTCTCATGCTCGCTAGTCTAAAATGCTAACCTCTCGGCCACATCTCTCTTTTCTCCCAATGGGAAAATGTTGGTGGAAAGGAAACTGTTTTTAAACGAATGCGTTGCAACGTTGCTCAAATTTTGTAGTTAGGATAACTAAGCTTAGGCTTAACGGATATGGTTGAATTTTTTATGATAGATTGCTATGGTCATAGACAGTGTGGAACACCATGAGTGCAGTGTGGAAATGCCCTATTTCGCTGTTATTTTGGAGTGTCCATTTCAATGGTAAATATGGACATTACAAAAAATCGGACGGCATTTTTTTCCGAGCACATATCAAGGGTTGGTATATTCAGAAAGTTGGTGTATTTTTAAGCGTAGTTTTCGAATTTACCCATGTGCAGTGTGGAATTTGAAGTTTTTCCATAGAAAGTCAATTTTTTCGAAATTTCAGTGACACTATGGTTTGCTAAGCAGTCACGTAAATTCCACACTGCACATTATGTTACCACACTAAAACAAAGTCTGCTGAGTTGATTTTCACCGAGAAACTTCGAAAAAATTCGCAAGCTGAAGTTGTTTTTGAAGTTGAGCAAAAATAAAAAAAGCTTTGGTTCGAATGAAGATTCGAACCTGGGCCTTCTGAACACTAGCAAAATGGCCTACCACTGAACTAAATGCGCATTTATTTCCTCAGGTTAAATGTTGGTGAAAAGGAAACAAAGTTATTTTTTGAAAAAAATGCAGTGTGATTTTTGAAAATGTACAGTGTCCATTTTGGACACGTCTCGTCAGGTGTGGATGAAAAATCTGAAAATTTTAAAAAATCTTTTAGAATTAGAATTTCTGCTTTTGTTCGATTTACAAATCTAAATTTTTTTTTCCCAATTTTAGAGCTCTTAAAAATTCACTGTTTCAAAATTTCCTCAAAAATTCCTACAAATATTATTTTCCAGCGTCTCGATGATCGAAGTGGTGTAACAGCCCTGTGCTTCTCTACAAAATCTGAAATTATAATTGGATTCGATTCTGGAAATGTGATAACCTCTCAATCTTCCTCTCCAGATTCATTCCAAATTCTTCACAAACATCTCTCAACAGTTGTTGGAATTGTTGAAAAAGATTCGAATATTTATTCAGTTTCACTGGATTGTCAAATCAAAAATAATGAGGGAAAATGTGAAAATACTCGAATAAATATGCCAAATGGAATGACTAAAACTGATAATTGTATTATTGTTATTGGAGATGGTTTAGAAACTTTTTGATTTTTGATTTTTGTTGAAATTTGTTTGTTATTAATTATAAAAGTTTATTGAATTTTTGAGTAATTTTCTACTGTTTCAAAAATTCAGGAAATTAAAATAAGGATTTTTGTGTTGTTATAGTTCGGATATTTAACTGTTTCAGAAATTAAAAATAATTAATTTGGTCTGGGTAAATTTGTTCAACCTGCTCTGTGATGTTTTCTGTATGTACAAAAGTGTTTGGGAATTTTTCACTGTTTCAGAAATTTTTAGAAAATTAAGGGAAAATAAAAGTTTTGCTAGGCTTCTGCTGTTGTGAAAAAAATTACACAGAAATTTTATTTCAAAAAATTTACTGTTTGGAGAAACTAATATCAGTTCACCAGAATATTCACTACTTCATTGACTGATTCTCACAAATTCTGAATTTTCACTGTTTCAAGAATTTGTGAACATAATTTTGTGAAGAGGAGCGATGGGCTTCCAAAATTTCTCACTGTTTCAGAAATTTTTCAATATGTCTTCCAAAGAAAATTGGTTAATATGTGATGTTTTTTCAAAACAAATATTGACAAACACCACCATTATTTAGAAAAATGAATTCAAAAACATACTGTTTCATTGAAAACTTTCAAGATTTTTTGAAATATAAATTTTATTTTAAAAAAATTGTTTTTAAGATATTGGGAAAATAAAAAACCGGTGAAAAATTGTTACAAAATTTTTCACGGTTTCAGTAATTTTTTAAAATATCTTCCATTCAAAAATTTTGAACAGCTTCATCTAGAAAATTTTCTGTTTCAATAATAATCCACATTTTTTTTTCATAAAAAAAACTTCATCAAATGAATCGAGATCAGTGGAAAAATATAAAAAATATGCAATGAATCATACAGAAATATAAACTCTCAAGAAAAAAAAAACAAATAAAAAATGACCGGTATTTGGACACGTATTAAATTGTGGTAAGTGGGTTCAGGGGACAAAAGAAACTAGATAAAACTAAAACTTATAGGTAAACTTTTTTGACTTTATAATCACGTGGAAGTGTATTTTGATTAATTGAAGTGACGATTGCATTTTTATCACGGGATGGTGTGTTTATTCCAGATCCGTGTTGAGATAATGACATTATTGGATGATGATTTGATGTTGTGTTGTTCATTGATAATATCATTGAAGTTGCATCGATGCTCTGCAAAAAAATATATATTGGATTTGGTGGAGAAATTGGGAATTTTAACTAAAATATCAATAGATTATTAAGACATTCAAAACTTCTAGCCTTTTGATAAAATTTTGAAACAGTAATATTCAGTGAGTATTGTAAAAATCAAAAAATTTGAATCAGTGAATTTTTGGAAAAATAAAATAGGCCAATAAATGCAGAAAAATAGGTTTTTTTTCGAAGTTTTGTGGAAATCTGAATCTAGAAAACAATAATTCTTGTTTTTTAAAATACATTTCTGGAACCATCTGTTTTGAATTAGCAACATTGAAAATCTTAGGCATTTTCCAAATTTTCTAATTTTTTTGAAACAGTGAACTTTTGTGAACTGTGGAATTAAGTTCAAAAAACTAATTTGACAATCATCAATCAATTTGAAACAGTGAAAAATTGTTCAGAAAAATTTGAAATTGTAAATTTTAGAAGTATCGTCTCAGCAATAGCAGCTGAAAATTTTTCGAGTTTGGGGAATTTTTGAAACAGTGATTTTTATGAACGGCATAGCATCTCAATTATTTTTCTAAATTCTGTTCAAAAATTCATTAATTTTCTGAAACAGTAAATTTTTGAAAATAATTTAGGTGTATGAATTTTGAGAAAAAATAATATGACTCAAATTGAAAAATTCCAGCTCACTAGGAAAATATGAAAAAAAAATTTCGAAACAGTGAAAAAAAATCCCTGAAAATTGTACGTTTCAAAATTTTCTCGAATTATTAATCTCCAATTTTTCTCATTCGGCATTTCGGTGCTAAATTTTATTTCCACATGGATAATTGCTCCAAAAATTCATGAATTTTTTGAATCAGTGAATTTTTTAAAGTTATGCATCTATTCATTTGCAAAAAAACACGAAAAAAATGTATTTTTTTACAATATTTTTCTATTCACCAAAATCACAAATTGTCGCGAAATACATGCAATCGTGACGAGACCCACACTCATTTCAAGGCAACGAGTGTGAAAAATGCATGCTTTCGAAAATTTCATTTCTTGTTTTTTTTTCTCGCATGTTTTTTTCCTTGAAATGTGTGTGGGTCTCGTCACGATTGACATTTATTTCGTGCATTTTGGTGAATAGAAAAATATTGTAAAAAAATACATTTTTTTCGGTTTTTTTCGCAAATGAATAGATGCATTAGAAAAACTTTGAAACAGTGAGAAAAAAAAATCCCAAAAAATGTACGTTTCAAATTTTTCTCTTGTTATTCAGCTATGTTTTAGAAATGTTATCAATTTTTTATATTCCTCACTATTTCAAAAGCCCCCAAAAACAATTCCATCCAAATTATATATTCAAAATGATGCGATTACTCACCCCAAAAATTAGTCATCCCCTCTTTCAAAAACACATTTTATTTAATTTCATTTTTTGGTAATGAAAAAGAAAAAGGAACCTTTTTTCCTTTTGTCAAGGTTAGACACAAAAAACTGATTGAATTTAAGATAACTTCCACTCTCATTTATATTTTTTTATAGAAAATCCCTAAAATATTGTTGTTTTTTGTTTCATTGGTGGAAAAAGTGCAATGATTCATAAATAACCCAATAAAATTCCAGATGTTCTTTTTTTTACAAAAAAATCTCATAAAATGATCGATTTTTATTGGAAAAAATGAGAGGAAGACTGATATTTCTAAGTAAGTTCCAAAATTTTGAAAAAGAAAACTCACATTTTTCGACGGTGGCACAAAATTATGATCAATTTTAGTCGCAGTTGTTAGTGAGTCATGACGTGTCAAACGTGCTCTACCGAAACTATCGTAATCTGAGCCACTTGTTGAACTCGCGGAACGATGTGGATCATTTGTGGTGGCCCATTGGGTTATTCGAGCGCCGACCTGAAATTAAATATTGCAAAAAAAATTTGTTGGAATTTTATCACCCAATTTTTTAACATAAAATTTCTACTGTTTCAAATTTTTGACTAAAAAATTAATTTTCGATTCAGATTTGGTAAATTAACTATCATTAATTAATTGATAAAATCACAGTTTCAAAAATATCATGAAAAAAATTTTCGTCCAAAATTTAATGGTGTGATTTTTTTCTTTGCCAATATTTTCAGAGATTGATTTTGAAAAAAATAACAAAGGACTGAAGTTTGAAGAAATTTTTTCAAAACTCTGAAACTTCAGAAACTGAACTAAATATTCTTAAAAATCTACTGTTTCAAATTTTTCATCAAATAAATTTTTTTTCTGAAAAATTGATGTTATTGTATTTCAAAAACCCTGAAACATGCACAAAATTAACAAAAAAAATTAAATAATGCTAATAATTATTATACTGTTTCAAATTTTTCACAAAATTGATTTTTTTATTCGAAAGTGTTTTCTTTTTTTTTGCTTTATGATAAATCTAATAAATTTCATCACAAATTTTGAGCTAAAAATCAACTGTTTCAAAATTTTTATAAAATAAAATTTTTGAATTCAAAAATTGTTTTACAGTTGTTGTTAAATGGCCCGGCAACGGAGATTATGAGTATATTTAAAAATGTTCAAATGTTGATGAATGAATCTCAAAATGCATTTGCTTCACAAAAAATTGAAGTTGAACATAAATTTCAGAAAAAAAAACTGAAAAAAATAAAAGATATATGTGGCCGAACTATTTTGGTGGCCGAATTCCCGACACTTCTCTCTACTCATAATCTCCGTTGCCGAGCCATTTAAGAAACCTAAAAATTTTGAACAAAAACAAGAAAAACTTCGAAATATCCACTGTTTCAATTTTAAGCTAATAATCTACTGTTTCAAAATTTTCTTTTGAAAAACTAGGCGATTAGAGGTTTCGATGGACATCTCAACAGCTTTAAATTAAAAAAAAAAAAACGATTTTTTCTAATTTCAAAAACTCACAAATGCTCCGAAAATCAACGAAACAATACTAGCAATCAAAACCGCCAAAATCAGCGTAATCGTGGAGTGTTGTTTGAGATTCGCAGCTCCAAAATCACCATTCAAAATGGCTTCGGATTGCAAAACATTCTCAGTTGCTCCATCATTTCCAAAATTCTCAAAAATAATTCCCTCCGGGCATTGTTCAGATTGTCCAAAGACCATATTTTGTATAAAATGTCCACCATTCCAATCCTGTTTTTGTACACATCGTGCAATTTGCGAATCCCATGCACAATGTGGATCTTGTAATTGAACACATTTCGAGCAACTCTGCTGTTTTTCGCAATTATAGACAGGTAAACTCGCAATTTCATCAGATGATACAATTACAATATTCATTGAATTTGATGACGTCAGCAGATTAACAATTGGCACACTTTTCGAGAATATTTGAGAACTTTGAATAATCGTCGCATTTCCATCGATTTCAACCATTTTCAGGATTTTTCCATCAGATGTTCCCAAAAATATGATATCATATTTATGACCATTTACAGAATTGACACGTGGCAATACAGTAATCTGTGTTAGTTCGGCTTTTTCAACTCCTTCGATTAAAAGAGGTGGTCCAATTGGATTGATTGAATTGAACATGAGAGGATTTCGAAGAATGAAAGAGACTGTTGCTTCGGGAAGTTTAGTTGAATCGGGAACACAGGAACCTGGGCGAGGTTTGGGGATTTCGTTGCGATTGTAAGGAGTCCAAAGGGATTGAGGGGATCTCTGCAAAAATTGGGATTCTTGGGGTAAATTTTAAATTCTCTAAAAAGTTTTCAGTAATTCAAAAAAAATCCTGAAATTAAATTTTTAGACTTTGAAAACGCAAAAATATTTTTAAAATGGTAATTTTGGAAAATGAATTGATGGAAGCATAATTTCCTTAAAAATTGGAATTCATGAAAATTTTGAAACAGTAGATTTTTATGGAAATTGAATTTTGAATTCGAAATTTTCGCTCCAAAAAATCCACGTGGAAACCCCTAATTTTCCCTGCTCCAAAAAAATGTTTCCACTTTTTCTCTCCTCCTGGAGCACTTGAAAAATTAAGTGTGAATTGTATGTGTGCGCGACAAAACTTGAATTCAATTCAATTACAAAATTATGTTTGCTCAACTCAAAATTCTAAACTTTTTCCTGTTTCAAAAATTCTGGATTCAAATTTTTGGAGGAATTTTTTCAAGAAATAATTTACTGTTTCAAAAGGAACTCAAGAACTTTCAATTTTTTTTTTCGAAATTCATACAACCCCAATAATCTGACCTGATGTTTAAAACTGCCCGAATCGAATTCATCTCGAATTTTTCGCATCGAAAATGCGCAGACTGCCGACATTCGAATGTCAGACTGTGGTGTTGAAAAGACGGCATAAATTGTGTGATCATTGCTGCCGGCTGGGATTGGATCCGATACTGCTTCTGCAAAAACCACGGGAAATGTATTTATTAATCAAAAAATATTGGAGAAAATGTTAAATACAATTTTTGAAGCAGTAAATTTTTTGGGGAAACATTTTTTAATGAAATCAATTTCAAAATACCGGAATTTTTTGAATACAAATTTTGAAACAGTGAATTTTTTCTTTTGACAAAAATTCACTGTTTCAAGATTTTCTTATTCTGTTTTAAGAGTTGGAAAAATTCATTAACTAGAGCAATTATTCTCTGTGTAACAGAAAAAAAAGTTGAAAAAATTAACTGTTTCAAAATTCAGATAAAATTTTTTTTGGGAATTTTTGGAGCTCCAATGGAAACAAAAAAAACAAAAATTGATTTCAGAGCTATTTTAAATCAAAAAATTTACTGTTTAAAAAATATCAGAAAAATTTTGAGATGTTCTATCACTATAATATCACTGCTATTCTGCTTTGAAAATTCGAGAAATGTACGTTTCAAATTTTTGATAAAATTTTGGTGTTTTGGGCTATGTTTCATTGCTTATATAGAAAAATTGCTTTTAAAATTTTCTCACACAAAATTTCACTGTTTCAAAAATATCAGAAATAATTTGGAAAATTTTTGAGATTTGCTCTATTTTCGCAACTAGGCTGATAAAATTAAATAATTTTTTGACAAATCGTTTGCCATCCCAAACCCTAACTCACTAAGCTCATTAAAATAAAACGGCGCCGAATTCGAAGAGGGCAATGAGCAATTCAATCTAGCTTTCAAATAACTTGTCCATCTTTCATTCGATGGTCTCGCACCTCCTTTATCATTTTTACAAACTCGTGCAACTCTCGCATATACTTGTACTTCTTCATTATTATCAACTGCTTCATTTGCCATTTCGCGGAACCAGAAATATATGTGCTCTTTGAAAACGAAGGAGGCAACGAAGTTTGGGGCTGGAAAAATGTGGATTCAGGGGGGAAGGGGAGATTTTTTGGGTGAAAATTTTTCACTTAAAAATTAGTGGTGGATTTTTTTAAATGTTAATGCTTCTAAAATTAACAAAATTGGGTAGAAAACCGATGAAAACAATTCATGGATTTTTTGAAACAGCAAATTTTTGAATTTTAAAATTATTTCATAAAATTTTTTTTCAAATTGTTTGAATAGCTAAAAAAAATTCTAAGAATTTTTTAAAAATTAACTGTTTCAAAATTTAGTTTTAAAAAAAGGATAATAATAAAAAATAATTTCGAGTACCCACACGAGAAAAGTGACAAAAATGTTTAACCGGAAAATTCGAATGGGAAATCACAAAAAAATTTCATCTAAAAAAATTTACTGTTCCAACTTTTTCTTATTGAAAAATCATGAAACAAAATTTGATTCTTCTATTTTATTATAGATAAATTTTTATTATAGATTCCGGTTAATTTTTCATAATGAAATTTTCGGGCGCCAAAAATCCTTGTGGAAATTTGCTGTGCTCATTTTTCGTTTAAAAAATTAGCCCCTTTCAAACTCACAATCCAAAACCCTAATATCATCCCTTTGTGTTCGTATATTATTCGCAGTTCTTCCTCCATCATCATCCACATTTTTCCTGAAAAAAACAGATAATTTCATAATTAACATCCTCATCTCATCCCAATTTTTGCTATGTCTAATTCCGAACAAGTTTTCTCTGTTTCCTCTGTTTTTCGGAACATTTCGATAGATTATGAAGGTCGTTTTTGTGAGGAGAAAAAGAGGTCGTTTAGAAGGAAAATACCGAAGTGAAGAAGGATTTTACGAGCATGTTTATGGGTTTTTTGCGGTCTTAACAACAACTAAATGGTGGCAAAAATTAGCTGATTTTTCTTGGGAAATTCGAGTTGAGCTAAATCTCTTTGAATTTTTGAAGCAGTGAAAAATTTGATTAACATCTCATGACAGCAAATAAAACTTCTCTAACTATTCAATTATCAATTTTTTGAAACAGTGAAAATTTGTTAAATTGATTACCATCATGAAATGAAATCAAAAATTTATTATTCAAATTACAAAAATGTATTTTTTGAAACAGTGAAAAATTCTTATCTCAAAAATTCACTGTTTCACAAAATTAATAAACGCGTAGATTTAATTTGAAATTGATGACACATACCCATGATAGTCAAAATCAGAAAAAAGGATATTCTTATTTGAAAAATTGAATTTTTACGAAAAATCGTATTCCAGCTCCGATTTCAGCAGGAAGGGAAATTCAAGATTGATAGACCTGACTAATCAGATGAAAAAATCCAGAAAAATCATATAATTTTCTTGAAACAGTTAAATGATTAGGAATATTTATTTGATCTTGATTGAACAACAACTCTTCAAGATTCTAATTTAAAAATAAGATGAAACAGTGGAAAAATCTAGGATTATTAAAATAATTATTTCCATAGCACAGAACAAATAAATCAAATTCAAAAATTCAAAGAAAAATCTGATAATTTCCTTGAAACAGTAGCATTTCGAAAAATGAAAAAAGAAAAGTGAAAAATTCCAAATTTTAAATTTTTCTAACAAGTTTTTGGGGTGCTAGAGAAAAAACGCTCGAATCAGATAGGAAAAATTCCAGAAAATCTAGTGTCACTTTTGAAATAGTAAAATTTTTTGGGGAAAAGAAGAGAGGGGATTTTTTCAGATAGTTGAAACAGTGAAAAAATTCAGGTTTTTGGAAGATAACCATTATTGAATCATATGTACAGAAAAAATGGATCAAATACAAAAATTCGAAGAAAAAATCTCATATTTTTTTGAAACAGTAGAATTTTGTTTCAATATTTAAAAATTGAATCGACTTCTTGAAACAGTGAGAAAACTTCAAAATCAAAATCTATCAGCTTCAAAAATTCAAACAAAAATCTCATAAATCTTTTGAAACAGTGGAATTTCGTGAAAAAAAAATCAGAATGAACAAAATCCAGAAAACCCTTATTATAATTTTGAAACAGTGAGAAAATCCAAAATTTTAACAAAAATTCCCTAAAAACTCACCTATAAATCAAGGCATCATTTCCAACAAAATCAGTCACCGTCGCCGTATACAATTGATTGGTTTCCGGCAAATACAATGCACTTGAATTGTGTTTCGGATCATATGGCGATATGCCCAAACCGTCGAATTGTCGTGTCATTCGAACATTTCCACCCGAATTTGTTGTGTATTCACGGCATTTTGGAGAGAATGCGTGAGTTCCACAGACGAGTTGAACACCCGCGGATTTTCGCGCTAGGACTCGAATATAATTTTGACATTCGGTTTTGGATTTTCCTTTCATAATACATTCTTCGATGCTGTCGGAGGGAGGTTTCCAATCGATTTTCTGGAAAAATTTTGAGCATTTTCAGGTTCAAATTTAAGTCAAAAGTCGAAAAATCGATATTTTTGAGCATTTGGGACATTTTTGATCAATTTCAGGTCCAAAATTTGCTCAAAATTTCAAAAATTGATTTAGAATTTTAGATCCGAAATTAGGCCATAAGTTAGTCTAAATTTAAGATTTGGAGCCCAAAAACCAGTCAAAAACTGGCCAAAATTTGAACTTACATGATTTACAACCAGGGAAGCAAGTGATAGATTGTAGACAGCATTTCTGAAAAAAATGATTTTTTTTTGAAAATTGGTGCAAAAAAACCACTTTGTGATATTTTTTCGGAATTCTAAATTTCTATAAAAATCTACTGTTTCAAAATTTTTATAAAATACAATTTTTTGAGAAAATTATGCTCTACTTCAATATCTACGAAAATTGATAATTTAAATTAACCTGAAAAATTTTGAAATTCAAAAACTTTGGCGCCAAAATCCCCAAATTTCTCTTCGTTTTTCGGCAAATTTCCAAAATGCGCGAAAGCCTAATAAAAACCGTCGGAAATTGGTGTTTTTTGCTGGTGTCAAAGGCGTTCTTCTTCTCTTTTTGCGGGTTCAATTTATTATATGTGTTTTTCCCTTTTTTCGACTTTTTTTCCTTTTCTAATAGCAAAAAAAGAGGAGTAAAAAGAGTAATGTAATATGAAATCCCCTCAAGGTCAAATACAGCAAAAACTAATCGAATTTTGATTTGTTTTTTGAGGCCGAAGGCTAAGAAGGCAAAATGTTGCCAATTATTGGACATAAAAAAGTAGAAATCTAACCTGGCGCCAACTAGAAGTGAGTCACCATCAGCCGCCAAAAGTTTGAAATGATCCGATTCGTCTGAATGTGTTCCGATGCCGCCAAAACGATCGCCGAGGCCAACTGAAAAATGAAATGAAAATTTTGTATTTAAAAAAAAATTATTTTTCCTATCAAAATTCTGCTAGAATTTCTAGATTCAATAAAATTTTGAAACAGTGAAATTTTTGATATACAAAGAGTTGGAAATAACATTATAGAAATTTTCCAAATTAACTCATTTTTTTGAAACAGTGAAAATTTCGAGAACTACAAAAAGTCAATAATGTTGACTTAATATCACAATTTTTTGAAACAGTGTTTATTTAGACTGCATGGTTGGCGATCAAATTAATTATTTTCAAAAATTTCAAGAACCAAACAATATTTGAAACAGTGAAAATTTTGAATCATGAAGTTCGGTGAGTGAATAAAAATAATGAAAAATATTATTATACCTAATATTTTTGAAACAGTAAATTTTCAAAATATTGTTTTGCAATATCACTTTCAAACTTCAAAATATTTCTGAAACAGTGAATTTTTTTTGAATTATTTTGGAAACCTATGATAAATGACCAATTTTGAGAGAAATAATTTAACAATGTTATATTTTTCTGAAACAGTGAATTTTCAGGATACCCAGAGAACAGACACAAAAAGCAATTTCAAAATAGAACAATTTTGGAAACAGTGACTTTTTTTGATATTATTGTAAACAAAGATTCAAATTTGTATATCCTATTATTCTGAAACAGTGAAAAATTCCCCCGTTCCAAATATATTTTCCATGTATTCTTCTTTTTCAATCCGGATTTTCCGTCCCGTTTTCTCATATAACAAAACACAATAATAATAATATTAATATTATTATTCAATTATTATTTACATTAGCTCAATTGTGTCCTTTTCTTCTTCTTCTTCTTTTTTGCCTTTTCCGACATATTTTCTAACAAAAAAGTTGACCTTACTTGTCTCTTTTTTTGCCTTTGAAAAGGGACTCTTTGGGGGTGGATAATTACCTTCAATTTTAGGCCCTTCTTTCTATTGTCTTATATTTTCTTGGGGAAAAAATTCCCGCAGCGCGGACAGATGCGTAAATGTGCTAATATTGTAAATGTAAAAAGATTTATCATGTTTTTGATTGAAAAAAGAAGACCAAGAAGAAGAAGAAGAATATTTACATAAACATTTTGATTGACAGCTGTTGGCTGGCTAGAAAGGGTGTCTGGTGTGATGAAATATGAAATATGGAAAATAAGATGGAATAAAATTGACAAAATTGTATAAATATTTATACATTTGAGAGAGACAATGATGAGCAACAGAAGGCAAAATTCAAAATCAAAATTTTTCGCGCTCAAAAATCTGGGTGTACTGTAGACAAGATTTCTCATGCTAATTAGGATTTTTGGACTCATGTTAGTGTAGAATTCAAGATATTCAAAAATGAAGATTTTCGCGCTTGTAAATCTGGATATACTGTAGGCAAGAATTCTCACCACCACGAAAATAAACATTAGATTTTTGAAATTGAAAGATTTGGAGTCAAAACTTGAGGATTACTGTACTTTCAAAATTTCAGAAAAAAAAACAGATCTAGAAATTTTCCAACTAAAAATTATCCATGATAAAATCCATACGGTAGGGCTGCACGATGGGGCGTGGGGGCGGCCCCCTCGCCCCGCCACGCTTTTGCCCCCTCGCCCCTTTGCCCCCTCGCCCCGTTGCCCCCTCGCCCCGTCGCCCCTTCGCCCCGTCGCCCCTTTGCCCCGTCGCCCCCTCGCCCCCACTTGTAAGTGTGTGCGCGCTTCTATCTTCTTTTATTACTTCACCACACACAGTTACAAGCGGGGGCGAGGGGGCGACGGGGCGAAGGGGCGACGGGGCGAGAGGGCAACGGGGCGAGGGGGCAAAGGGGCGAGGGGGCGAAGGGGCGAGGGGGCGAATGACTTTTTGCACGGTGTTTCATCGCGGGGTGCCCCGCGTGCAGCCCTACCATACGGCTTTAAATTTTCAAATTTAAATTTTGGCGCGAAAAATCTTACTGTAGTTACTGTAGTTCAGAAGACATATTTTGAGCGTCAACATTAAAGTTTAAAATATTGAGTTCTCGCACCGACATTTTGGGTTACTGTATTCAGATTTCTGGCGCCAAAACTGAATTTCAAATGTTATGATTTTCAGTGGTTTCTGGTCTTGACAGGAAATTTTCAGCAATTTTTCGGATTACTGTAGCCCAGACCTTCTGCACCAAAAAAATTCTCAAACATCCCAACAAATTCTCTAGTTTACCCTTTCTGTGAGTAGATCAAAAACTACACTTCCATTATATGCTTCCACTTTTTTTTGTATTTCACCTCCCGAAAATAATATCGTTTTTCAAAAACAAACTTTATAGGAGTGAGTGACTCTTCTCAATTTCTTCTTTTCAACCTTTTGTTAGGTGTCATCACGATGGAAAAATGCACAAATAATGGAGAGAGGATGGTAGCTAAGGCTAATTTTAGGTTAATTTTGGGTCTAAGCTTAGGTTAGGTTAGGGTGGAAAACTCTTTATGCAATTTTTCACTGTTTCAAAATTCTGAGATAATTTTTATACATGATTTTTTCAAGTTTCCGTTTCCTAACCCCTTAGATTTCCAGTTGACCTAACTCCACACAAATTATTATTATTAATAATATTGGAACAATAAAACTACACCAAAACTTGTTTCTTTTTCCATTAGTAAATAAATAAAATAAAAAAAAGATATTCCTTTTGTTAATTAGTAGAAGAACCATACTTGTAATTTATTTTTCTTCATTTTATTAATTGACAAAAAACAAAAATCCGGATCTTCTTTTTTCCGCAGTAAAAAGTATGTCCCTTTAAGATTTGTCTTACACATAAAAGTCATGATTTTGTCCCTTGTTTTCCTTGGGGAATTTTGCACAACATAAGAATAAGAATAAGATGAATGTCCGAACCGAAAATGGAACAATCACACACAAATTATGAGCAACTTTTCCTTTTTTAGTGGAAAAACGAGGAGAAGAACTACACATATGTATAATGTGCCAATTGGGAACTAAATTTGGCCCCAAACATTTGAAGATTTATGGATGGGTCTTGAGGAGAAGAGAGCAGATTTTGGCGCGAAATATTTTTTGGTAAAACCTGGTCAATATATTTTCCCACGGTTAATGTGAGATTCTTTTTGGCGCGAAAAAAAACTTTTTTGTTTTCTGAAGAATAATTTTTCGCGGCAAAACTTCTCTGAAACCCTCTGTCCTTCAAAAAAAAAACAATAAAATGTTATGTTAAGTATCCCTTTTCTCAAAATGTGTTAGAAAATAAGTATATTCTTATTTATTTACACATACATAGTGGATCTTCTTCTATTTCTTATTGACTTTCTTTTCTTTTCTCATATTTTATTACCAACAGTTTGTAAAAGAATTAAAAGGAACACTGTCTTCTAAATACCAAAATCAGATAATCGGCGGAACATTTGGAAAAGATTTTAGGCCAAGATATTAATAAAAAGTTTTTATCGCCTTGTTTGTTATGTTTCGGTAGGAAGAAGGGAAAATTGGAGAAGAAACTGGATAAAATGTGTGAGAATTTCTCTTTTCCAAGTAGGGATTATGGTGATTTTCGAGAGCGATTTGCGTGAATTTTTGAGAAGACGCGGCATTTTGAGCGAATTTTTGAAATGTTTTAGAATTCTCCCGCCCCAAAACACTCACCAGAATTCACAAATTGTTTGGGCCTCAAATTCAGCACCGACGTCTGCGCCACCAGAAAAATTGCGAGTAGAAAAATGAAATGTGTTAGTCTTCTAGTCATTTATATTATTATTGCATTTGGGATGGGCTGAAAATACGAAGAATAATAATTTTAATAGGTCAAAAAACATGGATGAAAAAATCGAAAGTTTTTCAATTTGAAATGAGGGAAACTTAGGATAAGTGCGACTGGAACAGGAAATCTTTTCATTTCTTTTGAAAAACGAAACAGTTAGTTTTCCCTAATATGTTAAAAAATGGACAGATTAGAGACAACGTAAAATTAAGAGAGCGCAGACAAATTAGGTTTTTTGTAGATGAAAAATTAAAAAAAAAAAGAAAAGAAAAATAAATACAGTAGTTTTTCAAAGACGCACACAGAAATTGGAAAATATCTCAAAGCGATTGGGGTTCGTGTAGTTCTCGTGGACAATTTTTAATTTTTTCACAAAAGTTCATTTTTTTTTCGCGCGGAAGCTTGCGGTTTCTGCTAAAACAAAATTAAAGTGTAGAGCGCAAGCTTCCGCGTTCAAAAAGTTTTCGTTTAAAAATGTTTCTCCCAAAAATAGGGAAAAAGAAAAAAAACTAGGGAAAATTTGTAGAAAGAAAAGAAAATTGAATCAAATGTGCTTTAAGCCGGAAAATTTGAATAAAATAATCATGAGATCTCCCAAAAAAACTATTCTCAAGATTTTTTGAATTTTTTAAATTAAAATCGAAATTTTTCAACAATAAAATTTGATAAAGCAGGCAAAGGGGACGATAAGTGTGTAAAATTACACAAAATTCAACAAATTTCAACAAATATTTTTTTTTTGAAAGAGAACTAGACCAGACCTTGAACACTTTGGGTCATTTTCAAAATTTTATTGGTTTCTTCAAAAAGCCAGCGGACAACAAAAAAAGGAACTAACATAAAGGGTGTAAAAAACGACGCCCGGGCGAACCAAAGCAAAAAACCAAGAGAAAAACGAGGAGAAGAGGGAGAAAAGGAGGGCGGAGGAATGGGAAGGGAAGGAATAATACAACACAAGAAGACAACACAAAAAGTAGGAGGCGGAGTTTTGGATGTGTGCCAGCCTCTGCAGGAATAAGAAAGATGAAACAGAAAAGAGAAAAAATAATGTATTTATGTGTATCTATAGGTCAAATGTTTATTAGGTTTTCAAGATTATTATGAGGAATTCTATCCGGAAAATGAGAGTTTATGGGGCTTTTTGTCGGCGAAAACGAAATGAAAATAAAAATAAATACAGTAGTTAGTCAAAGGCGCACACAGAAATGTCAGAATATCTCGAAGCGATGGGGGTTTGTGTAGTACTCGAGGATAATTTTTGATTTTTCTTTTTTTTTTTGGTTTTGCACGAAAGTTCATGTTTTTTTCGGGAAAAGTGGGATTTCTAAGCTGTAGTAGGCTAAGAACTTCAAGAAATAATGCTCGCAAAGCAAAATTTTCTAAAAAAATCTCAAGTTTTAGGGAACCAATATTAAAAAAAATTCAAAAAAAAAAATTTTTCTCTAAAAAATCACGCGATTCCATCCCATCACATTTAATTAAATTTTTTTACAATAAATTTTTTTCTATAAAATCGTTCAAAATTTGATAAAAGGTCAAAACGCGCATATTAATGTGAACGCGCGCTCGCGTAAAGAGTGTAATATGAGCAATCATAAAGAAAACACTTGTAGATAGATTGGAAATAAGAATGCATATACAATATTTATGACAATATTGTATATCATTATTATTATTATTTGGCAGGTACTTAAGTGCATTCGGTTTTTGGGTAAACGAGACGGGAAACTGACTATACCCATGGGAAGAAGAAGAATACACCTTGTTGATTTGGATTTTATGATTTTTAAAGGTAGTTGGACAGTTTTTTGTAATGAAATGTATTAAAATTACTATTTTTGAAAAAAAATTTCAGAAAATGTTGAGATATCAGTAGGTCAAAAACTCTCTAGATATATATAGAAAGATAAAATTTTGCAACAAAGTGTGAGTGAAACCGTAACCACGAAAAGGCGAGAAGAATTTTTGATTAATGAGTGCATGTCAAGATTTTTTTATCAGATGAGATGTGTGAAGATTTATGGGCGATAACCAAAAAAAAAAACATACAACCCAAACTTTGCTCTATTCCAGTGAAAATAGGTGTCAAAAAGGAGGAATAGTGTGAATATTTGTTTTTAGGCTTATGAAGAGGGGATTTCCTCAAAAAGTTGCGCAACCGTAACGAAAACAATGGGTCAAAAATTCTTTGTATATATGTTTTCAAAAATAAAAATGTTTTGCATGAATAAAAATCGATAACGATGCTAAAACCATAATATTTGATTTGATTTGATAAAGAAAAGAGCAACCGGAAGACACGTCACCCCCTTTTATTCATCAAAAAAAAAAACATGAAAGGTTTTTTGATCTACCAATACAATATAATGTCTTGATCCAGAAAAGAAAACGAAATTTATGTGGCGCGAAAAAATGAAGTTACGCTACGCTACATTAGAAATTTCATTCATATTGTACTTTGTTTCACAACAAAACAAGAAACGTAGGTTTCAGCAAAAAGTTGTGAAGGGGAATCGAACCCGGGTGTAAAATTTGATAGACGTAAGCGCTACCGATTGAGCCATGCAACGATTTGAGGAACAAAGAGTAAATTTTCGATTTATTTAAAAAAAACAAAAACATGAAAGCATTTTTAAATTGACTCATTTTTCATCTGACCCTGTAATTAGGTGACCTCTGTTTCAAAAAAAACGTAATATATTGCTCTGATGTTTCTACGGAAAATTCAAAAAAAGCTCCCATTGGGGTTCGAACCTGGGTGCAAAACTTTGAAATCGCGTGCGCTACCACCTGAGCCATTCGAGAATTTAATGTGAACTGTCAATTTTCGCCACAATCGCGCTCTAATGCTAATGCAAATTTGAATAACCGAATCATGTTCAATGCATTTTGAATAAAATCGAGAAAAAAAAGCACCTGTGAAAAGGCCAGTCGGTGTCAGGTATCATACTGTGTATTGTCCCATATTGTATGGAGACAAAAAATATGTGGTGGGAGAAATTGAAAGAAAAAATATTATACTAAACTATTATGTTTATTAAAAATGCAGTTTTTGATAAATTGAAAATAAGCATAACTAACTAATGTTCCAAGATGTTTTGAAGGGAAAAAAGGGGATGACTTATATAAAATTAAATTCTATTTTTTGAATTGGAAAAACGAAGACAAATTAGTCTTTGTCTGTCTGTGACCTCTTTTAGAGATGTTCTAATTAAAATCGTGCTAGACACTGAAATTTTAGGGGAATGAAAGATTCGAGCAAAGCGAGTCTGATTCCGCGCATTCTGCAGAAAGTTAGGGTAACTTTACCGCAAAAATTTTCAGATTTTCTCCTTAAAAATCACCTCAACTAAGTATCTGTCCCTAATTTTTCCCTCCACGGTCAGATTTCTCACCCCGATAACCATCATATTTCTCATTGTTTCTCGAAATCAAATGGTTTTTATCTAATTGTGAACCAGTACTTTCTCCTTTTTCTTCTACTTGTTGTTTACCAAAAAAAAATTGAAATAAAATAAAACTATTTTGGAAAAGTCATGTGAAAATAAAATCAAAAAGTTTGTTTTCATAACATAAAGAATGACCTCCAATAAAATTGAAGCCCATAACTTTTCACATTTCATTAATAAAGGATTTTAATTCAAAAAACATGGAATCTTTCAGAAATAAAAAAAATAAACAAAAAAAGTTTCGGATGGAATTCGAACCCGCGTGCAAAATTTAATAGGCGCGCGTGTACCCGGCTGAGCTACGTGGCATTTCAGAAACCTGGAAGTGATTTCTCAATTTATTCTTGCTGTAGAAAATCATGAAAGCATTTGGCTCATTTTTCATTTGACCCTGTAATTAGGTTTTTTTTTAGGTGACCTCTGTTTCAATAATATATTGCTCAAAAGCCCAAAAAATTCCTTTTTACAAAGGAAAACCTTGAATACACAGTTACTAATCAAATTAAAGAAGGAATACTTATTCCTAATTCCCGACCTCATTAATTTTCACACTTCGATTGATAAATTGGGTACTTTTGCCTCTTCAAATAAAGTAACTAATAATTAGGGAAGGAAAAAAAGGAAAAAGAAAAGGAAAAACTAATCAAGGAAGGAAAAATAGTTATTTTTTGGGAAAAAATAAGTGAAAAAGTGACAAATTATGATGGGAAAATTAGTGTTTTTATGGGTTTTTCTGGACAGAAGGTGAAATTTTTAGCGAAGGAAACTCAACAAAAATTAGAAGGATAAGCTGGATTTTTGCGTGAAAACTGATAGTAAAAGTATTCTCGCGCACCTCAACACACTAAATAAATATCTCGGCAAAAATTGGAGTCACTTTCTTTCTTTTATTTACAAACTCTTCGCACAATTCGCACATTATTTTATCTATGATAATATAATAACAATCATTAATATTATTACACAGTAACGCGATGACGAAAAACGAGAATTTTTCAGCGGATAAATGAAAAGATATATCATTTAATATGTTTAAGCGAGCGATTATGTTTGTTTTATGATGGTGATTAGACAGATTAGGCGGAAAAAACGATGAAAAAAAATTATTCGAAGAAAAAAGTACTGTAGATTTCAAGGCGCAGTGTGAAATGTGTGTGGGTCTTGTAGCGAACAGTGAAGCGCCCGTGGATTTTCGAAAATGTGCGTTTGAAAAAATATTTTCTTTTTTTCGTTTTTTCAAGTTTTTCGCCTATTTGAACTGTTTTGCAAGCCTGCGCTGTAGTTTTCATGTTTAAATATGTGTCTTCCGGTAGAAATTGACCAGCTGAGCTGTCAGAAACTACGCAAATCAACCTTGAACATGAGTTATGCAGCAAAACACGAAAACTCAGAAAATTGTTAATTTTAATTGCTAGAACTCAAATTTTTCAAATTTGCTACGGCATAACTCATTTTCAGAGTTGAGATAAGTTTCTTCCGACAGCGGGATCATGATGATCTATTAGAAATTCACCAGAAAACAAACATTTCAATAGAAATCTCAGAAGGTCCCTTTGCAAATCCCTAACTCAATTTTTTGAAAATTTATCTGCAATCTTTCCGCAACTAGTCCGCATTCTCGCCATTTCAAAATTGTAAATTTTTGAAAAATGAGAAGAATTTTCATTTTCCCAAGTTCACGCAGTCACGTTTCGAAATTCGTGTTTTTCAACATTTTTGTAATTTTCCCAAGGCCCTTGGAATTTCTCCAGGCAAATATTTATCACAGAACAAAAAACATTTAACAATAGCAATTTCGAAAGGCCGTACTTTAGAAAAACAATGATCGTGTGAAAAAATGTGTGTTTTCACAAAACAATAACAATAGTAGCCCCCAACAAGAAAAAAAGGATCGATTTTGAAAAATGGAAAATATGTTTTGTTTTTTCTCAAAAGGGGGCAAGACAGCCTTGAGTGTGTGATATCAACCAGGCCGGTCGGTTACTTTTGAAAAATACGAAAGAAAAAGTTGCAGGCGAGAAAAAAAGAGACAGATATTTAGTTTTTCCAGTTTTCAATTTAGGCGGAAACTTGTTATCGTGCAATTAGAAGAAAAGGTACTTTGATACTGAAAATGCAAAAAAAGCTTTTCTCGCCTTCTAAAAAGAAAAGCGAATGAATTGGTCTATTGAACTGTGACTGATCCCAAAACAAATAAATCCCAACCCAAGCCAAGACAATTTGACACTTTATCCGTTTTTACAACAATAACCAACAAAAAATAGTGTGATCAAACAATATTGACGACAATTTGTCCATGAGCTCCTTGATTTTCTAAAATATCCGTATGCGCCTTTGAAATTTCTTCGAATTTATAAGCTTTGGCAATACTTGGTCGAGATTTCGTCTCACTTAAAAATCTCCCAATTTCTTTTCCATATTCCGAATATTCTTCAGAAGTTGAGAGTCCAAGGGCGACACCGAAAATCGAAGTTTCTCCAGCCATTAATTGTCGCGCATTGATTGTGGTTTCCGCTCGATTTCCAATCACAGCAACTTTTCCACCTGCTGATAATAAAGATAAATCATTATTGAGATTGATGTGCGCCGCCATTTCGAATATGAAATTGAAACCGTTCGGATAGTTTTTCTTGATTTCTTCGATATATCCGGTTTTTCGATGATTGTAGGCGTTTTCAGCTCCGAGTTGTTTAACATATTCTAAACCGGTTTCAGTCCCGGCGGTTCCGATTACTTTTATATTTTTCCATTTAGCGAATTGAACTATAGCCGAGCCAACTCCGCCAGAAGCACCGTGAACTAGAATCGTGTCACCAGTCTGAAAATTTATCAGATATTGTTTTGTAAGACTTTTTGTATCTCCAAAATTAGTTAGTTTAATCGTAAAGCTTCATGTGTGTAGAAGTTTTTGCCCAAGAATGTGATAAACAGAAAGTGATTTCAAATCCAATTCTCCTCAAAATAATATTTTGAAACGTATTTCTCACCTTTGCTCTTGCCAATGTGAAAAGTGCTCTATAAGCTGTCATATATGGTACACCCAATGCAGCACCTTGCTCGAATGTGACATCTAAAGAAAATAGGATTTTTGGCCGGAAATTTGACGAGATTGCGTCATTTCTTTGTTTGGGGCGGCTGATTACCGGAAAATATTGATATCATGTTAGAAGGGGACTTTTGAGATAATTAAATACCAGGGAGATTTACGTTTCGAAATTTTTTTGTTTTGGAGAAATAGGACCTTTGATCTTAATAAGAATAGTTTCGGCATTTTTGTTAGCAAAATAAAAACGAGTCACAAGCTTTGAAGAATCCATGTTCCTTTAAAACTTGACTTCTTGATGATTCATAACAATTAAAGGAGCATGGATAATGTTTTTTGGGTCTTGAAACGATTTCGAATACATAAATCGGAATTTCAAAAAAAAATACATTTTCAAAATTCACACCTGGGCTGCAGCTGTCCTAAAAAAAAGTTTCGAAGTGTGAAATTTGGTTTTTTAAGGAAATTTTTACTAACGAAACCAACATGTTTCCCTTGGAAAATTTTTAAATGTACAGTTTTTTACTGGATAATTTCGCACAGCTTATTTTTCGGACCTGTTTGTCTATTTTTGTCTTTTATTCAAAAATGAATTGAATCATGAGATTTTCAAATCTAAAAAAATTAAAATTGGCTTTATCTTTCAGTTTTTAAGCTAAAAAGATCATAGGCCTAGTCAGATTTCGAATAAAACTGCATTTATCATCAAAAATTGTGCATCTATAATTCAATAAAATTCCCATTTCCACCCAAACCAAATCAATACTAACAAGTTTCATCATGTAAATTCTGCTCATTTCTTCTTCTTCCAAGTTCGCCTCCCCGAACAATGCAAATTAGCGCGAATACACTTGAAACACGAGAAAAACTCGGCCATCTGTCATCATTTTTATTTAATCGAAACATTGGATTCACTTAAATATGTTTTATTTTTCGATTTGATGAGTTTTCTCCTAAACCCTTTCAAATTTTTTTCCAATTTCAATCAAATATGATTGCATAACATAAATATTTCCTATGATCCTTTTAATCACTGTCTCTCTGTCTATATTATCTCACACAGAGGGTCCCTGCCTGACATAAATGAATAATTACAAATAACAATCATCATACCATCTGGGAGTTTGAATACAACATCTGCCGCTGTGAATTGAGCCGTTGATCCGCCGTTTGTCAACATTCCATACCAAACACGATCGCCGATTTTGAGATTATTTTTCACATCGCTGCCGATCTGAAAACTATTTATCATTTTATCAATTCCAATGAGGATTTTTCCTTTTTTCCTACCTCTTTCACAATTCCGGCTCCATCTTTTCCTGGTGTATAGGGAAGTTGCGGTAATTTTGCGTATAATCCACTTCGAATATAAGTGTCCACTGGATTTACGCCGGCTGCTTTGTTGTTTACCAGAATCTGAAATTTAAAAATTTAAATTTTAGCAATTTTTTCGATAGACGTGTACATTATTTCTAGTTCACGCTTTGTAATTTGTTTCCCAAAGCATCCGGGAATTTCTAATTTTAATAACATTTTCAATCAGGTTGTAAGTTATGTCCTTTCAAAAATTGTCGATAATTTTTCAGGAAAATTTCGGTATCTTTCCAATTTTTGGTTGTTTTTTGATAATTTCACATGTGACAGAACTCTTGAATTTCAAAAAGTTTGAAACTAAACTCTTTTCCTACAGAAATTTTGAAAAATTCCCTTTTTTTTAAAGGTTTTTCTTAAGTTTTAGTTTATAAACTCTAAATTCTTCGTTATCCGGTTCAAAGTTCCGCTAAATCCCATTCCATATAAAAATCTCACCTGATTCGGCTTCAAACTCGGAATTTGTACATCATTCACAATTTCAATAACATCTGCTTTCCCAAAACTTCGAACCAAAGCAGCTCGCATCATTTTTCTCACTAAAAAAATGAAAAAAACTTAGTTTATAACCACGAAAAATGATGATAATTCAACAAAATAACGGTTTTTGAACCCAGCAAAAGTATTCGTTTCAATTGTTTTCCTTGCATCATTCAATTCAAAGTGTTTTTTATTTGGCGCGACCTTGAAAAACAGCCAAGACAAGCAAACGCGCTCCATCGCAAATCTTATATTGAACCAAAGAGAACGCGGGCAGCTGCAGATGCTGGCTGCTCTTTTTCGTGCATGTTTCTTCTTCTCTCTCGCATTTTCTTCCCTTTTTAGCTTGTTTTCTCCCCTTTTCTCAGTTTCATTAAAAGGAACCCTTTTTAATTTTTTTGTGGAAGTTCGAATTCGAAAAAACTGAAATTTTTATTGTTTTGCAGGTAGTTCGATCGGTTTTTCTTCTTTTTACAAACAAAGGAAAAATGGGTGAGTTTCGAAATATTTTCGTATGATAAAATCTTGTCGCTGAAGTTAGCTCAACTCTGAACGTGAGCTATGATGTGGAAAAACCTGGAGATTTTGAAAAATCGTGGAACAAGGCTGTATATTGCTTCAAAAATACGTTGATAATGCTTGATTTCATAAATTCGAAGAGCTTTTCGAAAATTCAAAAGATTTTGTGTATAACTTAGGGTAACTTATGTAATTGGACCTTCTGAACAATATCTTCTCTAGAGTTGTTCAGAAGGTACAATTACATAAGTTACTCTAACTTGTTCACAGAATCTGTTGAGTTTTCGAATAGCTCTTCGAATTTTTGAAATCAACTCGCTTTTGAAGAAATTTATTGCCTTGTTCCACGATTTTTCGAAATCTTCCCGGAATCCTGATTTTGTTAATCAAGTTTCATCCGAAAACTTGAACCAGAAGCTCATAAGAATCCCTGTAACTGATATTTTTGCAGTCGATGTTCCACGAAACTTTCGTCTGTTAGAAGAATTGGAAGAGGGTCAAAAAGGAAAAGGAGATGGTAATATTTCGTGGGGTTTGGAAGATGATAGCGATATGACATTGACCAAATGGACAGCATCGATTATTGGACCACCCAGGGTTTGTCTTGATTTTTCGCTGAACACCAAAAAGCAATAGCCCCATTTTCAGACACCATACGAGAGCCGAATCTACAACTTGCAAATCCTTTGCGGTCCAAATTATCCACGAGAACCGCCAAGCATCAAATTCACCACCAAAGTTCATATGGTTGGAGTGAATCAGAGCAATGGAACGGTTTGTGATGTTTTTGAGGGGGGAATTTTGGATTACGAAATCGTTAATCTGATATTTCGTAATAATTGTGTTGCACCCTGTTCTCTGACATTTTGAGAGTTGATCTAACTAATAATTAGCTAAAGGTCGCTGAAAAATTGAAGTTTAGGACGAAATTATCGATTTTTCACTTGCATTTGATTCGAACTTTGATATTTTCACAGTCTTATGAGTTTTTAAGCTTGAAATTTAGAAGTTTATGAATTGAGCTCCAAATTTGAAAAGACGCAAGCCCTAGTCTCCCAATTTTCAGATCGAAAAGCGCAATTTGTCAACATTGCGAAACTGGAACAACGGCTACATGATCAAAAACGTGTTAGAAGATATTCGCAAAAATATGATGATGGCCAAAGAAAACATGAAACTACAACAACCGGCCGAAGGAGCCATGTATTAGTTGTATAGAATTCGGCTCTTTTTCTCCCCCGTTTTTCTGATATTTTTCTTTATATTTTCCTCCTCCATTGTAGTTATATTCTCTCGGTGATTTTATTCATATTTATTTTCTGGACCCTTCTCCCGTTTTTTATAAATTACACACTTTTTTGAAGATTTTATTGATTTTTTTCATTTTTTTTTTTGCGAATACGAGTTTTGATAACTCTGAAATACCTTTATTTTCAAAATATTTTTGATTAAAGACAAAGGAAAATTGAGAGATTCTAGACGAAAAATTAAATTTTCGAACTAAAAAAAAAAAGCTTCCGAAACTGCATCTGAAAAGTTACCCTAAAACTTTTTTCGCCTGGACTCTCTCAATTTCCTGTTGTCTCTAATCAAAAAATTTTCTGTATAATATTTTTTCCACCCCGAATTCCTAATCAATAATCTTTCAGATGTCGTACGAAGATTTGCAGCCAGTAAAATTCGAGCCGCAATATTTGCAACGTCCCACATTTCAAACGCAACCACTTTCGCACTATGAAACTCCGCCACCTGCACAAATCTCCACACCTCTATCAATGCCTCATATTATGTATGAGAATTATACGTATCTCCAGCCACCCATCGAATATTTGGGACAAACTCCACATTATCAAACGGCTGGATATCCGGAAAATACTCATACAAATTTGACAAATTGTCCGGATACAACAGCTTCACCGATGGTTATGACGACACCATTGAATCATAATATTGAATCGAAACCTGTGGCCTTCTTACCTTCAGCTTCGAAATCTGCTGTTCCTTCGACACCCAAAAATAATGGGACATCGAATAAAAGAAAGTTGTCGATGATTAGCAATGGAACATCGAATGATTTGGATAGTGATGAATTATCGGAAGAGGTTACGAATCATTGGATGCCTATGACGTGGATTGAGAGGAGTTCGGATAATGCACAAGGTAAGGGATTATTATCGAGGAGAGAGGAAGACCTCATCAATCTTGAGAAAAATGGGTCACGTTTGAAATTCGAAAAATTAAATTTCACGTGGCGAAACTATTCAGGTTTTTGTAATTTTGAAAAAAATCGCTTTTCAATTAATTTCTCGAGATTTGTTCTATCTTAATTTAATTTTCAAAATGAAGTGAAATTTTGAGGAAAATCAAATTTTTAGCGCAAATTTTTTCACCAGAAAAAAGTGCATGGTCAATTTTCAATGAATTATAGTGAAATCTACGAAATCTACCACGCTGATCACGATCCAGAAGTTAAAAACCCGAAACTTTTACTTTGGAGCTCTGAAAACATGCTCACAGGGTTCTCAGGTCATTTTTGACTTTGATATCGTGATCAGCGTGCTCGATTTAGTATATTTCATCAATGTTTTATCGAAATGCACTTTTTCCAGCGAAAAAAGTTTGTGCTAAAAATTTGATTTTCCTCAAAAGTTCACATCATCGTGGAAATTGAATTTAAATAGAACAAATCTCGAGATTTTCATTGAAAAAGGGTTTTTTTTTCAAAAGTACAAGGGCTTGGCGAGGAATTGATTTCACTGTATTTTTTTTTGCAATTCGAGGGAGACGCAGACTTTAACGTGGGCAGACAAATCTCTCGCCGAAAAAGGGAGAGAAATAGTGTGTGGCAGACACACAGCGTGTCGAGACCAGCGAGTGTCTGCGTCTCCTCGAAATTGCATTTTTCTATTGGGAAAAAACACAGTGATTTTTTGCGAATTTCAAACGTGACCCAGTTTTTTTCTGATGTTTAATTTCTTCAAAAATTCATTTTTTTCAGTTTTCAATTTTGTTTGCCTCTGGGATCAATGTGTCGATCCGACTCCAACCAAACAAGAATTGATGTCTCATGTTTATTCGCATGTTGATGATTTGGCTGGAAGTTTGCAGTGTAAGTTTTCTCTCTCTCAAAAAAATATCCATTTTATCGATTTTTTTTGCAGACGATCAAAATACGGTGTGTTGTCGTGTTCGTGGATGTAAAAAGGTTTTGAGTGGAATCGAGGAGCTCCGCCGACACGTCACAATGCACATTTTCCAAGCTGATTGTCAACAAAAAGGAGCTGAAGCATTGTGTGAAAAGGAGGAATATTCGTGTGTTGAATGGTGGGTTTTTGGGCGGAAAATTCACTGTTTCAGAGATTTTACAAATTAAAATAGGGTTTTTTGATACGCTATGATATGGAAAAAATATAAAAAATTAGAGAAAAAAATTTTTGTTTGAAAAAATTCACTGTTTCAGAAAATTTCTATTAAAATTGTTATGGTTTTTGTTATGATGGAAGAGTGTTGTAGTCAAAAAATCTAGGAGAACTTTGTTTTTTTCGAAGTTCTATCAGAAATGTTTGAAAGATTTGAAGCTTTTTGTTCAAAAAAAATTCACTGTTTCAAAAATCTCTTATAGATTTTGGTCTGATTTTTGCTATGATAATATTGCGCATTCGAAAGAAAACTAATTCTACTAATTTTCATTCGAAAACTCATGATCTTGTTTCGAAAATTCAGCTGGAATTTTGAACATGTGAAATTAATTTTTTACCCAAATTCTAAGTTTTTGTTCTGAAAAATATCACTGTTTCAAAAGTTTATCATATACTTTGGTCCGAAGTTTAATTTGATAATACGGCAATTTCATTTTTTGTAAAAAAAACAATAACAATTTCTTGTATCCTATTGAAAATCTACTGTTTCAAAGTTTTTTGAAATTCAGAAATTTTCTTTTTGAATCAATACGCTTTTAATTTCATTCAAAATTTCTATAAATAGTTGGGAAAATTTCTTTTTTAAATTTCACTGTTTCAAAATATTCATATAAATTTTTGATATTTATCTGACGACAATAAAGTTATTTTTCCAGCTGTGGTTTCGAATTGAATACAAATGTTCATTATGATGGTGAAGTATTATTATGTCAATGGAGTGATTGTGGAATACCATTTACATCAATATCCGATTTATTTGATCATGTTATAGCACACGTTGATCATATGCATGATATTGATAAAGTTGAACATGTTAATGAAACTGGAGACAAACGTATAGTATTTCCTTGTCGATGGTATAATTGTTATCAATTTGCTGATTCGAAAGCCAATTTGAAACGACACATTCGACATCATAGTGGAGAGAAGTTGTTTGCGTGTCCGTTTTGCGCGAAATTCTTCTCGAGAAAGGATAAATTGTATGATCATTGTATGCGGAGAACTATTATTTTGAATGAAACTGAAGAGCCATATGTGAGTTTTTTATTGGAAAAATGGGCGTTATGCTCGAAAGTTTTAGAAATTGAAAAAATCTAGAGCAATTAGGTTATTTAGCTTCAAAAATTTACTGATAAATTTTGTCTTGAAAAAATCTGAAATTCTTTGAGATTGAGCAAACACGAATCGCATCAAAAATTAATAATTTGGGAAGAATTACATTGAGATTACGAAACAGTGAATTTTTTGATTGAAAATGAGATTTATCGAAACCCAAAAAATTTCACTGTTTCAAGATTTTATGATATTTTTCTCTTGATTTAAAAGTTTTGATAATGCCGATTGATTTTTTGCAGAAATATTTCAAGCTTCAGAGCTCCAAAAAGCATAAAAATCTGTTTTGCTCTCAAAATTTCAAACAGAAAATTATTTTTTTGAATTCTCTAACATAAAAGAAATGTACAAAAAATTTTGAATCTGAAAATTATGCACATTTTTTGAAACAGTGAGATTTTTTAATATGAAATAAGCTCATTTTTCAATGAAATGTAATGGAAACAAGTAATCTATCAAAAATATAACTATGCGAAAATTATAATTTGAAATTGTGAAACAGTAATTTTTTTTCTCATTTATCATCAGAAAAAAATCTAAATTTTTATCATCAAATACCCCAATTTTTTGCCATACATAAAATGGGTCCCCAAATTCGGTGCGGGGGGCTTAACTTTTTCGAAATTTTTTAAGGGAAGGGGGTCTAACTTTGATGAATTACATAATTTCTGTTTTTTCAGAGTCAAAGTCCAACTGGAATTTTTTTGTAATATTTTTTATTTGTAAAAATATAACATTTTATTATTGCTTTCTAAATAATCTGCAACTCGATCGGCGTTGGCAGAGTCTGGCCCAGAAGAACAAATGTATATATACAAGTAGCTTGTTCAATTTTTTTTAGCAACGGATTTGGAAACTCCAAAAATCGCCTTCATCATTAAAAACTTTGAAAACACAGTTGGAACTGGACTGAATTTGTCGATCGATTTTGAGTTTTTCTTTTTCTACCAACCTCCATTTGCCACTCTTTCTACAAAATTTAGCTCAATGAAATTCTATTGTTTTGCTTCAAAAACTTCGATGATTTTTTTGTTTTCTGATTCTACAAAAGCCGATTTTCTCAATCTGTCACTGGAACTCGAAACCTCGACGGATCATTCAAAACTAAACAAAAAACATCAATTTTGTAAACAAAACTCAGGTATGTTATGATGGGAAAAATAAGGGAAAAATTTAAAAATTTGAAAAAAAATCAAAAAAAAAATTTTTTTTATTCAAAATTTTTTCACCAAGAATTTTTTGGAACTACTTGACCAAACATGATGATATTTGGTACAAAGATACTTCAACTATCCTAGATCTAAGTTTAATAGACAATGTTCTCTGATTTTGCACCTCCCGTCTTTTCACCACCCCTCTTTGTCAAAAATCACGATTTTTGGTCAATTTCATGCATTTTCAGATCCTAATTCAATTTTTACTTCACCAATTCTAGTAAGACTTGGCACAAAGTAACTTCAACTATTGTTCTTCAAAATCGAAATGATACATGGGTAGTAAATTGCGTTTTCGGACACTTAGACACCCCGAACCTAATCCGGTGCGTATGGCCCCAAAAGAGGGGCGGGGTGTCTAAGTGTCTGAAAACGCAATTTACTACCAATGTATCATTTCGATTTTGAAGAACAATAGTTGAAGTTACTTTGTGTCAAGTCTTACTAGAATTGGTGAAGTAAAAATTGAATTAGGATCTGAAAATGCATGAAATTGACCAAAAATCGTGATTTTTGACAAAGAGGGGGTGGTGAAAAGACGGGAGGTGCAAAATCAGAGAACATTGTCTATTAAACTTAGATCTAGGATAGTTGAAGTATCTTTGTACCAAATATCATCATGTTTGGTCAAGTAGTTCCAAAAATTCTTGGTGAAAAAAAATTTTGAATAAAAAAAATTTTTTTTTGATTTTTTTTTCAAATTTTTAAATTTTTCCCTTATTTTTCCCATCATAACATACCTGAGTTTTGTTTACAAAATTGATGTTTTTTGTTTAGTTTTTGAATGATCCGTCGAGGTTTCGAGTTCCAGTGACAGATTGAGAAAATCGGCTTTTGTAGAATCAGAAAACAAAAAAATCATCGAAGTTTTGGAAGAAAGTCACAGATTTTTAAAGTTGAAGCCTGCAGTTTGTAAAACGTGGAAAGTCACGGAATTTTCGGCAGATTAAGAAGAAAAACTCAAAGTGGTTTATCTACAAAATTGTTCCATTTTATAGTTCCAACATAAGTTGATATCCATTTCCAGAGTGATAATTGATAAAGCCTCTCTCATTTTTTTTAAGAATAAATGAACAAGCCACTTGCATACATTTGTCCTTTTTTTGAGCCAAACTCCGACAATGCCAATCAAAATTCAAATTATTAAAAAAGCATTAACAAAATGATACATTTTTACAAATGAAATATACATTACATAAAAAATTCTTTTAAAAAATGAAAGGAAAGAATCCGATTCGATTTCGTCTCTGAAAAAATTAGATTATATGGGAAGGAATATAATATTTGAGAATGGGCAGTGCTGAAACAGTAGATTCTTGAGTTTTGAATTTGTCTGATTTTTGTCAAAAATTTTTTAAATCTTTTGAATATAGTTCAAAAGTTAGAGGAAAGGGGGGGGTTAACTTTTGAAAAAATTTTGGGAGGGGTGCTTAACTTAAAAAATTTACGTGGGGGACCTATTTTATGTATGTTTTTTGCAGGTCTGTAAACTGTGTCAAAAAGGATTTGGAACCGAAAAAGCGCTTTGTATGCACGTTACACGACATGTTATGACTCATAGTTGCCCACTTTGTGGATTGGGAGTTTCGAGAAGAGCCGATTTGCATCGACATTTGATGTTGAAACATTCGAGTCGAACTAGAGATCATAAATGTGATGGATGTCCCAGGAAATTCTTTTCGGAGGTTTGTTTGGGAATTTTTTTTTTTGAAGAATGATGTTTTTGAAAATATTCACTGTTTCAAAAAAAGTTTTAATTTTTCATGAAATGTGGGGCTTGCTATTGGTTGTGTTCTGATATCCATGATCTTCGAATTTTAGAAAATTCTTGGGCCGATAAAGGTTCCACATTCTTTAAAAAATAGATTTTTCAAAGTTAATTTGAAGTTTAAAAAAAGTTGTCAAAAATTCACTGTTTCAAAAACTTTTTGATTTCTCAAAAAAAAAAAAATAAAACTGTTAGTTCGATAGATAGCTCACGAAAATTTACTGTTCCAAAATTTAGATGAATTTATTGTTTTTGATGCAAAGATCATGGTGCTTTGGATGGATTCTAATCTAAAATTCAATTTTCATTTAATTTCACTGTTTCAAAAAATAATTATAACATTGAACGTTTTTTGATGAATGATTCATGGTTTCCTTCGAGTACAAGCTAATTTTCAGAAAATATCATGGAAATCTCACTGTTTAAAATTTTTTGGACACTATTTTAATTTAATTTTCCTTGCTTTTCGAGACTCGAGGCAAAAACAAAAAAAAATGATTTGAAAATTGACATAAATTTTTTGAATTGAAAAAAATTCACTGTTTCAAATATTTTGTATCCAAAAAACTTTCCAAAGTAAGTAATTATATGATTTGTTTTATGGGCCTATGCAGAATAATATTTTGTAATAAAAAAACATAAAAAAACATTTTTTTCCTATGCAGAAAAACGTCGAAAAAACAAAATAAAGATAACGTGAAATTGAGAGAGCGCAGACATAAAATGGATTTTTTTTCTGCACTCTCTCAACTTTACGTTGTCTCTACTCAAAATAGTAAACTGTATATTTTGTTTTTTCGACGTTTTTCTGCATAGGAAAAAAATGTTTTTTTTATGTTTTTTTATTACAAAATATTATTCTGCATAGGCCCATTACTGTTTCAAATTTTGATGAAATCAATTAAATTAGCCCTCGATATCACTTGATCTGTTTCCCTATTTTAAATTATATTATTCTTATTTTCAGAGTGAATTGGCACGCCATGCTGTAATGCACACTGATACAATGTACAATTGCAAATTCTGCCCCGAAAAATTCAAGTGGAAAAAGCAGTTGTTGAAACATTTGAAAGAACATGATGAGGTTTGTCTCGGTTTTTTTGTTTTGAAAATTTAAATCTCAAAATTTTTAGAACTACAACCCAACTCCATACGTTTGTCATTTGTGCGAGAAGAATTATTCGGCCGGATTTGCGCTAAGTCGCCATTTGACACATCAACATCATTATGCGGTGCCTTACGGGTTTAGTAGGTGAGTGATTTTTGAAGATTTAAAACGGGGTTTTCGTGCTGAAAATTTGTTTTGAAATGTGAAAATTGAGATTTTCTAGGTCAAAAATATCTGAAAAAACCAACATTTCATGTTTTTCAGCTCAAAAGTTGATAAAATTTTATCTTTTTCACTATAAATCCCTAATTTTTCCAGATTCACTTACAAAAAATGTGCGGATGGTTTAATGCGGCTCCAAACCAAGAAACTCTATGCGAATGAAGATGAATAATCAAAAACTCCATTTTTCTCCCAAAATACTTCAAAAACATTCCAAAATCGCTCCTTTTCATGGCATTTTCTTTAAAAAAAAAAATCAAAAAAACATTCCATTTTTTCTCTCTAAATTATTATTATTTCTCCCCTAATAATTCGTGTGTATTTTCGATCTCACTTATCACTTTGTATTTCTCTAATTACATGTACCCCCTCTGCAAACAATTATTCTGAAAATTTTCCCAAAAAAAAAATCTACTTTTTTTATTCCGATCTCACCTCTCCGTTTCTCTACTTTTTATGATATAAAATTTTGAAATTTTAATTTTTTTTTGTTTTTTTTTCTTCAATTGGAAATGGTCAAGCCCAGCTTTTTATCTGAAATAAGTTATGACGTGGCAAATTTTGACCAAAAATCCACGTGGATTCTGAAAAGACTAGAAAAATTCGCCACGTCATAAATAACTCATTCGCAATTTTGTTCGTTCAGATGTTGTCATCTCGAGTTATCCGAAGTCTAGCCGGCCCCCGCAGCCTCAATCGATTTTTTGAGCGTAAAATCTTGACCCCCGCATTTTCGCTGGAAAAAGAATGGGCTGCGCGGCATGAAGAGTTAGCCAAACTTGGTTTGGGAGGAGATTATGAATGGATTTCGGCGGTGCAGAAAAAGTTTATTGGTGGCGGATATGCGAGTGCTGTGGATGTGGATGCGGCGATTTGTGTGGCTGAACAGAAAGATCAGGTGGGAGATGGATTTTCAAGAGGGGATTTTTGGAGCCAAAATTTTTAATTTCCACCAGTTTGAAAAATTTGAGAAAAATATAAACACGACTTTTCCAAAAATCATTAGAAATTTTTAACATTTTTGAAACAGTAAATTTTTGACCAATTCTTCAAAAATCGAAACTCAAAGATTCCAATGAAAATGTTATCAAACAAATCAAATTAAAATTTCACTGTTTCAACTTTTCCATGAATAACCAATGTTTCTTTGTAATATTCTGTAATAAGAACAAATCATGTTTTTAAATAATTTGAAACTTATTTTGTTCAATTTATCGTTTTCTGAAACATTTGCTCACAACTTTTTTTTTTCTAAAAATTGGCTGAAAATGAGTCATTTTAAGCTGAAAATCATGAAAAAATTGAAAATCATGAAAAATTTTTAAAAAATTTTTTGAATTCTTTTTTATCACTCGCAGTTTATAATAAAGCAATCAATTCGAAATTCCCTTGAAAATCATATCAACAAATTTTGAAACGTATATTTTCCACCTTAATTTTTCATATTTTCTCTACAGGTCGATGATACAATTGAACTTCTCTACAAACTTCGTCATAGCGTAAAAGCGGCTGAAAAAGCAGATTCGAGTGAATATGCGATTATTAGATTGCTTTTGAAGTATCAACCGGATATTATTTTCACATTGGCTAATGATAGTGTGAGTTTTGAACTTGAAAATTTGGAAAAGTGATGAAAACTTGAGTTTTGAGCCATTTTTGAGCTCAAAAATACCTTTTTTGCAGATAAATTACGGTGTATTTTTGAACGAACATTCGGCTTGTTTGGTTATCGATCATTTTTTGAAAACGAATAATATCCAAGGAGCCGCCAGAATTGTTTCATGGGTTATGCAACAAGAACAGACGGAAAATGAATTGTTGAATTTGCTTGGTGAGTTGGATTTTTGGAGGGAGGGAAATTGCTGATTTTTGTCCGGAAACAATGGATGATGAATCGATAGTATTTCACGTCGACCCACAAAAGAACAAACTGCTGCAATGGGTTTGAGACAGAATGCATCAAAATGCAAAAAAACTACTGAACCATTTCGAAAACTGATTACATATTCGTGATGAGCGTGTTAAAATCTATGGAAATAAGGATTTTCATGAATTCTAGTCGATTTTTTTCTTGTAGTACGTTGAGGAAAAACCGAAAAACCGTACACCCATTGCAGCAGTTGGGCCGACGTGATTTGTATTGTTGGAGCTTGTTTTTAATTTGAAACAGCGAAATTTTTTCTCCAATATAATAAGAAAGAAAAAAATTGAAAAAACATAGTCTATTTATATTCCTAGACGATTTGAAACAGTAACTTTTTATTAGCAAAACTAAGGTAGACTTAACTTGCCGCTTTGCGGAAGATAGCGGAAAGACTAGCGGTACATCCACGAGTCTTGAAGTAGACTAAGATAACCTAGCTGTAATTTGCATACAATATTTAACTTATGATTGATTTTCGAGTGTAGTTTTAAAATTTGGTTTAAACTTGAAACAGTGAGATTTTCATTCATTTTATTTAAATTGAAAGGTCTATATTGAGAAAACATAGTTTCTAGAGATTTGTAGCATATTTTTTTTATATATCTCAATGGAAAATTGAATTAAAAATATTATTTTAGAGTTTTGTTTTGCATCTGAAACAAAACTTTCTATTTTTATAAAGCTGAAAAAATTATTAAGAAAGAATAGTTTCGGATTTTTACAAACATTGAAAAAGTAATTTTCAATTAACAAAAAAAATCTTAATTGATCAAAACTAATTTTCGCTTTCAAATTAAAATTCTAGCTTGAAACAGTGATTTTTTGACCAATTTTTTCAAGCGAGATTATTATTGATATGTATAATCTAAGATTTAATGTAATTTTGTAGCTGAAACAGTGAAATTTTTGGTTAAAAAAATTAGAATTAGAAAATTCAATAATTTGACAGATTCATAGAAAATTTGAAACAGCGTTTTATTACATGAACATCATGCATCGAAAATGATCGTTGATTTTCAAATTTTATTTTTATTTGAAACAGTGAATTTTTCTAAACTGTTCACAATTTTTGAAATTTTTTATTTTTGGCAAAAAGTTGAAGTAAGAGAAATTATGTTATGTTTCAAAATAACATTGTAAAAATAGTGTTTTAAATACTTGAATGCTTCTGATTTCTTGAAATTTAATCCGAATATTTTATTGTGGGTGTTTGAAGGAATGACATTGAGAATAAATTCCGCTGGTTTATAAAACTTTATTTTGAAACAGTGAATTTTTTATTCAAAAATCTTATTTGTTTTTCCTGGAAAAATCAACCATACAATTTTTCAGGCCTATATGTTTGCTCAAAATGGGTCGAACTTCCAATTGATCAACAAACTATGCCATTGGCTGAAGAAAATGATGAAGATGTTAATGAAGATGATATTGTGAGTTTATTAATTAATTACCTAATTAATTAAAATTTCCCATTTTCCAGAGAACTTTCAAATTTCCTTACCTGAAAAATGAGTATTTTGATGAGCATTTTGATTTGAATAATGCTCAACATTTGGTTGGAAAATCGATACTTTGGATTTCGCGAGATTCGAAAACGCTTTCACAAGAAGTTCGGAATGATTTGCAATTCCTCGGTGCAATTCTATTCGAAAAATCAATGTTGGCCGAATCTTTGGCTTCCCCAAAAATCTCGAATTCGGTTAAGAATTTGGTGAAACAACGATTGTTGCCGAAGGAAGAAGGAGCTGAAATGACGGAAAATTCGAAGAAGATTTTGGAGAAATTGGGAGAGTTTGAGGAAAATCAGGAAGGAAATCAGAAATTGAGCGAGGTTTTGGGAGAGGCTTTGAAGAAAATACAAGGAGAAGAAGAGGCGAAATTGTGTGGAGAACAGAAAAGAATATTTGGAGAATGGAATGAGAGACGAAGAGAGTTGAGTAAGGCACAGGCCGAGAAGGTTTTGTTGAGAGTGAGTTTTTTGGGAAGGGAATTTTAATGAGATTCACACAAAGTTACAGAAAATTCACAGATTTCCAATTAAAAATTCTTGATTTTCAGTTGAAAATTTGAGCCCATAAATTTTAAGAATTTTTATTTTAAAAAAATTTGAATTCGCTAGAGAAAATTTGGCACCAAACTTTTTTCTTTTTCAAAAAATTACTGTTTCAAAATTTTTGCAAGTTTTCAATCATTTAGGAAAACTTGTTAAAGTCTGCTTTCCATGGTTCGGAACATTTCAGAATATAAATTTAAAACTATTTTTAATTTCGAAAAAAAAATACTGTTTCAAAAATTTTCTAAATTTTGAGGAATTTGTTTTTCAGTGATTTTCCGTCAAAATAATTTCCTAGAAAATTCGACATGAAAAATGATTTGAAGAATAATTTAGTTTTTGGAAATAAATGTTTGAAAATTTTAATTTTTCCTGGAAAATTTTGTGTTTTGTTACAAAAAAAAATACTGTTTTAAAAATTTGGTAAATTTAGAAGTAGTTGTCTGTTGGATCAAAAACCATCTAAAAATCTAAGTTTTCTCTAACAATAAGATTCCCAGAAAATATCAATTAAATTTAATTTAAACTACTTTTCCAAAGATATTTTACCTCAGCCTTTCAGTTTCCATGGTTTTCGATTAAATACGTTTCAAACATTTTTCATTTGAAAAATTTAAATATTTCATTGATAGACTATTTGGTGGCTCTGAACGGAAAAAGAGGGGTTTAGGAAAAAAGAGGGGTTTTCGAAAACTTGATTTTTCAAAAGCTTGAAACGATATTCAAAAGTTGGTTTCAGAAGTTGCTTTTGTTCAGAATTTCAATCTTAATCTGATCCTTGCGCTCAAATTTTATGAAAAGTGAAAATATTCCCACATTTGAGAGCATAAAGTTTTGAAAACCCCCTTTTCTTTCGAAATTCTCAAAACCTGTTTTTCAACTCCCGTATTCTGAAAAATTTACAGAAACGAAACACGGGCACGTCAAAATATGTGACACATATTATGTGTTTAAAAAAAAACATTTTTCTAGGGTTTAAAAATGTTTTTAGATATTTTCTCAAATTTTTTCAAACTAGTAAACAGAGTTTTGCGTCATAAAAAACCACGTGGCAAATTTTCAAATGTAATTATTTTCTTTGCAGGTCCGCGAAGAAGAAATTGTTGAAGAGCTCAAAAAATTGGACAAAATGGAAGAACAAATGAACTTTTTTCAAAAATCGTCTAAAATGGGAAAAACGAGCAAATGAAAATGAGGAAATTGAGAGAGAAACACAAATTCGACACGCCAAAAAAGCTGCAAATTCATAGATTTTTTATTTTTTTGTTTGTGAGAAAAGTAGGATAGATTATCATTGTTTTCTTTTTGTTGTTATGAATTTTTTGAATTGAAAATTGGTTTTGAAATTGAAATTGAGAAGTTCTGAGCTTCAAAAATATCTGGATGCCTGAAATTTTGAAGAAAATCGAGAAAATTCAGGAATTTTACTACTAATATGAGCAATCAAAATCGAGTGCGCGAAATTGAAAGCAGATCGAAAATTAGTGAGTTTTTGGGGGAGAAGTTGGAATATCAGCTGATTCTGAAGTTTTTGGATTTTCCTGAAATTTCAGATTTCACTGAAAATGGAATTTTCAAATTTTTCATTTGTGATTTCTCTACATTTGAAAAGAAAATTAGAAATTTCAAGTATTTCTGAATAAATGAAAATTTTGAAACAGTCAAAAAATTTTACAATAAGATCCGAAATTAACAAATTTTAAATTTTTGAGAAATTATAGAAAGATATTTTGAAACAGTGAAATTTTGAGAACAATATTTTATGTTTTTCTTTGTCACTAAAAAACAATTTTTCTAAAAAAAATTCCTTTTTTCCAGTCGCTGATCGAATAACTGAAAGCGTGAAACTTCTCGACAATGAACCATCTCTGGCACTTTATAGATTACAAGGTAATTTTTTTGCTGGCTGAAAATTTCAGCCAAAAATCCACGATTTCTTTCAGAACATGTTGTTCGAAGTTTGCCTGGATTAGTAAATCGACGAATTTTGTTGAATCAACAATCAGCAACTTTATCCGGAGCACAATTCGATTTGGAAAATGCACTTGGGTTGGTTTTTTTTTCACTGTTTCAAAGATTTGATTTTTCATAAAAACTGTTTGAATTTTAGTAAATTAGTTTCAAAATGTGCTAAATTTTTCCGTTGTTTATTACACGCTACGTTTGATTTTCAGTGATATGAAAATTCGGAAACAGCGAAAAATTCTAGTCCCAATTTTTCACTGTTTCAAAAAATTACATGTCTTCAGATTTTAAAATGCTTTTCTCGATAGCTCTTCTAATGCTGTTTCTGAAATCATTAATATTTAATGCCCCGAAATTAGGCTAAATTAGTTTCAGAAACAATCGGAATAAAAATTTTTCCACGTCATAACTAGTTTCGGGTTAATTGTGAACATTCTTATTACGAAATTTGCAAAAATCTCTGAATCCCCAAGCTCAAAAAATATCCAAATTCCTTGAAACAGTGAAGTTTTCCAGAACCATTCAAAATATGCAAAAAGCCGATTCATCTTTCGAAAATTCGATTGAAATGCTCAAAAATTGCATGTTTTTCAAACAACAATTAGATTTCGATTCAACGAGAAGGGTAATTTTGAAAAATATGATGAATTTTGTGAATTTTTTGTGAATTTCAGGTTCAAAATAGTGATATGTCAGCAAAAGGAAGAAGTAAATCATTGCATAATGTGGCAACTCGAGCAAATTCGGTTAATGATTGATTTTGCAAAAAATTAATCAATAATTTGTAAATATATAATTTTTTCATAAAGATCTCAAAAATTAATAACAAAAACAAGAACAAAAAACAAGAATTTCAGTTAATTTAAGAAAATTGGACCAAATTTAACAATGAGCAATCGATTTGAATTTGTTGACAAGTTTCGCACAAACAATCCGAGCAATTTTCGATTTCGCAAAATTTGCAAATATTTTTGAAATTTTCGGATAAATTGTGAATTTTGCCGGCGGTGGATAATACCGTATTTATTGTGGACTGCAAAATTATTGATTTTTATGGAATCAAGAGCCTAAAATCAACGCGGAAATTCAAAAGAAACTCACATAGAATTTTTCGCCTTCCAAAATATTCACAAAATCGTCGGTGAGCTTTTGAATAGAAGAATTGGGAATTTTCGAGAAATTCGCAGGAAAATCGATGGATTTGTATTCTTGAAGTTGATTTACGAGCGATATTTCTTTTTTGCTGATTTCTCGAAGTGGACGAATGAAAATGAGAGAAGAAGAAGTGCGTTTGTCAAAAACTGAGACCAGAGAAGACAATGAACCGCCTGAAAAAATGTTTGAATTTTTGGAAAGAAAGGTTCGAAGCAGCATGAATCAAAATATTCTCTGAAATTTAGGGAAATTTTGAAACAGTGAAGTGAATAAATGAATAAAGTTTGAATTTTTGAACCGATTATTGAACAAAATATTGAAACAGTGAATTTTTTTTTTGAATAACTGAATCAAAAATGTGATTATACTCCGACATAAGTTCAAATATATTAGATAAATTTGAAACAGTGAAATATTGTTCGGGTTTTCAAACCATCTAGAATGCGGCGAGTTATTATAATCAAAAAATTCATAAAAATATTCAATTATCATAATATTCTATATCATCGCACCATTATTACTCAAATAATGTTCAAAAATTCGAAAACTTCTTGAAACAGTGATTTTTTTGTAATATTAATTGACCAAACCACAGAACAAACGTTTTCTCTAGAAATTTCTTCGTTTTCCGACAATTTTTGAAACAGTGAATATTTTTCCAACAATATTTTTTCAAAAAATACCTCTTCCCAAGCACAATTGCGCCAATGTCAATCGTCCCAAATCATCTGCATCATCAGCCAACATAATCTTATAAATTCCCGTCGATTTTGCCAGATTCCTCAAACATTTCTCCTTCAAAATTCGCTCAAATTCCAATCGATACGTCGTATTTTTCATCGAATTCACAATTTCATGATATTTTTCAATATTTGAGAGGCCGAAATCATTCGAGGAAGTGGAATTTGAAGAATCGATTGAAAATGCACGATGTGCCAGAATAAATTCAATATTTTCGGGGAGGATTTGTTGAAATTCTGCGATTTTTGGGCGAAAATCTTCGGCTTCTTGACGAGTTTCGGAATTTAGAAGGAGCACGATCTGCAAGAATTTTTATTCGTTTTTGGCCGATAAAATGTGGCCTAGAAACCGACTCGGTCACGTTTTTTTTTCATTTCAAAAATAAAAAATGTTTTTTTTTGGGAAAAAATAATTTTTTTAACGTGACCGTGAAACGTGTCATTTTTTTCTGCCAACACGATTTTTCCCCCTATAAAAGAGCCTCTCCTGCTCACTTTTCTTCACAATTGCTTCGAATCAAAGAGAAATTGCTTAAAGAGATGGCGAACACTGTTCCAGCTGACGTTCAAAAGAAAATCGAAGAGGTTAGTCAGAGGGCTTTTCAGACCACAGGGCCTTTTCCAAATACAAATTTACAGGGTTTCGCAAAATTGCAAGGAGCCGCCGACTGCAAATCGCTCCTCAAAAAGCATTTGACGAAGGAAGTCGTCGACAAAAACAAATCGAAAAAGACACGTTTGGGTGCCAGTTTGTTGGATGTTATTCAATCTGGTGTCGAGAATTTGGATTCGGGAGTTGGAGTTTATGCACCAGATGCTGAAGCCTATACACTTTTCTCGGATTTGTTCAATCCAGTTATTGAGGAATATCACAATGGCTTCAAATCGACTGATACTCAACCAGCAATGGATTTGGGAGAGAAAAATGTGGGTGACAGACGGTGTTTTTTGACCGGATTTTGTTCAAAATTTGATCAAATTTTGACCAAAAAACGAATAAAATATGATTTTATTCATTGCAGATCGGTGATTTGGCTGATTTGGACCCCGAGAATAAATTCATCGTTTCAACACGTGTTCGATGTGGTCGCTCGCTTCAAGGATATCCTTTCAATCCATGTTTGAACGAGACAAATTATAAAATGATGGAATCAAGAATGAAAGAAATCTTCGCTGGAATCACCGATCCAGAATTAAAGGGAACATATTATCCATTGACTGGAATGGACGAGGAAACCAAAAAGAAATTGATTGCTGATCATTTCTTGTTCAAAGAAGGTGATCGTTTTTTGAAAGCCGCCAATGCCAATCGTTTTTGGCCAACTGGTCGTGGAATATTCCACAATGAAAAGAAGACTTTCTTGGTTTGGGTGAATGAGGAGGATCATTTGCGTATTATTTCGATGCAAAATGGTGGAAATGTTGGTGAAGTCTTAGGTCGTCTTATCAAAGGATTGAATTTGGTGGCTGCGAAAGCGCCATTCTCAAGACATCCAAGATTGGGTTGGTTGACCTTTTGTCCAACGAATTTGGGAACAACAGTTCGTGCTTCGGTGCATATTAAAGTTCCGAAAATTTCGGCGAAGGCGGATGAATTCAAGAAGATTTGCGATGAGATGAAACTTCAGATTCGTGGAATTCATGGGGAACATTCGGAAACCAAAGATGGGATTTATGATGTTTCGAACAAGCAACGTCTTGGACTCACTGAATATCAAGCGGTTAGACAAATGTATGATGGAGTCAAGAAATTGATTGAATTGGAGAAAGCTGCAGCATAAATCGTAGATAATTTAATGTATTTTTAATGAATATGTAAATATTCCCCCAAAACTCTTACCTTTGGTCTGATCATCAGTCGCTTGAAATTCACCTGCCGCAACGCATCATCAATTTGATTCAAGAGAAATGTGGAAGCCGGAGTTCCTTCCAAAACAATCAGACAATCTCTCGCATTCTCATCATTGAATATCCGTTTTTTACTAATCGATGAGCGAAATTTATTCCTCACCATTTGAATGAAACATTCTCGACAATACCACGCTTTTTTCGGGTCAACTCCGGTGTATTCGGCGGGTTTTGGACATTTCACACAAATCAACCCGCTCAGCTCTTCTGCCATGATGATTTCTGGAAAATCGATGAAATCTTGAATTCGCTAAAGATTCTGCGTATTTTAAGATTAAGTGCTTTGATTTAGACCAAGCTTTAGGCTAGAAACCCGAGGAACTCAGAGAAAGCCGGCGACTAATCGGCGACGAACTTACGACGAATCGAGATCAGGCGACTAATCGTCTGCCAATCGTAAGTTCGTCGGCGAAAATAGTGTGTGTTTCCCGGAGACGCAGACGAAAAAGTTTCAGGCGACTAATCGGCGACCAATCATAAGTTAGTCGCCGATTAGTCGCCGATTAGTCGCCTGAAACTTTTTCGTCTGCGTCTCCGGGAAACACACACTATTTTCGCCGACGAACTTGCGACGAACTTGTTGGTCGCCGATTAGTCGCCGGCTTTCTCTGAGGAAAAAGAAAAAAGAAAAATTTCGAAAGCGTAATTGGCGGAGTGTCGTTGGTAGAAGTGTGCAATTGTGCGTCAATTCTGCAAACACCACCAACTAGCGTTTATTTTTTATTTTTCCGCAAAAGTGGATTTATCAAACGTTTTCCTTAAAAGCTTGTTGAAAAAAGGTGTTTTTTTTAATTTTCAAAATATTCACTGACCCTCTGAGTTTGTAAAAAGATTCAAATCTTCTTCCGTTTTGACCGCAACCCAAAGATTTTGCCAAAAGATAAGCAAATCCTTTTCTCCCCTCTCATTTTTCCGTTTGTTTGTTTGCTATTAATATGAGTTTCACAGACACTTCTCCTAAGTCTAGTCTAGGTAAACAAATATTAGTTTCATCTTGTTATTATTGTTTTTTGCAAGCTAAAAGTTGCGCATCTCACGCTTCAATTGCGTTTTGTTTGTTGTGAAAACAAGATCGATTTCAATTCAAAAGTGTCACACACAACAAAAAAGTTTGTTTTCTGGGTTTTTGTCTGCTTTGGCTGGTCAACCAATTCAATTAGAGCGCAAAACGAGGAGGTAAAACGGGTTTTTTTCGCTGCGCTTTTCTGTTTTTTTTTCGTTGAGGGATAAAAAAGTTTATGAGTTTTTGTTAGGGCTTCTGGGTTTCTCTTATAAATTCCAGCCAATTGTTTTGCCAAAAATCTATATTTGCTCACTTTTTTGGCGCCACTTTGTCGGGGTCAAAAAATTCCGCGTTTTCAAAAAAAAATTGATTTTTCTCGTGACACTTCAAAATTTCACGTGGTTTTTTTTCAAAATTCACTTATTTTCACAAATTTAAAAAATTGAAAATGGCAGGGAATTTGAATTTTGAAGTGAGTTAGACTAAGTTCCTGGCATTTTCGCCACATCATTTCAAATAGCGAAAAATCTTGTGATTTCAAAAAAATTACAACAAGAATTCATTTTTGTTTCGGAAAAAAATGATAAAATTTTTATTTGGAGCCAAAATTTTCTGCCCTAAAAATATTTTTGGATGGAGTCATGTGTCAATTTAATTTATCGGAGCACAACACATATGTTACTACAATGTTATACATTTTATTTTGTTCATCATCATTTCCCCTCCTCATTTTTGCTCTTTTGCATATTTTTCCTCATTTTCTTCTTCTTTTTCTACTTATTTTCCTAACTTTTTTCTTACTACATAGAAATTTTCACAATCACAAAATTAATATTTAAAAAAATATACATCTTGTTTCGGAAAAAAATAATCAAATTTTTTGTCGGTCCCAAAAAAGGTTCTAGTTTCAGAACAAAAATTACAAAAAAAAACCAATTTGTTGTCTGCGCTCTCTCAATTTCCCCTTGTCTCTCTAATCAAAATAATATTCTGTATATTCTATTTTTCCACGTTTTTCTCCAGTCCCATAAAATCCCTTCCATTTCTTCCTTCTTTTTCAAATGTTCCATCACTAATTACCTTAGTTTAATTAAACCGGAATCCATTTGTGTGAAATAAAAATCGTGTTTTTTCCAGGTTTTTTGCCTCCTCAAAAATGTCAGTTTCGGAAGGATGGAATGGAATCAATAATCAGAATAATATTAGCAACAATAGTATGTATAGTTCAATGGCGAGTTCGGTGACTTGTTTGGCTGAAAATGAGCATGAGCCGGTTTATGAAATGGATGAGGAGGTGGGTGAATTTTGAGGCAATTGGGGAAAAATTGATGGAAAGTTTGGAAAAGTTACCAGAAGTTCTTCAGCTAATCTAGAAAATTAGGGCGACTTTGCCCTTACGCGGTAGATAGTGCCGCTACGCGGAAGCTTGCGGATTACAAAATGAAAAATAGTGGATCAGATTCCCGTGAATTTTTGAATTTTAACCGTTATTTTTCGGTCAAAAATTGATAGTTTTGACAATGTTCAGTTAAATTTTCTATTTTTCCTCTGAAAAATTCACTGTTTCAAAAATTAAGAAAAAAGTTTTTGTTGGGGTAAAAATTAATGATTGTACTGTTAAAGATGGAGTCCGAGCAAAAAACAAGTTGTGCTCATTTGAAAGATCATGTTCTAATAAGTACAATCCTCGAAGGATTTTTTCTGGAAGCTTCTAAAACATTTGTTAAGAATTTACAATGTTCGAAAAAAACACTGAAACACCGTGTAAAATGGCTGTAAAAGTGTAAAAGTCCATAAGTACTTTAGCTTGGATTCAATGTTTGAAAAGCTTCCAGAAAAAAATCCTTCGAGGATTGTACTAATTGAAACATTCCCTTTCAAATGAGCACAACTTAATTTTTGCTCGGACTCCACCTTTAAGCATGAAAAGAAGTATTTGAATTCTAAAAAAATAATTCCAGTAATATTGACATCTTTAAAAATTTCGAATTTATTACGAAAAAATTCACTGTTTCAAGAAATCTATGAAATTTGCACAGGTTGTAGTGATCGCTTTTGATCTCTAATATTTAATCAATAATAATTTTCACTGTTTTTTTGATGTTGTTTTGATGTCTAGAATAAGTTATTGGATTGACAATGAGGTTGGGACTTTGTTTATTGAAAATTGAAAGAATTTGATAGTTCTTATGGAAGTAAGAATTTTTGTGTTGTCTCTAAACTTGAATTTTTGGCCTCAATGTTTAAAAAAAATTCACTGTTTCAACAGTTTTTGAGATCAATTTGATTTTTAGAAAGTTCAATTAATATATCTTAATTGTTGAAAACAAATTTTTACTGTTAAAAAAATTCACTGTTTCTAAGGATTCTGATAATATTTTATTTTTCAGTCAATTGTGTTTTCGTAAGAATTCGGAAGTGAAAGATTACCTTTTAGAAAATTAAGGAAAGGTTCACGTTTTGAAAGAGCTTTGGCAATTTTCTGTACTAATTTTCAAAAATTTCGTGACTTTTTCGTTCCGAAAAATTCACTGTTTCATAGAAACTGGAATATCGTTTTTTGACACATTCTATAATAAACACGAATTTCCATCGGTAGAATTTTCAAAAAATCGGTTTTAATTCTACGAATTTAATGAAAAAAATTTGATTTTTTTATTTCAAAAAATTCATGAATTCATAATTTTTGTTCAGAAAAATTCACTGTTTCAAAAATTTTAAATATAAATTAGATTTCCAAAACATTTATTGAAATTTTTCTGTGATACTTTTTTCGGTAGAAATTGAAACATAAACACAATTTCGTAATCGTTGAATAAAAATTTACTGTTTCAAAAGTTTTCAAAATGAGTTTTTTTTTCCTTTTAGTTTAATGAAGCAAATCATTTTTTTCACAAAAAAATTTCACTATTTCAAAATATGTTGAAGACAGATTTAAAAAAAAAATAAATCACCAAAATTCTGAGTTTTTTTTTACTAAAAATTTTCGGCAAGAATACGCTTCAATTTTTTTTTGAAAATCTGAAGACTTCAGGTCAACATATAATTTTCGAATCTTTTTCGCTGAAAAATTTATCCCCAAAAAGATGACCCCGAAAAGTCACATTTTTCTTTCTCTTCCCAAAAAATCCCTCGTTTTTTTCCTTCTTTTTTCCCCAGTTTAGTGCAAAACATTCTTCAACAATTTTTAACAAAAAAAGAGGAGAAAAAGAGAAAAATAGTGTAAATGAGAAATGTGTGGTGCTGTCTTTCTGCTGTTTTTTTCGGTTTTCCCCGGGGGTCTTTTTTGGTGATATGATGAAAAAAAGTGAAGAGAAACAAAAAAAAAGAGGACCAGAAAATAGCCTTTTTTGTTTCTTCTTGCATTTTTTTGGGAGGGTTTGGAATTTAAATTTATACTTTGAATATTTTGACCTGTATCAGATGTTTTTATGTTGCTTTCGGAATTTAAATGTCCTTTAATGATGAGACATTATCTTGAATTTTTTTTTCGAAAAATTAATAAATTTTGAAACAGTGGAATTTTTTTCAGAAAACTTTCTGTTTCTGAAAAAAATGATTTGCTTAAAATCATTTGAATTTTTGATATGAAAAAAACATAAATTTTGAAACATTAAATTTTTCTAATTTTTTTTTACTGTTTCAAAAAATTATGAAGAAGACTTTTTTAAAAATTTTTTTGCTGTCTCTCTTAAATCGAACAGTTTCTTCTATTCGAATTTTTTTGGTTAAAAAAATTTACTGTTTCGAAAAAAATGTCATAAAATAATTAAATTTAACTTCATCAATGAGTTTTTTATGAATCTCGTTCAGATTTTCTGCTAATTTTTGAAAAAGTCGAAATTTGAAAAAAAATTTTTCACTGTTTCAAGGAAAATAATTCAGAATTTTTTATATGGTTGACATTAGCTGACTTTCTAACACTTCTTTCAAAAATCTTCGTTTTCTTAATAAATTTTGAAACAGCGGATTTCTGATTTTTGGCAAGAATCCATTTTTTTTCGAATTTTTCACTGTTTCAACAATTAAGGAATTTCTTTTCTTCATATTTTGACTTTGATAGCACTATCTCTTCAATTTTCTAAATCAAGTTATTATTATAAAATTCTTGGTTCGGTTCCCAACACTAATTAAATTTAGTGTCCAAAAGAAAATTTTTATTTTATTTTATTATGGGGCTATTCATGTTATTTTTCAACGCTGAGAAAACGGGAGAAAAGCGGAGAAAACCTATTCAGGTAGGCTGAGAAAATACGAAAAAAGCGGAGAAAATGTATTTCCTCCGCATTTCTCCTGTTTTCTCAACATGCTGAGAAAATACATGAATAGCCCCATTATGAAAAAAATCTTTTTTTTTTCTGTTGTACAATTTTTCTGGAATTTATGGGGTTTCTTCATTTTTTACGAAAAATTCACTGTTTCAATGGTTTTTTGGGGTTGGTGTGAATTTTGGTTGATACTCTTCTGACCCGAGAAGGTAGAAAAATGTCTCAAAAAATTTTCTCTGTTTCAAATCTGACAATGCTTTACTAGACTACAAAATAATTTATGAAAAAAATCACTGTTTCAAAAATTCGATAAATTATTTTCGCAAACAAAATGAATATTCTTTTTGCTCGGCTGATCAGCGAAATAGTTTTACGAATTCGACATTTTTGAATTTATCCCACAAAAATTCACTGTTTCAAAAATTACAGAAACTATGTCCAGACTAGATTAAATTGTTCTTTTAGCTGGTTGATCGCCGATATTTTGATTAAAATCTGAAATAAAAACAAACCGACAAAAAGTTATCCATTTTTTCCACTGTTTCAAAACTTCTAGATATTTTTCAAATTCAAATCAGGTTATTGATAATGTTATTTGAATTTTTTCAGAAATAATTGTTTAAAATGAGTCACGAAAAATTCACTGTTTCAAGAAAAATATGAAATTTGCACATAATGGATTGCAGTGATCTTGCTTGTCTGAAAAATTAATATGAGACAATAATTTTTTTCACTGTTTCAAAAACTTTATAAAGTGTTTTATGAAAACCAGCATTAATTCGGAGCTTAAAACTATGGTTCATTTGATATTTTTTCACTGTTTCAGAAAAAAATTAACAAAAATTATAGCCTAAACAATTTTCTACTGAAAACCCCAATTTTCCCCTACAAAATTCCGCTGTTTCTCACAAAACTATGAATAATTTTTTGTTTACAGATGCACACATCAACTTCTTGCACATGGCAACTTCTTTCGGTTTCATTACACAGAGTAAGTCTTCTTTTTCTCACTTTTTCCCAACTATTTTGTAGTAAAAATGAGCTGACCCTTCAGCAGAAAAAATATTGATAAATATGTGGAGAAAAATGGAGGGATATTGATTGATTTGTTTGTTTTTTGACAAACGAGAAGTTTTTGAATTTTGGCCAAAATTTGGGTTTTGAAGCGCTTTTTTCTTTCGCTTAAAAGTGTCAGTTTTTGTCTGAAGAAAATTGATGTTCATTTTAATCCGAAATGAATTTTTCATGTTTTTTGTTCCAATGTGCACTTTTTTGCTCAATTTTTGAACCTACTATTATTTTTTTTCCTATATTTTTTGATGGGTGTATAATTTTTATGAGATTTTGAGACGTTTCCTTGCCAATTGTTTTGAATAAGGGAATTGTACGTTTCAAAATTTTGGTTTAAAAATGCTTTTTTCCCAGAAGAAAAAATTCCAGCAGAATTAATTTTTTGATACCTGGATTTTACATTAGAAAACATTTTTAGTTTTCCCCGCGCCAGAAAAATTTTTTATGAAGCTCAAAATTTCACTGTTTCAACTGAATGATAATTGAAAATGGTTGTCTCAAAAAAATATTGACATGTTTTCATTGAGATAAATTTCACTGTTTCAACTAAATTTTTAAGTCAAAATTAATAGGAAAAATTATTCGTGTTGTTACATGTTGTAGAAAAATTCACTGTTTCAGCTGAATTTGAAATGAGAATTTTTGTTTCAGAGAAATGTTAAATCAAAGGGTTTCAATGGTCTAACTAAAATTATTCAAAATAAGAAATCAATTGTGAATGAAAATTTAAAATGGTATTTTAAGAAATTCTATCATTACATTTCAATTTTTCCAAATAAAATTCACTGTTTCAATTAATTTTGGAATTAAAAATAAGAAAGAAACATTATTCTGAATTTGGGCGAAATTGGAGAATTTCACTGTTTCAAGAGAATTAGGTTTATCGATACTTTTTCCGTTAAAAACTGTTGTTATATCTTATATTTTGATTTATCTGTGGAATTGGTGTCTGTTCAGGCTAATATGAGAAGTTAGGGTAACTTTGCCGATGAGCTGCAGATGACATAAAAATATTAATTTTTGCTGCTTCAAAACCCTTTCCCCTTTATTTCCTCCTCCTTGGAAAACATCATAAATAACCTGATAAGATGATGAGTTTTTTCGTATTTCTCTCTCTTTCTCTGAGTTGTCCAATATATTTTTTGGATATATCATCCCAACTATCCCATATTATATAGTTAAATGTGTATAAAACAACGAGGTCGGGAACGGGAACAGAATGAATCGAGCAGCTGCTGTGCTCTTTTCTCTCTTATTTTCCCATTCAAAAAGTAGCCCTTTTTACACAAATCATCTCTCACTTTTTCTCTCTCGTAGATTCTTCTACTTTGACCAGAAGAAAGTGGTTGAATAGTTTTTTTTGTGAAATGGATGTTGAGAATATTTTTTTTCTACAAGGGGATATTTTGAAATTGTTGGATTCGTTTTTGTGTTTAATTGAAACAGTGAGATTTTTTGTTTGTAATAATTTTGATTTTAATTTGAATCTGACGGTGTTCTTCCAATGTCGTAAATAAATTAAATAAAATTAAATTTCAAACAGTTTTGCACATTCATTTCAGAATCCCAATTAGCTTTTTCTTGGTTCATTTTTCATTTAATAATTTTTCGAAACAGTGAAGTTTTTTTTCCAGTTAATTTTTTTTTCGTCACAAAACCGTTAAATTAAGTAGATATTTTGTCTAATTTGTATTCTTACATTTTAGTTGAAACAGTGATTTTTTTTCAAATTCGATTTTAATTCAGCTGAAACATTAAATTTTTTTTTGAATTAATTTTTAGATTTATGAAATTTTTAATTTGAAAGTTTCGGTTGAAACAGTGAATTTTTTTTGTAAAAAAAACAAAATAAAAATTTTGGATTTTTGATTCACTGACTTTTTAAATTTAAATTTTTGAATTTATTTCCAAAGTTCAGAGCAATTTTCAAATTCCCGCTCTAAATTTTCTTGAATGAACTCTCTAGATTTTGTTTATTTGACTATTTTCTCCAATGCATCAGACAACGAGTTAATTTTTCTGAAGAATTAATTTCGAAAAATTTTTCAACCCATTTTTTCTCCTCTCAATTTCCCAAAAAAAGAACTCTCTGGTGAATTTAATTAAGTTCGTTTTTTTCTCCTCCGTAGCCAAATGTGAAGAAGAATGTGCTTGGAAAAGTGCGCCGCATTTTTTCTGTTTTTTTATGCGAAATTTTCTGGGTTCCACTTTTCTCCATGATTTCGTTTTATACGCTTCCTCCTTTTTTCCAAACTAATCCCCTGAATAAAGTAATCAATTATGAAATGTGTAATATTTTTGCATTTTACATTTTCAACCTTAATCCCCTCATTTTTCGCTACTCTCTTATGAAATCTATGATTTTTTTGACCAGTTTTGTTTGAAAACAGGAAAAAGGAAAAAGGTCAAGATTTTTTGAGTGTTCCTTTTTTTCACTGTTTCAGGATTTTTTTGAAATGTCAAGCAGTTTTCCCTCTTTGATAAGTGAACATCAAATCTGAAAAAAATATATTCCAAGAATTATTTTTTTTACTGTTTCTAAAAATCTAGAGAAAATTCGTTTGAAATGAATATGTTGATTTGCAGAGATAACCATATTTTTCACTGTTTCAAGATTTTCCTGAAAACTCGAGAATTGTACTTGCTTCGATTATTGAGGGTTAGGGATAAAAATGTTCCAAATATTTTTTTTTCTGAAAAAAGTATGCGCTCTGTACAGAAAAAATTACTGTTTCAACATTTTTGGATAAGATATTTTTGTGAATTCCCTTTAGTCCAACCGTAATCAAATATATTTCACTGTTTCAGAAAATTGCTTTTAGAATTGACTACTTTTTGTTTGAATGAGTCCATAAAATAGTTCGCTAAAAATTTTTTCATAGGAAAAAAATCCTGCTGTTTCAAAATTTTGTGATGAGAAACTCTTCAAAATTCACTTTAGTTTTATTTTAATTAGTTTCTGTTAATTTCCACTGTTTCAAGAAATTCTAAAGTCAGATTTCTGAAATTTGGTTGTATCAAAATTTTTCACTGTTTCAAAAAATAGGAAATTGGAAAATGTTTCACAAAATTTGTTTAACCTTAGCCTTTTTTCTGAAATTGTTCACTGTTTCAAAAATTTCTCATAATAAAAATTTTTCAAAATTTACTTTGATTATTTTGAACCTTTGTGTCGAAAACATTATGAAAATCTAAATTTTTCACTGTTTCAAAAATAATTTAGCTAGATTCCATTAATCCACATTCATTCCTTTTCACATTCCTTCATTAATTACAAAAATGTCCATTTATCTCATTTATTTTCCCTTCTAATGTTCCTTTTCCTCCTAAAAATCTAATGACATAATAATATTATTCTCTTCTTCTTTTTCTTCTTTTTATAATTATTTTAATATCCTCCTTTTCTTCTTCTTTTTTTTTGTCCGAATAATTTCCGGCTTTTTATAATTGAGCACAGCAAAGCAAATATTGGATAAAAATTATATCGCCCGATATTTTTGAGGATTTTTTTGTCTTGAGAATTTTGGTACCAAAATTAGGGGTTTTTGGGTCCTTATTTGAAATTTTCACGTCGTTTTTTAACTCCGAAATTTCAAAAAATTGAAAATCCCTAATTTTTGGCGCCACAAAAAGAACACTGAAAAAAATTTGAAACTTTTTTGTTGCTCAAAAGTAGTCAGAAAATTGTGAATATTTGTTGGATGAATTGCCTTTTTGGGAATTGGGGAGATATTTTCGACCTCTCCCTTTTCTTCTTCTTTTTTTCCCCTCAAAATGTATACTTTTTGTTCTTGGACACTCCTAGTTTTTCTGTAGAAAAAATAGGCAATTTTTTTATGGCTGTGTGAAGAATTTTGTGTAAATATTTGAATTTTGTTATGGGTTTTTTGTTGTTTCAAAAAAAATCGAATTTTTTTCCCAATAATTTTGAAACGTAATTTTTTACCGGGAAAAATTTAGTGTTTCAAAAAAATTTTCAAAATGATTTTGGTGAATTATCAGACAATTTTTGAAATCTTGACAAGTTTTTCACAAAAAAACTGTTTCCTAAATTTTTTCACTGTTTCAAAAATTTGTTATATTTTTAAAATTTCTGAAATTTTTTATTATGATATTGAAATTTTTTTGACAGATAAATTTTTTCCTAATTTTTCACTGTTTCAAAAAATTGATATATTTTTTTGGAAATTCGATTTTGATCGTTTGTGTTCAAATTTCAAATTTACTAAATTTTTTTCACTGTTTCAAAAAATCGTCATATTTCCAAGAATCTCTGATATTTTCATTCCTCATTTCTACTATTCCAATAAAAATCATATCAATTTCATTTTTGCAGGCTCCAACACTTGGTTTCGGAATCGCAATCTCGGGCGGTCTAGACAATCCACACTTCACATCTGGCGATCCGGTTGTTGTGATTTCGGACGTTGTTCAAAACGGGCCAGCTTGGGGATTATTGCAGTTAGTTTTTTTTTTTAATTTGAATCTGGCGCGAAAAACCACCATTTTTTTGGGGCCAAAATATATCAACTTTTATTTTTACACCAGGAAAAACACACATGTTTATTTATTTTTTGCAGAGTTAATGATCGAATATTATCTGGAAACAACGTGTCTTTCGAAAATATCGATTATTCAACAGCTGTTGATATAATTAAAAATAAGGATCAGATTAATATGATTGTAAAGAGAAGAGTTGCAATGCCAATGTTAGAATTTGAGCAGCGAACTTTGAAATTCACATTATCGAAATCGAGGAAAAAAGATGATTTTGGAATTGTTGTTGGATGTAAATTTTATATCAAAGAGATCAGGAATCCTAAATTAGCTGAAAAAGATCCGGGATTAAGAGAAGGTGATTCGGTGTTAAGAATAAATGGACAAAGTTTGGAAGGAGCCACTCTGGAAGAAGTGAATAAATGGCTGGAAAGATCGAGAGATAAATTATGTTTGGTGATACAAAGAGATGTGAAAAGAGGAACATCGAGATGGCCATCACAGAATACGGTTTATGAACGAGTTGGTGGAGGAAGTATGAATGCGACGCCACGACATTCGCCCAGTCCAATGATGCCGCATGTTCCGATTCAGCAGAGGTTGGGGGATTTTAGGGGGGTTTTTTTGAATCTGAAAGTTTTGAGCTGGGTTTTTTCATAGAAATAAAATTCACATGAACTTTTAATAAATATATGGAGTTTCAATTAATATCGGATCAATTTTAGGGAAGATTTTTTGATAAAAAATTTGAAACAGTAGATTTTTTGGAATTTTTTGAAATGAGATGCGGACTATCAATAAGGTTCTCATTTGCTTTGAGTAATTATTTGGAATTTTTGAAACAGTAGATTTTTTGAATAAAATTTTTGTTGATTATTTATTTCTCGAGATTTTTTAATGAGAAATTTTGCTTTCTAAAAGCTAATAATATTTTTTGAAAAAATCCATTGTTTCAAAAATTTATTAATATTTTGGGTTATCTTTGAATATCTGTTGGATGATTCATGAGAGTATATATTTTTTAAATTCAAATTTAAAAAAATATATAAAGGTTTTGAAAAAAAATACAATATTCATCAATTTTAGGGAATTGCAAGATTTTTTAGTGAAATATTTGAAACAGTAGATTTTCTGGAATTTTTTGAACCTTCTTGCCTTGAGAATTAGGTTCTCATTTGCTTTGCAAAATTATTTGAAATTTTTGAAACAGTAGATTTTTTGAATAAAATTTTTGTTGATTATTCATTTCTAGGGGGTCTCGAGATTTTTTATGAGAAATTTTGCTTCCTAAAAATTAATAAAATTTTTTGAAACAATTCACTATTTCAAAAATTTATTAATATTTGGGGTTATCTTTGAATATCTGTTGAGTGATTCAGTAGAGTATTTTTTTAAATTTAAATTTTAAAAAATTAATTTCAACTGTTTCAAAATTTTTATTTGATTTTTGAATATTTTTCCTCCAGATGTTTATGAAAAACGTATAAAAATAAGAAAAACATTAATTATCTGATTTTAAAACTCAAGAAATCCACAAGAATCTGATCCTCGAATTATTCACATTTTAAAAATATAATTTCAGAAATTCTCACGAATACGTAAATTCACCGCGTTATCGACCAGATGGAAGTGTTGAAAGAAGAGTATCATCTCCGGCAAATTCACAAATCTCAAGTACAATCGGAATGTCGGCTTCAACCATCCAACAACAACAATTAGGAGGCCAACAACAAAATATGATAACACCACAAGAATATGAATATTATACACGACAATCTGCCAAACCACAAGATCAAAATGGAGTTAGAAATGTGATTTTTAGAAAGGTTAGAGAGAAGTTTTGGGCGGGAATTTGAAAAATATAAAGTTTTAGCGCCAACGAAATTTTAAAACCCAATATTTTCAGTTGGAAAATTCAGACTCAGAAAAATCTTTGAAAATTTGATTTGAAACTAATTTTTCAAAGTAGCTTTGATCAATGTATTAAGAACAAAACATTTTCAAATGTTTTTCACAAAATTTTGAAACAGTGAATTTTCGAGAAGATGGATTTCTATTCAAAAAATCTAAATTTCCACGTGGTTTTTTCGCGCCAAAATTTTTTTCAAAAAAATAAATCAAATTCAAATTTTTGCAGGTTGGCGGAAGTGTTGGTGTCCGCGTAATCGGTGGAAATGAAGTTGGAATCTTCGTGTCAGCAGTCGCCGCCGATTCTCCAGCCGCAATTCACGGTGTTTGTTGTGGTGATCGAATTTTGGAAGTGAATGGAAGAAATATGAGAGGAATCACAAGAGAATCAGCTGTTCAATTATTATTGGGATTAGATGATCGTGTTTCTTTGAAGCTAGAACATGCTCGAGGTGAATTTGAACATGTTCGATCAAATCAACTTGGCGACAATTTCTATATTCGATCACATTTTACAAAAGAGAAAAAGAATAGTGCACTTGAATTAAGTGTGAATGAAGGTGATATATTCCATGTCACTGATACTTTATTTGGGGGAACTGTTGGATTGTGGCAAGCTGCGCGAGTTTATTCATCGGCTGAAAATAAAGGAGAACCGGTGAAAGGAGTTATACCAAATCAGGCGACCGCGGAAATTGTGGCCAAAGAATATCGACATTTTATTGAGGCGAAACAGCAGAAAACGAGTGGCGGGACGCTTTTGAGAAGGAAATTTGAGTCGCGAAAATCGAAGAGTTTGCCGAAGAATATGATTTGTGATCCAACGGAATTGTCAGCTAATATACCATTGCCTGCTTATGAACGAGTTAGCCTAAATACCCCGTCTTTTCATAGACCAATTGTGCTTTTTGGACCATTGGCTGATATTGCGAGACAGTATTTATTGCAGCAATTCAGGTGAGGTTTTGGGGGAAAATTCACTGTTTCAAAAATATTTGGAAACGTTTTTGAGATTCTTGCAAAAGTCAATTTCATTTTGATTGCTTTGATCTTCTGTGAGAAACATTGATTTGGAATCTGGAATTTTCCAAAAAAAAAGAGTTTTTGTGGTTTTTAAATGAAAAATTTGAACAAAAATTCACTGTTTCAAATCTGTTGTTAATATTTTTGGAATTTTTTGATAAATTGCTACGGATTTATTGAAAAGATGAATTGATTAGTTTTTTTTTATTTTTGCAATTTCAAAATACGAACCTGGATTCTAAACAAAATTTAACTGTTTCAAAAAATTGCCATGAATTTTCTTGTAAATTGTGTTAAATTGATACGTGAGTGAATGTGTACATATACTCTTAGAATTCAAAAAACTGAATATTTTCCACTGTTTCAATATTTTCATAAGATTTTAAATTTTGGCGATTCAGATATCGGCTTGAATTAGAAATTGATTGAAAGTTTTATTTAGAAATGCAATTTGAAAATTTCACTGTTTCAAAAATAATTCATGAATTTTTATAGCATTTCTGATAGCATTTCTGAATTTTAGTTTGTTGCAATGGATAATACCAAAAAATTTCGACTGTTTCAAAAAAATCATTATTTCCAACCACGAATGATTTTCCCAACAAAAAATTAACATTCACACACTTAATGTGTCTGAAGCTCCATTGGCTTTTTGTTAACATTTTTGGTATTCTGAAATTAGAAATGTTATCTATCCCGATTTCTTGTCTTTTTTTGATTGCAATATTTTTTACAACAACGATATCAAAAAGAGTCGAAGATTGGACCAAAAATGTATTTTCTCATAATTTGGCGAAAGATATAACAGAAATACTATTGAAAGTGACAGATTTGGAGAAATCGGATTTTCAAAAACTGGCATTTATTTCACATAACAATTTCAAATATGCATCACTTTGTTCTAAAGAGCAAACAGTGGATTTTCCTGAATATTTGAAATTGGAAAAACGACTTTCAATTGGGCCAGTTATTAAACATCGATTTGTCTACCAAAATAATTGGGAAGATTTTGTAACATTTCAATTTTTTGTGGTCCAGAAGCATATTTTGAACTACGAAAAGGTTTCGAAATATAATATAACTGTTTTTTGGCCACTGAAAGAAAATTGGAAAATCATGGATATTTTTATTGACAACAATTTTATTTGCTTCGATTTTTCCTTCGATTCTTGGACTCCGAAATATTTCTCATCGGTCAAAAATCTGATCAATGAAACAGAGAAAATTATACCATTTGCCGATTTAGAGAAAATCGAAGAGATTGAAATATTCAACGAAAATTTTGAGGGGATTATTTTAATGAATCCGAATGTCAAAGATAAATATAATATTCTCGAAGTAGTTGAATATATGTCAAAACTGAAAAATCGTTTCAATTTCGATTTTTTTGAAGCCAAAAATAGTATAAAAGTAATTGAAGAAAAAGTGGATCGAATTATCTTTGAAATATTGCATTGTATAAATTGTCCGATAAATCAAAGTATAATTCACGCATTTTCATTTTTATTTGAAGCAAAAATGAATGAAAACACGTGGGATTTTGAAATCACTCGATTAATTGTAAAACAAATTTATGAACCTGGACCATCTCCAATCATCGAAATATTTTCGAGTGATTTTGTGAGAGCAGAAGATGAGAAAATACAAGAAATATATCGAAAAAATGAGGCGAAACATAAAATATCTGTGGATGATTTCAATTTACCTTTGAGTTTGTATAATATAACAAAATTACATGAGTTTCTTCCTAATTCAGTAAATGCAATGAGAACTTGGGAAGTTTCGAATGTTGAAATTGATTATGATACTGGAAATATCAATTATACAATGAAATATTCTTTTGCAAATGGTCGAAGAAATTTGAAAATTGAAGGATGGGCTGGTTATAATTCGAAGATAAATGAATATAAAAATAATAAGTATCTGATTTCAACCGAAAAATGATTGGAAATAATAAATATTTGAACTTTGTGAATGTTAAAAATTCACTGTTTCAAAAAATTTATGAATTTTGAATGAATTTTTGAATTGCAATGATTCATACACTCACTTCATACAAAGTTCACTGTTTCAAAAATTATTAAATTTCTCACATTTATAATAGTTTCTATTAATTTCTAGTAACCTATGCGCGCAGTAAAAATTGGTTTTTCAATCCTAAAATTCACTGTTTCAAATATTTATGAAATGTGATTAGTTTCTTCACTTTTTGATTGAATTCGGGTTTTTAATTCTTTGAATTTTCTTCGATAAACAACTGACATTTATTTTTGAAAAATGATGATAATTTTTGTAGGAACAAAAATTAACTGTTTCAAAAAATCATAATACATTCTGAGTCTGCTCACAGGCAAATTCAGATGGATACATAATTGATCCATAATTGATACATCATGTCCCCAGTTCAGATGTATACATCGGGTACACATAATGGATCCATCTGAACTCGTTTGATTGATACTTGATGGACGCTTGATGTATCCATTTTCTCTTTATAACTCTTTTTCAAGTAGACAGTTAAAATTAAAGTTTATTCATAGTAAAAATTGAAATATAACAAAATTAGAAGTTAGAAGAACTTGTTTTTCATGGTGTGGGCGCATCTTTTCGGTCATCTTAATTGGATTCACAAGGAAGATGGCAGTTGGAGCAGGTTTTGTGGTCAACACGAGCAACGGCGAAGGTTGATTTCCTAGCTCGAGCAGAGGCCGCTTTGCGGAGACTAACGTGGAGTTTTCTTGACCTCTCATCTCTTGGTGGCTTCCTTGAATCCGCAACCCTTGGCAACACCCGATGTTGTCGATCATTTCATATTTGGGAGAAGTCGGAGCCAATCAGAGTTTTCTTCTCGGTTCTCACAAGCTCAATCGACCTTTTGAGCGACGAATCCTCCGTTGATTTGGATTTCGACCAAATCAATATTCATTCATTTGACACGGCGGTCGAGAACCTTGGCCTGAAAAGAAAGAACCATTTGAAAAAATGTTCTCATTCAAGTTAACCAACCTGAGTGTGAGTGATAACATGGATTGATGAGCAATACTTCCTGAGATATTTGAAGACTGTTTCTTCTCGCCATTTAATTTCATTCCATTATTACGGACCAAGTGTCTTCCTAGCCAAACTGATGCATTAGGCAGTTAGTTCGATAACCTTCTTGTACACACTGTAGTGACCTGAAAAGTTGTTTTTATTCACGAAGTTCTTTAAATAATCAATTTACCACTGTTTGGCAAATAGTTGATGTCGATTTCGACGTTTGAATGAGAGCGATGTCTGAAAAAAAAACCAGTTGACAAAAGTAGTAAATCAGTGTGTGCGAAATTCAAGAAAGTACGATATAGGGAATTTCAATTTTCAGCTCTGATACGGAATCTTCTATTTCATTTCATTTAAATGTTGCTTCAATTGAATGAAATTGAAAAAATGTCTCGTTTTACTACCTAAAATCGAAAAAAACCAATTTTTCAAAGTTTCTGGCCTAAATTCATGTTCAATATGCGAATTTCAAAGTTCTGATGACATTTGCTGCTAGATCCTAGTCGAGGAACATAATCTATATGTTTTCCGCAGTTTTTAACCCTCAATTTCTCTATGAAACGGGAAACAAACAAAAAAAAACGAAAAAAAAAAGAAAAAAATGTGGCGTGCAAATCGTCCGAGAGAAGTACACACACACACATTTCGCTGCAGGATAAATTCATTGAAATGTCTGCGCCTTTAATGTTACACTTTTGCGCACCAATTAAGAGCACTTGAGTGAAAATGATATATACCATTCGACTCAGAATTTCACGCTGAACAAAATGATTATAAATTCATCCCTTGTTTCGAGCGGTTTCCAATTTTTCGGTTTTTGAGAAATGTGAATGTTTATTGTGAACTTCACTCAGTTACACTATACCATTCGATAAAGTTTTTCCTGCTTAGAAATATCCAGTCATCAGCTTTTGTTGAACCACTCGTAAAAGCTCAAAATTTAGCCCGAAATTGAGTAAATGTTTTTTTCGCTTTTTCAGAAGCTTCTAAACAAAAGAATGTGCATGCATGATAATCGATCTCATGAGAAGATTGTATAAATCTTTCTGATATATTGAACAGTGATCTGTCTGTCGACCTACTTTTGTGCCCTAGATTTAAGCTTAATTAATTTGACGTTTTTTTCTGCATTATTTTTTGAAATGTAGCAAAGCATGTGAGTTGATTTAAAAAGGTATCGTGCGATTCATCATTTTTATCCATAAAATCGAGCTAGATTTAAAAATCGGGAATTCGCAGTGACTACGAAATCACCATTTATCATTTTTATCTTTAAATAGAATGAATGGAAGAAAACATGTTCAAAAAACTCTACTGTGAAGGAGGACTTGATGATTTATCAATAATTGGTACATTATGGATCCATCATCCATCCTCGATCCATTTTGAATCAATCAACTATCAGCTCAATCAGCTGAGTATCAATCTGAGACCCATCAGCGATACATCACCCCTGATTGATGTCAGATGGATCTTATATGGACCCTTGATGTAACCGAAATGGGTCGATTATGGATGATGGATCCATAATGTATCCATTATGTATCCATATGAATTTGCCTGTGCTTTCAGAAGAGTTTAAACAAAAACAAATATATTTCCATAAAAATGTACTGTTTCAAAAAATCTATAGTAATTTATGAACCCCTTATTTTTCAGCGCTCGTTTCGGTCAACCAGAAAGTGATGGTGGTGTAATTCGTCTCTCATCAGTCGACCACGTCATCGCCTCAATGAAACACTGCATTTTGGATATAAGTATAGAAAGTGTGGAAAGATTGCAATTGGCACAATACGCTCCAATTGTTGTATTGTTGGATGTCGAAAATCGTGGACGAATTCGAGAAATTCGAAAACGAGCAAATGCGCCCCATTTATCATCGCGAAAATTGGCCGAACATTCGGCACAAATCAAAAAATATCATTCGCATTTGTTGAGTGCCACAATTGATGCGACACATGAAAATGGATGGTTTGATGCGTTGAGAGAATTGATTGTGCATTTGCAACAAAGAAGATTGTGGATGCCTGAATTCCCGCCGAATTTACCGCTGGAAGATGTGAGTTTTTTGAACCGCGATGATCTTAAAATCGGGAGTGGAAAATGTGGAAAATTTTAGTAGAAATTTTGAAACAGTAAATTTTATTTCAATGGAAAATTGAAGTGTTTTATCAAACTCCAAATTTTTGTTATGAAGAAATTTTGAAACAGTAAATTTTTCGCAATTTTATTGAAGAACTGGAACAGTTTTAAATAATTTCGAGATTTCTTAATGGCAAATTTCGAAACAGTAATTTTTCTGAATGAAAAGCTGCAACACTTTTTGAGAATTCTAAGATTATTTTTTGAAAAAATTGAAACAGTGTTGTTTGCCATTCTTCGATTAAAATTCGAATTTTCTTGAAAAACTATTAGGAAGTTTTGAAACAGTAAATTTTTCAATTGAATTTTGATCGGTATAAATCGAAATTCAATAAATTTCTGGACTAATATCAAGCATTTGTCTTCAAAAATTATAGTGAAATTTTGAAACAGTTAATTTTTTGAATTTTTTTTTTCGAACTGAAAAAATTGTGAGATGATTTCAGGAGATTAACGAACGAAGAATCGAAAATCGAATTTCTTGAATTATATTCAAATTATTTTTGAAACAGTGAAAAAAAAAATCATATCAAACCTTTATTTTTTCTCAGGTTCTCCTGTTCCCTCTTCCAAAATGTGATGGAGACGTGGATTCGCTCAAATCAGAATACATCGAATACAATAATTCGGCGACGAATTCAATGAGAAGAGATGATAGTTTGCCAAGAAATGGAACACCTTCACAAAATCAACAAGATATTATGAAACAATCGATTTATAATTGGGATACTTCTTCTCAGGCTCAAGTTCAACATCAAGCCCAAACTCAAAGTCCTTTTAATTCCACTACAATTCCCAGAAGATTTGAGCAACGACAAAATGAAAGAAATGGATCACAAGGTTGTCTGAATGCTACACAAACTGCATTTATACCAACAAGTTCTGGGAACTCGCCGGTTCCTTTTGCACAAAAAGCACAGCCGCCAAGAACACCGACTTCGCCTGGATATTATCATGTTAAACAGGTTGGTAGGGAAAATTGTTATTGAAAAGTTTTGGGAGGGTTTGAGCGTTATTGAAATTTTGAAACAGTGAAAAATATAGTCCAAAAATTGTTTGTAAAGAATCTTTTTATTGTAAATGTGATTGTAAATGTGACAATTTTGAAACAGTGAAAAATTATTTTCATTGAAATTGCAATTAAGTTCATTCTTTGATTGGAAAATTTAGAAAATTTAGAATTTATTGGAAATTTGAAACAGTAGATTTTTTTGTTTCGAAAATTCATATTTTTGGTCATTTTTCTGATTTTTCTAGAGTTTCTTTTTCTTTAACAAAATTGTGGAAATCAGAAAATTCAAGATTTTTCAGTTTTAATGAAATTTTGAAACAGTGAAAAATAATTTTCATTGAATTTTTTATTCAAATCAGGAACTAGGTAAAATTGAGAAATCAGGAAATTGTGGACATTATTGAATTTTTGAAACAGTGAAAATTTTAGAATTTTTTAAAAATTACTTTTTAATTGAAACAAATCGCAGTACAGTATTAATTTAAAACTTGAATTTTTCATTATATCAAATTTTTGAAACAGTAAAAATATTTTGGAAAGAAACCAGTGGATTTTTCCTTGCAAAAAAATTATCTACATTTTTTCACTGTTTCTAAATTTTTTTTATGTTTTTTGGTTGAATTTCACATCGATTCGTAACAAATAGAAGTTTGGAGGACGAAATTATCAAAAACTGTATTTTCCACAGATATTTTCAAAACGAAAAAATCAGAAAGAAGTTTCTGAATTTTCACTGTTTCAAAAAAAAACTTTCGAAAAATCGCAACTTTTTTTCCTGATCCAGTCAGATACTTCCACAAAAAATCAAATTTTCCTTATAGTTCAAGTAACTCTGTTGTTGTGCATATAGTGTGTTTGTTGTATTTTCAGCTTTTGGATGATGAATCACTATATCAAGATGCTCGATTGGCCAATGAAATTGCAAATGTTCGATTGAGAGAAGAAGCCAGGTTAAGAGATGAAAAAGCGAGAAATTTGAATGTTGTTGAGGTTTGTTGTAAATATGTTGTGGTTTTGTCAGGAAATTTGGGAATTTTAGGGGAAAATTGTGATTTTGAATCGATGATACAACAATTTCTGATTTTTACAGCAATCTCCTTCAAGTTTACCACATCGATTGGATGATCCGACAACAACTAGCAACTCTTTTGATTTTTCCAATTGTGAGTTTTTTTTTTGGGAAACTTTCGCTGATTTTACTGATTTTGAGGAGTTTGCAAAAATTATGGCAGATTTTTGAAACAGTGAGATTTTTGGTAAAACAATGTTCAAAAATTTACAATACGACAAATTTCGGAAAAAAATTTGAAAGCCTGAATTTCTTATTAAAAAATTTTTTCAATTGAAAAAATCAACTGTTTCAAAAAATTCTCATAATCTAGCAGGATTTTGTCCAACTTTGTTCTTTTTTTGTTCTATTCAACCAGAAAAATTTACTGTTTCAAAAATTTTTATCTAAAAACTCATGCCTCCAAAATTGTTTTCATCAAGGTTCTCTACCTAAAATTCTGATGAAAACAAGTCCAAAAATTTGAACACGAATTCGAAATAAATTCTGAATTCTTCGAAAAAAGTTACAATTTTCAAACTTATAATTCACTGTTTAAAAAAATGCTCATAATTTGGACGGGTTTTTTTTCGCTTGATAGGGCTCTTTCCTACCTGAAAATCGGATAAAAATAAATTTTTGAAAACTTGAATTTTTATCAACAAAAAACAATTTTCAAGTATAAAAATTTCACTGTTTTAAAAAATCCTAATCAAACATGTGAATTAGATTTTTTGTTTGATTAATAGATTCAGTAAAAAATTCACTTTCGAAAAAACCTTATTCAATTTTTTCTAATTTTTTTTGTTGCGAAAATCGAAAATTAGAAGAAAAATGGTTAAAATCACCGAGGAAAATTTCACTGTTTCAAAAAATGTTGATTAAAAAATTGAATTTGAGTTTTCGTTCAGAGAGCTTTTCCGTGATCCAAATCAGCATTCCCTTCCTAAGCCAATTCCTACTTATCTATATTTTCCAGCCTCTTCCACCAACACGTCATCACCTGCAAATCAACCAAATACCTCAAAATATCATCCCCTTACACCATCCTCAATGACATCAGCATCTTCTTCAACAAATTCGCCACGCCCAGTTTTGCCACCAAAACCATCGCAGATTTCGAATTCGAACGGCGAAAATGGCTCTGGAGGTGGATATATTAGAAATCGATGGCCTGGATCTGGAAATGGAAAAGATATAGAAATAGATGCAAGAATGAATGGAAGTGCATCACCTGCAAATGGAAGTATATCACTAAGTGTTGCACCAATTTCAACAAATAATTCGAAATCTCCAACACCTGTCAAATTTGTAGATGAAAATGAAAATGGAAATGAACACGAAAAAAATGAAGAAGAAGCTGAAAATGAAGAAGAAGAACCGATTGTTGTTGAAGAAGCCACGGCAATCATTGATTTTGCTGGTGGAATCATTCGATGTCCAAATTCGAATGTTGAATTGAGAATACCGGAAGGAGCTGTGAAAAAAGGAGAAAAACATGAGATTTATGTGAAGGTTTGTCGAGAAGGAGAGATTTCACCGATTGATCGATCGAAGGGAGAAACATTGTTGTCGCCATTGGTTATGTGTGGACCACAGGGTGAGCATTTTGGGAAGGGGCTGGGAAAAATGCACTGAATTTGGAGTTTTAAAAACTCTTTCATTTTTTCATATAAAGATTTGCACATTTTTTGAAAAAGTAAATATTTTTGGGATTTGAAAATTCCCAGAAAATCAACGCTGATACAATTTTCAAACGTAAAATTTCGGAGTTTTTTTTTTCGAAAAAATTCTGCTGTTTCAAAAAATCAAGAAAAACGGAAATATTCTTGAATTCTTCAGTAAGCGCGGCTTTCATAGAACACTTGAAAATTGATGAAATTCTGAGTACTCAAAAAGCTAACAATTGTATCTTGGCTGAAGCCGAAATTTTTGAGATTTTCTTTGTGTGACGATGACCCGAATAGATTCAACTTTTCATTAAAATTTTTGCTATTTTTTGAAACAGTAATTTTTTCAATTTTTTCAACAAAATTACTAGCAAATTGATTTTAAAATCCCAAGAATATTCTACTATTGATCAAATTTGTTCCGAAACTCGAGTTTTTTTTTAAATTTGAAACAGTGAATTTTTGAAACCTTCCAACATACGAGGAGATCATCAAAGCTTATTTGTTTTTCAAAAAGTTTGTATTTATTTTGAAACAGTACATTTTTTTCAAATTTAAAATTTGGAATTTCTAGTTATACAATGCTTTTAACCTTCTTTGAAGCTTTTGAGTTGTGCTAAAATTATTCAATAAAGAAACAGAGTCTCACTAAAGAAGTTGATCTAACTAAATATCACAGAATAGTGTATTTTCTGTTGTTATTATTAGTGTTAAAATTGCCACAGAGTAGAAAACCATAAAAAAGCATCATTGAACATTTCCCAAGCTTTTTAATGGCTAAACTTTGAAACAGTGAGATTTCGACAAAATTTTTGAACTTTTTTTTTTTGAAAATTGAATGTTAGCGAATTATTAAAATCCAGTTTTTTCCAAGACATTTCCTATTTTTTTGAAACAGAATTTTTTTGAAAAAAATCAAACAATTTTTGATTTTTTCAAGAAGATCATATCAAGACGACTATCATCTAAAAATTCCGTTTTTTTATTCAATTAAAATTTTGAAACGTAGAATTTCCGGGAATAATTTTTACCAATTTTGAGTTTTATATCAAAAAATACCGATTGATTTTTTTTTCAATATTCAATTTCAGGTCTAAAATTCGACAAACAATGCGAACTTCGTATGCCACACACCGGTCCAATTCAATCCGAAAATGAATCAGATTCCGGTCAATGGTCATTTTCTCTAAAAACTGGCGAAGGTGGAGAATGGAAACATATGGATATTGAACAAACCAAAAATAAAGGAGATGAACATCAATTTTTAACTGTTCCAATTACACATTTCTAATTAATTAGTTAGAAAATTCCTTGCCTTTAAAATTGCCACGTGTAACCATTTTTTCTCAATGTTATTATGCACTTACTTACTTACTTTAATTTCAAAAACCTAGTCTTTTTTGGTGCTCTTTTTACTATTGCATTTTCTTTGAAAGCTCATAATTTGTCTCAAGTTTTTTTTTGTTATTAATTTTTAAAATAAAGATTATATCTATTTACAATTTCCTTAAATTGATAAAAAACGTTGATAATTTTGCCATGTGCAAACACCGTGACATGAAATTGCACTATTTTTTCCTTAGGCGGTTTTTATTCAAAAATAATTAATTTTCAGATGAATCGGCGAATTTTAGCTTCAGCAATGCAAAAAATGACAAGGAATTTTTCTATGGCGAAATTGAAAAGGTATTTTTTGAAATAAATTTACTTTCTTGAAAAGAGGGAAAAGAAGAACAAAATAAATACAAAACGGAACGAGTTCTAAATTTTTGAAGAATTTCAAAAATTCGGGGCGATTATTGAGCTTTGGCGAAACGTTCGCTGACATTTTTCCAATTGGCGATCTGTAAAAATTTTGGGGGTTTCATGGGGAAACTTTAAGAATAGCATCATCGAGGAATTTTTTTTTTAATTTTTGTTTTAACTGGATTTTGAAACAGCAGAAAAATGAATAATTTAGGAATTTTCCATTTGAAGAATTTTTATTTCAATAAATTTTTGAAACAGTAGAAAATTTGTATATCTTTAAAATTATTTTTGGAGTAAAATTTTCGGAAATAATTTTTCAAGAAGAGAATAATTATCAATTTTTATTTACAAAATAATAAATTGAAATTTTGAAACAGTAAAAATCCTCAAAGAATCATTACTTTGAATTGCTACAAAAACTCATAGAAAACTTGAAACAGTGAGATTTTTTTCTAAAAACAATTATTCATCATATTTTTGGAATATATGTAAATACAATCCATCTAAAATTTGAAACAGTAAATTTTTCAACATTCCGAAAACTACAAATCACACCTTTCAAATTAATTTTCACAATAATGAACATTTGAAACAGTAGGAATTTTTCTTCACGAAAAAAAATTAAAATCTTCCAATTGAAATGTATTTCAGAAATACGAAAATTTTGAAACAGTGAGATTTTTATGCTCAAAAAATCGAAGTTTTTTTTCTAATTTTAACAATTAATTTCTCAAAATCTAAAAAACTAACCTTCCAAATAGCATTAACATAATCAGGTCTGACATTTTTATATTGCAAATAATAAGCATGTTCCCAAACATCAATACCAAACAATGGAATCAAACCAGTTGTAGCCTCCAATGGATCTTGATTTGCACAAGTCACAACCTTCAAAACCTTTGCTTTCTGATCATATCCAAGCCATCCCCAACCACTTCCTTGAACTGCAACTGTTGCAGTCGAAAGAGTTTTTTGAAGATTATCCAAACTTCCGAAATCCCTTTTAATTGCTGTCAATAATTCAGCCGATGGTTCTCCTCCATCTTTCGCCAAATTTGTCCAGAAAATCGAGTGGTTAATATGTCCGCCACCGTTGAATTTCAATGCTGGTTGAAGAGCGATCGCTTCTTTCACATTGCCTTTTGAAACTGCTTCGTGAAGTTTTTCCTCAATTTGATTCAAATTGTTGACATATGTTGCGTGATGTTTTTGGTGGTGGAGTTGCATGATTTCGTGACTGATTACTGGTTCGAGATCCGCATAATCGTATGGAAGATCGGGAAGAGAATGCTTGGAGCGGAGAGAGAGACTGAAAAAAAAATATTGAGATGTTTTGGGAGAAATTAATTAATGGTTGTGCATGAGAGCTCAAATTTATCATTAAAAATAGTGAAATTTTCTAAATCGAATTATTTCGGAGCATTTTTCGAGAACATTTTCAAAATTGGTGCAATGTAAGGTTCTTTGAATCGAGATTTCTCAAAAAAAGGTGAGAAAATCTCATTTCATGAAATTTTTGTTGTTTTTGTCTACAAATCGAGATTTCCGGTTGCTTGTCGAATTCCAAATATTCTCTAATCATTAAAAAGCCTTCCTGATTTTCTGATGTAACAATCTCCTTTCAAAAATCATCATTTTCCCAATTTCCCAAGTTATCCAAACTCACCCAGCGATTGGCTTCAAAGTCTTTCCAACCAACGATTTGACCGAGTTCGACAACATTCTGAAATCACACAAATTTCACACTGAAACCTGGATTTTCACGTTTTCAAAATGCAGTGTAAACAAGGCGGTCCGCAAAAAAACAAACAAACATTGCACACCCGGCATTTTATTTGACGACAATTTTTTGAAAAAAAATTATTTTTTTTGCGGCGTCATCATTTTCCAATTTTTGTGCAGTTTTGGGGGGAAATTTGAAATTTTTGAAAATGTTTTGATTTCAGGATGGATCGTAGTTTGTATGTGATTCCTAATGAGACTCCGGTTTGTCAATTGGACGCCACCGAGGCTTTCAAAGGTTGGTGGGGAATTTTTTCAGTGGAAATTAGATTTTGACTCTCTGATCACGATCCCGTTTTCAAAAATTGCTGAATTCAATTCTGGAGATGAGTTATGACGTGGCAAATGAAATTTTCGAGATATCATGTTTTGACAAGGCTAGAACTAGCTTCAAAAATGGTTTCCATGGGAATCTGATATCATAGCGTTGTTTGGAAAGGCGATAATATTGTAAAAATGTTCTATGAATTTTCTGAATACCCAGAAATTTATCAGAAAACCCATAGAAAATTGATACAATCTAATCGTCCTTCCAAACAACGCTATGATCTTAGATTCCCATGGAAATCACTTTTGAAGCTAGTTTTAGCCGAAAATTTTATTTACCACGTCATAACTCATTTTCAAAGTTGAATTCAGTAACGGAATCATTATCAGCGGGTCAAAAATCAATATTTTCCACGTGGCTTCTGAAAAGCCCTCCGAATTTTCAGCTCTCAACTCTCAAGAGAAGAAATATGCGCACTACATCGCAAAAGCCTCATTCGACGGAGCTTTGAGTGTTTTCCTCCAAGTTTCCCCCGAATCCCCCGCAATTCTCTATGTCTTATACAAGATTTTCAAAACCGAATCAATCGAAAATCTCAAGCAAAAAGCGAAAGATGTCGGATTTAGTGATGATGAATTTGCGGCACTTTTAGTTTATGCAGCCGCGTTTTATTCGAATTCTGGAAATTATAAAGGATTCGGTGATACGAAGATTGTTCCAGGAGTTGCTGTGGAAAAAATTGGAGCGCTTGTGGAGAAATTGAGTGATGAAAAGCTGAAAAATGTCTGGAAATCGATTGAAAAAGTTGTGGGAAGTTTGGAAGCTGGAGAACTTCAATTAGGATTTGGTGACAAAGGAGTAACTTGTTATCATTCGAAAAATGTGACAAAAAAAGACGCAGCAAAAATTGATCGATATTTTAAACTCAAAAATATTGAATCGTGGAATTCCAGACTTTTCAAGGAAGTGGATTCAAATGGAAAGGTTACATTTATTGTGAAATTGGCTTCTGGAGAAACTGGAGAAGTTTCAGAAAGTTCTTTTGAAGATGTTACTGTGAAAGTTGTGAAAGGAGATTATTCTCCAATTATGAAAAGAACTAATGAGTGGTTGGCTAAAGCTATTCCTGTTGCGGCAAATGAAAATCAGAAAAAGATGATTGAAAATTATATTGCTCATTTTACAAATGGTGATATAAACCTGCACAAAAATGGGTCGAGATATTGGATTAAAGATGTTGGACCAACAATTGAGAGTTATATCGGGTTTATTGAGAATTACCGTGATCCGGCTGGAACCAGAAGTGAATTTGAGGGATTTGTTGCGGCGGTTAACAAAGAGACTTCGAAGAAATTCCAGAAACTTGTTGAGAATGCGGAAGAGATATTGAAACGTCTTCCATGGGGAAAAGCATATGAGAAGGACACGTTTTTGAAGCCTGATTTTACTGCGTTGGATGTTATTGCTTTTGGAAGTAGTGGAATACCCGCGGGAATTAATATTCCAAATTGTGAGTCGTTTTGGGTTCAGTGGAGAATTTCCTAGAAAATTATGATTTTTTGGATCCAGAGAAGCTTGAAGCAAATTTCTTAAATACTTAAACTACTGTGAATTTTTTCACTGTTTCAAAAAATTTTGACTTTGAAGAGTCTATGTTTCTCTCAATTAAACACTGCTCACCGAATAATGGGGCTATTCATGTTATTTTCTCAACGCTGAGAAAACAGGAGAAATGCGAAGAAAACCTATTCAGGTAGGCTGAGAAAATACGAAAAAAGCGGAGAAAATGTATTTCCTCCGCATTTCTCCTGTTTTCTCAACATGCTGAGAAAATACATGAATAGCCCCATAAGAAAAATATTTTGAAAATTCAGAATTTTCATCAGAAATTACTGAAGTTTCCTGTTAATGTTTGAAAAAAAACCTATTCCAAAATTGTGCATTTTTTGCGTATTTCTGAATTTTTCAAAAAAAAATCCAGAAAATTGTGTTTTTTTTCACTGTTTCAAAAAATTTTGAATTTGAAGAATCTAAATTATTTTCAATGCCGTTGGCGTAGCTGAACGAAAATTATTTCAAGAATCTCAGAAAATTAAAGTGTTGCAAGAAAAGTTTTCCAAAAAAATTCCCCCAAACTTCTCTATTTTTTCCAGATGATGATATCCGACAAAATGAGGGCTTCAAAAATGTCTCATTGGGAAATGTGATCTCAGCTCAACCAAAACAAAAAATGAACTTTTTGGATGAAGAAGATGAAGATCTTATGTTCAAATATCACAAAGATTCATTTGAAGTTCAAGTTGGATTACATGAATTATTAGGTCATGGATCTGGAAAATTATTCCAAAAAAATCAAGATGGAAGTTTCAATTTTGACAAGGAAAATACGAAAGATATCATAAGTGGCGGGAAAATTGGAACATGGTATGAACCTGGAGAAACTTGGTCGTCGAAATTCGGACCATTGGCATCGGCCTATGAAGAATGTCGAGCTGAAGCTGTTGGTTATGTTTTGTGTTGTGATAAGGATATTTTGGAGTGAGTTTTGGGGAGTTTTAGCTTGAAAATAGGTGACAATGATCCTGAAATGCTCTATTTTCCAATAAAATTGATCTCTGGATCATTTTTAGCTTAAAATTCTGAATTCTTAGCTTCCAATCATATACATATTTTCATCTTTGAAATTGTGAAAAACGCTAGAATTTGCCACGTGGAATTTATCAACGAATTATAAGAATTTGGCAATCGAAAACTAAAACTATTGAAAATTATATTTTTTCGTGAAATTTCAACCAGAAAACTTCTAAAAAATTTTATTTTGAAATTGTGGTATTTGAAACTTTGAAATATAATGAAAAAATTTTGAAACAGCAAAAATGAATTTTGTGAACTCATAAATTTTGGTTCAAATTTATCCACAATGTTAATTTGTTCAAAAAAAAAATGGCTAAAGACAGTTTTTAGAGCCGAAAATTTGCCACGTGGAATTAAGCGCTCAAAATTTTTCAAAAAATATTAGGGAAACCGATATTTAATGTGAAAAATAAATTCACACATTTTATGAAATAATTTTGAAACATGGAAAATTATTTGGTACAATTGTGCTTCGTTGAAAAACGTTGAAAATTGATCCAAAAATGAATTTATGCAATTTTTGAAACAGTGAATTTTATCGTAAAGTTAAAGATATCCCAAAAGTAATAACGCCTAGAAAATTTTATTAAAAAAATATTGGATTTTTTTTCGCAAAATAAAAACAGTAAACAAATCGAAATTCCACAATTTCGAAAATTTTATTCTGATTTCTGAAACATTGAAATTTAATTAGAAACATTCGTGCTCGAGTGATGAAAATTGATCCAGAAACTATTTTCGCAATTTCTGAAACAGTGAATTTTTAAAAAAAATCAAATCTAAATTCAATTTTTCAGAATCTTCGGCTACACTGGTGATTTGGCACAAGATGTGAAATATGTCAATTGGCTCAGTGAAATTCGCGCCGGTCTAATGGCTCTCGAATTTTATCAAGCGGAGCAGAAAAAATGGGGACAAGCACATTGTTATGCAAGATATGTTTTGACAAAAGTTGTATTGGAAGCTGGTGAAGGATTTGTGCAAATTATCGAAAAACAAGGAGAAGATGGAAAACCAGATTTGCATTTCAAATTGGATCGAACCAAGATTGATTCGGTTGGAAAACCGGCGGTTAATGCGTTTTTGGCGAAATTGCAAGGATATAAATCGACGGGAGATTTTGAGGGAGGAAAAGCGCTGTTTGAATCGTATGGAAAAGTTGGAGAAACTGAATTGAGATGGAGAAATGTTTGTATTCAACGCAGAAAACCTAGAAGACTTTTTGTGCAGCCAAATACTGTCGAGAAAAATGGAGGTGGGCAGAATTATTGAAAATTTTCATAAAGAAATATATTAGCATGCGAAAAAAATAGGAACTTGGAAATTTTTTTCAAAGTAAAATTCACTGTTTCAAAATTTTGATTTATTTATTTTGCTTTTCTCAAAATTGTTTTATCGGTAGACTACAAACAACTGATCCAAGAATAGTGAATCTGATTCCCGTGCAATTTTGAAATTAAAAAAAAATTTTGAACCATGGTTTTTGGCCTTAAACTAATTTCACAAAAAAAATAAAATAAAAATTCACTGTTTCGAAAAATTCATAAATAAAAATTGTAAATTTTAGCAAAATTGTTGGATCGACGGTGTTTTTCGCAATAAAAAATCAGCCAGGAAATTTTATGTTTCAAATTATTCATATGATTTTTCCATCCGTGTGCAAAATTCATTTTCAAAATGAAAGTAACTTTGAATTTCAATTTTTTTCAAAAAATTCATTTGAACAATTTCACTGTTTCGAAATATTCATAATATTTTTCTGTAAATAGAATATTATTATTAACATTCATTATTAACATTCATGATTTAAAAAAGCGTTGAATTTCAACCAGAAAAAAAATTATCTGAAAATTTTCACTGTTTCAAAATTCACAAAAAAAAGCAAATAATAATTTTTTTCAATGTTATATCCGTTTTCCTCTCAGAAATCCAATTGATCACCTACAATTCTGATGCATCTGGTGTAATTCAATCATTTGTTGAAAGATATGAAGAATTGGCCATCGAAGATTTGATTCAATGTTGGGAAAATGACAAAAAATGGTTTTAATTTTAGGTTTTTTGGTGTTTTTCTGTGATTTTTTTCACTTTCGGTGCTTCTTTCATACATTTTATTTATAAATAAACATTTTTATGGGGTTTTCTTCAATTTTTTCTGTGTTTGAAATGGGGTTTAATAGCCTTAATGATATTTTTCTTGAACTCTTCCAGGTTTTAAATTTTTTGCCAACCAAAAATTAATTTTAGAATGACAATGGATGATAGTTTGATGGATGAGGAAGAAGTTGTGGACACAATTGAACAAGTTGCGAAAATTGATAAATCGCACGCAAAAGCCATTGTTAAATTGCACGCGTTTCGATATGGAAGACAGATTGCGATTATTAGTGTGGCACATGATTCGGCAAAATTGTGGATTTTGTGAGTTTTTTTTGGGGATGCCGGTGGTTTTCTGAACATTTTGAGTCCAAACATGATTATTTTTTGAAAGAAAAATTGGAAAATTAGTCACCCTAACTTTCTACATCATAAAATTTTTTTTGAAATTTCAAAGTGTTTTATTTCAAAAAACTCACTGTTTCAAAATTGTTTCCTCAAAATTGTTCCCCAAACAAAAGATTAGCTATGAAAATTCTTGTATTAGTTTTTTTTTCACTGTTTCACAAATTTTTTGATTGAAATACTAATTTTTATTTTTAATATGGTACTGAGAAATTTTCAATGACAAAAATTAACCAAAAATTCATTAAAACCAAGTGGATTTTCATTTTTTTTTCAATTAAAACTAATTTTTAAAATACCGAAAAGTGTAATTTCTCTGAATTTTAGCAATCATTTTTGAAACAGTAGAATTGTGAGTTACTTGGATGATTTTCCTCTTTTCACAATTTTTTCACTGTTTCACAGAAATTTGAAGAAAATCCAAGGAAATTTGGTTTTGTTTTGTCCGTAACTTTTTCAAATGAAAAACTCCATATTAATAATAGAAAATAATTAAAAATTTCACTGCTTCAAAAAAGTATTTTGAATTTCAAGAAGAAACCGTTTCTGATAAAATTCTTATTTTTATTTCTTTCACTGAAAATTGTTTTTTATTTTTCACTGTTTCACAGAAATTAGAACAAAATTAAAGAGTTTTGGGTTGTGCTTTAACCATCATCCAATTTTGCAAATTAAAAACTCCCTAATGATATCTGAAAAATATCTGAGAATTCTACTGTTTCAAAAGAATGTCACAAAATTTGAAAAAACAGAACAATCTGATTTCATTATTTTTTCAATATCTTGAAAAATCCCATTTTTTTCCAGAAATGAAGATCGAAAAAATCGAAAAGCCAATTTGGTCGAAAAAGCCACACTTGGAACATGGAGATTTGCTGTTCAATCAGCTGATGTTAGTCAAGATGGACGACGTGAGTTGGATTTTTTCGCTGTTTTGAAAAATATTGTTATGAAAACTTCACCAGTGACTAGGAATTTCAAAAAAATTATAATGAATTTTTGAAACGTAAAAAATCCGTCATCTTTTTTTCGGGTGAAAAAATTTACTGTTTCAAGAAATTTTATTTTAAAAATTTTATTTTCACAATAATTCGCAATACGATTTTAAAGAAATTGACAAAAATTACAAAAATAGAAAAAATTAACTGTTTCATAAGATTCTGAACAAGGAAGGCCTTTAAAAATTTAATTTTGTTATGCAGACGTATTTTTCGTACAAAATTTATCGATTTTTCACAATTTTGAGCCCAAGAAACATGGCTCAATGGTTCTATATTTTTTTCTGAAAATTATACGTTTCAGAAATATTTCTTTTGAAAATTTGGATATATCAGTTCATTATGTTGAATATTCTGGCCATAAACAAATTGTGCTAAAGTCATAGAGCCCCTAAACTTGCTCATAGGTCCATTATGGTTTCAAGAAGTCCCTGTTTCAGAAATTGTTCTTTTAAAAAATTGGATTTTACAAACAATTTGTCGTTGTTCTTCTGAAAAATTATGGAATTTCGAAATCTGGCCAATTGTTATCCAAAAAATTCACTGTTTCAAATTTTTCTATCCCAAAAAATCCCTTTTCTCATTTCAGATTTGATTGTTGTCTCAATCGATTCAAAAGTGTATGATATTTCATTGGAAGATATCGAAAATAATTTCCAAATCGAACGCGATTTTGATTGTATGGAAGTTGTTCATGTCTCGATTGCACCAACAAATAACACATTTTTGACTTGTAAGATTTCAACTTAAAAATCTAACTTTTAACTTAAAAATCCCGATTTCTTCAATTTTCAGCTGGTTTTTCGTGTGGTTTGGCTGAAATTGAGATTGCTAACAATTCGACGAACTTTTTCAGAAAGGAGAAATTTTCGAATAGCAAAGCGATTAGTTGCTTGAAATATGTGAGTTGCTTTTGGGGAAGAGAAGAAAATTATTTGGAGATTTTTTGAAACAGTGCAAATTTAGATTTTATTTTTATGTAAAATCAAAAAAAAAACGAATTTGAAAATCTGTGCAAAATTATTTGAATACTTTGAAACAGTGAAATTTTGGAACGAGAATTAATTTCGTAATTTTTTGAAAAGCATTATGAATTCTTCGAAACAGTGAAAATTTAACTTAATTTTTAATTTTTATCCGGAATTTTTTTGAGTGGAAATTTGAGGATTTTCTGGAGCAGTAGAAGTTTTTGACATTTTTTCACTGTTTCAAAATTGTTGTTAACTGGAGTTTTTTTTGAAGCTTTAATATTCTAATAGCTAATAGCTCCAATATTTCTCGAAAAAAATCACTGTTTCAGAATTTCTTTGAAAATATTATTAAATTTTTACTTCATTAGATTTACCTGTTTGTGTATGGGTTTAATTTTTTGAATTTTTCACTGCAAAAATTGATATTCTAATATCCCAAACCTAAAATTTTTAGAAAAAATTCACTGTTTCAGAATTATTTCAACATTTTTGATTTTCGCTTAATTTTTTGGTCCAACTCTTGAATAGTCATGAAATTTTCCTGAAACCGTTAATTTTTCAGCAATATTTTTCACTGTTTCAAAAAATTCGTTTCTAATATTTTCTCATACATATTTATTCATTTATCCAAATACAAAATACAAAAAAAAAAATACATTTTCCAAAAAAATTCACAAATTTCGTACAATATCATCAAATTGAAGAGTTACAAAATATCCATCCCTTCTTTGAATTCTCACTTCTTTTTTGACAAAAACAAAGTTTTCGATATTTTTTGCATCGAGAAAAGCAGAAATCATTGATTTTTTGGTTGTTGGAAAGCCAAAAATATGAACACGAGCAGAATCGCCGAAGTTAGTTGACTGCAAAAATATGAATATTGATTAGGTCTTGAGTGGGGCGAGGTTGCGCGTCAGCGGCTGCGCGGAAAAATTAACAAACCTCTATGAAAGAGACCAATCCTTTATGTGAAACAGTCGAATTTTCGCTCAAATCCAATGAAAAACTTCGAACATTTCTTGCCATTTTCGAAAATCTTTTCAAATCTTCATCGTCACATTCAGTTTTTGCCCCATTCAAAACCAAGTTTTCCAAATTTGGCATTTCATCCAAAATCTTTGATAATTTCATTGTTTCCTCCTCACAATCATTATTATCATAATTAATAATTAAATAATTAGCAGCATAGAAATATGGCAAAAATGTCAAATAATTGTTGTTTTTGACATTTAAAAGTATTCGTTTTCTTTGAATCAACCAAATTTGGTCGATTTCTTGAATTGTTCGAAGACAATCTGACATTGAAAACCATTCTGGATTGATGAAATTCAGTTTTCGTTTGAGGGAGGAATTTGCGGCGATTTTGAAGGTGGTCTGCAAAAAAATTAAACATTTTTGATTGTGCCACGTGGCAAATTTTCACCCCGTAGAAAATTTCAAAACTCACAATCTCCAACTCGTCTTGTGTTTTGGGAAAATGAAAATCGATTTTCCTGCTGCCATCTGCTCTCGAATCAATCGATAAAGTTGACATTTCGAGCATTTGTCGGCCATGATATTCTCGAACTGAATCCAGATTCTCAAGTCTCACTGATTTTCTTGGCTGAATTTGAGATTCTTCAGATTCAGAATCAGATGAGAGAAAGGAGAAATCAGACATTTCTAGTTGATTTGAGAGCTGAAAATTATGGAAAAATTATTTGAGAGTGAAGAAGAATTAAGAGAATATAAATTTTAATTAAAAATTATTATAGCAAATTTATGAAACAGTAAAAAATTCCTAATTAATTAATCAGCAACCTAAACGATTTACAAGGTAAAAGTTTTTAAAATTAATCATATCATTCCAACTCTTCCCTTTTATACCAATGTTTGGTGTGAAATGGGCGGAGCTTCCCAAAATTATTTTATTTTTGGTGTGAAAATAATTGGACGCGTGTCTCTTTTGATAACAGATGTTTTTTTTCGGAAATATCAAAAAGTGTGAACATGGGAAGAATTGAAGGTGTTAAAAATGATAGTTAAGGAAAAAAAACATGGGAATGTTAGGTAGTTTGGATTTTATAGATATTTTTATTTGTGGTTTTATTTCGAACAAAGAACACTTCTACCAATAGGAATTTCAACTGAAAATAGTGAAGTTGGATTTTGAAACAGTGAAAAATCAAGGCTAAAAACCTAGAAAGTACAAAAACCTTTCTTATCAGCAATTCCAATCCAAAATTATTATCTCAAAATTTTGAAACAGTGAAATATTCCTGAATTAAATATTTGAAATGTTATAATTTTCCAGTGTCGTATGTAAAATTAATCAAATTTTTGTGAAATCTTCTAGTCGTTCTGCTGAAACAGTAGATTTTTTATGATATATAATTTTTCAAAATTCTGATCTAGACAGTAAAATCACTTTTTTCAATTTCATTCACAATAAACATTCCCTGAAAAAATTCTGAAATTATTTTAGATCTTTTTACAAAAACTTCACACATATTTTTCCCAAAATTTTGCAATTTTCCCATTTGTTTTATCGTTTTCTCTCGGAAATATTATGTTTTTTCGCTTTTTCACACCTTGGTGTCACCGCGTTTTTGTTTTATTGAAAGTGTGATAAATTTGATATGGGATAGTTTTTTACAGGCACTAAAGTAATCTTGAATAGTTTTTTCTGAATATTTATTTTTCACTGTTTCAGAATTATTTTGAATATTTTTTGCTTTATAAATTTTCGCTTCTTGTGAAAATTGTACTGTTTCAAAAAACTCACTGTTTCAAAAACTATTGTAAGGGTTTTGTGAAAAATGTTCTTTATTTTTTAATATATTATTTTCATAACAAGGGAACCTTTTTTACTCAACACTTCAAATCATGATGAAATTTTGTCCAGAGATAGCTTTTGGGGCCATAAGAACACCCTAAAAATCTTAGTTACCCAATGGACCTCTGAGCCAAGTTCTGGGATCTCAAAAGTTCAAAAATTGCCAAAATTGGCTCATAAAACACGTCATAACTCAATTCTCGATCAATTTTATGAAAAACTGAGTAGCAGATGATGATCGGCGTGGTCGATTTACCCAAAAACCATCAATAAATCAAATTTTCAGAAAAAATTTTGATTTTGAAAAAAAGAATGAGCAGGGGCACATATGAATTTTCATGAATTTTCAGCTCAAAAATAAAAAACTTCAAAATTTTTCGAAAAAATGTTTTTTATCGATTTACTTTTAGGTAATCGACTATGCTGATCAATATCTGAAACTTTATTTCTCCCAAAAAAATTTTGAAATGGAGCTATGATGACTTTTGTGACCATTTTTAGGCCTTTTTTGAGTTTTTGAGAGCCCAGAACTTGGCTCATAGGTCCATTGGGTAACTTAAATTTTTAGGGTGTTCTTATGACCCCAAAAGCTGACCATGGACCAAATTTCATCATGATTTGAAGTGTTGAGTAAAAAAGGTTCCCTTGTAAGACTCACAGAAAATAAATCGCCCTCTCATTAAAATCCCGTAAGGTGAAATTTATTTAGAAATGTTCATTTCTCCCGGTCACGTGAAATTCTGACCAATATATATTTATCAAAAATGCTTCATTTCTTACCTACACGTGTGGTGTAGGCGGGGAGAGCGATGCCTTCCAATCAGGCAACCCTCCTTCTTTTGTGGGTTCGAGCCCCACTCGGGAAAAATTTTTCCCTATATCGAGTAATGCAGATTTTCGGAAATTTTGTTCCTTTCTCCCCAAAATTGCGAAAATTTGACATTCCAACGCGGCAAAAAAGAAAAAAGAAGATGGAGAAGAAAAAGCTTAATAAAAAGAGAAAATCGAGAAAATATCCTGCGTGACCCATGAACGAAAAAGGCTGATTCTTCAGATGCTATTGGCATTGTTCAAGAATTCCAAATTCCTAACGGGCCAAGAATGTTATTCAATACGAAAAAAATATTGAATAAGTTTTTTTTTTTGAAAAATTTATCGATGACGTCATCGATGGCAAAATTAGGAAGCCTTCCTGATTTTGCCACGAGTCATTTTTTTATCAAAAATTTCAAAATTTTCAATGAATTTGATTGTTATTCTTTTTCTTAACCTCTTTCGAGTATATGGAAGGGGGGGGTAAGACAACAAAATTTTTTTGTCGCAAAGTAACCTATTTGTAAATCTGGAAGGTCTTCCAGTTTTACAAATCCATCATTATCGACCCAAATTTCAAGTTTTTAGGCTTAAAATGATTGTAATTCATTAAGTTAGCATCTATTGAGTATTGTCTAAAGAAAATGATATTTTTTTGATCAATTTTTTTTTTTTGGTCAAAAATTTGTAAATCTGGAAGGTCTTCCAGTTTTACAAATCCATCATTATCGACCCAAATTTCAAGTTTTTAGGCTTAAAATGATTGTAATTCATTAAGTTAGCATCTATTGAGTATTGTCTAAAGAAAATGATATTTTTTTGATCAATTTTTTTTTTGGTCAAAAATTTGTAAATCTGGAAGGTCTTCCAGTTTTACAAATCCATCATTATCGACCCAAATTTCAAGTTTTTAGGCTTAAAATGATTGTAATTCATTAAGTTAGCATCTATTGAGTATTGTCTAAAGAAAATGATATTTTTTTGATCAATTTTTTTTTTGGTCAAAAATTTGTAAATCTGGAAGGTCTTCCAGTTTTACAAATCCATCATTATCGACCCAAATTTCAAGTTTTTAGGCTTAAAATGATTGTAATTCATTAAGTTAGCATCTATTGAGTATTGTCTAAAGAAAATGATATTTTTTTGATCAATTTTTTTTTTGGTCAAAAATTTGTAAATCTGGAAGGTCTTCCAGTTTTACAAATCCATCATTATCGACCCAAATTTCAAGTTTTTAGGCTTAAAATGATTGTAATTCATTAAGTTAGCATCTATTGAGTATTGTCTAAAGAAAATGATATTTTTTTGATCAATTTTTTTTTTGGTCAAAAATTTGTAAATCTGGAAGGTCTTCCAGTTTTACAAATCCATCATTATCGACCCAAATTTCAAGTTTTTAGGCTTAAAATGATTGTAATTCATTAAGTTAGCATCTATTGAGTATTGTCTAAAGAAAATGATATTTTTTTGATCAATTTTTTTTTTTTGGTCAAAAATTTGTAAATCTGGAAGGTCTTCCAGTTTTACAAATCCATCATTATCGACCCAAATTTCAAGTTTTTAGGCTTAAAATGATTGTAATTCATTAAGTTATCATCTATTGAGTATTGTCTAAAGAAAATGATATTTTTTTGATCAATTTTTTTTTGGTCAAAAATTTGTAAATCTGGAAGGTCTTTCAGTTTTACAAATCCATCATTATCGACCCAAATTTCAAGTTTTTAGGCTTAAAATGATTGTAATTCATTAAGTTAGCATCTATTGAGTATTGTCTAAAGAAAATGATATTTTTTTGATCAATTTTTTTTTTGGTCAAAAATTTGTAAATCTGGAAGGTCTTCCAGTTTTACAAATCCATCGCCACGAGTCATTTTTTGATCAAAAAACTTGAAATTTTCTATAAATTTGATCGTAAGTCAATGTTCTGTGGACAATAATCACAGAAAAAAGTGAAACTGAAATAAATGAGAAGACTGTTACGCCTGGGGGCTAACAGCCCCTAGTCACTGTTTCAAAAAATAATTAAATTTCGGAGAAAATTTCAAAAAATTATTGATTTTGATCCAGCTATAAAATGTCAATTAACAACCTTAAAAATCCATGAAAAGTTCGAATTTTCTACAAATCAATTTTTATAAATAACATTTCTTTGAAAAATTTCACTGTTTCAAAATGTTTTCTTAATTGTTTTGATTTTTCAATATTTCATTTACAACAATTACAACAAAAAAGAAATCAACTATTTTTAGCCGAAAATATTCACTGTTTCAAAAAATGTTCAAGTTTTTGAGAAAATTTTATAAAATTACTATGGTGCTTGAGAAAATTTCTAATTTTTACAGTCAAATGATATGAAATACATCGCCGTTGGTCAAAATGATGGAGTAATTGAACTATTCGAAACAGCAACTCTCAAACCAATTCATAAATATGAAGTGCACAGTATGAAAGTGAGAAAAATCGCATTTTTGCCCGGAGATGAACGATTTTTGTCGGGTTGTGATGATAAATTGATCAAATTGAACTCGTTGACGGATTTGTGAGTTTTTTGGGAGGAACATATGATTTGCCACGTCATATCTTTTAAATTTTTATCGAAAAAAATTTTTTTTAGATCTAAGTTTCAGCTCCAAAATTTTTGCAATTTTTAAATTGCCACGTCATATCCTAACTAGATTGTATTCAAAATTTTTCGAATTTCATCCCTAGAAATCTCAATTTCCAAATTTTCAGAGGTCAATCCGAAACAAATCGAACAAATCGAGCTCTTCGAATTTACGCGGCTCACAGCGGACCAATTTATGGGCTAGAAATTGATGAAAAAAGTGGAGGAACACGATTCGCCAGCTCTTCTTCTGCGCAGGTATTTTTTTGGGAATTTCTGATTCCGGCAACGCGGAAACTTGCAATTCAGTTCCAAATTTATCAGATTTTGAACTTTCTAAAGTTTCTGAAAAAATAATTCGGAATTTCGAACATTTCAAGGGTTACTGTAGGGTTTTCTGAGTTTCCCAATTTAATTTTCTAAATTTAATTCATGGTTTCTTGCAGATCTTCCTCTGGCACATTGAAATTTCGACACCGATTTCAGTAATTCCAACAGAACATTCAGGATTGGTTAGTTTTTCCACGTGGCGAATTTAAAAAAATAGTCTGAAATTTAAATTTTCAGATAACCGGTCTCTCATTTTCCCCAACAAGTCGACATTTATTATCAGCTGGTGAAAATGCATTGATTTGCTGCTATCGAATTCCAGCATCTGGTGAAGAATCGCCAATTCCAGAAGAAGAAGAAATTCAAGAACCTGAATCACAAGCACAAGAGGAAAATATGGAAATTCCGCCGGCTGAACATTTGGAGCAAAATGAATATCCATTGGAATATCAGCAATATGCAGCTGAAAATTATGCTGAAAATCAGCAAGCTGCACAATATGAGCAGCAATTATATCAGCATCAAGAGTTGCCGCAAGAATATCCTCAAGAACCCGCTGAAAATGTTCATGAATTTCAGCCACACACAATTAAAACTGAGCCAGAAGCATCGTATTCTCCACCACCGCAATTTTCACAACATCCACAGAAACAGGAATATGATGCATAGACATTTTTTGACCTGAAGTTAATTTTTGAAATTCCAATGATCTTCTCTTATCTTGAAAGAATAAAACGTTTTAATTTAAATCTAAAAAATATCATGAACAATTCCAAAATGATAATCCCAACCTGTACCCCGGAGCGTCGTAGTATCTTGCATTTTCTAAACATGTTTTACAAGAACAATATTATGCCCACGTCATAACTCTTTATTCAGAAGAAAACAACACAATGATTAACAGTACCATTCTCTTCGAAAATTGAAATCGTCCAATTCAAAATCAATCTTGTGAAATTCAGTATGACCGGAAAATAGATTTCCGAAATTGTATCCACTATCTAAACGACAGTTACCAGAAAAACACGAATGATTCAGAACGACAAAATACGGTGTGAATTCCCAACTGTCAAATTTACCAAACAGATTGAAACGACCCTCTGAATCTGTCATTGTTTTGTTGAGATATATGCTATAGCCAACTGAATGAATTGAGGTGTTGTCGAGGTAAACGTGGAGAGAGAGAGAGAGAGAGTGGATCAAAAACTCACATTTATTTCCGTCCCAAATTTCAACTTCAGTCACATATGGTTTGTTGAAGCACAGAATTCGACCGCTTGCATTTATACTGATAGGCCAAGCTTGAGAAAAAGTGGCGAGAAGAGCGAGAGTCGCTAAGAATTGAAGATACATTTCGAATAATTTGATATTGCTTCGGAGCTCTTCGCTTTTATTCAGATATTTTTAATGAAGTCTAGTCAGGCCTGCCTGAGAAACTGAATATGGTCGAAAGATTTTTGATGTGTTGAACAAGTTTGCTAGTTTCTAGGCTTCAGATTTGATCAGGATTTGGAGATTTTTCTAGAGGGTTTTTTATGTTCAGACTTCTAGACTCCCAGGCTTGTTGCAACGTCATAACAAAATATTCTCGCAGATTTTTAAAAGAATTAAAAAAAAATTATTATTTGAACTCATTTTTATTTTTTTAACACTGTTAAAAAATTATTATTTGAGATCATTTTTATTTTTTTTTAACACTGTTAAAAAATTATTATTTGAAATCATTTTTATTTTTTTTCTTTACATATGAAATCTGAAAAAATTAAAACGATAATCCTCATTTTTTTAGTACACAATATTTCGAGAATTACTGAAAATTTAGATGTTTTTCAGCATTTGTTGGTGAAAATTCGGTTGATTTCGACTATTGATATCGGTCAATCATCGTTTCAAATTGTTCCCCAGAAGAATTATAAAAATGTTGAAACAGTGAAAAATTTTAGACAATAATTTTTCAAGGTCTATTTTTGAAGTGATAATTTTTCATCGAAAAAAGATGTTGAGCTGAAAATATGGCAATACAGCAGATTTTTTCATCAGAGCTTAGAATGCAGACCAAAAATCATTTCAAATTGATCTCGAGAAAAGTAATAGAAATTTCGAAACAGCGAAAAAAATAAACTTTTCTTAAGAAATGATTTTCAGACAAAAATTTAAAGAAAAATTTTACTGATATATTTAGGTGCTGAAAATATATCAATTTTTATAATTACAATGAATTTATCTATGTATCACTCCAAATTATCATCATGAAACATTATAAGTTTTGAAACAGTCACAAATTTTCTGGGACATAGTCTTTCTGAAGTATTGCTTTTTCAGACAAAAAATTCTAGAAAATTCAGGTGCTGAAGTTCAACTGATTTGAAATCAATTCCACATCAATCCATTGAAATTTTGAAACAGTGAAAATATGTGTGGATCAAAAATTTTCATTTAGGATTCTTTACTGATTGTGAATAATTTTGGGAAGACATCGGAACAAAACAGCAATGAAAAAAACTGAGCCACAAAAACAAGAATTTGATACCTGGAATTTTTAACCTGAATTTGAAACTCTAAAAATTTTGAAAAAATAAAACGTTTTAATTTAAATTAAAAAATAAAAGATAAAAGAATGAGATTTGCATTTATTTTTCTTCGTTGTAAACAACAGGAGCTCCTTCGGTTTGAGCTTGTGAAGTTTCGGTGGAAGAAGTTGCTCCGCCTGCTCCATTTCCATTTTCAGTCGATTTTTCGCGCTGAAAATTTATTTTTGACTGAAAATTGGAAGAAAAGTGGTTAATTTTGACTGAAATCTCAAACAAAAATGGAATTGATAGAATTTTTCAAAAATATTTTTCTCAAATAAACTATACTCACCGGAATCGGTTCCTCGCTGTACAACAACATTCGATGAAATTCGGTCAAATGTTCGAGAAGAGCCCAAGCGGCAAGAAAACGTTGATTGCATGTTGCACATTTTAGACGATGTTTTGGTTCTTCTGAAAGAAAAAAATTGATTCGTGTGGAAATTTTGTATCATAATTTTCGAAACTTTATAGAATTCGAGAATATTTTGAAACAGTGAACTTTTCAAAATCAAAATGAGAATTTCAAAAAAATTTAAAAATCAGAAAATTATGAGACATTTTTGAAACAGTACATTTTTTTCCTTGTTTTTAATTATTTTGTCTAAATACTCTGGATTGGATTCAATAAACAATGAAAATTGAACATTTCAGTTTTAATGAAAATTTTGAAACAGTAATTTATTCTAGAAAAACGCTCATTTTACTACCAGAAATGTTGAGAAAACTTCTTATAATTTTTAATCCACAGTTTAGAAATTCTGGCTCATAATTTCCAAATTTTCAGAGAATTTTGAAATTTAAAAAAAAACCGTGATTTTTTATTGAAAATTTCAAACCATTTTTTATCAAAAAACTATGATTTTCGCATTATATTTTTCGCATTTCATAAAAATATGAGAATTCTTTGAAACGTATATTTCTGTCGAATTTTTTTTGTGGAATTTTACAATTTTGAAGCAAAAGACATGATAATAATTGTTCAGAAATTCAAGTTTTAAATCTGGGAATTAAAGTTCTGTCACGTGAATAATGCTGAAAATTCAAATTTTCAGCAAAATTGTGAAACTTTATTCGAACACGGAATGAAGTTGTAAAAATTTTCCAAAAACTTGAGATACTTTTGAAACAGTGAGTTTTTGATATTGAAAATTTCAAAATATTTTGTATTCCAAAATTAAAGGGTTATTATAAAACAATTTCGATAGCATTATCAACTTTTCCAAATTTGAATGAAAACATGATTTTTCTTTGAAACAGTATAATTTCCCTCCGATTTTCTCATCCCCAAAATCAATTCTCACCCTGATCCGAATATCTTCTACATCCAATCATTCGATGATTTTTGAATTCCTCAAAATCGCTCGTAACATAACGACAATTTCCGCAAACCATTGTATCGCACATTTCTGAAATAAATTGGAAATTTTCAGATTTTTGCAGAGGAATTCTGATTGGGGATTTGGACATTTTCTTAATCAGAATTCTCAACTAAAAGTATTCTTAATTCATTTTTTTCTCCCTGAAAAAAAGAGGGAAGAAAAATGATGTAATAATTTTTTTTTTTACTTTTTTTTCATTTTATTTTTTTCTCGAAAATTTACTGTTTCAAAATTTTATTTTGTTTTTTATGAGATGTTCAGACTTTGATCCATAGACGGAAAAGTTTGGAAAACAACCCACCATTTGGCGCCAAATCTTCGCCATTTGTTTTATCGCTCATCATAAACAACTTATTCCGTTTGTTTTGCTTGAAAATCTCAAATTCTTCATCGTCCGGACCACGTTTGCTGCAAAAAATTGGGTATTTTTGGGGGAAAATGGGAAAAAGGTTGGAAAATCTCGAAATCCTGAAGATTTCTATGAATTTCGATCAAACATCGTTTCAAAGTAAATCTCGAAACAGATTCGAACAACTTTAAAATAGTGGCGTTTTTTGCGAAGAACTGATTTTCAGTCCGAAAATAGGAATTTTTGAGAAAATATGAGAGGATTTGTGCTCGAAAAAATAGCATTAAAATTCTTGCCAGTTTTAGCTCGTTTGGTAGCACAAATCAAGCATCCTTTAAAATTTTCCTTCAGAAAAATTATAAAAATGTTGAAGTGAAAAATTTGGAAACCAACGTCAATTAATTTAACTATTATTGAATTAAAAATACGTGAGAAATAAAAAACTAGGTCAAGTGATGTGAATTTAAAAACAGTATAGGTAGCCATGTCGTCAGTCGCGATGCGGTTCTGCGTTGCGTGTTGACCTCGATATTTTCCATTGAATTTGCCAAATTTTCATTTCTAAAAACGTGTCGTCCACACGCATCGCAACTGACGACATGGCTACCTATACTGTTTTTAAATCCACGTCACTTGACCTAGTTTTTTATTTCTCACGCATTTTTAATTCAATAATACAAAAGCAGTCACACATCAATAAGAATCATTTCCTAGAAAATGTATAGAAGTTTCAAAACAGTAAATAAATGAAATTTTTGGGAAACTTTCCCAGTGAAATAATGATTTTCAGATAAAAATCCAGACAATGTAGAGTTGTCTTGCAAATTTATGCGCTGAAAATGAATGAAAAATCGTACTAGATTCAATTAATTTAGCTTACAATTACTGAAATCAATTCGAAAAAAAATTTCTCCAGAAAAAAATTATAGAAATTTTGAAACAGTAAAAAAATTTTCATTGAAAATATATCAGTTCTACTAATACCAATTAATTTGTAGCCTTCCTGAGCGAAGAAGTAGTCCGTTTCCCTAGAAATTTAATAAACATTTTGAAACAGTGAAAATTCAACGCCTTTTTTCAGAAATTCCTAAAACTTAAAGAATTTCCACGCACAGTTTCGTGCTGGAAATTTTCAGATAATTTTTCCAACGTTTTTGAGCACAAATCCTATTTTTAAACGCGCCTTTCCCACCCAAAAAATCAATAAAAATAAAGAAAAAACTCCGAAAAAACCAAAAATAAACCTCGCCGCTTTTGCTTGATTCGTTTCAGCCGACAAAATCGATGCACCAATCGAAGAACTCGGCGGACCAACTGGAGCAGTTGGAGCAGTCGGGGCTTTTTTGCCCAACATTGCCAAATGCACATCTAAAATATTGAAAAACATAATTAAAATTAAAAGGGAAGAAATGGAAAACAAAGTGAAAAATTTGAAAAAAAAATATAATGAAAATGAAAATGAAAAGAAAATAAAAGAAATCTCGTGGATTCAATTTTTCTTGCAATTTTTTTAAAGAAAAAGAACAAAAGGCCTACCTAAAACACATCCTTTCCATTGTTTTCCATTCAAAGTCAAACACGATTTATCGGCATCTGTAGCTTCAGTAAATTGAATAAAAGCAAATCCTTGTTGCTGCAAAAATTCAATTTTGGCATCGAAAATCCACGTGGAAAAAAGAAAACTTACCGCAAAATAATTAACAGCCATAAGAGTTCCAAAAGGTTGGAATAAATCGATAATTTCGTCTCTTGTCACAATTGCTCGAGCAATATTTCCGATGAAAACGCGAGCTCTAGAAAATTTGGAAATTATAATTTGCCACGTCATAATTTAGGCTTAAAAGCTCCTACTCAAAAATAATGTCTTACCTTATCATATGTGGATCCTTGGAAGATGTATCATAACTGACTTCTTGATGAATCGATGATGGTTGACCAACCCTGAAAAAAAAATTTTTGATTAAAAATATTTTACTGTTTCAAAAAATAGTTATGAATTTTTAGTAAAACAAGATGATGCTTCGTTAGCTGATGTATCAATATAACTTGGAAAACATACTTTTACGATACTTCCTGAATTTAATTTTTTTTTTGAAATTTTTTTAAACAAAATTATTTTCTTTAATCGATTTACAGCCAAAATCTCACAAATTAGCCTCAAAAATTTGAATTCTTCAGAAAACTCAAATACTTCACTGTTTCAAAAATTGAATGATTTTTCTGGGAAAACCAAATTGTCTATTGAGTTACATGTAAAAATGTTCACAGTTCCGATAAATTCATTTTCTCAAATTTTTGTTAAAAAATGAACTATTTATCAACCAAAAATCAGAAATTTCGAATTCCCTTTCCTCCTGGATTTCTAATTTTTCATATTTATCAGCCCTGCCCCAAGACTCCACCACTCACATGCTAACTAATCCAGCATACGGTTGTTGTTGTTGCTCATCATAAGATGTTCTTTGTGGTTCGCCATATCCACCTCCACCTCCACCAATTTGTTGTGCTTGTTGTTGTTGTGATTCACCATATCCCATTGTGGAGTCCGATTTTCCATAATAACCATAACCACCATAATTGCTCATGATGAAGGTTCTGGAAATGAATTTGAGTTTAAGGTTTGGAAAATTTTTGGAAAATGAAAGAAAAAAGAAGGGAAATGTGATAAAAAATAAATATAAATGTTTTTTTGGGATTGAGTGATTCATGAAAAAAAGGGGAAAAATATTAGATTTTGCGACTCGTCAGCATTGGGAAAAAACTTTAAAAACGTATGAAAAATCAAAATATCAGTTACAAACCGCTAAAAATGCTCCAGAGCTCTAAGATTCGTATGATGCCAGAAAAAAACCTTACAAACCTAGAATCCAGATCTGTCACGAGGAAAATTTGAAAAACCTACGTTTTCGAGTTCAAAATTCGGAGTTAGAAGCTTCCCGATATCCTCTAGAGCTCCAAATCTCGTCTGATTCTAGAGAAAAATCACTCAAAGGTTCATCTGATCCGAGATAACAGTACTTACAACTTCAGAACCCAACTAAAACTTGGGAAAAACTCGTAAACCCTATGATTTCAGGCTCAAAATTCAGACAACTAAAAGGTTCTGTTGAAAACATTGAAAAGTCCTCCTATGCTTCAAAATTCGTACGATTCCAGAAAAAAGATATGAACATCAGAATCCGATTTAAATTTGAAGAAAATACGAAAACCCTATGATTTCCAGCTAGAAATTCTGATGACAATCAACGATTCTGTTAAAAATCTTGAAAGGTCCTTCTAGGTTTCAAACTTTTTACGATTCGAGAAAAATATGATAACATCAGAATCCAATTTAAACTCGAGGAAAATAAAGAAACCCTATGATTTCCAGCTCAAAATTCTGATGGCAATTCTAAATTTCCGTCAGAAACCTTGCCCAAACTACAAACTTCGCCTAACTTTTTTCCCAAACTCGCATATGTCAAAAAACCCCGTCAACCTGGAAAAATTCATCAATTTACGAGGTGTTAGATAATCACCAAATGTGCGACCATGAGAAAAATCAACATTTTCGTTCCCAAAAGGTGGTAAAAAAGTGGGCGGAGCTTTGATAAGGGCGGGAAGAAGGATGGATGTAAAAAAATTATTTATAATGTGTATTTGTGTGTGCATAGTGATTATTATTCATAAATATTCCATTTTTTGTTTTATTTGTAAATGCTTAACAGCTGCCCTCTCAAATCTTTGCATTTATAGCCTATTAAAATTTTGCTCTTCTTGAGCCACTAAACGTTCTCGAAATATACATTTTATATATTCTGAGATGAACTTTTTTCACATCGTTAGCTTATATTAATATTTTTTGTGCCTCTCCCGTTTTCTTTTTCCCGCCATATGCTTTCTTCGAGAAAACGAAGCATATTACACTTTTTCGTCGTGCGCATGTCAAAAGACCTCTAAATTCTGACAAGTTGTTGTTTTTTGTAGAACGAAAAGCGAAACAATGAACTCGACTTCAACTCCGAGAAGATTGCACCTTCATCATTTAACAGGAGAGGCTATGAATAATTTGCCGCCAATGCCACATGTGAGTTTTTTTTGGGGATTTTGAGGAATTACGATTAGAAAATCAAGAACTTAGGCTAACTCGACTTTCGAAAATGAATAAAACAGGAGGAACAAAAATCATCCAAATCGGGTGATCAAGAAAAATTTCAAATTCGAAGATAAAACTCAAATTTTAAGCTTTAAAACCAGGAAACTTTAAATTTGTGAAAAAAATCGCAAGTTTCTATCACAAAAATTACCAGAAATAGTCGAAAAAACAATATTTCGAGTTGAAAATGTCAAAAACTTCATCTAGAAAACCAGCATCTTGGTCAAAACTTCAAACCCTACAAATAACCAAAATCTATTTTCAGTGTCAAACCTCTCCGGTTTCAATGCGATACTCGGTTCAAAAATCATCAGCATTCGGCCACGAAACCACAATAAGTCCACAACAATCAACATCAACAGCTGAAACAAGCACACCATCATCGACCACTGAAAAATACGTCGTCGAATGGAATATTCGACTATTACAAGGAATGGCACTGTGTTCGGCACTTTTCTCAATGGTCACACTACAATTCTATTTTGCGAACAGCGAGAGAAATCGCGGGAAATTCGGGAATTATCGAAATTATGTGGATGTTATTAAGGATATCATTAATTCATTTGATATTGCGATTGTTGTTTGTTCGATTACAACATTCTTTATTTCATCGCTACAATTGTTATTTGTTACGAAGATTGTGAAGACGCAGGCATCTAATACTGAACTGTAAGTTACTTTTTGCAAAAATAGATGGAATTTCGAATTTTGGTTCGATTTTGAATAGCTGATCACGATTCTGTTAGCAAAAATGGTTAGCTCAACTCTGAAGATAACCTATGACATGACAAAGTTGAAATCAGCACCGATTCGTGATCACAGTCAAGCCTCAACCCCTATAAAATCAGACTTATCCTAACTCATCCCCACCATTTTCAGCTCTCTTCAATACATTCAACAAACAAGTTTCCTACGAATCGTCACATTCTCATTTTGGTTCGTCTCAATCCTAATTTTCGCCATAATCATTCTTCTCAACTGCGCAATCGATCCAATTCGATCATTGGCCTCGAAATGTGTTTCGATAACTCTTGGAGCATCGGCAATTCTGCTATGTATCTGGTTTTCAATGAGAACCCTCTATTTCTGGGGGAGACTTGCCTGCGGACACGTTTATAAGGAAAATCACTATAATCACCTAAGCACACTTGTATAACGTAATTATTTTATATTTATCCTTCGAATGTAAATATTTAACCTATTTAAAACTGATACTAATAAAGAATTACAATGAAAACCCTTGATTTAACACAAAAACATAGAAAAAACGGAAAAAAGCCCAATATTTTGAATTCAAATGAATGTCGTTAGATGCGTCGCGTGTGCGACGACGCGTTCCATTTTTGCCAGCAACACACATTTTTCTTCTGGGCGGCAGACGGACAGATTTTGTCCAATTTTGTAGCGAAATTTTGTACTTTTACAGATTTTTGCTGGATTTTTTCGTAATTTTCAGCAAAAATCGTCTTTTTTCTTTTGAAAAAAAATATTTTTGAGAAAATTAAGAAAAATTCTCACGACCTTGTCTAAAACTAATTAGCTCACATCTGAAAATTAGTTATGATGTGGCAAAATTGGTGACTTACTCAATTTCAAAACAACGGCTTTCAGAGCAGATTTAGCCTTGTAAACCCACGTGTTTTTGCCACGTCATAGCTTATATTCCGAGTTGGGCTAAGTAGTTTAAACAAAAGGATGATAATCGGCGAGTTAGTAAAAAACACATTTCAAAAAATGAAAAAATTAACTTTTCGAAAAATAAAAAATTAATAAAACGTGACCTTTCGCTAAGCAACGTCAGCACTTTCATTTTTATCCAAAAAATAAATCATTTTTCCTCATTCTTCACTGTTTCCAACTCTGCCACGTCATAACTCATTTTCAGAGTTAAGCTAAGTAGTTTTTACTGAGGAATCTTGAGCAGGTCGGGATTTCCCAGAAAACATAAATCATAAAAAAAATAAAATTTCAAAAAAAAAAATAATTAAATAAATAAAACGTGACCTCTACGTGACCTTTCGCTAAGCCACGTCAGCATTTTCATTTGTCCCATTTTCCGCATTCTTCTCTGCTTCCACTTTTCAAACTCAAAATTTTGGGTAACTTTCTGCCCTCTCCCAATTAAAAGATCAAACTACACCAAAACTAGGTCATTTCTATCTCACTCTTATCATTTATTGTTTCTTTTTGTCCGCCTTTCTCTCCCGCCTTTTACTATATTAATTCAAACATTGAAAAATTCTAATTTTCAGCCAAAAACTAATTGCAAAATGGTTGAACTCGGTGGAAATGGACCATTTTCTCAATCTTTCAACAACTCTGTCTTCATTATTCCGGCTATTGTTGTTGTAGCAATTTTTGGTGAGTTTTATGGGACTTGGGGATGAAATCTTGAGCTCCTTCGGTCTTTCTAGGATAGACAGGCCCAAGAGAATTCGAATGATATAATTTTTGATGGCCTTACCTTACTCATAAGGGGTTTAGCGATAAGCCGGACTAAACATCGCGGTAACGTAAAGTCATCAAAAATTATATCATTCGAATCCTCCTAACCCCATCTAGATTATAAAAACGAAAAGATCCCAATATTCAGTATAGTTCTCTTCAAACTTCGCCCAACTAACTATATATTTTCAGCATTTGCTGCTCTCAAACTCCGCGACGCAACCTACGCCAAAGAGGAGAAGCAAAGACAAGCGAAACAAAAACGAGAGGAAAAGAAGAAGGCCAAGTAAACCTTTGATGTTCCTTTCTTCAATTAGTCATGGATTCTATAATTTATTTCAAAGATATTTTTTTTAATTCACATTCCAAATACGCTGGGTTCTAATCATTGCAAATTAAATACATTTCATTTTTTATTTTCTTTTGCTCTGTTGGTTTAAATAAATAATTCTCCCCTTTTCTCGGTTACTATGGAGATTTTCGACAACACCTGATCCAGCAGACCTTTCTCTTATTATTCAAATATTTCGAAAAAATGTCGCTTTTTCGAGTTATTGATTGGTTCACATTAACTATTCCGTATGCATCGACTATGCTTGAAATGGAAATTTATAATGATAGGCGTGAGTTTACAGGAAACTTCAGAAAACCCCCCAAAAAACGAAAAAAAATAAAAGTAAAAAAATTGTCTGCGATTCTGCGTGAACTGTGTTGTCTGCAATGCACACATTGAAAAATACCGTAGTAAAAACCAATTTTTTTCAGCTTTTTCAAGGTTAAAACTGGTTTTCAGCAAAATTCCGAATTCCAGATCAAATAATAACTGGCGGAGAAGATGGACAAATTGCAGTTTTTGACCCGGGAAACGAGGATCAACAAAATATCCACGTTTTAACGTATGCCACGTATCATCCAATTTTGCAAATGGAACATGGCGATTTTTTGGCATCGGTCCCAAATGTGCTGGCAATTTTGTCGCCTGATCGATTGGCGTATTTTAAAATACAAAGAGGTGAGGGTTTTCGGGGAGGTTTTTTGGCGAAAAAAAAAAAATTTTTTTTTAATTATAAAATTGGATTTTTTGAAAGAATTTGCAACGTGGATCTTTGGCACAAATTTTTTGAATTTTCAAATTTGCCACGTGGTCTCATGGCAGCAAAATATTGACGCTTTAATGTTAAAAAAAAGTCTGGAAATTTCAGAGCCTTTTCTGAAAATAAATTTTAAAAAAAATTAATTACAAACATTTTTCAGCGTGACCTATTTTTCTCCTTAAAACCCGGTCAATTGTACAATACATATAACAGTATTTGTACAACGAAATCTGATCAATTTTTTGTGTCACGTTAAAATTTTTTTTTTCAGTTTTTTATTTTTGTTTTGTTTTGTTTTTCAACGAGATAAAAATCTTGCCACGTCTCTTTTGTCAGAAAATACGTGGCGGCCTTTTGCTTGTTTTTCTGGATTTTGTCCAGTCATTGATAATTTTTTGCGTCCGGAAAATGGTGAGTGATCAGAACATCAAAAATTGAAAAAATGTTTTTGTTTTCAGATTTTTCTTCTACAGTAAACCATTACGCGCTGATCGAATGTTTCGCCTCAATTGAATCTACGGTAAATAATAAATTCCTCTAGCCAGTTCTAATTTTGAATTTTTTATAGCTGGCTTCAGAAAAATTGGAGTTGGCCGATTACCCGACTATTATCATCGAAAAACCGATCGAATGATTTTGTGAAGCTGACGTTTCAATAATGAAGATTTTCAACGAAATTTCGGGATTAACGAAGATATTTTGAAGTGTTTTTTCTTGAAAATGAATTTTTTGCTTTGTTTGATTTTGATTTTCACTATATTATTGGTACCTACTGTAGTGATTTTTAGCAATAGTAATTTTTCTTTTTGAGTAGACCTGTGACGGAAATTCTCCAGTTTTTCACGGAAAATTTTCCGATTATCCGGAAATTGTGCCCGGAAAATCAGGAAAGTGATTTTTCTTGGTGAAATCTTCAAAATCCAATTTTGTGAAAATGTTCCCAAAGTCTCACAAATAATCAGAATTTTCGAAAGTTTTCTGAAATTTTTTTGAAAATTTTTAGATTTCTGGATCTGAAAACGTCTCAAACAGTTACTAAATCTTCTGTAAATGGATGAATTCCAGTAAAAAAACAAGTTTTGCAGTCAATTTGGTGCTGAAAGTTTTTGCTCCCCGTTATCTCACGGAATAAATTAATTTGGACCATTGTCTCAAAAAAATTTCTCTAAATTTGAGAAATGAAAAAAAAATTCACGTGAAAATTTGAAATAAAAACGTGACAAAATTTTTAGTGATCAGATTTCGTTGTATACCTACGGGACTGTACCTGGAGAACATGCCCTGGAACTGAATTTCCTGTAAAAATGTACAATACCTGGAAAAAAAATTATTGCGTTTTTCTGCTCGTATATTCACAAAAACACGTTTTCAAACTAATAAATCTATGTCTAGAAAGATTTTCCAATTTTTACAGGCAAAATATTTTCATTTTCAACATTTTCATTTCTCGGCAGAGGTCTAGTAGCGGAAAAACTTGACTTAGAACATAAAAATCACATTCTGGGATTGATTCGAGAAATTTCAGATATTTTTCTAGCTTCTAGGTGTTGTTCAAAAAATCCAGGTATTGTACATTTTTACAGGAATTTCAGTTCCAGGGCATGTCTTCCAGGTATTGTACAATTGACCTAAAACCCCCTACCATTTCTAGAATCCTCTCATTTCAGAAAATGAAGAAACAAGTTCAGTGCTGGAATTCTCAGTCACCGAACTCTTTTCCCATCAATTCGATGTTTCCGCGTGGAATATGTGCAAAATCGAAATTCCCGATCATCCACTCCAACTTCTAATTCAAACAATCGATTGTAAATTGTCATTATATCAAGGTGATCAATGTGTTTTTGTGCATTGTCCACTTCGTTCTTTGCATCCTGGTCCAATTAAATATTCACAATTAATGGCATCACTTTTGATTGCTAATAATGGATTTTTGAATTCGGTTAAATTCAGTTTGCTGTCTTCTGGAAGTCAGAAACGAATTAATGTGAGTTTTTACGGGATATTTTTGGGTTTTCTGGTTTTTAGGGGTTTTTGGGTTTCAATCCATTTTTAAATCCGAAAAATATTTTGAAAATCAAAAAAAAAATCACTGTTTCAAAATTTTTAAATAAAAAAATGAATGGCTTTCGAATTCTGATCGCAAAAACTTTAAAACATACAAAAAATTCCCCATAAAACCTATGTGCTGAAAATTATATAAATATTAAAAAATAAATTATCTTAACTAATTAAACTAATTAATTTTCTAGTACGATTGGTCCTTCAATCTTGGCGACACAGCTCTCGAATTGGATATTTTCGATGGTCAATCAAATCAACAAAATATAGTTGTTTTGTGTCGAAGACATGTCTCTTGTTTTGATGGATCTGGAGCTATCAAATGGCAAATCAAATTGGAATCTGTTGGAATGGCAATGTGTACTTATAGGAATTTATTGGCTCGTGAGTTTTTTGAAGTTTCAAAATGTTTTAAGCATTGTAAAATTAATTTTTATGAGCGACTTTGAGTGTTGTTATAGTTTTGAAACAGTGAATTTTTGGGAAATATTTTCTTGGAAAGAGGAATTGAAAATAACAGCACAAAGTAGAAAGCCTTATTTTTGAGCAAAACTTTGACTTTTCTTGTGATTTTGAAAAAGTGAACAATTGAGGAATTAAAAATTTACTGTTAAAAAAAAATTTAAAAATTTGATACAAAATTTATTTGAAAAAATCTCTGTTAAAAATTCAATATTTTCGGAAAAATATTTCCCAAAAATTCACTGTTTCAAGATTACAACTAAAACAAAAATTTCACTCAAAAATTCGATCATGGTATAGATTCGAGTTTCCAAGAATTGTTTTTCCAAAATTCACTGTTTCAAAATTGTTTTTAAAAAAACTCTGGAAATAAAAAATCGATTCTTTTAAAAAAATATTTCCCAAAAATTCACTGTTTCAAGATTACAAGAAAATTATGTATTTGTTCTCTGGAATATTCATAGTTCTATAAAAAATATTTAAAACAATGAGATATTTTGACAAAAAAATGTGAAAAGTTAGAGAAAAATATGCAGAAATTTGGCAGCTCCCCGGATTTTGAAGACTCGGATTGTGTTGTTCTAACGAAAATTGCAGGGTTCACAAATTTTTCAAAAAACTAAATTAATTTTAGAAGTTGTACAAAACAATGAACAATTTCCGAAAAGAACATTTTCCAAATGAAATAATTTTGAAACAGTACATTTTTGCAGCTGACTATCAAAGCATTCGCCTCATAATCGGAACTGCAGATGAACAATTATTAATTTTCAACGAAGATAAACTCGCGTGGACTTGCAGTATCTCAAAACCAGCATTCATTCTCAAAGTTTGCACATTCACAAAAGTTTTTGAAAATGTAATAACAATGTTGGCACCAGATGGAAGACTTTGTGTTGGTTGGCTTGGAACTGAGCCAACTATTTATAAAGTGCCAGACACAAAAATGAATGATTATAATGAGAAAATTGAATATTGGAAGAGTTTGGAGCTGAAAATCAAAGAATCTGGAGGTGGAATTCTGGAGAAGAATAAGAAAATTTCGGGAATTTCTATCGATTTTTTGGTTGGAGCAAAAGAGAAAAGAACAATTGAACATAATGCGGCAAATAATGTGCCATTTTTGAATTTGGAAATTGTTTTTGGAGGATTGGAAAATGTGACGAAATTGCATGTGAATATCAAATCAGAATTAGCTACGCCGAATCGACAGATTGTTTTGAATGTGCCGGAATCTAGTGGGTTTTTTGAGGGGACGTGGCAAAAATGATGAAATTATTTTGAAACAGTTAATTTTTGGTTTTGAAAATTTAATTTTTAATAGTTTGAGTCCATATGGATATATCAAAAATCTAAAGATGTTCATTTTTCATCAAAAATTATTGAAACTGTGAAAATTTTGATGTTTTATATTCTCCAAAAATTAGCAAGGTAACTCACAATAAGTGCTTGTAAATTCTATCAAAATCAAAAATCTTCATTTTTTAATCGAATATTTTTGAAACAGTGAATTTTTGAGATGATTTTTCCTCCGGAAAATTAGATGCTATGACGTGGCAAACCTTACATTTTTTCAATGAGCCCGGAATAATTTATTAATGTTAATAAAATTTTTGTTTAAAAAATATTTATCGTATATTTCTGAAACAGTGAAAATTTTTGGAAATTTTTCCTCCGGAAAATTAGATGCTATGACGTGGTAAAATTTTTAAAAGTGTTTAAAAATCGCGCCAAAATCTACAGTAGTCAAATTTGGTGTCGAAAAATGGCATTTTTCGCTTTTAATATAGGCTAAGAGTATGATAGTTTCAGAAATTATTTCTATCTGAAAAGAATCTGAAACTGTGTATTTATGGCGATTTTTTCAATGAACTATTTCGTTCTTCCAAATACAGACCATCAGATTTTTGGCTTGGAAAATTATTTTCGAATAATTTTGAAACAGTATAAGTTTTCCCATTGAAATCCCGCAATTTCCACTTTTGATCGGAAATCTGTAAACCTTCATTTTTCATGAAATCGTTTTGAAACAGTGAATTTTTTTATATTTTGCCATTATTCTTGTGAAGTTGAAAAGTTCTAATGTTTTTGACGGTATCTAATATCAATGTATCAAAAAACAGTTTCCATTAATTTTTTATCAAATAATTTTGAAACAGTGAATTTTCTGGATTTTTTGAAATCAATTATTTTCATCATAACTTTTGAAAGACTTCAAAACAGTTAAAAATATAGGCTTTTTCACTATAAACTCTCTAATGCATCCAAATTTAACCAAAAAAATTGTTCTCACGAGAATTTTCTTTAAATTTTGAAACAGTGAAAATAATTCTAGACAAAAATATTTTTTTTCATATCAAAAATTTTTCCAGAATCCTCATCTTCTCTCCTCGTCCCATTTTACGTGGGAAACTCAAAAATGCCAAAAAATGCGACAATTCAAATAGCCGCTCATTGTTTTCATAGTCAAATATCTGGAATGAAATCATTCGATTTGCCATTTGATTTGATGTTTGGAGAAACTACGGTCGATCGAAATTCGAAATATAAAATCACAATTGATACGGATGCATCGGTTATTCCCGTTAATCAATTGTTTTCGGGTGAGAGAAGAGATTTTTGGGCATTTTTTTTGATAAATTTGACGAAAAATGAAAAACCACGTTGATTATGGAGAAATACGATTAACCAAGTTCTCAGAAAAACAGAAATTTTAAATTAAATTTTTGAAACAGTGATTTTTTCCAGAATTCTCATCTGAAAACACACAAGCAATTGGTTTTCATATTCATGGTTATGAATCCTCTTCGAATGTATCGATTTTTGCCGCAAATAAATCAAGTAACTTTCTTTTTTCCTTTTTTCAATGTTCCCTCCCAAATAAAAATCCAATTTTTCCAGACAGATACCGTATCCAATCTGAAAATGCGTCACTTTTGCAATTTGCCGCCAAAGAATTGGTAAATCGAATCGATAAAATTGTGAAAAATGTGCAAATTGGAAGTACAGTACCCTTTGAGTATATTTCGAAAAATGTGGAGGAATTGCAAGAGGTTCGTGGAGTTTTTGTGGGAAAAAAATTTTTTGGAAAAAAAATTCAATGTTTCAAAAATTTCTTGAATAAGTTCCTAGGGTACAATGATTATTATACTTTTGAAAAAGCGGCAGAAAAGTTAAAATGTAGTGTAAACATTATTTTTGTGATCAGAAATGGAAGTTTTCCTCTCTCGAAAAATCACTGTTTCAAATGATTTTTGAATAAATTCTATTTTAATTTTCAATGTTAAATATTAAACGGAAAATCTTTCCAGAAAGTTATGAAAAATTTTTTCAGAATTTCACTGTTTCAACAAAATGATACGTTTTTTCCAGTTGTAAAAATCTGGTATTTAGTTTTGTGTCTGAGAATTGAGAATTTTCACTGTTTCAAAATTTAGATATATTTTTTTAAGATCAGAGCTTTATTGATCCCATTCTGTATACAGATATAAAATAAATTTTCACTGTTTCAAAGTCCTAAATCATCCAATAATTCATTGCAGCGAATGTCAATCAAGAAAAAAGAGCAAAAAATCATAGATTGTCGAATGAAAGAAGTTCGAGCAATTGAATTATTATCCCTAGATATGGCAAAAAGTGGAAATTTCACATCATTGGCTCAAATTGATATGCTTTTCGATAAATCCTATCGAGAATTATTGGATTCGATGGAAAATTTGGCGAAAAATGATGGGTGTATTGAGGAGAATAAAAATTGTTTGGGTAAGTTTTTTGGTGAAATTTTTACTGTTTCAGAAAAATTCTGAAGAAAAATAGGATTCTCAAATTTTGTTTTTACCTACAATTGCCACAAAAACAAATCTCAAGAAACATTCCAATAATTTTTTCACTGTTTCAAAATTTCCTGAACAAAATTGTGGGTTTCTAGATTGTTGTTACTTGAGGTACACATTTTCCAATTACAATCTTTCAGATTTCAAAAAACAAATGAATTTTCATGGTAACTTTCAAATAAGCTTATCATGAAAAATTCAGAATTTTTTACTGTTTCAAAATTTTGGGAATAGAAATTGAAAACTTAGATTCTGTTCAAGTATCTTTTCCATTGTGAAAAAACAATTCCCTAGCAATTTCAAAGCAAATTTTCTTTTTCATGAATAATTTTCACTGTTTCAAAATTTTATCAAGAAAAATTAAGAGCAATTTTGACATTTTTGAAGTATTTTTCACAAGAAATATTAGATTTTCAAATTTTTAATGGTCTGAAAAATGAGCAATTCCAAAATTTTCTCAAAACTTCGAAATTTCATTAATTTTTTTCCAGCTTCACTTTTCCAACTGGCTTCCGACATTTCAAAATACAACAAATGCGATACAATAATCAACGAGAACTTTTTCACATTCACCGATCAAAATTTGCGAGATCGGCTAACTTGGGCTGCGGGAACAGATCGAGGAAATGAAATGAAATTGATTGAGAAATTATGCGAGCATACAACGACCAAAAATCGACATGAAATGCAGAAAATTGAGGAGGAAAATGAGGGAGAAGAATAATTTTTGAAAAATTTTGGACTTTTTTATGTAAAAAATTTGAAATAAATCAACAAAAAATAATAGAATAACAGGTAAAAATAACAACAATTTGGATTTTCATCCAAAACAGTTCAAACAATCAAATCAAAATCATCGCGTGTATTATTATAATCCAAAACATGTTTCTTGATTTTGCTGGCATTTGTCCAAGTTATCATATCTTCTGAAGAGCGAGTTACCATAAATGCGGGATCGGTGATCAATTTTGTGCCAACTCGCACGTGACCTTGTTCGACCTGCAATTAAATTTTGAATTTTAAGCTCCCAGGTCTAAAAATCGCTGAAAATCTCGGATTTTCCGTTTCCAGGGGTGAAAACTCACCAAATCGCTAGCTGTTTTAACGCTATCAACCATTCCCGAATTTTTCATAACAACTGGAATTCGACGACGAGCAAAACTGGCGCCGGTTACCTGAAAGACACATTTTTGGCTGGAAAATTGAGGATAACATTTTGCCACGTCATAGTTAACTTTTCGAATCATTTTTCAAACTATTCACGAAACTGTACATTTCAAAAATTTTCCAAATTATAAAAAAATTGAAACAGTGAATTTTTGTTTGAAAAAAAAATTATTTGCAAATAGATGTATCCGTGTCATTAAAATTGAAATCTATGCATGAAATTTAATGAAAATTTTGAAACAGTGAATTTTTGACTCGAAAAAATTCTTGAAAATTTTGAAAAAAAAATTTTCTTCAAAAAAAAAAGAGAAAAAAATGTTTAAAAAAATTGCTGTTTCAAAATTTTTATAGCTTTAAATGATAATTTTGAGCAATGTTCTGAGTGGTATAAGTAGATTACAAAATTCTGATTAAAAAATGGATTTCGGCTCTCAATTTTATTTTTTTCAATATTTCACTGTTTCAAAATTTTCATAATTAAGACGTTGATTTTTTTTTACTTCGCTATACGAAAAACACAATTCTAACAAAAATATCGAATTTTCCGTCAAAAATCGTAATTTGAAGTTACCAGAGGTAAGAAATGCTCTAAATTCCGCAATTTCGTTAAAAATTGCAGCTCTAAATACATAAACAATTCTTCAATTTCCAAAATTTCAGCATAAAATTCTAGAACTCGAGGATTTTTTTTCAAATTTCAGAAAACTAGAATTCCAGCAACCTTAAGCTTGAAATATGTATTACAGAACATTTTATAATTTCTCAAAACGCCCCTCCTTACCTTTCCAACTCTTTCCAAACTATCTCCAGTCGGAATTAATCCAGCCTGATAAAACCTTGTCAAAACATCATCAATAGATTTGGCTCGAAATGGATCACCCATCGGTAAATTCTTGATCAATTCAGCCAATTCTCTCGATTTCGCAGCCAATGTATTATAAAGTGAATAATGTTCTCGTTTTGTCACGTGGAATTTCTTCAACATATCTCCTTGTTTTCCTTCTTGATCCACTTTCCATTGCATGAAATCGGTCTTTTTCAGCAATTTTTGCTCGTGTGTTTTGAGTTTTCGAACCATTTTTGTGTTTGAGGCTGGAAAAATTAAGATTTTATTGTTTAAAAAATTTTTAGATGAAATGCGTCAGAACAACAAAACCTGAAAACCTTATTTTTCTTGTCCAAATTTTGAAACAGTGAAAAAATATAATTGAATGTCACATTTATTGAAAACTGTTAAATTTCATGACCTAATTCTGAAACAGTGAATTATTATTTTTAGAAATTTCTAGCTTTTAGGCTTGGAATTTTGCGTTAAAGTTAGCCTAAATCAGATTTTCTGGTTTTTTGCCAAAAATTTAAAAAAAAATCATGAATTTCCATAGTTTTTGAAGGTGTAAACGCGGAGCATCGTATTTTTTGCAATTTAAAAATTCAAAAAAAAATCCAGATATCAAAAAACGTCTCAAAACATTTTTTCACCAAAAAAAAATCAAAAATTATAAAAACTTCATTTATACAGTTATGATAACTCGAGAAGAAGGGAGAAAAGAGGAAGAATTTGTAAAAAAAGAAAAGAATATACACAGTATCTTGATTTTTGTTCTCCAAAAAAAAATTATAAAAATTGAATTGATTATTTCGATGAATGAATTCTAGTTGGGAATCTAACAAAAAAATGGTGAACCCTGACAAAAAGTCAAAAAACCCCCTCAAACGATGCTCCGCGATTACGCTAGGGTGTAAACGCGGAGCATCGTTGAAAATTCGAAAAATCGATGAGAGGGACCAGTATTTGACTGAGTATAGAAAGTTTTGTTCAATAAAAAACCTAGAACCGGGTGAAATCAGGAAAACGAACAAAAAATGTTAGGTTTTTTGGAAAAAAATGGGGGAATTGGTAAGAAAAGGGGCATGAAAATATGTATTATGGAGAGAAAATCGAAGGGTTTAAACAATTATTTTCGTTGTCTTTTTGATTGAGAATTTGGAGATTGCGAAGAGTTGGAAGTTGGAGAACGTTGACGTTTGCGGTGGCGTTGAACCTGGAATTTATTTTGAAATTTGGAAATTTTTCAGAATTGTTTTTGTTGCTCACAATTAATGTATTATTCTTGAAATTCACATTTTCGAAATTATGAAAAATTTGAAACAGTAAATTTTTTGGGTTAATGTTGTAAGTGAAAATTTTAGTGAAAATTAATTTCAGGCGAGGTAGATGGGAACGAAAAACTATTGATATAAACTAAAATTCTTTGAAATTCCTAAAATTTTGAAACAGTGAATTTTGAGAAAATATATGAATTAAAATTCTCCAAAAACCCAATTAAGAAATTCTAGAAAATTTACTGTTTCAATATTTTTATAACTCAAATTTCTATTTTGAAGAACAGTGTACTGCCGGTTTTTCTAGTTTAATTTTTTGCTTCAAAATTATTGAAAATCTCCACCTCAAAATAAAAGAACAGCAGATTTTACGTTTCAACATTTTTTTAAATTCAGATATTGTTTTAAATTCGACTGGCATGAACTTTTTATTTTTTTTGGAACGAATATAAGTGTGTATTAACATCGGAAACTTGCACAATTTTAAATTGAATTTTGAAACAGTAATTTTTAAAATTAATTTTTCTTTAAAAAAATATTCGATTCACTAGGATTAACACCGAAAATAACAACTTTGAAACTCTATGAAACTTTGAAACAGTAAATTTTCAAGGAATGAAATTACTGTGAAATTCCTGGATTGTTTGCGATCACTAAATGAAATTCTACATTTTTTATTCAGAAATTTTGAAACAGTGAATTTTTTATTTGAAAAATGGGATCTTATAATAATTTTTATAAAAACAACATAATTTATCTATCAGCCAGAGATAAAAATGATTTTTTTTTCATAAAATTTTGAAACGTAATTTTCACTGTTTCAAAATTTTCCCAATTTTTGAACAATTTTCTCCCCCAAACCAACCTGCGACATAAAAAAGGTGTTCAATTCCGGATTCGCCTGATTATTATTTCTCATTGGTGATGAATTAACATTATTGGAAACAGGTGGCTGTGTGAGTGCTTGTTGAAATAATTGCATTGCTTCAAGAGTTTCTTGGCTAATTGCTAATTGTTGGCTATTATCTCCATTTTCTTCCGTCGACATTCGCATATTTCGATAGAGAACTTCCAAGACAATATTCAAATCGAATTTTGAGGCGCTGCTGAATGCTGCCAATATTTCTTTTGCCAAACTGCTGCGGCCTGATTGGAAACCTTTGTCATAACCGCGACGATATCCATCGACTGAGGTCTGCAAAAATAATTTTTTTTCTACAGCGATAGTCATTTGACTAATGAATTTTAAATCAGTGAAAAATCATCTTCCTTTTGAAAAATCCACTGTTTCGAAATTTCGTTTTTAGGAAAAATAATTACACAATTTCTAATGATTTGGAAATTAAAATATATATTGGAAAATATCGATTTGAGAAACAGAAATTCAATTTTAGTTCGAAAATGAACTTCTGATTCTGCTTCAGATAATTACGATGACAACTATCCAATGGATTTAGTTTGATCTCATGATAATGATACAGCTTGCTAAATTTATCATTAGCAGCTGAAAATATTTATAATGATCTTTGTTTTGAGAAATTTCAGGGACTAGCTTATTATAAAATAAAAGAATCGATATTTCTAAAGCTTTCTTGGGAGTTTTAGCTCAGATTCCACCCCATGTTTTCTAGTAGATTTTGCCCTGCTGATCTTAATCCCGCTGTCAAAAACTACTTAGCCCAACTCTAAATATGAGCTAATTCTGTAAGTGCCAAAGATTGGTGACTTTACAAGACTCTATCTAGATTTCAGGAAAATATATGAGCATAGCGTAGCTCAGCAGTGCTTTAATTATAGGTTGCTGATTTCAAACTTTTTGAAAAATCTCCCAAAGTTCAGAATACCCTTATACTTTTCTGAACTTTCACAGATTATTCAAAAAAAATGAATCTATGATTGAAGCACTGAACAACGCTAGATTTTCATGAAACCTAGTTAGAACCTTGTGAAGTCATCAAACTTTATCTCTAACAAAAATAACTCATATTCAGAGTTGAGCTAAGTATTTTTTGATAACGGGATTGAGATAAGCCGGTCAAAATCTACTAGAAAACATAGATTTTCCATGATATTCGTGCTGAGACCCAAAGATGACTCATTGACCAATTCATTATGAATATTTTCAGCTGCTACTAATTAGCAAGCTGCAATCAAAATCATAAAAAGATTCTAGGAATCGCAAAGATTCCTCTTGAAAATCAAATTCAAGGATTCCAATCAATAACCTTATAAAGTTGTGTAGTTCCTTCGGCAGCTCCGCGAAAACTTCTCCAACTCGAATCTCTATACAATTTGGCGACCGATTGTGCACAACTCTCGAAATCATTCCACAATTTCTCACTATCACATCCATCTTCGCCACAATCACATCGTTTTAATGCGCCAGATGCGCCAAGTGTACAGTTTGAATGATGATTTGATGACATTTTCTGAATAAAATATTGATTGATAGTATATTTATAGTTTAGAGAAGGAAGGATACGAAGGAAGTGATTTGTGATGAAATATGTTTTTCTAATGATTTTCTATTCCTTGATCACAATCCCTGTTTAGCTCAACTCTGAATACGAGCTATGACATGAAAAAATTTGAAAATTTCAAAAAATCGTGATTTTACAGGTAAATCACCTTCAAAATGAAAATCATTCTTAAAGATAGTTTAAGCCTCGTAAAATCACCATTATCAGATAATTTAAAACTTTGCCCCGTTATAACTCATATTCAGAGTTATGCTTAGTAGTTTTTGACAATGGGATTGTGATCAGCGGGTAGAAAATTACTAGAAACATTGTATTTTATCAAAATACAATGTTTCTAGTAACAGTTCGCTTGTGAGTGAAAGACCAAAACAAAATTTAGAAACAAGAAAAACTATCACCACATGTTCTGGAAAAAATTCGATCGATAATTTGACTCATACGAAGAAACAATAAGGAATATTATGAAAGAATGGAAAGGCTGAAATTTTCTCATGGAAAAAAATCAAAACAAAATGAAGAGAAAAGTAAAGCGGATAGAGCTCTATCTGAAACCATTACATTACTACAAAGAAATGATCCGCATCCCAGTTCTCCCAGGCCGATAAAAATAGCTAGAGGGTAGAGAAATAAGGAACAACACAAGACGAGTTGGTACATAGTAGACACAACATATATAAAATATATTTCTCTTCTATCTACTGGCCAGGCCATGCGCGTATAGAAAAACAATCGTTCTCGATGGAGCGCATTTGCTTACCTCACACTACGACGCAAAAATGCACAAATTTATATAATGGAAATGGCAAAATATTTTTATTTGTTAGCACGACGTGTATTTTGACACGTGATTTTCATTTTTTTTGTTATTTTCGGCGAAAAACTGAATAAATTTCATTTTTTGTTGTTTTGTAAGCGGGAAGTTGTGAGTTTTCCTGGGAATTAGCTACTATTCACCTTTAGAGCATTCTGAAAGTGCTGAAATTTCGATAAAAAACGATTTTCTAACGAAAAATTACATTTCCACCTAGAAATCAATTGAAATTTCGGTTATTCTGGTTACCTGAACTTATTCTAATCATTACCTACCTCTAATTAAACCCAAGAACGCTGAAAACCTCGAAAAAAACAAACTGAAAATGAAAAAAATGAAAAGAAAAATGAAGTTCATACCGTATAACTTTCAAGGCGCACAATTCTCTATGCTTGGGTCTCGCGGCGAACCGTAGTTTTGTTCAAAGGCGCACCACACAACACATTAGGTCTCACACCGCTAAAACGTATTTTTATTCTTTGAATTTTTTTGAAACTTGTCATCACACGTGTTTTCTCGGGGAAACCCTAGCCATTTTGCAGCTTATGATACTGTTTGTGAAGCGCGAACATGAACTCATTGAAACAAGATGATATATATTGGTCTATAGATGTGGTAAGTCCATTAAAAATCAGGTTTTGAGCAATAATTTGAGAAATTTTAGATTCACGACAAGAATACATCGCCAAAAAACAAAAAAAATGCGCTTCTGATAGTCCTGGAATTGTTGCAAGAAGCAACACAATCAGAGATCCAACATGGAAAATGGCAGCAAATAATTGAAGATGTTTGCGCGCCAGTCTTCATTCGACCCGAAAGACAAGATTTGAGGAGTATTTCATCGAAAATTATTGTGCTAATTGGAACAGTTTTATTCAAGAAAAGCGAATTTGAGCAATTTCATCAACTAATTTCTCAAATATTTTCGAATATTTTGAGAAAATACGAGGATTCTCGAGCAGAATTACTATTCATATTTTCGCATATAATTGGAGAAACAAGTTCGCATAATAGTGATATTTTATGCGAAAAACATGTTGAATTAATTCTACAATGGATTCTTGATATAATTCCATCTGCAAACTCTGTTGTTTATACAAATTGCGTCAAAACAATTATATTTATCTCAACTGTTTACACAAATATCTTTGAATCGAAATTTGAGGAGATTATGGATATATTATGCTGTGAAGCTGCGAAAAATCTTGATTCCTCTAAGAATTTTGATTTTTTCCTTGAGAATTTTGAAAATTTTCAAGGGTTTTTTAAGGATAAACCTGAAATTGCGGAAAATTTGGCTTCGAAATTAATATCCCAAAAAGATGGAGATATCAAAAGAAGAATGATGATTGTGTTGATTTTGATGAAGATTTCTCAAAGTCGCAAAACAATGTTAGAAATCAATCAAGCAATTTCCCAAAGTTCTATGAAATCTTCATCAAATCTCTCCGCATTTTCGCCGATTTTTCAAGAACTCTTCATTTTTTGCAAAGATTCTGAAGATATCGAGGAAATTGAGAAGAATATCGAATTAATTCTAGCCGAACCGCAGCTTGCCGATGAGGATTTTATTGATTTTCTTGCTAAAATTGTGCCACATCTTCCGGTTCAATCGCCGATTAAAAATCGAATTATTGATTTGGTTTTTGATGAGAATCAGGGATTTTTTTGCACGGCGAATTGTGATATGTTACTTGCTGGGTAGGTTTGGAAAATTGAAGCTATGAGCCAAGCTATGGAGCTCCAGAGTCTGAAGATTCTCATTAAAATCAAATAATTCCAGATTTTCTTCAAAATTCCGGCCAAAAACTTTATATCACAAGGGAATTACATCAGAGTGACAACGTCTTTTGAGAAACAAGAAATACAGTTTTATTGAGCTCGACGCGCTGATCACAGTGCTCTAAAAATTAGCTATAGAGCTCCTGGTGGAGCCGAGAAAATGAGCCACAAAAATGGTTCTACTAAAATTTTTATGGCTCTTTTTCTCGGTTCCATCTGGAGCTCTGCAGCTAATTTTTAGAGCATTGTGATCAGCGTATCGAGTTCTATAAGACTATTTTCCCGGTTTTCCAGAAGTTCTTATTACTCTGATGAAATTCCCTTGTAAAATACAAGTTTTTGGCTGAAATTTTGAAGAAAATCTGGAAATACTTGATTTTCTAAGGAAGAATTGAGTTAGATTTCTAGGTTTTATTTCGAAAATGATTAATAATTACGATTTTCAGACGTCATCAATTATACAAACAAATCTCGGAACTTATTTCATGTCTTCTCACACCAAAATCACTCGCTTATTTGCAGGCAACATTTTCAGCAGTTCGACGCATTGTTTTGGGTGAGATTTTTTTTTGAAACATGTAGAGGAGAGTTAGCATTTTTAAACAAATCGAAATCGCTTTGTTGAAATTTTGAAACAGTGAAAAAATGTGAGAATGAAAAATTCACTGTTTCAAGGTTAATTTATTGTAAAAATTGAGATTTTTGGTTCGTTTTACAAGGTAAATTTTTCAATGAAAACAATCGAAAAAAACTAAATATTCAATTTTTGTGAATGAGTCCTCATTGAAAACTTGAAACAGTGAAAAAATCTGGATATTTCTACATCGAAAATATAATTTTTCAATAAATTCAAAATTTCCACTGTTTCAAAATAATTTTATGAAATCGAATAACAAAAAAAAACAGCGAAAAGAAAATCTAAATTCTCGGAGCCGAGATAAAAGTTGGGAAAAAATAGTCGATATCTATCTTTTTCTGAGACAAAAATGTAGTTGTAATAAGTACAATTTCCTGAATTTTTCTTACTCCAGGCAGGTTTTAAAGATCTTGAAAACGTCTTCAGAAGTTCAAAGAATTATCTGTAGAATCGAGGAAAAAGATGGTTTCGAGAAAAAATTCTGGATCCAAGAGAAATCAAATTTTTTAAAATAATTTTTGCTGTTTCAAAATTTTGATAGAAAAAAGTTACAAATATCATTTTTGATGATTATGCTGACCGCTGTTTTTGAAGAAAAAACTTCTCATTTTTTATAATCAAGTAGAAAATCTAATGAAAATTTCTGAAAATTACTCAAATTTTCACTGTTTCAAAATTTTCATTGAAAAATTTTTTTCATTCATGAAACATCATCCATAAAAATTTTTTTTAATTAAATTAAAAATTTTTGCTGTTTCAAAATTTTGATAGAAAAGTTCTTGAAAACCTCATTTGATTAAGTTTGGTTCCCATTAAAGGTGGAGTCCGAGCAAAAATTAAGTTGTGCTCAATTGAAAGAGCATGTTCTAATTAGTACAATCCTCGAAGGATTTTTTCTGGAAGCTTCTCAAACATTGGTTAAAAAATTACAAAGTTCGAAAAAACAGTGAAACACCGTGTAAAATGGCTTGAAACTCCATATCTCCAACCGTTTGGAGCTGTGTTTCTCTAATGTTAGAGAAGCTTTCAGAAAAAAATCCTTCGAGGATTGTACTAATTGCAACATGCTCTTTCAAATTAGCACAACTTATTTTTTGCTCGGACTCCACCTTTAAATCTCAAAACCCTTAGGAAATTTTTACTGTTTCAAAAATTTTATTTACGAGTTTCTTCAATAAGCTCCTATGATTGTTCATTAGCTATTGCGACCCGCAAAAATCCTCAATTATCTATAGGCTCAAAAATATCATTTTCGACCAAAAATTATGATTCTAAAAATTCACGGCAACCTGATTCAGTATTTTTCATTATTTCTGATTCAGGCGTTCTCTAGTTATTGATTTTTATATCCCAAATTTTTGCTGTTTCAAAATTTTGATAGAAAAATTCTTAAAAACCTTATTTGATTAAGTTTGGTTCCCATTAAATCTCAAAACCCTTATGAAATTTATACTGTTTCAGAAATTTTATTTTCGAGTTTCTCCAAAAAGCCCCTTATGATTTTTCTTGATGATTCCATAGATTTCAAATACATATATTTTTCCAGAAAACATCGAGCAACTTCGAAATGCCACCAATATTCCATCAGAAATCAGTCGTTGGCACGAATCCAATCTAATTCTCCTTTTATCATCTCTCAATTCAATATCATGTGCAAAAAGTTCATTAATTGTTATGATGGGAATTAAACCGTCGATTTTCGAGTTTTTAATCAAAGAATTGCCTCTGACTGAATATTGGTTGATTGAAAAACATCCGGCGGTTTATCATATGATTTTGCATATTTTGGTACAACATTTGAAATCGTGAGTTTTTTTTTTCTGAGGGGAAAATGAGTTTAAAAACCATTTTTCAAATGTTCACGTGGATTTTTGCAGCCATGAATATTATTTGGCTCAATCCGAATATGTTCAACAAGGTGATTCAGTTGGTCAAACAAAACGAGAATATGCCAAAATCCAATTGAAAACTATGGAAAAAATCCTGCGATTTGACGCTGAAAATATGCCGAGAAAAATACGAATTCTGATAATCTCGTGGATTTCGGCTTTTGTTTCGATGGCTGTTGAAATGAATTTTGGAGAAGATGTTTATCGAAAAAATGAGGAATGGAAAGAGTTGAAATCGACTATGTGTTTTCAAAGTGGTTTGACGTGGAATTCGGAAGGGTGAGACTTTTTTGGGGTGATATTTGAGAATTTTTGGCGCCGAAAATCCACGTGGAAATTCAGTAGTTTAAAAAAAGTTAGATTTTCAACCGCAATTTGGAACAAATTTTTCGAAATTCAAATCATCTAACAAATTCTATTTTTGAAACAGTAAATTTTTCTGTTTGATCAAAAAATTGAATTTTTCAAATTGCGAAATCAAAATCTATTGCTCATGTTAATTATTCTTTGCAGAATCACATCGATTTTATCGAAATTGTCAACTATAATGCCATGGTCGGAAAATGATGAAGATAAAGAGAATCGAATAATGGAAAAGACGAAAAAAGCGAGTTGGAAAGATGCGGGAATTATTTGGGAAGCGGGAGATTCGAGAACTTATATCAGGTTGGATTTGGGTTTTTTTTGGTGGGGAATTGACCTGTGAGCCGAGTTTCAGAGCTCTGAAAAGGATAGTAAAACTTCAAGAAAATTCAAGAAAAACATTTGAATAAATTTAGCGCCGCCTGATCAAGCATCGAAAAACATCTAGTTTTTCATTTTATTTCAAGAATATTTTGAAACAGTAATTTTTTTTTTTGGAAAATTCTTAAATTCAAGCCAAATTTAGTAAAATAATTTTTGAAAGATTTTTTTGACAAAAAATTCCACTGTTTCAAAAGTAGTAGGATTTTCTTTCGTTTCTTTCCAAAATTAGTAGAATTCAGAACAACAAAGTTCCAGAATTAAACTTTTTGGAGTTTTATTTTGAAACAGTGATTTTTGAAAAATACATTTTGTAAATGTCACATTTTTTTTTCTAAACTTTTTTATAGAATTTGAATTTTTCAAAAATAAAATTTGAGCTCAACTCTCAAGTTTTGGAGCCTATAGCTTGTTTATTTTCTTCCTTTCATTTTTTGTTTGAAATTTCAATCCAGTTCTGAAACCAAAACCTTCTCCTTCAGTCAATTCATTTTAAGTGCTAGAAAATCTATCATTTTTTTGCGCGCCCAATGAATAAACAAGTTTTTCCTCATTTTTTCGTGTAGTTCTTTTGAACATTGTAGAAAAACGAGTTTAATCGCCTCTTTTTTTGTGGTTTTTTCTACTTTTATTCATTTATTTTTTGAAAATTCCTAATTTTCAGACAAAGTGTAAATGGAAAATATCAAATGTCACAAGAAACTCAACAAAAACATGTGCCAACTACGACTTTTGGACCTGATGAATTTACGACTGTCACCAATTTTTTGCTCAAATCTATTGTTCCGACAACTTTTAGGTAAGGGAATTTGTGGGTGGTTTTGAATTAAAAATTGAAAAATTTATGATTTTTCAACTGGAAATTGCTGATTTCCCTCAAAATTTGCGAGAAATTTGGATTTTTTTAATCTGAAAAAATTCACTGTTTCAAAATTTTCATTAATTTTCGAACCAATGTGAAACATTGCTAATTTGATTGGGGTAAGCTAGCAGTATTTTTTTCTGAAACCTCTGTTTCACAAAAAAAATTTACAAATGAAGTGTTCACTTGAAACATTTCTTATTCAGTTTCAGAAAATGTCGAGTTTTTAGTCTAAAAATGTCGGAAATTAAGAAATATTCAGTTTTTTGACCAAAACATATCTTCCACTATTTTTCATTATTTTTGGGTTAGTCGTTCTCGAATCATTCATTTTTCTTATATTTTTCCACCAATTTGCAATAGTTTTTCCTTCAGAAAAGGCTCATATAATTGGATGGATGAAATGCTCGATTCGATGACAAATTTGTGCTCAATAATTGGCGAAAAAAAGAAAGTCGAAATTTCCGAGAAGTTTTTCGAAAAATGGCGATGGATTTTGGCACAAACTGCGAATTTTTGTATTATTAACAAAATGAAAACACCGCTCGGAAAACCGATGGAAACTTTTAACGCGTTTTCTGGTGGGTTTTTTGTTTTAAAAAAACTTTTCCTTCGAGCAACGAGAAGATTGAAGATACCGAGATTTGGGGTTCTTGAAACAGTGGATTTTTTTTGTATCAAAAAAAAATACAGTGAACGTTTATAGCTATTTTTTTATTCTGAAAATGTTTTACTAGAATTTAAAAATTTTGCCTGAATTTCAAAAAATCACTTGTTTTTGAAATTTTTTATGAAATTATGATCACAATTATTTTTTTAAATAAAGTTTGAGCAAAATTTGAAGTTTTTCTCAAAACAAATTCTTCAGGGGAGAATTTTTAAACAAAAAATTTGCTGTTTCAAATATTTTTAATATTCATATTATTGCACAAAATTTTCATTGGTACCCAATTTATTTTTCCAGTCGAAATCAACAAATTGGCCAAACAAGTTCTGACAAATCGAAAAAGTTTGAATAAAACCAACGAAAATGAGCCGAATCCTCCGCAAAAACTTCGTTATACAATTCAATGGATTCGTGTTCGACTCTTGATTGAACTAATCGATATTCTGGACAAAATGATGTGTTGTGCAATGTATGGCGGAGCATCGTTTAATTTGAATGATATACCGCAGGTTTGGAATTTTTTTTTGAGAAATTGAGTATTACCCGAATTTTGAAGCCTTTAAAATCCGGGTTCTAACTTTTTTTCGAATTTTCTGAGTGAGAATATTTTTCCAGCTTTCTCGTCAATTTTTCACCACAAATGTTCAATCTTGTGCTGAATGGCTCAATCGAACATATTATTCCGCTATGGTTGTCTCGTTTTTCAATGGAAATTATGCATTGGTAAGGGATTTTAGGGGGAAAATCTTGAAAATTGATCGAAAAATGTTTTTTATAATGGGACGATGCGCGAAGAAAAAAAACGTCAAAAAACGTGTTTCGAAACATAAAAATACAATGCACGAAATGTCGCAAAACGTCGCGAAACTCGAGTTTTTCGACATTGAAATGTCGCGAAACAAGCATGCTTTTTTGTATCGTACTGAAACCACAGACACTGGAGATCAATTCTCACAATGTTTCTACTTGTTCAAAACAGTTTTCACCACAATTTGCTTCGGAAACATGAGATGTGGCAAATGCAATTTACAGATAATACTTTTCATTTGACAAAGATTCCTTTTCAGAAGTTTTTATTCCCTATTTTCGTAAATTTATATCCTTTTTCAACTCCTGATATGTTTTTTCTTCAAAAAAACATCTATATCACACCCGTTTGAAAGTAGAAATGTTTGGGTGAAGTACGGTTGGCGAACTGTGCACACACCGCACTGTCACAATGCACAACTTTTTCGCTGAAAAATTATTTTTTTCGCTTTGTGCGTCTTTAACACGCTCAATTGCTAAGAAAACTGAACACGCAAAACATAGTCGCATAGTTCACGAAAAGACGAATTTTTTGATATAAAAAAGTTCTGCTATCGATACCGGGAAGTTCTCCAAAATGGGCGCACCGATTTTTTAATACATCAAAACCGTAACTGAAAATCTGCTTTTTTCAGAAGCCACTAGGAATCAAGTTACTTAAATCTTAATATTCGTTATGAAACGAGGAATTCAATGGTGTATTCACCTTATTTTTACTCGTCGAATTACCCTAGTTATTCCAGAAAAACACGTTAATTTTCATACGGTGTTTAAAGGAACATGACTTTTATTTTTTTATTTGGTCTCGCTTGGAAGCTAACTTTTTTCCTAGGTAGTTATACGAAGTGAGTAAAACATAGTCGCCTAGATCTCGATGAGCTGATTTTGATGCTATTTTCACGTTTTCATACGTTACCCTAGGGACCGTGTAAATGGGCGCACCAGTTTTTACGCAGCATTTCTACTCTCTCAATGTATTTGAGCGGCTGTGATATTCCACATTTTGAGAAAAATCATGCTTGTTTCGCGACATTTCAATGTCGAAAAACTCGAGTTTCGCGACGTTTTGCGACATTTCGTGCATTGTATTTTTATGTTTCGAAACACGTTTTTTGACGTTTTTTTTCTTCGCGCATCGTCCCATAACAAAAATAGTTCACTGTTTCAAAATTTTGACAAGAAGAAAAATTCGAGATTTTTCACAATATTCGTCGGATCCGACTTCTGATTTTTGAAAAGTTACTGTTTCAAAATTTGAATTTGAACAAAGGGAATATTCTATTTTGGTACCTAGCTTTCATATAAATAGAACAAAAAAATTAAATTTTTTACTGTTTCAAATTTTATTAAAAAATAATTATTGGATTATTCTTTGATAACTTAGATATTTAGCGTAAAATCAGTCAAACATTTTTTTCACTGTTTCAACATTTTTATTTAAATAAAATTGGAATTCTTTATTCAATAACAACCCCCCTGATTAACCTATATACAAAATAAATTTTTCAATGCTTCTGAATTTGAACATGAATTAAAGCTGAAAATCTCGACGCTGAAAATCTCGTTCGCGTTGATGCTTGAATTACTGAAAAAGTCACTGTTTCAAAATTAGAATATATAGTTTCTCTGATTTTATGTTGGAATTAGAAAATGATCCAAGAATTAATTTAAAATTCCTACTGTTTCAAAATATTCATTTGAAAAATTTATTGAAATTTGTTCTGATATGTTAGATTACGTTGAGAGAACAAACCTTTTTTCTCAAAAAAACTTTTCGATTAAAAATTTTTTACTGTTTCAAAATTTTGATTTAAAAAAAAATGTTTAATACTTTTCTGATCCCATAATTATATGGAGAGAAATAAAAAAGTTTGTTTGCAGACAATTCGTTTTGGTTGGAGTGCCCTTCTCGTTTACCAAAAACGCCCGAAAGATGAGAAAACTATCGGATTAGCAGTTCAAATTTGTTGCTGGATGACACGATCAATGGTTTTTCTCGGCGATTCTCAATCAATTCGAGGAATGAAAAATTGGATGAAAAATGAATTTGAAACCGAAATGGCGCAGAATATATATGATGCAATGGAATTGATGGCACAAAATCGATATGAGATGGCACTTTTTAATTTTGAACTCATTTTAAGAAATGATCAAAGTATTGGAGAGACTGTCAAATTGATTATACATAATTGTGTACGTTTTTTTGTTTTTTCCCAACCTTAAATAATTTTTTTTTTCTTCAGATTATTGATATCCTGAATCGCCTAAGAAATTGGGAAAATATCGATTATTATAAAGCATTATTATATGGAGAAGAGGATTCCACGGTTAGCGAGGATTTTAGATCGTAAGAAAATTTTTTGAAGTCAAATTTTTTATTTAACTAATTTTCAGCGTTGAATTGTTGACGAAATTCGAAAAAGTTGAGGGAAAAGAGAAAAGGCATATACTTGGATGGAATGTGAGACAAAAATCGATGGCGATTGAGGCGGCTTTTTCGCAGACTATGAGAAAGTTGGTGATTTTTAGGGGCGGGGGGAAATGAGAAAAAATCACTGTTTCAAAAGTTTGATAGATTTTGAAGCAATAAATTTGTTATGATCATTTAACTATTCAAGACAACGGAAAATTTTTAAAAAAATTCTACTGTTTCAAAACTTTTATAATTTTTTTCCAGAATAAATCGTTTCAATAAACAGCAAATATTTCTCAAGAGTTTAAACTATTGTGAAAATATTACCATGACCTTGATTAATTTTGAAACAGTAAATTTTTATAGATCAAATTGAGCTTGAAAATTGAATTATTCCAGAATCTTTAATCAGAAATAATTGTTTCTATTTCGGAAAAAAAGTATTTTGATGAATTGACACATAGGAGAATCGGAAAAATTTAAAATTTTCAATTTTACAAAATTGATGAAACAGTAAAATTTTTTGAAAATATCATACTATGCTTATTCAATGAAATGAATGGTGATTTATTTGTTTAATCAAATACTTGAAACAGTGGATTTTTACAATGAAAAAATAATCAGATTGCCCTGAAATTTTGGAAATTTTTATATTTTATTATTGATCAAAAACGTTTTTTTTTCTTCAGATTCGAAATCAATGACATCAAACGCGATTTATCACAAATGGGTGCACTTTTACTGAATTCCGACACATCTTGTCGATTATATTCGGATATTTCATCAACAAATATGATTGTCTCATATTTGGTAGATAAAATGAATGGATTCAAGCCGAAAAGCGAATTGACAACCAGTGATTTATTTGAGAATTATGAATATGATGAAGGCGAAAAATTGACGGCTGTTAATAAAATTGTCAGTTGGGCGAAGCATTTGCACACTAGTCGTGAGTTGTTTTGGGGAGAAAAGTTTTGATTTCAAATTTGTGGCTCGAAAAATTCACGTGGAAATTTTCGAGCTCCGAAAAACGTTTCCAAAGATTTGTTTTCTACAAAATTTGATATCAAAAAATCTACGTCACTTTATTTTTGGCTCTTTCAGAATTTCAGAAAATTCGTGAATTTTCTGGAATATTCGCCTGAATGCTGTTTTCCTACCGTTCAAAAATATATTTCCTGACTGTTTAAAAAATTTACCCAGAATAAAAATTATTTTCCAAATTTGCCACGGCATAACTCATTTTCAGAGACAAATTATAGATTCTAAAACTTTTCAATAATAAATTTGTAGAAAAATAGATTATGCTCACTTTCAAAAAAAAATATTCACTGTTTCAAAAGTGTTAGATATTCTTGAATTTTTTGTAGCACTCATTGCTTCATCTGTAAATGTCGGAAATTCAAAAAAAAAACTTTTACTGTTTCAAAAAATTATTTTACATTTGAGTCTTTGTGAAATTTTTTTAAAATTCTACTGTTTCAAAAAAAAATAATATTTAGTCATATTTTAATAATAATGTTCCTCGAGTTTTTAGAAAAAAAAGATCACTGGAATTATTTTTGAACATTTTTCACGTCATAACTCATATTTCATAAATCTATATTTTCAGGCGGAATTTCTGGTGATTGTTACGCTGAAGTTGTTCGTTTGGCACGAAAAACCGATAATCGAAATTTGGCAATTCGAATTATGATGTTATCAATGAAATTTGGAGTTTCACCGTGGATGAGTTTGGAAAATGCAAAACAGGATTTGAAATTGACGAAAAACGAGAATTTGGACATGAGAACACAGAAAATTATTGGAGTTTTTGCCACGTTGGCAAATGTATTCATGGTGAATTTTAAGAATAAACAAAATATGAAAATGGAAAGAGCACCTGCGGAATATTATGGAGAATTTTTGTCGTGTGAGTTTTAATGTAATTTAAAATTTTTGAACAATTCTTGAAACAGTGATATTTGTTTTTAAAAATCTATAGAAAAAACAATTCAATTTTTATGTGAAAATTTGTTATTAGTTTACTGTTTCAAAATTTTTCAACGACTATTTGGTGGATTTGATGATATACATTTCAATTCGGAAAAAACCTGAATTTTTTCACTGTTTCAAGAATTTCTGAAATTGTGGATTTTTTCGATTAATTGTTTATCGTAACAGACATTTTTAAAGAATTATTGAACAATTTTTGAATGGCAAAATTTTGTTCCAAGTTTATGTCCCTCAAAAAATTCACTCTTTCAAAAAATAATCTTATTACGATTTTTCAGTTTTCACTTATTCGAAGCTTTCCCATTCAATCGAAAAATATACTGTTTCAAAAATTTGATGAATAAAAAATAAATACTAATCGATTATTAGAGGATCTTTATTTGTTCAATCAAAAATCATTCTCTCAATTCTTCTTTTTTGCAGTAAACTACGAAGATCGTGTTGATTTTGTTCGAAAATGCGACGAATCAATGGCCCGTGTCTCTCTTCAATTATCCGAATTTTTCGATCAATATCATGACCACGAAAACTATCTAATTCCACACATTGGACAAACTCATCTATGGGCTGAAATTCATCAAAAAAGAATTGATTTGGGTGTGAATTATCGCGGTTTTGTTGGTGCACTTCTATCGATTTCCACTGAAATGTGCCCAGAATTGGCGAAAACACATTTGAAGTTTGCGCAATGGGCTTATCAATTGGCTGATGTGCAATATGTGAAAGAGATGAATACGGTTTATCAACATGTTATGGTTGGTTTTTTTTAATACATAATTTCAATCTACGCATAGAAACCATTGAAAATTTGAAAATACGAATAAAATTGATATATTTTTGAAACAGTGAATGTTTTTTATTCTGAAAAAAAAATTCAAAAGTTGTAGAGGATTTTTGTGTTGAGATTCATGAATTTTTATATTTTTTCAATAACTCTGTGTGAATATTTCACACACTCATTTTCAAAAATCAAAAAAAATTTGAAACAGTAAATTGTTTGCAGCTTCACGCGGATCCAACAATCAACGAATCACTTTGGAAATGTTTGGAATGTTCAACACTCGGACAAATCGAGACAGAAATTCGAAAATTGATCTCAAATCCAGCAGAAATATCCAATTTATTATCACCAAATGGATATTATTTGAATATGTGGGCAAATGTAAAAGAACATCGAACCAAATATTTGACATTGTCTGCTTCTTCCTATTTTCAATTTATTCATGCCTCGAATGGATCATTGCCATATTCGGTGAGAGAGAATTTTGGAGGGGTTTTTTTTAAATGAATTCTTGACTTGCGATAAATATGGTTCCAAGAATTTTTTTATCGGAAAAAATGACTGTTTCAAAAAATTCTCTAAAAATTCCTGGAATTTTCGAATTGGGGAAATAATTTCAAATTTTCAATAAAAATTTTAAATTTTTTCACTGTTTCAAAAAATTATTAAAATGAAATTTGAAAAATTTCCAACAGTTATCATCTTTTCTGCTGTTGAAAAATTTTAGAAAAAATTTTTTATATATATTTCAAAATTATTTTTCACATTTCCTGAATCGATTTTTTCTCTTATTTATCACAAAAAAAACAAGCAAAAATATTAAAATTATTTTGAAACAGTGAAAAATTTTGAAGAAGACAAAATTGTCCAAAGATAATGATATTTTCCAGAAAAAAGAGGAGATCACAGTTGCAACTCTTCGAATTCTCGATATGCTTGTCAAACACGGCGATATTCTCATCGAAATCATCGAAAATGGTCTAAACACAACAAATGTTCATGTTTGGAAGGATATTTTGCCCCAATTATTTGCTCGTTTATCCCATCCATCTGAACATATTCGAACAACTCTCGTCAATTTGATATCTCGAATTTGCGCGGTTTCACCGCATTCTGTGGTATTTCAAGTGGTTTCTGGTGCGGCTAGTCATTTTACGAATGAAGGAGATGAGGAGGGAGAAAATGAGGAAGAACAACAGGAAATTCAGGATGATGTGGGTTTTTTTGGGGGAGTTTTCGAAATATTTTGAAATGGTGAAATTTTGAGCCAAATTATGCATTTTAAGCTGAAAAATGGACCGAATTTTCAAGATTTTTCATTAAACAATTGAATTATTCATGAAATTCTAAGCCGTAAACCTAAAATTCGATCTTAAATTCTTAACCTTGTAATTTCAGAGGTACACAACTATAATCAAAATTTTTAGAATTCTCGAAAATTCAGATTATTTTTGAAACAGTGAAATTTTGAAATTGAAAAAATTCGATATGAAGATTTTTTTTGAGCCGTAAACCAAAATTTGGATTTTTTAAATTTTCAACCTGAAACCCCAGATATACTTTCATTATCGAAATTTTTATAAATTCTCAATAATCAGATTATTCTTGAAACAGTGAATTTTTTAGAGAAAAAGTTGAGAACTATAACCAGGAAAATGTATGTTTCAAAATTATTTGAAATTTTTCTATGATTATGAAATCTCTAGTTCATCAGCATATTGATTTCTACAAATTTCCAATGTTTCAGAATTTCAAAAGTTTGGTATATTTTTTGAAAAAAAAACTCAACTGAAATTTCAAAATTATTCCAGGATCGAAACAAAGTTCGAGATTGCTGTGAACAATTGGAAAACCGATTATCAGAACAATATCCAAAATTAGTCGAAGATGTTCGAAAATTCATTGGAGAACTCGAAAGAATCAATCTATTATTCGAGGAAAAATGGGCAGTTGTTTTGGGAACAATGGAACATGAAATGGAAAAAAGAATACAATTGATATTGCAAGAAACAAATAAAACAATAAAAGCAAAACATTTGACACAAAATGAAAGAGAAGAAATTATTCGAAAAAAGACCAAATTAATGACAAGTCAAGTATTTGAAGTTTTGGATGAATTGTATGAAAAGACTTGTGAAAAAGGAGCGATGACTGAGAATGAAAAAGGATTTCAAATGGTATTTAAGGAAGTGTTGCAGAAAGCGTTTTTGGAATCGAAAATGAATCGAATGAGTCCCGAAAAAGCATGGGCACCTTTTAAGAATGTGAGTTTTTTTGGGGCCAAGAAATTTACTGTTTCAAAAAATCATATAATAAAATAGACAATCTGGAAGTTATTTCATTTATGATGATTATGTCAAAATAATTATTTTTCGACGTGTTAACTTCTATTGATAAAATCAGAAAATTTACAAACTCACAAATTCACTGTTTCAAAATTTTATTTTCATTCAGAAAAATATAGAAAAATTAGTAGACCAAATTGACCAAATTGTGATCTGAAATAGTGGAATTTTACACATTCAGAGATTGATAATATAATTGTTCAATAAAAATTTACTGTTTCAAAAATGGCACATAAAATAAAGTAGGTATTATTTATTGTCCTTTCCTTCAAAATTTCACTGTTTCAGAATTTTGATTTTATTTTTGTGAAACGAATCGGAATTGATACTGAGATTCAATTTGGAAAAAAGTTTTACTATTGAAAAAATCATTGTCTTTAGAAATTCTTGAATTTTTCATATAAATGTCATTTTTTTAAAATAAAACGGTCCAAATATCTACTGTTTCATAAAAAAAACATATGTCTAACACAAATTTTTTTCCCAAAAATCTACTGTTTCAAATTGTTCATTTATCAAAAGTCTCAAAGTCTAAACTAATTAACTCTTCAATTTCAGCTTGTTTCAACATTTGTTCATCGAAGTTTGAAAAGAGGAATGCAAACATTCGAGATTGAAAATATATCGCATTATTTGGCCACGGTATGCTTTTATGGGTATTTTTATACGTTTTCAGATTCAAATGGAAAATTCAAACTATAATTTTAATTTTTGAATGAACTCAAAAAAGTCCAAAATTTTTAAGTTTATGAATTTTCTCAAATTTCAGATTTTCTAGAATTTTGAAAATATTCAGAAAAACATTTTTTGTCAAAAACTATATCTTGCGCTATTTTTTCACTGTTTCAGAATTTCCTTTTGATTTTCGAAAATAAATTCCAACAATATCACATCAGTGGTTATATTTTCACTGTTTCAAATTCAGTTCAGGCAGTTTTAAAAGAATTTCAACATTAATTAGCAAAGTATACAAAATATCTTTTTGATTAGAGATAATGTAAAATTGAGAGAGCACAGACATCAAATTATTTTTTTGCAGCTAAATGATTCATTTGTTCCAATGCCCGGTCAAGATTCCATCGATTTCAACAATCTCGTCACAATTTCCCGTGTCGCAAAACAGGTCACAATTCTTCCCACCAAAACGCGTCCCAAAAAATTGGCATTCATTGGCTCCGACGGAAAATCGTGCACATTTTTATTCAAAGGAAGAGAAGATTTACATTTGGACGAAAGAGTTATGCAATTTTTGAGATTGTGTAACATCATGTTAAAATCTGGAAAATCGCGAAAAGTTGTCGAATATCAGGCGAATGATTATGCAGTAATTCCGCTTGGACCAAGAAGTGGATTGATTAAATGGGTTGAGGGAGCAACACCGCTTTTTCATATTTATAGAAAGTGGCAGATTCGAGATGTAAGGGTTTTTGGGGAGCGGGTTGAATTTTGAGCCAAAAGACAAGAAATTTCCAAAATTTCGAGCCTAAATTGAGCTGAAAATTTTTTATTTTCATGATTTCCAGCCAATTTTCCGTATAAACTTGATCTAGAGCTGAAAATTTGGATTTTTGAGCTGATAATTTATATTTCAATTAAAAATTTAAAAGATTCTCTAAAAATTTGAAAATTCAATGTTTCAAAAATTTTGAGAGGTTCGGTTCAACTGTTGTTTTTCCTCATTTTTCCAATTCACTATTTTCTGAAACAGTGAAAAAATGTTTACCAAAAATTATACGTTTCAAAATGTTCTCTAATATATACCAGAGATTTTCAAAAATGATCCATCCATGAAACCAACTACATTTTGCAGAAAGCTCATCGTCAAGCAATTCAGAAAAATGGAGAAACAATTGGAGAAATTGAGAAACCAAGTGAAATGTATCATCGAATGATTCGACAAGCTTTTCATAGTAATGTGAGTTTTTTGGGGAAGAAAATTGGGGTTTGAAAAGGTGAAAAACAATTTCGAATAAATTCCATTAAATTTCACTGGATTTTTCATAACCGAACCCTCAATACCCATAAAATGAATTGTTGAACTCTTGCAAAATTTGAAACAGTAGAAAAATAATTCAAATTTTGATTCTCAAAACTCAAAGTATTACTTATATCGAAACACAATAATTTATCTCATATTAATTTTGAAACAGTGAAAAAAATGGTTTTTTTTTCAAATTTAATTTTTTCATAATTTTCTGCTGTTTCAAGGTTTTTATAAGCAAAAATAGTGTTTTTTTGGCACGATAGAAGTTGAATTTTTCAGAATATCGATTCATCAATCGCATCAGATCGTTCAAAATGGCCCTCAAATATTCTATTAGAAGTCTATTCAAATCTCATCGAAAAAACCCCGTCAGATTTGTTGAGTCGAGAATTATGGATTCAAAGTGGAGATGCAACAAGTTGGTATAGAAAATCGATGAGATTCGGTCGATCTTGTTCAGTAATGTCAATGATTGGAAGTGTTTTGGGACTGGGAGATCGACATTTGGACAATTTATTGGTCGATTTACAATTTGGAAATATTATCCATATTGATTATAATATTTGTTTTGAAAAAGGCAAAAATTTGCGAATTCCTGAAACTGTTCCGTTTCGATTGACGCAAAATATGATGAATGCATTGGGACCGGCGAAAATTGATGGGGTTTTTAGACAGAGTTGTTATCATGTGCTTGAGACGTTGAGAAATGGAAAACAGGTGGGAAAATTTGGGGGAGAGGGATTTTGGCGTTGAATAGCAGATGGCAAAATTGAAAATTTAAAAACTAACTGAAATTTGTTATTTTTTTCATTTTCAAACAATGCACGAATTAATCAAAAATTCTCGAATGTCAATTGAAAATTGCTTGAAACAGTGGAAATTATTTGGGATAATAAGAAATTCCATCTATATTGTTTCTATTTAAAATTTTTGAAACATTGAAAAATTTGAAAAATACATAATAAGCTTCCACCGTGCCATCAATAAATATTATTTGAAAACTTTTCCAAAAAAATATGCAAATTTTTTGAAACAGTAAGTTTTTGTAAAATAAAAATCCGATTTTTGACAGAAAAAAATGGTTGATCAAAATTCCCAAAATTTCACTGTTTCAAGTTTTATTCATTTTTTGGAGGTTCAAATAATTTTTGATTGGCCTGGCTTTTTAGATGGTTTTAATGATTTTTTTCGGACTAGAAAAAGGAGAAAAAACTTTTTTCACTGTTTCAAATTTTATTCAATTGTTTTTCAAAAAATTCAGCCATAATTCGTATGCTTTGTAAACTTCATATTAATTTCTCCCAGGTTCTAACAATGCTTTTGGATGCATTCGTCTATGATCCTTTGGTCGATTGGACAAATCATGAAAATATCACAACTTCTGGAATAAGTTTGGCACTGAAATTGGCAGTTTATGGAAATGAATGGAAAAAGAAAACGAATTCGAGCGAAAATAATTCAATGGAAATGTTCAAATTGCGATTGACTGAATTGAAATTCGATTGGGAAAATAATCGGTGAGATTTTTTGGCTGAAAATTAGTTTTAGTCTAATTTTTATTTTCAGAGAGGATTTGAAATCGTCAATTCAAATGTATTCGTCGGCGGTTATTATGAGACAGGATACGGTAATTTTCAATTAATCAAACCCTAAAATCAATTATTTTTGCAGCAAGAATCTAGTCGACTTATGCTCCAAGCTGTTACAAAACACCACTCAATTATGAAATGTCTTCGACCATTGATTCGAACAATTTCGAAAACAAATTCGAATTTTGTCAATTATTATGCGATTTATAAAAAGTATTTTAATGAACCGCTTTTGAAGTGAGTTTTTTGGGGAAAATTTGACTATTTCAAAATTTTTTGAATTACTTTCTGAATATGAAAAGAATGCTTTGCTATGCCGGAGATATTTTTTCAAAGTTTGAGTTTTGAATATGAAAGTTACACGAACTCTGAACCAAAAAATCTGAACTTCTCATATAGAAAAATTCAGCAGAATTAGGAATTTACCTGATTTGAGGATTTCTTAGAAATTTTTTCACTGTTTCAAAAGTTTGATTTGAAAAATTTTAGTTTTCGACATTATTATTTTTTTTCTTCCTGGAGCAGAATATTCAATCTCAAATATAAATCTGAAATTATAGTTCCCACAAAATTGAAATTTTTACTGTTTCACAATTTTTTGAATATTTATTATCAACGATTTTACAATTGTTTTTAACAAGGTCATAATTTCACTGTTTCAAAAATGTATTTAAATTTTCCTCTACTTTGAACACTTGTTATTACTCTTAATGCTACTAATTTTTAATCTTATTGTAATTAAAATTAATTTCAGTTTTTTATCCAATTTTGATTTCATTTTTTTTTTAAATAATTTTTTTTTATCTAATTTTAATTTTTATAGTAGTCTCCAAGGTTAATTTTTTCACTGTTTCAAAAATTCTTCAACAGGTTTTTCATGAATTTTAAAATTGATGACACTATTTTAACAACTCCAAAATATTTTCAGAGCTCACGCCGCAATGCCAAACGAAATCGACAAATCAATCTGTGTTCAAAAATTCTCGATTGTTTTGGAAAATATCGATCGAGTTTTCAATGGACTTTTGGAATTGACAAATCCGCCAAAAATGGCGAGAATTTTGGATCGAAATTCGACAACACAACCACCACCACCTGGATTAGAAAGTTAGTTTTGAATTTTGATTTTTTTGGGGAGCGGGGGAGATTTTTTCTGGTAAAAAATTAAAGATTCAAGAAAAATTCACTGTTTCAAAATTTGTTTGAAAAAAAAATTATTTTTAAAAACGTAGTTATGTAAATCCATTCTGCAGAATTTCCAATGACTTTTTCAACGTAGAAGAGTTAAAAATATATATATATTCTGAAGCTTAAAATTTTCCAAATATTTATTTACAGATGTTTGGCTGGTGAAAGAAGATCAAGTTGAAAATGTGATGGCTCGACAAATTGTAAAAAGTGTTGAAAAACGATTGGATGGATTTGTGAACAATTTGAACGAATCAATGACGCCAGAAAAACAGGTTAGATTATTTTTTGCAGTTTTTTTATCGCATCATTGAAATTCATTTTTCAAAGGATTATTTAAGAGTTTTTTGAAACAGTAATTTTTTGGTGATTTGAAAATGAAATACCCTTCATATCGGAATGAGACATTTTCGAAGTTTAGTTGGAAATTGCTTGAAACGGTGAATTTTTAGAGAAGAATTCTCAGCAAAATTATATTTTTGAAGCAGTGAAAATTCCAGAATTTATCACAGGAAAATTCTTTCAAATTTATAATAGAAATTTATTTTTCAGTATCAAAATAGTCTCCTGGTTTCTAGAATTTTTCATAAATTTTGGAAGTTCTGCCAAAATTCAACGTTTCACGAGTTTTGGAAGATTTATTTTAAAAACAATTTTTCAACCAAAAAAATTCACTGTTTCAAAATTTTCATTAAAAAATTTGGAATCTATATTTGGTGTTATTCTTTCGCGGTCTCCAAAAAAATTTAATTGAAAATTAGCCAGTTTAACTGTTTCAAAAAATTAATTTTATTTTTTGGGTTTTTTCATCTTCAATACGCTTTGAAAATAACCTTTTCAAAAATCCCGTGAAATTTTATTTTTCACTGCTTCAAAAAATTATTAACAAGTTTTCAAAAGATTATGAACAAACAGTAAAAGATACTTACAACAATATTAATTTTTAGAAACAGTAAAATTTTTTAAAAATAATTTAATCCAGAAATTGTGCTCAAAACCGCTCTAAAATTCTCCAATTTTTATAGGCTGATTACTTGATTGCCGAAGCAACAAACCCAAACAATTTATCGAAAATGTACGAAGGTTGGACTTCTTGGGTATAACAAACAGCAACTCGATTTCAACTCGAAAATCTTTTCTTCCGAAAAGTTAGCCACTCAGTTTTGGTGGTTTTCAATTTTTGGGGTATTCGTCGGGCACAGCGAGATATGGGTTTTCGGTAATTCCATCTTTCTTCTTAACCGAATCCACCGCCGCCAGCAACAAAACAACAACATAATTTTCATAAAACATCATCTCCCATTTAAAGATAAGAAAATCTGACAATTTTCTTGCAACTTCTTTGTTAGTTAATTATTATCATTATTTATTGTACGTTTCTAATATTCCCCCCGTTTTTCTGCTTTTTTTGGTTTTTTTATAAATTTTAGTTTCGCCTGTATTTTTAATTGAGATAATGAAGTATTTTATTGGAAAAATCTGAAAAATTTGCTGTTTCAAAATATTCATTTGTTTTTGATGTTAATTTTGAAACGTCGAAAAGAATCAGGAAAGATCAATCTACATGTTTTTTTCATCATAATTTGAACCGAAATTTTTCCACTGTTTCAAAAAATTTATAAGATGGTTTTTCGGCGAAATAAATCAGTGGGCTGAGAAATTTCACTGTTTCAAATAATTTTCAATAAAAATTTATTTGGCTGATATTTTTGATATGAAAACCCATAGGGCGGGATCAATTTTTTGAAACAGTCAAACATGGTTTATGATAAAAGTTACAGTAACCCTGGAAAAAATCGATTTTCCAGATATTTTTCAGCTAGATATGATCTAAAACTAACATCAATAATTAATGCCAAATAAATTTTTAATGAAAATTTTGAAACAGTGAAAAAATTTCGAACAGAACACTGAAAATTTCCCTGAAAAAAAAACATTTAAAATTTTAGGATCTTATAAAATATTTTTATGAAAAACTCAAAATAACACACATTTTAGACAGAAAAATTTGAAATTTGAGCTTAACAATGTGCAAAAATTTGGTAGATGCTGTGGAAGCATTTTGAGCAGTTCGATAGTTTTGATCTTGATGTTTGGCTTCAGAAGGTATATTCAAGTCATGTAGAGAGATTTGTGTAATATTTTTCCATATCATCGTTATTTGCTCTTTTGGCTCATCGACATCGATTAATTTCAATTTTTGGCATATTCTGAAAATTCATTTTTATTTATTAACTCTGTAGATTCCCAGAGAGAAAAAAATTTGAAAAGTTAGGCTAACTTTGTCGCTGCACGGTTTACACTTGCTCCGCTCGAAACTATTTTTGGGCATAAAATATCCACAAAAAAACAATTTTCACGAGATTGTGGAATTCAAAAAGACTTACATAATTTTTTTTCTCCATGGGTTTTCGCTTGAGCTGCACTTTGAGCCAATTATTTGTTTTCATATCATAACTTGATGTTATACTCACCATATCCCAAGCTGAGTTGCTCCTGCAATTATAAATTGAATTGAAATTCATTATTAATTTTAAATAAGTTGTATCTCATTCAAACGTTTTTCATAATTTTGAATAACTTCCTCTCAGAATATCAAAATAATCATTTTCTCATGAGAAATCGAGACGCAGACATGAAACCATCGGGAAATATAAAAGAAACATCTATACTATTTTTAATTGAAAAAATTGATCAAAGGAAATATGATTCATGTTTCTGGATACCATTTTTTTGAGATAAGAAAAAATCATGAGAAAATTCAGATAGACCAATTCAGGATTAATTTTTGAGATATTTTTCACTGTTTCAAAATTTTCATTCAAAATTTATTTGGAATTTATTATTGATATTAGCTGTCTTTTGGCTACCAGAATCTAAAGAAAAATTAACTCTTCTTATGATATCATCAAAAAAAACCTTGAAAAATGAATTTTAATAAAAATTATTTGAAACAGTGAATTTTCTCATTTTCAAAAAATGTAAGTTTTCATGATGTTTTCATCTTGAGATTTCGAAATTTTTGGAACATTTTTTGTTGTAACCATAATTTCAAATTTTCAGATTTACAAAATTCAAATATTCTTACTTACCATACTACAAACCACACCGAATTCAAAGTGTTTTTTTCAGAAATCATAAATTAATTGGAAATAAGTATAGATTACTGTAGTTTAGATACAGTACTCTTTTATATCTATTCTGGAGAGACAAAATGAATCAAAGAAAAACGAAGAAAAAATGGGCGGCGCAGAAAACTGTGTTTTTTCTTGTCTGCGTCTCCTTTTTGGCATCGCGCCAGAAAACCAGAACTATTTTCAAGATTGAAATTTTCAAGGAAAAATAATTTTCACGGTATTTTGGTTTGAAACAGAGAAGATAAAAACATTGAAGATAAAAACCCCTCAAAAATGTTTATACATTTTTTGAAACAGTGAAATTTTTCTGTGCAAAGTTTCAATGAAATTGAGAAATGGTATAATAACTCTTGAAAACACTTATTTTTCAGCTAGATACGATTTAAATCTGACAGCAATAAAAATTGACAAATAAGTTTTAAATGAAAATTTTGAAACAGTGAAATTTTTCATTTTGAAAAATATGAATGAGTTTGAGAAAATAATTATCAGAAAACTTCACTGTTTCAAAAATTCAATGAAAGTTTTTGTGATTTTACATCTTCAATAAATCCCTCAACGTCGTGAAAAATATTTTCAAGCTAAAAATGCACTATTTAACAAAATTATTTCAAAATTCACGTGAAACCTGGGTTTTCACGTGTCTATTTTCTCCAAATTTTTCCCCAAAAAATAAAATCAAATCATTTTTCAGTTCTAAAATTCTAACAAAATGATGTGAGTCTCCAATTTTCTGCCAATCAAAAATTGTCTAAAATTGTTTTGCAGATCAAAAATATTTCAAAAATGGATAATAGAAATTGTGTTACATTTTTTTTCATTTCTAATTTTAAACATTTCATTTTTTTGCGCCAAAAAATCAAAATTATCCAAGGAAAAACCGAGAAAATCGCCGAAATTGGAGCAAAAAACAACAAAAACCAAGACTTCGAGTAACTCCAGTCAAACACCGAAAAATGAGCAGAAAAAGGTAGATCGTTGGAAGCGTCGCGGTCAAGCGATGCGTGTTAAAAAAAATTGAAAATGAAACACGCAGCGCGTGACCGCAACGCGTCTAGTTTTCATTTCGACAATTTCTCGCTTATTTTTTCCAGGAAACATCAAAAGAACCAGAAAAGATTCCCGAAAAAGTTGCAGACAAAAGTTTGTGCGTTGAAAAAACGCAGGCAGATTCGGTGCCCAAAAAATTGATGATTTTGAAATTGGAAAATGGGCGGAGCTTGAAAAAAACATTGGATGATGTGGATGGAAATCTCATAAATGCACCGTATCCAATTGCTGGAGAAAAAACTGCCGATGATTTTGATGATTATTTGAATAATTTGGGAAGTTCAAAGAAATAAGATGAATGAATGAATGAAATGTTTTTGATTTTAAATTGAATTTGAGAGATTGGCAAAAAAAATTAATTAAAAATAAAATACAGAAAGAAAAAACAATAGAAATATTAACACATCGCGAATTATTACATGAAACAACAAACACTACGCGCAAACCCTACAGTACTTTCCGGGGAAAATGTAACGGGAATCCCCGGGGGTTTTTAACGGGAACCCTGATATTCTCTAACGAACTATAATCTCGGGAACCCTGAGAATCTCACAGGCTTCACTTCTCGGATCAGGCCTGGTCGGAATGGACCTTGTCGGAAGGTTCGGAATGAGCACACTCATTCCGAGTGGTCAGATCGTAATTCCGAATTCCGAACCTCCATTCCGACATTTTTACCTCGGAATTTCGGAATTTTTCGGAATGTTTCGGAATGATATAAAACTTATAAAATTTGTCTTCAAAAGTTAGATTTTTTGAGAATCACAAGAGAAAAAGAGATTTTTTGAAAATGACAGGTAAAATTCATCAACTTTTCCATTTTTTTGTTGAATTTTTCACTAATTTCAGCTCAAACATTCCGAAAAATTCCGAAATTCGGTAGAAAAATTCCGAAATTCGGAAGAGAAACACATTCCGAAATTCCAAAAAGTTTCGGAAGTAACATCGGAATGATTCCGATTCCGAGACACGTTTGTCTCATTCCGAAAAACCTGTCGGTTTCGGAATTTCGGAAATCCGATATTCCGATTCCGATCAGGCCTGTCTCGGATGGAGTACCCTAGTAAATTTACGCGTAAAATTTAAAAATAAATAAAATATAAAAATAAAGACACCGTATTTTTCAAACACGAACAAGGCGCAGTAGAGGAAACACACAACGGGTCTCGTTGCGATGAAGAAAAACTACTGTGAAAATTCGAAAAAATATTTTTTTTTTGGGCCACAATATCCACAGGACGACGCGAGGTGTGTGCGCTCTCTCGTTGTCTGCGTCTCTACAGCAAACAACACTCTCTCATTTTTTCTTCAATTTTTTTGAATTTTTTCGAAATTTTTCAAAAAATTCGAGAAATTCACGGGAACAATGGTATATGAGCGAGTAGAGGAGGATGAAAGGAAGACAGAGAAATAACATTTAGTTCCATTTTTGAAATTTTGAAGGCTATAAAATCGAAAGAAAAACTTATGTGTTTTTTATGAAGAATTTTAGCTGAAATTTCACGAAATTTTTGGTAAATTTACTTCTAGATGCCAGGAATTACGTGAATCAAAGTATACCAGTTTATGTGATGCTAGGAATAAGAAGTTTCGAGCCTAAAAATTCTTGCAATCAGCAAAACACGTTTATTTGAGCGTTTTTTAATTTAAAAAATAAGAAATACCTGAATTCAAGTGTGAAAAACTGAAAAATCTAAATGATAAAGTTTTATGTAACAAAAAACGAACTATCTAAATAAATATTCATTAATAAATAATAGAAAGTCGTGTCTTACAAAAACATTTTTGAAAAACCGGCTGAAAATTAACATCAGCAGAAAGGCAATATGAAAATATACAACAAAAAGATTGTCAGGATTCGAATGAACTTTTTAGCTGAGTTATATAGCTCCGAATATCACAAATCGATAATTTTGGCAAATAAGGAACGTCATTCTTCGATTCAAACTCAACTTTTCCAATCAACTTCAGAAAAAATATCGTCAAATCTCTACCAAGCTCCAAAATTTGAATTTAGCAATAAGAAGAGTCGGATGTTACTGTTGAAATATGAGTTCCTCTCAATTAATCATCTTTTGAGCCATCAAACATATACAACCCTCTCCAACGACCGCTATTTTCTTCATAGTTCCAACATATACATTGTCAAGTGGATTTTCATGTGTGTTCTCGATGTTTTTCACTGTCCTCTAGTACTCTGAATAACAAATTTCCTGATGTTGGTGTTGGAAAGCCAGATCCTCCAGCGCGAGTTTATCGCAATGTTCCTCATTGAAAAAATGTGTGGTTGATTCGAAATTACGATCAGATACATCCAATGCGATTACGATTTTGTCAAAAATCAAATATCACGAGCAGTTACATACTTTTTGAACAAGTAAATGTCCAAACGTAGCGATGACCAGCGTGAACCTGCAATAATACCGTTATAAATTTCGTTATTATCAAATTTCTGAAGCAAAAAACCTACGAAAAGCTTAATTTGCTTCTCTCCCATCATATTCGAATCATTTTATATCCAAACAAGCATCAGAAAACAGTTCAACGCACCACTGGTAACATCCATCGATTCATATGAAAATAAATCTGTCGTCGTTAAAATTGGTCCAAATCTATCCCATTTCATCCCAAATGTGGTCCTCGTATCCCAAAAAGTTCGAAAAATGTGTATTCTTCACTTTTTGGTGACACCCAAAAAAACCTGAAAAACGAACGAAAATCTTTAAAATTTTTGAACGGCATTATGGCGTTACTTTATGAAACGATCTATACATGAAAATGTTCTCTGACATTCATAGAATAGGAAATCGTTCATGAAATTAAGAAAAAACAACAATAACACTGAGTAAAAACAAGAAAAAGTTGAAAAATCGGCAAAAAATTCGATTTTTCCATTGAAAAAAGACAAACGAGCAAACGCGCTCTACCGAAACGAGAGATTTTTCGAAAAGAGACGCAGAAACGTCGTCTTGTGGACACTGTGTTGGGTTTTTTGTTTTCGTGTCTGGAGAACACCATGATGAAGGCTGATTCCAAAACATCCACAAAGGTTTGTAATTAATCTCACTTAAATTTTTATCAGAACATTTTCTCCAGATTCGTGAACCGCCTAGAAAATCATGTGCATATTGTGGAAAACTCGTAAAAATGAAAGAAATGCGTGTGATTTTCAAGTTAACCAAAATGCTACCAAACTATGTTCAACTTTTCGGATCGGAATTTGAAGAGAAAATGCGGGATAGATCGAGACTGTTCGTGTGTGCCAATCATTTTGCGAAGAAAAAACGAGGAAAAAGAGCATATCCGGTGATTTATCTGATTTTATGGCGCGGGCGCCAGATTCGAATTCATGAGGTAATTTCAATTTTCAGAGTTTAATGGAGAAATGCCGTTTCTGTGATTTGATCTCGTCTCAAAAAGATATGCGAATAGTTACGCAAAATGAGGAAGAATTACAAAAATGGATCGATAATTTGGGCGTGGAATTTGCTGAAAACATTAAAAAGTTTACTACAAATTATATTTGTCGAGCACATTTTGAAAATGGTGGACAAAGAGGCGAACTTCCTAAGAATATCTTTGGAAAGATAAAATTAGAAGATTTTTCTAGCAAAGATGATGCAATTAAGGTATTTAAGAAATTGTTAGTGAACTCTTAAAAGTATATTTTTTTCAGAAAATCTGTCCCGAAAAATGTGAGCCTCCTCTCAACAATAACAAATCAATCAATAATAATAATAATCTGGAAAATTTATCGAAAAATTATCAAGTTATGGTAAGTTCTCCTTAATTTTTTTACATTCAAAATCATCACTCGCAAATTTCCAGCAAAATTGTCGTGTCTGTAACTCAAAAATGTCTTCAACTCAAATGGTTCCAGTCCCCAAAAACTTTGCCGATTTTTCGAATTGGTGCAACGTTTTTGGCGCCAATTTTCGGAATAATATTGCTCAAAACTCACCACCACATTCTATTTGCCTCTATGATTTTATTGTTGGACCCGAAATTTTATAATTTTTGTGTTTGTGTATTTCCTCATTTTTAATAATTAAAATTTATTGCATTTTGAAATATTTGAATACGGTTTGAATAAAGTTTTGAATATTTGATAGAATGTTTTTTAATACGGTTATATCCGATATTATTTGTAAACTTCTAAAAAAATATTATTGAAAGGAAATAATTGTGTAGGAAATATAGAGAAGCTAACAAAATATCAATTTCCACTTGGAATACGTGAAGAAGAAAATATGAATAAAGTTAGTTTGACAGCTTTTTTTAGCAGTGATAATTTCAACTTTGAAATGTAATATTTGCAGCCGTCTTCCAATTGGTCCAGAAAATGTTGTTATTGTGAGAAAAGTTGCAAAGAGAACAATATGAGAAGCGTTCCGAGGAATCAAATTATTCGTGGAAAATATATCGAAATTCTTGGAAAACGTTTCGCCATGAATTTGGAGACGAAAAAAAATGCTTTCATTTGTCGAACACATTTTGAAAGAGACATCAAAGTCCGGAAAACGGATCAACTTCCAGTTAGAATGAGTGAAGAAAATGAAGAGAAAAAAGATGAAAATGAAGAGAAACAAGAAGCACAACAGAATATAAAACGATGTTGTTATTGTGAAAAAAGTGGAAATCGTTCGGAGATGACTGAAGTTACACGAAATCGAGAACAATTGATTGAATGGATTCGAATTCTTGGTCACAAATTTTATGAAAATATTAGCGGAAAATCGACAAGATATATTTGTCGGGATCATTTTGAGAAGAATTTTAGTGAAAAAAGATCTAAATTTGATTTGCCGATTAGAATGAAAGTTGAACAAGAGGTGAGAATTTGGAGATAATTGCAAACAAACTTGATAATTTATTTAAATGTTTTTAGGATGAAAATCCACAAGAAAATGATGAATTCGAAATTCCTGATGATTTTGATGAGGTTTACAGCAGAGGACATGATATCAGGAGAAGATTGTGCGATTTTTGTGGAATATCCCAACCAAAGAAAGAATTCAAAGTTTGTAAACCAACAAGTCGAGATTTTGCAAGATGGGTTGAGATTATTGGACCGAGATTTGTTGAAAGATCTACTCGGAAAAAATGGATTTTCATCTGTGTATCTCACCTTCATTTGCTCAAGCAAAAACTTCTCGATGAAAATGATCCGGAATTGAGAATGAAGACAAGAAGTCAGAATAAGCGAAAAATTGAAAATGTAAGTCGCTATGAAATCTGGAGAAAATAAATTAGAAATGGTTTTTGAATGGGGAAATCAGAAAATGGCCACATTCTAACATTATTTCTTTTTCTCACGTGAATTTTCGAAAAAAAAAACCCCTCGGGATACTGTAGATTTGTGTGTCTGCATTTCGTTGTGCAAACACCGCACACATTGACGACACAATTTTTTTTTCAGAGTTTCAAAGTTTCAGAACAGAGTGTTTTATTACAGGATGAAGTGATTTGCGAGAAAAAAGTGATTAAAATTGAAGAAGAAGAGGAATCTGTGGAATCTCCAGTCAAACTTGAATTGAATGAAGAAAAGGAAAAAATCGAAATGCTATTTCTGCCAGTGAAAGAGGAAATAATTGAAGAAGGATTAGAGTTAGATTCAATTCAGGAAATTATGAAGAAAACCATCGTTTGTTGCCGTTTCTGTGATATTGAAATGAGTTCAATTGAAATGGTTGAAACTCCAACAAATGTACAAGATTTATCAAAATGGTGTCAAATTTATGGGGAAACATTCACAGAAAATGTTTTCAAATATTCAGAACCTCACTTTATTTGTATGTCTCATGTTTTTGAGAAAAATTGTTGATTTTTTTTTGTTTTTTCTCTGTTAGAATAAGATTTTTGGTGTTGGGATTCGAATATTCAGAAAATTCATTTTCGAATACGGTTCGATCCGATATTATCCGTGTAACACAAAAATGAAAAATATCTCGCAGCGAAAATGTTTCAACACACGGGTCTCTTAAAAACACACAGCGAGCTGCAGCGCTGCCCAAGTTGCCGTAACTTCCTACGAGATCCCTGTCAATATCCGTCGCTTTAAAAAAGTGAGTATTCTAATAACCATAATTTTTTTCAAATAAAAATATTTATTTTTTCAAAATCATCTAAAATTTGCACTATAATAGTAAAATATCAATACAACAAACAAAATGTACAATGAGCAATAAAAAAAATTCTGTGGGGAAAAATAATGAAAAAAGGCCAAAGGCACAATTGAAACTGGCACCCATTGCGGAACCCAACAAATTGATTGGTTAGACAAAAACACACAAAAGAAAGAAACAGAAAAAAAAGAGGGATTAGATTATTATCATAAAAATTATGGCAAAAAAGGTACGAAAAGGGAGAGAAAAAAGAGTGGGTGTGAGCAAAAAATGTGTAATGAAAAAAGAACAGAAAAAGTCACTGGTTGGTTGGTTGTTTTGGGCTGGGGTTAACATGTAATTGGCTGATTATTTATTGTTTGTATGGATGTTCACGCGAAGCACCCAAAAGACGACGATTGTTAAGCATTGCACCTGAACATATATCGATTAATAATTTAATTAATTAATTAATTAGACAACGTTTCTTTCTATTTCCTAATTTCCCCATGCATTTTAGGCCTGAAAGCAGTGTTAAAAATCAAGAAAAATCACAGAATTCGTGGGAAAAATCGAGATCAAATAATAAATTAAAAGAGAAGAAGATAATCATGAAATGCATATATATATACATAAATAATCAATTTGCTATAAATATATTTCAAGCCCATTGTCTATTATTATTATACATACCAGCTTGTGTAGTTACATCAACTCCAGCATATTCAGCATATTGTGCAGCGGCTTGTGCTTGAGCTTGCGCTTGTTGCGATTGTTGGGATGCAGCCAATATTCCACCGTATTGTGCAGCTGCTCCGGCTGCGGCGTATTGTTGTTGAATTGCGGCTGCCGCGTTTAGATCATACAGACCTTGGCTGAAAAATTTAGAATTTTAAAATGATTATTTTTTCACTGTTTCAAGAAATACAAATATTTGAAGAGAAAAAAATCCGAAAATTAATCACTCATTTCAGTAAACAACTATAATTATTCCAAGTTTTGCATAAGCAATGAAGGATTTTCAATAATCGAATTCAATAAATTTCTTTCGAAACGTAAAAAATCCCGGATATTTTTGGTTTAAAGAATGTCAGGTTTATTGGAGCATAAAAATCCACTGTTTCATCAAAACTTTAAATTTCCGGACAAAATTTTGTCCAACAATTTATTTGCGTTTAAATTTTCTTGAAACAGTGAAAAATTTTCGGACCAAAATTAGGTTCAGAAATTCAAATTTCTTGTAAAAAACCCGATTTTTATCTAATTTTTTTAATATACACAATCATAACTGTTTTCAATTCCAAAAAATTCCCCCTCATTCATTTTTGAAACAGTGAAAAATCCCCCCGGAAGAAGATTTTTTTGTGTTGTAGGGAATTAATGAGACCAGTTGTTGGCAAAACAACTGTTTTTATTTATTATCAAGAATTCATGTTTCCCAGAAAAATTTATAGGATTTTCCGGATAAAAATATGATTTTTGTACAGAAAAATCTCGACTCACTTCAACAATAATTGTTGATATTCAGCAGCTTGTTGTTGCTGTAATAGTGCAGCTTGTTGTGCAGATGCCAACGCGGCAGTTCCAGCAGCACTCGCGTGTAATTGTGATTGTTGCTGCATTAATAATGCGGCTTGTGACGTGGCAGCCGCGGCGGCCGCAGCCGATTGCCCATTTCCATTTTGACAATTTGTCGCGTTTCGGCCACCGGGGCTCATTACAATTGGTGCTCCGCATACAGCCATTGTTGGTGAACGGGCAATCATTGGAAGCATTCCGGCGGCACGAGCTTGTTGTTGTTGAACAAGAGCAGCTTCTGAAAAAAAAGAAATTTTAGTATTATTTTTTAGTTCAATTAATATTTTGAAAGGAGTTACTAAAAATATTGTTTCTCAAAAATTCACTGTTTCAGTTTTTATCTTAATTTTTATCAAATATTCATTTTGATGATGTCAATTTGAATTATTTCAAAAATCTTAATTTTTTTACATTAATAATTCACTGTTTCAAAATTCATACATGAATTTTAGTTTTTGGAAATTTTTAATAATATGTCAATATATGGTTTTAAAAAAATTAACAAAATTGTATTCTAAAAAATTCACTGTTTCAAAAATTCCATGAAATCTTCATAGCTAAAGAAAAACCAATATCCATTCGTCTGAATCGATGAAACACTTCTAGAAAAATTAACTGTTTCAAATTTTAGTATTATTTTTTAGTGCAATTAATATTTTGATCAAATTTCGAAAGTGGCTACAATAAAATGATTTCTTAAAAATTCACTGTTTCAGTTTTTATCTTAATTTTTCAAATATTCATTTTGATGATGTCAATTTGAATTATTTCAAAAATCATAATTTTTTTACATCAATAATCCACTGTTTCAAAATTCACACATGAATTTCAGTTTTTGCAAATTTTCAATTTGATTATAGCATGATTACGAAAAATTTAACAAAATTGTATATTACAAAAATCTTCATAGCTAAGGAAAAACTAATCTGCAGTCTGAAATATGAATCGATGAAATATTTCTAGAAAAATTAACTGTTTCAAATTTTAGTATTATTTTTTAGTGCAATTAATATTTTGATCACATTTCGAAAGTGGCTACAATAAAATGATTTCTTAAAAATTCACTGTTTCAGTTTTTATCTTAATTTTTATCAAATATTCATTTTGATGATGTCGATTCGAAATATTTCAAAAATCATAATTTTTTTTACATCAATAATCTACTGTTTCAAAATTCACACATGAATTTTAGTAATTTGGAAATTTTCAATAAATTTTCAATATGGTTCAGAAAAATTGTATTCTAAAAAATTCACTGTTTCAAAAATTCCATGAAATCTTCATAGCTAAAGAAAAACTAATGCTCAGTCGTCCGAATGTCTGAAATACCTTTAGAAAAATTAACTGTTTCAAATATTAGTATTATTTTTTAGTTCAATTAATATTTTGAAAGGAGTTACTAAACATCTAGCTTCAAAAGACTTCTACCAAAAATATTGTTCACTGTTTCAGTTTTTGTATAACTATTCATTAAGAAAGTTTGACATTAATAAAAATTTAAAATATTTTAAAAATCATGATTTTTTTTACATTAGTAATCCACTGTTTCAAAATTCACACATGAATTTTAGTAATTTGGAAATTTTCAATAAATTTTCAATATGGTTCAGAAAAATTGTATTCTAAAAAATTCACTGTTTCAAAAATTCCATGAAATCTTCATAGCTAAGGAAAAACCAATAGAACGCCCTTTGAATGATAGAAATACTTCTCGAAAAAAATTTTTTCAATCCCAAAAAATCCACTGTTTCAAAATTTCCATGAAATCTTTTATAATTTTCTAAAACTAATGATCCAACTTCGAAAATATCCCCCAAAAAACTAACGTATAGCAGCAGCCAATGGTTGTTGTTGTTTAACCGCTGCCAAATGTGCCGCAGCCAATGCCGATTGTTCAGCTCCACTTCGATATGTTCCATTGATGATCGCCAATTCCATCAATTGTTTTCTTTTCAATTCATCTTCTCCTTCTGGCGCGGGAACCAATAGTTTTCTCACTTCTTCGACAGCTCTCATCAATTTCACTTTTGCTCGATTTTCAGTGTCTTCACATTGTATTAATACGTGCAATTCTTCGGATAAATGTTCCCAATTTGGTTTTCCTCGATTCATTTCCTCTTTTTTCTTGTCTCGCATTGAACCGCGTCCTCTGACCATTATTTTGCAACCCGTTTCTTGTTCCAATTGTTTGGCTGTCATTCCACGTGGACCCAATATTCGACCAACGAAATTGTACTGAAAAAATTAGTTGGGTTTTTTTGGGGAAGAAAAATTAATTTTCGAAAGAACAAGAATCAAAACTCTCATGTTGAATAATTTCTTTAAGATATTTTTGAAACAGTGAAAATCTCAAAATCTAAATCAAAAATTCTTTCAAATTGTTTTCTGGCGCATAATGTGAATAATAAATTTCCAATGTTTTATGATTTTATTGACATTTTTGAAACAGTGAAATTTTAAACGCAAAATTGAAATCGAAACTTTATTTTTGGATATTTTTTTCTGAAACAGTAGAAGTTTTTAAAGCTGAAATTTTTTATCACGGGAAAAAATTTAATTTTTTTTAAAGATTTTCATTTCATGTTTTACTGATAAAAAGGGCCTATGTGAATAAAATTATATTATTGGATAATTTTTTAATGAATTATTTGAAACAGTAAAGTAAAAAATTTTTTGAATTAGAATATTGTTTACAATAATAAAAAATTCAAGGATCAATTTCTAACTTAATTGTTTGAAACAGTGAATTTTTCTTACAATTTTTAGTCCAAAAATTCACATTTTATGAATATGTTGTTGATAAATAAAAAAATCAAAATTCTAATTTTTCCTCATTTCAAATAAATTTTCTGAAACAGTGACATTTTCTGACTGATTTTCAAAAATCGAAAATTTGGGAGCTTATCAAAAATCGGATCAAAATTCCAATGTCTCCTAATTTTTTTATGAAATTTTTGAAACAGTGAAATTTTTTGCTTTTTTCTCACATTAATAAAACTCCCATGCCTCGTATTTTATTTACAAAAAATTTGAAACAGTGAATTTGTCTAGAACATTCTTCCACTGTTTCAAATTTTCAACCCCCCCCCATTCAAAAAAAACTCACATCCGGATGTTCCTTCGCTGGCACATATACTTTTTCCGTATGCACCGTAATCTCTCCTTCCGCATCCGGCAACGCAACATTATCTTTCGAAAATTCAAATTGAAATAGTGCTACGCGAACTTTGCTAATCTCTGGAAACAATATTTTTTTTTAATTAAAGCTGGAAATTGTCAGAATTTCCCCACCTTCATCAACTAATCGCTCCAAATGATGAAAAACATTTGGAAATGCGGCCAATTGTTTTTTATCCTTCAATAAATGCGATAAATATTCAACTGTGTATTGTGGATGTGAACCAACGACTTGTGCAATACTTGTGCCTGAAAAATATCGATTTTTGATTTTTGTGGGGATTTTTTGGAAATCATGTTTCATCTATTTACATACACTTTCTTATTTTTGCAACACAAAAGAAGGCAAAACAAGAGGAATATATTTATATTAATAAAACACAACACAAAACTCGATGTGTAAATATTTGAAGACCTGATTTTTTGCAGCAAAATGTCAAAAAAAAAGTTCACTGTTTCAATGAATTGCGAAATTTTTTGGATATTTTTTGAGAAATAATTTTTACAAAATTCACTGTTTCAAAAATTTCCGAAAATGTTAGAATTTGTTTGGGATTCAATAGAAACATTTGTAGGAATCACCGAAATTTAATTTTTTGTTAATAATTTTAATTTTTCAAATTTTGATCAGAATGGGTTAGAGTTAAAATTTTTCTCTACAAAATTGATATTTGAAAATTTTACTGTTTCAAAATTTACGTTAAAAAAAAATAAAATTGGAGAAAATCAATCTAAAATACAAACGGTTTTCAAATAAAATTTTTATCTCACTGTTTCAAAACTCCCATAAAATTTTAAAGTTCAGGAAAAACTGATGATCGTTCCAAAAAATGTCTAATTTTTTTCGGGAAAAATCTCACTGTTCCAAATTTCATTAATAAAAATACACTTTTTAGAATTTAATAATAAATCCATAGAATTTAATAATAAATCCGAAACAGTAAATAAAAAATTTACTGTTTCGAAATTTACATTTGAAAAATCAAAAATTCAAAGAAAGTGATTCAGCTATTTCAGCTACAAAGGATATTTTTAAAAACAATTTTAGGTTACAAAAATTCACTGTTCCAAAACTTTAATTCATTAAAATCAATGTCTCTCCCAATAAATCCACTGTTTCAAAAAAAATCCCTAAATCTCACCTTGCACCACAATTCCTTGCGGTGTTTCCAAATTCAAATTCTCTACCGTACCACCAATCTCCTCATTCTCAATAACCATATCATTATTTCCATTACTATTCACACTATCCATTTAATAATAATAACAAAAATACAGTAAGAATATAGAATTTCCTCTTTCTAACAAGACAAAAAAAAGTATTTCGAAAGGTAGAAAGAATAAAATATATATATAATATCTTTCTATCTATCCTATCCGTTTTCTTCGATTTTTTCCCCTCTCTTCTTCTCTTTTTACACTATTTTTTGCTCCTCCAATGAGCCCGCGGGAGAATTGTCTGACCCGTCTCTTCAATTTCCTATACTATTTCCGAGTGACAGGAAGAATATCCCATTCTTCCTTCCACTTGAAAAAAAAGAAGAAGAGATTCAGAGACGCAGACGAAAATCGGTTTGGGGTTTTTTCGGAGAAGAAGGGAAAAAATGATAGAAGGTGATAAAAATTAACAGGGATGTTTTGAAACAGTAGATTATTTTTTCGTAGAAAAAACCATTCAAACACATTCCTAGTGTTCAAAAATTCAATAAAAACATTTTGAAACAGTAAATTTTTTGGGACAAAATTTTGAGTGAAAATCCGAAATTTTTCAAATATTTTTTCCTAAAAATTGATAAATAACCAATCAATTTCTCATAATAAAAATTCTATGAAACAATAAATTTTTACCACAAAATATTGCGTGAAAAATTAAACAATTTTCGTCAATCTCGTACAGACAAATCCACTTTGAATCAAATTTCAGAAATTCAATTAAACTTTTTTGAAACAGTGAATTTTGTTGAAAAATTATATCATGAGTATTGAAGAAAAAATCAAAGTTCCATATTAAAAAATTCCAACTAAACAATTTTTTTGAAACAGAAAATATTTTTAATCAAAAAAACTTTAAATTATATCTGATCACAAAATAAAAAGATCAGTCCCATGTCAAAAAAAATTCCAACTAAAAATTCTTTGAAACAGTAAATTTTGTGGTGAAATTTTTCATTATGAATAAAATTTTAGATTTCAAAATTTCTTCAAAACTTTTCGCGAAACAGTAAAATTTTCCCCCAAATTTCCCAAAAAACAGTTAGTTTATCACATGCAATTTTAAGAGGACCGAAAAAAAAAGAGTAGTTACCGTTAGGTGTTGTTAAATGTTCCGAAGCAGTCATATCAACAACAAATTTTGGTGTCGAAGGTGTTGAAGATGTTGGTGAAGAATTGGATTGCAATTGAATATTAGATGATAAATTATGGAGATTATTGAGATGGTTGAGGTGATGTGGAATAATTGATTGATTTGAAGAAGTAGAAGAAGAGGAAGAAGATGAATGCTATAAAACAAAAAAAGCACACAATGGGAAAATACAGTAGATGAGGTGGATTAGGATAAAGAATAATCACATTTTTGGTGGAGAATCAGACAAAAAAGGATAAATAAGAAGGGACCCGGTTACTGTAGATATCATAAGGTACTGTAGAGTTAGCAACAAAGGGAATTCTTTATTTTAGAAATTTAGGATTTTTTAAATCTAAAGAATACTGTAGACTTTGAAACAACTAGGTTACTGTAGCTCAAAAACTCTGGAATTACTGTGGAATAATACAAAAATCTTTGAAAATTCAGAGAGTACTGTAGGTCAAGAATTTTTAGCGCCAAATTTGTGATCCACTAGAAAAAAAAAACCAAAAATTACTGTAGATCAAAATTAGCTGACCAGCAAAATACTGTAGGCATGGAGATGAATAGAATTACTGTAGCTCATAGATCTAGAGAGTACTGTAGATCCAGATATATCAGAAGATCAAATTTTTGATCTACCAGGAAAAACCCAAAAAATACTGTAGCTTCTCAAAGAGTACTGTAGGTCTAAATTTACCAGAACAATGAATGATACACCAACAAAAAAATTCTAAAGACTACTGTAGCCAAAAGTTATACAAAAACTAATTTGATCTACCAGAAAATATACTGCAGATCAAGCCTCGAAAATTCTCATTAGAGCACATTTTCTCAATTTCTTCCCCACCCAAATAGTCCAAAAACAGTTAGTCAAAACCAACAAAAAAAAGTGTAGTTATAATAAGTTCTTTCTCCCGGGGGGTGGTAGTCAGTCAGTCAAAAAGGCATAAAAAAGAGGATTAGTTTGTATTGTGGTGGCGGGCCGAAAAGACGACATTATAATATAAAACAATAACCAGCCAAACAATATTTGAATATTCAAAACTATTCAAAATCAATCAATAAACCAACTTAGGCTAAGTCAAAAAAAGAAGGCTATCAGTCAATTTTGCGGCAAATGGCAGAAACAGAACAGAAAGGCCGAAAAAAAGAGAAGACGATGAAGAAAAAAAAACAGGTTCAATCATTCCGCGCGCACCCATTTGTTTCTTCTTCTTTTTTCGTATTTAATCGCTGGCTGAACTGTTAGATAAAGATAAATTAGGAGGATAGGAGGAAGAGGAAAAAACCGATATTTATTGTAATATAATAAATTTTCAGCAGCGGCAACATACAATATGGATTTATTAGGTGTAACATGATATATTTTCAGACAGATTAGATTACTGTAGGATTTTCAGAAAACTAAGTTTCATAAAATTATTTTAGATACAAACTCCAGACCGAAGCGTTGCAAATTAGAACAAAATTTTATTCAAGTATTTTTGAAACAGTGAATTTTTAAAGATCAATTTCGTAATGAAACTGAAAAAAAATGCGATTATTTCAATAAAAATAATTCTTGAAACAGTGAAATTTTTGGAGCTTTTAGTTACGATTTATAGAATATTTTCTCTGGATCAAAAGTTTCATGATAATTTTGAAACAGTGAAATTTTGAAAAAAAAAATGATTTTCAGGATAAGAACTTCCAGAATAATTTGGGCAACACTTGAAATTAATTTTCAGAATTTTAAAAGCTGAAAATCAACATGTTTTTGAAAACAAAATTGTCAAACTTTTCAAGACAAAAAAATATCCACATTTTTTGAAACAGTAAACTTTTCAACAACTAAAAAATCATGAACAATTCTCTTAAAAATAGAATTCCAGAAAATTCTGGGGTACTAACTTCTTTGAAAAACTCAGACTCTACTTAAAGCCAAAACCAACTCTATATATATTAGATACCAAATTCAAATAAAAATTTACAATATTTTTTGAAACAGTAAATTTATGATATTTTTTTGTATCAATAAAAATATATTGTTCAGAATCAAAATTCTAACAGTAAATTTGAAACAGTGAAATTTTCAGAATTTCCAAAAAAAAATTAAAAATCACGGGGAATCCTGGTGGAAAAAAACGAAAGTTGAAAAAAATTATTCTCGAAACAAAACTAACTCTGGAAAATTATTTGAATCAGAAAAATACCTACTTGAGCAATAATTCAAAATTTTTTGAAACAGTAAAATTTTGGATTTTTTTTGTTGTGAAAATTTCAGATGCTTACAAATTCTCGGTCTCAAAAAAAATGCTAAATACAAAAAAAAGCGATACAAACTTTTTTGAAATAGTGAAATTTCGAAAAGTTTTTCTCGAAAATCAGAAAAATCCCCAAGTCACGCTCCAAAAAATCCCTTGGTGAAAAAAACTGAAACAAAAAACAGCCCAGCAGAAAATTCCGAAGGAGGTATCAACTAAATATTTGTGCACCCGATTAACCTCCTTCTCCTTCTCGTTTCTTTGAAACTCCTTCGATTTTTTCTTCTATCAACTACCGTCAAGGTGAGATTTTATCGATCAAAAAAAAAAAGAAATGAGATCGGTCAGAGATAAAACAACTCCTTTTATTATTACTATCTGGGCAGCCAGGCCAAAAAATAAGGGGGATTCGGAGAAAAAATGGAGAAAATTCCAATTTTATGACCAACTAATTCGATATTTACGATAAGTCTCTGAACCAAAAATTCTCATGGAAAAATAAGGAAAATCAAGTATCAGCCAAATACAAGTTTCTTTTGATTACATTACCCATTAACTAATACTTTTAGCTAGAATATCGGGTTTTTTGATAGAAAAATTGGAGAAAAATCAAGAAAAATCCATGAGGATTAGGGAGAAAAATAAAATAAAGTAGAAAAAGAAGAAGAAGAAGAAGAAGAAGATGAAGATTATGATCAATTTAGGGCAATTTTATCGGCCGGGAATAGAAAAAAGGAAGAAGGAAAATGGAAGGAACGGATAAATATTGACAATAACAATTTATGGACAAGAAAAGAGACATCATTTTTAGGTGAGGGCGAGATGTGTGGGTGTAAGCTCGGAGCATCGTTTGAAAAAAAAAACTTCGGAAAAAAGTATCGTTTGAAATACAGTGTTCTAGAACATTTTGTGGTTCGAATAATTCCGTTAAGTTCGAGCTCCAGAGAAAATCGACGAAAAGTCCAGTTGCAAACTTGAATGGTGTAAACTCGGAGCATCGTTTGGAAAATTTCTACAGTCAAGTTATTGTAACAAAAATAACCACGATAAAATAGGTTTCAAAAATTCCGTATCTTTCTGAATTCAAAGCTCCAGGTCGATTACGCATCAACTAGTTTCAATCCTAAAAATTCAGAAATCCCTCGAAATTCGCTGGGACACAGAACAATGTCCTACTGTAGTCTAAATGTTTTTAAAATCATAGCTAATCTCATTTGATACATTTTTGGGCTAGGAATACATTTTGGCGCCAAAAATCCACTTGGGAAAATTTTTAGCTGTAAACTCGGAGCATCATTTGCCGGGGGTGCAAAATACGTTTCAAAAACCCCGTATAATGCAGATTCAAAAATCCAGGCCGATAATATTGCTCTAAATCCCTCAAAATCCCATTCCACAGTAAATCTCCCAAATTTCTGGTCCATTAAACACCAAAAAGAAACCGGGTCGGGTCAAAATGAGGAAGAAACATTGAGAAAATAAAAAGAAATGGAAAATAAAAAGAATGAGGTAAATCGACTCCTTCTTATTGACTTCAGCAAATTTGTTAAATGTTTACCTACACACACACAAAAGTACAGTGCTCTTATGTGTGTGCGCAGGAAAAAAGGAAAAAAAGAGAGCAAGATGAAAATGAGCACGAACGGCTGACTGACATACAAGAGAACATTTATGTGTGTTTGTTATTATTATTATGAAACATGAGTTGAGTTGAGTGAGATCAAAACGAGAATAAAAAACGATAAAAAGATGTAGGGAGACAAAAAAAACAATGACAGTTAGTTTTGTTATGGTTTTTTATTATAACAAACATTCAAAACTGGTTTAGTACATTGTTTTTTTTTTATTTTTGAGGAGGGTGTTTCCCAGAAGCCTAATTTTGCCTTTTAGTTATAATCCAGGAAAATTTGGTACAAGACTTCGCGTTGACACTAAACTAATAAGGAGGTAAGAACGAGAGTCCGCGTTTACGTTTACGCAGAAAATATATAAACACGGTAAACGCGGAGCATCGTAGTTTTTTGCTTGAAGAGTGTTTTAGTGTCAAAATATGTATTGGTTCAAACGATACTCCAGGTTTACAGGTAGAAATTCCAGTGTAAACGTGGAGCATCGTAGTAAAACTTATTCAAACAGCACTCTATATTTACGACGAGAAATTGAACCTATTTTGGCGCCAAAAACCATGGTGTAAATACGGAGTATCGTATGAAAACAATCACTCCACCCAGAAAATGATGCTAAAAATCCTAGCGTAAAGCCGTAGTGTCGTACTATCAAAATTCATTTTCCAAGCTAAATCTTCAGAATTTTCCCGCTCAAAAACCAAAGGTGTCAACGCGGAGTCTCGTATTATTTCTAACTCCCAAAAAAAAACTAACCTGATTCCAATCAATATTCGCTGAATTCCCTCCTGAAGCTTCCATAGTTCCATCCAAATAATCCGATTCGAAATTATTCGTATTTGAGGAGGGCATTGTCGAAATCATGGCGGCTCTCTGCAACAAAAAAAAAACTCAGTGGATGAAAAATGAGAAGATTGGGGGGAATCCTAATAAAAATCATCATTTCAACAAGGTCAAAAGGGCGACAGAAAAGTTAGGCAAAAAAGAAGTGTCAGCCTTTTAATTTACACTTTATGTAAATAAGCCGAAAAAGAAATGGAGAAAAATCAACTTTGTCTGTGTGGGCAAATGCAAATGGGACACTAACACACAAAAAAACACACGAAAAGGCAATAAAATATCGATTAGGCTTGGGAACTTTTGAGAGAGAGGGTCAGAATATTTTGGATGGAAAACTAGAGAAAGAAAACTGAGATGCTTGAAAATTTGACAGAAATTTCAGAGTTTTTAAAAGATTAATTCGCGCTCTATTGATAATTATCAGCGGAGCTAGATTTTGTAAAATTTCAGAATTTTTTTGGAAAAAAAAATATATTACTGTAGTTTTGGAGAAATCTAGAACTTTCTACAGTACTCAAGTTTTTAGCGTCAGTAAATATACTGTTAAAAAACTTCAAAAAATATCCAAATTGTAAAAATTATCAGTAGAGCGCATTTTGAACCTCAGAAAAATCTTTATAGATTCTGAAATTTGACTACAGTACACCTTATTGACACCAAACTCGCTCTATTGATAATGAACCATTTTCCTGCAGTTATCAATAGAGCGAGTTTGCTGTCAACAAGGAGTACTGTATTTAGCTTCAAAAACCTCTAGATTCAGATGATCAAAATGCGCTCTACCGATAACAAACAAAATTCGTGCAAACTTCAAGGAAGGAAAAATCCGGAGTTGGGCTAACTTTAGGAACTCAACTACAACTACCATGAATCTCTCCGGATTCAGAAGATCAAAATGTGCTCTACTGATAACGAACATCTTTCAAGTTATATTCAAAAGATTTTTCTCCCAAAAAGAAAAATTCCTAGATGCCTCAATCTCAAAAACTGAAAATGAAAATGAAAAACAGATTACAGAAATCTGCGGCTAAGTAGCACGCAAAATCCGCTTATTGCGTCACCCAACCAACATAAGTGACACAGTTGTTTTGCCACTAAAAAAAATAAAAACAAATGTGAAGGAATGTGATGATTCTGGGCGAAAAGAAGCGAAAAGTCCGGAAGTGTTGAGAAGAGACGACGACACCAACAAATCTCATCCTCTTCTTTTTTAGCAGCACAACAAAAATTTGGTTGCGGCGGGAAAAGCGAGAAGAAGAAGAAGGCGAGAAGCATACTTAAAATGAAATATTTATACCAAAAGATTTGACTGCTACTCAAGTGCGTGTCGCTTTCAATTTGAGACAGATATTACATTTTAAAGAGCACTTAAAATACTGTAGCTCAATTTTATATGAGAAAAGAAGCGATGCGATGCGATGCGACGAAAATAAAGTAAAATAGAACAAATTCGGAGGGAGTGAAAAATATAATACGGTAGCCCTATAAGATAATCCCTTTTTAATCGGACTACCTGTCGATAGACCATGCAAAATAGCCGTTATTGTTGAATAGAAAAACGAGGAGAGAGGGAGGTGAAGGTCGAAAGAGGCGCAGAGAAACGAGGGGAGAGGGTTAGAGACGGAGAGTTATGGAGGTGAGAAAGTAAACTGAAGCTGTGAAGTTAGGTGTAGATTTGTAGGATTGGTTGAAACTAGGGTAAGACGACTAGAGCAAGCTAGAGACGCAGAGAACCTAGACGACGAGAGAACACCGAATGTGCGAGAGACTCAGAGAAATTAGACGACGATTGAGAGCATGAATACCCAAGAGAGTTCAGAATACGACAGAGTGTAGAGAAATCTGGACAGAGTCAGATGACTAGAGTAAGCTAGAGACGTAGGGAGTCTGGACGACAAGATTGTAGAGAAACCTGAATCAAGATGGGCTAGACTTGACGAAGAGAGAGAGAGAGCGAGCAGGGTAGAGACGCAGAGATTACAGACGAGAAGATTAGGTCAAGCTAGAGACGCAGACAGAAAACGAGAGAGTACTGAATGTGCGAGAGACTCAGAGAAGCTATACAACAAGAGAGGTGAATAGTGATCCCACCCGGAAAAGTGTAAGGACACTGAATAGGATAGAGACAGATGACTAGAGCACGCTAGAGATACAGTTTCTAGAAGACAAGATATAACAAAATCTGGTAGAGACGCAGAGTGGTGAAGCTAGAATTCACAGACAACTAGAGTTTCTAGACGACGAGAGTGCTGAAAGTTCTACAGAAACAACTTCGACTGAAACTTCCTAACTATGTAGAAAACCTAACCTCAAACAACTTTCAACTCTCTGAATATTTCTTTTGACAATGTCCACCGGAGCACACAAACACGTAAAAGAGGAGGAATCCATTAATTCGCCCCAGCAAAAATTTTCCGGTGAATTTAACCGGGCGAATAAATAACACAAAAAGGGGGTTTGTGTTGTGTTTTTCAGTATGAAAGACTGTGTTGAATAAAGGCAGAAAAAACATAGAAGGTACTTGAGGAGGAAAATGATTGAATGGCTAGGTGGTAGCCAGTCAGTCACATTTCGATAGAAATAAAACTAGTTTCATCTTCGGAGACAACACAAATTGAAGATTGGAAGAGGAGGAGGAATAATGAAATGGTAAGAAGACGAGGAAAAATGAAGAAAAACAATATGCAATGTTGCGATGACTTACGATAAATCGTTATTTTCAACATGAGAATTTTTCGAACAAAAAATCCAGATTCTTATGATCAAAAAGAGAAGCTTAAGACCGCCCAGATGGCTAAAAACCACCCCAAAAAATAATAAGAGTATCCGATTACAAAGTAAGTATACTTGCAAAAGTTCGCCTGTCGGCCAACACCTTTTGGTCTTTTTTTGTGTTTCGCCGAGAAAAAAACAATTTTTTTTGTGTGAAAATCGAATAGATGACTCATATTATATTAAATCTAGTAAAAACCCACCCAAAATCTGTTTTTATTCAACAAAAAAAATGAGAACGAACAAGTAGTTATCTATGTCTGGCTGGGATAATGGCAATTTTTCAAATCAAAAGAAACAGATGTGGTTTTTCGAGGGCGAAATGGATTTGAGAACGAACAAAGTTAGTACGAAGTGGGAAATATTGGAGTTTTCTGCAATTTTGCGTAGAATCCGGTGTTTCAGAGGGGGAAAGTTCGAAAATTTCTGAATTTGCGCGTCGAATGTGGTGTATAGCAACAATTTTACAAGAAAATGTACCGAAATTTTGAATTTTCTGCAATTTTGCGTAAAATCCGGTGTTTCAGCATGAAAAACTCTGAATATTCTGCATTTTCGCGTCAAATGTGGTGTTCTGCGAGATTTTTTACATTGAAGTACATTTTTCGTGCAATTTTTCGTAGAATCTATGCTTCCAGGATGAAAAATTCGAAATTTTCTGCATTTTCGCGTCAAGTCTGCTGTATCTCATGTTTTTACGTTAATTTCGACCACTAAACCTATTTTTAGCGCGCTTTTCACATGAAACCTGCTCAAAACCCAACCCAAAAAAAAGTGACCTACATCTCCCCCGACAAAAAACGGAGTAATCTCCAAAACAAACAGCGACCCCCTTGACTTAGGCTAAATAAAATAAAATCGTTTATCAGAAAAAAAAATGATTATTATCGGGAAAATTACGTATGAGGATGAGGATAATCCTTCTTCTTTTTCATTTTCATATTTTAAGACGAGAGAAAAAGACTGAAAATCTTGGAGTAAGACAAAAAAATAAATAAATAAAATTTTAGCGCATTGGGGGAGAACCGACGAAAAGACGAGGAAAAAATGAAAGGAAAATTAATACATGCAAAAAAAGAAAGCAATGCAGATTTAATTATAGCCATCATCTTTTCAATATTATTATTAAAAATATTATTTTTCAAATATTTTTATTTGAAAAAGGATTAGGATAAAAATATGAGGATTTTCGTGGGAGTCTGAGCAAATTTAGTGTTAACAATTAATATTTTTGCTCAAAGTTTTCCCCAGGAATTTTGGCACCAAGCGAAAAAAAAAACAACACTAACTTGACCTTCTCGCAAAGTTTGCTTAACAAAGAGAGAGGGAGACATCAAAAAGTAAAGAGGAAGACGAATATTTGAGCACGATCTGCTTATTATTATTTACAGCGAATATAAAACGCCGACACTTTTCTATATTTTACAATTACAACGAGAAAAAAACGTCTGGCCGTTCGCCAGATATTCTTTTATTAGCCTTTTATCCGAAGGGTCACAGTTGTAACAATTTGATATAAATTCCTCACCTGCAGATAAATTTGCCATAGCGAATAACTCAGATTCATCGTGTTTTGCGAAATTTGCCGTGAAAAAGAAAAAAAATAAATATTTTTTTCAAAAAGTTTTTTCGCGGGTCGGGAAAATGCACAACACACACTACAAATGACGCGCAATTGCAGACAGAGAAAATTTTTTATTTTTTTCGCAAAAAAAAATTTTGAATTTGAACAAGACCAGAAAAAAGTGAATGAGAGAATGGACACCAGACAAAAAGTAACTAACTCATAAAGACCGCAACACCGACAAGAAGTATTCGTCATCGAAAAAAAGGCGAAGAAGAAGGGAGAAAAATGGCAACAAAGAAAGCAATGCAATATCTCGTCAAATGCTAATGTGAGAAGAATGACTACTTTTGGGCCGGGTTTTCGGAAGCAAAAATGCACTACATTTCAAATTTGGTTGAGTTTTTTGTTTGTTTTTTGAAAATAAGCAAACTTTCTAAAGTTCAAATAAAAAAATCCCAAGCAAAAACGAAATTTCCAATATTTTAAATTGAATTTCATTTGAGTGACAACGCAAATAATAATAAAAAAGTGTGTGCTCCTTTAATTAAAGTGGCGGCATTTTTTTTCTGAAAACGACAGACATCCAATCCATGTTTATATTGGTTTTTCCGACGAAAAAGAAAACACACGAAAAAAGGGTTGAATTACTCGTCTTTTTCGTTTTATAACATCGAAAATGTGGGAAATGTTGAAAATTTTAAGCGGGAAATTTTGAAGAGTACAGTGAAAAAGGGCTTCACGAGATTTTTGAGAAAACATTTTTCATCGATATTTCTACCAAAAATTAATGTGTCAACCCCAAAAAACACTCACTGGATTTTCAGACTTCTAGTTACATCATTTGGACTTATCCGAGCCACCAAAATCGATTTTTCCGTGGAAAAACTTCATTTTTTTTCCGTTGATTTCTCACTTTTGCAAAAAACAAAAATGCCAAAAAATAGATTTTTTTGGTTGACGTGGAAAAATTCAAAAAAAAAACGCGCGGCCCAAAAAAAAATTTTTCGCGTCAAGACCCATTTCTTATTTTTGAAGCTTTTCCAGTTCGAATTCCAATCTTTCTTTTTTTCCTTCCAATTTTTCAATCATTTTTCATTTTTCTGCAAATACCATTCATAAGAATCAATTTTGCAAAAGTGCAAGATTTGCAATAACTCGATCATCGATTTTATATAATTTGCAAAATAAAACAGCTATAAATTAGATGTTGCTCGATCACAAAATATCATCATTCAAACAATTCAGTTTGAAATAACAATGAGATCTTTCTCATTATTCCTCATCGCTGCTTCATTTTTCAATTTATCCGATGCTCAATCTGCTCTGCAAATCACGCAAAGTATTGCATCAAAAATAGGACAGGCAAATGCATACAGCAACAAGAATCTATTCTTCTCAGTTATGCATCCAAATTTGCAAGTTCATATTTGTGGTCGCACTCTCAACTATAATCAATTTTATCAATATGGTAAAACGAATCATCCAACTAGAAAAGCTCAGGTTGTTTCATCAGTACAAACTCAAGATGGAATTTTGAACGGTGTGATTAGAGTTGTTAATCAATTTCAAAGTTTTGAAATGAATTTGGATGCAGTAAATACAAATTCAGGTTACAAAGTAATCAGAATGGTTTTCCCACCAGTGCCGGATTGTCAAAGAGCTCAACGAAAATCCTATTTTCTCCCTTGGGCGGCGATCTTCACAGAAGTAGCCTTTAAGCTTATAGATATCGCTGTCGATGTGGTTATAAATGGTTAATACAGTTTTTTTCTGTAAACTTTGGGTAAATAAATATTTTTTGGATTCAAAAAAAATTTAATTAATTAACAATTTAACAATGGATATTGACAAGGATCTGGTAAGAAATTACGACAATTTGGGCAAACTGAATTTAAGCAAAGCCATTTTGATGCACACTGAAAAATAGTTTTCACAAAATATTTTGAAAAATAAAGAAAAACTGACCTCTGAATGATATTTTCTTTCACATTTTTTGCACTTTGTGCATTTTTCAATTTCTTCAATCAATAAATCAGAGCAAATCAGGCAAGTATAATCATTTCCCTCTTCTTTTTCATTTTCAAATTCGAAATCTTCATAAAATAATTCCTCATTTTCGATATTTTTCTTCAAAAATTCCTCATATTTTTGCATGAATTCTCCCGAAAAACATGCTGGAAAATCTGGAATTCTGTCGAAATTTCCATCAAAATCTTCCAAAATTCGCAAATAAATATTAAATTTTCTTCGAAAACTGATAAATTCCGATTTTTCTACGCAAGTTTCGCAGATCTTATCGAGGAAATCAGTGAGTTTTAGGATTTCTAGAATTCCAAAATCTTCTTGGAATTCTGAATCAATAAATAGTTCTTCTTTCTCTTCTTGGAATTTTCGATTTTCTCCAACGTTTTGGCGAATTTCAGCAAATTTTTTCGAAGCATTTTCTAGTTCAAATTCCAATTCTTCATTTTCTTTCTTCAATTTTTCAATCATTTTTTTCCTTTGATATTTCAGCATTTTTCGAAACTTCCAATTCAATCTCAATTTTCTTCACATTTTCATCAGCGCTGGAAAATCTCAATTTATGACTTAATTTCAGAAAAACTCTTACATTTTCGTTTTCTGTTCCAAATCCAAATATAAAGAATCTCTTTCATTTTTCAAATCTTCTCGATATTTTTTCATTTCCTCTTGAATATTTTCAATTTTTCCTTCATTTTTCTCCAAATTCTCCTTATATTTTTGAATTTCTTCTCGATATTTCATCTTATTTTGAATATTTTCATTCTTCAATTTCACAATTTTCCCCTCATTTTCTTCTAAAATCTTCGTTCTGTTTATATTTTCCATCTCAAATTCCTCGATTTTCTTCAAAATTCCACATTTCTCTTCACAAGTTTCTCCACATTTAACGCAACTTTCAACATTTCTAATTTCATTCACAATTTTCTTAATAACTTTCACTTGCTCTTCATCTTGTTTTCCATTATTTTCAATAATATTCCGTTTTTTCTTTCGAAAATATCCTTGATCTTCAACATTTGCAATATCACAATATTCATAAAGAATTTTCGAAAATACATTATAACAATTCATTCCAGTCACTATTTCATTTACATTCGCATCATTTTTCATTTCAGATAATTGAACAATTTCATCTCGAAGTAATTCTCTAAATTTCTCAATTTCGATAAATTCGCCATCCGGAAAACCAGCGAGAACTTCTCTAAACTATTATTTTATTATTTTTTCAGGAAAAAAAAATCAATACTTACGGAATGAGATCAGCCATTTTCCTAATAGTTTTCTCTTTTCGATCATTTTTCTTCGAAATTCCAATTTTATCATCATTGTCAAATAAATAATGAGCTTCGAGTGTTTCATTCAAACCTTTGATTTCATTCGCAACATTTTCAATAAATATTTGCATTTTTGAAAAATTGACATATTTATTGAATACCAAATCATCCGATTTTCTCCAATTTTCGAAATCTTCCATTGTTTTCAATTCATTAGTTGGCAATTCAAAAGTGCATCCTTTCAAAATATTCGATTTCAGCTGAAAAATGAAATATTTTGAATAAAAAATTGTTTCTTAAAAAACACAAGGTCACCTGGAAACTGGCGAAAGTGAAAAAAAAATGAAAAATATATTTTTCATTTTTTTGTCGATTTTTTCTCTCTGTGAAAAGCTGTTTTTCCAGTGGCTCTTGTGTCTTTCAAAAAAAAAAAGAAACCAACTTCTTGCTCATTTTGATCTTCAAAAAATGTTTCAATCCAATCCAAAATGATAAACATTCTTGCTTTCCAAACTTCCATTTCTTCTCCATTTTTCAAATATCTTCCAATATTTTTTCTCGCTTTTCCATACTGAATATATTTCAAAAATTCATCTTTCGTCAATTTCGCATCAAAAGCTTTCGAGTGAAAATGAGACAATGGAGTTTTCTGCGCGAGTTCTGAATATTTCACATTTTCCACACTTTTCTCAACAATTTCAGCCAAAGTATATCCTTTTTTGATATTTTTCATCTCTTCAATAATTTTCTTCTTCCACTCTTTCTTTTTTTGCTCATTTGTCGAATTCCAGAAAATATCAAAAGCACCGAATTGAAATATCAAGAATTGTGCTTGAAATTGATGATAACATTGTTGATGTTGAGGAGATTTGGTGAAAATTGTTGAATATTCAAACCTCAATGGATTAACTTTTTGATAAATCAGAAATTGAATATCAGGAACAAGAAGAATATTGGAATTGTCGATTTCTAAATCTTTCAATAATTTTTCAAAGATTTTCACAGAAATTGTAGAATAGTTTCCATTTCCATTATTCGTATTCCATTTTTTCGCAAATTCGTTCAATTTCTTTCTGATTTCTTGTGTTTCTCCCTCATTTTCCAAAATATTTTCAATTGTTTTCAAAACTTCTTCAGTGAATAAATGCCAATCTTTTCGATCTTCGATATTTGCTTCACTCATAATTCTCAAAATAATCTGTTTTTCTTCATCGAATTGTCGATAATTTTGTGAACTTTTGAGGAAATCATAGGAATTTTGAATGAGAGATTTGGCACGCCAACAAACACCAGCCAACTCGTCCAAATTTTTCGATTTATTCCCAATTTCTCGCAAATCTGCATGGAACTTTGGTGAATATTGATCGTAGGGGAAAAGAACTTGAAATGTTGCACTCAAATTATTTTTGTCAATAGAACCAGAAAATGATACATCTGAAATTTGAAATCGAGATCTATTTTTAAAAAATGTAAAGTAAACTCACTGTGTGCTGTAAATGTGCTGTAAACTGCATTTCGAAAATGTATCGATTCTGAATCATTCATTAGGAAAAAATCCATATGAATATTCAAATCTTCGATTCTTTTCTTTTCTGCGTTCCAGATCAAAAAATAAAACCGATTTGTATTCTGGTAATGTTTGACAAAAACAATCGAATGTGATTTTGAGACAACAAAGATTGTCTGAAATTGATGAACCATCAGCAAGTTGAAGAAATTGTTCGTTTTCCTCGAGTTGGTAAAATGAAACAGATTGCGGTGATTCCATTTTTTTAGAAACTGAACTTTGAGCTGAAAAACAAAAAAAAAATTGATCGCAGTAAAACAACAAATAACTGGCCGAGTCGGATCCTAGGCCACTTTTAAAAGGTGGATTCTCTTCGTTGTAGGACCTGTTAACTACAGTCACAAATTTTAGGCCACGTGTTTCTTTTCATTTTTTGGCCACGCCACGTTGGACTTCATGATGACGTCATTTCTTGTTAAACGTCATAATAAAATTGAAATCGATATATTTTGCTGTGCGTCTTTGTGCTTCTCCTCATTTTCCTCTGTTTTCAGCTGTAAAACTCTCCCTAATCGTCAATTGTTTTTCAGACATCGAAAAATGAGCGGTGGTCAAGGACGTGGAAGTGGCCGTGGAAGTGGGCGCGGAAGCGGTAGCAGTTCGGGTAATGCGGATAGAAAGCGAGACATGATGGGAACAATCCAACCAGATCTGTTCACTCGACCAGCTGGAGCTCCCAAAACTGGAACATCTGGAGCGCCTGTGGATACATTGGTCAATTTCATTCCTATTGATGTCACCGAAAACGACTATTACATCTATCAATATCATGTGGAGTTTGAACCACCAGTTGATTCCAAGAAGACTCGATCACAAATTCTCAGAGATGAGAAAATTTTGAACGAAATCGGACCATTCAATGTTTTTGATGGAATGATTATGTACATCAAGGAGGAATGGAAACAACAACAAGTAATTGAGGTGGAACATCCAAATACTGGTGAACCAATTGTGGTCAAATTCAAACTGAGTCTTCGATACAGTTTGAATGAAGCTCAAACCATCAATGTCTTCAACACCATTTTCCGTCGTTGTTTCGATACATTGGGATTGCTTCAACTCGGTCGTAACTATTTCGACCAATCGAAAGATCGACAAAAGATTGTTCGATCACATAACATGAAGGTTCTTCCTGGTTATGAAACGGCTATTCGTCGATACGAAAACCAATTGATGCTGTGCATCGAAAATCGCTTCAAAATGATGAGAAACGATACAATGTATCATTTGGTGAGTATTTATGCTGTGTAACAATTGGAAAAAATAAATTGAATTCTTTAGATCATTCGCGAATATCAAAGCTGCGGCAACAACGTCGAAAGAACTCAAGAGAAGATCAATGAGTTGTATGGAGGTTCAACGATCACATCAACGTAAGATAAAAAGTTCATGTTTTTTCAAAAAAAAATTTTTTTTGAAGGTACAACAACAAGCTGCATCGTTTCACTCGACTCAGCTTCGAATTGTCACCGTTGACCCCATTCAACCACAATGGCAGAGAAATCACCCTGAAAGAGTATTTCCTCCAACAATATGGCAAAGAGGTTCAATATGATGATCAACCGATTATCGTAAGTTATTAAGTATCATTTTTCATCGATTCGCCATTTAAAAAATTTAATTTTAGATTTCGGAAGGAAAGCCAAAACAACCAGGAGAGCCACCACAAGTCAACTATCTCATTCCGGAATTGTGCAACCCAACTGGTTTGACTGATGAAATGAGAAAGGACACCCGGTTGATGAAGGAAATCGCCCAACATACCCGTCTGTCTCCTGAACAACGTGTCACCGAAACGAGAAATTTGATTGGTCATCTCCTCCAAAATGAAGATGTCAGACAATGTTTGAATTATTGGGGAATCACCGTCAGTTCGGATTTGGCGAATGTGGTCGCAAGACAATTGCCGCAAGAAAAAATCATCGCAAATGGTGATTACACTGGAAGGAATGCTGAATGGGCGGCAGGAGTCAAACGAAACGGGATCTATCGGGGAACTGATATGACCAATTGGATCGTCATTGCTCCATTAGCTGCTGGAGATGTGATCAACAAATTCACACGTAAGTATTTATTTGAATAAATACGTGTTTTTTTTTATTACAATTGTTATTTTCAGAAGAAGTGAGACGACTTGGTAGTTCAGTAAACTCACCTTTCGGTCAACCATTGGAAGTTCCACTCAGCGCCTACAGTCCAACTGATTATATCAACGCCTTGAAAGAATCGTTGGAAAAAGTCAAAGGCTACGATGTTCATATGATTGCTGTCATTCTCCCAGATGACAACAAAACAAGATATGACGTCGTCAAGAAATTCCTCTGTGTTGAATGCCCAATCCCAAGCCAATGCATCAATTTGCGGACATTGCAAGGAAAGTCGACAGATGGATCAGAAAACAAGAACTTCGGATCAATCGTCCTCAAAATTGTTCTCCAAATGATTTGCAAAGGCGGTGGTGCATTGTGGAAAATCGATTTTCCGGTCAGTTTTTTTTATTTTTAAATTAGTAAATATAAATTCAATGTTTTTAATTTCAGTTGAAAGATGCAATGATCGTTGGTTACGATCTATACCACGATTCAACTCTTCGCGGAAAAACAATCGGTGCGTGTGTTTCGACAACCTCGTCTGATTTCACCGAATTCTATTCGCAAACTCGCCCACATGACAACCCAACCCAGCTTGGAACAAATTTGACACATTTCGTGCGAAGTGAGTCATTTTTATTATATTTTTCTGAAGCTAAATTGCCTTTTTTCAGAAGCTCTCAACAAATATTACGTGGCCAACAACAAGACCTTGCCAAAACGCTTGATTTTGTACAGAGACGGAGCTGGAGATGGTCAAATTCCATATATCAAGGAGACCGAAGTCAAGCTGGTTCGCGATGCTTGCGACGAAATCCAGCGTAAAGCATATGGTGCAAATGCGGCTGCGATGTCACCAATCCAGGTTGCATTCATTATTGTAACCAAACGAGTCAATATGCGCATCATGAAGTGAGTTTAATACTGAATTGACAATATTCCATTTTATCATTCAAATTTTTCAGAAAAGCTGGCGCCAGAGTTTGCAACCCGGATCCAGGAACTCTTGTCGATTCGGTCGTCACCAGACCAGAGAGAATGGATTTCTACATGGTTCCACAATTCGTGAACCAAGGAACCGTCACTCCAGTCTCATACAATATCATTTATGACGATACTGGATTGACACCGGATCGCCATCATCGAGTAAGAATTTTTCCTAATGATTATCATTAATAACTCAAATTATTTTAGATGGCTTTCAAACTGTGCCACCTCTACTACAATTGGCAAGGAACTGTCCGTGTCCCAGCCCCATGTCAATACGCCCACAAGCTCGCATTTTTGACGGCTCAATCGCTCCACGAGGATACAAATGAAGTTTTGCGAAACAAATTGTATTTCCTCTAAATTTCCATATTTTTCTTGTATTTTTTATTATTTTTCTTGTATTTCTTTTTTAAATATTTTTTCTCAGCCCCTTTTATACATTTTTCCCCCTTCCCAAGTTTTATATTTATTTGTATTTGTTTTATTAATCTTTTTCGTTTTTTATATAATCTTGTTTTATTTTATTTTTTAACTTTCTGTTTTCCCACCCCTTTCCCTGTTTTAAACTTGTATTTTCCCCGTTTTATTTTTGTAATGAATTGTCGAAGACACCATTTGAAAATTCTCACGGGTTCAGGTTTTCCCTAAATCCTAATGGGACTATTCAAGTTATTTTCTCAACGCTGAGAAAAGCGAAGAAAACCTATTCAGGTAGGCTGAGAAAATACGAAAAAAGTGAAGAAAATACATTTTCTCCGCATTTCTCCTGTTTTCTCAGCGTGTTGAGAAAATACTTGAATAGCCCCATAAATAACAATTTATTTTTCATCGAGAAGTTCGAATTTTGATTTCAACCTACAGAGTTGGAATGAGTGACTGTTTCATCCCTCTAACTAATCAAATCTTGGTGACGCTTCTGGAGAGATACATTCCGAGAACAGTAAGATTTTTTCAAAAAGTAGAAATCAATAAAAAATGTTTTGAAGAAGTTATGTGAAAGCGACAAAGATGTTATCCGGAAAAATGATGAATCATTTAAACCTTTGAAACTTCTAACAGAAATGATTGAGAACTCAGAAGGCCGATTGGATATTTATGGACCAGCCGACAAATTATTGAAAGATCTTCGAAAATTCCTTGTGTTCCAACAAAATTTCGATTTTCTTGGTTTTCCCAATCAAATGGTTTATGGATATAAAACACAACGATTCGTTGATCAAAAAAACAAGGATTATTTGCCGAAAACCAGTATTTTCTGCTTAATTTATTTAAGCATTCGAGACAAATGTGATGAAAATGAAGAAGTTTGTATGACACTTATTGAATCATTTGGAAATCGAGTTTATCGAAATCTGAAAAATTGCTATGAATTGGTGTCAAATGAAGTTGGAAATGAAGTGTTGAAGAAATTGAAGGATTTTCAATTTTTGGCAAAAGTGGTTTGTTTTTTTAAAAAATGCTATTTCAAAAAAGTATCGCAACCTTATGAAGGTTTAGAGAGATAATTGACAATTTTTGGATTTTTATGCTAAAAAATTGAATTTTCAATTCATAACCTACTTTGTTTTCAGAATCTCGAAGTTCAAAATGCTCATCTTCGTTTATCTGAATACAATATCGACAAATTTTTCGAGAATCTTGTCCAATTTTACGATTCAGAATATGATCAAGAATTTCTGAATCGCTTGAGAAATCATCTGATCAGTTTGCAGAAAACGAAACCAATTCAATCAGATATGCATTTTTATCAAATGATTTATGCAACTCATATTTGTTACACAATATTTTGTCAAAACCTCATTCAAGCTTTTCCATATGTTTTTCAACCATTTGATCGACTTACAATGGTAGTTTTCTGTTAAAAATTCTGAAATTCTGCTCCTAAATCAATAAATTTTTGTTCAGGATAAATCAATGCATTTTCCAATAATTCAACAATTTTCGGATAATGGTGTTCGATTTTATATGACAAATGAATGGAAAGCTGCCGCAATTTATCAAAAAGGTCTTCAAATTCCGATGGAAACTGAAGAAGAACGCAAAAAATATGGAATTTTGAATACAGTTTCTGTCACACGGTTTACTGAAGTTTGTCGGAAAGCAAAATATAATTCAGACAGTATTTGTGTATGTTTTTTTAAAGCTGTTTTTGTATTCGAGTCAAAATCTACTAGAAATCATAATTTTCTTTTCAAAGTTAATTTCCACAAAAATAAAAACCGAATTTCAGAAAATCGACCAAAGTTATAAAAGAACAACAAGTGGAATTGCAATTCCAATCATTTCGCATTTCGGAACACATTGTAAATTGGCAATCGATGTTTTCAATGAGATTTTCGAAATATTCTCAATCGAATTTCGATGGTTTGATTCAACTGATCAAAAAGATATTGGAAAAATCAATAATTGGTTTGAAGAATTGGGAGAAGTATTTAGTGAAACGAAAAAATCGAAATATTTGATTGAGTTATGGAAAATTGATGAATTGAAAGAAAAAGCATATAAAGAAATGGAAAAATATGTGAAAAAACCGAAATATGAAATTGAAAATAAAATATTTTCGAAGAAAGAAGAAATTCGAAAAGAATTGGAGAAATTATATGGAAACAAAATGGAACATGAATTATGGGAAAAAGAATATTTGAAAATTATTCGAGAATCAAATAATCGAAATATTACAAAAGGAGATATTATGAGAATATATAATTCATATCTAAAACATCAATTTATTCAAAATAATTCGAAATTTCAAAAATTCTTTCATAATCAATTGGATTGTATTATTGATGATGGATTTAGTTGTGATTGTTCTTATTCTTCACAAAAATCTGAAAAAATGAATGAGAAAATTGAAATAATGAAATTAGAAGAAATCAATCATCGATATATTTCATTTCTAAATAATCATATTTTCTTTATTTTCACAAAAAATGGACAAAGTTATTATGATAATGATAGTTGTATCAAAAGATGTCTCGATTTTATGATTTCGAAATTTCCGAAAAAATCGAAGGAACTGATTGGAATTATATTCAAATATGAAATCGAGAAAATCGAAAAAATGAAGAGAAATGTTATTTATTTGACTGGAAATGAATATGAACAATATCAAAATGAAATTATATTATTTTTCGATAATTTTTTGATGAAAAACGAAACTTTAGAAGAAAAAGAAATGGATATTCGAGAAGCCAGAAAATTGTTAAAAGAAAAATATGGAAGTCTTGAAATTATCGATGAAATCGAAGAAGAAATCAAAAAATCACCAAATATTGTGAAAATAATAATAACTGCAAAACAATTAGTTGATGAATGTTTTGAAAGAATTAAAAGTTTGAAAGATTATTATCGAATAAATTCGAATCGAAAAATAATATTAAGACATATGTGTGAATGGAGAATTGAAGAACAAAATGAATGGCATTTATTTGCACAAGAAGTATTGGAAGCTGTTGAAATTATATTGGAAAATGAGCATCGATTGGGATCTATGAGAGGTATGATTTATTGGCATACATAAAATAGGTCCCCCGAGTCAGTTTTTAAAGTTAGGGTCCCTCCTTGAAAATTTTCCGAAGTTAAACACCTGCCTCACATTTTTGAGCGAATTTTGGTAAATTATCAGCAGAAAATTGGCCAAGTTAGGCACCCTTCCCTTCAGATTTTTGAAAAAAGTTAAGCCCCTCACCCCGATTCAGGGGACCCATTTTATGTATGTTTATTGGATTCAAAGTTTTTTTTTTAAATTTGAATTATTTTCAGCACAAATCGAAAAATGGCGAAATACTTGGAATTGTTCACTTTCATCATCTTCTTCTTCTAATGGTCATTTTTCAATAATTCAAGTGAAGTTACTCGAAACAATTCTAAAAGTTGTTGGAATCAATGGCTCGAAAATCATATTAGTACCAGAAATTGGATATTGTCGAAGTTTGATTGAAATTCCATTAACAATGGGTTATTCAGCTATGAAAATTCAGAGTCCTGATGGAAAAATGGCATATCATGAATATCATGTGAGTTATTAGGATGATTTTTATTGAAAAGCATGAGAGAAACCATTTTTTGTAGGCTTTGTCGATGATTTTTCAATTTGGAGCTTGTGATATTTATTGGGGAAATGAGGATCAAAGAGGATTGAAGAATAAACATCGAAAAAAGATTTTGGAAGAAATCGCAAAAATCAAAAAAGGATATAGCAGTTTGGAAATAGTTGAACAATCAATGGAAAAAGTGATGTATTCAGAAATTATGCAAAAAACTCCTATCACATTTTTTCATAACAAAAAACATAGTTTTGAGATTAGTACCAATCAATTGTCTGTATTTTCAAAGTTATCGAAAATGAGAAGTGGTTTTCCATTGGGATATAATATTTCGGCCGTTTTTTCGAGATTTGTTTTTACATTTCATTGGTTGGATTTTATTGTTAGAGATCGAGATAATCGAGAATTGACTCGGCCAAAAAACGACATAGCTCGGGGCGAGTCGCTACACTTTTTGTCGAGACTCGTTTTGCGGCGAGTCGCCCCAAGCTTGCCTCAAAATCGGCGAGTTCCGGGCAACTTGCCGCGAATGTAGCGTGTTCCGGGCGAGTTGCTGAATAGCGGGGCGAAAACGGGGCAAGTCGCTACACGCTCGGGCGAGTCGCCCGAGGCTCGCCCGAAGTGCCTCGGGCCAGTCGCCCCAAACGTGTAGCGACTCCGCCCAGATCGGTAGCGACCTCGCCGTTTTCTGACCGAGGAGGACGAAAATTTTGAAGGCTTTTACGGTTAATTATCCGATTTTGGCGTTGAGAAATTCGGCAGAGTTTTGGGAAGCGAGATTGAATAGAAGTTATCCATTTAATATTGAAGCGATTAATGAATGTATTCGAATTGAAAATGAAAATGAGGCGATTAATTATGAAAGTAGAAAAACAGGTTAGAAAAATATTTTGAATTAATTTTTTTAAAATAATCCCAAATTATTCTTCTTTTGGAGCTTGAAATTAATTGCAAAAATTTCAAAATTCATTTTTTCCATCGCAAAAATTTGCTATTTTTGCTATGGAATTTTTGAGCTGATAATTTTCAGCTTTCCAGATTTTTTGGCTCCAAAATTTGAAAAATAATTTAAATCTCAAAAATCTTCCAGGCTTCGTCATTAATCATTATTTCTTCGATGATGATGATTGTTTGGGAATGACATATAAACAGAAAAAAGAAGCACCGCCCAAAAAATCAATAAAAATCGAGAAAAATGTGGATGAAAGTCTTGCAAATATTTTAGGAATTTTACCGTAAGTTATTAATCTAATTTTTAATTTACAGTTTAAAAAAATCATAAAATTCACAGAGAAGTAGTTGAATTGCACACATCTCCAATTTATCAGTCAATTTCGAAACTCTGGGAAAAATTTGAAATGGTTTTAAGTGATGAATATGATATGAAATATGCCAGAATACTTTTGAAAAAATTGAAAACTCCTGAAATTTGGCAAATTGTTGAGAAAAAACTGGCGGAATTTATGGATTTTGATGATTTTAAAGGAAATGTTCGAATTTATCGCATTAAAATGGAGACGAAAAAAGAGGATCCGAAACCTGTTGAAAAAGCGAAAATCGAAACGAAAATTGAAATTGAGACAAAAATTGTGGAAAATTGCGAAAAATGTCGGGAAATAAATGAGGAAATGAGAGAATATTCGAGAAAATTGAGAGATTTTGAACGAAATTTGGAGGAAAATTCGAAGAAAATTGAGGAAAATGAAAGAGAATGTGAGATAATGAGAGAACAAATTGATAAAAATATGGAAAAATATGAGGATGAAATTGGAAAAATGAAAGAGGATTTGAGGAAAAAAGAAGAAAAAATTGGAGAAATTTGAAAATGAAATTGAAGAATATCAAAAAGATTTGAAAAATCAACGAATCAATTTATATTCAGATATTAGGAAAGGAGAAAGATTGTGAGTTTTTTCTGGGATTTTGAAATTTTCGGTTTGGAAAATTGTTTTGTTGAAAATAAATGGAAATATCGGAAAAATTTGATTTGATTCAGAAATTAATTACGAAAAAGTTCACTGTTTCAAATATTCCTCAATGTTTTTTTGAAATTCTCTAAAATATTATGTTTTGTCGTCTATTTCCAGGATAAATGAAAAGATGAAATCGATCAAAGCAAGTCTGGAAAACTCGAAATTTTCGGACAAAAACAAGCAAAAGCGAATCGAGGAATTGTTGAAAAAGAATAGCGATTTGAAGACGAGAATATTCATTGAAAATGAGTTAGTTAATTCCTTTTTTTTCTTATAAAAATGTTCATTTTTTCCAGAAACACATTCTATTTGCAACAGGAGGAATTTTGATAATTTTTGAATTTTTTAAAAATAATAATTTTTTACATGAATTTTTTGTTGCTTACTTGTGAAAGCGAAACGGAGGACTATTTTGAAAGATATGATAATTGAATCAAATAGCCTCTATCAAAGAGTCAAAAAATGGGAATATCGATTTTGCTGGCTCAAAACTGGTACAATTTTAAATTTATGAGAAAACAGAATATTACAAAATGCATACAAAACAACAAAAAAACGGCCTAAAAATGATGGTAACTATGAAATTATTTAACAAAAATTGTACAAAAACAGCGAAAATTATACAACAAAACAATTAGCCAATGTAGGCGACGGGTTTTTGAAACCATTTTTCGAGTTTGGCTGAAAAAAGGGGGAATTATTGAAAGGGAAAAATATTGGACCCTAACTTATTTATGATGTGGCAAAAAATTCTATGGATTTTCAAAAAAAATGTTTTCGAAAGATCCTACTGAAAAATCTCGAAATTCAGATATTTTTTTGAAAATTTCAAAATTTTGTTGAAGAATAACCGGCGTAAATTTAATTTTCAGGAACAAACAAACTTTTCCCGAAATTTGAACAAAAGTTCTCATTTTCATAATAAAAAATATGAATTTTGCATGTTTTTGGAGATATGCTAATTTTCAGACTGAAATTTTAGTTTTCGAAAACTCATTGAACACATAAAAATCAAAACATTTAATAACTTACCAAGAATATGCTTTCCATAGGAGAATTGTCTGAGTATTGGAATATGCGGTTGAATTGCAATTCTTAATTCACGTCGTTGATCACAAGTAACTTGGTCGAACATTTTCTGAACAACATAATTCGCATATTGATCTTTCATCATTTGCACAACAACCGGCTGCTGATTTCGATCAACTTGATGACAAGCTGATTTGACGAGAAGATTCTTTTGTTGAATCGAACCGCGTTCAAGACATTTCTCAATGACATTCGACGAGAATTTGTGGACACCATATTCGAAAAGATTGCTGGCAACTTTTCGAATAATCATCTCTTTGTCTCGTTCACTTCCATGTTGAATAACGTGTTGAACAACATAATTGCCGTATTGATTATTGACAATTTCCTCGAATCGATCGTGAAGTTTTTCAATGATTGGACGAGTTTGATCTTTTACACAATATTCCAAACAACGTTGAACAACTCGACAACCATATGGATCAACTGTCATTTCGAATACTGTATTTGGATGTTTTAACAATACGTCGATGATGAATTGAACATGTTCTGGGCTCACTTTTTCAACTGCTTTTTGGATGACGTGGTTTCCATTTTGATCTTTCATACATTCAAGAACCTGAAAAATGTTTGAAATTTTTGTAGAAACCACGAGGAGAAGCCCCAAAATTTTATCCAATTTCGAAGTTTTCCAAAATTCTTATATTCTTTGTGAAAAACTTACAATATCTTTGACTTGCTCAAGAATTCGAACTTGCAATGGTTCATCAACTTTTTCGAGAGCTTTTTGAAGAACACGACAAGCATACATTTGAAAAGCGTATTGAGGAACACGAGAAATAATCGATTCAACAAGACGACTCCAATGTTTCTGCTCGCCATACTCGAAAAACTTCTGAACAACATAATTCCCAAAAATGTCATCAACTAATTCATCAGCATTCTCAAGCACTTCCTCAAAAATCGCATCCTTCTCGAACATATCCGAATTCTCCAATTTTTGCTGAATAAATCGCGAACCGACTTGATCTTTGGCGAACATCAGGAGATTTCCTTGAATTTCCGACAGCTTCAGCGTTTTCATGGCCGACGGATTGAGACGATATTTTTGCAACAAATTTTCACACGATGTTACGGCTGTGATTGGTTGTTGAATAATACTGACAGCCGGTGAGAGTGCTGGTGTTAATACGGTTGTTGGGAGGATTATTGTTGGTTTTGGTTGAAGAATTTGACGATCGGTGTTGTAAAAATCGAAATTTCGTGGAGCAACAGGAGCTGCGCCGAAAAATGAATGTGCATTTTCTGAAAAAAAAAACATGTTTTTGAAAATAAATCAATAAAAACCAACCAATGTTACTTTGATCAACATAAAGAAGGTTATTTGGTGGACATGAGAAATGGTCAATATTCGACCATTGTGTATTTACAACTTCTGTATTTTTACATTGATGACAAGATGGTGGAGGAGTTCCAAATGCATAATCGACATTGGTTCCAATTACACGACCACCTTGACTGAGAAATGCGTTGATTTGGAATTCTGGCGATTGCGAATAGACTTCACTTTTTGTGTTGTAAGCCATTAATCGACTTCCGAATGATGTCTGAAATTGCATCATTTTGAAAATTTATTTTTTGCTAGGGGAAAGTTGCAATGAATAAATAACATACCACCGGTGATCCACAGACATTTTCAACGATTTTACAGGCGCCCAAGCTCATGCTAAGTGAGTCAGATGGTGAACCAATTTGTTCATTTCCACGTTCTTTGTTTATGATTGTAATCGGACGGCTCATCGGACAATTCTGAGAACACCTGGAAAATATATTTTTTGAGAAATTTGTAGGCTTCTTGAAAATAAGAAAACGAGATTTAGACAATTGTAAGAAAGATAAACTTCTATTTTCCTAGAAAAATCAAAATTTGAAAATTTTCTCATCGTAAAATATATAAAATCAAAAAATTCAAAATTCTCGGAAAATATTATCAGCCTTTCAAATTTAAGACATCGCCGACAATATTTCGAATAATCTTTGAAGCTCTGATAAATTTGCAGTTATTGTAAATTCCAATTTTTTCCTCAAAACATCGAAAACGCACGAATTAGGCCGAAAAAGAAAAAGAAACATAAAAACAAGAAATGAAAATTCGCAAAATATTACGGTACACATTTCGCTGCGAGACCCGCAAAACACAAAAATACAAGATCCTTGAATATATTTTTTTATTTTTTTCTTCAAAAAATTCAAATTTACAGCAAAATCAAAACCCGTAAAGAAGAGAAAGACCAGTAAAAATTGTCAAAATTATGTCTGTCGATTGAGTTGCATGAAGTTGGTTTTATCGCAAAATTGGCAAATTCCAGAAGATTTGGCGATTGTTAGAGAAAGCATTGGTAGATAGAAAAATGTGGAGAAAGTCCAACTGGTGATTGAAATGACAACAAGGAAAACACCGACCTGAAGAAAATAGAAAATTCTTGAAAGATCTCGAAATATATACCTGATAAAAAGCATGTGTCTGTGCGAGCAACATCGATGCTCCAGCTAAAAACGAAGTGAAAGCAGCCAAAGTGACAGGTCCAACACCTTTTGCAGTCGCTTCACGAATTCGATGTTCAGCGCAGCCGAAACGTGGCAAACCAGCGCCATAATGAAGTGTATAATCGAAAGATAGGCCGACTACGAGAACAAGAATTACAGCTTCGAGAACACCTAAAACCCATCCAAGTAAAGTGACGATTGCAGATGATGTTGTGATGATACAAGCAATTGTGACAACAGCAGCGAAAGCCTGGAATATTTGAATTTTCGGGGGATGAGGAAAAGTGTTCGCTAGAGCGCGATTGATTATTTTTGGTAAAATTTTGAGAAAATCAAGGAGATTGTGGGCACGTCGTGCCACCACACAAATCCGAGGAGACGCAGAGAAAAAAAGACACCGTACTCCTCCCCGGTTCCCCAGGTGCATCGCTGCGAGACCAATTGCCGAAACCGTACTCTCCCCGGTTCCTCAGGTGAATCGCTGCGAGACCAAGCTTCAAACCGTACTCTCCCCGGTCCCCCAGGTGCATCGCTGCGAGACCACACAAAATCTCTGCGTCTCCACGAAATTATCTTTTCCCTTTGTTCTGGCACGACGTGTGGGTTTTTTGATAAAAAACTTATGGGAATCCAACTTTTTCAAAAAAATCTTTGAAAATTCTGTATTTACAAAGAAAGTTGCAAATGCGCTCTAGCGACCTGTTGAATTTTTTTTCGAAAAAATCCGAAAAACCACGTGACAGTTTTTTCAAATTTCAAAAAAATTTGGCGCCAAAAAATCCACGTGGCAAATTGAACTTTGAAAATTCAAGCATTTTTGACGGCAAAAATCCACGTGGCAAATTCAAATTTCAAAATTCAATAGTTTTGCCGCCACGTGGAAATTTGAAAATTCAATGAATTGGACGCCAAAAAACCACGTGGCAGATTCAAATTTGAAAATTCAAAAAAAATTTGGCGGCAAAATTCCACGTTTTAAAATTTCAACGTTGTGGTGCCAAAAGGTGGAAATAAGAAAATTCCAAGAAACAAAAACCGCCACGCAACCGCAGCGCACTCTCAAAATATCTCACCTGAAACCTCAATTGAATAAACGCAAAAATGGCGACAAAAACAATAGATCCAACCACTGAACTAATACAATCCGAAACAACCGATTGTAAAAGATCAAACCACGTTGACATAAGCCACCATTCCGGCGCCCACCAACCATCCGAAGGTTTTGTCAAATCAAGTAATTCAAAAGATTTCGAAAGTTTCGCAAATCTATGATTATATTTCAAATCAGTTGGAAACATTGCCGTATATCCAATTAATGCAAATGTATCATTATCAAAAATCGGAGTGTCGTTGTAAGAAGTTGGCAAATATGACGTGGAATTTCGCAGGCAAAAATCGAGATATGTATTTGAAAATAAATCATTTGTCATATTACAGCATAGAAATCCTTTTGAACATGGATATCTTGCTGACCAATCTATAAACTTTTCCGGCCAAAACTTGTGCGGATGTTTGATGAATGATAGCTCTCGAATTCGTCTAATCGATTTTGCGAGCCTTCGAATTTTCTTGGGTGAATCTAATTGAAACATCGGGTCAGAGCGGAGTGTCGTTGTGGCGTTTGCGCGAAATGTTGATGTGGAGAAGACGGGCTCGACGCCCCAAACAACACGCGAAGTTAGGGGAAGTGCGATTTTGGCGGCGACGAATTCGAAATTCTTCTCAGCGTTGTTGTCGTACCATTCGTGGAGATTTTTTGAGGTGAAAAGTTGGAGGGGATTGTATTCGGGAAGATGGAGACCTTCGTAGGTTATTCCGGCACCGCCGATTGCCACGATTCCCAAAAGAGCCATGAAGATGAAACGACCCTGGAAAAATTTGGAAATTTGAATTAAAAACAATAATTCTAAATAAAACTCAAAATTCCACAACCTCTATAAAAGCCTTGCAAATGTTCCGACAACGAAGATTATGAGCACTTTTAAAAATTTTCTTTTCAAAAAATTAAAAATGAACGTGAGTATGGCCAAATGATTTTGGTGGCCGAGAAATGTCGGGAATTCGGCCAAAGCAACAAACGCGCTCCAACAATAAGGATTTTCGCAACATTAGAGCGAGTTTGTTGCTTTGGCCGAATTCCCGACATTTCTCGGCCACATATTTTTTTTCTGAAATTTGCGTTCAACTTTAATTTTTTGAGAATTAAATGGATTTTGAGCTTTATTCAAAATTTGAATATTTTTTAAAAAGTGCTCTCCATCAATTTTCAGCTCAGAAAATCTGGAAAAATTTCAAGCTTGATACTAAAAATCCAGAAAATCAAAATTCGAAATATTTTTCAGCCCCAAAATTGTCTTCTCACCTGCATCAAAACATGTGGCAACAACACATACATCAAATGCGACAAAAAACCTCTCAACGGAATTTTCGGCGTCGGAAAACAATCCATAAATCGATATTGAATCAGCAAAAATGCGGGTAAAAATGAGATAACCAGGAAATAATTGATAATCACAGTTACACCGGCAAATAAACCAAAACATCGAAAAACTATCACATTTGAGGTGATATTTATGAAAAATGGGACGACTGTTGAGAAACATGTTAGAAACATTGTGAACGAGGTGTGCATTAGGAACTGCAAGAAATTGAGAATTGCCGCGTGAAACTTTTTCACTGTTTCAAAAAACATATTAGAATAAAACATATATTTTCATCCAATCCGATCAATGTTTATGTATGACAAATTTTGAAACTGTGAAAAATTTTGGATATATTTTTTTGATTTGAATATAAATTTAGATGAAATAAAACAATTTTCCAGAAAATTCACTGTTTCAAAAATCACTGAAATGTTTAAGGTACTGTTTCCATTAACCATTAAGATTCCATTCACATTTTGAAATTGAAAAACAATTTTCCAAACTTTTTTTGTGTGTAAAAAATCGGGGTCTACAGTACACAATACTCTTTCAAAAAAAAAACCAACCTCATGAAAATTCTCCTGATTCAAATGTTTCGGAAAATTCGACTTCAACAGAAATGCATCATCAGCTCCAATAGCAATCAATAAAACAAATGTGACCAAATTCAAAAGTGGAAATTCATCAGTAAATAAACAATAAATTCCCAATGATCCAAACACAGAAATCGATAATAAAATAATAACAATAAATGAATATAATATTGATTGTGAATGAATTGCGACAACTAACATAACTAGAAGAGCTGCTAAAAGAGCCAAAAGGGAATCTTGAAGAGCTGCTGATAAAAGCCGGTCACGTTTTACATCCATTAGGAGACCTGCAAATATTCATTTGGAACAATTTTATTTTAAAAAAATATCTTTCGAAAATTTTTGAAACAGTGATTTATTTTTAGAAGTAGAAAGGAATTTTGAACTTTCTAGAATTTCCATTTAAAAAAATTTTGAGCCGAAAAAATTTATACACAAATTCTAGCTTCTATAAAACCTACAGTAATTTTTTCAGATTGTTTTTTTTCCGCCAAAATTAGAGTACAGTAAAACTGACATCCATTTCCATGTTTCAAAATTTCAGAAAATGATTTTTAGAACAAAAATGAAATATTCCCTAACGTGGCAAAAAAAGAGGTCACGTTTTTTAATTTTGTTAGGACCTGCTACAGTATTCCTGTTACAGTAATCCAAGAAAGTGGGCGTGGCCTATAGCCGTTCAGTTGCTGGAGTTAGCACGTTTGCTCACGCTCAGCACAAAAGCACGCTGCCACGCTGAGCGTAAAAGCGTGCTTTCACGCTGGAGCACAAGTTTACGCTGGTGCTGGAGCGTGGCAGCGTGCTTTTCACGCTGAGCAAATTTTTGTGCTCACGCTGGAGCGTGGATCGAGCGTGTGTGCTTGACTGAAATGAAAATTCGAAAATGAAAATTTCGAAAATGTTCAGAAGTATGTTTTCGAGTATGGAGAAGCTGATTTTTCAGCTTCTGGTGTTATTCTAAGTTTGAGCTTCATCCCAGAAGCTGTTATCAGTGATTATCAGTGAAATTTCAAAATTATCAGAATGAGCTGGGAGTTAGAGGAAATGATGTTTGGTGATAGTAGATGACATTTTTGATAAGTTTAGAGCTCCAGCTTTATCCCAGAAGCTCTTATCAGCTGTTATCACTAAATTATCAATATCATCTGATTGAGCTGAAACTTGGGAAAAATGATGTTTGGGATTACTACAACACATTTTTGATAAGTTTGGAGCTCCAGCTTCATGTGAAAAGCTCTTATCAGTCCTTATCACTAAATTATCAATATGCTCAGATTTTGCTGAAACTTGCAGAAAATTATGTTTGGAGCTAGTAGAGACTATTTTTGATAACTTTATACATCAAACTTCATCTCAAAAGCTCTTATCACCTGTTATCACTAAATTATCAATATCATCTGATAAGGCTAAAAATCGGGATTTTTGGGTTTTTGAGTATGGGGAATCGTGTGCTAATACTGATTTTCTCTGAAAATCACTTTTAAAGGACCCCATCACTCAAAAAAAATTTTTTGAAAATGAGGTATTTGGGCACGGGGAACATTTTGGTGAGGTTTACGGTCGGGAACAGACTTTTAAAGGCGCATGCCAGGTTATTGCACATTTTCCGAGATATTTTTTTCAAACGATCATAACTTTTTTATTTTTGAAGCTTTTTTGAAATTTCGACAACCATTTTGACGGTCTTGAGGCGGGCTACATTTTTTGTGTTGACACCAACTACCGTACTTCGCTCCTAAGAAATGAAAAAAACGTTTTTTTCTCTTGAAATTGTCAATTTTTGATGAATTTTCGAACAAAAATGCATTTTTCATTTCTTAGGAGCGAAGTACGGTAGTTGGTGTCAACACAAAAAATGTAGCCCGCCTCAAGACCGTCAAAATGGTTGTCGAAATTTCAAAAAAGCTTCAAAAATAAAAAAGTTATGATCGTTTGAAAAAAATATCTCGGAAAATGTGCAATAACCTGGCATGCGCCTTTAAAAGTCTGTTCCCGACCGTAAACCTCACCAAAATGTTCCCCGTGCCCAAATACCTCATTTTCAAAAAAAAATTTTTTTTTTTGAGTGATGGGGTCCTTTAAAAGTGATTTTCAGAGAAAATCAGTATTAGCACACGATTCCCCATACTCAAAAACCCAAAAATCCCGATTTTTAGCCTTATCAGATGATATTGATAATTTAGTGATAACAGGTGATAAGAGCTTTTGAGATGAAGTTTGATGTATAAAGTTATCAAAAATAGTCTCTACTAGCTCCAAACATAATTTTCTGCAAGTTTCAGCAAAATCTGAGCATATTGATAATTTAGTGATAAGGACTGATAAGAGCTTTTCACATGAAGCTGGAGCTCCAAACTTATCAAAAATGTGTTGTAGTAATCCCAAACATCATTTTTCCCAAGTTTCAGCTCAATCAGATGATATTGATAATTTAGTGATAACAGCTGATAAGAGCTTCTGGGATAAAGCTGGAGCTCTAAACTTATCAAAAATGTCATCTACTATCACCAAACATCATTTCCTCTAACTCCCAGCTCATTCTGATAATTTTGAAATTTCACTGATAATCACTGATAACAGCTTCTGGGATGAAGCTCAAACTTAGAATAACACCAGAAGCTGAAAAATCAGCTTCTCCATACTCGAAAACATACTTCTGAACATTTTCGAAATTTTCATTTTCGAATTTTCATTTCAGTCAAGCACACACGCTCGATCCACGCTCCAGCGTGAGCACAAAAATTTGCTCAGCGTGAAAAGCACGCTGCCACGCTCCAGCACCAGCGTAAACTTGTGCTCCAGCGTGAAAGCACGCTTTTGCGCTCAGCGTGGCAGCGTGCTTTTGTGCTGAGCGTGAGCAAACGTGCTAACTCCAGCAACTGAACGGCTATAGCGTGGCCTAATGTGCAACTCTGGCACGCATTTTTCAACAAGGACTTGCGTCACTCGCCTTACCTTTCAACTCAAATCCACTTTGCTTCGAATACTCAACAATCGCATTTTCCAAATCATCATACAATAAAACATCGACGGGAATATTCTGTGTAACATATCCAGTCAACGTAAAAACCGGCAAAAAAGTGTTCAATAAAATCGGCGAAACATCTTTCGATTTCGGCAAAACTCGATAGAACAAATCAAAAATCATCTGCGATTGACAATCCTTGGGAATCCCCGAACAAATCTCACACATTCCCTGACATTTCTCATCACGACATGCTAGAATTGGCTGACGATACAACCAACAATCATCGATTCTTTTTCGCACCAAATCTAGATCTTCTTGTTGGAGTTCGGTACAATTTACACGTAGATTTGGGGAGAGACAAGCGAAATAATTGGAGATACTCCAGATGTTTCGATAGGGTGTGAAAGAATCGAAACGGGATAATTGTTTGGAAATATTTGAGTGGAGATTGCAGAGTTTTGAGAGGAATTTGAGATTGTAGATTGAGTCGTAGGAATCGAGTTCGATGACGATTTGAGACAAATGATCCACTGCAAAAAATAATAAAAAATAGTAAAAAACTTCACTGTTTCAAAAAATTACTAAATGAATTTGTAATTTTGAAAAATTAAATGATTTGAAAATTAAAAAAATGTCTATATTTTTTACTGTTTCAAAATATTATGAAAATAATTTTCAATTGATTTTTGAACGATCGCAAAATTTGTTAGGATTATTGCAAAAAACAGATGATAAATATTCACTGTTTCAAAATATTATCAAATAAAATTTTGATTATTTGAAAAACCAATAACTCCTTCAAAATCGTTTCATAAAAATCTACTGTTTCAAAAGACAATTCATATTTTTCGAAAGAAAAAATTGATCACTAAAAACACTTTTTATTAGATATGAAAAAATCTTAAAAATTTAAAAAGTTTGAGTTTTCTATACAAAATATTAAACGTCTTAAAAAAATGATATAATTTATTTATTTTTAAATTTGAAACAGTTAAATTTTATAGGCGTTTTTTTTTTGAAAATGTTTTTGAAAATAAAAAAATTTTCTATATTTTTTTACTGTTTCAAAATATTATGAAAATAATTTTCAATTGATTTTTGAATGATCGCAAAATTTGTTAGGATTATTGCAAAAACAGATGATAAATATTCACTGTTTCAAAATATAATGAAATAAAATTTTGATTATTTGGAAAACCAATAACTCTTTCAAAATTTTTCTATTTATTTAATTATAAAAATCTACTGTTTCAAAAACAATTCCTATTTTTCGAGAAAAAAATTGATCACTACATAATTTTTTCTTGTAAAAATAATTACATATTGATATAAAAAAATTTTTGTGCCACATTTTCCCTCCCCAAAACTAACTCAACGGAATCGGAGCATCGTAACAGGCGACTTGATTAATAGCCGATAATAAATTATCAGCCCAACTTCGTTTTTTCCTCGTTTTTCCCGCCGGTTTTTCAGTCATCGGTTGTTGCATATTTTGATGATCGATTGGACGAGGATTTGAGAATGAGACACGATTCGAATACATTAGAAATGGCTGAACTCGTGACCAAGCCATTCGAGGACCTGATAATGACGTGTCTTTTGTGTCGAAGCCCTGGAAACATTTGGTCAAAAATCAATATTTTATTCAGCCGTTCCTTTTTTTTCCATCAAAATATATGTGTCAAGTACAGGATTATCATCTTTTTTCTCTCATAAAGTTCTTCTTTTTCCTTGTTTTTCACACATAAAAAAGGAAAATAAAACAATAAATGAAATAAAAATCATTGGACCGAAAATACTTATGTTTTTGACCTCAATTTAGCTTGGACAAGGTTTTACAGTTATAAAAATTATTATTTGAACACAATTTTAGACTTATGTTATTGACTTTTTGAATAAATTTGAATTTTGAGAACGATTTTCAGCTCAAAAAATCAACGCCTGAATATTTGAATTTTCAAATTTAAAATTTTTCGCGCCAACCCCCCTCCCCCCAAACTCACAATCTCTGCATTTTGCGACAATCGAATCGGAAAAAACCACAAAAATACGGCAGGAAACACTGTGCAAATCAAAAATGGCGCGAAAAAGAATAAAAATGGATGAAAATATAGATTTCGACTGTAGAAATGTGTGAAATGATACAACATGTTGCTCCTGAAAAAATGACAATCGGGTTAGTTTTTCAGCAACATTTGAAGCCACTCAAAAAAAACACGCGTGGCTCAGTGGTAGAGCTTTTGCCTGGCGAGCACGGGACGCAAGTTCGAGTCTTGCTGGGCGCGAGATTTTTTTATTTCTTTTTTTTATGCTAAAAATCAAGATTATACAGGAAAAAAAGTACGAGGAAAATATACAAGAATAAAATAAAACCGAATGGTCAGCGAAAAATGAAAGTGAAAATAGTGCGAGAGATGGAGAGGGTCAGACAGTTAGAGAACAGCATAAAACCGGTTGGGATTTTCAAGGGATGGACAAAAAAGTTGTTAGCTTGGATTGAATTGGATTTTCGTGTCTGCACAGGCAAATTCAGATGGATACATAATTGATCCATTAATGATACATCATGTCCCCAGTTCAGATGTATACATCGGGTACACATAATGGATCCATCTGAACTCATTTGATTGATACTTGATGGACGCTTGATGTATCCATTTTCTCTTTTTAACTCTTTTTCAAGTAGACAGTTAAAATTAAAGTTTATTCATAGTAAAAATTGAAATATAACAAAATTAGAAGTTAGAAGAACTTGTTTTTCATGGTGTGGGCGCATCTTTTCGGTCATATTAATTGGATTCACGAGGAAGATGGCAGTTGGAGCAGGTTTTGTGGTCATCACGAGCAACGGCGAAGGTTGATTTCCTAGCTCGAGCAGAGCTCGCTTTGCGGAGACTAATGTGGAAGTTTCTTGACCTTCCATATCTTGGTAGCTTCCTTGAATCCGCATCCCTTGGCAACACCCGATGTTGTCGATCATTTCATATTTGGGAGAAGACGGAGCCAATCAGAAGTTGCTTCTCGGTGCTCACAAGCTCAATTGTCCTTGAAAACAGCTTCTTCTCGCCATTGAACTTCATTCCAATATTACGAACCAATTGTCCTTCTAGCCAAACTGATGCATTAGGCAGTCAGTTCGATAACCTTCTTGTACACACTGTAGTGACCTGAAAAGTTGTCTTTATTCACGAAGTTCTTTGAATAATGAATTTACCGCTGTTTGGCAGAGAGTTGATGTCGATTTCGATGTTTGAATGAGAGCGATGTCTGAAAAAAACCAGTTGACAAAAGTAGTAAATCAATGTGTGCGAAATTCAAGAAAGTACGATATAGGGTATTTCAATTTTCAGCTCTGATAGGGAATATTCTATTTTATTTCATTTAAATGTTCTTTCAATTGAATGAAACTGAAAAAAATGTCTCGTTTTACTACCTGAAATCGAAAAAAACCAATTTTCAAAGTTTCTGGCCTAAATTCATGTTCAATATGCGAATTTCAAAGTTCTGATGACATTTGCTGCTAGGTCCTAGTCGAGGAACATATTCTATATGTTTTCCGCAGTTTTTAACACTCAATTTCTCTATGAAACGGGAAACACACAAAAAAAACGAAAAAAAAAGAAAAAAATGTGGCGTGCAAATCGTCCGAGAGAAGTACACACACACACATTTCGCTGCAGGATAAATTCATTGAAATGTCTGCGCCTTTAATGTTACACTTTTCCGCACCAATTAAGAGCACTTGAGTGAAAATGATATACACCATTCGATTCAGAATTTCAAGCTGAACAAAATGATTATAAATTCATCCCTTGTTTCGGTCGATTTTCAATTTTTCGGTTTTTGAGAAATGTGAATGTTTATAGTGAACTTCACTCAGTAACAGTATACCATTCGATAGAGTTCTTCCTGCTAAGAAATATCCAGTTATCAGTGTTTGCTGAACGACTCGTAAAAGCTCAAAATTTAGCCCGAAATTGAGCAAATGTTTTTTTTCGCTTTATCAGAAGCTTCTCAACAAAAGAATGTGCATACATGATATCTCATGAGAAGATTGTATAAATCTTTCTTATATATTAAACGGTGATCTGTCTGTCGACCTACTTTTGTGACCTAGATTTAAGTTTAAATAATTTCACGTGAATTGTTTTGCTCATTTCTGATTTTACAAAACGCGTTTGGATTGCAGCATTTAATTTATGCACTATTTTTTGAAATGTAGCAAAGAATGTGAGTTGATTTAAAAAAGTATCGTGAGATTCATCATTTTTATTGATAAAAATGAGCTTGATTTGAAAATCGGAAGTTCGCAATGACTCCGAAACCACGGTTCATTATTTTTATCCATAAAATCGAGCTAGATTTAAAAATCGGGAATTCGTAGTGACTACGAAACCACGATTTATCATTTTTATCTTTAAATAGAATGGATGGAAGAAAACATGTTCAAAAAAACTCTACTGTGAAGGAGGACTTGATGATTTATCAATAAATGGTACATTATGGATCCATCATCCATCATCGATCCATTTTGAATCAATCAACTATCAGCTCAATCAGCTGAGTATCAATCTGAGACCCATCAGCGATACATCAACCCTGATTGATGTCAGATGGATCTTATATGGACCCTTGATGTAACCGAAATGGGTCGATTATGGATGATGGATCCATAATGTATCAATTATGTATCCATATGAATTTGCCTGTGTGTGTGTTCAAATAAAAAAAATACACCGTGTTTTATTGTTTAATAAGTACGTGGAACCTTTTGGAACCAGATTTCCATAGTTATAACGGTTTTTATTCATAGGAATTTGGAAACAGTGGGAAAATATTGGATTTTACAGTAAACTCATGAAATATACCCTTGAAACAGTGAGAAAACTTTTATAATTATTTAAAATACGAACTTCGTCTGAAATTTATCTGAAATTTTTTCCACATTGTTAACAAAAACCTGGCTCAAAATATTTTTTATTGCGATTTTTTGAAACAGTGAATCTTTTTTTCCATTTCCAATTTCGAAATTTCAATTTTCTATGAAATCCAGTTTCCCATCTTACAAAAAATTTACATAACCGAAAGTTGCGTAAATCTTCTTTTTTTTCTCAAAAAAAGTCCTTCGTTTCGCTTTCAGTTTTCCAATCTTCGGATAATCCAAAAATGAAAGTAAGTTTAGTATTACACAACAACAAAAAGGAAATTTATGTGAAAATTATTATTTGGAAAAAATTGGAAATTATCGAAATTATTCCTGATGCAAATAGAATGTGTTTCTGGAAAAATCGAAATTTTCTATGAGAAAAAAGGTGAATTAAAGGGTCGGTGTTCTTCTGGTGAAAAAATCGTCTGCAAAAGGGCGTCACAGTGTTGTGTTCAAAATTGTGTGCAAACACACGCACGAAAATTCAAAAACGATTCGTGCGCTAGACCACATTTACTTGTTTTATTTCGTAGGTTTTAACTCGCTTGTGTTTTTGAGGAAAAACATGGGCTGAATTGATACTAGAATTTTTTTTTCCTTCCAGGACCACCTTATTCCTATCTAAACAAAGCAAGATTCCCTGGCGGAGCACCAACCCTTTAACCCAATGGCTAATCTTTTTCGCGCAATGTTGGAAAGAAAATGGGGCTGATATGTCAACATATAAACAGAACTTCAATGGTAATCAAACCTACGAATTGTTGGAAACTAAAGCCATCGACGAAATGTTTGCAATTCTCCCATCAACAATTGAACATGAGCATTCGAAAGCGGCGGCGAAAAATCTAGGCCTTCTCCAGAGTTTGTGCACATCCAATATTTTTGATGATGATCAACATCTTGCATTCGAGACCGCTCTCAATGATTTTATCGAGGAGTTGAAGTAAGCGCACCCAGATGACACCATCACGCCAAAGCTCCACTGGTTGCATAAACATGTTCTTCCATTTGTCAAACTTCATCATACTTGGGCTCGAGCCTGTGAGCAAGGAATTGAGAGTATGCATGCGTACGCGAATGAATTGATGCGACAGTGAGTTGTAACAATAACATCGTTTGAAAACCCGCTTTTTCCAGTTTTGCTTCATGTCGCTCCAAAGAATTGCAAATGTATCGAGTTTTCAAACGTATGATCTTGAACAATCGGTTGAGCGACAAGTTCAGATTCTAACTTCGAGCTGAATATTCATCATCATATTCTTAATTTGTTGTCACATCTATTTTTCCTGCCCTTGTCCTATTTTTCAATTTTCTTTCTACTTCATTTTTGCTTCCAATTTTCCATCATCATTCTTCTACTTGGTTTGTAATGCCCTTGTTTCACATCTCCACTTCATCAAATCCATATATGCATCCTTTTTCGCTGAATTCTAGATTCCGGCGTTTTTCTAAAAAATCAAATAAAAACCACGGCATTTTTTTACGGAAAAATACAGATAAAAACAGGACCTTGTTCAATCATCGATAAATTGAGCCGCGCGGCAGTTTTTGCAACAAAAACAATAAATTATTGTTCAGCGTGGCCTAGAAAAAGTTCGGCCAGCTGTTGCAACCACGCTCCATCGCACAATTCTTTTATTTTTTCTTTTTTGCGCCGGCCAATCTATTATTTTGCCAATTGCAATTACAAATGTCTATGCGAAAATTCTTCGATTTCCAGATTTTCAAGTAATTTTGAATAGTGTTGTGTTGTTGTTGGTCTTTCCAAAAAATATCCCTAAAAACCTGAAATTAATTTTATTTTCAAAATAATAATATTTCCGTGCTTGCTTGTAGATAATAGTGGCTTGCTTAAGTTTTGTTTTTATTTAATCATTATCTTTGAAAACGAAACAATATTATTGTTTCAGGAGTATTTGGTTCCAACGACTTTTATCGATTTTCGAGAAAAAGTCGCGTATAACTTCGACAGGACCATCGAAAACTGTGACTGGGCAAAATCCAGTGAAACCGGCGGCGACTTCGAATAATCCAGTTATAAAACGAGAAATGCATTCGACACCAGCAAAATTGGTGAGATTTTGGGAGGGAAAAGATAAAAATGAATGAAAATTAGTGAAAAATCGATTTTTGAGTGAAAATTCACCAGAAAAGTGAATTTTTTCATAGAAAATCTTGAAAATCAACCAAAACGTGTTGAAAAATATTGAATTCAAGCTCCAAATTCTGGTTTAGCTGAAATTTCTCGAAAATTCGAAATTTTGTGAGAAAAATCGATTTTTGGGTGAAAAATTTCGAATTTTCAGCTGAAGATTTGAAAATTAATCAATAATTGCTGAAAAACTCTGAATTTCATCACCAGATTCTAATTTATTATGAAAAAACACAGAAATTTGAATTTCAATAGAAAAAAAAATGAAATTTGGCTCAGAAAATGGATTTTTCTTGAATTTCGGCACTAAAAACCTGCCAAATTCAAAAATTCCAAATTTTTCAGGCCTCCGTGCGTATTCCACTCATCAAATTCATCGGTGCTCGTTTACCCCGTCCACATTATGATAGTTCATCTCTTCCACCACTCGTTGTTACCGGCAATTTTTCGGCTCCAATCACTCAATCAGCTTCATCTTCTTCTTCAATTGGACCAGTTGGAAAAATTCCACGTGGACAAGGAATCGATTGGCAACAATTACCATTGAATTTGAGAAGAAGTGTCATTTCGGAAGATGAAATTGAGGCTGTTAATGTGAGTTGGAATTTTATCGTGAAATTATGGTTGCCACGTGGATTTTTGGCACTAAAAGTTATTGAATTTTTCGAAAAATCTGCCACGTGGATTTTAAATTTCTCCAAAATTATTTTCTGAAATTTTTAAAACAGTAAATTTTTAGCTTCAAAAAATTTTAGTATTTTTTGAAACTCTGAAATTATTTTAGTGAAAATCGAGATTAAATGAATAATTTGGAAATTTTTTATAAAATTTGGGGGATTTTTGAAACAGTGAAAAAATGTATATATTTTTTTTCACAATAAGCTTTCATCTCGAAATTTATATCAATTTACTGAAACACTGAAATTTCCCACTCTCAACGAAAATTCCCAATTATTTCTCAAAAATCAACATTTTTTGAAACAGTGAAAATTTATAAGGCTCAATGAAATTGAACATGAACATTATTCAAAATTATCTTTCTGATTCATGGAGTTTTTGAAACAGTAAATTTTACGCCTCAAAATATTTTTGATTTTTTTGAAACTCTGAAATCATTTTACTGATAATCGAAGTTAAATGAATAATTGGTATAAAATTTGGGGAATTTTTGAAACAGTGGAAATTTTTAATAAATATTTTTTACACAATAAGTTTTTACCAAATCTCGAAAATTTATATCAATTTTCAAAAACAGTGAAATTTTCCACTCTCAACGAAAATTCCCAATTATTTCTCAAAAATCAACATTTTCTGAAACAGTGAAATTTTGGTGAAAATTTATAAGGCTCAATGAAATTTAAAAGGAACGTTAGCCAAAAATATCATTCTGATTCATGGAATTTTTGAAACAGTGAATTTTTAGCTTTAAAAAATTTTAGAATTTTTTGAAACTCTGAAATTATTTCACTGATAATCGGAGTTAAATTATTAATTTTAATAATTGTTATGAAATTTGGGGAATTTTTGAAACAGTGAAACAATTAGAATATTTTTATCACAATAAGTTTTTATCAAATCTCGCAATTTATATCAATTTTCTAAAACAGTGAAATTTTCAAGAAATTTGATTTTTGCAAGTTTTTTTGTTCTACGAAAATTCCCAGTTTTTTTTCGATTATCACTATTTTTTGAAACGAAATTTTGATGAAAATTTATAAGGGTCAATGTATTGTAATTGGAACTTTAGTCAGAAATATAATTCTGGTTCATGGATTTTTTGAAACAGTGAAAAATATTTTGATCAAAAAAATCCAAATTGAAAACTCCAAACTCCATATTTTTCTTTTCAAAAATCCCCCTTTTTTCCCGGAAACCGGAAAGAGACAAAGGTTACCAAGGGCAACTCGACACAAATTTCTTGTTTTTATTTTTCTTTTTTTGGGTTGGAAATTTGCCACGTGGACTTTTGGCCCCAAATTTTTTTGTTTCTTGAAAAATTTCTTTTTTTTTTGCAGACTGGATTCTCCTACAAACAATAAATGCACATTTTTCTTCTTCGAAACGAGTTTTTCAAAATTTTTTCTATTAAAAATCGGTTTATAGTTTTATTTGTCAGGTTTTTCTTGTCTCGATTAGATAAAGATTTTTTTTTTTTTTGAATTTATTCTGTAAATGTTTGTGAAAAGCGTTTTTTTTTCGCTGGAAATATTTATCTGAAATTTCATGCTTAAATTTCATAAAAAAACAATAAAAACGTGACCCAAATATGTTTTTTCCAGAGAATGACATAAGAATTAAATTATTTCGAATTTTTCAAAATCTCAAAAAATGACCGCGAAAATCGACGAAGAATTGGGCTCATTTGCTCAAAATATTCTAGAAGTCTTATCAAAAGAAACGAAAGAATCCGACGAAAAAATCGATAAATTATGGACTGATTCGGAGAAAAAAGAGTTAGCTGAACTATTTGGTGGAAAAAAGAAGAAGAATGTGCCAAACAGTGGATTCAAGCACATTTTGAACCTTTTTGAAATTGAAAAAAGCGAGCAAGGTTTGCTACTTCTTTGTCGAATTGTGGATGCAATTTTGTGGGTTTTCGCATCGGAAAATGATCGAAAAAAAGAGAAAGCTATTGTGAAATTTGATGCGATTGCGGTTTTTTCGAGGATTTTGAGGAGAAGATTGATTTTGAGAATTGAAACTGCTTCAAATTCCAATTCAGAAATCATGATGAACTTGGAAATTGATCGAATTTTGTACAAATTATTGTTGAATATTGGCCTGAAAGATGCGAGATTTAATTTGAAGATTCGAATGGCTGGAATTGTTCAGATTATGTGTAGAATGTTTATGAAGTTTGACGAATTATTGGATTGTTTTTATCCGCTTTTTATTCGAATTGCAAGATCGCGTGGGTTTTTTTAGCGGGGACAATATAATGCTTTTTTTGATTTTTGTAAAATTATTTTAGAATATCAAAAATCACTGAAACAGTGATTTTTTCATGAATTTTTTGAGTTAATTTCAAACTTTAGAAACAAAACAAAATAAAAAATGATAAAAATGTTTTTTTGAAACATTGAAAATTATTAGAGTAAAGTTTTCTTGTTTTCATGAGCAAATCAGAATTTTTGAGAGAATTGTTGAAAATTACCTTGAAATTGTGTTTGAATTATTTTACACATTTTTTGAAACAGTGAAAAATATTAGAGTAAACTTTTCATTAAAAAAAATATATAAATATGAATTTTTATAATTTTTCGAATGGAAATTCTGAAAAAAATTGATAAAAGTGATCTGAATTTTATTTTTTTTCAAATTGTTTTGCCAATTTGAAATTTGTTTTTTCGAAGGTTTGCTTTTGTCACCAAAGAGAATTTCACAGATATTGAGAAATTTATTTAATTTCAGCCAAAATTTAGAAATAGATAATTAAAATTGCAACTGTTTTGATTTCAACAATAATTTTTTTAATTTTCTCTGAATTATTTTTTTTACTGTTTCAACGAATGTTGAAATCAATTTTTCCTTTAAAAGTTTGTTATATCGTTTAAAAATAACTCAAAAATTCAATAATTCAGAAAAACATTCAAGTTACCTGAAATTTCAGTCTGAATATCCTGGAAGTTTCAATAAATATTGAAAATTAATAATTTTCACCGTTTCAAGAATTGTGCAAATTATTTTTTTTTCCTTTAAAATGTGTTCATTGAATATTTCAAAATGAAAGAAAAATCACTGTTTCAAGAATTTTTGATATTTTTCCAAAATTTTTTCTAAATGATTAATGCCATTTCGTTGTACCTAAACATTCCAAGTTTCACTCAAAATTCAATTTTGTAATTTCATCCAAAATTCCACAGAAAAATTTTATTCGACATTTTTTTTCGACAAAAAAATTCTCATAATTTTCACTGTTTCAAATAATGTTGAAATCAATTTAAGTTCATAAATAAAAACAAATGAAAAAATCACTGTTTCAAAAATTTTTGATATTTTTCAATGTTTTTGTCTAAATGATCAATGCCTCTTAGACTTTCCTAAAATCTAAAATTTTTGGGAAAATCTGATAATGTTCAAAAATCATTTTTCAATTTTGTCTTCATTATTTTTTCACTGTTTCAAAAATTAAATATGTTTTCAATCATTTTTCTGAAATAGTTTCCAAGCAATTTTAAATTTTCAAAACCTTTCAAAAATTGATTTTTTTGCAGCCAGAAGTGGTCAAATGATTGGAAGACAAGAAGGATTTGTGAAAAAATTGACGGATAAAATTTGGTATTTGAATGGACTCGAAAATGCCGAAAATATTCATTTATTGGACAAACATTTGCAAATTTTGTTTTTTGTTCTGAAAAATCGTGAGTTTTTCGAAAACTTTGGCGTAAAAAACCACGTAGCAAATTTAAAAATTCAAAGTGTTTTTATTTCTTGCAGGCCGTGTTCGTGTGCAAATCATCCGTGATTCATATTGTCGCACACTTCTGGAAATTCTAGAAAAACATTTAAAAGGGTGTTCTCCAAAACCAGCTCGGCGACTTTTGTCAAGTATTTTTGGAACAACTGATGAATCGACAAATCTGGCCATTTCTGCACATATCGAAGTTATTGTAACGAATCTAGCTATTTTGAGATTGTTGGCTAATAATAGTGAGTTTTTTGGGGGGAAAAATGCACTGTTTCAAAATTTATTTATGGTTTTGAATAGGCAGAAAATTTCATCAAATGAATTGCTACACAAACTCAGATTTTCAGGAAAAAAAATTGTAGAAAAATTGACTGTTTTAAAACAATGTTGAATTTTTTATGAATTTTCTAATATTAATGGTAAATCATTGTTTTTGAGGAATCAGATTATTGGGAAAAAATGCACTGTTTCAAAGAGTTTTGAAATGTTTTTTTTTGTTTGGAAAGCCAGTACTTCGCATAAAAACATACCTCACCCAAGAACCTGGAGAAGTGGGAAAAAAATTGCCCACCTGAGGCTCGCCTTAAAGACCCTAAAATTTTTTTGCCCACCTAGGTTTTTCGAAAAAAAAAATTGCCCACCTGGAATTCCAGGTGTTGGGTGAGGTTTGGCATAAAAATACAACATTCAACTAAAAAATGTACTGTTTCAAAAATTGTTTAATTTTGTTGGGGTTTTATGTGAGAGTGATTCATGAGTGTGGTTAAATTATAAAATTTTTTCCAATTCTATTTTGATGAGATTATTCGGGTGGAAAAAATGTTCAAAATCAATTTTTAGGCGAAAATTTCCATTCAGTATGGTTTTTTGCCATTTTCTGTATCTAAATTTTTCATGAGTCACGTAATTTAAGTGTAAAAAACGTGTGGAAAAATTAACTGCTTCAGAAATTTTAAAATTAAATTTGGATCTCAACAATAACTGCTACCTATTTGCATTCCAAATTATCAGAAAAATTATCCAGCGAAATTTTAATATTAGACATATTTTCCTACAAAATTCTGTATTGGCCCATAAAAATTCACTGTTTCGAAAAACTTTAATTTGAGATTTCATATTCTCAAGTTAGGATAATTTTCGAATAGAATATATTTTTTCGATTAATTTTCGGAGAAAAATTCACTGTTTCAAGAGTTTTTGATGTTTTTTTGGTTTTCTGAATAAATTGATTCATTTATCTCAATTTTGAATATTTTCTGAATAAAATTTCACTGTTTCAAGAAATTTAAAATTGGAATTGTAATTATTATAAGCTATCAGCGTAAATTGAAACAAAATTTATTTTTACTCGAGAAAAATTCACTGTTTCAAAATTTTTTTGATTTTTCGGAGGTGTTTTGAAGCATTATTACTATTGAATCACTAGCTCAACAAATCGAGTTTTATTTGTATTTTCCTTTTCCCAAATACAAATCTTCTTCATTTTCCTCCTTTTCTTCATTTTTCTCTCTTTCTCTCAATAGAAAACTGACAAGTTATCATAACTTGTTTTTTATTTTTCTTCTGAGAGTATATTATTATTATTCCAAGAATTGTGTAAGGCTTAAATTTTCCATATAATTTTCAAGTCAGATACCTTTTCTACATTTTTTTTGCAGAAAAAGCTCGCGATGAATTGATTTCACTTGGAACTCTTCAAATTTGCGCCAAAAAGCTGAAAAGTATGAGCGATGAAGATGGAAAAAATGGAATGAAATCGAAAATGATGGCAAGTTTTTTCTTTGGGGCTGGCCTGATCAAAAAAAACAAGAATTTTATTGGGGGTTGAGAGATCTTTGAAGAAAAAATGCTTTTTTTCTTACTGTTTGGGAAAATTACTGGTTTTATATGGGTTTTTCTTGAAACAGTGAAAAATTGGGAAGTTTTTGATGAAAATTGATTTGAAACACGTTCTGGAGTTATACCAAAAAAATCTCAAAAATATTTTTTTTACCAATTTTTGAAACAGTGAAATCAAACCTCACCCAATACCTGGAATTCCAGGTGGGCAATTTTTTTTCGAAAAATCTAGGTGGGCAAAATTTTTTAGGGTCTTTAAGGCGAGCCTCAGCTGGGCAAAATTTTTTAGGGTCTTTAAGGCGAGCCTTAGCTGGGCAAAATTTTTAGGGTCTTTAAGGCGAGCCTCAGCTGGGCAAAATTTTTAGGGTCTTTAAGGCGAGCCTCAGCTGGGCAAAATTTTTTAGGGTCTTTAAGGCAAGCCTCAGCCGGGCAAAATTTTTTTACTGGGTGGGCAAATTTGGTAAATAAACCCAGGTGGGCAATTTTTTACCCACTTCTCCAGGTTCTTGGGTGAGGTTTGCAGTGAAATTCTAAATATTTTAATTTTCAACATAAACTCGTTTGCTACTAAAAATTGGATCAAAAATATTTGTTTGTGAAGTTTTTGAAACAGTGAAGTTTCAAATGTTTGAAAATTTCTGCTAACTTTCAGTCACCAAAAAATATCCAAAGAAATGTAATTTTCAAAGATTTCTGAAACAGTGAAATTTTTTATTTTCGAAAAATTAGATTTTTTCGAGAAAAAACCGAGTATTTTTTTTGATTAAAGACAACGTGAAATTGAGAGAGCACAGACATGAAATTAAATTTAAAAAAAAAAAATTATTTTGTGTTGTCTGTACTCTATCAATTTTACGTTATCTCTAATCAAAATAATATTCTGTATATTTTATTACAAAACATTCATCCTTGTTCTGATTTTCAGAAAAAATCTTGATTTTCACATTTTCCACCCAAACAAAAAAAACAAGATTTTTATGGTTTTTCTAATCGATCTTTGAAATAAACTACTTTTGTTTTACTCTTAACCAAGAAAAACTAGTTTTCTTCTTTTTTCTTCCGAACGCTTTACACTATTTTTCCTGTTTTTTTTTTTTTTAGAAAATAACTGATAATCTGATAGATTTATCATCATTTCTAGTAGTTTTCTTCAATTTTCCTCTGCTGAAATTTTGTCTGACATATGGTGCAGATTAAACGAAGAAACAATAGATCAAAGGTTTGCTTTTTTGAAAATTCGGAAACTTGGGCGCCAAAACATCCACGTGGCAAATCGAAAAATTATTCCAAAAAAAATTTTTTTTTTCACTGTTTCAAAATTTTTGAAAGAAATTTAATTCTAGAATTGTTCTGGTTCTTCTTTTTTCAACTTTCTTTGTAAAAAACATTTTGATCTACAGCTTTCAAAGTATTTTTTGACCATTTTTCACCGGCAGTTTTTTTCCCTAAAATTTTAGAACAAAAAATTCAAATTCATTTCCAAAAATATTTTTTCCTAGTATTTTTGCATTGTTTTTATCTGGCAGACAAATGAGACAAATTTATGAAAGAAGAGCAAATAGATCAAAGGTTTGTGAAAAGATTTTTGAGATTTTTTTGTGTGAAAGTTGAGAGATACTTATTTTTATTTGCTGGGTAATTGAGCTGAAAAATTGGCATTTTTTGAGAGAACTTTTGAGATGAAAAATGTGTGGTTTTCGTGGCTGCAAGATTTTTTCACTGTTTCGGAATTTTTTAATCGAAAAATTTGGATTACAACTGATTTTTTGGTATTTATTTTTTCACTGTTTCAAGATTTTCTCAATTTCGAATTTTTACTCGAAAATTTAGTTCCTTCTTTCTTTTTTAGGCTCGTAATTTTCTAGTACAAAATTCTCACAGATTCTATGATTTCTGTTTTTTTTTCACTGTTTCAAAAAAATCTTGAAGTTTTAAAGGTTACTTGAGGTTTAGTTCATATTTAATTTCCAACGCCATAAATTCATAGAAATACATTTTTCAAATTAGAAGTTCAAAAATCAAAAATTCACTGTTTCAAAAATGTTTGAACTGTTTTTGATGTGAATTATTTTTTTAAACATTTTTTTTGACATAAAATTTTCACTGTTTCAAGAATTTTCTATAAATGATTTGGAAACTTGCTATTTTGATAAGCATGTGGTTGCGTACTGTTTCAAAAATGTTCAATGAAATATTGACAATATCCAAAATTATAGTTTTTTGTTTAAAAATCAGTGAATTTTTTACTGTTTCAAAATTATTGAAAGTGTGAAAAATACAAAGTTTTGATTCTACTAATTTTTACTGTTTCAAAATTGTTTTGAATATTTCAGATCTCAGCACCATCTGATATTTCTCTTTTTATAAGTCCAGCTAATTTTGTTTCAATTTTTTTTGCAGGATTCCCTCTGCGCTCTTTCTCTTCGGTGTATGCCTACAATACCGTATCCTCTCGAAAATGTTCGTTTTCCTCTCGATTTTCCACTTCCTGCAACGTCAATGCCACTTCTAACCAATTCATCTCAAAATGGAAATGGACGAACTCGTAATTCGTCATCAATCAATATTTCATTTGACAATGCAAAAAGTAGTGATGAAGAAGATGGAATTGATGAAGATGATGAAGGAATTATGGAGGAAAATGGGGCGGGTTTTGGAATGGAGAAATCGGATGATGAAGATGGAAATGCGGGTGGGGTAAAGGTGAGCGAAAATTTCGGAGCTCAAAATCCACGTGGATAATTTGAAAGAATTTCAAACAGAAACATCAAATTTTTACTGTTTCAAAATATTTAGAAACATTTTTCTTGCAATCTTTTAGCCAGTCGTAAATTGATTTGAATTTTTTTAAAAATTCATTAATTTTGAAGTTTTTTTGCTTTTTCCTTGATTTTTTGTAGTCCTAATTTATTTTCCTTTGATTTTGAAACAGTGAAAAAACAGAGTTTCGGAGAAAAATCGGATACGAATGAACTATTCAATACAACAACAAAAATAATTTTCATAAAAATTTGAAACAGTGAAAAAATTGAGGCCAAAAATTACTTTCAAACATCTGAAGCGGATTTTTATTGCTCCAGAAATCCACGTGGAAATTGGAAATTAAAAAAAAAATTTATGAAAAATTTACTGTTTCAAAAGTTTTGTATTTAAAAATCTCTTTAATTTTCCGAATTGCAATTATGTTTTCATAAGGCCAAAAAAACAAATTCAAATTTTTTCCAGCAAATATCATTGCCCCTACCGAAATCCTCGAAATTGACTCCAGCACAACTCAAAAATTATCAAGGATTTTTCAAAGAATTATTCGATGAATCTGGAACTCGAGAAAATGGACAATATTTGAAAAATGATGAAAATTGGAAAAATTTATGTAAATCGACGAAAATGGCGATGCCAAATCGACAAATTCTACCAATTGAGATGTTTTTGAGTCCGCCTGGAGCTGCAAAATCCGAAACACTGTGCAAAACCACTTCGAGTATGAGAAAAATGATTGTTGAAGAAATGGACAGAACTAGCGAGAAATATTCGAATGTGGTTTATGATTTGGATTCGATTTGTTTTGATGGCGGACATCCGGAAACGGATTATCCGGAAAATGTTGGAAAATTGGATGGCGGACGGGATTTGATATTTGAGAGCCGATTTGAGAGCGGAAATTTGAGACGGGCTACACAAGTTGCGCCAACTCATTATGAATTGATGTTGACGCCCGATATGAATCAGTTGTCTGAGCATTTTCAGTGGTTTTTCTTTCAGGTGAGCGGGAGGCGGAAGCGATGCGGAAGATTTCTTTATGACTCAAGTAACCGCGCCTAGAGAACCCTATTGTATAGCAATCGCGCCTAGAGAACCCTTTCTGACCAGGAGCCGCGCCTTGAGAGTCTTGTTCTCAAGTAGTCGCGCTTTGAGAACCATATTGTATAGCAGTCGCACCTAGAGATCCACTCTAACAAGGAGGCGCGCCTAGAGATCCACTCTGATAAGAAGCCGCACCTTGAGAGCTTCTATGTCAAGAGGTCGAGCATATAGAGCCTTGTTCTCAAGTAGCCGCCTCTAGAGAACCCTATTGTCTAGGAGTCGTGTCTAGAAACTCTTTCTGACAAGGAGTCGCGCCTTGACAAGGGAACCTTTTTTACTCAACACTTCAAACCTTGATGAAATTTTGTCCAGAGACAGCTTTTGGGGCCATAAGAACACCCTAAAAATTTAAGTTACCCAATGGACCTATGAGCCAAGTTCTGGGCTCTCAAAAACTCAAAAAAGGCCAAAAAATGGTCACAAAAGTCATCATAGCTCCATTTCAAAAATTTTTTTGGGAGAAATAAAGTTTCAGATATTGATCAGCATAGTCGATTACCTAAAAGTACATCAATAAAAAACATTTTTTCGAAAAATTTTGAAGTTTTTTTATTTTTGGGCTGAAAATTCATGAAAATTCATATGTGCCCCTGCTCATTCTTTTTTCCAAAATCAAAATTTTTTCTGAAAATTTGATTTATTGATGGTTTTTGGGTAAATCGACCACGCTGATCATCATCTGCTACTCAGTTTTTCATAAAATTGATCGAGAATTGAGTTATGACGTGTTTTATGAGCCAATTTTGACAATTTTTGAACTTTTGAGAGCCCAGAACTTGGCTCAGAGGTCCATTGGGTAACTAAAATTTTTAGGGTGTTCTTATGGCCCTAAAAGCTGTCTCTGGACAAAATTTCATCATGATTTGAAGTGTTGAGTAAAAAAGGTTCCCTTGTGAGAGCCTAGTTCTCAAGTAGCCGCCCCTAGAGAACCCTATTGTCTAGGAGTCGTGTCTAGAGATCCACTCTGATAAGAAGCCGCACCTTGAGAGCTTCTATGTCAAGAGGTCGAGCCTAGAGAGCCTAGTTCTCAAGTAGCCGCGCCTAGAGAACAATATTGTATAGCAGTCGCGCCTAGAGAACCCTATCTGACAAGGAACCGCGCCTTGAGAGATGTTATGCCAAAGAGCCGAGCCTAGAGAATCCAGATTCAAAAGTTTTGCGGTATAAAACCTGGCACGTGGCAAAGTTTCCTATAAAAATTCAAATTTAGAGCTAAAAATCTCGCGAGTGGAAATTCCTCTACGTCTCTAACAGTCTCTAGTTAATTTTGAAAAAATTCAAAATCCTCTGCTTTTTCCAGGTTTCCAATACTCGAAAAGATATAATTTACACATTTGAAATCGCGAATTGCCTAAAACCAACATCAATGTATAGTCAAGGAATGCAACCAGTTATGTTTTCAATAATCGATAAAAATGAGGGATGGAAAAGATGTGGATATAATGTGTGTTATTATCGAAATTTGTATGCTTGTACTGAAGTTTCGACAACTCCGAAAGGTGCCACCGCGCAAAATGAGGATAATGGAGAGGAAAAACGGAAAAAGTGAGAGGGTTTTTGACTGTTTCACGGGGGAAATTTGGGATAGAAAATAGTGTTTTTGAGTTTTGAAATTTTGAAAAATCCAAGAAAAAATTTACTGTTTCAAATTTTTTTTTAAAATAATTTTATGAATTTATTTTTTGATGCTATCCCTGCAATTGCAAAATTATTCGTAGAAATTTACTGTTTCAGAATATTTTTTTTAGAAATGTCTCCTGAATCTAATTTTTGATGAATCGTTTTAAAAGTCCTGTAGATCTGGAATTTTCAGAATCCAAAAATTTTTATATAAAAATTCACTGTTTCAAAAATTTCCCTAGGGATTTTGGTGGATTTTTTGAGTGAAAAAATTTACTGTTTCAAAATTTTTGTAATTTTTTCTCAATTTCATTTTTTGATCATTCTCAGAAGGAAAATACATTTTCATCGAAAAAGTTCACTGTTTCAAACTTTTGCATATTTTTTCTCAAATTTTTCTTTTATTAATAAATCGAATGTTTTCTTCACCAAAAATTTACTGTTTCAAAATTTTTTAAAAATAATTTTATGAATTTAATTTTTGATGTTACTAAGTTACTGAAAAATTTAACATTATTCGTAGAGTTTACTGTTTTAGAAATTTTTTTAGAAATGTCTTCTGAATCTAATTTTTGATGAATACTTTTATTTCGTTTTAAAAATCCTGTAGATGTGGAATTTTCTGAATCCAAAATTTTTTGTTATAAAATTACTGTTTCAAAATTTCCCTAGTGAAAAAAATTTGATGAAATTTTTGAGTGAAAAAATTTACTGTTTCGAAATTTTTTGTAAATTTTTTTTGTAAATCTAATTTTTTGATCATTCGTAGAAAGCTGGAATTTTGAGTTGATATCTGAAAAATGCAAGAAAAATACATTTTTACAGAAAAAAATTACTGTTTCAAAATTGTTGTATATTTTTTCGAAAATCCTTGTTTTATTCCCACTCTAGGTTCAAAATCTGCATAATTTTCGAATTGAAAATAAACAGCAAAAAAATTTTATTTGAAAAATCCAAGTAAAATTTTTTCATCGAAAAAGTTCACTGTTTCAAACTTTTGTATATTTTTTCTCAAATTTTTTTTTTCATTAATGACCAACATTCTACCAAAAATTCACTGTTTCAAAATTTTTGGTAAATAATTTTATGAATTTAATTTTTGATTATCGATGTGTGAATAATGAAATAAAAATATCAAGCCCCTCCCCCAGGATTACTGTTAACCAAAAAAACTTCAAAAAATAATTTCTGAATTCCAGAAAACTATGAATTTCCATCTAAATTATCAAAATTCAGAAAAAAACACATTTTTCAATATACCAAATAATTTACTGTTTCAAAATTTTCTTGAATATTATTTTAGATTTTAATATATATTCTGATTTTTTTCGATATATTCAAGATGTTTCAATATAAAATTTGAATTTTCTAAAAATTTCAAGCAATTTCTCAATTTCCAGACATTATTATTCAATGCGTTTCAATATTGTCTTTCCAAATACAGCCGATGTTGTCTATATTGCCTATCATTTTCCATATACTTATTCATTTCTTAGCGTAAGTCCCTTTCTCTTCCCAGCTCCCCAGTCATGTTTTGTTCCAGGCCTCAATTCACGAATTTCGTCGTCTCAAACTCTCTGCTGTTTATTGTCGCGAAGATGTTATTGGCCATTCCATTGCTGGAAATCCAATGAGAATGTTGACTATTTCATCGCCATGTTCACCACAAGAATTGGCCAAAAAAGAGGTTATTGTATTGACTGCGAGAGTTCATCCGGGAGAAAGTAATGCAAGTTGGATGATGCACGGTGAGTTGTTGTTTTGGGGGATAAATTTAAAAAAAACTTGAAATGTCTAGCCGAATAGAAAGTTCTAGTTACGCGAACTTTTCAAATTAAGTTAGAGAAAATCGCATTTCCATTTTTTTTTGTTCTAGGAATCTTGGAACAATTACTCACCGGAAACTCAACCGAAATGTATCGACTACGAGAAAAATATTTGTTCAAAGTGATTCCGATGTTGAATCCGGATGGTGTTATCAATGGATCACATCGTTGTTCATTAGCTGGAATTGATTTGAATCGAGTTTGGGATCGACCCAATGATTTGTTGCATCCAGAAGTTTATCACACCAAAGCGATTGTTCAGTTTTTGGTGAGTCATTTTTGATTTGGAATGTAGTAATCAAAGTGGAAGAAGTGGGAAAATAGTTAGAAAAATGTTGAAAAAACTCACTGTTTCAAAATTTCTCCAAATTTTTTAAAAATACATATAGCGTGATGATAAAAGCAAATTTAACAGATTCCGAAAAATTATTGTAAAAATTTTGAAACAGTGGATTTTTTTTCGAACATTTTTTTTCAAAAATAATAAACATGTCGGAGTCCTTTTGATTTGGAATGTAGTAATTAAAGTGGGAAGTTGAGAAATTTGTGAAACGTATTTCGACCGGGAAAATTTATTTGAGGAAAATTGAATAAAGATATGTTTTCTAGTAGATTTTGACCCTTTTCTCAACTGAGTTATGACGTAGCAAAATTATCCATAAACACAGGAAATAATCCAAAATAACTAACTTGTTAGCAAAAAAAAATAATTTTTCAAATTTTTTGCAGAAATTTTGAAACAGTGGTTTTTTTTCGAACATTTTTATTATAATCGACCCTGTTGAAAAAAAAACTCACTGTTTCAAAATTTCTCCAATTTTTTAAAAATACATATAGCGTGATGATAAGAGCAAAATTAACCAAATCCGAAAAAATCTTGTTAAAATTTTGAAACAGTGGATTTTTTTCAATAACATGTAGGCCTTTTTTTGCCACATCATTGACTTTGTTAATTTTGTTAGCAAAATGAACAAAATTCGAAAAAATATTGTAAAAATTTTGAAACAGTGGATTTTTTTCAAAAATAATAAACATGTCGGAGTCCTTTTGATTTGAAATGTAGTAATCAAAGTGGCAAGTTGAGAAATTTGTGAAACGTATTTCGACCGGGAAAATTTATTTGAGGAAAATTGAATAAATGTATGTTTTCTAGTAGATTTTGACCCTTTTCTCAACTGAGTTATGACGTAGCAAAATTATCCATAAACACAGGAAATAATCCAAAATAACTAACTTGTTAGCAAAAAAAAATAATTTTTCAAATTTTTTGCAGAAATTTTGAAACAGTGGATTTTTTTTCGAAAAAAAAAATTTTTTTGAAAATTGATAATAAATCTTTTTTCTTATTAATAAATACAAAAAATATGTGTAATCCCCTGTTGAAAAAACTCACTGTTTCAAAATTTCTCCAATTTTTAAAAATTATGTACAGTGATGATTGCAGTAAAATTAACAAAATCCGAAAAAATCTTGTTAAAATTTTGAAACAGTCGATTTTTTTCGAAAAAAAATAATTTTTGAAAATTGATAATAATTTTTTTTCTAATTAATGAATACAAAAAATATATGTAATCGACTCTGTTAAAAAAACTTACTGTTTCAAAATTTCTCCATTTTTTTGCATTTATAATTAATATGACAATACATATCCTTGATATCAAAATTAACAAATTCCGAAAAAATCTTGTTAAAATTTGAAACAGTTAATTTTTTTTCAATAACATTTAGGCCTTTTTTGCCACGTCATAACTTTAATAAAACCAAAAATCTGATTTCAGTGTGACAATCTGAACAAACGCCCTCTTGCATTCGTCGATTTACACGGTCATTCGAAAAAATGGGATTATTTCGTGTATGGCAACAATCCGGCTGAATCTTGGAGATCAGAAGATGCTCCAAGTTGCTCAGAACAACACGAAGATGAGCATTTAGCATTGCCGCGAGCTCTCGAAACTGTTGCAAACAATAAATTCAACGCATCGGAATGTCGTTTCTCAATAACTCGCGCAAAAGAAGCGTCAGCACGTGTCAATATTTGGCGACAATTTGGTGTAACTTGGGCTTATACACTTGAATCGACATATTGTGGATTCAATTCGAAAGGTTGTCAGATTAATATGGGAGATTTGAAGGATATTGGAAGAGAGCTGCTTTTTTCGTTTTTGGAGATTTCGAATTTTTCGCTTAATAAGGACGCATAATTTATGATTACACAGTATTTTTTTGGTATTTGTGGCGTGATTTGGGTGGATTTTTGGCGCGAAATTCGAATTTTATGAAATATTATATTCGACCCCATTTTTAGTTGGACATCGACTAAATGACATTTTCATGTTTTTTAAGCAAATGAGTTGAAATATTGGGTTTTAATTTCATTCATATGATAGAATGCTCTAAGACGAACAGAATGCTATAAATTTTGATGAGTTTACGTTATCCATAAGTGATTTAGCGACCTTTAGTCGATCGACTCGGCTTATCGACTAAACCTCGCTAAATCACTTATGGATAACGTAAAGTCATTAAAATTTATATCATTCTGTTCGTCTTAGACCATTCTATCATATGAATAAAATTAAAACCCAATATTTCAACTCATTTGCTCAAAAAACATGAAAATGTCATTTAGTCGATGTCCAACTATAACTCCATTTTTCTAGCCAAATCACCTCGCAAATTGTGGGTCACATGTAATATGTTCTCTATTTATTTATGCATTTTTTGGATACTTATTCGGTGTGATACTATTTATTTTTTCCTATTGATCTCATGTGTTTTTCTAGCATAATAAAAAAGATTTTTCTAGTTTCCGAGCAAAAACTGAAAGTAAATTAATTTATCGGCCGAATCGAGTACACTTTTCTGTTCTGATATAACTAAGAATACAAATCTTTTTTTTTCATTTTTCCCCGTGCTAATCCGAACAACATATCCCAGATTTATTTTTCTATTTTATTATTATTATATGTTTTGGCTCTTCTTCTTCTAGAAACACCCCCGTCTTCCATTATTATGATTAGTATTATTTATATTAGGGATATTAGTTTTGGAGCATTTGAGCACCTGCCATTTTTGGCTGCTTTCGGGTTTTTTGATTTTTGGTATAGTTCAATTATTTTAGACTTGAGAATTTTGACTAAGTTTTTGAAAAAGTTTTTGGAATTTCAGCTTCTCAAGAGAGGATCAAAGTTTTTGATCTACAAAAATGCTGCGAACTTTTATTTTGCTGTAATTTCAGCTTTGTCAGGGTTAGATTCACGTTTTATAGGAAAATGCTACTTTCTCATGCTAGAAAATTTCATTTTAGCTTCAAAACCGTTAAAAATCTGCCAAAAATCAATATTATCTATCACAATCCAATTTCTCATGTCAAAAAATCATTTTCCAGATGTTCGCCAACCTCAAAAAACCGGAAATTCAATGATTTTTCCCAAAAAACAGATTTCACCCAATTTCTCGTAAAATTCAATTTTCCTCCGTAGTTTCTTGGATTTCTTTATAGTTCTAGGTCAAAAATACGATTCTCAATATATTCCCAACCTCAAAATCTCAAAATTCCCCAGTTTCAGCCAAGAAAACCCCGAAAACGCTGAAAATTAAAAAAAAAAGTTGGAAATGCAAAGTGTGCGCCACGAGACCACACAAAAGTAGTACGGTAGCAATTGTTTCGACTGTGTGAATTTTTGTTTTCTTCATTTTTCCACTGAAAAATTAGAAATTCCAGCCGAGCGAAGGTGGTGTCTAGAAATAAACCTGCTCGAATCAAAAATAAACGCATTTTCGAATTTTTGACGTGTTTCATTGATAAATTGACGAAGTTTTCGTGCATTTTTTCAGCTGGCACTACTAGAAAATGGGCAGAAAATTATTATTTTGAACGAAAAAAAAGCAACTCGAAGTTGAGTGCAATTTTCTTCGAAAATGCCAAATTTTCCAATTATTTTTGCTATTTCGAAATTCTTTTTTATTTTTGTTTTTCGCGTTTTTTTTCAGAGAAAAAAGTTAATGATGCGCAAGAGAATTTCAGTTTTTTTGTTTTTTTGGCACTGAAATTTGAAATTTAAAATTCCACGTGGTTTCTAATTTTCTGCAATTTCTAATTTTTTGGCTGAAAAAGAAAAAAAAACAAAAATTCACACAGTCGAAACAGTTGCTACCGTACTTTTGTGTGGTCTTGCAGCGCAAACTTCATTTTCAATTTTTTTTTGATTTTCAGGGGTTTCTTGGCTGAAACTTCGGAATTTTGAGGTTTTGAGACTGGAACTACAAAGGAAATCTAGAAAAGGCCTGGAAAAACTTGTCAAAAAACTTGGGACCAAAAGAAACCTGTGAGAATTTGGATTCTCATTAAAAAACAAAAAAAAACTATAATCCCAAAAGAAACCCATCAAAAAAATCTCTATCTCTCATCTTTTTTTTTCATTTTTTCATCATCATCGATAAAAAAAAATCTTCTCTCCAAGAGAGCTCTCTGCACTCTCTCATATTTCCCATTATCTCTCACCACTCGTCTCTTTTTCTCTGCACCCTCTCATATTTCTCTCTCGGCTCTTTTTTTCTCTGCACTCTCTCCTCTCTCTCTTTATTTTTTGTGTGTTTCTCCATTTCTTTTTTTTTTCGCCAGTGCTCCTTTGGCCAATGCACTTTTTGAAATTAATTTTTCCGGTCGAAAATGTGACTTTTTTTGTTGGTGTTGTGGCGGAGATCAAAAAATGTGCGCGCGAATTTTGAATGCGGGATTTTTCGCGGTCACGTGGTTTTTTAAGGAAAATTTTTTTGGTTTTTGAACGTGGGAAGGTTTGTTTTTGAAAAATGAAAAACAAAAAGTTATGAAATTTTTTCAATTTTCAAAAAGTTTTGAAATTTTGAATTGCTCTCTTTTTGGCGCCAAAAATCAAATCAAACTAAAAAAAAATTTCGCAAAAAAAAATTCCGCGGATTTTCGGCGGATAATCATCAAAAAATCCGATTTTCAATGAAGCGCAAAATTTTTTTTCTAAAAATAATCATTTTTTTCCGAAATTTTAGTCCTTTTTCTTCTTTGTTAAAGGAAAAAAAAATCTAAAATGCATGTTTTTTGGAGCATCATGACTTCTTTTTTTTTCTTTTTTTTTTCAAGTTTGCCCCAAACTTGACTATAGTTTTCCGGCCAAAACAACAAAAAAAAACAGTTTTTTGGCCACAAAATTTTCTGAAAACTACATTTTCAAATCTTGAAAAACCAGTTTTAATACAAAATTGTTTGTATTCAAATTCAAATTTATTCACAAAATTTTCGCCCCAAAACTTCTTTTTTTTTTCAAAATTTGTATATAAAAATAATATAAACTCTTATCACATGACTGACCAAAAAATGCCATTTTTTGTTGCTTTTTTCAATATTTTTATTGATTTTTCAAATAACTAGAAATGTTATTTGGCGCCAAAAAAAAATCCACGTGGCACAAAAAAAACGTGAAATTTTATCGATTTTTTGTCATTTTGAAATTTTGCAATTTTTCAAATGCGCACAGAGGTTTTATTACTACCGAGAATTAATCACGTACAAAACATTTTATCTGACGACAAAAAACCTCCGCAAACAGCACGCTACGTGGCCGACAAAAAAAAACAATAGCGTGTGGCCGGCCTCGCGAGATGTCGGTCGCTGCAAACACACATATAGCCCGATTTTTTTCTTTTTATTTGTGTGTCTTTTGAGCCAAAGGGTTTTCAATTTTCTTTTTGAAAATTTGAAAATCTAAGCTCCGCCCACATATCTGTGCGGAAAAAGATGGGCGGAGCCAAATTTCTCGATTACAATTTTACATTGACTCGGTAGTGAAAAAACCCCTGTGAAATGCTGAAAATTTAGGCGGGGACTAGTTATTCGTAAGTTGGAAAAACTAGTCCCCGGATTGATTTATTTGAATTTTTGCATCACTATTGAGACGTAGAGGGGGACTAGTTTTCCACTTATTGAAAACTAGTCCCTGGCTTGAATTTTCTTCTCAACCAGTTTTTAACCTGCGGACTAATTTTTCACTTTAAGAAAAACTAGTCCCCAGCTCGAAAATCCAAATGGGGACTAGTTTCCCTTTGCAAAACCTAGTCCGTAACATTCTCTTCGATTTTCTTCATTTTTAACCCGATTTTTCTCAAGAGGGACTAGTTTTTCCACCTCTGCGCCACCTAGTCCCTCACCCAAAATCCTTCGATTTTCAGCCCAATTCCCAATTCCAACTCTAAATTCACATCAAAAAGATAAATGCGAATGTCGAGCTCGGGTGGAACACCGCGAAAATTCTCGGAGAAGATCGCAATTTTGGAGCGAAAACAAAATGAGGAGAATAGCACATTTGCGGATATTATGCGAGAAGTTCGATCGATAACCACAACAAATGATCAAACTACAAATCCGATTGGAATTCCTGGGCAACAGAATCTACTAACACCACAACATGGCGGAGGATGGCGGGGAGGACAGGCGTATGGAAGTTTGCCCAATGTTCATCAAATGCCTTCGTATTCGGATGGTGGACAACCTTGGCAGCAACAACCATGGCAGAATGATATGAATTTAGAGCAGCAGCAACAGCACCAGCAAAATGGTGGGGGTGGAAGTAATCATCGAATTTATCCGATGGTGAGTATGGTTTTGGGGAGAGGGACTAGATTTTCGCATTTGGGGAAAACTAGTCCTCGCTTTATATTTTTCAAAATCTTCACAAAAATGTTTTATTTCCCGCTTCGAATTTCGGGGACTAGTTTTTCACCTGTGGCAATCCTAGTCCCTCAATTCTGCATGAAAATTGGGGGACTAGATTTTCGCATTTGAAGAAAAACTAGTCCCCCACTTTTTATTTTTCAAAATCTTCACAAAAATGTTTTATTTCCCGCTTCAAATCTCGGGGACTAGTTTTTCGCCTGTGGCAATTCTAGTCCCTCAATTCTGAATGAAAATTGGGGACTATCTTTAAAATTTGAGAAAAACTAGTCCCTCGCTTGAAATTATTCAAATACGTCATATATTTTCTGGATATCGAGTCGGGGACTAGTTTTTTCGCCTGTGGGAAAACCTAGTCCCTCAATTCTCGATGAAAATTGGGGGGACTAGATTTTCGCATTTGGGGAAAACTAGTCCCCCGCTCGAAATTATTCAAAATGTGAATTTTTGGCACCAAGACAAAATTTTTGAACAATTTTTCTGAAAAAAATTCAAAGCCTACATATTTTTTGCACAAAATTCTAAAATTGAATGATTTTTAATTTTAAAATCTTCACTGTTTCAAAAATTTCTGATAAATTTCAATAGATTTCCTAGACCTTGGTAACTCCATTGCTAATTTTCCACGAGCTCCAATTTTTGCTCCAAAAAATCTATTTTTATTCGTGTTCTTGGAACTTTTTTCCCCTGTTCTTTGGAAAAATTTCTGATTTTTTTCCGCTTCGAAAATTTTGCAGAAAGAATGTTCTAGTCTCAAAATTTTTTGTGACTAACCAAAATTGATAAGATGGTCAGAAAACGTGCAAAAAATAGAGAATTTGAAATTTTATTTGGAGTTTGATATGAAAAATTTTGAAAAATCCTAATTTTTGCAGTCAAACCGTAGTCGTTCACCAGAAGAGCGTCATTTGATGGGAAATGGTGTGATTGGTCATCATTATCATCCATATGGACGTGGTTCATCTTCACATAGTCGATCACCTGATAGACTTCCACCACAACATAATAATAGCAATAATTATCCAAATGCACCACATTATATTCATCATCAAATGCCTCAAAGTGCCGGATATCAACAACAACCACAAGGGCTGTTTCCACCTGAGAATTGGAATCAGTGAGTTTTGAATTTTGGGGTTGGGAGATTTATGAAACAAAACAACGAAAAATTCAAATAATTTTCTAAATACAATATTTTTGAAACAGTAAATTTTTTCCAATAGACTTGAATTTTTTTAATTTTGCCACGTGAGCGTGAAAATTTTCCAACTTGAATCTGAATGTTGATTTTATCAAATTCAAAAAAAAACTATCGAAATTTATGTGATTTTTGAAACAGCAGAATTTTCTGGATTTTTAAAGGAACATTTTTTAAAACAAAGTATTGAAAACATGATCAGAAATTGATTTTTCAATTGAAAATTAGGCAATATTTTGAAACAGTGGAAAATTTAAAAAGCAAAGTTAACACATCAAAGTTCAAGAAAATATTAAAATTAATATACAAATTTTGAAACAGTAAGATTTTTCGATACTGTTCAAACCATCAGAAGCGAATCCGAGAAAAAGCCATCAAAATTTATGTGAGATTTTTGAAACAGTATTTTTTTTAACGATTTTTTAATAAAATTATTTGAAGGCTAAAAATGTAATCATTATCAGAAATAAATTTTACACTTGAAATTATGACAGTTTTTGAAACAGTGAATAATTTCTGAAACATAAATTATATCAAATTCAAGGAAACATATTGAAAATTCATATCAAAATTTTGAAACAGTGAGATTTCTCAATAATTTTTCACCTATGAAAGAATTTTTGAAGTTTTTTTTTGAAAATTTTTTCCTGAAACAGTGAATTTTTCCGATCTTTGTCTATCTATCGAATAGAAAATCAGATTTTTTGAAACGTATGTTTTCACCGAAAAATGTGAAGGAATTGGGGGAAATTTGAAAATTCTACTGTTTCAAGATTTTATTTGGGATATCATGATAATTTTCACTGCTGAATAAAACTTTTCAATGTCAAATTTCAGGCAAAAAATGTTCGAAAATTTTTTTGGAAAGTTAATGAATAGTTCATCGAATCCAAGAAAAAGCCATCAAAATTTATATGAGATTTTTGAAACAGTCAATTTGTTAGAATTCACATTTTTGAAGAAAAAATTTTGCCAATATTTGTCACTGATAAATTATCAGAGATTGATTTCACACTTGAAATTATGACAGTTTTTTGAAACAGTGAATAATTTCTGAAACATAAATTATATCAAATTCAAGAAAATATTAAAATTAATATACAAATTTTGAAACAGTGAGATTTTTCAATAGAACTATAAAAGAAATTTTGAAGCTGCTTCAAAAATATTTTTTCTAAAACTGTAGAATTTTTCCTATCTTTAGCTATATACTGAATAGAAAATAAAACCATTTCAAGATTTCTTTGGATTTTTTGAAACGTATGTTTTCACCGAAAAATGAGGAGGAATTGGGGGAAAAATTTGGTTTAAAATATCTACTGTTTCAAGATTTATATTTGGGAAATCATGTGAATTTTCACTGCTGACGAAAGTTTTTAATGTCAAATTTCAGGGAAAAAATGTTCGGAATTTTTTTGGAAAATATTAGGTAGGATTTATCGAATCCAAGAAAAAGCCATCAAAATTTATGTGTATTTTTTGAAACAGTCAATTTTTTGCTGAAAATTTTTTAGAAGTGGAAAAGCCTCGAATAATCAGAAATTAATTTTACACTTGAAATTATGACAGTTTTTTGAAACAGTGGAAAATTTCTGAAACATAAATTGTATCAAATTCAAGGAAACATATTGAAAATTCATATCAAAATTTTGAAACAGTGAGATTTTTCAATAGAACTGTGAAAGAAATTTTGAAGTTTTTTTTTTGAAATAATTTTCCTGAAACAGTGAATTTTACCGATATTTGTCTATCTATTGAATAGAAACTAAAAATTTTCAAAATTAAAAAAAAATTTTTAAACGTATGTATAATTTCTGTAATTGTTTCGGATTTTTAAAAACCATCAAATGTGGAATTTTTGAAATGGTAAATTCTTCAAAGACTTTTTGTGATATTTTTTATTAACCTTATAAATTTACCCCATTAACTTATCGAAAAATTAATCAAAAACTCATACAATTTTTGAAACAGTGAATTTTTGCTTTGCAGAATAAATCGTGCTCGAAGTGATCCAGCAATTCATAATATGGGAATGGTTCAACAACAACCTCAAAATCATCAACATATGCATTTTATTCAACAACATCCCAATCCAAATCACGAGATGTTTTATGCACAAAATTCGATGGTGAGATTTTGCCACCAAAAACCCTGGCAAATTTTAAATTCTGATTTTTTGCAGCCTGGTCCGTCTTCTGGAATGATTCCAGCACCTCTACAATTATCAAATATTCAACAACAACAAAATGGAAGTGGAGGAGGAGGGATTTCACCATTACAATCACCAAATATGATGCCAAATCCAATGGGAGGATATTGGTGAGTTGGATTTTTATTTGGTAGGCGAAAAATTGAAACAGAAAATTTTTCTGAAAGCAAAAAATATACTAGATGTTATTTTCCCAACGAGATACAACTTCATATTAAATTCTATTTATTTCATGATAAATTATTGAAACAGTAGATTTTTTTGGGCAAAAACCCGGAGAATTTCAGCTTTTCAAACATTTTGATTTATTTTTGGTTTCGATAGAAATTGAATTTTCAATCTCAAATTCTTTTTGAAAAATTATTGAAACAGTAAATTTTTAATGAACATTTTGGTGAAAAACTGGTTTATTGTAGCTTGTAATTTTCACTGTTTCAAAAATGCATGAATCTAGAAACATTAGGTTAAATTTTGATAAATGCCAAATTGGGGTAAAAAAATTATCTAGAACTCACGAAATATTAATTAATAACATAACTACAAAAATCTAAAAGAAAGAATGTAGTTTTTGTTCCCAAAAATTTCACTGTTTCAAAAATTTTATGATTTTTCCAGAGATTTTTGAAATTTTGCTCACCCCCATAATAGCTCATTTGAATTCAATTTTGAAAGTTGGAAAAAAAGCGTCTGCAAAATCTCGCTGTTTCAAAATTTCTATAAAAATTACTGGGCTAAAAGGTGGAGTTTCAGAACACGTTTCAACATTAAAAAACACGTCTATAAAATTTCACTGTTTCAAAAATTTTATGATTTTTCTAAAGATTTTTGAAATTTCGCTCACCCCCATACCATCTCACTTAAATTATTTGAATTCAGTTTTGAAAGTTAGAAAAAAAGTGTCTGCAAAATCTCACTGTTTCATAATTTCTATAAAAATTACTAGGCAAAAAAATGGAGTTTAACAACAAATTTCTTTCAACAACAAAAACCCGTCTATAAAATTTCACTGTTTCAAAAATTTTATGATTTTTCTAAAGATTTTTGAAATTTCGCTCACCCCCATAAAAGCTCGCCTAAAAAATTTGAATTCAATTTTGAAAGTTGGAAAAAAGCGTCTGCAAAATCTCACTGTTTCAAAATTTCTATAAAAATTACTGGAGTTTAGGAACAAATTTCAACAACGAAAACACGTCTATAAAATTTCACTGTTTCAAAAATTTTATGATTTTTCCAGAGATTTTTAAAATTTGGCTCAGCCCCATATCATCTCACTTAAAATATTTGAATTCAGTTTTGAAAGTTGAAAAAAAAGCGTCTGCAAAATCTCACTGTTCCAAAATTTCTATAAAATTAACAAGGCAAAAAATTGAAGTTTAGGGAAAAATTTCAACAACAAAAAACACATCTATAAAATTTCAATGTGTCAAAAATTTTATGATTTTTCCAGAGATTTTTGAAATTTTGCTCACCCCCAAAATAGCTCACTTAAAATATTTGAATTCAGTTTTGAAAGTTGGAAAAAAAGCGTCTGCAAAATCTCACTGTTCCAAAATTTCTATAAAAATTACTAGGCAAAATTGAAGATTTTGAACAAATTTTAACAACAAAAAACACATCTAGAAAATTTCACTGTTTCAAAAATTTATGCAATTTTAGAATAACAAAATTACCCAAAAATTGTAAGTTTCAAAAATTATCTAATATTCCCAAAGAATTTTGAAATTTTGCTTCATTTTTCATCTCCATATTCATATTTTCAGTTATCAAAACGGTTCATCTCATGTTTCACCAATGCAATCACCAATGGGTTCACCACACGCATCTTCTCTAATGTTAGATGGCGGAAGTCAAACACCATATATGGAACTAAGTCCGCCAGGAATGCAACAAATCGATCAATCAATGGGTTCACTACCAAATGTAAATAATTTGCAACAAAATGGAGGAGGAGGATATTATCAGATACAACAAGGACAAACAACACATCAACCAATTGGACCAAGACATAGTACTGGTGGAAGTTGTGGATTATCGAGATTGGCACCTGGTGGACCATCACAATCTGAACAATCATCGCAATCGGCACCGACTTCACCTCATCAACAATTTGATCAGAATCAACAACCGAGTTGGCCGACTAGGTTTGGAGATTTTTTTGGGAGGGAAATATTCGCTGTTTCAAGAATTTGTGGATTTCAAAGATGCTTTTAAATAAATGTTGGAGAAAGCGTACTTAGAACAATTCACTGTTTCAAAAATTTTGCTATTTCAAAATATGAAGATTTTAATCCAAAAAAAATCAAAATTCAAAAGAGCAACAAAAATTTAGCACAAAAATTTACTGTTTCAAAATGTGTTTCAAAAAGTTTAATCCAGAAAAGTTTATAAATTTTTTTTTTGAAAATTCATTTTTTCAAAAATTCTAATGAATTTTGGTTTTGTTTTTGAAATTAGTAAATTAATTGTTTTTGAAATTAGAAACTAATTTTAAAATTTGTTGAAAAATTTTCTGTTTCAAAATTATGTTGACCTGAGATCCTAGAATAAAATTTCTCAAAAAATATTGTGCGTTTGGAAATGAGAGTCACCCCGCGAAAAATTAAATTTGAATTTGTTGCAGGAGACGCAGACAGCGAGAGAGCGCGCTGGCAATCAGCCAACGGGGGTTTTGTATGGGAAAGCGACCGCAACGCACACGCATCGCGGGGGTAGGGGGAAATTAGAGATTTTCCCAAATTCAAATTTATTTTTTCGCGGGCTGACTCTCATTTCCAAACGGACAATATATGAATTATGTGAAACAGCGAATTTTTTATCGGAAAAAATTCTTAGAAATTGTTTCAAAAATACACTGTTTCAAAAATTTTGCTAATTCAAAATATGAATTTTAGCTGACACAATACATTTTTGGGAAAAAATCATTCAATTTCACTGTTTCAAAAATTTGTCAAAGAATTTGACATCGTTTTGTTCCTCAAATTTTAAATTTAGAAAATTATGGAAAAATTTACTGTTTCAAAAATTTTGCTAATTCAAAATATGAAGATTTTATTTCAAAAAAATCAATATTCAGAAGAGCAACAAAAATTTAGCACAAAAATTTACTGTTTCAAAATGTGTTTCAAAAAGTTTTATCCAGAAAAGTTTATAAATGTTTTTTTTTGAAAATTTTTTTTTTCAAAAATTCAAACAAATGTTGATTTTTTTTTGAAATTGGTAACAAACAGTGGCCTTGAAAATTGAATTTTTAATTTGTTGAAAAATTTACTGTTTCAAAATTATGTCAAAGATTGTTCATTCACTCAGATCCTAGAATAAAATTTCTCAAAAAATATATGAATTTTGTGAAACAGTGAATTTTTTATCGGAAAAAAAATTCTTAGAAATTGTTTCAAAAATACACTGTTTCAAAAATTTTGCTAATTCAAAATATGAATTTTTTGCTGACACAATACAGTTTTGAGAAAAAAATCATTCAATTTCACTGTTTAAAAAATTTGTCAAAGAATTTGACCTCGTTTTGTTCCTCAACTTTTAAATTTAAAAAACTTTTTAAAAAATTATGGAAAAATCTATTTTTTTCAAAAAATTCAAATAAATGTTGGTTTTTTTTTAAATTAGTAACAAAGAGAGATCTTGAAAATTGAATTTTTAATTTGTTGAAAAATTCACTGTTTCAAAATTATGTCAAAGATTGTTCATTGATCTCAAATACTAGAATAAAATTTCTCAAAAAATATATGAATTTTGTGAAACAGCGAATTTTTTATCTGGAAAAAATCTCAGAAATTTTTTCAAAAATACAATGTTTCGAAATTTTTTCTTCTAGAAAAAAATCAAAAATCGAAATTCGAATTTTCCAAAATCTCATAAATATTTTTTGAAACAGTAAATTTCATTTCATTTTCACCCCAACTTTTTTTTTGCAGAACATTTTCGAATTCACCCGAAGCTCTCGATATTCCAACAGTGGTTTTGACAAATGCTGAAGGAACACCCGGACAACATTTGGAATGTTTTAATGATCTACAGGTACAGTAATCTTCTTTTTGGCGCCAAAACATCCATCTACAGTAATTCTTTTTCTTTGCAGGACCTAACACTCAATGAAAATGATCTATCACTTTTATGCAATAATGATCAAATTTAATTTGAATTTTCTTTCGTTTTTTTTTTGTTTTTTCTTGCCATTTCAGGGATTTTCAACCTCTTCTCTGATTTTTTTTGGATTTTTCTGAACGTTTTCAAGTTTCCCCCCAACTTTTGTGATATTTTAATCTCGATTTTTTCTCGTTTTTTGAAATACTTATGTATTTGCATTTTAATCAATAATGAATTTTTTTTTTGAAAAAAAAAACGTGCAAAACATTTGATTTTTTGTTTCACAAAAATCAAAACAACATTTCAAATTTTTCACTTTTATTTTTTCGATTAAAAATAATTAATTACATAATACAAATAACCAGGACAAAAAATGACGAAAATAAAAAAAACACCAATTACAAAATCACTTTTAATTATTTTCTTGTTCTTCTTCTTCAGCTTCTGAATCAGATTCTGCCAAACTTGTTTCCATATTTTTATGAATAAATACATTAGAGTCGGCGAAAAAATCGAGTCCCTGATTTGGATCCAAAACTCGACTTTGTCTATAATTTTTGTATTCAGCTTGATCATTTCCATATCTTGGAATGCTTATTTCCACATCACAATCAGTATCAAATCGGGCTCTTTTTGCATTTTCCGGCTCGAAATCTTTTTGTTCTTCGATGAAATTTTGAAGTTTGATTCGTTCGTCCTAGAAAATTAACAGTGTTTAACAAATCAAAAGAAATAATAAATGGTCCTTACCTGATTAACAGATTTCAACAAAACATCTTCATCTTCTAATTCCGCATGTTTCCGCTTTCTTTCCGTTTCTCTTTCAATTCTTGTTTCTTCAAAATATTTTCGACTTTTTTCAGCAATATTTTTATTGATTCTTTGTCGTTGAGTTTTCATTGGTCTTTTCAAATTAATTTTGAAAATACTTCCAAGATCTTCTTTAAATTCGTATCGTTTTCGAACAATTTTATTATAAATCAATGTTTGATTGATTCCAGCTTTTTTCATTTCTTTTACTGTTGTTGTCATCATAAATTCATGAGCTTTTTCATGAAGATCTTTTCGAAGTTTAATCATTTCATCCAAATGTTTTGCTTCTAATTCTTCTAATGCTTCTTTCTGGAAAAATGAGATTATTCAGAGATTGCTGAATAATTCCAGTTGGATTCCCTCAGAATTAGAAACATTGCTCATATTAAATGTTTCCCCATAACTAACCTTTTCATCTTCATATTTCTGTTTCATAATAGCTAATTCTGCAGCAATTTCTTGATTTTCATCATTTCGAATCACATGTTGAGTCTTCAATTGAGTTAACTCATCTTCCAAATCAAGAATTTGAATTTGAAGTTCAGCATTTTTAACAAGAATATTTTCAGCAGACATTGTTCAGACTAGAGTATAGTTACTAATTAATTGATTAGTGGTAACTTTTCCTTTTCAAATCATCCCTTTTATACCAATTTTATCCAAAACTCCGCCCATTTTTTAAAAAATTAATCCACCAATCACCAAATAAGCCACGCCCATTTTTCTAACACTTTTGTGATAAATTTTGAGATTTATGGCAAAATGTCGGGATTTGTTTTGATGTGACACCTGTTGTTTGGAATTTTGGGAAGGAATTTTTGAATTGAATAAGATTATGTGTTTGATTGGGGGGGGGGTATGGTATTTGGCACCGGATTTCCTGGGAAAATTCGGAGAAATGAAAAAAATTACTCGAGATATACCAAGCATCATCAAAATGTCTTGCACATGAAAAATTATGAATCATTTTTGAAACAGTAAATTTTTGTGAAGGTAATTCACAATTAATTTTCGCTTTGTTCTCCTCAAAATTCGAATTGTTTTTAGAATTGTAATGTTTTTTTTTCATAATAATTCTACTGTTTCAAAGTTTTCACATAATTTTTCAACCTTCCAGATTTTCGATCATTTGATGCTTTTTTCATCGGACAAACAAATTAGCTTCTTGAAAAATTCACTGTTTCAAAAAAATACAGCTCCGGAAAAGTTTTTTAATGTTTTAATACATTCAGAATTTATCCTGAAATGTTTTCACAAAAATCTGCTGTTTCAAAAATTTCTCTTCAAAAAATTTAAAATTTTGATTCTCCAATTTGATCTTGTTTTCATCTGAAACGATTTTTTTATCGAAACCCGAAAAAAACTGAAAAACCTTATACATTTGTTGAAACAGCAATTTTTCGTTGAAAAACTAAACACTTCAATTTTCAGTTTTTTTCGAAACATCAAGGAAGAACAATATTTGAAAACTTCAAGAAAATTCAAAGATTTTTTGAAACAGTGAATTTTCAAGAGACTAAAAAGTTTGAAAATTGCCACGTCATAGGTATATTTACTATTTCAACATTATAATGATTAATTTTGAATAATAAATTTTCTTACAAAAATCTACTGTTTCAAAATTATTCTTTAAAGTTTTTCATTAATACGCTTGTTAATATTTGACCTATTGAAATTTTTTAATTTTTCCAGGAAATCCGGTGCCAAATACCGTATTCCTAACACATTGCAATCAAATTCAAATAAAATCTTCCCAAAATGTGTGAAATAATAATAAATGTGTCACATCAAATGGCACCCCGATTATTTCTCACAAAATTTATTGAACAAGTGTCAAATATATCACATTTTTGTTTTTTTTGTTGTTTTTTTGGGAAATGGGAAATGAATACAGAAAAATATTTTTTGAAACAGCAAATCTTTTAGATGTTCAGAAATTTCAACATTTTTCGTCAACAAATGAAACACCGTGTCAAATGGCGTGAGAAAATGCAAATATGCAAGTTTTATCTCACACTCCACCTTTACACAATTCTCACTGTATCAAACGAAAGGTTGTTCTCAAAATATTTTCAGAAAAAGTTTACTGTTTCAAAATTTTCACATATGTTTTCAATCTTTCATCTGAATAATTCGAGGCAGCATTCTAGCGCGAATATCTGAAAAATGAATATTTTCTTCGCACGTGTCCGAATTGCTCTAATTACACAAAAAAAATTTCCGGTAGAAAAATTAATTCTGATTGATTTTTTATGGCTTTGAAGTTTGCAAAGTGTGTAGAAAGAACATGAAACACTGATTTAAGCAAATTTTCTAAAATATCTGGAAGAATTATAGCATTTTTGAAACAGTGAACATTTTTTTTCTTCAAAATTAAATATTCAGAATCAGAAATTTCAAAACCATTATGTATTCTACCGGAAAATGTTCAGTGTTTCGAAATTTTGAGAATTATATTCAGAAATGTCTAGTTTCCACGTGAACTGATTTTTCCATTATCCCAGGAAATCCGGTGCCAAATACCGTATCCCCAAAAATAAACACATAATCTCATTCAATTCAAAAATTCCTTCCCAAAATTCCAAACAACAGGTGTCACATCAAAACAAATCCCGACATTTTCCCATAAATTTCAAAATTTATCACAAATGTGTTAGAAAAACGGGCGTGGCTTATTTGGTGATTGGTGGATTAATTAAAAAATGGGCGGAGTTTTGGATAAAATTGGTATAAAAGGAATGATTTGAAAAGGAAAAGTTACCACTAATCAATTAATTAGTAACTATACTCTAGTCTAGTTATGTCTGCTGAAAATATTCTTGTTAAAAATGCTGAACTTCAAATTCAAATTCTTGATTTGGAAGATGAGTTAACTCAATTGAAGACTCAACATGTGATTCGAAATGATGAAAATCAAGAAATTGCTGCAGAATTAGCTATTATGAAACAGAAATATGAAGATGAAAAGGTTAGTTATGGGGAAATACTTAATATGAGCAATGCTTTTAATTTTTAGGGAATCCAAGCAATTTAAATCTCTGAATAATCTTTATTTTTTCTAGAAAGAAGCATTGGAAGAATTAGAAGCAAAACATTTGGATGAAATGATTAAACTTCGAAAAAATCTTCATGAAAAAGCTCATGAATTTATGATGACAACAACAGTAAAAGAAATGAAAAAAGCTGGAATCAATCAAACATTGATTTATAATAAAATTGTTCGAAAACGATATGAATTTAAAGAAGATCTTGGAAGTATTTTCAAAATTAATTTGAAAAGACCAATGAAAACTCAACGACAAAGAATTCATAAAAATATTGCTGAAAAAAGTCGAAAATATTTTGAAGAAACAAAAACTGAAAGAGAAGCGGAAAGAAAGCGGAAACATGCGGAATTGAATGAAGAAGATGTTTTGATGAAATCTGTTAATCAGGTAAGAGTTATATCTATTATTTCTTTTGATTTGTTAAACACTGTTAATTTTTTAGGACGAACGAATCAAACTTCAAAATTTCATCGAAGAACAAAAAGAAGATAATTATTTCGAACCGGAAAATGCAAAAAGAGCCCGATTTGATACTGATTGTGATGTGGAAATCAGCATTCCAAGATATGGAAATGATCAAGCTGAATACAAAAATTATAGACAAAATCGAGTTTTGGATCCAAATCAGGGACTTGATTTTTTCGCCGACTCTAATGTATTTATTCATAAAAATATGGAAACAAGTTTGGCAGAATCTGATTTAGAAGCTGAAGAAGAAGAACAAGAAAATAATTGATTTTTTATAATTATATAAATAATTAATTTATTTTTTATTTTCGTCATTTTTTGTCCTGGTTATTTTTATTATGTAATTTATTATTTTTAATCGAAAAAATAAAACTGAAAAATTTGAAATGTTTTTTTTCTTTTTTCAATTTTCAGGATACAATTTTTTTTGATGGTTGCAAAGAGCAAATTAAAAATTTCAAGATTATTAATAGACGAAATTCAGAAACAGTAGAACTTTGTGAAACAAAAAAAATTTAATTTAATTTCGCGCTTCAGTTTTTTGGAAAGTGAAAACTACCAACCTCACTAATTTTAAAAATGTGGGCTCACTTGATTTTGAGGCCAATTTTAAGCTGAAAACGAGATTCTGGATCTATAAAGTTGGTTTTTCAGTTCAAAAATTTATCTGTTTACTCTCAAAGCAACTGAAAATAAGCTTTTTCACGTTTAACCGCAATAGTCGGCGAAAAAACCAAAAAAAAATGAAAATTATTGATTTTTCAATTAAAGGGAGCTGCAATTATTTGGTGTGGTCTCGGCGCGATTCGGAGAAGTACGGTGTTTTTTCGCAGCGTCCGAATTTTTTTCATTTTCTTTTTTTTTGTGCCTCGGGACGTTTTTGATTTAGTTTTGTTCTTAGTAGTTGCTATAAAAACTCGATTTTTGTTCAGTTATGTTGATGATTCCCTATTCGGTGAGCGATGTAAAGTTATCCTACGTATATTTGTCCGTTTTTATCCTAAAATTTCGAATTTTTCAATTAAAATGTATTTCTAGATGAGTGGGTTTGGAAACTCTTTCGGAAGTGGAGGATTCGGTGGCGGGGCATCGAAAGGATTCGGCGACTTTGGCGCAAAAACTGAGCAATCGTCAGGATTCGGTGGAAAACCAAGCGGATTTGGAGGTCAAGCAAAGTCTGGCTTTGGTGGAGCTCCAGCATCTGGTGATCAACAAAAAGGATTTGGCGATTCCAACAAATCGTCGGGTTTTGGAGGAAATGCTGGATTTGGAGATTCGAACAAGCAAAGTAGCGGTTTTGGTGGCAATAAACCGTCTGGCTTTGGTGGTCAATCAAACCAATCTGCCGGATTCGGTGGTGGCAGCAACTCTGGATTCGGTGGAGGCGGCTCAGGATTTGGCGGAGGAGAGAAATCTGGAGGTAGTGGCAACTCTGGATTCGGCGGAGGCGGCTCAGGATTTGGTGGAGGAGCGAAATCTGGAGGCGGTGGCAACTCTGGATTTGGAGGAGGTAGTTCCGGATTTGGTGGAGGCGGAAACTCTGGTTTCGGCGGTGGTGCCAACTCTGGATTTGGAGGTGGTGGCAGTACCGGATTCGGAGGAGGCGGAAGCTCTGGATTTGGCGGAGGAGCAAATTCTGGATTTGGCGGTGGCGGCAGTGGTGGTGATAGAGGTTAGAGAATGTGTTGAGTTAATGTTTTAACTAGTTTTTTATTTTAGCTTGTCACGTATGCCAAGAAACTGGTCATATGGCTCGCGATTGCCCACAGAAACAACCAAGAAACTGCTTCAATTGCAATCAACCTGGTCACAATTCAAGAGACTGCACCGAAGAAAGAAAACCACAAAGTTGCCACAACTGCAATCAACCTGGTCACATGTCAAGAGATTGCCCCGAAGAAAGAAAACCACGAGAACGACGACAAGATGGAGGAGGAGCTGGTTTCGGTGGAAGCTCAGGATTTGGTGGCAACGCAGGAGGAGGTGGTTCTGGATTTGGCGGAAATGGCGGTGGATCTGGCTTCGGAGGTGGATCAGGATTTAGCGGAGGATCTGGTTTCGGTGGAAGTGGTGGAGAAGGATTCCGTTCAGGTTCTGGATTTGGAGGTGGTGGAGCAGATGGAGGATTCGGCGGAGAAGGAGGCGAGAATACACGTGGACCAATGAAATGCTTCAATTGTCATGGAGTAGGACATCGGTCATCTGATTGCACAGAACCACCAAGTATGTTTTAGAAAACATTTTCTTTATTTTATTTCATTTTTACTCGTTTCAGAAGGATGTTTCAATTGCGGTCAACAAGGACACAATTCGAGAGACTGCACCGAACCACCAAAACCGAGAGAAGATGGTGAGGAAGGTGTGAAAAGAGCGACTTTCATCCCTGAAGAAGATGCAGTTGAATCTGTTTTCGATATGCAGAAGATCAAGGAAGGACTCAAGTTCGACGAATTCTTCGATGCTGAAGTTACAGTTACTTCTGCATCCAACAGTGTTCCAATCAAACCAATGAGGTAATTATATTCAATTTGCAATCCAACACTTCCAATTCTTCTAATTTTTAGATCGTTTGAAGAAGGTGGTTTGACTGAGACATTGTTGAGAAATGTGAAACATGCTGGTTACACAAGAACCACTCCAATTCAACAATATTCGATTCCACTCATTGAACAAGGATACGATATTTTGGCGTGCGCTCAAACTGGATCCGGAAAAACCGCCGCTTTCTTGTTGCCCGTCATGAACACTTTGCTCAAGGAAAACGATTTGAACACTGCTGGAGAATGTGGATGTTTTCCTCGTTGCTTGATTTTGACTCCAACACGTGAATTGGCAGATCAAATTTACAACGAAGGAAGAAAATTCGCATATCAGACAATGATGGAAATCAAGGCTGTTTATGGTGGAATTGCGGTCGGCTACAGCAAAAGTCAATTGGAAAAGGGTGCCACCGTTATTGTTGGAACTGTCGGTCGAGTCAAGCACTTCATTCAAGAAGGAATTATCAGTCTCGAAAAACTGAGATATTTCGTGCTTGATGAGGCTGACAGAATGATTGATGGAATGGGCTTTGGAGATGACATCACACACATCACTCAAGTCAATGGAATGCCATCAAAGGAGAACCGTCAAACACTCATGTTCAGTGCAACATTCCCGGATTCAATTCAATCCGCAGCTCGCGAATTCATGAAGCCAGAATACGCAATGATTGCAATCGACAAAATCGGAGCAGCCAACAAATGCGTCACTCAAGAATTCATCAATTGCGAGCGATCGGAGAAACGCGAAAAGCTGTTGGAATTGTTGGGTGTCGATTTGACAAACTACACATCCGAAAAGGACAATGATGTTTTCACAAAGAAGACAATCGTTTTCGTGTCGAGAAGAACATTTGCGGATTCTTTGGCTGTCATTTTGACATCATCTGGAATTCCGACAATGACAGTGAGTTATCTTATCAGTTTTTTGAATTGAATCTATTTGAAATTCGAATATTTCAGATCCACGGTGCTCGCGATCAACAACAAAGAGCTGAAGCACTTCGCGTATTCAGAAATGGCTCGAAGCCAGTTTTGATTGCAACCGCAGTCGCCGAACGTGGATTGGATATCAAGGGAGTCGATCACGTCGTCAACTTTGATATGCCAGACAACATCGATGATTATATCCACAGAATCGGAAGAACTGGTCGTGTTGGAAACGTCGGTCGATCAACTTCCTTCGTTTCATCAAATGACTCAGCACTTTACGGAAGTCTCGTCTCAATTTTGAATCAAGCCGGTCAAATTGTGCCAGATTGGATGGAAGGATCTTCAGGCGCTGCAACTGGCTTCGGATCAGGTGCAGCTGGATTCGGGTCAGCCGCGAACGCCGAAGAAGACTGGTAATCTTTTACCCCTCCACTTTTTATCTTGTTTTTAATTTTTTTTGTTATTTATTTTTGTATTTTTTTTGTAAAATTCGATCATGTTGATTTTCTGTTTTTATCTTTAATCACATGAATATTTCTTTGTTTTAAATTGTTATTTTTATTTTCTCTGAAAAATTCGGATTCTGTAAAACAAAGAGTTTCTTGAAATTTTTCATTCAAAGAAACCTCCAAACTTCGTGTGTGGTTTGATTAATAGTGGGAATGTTGAAACAAGGAGCTGACACTGGGAAAATGAAAAATCAGATTTCTGTGCCCTCGAAACAGCGAATTTTCTATGGAGAAAATTTTTCGTTGTGAAAAACTTGAGAAACATCATTTTGAAGCTGAAAATTCACTTTTTGCTCTGATAATTTATGTTTTTGTGTCTACTATAAAAATTTCGGAAATTCACAAAAATATACTGTTTCAAAATCAGTTGTTCAAAAAAAAATGTACTTCTTCAATGTTCATTTTATTTCAAAATCATCAAAACTGGATTGATTTGTTTGATGTTCTGAAATTTGATTAAAATGATTTTAATAATTTTTTTTCCATGTATTTTTACTGAAAATTCAACTTTTCCAAGTTTTATTGTTTGAAAAAAATTTTGGAACTTCACAAAAATTAACTGTTTCAACAAACCAATAGAGAACACAATACTATTTAAATTATGCTTTTCTTAAGGTTCTACATTTTAATTCAAAATTTTCAAAGTGATAATATTTGCAATTTAAACATGTGTATAATTCTGATATATTTCTCAAATTTCAGAAAATCAAAACGATTTCTCCACTAACCACACAGCTTCGATGAAAAATACTTGAAAAAATTTTGAAACAGTTTATTTTTGTGAAGTTGCAAAATTTCTATTAAAACTGAGAAGAATTGAGGAAAAATAGAGTTTTCAGTGGACATGGTCAAAAGAAGCGTCAAACTAATTTTTGTTAGCTTGAAGAGATTAAACACAATTTTCGAAACAGTGAATTTTTTCTGAAGAAAATTTTTAATTTCGAAATTCGCGAAGTAAATTTCTTCCACGTGACGTTATTTTCGAAATCATCTTGAAAATTTTGTTTAAAATTTGTTTTGTGAATCGAAAACACTTGAATTAAACATTGAGAAAAAAAATAAACAACTTTGCTTTTGCTAAATAATTTTTGCTTTTTCGACGAAATCGAGGAAAAATTGAGTTTCCGATTCTGCAACTCGTAATCAGAAAAAAAACAAAGTTTTCGGTTTTTCTAATCAAAATTGTTTGGCCTTGAAAATATTGAATTTGCTGATTTTGTGTGCAAAATACTTGAGATCTGAAATTTATCAAGAAAATACTCAAACATATGTCCAAAAATGAAACGTTTATCTAACAATAAATAAATTTTGCTCTGAATGTGTATCTGTGATATGTATGTCGTGCTTTCAGGTGGCGAGGTTGAAAATTGTGCCGTTTTTTCTGGAAAAAAATTGAATTTCAAACTTTTTTTTAAATAAAAAAAACTCACCTAATTTTGTAACTTCGAATACAATTTGTTGGGTTGTCATAACTTTTACAACATAAATTACTGTAGAAAAAGAAGTACTGTAGTTTAGATACAGTTTAGTTAGTCCAAATCTCACACTTTCCAATTTTTGACATCAGTGGGGATGATTCTGCAAAATTTTGGATATGATAAAAAAAATCAATAAAACTCACCAAAAAACATGTTCGCATTCAGAAAATCATTGAGGTATTTTTAAAGATTAATCTAGAAAATATTACTGTAGTTTAGATACAGTTCAGCAAAATTATAAAATAAAAAGAAAATGAGAAAATATAAGAAGTGTAATATTTTTATGATGGGCGGAGCTTATTTTATTGAGCGTGGGTATAAAAAAAGATGAAAGAGATTAGAGATTATTACTTTTTGGTATAATTTATATGTATGTTTGTATAAGGTACTGTACTTTTGAATGAATACAGTAACCATGCAAAATATATATATTTTTCGATTTTTTCAAGGAAGTCAAATGATTGAATTCGAAAAAACCGAAAAAAATAAGCACAACTTTTGAAACAGTGTTTTTTTCCAACAATTTTTCAAAAATTTCTGCGGGCCAGGCAGGCTTTGATTTTTGTGAAATTGAAATATATTATTTATGAAAATTTTGAAATTAAAATTCCTCATTTCGAGCTGTAACTGTAATCAATCGTGTCTATTGATCCATTCTCAGTCAAATCGAAGTACGGTTTGAATTTTGTCTTGTGAACAATCATTCTACGATCTTGCGGATCAGAAGTGCAATCGTGTTGGAATGCGATTTTAGCTGGCTGAAAATCGATATATCTTCAAACATTTTGAAAAAAAACTTTTAAAACTTTTCCATAAAAATTTCGAACAAAATCGATTCCATTGCTATTTTCAGCTTGAACTCGTTCTTTGTATAAATATATATGGTTATATTCATTCCAGTATTCAATATCAGCATACCATTTGGTTTTCAAACCACAATATAAATGAAATATGACTTGGTTAAGTGGAATAATTTTAAACCCAGTTGTCATTATCAAACCTTTGTTTGTCAAATTCATTTTCTCGGTGTATTCTGTTTTTGGAACTTTTCTATAAGGTATTTTTGGATTTGAACTGCAATTGTGAATAAATCCGATGTGTGTTGGCTTAACAAAACCCGTCATTTTTGAAAAAATCAATAAAATACTCACATTCTTCTTAAAATTCCGTCTGAAATAGAAGTGACTGGAATTTTTCACTTGGATTTGTTCATCGGCAATACTTGAAACATCTTTCGAATTTGAATAATAGACTTCAACATACCAATCAAGTTTAGCATAACATGTCAGGTTGAATTCGATTCCCACTTTAGAATAAGTGAAATTAGTAGAACCTGGTGTGCTAAGATATCCGAAATTGGTGATTCTGGTTTGTTTATCGTGCAGATTTCTTTGACCTCTTCTCCATGGACCAAATCCTTCCATATTACAATTGTGAGCTATGTCTATTTTTCGAGTTTCTGCCAACATCTGAAATTACGTTTTCATTTTCGTGAAAAAAAAGATTTGGAAGCGTTGCAGTCGCGCTGCGCTGTCTGTTTCCTTTTTTTCACAATCCTAACCTCATCTACCGACAACAAATATGTTTTGTTAAACCAATTTGAGTCAGCAATATAATGCGATTCATGTCGATATTGTCTGTGATCTCGATCATTTGTGAAAAACAAATGAATATCCCAATGTTTTTTGATATCACAATAAAGTGACAAATTTACAGGATATTTTTGATTTTTAACCAATTCAATTGAAACAATTGAAAATTGAGAAATTATTGATAGAAAAATGATTAACAGGTTCATTTTGATATGAAATTGAAATAAAAGATTATTTTCAAAGAAGAATTGCTTGAAAATTGGATGATGTCTAGACAAAATGGAATGTTGTGGGAACATTTTTAATTTCGAAATTTGCAAAGTTAATTTCTTATCCCATTTTTATTGTTAGTAACAATTTTGGAACTTCACAAAAATTTACTGTTTCAAAATCACTTCTTCTAAAAATAAAAAATGAAAATTTGCTTTGATTGCTTTTACTCGAAAAACGCTTGAAGAAACAGTGAATTTTTTTTCTGGAAATTTTCGAATTATTAAAAACTAGCGTGAACTGATGACGTGGAAGTTAGAGAATTCAAATTTGATGTGGAAAATTAGTAGCAAACATCGTCAAAAAAAACAATGAAAATGAGGATTTTTCCAAAAAAAAAATCGATAATTAATTAATTAATTGGGTGGTTTTTGATCGGATGGTTCAAATTCTTGATCAAAAAAATGTTCACTGTTTCAAAAATCCAATAATTCACCCGGATATTTTGGAAAATCTCCCATTCCCCAAAAATTTTCAATAAAAATTCTACTGTTTCAAAATTTTCACATATTTTTTGGCAACTTCTTCAAAATATTTCACTCTTTTTGTTTTGTTGTGAATGTGGAGTTATTTGTTTCACTTTGAGATTCTTGAAAAAATTACACTGTTTTAAAAATTCTATAACCTTTCCAGATATTTTATGGGACGATGCGCGAAGAAAAAAAACGTCAAAAAACGTGTTTCGAAACATAAAAATACAATGCACGAAATGTCGCAAAACGTCGCGAAACTCGAGTTTTTTGACATTGAAATGTCGGGAAATAAGCATGGTTTTTGTATCGTACTGAAACCACAGACACTGGAGATAGGTTCTTACAATGTTTTTACTTGTTTGTAACAGTTTTCACCCCCATTTTCTTCGGAAACACGAGACTTGGCAAATGCAATTCACAGATAACACTTTCATTTGACAAAGATTCCTTTTCAGAAGTTTTTATTACCTATTTTCGTAAATTAATATCCTTTTTCAACCCCTGATATGTCTTTTCTACAAAAACAATCTATATTTTTTCCACATTTTGAGAAAAATCATACTTGTTTCGCGACATTTCAATGTCGAAAAACTCGAGTTTCGCGACGTTTTGCGACATTTCGTGCATTGTATTTTTATGTTTCGAAACACGTTTTTTGACGTTTTTTTTCTTCACGCATCGTCCCATTAGAAAATTTGCATTTCCTTACAAATATTTTCAAAAAATCTACTGTTTCAAAGTTTTCACATGTTTATTAAAAAAAAAGGATTTCGATAGTTTTACTCGAATTTCTTAAATATCCACTTAATATCGCAGTTATATCGCTCTCCTTTATTGTTTCCATGCGGAAGCATAATAGGCAAAATTCGAAGTGAATGCTTTTTGTTCCATAAGCATAAGCTATAAAAATGGTTGTTCATTATTTCACAAACATACTTCGTTCATATTTTCAGCTTACCGTCTTTTTGCCACCGAATCTAGTTTCTCTAAGCGTTCTCAATTGCTTCCTTGACAAATTCAACAACTCGAGGCAGCACTCAAAGGCCAGAATCTGAAAAATGAATTTTTTCTGAATTTTCCTAGAATTGCCAGTGAAAGAATTAATTTTGAAAGATCTTTCATGAATTTTGAAATTTTGAAAGATCTTTCATTTTTAATATCCAATTTTATATTTCCACTCACTTTAGAGACAATTGTCGGCGCTAGCAAAGATTGGAAAATTTCGGTGTATTTGATGCTTTTGGATTTTGCTCGATGAGTTGATCGATGGTGAGTCTGAAAATTATTTTGAATTCGAAACATTTGCCACGTGGATATTTTTAGCACCAAAATTAATGGATTTTTGCAATAATTTTGATACGTAGATTTTTTAGTTCCAAATTTTTTAATTTTTAAACATTGAATCTGCCACGTGGAATTTTTTGACACCAAAATTTTTGAAATTTTGAATTTTCAAACTTGCCACGTGGATTTTTAGCGCAAAAAATTTCGAATTTGAATTTGCCACGTGAATTTTTTTTCAAAAATAAATCAGAATAAAACTCACTGAGCCATTGTTAATTGATTAGTAGTTAGTAGAAGTCGAATAAAGCGAGAATATAGAAGAAGCGAATGAAAAAAAGGAATAAAAAAATTGTTGAATTTGAAAAAAAAATTCGCGCAAAAATTTTGGGGTAGATCAAAAATTTTTTTTCGAAAATGGTTCTGACTCTGAAAATTTCGAATTTTCCAAAGGAAAAACTTTATTACACAAGAATAGTACTTACATAATCAACCAAAAAAACTTTGATTATCAGAAAAGTTTACATTAAAACTCATAAAGAACCTTTAAAAGGCAAGAAAATAAAGCAAGTAATTGGGCATATCAAAATCGAATACTTATTTAATAATATTCATAGCTTTTGCAACATCCGCTTCTTTTTGTTCTTTTTTCTTATTTCTCATTTCATAATCGATTCGATGTCGAATAATTCGATCAATTATTAAATCAGTTGTCATATCGCTTCCAGAATCGACTTCGTGATAAATTCCACGTTTTTTTGCTTCCAAAAATGGATCGATATTTGAAAGAGCTGAATCGACGGAAGAAGATGAGGCACGATCACGGAAACCATTTACGACGGCCTGCAAAATTGGGGGATTTTTTTGAATTTCAAAAATTTGCCACGTGGAATTTAGACGTCAAAATGTTTGAATTTTTCTAAAATGTTTAATTTTTCTCGTTGTTTCCTCCACATTTTTCTTTAAAAATGACATCAAAAACTCTCACAATCTTATAATAACCCTTAGAAGACCCGTAAAAATTGCAAGAACAACCTTAAAACTTCCCTAATTACCATTAGCCCTAATTTTCTTCCTTAAATCTCAATATAAGAATAGGCCAGTTTCATAAGTATGTTATAAATAGTCAAGTTGATGAAAACTGTCGTTGAATTGTACCATGTTGAAAAAACAGACATATATCTGATAATCGGTATGCAATTCAAACTTTTCCAAGAAACTGTCAAGAAAAACTCTTATTCTTATCAGCCTCGCTTTTTTTTGAACACTCGCCAAAAACCATTTTTCAAAATCAATTTATTAAACAAAAGAAGGAACAACAATGTTGAAAATAAATGTAAAAAAATTGGCTGCATCTCATTTTTTGACATTTTATCTCCCAATTCCGAAGAAAAAATGTGAAAAAATCAGCCACAACCAATTTTTTGACATTTTCCAGTGATAAAAAATGTTAAAAAATCGGTCAGAGCTAATTTTTTCACATTTGATCTTCACAAAAAAAACCTTGGAAAAATGTGAAAAAAACGGGTGCAGCCAATTTTTTCACATTTTTTTTGCTATTCAAAAATGTGAAAAAATGAGTTGCAACAAATTTGTTGACATTTTTGAATCGAAGAAAAATGTGGAAAAACATACAAAAAGTTATTAGAAAAAATTCCTCGAACGGTTGTTTGAAGACCCATCTTATTGTGTCGATTGTTTGTCATCCGAGTACGTCCCGATTTCGAGATTTGTCTGCAAAAAACTGTAATTGTAATTGCAGTAGAAACGAATGTTTTTTCTCAAGTTTATAAAAAACGTATGAAGAAACTTGGTGGAAGCGATAAATCAATTCTAATATAAGGTATCATTTTTCATCACTTCTCAGAAAACAATCTGAAGTTGGTTTTTCTTCTCTATACAACAGTAAAGTAAAAATTCGTGTTTCGAAGTTGAAAGTTTCATCAGAACCATGTGAGCACTTTTATGAAGCTTCAAAGTTATCAGTCTTTCACACTTTTTGCACCTTGATTCGGTGAGCAAAAATTTCCACTTGATTTTTGCAATTTTTGAATGTTTCTTGTGAAAAGCAGAGAAACTGACACTTTGTAGCATCATACCAGTTATCAACGGGAGTTTCTAATGACTTGCACCTCCCATATCACAATTAGCATGCTTAATTCTGTATTTCCACCAAGTTTCATCGAAATTTAGGTTCTTGATGTGTTTTCTTCCTTTGTCAAATAAAAACAAATTACTTACCAATAATTCCTATATAGTGTTGTTCCAGTTGTTCTTCCATCACCATTTATCGATTTTATCACCTGAAAGTATCAAAATACTATTTTCATATAGGATAAAACAAACAAAACACATTTTCGACGAAAAAGAAAAAAAATATTTTTTGAAATCGTCCGAGAGAAGTACACGAAATGTGTGTTCGCTGCGAGGTACACACACACATGTCATCGTCCTCCCTTTAATCGAATTTCTTTTCTTTTTTTCGTTTTTTTCGAAGAAATCGACGGAAAATAGTTGTGAAAACGGGAAAAACCGTTTGTAAATAGATTGAGTTGATGAAGAATAATCAGCCCAAAGTGTGAAACGTGATGAATTTTGATTTTTTCCTCGAAATAGTCGAGTTTTGTTGGTTTTTTCAGTTTTCAAAAGAATTTTCGAAATTGAAGGGTTAAATTAAGTTCAATTTCTGTTGTTTCAATGCTTTCATAATTGGTAACTCTCAATTTCACTACTTCTCTGAAAATCACACGTTTTTACGCGAAAACAGAAAATGTGAAAAAATGCGCTGTGACCGATTTTTTCACATTTTTTCCTCCTTTTTTTCTTTGAGAAAATGTGAAAAAATCGGTCAGAGCGCATTTTTTCACATTTTTTGAAGAGAAAAATGTGAAAAAATCAACCGAAGCGAACTTTTTTACATTTTCGATTCGAACAATAAAACAATTATGAACATGAGGAATGGGAATAAGAAAACAATGGGATTTATGAGCAACTTAATAAAGAAAACAACAAAAAATCAAAAACAATATTTTTGTATTAGAATGTAATTTGTCATAAAATGGTTTGATTATCTTCGATAGCACATTAATTCACACAAAATACTTATAAGTTTGAAAAACTGCGCTGTTTTGTCTTTCAGAAGTGGAAAATGAACATTTTGTGATGTTTTCGTTCCACTTAATGAATTCCTGACTATTTATAACATACTTATGAAACTGGCCTATTCTTATATCCTAAAATTTTATCACAATCCTGAAGAGGTTCCCAAAAACCTCAATTCTTCTGCTCTTTCTCTCCTTATTACAACCCTAAGGTCTTTAAAAAGTCTTTAATTTAAGGTGGCTCAGACGTCCAAGGAAGTAATTGCCATCACGAGTTCAGGAGAAATTGCGTGTGGGAAAATGTGTCAATCATCGCCGGCCTTTTGATTCTGGAGAATAGCCATACCAGAAAGGCTTGACATTTCTATCTCTCATTTCTCTTTTCAATAAAACGAGTGACGGACGTTTGACGGGAAAAGCGAGGCGCTATCTTTTGTGTGTGTCTCTCTTCAAAACACACACTATTTCGTCGCGAGAGGAGAAAGATGAGAAAAAAAAGAGAAAAGGGGAGGGAAATAGGTATTTTGGGACAGAAAAATGTGGGAAGCTAGGATTTTCGAAAAAAATTTGGAATTGAGTTTTTTTTTTTGGAGAATTTTGAGATTTTCTGATGAAAAATTCAAATCCCACAAAACATACATACCTGAACATTGAATTGATCCAAAATATCGGCCGAAATTTGATAAGGCGCTCCAATCATAACCTCGTTTACTGGCTGAAAAATCAAAATAAAAAATTTTTAAATAAAAAAAATTGGCCCAAAAATCCCGTACCTTATACGCCAAAACCGATAAAACTCGTTCATGAATCGACATAATTGGATGATTACTTCCTTTATATTGATTAACAGTTTGATCCGATAATATTCCAACAATCAAATAATCGCCAAATTCTTTGGCCTTTTCTAAAAATGCCAAATGTCCGATGTGGAACAAATCGAATGAACCAGCAACATAAACTACCTACAAGAAGAGAATCCGAGCATTTTTGAAACAGTTAGATTTTTTGTAAAACGTTTTTAAAATTAAAAACAAAATCTTCATAGAAAATTTGAAACAGTGAGAATTCTCTAGCTTTTAATTTTTGTTTCTATTCCCTTATGAATTTTCTTTTGGATCAATTTTCAAAATTTCATCTAATTTTGAAACAGTGAACTTTTTTACAGATAATTTTTTCAAACAATTCCCGAATTTCTTTATAAAATTAAGATTTCAAAAAAAACTTTCAACTAAATCTTTTTAGAGTCCCCGTTTCATACTATTCGAAATACCAAAATAAAAATTTCATGAAAACTTTGAAACAGTGAATTTTTCAAAATTTTTTCAGCCAGAAAAGAATATTCAAAATGTCAAATTTTTGTGTCTGAAAGTTTATTAGGAATCGCATAAAAAAATATTTTGAAATATTTGGAACCTTAAGGTCTTAGAACTTCAATTAAAATTTCATATTATCAGGAAGTTGATCAATTTAAAATATCCAGAGAAATTCAATAAAAACTTTGAAACAGTGAATTTTTTTCAAATGTTTTTAGATTCGCAAAGAACAGATCATTATAATTTTGAAATCTGCGGATACTCATAAACATTTTGAAACAGTCAAATTTTCAAGAATTTTTGAAATATGGACATCACTATTTTCATGAAATATCACTATTTTCAATATTTTCAATTAAAAAATTTCTTGAAACAGTAATTTATTTTCTTTAAAAATTAAGGACCCTAAATTTGAACTTCGAATAAAATTTTGTTAGACTATTTTCCCTAATGGGGTGATTCAAGTCGAAAAAAAATAATTAAAAAAAACTTTGAAACAGTGAAAGTTTTCTATAAAAATGTATTTTTAATTTTTAATTCATAAAAGTTAATGCCATCAAAATTTCCATAAATTTAAAAAAAATTTGAAACAGTGAAATTTTTGAATTTTTCAGCTGCTCACATCAGAAAATTTATAGATTCTTGAAATAATAAATTTTGAGATTTTTTGATACGTTTCTTTCACTACACATCATCGCTTTCAACATTACAAATTTACTTATAAAACTTTTGAAACAGTATATTTTTCAAAATTCTGATGTACAATAGACATATTTCAAATCCCCAAACATAACTCTATGATAACTTTGAAATAGTGATTTTTTGCCTATACAATTTTTTCGAAACAGTGAAAAAAACTAACTTTATCAGTTGGTTTTGGCGCTCTTCCTTCAGCAAATTCCAAAATTGTAGTAGTCGTTGGGACAAATCTCGAAACTCGAGTCCAAGGCGATTGAGCAACATTGTCCTGAAAATATTTATTTTTGAATGGGGAATTCAAGATTTTCAATCAATTTCAGAACAAATAGTGGCTGAAAATACTGATTTTTGGCCCAATTCCCCCAAAAATCCAATTCCTTACCATGCTCAAACTTCTAGCTCGATCTTTATGTTGTTCAACATGTTCATCATCATGTGTATGATGATTCTTAGTCAATAACAACATTCTTCCAACCAAATCAGTTGTCGAAACTCCGCATGTTCTTTTGCATTCTCGATATCTTTTTTCGCGTTTCACTTCTTCATATGTGTCTTTTCCATCGGCGGTTAGAGTTATGTCATCTGGAAAAATATGGGAGAATTTTGGGGTGAAATTTTCAGGTTTTTGGTAATTTTTAGTGAATTTTTTGCTGTAAATATCCATTTTATTTTATTCAGAGCTGAAAAAAAAATTTATTCATAGCTGAAAATCTCAATTTTCAGTCCGAAATCAAATTTTCAGTTGAAATTCTGGTTTCCCATACTAAAAATATATTTTGTAATATTTTTTTTCGAAAAAAAATGTTTTGTAAAAATTTGCTGAACTATTGATCAAAAATTGATGTCAAACATCACTTTTTGAACAATTTTCTAGAAGATAAAAAAATGGGCGCCAGAAAAATTTTAAAACTGAATTAATAAATTTTTTCAGCGCCAAATTCTAAACAAAAAATAATTCGCGCAACAAATTTTCAAAATCTTGTGAAAAATAAGATGAATATTTGAAACAGTAGATTTTTTTTAAGTTCCAAATTTTTTTTTCTTGTTATTTGAATTTTGTTATAGGGCCGTACAGAGCAAAGATGAAAATCGTGTAAAAAATAAGATAAATTTTTGAAACAGTGAATTTTTTGAGAGTATAAAATAGGGTTTCAGAGAAGTTACAATTTTAGCTAAAATTACCGACCACGGGATCAATATTAAAATTTTAACATAAAATTTTAATAATTCTTGAAACAGTAAAATATTTAAAGTTTACTGAAATTTGACTCCAAAATTTCCAAATTTTTCTAGATTAAAAAAATTATTTTCTTGAATTTTTCAAAAAGCTAGCCTATTTTCAGAAAAATCTCAAATTTTCAAAAATTCAAGAAAAGTAACAATTTTATCTACAAGAATACCAAACAGTTATAAATATTTATAAAATTTCAAAAAATTTCATAATTTTTTGAAACAGTAGAATTTTCGAATGAAAATTTATCACCAAAATCAAACGAATTTTCAGCTTAAAAAATAATCGAAAAATTTCGCTTACCTCCATGAATACAAAAATCACATTGATAATTATCCAATGTTTCAACAGTTGTAACATACGGTGCATTTCTCACAATTTCATCAACCCATTTAATTCCAGCCACCATTCGATATCTTTCTTCTTCATTAAAAACTGGCGGTCCTTTGTGCAATCGAATTTCTTCGTCGCTGTGAATTCCGACAATTAATTTTTTGCCGAATTGTTTGGCTTGTCGCAATTGATTGGCGTGGCCGAAATGAACCATATCGTAGCTGCAAAAATTATTCACTGTTTCAAAAATTATGCAAATTGTTTGTGAAATTCTAAATTTCATTAATGTGACATTTCCCATTCATTTTTCAAAAATTTTTCAACGAAATTTTTACTGTTTCAAAAATTATGCAAATTTTTAGGTTATTTTTGAAATTCAGTACATTCAAAGAGCAGCTTTCCATCAGAAAAATTAATTTTTAAATTTTCAAATACCACTCTTCAATTATAAATTACTGTTTAAAAATTGTGCAAATTTTCAGATTTATTATTTTGTTGATAGTTTGTTGATCATTCTCTGAATTGAGTTCGTTTTTTGGGAATCAAAAAAAATTTTGAAACCGAAAAATTTTACTGTTTCAAAAATTATTAAAATTTTCAGGTTATTTTCAAAATTTGATCAACATACCAAATTCTTAGTCAAAAAATCACTGTTTCAAAATTTTTTCAAATTCTCAAATGCTTTTGGAATTTAAAAAAAAATTTAATCAAATTTCGAAACAAATTTTCAGTCAAAATTCAAATTTTTTTGACTAAAAACATCTGAAAATCACGATTTTCAGCCCGAAATTCCCTGATTTTCAGCCCGAAAACCTACCATCCATCAGCCCAAACTCGATTTCCTTTTGGTCCGCCATCTGGTGCCAAATTATCGCTCATATTAGTATTTTATATGGAGGGAGTTAGTAAAAGTTGCCTGAAAATATGAAAATTAGGAAAAAGGGTTTGGAAATCGTGAAGAAGAAGAAAAATACGGCCTAGAAAACCTCAAATATCATTGGGTGGCCCAGAAAATCAGCTGATGGCCTAAGAATCCTCTAAAATCTTCTGATGACCTAAAAATCCAATTTTCCTGGCCTAGAAATCCGAATTCTTCTATTTTTCAATAAAAACACCCTAAAATCGTAAAAACCTCAAAAAATACCAAAATCATGCCACACACTGATAAATGGACTCAAAAAATAAACTGATAACACAAAATTGACACTTTTTATTTTTTTTTAACGAAAAAGTTTTTTGGGGCGGGAAAAATGTCTAGTTTTTCTCGCAAAAAAAAAATAATCTGACCATTTTTTCAAAGTACACAGAAAAATTTTGATTTCAAAATGTTTTTTTTGCATAAAATCAAACAAATTTTCAGCCCGACAAAAAAAACTCATCTGAAATTCTGAAAAGCAAATTTTTCAGCTGGACAAATATGGAGAAAAATATTTCGGCGGAAACACACCTGACGAGACGTGTCCAAAATGGACACTGTACATTTTTTTCAAAAGTCACACTGCATTTTTTTCGAAAAAAAACTTTGTTTCCTTTTCATCAACATTTAACTTGGGGAAATAAATGCACATTTAGTTCAGTGGCAGGCCATTTTGCTAGTGTTCAGAAGGCCCAGGTTCGAATCTTCATTCGAGCTAACTTTTTTTAATTTTTTCCAAACTTCAAAAACAACTTCAGCTTGCGAATTTTTTGAAGTTTCTCGGTGAAAATCAACTCAGCAGACTTTGTTTTAGTGTGGTAACATAATGTGCAGTGTGGAATTTACGTGACTGCTTAGCAAACCATAGTGTCACTGAAATTTCAAAAAAAATGACTTTCTATGAAAAAACTTCAAATTCCACACTGCACATGGGTAAATTCAAAAACTACGCTTAAAAATACACCAACTTTCTGAATATACCAACCCTTGATATGTGCTCGGAAAAAAATGCCGTCCGATTCTTTGTAATGTCCATATTTACCATTGAAATGGACACTCCAAAATAACAGTGAAATATGGCTTTTCCACACTGCACTCATGGTGTTCCACACTGCCTATGACCTTAGCAATCTATTGGAAAAAAATCAACTATATCCGTTAAGCCTAAGCTTAGTTATCCTAACTTCAAATTTTGAGCAACGTTGCAACGCATTCGTTTGAAAACAGTTTCCTTTCCACCAACATTTTCCCCTCGGAGAAAAGAGAGATGTGGCCGAGAGGATAGCATTTTAGACTGGCGAGCATGAGACCAGGGTTCGAATCCTCCTACCCGCGGACTTTTTTTTCGAAAAACTTGAAAATTTCACGCTGCACATTTTTTTTTGAAAAAAATTTTCACACTGCACAAAAAATTTGGGACACTCTCTCGTCAGGTGTGGGCGGAAAAAAATTTGGAAAAATTCAAAATGAGAAAAATGTGATGTGGTTTCCACGGTCACGTGATCCACGTATTTTTTATGGAAAAAATTTGAAAAAAAAATTTTTTTTGAAAGAAAAATAGAAAAGAAAATAAAAATTGCTCAGAGATTCGCTGGCCAGCTCGCCACCAGGTGGGGAGGCTGGCTGACCTGGGAACCACATGGAAACCATGTCGCCCGGTTTTTTTCGCTGGCAAGGTGGCCACGCTCTGGCTAGGTCACGGCCACATGGCTACCATGTGGTGGCCACTTCGCCGCGTCAAAATGAATTTTCATGAAAATGTCTGAAAAACTTGTGAATTGAGGCATTTTCGAAAAATTTGGCTCATTTTCTGTTTTTTCGCAGCACTTGAAACCTTAGGAAGTGAAAAAACAGTAGAAAATGCAGTATTTTGAGCACAAACCACTGTCTTGCCAGCTTTCCAGAATTTCAAACACACAGGCCACGTCGCCGGAAAACTCAAGGCGACCTGGCGGCCATGCGGTTTCCAGGTGGCCGCAGCGATCTGGTGGCGAGCTGGCCAGCGAATCTCTGAGTGGTTTTCTAGGCCATCAGTTGGATTCCTAGGCCACCAAAAAAACGAAATTGCAGATTTCTAGAGTGAAATTTGGGTTTCTAGGTCACTAAATGGAATTCTAGGCCATCTAGACCAAAAAATGCGATTTCTAGGGTGAAATTTTGGTTTCTAGGCCACCAACTAAATTCTAGCCTACAAAAATAAATTCATATTAGCAAAAATTTCCAAATCGAATTTTCCTCTCCTTTTATATTAAAAATTCAGGCTCCGCCCACAATTTCTAGCCTCCTCCACAAAAATCAATAAATAAGTTGGCAATTTTTCAACCAAAAATCCAAAAAGAAATGAAAATTTCACCGTTCATTTCACATTCTTTAAATAAGAAAAAATTGAAGAAAACACCAAAAATGGAAAGAGAACAATCAATAACAGAAGGAAAAAAGGAAAAAAATGTATAGATAGGGGGCAGAAAAAAAAGGAAATAGAGAAAAACCAACAAAAATTGAACATAAATAATAATAATTATAGTGATAATTATATGAAAAAAAGAAAGAAACAGGAGCAAAAATGGTGATTTTAGGTCAAAAATTGGCCTAAAAACAAGATTTCTAGGTCAAAAATCGCGCTTAACCTCAAAATTCCCCTCCAAAACCAGGAAAAATCAAATTTATTCATCATCGCTATCATCTTCATCATCCTCTTCGTCTTTCTTTCCACCATTTGCTTTTTTGCGAGCATCACGAGATGCTTCTTCAGCATCGACAAGTTGATCGAGTCCTTTTGGAGCAACCATACCGTCCTGAAATTCCATATTTTTTTGTTGATTTTTTTCCGGTTGGAGTACGATAAGATAACGTTGTATTAGGTAAAACTTTGTCAGGGACATTTCAAATTTTCCCGGATTTTCTGTGTGTTTTGAAATTCTAGTGATAAAATTTCGTGGTTTCTCCTCATTTCAAAATATTTTCGATTTTTCAGGAAAATGACAGTTTTGACATCAAATAATTAATGATAACAGTCATTTTTCAGGAATTTACAGCCTCAATCAAAAATTAGGAAATTTTTCTAACAATAAAATTCAAATTTCAGAGTGACCTATGACGTGGCAATTTGAAATTTTCTTTTTCCATTCATTTTTGAGTATGTTGAGCTTATAATAAAAATTCTTGGGTTTTAAAAAATTAATGAAAATTTTGAAACAGTGAAAAAAATTGGATTTGACAAAAATGTTCTTTTACTTTGAATTGTCAAAAATTCCCGAAAACTGTGAATTTTTTGGTCAAAAATCATAAATTCGATCTGTTTTGGCTAACAAATTATAAAAACAGCTCAAAAAAAAAAAACAAATTATAGCTCTGAAAACATAAATGTTAGGTAAAATTCACAAACTTGGGCTAAAAAAACGAAAATTTTGTATTGTCAAGAATTAGGCAAAATTTTTGAAATTCTCATGTTTTTTTTTAGTTAAAATTTGTGACATTTAGCCCTAAAAATGACAGAAAATCGCAAATTTTGGCTAAAAAATCACATATTTTCCAGTGTCAGCTCGAAATTATCAAAAAATGTTCAATTTCGCTAATTTTCTCCCCTCCAAACTCACAGCATCATCTCCATCGCTATCACTTTCCTCCTCATCTTCATCCGAATCACTTTCATCATCTTCTTCATCTTCATCTCCTTTCTTCTTCTTTTCATCATCAATATCAGTCACAATTCTCGCCTCTTCTTTAATATTGAATTTTCCCTTGAATCCCTCGATTGTCTCCTTGATTTTATTCAATGCATCATTCAATGCAATCAATCCACCTTCTCGATCCAAAGTTTGTGTGTTAACAACGAAATGCGGTGCAGCAATCAATTGGATTTTGATCGGGAAAACATCAGTTGAACAATTTTGTCCGGCGATAAGTGCACTTTTGACCGCATCAATTCCATCATAGGCAAAGCACGAGACTTCGATATCAGCACGAATTTTGACAGCTTGTGGAGTCAATTTCTTGCGGATATCTTCTAATAACTTTTCTCGAACTTCAGCAGTGATGTCACATTCATCCAATACTGTTGGGTCACTGAAAAATATTTTCAGATTTTTCAGAGCAGACAAAAATATATTTTTTAGTTCTAGTAGATTTTGACTCGCTGATTACGATTCCTTCTTCAAAAACTGAAAAACTAAACTCTTAATATGAGTTATGACGTGGCAAAGTATGAATAATTCGAAATATCATGATTTCACAAGCCTATAACTGACTTTAAAAATAATTTTCATGGGGATATGGTAGTTCAGGAGACTAGATTATATGAGTTCAGTTTGAAGTTAGGTTATCTTGTAAATTCACGGAAAATTTCGAAAAAATCGTGAATTACAAAACTACCTAACTTCAAACTGAACTCATATAATCTAGTCTCCTGAACTACCAGATCCCAATGAAAATTATTTTTAAATTCAGTTGTAGGCTTGTGAAATCACGATATTTCAAAAAATGCACATTTTGCCACGTCATAACTCATATTAGGAGTTGAGTTCTGTAATTTTTGAAGAAGGAATCGTCATCAGTGGGTCAAAAACTTCTAGAAAACATATATCTTGTCAAAATTCCATCAATTTTCAACCAAGTTTCCCTTACGTAATAGCCTTTTTGAATGCATCATACGAAGCGGCTTTCCTCTTCTCTTTTCTGTCAAAATGCCAAGCAGTTCTCTGATACAAATCCTCCAATTGTTCATCAGTTGTATAGCCAAGTTGTTCGGCGACATGTCGAAGAATACTATTCACCATTTTTGCGTTGGCGAAACGCTCTTCGCATTGTTTCAAGTCTTTTTGGTAGACACGTCGTTTTGACAAATCGATGTAACCTGGAAATAAAATCGAGATTGGGTTGGGAATTTCGGAATTTTCAAGAACTTTCAGGTAGTTTTCTGAATTTTCAAATGCTGAACAATTTTTCAGATCTCACAATCAGAAGTCCAAATGAAGTGAAAAATGAGAAAATTCAAAATTAATTAGCGAGTTCACGTGTTTTATCTGATTTTGATCATTTCTAGATTCTATTTTATTCCAAATCGCTGTTTATTTTAAATTTTATGAATAGGAATGAGTTCAACTAAATACAGACTTACAAGGGAACTTTTTCAACTTGGAATCGCGATTTTTAACGAAATATGTTTTCCAGTAGTTTTCGACCCGCTGATGATTATTCCACTGCCTAAAACTTCAAACCTCAATGTCTAACATGAGTTTAAGGTGGAAAAGTTGGAAATTTTCGACAAATTGGGTCTTTAGGTCCCGCCTTCAAAATAATTTTCATTAAAATCTAATATCATAACATTGTTCAAAATCCTTTTTGAAATCTGAAAGATCTTTCAAAAAAGTTCGGAAGCTATGTGATCGAGTCTTCTGAACAATGCCATGCTATTAGATTTTCATGAAAATCATTCTGAGCGCGAGTCCTAAAGACCCAATTTGTCGGAAATTTCCAACTTTTCCACGTTAAACTCATGTTAGACGTTGAGGTTTGCAGTTTTAGGCAGCGAAATAATGATAGAAAATATATATTTCATTAAAAATCGCGATTGCAAGTTGAAAAAGATTCCTGGGGGGAAATATTCATATGTTTTACCTTTATCTTTATCAACCCGAATAACAACAACACATTCACTTCTACCAACTCGAATCAATTTGTTAACCGATCGAATACGTCTACGCGACAATTCGGACAACAAAATCATTCCCTCTTTCTCATTATATTCCGAAAGTCTCACATATGCTCCCATATCAGCGATTCTTTTCACATTTGCGACAACAGTCTCTTCAACATCCGGAAATGGGCTCTCATAGTAACGACATTTCATTAACGCCATCTGAAAGCAATAATTTAGTAGAGTAGATAATTTTTAAAAACAATCAATAAATAAGGAACAATCTCGGAATAAGTAACCGATTTTTAATGAAAAAAAAATGAGAAAATCAAAAAATAAGAGAATAATTCATTATAAAATATGAGGTGAAACGAAAACAAAAAAAATAAGAGACGCTAAATCCTAACATGAAAAATTCTAGAAAACTTCATCTATAAAACAAGGAGGGAGATTTTCGGGATATATTTTGGAATTTTGTTGTTTTCCAACAACTCGTAACAAAAAGGGAAACTTCAGGCTATTTTTGACAAAATATGCAATTTCTAGAGGAAAAACCTACTAGAAATTATATAATTTATCAAAAATTGCAAGATTAGCCCTTGTGGGAGAAGGAAAAAGGGAAGTTATTGAATGTTGAGAAGAGTTTGTTGATTTCCTGGAAGATAGACAACATTCTTATTCTTCGACATTCGTTCGGCAATTTCTTCAGCAGCTTCGATTTTACGGAGCTCAACAAGACCGTCTCCAACACTGGCGAAAGCTTTGCTGAGAAGTTTAGCGGCTTGCGCATCTCCTTCAGCTGTTGTGACCGCGGCAATCTTCATTTGTTCAGCTTTTTCGACCAAATATCTTGCTTTTTCGGCTTCTTGTTGAGCGACTTGTTTCATTTCGACGGCTTCTGTGAATTCACGTCCGAAGTTCAAATGTGTCTAGAAAAAATATTTTTTCTCCAATTTTCCATTCTCAATAAAACTTACAATTGAAATATCATCAAGAAGAATACCGAATTGAGCAGCGCGTTCTCTCAATCCTACAGAAACCCGTTGCGAAACATTCTCACGATGTGTAATCATTTCATGAGCATCGAATTGAGCTACAACTGCCTTCAAAACTTCATTGGTGATTGATGGAAGAACACGTTCAGCATAATCCAAACCAATGTTCAAGTAAATGTTTGGAAGTTTTGATGGATCCGGTCGGTGAAGAATACGCAATGTAATATTCACATTTTGCAAATCTTTACTTCCAGTGATTGTTGAAACTGCTCTTGGTGTTGATCGGATATCGAAAAGAATGTGCTTTTGAACCCATGGAATCAGGAAATGTGTTCCTTCTCCAATAACTTCATTTTTAACTCCACTGAATCTATCGAAGATCACAGCTCGTTGTCCACCATCAACTAAAAAAAGAGATTGCGAAATAATTCGATAATGAAAACTAACCATTATATAAAGCGGATTGTGCGATTCCTCCAGCAATCGAGAGTCCAACTCCAATAGTTCCTAAGCGTCCAAAAAGCTTTTGTGCTGCTTGGGCCATTTCTGAATGAAATCAATTTTTGAATGATGATGCAACTTTTTTGATTACATGTTAAATGAGTTTGCAGAGACAACGAGAGGTAAAATCTCAATTTCTTAGTTTTGAAATAATAATTTTAGTTGGAAAAAATCATAAAAATTCTAGAAACTTTGCAAAAACGCAGAGAATTTGAATTTTTCGCGAAAAACCTAATTATTGATTTTCAGCCAAAAAATACGGGGTTTTCAAAGTTTCGCAACCCGTTTCATATTTTCAAACATGCTTAATAAGATTCTCCATAAAATTTCACTACGAAAACTTGTTTAAAACTTCGAAAAACACCAAAAAACCACTGAAAAAACGGGCGAAAAAACAAAAAGAAGGATTAAAGGGAGGAGGGGGCCGTCTGTTTGCGTCTCGTCGCGAAAAGAAGAAACATACCGTATACCAGATTTTGGGTGAGGCTACATTTATTTTTCTTTTCTTTTCCTACTTTTTTGCTTTTACGTTGTTTTGAGCCGTTTTTTCACTGTTTCAGCTGAATTTTTTTGAGGATTTAGAAAATTAAAAAATTCTTTAGGTTTTCTAGTAGTTTTTGTTCAAATGCTCGTGAAATTCTTGCTCTTTTTGCTCAAATATTTTCGAAAATCAGTATTTTAATTTTTTAGGGTAATGGCTCACGCGTTGAGAAAAACACGTAAGCTCCGGGGACACGTTTCCCACGGACACGGTCGTATTGGAAAGCATAGAAAGCATCCTGGAGGTCGCGGTAATGCCGGAGGTCAACATCATCACCGTATCAACCGTGACAAATACCATCCTGGATACTTCGGAAAGGTACAATTTTAGGTACTATTTGAAAAATTGAAAATAATTTTTCAAAAAAAAAATCTCCTATCTTGGCGCTTCCCGTGATTAATTTGGCAGTGTATGTTATAGGAGAAAAAGTATCGCCTTTAGGCTTTTTCGGGTCTCCTTCGGTGTTTGTCTAGTAGTTCGACAAATGTCATCCTCTGGATTCGAGATAATTATAAAATTGGTTTCTGAGACTTATTTTTTATTTTTCAGGTCGGTATGAGAGTGTTCCACCTCAACAAGAACGACCACTACTGCCCAACCGTCAACGTTGAGCGATTGTGGGCTCTTATCCCAGAAGAGGTCCGCAGCAAGGCCACCGCTGACAAGGCTCCAGTCGTTGACTGCACCAAACTCGGTTATTTCAAGGTTAGTATTTTCATTTGAATAGTTTTCTTCTATCTTGGCGCTACCATTGGTGAATATGGCTGTGTATGTTATAGAAGAAATAGCATCGCCTTCGGGCTTTTTTCGGGTCTCCTTCGGTGTTTGTCTAGTAGTTCGACAAATGTCATCCTCTGGATTCGAGACAATTTCTCCATTCACTTGATGATTATTAATTTTTATTTTTCAGGTTCTCGGAAAAGGACTCCTCCCAAAAACACCACTCATCGTGAAAGCCAGATATTTCTCCCACGAAGCCGAAAACAAAATCAAGGCCGCCGGAGGAGCATGTGTTTTGGTGGCATAAGCCATGTTGTTACATTGTATTAAACAATTGATTAAAATCTGTTACTTTTTATTTTCACTTCAGTTTCGACTGATAATTGGTTTGAAACCAATGATTATCTGAATTTTGTTTTTTTTCATCCCCACCCTCTAACCAATTTTTTCAGCGTTCTTTCAAACGTTTGTTCTCTTTTGAGCTAAGGTTTTCCAACTTACGATTGAAGAATGGCTTCGAATCAAGAACTGGCTTGCGTCTACGCTGCTTTGATCCTCCAAGACGATGAAGTCGCCATCACTGGTGACAAGATCGCCGCCCTTTTGAAGGCCGCCAACGTCGAAGTCGAGCCATACTGGCCAGGACTCTTCGCCAAGGCATTGGAAGGAGTTGATGTCAAGGTAATTTTTAATAATGTATTTGAAAGTCCTTACCAATTTATTTTTCAGAACCTCATCACCTCCGTCTCATCCGGAGCTGGATCAGGACCAGCCCCAGCTGCCGCTGCTGCTGCCCCAGCCGCCGGAGCCGCCGCTCCAGCTGCTGAATCCAAGAAGAAGGAGGAACCAAAGGAAGAATCCGACGACGACATGGGATTCGGTCTCTTCGACTAAACAACATCTTGTTATTTGTTGTCAATAAATTGTTATCTCCAAAAAACAAGTGTTCATTTTCAATACATAAAGAAATAGTGAAAGAATCAGTAAAGTGAGAACATGTCAAACAAGGTAATTGTTTATTTCGGCGCAACTCTCGCAGTCAGTGAACTCCGAATTCTTTGTATCCTCCACAATTGCGAACCAACAAAATATCGATGTTTCCCACCAAGACTTCCCAAAACTCGCCCTCACAACATTGGTAGGGGACGCCCATTATTATGACACCATTTGGTGAATAAAAATCTCATTTTTCTTGTTTTTGGTGAAACTGTGGGCAAAAATGGATCGAATTCCTCCACAAAATACTGTTTCAATGAGACAACACACTGTTGATACAAATTTATTTCTCGTGATTCTAGTTTTTGCTTGGATTTTTACTTTTACATTTCGACGGCAAATTCAAAATCCAATGGCTCATTGTGCAACTATTATTGGGATCATCATCGCAGTTTTCACGTATGTTTGGACTTTCGAAAAATTGAAATTGAAAAAAAAAATGAAACATTTGAAATTTATCAGTCTAATTCCAGAAATCCTCGACATTCTCACGAAATCTCTGAATTTTCTGGCATTATGGTCGAAGTTATGCTACCACTCATGATACTTTTTTTGCTGAAAGAATTGGATCGATCATCTCGTAGACCCATTCTTCCTGCAACTTCAACGCAACAAAATCACGAAACAAATCTTTGAAAAAACAAGTGTTTTCATTTTCAATACATAAATAAAGAAAGAAATAATGAAAGAATCAGTAAAGTGAGAAAATGTCAAAAAACAAGGTTTATTTTATTTCGGTGCAACTCTCGCAGTCAATGAACTCTGAATTCTTCGTATCCTCGACAATTGTCTTCCCGGTGATTTTGGTGGCAAGAAATACTCATCGGATTTGGCAGCCTCTTGCGGTGAAGCTGGTTTCGTACTCGTTTGCGAAATTCTATAAAGACTAAAAAATTTCAAATATTTTTTGGTTGAAAATTCAGAGAACTCACTTGATTTGCTGTGCTGGCGGAGGCGAAAGTTCCGGGGAACCTTGAATAATATCCGATGGAATTGTCGAACTAGCAAGTGATAGAGGCGGAGAAGATGGGGGTTCAGCATTGATTTCAGCTAGAGGAGCAGAAGGAGGAGCTTGAATTGGCTGAGTTGTGATAACAGGAGAGCGGCTGGAAAAAAGGTTTGATTTGAAAAACAATTAATTTCAGCTCTTACTTTTCCATCTGCGCAATTTCAGCCTTCACCGCATCATGTTGTTGTTTCGTCAAAAGCATTTGCCTCCGAATCTTCTCGTCTTGTTGTTTTATTTGAAGTGCACGTTCAGCCGCCTGAACACCTTCAGATAAATATACATAATGTTCAACGATCTGCAAAAAGTATTGATTTTAGGTTGACTGTGAGAGAGTTAGGAGAACTCACGAGCTGGATAAATGCGACAAATTGATCCTGAAATGCATTTCGATCTTTTTTCGCGCGATCATAGACATTCATTGAGGGATTTCGGATGTCGTTGAGCTGCAAAAAAAATGAAAATTCACTGTTTCAAAAATAAAATACATTTGGAAGTTTTCATAGAAATTCGCTATATTGTCTAGAATATTTCAAAAAAAAAATTAGAATTTTCTGTCAATAATTTTTCACTGTTCCAAAAATTTTATAGATATTTTGAAATTTCTTGATTTCCTGATAAGTCCTCGATATTCATGTTCAGAATAAAATGGGAAAAAATTTGCTGTTTCAAACATTTTCTATGAATTAAAATTTTAATAAAATTCTGGTGATGGGAAAAAATTAAATAAAACTTCATCGAAATTTTTGATCAGGTAAAAATTTACTGTTTCAAAAAATGCAGAAAAATTATTTTCCTTTCAAAAATTCCATGATTTTTCCTGAAAAATATTTACTGTTTCAATAATTTTACAAAATTTTTCATGTTTTTGTTATTTTTGATGTGCAGGTACACGAGTAGGTACATGAGCAGGTACATGAAGCACTACATGAAAATTTTACTGTTTCAAAAATTCGAGAAAATCTAGAGCATCTAATAAAATTTGATAACTGTTGGAAAAAATATACAAAAAATTGATATTTTACAGTCAGTCTGAAAAATGTCAAAAAAAAATTCACTGTTTCAAAAATCCGGTAAAAATTTGAATTTTTTAAAATTATTGATGCTCGCACGACGGAATTTTTTCCAAAAAAGTTCTCATTTTCACGAAAAAAAATCTGAATTTTAAAATAAAAAAAATTTTACTGTTTCAAAATTTATTTAAACTCTGTTATTTCATTTCTAGACGTTTCGAAAAAACTTTTTTGTTAGAAAAAATTTTCCAATGAAAGTTTCCTATTGAAATCCACGTGGAAAATTTGAAAATTCAGAAAAAAAACTCACATATCCATTATATTTGCTAATATGAGTAACCATAATCATTTGTTGTTGTGTGTCAGAAGTTGCCTGTAGACTTGCCTGAATTTTTGCGGAAAAAATGAATGAAATAGAAATAGAAGTGGGTTACAGAGGAAAAAAAATCATTCAAAAATTAATTTCACAAGCTCAAAAAACAACTTACGCGATTCGAAAATTCCACGTCATCAAATTCCACGTTGTTTCGATTGTTGACCACAAAAAGTATCGGTTTTTTGGCGCATAATGGATGTTTTATTACAGTACTCATCACCTGCAACAAAATACGGTAGGTTTTTGCGGCAAATTTGAATTTTTGAAAATTTTTTTCCCCAAAAAATTCACTGTTTCAAAAATCCCTAATCTTTTTTTTTTCGTCGAATTTTCAATTTGTGGTTTCGTTTTTTCTCGGAAAAATTTGATAAATTAATAATTAATGAGGAAAATTGCGAAATTCTGGAAATTATTTCGAAATTTTTCATATTTAGAATACAAAGCGAGTTTCATTATCGATCACAAAATTTTCTGAGATCAAAAAATGAGAAAATTTTGAAACAGTAAATTTTTCTGGAAAGTTTAAAACATATTTCACAGGTTTTTTTTAGTATGTACGATTACATGATCAAATTGATTTATTTTCAAATAAGAAAAAAATTAAGAAAAGTTTGAAACAGTAAATTTTATAACATTTTTCTTATATCAATAAAAATTTTTTAAATAAAGTTTGAAACAGTAAATTTTTTAGTGATGAAGGAAGAACTATTGAGAATTTACATTTTTCAGAAAAACCAATAGAAAACTTGAAACAGTGAATTTTTAAAATTGATAAGACTCAAATTGTTGTATTAATTAACTCTATTTGAATATTAATAATAGTTTCTGTTATCCGATTATCAAAATTAATTTCACTCAAAAAAATTAATGCAACTTTTGAAACAGGGAATTTTCTGAACTTTTCCTAAACTTTTCCGTCCTAAGAGACGCGAACAAGAATTATATTTAGAAAAAATTAGGTAACTTAAGAATTTTTGAAACAGTGAATTTTTGATTGAGATCAAAATAAAGGGGAAATCAAACAATTTTCTATGTCACAAATATTTATTCAAATTTTGAAACAGTGAATTTTTCTGAATTTATGTTGCCAATCAAACAAGCAAATCATTCATTCACGTTCGGAAATTGATACAGATTTTGAAACAGTGAACTATTTTCGGATGAAATTTTTATTCCTAAAAAATTCACTGTTTCAAAAATTCCTTGTTTCAATATTTGTTATTTTAATTTCAATCAAAGCCACAAAAAATCAGCCTAAACCAACCTCAACCGATTCATTAAACCTTTGTTCACTCGAATAATCAACCACAAAAATAATCCCATAAACTTCTCCATAATAATTTGGCCAAATATCTCGAATTCCCTCATTTCCTCCAATATCATAAATTTTCAGATTGATTTCCGAATCATATATCATTTCTAGCATTGAAAAACCATTTGTTGTCAGAACATTTCGAGGATCCTCTGGGAAAAAAATTTTTTTGAAATTTTTTAAAATTTTTTTTCTGAAAAAGTCAGTTACCTCCTTTTAGCAGCTTCAAAAGTGTCGTTTTTCCAGCTCCATCAATTCCAAAACAACCCAATGTTATTGTTCTGCAAAAAATTCACTGTTTCAAAAATTTTGTAAATGTTTTTTGTTTTTTGGTTTGGTTTTTGAAATTCAAAAATTCATTTCTGAAAATCCAGAAATTGTGGGGTTTTCGGAATACTTCTGACAAAAATTACTGTTTCAAAAATTTTATATGAAAAAATTTGAATTTTCTTGTAGTTTTTGGCTGGATTAATTAGCTGGATTAATTATCCCAAAATTATTTCAAACTCAAAAATTCACTGTTTCAAAATTTGTGTATATTTTTTGTGAAAATTGGAAAACGCTGATGCATTGAGATTTCTTTCTATAAATTTTCCCATGAAGTTTGAAGTGAGAAAAATTCACTGTTTCAGAAATTATATATATTTTCAAAAATTGTTACAAATTTCAGCAATCATTTTTTTTCTACCAGAGAAAACAGAAATTGACGCAATTTTAAGTCATTAGATGATTTTTCACTGAAAATCATCATTTTGAGAAATGTATGCACTTGGTTTGTACTTTTCTGAGAAAAAAAATCTACTGTTTCAAAAATTTCATAATTTTTTGCTGCAATGTAATAATTGATCAGTAGTCCAAATGTAGACAGAATTAAAAATAAAAATTAAATTTTCATTGAAAAAATCTACTGTTTCAAAAATTTCATAATAATTTATTTTTGAAATAAAAACCATTATTATTCCTACATAAGTTTTTTCAATTTTTGTAATTTCAAAATTCACAAAAAAAATTTACTGTTTCAAGAATTTCATAATATTCTGAAAAACTTAAAAAGTTGATTTCCCGCTTTTCCCAAAATTTCAAAAATTCCAAATTCCCTCCCCAAAAAAACCGACCTTTTAATAGTTGGCTGCGATTTCGAGCAACAGCAAAAAATCGATGAAATCATCTAAAAATTCCAAATTTTCTCACACAAAAAAGGAAAAATTCGAGTAAAATCAAATAAAATTGAAAAGGAAATATAATATATGCCAAAAGTTGCGCCTTTTTTCTCCCCCAATTTTCTTATAATTTCTAGTGTCGTTTCCCTAGAAACGCGAAATAGTGTGTGAAATGTGGAGAGTGCAGAGATTCTTGTATTTTATAGATTAGAAAATGGGGGGAGAGAAAAGAAAAGAGCACAGAAAAAGGAGAAATCTAATAAAAAATTTTGTCGAAAAACAAAAAGGTTATATTTATTTTCCAAATAATTTTTAATTATACAGAAAAGAAAGAAAAATGAAGAAAATAAGTTAGATATACACAAAGTTTTGTTTGTTTTTTTGGGCGGGAAAAATGGAAAAACGGGGAACAAATTTATCCCCACATTTCTTCAGTTCTTCCGAATTTGTAGACGCAAGAGGCGGCAAAAATGATGAAATTTGTCAAGAAGAGCGCGACTCCTGGAAACATTATGATGAAATTTGGGGATTTTTGAGATTTTTAGGGGGTAAAAACCAGAAACATTCAGGTATTTCAAATTATCCTGATTTTCCCAGAAATAATTTACAAAATTTTTGAAACAGTGTATTTTTCGAAATTTCAACAAATTTCAGATCACAAATTGAAATATTTCTATCTCAAAATCAAATAACCGTTTTCTGAAACAGTGAATTTTCAAAAAAATATTTCTATTATACTTTATGTTTCATTGATCCGAGATTTAATTAATTTGTTTGAAACAGTAAATTTTTTTTCAAAACAAAAATTCAATTTTTTTGGGACTTCCATCATTTAATCAATATTTTTACCTGATTTTTGAAACACACAATTTCTGAAACAGTGAACTTTTTCAGACTAAATTTAATTTTGAAAATACTTTGAATGGTTCAATATTTTCTAGACTGATCAAACTCAAATTTCACCCAAAAATGATTCACAATTTTTTGAAACAGTGAAAATATGTGAAGGAGCCACATTGTAAATTTCAACTCAAGTTTTAATTCATCACAATTTTGAAACAGTGAATTTCTAGAAGATTGCATCAAAAATATATCTCTACATAGTTTCTATTTTGAAACAGTTAAACTTTATGAATCTTCGAAAACAATAGTGAAAATTAATTATATTATTCATGGAGAGAGAATTATCTATTGAGGCAATTTTCATTTCATCAAAATTCAATTCTCAAACTGTTGAAACAGTGAGTTTTTTTTTGGAATTAGCAGAATTAAATTGAAATCTGTCTAGTTTTCCTGATTTTAATTTTTTTTGAGACAGTTGAAAAAAAGACAATTTTGGTTGAAATTGAATGAAAATATAAAATCAAATGAGATTTTGAAACAGTAAATATTTCTCAAAAAAATTTTCAAATCCAAGTTGATTTTATATTTTTGAATCACTAAATTAATTCTAATGGAATCAATTTTACAATCAAAACAGAGCCCTATTTCATCAGGCTCATGAAAAATTTGAAACAGTAAATTTTCCCCCCTCAAAAACCGCTTACCCGGCCAAACATCATGATCTCCTTGTCTCAAAACATAATCCGAGAACAAAATCCACGTGGCAGCGACCAATGAAGAGAATGATAAAACGAATGCAGCCATCAACCACAAACGCGATCCTTTTGTTCCCAAAAGACCTTCGTGAAGAGATTCGCCACGAACTTGGCTGTTTGAGATCGCATTTACCATAAACATTGCAATTGTACTTGCAATTGTTATGATGAAATAGACATTTGTCCAATCGGCCTGAAATATCGGGGAACTAATTGATATTCGGAAAATTTGGGAGTATAGTGTGTAATCAATTAATAATTTTTATAATTAGAAAATTCGGAATTGTTGAAACAGTGAAGTTTTCATAAACGAATTTTGGAAATATATTTTCACAAGACAAGAGAAACTAGGGAAATAATCAACAAATCGATTTTTATTCAAAAAAAATTAAGAAATTTTTGAAACAGTGAATTTTTCATTTCCTAAAGAATCAGGTTCAGTCATAAATTTTTTATCAAATTTTCAATCGTAAATTTTTTCATTAAAAACAGTGAAAAATTGGAAAATTTATTCTTGAAAAATTCACTGTTTCAAAAATTTTTGATGATAAAATTTTGAGCAGCAGATTTGATTACCCAATCAAAATTGCAGTTTTTGAAAATTCCCAGAAGATTTTTGTGAACTGATGAAATAGATTCGAATAATTTTCGGCGCCACGTGGCACAGTTTTTCCAAAAAAAAAATGAAAAATTCACTGTTTCAAAGATTTTTGATGATAAAATTTTGAGCAGCAGATTTGATTAAACTTAAAATTGCCGTTTTTGGAAATTTTACTGTTTCAAATTTCCTAGAAGATTTTTGTGAAATAGATTCGAATAAATTTCGGCGCTACGTGGCACAGTTTTTCCAAAAAAACTTTTCGATGATTTATTTCCCCCAAAAAAGTCCAACAGTTCGGAAAAACTAAAAATGCATAAATCAAACATTTTATGCTCAAATTTTTCTTTTAAAAATTCTTCAGACAGAAATGTTTCTTCTTCTTCTCCTAATTTCAATTCTCCCAAAATCCTCTAGCTTTATGATAATAATCTACGCAACTCCAAAATCCGATGCCATGTGGCTTTTCACGCAGAAAAATATCAAAAACGAAAATTTGTGTTGGGATAAATTGTGGGCGAATTCGAGTTATGAATTGGGATTTTTCGAAAAATCCACAAAATCGTGCCAATTAACATCGAATCAATTTATAATGGGGTGAGTCATAAAAATAAATTGACAAAAAAAGTGCGATTAATTCCACGTTTTTTGTCAATTAATCGCATTTTTTCAGAAATGAATGCGATTAATTGACAAAAAACGTGAAATTAATAGCACTTTTTTTGTCGATTTATTTTTATGACTCACCCCATAAGCGTAGTTTATAAATCGAATAAATCGAAAGGAAATAAAGTTGGATTTCGGGTGGCAAATAATCAAAAAACATGTCCGACTGGAACAAATCCACCAACTTTTAATAATAAAGTGGCGTATTCGACGAATCATAAAATTACGTGGGTTAACAAAGAGCAAAAATGGCTTATTGAACGTATGTTTGGCGGGAAAAATTAGAAATTTGGAAAATGGCCGATAAAACTACTCAAATCAGTGAACTTTGAAAAAATCTAGAATTTTAGAAAATTTAGAAACAGTGGATTTTTTTTTGAAAAACCCTATTTTTCATTTTTTTTTTTTTGGAAAAAGGAAAGAATAAATCAATTCTACTCGAACCAAAAAATCTCAATGAAAAATTTGAAACAGTGAATTTTTACAATTGAAAATTGTCGGATAAAATCATGTTCATCAAAGCAGTGAACTTTGAAAAAATCTAAAATTTTAGAAAATTTAGAAACTGGATTTTTTTTTTGAAAAACCGTATTTTTTTGGAAGAAGAACATAAATCAATTCTGCTCGAACCTAAAATCATCAATTTGAAACAGTGAATTTTTGCGATCAAAATTTCCAGCCAAAAAACCATGCGACAAATCAAAAGGACAAATGTGGAGTCTTCGTGGCAAGAAAATTGTGTGCTTCGGGGTAAGCTTACAAGAGAATTTGATTGAATCCCAAAAATTTTGCAGTTTCTCTTCTCAATGAATTACAATTATTCCTATGTAAAATACTATCATTCCTATAACAAACTTCCGCTAAGTTCTCCCATTAATCTCGGTATTTTAGTTACCTACGGTCGTCTAATGTTAACCCAAATGAAATTGAAAAAAGGCAAAATCCTAACCGATGCAATTCGAAAACCCGCCTGTAATACAGTTGCAAAAATGAAAACAGCAGCGTGTAAATATCCAAAAGGATTCAATTTTATTGATACTGGAAATCCAATGCATTTATATTATCAATGGGTTTCTTCTCCAAGATATTCGATTAATTATCAATGTGTTGGAGTGTATTTAAATACAGCAAATGATGCCAAAAATGGACTTTTCGACTTTTTTTCGTGTGATAATCCGTGTGATAATGGATATTGTGTTGCATTGACACCGTATGCGTTATTTTGATCAGTTCAATATTTTTGGGGAAATAAAATATGGTTAGAATGTGAAAAATCAACTGTTTCAAACAATTTTTAATTGTAATTTTCTTTTTTTTATGTAAATATGATTATGTAAGTATTTTCGAATACTAAATCAAAACTATTCATATTGTAAAATATATAAAAACCCTGAAACAGTGAATTTTTTCAATGAAAAATTTCGGTTTCAGATTTTTGAAACGTGGCACAAAATTTATATTCTACGAAACAAATATTTTTATTTATGGACATTTTGAAACAGTGAACTTTTTAAAAACCATTTTTAGTTCAGAATTGAAGAGTTTCAATTTTTTTTTGAAAAATTCGAATTAAGTTATGACGTGGCGAATAACTTCAATGATTATTTTCCTCTAAAAAAACAAGTTTTCATTCATCAAAATTTTGAAACAGTGAATTTATTTTATTACAAAATTATTTTTGAATGGAAGCTGTAATTAACTGAAAACTGAACCTTGAAAATTTAAAATCAGATTCGGATTGAAGCACTAATCTAGCAAAAAATTCTTGAAACAGTGAATTAATTTTTTCAAAAAATAAACAAGTTTTCCCATATAATTCTTGATTTTTCATCCAATTTTTCACTGTTTCAAAACCACATCTTCATTTTTCATGGGATTTTTTGAACCAATTCTTTCCTTTTCTTATTTTCAATAAAGAATAAACTAACCTTATCATAAACCGCCGCAGTGTCAATCATCAACCACCATCCAGCAAAAAACAAGAAAGAAGCAGCGACTGAGGCAACAGCGTTTCTGGAAAAAATATGGAATTTTTTAGACTACAAATTAGTTCTGGGGCTAGATTTAACTCAGATAAAAATTAGAGCTTTGAATTTCCAGACTCTGATTTTCAGCCAAATTTCTAGATAATTTTTTGTGGATCAAAATTCAGAGGAAATTTATTAGAAAAAAAGTGAATACGAAAATTCAGAGCACTCATAAAATTTTGAACCAAAAAAAATGTTTTGAAAAATTTTGCTGTTTCATAATTCTTTCATTAAACCCAGAGTTAATTCTACTTGTTGCTTATATAAAAACGTGTCTATATTCAATTTTCAGATCAAAATTTTCTATTTTCAATTAATTTTTCATCTTACAACTTGTGAAACGAATTTTCCAAGTTCAAAACCATCATTTTTAACTTAAAAACCTAGATCAAGTCTAGTTGTTAGCCAGTAGGTTCAATTTTCTAGATTCTGAAATTCGTGGAAATTTTTGCCTAAAATTGCAGCTTAAAACCCAACTTTCAGCTTAAAACAATCAGATTTTCCAGGTTTAAAATCAGAAATAAAAAAAATTTTTGGATGAAAATTTGAGTTAGAAACTAGAGCCTAGAACTAGAGTTTCCAGCTGAAATTTTCAGATTCTTAATTTTTTCAAAAATCCTCACCTTCTTCCCTCCAAATCAAAATTGCAATCGCACCGAATCTGATCCAAACATCCAGACATCTAAAAACCCTGGATTTCAGAAAAAATAAATTTCAAAAAAATATTCAAAAACCGTAAGAAAAACGGGTTTCGGGTGAAAAAATTAGCTGAATAAAAATAATAACAAAAAACTTCTGTAACATATAAAAAATAACAAAAAAAACATGTGGGGCAAGTGCAAAATAAACATCCTAAGACACTGGGAATCCTTGAAAATAACACAAAAAACCCGGCTGAGGAATCAATAAAAAGTGACTAAAACAAAACAGAAAAAGGAACAAGATTATACTATAAAATTCCATTCAAATCTATCGATTACAACTCGAATTTCCGCAACATTTCTCCAAATCCAATTCCATCAATAAATCCTCGTCATCTTTTTTCGACAATTTTGGAGCAACTCCGTGAACATTTTGAGAATTCCAGAGTTCGGCGTATAAACCATTTGAGGACAACAATTCGAAGTGATTTCCTTTTTCGGCGACTTTTCCATTTTCAAGCACATAAATTATATCAGCATCTACAATTGTTGCGAGTCGATGAGCAATGAATAAGGAGGTGCTGGAAAAATTATTAATTTCAGATTTTTCTTGTAAACACTATGATATGATAACCCAGTCAATTCAATTTATGTGAGATAAACAGTTTTTGAAACAGTGAATTTTTTTGTTGAAATTTGACAGAAACAAAAATTATCAACTAGCAAAAAATTATATGAAAACTTTGAAACAGTGAATTTTTCCTGGGAACAATTTTGATATACGTTTGCACAAAACATCATAATTTATACTGTTTCAAAAGTTTTCTTCGAATTCTGAAACTGTGAATTTTTTGAATTGTTTTCTGAACAATTTAGCTCTAAAAGTTTGCTACTGGAGGAAAATTTGACCTGTTTTTACAGTTTCTGGATTTGATTATTAAAAAATAATTTCAGCCAATAAAGAAAAAACTATGGCATCAATAGCTAGGTTCAATTATTTTTCACATTAAAATTTTGAAACAGTGAACTTTTCTGGCAGAAAAAATTCTGCAAAAGTGAATCAAGAAATTTTTGAAACACTGGATTTTTCTTTAAATAGAATAACGGTTGAACTGATTTCAAATACTCGAACAAAAATCTAATATTAATTTTGAAACAGTGAATTTTTTCAGAGAAGAATGTGTAGAAATATTAGGTCAACTATCAAACTTCCCAATTTTCAAAAAATATACATACATATTTTGAAACAGTGATATTTTTCTTGGAAAAATTCGAATTTTCGGAAAGTCTTACAATTTTCGGAAAGTCTTACGAATTTTCGGAAAGTCTCCTTCAGCCTTTGAAAAATCTAAAAATTTGACAAATTGTATATTCGATTGTGTAGTATCTTCTCACAATAAATAATTAATGGCATACACATTTTGAAACAGTGAATTTTTTTTAGAGAAAAAAAAGACAAAACTTCAGATTTTGGTTCCCAAATTTCCCCTTCCCAAATCCCTTGCTAACCGTTTATCAACAGCTCCTTTCAATGATTTCATAATATTTGATTCAGTAATTGCATCAAGTGAAGATGTTGCTTCATCATAAATAACAAATGGTGCATTTTTTAAAATTGCTCGAGCAATTGCAACTCGTTGTTTTTCACCACCTGATAATTTCAAACCACGTTCACCAACCAATGTATCGTAACCCTGGAAGAAGAAAAATGGGAAATGAGCGGGATTTTTGGGTAGAGACAATGTGAAATTGAGAGAGCGCAGACAGCCAAATTAGTTTGTAGGTTTTGTTCGAATAATTAATTTGTGCTTTCTGCGCTCTCTCAATTTCATGTTGTCTCTAAAATAAGGGATTTTTCCAAGGTTTTCATATGAAAAATTTGAAACAGCAAACATTTTTAGAAAGGAAATAGGATTACGTATTTTAATTTCTTGATAGTATTTGTCAAAAGGAATTTCTTGAAACAGTGAATTTTTCAAACTTTTTTTACAGTTCCGCCGAACTCAAGAACAAGTTCATAAAAAAAGCGAAATTCATAAATCAATTTTGAAACAGTGAAATTTTTTTGACAGGTTTTATGAAAAATGGTTGAAAAACTGAAATTTCGGCGATTCTTCGAATTTCTGGGTAAAAAACCTCAATTTTAAAATTTGAAATCTAGGGAACCGGATTGTCAGCAGTTGAATTTAATTTGAGAAGATTCTGGAGTTAAAATGCGCCAAAAAATCTGTTTTCGAGCTTAAAAAGGTATTTTTTCGCCATTTTGAAGCTTGAATTTCTTGAAACAGTGAATTTTTCAGAAAAAAAGTGTTTATTTTTTTTTTTGTTAAATGGACCATGATTCACTGAAATCATTAAAAAAATCAAATTTTATAAATCAATTTTGAAACAGTGAAAAATTTTTTGATCAGATTTTTTAATTTTAGGGATTTCTCGAATTTCTGGCTCAAAAATCTTGATTTTCAAAATCAAAACCGCTAGAATGATTTTCAGCAGCTTCATCCTGAAAATCCATCTCGAAATAGGTTTTTTTTTGCAATTTTCATAAAACATTGATGTTTCAAGATTTATTCAAATTATGATTTTTCATATTCAAAAAATTCCAAAATGTTCCCCTTTCCCCAAACTTTCAGCAAAACAACTCACATTCGGCATTCTTAGCACACTTTCATGTAAATCCGCCATTCTAGCAGCTCGAATAACTTCATCTTTGGTTGCATTTGGTCTACCATATGCCAAATTATAATAAATTGTATCATGAAATAATACCGAATCTTGTGGTACAATACTTATATTTTTTCGAAGTGAATTCAATTGTAAATCTCGAATTTCTTCATTATTTATTCGAATTTTTCCATTTTCTGTATCATATAATCGATATAATAAACGAACTATTGTTGATTTTCTGCAAAAAAAAATAATGAAATGAAAAAAAATGAATATGGGTCAGAAATTATACGTTTCAAAAATATTTATTCTTTCACGAACACATAATTAATTCATTGGGTGGGTGTATTGTTCCGCATTATCAATTATTGGGAAAATTCAATGTTCCAAAGATTATTTGTTAAAATTTCAAGCCAAAGAACTTTGGAAAAAAACTTATTTTACTTATAAATTTTTTGAAACAGTGAATTGTTGCATATTTTTTGTGTTCAAAAATAAAAGTATTACTGGAAAAATTAATTCCAATGTTTTATTTTAAATACTTTGAAACAGTGAGAAATTGTTTATATGTTTAACCGAAAAGGTTGATGTCATTTATCAATTTTGCAAAGTCGAGTATTTTTTATGTCAATTTTTTGAAATAGTGAAATTTTGACAGTGAGAAAAAGTGAGTTTTTTCGAAATTTTGAAGTAATTTGGGGTTATTATAATAACCTTCAAGTAAATGATTTTTCAAGTCATAATGTTGAAACAGAGAGTTTTTCGACATAAAGTTCAGTGCTGGTATCATTTTCTCAACAAAACTTTCGAAATTAATAAATTTTTTGAAACAGTGGAATTCTGACAGAGAGAAAAATCAGGTTTTTTTTTTAAATTTTGAAACAATTTTTCAATAAAATCATGGTTTCAAATCAACTTTCCAAAGAAAAATATTTTTTGAAGGCAATTTTTTGAAACAGTGAATTTTTTAATATTTTGTAAGGAGGAGAAAAAATACAGGTTTTTCCTCATTTTTTGTATGAGATTTGGGATTTTATGAACTTTGAAATTAGATCCTGGAAGGTTGATCAAAAGAGTAAATACTGTTTCAGTTTAAAGTCATAATTTTGAAACAGTGAATTTTTCAAAAATAATTTTGAACAAAACTTTTGAAATTTCCAAAGTTACTGATAATTTTGAAACAGTGAAGATTTTTCTAATAGAAAGACGACAAACATCAATTTTGCAAAGTCGAGTATTTTCAAGTCAATTTATTGAAACAGTGAATTTTCCATAACAATTTGAATTTTCGCTTGTCAATCATAAGTTTTTGCAAAGTCGAGTATTTGAAAAAAAATTTTGAACAGTGAAATTTTTATATTATGGAAAAGTCGACCATTAAAATTTCCATAGTAAAACATTTTTTGAAGGCAATTTTTTGAAACAGTCCATTTTTAAATTTTTCTAGGGAGAGAAAATTCAGGGTTTTCGCTATTTTTTCTTCGAATGAAGGGTTTTAGCTTTGAAACAGTAAAGAAAATTCCAGAAAACTTGAAAAAAATCCTTACCCAGATCCACTTCCTCCAACAATCGCAACTTTCTTTCCAGTCGGAATCTCCAAATTCAACCCCTTCAAAATCTCCTGTCCTGGCAAATATCCGAAATGTACATTCTCAAATTTCAGCGTAATATCATTATTATCAATTTCCAACAGTTTTGCATCAGATTTCTCAATAATTTGTGATTTGAGCGTTAAAATCGAGAACATTTGATTCATATCAACTAAACCTTGTCGAACTTCTCGATAAACAGAACCCAAAAAATTCAATGGAATTGATAATTGAAATAATAAAGTATTTGCTAATATCAAATCACCAATTGTTAATTCACCAGTTTGAATTCGATTTGCCGCCAAACACATTACACCAATTAATCCGCCACTAAATATTGCATTTTGTGTGAAATTCAATAATGCTAATGATGATGTGGTTTTTAATGAAGCTTCTTCATATTTTGCCAAATATTTATCATATCGATTTGCTTCGAATTTCTCATTATTAAAATATTTGACTGTTTCATAATTGATTAATGAATCGACTGCTTTATTTCCAGCATCATTATCTGCTTGATTCATTTCGTGACGGAATTTTGTTCGCCATCTTGTGATTCCTAATGTTGCAATACCATACATTCCAATACTTCCCATTGTCATATAAGCAAATTCGGGTCCAAGTGTTCCTGTGAAAAGTGCCGAAACCATTCCAATTTCAACTGCTGTTGGGATGAGATTGAAGATAAGGGAACTCAATACAAAACTCATTCCACGTGTTCCTCGATCTGAAATTAAATTTACAAAATTTTGAATTAATTCAAAATACTCGAAGGAGGGAGCTACGGAAGGAGTTCAAACTTCGAATGACAATTATTTGATACAGCGAAAAAACTCGAATTTATTATTGCTTGAGAAAACCAAAAATTTTCTGATACACATTTGTTGAAACAGTGAAAAATTGTGGTTAAAAAATTTTCAAAAAAAATCTAATACAACGAATTTTTCGAGTTAATCAGTCTCAAAAGCACAACTTTTGATATGAAAAAATCTTGAAACAGTGAAATTCCTATCAAAGAAAATGCTAGATCTTCCAGTTTTTAGGGTAAATTTATTGACATTCACGGAAGTATTATTGGATATTAGATTATGGACAATCTTTTCAATACATCTTCGAAACAGTAAAAAAAATTGGAAAAGAAACAGTTTTAGCGGAAAATCATAGATTCAAAATTAATCAAAACTCAAAAAATCGGGATCCAGAATCTGTTCGAATTTACCAAAATCAAGTTAAATATTTTTTGAAACAGTGAAGAATTCGAGAAAATTTTGTTATGAAATTAGTAGATTTTGACCAGGAAAATAATTTCTCTGAATCAAAATTTCGTGAATTTCAAGATTTTCAAGTCAAAAATTCAGAAATTAGGACAAATTTGACATTTTCTTATCAAAAATAGAAAAAAAATGCAATTTTTCGACTTTCAGCTTTTCTGGGACGGAATTTCGAACCATAACAATATTTACAGGTTTAATATTCGTTATTTTTAATTTTACGAGTTTCCCTGATTGAAATTTTGCAAAAATCACAAATTTCAATGCAAAATTCAGCATTTTTGACCGAATACATATAATTTTCAAGTTTTTCCCCCAAAATACTCACCAATAGCTTTTGAAAGTGCTCCAGTTTGTCGATTCAAATGAAAAGATAAATCCAACGAATGTAAATGCAAAAAAATGGCTCGCGAAATACTTCTGACCGAATTCTGCGCAACTTTGGCAAATACCGCATTTCTCAATTCATTAAATAGCGAAGCAGTTGCTCGTGCCAATCCATATGCAATAATTGTGCAAAAACCAGTTGTGAATATAGTTTGAGACGGCGTGTTTGTTGAATCCAATTTCAATTTCAGAAATTCGGGAGCTTTTCCATTATAATAATTGATAATATCTCTCAAAAAGAATGGAACTGATACATTACATAATTTGGCTGTGATTAATAATGATAGTGCAACTAAAACTCGACGACGAATTTCTGGTTTTTCTTTTGGCCAAACAAATTTGAGGAGTTTTTGAACTAGTTGAAAACCCGTCAATTTTCCGTCGGCTTTCAAAGGGACTACGGAATTTGCACCGGGATGAAAACATTGTCGAGTTATTACAACTTGGAATACGCGTTTCTGGAAAAAAGGGATTTTGAATATGGAATTTTGGATGGATTGTTAAGGCTGAAATTCTGAAAAATACTTAATTTGACATTAATTTTTCCAAAATTAGAAAAAAATGAAAACATGAATGATTTCTTATAACAAAAATTCACTGTTTCAAAAATCACATATAGATGTTCAGATTTTGCAGAATTCCAGTAATTTCAACAAGTTTTTAGCTGAAAAATCAATAGTTCTCTTCAAAATTTATGAAATATTCCAACGGAAACGAAGCCGGAAATTTCAGATTTTCCATGTGTTTTCAGCCAAAAAATCAATTTTTGAAAGGTTTACAGAAACATAAAATTCTCAAAATTTCACTGTTTCAATTATTTTTGATATTTTTATACAGCTGAATTTTCCAGTTCGAATGTTGGGTTCAACAAAATCAATAACTGCATTTTTAATGAAATTACTACAGAAAAATTCTAATTTCTGACTATAATTCATTCAAAAATTCCAGCATTTTCAGCAGCCAAAAAATCAATAATTAAAATTTTAGAAAGTGTTAAAAATTTCACTGTTTCAAAAATGTTTAAATAATTTTTTCTCTTGAATTTTTGGATATGGCTTTAGATTTCAACGGCGTTCATTTTCAGCATGAAATCCATCAACTTCAAACATTTTTGACTGAAATTATTTTAAGAATTCAAAACCTTCGGCTATATCATTTTCATACTCAAAATTTCACTGTTTCAAAAGTGTTTGATATTTTCATACAAAACGTCTACAATCAATAGCAAACGATTTCTCAGCCGAAAAACCGAAAAGAATATTTTTAGCACAAAATTACTTGTTCAACTTGAAATTTATAGATTTTCAGCAGAAAACTCACAAAAATCAATATTTTCTCAAATTTTCAGCATAAAATTATGAAAAATTGATTTTTCCTCAAACATTGATCTAGAAAATATAGCCGTGAATTCTAGAATTCTCCAATTTTTCAGCCTCAAAAAATCAATAACCCCTCTTCCCTTGAAAAAACTCACATTTCTATTCAAAAAACTGCCAAAATTCCTAGTGTGCACGGTGTTTCGCACAGCTGATAAAAGCCGAATTTGTAGCATTCTGAAAATTGGAAAACACTGCAAAACTTGTGAGAACTAATGATTTTTCCAAAGATTAGAAAATAGAAAAAATGAGAAAATATAAGAGATGGTGTAAACACAACCACGCAAAAATGCACACAAAAAAATAGCAAAAAAAATTTTTTTTTGAGCAAAAAACCTGATTTTATTAAGGAAAATTATGACTAGAAAATGTTGGGATAAAGCAAATAAAATTTAAAAAATTTCAGATTTTTCTGAAAATCTGGAAAAAAAATCAATAAAACCTAGTTTTCATGTACAACAAGAATGATGATCGTGGGAATTGTGGGGATCTTCTGGAGAATTTGAAGGACCATGATTGTGTGAATGGTTTTTGGGTGATTTTGGCTGGAAAAATGGGGATTTTCAGGTTAATTTTGAGCTGAAAATGGCAAATTTTCAGCGTTTTCTCAAAAATCACTCACCTCAACGCCATGAACATTTTGCGATGTCCACAATTTCGAATAAATCCCATTTTTGATAGCCAACAGCTCGTGATGATTTCCTTTTTCGGCGACTTTTCCATTTTCAAGCACATAAATTATATCAGCATCTACAATTGTTGCGAGTCGATGAGCAATGAATAATGACGTGCTGGAAATTAGAATAAAATTAATTTTCGAGAGGAAACATTTGTTTAATCAATTCAAAATGTGAAGTAAAATTGTTGAATAATTTTTGAAACAGTGGAAAAATATTTTGGTTAGAATTGTTTGAAGATGAACATGAAGATGAAGAAACAGTCGACCAACAAACCTTGAGCATTTTCAATAGATGTGAAATCTTTGAAACAGTGATTTTCAATATTGAGAAAATCACATAAAACTTTAGAAACGAAATATTTTCCGCTAGTAACAATTCCTAAATCCTAGATTTGTAGAATGTATGTTAATTTTTGAATAGAAAAAATATTGGAAAGTGACTCCGAAGCTCAATTGTTACTGATTTTCAAAATCAAACACAGAAAACTAATGAAAAATTTGAAACAGTAAATTTTTTTGATAATAAATAATTATATTTCGAATTGAAAACCCCACAATTTCAGTATAAAAAATGCTGAGAATTTCAGATTTTTTGTTCATATTTTCTTCTCCCTAATTTCAGAAATTCAAAAAAAAAGTTTCAAAAAATGAATATAAAAATTTTGAAACAGTAATTTTTTCAAATAATTTTTTGAAGCAAAAAATAGATGAAATTTCAGATTTTGGTTCCCAGATTTTCCCTCCCATATTTCCCCTTCCCAAAATCCCCAAAAATCTTGCTAACCGTTTATCAACAGCTCCTTTCAATGATTTCATAATATTTGATTCAGTAATTGCATCAAGTGAAGATGTTGCTTCATCATAAATAACAAATGGTGCATTTTTCAAAATTGCTCGAGCAATTGCAACTCGTTGTTTTTCACCACCTGATAATTTCAAACCACGTTCACCAACCAATGTATCGTAACCCTGGAAAAATCAAAAAATGAGAAGGTTTTTTATTGAGAATAAAAATGGAAAGGAATTGCTCGAACAATTTGCAAAATTTTCATATGAAAAATTTGAAACAGTGAAGAAATTCCCTTTCATTCAATATTTCAAGTTCTTGAAACTCTGAATTTTGGGTCATTATTGGTTTGCCAAAATCTAAAATATCAATTTTTTCAAATTTTTGAAACAGTGAATTTTCAAAAATAAAATTAATGAGAATTTTTTGAAACAGAAAACTTTGACCAAAATACGAACAAACATAACTTTCCGGTTGTTATGTATAAATCAAAAGCACATTCCTGTTGTGGGACCAAAAAAAAAAGAAGAACAATTTACATTTTTTGAGACAAACATGCTCGCAAAATTTTTGTTTCTTCTAATTATTTCCAAACTTTCGGTGAGAGAAAAAAAAATAACAGATGGATAACAACATTTTTTCAGACAACCTCAAGTTGAGGTCCTCAACTATTATGATAATTTGGGGAAGTTACGATACATCCATTACAGATGTTTTGTATACCAAAGATGTTCAGAGCGATGAGGAATGCTGGAATCTATTGGACCAATCAACTGATTACAAAATCGCGTTTTGGAATGATAAAACTTGTTATCTGAATGAGTATCAATATGTTCGCTTAGTTAAACCGGATGATGGAAAGACGAGCAAGATTGCATTCAGAATATCAAACAATCTTGCTGAGTGCCCAGATATATTTGAATCTGCAGAAGCTGAACATCATAAAATTTCATATAACGGAATATCCTGGAATATTGAACGTAGGTTTTATTCAGAAATTCGTAGATACCAAGAAAGAAAAGAAGAATATCTATTGCTTTTTGAATATAAACGATTTACAAAGAGGGATGGGAACTCAAATATTGAATCCACCGTTCTGGATTTTGAGTGGCCGCTTAGATTTTAGCTTGTTCCAGCAAAAGAACCATGCGAAGACGGTTATAATTGGTCCATGCGAGAAGGTCAGATTATATGCTATTTCGTAGGTTTTCCCTTCAAGGGTGTTACTCAACTTTTTTTCATTTCATAGTACGGAAAACATCCAAACTATACAACCTATAGTCAAGCTGTCAGTGATAATAGCCAGTTCGATCGAATACTCTCTGCTCCATGGAATATTAAGGAAACGATCAATTGTTTCAACACCAACAATCGAAAATATAATTTGACGAGAATGAGGGTTATCACAGATGGATCAAGATACCCTAATTGCAATGATATGTCCTCCATAACCACTCAAGATTGTCAATATCCTAGTGGATATGGCTTCCGAGATCCCACAAATTCAAAAATTTCTAACTTTCAATTTGTGACAAATCCAACAATTTCAACTGACAATGAATGTGTTGCAATGTTGTTAGACCTCGAAGATGCAAGTGTCAATGGAAAATTCGATTTTGTGAAATGTGACGAAAAATGTGAAAATGGTTATTGCTCATTCTATTCCGTTGGAATCAAACAAATCAGTGTCTAATTCCATTTTCATTACTAATGATAAAAAATAATTTTTTGTGGAAAAAATACATTTTGTCTAATTGTTCTCTACAATGTTACCTAACTGGACTAATTTCCGAATCGAAAAATACAACAAATATTATTCCAAGGATCTTTCAAATCGAAGTCGACCGAACATAACTTTCCGGTTGTTATGTATAAATCAAAAGCACATTCCTGTTGTTGGATCAAAAAAAGAAGAACAATTTACATTTTGAGACAAACAAAGCATTTGATTCTTCTAATTATTCGGAGGTTTATGGTTAACAAGAAAAACACATGTTATTGGAACAAATAAAAATTTTGAAACAGCAAGAATCTTATATTGAAAAATTCGAATTTTCTGAGTTTTCACACAAAAAACTCCAAGATTGGAATATTTAGTATGAACTTTTTCCAAAATGTTCACTGTTTCAAGAAAAAATAAGTTTTTTCTTGTTTCATTGAAAACTCTACTGATCTGAGATGAATAAATTTCTTCAAAAAAAATAAATAATTGAATCTATATTCAAAAAATCCCAAATTTTCCCAATATTTTTATTTTCAAAAATTCAAACTCACATCCGGCATTTTCATAACACTCTCGTGTAAATCGGCCATTTTCGATGCTTCAATAACTTCATCTTTAGTTGCATTTGGTCTACCATATGCCAAATTATAATAAATTGTATCATGAAATAATACCGAATCTTGTGGTACAATACTTATATTTTTTCGAAGTGAATTCAATTGCAAATCTCGAATTTCTTCATTATTTATTCGAATTTTTCCATTTTCTGTATCATATAATCGATATAATAAACGAACTATTGTTGATTTTCTGCAAAAAAATAATGAAATGGGAGTAATTTGGGTCAGAAATTATACGTTTCAAAAATATTTATTCTTCATCATTACAATGTTTTTTCACTGTTCAAACAAAACATAATTTTCTTTGTTTTTTTGGTGAAAAAATATTCACTGTTTCAGAAAATTTTAATTTTGAGTTGGAAATTTGTGTTTTCCGATAAAAAAATTGGTCAATTAAAGAAAAATAAAAATGAACTAGCTTTCGAAAATTTGTAGAAATTCTCTAAAAATATTCACTGTTTCAAGAAAATCTTCAATATTTCTCAATTTCTCCAATTTTCAATATGAATAATCATACAAACTCACCCAGATCCACTTCCTCCAACAATCGCCACTTTCTTTCCAGTCGGAATTTCCAGAGTCAAACCTTGAAGAATGGGCTTCTCGGGAACATATCGGAAGTGCACATTTTCAAGCTGCAAATTTTTTGTTAATTTTTTTTTCATTCCGTAAACTTCTGAAACAAATATCAATGTTTTTTACGACTAGAAAAAATGAGTAAAATTTGAAACAGCATTTTTTTAAAAATAAATTTTGATAAAAATCGTTGAAAATAGTGATTTGACAATTCCGAAAACGCTCTCGGAGTCAGTTCCAAAGTTTGACTGATTTTTGAAACAGTATTTTTTCTCAAATTAAAATTTTTGGTGAAATTCCAAAGTTTCCATTTCATGTCTTCCAAATTTCACAAAAATTCCCTGTTTCAAAAACTGTATAATGAAAGATTCCACTGTTTTAAAGTTAATATGTATAAATTTTGAATATGTTCATAATTACATCACACTCAACAAGAATAGAATATTTTCTGTTTCAAAAATAAAAATTAGACCCCCAAAAAAATACCTTCAAAGTGATGTCATTATTCAAAATGCTCAATTCGTTGGCTCCTGGTTTTTCCAAAATATCCGGCTTCAAATACAAAATCGAGAACATTTGATTCATATCAACTAAACCTTGTCGAACTTCTCGATAAACCGAACCCAAAAAATTCAATGGAATTGATAATTGAAATAATAAAGTATTTGCTAATATCAAATCACCAATTGTTAATTCACCAGTTTGAATTCGATTTGCCGCCAAACACATTACACCAATTAATCCGCCACTAAATATTGCATTTTGTGTGAAATTCAATAATGCTAATGATGATGTGGTTTTTAATGAGGCTTTTTCATATTTTGCCAAATATTTATCATATCGATTTGCTTCGAATTTCTCATTATTAAAATATTTGACTGTTTCATAATTGATTAATGAATCGACTGCTTTATTTCCAGCATCATTATCTGCTTGATTCATTTCGTGACGGAATTTTGTTCGCCATTGAGTTATCGCAAGTGTTGCTATACTGTACATTCCGATACTTCCACAAGTCATATAAGCAAATTCAGATCCTTTAAAAATTTGGCTTTTTTCTAGTTTTTCCGCGTAAACGGCAATGTTACCCTAACTTCCTAAATTAGCTATAGGAGTTATAGTAACCTTTCCGCTTACGCGGAAGCTTGCGGTCTCCGCTAAAATTCAAAAAAAAAAATTGGCGATAGGTTCCCCTGTGCGGAATCTTGAAATTTTCCCTAAAACCTCGATTTTTACAGTGAAAAATCAATTTTTTAGGGAAAATTTCAGATCCGGCCGTTTTTCGAATATTTTTTGATGAAAATTTTAGTGTAGACCGCAAGCTTCCGCGTAAGCTGCAAAGTTACCCTAACTTCCTAAATTAGCTATAGGAGTTATAGTAACCTTTCCGCTTACGCGGAAGCTTGCGGTCTCCGCTTAAATTCAGAAAAAAATTGGCGATAGGTTCCCCTGTGCGGAATCTTGAAATTTTCCATAAAACCTCGGTTTATCAGTGAAAAACCAATTTTTAGGGAAAATTTCAGATTCGGCATTTTTTCGAACATTATTAGGTGAAAATTTGGAAAATTCAGAAAAAAATTCCAAATTTTCAACATTTTAAAACCAGAAGCTTCCTTGTCAACACAAAGTTACGATAAATTCAGTTAATCTGGAAGCTTATGGTAACTTTGCCGGAAGCTTGCGGTCGAAAACCTACCCAAAGTTGAAGTAAACAACGCAGAAACCATTCCAATCTCAACCGCCGTCGGAAAAATATTAAAAAGCAGTGAGCTTAAAATAAAGCTCATTCCCCTAGTTCCTCGATCAATCGATTTCGAAAGTGCTCCAGTTCTTCGATTCAAATGATATGATAAATCAAGAGAATGTAAATGAAGGAAAATATTTCGAGAAATACTTCGAACTGAATTATGAGCGACTTTGGCGAAGATTGAATTTCGAAGTTCGTCGAATAATGAAGATGTTGTTCGAGCAATACCATCTGAAGACAAGCGTTGCGTGTGCGTCGCGGTTTTGCTACGCGACGCACACGCAACACACTCGGAAGTCTTTCTTTTTTCGATAAACACCGAACTTACAAGCAAAAATAGTGCAAATTCCAGCAGTAATAAACGAATTTGACAACGTGCCATCAAAAGTCAATTTCAGAAATTCGGGAGCTTTTCCATTATAATAATCAATAACATCTCTCAACAAAAATGGAACTGATACATTCACGAGTTTCGCTGTGATTAACAATGATAATGCAGCCAAAACTCGTCGCCTGATTTCAGGTTTTCCTTTTGGCCAAACAAATTCGAATAATCGTTGGGTTAATTGCCATCCTGTTAGTTTGGTGTCAGCCTGCAGGAAAATGAAGTTATTGTAACTTTGCCGAAGCTTGCGGTCTCCGCTAGAATTCAAAAAAAAATTGGCGATAGGTTCCCCTATGCGGAATCTAGAAATTTTCCATAAAACCTCGATTTTTGCAGTGAAAAATCAATTTTTAGGGAAAATTTCAGATTCGGCCGTTTTTCGAATATTTTGTGGTAAAAATTTTAGTGTAGACCGCAAGCTTCCCCGTAAGCGGCAAAGTTACCCTAACTTCCCAAATAAGCTATACGAGTTATGATAACTTTTTCCGCTTACGCGGAAGCTTGCGGTCTACACTCGTTCCCCTAATTCAAAAAAAAATTGGCGATAGGTTCCCCTATGCGGAATCTAGAAATTTTCCATAAAACCTTGATTTTTGCAGAAAAATCAATTTTTTGGGAAAATTTTCAGATTCGGCTTTTTTTCGAATATTTTCTGGTAGAAATTTTGATGTAGACCGCAAGCTTCCGCACAGCGTCAAAGTTACCCTAACTTCCTGAATTAGCTATAGGAGTTATGGTAACTTTTCCGCTTACACGGAAGCTTACGGTCTCCACTAAAATTCAAAAAAAAATTGGCGATAGGTTCCCCTATGCGGAATCTAGAAATTTTCCCTAAAACCTCGATTTTTGCAGTGAAAAACCAATTTTTAGGGAAAATTTCAGATTCGGCCGTTTTTCGAATATTTTCTGGTGAAATATTGAGTGTAGACCGCAAGCTTCCGCGTAAGCGGCAAAGTTACCCTAACCTCCTCAATTAGCTATAGGAGCTCTGTTAACTTTCCCGCTTACGCGGAAGCCGGCGGTCTCCGCTAGAATTCAAAAAAAAATGGCGATAGGTTCCCCTGTGCGGAATCTAGAAATTTTCCCTAAAATCTCGATTTTTGCAGTGAAAAATCAATTTTTAGGGAAAATTTCAGATTCGGCTGTTTTTCGATTATTTTCTGCTGAAAATTTGGATAGTTCAGAAAGAAAATCCAAATTTTCAGACAATTTTTAGTGCGATTTATTTTCGATCCAAAAACCCCCTATATTCTTTATTCTCCAAACAATTTTCAATTTTTCACTGATTCGATAATTCGATTCCCATAGATTTTGCTAATTTGCCAGGGAACCAACGCATTCCCAGTGGGCCCGAATTTTATATAAATAGAAATCAGCTTCACATTTTTTCATATCACACTTTTTCGTTTAACTTACATTTAGGGGAACTAGGCCACTTGCTCCCGGGTGAAAGCAATTTCGTTTTTGTTGAATCTGAAAAAAAATTTTTTTTTAATTTCAAATTTCAATTTCAGGATGCTCAAATCAATTGGAATTTTGGCTTTTTTGGGTGGAGTTTTGGCACATGGCCAAGGACAAATTCAACATAATAGAATTCGAAATGATCAAGGTGTAGTAGATTTGGAGGAAGGTTCTTTGGTGTCAAGAATTCAAGACACAAAATCAAAAGGCTGTGAACTTGGACATAAAAGAAGAATTGGAAAAGGTAGTTATTATGAGGAATGTTTGCCAAGATACGAGACAAATGGATGTTATGCTGGTTTTGCGACTCCTCCAGAATTTGTGGCAAATGGCGAGACTATTGATCGACTTTATAGTGAGAAACAAGTTGGATTCCGTTATAAATGCGAAAAAACTGCTGATTATATATATTTTGCACCAGAGTGTGAGTTTTTCTATTTATTTTTGAAAATATTTGAGACCAAGTTCACGTGGATTTTAGCCCCAAAACCATTCAAAATGTTTCAAATTCAATTTCAGCATGTTTCGTAATTCGTGAGGATGGCAAAAGGGTCCATATTCCAATGGGAAAAAGTGCAATCGGCCGAAATAGTCAAAGAGTTCATTGCAAGAAGAATAGCGCGGGAGAATATTCGTTTGAATATGGAGAGATTGCAAAAGCTGGAGAACCAGATCTTCAATAAATAATCAAATACTCACCGTTTTTAACGATAAATTTATTCGATTTTTTGATAAATGTGTTATACTTCGATGCGATATCTGCAAAAAATTTACTGTTTTTGTGTTTTAAATTTTTTTCTGATTGATTTAGACCTGAAAAGCACGATTTAACTATCAAAAACAACTTCGCTCAACTCTGAACAAGATCTTTTTTCTGAAAAATCTCGATTTTTGAAATTTTCAAAGTTTTCTACGTCATCAGAGCTGAGCTTCACAGTTTTTGATAATTTTATCGCCATCAGAAGCTCAAAATCTACTAGAAAACATATATTATTGAAAAAAACTATTTTCTTCCCTTTTTGTCTCAAATACAAAAACTCACCGTTTGTAACGCATATTTTGTGCATAATCGAAGTTGCAGCATTCGCCCCCAGCTCGCCCAAACCTGAAAATCAGCCAAAAATCACGATTTTCAGCAATTCCCCCCGAAAAAGTCTGAAAACCCCGGCAACAACACTTCGCAATTCCGCTGCCTTTGTGTGCAAACACCGTGACGCGCAATTCCACGATGTGTACACACGGCGACGCACAAATGCACACTTTTTATTCTCGGCCTACGAATTTTTTTCAGCCGCGTTTTTCAGTTTTTCGGGGGGTTTTAGGGGAATTTGGGGGGTTTTGAGAGAATAGGAAATTTTCTGGAGAATTTGGGAAGCGGTTTGATGTATTGATTTTTGTTGAAATTGAGAAAAATTTGTGTTTTTGATGAAAATGGGATTTTCGAAAATATTTAAAAATAATTTTGCAGGTAACAAAAAAAGCAAAGATGCGTCCATTATCTTTGAAAGGACACGAACGTGCACTTACTCGAGTTCGATTCAATCGCGAAGGAGATCTCGTCTTCACTTCTGCCAAAGACAAACGACCATGTGTTTGGTATACTGAAAATGGTGAGAGAATCGGAAGTTATGATCAACATAATGGAGCTGTTTGGGATATCGATGTGACTTGGGACACTCAAAAATGTGTGACAGCTTCCGGAGATAATACCGTCAAAATTTGGGATGCTGAAAGAGGAAATTGTTTGAACACAATCAATCATCAAACCCCGATGAAATCGTGCGGTTTTTCGTATTCGGGAAATTTGGTGATTTTTACCACACAAAAAATGACGAAAAATATGTCGAGTGTTCAAGTTCGCGATATTCGCGATCAATCGCAGATGGTTGATGGGGCGGAGCCGATTTTCAGCGCACAATTTGATGTGAATGCTGGAACTGCGCTTTTCAGCAAATTGGATGATGAGGTGAGTGTGGAACTCTTCTTGGAGCTGAGATAATCATCAAGAATTAATTGCTCAAATCCGGGCTTCAGAGAGCTCCAACCGATATTTTTGAATTTTGATTTCACAGCGTTGCTCAGAATATTTGATTTGATATTTAACTCACATTGACAAATAAACTAGAATTAATTATACATAGTTTAAAATTCAAGATTATCGTCGGAAAATATCATTTTTTTTTAATCACAAAAATGCTCCTAGAGGTATTTTTGTGATTAAAAAATAAAAAATGATATTTTCAGACGATAATCTTGACTATAATTAATTCTAGTTTACTTGTCAATGTGAGTCTAACCTTCTGAGCAATGCTGTGAACTCAGAATTCAAAAATAATGGATCTGTAGCTCTTGGAAGGTTTCTAGACGATTCTTGAGTAATTATTGAGCTTTTCATCCTTTGATTTCACTCTGTAAAGTTATCAAAACTCTTCCCAAACCTACTATTTTCATTTCAGATTACAATTGGTTTCGAATCCGGTCTGATTCTTCAATACGATTTGCGAAACAGTGAACAATCAAAGAATGCAAATGAAAGTGTTCACAGATACAGTGTTCAAGATTTGCAAGTTTCGCCAAGTGGAGAATTTTTGATTTCATCTTCAAGAGATAAAACATCGGCTCTTTTGGATATTAATGATTTGAAGAAACTCAAACAATACAAGTGAGTTGAGATTTAGAAATGAGAGCGTTTTCGAAATTGAAAACGTGAATTTGACCTGCCAATTGCGGGAAAAATGTTTATTCGAATATTTCGACAAAAATTTATTTTCAAAATTTCACTGTTCCAAAAAATAATAAAGAAATTTGGTTTTCAAAATTAAAATGATGAGTTAACCGTATATTTTGAAAAAAAATTAAAAATCTGAAAAACCTCTCAAATCCTTCAGAACAACAATCTGTGCTAAAATTGATTTAAATTAAAAAATAAATTCTACTGTTTTCTTCAAAACTAAGAGTTTTCATGAATGACTCGAAAGTTTACACAAAAATGTAATTTGGATTTTTTTCACTGTTTCAAAAAATTAGTAATAAGTTTGGCTTTTGAAATTGAATGATGATTATTCCGTATTCGTCTTCAAACAATTCCAGAACATTTTTCAAAGCTCAGAATTCCTTTGAAAACTCTGAATTTTATCGAAAAACCTCTGAAATTGTTCAGAATATTTTAAAACTGGTTGTTTGAAAAAAATCGACAAAATTCATTTTCAAAATTTTTTACTGTTTCAAAAAAATTAGGAATTTGATATTAGAAATGAATGATCAATAACGTTTTCAAATCATGCCGTGAAGTTTTAGAAACACTTGATAAAATCTGATTAAATAAGGCCAAAACTATGCCTTTCTGAAAATCCTTTTAAAAAATTGAGATGAAACGAAATTCAAAAAATTACTGTTTCAAAATTATGAAGAATGCAAAAATTCAAAAACCTTCTGAATTTGAAGGTTTTAATTTTCAAAACTCACAGAAAATGCTCCTCGATTCCAAGAAAAAGTTTCAACATTATGAAAACCTAGTCTTCGTGTAAATTTTCAATTTTTTGTGCTCAATGAGGATTAGTGATATTTGAAAATCAAAATTGATTATTTTTGGGCTTATTTATTTACTGTTTCAAAATTATGTCAAAGGAAAAATAGTGAAAATATTTCTAATATAACCCCATTCAACTAATTCCTCAAATTCAAATTTTGCAGATCTGAGCGTCCAGTCAACTCTGCGTGTATTTCTCCAATTCGTGATCATATTTGCCTTGGAGGAGGAGAAGACGCGATGCAAGTAACACAAACCTCAGTTTCTGCCGGACATTTCGAAGCCAAAATCTATCATATGGTATTTGAGGAGGAATTTGCGAGATTCAAAGGACATTTCGGACCGATTAACACAATGGCTTGGCATCCATCTGGAAATTGTATTGCGACTGGAGGAGAAGACGGTAAGTCATGTTTTTGAGATGAAAATTTGGAATTTTTTGAATCTAAATTTGAAAATTCAAATTTCGGCTTCGAATTCCACGTTGAAATCATGTGAAAATGTGCAAAATTCCATTTTTCACTCTAAAAAATCGCCTATTTTTTCCAGGTTACGTGAGAATTCAAGAGTTTGACGAAGATTACTCAAACTTCAAATACGACTTCTAATTTTCCCCAATTTTTCCGCCGGTTTTTCTCCTTTTTTTCTAGAAAACTTGTGATTTCTAACACCTGAAAATGCTAATTTCATCAGTTTTATTGAAAAAATTCCCGGATTTTTCCCCAAATTAGAAAATTTATCCGGTGCTGAGAAATTGCAGGATTTCTTGTCTTTTTTCCCCTTTTCCATGAGTATTTTTGTTGAATTTTTAAATTATATTGGCTGTTTTTCGGTGTTTCTTCTTCTTGTTTTACTCGATAAAATTCTGTTTTTTCTCTGGAACTTTTCATGAATTTTCGAGGTTTTTCCAACCTTTTTCATATATTTTTGCCTATTTTTATTGACTTTTTATTGGAAATCTATGGGATTTAGAGATATGCCACATACAAATCGACATAAATTACAAAAAAATGGTTTTGGTGGTGGAAATGGGAGCCGAAAAAGGAAATCTGGAGGACATGGAAATGGAGGAGAATCGATTGCGATGAGCAAAGTTTTGAGAGAGAAAAGGTACGGTATTTTTGGGCTGAAAATTGAGAAAAATTAGAAAATTATTGATTTTTGGGTGAAATTTAGGAACAGGTGAAAAATTTTTTTTGCTCACGAGAACAAAACAAGCAAAATTATTCTAGAATTTTTTGAGAAATTTTATATTTGAAACAGTGAAATTTTTCTGAAGGAAAATTGAATTTTGCTCTAATATTCTTCAAAAATATGGAATTCTATAAGGAAAAAATTTGAAATGGTGAAATTTCTGCGTATTTTTCCTTTGAAAAAAATTCCGATTTTCATCTAAAAATCATGGAAATTTTGTTAATTTTTGAAAAAACCTGTGAAAAATGGAAATTTATCACGAGAAATGGTTAAAATTGAGTATAAGATTCAAAAATATGAACTATCCAAGATTTCTGTGAAAATTTGAATTATGAAAACATTGAAACAGTCGATTTTTTTCAAAAAAACTTCTAATATTTTCAGATTGGCCAAAAAACGAAAGCAAGATCTGAAAGAACAAGAACAAGAAATGCTCGAAACAATCGATCAAAAATATCAGGAAGCATTGAAAGTGAGTTTTATGATTTGTGGGAAAAAATATGCCTTAAATTCTGAGAAATTCAACAAAAAATCACCTAGAAAAATTTACTGTTTCAAAAAATTGATGAGAAACTTTCGAAATTATGGAAATTTGTTCCGATCGCTGTTTCGAAATGAAAAAATGTCTGAAAATACTTCGAAATCTTTCTGAAACTTAGATAAAGAACTATATTTTACGGCAAAAATTATATCTAAAAATCTAGAAAACTTGAATAATTTTTTTACAAAGAAAATAGTAAAGAAGAATATTTTAACCCCAATTTTAATCTCAGAAATTCTCTAGAAAATTGAAAAAAATCTTGAAAGGGTAGTTTTTATTTTTTATTAAAAAGGTAGATTTGAATTTGTCAACTGAAAATTGTGATATGAAAAATTTACTGTTTCATAGATGTGGTTTACAAAATTCGAAAAATGAGGGAATTTAGTGTGTCTGTTGATGTCAAATTAAAAAATCTCGAAAATTATACAAAACACTGAAATGTACCATTTTTTCTGAAAAATTGACTGTTTCAAAAATTTCATTAAAAAATCCGAAAACTGAAAATTAATCAGTACCAACAAATTTGTTTCAAAAAATTCCCCAAAACCCCAAAATTTTCTCTCATAAACTCTTACATAAACTAGATTTCTGGACGATTTTCCAATGATTTTTTTTTAAATCAAATCGAAAATTCCTAGTGAAAATTTACTGTTTCAAAGATTTGATTAAAAATTCGGAAATTTATCAGGATATTTTTCAAAAACCCCGATATTTAGACAAAAATGTGAAAGTTCCTGTTAAAAAAATTTACTGTTTCAAAAATTTAGTATAAAAAATACACGATCTTGAAATTTATTAGTACCGTTCATCTTTATGAAGTGAAAAAATTCCCCAAAACCCCAAAATTTTCTCTCATAAACTTTTACATAAACTAGATTTCTGGACGATTTTCCAATAATTTTTTTAAAAATCAAAACGAAAATTCCTAGTGAAAATTTACTGTTTCAAAGATTTGATTAAAAATTCGGAAATTTATCAGGATATTTTTCAAAAACCCCGAAATTTAGACAAAAATGTGAAAGTTCCTGTTAAAAAATTTACTGTCTCAAAAATTTCATATAAAAAATACACGATATTGGAAATTATTAATACCATTTTTGCTCCTTTCAGAAAAGCACTCGACAATTCCACAATTTCACCGATTTTCCACTTTCCTGGCGAACTTTGGAAGGCCTAAAAGAAAACGACTACGAAAAACCGACCGAAATCCAACGTGACACAATCTTATATTCACTTTCTGGTTCAGACGTCGTCGGAGCCGCCAAAACCGGCTCCGGAAAAACGTTGGCACTAGTGATTCCAGTTTTAGAAGCACTTTGGAGAGCAAAATGGTGTTCGAGTTATGGTTTAGGAGCATTGATTATTTCACCAACCAGAGAATTGGCTTTGCAAACATTTAGCACTATAAATGCTGTTGGAAAATGCCACGATTTTTCGTGTGGTTTAGTGATTGGTGGAAGTGAATTGGGATTCGAGAAAAATCGAATCAGTGGAATTAATATCATTGTTTGTACACCTGGTAGATTATTACAACATATGGATGAAAATGAGCAGATGAATTGTGATAGTCTTCAGATTTTGGTGTTGGATGAAGCTGATCGAATGTTGGATATGGGATTTGCTAAACAGGTTGGGAGAATTTTGAAATTTTGGCTCGTGGATTGGAAATTTGTATTTTTAACTTTAAAAAAGCGTCAAAAATCCACAATTTTTATTCAAAAAATCACAAAATTCTGAAGTTTTCATCAATTTTTCTTCCCCGAATTTTGTACGTTTCAAAATTACCTTATCTCAGGTTTTGAATTGATTTTTTCGTTAGTTCGTTGCGAAATTCTCTTCGATAAAAAAATATTTAAAACATTTTTTCACATTCTAAATTATCCTAAATTTCCAGCTGAATTCTCTCGTCTCAAATTTGCCATCCGAACGACAAACGCTTCTTTTCTCAGCCACTCAAACCAGAAATGTCAAGGATTTGTCGAGAGTTTGCACAAAGGTAGGGATTTTTTGAGATTTTATTGGGAAATTGCTGGAATTTGATGCGACTACACAAACCGATCCATTAAAAAATGAAAATCTTCCGAAATCTATCTGAAATTGTTGAAACAGTAATTTTTAACGAAAATAAAAGCGATATTTGTTAAATCAAATTTTATCTGGAAAATTTCGAAACAGTAGATTTTTTTATTTTACAATTTTCACTGTTTCAAATTTTACCTAACATGTAACAGAATATGTTAAAGTCTGGTTTTATTTAGATACTCGACTGCGAAAATTCACTGTTTCAAATTTACAAAAATATTTTCGGAAAATACAGCTCGATTACTGCTGGCAGCAGTCTGCTGCACACGCATATTGGCAAAAAAAATGAAGTTCGAAAAAAAATCAAATTGTGAATTTTCTCCACGATTTTTAAAACCCTAGAGTTAATAAAATCTAAATCTGATAAAATCTAAAAAAAATTATCTTTAAAAATATACGAAAAAAAATCCAAAAATATTGGGAAATTTACGTTTCAAATTTTGATTAAAATTAAATTTGGGAAGTTCGATTAATATTAAAGTCGAATCTATCTCTGATAATTTTGAAACAGTTAAAAATGTTAATATGTTTTGTAAACAAAAATTTTTTCCAAAGTTTAAAAATTGTGACGCCAAAAATCCACGTCACCCCACCGCATAAAATTAATTTTCCGAATTTACAGGATCCAGTATTCGTGTCAGTTCATGAAAATGCGACGACCGCAACTCCAGATAAACTCAAACAATCATATGTGATTGTAGAAGAAGAGAATAAAATCAACACTCTCTGGTCATTCATAGAAGCGCATCGCAAAAAGAAATCGCTTGTTTTTGTGTCGAGCTGCAAACAGGCTCGATTTTTGACCGATTCATTTTCTCAACTTCGACCTGGAATACCTGTGATGGGATTGTGGGGAACAATGAATCAGAAAAAGAGAATCGAAACATTTTCGAAATATGATGAAATGAAGGCGGCTGTTATGATTGCGACTGATGTTGCTTCGAGAGGATTGGATTTTGAACATATTGATTGGGTTATTCAATTGGATTGTCCGGCTAGTATTGATGATTATATTCATAGGTAAGAGATTTTTCGGGGGGGGGGGGGAGAAGAAAATTTGGAGGAAATTCAATTTTTGAACGAAAATTTATCCAAATAATAATATCCATTTCTGCTCAGAAAACCCAAAAATAGGATTTTTCCTAATTTTCATTCTAAAAATAATTTATATACACGTTGTTTTGCACCTCAAAATTATATTTTTCAAGCCACTTTCAAATTTTGATATTAGATAATTTTACTGTTTCAAAATTTTTTGAAATCTCATTTTGAACTTGAAATTCGATTCACTTAGTAAAAACGTGGTGAAAATTCTTGAAATTACGATTTTTTCCCGAAAATTAAAAAAAATTGAAACAGTGCCTTTTTGTAGATCAAAATGGCTAAACTTCCATTTTTTAAGCAAATTTCGGAATTTTCATTTTTTTTTTTGGAAAAAAAATGGATTCCTAACCAAAATCTATGTTTTCTTGAGAGTTCTGAACAGACTTTTCAAGCCACCTTTCAATTTTCGCAACTTCTTCAAACATCCCAAAATTACCAGGAAAATATACGTTTCTAGAATATTTGTTATTTTGATTGAGAAAGAAAATTTTCATTGTCACAAGTATTTTGAAAAAAAAATTCACTGTTTCAAAATTTTGTGACAAGAAAAATTGAGAAGCGGGGAAATGATTCACCTGTTTTTGAATTTTGATAACTTTCAGATTTGCAGCTAGATAAATCTGGATTTCTTAGATTTTCTAGGTAAAGGTTCTGATTTTTTGTGAATCTGAAAATTCATCTGATTTGATAGCTTCACATTCGCATTTTCTGTGAAAAATTCTAACCAATTTTTGTACCTAAAAATCATATTTTTCAAACACTTTCAAGTTTTGAATTCAAATATTTCACTGTTTCAAAATTTTTTGAAAATCTCAAATTCTATTCTTGCAAGTTTCAACATTGAATTTGTTAGATATGTAAGCAAAGATTCTGATTAACTGTGAATCTGAAATTTCACCTGAATTAATTTCTTCGAAAATTTGGAATTGCAGTTTACGATCAAAACATACCTGAAAATCTCTGAAAAACCTACAGAACAAGAAAAATTCCCCCTTTTTTCCAGAGTTGGTCGAAGTGCTCGAAATGATGATTCGGGAAATTCGCTCCTCATGGTCACATCATCTCAAAAAGATCGAATGCTCCAAAAACTCTCGCAAAAATCGATTCCAATCGAAGAACTTCGAATTGATCCCAAAGCTCTCACCGATATTCGCGTAAAACTTCGCGCAATTCTGGCTGAAAATCTGGAATTGAAGGATTACGCGCAGAAAAGTATTGTGGCTTATTTGCGATCGATTTATACAATGAGAGATAAGAAGATTTTCAATGTGCAGAATATTGATTCGGCTGCTTTGGCTGATAGTTTTGGACTTGTTTCGGTGCCTAGAATTAGGTTTTTGGATAAGGAACAAAAATTGAAAAAGAAAGAGCTTAAAACTGAAGAGAAGGCTGAAAATGATGATGGAATTGTTGGAAAATTCAATATTGATGTGCCGGAAGAGGATCTGTTTGTTGTCAAAAAATCTGAAATCACAGAAGAAGATGAGCCTGAAATTGAGCCCGAAAACGAGCCCGAATTCGAAGAGGAACCCGAGGAAATTATCAAGTTACACAAAGGAAAACCGATCAAAAAAGCTCTCACCAAAGTTGGAGCCGCCAAGAAAATCCTGAATAAAAATATTCGGGTGAACACGAAAAAGACATTCGGTGAAGATGGAGAAGAAGAGGAACAACAAGGACCTTCGACAATTGACTCGTTTGGTTTGGATATTGAAAAAGCGAAGATTGAATTGAAGGAAGTTGATAAATTGGATCGAAAGAGGTTTAGAGAATTGAAACAGAAGAGAAGAGCCGAGAAATTGGCAAAGAAAATGAGGTGGGTTTGGGTTTTGGGTCTAGAATATTCTGTGAATCTGAAATTTCACCTGAATAATCAGAAAATTATGAAAAATATACAATTTTCAATACAGACAATGTGAAATTGAGAGAAGAATATTTTTTGTTAGAAAGTTGACATTTTTCTGTCTGCGCTCTCTCAATTTTCTATTCTCTCTACTCGGAAATTTTGAAATTTGTGTCCAAAATTCACTGTTTCAAATTGTTTTGAAACCATTTTCGATGAATAAACCAACAATGATAAGGGAACCATTGCTTCAAAAATATGTTTCGGTAATTTTATTGAAAAACATTACTGTTTCAAAATTTTTAACTTTTGATTCAAAAATATTTTATTAATTATTGTATACTAAACAAATTTTCATAAATATGCGTTTCAAAAATGCAATTCTATTTCTAACATAATTTTGAAAACTTCACTGTTTCAAAATTCTCAGAAATAAATTTTGATTCAAAAATTGTTGATTCTTCGATATTTTATTTTATTTCGAAGTCTTTTTCCTCAAAAAATTCACTGTTTCAAAGAATACTTTTTATTTTGAAAACGTCCTGTTAGAACGTTCCATCTCTAAGAGGCTGAATTCAATCAAGTATAAATGTCATCCAAAAATTCTCCGTCTTCTGATTCGGAAAAAAAATTCATTAAATTTTTCACTGTTTCAAAATTCTGTGAATTTTTGAAAATTGGATTGGAGTTCAATCCACAAAGTGATAATGGCTGACTAAAAATTGCACAGAAAAGCAAATTATTTTTCATTTTATCTAGAAATTCATTGAATTTCTTGTGCCTCTAATTAATATCAGAAATTTTTATCAAGGCCGAAAATTCACTGTTTCAAAATATTAAGAAAGAAATTACTATCAAAAAATTAATGTTAAGTGTTTAACTCTCATTTTTACCCTCAAAAAATTCACTGTTTCAAAACACTTTGAGATTGAATTTTTATTGAGTAATATTATTCGAATTTGATTATCCTCAGAGATTCGCTGGCCAGCTCGCCACCAGATCGCTGCGGCCACCTGGAAACCGCATGGCCGCCAGGTCACCTCGAGTTTTCCGGCGACGTGGCCTGTGTGTTTGAAATTTTGGAAAGCTGGCAAGACAGTGGTTTGTACTCAAAACACTGCATTTTCTACTGTTTTTTCACTTCCTAAGGTTTCAAGTGCTGCGAAAAAACAGAAAATGAGCCAAATTTTTCGAAAAGGCCTCAATTCACAAGTTTTTCAGACATTTTCATGAAAATTCATTTTGACGCGGCGAAGTGGCCACCACGTGGTAGCCACGTGGCCGTGACCTAGCCAGAGCCTGGCCACCTTGCCAGCGAAAAAAAACCGGGCGACGTGGTTTCCATGTGGTTCCCAGGTCAGCCAGCCTCCCCACCTGGTGGCGAGCTGGCCAGCGAATCTCTGAGTCCTTTCTATAAAAAAAATCACTGTTTCAAATTTTTCACGATTAATTTTGACACAAAAAAATTTCTTCGTTTCAATCTGATTATCTTTTCCAAAATATTTTTTTTCTACAAAAATTCACTGTTTCAAATTTTTCAAAAATATTTTTTTCCAGAAAAACCGAAGAACAAGAAGATGTTTATGAATCTGAAGGCGAAGATGACGATCTTGATCTTTCATGGCTTCCTGATCCAGATGCAGTTCGAAGAAAATATGAAAATCAGGAAGAAGAATCTGAAAATGGAAGTGATGAAGATTCGAAAGATCTTGAAGCAAAAGCACTCAAATTATTATCCCGATGATTGTTTTTTTATTGAAATTTTGTTTGTTGATTTGTCTGTTATACACATTTTTATTATTATTGAAGATGCTTGTTTTTTTTGAGGAAAAATGGTCTGAAAACCATTGAAATACCTTTTTTCCACGTGGAATTTTGACACCAAAATCCAGTTTTTGCAGCCCAGAAATGGCTCAATCATATTTGCCGGCGGAGAAGTTTTTATCAAGAAAACAGGAAACTGTTTTGTTGGACGAGGATGTGATTTATTGGAAGAGAATGCAGGTTTGGATAGATTTTTGGGGAAAATTGAAGAAAATGTGGTTTTTCAAGTACAGAACAATGTTTTTGGCTTGAAAACCCCATAAAAATTCAATTTTTAATATGAGCAATGTCTTTTTAATGCTGAAAAATCTGAAAATCCATTTATTGGCTCATAATTGGACGATTCTGAGCATGTTAACTGTGAAATCTGAAAAAAATTAATTTCTGGATCACGTCAAAATTCAAAGAAAATTTAAGCGTGATTTAATAAATTCCACGTGTCAAAATTTCATTTTTCGAAAAAAATAGGAACAAAATTCATTTATGAATTATTTTTCGAGACGAAAACCGCTGGAATTTTCCATTTTTAGCACAAAAATGGGATTTTCCAGAATTTTCTCTTTAAAAAATTCCTGAAAATTCTGGAATTTCACCCAGAACCTCTATATTTTTCCAGCAACTCACAGTCTTTCAAGAGCCAGCCGTCGTGAGTTCCGTTCGAATTTCACCCAAAAAACCCTATAATATTGCAACAACTTCAAGTGTTCGCCTAACTCTTTATGATACCGTAGTCTGTGAGCCTTTAAATCTGTTTTCTCGATTCAAAAAAGCGGTTACATCGATCGATTTTCGACATGATGGAAGATTGATTGCAATTGGAGGAGATGAGGGAAAAGTTCGCATTTTTGATATTGAAAAAACGACGGGAAATAATAAGGTGAGCAATGGTTTGGGAAGGGGGTTTTGGGTAAAAAATGGGGAAAATTTTGACGTAAAAATATTGAAAAACTGATTTTTAGATGGAAAAAATCTGAAATCCCACATTTTTAAAATCTTCGAATTTTGGAAAAAATCGACGTGGAATATTTGAAAGTTTAGAAATTGTATTGCAAAATCTGTAAATTTTCCAATTCAAATTCTTCTGGGATCGTTTTTTATTTTTCACTCAAATGAATTTTTTGAAACAGTGAACATTTTACAAGAAAAAAATTGGATTTTTGACGTCGACAAAAGAATTTTGGAATCACCTTCACTATGATTGCAGAAATTTTAAAAATTCCTTGAAACTGTGAAATTTTGAGACCTAAAGATTTGCCGGAATTTTTGAACTTAATTTATCAAAAAATCATCTGATTTTGCCAGTTTTTCAATTAAAATTTCATTGAAACAGTGAAGTTTTTTGATGAAAAAAATTAATTTTTAGCAAAATGTTCCTAATTTTGTTATTTCAGTTGGCACTTCGTGTAATGCAAGCATCTCAAAGCACAGTGAAAAGTGTGAATTTTTCGGCTCGCGGTGATACGGTATTTTCGATGGCTGATGATGGAATTGTTAAACAATATCGAGTTGCTGACACTGCTTATGGGTAAGATTTTGGGCGGGAAATTGGGGAGATTTTGAAAAATTCTGTTTTTCTTTTTGAATTCTTTTTGAAGTTTGTCAAAAAAAAACTGATCTTAGCACGTATTGGAAATGAAAAAAATCAGAAAAAAAATTTAAAATGTTTGAAACAGTAAATTTTTGCTATTAATTTTGTGAAAAGGTTTTTTCGAAACAGTGAAATTTGTCAGGTGGCATATTTTTAGCGTCAAAAATTTTTGAGTTTTCAAATTTGCCACGTAGATTTTCTGGCCCAAAATTTGTCAAATCCTCATTGTTTGCAGTGTCAACGCTGTTCCTCTTCTCGAAATTCAAGCACACGAAGATGCAATTCGTTGTGGAGCGGTTTCTCAAATGAATGACTACACTGTAGTCACAGGTGGATATGATCATAAAGTTCGAGTCTGGGATATTCGAAACAAACAAAAAACCGTCGAACTGGATTGTGAATATCCGGTCGAATCAGTTGTGTTTTTGCCTGGCGAACAATTAATTGCAACTGCGGCTGGACCAATTGTTAAAATATGGGATATGACTGGAGGTGGAAGACAATTACAAGCACTACAAGCACATTATAAAACGGTGACTTCGTTGAGATTGGCAACCAATTCCACGTGTCTTTTGACGGCTGGAATTGATCGAAGAATTAATGCGTTTAGAACTACGAATTATTCATTGGTAAGTGGATTTTTGAAAAAAAAAATCTTTTTAAAAATGTAATTTTGATATCACCAAAATTGTAGGTTCACAAGTTATCAGATTATTTTGAAACAGTGAAATTTTTATATTAAAAGTTTCTCAAATAAGTAATAAAAGTTCGCTAATTTTCAAATATAATTAGGAAATTTTGAAACAGTATTTTTCCAATAGAAATTTTTCATTTGTCCCAGTTTGAGTGTTTCTTAGCTGAAAATTTTATCTGGAAAAGTTAAAATTCACATTCTTTTAAATCAGACCAATTTGGAAACAGGATATATTAAAATTTTTATAACAATCAAAAATTATTGGGAAATCTTGAAACAGTGAATTTTTGATCTCAGAATAATTTTTTATTGTTAGAGTTTCTACCTGAAAATTTTCAATTTTTCATGAATTTTACTCTGAAATCACCCAGAACACTCTATTTCCAATGAAAAAATGGTTAAAAAAAATACTGTTTCAAAATCTCAATAATGAAGCTGAAAAGCTGAAAAATTATTGCGAAGTTGATAATGAGAAAATCAAAAATTCATATAAATTTTTGAAACAATGAATTCTGATCGCTCAAATCGATTACTTTTTCAATTCGAAAAAATTCACTGTTTCAAATTTTCAATAATAAATTTGGGTGATTTTTCAGTTTTCAATACTTTTTCGTTGTAGTTCAGAAATTCTGAAGATTTTTCAAATACGTGAAGATATCGAAATGAACTAAAGACATATTTTGAAAAACAAAATTTTATTTGAAAATAATTCACTGTTTCAATTTTTCATTAAGAAATTTTGCGAAATTTGATTTCTTATTCCGGTTTTTCTTCCGTTAACAAAATCCAACATATAATAATTTTTGCAAATTTTTTCTCTGTTTTAAACTGAATTTTTTCACATTTACTCAAAAATTCACTGTTTCATTTTTTTTTACAATTTTTTTAAACAAATTTTGCATGGTAAACTTATAGAAAAAATAAAAATTTCCACTGTTTCAAAAAAATCACATTATTTTTTGGAATTTAGCTATTTTTAATGACGTATATAAACAATTCCCAAAAATCCCTCAAATTTCTCAATTTTTGTACAGATTCATTCATGGTCAATGCCATCTCCAGTTTTATCAATCGATATTTCAAAAGATGACAATTCGATGGCAATTGGAATGGGAAATTTGATGGCATTATATCGAAGAGCTGATATTAAGAAAGAAATTACAGCCAGTGCAATTTCAGATGATAAAAGAGCACAAATTCGAACTGCTGCACCAATTGTTCAATTAACTGAAAAGAATAATCAAAGTGTTAAGGCGGAAGTTGTGGCTAAAAGTGCCGATAAGGTAAGCCTTGTGGAAAATTTTGAAATTCAAAAATTTTGGCGCGAAAACTCGAAATTTTAATTTTTCAGCTGAAAATCTCGCGTGTTGATACAATGTTATCTGGCTTCAAACATGCTGCAGTCATCAAATATTTGTTCTCAGGTTTGTCTTTATATTTTTATTTTGAAACTAAATTTTGATAGATATAAAAATTATCTGCAAATTTTGAAACAGTTATTTTTTTTTCAAATTAAAAATTATGAAATTTTCAAAAATTAATTTTTATTTATTTTTTTGAAGATAGAACGCAAATAAGAATTTTCAAAATTTAATCAATTTTTTTGAAACAGTAAATTTTTAAGAGAAAAATACGTTTCAAAAATTACACAAATTTTTTGATTTTTTCAATTCGGTGCTATCTTGATAAATTTGCCACGTGAATTTTTGCCGCCAAAATTTTCAAAATTTTTTTTCTAGGAAACTACCGTACAACTCTTGACACTGGAATCGTCAGTTTTCTTCGAATTATTGTCACAAGAAATGCGATACACCGTGCAATCGCTGGCCAATCAACAATTGTTCAGAAAAATCTATTGAAGTAGGCCACATTTTTCTAATTTCCTCCTGAGAAAATCAATAATTTTTCAGATTTTTACGTCAAAATTTGTTCAAATCGCAATATTTTCCAACTCTTCAAAGTGTCACTTTGGCGTTTTTTGGTGAGTTTTTTTTTTGATAGTTGGCTCCAAGAATGACAATTTTTTCAAAATTAAATCTTTCAGAAGTGTATAATGTGGAAAAATTGGATAAATCAGTTGCATCAGCCGCCTCAAAATTGCGAGCTCAATTATCGCGAGAATTAGAAGTGCAAAAAATGGTTTGTTCGTTGATTGGATCGATTGATATGATTGTGGCAACAACTAAATTGAATGTGGTAAGCGAGATTTTGGGCGAGGAAATTCGGGAAACTAAAAAAAAGTTACATCAATCTTCTGAAACTGTCAAAAAATATGTGAGAATTTTGAAACAGTAGATTTTTCTGACCAAAAAAAACGAAAAAACCATTTTTTGTGATATTTGAGCTAATTATTTCAGAACGTTTTGAAATAGTAAATTTTTATTTCCTTCATTTTTTGAAAAATATTTCAGTTTTTAATTTTTGTATTGAAAAGCCATGGCATACTAATTATATTTCAATTTGAAAACATATGTCAAAGTTTTGAAACAGTAGATTTTTTGACAAAATTTTAAGACTTACAAAATTAATGAAAATACTCGGAAACAGTAGATTTTTCACAAATTTTAGACATGGCCATTTTATCATTTTCAAATTCCACAAAAATCTACTGTTTCAAAATTTTCTCATATTTTTCCACAGTTTCAGAAATTCTGATCCTTTCCAATTTTCTACTTTTGAACCTATGAAAATGTATGAAAATTTCGAAACAGTAAAATAAAAGGAAAAAAACATCCAAAATTGAAATTTTGGTGATTTTTGAAAATCCCCTCGAAAATATTCAAATTTATCCTGTAACAATGAATTTTTGCAGAAATCTTCATCGGAAATAATCGAAAATGATGATATTTTTGGTGAACCAATTATAAGTGCTATTGATTTGGATCAAGAATTCGAACCATCTGATGAAAAAACAACAAATTAATTAATTATCGACTTTTTTCTGCTCAAAATGCTCATTTTCATTGTTTTATTTGTTTTTTGTTTTGTTATTGTTGCGATTTCGGGTAACTTTCTGTTTTTTTGCTGTTTTTTGAGTTGTTATTGGAATTTTCATGAATTTTTACTGTTTTAAAAAAGTTTAATTTTATGAGAGGATTAAAAGTTGTTCTCAAGTTGAAGGAATTTTTTTCGAACCTTTTTCATGCGTACATTTCTGGCTAATTTTTGGGTCAAATTTTTAATCATAACAATACAGTACACCTTATGTAAACAAAAATTATACCAAAAATTAATATTTTCTAATCACTTTCATCTTTTTTTATACCCACGCTCAATAAAATAAGCTCCGCCCATCATAAAAATATTACACTTCTTATATTTTCTCTTTTTTTTATTATTTTATTTTATAATATTGCTGAACTGTATCTAAACTACAGTACTTCTTTTTCTACAGTATTACAGTAATTCATTACCAAAATTGGTTAGTTTTTTATTTTGAAGTTTATTTTAAAAAATTATGTTTTTAGAAAAAAAGTCCACAGTCTTGCTGTTTCACAACGTCTTCACGCCTTAACCCGAAATATGTCCGATACTAAAATTTTCACGATTCTTATACTTGCAGAATAAAAAATTGATTGGAAAATTGTTTTTTTTTCCTTCTTCAATGATTTCAGATTTTTTCTCAGCAAAAAATCAGAAAACCCGAAAAATGTTACTCAAAAAAAAATCACTGTTTCAAAAAAATCTCTAATTTTTTCAAGGTTACAGAAATATGATCCTCTCCTTACCAATTTTGGCATTCATACATTTTTCAGGTTTTGAAAAATATAAGGAGTTTTAAAGCAAATTAATATGAGATCTTATGGCATCGAATTCTGAAGTTTATGCATCAGATACTTCAGAACATGTGTCAGGTGAGTTCGCTGACACGTTATGAGCACAAGAGATGTCTATTCGAGTTTTTGAATATCTGTAGCAACTTGATTTTTGGTGTGTGAAACGATTTTTTGAGCAAATTCAACAAACGATTTCTAACTTTTCAGATGAATATTTTGTTTGTTTGTATGAATGAAAAATTTTCAAACCGTTTTTCGTCTTCAGAATTCGCAATTTTCAGAGAAAACTCAACAAACAGAAAAGTTGAAACAAAGAAATATTCATGTGATTACAGATAGAAACAGAAAATCAACATGATCGAATTTTACAAAAAAAATTAAATAAAACATTATTAAAAAAATAATACGATAAAAAATGGGGAGCAAAAGGGATTGTTTACCAATCGTCCTCGGCGGCGGCGGAAGATGCGAATCCGGCTGCTCCAGATGATCCGAAACCAGTTGCAGCGCCTGAAGATCCTTCCATCCAATCTGGCACAATTTGACCGGCTTGATTCAAAATTGAGACGAGACTTCCGTAAAGTGCTGAGTCATTTGATGAAACGAAGGAAGTTGATCGACCGACGTTTCCAACACGACCAGTTCTTCCGATTCTGTGGATATAATCGTCGATGTTGTCTGGCATATCGAAGTTGACGACGTGATCGACTCCCTTGATATCCAATCCACGTTCGGCGACTGCGGTTGCAATCAAAACTGGCTTCGAGCCATTTCTGAATACGCGAAGTGCTTCAGCTCTTTGTTGTTGATCGCGAGCACCGTGGATCTGAAATATTCGAATTTCAATTAGATGCAATTCAAAAACTAATAAGATAACTCACTGTCATTGTCGGAATTCCAGATGATGTCAAAATGACAGCCAAAGAATCCGCAAATGTTCTTCTCGACACGAAAACGATTGTCTTCTTTGTGAAAACGTCATTGTCCTTTTCGGATGTGTAGTTTGTCAAATCGACACCCAACAATTCCAACAGCTTTTCGCGTTTCTCCGATCGCTCGCAATTGATGAATTCTTGAGTGACGCATTTGTTGGCTGCTCCGATTTTGTCGATTGCAATCATTGCGTATTCTGGCTTCATGAATTCGCGAGCTGCGGATTGAATTGAATCCGGGAATGTTGCACTGAACATGAGTGTTTGGCGGTTCTCCTTTGATGGCATTCCATTGACTTGAGTGATGTGTGTGATGTCATCTCCAAAGCCCATTCCATCAATCATTCTGTCAGCCTCATCAAGCACGAAATATCTCAGCTTTTCGAGACTGATAATTCCTTCTTGAATGAAGTGCTTGACTCGACCGACAGTTCCAACAATAACGGTGGCACCCTTTTCCAATTGACTTTTGCTGTAGCCGACCGCAATTCCACCATAAACAGCCTTGATTTCCATCATTGTCTGATATGCGAATTTTCTTCCTTCGTTGTAAATTTGATCTGCCAATTCCCGAGTTGGTGTCAAAATCAAGCAACGAGGAAAACATCCACATTCTCCAGCAGTGTTCAAATCGTTTTCCTTGAGCAAAGTGTTCATAACCGGCAACAAGAAAGCGGCGGTTTTTCCGGATCCAGTTTGAGCGCACGCCAAAATATCGTATCCTTGTCCAATGAGTGGAATCGAATATTGTTGAATTGGAGTGGTTCTGGTGTAACCAGCATGTTTCACATTTCTCAACAATGTCTCAGTCAAACCACCTTCTTCAAACGATCTAAAAATTAGAAGAATTGGAAGTGTTGGATTGCAAATTGAATATTATTACCTCATTGGTTTGATTGGAACACTGTTGGATGCAGAAGTAACTGTAACTTCAGCATCGAAGAATTCGTCGAACTTGAGTCCTTCCTTGATTTTCTGCATATCGAAAACAGATTCAACTGCATCTTCTTCAGGGATGAAAGTCGCTCTTTTCACACCTTCCTCACCATCTTCTCTCGGTTTTGGTGGTTCGGCGCAGTCTCTCGAATTGTGTCCTTGTTGACCGCAATTGAAACATCCTTCTGAAACGAGTAAAAATGAAATAAAATAAAGAAAATGTTTTCTAAAACATACTTGGTGGTTCTGTGCAATCGGATGACCGATGTCCTACTCCATGACAATTGAAGCATTTCATTGGTCCACGTGTATTCTCGCCTCCTTCTCCGCCGAATCCTCCATCTGCTCCACCACCTCCAAATCCAGAACCTGAACGGAATCCTTCTCCTCCACTTCCACCGAAACCAGATCCTCCGCTAAATCCTGATCCACCTCCGAAGCCAGATCCACCGCCATTTCCGCCAAATCCAGAACCACCTCCTCCTCCATCTTGTCGTCGTTCTCGTGGTTTTCTTTCTTCGGGGCAATCTCTTGACATGTGACCAGGTTGATTGCAGTTGTGGCAACTTTGTGGTTTTCTTTCTTCGGTGCAGTCTCTTGAATTGTGACCAGGTTGATTACAATTGAAGCAGTTTCTTGGTTGTTTCTGTGGACAATCGCGAGCCATATGACCAGTTTCTTGGCATACGTGACAAGCTAAAATAAAAAATTAGTTAAAACATTAACTCAACACATTTTCTAACCTCTATCACCACCACTGCCGCCACCGCCAAATCCAGAATTTGCTCCTCCGCCGAAGCCAGAGCTTCCGCCTCCTCCGAATCCGGTACTGCCATCGCCTCCAAATCCAGAGTTGGCACCACCGCCGAAACCAGAGTTTCCGCCTCCACCAAAACCGGAACTACCTCCTCCAAATCCAGAGTTGCCACCGCCTCCAGATTTCGCTCCTCCACCAAATCCTGAGCCGCCTCCGCCGAATCCAGAGTTGCCACTACCTCCAGATTTCTCTCCTCCGCCAAATCCTGAGCCGCCTCCACCGAATCCAGAGTTGCTGCCACCACCGAATCCGGAAGATTGGTTTGATTGACCACCAAAGCCAGACGGTTTATTGCCACCAAAACCGCTACTTTGCTTGTTCGAATCTCCAAATCCAGCATTTCCTCCAAAACCCGACGATTTGTTGGAATCGCCAAATCCCTTTTGTTGATCACCAGATGCTGGAGCTCCACCAAAGCCAGACTTTGCTTGACCTCCAAATCCGCTTGGTTTTCCGCCGAATCCTGACGATTGCTCAGTTTTTGCGCCAAAGTCGCCGAATCCTTTCGATGCCCCGCCACCGAATCCTCCACTTCCGAAAGAGTTTCCAAACCCACTCATCTAGAAAAACATTTTAATTGAAAAAATCGAAATTTTAGGAGAAAAACGGGAAAAATACACGAAAGATAACTTCACATCGCTCACCGAATAGGGAATCATCAACATAACTGAACAAAAATCGAGTTTTTATCGCAACTAGGAACAAAACGAAAACAACAATGTCCCGGGGCCCAAAAAAAAAACACTGAAAAAAACGGGCGCTGCGAAAAAACACCGTACTCCACCGAATCGCGTCGAGACCACACCAAATAAATGCAGCTCCCTTTAATTGAAAAATCAATAATTTTATTTTTTTTTCGTTTTTTTTTGCTGACTTTTGCGGTTAGAAGAGAGAACCACGCTATTTTTGGCTGTCCATATCGAGAGAGTGGCGCAGAGAAAAAGACGCTCGTTTCTCGACACGAACAAACAGATTTTCGTAAAACTACTGTAGAAATTGCTTCGCATGCGTCCTTAAAGGGAGTTTTTCGCGTCTCTGTCCTTTCTCTCGATTTGGACGCTCTTCTTCTTTTTTAAAATAGCGTGGAACGTTTCTTCACAGTTAAATCAAAAATAAATAGGTAAGATTTTTGAACTAAAAACACTACCTTTCAGATCTAAAATCCGGTTTCTATCTGAAAAATAGCTTTGGAATGAAATCCCAACCTTCAAATATTTTTAGGAATGATCGACTTTTCCACGAATTTTGTGCTGAAAAATTATGATAATGACGTGGAAAAATGTCACGCAAATATAGATTTTCCAAAGTTTGCACCTAAATTTTTGTTCTGTTAAAAAAAGATAAACACCGCTTTAAATCTTTCAGTTTTTATTATTTTCAAACAAAAAATACATAAGAAAAAATATAACAAGGGCAAAAATGACGGAAAAATAATAATAAATATGGCCAAGATTAATTATCAACAACAACAACTTCTTCTGATTCATCATCAGTGTTTGCCAAACTTGAAACCATATTATAATGAATCAATTTGTAATTATCAGAAAAATCCAATCCTTGAAATGGATCCAAAACTCGAAATTCATCTCCATCTTGATGTTCAGCTTGATCATCTCCATAACGTGGAATATCGATTTCTACCTCACAATCAGTTTCAATTCTATATTGAATGGGTGATTGTGGAGATTCCGGCTCAAAATAATATTCATCTTCCTCTCTTTTTCTCTCTTCCTCATCAGCTTCTCTTTGATATTCTTCATGAATCTCAAATTGTTGTTGAACATATTCATCAAGTCTTCTCTTATAATCTTCAATTTCTTCAGTTTCAGATTTCGGTTCAGCAGTTGGACATTTGCCAGGTTTTTCGAAGTGCTCAATATCGACTTCGACTTCGCAATCGGTTTCAATTCTATATTGAATCGGAGATTGTGGAGATTCAGGTTCGAAAAAGATGGATTCATCATTTTTTCGTTGCTCGCCTTCTTCATCTTCGATGAATTTTTCGAGCTTGAGGCGTTTTACCTAGAAAAACAGGTTGATTTTTGCGTCAAAATATTTTCAAAAATAATAAAAACTCACTCTATTAGCTCTTCTATAATCCCTTGATTCCCAATAAATATCCTCATTTTTCCGTTTTCTCTCCGCTTTTCTTTCCGCTTTCCGCTCCTCAAAATATTTCCAACTTTTTTCAGCGAGACTTTCACGATGTCTTTTGCGACATGATTTGATTGGCACTCGAAGCTGGTTGATTTTGAAGATTTTTCCAAGCTTTTCCTCAATCTCTTCACGTTTTCCAGTGAATTTATCGATTTTTGATTGCTCTACTCCAGCAGATTTGAGTTCAGCGACAACGTTTGAGATGTAGAATTTGACGGCTTTTTGGTGCAGGTCTTTTCGAAGATTGAGCAATTCATTGAAATTTTTGGATTGTTGCTCTTCCAGAGCTGTTCTCTGAAAAAACAAAGATTTATCTAGAAAATTATGGAGGGAAACTAACCTTTCCAGCTTCAAATTTCTTCTTGATATTAGCTAATTCTGAATTGATTTCTTGATTTTCATCAATTGCAAATCGATGTTCAGTCTTCAAATAGGAAATCTCATCCTTCAAGTCAAGGATTTCGATTTGAAGTTTAGCTTCAGCAACATTTTCAGCAGACATAGCTAGACTAGAGTATAGTTAGTTACTAATTAATTGATTAGTGGTAACTTTTCCTTCTCAAATCATCCCTTTTATACCAATTTTATCCAAAACTCCGCCCATTTTTTAATCATAAAATAAGCCACGCCCACTTTTCTAACACATTTGTGATAAATTTTGAGATTTATGGGAAAATGTCGGGATTTGGTTTGATGTGACACCTGTTGTTTGGAATTTTGGGAAAGAATTTTTGAATTGGATTACGGTATTTGACACCGGATTTCCTGGAAATTTGATTTTTTTGACAGAAATTTCACTGTTTCAAAATTTTTAAATGTATTTAAAAAATAATAGTATAGCAGTTTACGACTACAAATATCTAATCTAATGTAAAAAAAATTTGCTGTTTCAAAAAATTTATGTCATTTTTGAGGGATTTGGGGAATTTTGATAGAAAGATAACCAGTTTTGAAAACTTTTGAGGAGTTCTTTCTTGAATTCAGCACAGAAATGAAAATTTCAAATTTGTCAGAAGTTTTCCGGGCCTTCAAAAATTCAATAAAAATTTAATTAGAATATTTTCCAAGTAAACAGATATCGCAACAATTCAGGAACAAAAAATCAGAATTTTTGATTTTTCAAGCTACCAAGCTATTCACAAAACAATTTCCAAAACTCAACAATTATTTTTAAAAATATTTGAAACAGTGAATTTTTGCACATACAAAAAAATGAAAGCTCCGAAATAGAAAAATTCTTGTTCCAAAAAATTTTCAAATTTTTCACTATTTCAAAAAATTCATAACTATTGTCATTCCGAAAATAAAAGAACCCCCGTTTAAATTGGCGCTCACGTACAGTAGACTAAAAATGACGTGACACATGCATATCAAACTGGTTGGCAAATAGCCAACGTGTAAATTTCGCATTTTATTTTTCAAAAAGACTCCAAAATTTTGCGAAGTCTACTGTATTTTGGTTTCCTAGGCCATTTCGGTTCTCTTCCAACGGTCTTTTTTTTTCGGAACGACAATACAAAACCTGCGGCTAGCGAAATTTTTATCTACATATATGAGCAGCTAAAAATTATATGAGCAGCTAAAAATTGTGAAAAGTTCATCAAAAATTAAATATAATATTTCAGCCTGGTTACTGTATCCAAAAACCACAAGAACAAAAATGTGATATATTTGACACTTGTTCAATAAATTTTGTGAGAAATAATCGGGGTGCCATTTGATGTGACACATTTATTATTATTTCACACATTTTGGGAAGATTTTTTTGAATTTTATTGGAATGTGTTAGGGATACGGTATTTGGCACCGGATTTCCTGGAAAAATTGAGAATTAGAAAATGATATGTGAAAATAGATAACATTTTTGAATAAAATTCGAATCTCGGTCAACCGTATTAATGAAAAATTCAGAAAAAGTTTAAAGAGTAATTTTGAAACAGTAGATTTTTGTAAGAAAATAAATTATTCAAAATTAATCACTATAATGTTGAAATAGTAAATATACCTATGACGTGGCAATTTTTAAACTTTTTAGTCTCTTGAAAATTTCACTGTTTCAAAAAATCTTTGAAGTTTCTTGAATTTTTCGATTTTTGTTCTCTGCGAATGTTTGGCAAAAATCTGAAAATTGAAGTGTTTAGTTTTTTCAACGAAAAAATTGCTGTTTCAACAAATGTATGAGGTTTTTCAGTTTTTTTCGGGTTTCGTTACTAAAACTGGTTCAGATGAAAACTAAAATTTAGGATAACATTTGAATAAAAGATCAAATTGGATTGATTGAGATACTTATCAAAATTTTAAATTTTTTTGAAGAGAAATTTTTGAAACAGCAGATTTTTGTGAAACATTTCAGGAAAAATTCTAAATGTATTAAAACATTAAAAAAAAACTTTTCTTTTTTTTTGAAACAGTGAATTTTTCAAGAAGCTACTTAAATTTTAAGTAACCTCAAAAATTTTTGCGCCAAAACCATTTATGTTTTTTATTAATTCAACAATTTTCAATTTCTACTGTTTCATTTGGTTTCTAAGATTAACAATCGATTATATTTTGTCCGACCAAAGAAGCACTGTTCGCCCTAAAACGAAGTGTTTTTTTGTAATTTTTTCGCTAGGTTTCACGTACGTCAATTGCCACGTAAAAACTCTTTTCTCCGAAAAAAAACACAATTTCAAACTCCCACCTTTTTTTCTCCCTCATTTCTCAAATTCCACACGAGACCCAAAGGCAGTACAAAACGCATGCGCCTTTATTTTTACTTTTCATTTTTTTTCGAAAAAAATGTCCGATATAATTGGAAAAACTGTCGAATGTAAAAGTGGTAAACATTGTGAGTTTGTCTGGAATTTTGTCTGAAAATTCAATATTTCTTTTATTTTATTGCAGATACCGTGCTGGAATGTTTGAACGAGGGAGTTTTTGGCAAGATTTACAAGGTTATCGATAGGAATTATGTGAGTTTGGTATCAAAATGATGAGGAGAGAAATGCGCATCTTTTGAATGTAAAAAAAAATCTTGGAAGTTTTCCAGTCGAGTTTGGTTTCAAAAGAATGAGCTCAGCGAGCCGCAGCTGTAGATCACAAAATCAAGTTTTTTTGCAGAACGAAAGTATGGCGATGAAAGTTTTTCTGAATACGCATCCGAGTGCAATGGAAAAGAGTTGGCAGCTGGAAACCGATGCACTGAAATGTGTTCAAAGCACGGCCGATGAGATGTGAGTGGCAAAATTGGAAGATTTTCATTGAAGATACCTTGTTAACATGAGCAATGGCTCAAAATCAGCACAAATATCTGAAATTTTGATGAAGTTTCGAGAAAAACATGATTTTCAGCTAAAAATCATAGAAAATTTGATTTTTAACCTAAACTCGATCAGATTCCGGTGTTTTGCATTAAAAACCCCATAGAATTTACTCTAACATGAGCAATGGCTCAAAATTTATATAAAAACATGATTTTCAGCTCAAAATTCACAATTTTCCTCCCAAATTCATAGAAAATTTGATTAACCTGATCAATCTTGCAGGAACATTGTGAAAATGACGGATTATGGATCGATAAGAGACGAAAATCTTCCGCGAAAAATGTCGAATCGATATATTGTGATGAATTTGTTGGGAAAATCGTTGTATCAAACATTGAATCCGAAAAATGAGCAGCAAATTGAGACTTTGGCGTTTGAAAGTGAGCGATTTCGAAAATTTGGTTGAAAATTCGTGATTTTCAAGTTATTTTTTTTCTGAAAACCATGAATTCCAGCTCATTTTTCATCAAAAATTATGATTTTCACTTGAAAATCCCCAGAAATCCTCAAAATTCTTCTTGCAGATTCCGATATTGTCGAAATTGGTTATCAAATTGCTGTTGCAATGAAGCATCTTCAATCCCTGAATATTTTACATTTGGATTTGAAACCGGAGAATGTTTGTTTTGTCAAAGTTAATAATCAGGTAATTTTTCACCATTTGCTCAGGTTAATCAAATTTTCAAACAAATTTGGCTGAAAATTATGAATTTTGAGCTAAAAATCATTTTTCTATTGAAAAAAACAGATTTTCTATAATTTTCAGATGAAAATTATTTATTTTCAGCCAAATTTCACATTTTTCAAGCCATTGCTCATCTTAGCAAATATTCAAAAGCTCAAATTTCACGGAATCCAGCTTTTTTTCCAACTGAAATCAATCTAATATGAGCAATGACTGATTTTTTGAAAATCTATTTTTTCTGGAAATGTCACTGACATGAGAAATAGCTGAAATTCATCTGAAAATAAATCTAATATGAGCAATGGTCTTGAACTTCAAAAAAGCCTGAAAATAAGTATTGATTTTTTTCTAGATCAAATCCAAAAGATTATTCGATGGTCGCTTATTATTATCAATGGAAAATACACAAATCAAACTAATCGATATTGGATGTTGTCGATTTATCGAAAATAATTCAAAAACCAAATCAAGCGATGTTGTCAACATCGAAGTTCAAACACAAAACTATCGAGCACCCGAAGTATTTTTGGGATTAGGATTCTCGAAAAAATCGGATATTTGGTCATTTGGTTGTGTTTTGTCGGAATTGTACACGGGAGAATTGTTGTTTTTTGGAGGAGCGAATAATGAACATTCGGAAGAGGTTCAGATGGATATGATGCAATCCACGTTGAGAAGAGCTGTTCCGTATTCAATGTTGCAAAAAGCGTTTGATTTGGGGTTAGTGGATTTTTGCACTTTAAAAAATCCACTGTTTCAAAATATTTTCAAAATTCTGAATTTACAACAAAAATTGTTCTCGTTATGTATCTGGAAAAAATGTCCAAAATGAAATTTACTAAGAAATTCAGAAGTAAAAAAAGTTCACTGTTTCAAAATATTTTCAAACTAAACATCTCTCAAAATTTACTAATATTATAGTTTTTCTTTGCAAAATAATCCACTAGAGTTTTTCAGCTCAAAAATTGAAACTTTTAGCTGAAATAATTTCACTGTTTCAAAACTTTGGTTTTATTTCGGAAAACATGATGGTTTTTTGCTCTGTGTTTCAAAAAATATTGTTTTAAATAAATCACTGTTTCAAAGTATTGTTGTTAATTTGAAAACTTTTTTGAAAAAATGATGATTAAATTGCGTCATCAAAAATAAATTTCATCAGCCAATGAATATTTTTCCGATTTCCAGAAGTCAAAAAGTGATGGACACAAAGCACGGAATTCGATATCGCAAGGAAAATGTGGCACGAATTGTTGAGAGTCCCACTATTTTTGTGAGTTTTTTTTATTTTCAAAAAAAATTATTGATTTTTTGTAGTGCAACATTCGTCCCTCTGATTTCCAAGGCTGTCAATTATACGATCTAATTTTGGATTGCCTCGAAATGGATCCAGAAGATCGTCCGAATTTTGCAGAAATTCTCGAATATCAATTTTTCAACCGAAAAACTGATAGACTAATAACTTTGGAATAATCATTTTTTTGTTAAGTTTGAATTTTTGTGAATATTTTTTTTTTGGTTAAAATACTGTAATCCTCATGAATTTTATTAATTTCAGCAAAATACAGTACCCCTCCTGGAAAAATCCATATTCGGAGAAAAAAGTATAAAGAGAAAATATTTTGGTGTGGGGAAAAGCAAACAGTTCTCCTCCTCTGTCTGTGTTTTTTTTGTTTGGTTCGCGCACTTTTTTCCCCTTTTTCTCTGCACTCTCTCATATATTTTTCAATCTCTTGTTTATTTTATTTTTCCCGGCCTCAAAGAAATTCTTTGAGAGCACCTTTTATTATTTTTTTTGGGATTTTGCTGGAAAAAACATGGAACCTGATTCGAAGAAGCGGAAATTAGAAGAAGATTTTGAGAAAATTCGAGAAAATGTGCAGATTGTGAATGTGAATGTGACACCAACGTGAGTATTTTTTGAATTTTAGGATTTTCTCCCAAATTTTCTTTTTTTTGCAGGACAAGTTCAAGTAGTTTGGAAGAATTTTCGGAGCCTTCGACAAGTTCCGGAGGTCCCAGGAAAAATGAGGAACAGCTAAAAATTGATGAAAATTTGCAGGTTGGGAACTTTTTCACTGTTGGGGATTTTTGATTTCTGATAGAAAAAACAGTTTTTTTTCATTAAAAATTTACTGTTTCAAAATTTTAATATATTTTTTTGATGTTTTGAGAATTTTGATCCACAAAGCACCATTACGGCTCAACTTTCAGAACGCGAAAAATTGATTTTCCTAGAAAATCTGAAAATTTTTGAATTTTTTCGGGATTTTTAATGAGATCTTTATGGTTTTCACTGAAAATCCTACAAACAGAAAAAAAATAAGATTTTTCATTCAAAAAAATTCACTGTTTCAAAATTTTTCTATAGTTTTTTTTTGAAAAATTTGAGAATTTTTATGCGCATAACACCAACATCGCAATTTGAAAAACTCAAAAATCTGAAACTTCTCAACTTTCGGAACGCGAAAAATTGATTTCCCTGGAAAATCTGAAAATTTTCTTAATTTTTGAATTTTTTCGCAATTTTTATTAAGATCTTTCTGGTTTTCACTGAAAATACCTACAAAAAAAATATAATATTTTTCATCCAAAAAAATTCACTGTTTCAAAATTTTCTCATTTTTTCGGGGGATTTTTGAATTCAGCTAGAAAAGAATTTTTTCATACAAAAAAAATGTACTGTTTCAAAATTTTAATATAGTTTTTTGATGTTTTGAGAATTTTGATCAACCGATCATCGGAATTTGAAAAGCTCAAAAATCTGAAACTTCTTAACTTTCAGAACTCAAAAATTGATTTTCCAAGAAAACCTGAAAAATTTCACTGTTTCCCAAATTTTCTTAATTTTTGAATTTTTTCGGGTTTTTTAATGAGATCTTTCTGGTTTTCACTGAAAATCCTACAAACAGAAAAAAAAATAATATTTTTCATTTAAAAAAAATCACTGTTTCAAAATTTTCTCATTTTTTCGGGGGATTTTTGATTTCTGCTAAAAAATGAGCAGTTTTTTCGTCCAAAAAAATTCACTGTTTCAAAATTTTAATACAGTTTTTTGATGTTTTGAGAATTTTGATCCGCAAAACAGACACGAAATTTTGAAAACTTGAATATTAGAAACTTCTCAACTTTCAGAGCTCAACAAATTGATTTTCCTAGAAAATCTGAAAAATTTCACTGGTTCCGAAATTTTTTTAATTTTTGAATTTTTTCGGGATTTTTAATGATATCTTCATGGTTTTCATTGAAAATACCTACAAAAAGAAAAAATAATAATATTTTTCATACAAAAAAAATTCACTGTTTCAAAATTTTAATATAGTTTTTCGATTTTTTGGGAATTTTGATCAGCACGTATCTAAAACTTCTCAACTTTCAGAACTAAAAAATTGATTTTCCCAGAAAACCTGAAAATTTTCACTGTTTCGAAATTTTGACAAATCAGCCTCTAATTTCAAGCTAATCCCCAAGCGAAAAAAAATTATGAAAAAAATAACAAAAAAAATTTTTTTTGACCTACCCGCGAGAATTGAAAGACTCGAAAGTAGCAAATTATTGATAAAAAAAATAAATCATTCGGTTTTTTTAATTTCTTTTTTTTTTATTGTGAACACACCTGAACTAAGACAATTTCTCAACTCGAAAAAAATCAATTTTATTTCCAGAAACTTCTTCTATCCTCTCCAGCTCATCTATTTTCAACCGGTTTACAAAATCAACAATCAGCTGCTTGTTGGGAACAATGGTTGTGTCTTTTGGCGACGAATTTGACACCAGAACAATGGCAGGTAAATATTTTGGGGAGAGGAATTTTGAAGTGTTAAGCACAAAATTAATGATGAAATTTTGAAACAGTGAATTTTTCCTACAATTCGGGCTGCTAGTTACCACGGAAAAAAGTCCTCACAAAATCTAATTGGGAATTTTTGAAACAGTAGATTTTCTCAGGTGAAAATTTTCAGTTTTTTCCTTACCAGGAATCTATAAGTCATCAAATTCAAAACTTCCAGTAAAAATTATACAGAAATGTTGAAACAGTTAAATTTTCTGGAGAAAAATTTTGTTTTTATCAAATTATTGATGAAATAATTTGTGGATCAAGTATGAATTTTCAAATAGAAAATATACAGAATTCTTGAAACAGTGAATTTTCAGGGAAATAAATTATTTCAAAATATGAATAACACCATAAATCACCTTAACAAATTCAATTTTTACATTAGAATTTTTGTTAAAATTTTGAAACAGTAAACTTTTGGATTCTTATATATTCTTCTTCATCAAACAACTTATCTTTCAACAAAATTATTAGAAAAATCTGAAACAGTCGATTTTTTCTAAATCGATATAATTTTTCCAACAAAATTTCCCTTAAAAATTTTGAAACAGCAGATTTTTGTTTGAAATTAGTTTTTGTCATCAAATTCAAAGCCCCACTAAAAATTATACAAAAATCTTGAAACAGTGAATTTCTTTGTTGGCAAGTTTTTGGAGAAAACATTTTTCACTTTTTTTTTGCAAATCAAATCAAAAATATGTGCTAAACGTGTACTAATTTTGAAATTTAAAAAAGCAAAAAAAAACGTGTCCTAAATGACGTGTTCAAAAATTTAGAGCCAACATGTGTCTTTGTGCTCATTTATTTTTCTAATTCAGGTGGAAAACCGTGATTTTCTGATCTATTTTTTCTATCTAATGTATATTTTTATCCAAAAAACCAGGTAATTTTGGGAAATGAACACAATTTTTATCCATTATCACAGGCTTTTGGGTAATTTCTTTTGTCTATCAAAAACAGTTATTGGGGGCTTCAAATACATGTGTGTCTTGAAACAGTGAATTTTTGAAGTAAACTAATCATTGTCCGTTTGGAAATGAGATTCACCCCGCGAAAAAATAAATTTGAATTTGCTGCACGAGGCGCAGACAGCGAGAGAGTGCGCTGGCAAACAGCCAACGGGGGTTTTGTATGGGAAAGCGACCGCAACGCACACGCATTGCGGGGGTAGGGGGAAATTAGAGATTTTCTCAAATTCAAATTTATTTTTTCGCGGGGTGAATCTCATTTCCAAACGGACAATATTTTTGGATTTGAGAAAGTCCGTTATGTCAAACATGTGATCAAGTATGAATTTTCAAATAGAAAATATACAAATATTTTGAAACAGTGAATTTTCAGAAAACAAATTATTTAAAAAAATGAATAACCCTTTTTTAAAAATTTTGAAACAGTAGATTATTGGATTATTCTATATCAAATAAATTAATTTCTCCTTTTTTTAAAATTTTTCTATAACAATTTTGAAACAGTGAATTTTTTTTGTTTTTCAATGTTTTCGGAATTTTAGTTCAAACATAATGAAGTCCCACCAAAAAATTATTCCCACCAAAAAATATACAAATATTTTGAAACAGTAAATTTTTTGCAGACCTATTGGCTGTCGCAATGCTCATTATTTGGCGAACAATCAGTTCCAGTTCATCTTCTATCATTTTTCGCTGCAAATTCCACTCAAACCTCAAATTCCACGCAAATTTCACCGATTCCAAATCCAGAAAGGCACGAAAATTACGGTCAGTTTTTTTGGATGATTTTCGGGGGGAAAATTTGTTATTCAAAAATTTTTTTTTTTTCATACAAAGCCTATAATTAGGCGGCTTTCTCGAATTTTTCAGCTCTCTAAGAAAATTTTATTATTTTTTGTGCTTTTCTGCTGGGCTCCATGGAGATTTATTTGATTTGGGCGATTTTTTTCAAATTAAATTTCTAAGGTCTACCCTTTTTACTCACTCACAGCAAAAAAATCAAAAAAAAAATCTCATTTTTTTTGCTGAGCCTCTGGCATTTGTTGTCTTTATATTCGAGCAGCTGGCTGAATTTTTTGGGTTGAGACTGGAAGAAGGCGAGAGAGTGTGTGGAATTGAGAGAGTGAACAGACGGGAAAACAACCCGGGCAATGAGGAAAAGAAAGGGTTTTTTTGCCTTTGCTTCGCATTTTTTCTCGTCACTGGGAAAACAGATAGGATTTATATTTATGTAGTTTTTATTTTCTATTTTTTTGAGATTTTTATTTTTAGTTGTTGAAAAATTTTTGGAGTTATTTTAAGATGAGGTCGACGAAAAAAACGGAAATTTTCAACCAAAATTTTATCAAATATTTTTTGAAACAGTGAATTTTTGAAAAAACAATTTTTAAATTGGAAATTTTTTATTTGAAAATTTATTCCGATACAGTTAATTTTTCAGATATTAAGAAAATGACCGAACAATTTATTAAATTAACAATTTTACTTGAGAATTTTTTGAAACAGTGAATAATTTTTTAAAAACATAATTTCTGAAAATCAATTTTTTTGAATTCTATTCATCTTTGATTATTGAGTTCACTAAATCAAAAATTCTATGTAGTTAAACTTCTTGATTTTTTGAAACAGTAAATTTTTGCAAACCAGTTTTTCAAATTTAACGAAAATTGATTATTTTAAATTTTATTTCGAGAAAATTTTGAAACAGTATATTTTTGCATTCTTACTACACCCTAATGAGAGATGAACATCAGCAATCTTTCGAATTCAATTTTGTTCAATAATTTTTTGAAACAGTGAATTTTCTCCCTCAAAAAATCAATTGGAAGAAAATAGATGAAAAATATTTTTTTTTCTCGAAAAAAAGTGTCTCAATATTTTTCTTCTTCTTCTATTTTTCATCGGAAAAAAAAATGATGACATGCTTATCAAAAAATGTTCTGAACACAACACATTTTTTTCTGCTGTTTCAACATTGTTTCTATTTTTGAAGAAGAAGAAGAACAAAATGTGAACAGATTGTTCTCGACACTTTTTTTTGATTTTTTGGATTTTTGAGAAAAATTTTGAATTTTCAAAATGCCACGTGGTTTTTGACGTCAAATCTACAGTAACCCTCTAAATTTTCTGTCCAAAATCTAACCCCAAATCTACAGTAACCCTGGAAATTTTGAAAGCCAATTGAGTCAAATACAGTCTACAGTAACCATATGAATTTTGAATTACAAAATGTTCTGTTCAAATTTTGATTTCCTAAAACCACAGCTTCATTTTTTGCCACAATTTTTCTACAGTAACCCCAAATCACCGTATCCTTATCCTAATTTTCATTTCTATTTTTTAACCCTACTGTAATTTTCCTTCCTCCCCTAAAAATTAATGCTTCTTTTTTTTTTCGATCTCAGTTTTCTTCGATCAACATCAAAAAATGGGAAATGCAGCAAGTGGCGGAGGTGGAAATAGTTCGAGACGAGATTTGAATTATGCTGGAAATGCGATGGTATTTTCGAATGGACGATTGGCGGCCGCTGAAACTAGTTAGTTTGGGGTTTTTGGGATTTTTTCAAGGGGGTTTGGTTGTACTTGAGGAATTTTGTGTATGGTAAAAATATTACTGTTTCAAGGGATTTGATAAGGTTAAAATTAGAATTCTGATTTTTAGTTGGTTTTCTGAAAAGTGAGAATTTGTGAAGTTTATTTTTTTACTGTTTCAAAGATTTTTGAATTTTTCGAGTTTTCCTGATTTATTGATCGCACCGTGCATTTTGTTTTAAAAAATTCAGGAAACTTGAGATTTTCTGTAGATTTTTTCACTGTTTCAAGATTTTTTTTATCAAAAAAAAATACAATGGAAAATTTTGGTGAATGAAGGGTATATAATTCTAAACAAAACATGAAGCCAAAAATTTTACTGTTTCAAGAATTTTTGAATTTTTCAAGTTTTTCTGATTTTCTCGATTCTTCCATTGAATAGCATTGAATTCACACATTCTCAGAGACAACCAAATTTGATGATTTTTTTCACGTAAAAAAATTGACATTTTTGGTTGGAAACTTTTACTGTTTCAAAATTTGCTAAAAAAAATTTTCTGATTTGTTCAGTTGCTTCCTCTCTTAAAAATTTCAGGAAACTTGAGAATTTCTGAATTTTTTCACTGTTTCAAGAATTTTTTTATCAAAAAAAATAAAATGAGAACTTTTGGTGAATGAAGGGGTGTAATTCTAAACAAAATATGAAGCCAAAAATTTTACTGTTTCAAGGGTTTTTGAATTTTTCGAGTTTTTTACTGATTTAATGATGTCAGTATGATTGTCTCACCATAAATTTTCTTCTAAAAAATCAGGAAACTTGAAATTTTCCATAAATTTTTTCACCGTTTCAAGAATGTTTTATCAGAAAAATTAAATGGAAAATTTTGGTGAATGTTCGGATAATATTCTAAACAAAATATAAATTCCGAAAATTTCACTGTTTCAAGAATTCTTGAATTATTCGAGTTTTTCTGATTTTTTCGATCCTGACGCTGTTGATTAATTTCTCAATCTTACAATTAAAGTATGAAATTTTCACAGTTTCAAGGAATCTTGTAAAATTGGAATTATATCGAATTATATGTTTTTGAAGTTGATAATGTCGATCCCAAAAAAATTTACTGTTTCAAGGATTTTTGAATTTTCTAAGATTTTCTAGTTTTTTGATAGATGTCCGATTCAAAGCTAATTTATTTGCTAAAAAATTCACTGTTTCAAAAATATTTTTTGATGATTGAGGAATAAAAATTTTCTGAAACAGTGAATATTTTCAGCCCCATTTTTTCTCAAAAAAAAAAAACATACACACACTGTGCTATCAATCATTTCCTTCTTTCTTCTTTTTTTTCTTTTTTTCCCTCGTTTTTTTTGGTTTCTAAAAATAGAAACCAACCAAAAAGAAACCCAGGTGAAAAAAATATATATTATTTTTCTTATTTTTATATCAAAAAACAATCAAAAATTCATAGATTTTTTCTTCTTCTTTTTGTTTTTCATTTTTCTTCATTTTTTGAGTAGAGAAAATTAGGGAAGTGTTTTAATTACAGCTAATCAACCCGAGAAATTAGAAGTTCTATTTTTAGACATTTTTGTTTGGGACAAAAACAATTTAGATTTTTGATTCTTGAAATTTTCCAAAAAATGACTGTTTCAATTTTTCTAGAAATTTTTCGGAGTACTGGGAATTTTCAGTAAAATACCTATACAGTCTATAGTAAAAATTTACTGTTTCAAACAATTTAGAAATTTTGAGGGTTTCTGGAATTTTTTGATTTGGATATCATTTTTCCGAAGAAGTTATACTATTTCAAAAAATTCACTGTTTCAAGTTTTCTTAATAATTTTCTAAGCGTTCGATATTTTTAGTAATTTATTTACGTCCTAGAAAAAAATTCACTGTTTCAAATAATTTTTGAATTCTGCGACAAAAATTTTTATATCAAAATTCTCAGAAAATTTTTGAAATTTTGTAATTCCAAATTTCCCTCGCAATTTTCAACAACTTTTTCTTCGAAATTTCCTCTTCGTTCGTTCAAATGAATAATTCAATTTATCATATTTCTCTTCTCTTCGAAAAAAAAAAAGAAAAAACTTTTCCCCCCACTTTTCCCCTCATAAATATGCATTTTTCACATTTTCCAACCAAAAAATCTATCTTTTTGCAATTTCCGGCGAAAAATTAGAGAAAAATCATTTTTAAAGCAACACCCTCGTATAATAAGGCCATTGCGAAATGATTTCAAACACGAAAATATATAAAATTAACCTATCCAGCTATGCTCACAAGCAATATGAAAAAGAAATACTCAAAAACGATCAAGTTTGACCACTTTTTAGAAAAAAAATTATTTTTTTTTGAAAATCGCCTGCAGATTGTGCAGATCCGCAATTTCGTAAATTTGTGCAAACACTGTGACGACAATTGTGTGCTACAGTACCCCTTTCAACTTTTTTTCAACAAAAAGTGAATTGTTTCACTGAAAACAATGAAATAAATTATAACAATGATTTCTGAACATCCTTAACTATCTCTACTTTCATTTTTGACAACGATATTTCAGTTTCGTATTTCATATTCTGGTCAAAAACTAAAAAAAACACAATTTCCCTCGAAAAAATTAGTTTTCGTCTGAAATATTGAATCTTAATGTTTATGCTTCTTGAATTTATTTTTTTCATACCCAGAAAACAGTTTTTTCCATGCAAATTGTCATTTTCCGAAAAAAACGGAAAAATTTTGCGAAAAAATAAAAAGAAAACAACGAGACTCCGCGTTGACGCTAGCCCGCGTTGTTTGAATTTGAGTTTTTTCAGTTTTTCAATGGGTTTCCATATTTCGGCTAATACTTATTGAAACTTTTTTAATTTTTTCTCCGAACTAGAAAACAGTAAAACTAAGCTAATTCTAAGATTTGAGAACAGTTGGGCTTTTTTCAAAAAAGTGCCTATTATACGAGGGTGTTGCTTTAACAGCACCGAAATATTGAACAAAATTTTCCCCACTGCACAGTGTTTTTGCCTTGTGGGTACTATAGTACCCCTTCCGTGATTTAGGGGTGCAATAGGGGTGATTTTTACCCCTATTGCACCCCTATTGCACCACTAATTGGCAGGGGTTCAAAAAGGGTTATTTAGTGGTGTTCATTTGAGAAAAACTAAAAAGTACAAACTAATCTATAGGTTCTGAAATTGTTCTCTAAAAATTTCATTTAGAAAAACGTTCATTTGAGAAAGTTATCAACTTTTATTTTTCAAGTGTAGGGGTCGTGTAGGGGTTGAGTAGTGGTCCCGACTCTGGGAAAATTTTTGCATCTCTAAAACAGTGAAAATGCACATTCCTTGCGCTATAAACACAAAAGTTTTCAAAAGGGGGCGTGGCGTAATGGTAGTGCTCTAGTTTTTGGTCGCGAAGGTCAAGGGTTCGAAGCTCGCTGCCCGCTATTCATTTTTTTTCAAATTTGGATTTTTGGCTTGGAAAATTGTTTTTTTTCCCGGAACAAGAAAAAAAAAACAAAATATTGATTGAAAAAAGAAGAAGCCTTTGGCTTCTTCTTCTTCTTCTTTTTTTTCTGGTTTTTCTCTATGTTTCTTCGAGTATTTTTGTTTGTGTGTGCCTTTTTTTTGATGGCCCCCTCCTCCTTTTTTGTATACGAAAAAAGAAGAAGAATTTCTCGTCTTTTTTTTGCTTCAAGCAAAAAAGAGGAAAAGCTCTTAGAAGAACGAGAAAAAACACGAAGAAGGACCCCGTTTTTTTTTTAGTTTTTCACTTCGATTTTTTTTTCGAGGAATTTTTTATTGGAGAAATTTTCTGAAATTCTGATTTTCTTTTTTCTCGACGAATATTTTGAGATTAAAATTATTCAATTTTTGAAACAGATTTCATTTTTTTTCCAAATTGTTCGTATCTCTTCTCAAAATTATTTTGAAAACCCAAGTTTTACTTTATGAGATTTTTGAAACAGTGGATTTTTTCAAAGTTTCGAAAATTTGTGTTCAAATAAAGATTCAACAGCAATTTGAAGTTTAATCATTTTTTTCATGAGAATTTATTGAAACAGTGAATTTTTTTCAAAATTTCTCTGGAAAAATTGGATCAAAAAATTCAATTTTCAGGATAAAAATTTTCTTCTTTTTATACTAGAATTTTGAGATTTGCAAATTTTTATATGAATTTTTTGAAACAGTGAATTTTTTTCGAGATCAAAAAAATTCAATTTTTTTGTTCCCAACCAAAATTTCATTATTCTTCTCTCAATTTTCATTTTTTTTCTGTCCAATTTCACAATGTCAAGGAGCACTTGTGAAAATGAGCATTTTTTTCCAATTTTGTGCCCCCTTTTTCTTCCCACTGAAATTTGATACTGGATTTTTTCTTGGGCGCCAAAAAATTTTTTTTTCAATTGCAAAAAAAAAAATCGATTCAAAAGTTTTGGCGCCCAAAATCCACGTGGAATTTGTTTTTTCAAAAATTCAAAAAGTTTTGGCGTCAAAAGTTCACGTGGCAAATTTGAAAATTTAAAAACTGATTTTCCCCCGCCATAAGTACACGTGGAATTCTGATAATTCAAAAGTTTTGGCGCGAGAAATCCACGTGGAAATTTTTGGCGCCAAAAAGTTTTTCAAAAATATTATTATTATTTTTTATGTTGTTGTATATATAAAATTGTGTGTGTGTGTCACATATAAACGCCTGAAAAATGCTAGCCCCAAGCTTTTTCTGATTGTCTGACTCTCTCAAATTCCCATACTCTCTCACCCAATTTTTGGTTAGAGACAAGGCGAGAGATTGGAGAGTGTGGTTAGAGAAAAAAAGATATACACATTGCATTTTGCTTGCTTGCTTCGAATATAACTAATAATCACACTTCGTCATCTTTTTTTTTTTTTTTGGAATATTTTTTCCCAGATGAAGCTTAGTTTAGGCAAGGAGGAAACATGATTATTTATTTATTCCATTTTTTAACATGTCGTGACTCTTTTCGACTTTTTTAACGCTGAAATTGTAATTTT